TCGATCGGGAGGGGTCGGAGTCGGTATTTGCAGAAAGTCGTCTATAGCTCCAGAATGGATTTCGACGCGCTTTTAGATATATCCATCTTTTAGCAGCTTCGTTATAGATAGGCGGACGTCCACTTTTAGGGGCGAGATTTAGTGGTTTTCGTGATTTTATAGCGGTCGCAAGTAACATAGATAGTGCTGCGATTACAGCTGTAGATAGCAGCAAGTTTAGTAGGAGATACACCATTTTCAAGGGCAGAGAGGATGCCAGCACGTTGATCAGTAGAAATTTCTTGATTTTTACCACGGTTTCCACTAATCTCAGTGCCAAACGGAGCCATGGTTGGTATAAAAATTTAAAATAAAAAGAGCGGGTTTACGCGACGTGATCAAAACGCGCTAAAACACGGGAAGTGTTGGCAGACTTCTGATGCATAATGTATATTATTCATATTATAATTAGTAGATTTTACTAAAGGATCAACTATCTGATCTTGAAAATAATAGTCAACAATATTATTTGCAACTTAGACATATCGTGAACATTATTTAGCCCTCAGAATATTAGCTAGAATAGAGTGATATATATTTCGAGATAATTAATTAGTAAAAATGCTGAAGTCGTATAAATTGTGTATGAATGCATAATATAAATAAACATCTTACTAGCAAAAAGTTCTCAAATCCTAGAATAAGAATGAGTATTAATAATATAAATTAATACTCTATACGAAATCGCGGTTCCAGCGATCGCTAGGTTTATAAAAGACACACACACACACACACCTACTAGGCTAGTTCTACTACACAGAGGACGGCACTATAGGCGCGGAACCAGACCCAGTAGACGATAAACCACAGCGCGACGACATAAGATAAGAAGAAAGTGCACGAAGGTAGCGTGGGGGAAACCCCCTGAAGGGTGTCCAAACAGAGCCGACCGCCAAGAAACGGTGTCCTCACGAAACGACATTGCACAATAACAGCAATCTGGCGGGTGTTGGAAGATATGGATCTAAGGATATAGGGATGGTCGTCTCGGTAATTCGGGACCTTGGTGAAGCAAGGGAGCCTAAAATAACCATCGATGTGACAACGTAGCGTGGGTAATGGCGAGATTGGTGATATAAGACCTCGGTGATGCGGGGCAGCTATCACCTATTCCGCTACCGAAAGGGCAGTCAACTTTCTGCCGGGAGAGGAAATTAGACTGAAGCGTGGCTTTACAGAGTACACGCAGTATTATAGTTGAAGCCGCCGAGGGCTTGACTCACCCTTATTATATGAAATCTCCTTTGTTCTCGTCGTGTTTACGTCTTGCGCTTTCACATTCAATAAAAGAGGAATTCTATCGCTCGAAAGGGCGATATTCGAGTATTATGACTGAGAATATTGTTCAAGTTTACTACAGTAGAATCAGAGAGTTGGTGAGCTCCAACTAACTGCTACTTAACACCGTAGATAATCCACTCATCTCGTAGTGGATTCCTACTAGTTGAATATTGTAGTTGTTGTGAAGTCTACTTTTTCATTAATAAAAGAACTAGCTACTTATAGTATATGGGTGCCCCTCTGCCCTGGACGAATGTCAACATTCGTCCGAGATAGAAGAGATAGTGAAGACGGGACATTACCATCGCGAATGCACATCGCTCAAGGGTGTCGTTTGCGATGAATGCATATCGTTCAAGGATGCCGTGATATACTAATCTAGTTCCACAGTCACTGTCTTGGCAGAAGCTTTTCGGCTGAAATACTTTCCGTCTGTTGATGGCCTTGTTTCTCGGCTGTCGCAATAAATTCCCCTTCTAATGCGCTAGACGTGTCACGGGGCGGGCAGGTGAATAGAATTATACTAGAACTGGATAGACAGTATTGCATTAACTGGCAGGCTAAGACGAAGACGTAGCTTGAAGAGCTACATTCAGACAAGGTTCTGAGTTTACATGAGGTTGCGGGTCACGTGGCCCGCACTATCTAATCAATCAGTAGTCGTCTGAGCTGGCACCGTGACAAGACGCACCTTTTAGCACCGCAGCAGGCTATGATATATCACACTAACAAATTCCGTTAATAATCAATCTTAATGATTTATATACTAAGCTTTAATTAAGATTGTACATATCCCGCAGCTTAATTAAAAGATTAGGGTTATTCTGCTTTCAAGGGGTATGTATAGATATTGCGAGGATTAATATTAATCTCAGTAAGATTTTTAATAGATTTAATCTGATCTAGTTTTACGAGTCCTTCCTTTAGTCAGTATCATAGTTATGGTCAGAATACTATCTTTATTAGAGCGAATAGTAGTAGCAAATCAAGAGAGAAAAAATATCAATTAGGAGACAGAATTAATCAGATTCTAGATTCGAAGGTCCGTTCGTAGTAAAAGATTCAAGATCTAGTTAAGTAGATTCTAGAGATTTAGATTAAAAAGAGAAACAAATTTAATAATAGTAATTAGATCTTATTTAAGGTAGCTAATAATAGGTTGCTTTATTGAAAATTTAACTAGAATCTACTAGAGATAAATTCGATCCTTTAAATATTTATCTAAAGTTATAGATATCATATCTATTAAAGTCGCTAGAAGTTTTTGTTAGTCTTTAATTGGTGTCTTTAATTATCATAAGATTGTTAATAGCTTTATTAGTCTATCTCTTTGGATATATTATACCCTATATCAGATTTTACACCTTATTCTCTTTTAACTACCTACTATACCACCCAAAATTTTAGATATCGCTTCCAAACGGGCTAGGTATTAGGTTAGAATCTTGTCAGCTATTGAATCCTATAAAAATAGGGAAAATTCTATCTATTTATAAAGGTCTATATTCTATAATATGATATTTTATAACGTGGATCACTATCTCGCGGGAAACTCAACTAAACTATTTACTAAAAAACAGTCCACCATTTTTAAATCACTACCATGCCTCTAATTCGCCCTAAAAAAGGTAAAAACTGGCAGAGCAGGAGGGACGTATCTTATTAGCTATTAAATCTATCCAATATGGTTAATTTACCTCTGTTTTATCTGCTTTTAAAGCTTTTAAAGTGCCTAAATATAATTTATATGGTCGCATCGATGGTCGTCAACACCTGGCTGGTTACACGTCGCTAACTAAGGCATAATTTCACTACAACTAAAGAGGAATCGATAAAAAATTGGCTATTCTCTATAGATTCTAGAGGAGCAGCTCTTCTTACCTATATGTATATGTCGAAATATGGCCAATTTACTACTCCGATCACGAATTTCAACCACTACTAACACCTCTATGTCTATCAGTAAAAACTGGGTAACTATGTTTATTAAGAGACATCCTGACTGTTGCGACAGCCGAGAAACAAGGTCATCAACAGACGGAAAGTATTTCGGCCGAAAAGCTTCTGCCAAGACAGTGACTCTGGAACTAGATTAGTATATCACGGCATCCTTGAACGATATGCATTCATCGCAAACGACACCCTTGAGCGATGTGCATTCGCGACAGTAATATCCCGTCTTCACCGTCTCTTCTGTCTCGGATGTACTTAATAAGCTTGCCTGAGATTGAACTAAATCCTGAGCGCCCTATATCTCCTGGCACCGACGAAGACGAAGACGATGATACGATTTGGAACACCGAAAAACTAGAGCAATACAATCCTCGCATCCATTCTGCTCCAGTATCTTCAAGCTCAATACCATCCATCGCTTGTTAAGAGAGAGCTTACCAGAGCTTATGACATTACTCCTCGGACGGTCCACCAGCACATTTTTTTTTACATTATTGTTGCAGTCATTTTGAGCAGGCAAACAAAAAACAGTTGGTTCATGAGGGCAGTTTACGGAGTCTAGGGGATACAGAATCCTGGTGGTATTGAGAATGTGGTTATCAATGGATATTTATCTGGTTTGGAAGCTGCTCAAAATGGCCCTGTTGAGCCAGAATTACCAGTTTTAGCTCCTATCAGGCGTCAAGTAATCTGTTCAGTTTGTGGGACTAAAGGGCATACCTATACCCCGGTGTCAGAATCTTCTATTTTAGCCTATTTTATTATGTTTGTGTATCTAAAAGTGGAATTAAATTTGATGCGTTTTTTGACAATTTGGTGGGGTTTCCCGGGTGTTGGTGATCCACGTTAGTTATCTCTATAGTGCTGAATTAATAATTATATCGAATATTATATAGTTGATTATAAATTGACCAAACCTGAAAGGACCCCTAATAAAATAGGTTTTCTAATAATTATAGATCCTAGACCTAGCAATACGAATATAATCGCAAGTTTTCTCCTCGCTAATTATAGAACCACGTATTCCGATTGGCTGAAATTCACTCACTCACTTGATTTAATAGATAGTTAAACTAAAAACTAAATACTACATTGAAATAATTCAATCTTTAATATACAGAAATAATCCTAAAAAAAAAGAAACAGCCTTAATTTACACCTTCTGATGCATCAATTCGATCATGATATTGACCACCACGGTCACACCTTATATATATATTTCTATCTTTATTAGGTAATATAGTAGTAGTAGAAAACCCAAGAGCAGACTGTAAGACGGAATCGATCAGAATCAGTCTAGATTCGAAGATTTGGTTGCTAAGAGCGTCCATTTTAGTAGTAAGAAATTGAAGAAATTAAGGGTAGCTTCAGTAGATTCTAGTAATAGATTCTGAAGAGAAGCAGGTTCAGTCATGATAATTAGATCTTAATTAGAGTTAATAATAGGTTACTACACTAACTATTAGAATCTACAAAATAAAATAAATTTGATGCAGATGGCGGCTGACATAATTAATGGTTTTGTGTCCGTAGTTACTAAAAATTTTGTTGCGTCCCTACCAATTCCCAATCTACTCTTAATAAATTGCTTCAAATCATAATTCAGGTTGTCAACCTGGGCGAGGAGGAGACCAAAAGCGTTCCCTAGCAACCACCCCTTGAAATTGAACAACTGCCACTTTACTAGTTCAAACTTGCAAAAAGGTCAAGTTGTCGTCAATCAGACACTAATGGCCCTCACAGAAGATTCGAAGCAGGTCATCTATGCAGGTCATAGCCTTTTCTTTTTGTAGCAATACAGGTATAGATCCCGCACCGACTGAAGAAGATTTCAAGTACCTACGTAACGCAAAGGCTGCTGCTTTATAAGTTATGTGGTATAGATCCTTAAACTCGTCATCGTCTGTGTAAGTTTCTTGTGCTTGACTGTCCACGTCAGGTGGTATTGGTGTTGAATGTGGTGTAAGGCTCGGATCAATGGCATGCTTGCTGGCAGTACACCGCATATTGGATCGGTGAAAACCATATAGCCGCATGCAGGTTAATATAGTGCGTGTGATCACATTTTTGTTTTCCGAGATGATGGATTCGGGAGTTTTGGGCAGTAAATTTGACATAGAAGGCAATTTTGGTTCACTTGAGGTCGAAAGTAAAACTGAGGACTGTAGCTGTTGTATACGATGAGGATCGGTATCTAAGGACAGGTTTGACACAGAAGCACGCTTCTGTAGATCTGTAACTCCAGCGCGCATACTGCGTCCAGTGCTGAGACTGCATAGATTGGCTCCGATGGAGACAGATCGCGAACGATGTGCAGTGATTCTTTCAAAAGGTGTAAAGCCTGGGGGTTCATCCTCGGGTTCTCGCTTCACCCGTAGTGATTGGAAATTCTGTGACGAGGATTGGGGCCTCGACGGTGCCATTATCTGGGAGACAGCCTCACCGCCTCGTTGTCTTACACGGCGGTGATGCTGTGCTGCAATCTCAAAGAGTGTGGCCACCCGTTTTCTCTTTGGACTGAGCGAGCTGATCTGTGGAAGAAATTCAGCTTGTGTAGAAACATGGCCCCCATCTGAACTAGATGGTGGAGATGGGAAAGTATGAGCTTGAGCGAGCAAAGATGTTGAAAGGGGAGCTGCATAGATTCTGAGCTCATGCGGCTTATTTGGTGAAGTAGTAGCTTGGCTGTCGGTCTTACTCGGCGAGGAATGTGGTGGAGTAGGCGGACGTGTGCAAGATGTTGTGCCGGACAAGACACCATAAACCAAGAGGTCAGATGTGGCCATACTGGTTTTCTTAATGGGACTGTCCTCAATGCTGACCAGCAGACCAACGGGGCACGGTAAGGATTGATGAAGGTCAAAATCATCTTCGCGTGGCAAGACACAGCCTGTCAATTTTCTCTGAAGCCATTGTGAAGTCCTCGCGTTGATTATGTGTAATTCGAGACCGGGTCCTGCTCGCGCATGCAGCGGGATCAATGATGGGTTAACAAAGCTTCGAAGATGGAGCTTGGCACTTTTAGATATATCACATGGCCAACGAGAGCTAGGATCAATTAAGCGGAAGCCTGATGGCAGATCATCAGCAAAGGAGAACAGCGCCACGACAACGCATGGATTTACCTTCTAGTGGGCGATCCCCATCTAATACAATGGAGCCTGACCATACGTCCATATCTGCAGCAGGGTTATAGAAGTAGAGACAGAACGAGTCTCATGTTATGTTATTACTGTTATCGATACTGCGAAGAAGCGCGCCAATAGCCATGACATCACGTGCAATATCAAGCTTTTGATTGACTAATCGCCACGCAACCCCACGTGAATCCCCATCAAAAATTCAAAAATTGTAAAAATTTTCAGTCTCAATTTACCAACCAACCCCGTATAAATTGACCAAATGACTCTCTCTAGATATTGATTGATTCGATACCCTTTCTTTCCATACCCACAAGCTACACTCATACGCTATCTGCTTCTTACCTACTTATGATCTGTAGGCTTAGTTTGATTATACATTCCACAAGTTTCAACCAGAGTTCTATAAGTCGGGGATCCTTAAAAAGAGCTCTTTTGATCGTATTTGCATACGAGACGTATTATAAGAGTTAGACAGCGTTTTGTAAACTCTGCTAGCCACTTTTTGCCCACAGTGATCATAGTAGCTGCTACTAGCTGGTGCCTTAGGTCTATCTTTATAGCAAGATCGAAGTAGTAAGTTGGCTATATCTCTTAACATAGAGAAGAAAAAAGAAGTCATGTGGATTGAAGTCTATTTGATAGTGCGTCATGTCGAAATTAGCGTCCCTTTAAGCGGGCTGATAATATCAAACGGGGACGCCAAACAACGCGCAGCTGTAGCTATAGACATAAATCCATCATGTCTGATAGCTTCCATAGCTAGTACGATACTACCTTCCTGATTGGTAGAATTTTGTGACCGCTGCAGAGTCAAGGTTTAAAGAATATAAACAAACGGTTGCTATGGTAAATTTTGATGAGGTGACTGCTAATCTAGAATTCACATTATTTATTTATTAAACTAGTTACTTAGTTAGATCTATCCCGGAGTCTCAACAAATGTGATCCCACGGAGAAGAACCAGCTAGACAGATTCTCAATTGATCAGTTACAACTGTATGTATTTTCTGTGCTATAATATAGCTAGAATACCAAGGCCAATAGCGTGCTCACCAGGCAATGGCCATACTTCTGGAAATTTGATGAATATTGTGTTTACATTGAGCATTAAGCTGGACGCACACAGAATGTCATCATGAAGCAATTCGGATGCTGCTAAGTTCCTTATCAGGTAAGATACCTTAGAAATGCCTCCTATTGTATCAGAACTCTTCCTGCTCTTGAAAGAACATAGAGAAGCTAATAATGGTTATGTAAATCAACAAGCCACCGACAATCGACATAATCATGGCCGGTATCTCGATCGCCCCGCTGTGTGCCAAAACGACGGGGAGAGCTAGGATGACGTGTTAGCGGTGTGGGTTCGAGAGAACGATGGTATTGACTGAAAGGGCAGAGGAGCCTCATAGAAGGCTTGTAAGAGTCCTCAAATGATAGGATGACCCCGATAGATTGTTTATGAGAAATGAAGCTCTCTGATGGGACGACTCACCAATTCCAGTCAAAACCAAGAAGCCAGTCATGAAGCGCCCAAAATCCATCGCTGAGTTGCTGGAGCTATCCATGAAATCGTCTGGATTTGCACATCTTCCACAGATCCAATTGGGAAGAGGCGCAATAATGTAAATGGCGACTACCAACAGCGGCCAGTACTTATGCCACAGTGCCGAGGAGAGAATTACCAGGAGGAATCCGATTGCAAGGACCTGCAGTTATACAGTCAATTCCGAAAAAGCTCAAAAAGAGACAGGGAGCGTGGTCTCGAATGCATACAAATGAAAGCGCGATGATGGTCTTGAGTCCAGCCGCCATGATTGCGGATATGTCGAAGCTGCCTGATTCAACTAGATAAAGGGGTTATGGCAGAGGTTCGGAAGCACAAAATCTAGAGATGTGAGACGCTACAACCGGCAAAAGTTTAGGTGTGGTAGCCCCATTGACCAGGTATCGGGATAGGAAGACAGAGAGGATAGACGAAGAATGAGCGATGTTGGGGCCTGAAGGTCACTGGATATCGGTGCCTCAGGCAGCAAGAGCTCATGCTTTACACCGCGTCACTTGTAACTGCCTTCGTAGCTTCCCCATCTCTAGCCCTGGTTCCCATCCATTTATCTTCGTTGTTTTCGTGTCTTGTAATCCCCAAGAACTATTTCTTCATTCTGATTCCTCATTCCTCTCGCCCTTTTTTCTTCCATCATGTTCAGAAACAACTACGACAACGATGCCGTCACCTTGTAAGACTGCACCGCAACCCTTCTGTGCGATAAACTCAGAATTATTACTAACTTGATGGTTTCAGCTCCCCTCAGGGCCGGATATTCCAAGTGGAATATGCAAGTGAAGCAGTGAAGCAAGGATCGGTAGTTGTGGGACTAGTGAACAAGACACATGCTGTGTTGGTCGGCCTCAAGGTTCGCTTCAACCCAAACAGAAATATTATATCAAATGTCACTAGCCAAGAAGGAAGCTAACATTTTTTCAACAATTCTAGCGTAATGCCGAGGAACTTTCCTCGTATCAGAAGAAACTCATTGAGATTGACTCGCACATGGCCATTGCTATCGCCGGTCTGGCATCAGATGCCCGTGTCCTTTCCAACTTCATGAAGCAGCAATCCCTCAGCTCGAAGATGACCTATGGCCGACCAATCCCGCTGGACCGCATCGTTTCGCAAATCGGTGACCGCGCCCAGACCAACACCCAGCACTATGGAAAACGGCCATACGGTGTAGGTCTACTTGTGGCTGGAGTGGACGAGGCAGGTCCTCACCTGTTCGAGTTCCAACCCTCCGGTCTAACCCATGAGATGCTTGCTTGCGCAATTGGTGCTCGCTCTCAAATGGCCCGTACTTATCTTGAGCGGAATCTCGATAAGTTCCCTGATTGCACCCGCGATGAGTTGATCACGCACGGTCTACAGGCTCTTAAGGAAACCTTGTCGCAGGATAAAGAGCTTACAGTCGATAACACTTCGGTTGGTGTAGTGGGTTTGGCCAGTGAAGGATCTAAGGGCCGGATTGAGAGCTTCAAGTTGTACGAGGGCCAGGAAACAGTGCCGCTTCTCGAGGCATTGGAGCGGTTTGAATCGGCAGCGGGAGAGAGCGAGTCTATGGAAGTTGACTCATAATTTTCATGTTTCTTAATGATGCGCATAGATGAACCCTTTTGCCTTATGCTTTGGCCTTGATGCAATGGTGAATGTTGTTCCTTCAAGCTTATTATTAAGTAGGTTAAATTCTGTCTATTTCCTTGCTTGTCTACTTGTTGTTCATATATATAAGAGAGAGGGAGAGAGTTTGATTTATGTTAGGGCAGCTCTATTGTATAGAAAAATCACTCCTGTCCCCAGTTCAACTGCATCCGGTCATTGCTGTTCTGATACTCAAGCAGCTTCGGCCAAACCTCCGTCGGGCAACGCGCTTCAGCAACAATCGACCCATTTCCCATACTAATATAACCCTCCCGAACCGCATTTCGAATCCAAGTCAGTAACCCATCCCAGTAACCATTAATATTAAGTAGTACAACCCCGACATGATGGATGCCGAGCTGGTTCCAAGTAGTCATCTCCATAACTTCCTCAATAGTTCCAAAACCTCCAGCGAGCGACACAAATCCAGATCCGGGCCCACCCTCCATGACCTTCGTAGCCATGAGTCGCTTGCGTGTGTGCATGTCAGAGACAATCGTCGTGATGCCATATTCAGATTCCGGAATTCCACTTTCACCCAATTCATCTGACACGATTCGTTCTGCGGCTTTACCGCTATGATTGTTTGTTGTTTCAACGCTGTCCTTCGTTGAGACCTTAACCAGCGCACGGGGTATGATACCATGTACGGATTTTGGCCCGGAAAGAGAAACCAAGGTACGGGCAATCTCACCCATGAGGCCTGTTGTGCCGCCACCATATACCAGTTGAACGTTGTTCTTGTGGAACTCTTGGGCAAGGGTGCGGGCTGCTTCAAAGTGAACCGGGTCTTTGCCAGATGTTGCGCCGCAGCTACATGCCCCAGATATAGAGGTTAGCTTCATAATCGAGATGATCCAGCTGATGAAGGTTATAATGTATGACATATTAGAAACAGAATCACTCACAAGACGCATACCACAGCAGGCTTGAATTGGGCCATTTTCAAATGGCATCAACTAAATTGAATAGAATGTTTATAGAGGAAAAGAGAAAGGAGTTCGAGTACAAGTTCAAGTGGGTGGCAAAAGGGGATCAAAGGATCGGAACAGCGGGGGGAGCTTGAAACTGGTTCCGATAAGAATGACAGTACGATAAATAGTTAATTATGGAATCATGAAATTATGAAATTATAATAATATAGTCATTTTGATTAAGAAATTATTCCTACTTCTATTCATCGCTATTGAAGTCATATAGCTTTAGCTAAAAATGATATACATATATCCTTTAACACCCCCAAATCTAATATCATGGGTATTGAACATATAATCAACTTACAATCCTAGTCTTTTTTCGCTTGCCTTTGTTCTCACCACCACTAGGTGGGGAATTAGTTTTGTCAGATGTCTTCCCGGGTGTATCGACCCGTACCTGTGGCGTTGACACTCGCCCTGTTGGTCCCGGTGTGTTTGTTGTAGTGCCTAGAGACACCTTGGGTACACCCTTGGTTGCTATGCGGTCAACCTCACCGCCGACGCGAGACATAATGAATGAGCCAGGCTCACCAACCAGTGGGTTTTCGTCCATGAACTCGTCTCCGTACCGTGTGAATAGGTTGAATGAGTCGGCCAGACTACGAGCATCATGGTGACTGGAATTAGAGGTTGATATACCAAGTCCCTGCTTGCCAGTCGCCGGCGTTTCAGCGATAGATGGCGCAGCATCAGGCATCGGGGTGTTTTCCTTGCTCGGCTGAGATGTCGCTTGGCCGGGCTCCGTAGTTTTAGCCACTGGTGGTAGATACGTGTGTCCATAAGATGGTGTAAAGTTCGGCAAGGTGGACGCAGTCTTCATAAGCTGTGAAAGGGAAGTGACTGCTGATAACTGTTTGAGATTGAGCTGTCAGAACTCTGTACATGTGGGCTTTGATAATTATGCGTACGATCCGATTTCCTACCACACTAGCGACAGAAGGCGCCATGTAGATACAATCCCCAACGACAAAATATGATGAAATCACAGTCAGTTCATCATCTATGCCGCTCCGTTTTCGTCGATTCTGCTTTCGAATCACCCACACGTTGGATGGTTCGTGAGCGAATCGAGTGTCGGACTGCGCGGCCGCCTGTAGGGGATCATATGTGACAACGAATTCAAGTCCTGACATTGTCTTCAGACGGCCTTCAAAGGCCTCACGGGTCTCGAGAAAATGTCGGAACGTCTCATTGTAGTTTGCCTGAACGGCTAGTGATGCATTGTTGGAGGTCTTGTCGAAGAATGGGGATTCGGCGAAGTAGAAGAGAACTGTGAGGTATATGAGTTCTCGAATTCAATAAATAGGCTGGTGCGGAATAATTACTGTTGTTTGAGTGCAGGTATCCTCCCATCATCTGGACGTGCGGGGGAGACCGCCAGAGGATTTCCTCCATTGAATCCTGACTCGCCATACCAGGCACTCAACCTTGATCTAAGCTGTCGCAAGTAAGAATGGAAAGAATTTTGGTTAAAAAAAAATATTGGAAGAGATAATTGAAACAAATCCAGGAAGTTGTCAAGTTTAAGTGGTAAAAAGAAAAAAGAGATAAACAGATTAGATAACGTCGAGATAAACTAGTTAGTTAATAGCTATTTGCTTCGTTTGCTTCGTTTTTTCGTATAAAAAAAACTACACTGGTTTCCCCCCTAACTCCATCGCTTGCTCAATGTTGAATGAAATGACTGAGAAATAGTTAGATCTAGATGTTGAAGACACAGTTGAGTGTTGTCCATGATCATTTCGAATTATTGAGAAAAATATCACCCGTATGTTCATCATTCTCTGGCATCGAGTGGAGCAAAGATATCGCCCACTGTACCCAGCTTTGTTAACATTTCTTGCCATTCACCCTCGGCTGTACTAAGAGTGGTGATAGCACCACCAGCACCAATTCGCCAAATTTGTTGTGAATCTTCCTCGGCAGGAGAGCAAGTAAATGCCATGCGAATCAGAACAGAGAAGCTCCCACCTCCACCCAAGTCCAAGTAACCCATGACACCAGAGTATATCCCACGATTTCGTCTCTCGATTTCATGAAGATGCATACAAGAGCGTTCCTTCGGGGCACCAGTCATGGAGCCTGGGGGCAAACACCGCTGTAAGGTAGTAAGCCCGTGAACGGCCATGCTGGAGGATTTCGATTGAGGTGTATGCCGGACAGAGTATCCAGGATTATTTGGACGAATCTTGCCTTTGATGTGAGTAATCATCGAGTAAACTCGGCCGTAGTCTGCTACCTCGAGTAACTTCTCGACATGCACACCACCAGACCCGCAGATGCCATATAGATCGTGCCGGATCAGATCGGCAATCATGAGGTTTTCGGACATTTCTTTCGTCGATGATAGAATTTCCTTGGCTTTTTCCATAGTCATTTCAGGAGATTTTCGGACAGTACCTTTCATTGGCTTCATCTCTAGAGTTGATTCGCGATCCCAGTTGAGAAAACATTCCGGGCTGCTGCTAACGATCTTTGTTTGTCCCAGATTTGCGAATCCACCAAATGCTGCGGGGTTAAACTTATTCAATCGTTTGTATAGCCTCCAAGGAAAAAGGGCCCGATCAATCTCAGACGCTGGATGGGGCAAAGTGATAGAAGTCTCGGCCGTAAGACACAACTCGTATGATTCACCGGCCTCCAATTGTGCCTTGCAGGTTTCAATTCTCAATTTGTAGTCTGCCTCATCGGGGAACGCAATGACTCCTTGACAAAGTATGGAATTCAAAGATTTGATATTAGCAGTTTGATCAATTTCAGCACTCCCAGAGAGTGCTTGCAAAACATGTAGTGAATCATCAAGCCATCCTGCTGGAGCGTTGTCTGTTTCGCAAGTTGATTGGACGAAAACACTGCCGGCCTCGCTATCAATAATAATGCTTCTTTCAGACCATAATAGGCTGACATCTGGTGGATCTTTCACAGAAGGGTTGGATGAATTTCCTATTGAGTGGTTGGCGGGCGGTTGTGCCGACCCCCGGGAATGAGGGAGACCAGAGAGACCCAGCTCGTAGGAGAAGTAGCCCAAGAAGCCTCCCCAGAAGGGGCTATGCGCACTACCAGAGTAGACTTTCTTCATATCCATCAAGTATCGAAGTGCATCCCAAAGCTGACCCACCGAGACGTGTTTCTCTAACGTATTGTAATCTGCGTTTAGTCGGTCAAGTGTAAGCTTATGGCACTCAACACTATACTCTAATCTCCAAGAGCCAGGGCTGGGAACTGAAATAATGCTGTATCGTCCATTTGACTGGAAGACAACAGTCGGAGCACCTGGCCTGTTGAATGCCTCGCAAATAATCTCCGCAGTCAAATTATCACGTTTGAGGGATCTATATTCTGAGTGAGTTGAAGTCGACGAACTCCAGCTCAACATATCATAGGCAAGGTCTGGGAAAATTTCGACATCGTCATAGGGACAGATGGTAGTCTGGGGCAAAGATCCATGTTCTTTACGCCCAGAGTCCTTGTTAAAGGCTAACGCCACCCGCCACCAATTTTGCAGAAGGATTTGACAAGAAAACTTCTCAGACTTGCACGATTCCGGGTGAAACTGAACACCCCAGAATGGCTTTTTCTGATGACGAGCTGCCATTAATATCTGCATGTCCAATCCAGAATCTGTCTCAATTGGTAACCAAGCCAAAAAGTCCAAATCAACTAACAAGGGCTCTCGGTGTCTTATAGCATTGACGTTGGCAAAGAGCGAGTGATAGAGTGTGACCTCTATAGCCGGTAGATTCTCAAAAATATCCCGCGCGCTGGTGGAAACCTGACGCACTTGACCATGAAGTGGGTATGGAAGTCGCTCAACCGGAATGCCATGTTGAAGACACAGACTTTGAAATCCCAAGCAGATGCCGAATACCGGGAGGAGCTCGGCATCTCGAAGATTCCAGATATCTTTCATGATACCAACATCTTTAGGCAGGCTAGGGTTTCCAGGTCCAGGCCCAAGAACAATGGCTTCGAAATGCCTCAAGAATTCGTTAATATTACCATTGGGCCATTCGGAGTCAATAGTCATTACAGTGACTCTGACACAGAGCGTCTCCTCTAGCATTGCGACTACATTGTAAGAGAATGAGTCGTAAGCATCGACGTAGAGGATGTTCTTGAGAGAAGATGCGTAAAGAGCTGACTCCATGAAACCATTCCAACTTCCTAGAAGCGGTGACATGAAGTTGAGTCACAAGTGAACGAGTCTAAGGCGATTTATCTCAAGTTCGAATGATTGAATGTTTTCCTTTTTGGATAAACCCTGCGAAAGAACTCACGCAAAGAATCAGGCTAGGACTGGAGCTTGCATTCCTGTTGGGGTTTCCAATTATGAGTAAGATATGTCCTACTCAATGAACAAGTGGCGAGCAAGCTTATCACCCACGCCACATTAATTCCTGATGTAAATGGCGTCAAGAAATCAATGCCCTATCTTATGCAGAGAAAACGTAGAAGATAGAAGTAATGCAAAGGGGACTATTTAGTACTAACGTAGAAAAGAACTAGAAAGAGAAGTGAAGTAGAAATAAGAAGTAGAAGAAAAAAGATTTAAGGTTGAAAATGCAAAGCGGGTCCCACCGGAAAAAATAGAGCCACTCACAGTCGATTTTAACTAGATCTACTAATAAAGGGTATTTCTTCGAACAATTCACGCACTAGATGGAAGAGGTTGTGATACAAGGCTTGCGAGCTTGACTGCTACCTTTGGGAAGTACTGTGTCACAAAGCTTTCGGTGTAGAAGCTATGCGCAGCGCTGTGATCACCAACAAGGTTATGCGCCAATTCATGGCACAATATCACCCACCAGTATACGATAGCATCAGTGCGATCGGGAATGGCAGCCTGAAGCAATGGCTTCTCTTGCAATGACTGGAAGTAGAAGTAGTTGCAAAAGATGCTGCCCGATGAGTTGAATGCGATGGTCTTACTACCTGGATCGTAGAAGATGCTTAGGCTGTTCGGATGCATCGAAAAGATACTGCTGCAATCAAGAAGCACTACCGAGAACATATTGATACCAGTGCGGTTTTCCGACAGGAATGTAGATCGATCGGGGACCCTTCTTGAAAATAATACGTTGATTCCATTCGGGAGAGTCGCAAAAAATTCCAAGTCATGGCCAGGGCGTTCATCGCAGTATGACTTGGTTTCAGTAATTTGATTCGTCTCAGGCCGGTTGAATACATGAGATGACCCATGGGGGCGACAGGCCTGCACAGCAGAAAGAAGCTGGCGGTTTGGTTGGTGAGGAGAGTTGATAGATACTTCCCGTTCTGGGCGCGGCTTTTGAGGCTCGTTAGAGGATTCCGGAAGAAGGGACTGAGACTGCTCGGCGGTATTGGCAGTTGTGCGGTTATCCAGACCAAACCGTTTGGACAAATTTGCAAACAAGCCGCGAGAGGATCTATTCGGCAAGGTTAGCTCTGACGGCGCGACCCGTGTGTCCTTCGGTGATTCTGGGAAGACACCGGGCATGGTCTTCAGTTCAGGAATCTCTTCCTTGGCTTGCTGAGCCTGCTCTGTAGCTAGCTCTGCTTCCCTCTCTTGTAAGGCACGCATCTCCTCCTCCAGCTGTTTTTGCCGTCTGTCTTCTGCTATTCGAGCTTCATGGGCCCTCTGGCTTAGGATACGCTCCACGTTATATCCTCGAGCACGAAGCTCTAGAAGGTCTGTTTTTAGCAACATTTCCAACGTCAGTGTGGAGTGAAGTTTGGGCCGTTTGAGAATCACATGAACCAATGATTGACTGATCTCATATAGATCATATTTACCAGGACAGATGCACAGAGCCCAGTTATTGTGACGGGCGACGATGGCTTTCCGCAGTTGCTTGTGAGATATGGGTAGGCTCTTCAAGGACCGAGTTAGTGTGATAGAATTCACTACTTGTACACTGAAGCTTTGCTCTAACCACCGAGATCCATGCTGAATAGAGTCCACTGGCTGATCATGCAAGAAAAGTCGTACACGCTCTAGGATAAGTTTGTGTAATCTCGCGGCAGACGTCTGATCAGCAATGAGGCCTCCTAATGTCGTCCGTTCCTCTATGCGGCTGCTCAAAGGAACAGCCCCGAGGGCCATATAGAAACTTTCTAGAGTCTCCTCCTGTGGTGCCACAAGGATGTGCTCTTTAAAGAGATTGAAGCTCTGGAAATCATCCACAACAACAATTTCCCTCGCCGAGGAGAGATTCCATTCTCTGATATCTAAGTCCACATCTGGATCTGGAAGTTCATTTTCGGCAGACTTCCTTTCACGAGGAGGAAGGTCTCGACTGGCCATCAGAAATCTTGCACGCTTCATACTATTGAAAAGATCTTTGTCTTTCTTGAGGAGAGGAAGACTCTCCGCAAGAGTTCTCAGCAGCATGAGGTATTTATCGGAGCTTTTGAACGTAGCAGAAATTCGAGCAGGCTCTGTCACCAACATCCGTGCTATCTCAAGCTTCGTTGGTTCTCTTCTTGAACCGGCAGCTAAGAGGAAAAGGTTGGCCTCTTGACCAAAATCTACAAAGTCAAAAATATCTTTGTAGTCTTCTCCGTCGCCAAGATAACACGATCTAGGCGCAACGAACCGAGTTCGAGAACTCTTTCCCGATAGGTCATGGGTAGAGATCGGAATAACGGGAGAAGTTCCAACCCGCTCAATATCCTGGGGCCTCAAATCCGATACTCTGCCCGCTAGATACTTGAAGATCACTCTTGCGTCCTCTTGGGTTTTGGGAGGTTGGCTCATAAGAGCTTCTAGACAATCTGACACGGGAGGATGAGGCTTAACACCTAGCTTGCTAGCATATGGATGGAGCTGCTTTTGGAGAATATGAAATTCAAACAAAGATGCACCCTCGTTCGTGAAACACTTCTTTGGCGTCGCCAATTCCTCTGAACCTTCAATGGGAAGGAAGGGAGCCGTGACCATGTTGATTTCGAACGTGTCATAACCATTCTTGTGATATTCATTAAGGAAGAAAGATAGGGCTTTGGATTTTCGACCGGTATCTTTATCTGTATCACTTTTTATCATGATTCGGATGAGCTCAGGGCCAGATGGGTAGCTTTTTAAGCCCATCATCGACAGGAACTTGCCCTCATTGCTGGTGCTGTTATAGATACCTGGCCAATCTATGACTGGTAGGCCCAAAGCGCGAAGGGAATCATTTGGCTCATACAGTTCAGCGATCTTGAAGCGGGTGCCATGTGGAGTTTGCACATCTTTTCGGGGTTCTGCTGTACATGTGCTTGTGTTCTTCAGTCGCTGTATGTCGTTTGCAGGAATGTCTTCGCGAACAGATGTCAGGTATCGTATTAGATCAACGTGACTCCATTTTCTAGCTAAACCCTTGGTATCCCCAGACTCAGGAGAATCAACGAGACGATCAAAGATCACACCTAGCTCAACAGTCTTGCGGACTCCAAGCGACACTAGAAATTTCTCCTTCACTCCATTAAGGCCATGCACAACTGGAAGGTCATCAAAAAGACGCACGGAGCCGAAGTAAGTTTGCGAAGGCTGTTTCATTCCAAGCTTTGTCGGGATCACGGTCTCGACTTGGAGTGTGCTGACCACTGTTGATTTTGCAGACGAGCTGAGGGCTTCCCACTGCTTGGACAAGACCGGCAAAACCTGTCCGGCAAAAAGAGGGCTTTGTTTGATATCCTGATCTGCTGAGAGTATGCTGCGATTTCCAGAGTTGCTGACAAGCCAATGAAGCCAAGCAACAGTCTGAAGTTCAACCCATCCCAAAGCTTCAAGTTCCTCCTTCTTTAAATGTTTAGTAAATCGAAAAGGCATCACTGCGGTAGCTACTGGCAATTCTGCTGGTATGCGTTGAGGATTCAAATAGCTATTGATATCGGCAAATATAATCAAGCGTGTAGCCTGGCCTTCTTGGTCTTCATCATTTGCCACGGCAGCTCGTAACAGGCTTTGGACTGAAGGTTTGTCAAGCTTCTCAGCGTAAGATTTGCGACCCAACCATTTCAAAAATTCAACGACTTGGTCAGCTCGAAGTGTACTTGCCTCGAGTTCACGCTTGACATCAGACACTGTTATATCGGTAACCAATCCAAAGTCTATTAGTCTCTGGACAAAACCTTTGGCTTGCAGCACGAAGTCATCAGGCAAAGCAGGGATAGAGTCCATAAAGCTCAGGTCTTTGGGAGCTATGCGAGTCTGATGGCTTGGAATAACACCGCATGTTGAGAGAATCTCAATAGAGGCATTTTTGTTGCACATCCAGAAGGCGTCTTCGATCGTCTGACCCAGAGCTGAAGATGGCGTTGATTCACGGAAGACAAACTGATTTGCGGTATGAATCGCTTCTGGGAGAACATCAACGATATCGTCTTTCCTGACTTTTGATAAGTGAGCAGGGCCAATTTTCGCCGCAATTTTAGATTTGATGGTGTTCATCTCCACCGACCAAGCAATACGACAGACGATACCGACAGCACGTAACATTTCAATATTCCATTTACTGATGTAACGAGTGTTTAGGTCAATACTTTCTCGCTCTACAGTAGGAATGACTGATGGTGCAGAGACATGAGCGTTCAGCCCAGTGGTTTGCTGAGTTGGAAACCCTATGAAGACCCGTCCGCCTTTAGAAGGAAGAATGGAAGCCAGGACCTCCGAATTTGAAGCTGAAGCCCCTGTAGCGATGGTAGCGTCATAGGAGGGAGTCAGGATTGCAATAGTGGCCTTCTTTGGCGGAGGCTTCCGTGTGGCTCGTTCAAGCTCCTTGCTCAAGTCATAGCTGGGCGAAGCTTGAATAAATGCAGTGTTAATGTGTAAGAAGACGGAGGCCTTTAGCAAAGAAGTCATATTCCCTGATTCCTCGGGATTCTCCAACTTTTGAAGCTGAGATGATTTCTCTGGTCCGCTTGGGGCTGTAAATTTAGAGAAGAAGCTTCGCAGTGAACTTGTCGTATCTCGAAGGCTATCGAGGCGGAAAACACTCGCGTTAGGATTCCACTCCACGATTCGCATCCATGACGCATCAACCTGTGCAATCCCTTGCGCAATACTGGCAACTTTCATGAGCCCATCTGCAGTCTTGGTTTCGATGTCCTTTGGAATTTGAACATTAACGCCCGGGGCTGTTTTCTTAGACAGACACAACAAATTCCAATCATCCAACCATAATTCAATCTCTTCCAAAGCGACAAATGTCAGACTACTTGACAAAAATTGACAAAGCTGCATTAAAGATGGTATGGGGGACGAGTCGTTGCGGTAGTCCAAGACAAAGGTGGTGTCTTGGTTCGAGGAATCACCAAGGTCCAGTCGACGAGTAAATAGTGAATTGCCTTTCCAGTAAAATGCCATGGCTTGTCGGCCGGAGGACACAAATGGTTCTTCGCAATCATCAAAAACACTATAGAAGCCTACGCCAAAGGCTCCTATCTTTGTTTCATCAGGATTTCCATCAGCGATACGTTTTAATCGCGCCCAGTCCTTTTCACTAAATGGGGAACCGTTGTTGGAGATTAAGAGACGCCGAAGTGTATGGTTTGTGACAGTATGCTTGACAAGTTCTGACGGGTCTGTAGACGAGGGGGATGGGATGGTCGTCGATGGCATAGTCTCAAACTTGATAGTCACTTTAGTTGCCGAGGCGTCAGCTGCATTCTGAATCATTTCTCGCAAGACAGTCCTAGATACACATGAAGCGCATAAGTAATTTGCTATTTATACACGAGAACTCTGTGGATCTACTGTACCATTTCCCTGAATATCGAGCGAGTACCTTAGAGATCAATCCTCTAGTGTCAACAGTCACCGCTTCCTCATCAGCGCCAGACCCCATGGTCCGCGCCTTGAGCGCGTTAAAGTCGACTTTCAGAGCCATTTCAAAAATTTAATTGAAAAAGAAGCCGAACAAGATTGCAGGTGTACTTAGGGAGATGTCTAAGGTGTCTAGAAGTTCATATTATCCGTGTTGATCTAAGAGATTCGGAACGGTAGATAAGAGTAGGGGTAGAGAATGGATAGATGTGGTTGATAAAAGGAACCTGACTGATCAGGAGTAGCTGAACAAGGTAAATGACAGTCGCTAGAAATGATAAGTCAACAAGCGGAGAGCAGACACGGAGTAATAGTTCTTATCGGGAGATTAGATCAGCGGCTTAGCTCAGCACGTTTGTATCGCGGCTTCAGGAGTGGGATAATAACAAGCTAGTAGAGAGCTTGTGCTTTTCTCTGCTGGTCCTGTCAACGGCTGCTCAAAGTCGCAATTATAAAATCATTCATATCGTCACTCACCCTGTTTGGATTCTGGTTGTTGTGGATGCCACCCTAATCTTTACCATCACCTGTTTCCCTAGTCTCAAATGACAGCATGGGTGTTGACCCTTTATCTCCAATTGCACCAGTGCGCCTCAGAGCGCTGCTGCTTCCAATTGGAAGAATCAAACGCTCCCGATTTCTGAGCTTCGCAGCTCGATTACAAGCTGAAAATGTAGTTCGGCTAGGGGACATCAGTCCCGATGCTCGACCAAACCGAAGTACGCAATGATATTGTTCTGACAAAAGCATCTTATAATGCGGAATAATTGGATAACCTGGCTGACTATTGGAACTTATAGACATGTTTTCCCCATTAGCCTTTCCGACTGGGATGATTCTCTACGACATATCCTTCTCAGTCCCTCCCACGTCGCACCTTGAATTGTTTCCATTTGAGACATTCAGAGAACCACTTGTAATTATTGTGATAGCGGATGGTGCTGAGATGCCAAAAAGCCCCCAGTCAAACAGCAAACATCCAACTCCAGAGGGACTTGACCAGTTGCTAGAGGAGCTTAGTACAGTGAAATCGAAGAATCCACGGGCATTGGTGAACCAGCTCCTGATATTTGACTATGATGGTCTAGAGAAGCTCACAAATGGACCTGAAAATGTTCTTTGGATCCCAAGCCCCCAAGAATCCAAAGCTACTACAATGAAAACGGTCCTGTGTGATATCACCTCGATTTTACTCTCGGAGCTGGATGAGTTCGCTAAGACAATTCAAGCCATTCCAACCATCGATTCTCCTAAAGCATTCTCATGGGGACCACATCGAAACCCAGAGCTACGGCCTCGACCCGTAGATAGGTTGCTGAGCCGGATGACCTTGCCTGCACAAATGCCATCTAACGCGAATGGTACGCTGGACTCCCCATTGAGTTCCAACACAACCTCGCCAGCACCCAGTGAACACGAGACACCTACTACGTTTGACGAAATCACTCGATCGATTCATCTCTCACGTTCAACCGCCGGTGGCGGCAAAAGTCCCTCGGTAGCATCGATCAAAGAGCATAGTCGTGAAAGGATATCTGTCAGCGGATTAAGCGCAACAGACAGAACCAAAAACCGCATCAAAGCCCGGGCTGGTGTTGTAATTGGTACTTTCTTCTTGCAGGCAGGAAGGTGGCACGACGCATTGAAAGAGCTGATTGACGCGGCGAACAATGCCCGAGCAAGCAGCGATTATATCTGGCATGGAAAGGCGCTAGAGAATATCCTTCTTTGTCTATTGATGCTAGGATGGGCAGGTATGGATTTTCAGGTAAGTTTAATGTTTTCTATGAAAGACAAATTGTTAGCAGACCACTCATGTACTATACAGATACCCCCAGTCCTTTACCCTGTTGCCGAGAAATCTTCCAAGGCACACAGGGACTCGGTTACTACTCCAGCAAGTGCTGGTAATCGCATTGTCTCTCTTCAAAATCTAGCTAATCTTCTGCCCGATCTGTCAAACACAATCCTGAATCTGTATACCCGAGCCGCCAACATCACAGATGAACCCCTACCTCAATTGGTATTCTCTGAGACAGTCATCCGATTATCAAGAGTGATGGTCTCGGCTCGTGTTCGAGATGGCGCTCTTGACGATAACGCTCTCAAACATATTGTGATGAATGAACCTCTGATTCCTTTACTTCAACCAGAGCTTCCACGCGGGACTGTACTGCTCCGGAGATCTGATATCGCAAATTTCCTGTATCGTGCTCTGCCGCTCTCTGCGGGTGCGGATTTGCCCGCAACCGATGCTGTCCCCATAGTAGTGGGTGTTGTTTCCGTCTTGAATGCCCTCGATTTACCCCGAAAAAAGGCCTTTATCATGCGTGAGCTTCTTAATGTGATTGTACCCAGTCTTGTGCAGGCCCGGAAGATTGGTGCTGCAGAAGTTGGTATTCATCCTGCTGCTGGACTGGCTTCTCTCAGCGATACTGCATTTGACGTGAATGCTCTGGACATTGGCCCTGGAAACATGGAATCAAGTGTACGTATTCTTCTTGCTACAATAGGGGAGATATATGGCGTTCAACCCTCTGAATTTCATGAATGGGAGAAACAACAGAGCCGATCCAGTGGCTCCCATGATATTCCTGCATATGATTCTGTTGCAGGTATCACAGAGAGGTCTTTCCGATATTTGTCTTTGGAAAGATATGGTGACCTCAACTTAAAGATCGACGTTCTCAGGGCTTGTATCAACTGTTGCGAGGCACTTCCTGACTTTGAGGGTGTCCTACGTTTCACAGTCGAGCTTCTGCAAACCATTCGAGGTGATTTGATGCTTAGTGAGACTTACAGAAAGCCGCCGTGTCTACCTCCAGACGACCAAGTCCGCCTCTTGAACAACATCAAACGCACCGTTGGTGCTGCGAACCGCCTAGGTGTGTCCAATATGTTCGCCGAGTATTGGGATGATTTTCTGGTGCGTGAAGTTCAACTTCTGGCACTGCCAGATCCAAGAAGACCAGTTCGTCGGTCCAAGTCAGAGTTGGATGCTGTCACCACAAGCTCCGAGCAGTCAAAGAAGGATCCATTCCTATACAATCCCTTTGCTAAGCCCAATAGCAAAGCCCTAGAGGCGTTGGTAGTAACGGACGAACCTGCCTCTTTCCGAGTTACTTTGCAAAACCCCTTTGAATTTGAACTCGAAATAGAACATCTACGACTGGAAAGTACAGGGGTGGAATTTGAAGCTCTATCAGAAAACATATTTCTGCCTCCGCTTTCTCTACAAGACATCATTGTTCTTGGTACGGCCCGTGAGGAGGGAAGTCTTGATATATCAGGCTGTATCGTCAAAGTGCGCAACTGCCGTACAAGAAGATTCCCTATTTTCAAAAACGTGTGGAAGCCCGAACCTGAGGTCAAGTTCAAGCAAATGGGCCTGGATTCAAAGAAGCTCCTCGCAGACAGACCATTGTCCTGTATCTCAGCAACGTTAAAGGATGACAAATCCTCTGCTAAGAAGGGTCCGGAGACCGAGACATGCCAAATTAAAGTCATCCCTAAGCAACCATCATTGGTGATCGAATCAATGTCACTATCACAGTCTGCAATGATGGTTCTGGAAGGAGAAGTCAAGTCGTTCAAGATTACTCTCCATAACACTTCCTCATGCCCCGTGGACTTTGTCTTGTTTACTTTCCAAAATTCGACCACTCGGCAACTTCAATCGGCCCTCAAAAACAAAAATCTACTTCCAGTCGAAGTCTATGAGCTGGAGCTAAAGCTAGCCACCCAACCAGCCCTGCGATGGCGTCGTGAAGGTTTGAATTTCCAAGATTGCTCGATCCCAGCGAAGGAGAAGGCTTCTTTCACTATCGATGTATTTGGCAAGCCTGGTCTACAGGAAACGACAGTGCAAATCGATTACTCTTGTGTGGGCATCCAACGGGAAGAATTGCCGGAAGTATTTTACACCAGGCAATTGTTCGTTCCGCTGACGGTCACCGTGAACGCGAGCGTCGAAGTTGCTCGTTGTGATATCCTGCCATTCAGCGGTGACTTTGCATGGCTAAATCGTTTGAATTCCCCCTCGGCATCAGCATCTGACTTCCCTAGCTCTGTCCTGGAAAATGACCCTTTCTCTCAAGTTCTCTCCCGCTTGGGCACCGGAGCGTATGGATCAGATCACTGTGTCGTATTGCTGGATCTTCGCAATGCATGGCCAAGTCCCTTATCAGTATGGCTGCGTGCCAGTGAGAATTTCATATTGTCCACGGATACAGATGCAGATGGCCAATATTCCGTGGGTGGTGATCTTCAACCTGGTCAAGTATCTCGATTTATCCTCGTACTACCCCGTGTATACGTGAATAACCCGCATGCATCAATACCAGTGGTCAACACAGGTACTCGACGTCAATTTGTCGTCAGTGCCAACAAGCTTTCATTTGAAGCTGAAGCAGCTTCCCGAGAAGCCTTCTGGTTCCGAGAAGAGCTTCTCAAACGAATCCTCGGAGGCTGGAAGGAGACTACCACGGGTCGTGAGGGCTCAATTGACCTTCGCAATATCCGCTTGAATGCCCGAATGGTGGAAGCCATGCGCCTGGAAGACGTAGACGCCACATTCTCACTGACTTCTCCTGTCGCTTCATCTATCACACAAACGGGCCGCTCCCGCTTCTGTGCCAAAACAGATGACCTTTTGACTTTGACTGTCACTGTTCACAATCGTTGCTCACATTCGATTCATCCCCTGCTTCGCCTCCAGCCCAGTTTGTGTCATCAACCTCATAATGTTGCTCTAGATCTCACCCGTAGACTCGCATGGACCGGCATGCTACAGCAGGCCCTCCCGATCTTGCATGGTGGCGAGTCTGTTCAAACTTCCATCGGTGTGACAGTATTATGTCGTGGTGAATACGAGTTTGGTGCCAGCATTGAGGAAGCACGTCTCTTGCGACCTTTCGATGATGATTGCAGGGAAGAAAACGAAGATGGTGCCTCCCGTCCTTACGACGACGGCGTCCAGGATACATTTGGTGTGGATGTTATGAGACGACGACACATCTGGCATGCAAAGGACTCGTGTGTCATTCAAGCAAATGATTAAACAGATGGTTTGATCAATTTTATATGCCATTATTCTGCTAATCCTCTTCTTCTCTTACTATGTACATATATGATAGCTCCCATTGTCTGTTTTACTACGTCTATGGCTAATGTAGCGTGAATATGGTTCTTGTCTCAGGGTATCGGTGTGGTATATGATCTCTATAATTTCCCAAAAATAAACTTCAGTGGAAACACAGCTCTTTTGATGGATTTGTTCTAAACTTGACACTGCAAGTCGATCTCAAGACGAGAATAGAGCGCTAGTGATGGATGATAGGGCTTCTTATCCTCTTCATCTGAATCAATATATAACTTGTTAGTAAGTTCTTTCACTCGCAGGTTAGTGCCGTGAGAGTCAGTCTGCTCCGATTCTCCTCGTCGACTAATTTTTTCTTTTCGCCGTCGCTACCATGATGAACGGGCCGATTTCACCGCCAGAAAGTCTTATTTGACGCTCCAGATTCGAAGTGGAGCAAGCATCATCAAATCTGAAAGAATTGATATATCATGTTTGTTATAACCCAGGCATACGTTCAAAGCTGGGACAGACGCTGATGGACGGGACTGATTTGCAATCACAAAGGGCCGAATATCAATAAAGGTCGGTGGACTCTCTCATCCTTCATTATTGCCCCCATCGTTCCCTTCTGTCTGCGTAGATGATCTCTCCTGAGTGACCACAGCGGGTTGAGACTCTCCCAGTGGAAAACTGAGGTGTTTCCAGTCTTCGATCTCTTCAATAATGCATTTCAACCGATCACGAATACTCTCAACAGCATATGTACCGAGTATAAGACGTAGGGGTGGGTACGAGCAATGTCCCAGTTCCCAGACCAGATGCGCCGCCTTCACCGCAGACGCAGGCTGCTTGTCAGCCAGCCACATTAGCATTCGTCTGGCATGCGCTGCAGGCGAAGTCGATGTATTGTAAGGACAACTGGGTGGTTTCACTAGAAAATGACCGTATAGCGGGAGCGGCGAGGAAAGATTATGCTCGGATGGATTAGCGGCCATGAAGGACGGCGAGACCAAATCCCCTATATCATCACGGCGCATGTGACCCGGTTCGACAAGCGTGCCCTTGATATTGAAGCTGTCCACCTCATACAGCATGCTCTCCATAAGTCCCTCAACTGCGTACTTTGACGCACAGTATGGCCCAAGCCCCGGCACCCCAAGCGCGCCAGACGTTGAGCTGAAAATGAGATATCGCCCAGCGCGCCGCTCCCGGAAATGTGGCAAAGACAACTGTATCATATTCAAAGTACCAGTGAAGTTTGTCTCAAATTGATTTCGGATGTCAAACTCGTCTTGGTCTTCGCATGCCCCGATCACACCGTAACCAGAGCAGTTGGCGATTACGTCGATGCGCCCGAATCGCGCGATTGTGAGATCTATCACTCGTTTCACGGTTTCTCTAGCTCGTACATCACATAATAGACCCAGACAATTCTCATGCTCGTCTTCTAGTTCCTTCATGCATTCTGGGCTGTTTTCGTACGTCCGTCCTACCGCGGATACAAGGTCGTTGCGCGATAGGGCGGTTTTGACAAGTGAACGACCCATGTGGCCTGTCGCGCCAAAGATCTACCAATGAGTTTGAATCAGTGACAAGAAATTGGCTATAAGATCCGCTACGGAAGTCGAAAATCGGAAGTTGGAAGTTGCTGGGCTAAAGTGGAGGGGCAACCTACCAGCCATACAAGCGGTTTGGGTGGCTTCTGTGGACCTGGAGGGTCAGTCGTTGAAGGAAGATGCAGTCGAGGTTCACGAGAGGCAATGGGAGAAGTAGGTCCTCCCTTTGGAGGGGAATATTGCTCCATAGCTACCTAGGTAGGTGAAGAGAGGAAAACCAACTTCGCATTTTCCGGGGTGAGACCCACTATTCGTTCAATATAACTACTCAATAAGCTAAATACCAAGTATTTAAATATTTCCACACTACGTGGTTCAAGGTACATGCTTCAATTACATACTTCAACTTGAAATAATTATAGCTGCATTTTGAAAATGCCTATTATCGTCCAACCTCCTGTCGCAGCCGTCCCGCAGCTGTCGAGGACCCCGTTTCTGGCCAACTGCCGATAGCGTCGTCGACTTCTTCCAAAAAGGTCGTACTGTTGTGCATGCTAGTGCTACCAAGAACAACACGCACACCTGGTGAGCTAGCATTAACCTGAGCCACCATCTTGGCTTCCTCGTAAGTAGCTCCCCCAACCATGAAGATGACAATATCCTGCGGCTTGTCTCGCGTGTGTCCACTTCCTTCAAGGAATGGATACTGCAGCTCCTTCAGACGGCCTTTAATTAAATTCTGTAATGTCACTTCTAGCCGTGGCGAATGTTGGGTATAGACGTTTTCGACACCCTTAAGGCCTTTGAAGCGATCTCTTGCGCCGGAGAAGAATGAAGTTGATTCAAACAAATCGCTGAATCCACCAGCAACTGGCGGAGCTTGGAGCGAATTATGATAGGTAAGAAGTTTAGAGATGCTATTCACTTGATTGGAGGGGACGTTGCCTGCCGTCACAAGGAGGTCAAGGAGGATGGGCAGAGCGTTGTTGGGCTGTTTCTCGTAACGCAGCGCATAGAGAGCCACCAAGCGAATCTTGTTTTCGGCAGGGACATTTTCAAGTGCAATGATGCGTTGCAAAGACTATAATACAATTAGAAAGAAAAAGAGAAAAGGGGCCAACGGGCCAATGCTATATATCAAACGTACCTTAAGGTCACTGGCGTGATTTTCATTGCAAGCCAGACTTTGCTCTAACTCACTCACATCGAGAAGCGTCTCTTCTCCAACCCGACGGCTCAGCTCTCCCACCAATGTGACATGCTTACTCACATTACCTGCCAGCTTGCGAAATTCCGGGTAATCTTCCACAAAGCGCTTCATATCGGCGATAGATTCGATGTTCATGTTGTTTTGTGTCTTGGCCTGATATTGCTCTACATACTCCTTGATGTTCTGGCCCAGGTCACCAAAATTCTGGTACATGTTCTTCTTAAAAAAAGGGTCTTGATCCTGAGATAGGACAATCTCTTGAAGCTCCGGCTGGATCTCAGGTACATCTCGTAGATCCACCCGCCCATTCTTTATCCCAAGTAATTCGTGCACCATTGCTTGGTATGTCCACTGCGTTAGCAATGGAGTTATGGGATCATCGCGGCGGTCCAGGATTAGTAGGATAGGAGGGGTATCCGTCCGGTGGAAATTGAACAGCTGCTCCTCTTGCGTGATATGGTAGCGGACTTCTGTCGCAAGTTTGCGAGCCATAAAGCTGTTCTTTTCGTAGCGGATCAATGGGTTTTTCTTCAAGGCTAGTAGCAGTGCTAGGGTACCCTCTGTAGCTCGTTGAAGCGAGTCTGGGTTCCACAGATCGGGGGAGTGACTCCATAGCCGATGCAAAGGAAATCCCAGATTCAAAGAGCATAGATCAGGATTGATAACCAGAAAGTCTGCAAATTGCTCTTGTATACACTGGACGACCTCGTGGCTATCTGCCTCAGCCAACCGCTCAAGGGATGACTTGCGGATGATGTTACTCAAATAAATATGATATTCGCCGTACTTCGGTTCTCGTAGCTCATCGATGAGAAGCTGAATGGAGCTCGGGGATGGGCGCACAAAACACAGGCATCGAAGATGTCTCATCTTCTCCCGTGCGGAGTTGTCCAGTCGGTCGATCAGGTAGACCTCATGATTGAGGAGAGCGGATTGAGTGATAGCAGTTGAGACAATCGGTACCTATACAGATCGAAAGTTAGCCTATTAATTCCAAGAAATTAAGGGCAAGTGCAAATACCCACTGTCTCACTATCCAAGAGCAAGATCTTCATCTTGGTCGACGAAGATCCCGAGGCCGACTCGCCGGCCGTCACCATCTTGGAGATGTAGCCCGAGACGGCCGCGACGACGTCCATATTGAAGAGAATGGGCGCCCAGGCGCGGGTGAACAGAGTTAAAAGAGAGAGAAAAAAAAAGGGGGAGAAAAAAAAAAAAAAAGTAATTCAGGTTCTGAATGGGTAGAATTGAGATCTGAATTCAGGTCGTGGGGAAAGTGGAGTGAGGGAAGTTGTTGAATGTTGAGGTTCGGCTTCTTCCCACATGACATTTCTATTTCCTCCCGTTGATCTCGACCTTCCTCTTCCTTTCTTATTCCTTCTTCTTATTCTTTCTTCTCCTTTCAGTCTGTATATACCTAGGTATATATACTTATCTGATGCAGGCTTGCGTTTAAAGCTTTCGTCTTCCAACTTTGGTCACCATGTTGCCCTACGTAGACCTGTGTTTGTATCCCCTCATAGAGCTTACAGATCTCGAACTGACTCCCCCGCAGTGTTTGATTACCCTGCTCGGCTTACAGGCGCGTCAGTGGATGAACGTATGTGGATCTATCTTATTTTTACAAACTGACTGAGATTCTAATTTGTTCTTTCTTTCTAGTCAAACTGATCGCTTCATTCCTTCTATCCTATCCTCTGGCAGCTTTACTGAAACGGATCCCCGACGCTCAACCCTGGAAAAAAAATGCATTCATCATTGGAGCTTCTCTTTTCTACATGATAGGTCTTTTTGACCTGTGGGATGGTCTTCGCACTCTTCTATATAGTGCATTTGGCACTTATGCCATTGTATACTATGTGGACGGGTCCTTGATGCCCTGGTTCGGCTTCGTCTTCCTCATGGGCCACATGTCGGTGAGCCACATATACCGTCAGATCGAGAATGACCCACAGGCAGTCGATGTTACTGGTGCCCAGATGGTACTGGTCATGAAACTTTCCTCCTTCTGTTGGAACATTCATGACGGCCGCCTGCCCCAGGATCAGCTGTCTGATGCACAGAAGTACTCTGCCATCACCGAGTTCCCCAGCATCTTCAACTACCTTGGCTACGTCTTCTTCTTCCCATCTCTCTTTGCCGGTCCTTCTTTTGAATATGTCGACTACCGCCGGTGGCTTGATACAACTCTATTCGAAATTCCTCCAGGCACCGATCCATCCAAGGTTCCCCCTACACGCAAGAAGCGCAAGATTCCTCGCAGCGGTACTCCAGCTGTCAAGAAACTCGTGATAGGACTAGTCTGGATCTTTGTCTTCCTTCAATTGGGCTCATTATTCACTCGAGAGGTTGTGCTTTCTGACGCCTTCCTGGAATTTGGGTTCCCGCGCCGCGTTTGGACTGTGTACATGCTCGGGTTTGCCAATCGTTTCAAATACTATGGTGTGTGGTCTCTAACAGAGGGCGCCTGTATTTTGTCTGGCATGGGTTACAATGGGTTTGACGAGAAGTCGGGCAAGGTCTTCTGGAACCGCTTGGAGAATGTTGATCCCTGGGGATTGGAAACGGCTCAAAACTCGCATGGCTACCTGAACAGCTGGAATAAAAATACCAACCACTGGCTGCGGAACTATATTTACCTCCGTGTCACTCCGAAGGGCAAAAAGCCCGGCTTTCGCGCGAGTATGGCTACGTTTGCGACAAGTGCCCTCTGGCACGGCTTCTATCCTGGTTACTACCTGACTTTTGTACTAGGATCGTTCATTCAGACTGCAGCAAAAAGTACGTCTTTTCTTTATCTGAGATATCATATGTCACAGCTCGACTAACTAACCAAATAGACTTCCGACGTTACGTCCGCCCCTTCTTTCTCACTCCGGATGGTAGCCGCCCCACACCGTACAAGCCATACTACGACATTGCTAGTTGGCTGGCAACCCAGCTAACCCTGGGTTTCGCTGTCATCCCATTCCTAATCCTCACATTCGACAACTCAATAACCGTGTGGAGCCGTGTGTACTTCTACGGTATCATTTCCGTCCTCGGCTCATTGGTTGTGTTCGCGTCTCCAGTGAAAGCCCATCTAGTAGCTCGCCTGAAACGCCGTAACAGACCCCATGCGCCACGTACGATGAGCCAGGAAACAGTACGACCACCTTCTCTTGGTCTACCCAATGATCCAGAACGTGACTTTGACGAGGCCGTTCAGGAAATTAAGGGAGAGATTGAGTCACGGCGGCGAAGCGGTAGTATTGTGACCATGCCCACTGGCAAGGAATTGAAGACCGCAGTTGAGCAGAAGATAGGTCGAAAACTCTAACTCTTAGATTCACTCTCAAAGGGTTTGTACAAAGAGATGAAGACGGGTCTCAAAATTTTATGAGTGCTGGTGCAAGAGGAGCTCTTGCTATAATTAATTACGTGGGTTGGTGGTTGTTATGAAATTGTACTTTCCAAGTTTCGGGCGTCGATTATTTCAGTTTGGTGGATTTAGAAGCTTATTCTAGATAGACTAGCTATTACATAAGGCCAGGCAATAGAGCTAAAGTCCTGAAATGGCTCATTATCATTATTTGATATATTCTTCTAAAATACCTAGGTTAAAGACCGAAGTAGTATGTGCTTGAAATTCACATATTGAATTAAGAAGCAATGAGATGTGATAGACTGGAGTAAACATGAGACGAAACTCCACTTATGAGAAAATGAATAGACTATTCAGATAGGATATAAAACTGCCTTAGAAGCATGGATCAGTTAAGGGAGGAGACAATATTCCATTATCGTTCGTGAGATTTTGAAGTGTAACATGATAGATACATAAAATGTAGCGGAATATTATATGTCGGGCATACCAGTCGTATATTCATATTCAGAAGATGTGCAAGGAAAAAACCGAATAAACATGGTTGAGGAATTCTTCTCGAACCGGGAATAGAGAGTCGCAAAGATGAAGCAGAACAGACATTAATGAAAATGATAAAGGACATGGATTCCCAAAGCAAAAAAAAAAAAAAAAAAAAAAAAGAATATCAATGCATGGTTCGTGAGAGTCATTTCATAGATCAAGTCAAGAAGAAACGTTAGAAGCCGGACGTGGAACTGATAACAGCAAGAGTAACCTAGGAACATGTCAGATGTTGGTCACCTTTCTCTTTCTGAGTGCTCAAGTACTCACAGTAACGACGATTATTACAATCCCAAGCGAGATCATCCAGCGATTAAGATTCCGCCACCAACGAGCATTTCTATATCGCCGCTGGTGCAAGTTAAACAACTGCGATTGAAGTGCAATTTCAATGTCATTGCCCCCTTCCATCATTTCCATCTTTTGTGGCTGAAGAGGTAGAGGCAGAAAAGCAGCAATCATCCAAGCTATTGAGATATCAGTAAGTGGCACGATAAAGAAAAAGATAAAAGAGTCAAGAAAACATACCAAGTGGAAAAATGAAGCCCAGGCAGAAGGAATAAACCTGGACATTCCTTCGCCCAAAAATAGGTTCTGTCGTTGAATCAAACGAAGGAGTTGTCCATGTACTGATCGATTGCTTCATTCTCCGTCTATCGGTATACAGATGTGGGGACCAACTATGTCGTAGTCGACGCATAGGTGATCCGACCAAAATACTGTCAGACTCAGGATCTTCCACCCAGTGAGCGCGCGGGTCTCGAGGGTCACTATCGATACGTCGCTGGATGAGGCGAACTCGTTCTGGAGTTCGAGGTATTTGTATGATAAGTGAACTTTTAGTTGATTGATGACGTTCTGGTAAGCGGGTTCGATTGATATTGAGCGGCGTCGGCATCATGTTGAACACATTTGAGTTACTCGTTCCTGATCGGGCAGTAGATGGCCGGCTTTCAATCCATGACATGGCTGAGTTGATACCCTTTGCATTGCCGCAGTAGTAGATTTTCGCCCATGTAGGTAGAATTTGTAAAACGTTGCTGGATGCGGTGCTGGGACGTCGTGTGCTGTTGCCGTGGAAGCTGTTGCTGTTACTTCGCTTTGAGCTGGACGACAGGCTGTTGGAGGACTTGTGGCTAATGGGAAGACCAGGTAGGCTGTCTCGATATTCATCGTCATCCCAGTCCTGAACTATCCAGAGAGAGGATTTACTTGCATCTGAATTTGCATCTGAATTTGCAACCGCCGCTGGTGGGAGAGTATGTTGTGACATGCTGGATTCAGAGTATAAGACGGATGACACGGTTGATAAGTGAGGATTCCAACGACCAGATACTGGGCCTGGAGTGAAGTCGCGCTCCGAAGAGATTGACGAATGGACACCGGAGTTGGACGAAAAATTGCGCACTCGGGGATATGCTATCGGTATCACGTTCTCCGTAGAAGATAAAGAATCTGACCCTGAGCGGGAACTAGGTGTGGAAGACGTTGCCGAGTGTGATCTGTCTGCGGAATGATACCTGGACACGGAACGAGGAGATGTCCCCGAAGGTTGCGAGCCAGATTGGATAGATGGTGAGCCAGAACTGACTGATGAGCTAGCCGTATAGATCCAAGGAATAGCTCCAGAATATCTCACCACGGTGCTGTGAGAATTATCTGAAGAGAGCGAGTTGGTCCGTAGATCTGCAAAAGAGACCATACTGGAATTGTCCAAAGTCACAAAGTTAGGACTGGATGGAAGCCCGATGGGTGACACATTTGGGCTAGAATCACCAATCGTTGACTCCTCTTCTGTCTCGGACTTGGGGGATACGGGTTCGGATATGACCGCTTTGATGGTTGGCGTGGCTGTTGGCAGCACAACGATGTCCTCGTCCGAGTATTCCGGCTCAGAACTATAATTAACCCCTTTACCAGATGAAACCTCTTGCAGTGAGGAATTGCTGGAGTTGGGATCCTCATCCCACATATGCGGTGGGGAATTTCTTGTGTCAGCAGTTGAGGAAACATCCCAGAGATCCCCTACCGACTGTTCTCGTACACTGCTACTACACTCATGGCTAAGGGCAGGTGATGGCCATAGAGTGGAAGATGAACGCGGAGTATCTGAATATGAGAAGCCAACGTCTGATATAATCTGACGCTGTCCATGACCCAGATTGGGCAACAGTATCTGTTCCGGTTTAGTTGGAAATGGTGTAGAGTTATAAATGTCGATATCTTCCTTTTCCTGGTTCATATGTAGTGAACGAGAGATGGATCCTTCATTGTTGTGACCAGATGATCGTTCTTCCAAAGCCCTTCTCGTCCGAGGTGAGGTCGATTGATTTGAAGTCATACTGTCGAACCAAAATTACAAGCATAATCCAAATAATCCCCGAGCAATGGCCGAAATAATTAAAGAGGGTATATGAGTTGTGAGGCAACAAACAGCTGATTCCAAGGCAGTTTGTAGTTTGTTTTGGTTTTTTCTGTATTGGGCTTGATGTAAGGAATGTATCTTTGCCCTAAGGGGGAAAAGAAAGCAGTTGAATGACAACGTCGAAATATCCAGAATGTTGAATATTAAGGTCAAAGAATAGGATTTGCCAACCGCAATAGTTAAAAGGCCTAAAAAAGAGTGTAAAAACGAGTGGAGTAAAAAAGAGGGACGGTCGTTTCAGAATCACGGATCGTTAGAAAAAGAGGGAACGGCGTCTAAGGCATTTTAAAAGACCAAGAATGAGAAGGAGAAAAAAGGTGAGACAAGTCAAGGGGGAAAGAATTTAAGAAAATGAATGGACAGCGGTGTAAGATAAATAGCTCTAAGTCTAGATTGTCTAGACAGGGATTAATATGCAGGTCTCTTAACCTTGGAGCTATTACTCTGCAGTACCAGGTAGTATATCGTAGTTTCCACTCCAATTTACTTCTTACATTCTAGAAACCATCTAGAAGTCGGTTCGGTAGGATATCTTGGCTAAACTTGTTTCTGACAAGGCTACGAGCCGTTCTTCATCATGGAAGGATTAAAGAAGGTTGTGGTCTCAGTAGAGGCTGGAATACTCCATATGTATTACGGGGCACTATGATCCAATTGTGGAGTCGATGTGTTGTTCCCCTGTTTGGCGCCCAATCTAACTTAACTACGTATCCTACTTCTATTTTAATTATTCCGCTATGTAATAAGCATGGAGTTAACTAGTTATTGATATTCAGATGTAATCTCCCACCTGCTATTTCAGCTCGTGTCGGAGAATTAGTATACCTCGCTTTGACTCAGTTTAATATGATGATAAACGCAGTCGATTGGTTATATATGCAAGGGAAAAAGGGGAAAGACCACGAGTTCGATCATTACGTAGACTCGATGTTTTCTTTCTGGATATCTATTTATCAGACTCCACTTCATCACTTGAATTTTAGATCTGGAGCTAATGAATCACCAAAAACTTGCCAATTTTAGTTACTTATTTGAGTTTAATGTTTGTTGATTTTTTTGGTGACACTGTAATTACTGTATTTAACCGCTCAGTCCTTGACCAGTCCCGTATAAAAACTATAATACCGCGTCACCATTTGTTACAGCCCTAATCAACTACACATACTAGGGTATAATTTAGCTACTTCGATAGAGTAAGATCTAGTGTGATTTAAGGTTGCTATATGCATGAATTAAGCACCTAGGTAATTGAGCATCAATGGAGTTGAATCTATGTTTATGTCTAGGTGGGTATATATACGTCCAGGTTACCTACCAAATATGTTTAAACCACATTTAGAACCGAAAATCTGCAAAGTTGTACATGCTTGGTGTGGATGTGAATTTTTGGAACTTAATGATAGCTAGGTACACTTATGTCAAGTATCTAATCAATACAAAGTAACTCAAACCTCAGTATAGTCACCAAGGACATCATCCATGGGTTAGAATATCAACAGTCATTCTTTATCCTATTTAGGAAATATTGATGCCTGATTTAGCCTGATTATATCAAGATTTGAGTAAAATCTAGGTGGAATCTTTGCAATGACTGAAAATGGTGCCCAGGTAGCACTTTTTCCAACTCTAGTTACTTTATTTACTATTTTCATATGCCGAGGTAGCAATACTAACGCCAGTTCAATATTTTACTTCGAAGTGACATGGTAGATCCGGTCTATCTCGCTTATCCAGATTATTTCCTTCAAAGAGTGGGCCTATGCCATTATCCCCACAAAACATCGGGACGTCGGGGGACGATGGATCTGGTTTCCATCATCTACTCTGTACATCATCCCGAGATTAACACCAACATGGAGTACATCTCTCATTCGCAACCTCGGAAGATTGAAACCTGACCAATTTCATTCTATCCAAATCCAATAGACTGTGAAATATATCTGATGCAATAACCCTTGTTGTAATTGAGCAGATCTGAAGCCCTTACTGCAGATTACTGTTCCCTCAAAGATTGTCTTGCCAAGTCCCAGCCTCCCTACTTCTGGTGACGGATACAGAGGAAACCTGCCATTTTACTCTGTATTTTCTCAATGATAAAATGAATAAGAGATGAATAGCTTATTGTAAAAAGCTATCAAATGTAATATACACAGAATGGAGATATGCGAGTTAGAGGATATATGAGAAAGCGGAGGTCAGAATACAACATTCACAAGCCTACCTCCCTTAACAACAATGACACGCCGTCTCTTATTCCAGTCGTTTTTCTCCCGAAGCCACATCTTTCCTTCTGCCGTCCCCAAAACATGGCCAATCACCCATTCCTGCTCTTCCCGTGTTGGAGCCGGGGCCGTGCTCTCGGCCGTGGAGAATCGTGGGATGGTCACCGAGCATCGCAATTTGCCATTAATTTGAACAGCGACGGTTTGGCCACCGCGGGAAGATAGGACTTCGGCTTGCCCCGGTGTAAGAAGGGGGGTAGGCCACGTGGAGACTAAAATGGATGATATTGCCGAAGATGATTGTTTTGTAAATGGCTCATGCAAGATCTCCCAAGACTCCGATGCCAATGCTGGTGCAATCGGGGATAGGAGACGGAGGAGACTCGAGATAGAGAGATAGAGGGCTAGAGGGGAGGAAGGAGGCGTTGATGATAGGGCGTTTGTTAGTTTAATTAGATCGGAGATTACCGTATTGAGCCCGTAAGGGTTGCTCTCGATACAGGCTGTCACAGACAATATCGTGTTATGAGTAGCTAGAATAGCTTCTGCATCGGAATCGCTCAGATCATCAAGTGATGGAGGAAGAGGGAAAGCTTGGACCATTGCAGTATCAATATCGGCAGGGGAGGCAACCAAGGAGGACTTGGCCAGTGTTTGCCGAGTATCAATTACAAGCTTCCATAACCTGCCAAACCACCGCTCCACACCCACAATTTTGGTTTCGTCCCACTCGAGCACTTCACTGACAGGTGCGGAGAAGAGCACGTGTGCGCGAGTGGCATCGGCGCCATATTTAGAGGCACATACAGTCGGGTCAACGCCATTGTGTTTGCTCTTTGACATTTTTTCAAATGACACATTGGGTGTGATTTCGGTGCCCTTGATCAAGGGCTTCTCACGATCTGTGAGATCGACTTCGTCGGGGTGCAAGAAGCGCCCAGTGGATGGCTCTAGGAATGTTTTTCCATGGACCATACCCTGAGAAAGTAGAGTCTTGAAGGGCTCAGCTGGACCTTTTGTACCAGCTGGGAATAGGTCCGACTGAGCGAGAAACTTGTAGATAAACCGAGCGTACAGTAAATGCAGAATAGCGTGCTCCACACCGCCACTATAAAAGTCTACAGGTTGCGCAACGGAAGGTGAGAATGGGGCATCCTTGTTTGCAGAGTCCAGGAAACGCAGAAAATACCAAGACGAATCCACGAAAGTATCCATTGTATCAGTGTCACGTTTCGCTGGTCCCCCACAGCTTGGGCAACTCGTATGAAGCCACTCTTCAGATGACTCAAGGGGATTGCCCTTTTTACCCTTGAGCCAGTCGCCTTGGATCTTGGGTAGCCTGACAGGCAAATCCTCCTTTGGCACAGGGACAGGGCCACAGTCAGCACAATGGATGATGGGGATAGGCGTACCCCAGTATCGCTGACGACTGATCAGCCAATCTCGAAGGCGCCATCTTTCAACAAAGTCGGCTTGCCCCAAGTTCTTCAGATCAGTGACTATTTGCTTTGCAGCCTCTTTTGAGTGTAAATTCTGATATTTCCCGCATCGAGAGGTAAGAAACCCATACTGAGTAAATGCCTTGGCATGTTCGATAGGAACAATAGTGTCTATCTCACTTTCACCGTCTTTTGCTGGCTCTGCTTGTATAACGATGGGAATAGATTCAGGGTTTCCATTCTCCTTGAAAAATGCCATGTCTCGGTTGTCGTGACCGGGGACACCCATCACTGCACCTTCACCATACTCGCTCAACACATACGGTGCCGCAAAAATGGGGAGCTGTCGCTGTATGTGAGGGCTTGCTTGATCAATCTTCTGTAGCGGATGGGATGCCGTGACTCCGGCGAGGCGGTAGCCAGCCTTAGAGTCTGGAGGGAGGGAGGACGCCTCATCTAGGAACGAGCGAAGCAATGAGTCTGTTTCTGCAGCTTTCAAGACAGCGGGGTGATTGAGAGAGAGAGCGAGATATTCAACGCCATACAAAGTGTCAGGACGTGTCGTGAATACGTTTATATTGACCTCATCTGTTTCTTGCCCACTGATGATCATTGGAAATGTAATTTTGGCTCCCTGGGACTTTCCAAGCCAATTCCTCTGCATTGATAAAACACGTTCGGGCCAGCCGCCAGAAAGCGAGTCCAAGTCCTTCAGTAGCGTCTCCTTGAAGTCTGTGATCCGAAAGAACCACTGCTTCAAATTCAACTTTTCAACTTTGGCCCCGGAACGCCATGAGCATCCGTTGGCATCAACCTAGGACATGTTTAGGGTTGCGGTCAATTTGTATATATAATCTCACCTACCTGTTCGTTTGCTAGCACAGTCTTATCAACAGGGTCGTAATTGACTAGTGCTTCAGCCTGATAAGCTAGTCCTTTCTCATAGAGCATCAGAAATATTCGTTGTGTATGTTCATAGAACTCCGGTGAACATGTGGCCAGTTCCTAGACAAAATGTCTTGTCAGTCCTAAATGCCCATCAAATTTCCAAAATAGCATTGAGACAGATTGCATACACGATCCCAGTCGAACATTGTAGATATACGCCGCAACTGCTCCTTCATCTTAGCAATATTTTGCTGTGTCCACTCCGCGGGGTCCACGCCACGCTCGATCGCCGCATTTTCCGCTGGCAGCCCGAACGCATCCCAACCCATTGGGTGCAGAACATCATATCCGCGCATTCTATAAAACCGTGACAAGACATCTGATATAGTAAATATACGTAGATGGCCCATGTGCAACGTGCCAGATGGATATGGAAACATCGATAGGATAAAAAATTTCGGTTTCGGGTCAGAGCCCTCTGAAGTGATAGGGATTAGCGACGCCGGATCGGATTGCCATTTTGCTTGCCACTTTTTGTCAAGTGCAGGAAGGTCGAGCTTTCGGTTTATTGCTGTTGAGGACAGGCGCGTGAAGGCATTGGAGGAATTGGAGGAGAGGGCGAATGGACGCAGGTTAGGGCGTGCGCAAAGTCGCGCTTGTGCCACTATGGGCGTCAATCGAATACGGGAGAGGATTTGCATGATGGCTACTAGCTCAAGTCATATCGAACGGTATTGATGAGTTGAGTCGTAGTGACCAAACCTGACTGCCGAGAATCGAAATTGTTCGCTCATCAAAACTTCCCCGGAGGTCGGATAGCTTCAGACCAAATTTGGACTAGTGCATGCAGTATAGAATCAAGAATCGCCCACTTTTTTTTTTTTTTAATAATGCTAGTACTACTATATTAATAAATGCTGAGTTAACGAGCTCTATTTTGAAATTCAATATTACTCAGCTAATAAAACTTTGCACCTCAAAAAATAAATCAGATATTCACTTATTTGTATGTACCTTGATGCGAACATCTATTTTCATCAACTGTTTCAGTTTGTCCAACCTCTTAGAGAAGAGATTTATTATCAAGTCTACATCCTCAAGATATTGCCATCGCGATCAATCCCTCCACGAAAATGATCAGCAACAACATTTCCTTTGAACAACGTTTCTTGCACGATATCATGGACATGCCTCGGCTCTATACGACCATACCAGATTCCCATGCCTGCTAGCGGATGAGAAACCCTCGAATATCGCAGAGTCATCTTCGGCGGAATGTACACAATGACATTACCGGCATATTTATGTCCACCAACATGACTAATACGGCCAATATTAGCATGATCAGGTCCATCGATGATAGCATTATCGCTGCTGGCCGATCGGAATCCTTGCGATAAAAGAACACGCTGGAACTCCTTTTCAAGCACGGGCGCCATTACTCCGCAGCGCATGTCGCGACCTCCATGACCACATATCAAGACGGTGGGAGATTGTTCAATATCTATGACACCGGAGAATTTGGAAGCGAGGTCAGGGGCGCGAGTCATTTCTGCCCGCTTATCATCGGGTAGTGAAGAGTGCAAATCATGCAAATGCTTGGGAAGGAGGTAGGCGCGGACGAAAGTCTTCAAGTCGATGGTATCTGTATGGGATGCTATTTCTGTCGGGATAGAGGGAATATATTTGAAGCTAGGAAAGAGGAATGCCGAAGCGGATGACGAGCTGCTTGTTGTCATGGGGGCGATGGAGGAATTTGTGACGAGGATATTGTTGAAAGGCTAAGGACCACGAACCAGGTCAGTTGTTTATTTTTCAGAGATGAGTTACGCGAAGTGGCGCGAACATCAAGATATGCACCACCACGCCCAAGGAGGCTCTTGAGCCCTCTCACCAAATTTCCCCACCCTTGGCCTTCTCCGTCATCTTCAATACGACTTGTCCAGTCTTTTTGGCCTGTGCAAATCAGAAGCTGTTGTGCATATGCGGCCATCGTCCCGTTTAATGCCTGTTCATGATCTATGGGTAACCCTTCCGGCATAGCTGGCGTCGGACAATCGCAAGTGGGATCTGGGCACGATTTGATCACTGGAAATGGGGGAGGTATTTCTAGACGCGCGCGAAGTCTACCGGGACAGTGGGAGGTGCTGGAAAGAGGCCGACTGAAGTTGAAGCCTTGGCCTCGCCTACCACGCACAAGCAATTGCGCAAAGGTTATCGGTTGACGTTTCATCGGATGGCAGGTATTAAAGATTGCAGAGTGCATCTACTAGAGTACAGTGTGGGGTTAGATGAGGAAAGACATGAACAACAATAATTTCTTATATCCGAGCAACTCGGGAACGGAGATAAGCGGAATTATCGAACACTTTTTGCCTCCGAGTCAATTGGCGATATATCGTTATTATCATGATAATAAATATGCGAGGTTACGAGGTAAATTAGATGTAATTCTCGCTATTTTAGATTGTCGCTCGATTATTGAAAGAAAACGCATCAGGGTCGTATTGGAGCTGAGAAATAATGATGTTGCAACTCGAAGACAGCGCGTAGCTGGCGTGTTATGATCAACAAGTACGTGTTTTCCATGGAACGTTGTAGCCCAGTATAACATAGCCAGCAAGTCAATGGCATGGCTTATGTGTGCTTCTTAATCTCGACGCGGGCTTGTTTCGCCTGAATTCGTGTCGTCAATTTTTAAGAAGTCTTTTTATCAAGTTTCTCATACCTACCGGTCGTGGTACTCTTTATTCATTCAAGCCCGTGATAGTCCAATTCATGTTGCCAGTGTATTACTTCGAGCTGTTCAATGGCACAGTAGCCTAAGGTGCCACGGAAAGGCATTCACGACAATCCTGGACAAGAGGATAAATCTGCTGAATCGGGTCCTGATTGCCGAATAGAGGGCCATGACGCTTGTGTAACAAGAAAATGCGTCAATGCGTCAATGCGTGAATGGGTGAATGCGTGAATCTCCAAATGCCTCCTCACTAGCAGGAGAGGCGCGGGTCTGTTGGAGTTGGAGAAATCGGCTGAAGTTCGGCGAGACGGACATATCTCGGGTTGAAGTACGTCAATCAAATTGGAGCAGGATACATCAGCATATTTATTATTTCTGAAAAGTATTCAGTCAATTAGCTAGCATCTCTGACATTATTGGCGTAAAGATATGTTCCCCTCATTATGTCAGCCTTACCCCGCTGCGGGGAGATAAGCATTAGTGGAGTCTTCTAGATATGGGATAATAGGGATATGGTCTGATGTAACCAGTCCTAATACTAAGTAAAGTACTCATTAATTAGCTCGGACTGCTATTCCGAGCTAATATTATACCCATACAAGTCAGCTACAGCCTATCGTTTCAGTAGTATTCTGCAGGTTGTCTTGACAGTCAAATATAGCTTCCCCGCACCGATCTAATCACTAACACCGCATTATTTCTTCATGCCTACATGTTAGTAGATATTGGATGAGAATTGACTTTGTAATATAATACTTAGGTAACTAGGTAGCACTCTGCCTGTTAGGAGATAGTAAAATATCGAGTAAAACCACAAAGTACCCCTCATGCGGAGATACGCGGAAGCTCCTGGGTCCGGCCTGATCCCCATTCCGTCTACTACTCTAAGTATGAGGGGCACAGCATACTTGTCCAACGCCTTGTTTGTGTATGGAGAAGAGGGGCTCATCGGCTATCTCCAGAACTATATAATACTGTGCGTCAAGTCCGGATATTACTATTTTCTACCATCAACTTCACATTTCAAGAACAAAAAGGTATTACACCATTTCCTCTCTATTCAAGGGTCCAAAAGTCCAGGTCCTAGAATTAGCCCTGCATATTCCCCACTTTCAACGTTCTTCCCCCCACTGGGTGGCATGAGGGCATTCTCCAATATTGGATCTAACTTGCACGGATTCTGGATCTATATAAAACATGCTGACTCTCTCCTGCAGTTCTTCCACACTCTCAGATCTCTTACATTAAAAGTCATTTCAAAATGGTATTTATTCGCTCTCTTTCCCGTCAATTGAGACGACCTGCTACTCAATACTTCGCCAATGCTTTCGCGCGGGCTCCTTTCAATGCACGTACGCTAACCGCAACTGCCAATCTTCAGGGCAAGGTTCTTCTAGTTCTCTACGACGTAAGTACTTATTGATTCTGTTCATTGAGAAAGGCAAATCGACTAACCCTCATAACTAGGGTGGTGAGCACTCCAAGCAGCAGCCCCGTCTGCTGGGTACCACTGAGAATGAGCTCGGTATTCGCAAGTGGCTCGAAGACCAGGGTCACACCCTGGTGACCACCTCTGACAAGGATGGTGAAAGTTCCACCTTTGATAAGGAGCTGGTTGACGCCGAGGTCATCATCACTACTCCTTTCCACCCCGGTTACCTGACCGCCGAGCGTCTTGCTAGGGCCAAGAAGCTCAAGCTTGCTGTCACTGCCGGTATCGGTTCTGACCACGTCGACCTGAATGTTGCCAACAAGACCAACGGCGGTATCACCGTCGCAGAGGTCACTGGTAGTAACGTCGTCTCTGTTGCTGAGCACGTCATCATGACCATCCTTTTGTTGGTTCGCAACTTTGTCCCCGCCCATGACCAGATCCGCAACGGTGACTGGAACGTTGCTGCTGTCGCCAAGAACGAGTTCGACCTCGAGGGTAAGGTTGTCGGTACCGTTGCTGTCGGCCGTATCGGTGAGCGTGTTCTGCGCCGCCTGAAGCCCTTCGACTGCAAGGAGCTGCTCTACTACGACTACCAGCCCCTGAGCCCCGAGGTTGAGCAGGAGATTGGCTGCCGTCGCGTTGACAAACTCGAGGACATGCTCGCTCAGTGCGACGTTGTCACTATCAACTGCCCCCTGCACGAGAGCACTCGCGGTCTGTTCAACAAGGAGCTCATCTCCAAGATGAAGCCCGGTGCTTGGCTCGTCAACACTGCTCGTGGTGCTATCGTTGTCAAGGAAGATGTTGCCGAGGCTCTCAAGTCTGGTCACCTCCGTGGATACGGTGGTGACGTCTGGTTCCCCCAACCTGCTCCCAAGGACCACCCTCTCCGCTATGCCGAGCACCCCTGGGGTGGCGGTAACGCCATGGTTCCTCACATATCTGGTACCTCCATCGACGCCCAGATCCGCTACGCTGAGGGTACCAAGAACATTCTGGACAGCTACTTCTCTGGCCGTGAGGACTACCGTCCTCAGGACCTGATCGTCCACAAGGGTGACTACATTACCAAGGCATACGGCCAGCGCAAGTAGGCTTGCTTGAAGTTTGGGTTGTTTCATGGGACATGTTGAATGTCTCCCCAGCGTTTGGTCTCCTTATTTCTCCTTGTCTATATTTATCGACCTTACCTTCAGGTAGGGAGCCATGTTGAAAACTAGCATATACGATACCAATGAAATGATAACTTTATACTTTCAATCTCTCTCTAGCGCATTCCCTAGACAGAACGGTAGCATTCTGAGCATTCTGAACATTTCTGAAGTGGGGCTAATCCGTCGATCTTATATATAGTACAACCGGTGAAACTTGCAATCCTTCAGTATGCGTATTGAGAAATTGTTTTCTATTTTTCCGCATCTCATGTCGACTGAGTTGGTCGACCAAAGAACCGTAGACAGCCAAGGAAAGTTCATACGATGTTGGCTGACATGTAGAAAGAATGTGCTAAAACCCTAATGTTTAAAATGAAGTTCCGCTGATATCAAAAACGCCATCCATGGCAAGAGTGATTAATTTAGGTCATTTGACTTCAAGTGTTCCGCTCTTGTGTATGTTCACTTTCTTCATCACTATCGTCCATGAACCCTTCTGCCAATTCTCGACTCATGCGACTTTCTGACTCGTCAATTGTACTGCGGCGTCGCTCAAGGGCTGCTCTCCGAGTTGGATCCATGTTCATTCCCATCAGAATCTCTCCTTCCTCCTCATCAATGCTGATATTGTCGTGATCCGACATGTTAGCCCCGCGCCGCCATGACCTTGGTAGAAAGAACCGCATCAAGGTATCAGCTATACGATCGCGGAGCGAGGTGGTATGTGCTGAGATGGTATGTAGAGGAAGGTATTGAGAGTAGCGTTGATGATAGTGTCGGAAGAAAGGGATGATGACAAATGAGATGAGAAGATAGACTGTCAATGCAATTATAGCTGGGACTAGGATAGTCTAAAAGATCAAATTAGCACCTTATTAGCACAGAACATAGACTCTATGATACAGTCTGGAGAGTGAAGGTGTAAGCACCTTCGCAAAGCTAAGGGATGATCCCATTTTGAAAGTGATGTTTCAGGGGTGATGGGAGCACAGAATGACAGGTAGTTGAGCGGGACCTGACAAGATTGATAGCCAGTAGCGGATTCGGGATCTGTTTACCCCGTTAAACGGTTGTATCAGGACCACTCGAGGTAGATTACAGTCAAAGATTGGAGTCATATACACATAATGGGCGTAGAAAAAGTTCAGCCTGGGGAAGTTTTTCAAGTACTATCCAAGTGGATTTTCAACATGTCAAAGAGTACTGACATATCACATGACCCTCACGTGGTTCACGCGGAGAAACTCCCCGACCGAACAAGCAAGACCCCCTAATCAGGCACTAGGAAGCCCGTGCTTTGATCGACCCTGGCGTCAGGACTCGCTGGGACTTGCATACTGCAACTATTTTTGGCTCTTTTTTTTAACGTCTTGTTTGTTGGTGAGCAACTTGACTTCGTGTCCCTCTAGCCCAAATCTCCTCTTGAACGCGAACCTCCCGAACCAAAAACAACCCGATATACCCAAGAACACAGGATCACTTTGGACGTGAATGTCAGCACTTTCGTTCGCTCGATCCTTTAGTGATCAACCCCGCCACAATACCAAATCCATTCAACTTCACCTTTTATCTTTGAGGAGTGTATCACGCCCTTAATGCTGTGTACTCCCACGTCTTAGCACCAAGATGTCACCTATCGCAAATGCCGACAAGTCCAGGCAAACTTCCGCTGGGAAGTCCTTTTTTGGGAGAAAACTTTATAAAGAAAAGCCAGCTGATGACCGTTATGATGGGTATGGAGGTTCTTACGACACTCTGGCACCACCTGGTAGCGCTACTGGTTCTCGCTCGTCCCGTTATTCGAAACGGTCTTCAGTTCAATCCATTGATATGACCCATGATCTTGACCCGAGTTCCCTTGCTCCTACAGCTGGTGTTATCACATCTATTCCTTTCGAAAGTCTTCCATCTGATACACGAACACCGATACCTATCGATAGCATGTCTCGGCCTGACTCCTCTTATCGCTATGAACCATCACCCAACCATATCAGCAAATCAGGCAGTGACTATCACCAATATCCTACCTGGACTTCAACATCTGCCCCAAATGGGTACCATCCTTCCGGTCCTAGGCCCCCACCCCATGTCTCCAATGTAACCATGACCAGTAGCGCTTCGGGAGACCGTGGTAATAGATACCAACAATGGAGCCGTCCTGGGAGTTCAGCAGCAAATCCTGGCATGGGCTATTATTCCTCAATTGATTCTTCATCAAATTCGCGCACATCACTCGACCAGGCCAGTTTATACTCATCGCATTCGTCTCACACGCGCGGCTCGAACCAATTCTCCGATACCACCCCTCGAGCTCTCACAAGCTCACATTCAGAGCGGAGCAATCTTCACCCCAGCAATAGCAATGGACGATTGGCTAATGCACAGGCTGCCTGGCAAGCTGCGCAGCCCGTTCCCGCAGCCGTACCTCGCCTGAATGATTACCTCACCCGCCCTAGAGATGACCGTGTTGTCGACCAGCTATTCCTAGACCTAATGCACAAGCGAGGATGGCAGAATCTTCCTGATCAGGCCAAGCGACAAATGATTTCATATCCTGCCTCTAAAAAGTGGACTTTGGTCCACCAGGATCGATTGACTGAGTTGCAAGGTGAGCAAAAGAGACGGCAAAACGCTCGCCAAACACATGGTCATGATGGACTATCTGGTTTGATGGAACGCGCCGATGAAGAAGGGAGTCCAGAGTGGTATGTCAAGAAGGTGATGGACGACTCGATCACCTCTCAGCAGCTGTCCAGTCTGAGTGTCAGTTTGCGAACACAGCCCATCGGGTAAGTACTATCAATGGAATAAATGCTTTCTTGACCGAATGCTTAACTATATTACAGCTGGGTAAAAGCCTTTATCGAAGCACAGGGTCAAATCGCCCTGACAAATGTCCTTCTCAAGATCAACCGGAGAAAGGCTTCTGGGCCCGTTCCTGCTCCCCCTAATGGTGACAAAGACCTCGAACGCGAGCATGATATTGCCAAATGCTTGAAAGGTCTCATGAATAATAAATATGGTGCGGACGATGCTCTTGAGCACCAGGGAGTGCTCATCGCATTGGTTAGCTGCTTGTCATCCCCGCGTCTGAATACCCGGCGACTTGTCAGCGAGGTTCTCACTTTCCTTTGCCACTGGGGAGAAGGACAAGGCCATCAGAAGGTTCTCCAGGCCATGGATAAAGTCAAGCATGATCACAACGAAACAGGCCGATTCGATGCCTGGATGCGCATCGTCGAGGTCACAATCGATGGTCGTGGTAAGATGGGCAGCTTGGTCGGTGCCAGTGAAGAGTACCGCAGTGGGGGCATCGGCATGGAGAATTCTCTGATGGAATATGCTGTCTCGACAATGATCTTAATTAACATGTTGGTGGACGGTGCGGAGAACGACTTGCAGTTGAGATGCCATATTCGAGCCCAGTTCATCTCATGTGGAATCAAACGGCTTTTAACTAAGATGGAGGGATTCCAGTACGAGGTGATTGACAAACAGATCGAGCGCTTCCGTGACAACGAGGCCATTGATTATGAAGATCTGCTCCAGAAAGAGGGCGGCAGCATGAAGGACAGTGTCGAAGGCGAGGTCAAGGACATGAGCGATCCTCTACAAATCGCGGATGCAATTGCGACCAAGATCAATGGAACTCGAGCTCATGACTACTTCCTATCAGCTATGCAGCATATGCTACTGATCCGAGAGAATTCCGGTGAAGAAGGTCTACGAATGTTCCAGCTGGTGGATGCCATGATGAGCTATGTGGCCATGGATCGAAGGCTTCCTGACCTCGACCTGCGACAGGGACTAAATTTTACTGTACAAAGCCTTCTCGATCGGCTTCATACTGATGCTGAGGCGCGGCGTGTGTATGATGAATCCTTAGAAGCGCGCCAGATTGCTGAGGCTGCCATTGCTGAGCGTGATGAAATGAAAGCTCAAGTAGAACTCGGTGCTGAGGGTCTAGTCAAGAAGCTTCAGAAACAAATTGATGAACAAGCCGGGATAATTGAGCTCCAAGGGCGACAAACCGAGACCCTGAAGGCTGAGGTCGCAGAAGTCCAGCAACTACGTGCTCAAGAACTGCAACGCAACGAATTGGAGACTCGAGAACTTTATCTGATGCTCCGAGATGCCCAGGATATTGCAGCATCAAATGCACGCAAGAATGCCAACTCCACGGATCCAGCGGATATAACACAAATGCCTGGTATCATGGATAGGGAGCGGCTTATGGAACGTCTCGAGCGTCAATTAGAGAGAACAAAAACCCAATTCAAGCTTGAAGGCAAGGTCTGGGGACATCATGGACCATCCGATCGCTTGCGGGAGCTACGTGAGAAGATGGATGGGGAGTTTGATTCTAACATGGAGTTTGCCGAGCAAACCCGTCTCAATCTCGATCCAAATTCCCTAAAATCTGTCCATCGCAAGCGAAGCTACGTGCCTGGGTCCGAACTGGCTCCGGGTGTGCCGTCTCCTGTGGAAGAGGATGACGAGGCAGTATATGAAAAGCCTCGCTTAGTTGAATATCACCGTCCACGCATGAACCCTGCTCAGGCAACTGGATTGCTTGGCGAGCTAGCTTCCAAGGTGCCTAAGTATGATGAAGACCCTGAATCTCCCGGCTCTAAGGAAGGGGCTCTAGAGACTCCTTCAGAAGATATCGCTGAAGATTCTGTTCCTACTGAAGTGACAAAGTCCGAAGCCGATGAGGAGGCAGACAAAAAGGCAATGCCTCCTCCCCCCCACCACCCCCTGGGCCCCCAGGAGTAAAGGCTGGGATTCCACCCCCTCCTCCACCCCCGCCCCCGCCAGGAGCCAGTGGGATACTCCCTCCTCCACCCCCCTCCAGGGGGTGCCAAGGCCATTCCCGGTCTCCCTCCTCCACCTCCCCCTCCCGGAGGCAAAGCTGGTGGTCTTCCTCCACCTCCCCCTCCCGGAGGCAAAGCTGGTGGTCTTCCTCCACCTCCCCCTCCCGGAGGCAAAGCTGGTGGTCTTCCCCCACCGCCGCCTCCTCCGGGAGTTACTGGAGGATTTGGTGCCCCTCCACCACCACCACCACCCCCGCTCCCCGGAGCCGGTGGCTTTGGACTTCCCCCTCCACCGCCTCCCAGCGTTCCCTTGGGTGCTGGCTGGAGACCTTCATACTTGGTTGGTGATTCTGTTTCCGCCACAACCCACATGCCATCTATTAGACCGAAGAAGAAGCTCAAGGCTCTGCATTGGGACAAGGTTGATACTCCTCAAGTGACAGTTTGGGCTGCCCACGCACCAACTGCCGAAGAAAAAGAAGAGAAATATACCGATCTAGCCAAGAGAGGTGTCTTGGATGAGGTTGAGCGTTTGTTCATGGCCAAGGAAACTAAGATCTTTGGAACCAGTACCGCAGCAAAACAGCGAAAGGACAAAAAACAGATCATTTCCAATGACTTGTCAAAGAACTTCCAGATTGCTCTTTCCAAGTTCTCTCAATTTCCCCCTGATGATGTGGTCCGCCAGATCATTCACTGTGATCTCGAAATTCTCGATAATATGGTTGTAATGGATTTCTTGCAGCGAGAAGAAATTTGTACCATTCCTGAGAATGTCTCTAAGCTCATGGCGCCGTATAGTCGAGACTGGACTGTTCCCGGTGCTGCCAGTTCTGAACGCGAGCAGGACCCCAATGAACTCACTCGCGAGGATCAGATCTATCTCGCTACTGCTTATGAGCTGAATCACTACTGGAAAGCGAGAATGCGTGCCCTTGCATTGACTAGAACGTTTGAACCCGAGTATGAAGATATTTCAATGAAGCTGCAGGATGTTGTCGCCGTCAGCGAGTCCTTGCGTGATTCTGTGGCTCTGATGAATGTTCTCGGACTGATTTTGGATATTGGTAACTTCATGAACGATGCCAATAAACAGGCTCAGGGTTTCAAGCTGAGTTCCCTTGCACGTTTGGGTATGGTGAAAGATGACAAGAATGAGACCACATTCGCCGATTTGGTCGAGCGCATTGTGCGCAACCAATACCCGGAGTGGGAGGGTTTTAGTGATGAAATCAGTGGTGTTGTGAATCTGCAGAAAATTAACGTGGACCAACTATGCACCGATGCCAAGAAGTACATCAGCAACGTTAAGAACGTGCAATCCAGCTTGGATGCAGGTAACCTGAGCGATCCCAAAAAGTTCCACCCTCAAGATCGCGTTAGCCAAGTTGTTCAGCGAAGTATGAAGGATGCCCGGCGGAAAGCCGAGCAGCTGCAACTTTATTTGGATGAGATGGTCAAGACCTATGATGATATCATGATTTTCTATGGCGAAGACAATACCGATGAGAATGCCCGTCGAGAATTCTTTGCAAAATTGGCTGCGTTCTTGATTGAGTGGAAGGTCAGTTTAATCCCCCTGATTCTACTCGTATGTCAAACCCTATTCACTAACATTCTGGTCCACAGAAATCAAGAGAGAAGAACATCGGAATCGAGGAATCGAGAAAACGCACTGAACAATCTTTGGCACGCAAACGTGTCAATATCAATCTAGCAAATAGTGCAACTGGCATTTCCGAGACGCCAACTTCACCTGCTGCAAGTGGTGCTATGGACTCACTGCTTGAGAAGTTGCGAGCCGCCGCACCTCAAGCTAGGGATCAACGAGATCGTCGCCGTCGTGCCCGTCTTAAGGAACGACACCAGGTGCGTGTCGCCTCTGGTCAGAAACCTCCTGATCCGGATGAAGAAGGCGATGCCGCAAAACAACCGGCTGATGGTGAGACAAACGCTGATCAAGATGGTCTTCTGAGTCCTCCGTTTACTGAGGGCGGAGAAGAGGATACTAAGGAGGCCCAGGTTTCCGAAGGTGAGGACGTAGCAGACCGCGCCGCCAGCTTGCTCATGGGCCTGAGGAGTAACTCTGATGCGAATGGCGAACGTCAGAGACGCCGAAGAGAAAGTGCTGATGAAGAGCGTCGAAATCGACGGATGAGAAGGCGCAATGGTGCAACCAGCGGAAGCAAAGACGGTACAGATGGGGGTCTCTCAGCAGTTCCAGAACCTACTTCTCCTTCGCAACATGATCCGCTCGGTACTGAAGACCGAGCACTTCCCAGCCCTCCACCCGACGAGTCACAGTCATCAGCGCCTCCTTCTATCATTGTTTCAGAAGAGTATGATGCGCCATCAGAAGAACCACTAGCTGATGGGTCCTTAACCAGTCATCCGATCGAATCATCGGATTAATGCCACCCCTAATCTCGTTTAATGTTTGATAGATTCCCTGATGTTGTCTCAGACTATTCCCTCTATAACCAGTCCTCGACCCCCTCACCTTGCTTCGACCTCCACACAAACACCCACACACTCGAATGTATAATACCCTCTTAGTTACGCTCTTTCTCTTTTCACTTTTGTTTTTTAACATGTGATGAGTTTAGCATGGTGCCATGATACCATTGTTTCCTTTCCACCATATTTTCAATGTTCCAATTTTTTGTTGCTTTCTTTGCTGGTTGCAACGAGGTCACTTCGCATACACAATCGACTTTGATTCTTTGTGCGATCTCTCTCATTGTACATATTTCTCATGAATTTTTCTCTCTCTCTTCATCTGCACCTGTTGTCTATCATAGTTGTGAATCGTGATGGGTAGCTCTCCCATGGAATTGCATTTCGAGCTTTGGTGTTCTAACCACCTTATACCTTAAGTCCTCTTATAATCTATTGCTTTCGAAGCACTGATCTAGTTGCAATGCAATCTATTTCTTCGAAGTCAAACACTCTAGATATAGGTGTAGTTATCTCCCCAATAGTAGGAGAGTAGATGTTCACTGCTCCTTGATATCATACTTGATTTTATAGATAGACCCACGTGACCTTATCAATCTCCGCAAATTAGCATGTTCTACTCCAAACATTTACAGCTTAGCTGTATTTCAACAAGCCCAATCTGCGCATGCAAGCGTCTCGTTCTCGATTAATAAGGTGGGCCATCCCCGCGCCACCATCTAATCAAATCCGGGTACTCCCCTACCGACGTCATGTCTCTATACTCCAAGTACCGGTCCTGAGAAGGACTCCCAAGCACATCCGGAGCTTCTGTTCGTCCATATCACGCCGGTTTATGCTAGATGCAGACTCGACTATCTATGCGCTATCCACATCCCCAGGGAGAGCGGCAATTGCTATCGTGCGCGTTTCCGGTCCAGCATGCGTCTCGGTATGGAAATCATTTTCTAAACTGCCTTGAGACCTTTTTAATAATAATTCTACCTTTACAGATATACAAAGCACTATGTCCACAAAAGCCCCTTCCAACCCCCCGTTATGCTACACTACGTACTCTCTACGACCCAGTACACCCGCCCTCAACCAATACGGTCCTAGACGCCGGTGCACTAGTCCTCTACTTCCCAGCCCCAAACACTGTGACGGGCGAAGATGTCCTCGAATTTCAAATCCACGGAGGTCCTGCAATAGTAAAAGCTGTATTAGCTGCCATTGCGCGCACAAATACAAAGATAATCGACACGGTCGTCCGTTACGCTGAACCAGGCGAGTTCACGCGCCGCGCATTTATGAACGACCGCCTTGGCCTCCCTCAGATCGAAGCGCTAGGTGACATACTCAATGCAGAGACAGAACAACAGCGTCGATTAGCTGTCCGCGGCTCTAGTGATGCTTTGTTAAAGCGGTATGAGCTCTGGCGGCAACAATTATTGTATGCGCGCGGCGAGCTCGAGGCTCTAATTGATTTCTCAGAGGACCAGCACTTTGATGAGTCAACTGAAGAGCTGGTATCTTCAGTTGCGGCGCAAGTACATGAGCTGCAGAGCCAGATTGGGTTTCATATTCAGAATGCGTCGAAGGGTGAGCTCCTTCGTAATGGGATTCGGGTTGCGCTACTTGGGGCTCCGAATGCAGGGAAGAGCTCTCTATTGAATCGTGTTGTTGGTAAGGAAACTGCGATTGTCAGTAGTGAAGAGGGAACGACGCGGGATATTGTTGATGTCGGTGTTGATCTGGGTGGGTGGTACTGTAGGTTAGGTGATATGGCTGGCATTCGTGCCGATGCTGGATCACAATCTGTTGTCATCGGTGCAGTTGAGAAGGAAGGTATACGACGAGCTAGAGCGAGGGCCTTGGAGTCTGATGTTGTCATCGTGGTGCTTTCGCTAGAGGAGACTGCACATGGAGTCCGCCTTTTAGTGGAGCCTGAAGTCCTTGATGCGGTTAGCGATTGTGTCCAGGCGGAAAAGTGTCTCGTTGTCGCTATTAATAAATGTGACAAGCTTCCCAGTGAAGACAGAGATGTGCTGCTGCCACTGAACCTGGCAGATACAGTCCGTGATGTCTTCCCTGCGGTCACAAAAGATCGAGTCTTTGCTATTTCATGCGATGAAGCAGAAAGAGGCACATTAGCACCAAGCCAGACAGATCCAGGGAATCTACAGTCATTTCTACGCGGCTTGATAGCGACCTTTGAAGAGATTGCTTCACCGCTTGGTATAGAAGGAGATGGCAATGGCCAATATGACAATTCTTATTGGGAAGATTCATTGGGAGTGACACATCGTCAAAGTTCTAATTTACAAAAATGCCTTGACCACCTGGAAGATTTTCTATCTCAGACATCCATGTCTACTTCCGCTTCTTTTTCATCTGAATTCCCCCAGGAATCTGAGATTGACATTGTGACTGCTGCCGAGCACCTGCGTTGCGCGGCCGACATACTGGCCAAGATCACTGGGAAAGGGGAGAGTGGAGATGTCGAAGATGTGCTAGGCGTGGTCTTTGAGAAGTGAGTGTCGTTTCCGAGTTGATCTATTTCGAGATGGCTGACAGTCTTCAAGGTTCTGTGTCGGCAAGTGAAACTGACCAGCTAGTCTAGCTAGTCTAGCTAGTCTGGTGGAATTGAATAGAACCGATCTAAGTTGAGATTGTTCAAGGCCTTCATCAGGTTACGGCCATGATCTGACAGAGGTTCATTTCATGGTTGTGCACCTGATTGCATGCTTGCATGTTGGTAATAGGGCAATGTTTTATGAAGCTCAGTTGGTTGATGTGGTTGCAGATGTCCCATCTGCCTGGGTAGAAGGCGTGTTGTATCCTCCACGACCCATTGTTGGATATATCTTGTTGATTGAAAGATGAAGTTGTATAGATGATGAAAAGAGGATATGGAGAAGATTGTATTATCTACACAAAGTAGATAAAGTGGTTAAAAGACAGTGGGTTTCAAAGTATATAGGAGAGTATGACTTTGGAAGTCTTTTGTCAAAGGATATTATCTTGTTGTCTTGATCCTTTGCATTTGAGGTCTCTCTTCAACATCTTTATATAATTCTTTAAATCCTTAGCTCCAAGGAACAGGTAATTTAGTGTCTGCCTTGATAATAAGCCCCCAAATGAATCATAATCACTAGTACACAAGCACCCAGAATATTCCATTCCTCCATCCACATTAGGCAATGTTCTGGACGACTGGAAATTGTTTAGAAATCCGAAACTTGAAACTTTGCATACTCTCTCCCTGCATATCTGAGTCAGGGCCTAAACAGAATTATAATCACCTGCTACACTTTAAGAGTAGAATGTGGCTTGTATTGTCCAATGGTGGACAATTTGAGCTTATTCGAACGAAAAGCCGGCACTTTCAGAGACATTCTATTGCAGGAAATTATACGCCTTACCTAAAAGATAAACGTGATTTGGGACGCCGAGTCTTATTTGTTCCTGATTTCTTCTAGGATAGTCTGTTGAACAAAATACTACCGTTGCTTTTTCGATGACAATACTAGGACGCGTCTTACATAGGTACATATTTGGTCGAATGGGGGTCATTTTCTTGCTCGTACTGGAATATGTTCCCAGCTGAATGAGAAGCGCCTTACGTATTTGGAGCTGGTCACCGTATGGTTCGTAAAATTGTTATTGACCTTTTTAAAGTTGTATGCTCTAAATTCTATATATAACCATATACGGGCTATACATGTTGTTGAGTAACTTGCAAGGTTATATTATTAATGTGGAACCACATGTAACGCGGGGCCAGAAAGACGTCTGATCTAAGAATAGGTTCATGAACTCTACTCAGCTATTCACTAGTACTTAGTATAGAAGATAGGTATTAAGCTAGTCTGGTACACTAGTACTAATCAAAAATCCACGTTTTATACCCCTGCAGTTCCATAGAGTCGGGATTCGGGAATGCTATTTTATCGAGCTTCCTAGTTAGGGCATTGCTACCGTTGTAGCCCTGGAGAGTCATCCCGACTCATCCTCGTGTCTGCTTTATGCATCCTATGCACTCCTATGTATTCTCCGCTTTTGTCAACCGCCTAATATTAAATTATTAGAGTCCTATCGGGGACCTTTCTTGGCTAAATTCCATCTCACTTCCCATGTTTCATTCTGCTATAGATAGTTCTTCAAACGTGATGCCATGTGGCCTGAACTGCTTCAGCCCTGCAGATATGAGGCTTACACATCATTCCTAAATAGGTAAGCCCTGTTACACAAGCCACCTGGTTCATTAGGCTATTTAGGTATAGCTTATATCATACGGGTCCTTTGTTTTTAAACTGACATCACTTTGTTGGAGAGGCCGTATCTATCTCCTACGCTGTACATGTACTACGTGTGGGATCCTCCATGCAGACACGAGCTACATTATCTTCTTAGCACTTCTATTTTCAGATAGGTTGGATTATAAATTAGTATTGTGCTTCTAATGGTTATATGCTTACGCCACAATCAGAATAAGACAGTAACACAGCAAATGGGACCTAACTGTCCTGGCACGCCGTTCATAGGCTCCAAGAAATGCATCAAGACGAAAGAAACCCCCCTTCTCTATACACCCGGTTTATATAAGCATGGGTATCAAATATCATGAAAATGGAAAATATAGTAGCACAGTGACGGTGGCGAGAGAAAGGGAGAAGAGACAAATTGGTTCATCGAGAACCCCATTTCCAGAACTTCCAGCCTGAAAATCCAGTCTTTCCATCGCGTTGGTAGATGCGCCAGTAGTACACTGGTATGCCTGTCATAATGAATGCTACCACGATCAACGTTTGTAAAGGATCAGAAATGACAGCACGGCTGAGGAGGAAGAGGCTGACGCAGCAGAATATAATGGGTGTAGTGATCCATGTACGATAAGGTCTCTCCAGATGTGGCTCTCGGATGCGCAGGACAATCAAACCAAGCACAGTGAGGAAGTAGAAAGTGTAGCCCGCCACACCATAAAAGGTGACTAGGGTCTTGAACTCGCCCATAGCAATATAAATGGCGGTTAAGGCTGCGTTGAAGGCCATAGCGTTGATAGGAGTGAAGCCAAGACCATCTCCAAATACCTTCGAGAAAGACCGGCTGGCCCATGAGCGGCGTCGGAGACGATTGGCAGCTGCAGAATTAGAGGAAGAGCTCGAGAAGCCAATCCGACCGAATAGCGCTGGGAGATATCCCTCCTTGCCGGCTGCATAAACAAGTCGGCTGCTAGTGAAAGTCGTTGCATTGAGAGCTCCAAAACAGCTCGCTGAGACGACCAATGCAAGAATCAAGGCCCCAACGGGGCCAAACACCTTGCCCCCAAACTGGACCGCAACAGTATTGCTCGCTTCGATAGTTTCGTGGGGCAAGACCAAGAAGTAGGAGACATTAGCCATGAGGTAGCACAGAATGACTAGTGGCATTGCTGTGTGAATCACTCGTGGCAAGTCACGATTTGGGTTCTTGAACTCGCCCGTCACATAATTGGTCTAGAATACTAGTTAGCACACGTTGGATTTAAAGAAAAGAGAAAAGAATGTTACATTGTCCCATCCATCGAATGCCCACAGTCCAGCGTACAGCGCCACTGCAAAATCGGATATTTCAGTATTGGTGCCCTCGAACCAGCCATGGGTTTTCCATTCCTCGTTGGCATGCCCCTTGGTCGAAAATCCAGTCACGGCAACGACAATTCCAATAACGGTAACTGCAAGCAATGCGACAAACTTGAAAAACATGAACAGGTCTCCGATGCGAGTTGCGATCTTCGTAGAAATGCAGTTGACCAGAGTTACGGCTAGAAGTCCTCCGAATGCAACTCCCTTATTAATCCATGGGTTGACAGAGACGACATCGGCACCCACAAACGCCCGAACAACGTATTCTCCAAAGATGATTGAAATGATGGCTGCTGAACCCGGCTTCAATACTAGAACCGCAGACCACGTGAACAGGAAGCCACTCAATTCGCCGAAGATCTTCGATAAGTAAACCTGGGCACCTCCATTGAGTGGAATGGCACCTCCCAGCTCAGCATAACTAGCTGCACCAGTCCATGCCAACAGACCAGCTACAGCCCAGACAATAAGCGCAGCGCCTGGGGATCCCGCGTTTGCATTGACCTGGCTCGGCGATGAGAAAATACCAGAGCCAATGATCAATCCCACAATCAACGAGAGCCCATTCAAGTACGTCAGAGTTTTATTCCGTTCCAACGATCCATCTCTTCCTGGTCGATCGAGCGCAGATGGAGTCCCAAGGGGAGCGTAGCCGGCCTGTGTTTGTGATAGAGGGAAAAGGTTGCCCCCGAAATCGAATGCAGAGGAGATAGAATACGATCGCATTGGTCGCTGTCGACCAGATTCTAGGTGACCATTGCTGTGAGACGCCAATGGGTCCTCGTCGTCTAGTGAGAGCTTGCGCGAGGATGAGATGCCGTCGGGAGAGGAGGAGCGCGAGGAGCCGACAGAAGCAGGTGATGACGAGGCTAGAGAAGCGAGTTCTAGAGAGTCTCTCGGACCATTACGACCATTTCTGGCTTCATGAGAGAATACGTTTGACATTATCCCTTTGTTTTCAAGGTGGGTTATTCGAATGCGGGTTTAGGAGAGTGTTGGGATGTTCGATGTCTCTCAAGAGAAGCTAGGAGGACTCTCCATTTCCTGATAGAGCCAATGAACAAATAGATTAGAACTTAAAAGGATGGATCTCTTGAATCTCTTCTTGGTTAGTTTGATCACTGTTGATGTGAAAAGAAAGAGAATCAAGGGAATCAAGATCCAAAGGGGGTTTCATTGTCGATCTCACCCAATCGGGTTTCCATCCTGCAACGCCAAATTTCCCCGCGAAACCGTTTCTCTTTCTGTGAACTCGTCGCTCTCTTTCAACCCCATGAAATCTACTGCGTCTTTATGCAGCTATAGCTGGAATGCACCAAGACAGGCTGGAACTTGGTTTCAGACTCAAACCCGTCGCTATGCTTCCACGTCCACTTCTACCTCAACCTCGGCTTCATCCGCGCCGACCGCTTCTCAGAAAAATCGCTGGCTAGGTATTGTCATAGTGACCGGGTTAGCCGCTGGAGCAGGCGCATACATTCGATCGCAAGGCCCTGGATCAGTGACATTGAACCCAGAATGCTTCACCAAATATAGTCTTGTCTCTAGGGAGCCTGTCTCGGCCACAAGCAGCCTGTTTACGTTCCGGCCACGATACGCCAGCGGCGACAACTACGAAGTCTATGAGGATGCATGGCGCACTGGAGTATGGAGTGTTATGTTCAAACAGCCCCAGCTGCAAATTGGACGGGATTATACACCTTTACCTGCGACCGCCGCCACATCATTGACCGTGGACGAGGAGAACGAAGGATATTTGCGGTTTTTCATACGAAAGGATCCATTCGGAGAGGTCTCTCGATATCTTCACGGCCTTCATGTTGGAGCAGATGTTGAAATGCGAGGACCGAAAATCGAGTGCATGATCCCGGAATCGACCCAGGAGATATTGTTCATTGCTGGTGGAACAGGCATCGCCCCGGCATTACAGGCTGTATATTCCCTCCTTAACCGCACAACCAGTGATAACCGACCGAGGATACATATCTTATGGGCCGTGCGAAGGAATGAAGATTGTTTCGGCGGCGAGAGTGACACTCCGAAAGTTCTAGAGTCACGGCGGTCCTGGACTTCGTGGCTTGGATTTTCTGGGGGCGCTCAGGAACAGAATAAGACCGTCTCACCAGACGTTCATTCCAAATCCTTGATTGTGAAGGAGCTTGAGGCGCTCAAATCGCAACATCCAGGACAGATCACAGTGGATTATTATTTGGATGAAGAGAACAGATTCATCGGAAAGAAGGATGTATCACACTTTATTGAATCATCGCGCCCCGGTGATTCACGATACAAGAAATTGATCATGGTATCTGGACCTGAGGGCTTTATCAGTTACATGGCTGGGCCGAAGCTGTGGGCACAAGGGAAAGAGCTCCAAGGCCCACTTTTAGGAATCATTGAAGAACTTGATTTACAAGATTGGGCTGTATGGAAGCTCTGAATATGGCTCATCTGTATCGTGAACTCCTTTTTTTTGTGGCATATAGCATATATCAGGGAATTATGTCGGATAGTTATAGGGCATGCTTCCGCGTCTTTTTTCACCACGACCTTGGCAATAACATCTTGAGTTTTTTTTGGAAAGGCACTGACAAAACGAATATATATTTTAAAAGAGTCAGATCTACTGCCCAGTGGCAAAGGCCTCAAGGTACTTCACCAGCTTCTGGACGTTTTCCAGGGGAACCGCATTGTAGTTGCTGGCACGCATACCGCCGACACTGCGGTGGCCCTTAAGACCCTGGAGCAATAGCTTCTCAGCACCTTGCAAGAATTCCTTCTCCTTGGCATCATCTCCGCCGTGAATACGGAAACAGATGTTCATTCGACTACGGACAGTCTTGTCGGGAACAACCTGGTACACATCTTGGTACTTGTCCAAAACTCCGTAGATGAGTTCTGCCTTTTGGTCGGCAATTTGTTCTTGTCCGCTAACCTTTTGTGCGCCGAAGGTGCTCACAAGCTCACCCATCACCTCTCCCGCAACCCAGAGATTGAAGATGGGGAGCGTGTTGTAGAGTGAATCATTCTTGGCAGTTGTGGCGTAGTCAAAGACAATTGAACCAGGAAGACCGCCAATATTCAAACGGTGGAGAAGAGAGGCAGGAGGAGTTGTGGTCTGAGGAGGAAGAAGGTCCTTGCGAACGATGGCGATGGTAATACCAGCGACACCAATGTTCTTTTGTGCGCCACCCTATGAAACATGTTAGTAAGAATGGGGAAAAAGCTATAATTCTGTGTATATCCTCCCAGGGCACATACAAAGATCACCGCATATTTGCTAACATCAACCTTACGGCTGATGAAGTTGGAGCTCATATCGGCAACAACAATCCGCTCATCTTCCTCATCTTGGCCTTGTGCTTCCAATACCTTGGGGAAGGCTTGGAACTCCACACCATCCACGGTCTCGTTGTCGCAGAAATAGACAAATGCCGAGCCCTTGCCACCCTCACGCTTAGTAGGAGTCAACGACCAGGTTTCTTCAGCAGGAATTTTGCCGAATTTCCCATCATTGGCTTTGCGAGCGTCCAGGGCGACATTGACATACTTGGAGCCGATCATTCTGGCGGCTTCCTGCGAGGCCTTGAGGGACCAAGCTCCTGTCACCAGATAATCCAGCTTCAGCTCCTCGTCAACCTCCTCCTTCAGTCTTTGGAAAACCAATTCATCGACCTGAGTCTTGTCTACACCGGGGTTGGTGGCCAGGACATCCGCCTCGGCGCGACGACGTCGTCGTTCGATCCAGACCGACACTAGGTTCTGGACGACAGCGCTGAAGCCGCCACTACCACCACCCTGCATGAACAAGATTTCATAGTTATCCGGGATGCTGAGGAGGGCAGTCAGGCTGGCCTTGGCATCACTGAGGATCTTGTTGGCGGTTGGCGAACGGTGCGAGATCTCGCCGAGTCCAAGACCGGAATTATTGAAGTTGACGAATGCCTTTGCACTAGCCTCCACTACAGAGGTAGGTAGAGGAGCTGGACCAGCTCCAAAATATGAGACTTCTTCCCGGGTCGGCATTGTTGTATGTGAGGAAAGCTTTAAGGAAGAATCAAAAGCGGGAGGCAAAGAAGATTATATGTGGACCTTACAAGTGGATCAACCATAAGAGTCATAACTACTACTTCAGATCTAAGAATTATATAAGTAAATCACCATAACTAGTAGAACATATTATACGAAAATTGATTTCCGCAAACCCGATATGATCAATATCTTAATAGCATTGGAAGCAATTAGATGTATGATAAGCCCTAGTAGCGGGGTTTGAATCAATCCGATATCGGATGAGGTCGATACACGTGTATATGTTTGCAGTGGTTTATTTTGATGTAGCCATGATTCAATATGCTGAGTCATGATTTGACGAAAAAGGGACTTCGGAGACTTTTATAGATCGAATCCTTGGGACCACTAGTTTTACCAAAGAATCCATTATGAAAGACTGAGGAGGAGGTTGAATATAAGATGCTTGTTCGCTACTTTTCATTTTATATGCTTGACAATGGCCATGTATATAAGAGCGACCGATCAAAATGATTTGATATTGAAGATGAAGGTGAGGGTAAGATTCCCCATGGAGAAACCCATAATTTCCCCGGATTTTTAGTACTTTTTTTTTTTTCTATGATCATCTCCGGAGTTTCTCCCAGGTAACTCATATTATTTCCCCGATGAAGCTCCACTAGTTCTTGGTTAAACATCGGAACGCGGCACGGATTGGATTCGAGGGATTTCTCCATACCGTCTTTATGTCCAATCGGTTGATCCGAGTTGGATTCTCGATTTACATTGCTATGTAGTAACCTTAGTCCCCGTTGAAACTGCCAGCATCTGAATTTTACTTTGTTCTCTTACAAAGATGTGTTCTCTTCCTGGGTTCAGATCAAAAGATGATGAACGAGTCATTCGGGAAAAGCGAGCTTCGTTGAAGTCGAAAACCAGTCCTGGGTCGATCAATGTCGTCCCAGAAGTTCCCCAGGCAAGGCCATCATTCCATTTAACTGCCCCAAGTGGTTGGATGAATGACCCGTGTGGTCTGGGATATGATCCTATCTCAAAACTATACCATCTCTCCTTTCAATGGAATCCATATGGCAACAACTGGGGTAATATGTCCTGGGGGAAGGCCACCTCCACTGATCTGGTGTCGTGGATCGTATCACCCATACCAATCTTGACTCCATTGACTCAATATGACTGTGAGGGTATCTTTACTGGCTGCCTACAACCAACTGGTATTCATGGGCAGCCGGGAGCTCTCACAGCTTTCTATACTTCCGTCAGCAATCTGCCAATTCATTTCACATTACCTTATACTCAAGGTTCCGAATCTCTTAGTCTAGCTGTCTCCAATGACGGCGGAAAATTATGGGAACGCCAGGATTGTAATCCAATCCTCACTGGCCCACCTGAGCACCTCAATGTTACTGGGTGGAGAGATCCTTACATTACCACGTGGGACAACCAGTTGTTCGGTTTTGTAAGTGGAGGCGTTTTTTCTCAGACACCTGCCGTATTTATCTATACGATTAATCCCGCAGACATTCGAGAGTGGAAGTACGCTGGCCTGCTCGTGAATCTGGGAATTAACTTCCATCCATCTCGCTGGTCGGGCGACTTTGGTGTGAACTGGGAACTAGCCAATTTTGTGACATTGACCAATGACTATGGAGATTCTCGGAACTTTATCGTGATGGGTGTCGAAGGTTGTGTACGCTCTGACTTCTCAACTGAGGGTGAAGCTCGCCATAGAAGAGACGCTCGAGCTCCACGGTGGATGTCTGTGAAAGCACATGAAAAAGGAACAGTTAACGATGGCTCATTGGCAACTTACAGCTTCGCAGGGCTTTATGACCATGGATCTCTATATGCCGCTAATTCTTTCTGGGATCCGCAAACTTCTCAACATATTGTATATAGCTGGATCCTGGAAGATGATTTACCTGATGAGCCTCGCGGTCGTCAAGGATGGAGTGGTGTGATCTCTTTACCGCGAGTGGTAAATTTGCAAACCCTGCGCCGTGTCACAAAGGCACGCTCCTCACGTCTGGAATCGATTACTTCTATCGATGTGGTCCCGAGCGTATCTGATACAAAGCTATTCACCATTCACACTTTGGGTATGAGCCCTGATGCTCGACTATCACTCCTGCGAACCAACACCACAAAGAGCCAGCTCTTGGGATTATCCCTGCCAGAACTCAACACGGTCGAGGGTGTGATACCTCTGAATACTGCACGCTGGGAGCTACGGGCTGAATTTTTTGTCAATCGGTTCTGTTCGAAGGTTGGTATTGAGATTGCTCATAGTGCTAGTAAGTTTTTGATTCCATCATTCCTTTAATTGAGATATTGACTTGTCTACAGATTTTGACCAGCGTACCACACTCGCCTGGGACACCTGTAGCGAGACTTTCACTATTCACAGACCTGAACTGAAAGATCCAGAAATAAACCATGATTATGAAGTCGCACCTCATACATTATTCACTTCAATCGATGAAAACGGCGATGAGATAGAAGAGACGCTTCGAGTCCACGCTTTCTTCGACACGAGTGTGTTGGAGGTCTTTGTGAACGAGAGAACTGTCATTACCACGCGTATATATCACCCTTCAGACAAATGTTTCGGAATGCGATTCTTCGCAGAATCAACTGATAAAGGTCGAGAGGAAGCAGCTGTTCTGCATCAAGCGGATGTTTGGGATGGAATTGGTCACCTTCATGCGAAGGACTTATCAGAGTCTGATTTACTTTCAAGTGAGACAGTCTAAAAGTGAAAAAATTAAAGCTTTACAACTTTGGAACCTTCCAAGGTTGGAAGGATAGTATTTGTTTTCCAATGCTGACCAGTACAATGTCGGTAAAATCTGGAAAAACTTGGATTTTCGAGTGGAACACAAAGTCCGAGGCTTTTAGAATTGTGAGATTATGAGATCTATTGACATAATGGACAGTTTGGAAACCGAACGCCTATGCAAATGCACCAATTGCAGATATTACTGAGCCCAGCCCGTCATTTTGCTCCCAGGTATTTGTAACGAGCGCAAGTGATCCTTGTACTTTTGCAAAAAAGGATGCTTTCCACCACGGAAGCTATTCATCAAGAGCATAAAGTCTTCTATCAGAGACTGTGGGTTGAAATTTGGAGTGATCGACCCCGAAAAGCTGCCCAGGGGTGTGATTCCGGTCCCGTAGGGTGGGCTGATGTTGTACAGAATGTTGATTGCATTGATGGCGATGTCATACAGCTTTTCAGTCTGAAATTGAAGTAAGTAGCTGCTATGCGTCAAATGTATGTGGTTTTGGAACTTACATATCCAATTCCATGGGCTTCCATAGATCTGAGTCGTAGCGATCGACATATCTGCAGTGTTGATTCCGCGACAGACACCGCATATCCGAAAGTCAGCTCGGGTCGTTCTGACTGCGATCTGAGAAGACCGTGATTGAGACATAACCACCAGATACGGTTTTGTAACCATTTCTGTGTGATAAAAATGTCTGCAGCTTGAGTTTCCCGCAATCCAATCGACAGAATGGCGTTGTTTGCATTCCGGTCCATTTTCTCCAGCTCAAACCAGTCATATCCTTTATACAACTCGCTCTGGGAGAGTCTGTTGAGAATATCGTGCATGCCTAGTACCTTAGCATCAGTGAATTTCTGACAGAACCCATTTTTGACGTCGCAGTGTCGATGCCAACAGTGCATGAAATCCTCGTCAATAACGTCAAATATCTCCATCAGGCGAACTAGACCTATCATACCCTCGGCATCATGCTCATTATGAACTATGATCCCAGAGACAAGGTTATGGGCTGCATTTTGAAGAAAGTCATGTACGGAGCGCATGCTGAATCCTGTTTTTCCTGAAAATGTCATCGGATGCAGCCGTTGAAGACCGTAGGCTCTGTTTTAAGGTTAATAAAGTGAATTTTCTTCTCCTTTTCTCTCAAAGAAGATACCTTTCTGTGATTGACAAAACCAGATATATTCGTAAACGCTGGCCCTTCTCTTCTCCGGAGAGATCGCGATACGTGTTTGGGTCATTTAAGCCCAGTGTGGACGCCAGGTCCAAGGCTTCTCTCAATCGGAGCCATGCAGCATTATGTTGGTTACTTCCAAATAAACAACCGAACAGAAATAAACTTGTCAAAACGTCCTCGATCGTGGGATTTTCACCAAAGTCGGAACAACTCCGCATTTTGGTAGCCTGATAAATCATCGAACGTGCCTGAGTGGCGCGTGAAGACGTCGTTGGATGCTCGTTGATTTCGATTGGCTGAGTTAAAGCAAATGCACATAATGATAATAACATCGCTCCAAATTGGGTATTCTTGCGATGCTCCTGAAACATGATTCGAGTAAAAATGGAAGAGTGGTTAAGCAAAGGCAATGTCGGATGCAGTCGGTCGAAATAAACATCGATCCAGGGAATCATGTTCGCCTCGCTGATCGACGCAGGCCAGAATTCTTCTGTCTCAGATGACATGGATCCAATGGACCTCACGACCGAGTGGAAAGCCATGCCTTGATGGTCCTGTAGAGTGATATTCATTCCAGAGACATCAGGAGTCGGTTGAATGATTGATGGTAGGGCTGGTTTGAGATAGATGTTACTTCCCGGGAATTCGAATATAGAAGAACCTTGGACCCCGAAACTATCGGGCAGCCAGTATTCCGCATCTTGGCGTTCATTCCAGCCCACGGCACTGGTGCTGTGAGAATCTATCGAGGCAGGTTCAGTGCCCCAGACATCTACAATAGAAGAAGATGATGATGATAAATCGGATTGTGCTAGCACAGCTGCTCCATTCACAGTCATCGATGCATCGCCATGTGCAGGCGCCCAGGATGATCCCTGCAGAGAAACAGGTTGGACTGGTTCCACAGAAGAGGTGGAAACATTAGCCAACACTGAAGTTTGTTGCTGTCGGATTTGAGATACACGACTGAGGAAGCTGTCAGATCACTTTGCAATTCAGCTTTCGCTGTTTAAATAAAACTTACTGACCCGTAGGCCCTCGTTTCTTCTGCGGTTGAAGAAATGTACAATCAAAGCCCATCCCCTGACAGGCCTTACAGGGCTGCGATAAGCTGCACTGCAAGGGCATTTAGCGCCGGGGGGTTTCTCCAGGGGAACGGGAGGGAATCTTATTATTACCTTAATCTTGCGAAACTTGCATTGGTCACAAGCCCGTTTAGCGATTGACCCGGGAGTTTTATTGCGAGCCCGAGTCATACTCAATCTTGTACTCGGCGATCCTATGCTAGATTCCATGGCGAAGATGCATTGGTTGCACCATCAAGGACGGTTCCGATCGATTTGCAAGATTAGGCGGGTTTGACCGGTTGTGTAGACCCACATGGTGATAAGTCTCCAGGTAATCCCCTTCCCCTTGAGCTTGGACCATGCAGTATGGTTGTAAGGTGGGGGAAAATGTTAGGTATCGATCGCCATAGATTAGATGTATAGTCCAGTCCAAAAATGGGGGTTTGTTCGTTGATTTTGTACACCTCCGCTTTCGGTGTCTCCACTCGTGATAACGGCCTTGAAAAAGGTCAGCTTCGGACTTCCTGGCAAGAGGGACCTGAAGGAGTAAATGTCAATATGAGAGATTTTCAAGATGCTCAAGATTCCGAGGAGCACCAGTCATGGATGCAAATCGTCTTGCAGAAACGCGCAATTCGAGATAAGCTTTTGGCTCCGTATATGGTCAATGATGTGGAGAGTCGAGTGCCGCGGGTGCATCAGGTCGACAAGCGCAGTCACTTGAATCAAGAACCTGACGTGCAGATGATCACGGATATTGACAGTGTTGCAGTCCTGTTGCAAGGTATTCAGAGAGGCGATATAGCCGCTGAACAGGTCGTCAGGGCATATATCAAACGGTGGGTCCCAATTCGGGGATGTCGGGATCATAAGAGCTGATGTACATGATTTAGGGCTGCGGTAGCACATCAGCTGGTAGGTAGTAGTATCCTGGCAATATCCCGTATTCGATAATTAAACCAGTCTTGATAATGGTAGACGAATTGTCTCACTGAAGTGCTCTTCGAGGACGCATTGCAGCAAGCACGACAGCTCGATGAAGACTTCAATGTCACATGGAAGATCAAAGGCCCACTGCATGGAATTCCAATCACTCTCAAAGATCAGTTCAATGTTGAGGGTGTCGATACGACTCTAGGATATGTGGGTAGATCATTTGTTCCAGCCCGCGAAAATGCAGTTCTCGTGCAGATGTTGAAGTATATGGGCGCCATCATTATTGCAAAAACAAACCTATGTCAAAGTATTATGGTGCGTTGGTTGTACTCTTATTACCCTCTAACTTGCTAACTGAAGCACCAAGTGGTCGGAAACCGAGAATCCACTTTGGGGGTTGACCACAAACCCCAGAAACCCTGATTTCACTCCAGGTGGTTCCACTGGAGGTGAGGCTGCATTGTTGGCTTTGCATGGCTCTATCCTCGGATTTGGGACAGATATTGGTGGGAGTGTTCGCATGCCGCAGAGCGTCGTTGGTTTATACGGTCTCAAGCCAAGTGTGAGTATGTCCGAACAACGTAAAGCCTTGTTATCTTACTCATACGAGGTATAGAGTGCTCGATTCCCTTACGAAGGAGTTCCAGTATCCACTGAGGGTCAAGAGCATATCCCATCATCCGTTGGACCAATGGCCCGGGATCTCGATTCAATCTGTTATATAACCCATCTCGTGGCAAATTGTCGACCTTGGGACTTTGACCCTAGATGTGCGCCTCTACCCTGGAACGAAGGCTCATTCCTGGAAATTCAGAATAGGCCAATAGTAATTGGGCTTATTGTCGACGATGGTGTTGTGAAGGTCCATCCTCCCATCGCTCGAGCCCTGAAGGAGTTATCGGCAGCACTCATAGCCCAAGGTCACGAGGTAATCAGTTGGGATACATCTGATCATGCGACCTGTATAAGTATCATGGATCTGTACTATACGGCCGATGGGGGTGAAGACATTTGTCGCGATGTGAAAGTTGCAGGTGAACCGTTTATCCCCCATGTGGAAGCTCTCGTCAATCGTGGCAAGCCCATATCAGTATATGAGTACTGGCAGCTAAACAAACGTAAATTTGCCACACAGAAGAAATACTTAGACAAATGGAATACTGCTCGATCCCCATCAGGTAAGCCTGTGGATATCCTCCTGAGTCCAGCAATACCACATACGAGCGTCCCACACCGCAAGTTCCGTTGGGTGGGATATACGAAGATTTGGAATTTTCTAGACTACCCAGCACTGACAATGCCCATTGATCGCGTGAGGGCTGATTTGGATCAGCTTCCTGGAGATCCATATGTTCCCAGGAATGCGTTGGACGAGTGGAATTGGAACCTATATGAACCGAACCAAGTAGATGGATATCCTGTCAATCTGCAGATTATCGGCAAGAAACTTCAAGAGGAGAAAGTGCTTGGTGCTGCTACAGTCATCGAGAGGATTTGGAAGGGTCAATTCCAAGAGTGAACCTCTCGAATGGAAATTGAAGAGCTCGTGTTTTAAATTTATCTCTAGTGTCTCTCTAAGGAGCAAAAAACGTAATTCATAAGACGATTAAATATGAGACAGACGCCATGGAAACATGCTGGATATAACTGCTTTTTGAATCACGCCTTTGAAGGTTGGAAGAGTTCAGGCTTCATGTTTACCTTGCACAGCTTTGAAACACATCCACTTAGCTGGAGAAGTGACTGCACTCCATCCAAAATGCGCATATGAGTGAAGCCAATTTCTCGGATAAATTCCAGCTTGGAGTGCTCTGAGAGAGTTGGAATGGTTTTGGTGACGCGGAACATTGTGCTGATAATGTCGTGGGAGGAGTATCCCAGGGTCCTAAAGAGCGAGTTAGACTGGCGGCCTCATTCATCCCAGAGGAATCTGCTTACCAAAGCTCATTCAAGGTCTCTAAAGCAGCGTCGACTTTGCCCTCCCAGCAGGCTTTCAACATTGCCTGGACCTTAATCGGATGTGGGCTATCGACAACACGGAAGACATTGTCTCCACTGACGAAGCCAAACCCAGACCATGTACTCTGGAGATTGTTGATTGCTTGACGCATATCACCCTCCGCACTGAAGACCAATGCAGCAACTCCATCCTCAGAGTGTTTGACCTTCTCCGCTTCGCAAATCTGCATCAGTCTTTTTACAACTTGCGCATCGGTTAAACGTGAATAACGGAGGATAGCACATCGAGACTGAAGGGGTTCGATGATCTTATTCGATTGATTGCAAGCAAAAGCGAATCGAGTAGTTGTCGAGTAGATTTCCATGGTACGGCGGAGCGCCTGCTGGGCACCAGGGGTCATACTAAAGTAATAAAGGTAAGTACTGGCCTTAAGCCGTATGCGATCGGTCAGAAGACATACCTATCAGCCTCATCAAGTATTACCAGCTTGTGTCGGCCTTGAGGTAGAGTGACCTTCTTTTGGGCAAAACCCTTGATCCGGTTGCGCACCACATCGATACCTTTGGGAAATCAGTATTCCATGCCCAATATCACATGAAAAGGGAAAGAAAACAGAGCTTACCTCTCTCGTCACTTGCATTGAGCTCCAGCACTGCCTCCTTATACGAGTCTCCGAGCAATTGTCTGGCCAGGCAAAGAACGGACGTTGTCTTTCCAATACCCGGCATGCCTGAGATGATAACGTGCGGCATATTGCCATCTTTGGCGATAATTTTGAGACGTTCAATCGTCTCAGTGTTTCCAACAACGTCATCAAGGAAAATGGGGCGATATTTTTCAACCCTGTAGGTAGAAAGACAAGTCAGCTACGATCGAAATCAAGTTTCTGCCAAGGAGTTTATATACCAAGGAAGTTCATAGTTGGCAGGGGCACCTGCAGTTACAGGTTTGGCACCATTGCGCGATGCACTTGATGAAGATTCAGCTTGAACCATGCTGAGGAAGTAAGCGTTTAAGGGAGACTTAGTTGAAGTTGAAGTTGGATGAAGAAACGCGAAGATGGACGCGTCCCGCGATAAGGGCTTATCAGTAATCTACGCACTTCAGTTGCATCTCTTGAGATTAAATAGTACGAAGTAAGTTGTGAATGATCTCATTCAATTCTACTTTTCCTCAGAGATGGTTATTTGATCAGCTGAATCGATCAATGACTCAGTGATATGATATCGGATCTTGTTCAATCATAATTCATTTTCTTCCCTTTGCTCTTGCATCTCCCACCTTCAACTACAAACACTCATGGATCACCAATTGTTTTGGTAATCCAACACATCAGTCATTACCATGGGTCAAAACTCTGTACGCCGCAATCTGTTTCATCGGAACCTCAGCCGTCGTCCTGCGACAGAGGATGAAGAGAATCCCATCAAGAGCCACCCAACGAGCAAATCCAGAGTGCCATTGAAAACCCCTTCCTCGCTCCCATCAGTCCTAGACAAAGCCCAACAGGCGGAGAAGCAAGCAGAGAAACGGGCAGCGGAACTGGAAAGTCGGGAAATTGCTGTCCACGACAAGCACGGAAACTACTTGTTCGACCGTGCGCCCCCGTTGCCGCCCTCGTTCATCGAATGGGAGGAGAGCCAAATCGAAGCTGAGGCTGAGAAGAAAGCTTACCTCGCGCCCTTCAAGAGGGAGGGTAGTAGGACTACTCCTGAAGCCAGATGTTTCCCCGTTTGTTGCTAATTAATTCTGCAGAGCTTGCAAGCGATCGTAAAGATGAAGCACACGAGAAAGGTGAGCCTGAGGGTTAGTAGTATACTAGCCACATATTGCGCCTATGCTAACTAGCTTACAATACAGAACTCGTCAGATGTATCAAAGAGAGCTTGGTTAGAGAGGTCGAGTCTTTGGCAGAGGACAACTGGATGTACGAGCCGGAACACGATCCAGTCGTCTGATCCTTGTTCCACAACTCGCAGATGATGATTATTTCGTCGAAATTTCAAGCGATCTATACCGGGATTTTCAGCTTATTTTCGTTTTCAATTTTTCAGCCTCAAAGGCTCTGGTTGCGTGATCAACAAATGCGTAAACAGGATGGATCAATTTTGGATTTACGCAAAGATCGACCTGAAAACTCTCGAGTCTGTCGATGAGAATTGTCTGGTTATATCCGCTTGATTTACCCAGTCTAGGGAGGAGTAGGGGAAATTCGCGCCAGAGAGTGATTTGGTGGTTCATGAATGACAGATTTTTTTCGAAAAAGTAATATCTTGATGTCTGAAGTCTATCTGCAGATGCGTACGTAGACTACGTAGTATGTTTTAGATTATATAAATTCATATATTACATCGATATCCATATGATTTCCTATATCATCTTTGAAATGGCAAAAGGGTTATTCATTTTCGTTACATGATCAAGTTATGTATTAAGAATAGGCTTTCTATCACCAGGGCTGTCTGTCAACTTAGTCGAGCTCCATGTTTGACGGCGGTGCCTCGACCTTCTTCTTAGATGCCGGCAGCCGTCTTCCACCGGTGTTGCCCTGGCCCTGACCCCCAAACAGCATGCTGCCCATCATATCCATCAGCGGGTTCCCTTGTCGGGGAATCTTGATAGCAAAGTACTGCTCGCCAATCTGAGCCAGCGCATCATCCCAGATACCCACGTCCCGTATCTGGGCCGCATAATGGTTGGTGAGCTGACGGAACAGATCGGCACTCCCCCGTTGAATGGTCAAAAGTAGCAAGCCAAGAAAGTTGAGCAGTGGGAGCGCAGGATACACGCGAATATCAGAGCTAGAACTGCTGACGTCTTGCACGCCAAGAGAAGAGTTTGCCATCGACAACCGGGAAGTAAATATAAGCAGTGCCTTGTTCGCACTGCGAAGATTGCCAGTGGTAAGGTATGGGAAGACCGCTCGTGATGCATACAGGGCGGCAGTGTGTGGGTCGTCATGAGTGTACCACTCGTACTCGAGCTTCGCCAATGTCTCCGCCGATTCTGAGGTTCCCAGTATAAGATGTTTTTCGGCATCGTATGGCTCATTATCTGCAATGATTTCATTTCGTGTTAGATGGAATCGACGACAAGAATCTAAGCTCCAAGACCGACCTTCTGCGTAGACCGAACCTGCAGCATGGTGCAGCTCTGGATCTCCTCGCTCTAGCGGACCACAACGCCCGCTCCATCCGATGACCTCCTGGATATACCTCTTTCTCGTCGGCTCCTCCGATGGGAACTCGCGCAAAACCTCGATCAGACGCTCTGTAGATAGAAAGAATGTGAGCGACGAGGGGGGTTCATTGACAATACGGCATGTTCAGCCATGGCCAAGTATCATATAAACAGATTTAAACTCACTCTTCCGTGCCCGGCCCTCTGTATCATCAGGATCCCCTGAGATACTCCATTCGGATTTATTGTAAACTTCCATCACCGACATGATTGCCAAATCTCCACCACTTGCCGAAGCTCCCTGTTGGGCTCCGGCTTTCAACAAAGCCTTCGCACCACCAGCTAGGATTTCAGCAGCAGCATCATAGTTGGACTGCTTGATGTAGCGTGCAGCGATAACACGTAACTGTTGGTGGGCTTCGTAGTAGGCACCGGCGGCGATCCTGGATACAGAAGATAGAATGTCAGTACGTGTTCGATCATGAGTACAAAAGGTAGACCATACTTCTCTCGCTGCCGAGCAATTGTCTTATCGATTTTAGAAGTCATCTTCAATCTAGATTCCAGTGGAATGGAAATGTAGATCCAGTAAAAGAAGTGGGAGGTGGGAAGCAACGCGGGAACTTGGAATTTTGGTGGGGGACGTTAAGACGCTTCCAGCTTCCATCCAGCTTCTAACGCCGCACGACGACCTGCGTTTTTCTCTCACTCTCTTGTTTTTTTTTCCTTTCACACAACTTTCTGATTTTTGCTACACTACCAATATTCAATTTCTCATCACAGCAACTGAGCTGCAGCATTGCAAGGACCAACTTTAATATTGCTTGCGACACAATTGGTGCAACAAGGGTGTTTTACTTCATAATGAATCCAACTAATCCCAAGGAGGCAGGTCTTGCAATTTTTAACATAAAACCTTTGGACCGGTTTAGTGGTCAAAGCACTTCCATCAAAAGACCTAAGGTTGGTCATACAGATATTCCTTGACTTTAAATTGCTAACAGATGTATCGTGTAGGAAATTGCATGCTTCTCTTATGATCAAGAGCGGAATTTCAAGCTTGGGGACTCATCTTTGGCCTACTACTATCCACCGAGTCTACCTGCAGATCTGAGTGCTGGCTTCCATTCGTTCCAACAGCTAAATGATGTTCCAGATGAGCATCTGGATGCTTTATTGGAGACCATTATCGCACAAGAGAAAGAGTCAGGAAAGAAATGTGATGCTGATATCATCACCTGGCGAGGGATGATGACCAAGGTAAGTGCTATGAACTAAACAATTGTCAGATGGTACTGATCTCTTCGAAAGATTTTGACAGCTCCCTTCAGTACGAACGATAGGTTTGTTCATCTACTAACTTTTTATTCGGGCCTATCTCAAGCTGACTGAATTCTGGCTTTAGCTTCGAAATGAATGCGACTTGCTTTCAGGTATGTTGCAATCTCATCATGATTTAACTTGTTCTAACGGATCTCTAGGGAACAATGTGCGTATTCTGTCTGAAATTTCTATTGGCTACATGGAACTTACATATCCAATCAGATTTATCGAAGAGAATAATTCCTACAAGAACGAACAAAAGAAGATTCAATTACAGCAGCGACAGATGCCACAAGGAATGGCATCGCAAGAGCTTATGACATATTGGGGTACGGGTAGCTCTTCTGACTCTTACTTCCTGGAAATGCTTGCTAACTTATACCAGGCTACAAATTTGAAGTATTATCTGTCCTACGGAAGTCGTGGGACGAAACGTCCCGCGAAGAAATCGAAGGCCGACCAAATGAGGTTGTCAACAACAGTGCGCAGTATTGCTCTGTGGTCAAGACTGGGTTTGGCAAAACCCGCTTAGTTCTTGGTGGAGAGGTCGATGCAAGTACGTTCTCGAAATCTTGATAAAAGGGAATCCGCATAATGATTTATTACTATAGTATGGGATTGCAAACCAGACCGCAAGGAAGACCCAATTCACTGGGTTGAGCTTAAAACCAGGTATGCTATCCCCTCTAGTGCGGAGATCCGCAATGATTACGATGGTTAAGTACGAACGAAATCTAACGGTACACCTCAAGTGCGGAGATCTACAACACTCGTGATAATATCAAGTTCCAACGAAAGCTTCTCAAGTTTTGGGCACAATCTTTTTTACTTGGCGTTGCCACGATCATCATCGGTTTCCGCGATGCTCAGGGTAACGTGAATAGATTGGAAACGCTAAAGACTGCTTCTATCCCCGGAAAGGTCATGAAAGAGGGAAGGGGTTTTTGGGATGGAAACATCTGCGTCAACTTCACGGGAGAATTTCTTGAATGTAATGCTCTAACTTCCTACCCTGAATTCCGTGCCAGCTAACTTATCTCGACAGGGCTTAAAAATATTATTCAAGGTGATGGGGTATGGAGGATTCGGAAGCTCCCTAAATCTGATACCATCCAAATCTACAAGCTTGAGGAGTCCGGTAATGGCGATATTCTTTCACAAAGCTTCATTACCTGGCGGCTGTCTGAGCTGGGTACGAAGTCTTGAGAGTTCTCGTTCTACCTGGTTCACTGATAGGCTCAACATGCGAAAGAGAGCCTGGGAAAGAAATAGACTCCATATCTAATCAATGGGTAACTAATACACCCATGTACCCTACGAAATGCAATGACTATTGGGCACCGCAAAAATGATTCATTCTTATTGTCACATCATCATAAATCTGAAATTGTATAAATGCGGGTTGAAGTGTCTACACTGGCCACCCCAAGCTCAAATTGGGTCTTGCTGTCCACCTCAAGGGCCGAAACAGGTCGCCATGATAGTCGTGTGATTGCTCTTGAGGGTGCATTGGCCAAGTCGATAGTCACGACATGTTGTACTTCAAGTGTGTCGCTAGTGATACGGTGGATAGAAATAGCACCGCTATCCTCACCTGCAGCAAGAATGAAGGAATTCCTGTATGGTGCTGAGAGGAAAGCAATTGCCGAGACTGCAGATGCCAATTGTACAGTGGATCTGCAGACAAAATCTCCTTCGCTCTGCTGCCAGATCTTGACGGATTTGTCACGTCCTGCCGTGGCGAATACGCGGTTTGTAGTTGGTGCCCAAGCCGCCCCTAGGATCATTCGAGAATGTCCCTTGGGGTTGGCTAAGAAACTGGTGAAGATGGTCGGATTCTGCTCACTTCGAACAAAAACTGCCCACTGTCTGTCACGACCTACACTGAGAAGGTACTGATCATCACTGGAGAAAGAAATGTCGGTGATGGTAAGGGAGTGCGCAGGGAGAGAGGGCTTGATCTCATGCCAGTCTGAGGTATCGTATAGGCGGATCACCGCATGGTCGATAGAGCTGGCCTTGCATGCAGTGGCTATCAGCTTGCGATCGTGGCTGACTGCAACGGCTGATATTTCATAGCCGTGACCGTAGAGTTTCTCATGCTCTGGCCACAGAGTGTGACGAGCTAGCTGATCCTCAAGAGGCGGAGTATCTGTGGCTATTGAGAGAGCTGGTGCATGTGATGCAGCTCCCTTGAACTCTCCTCCTTCGACAGGACCATCATCTCCTTGAGCCTTGTTTGAAAGACCCAGAACTGGGATTTCAGCCGTGCCAGGAAGATCGCCTCCAATATCTTGTTGGAAGCCAGTGAGTCTGCTAAGGAGCTCCACAATCTGCTTGGGTTCATTGAATACTCGCAGAAGCTTTTCATCTGCCCCGGACACAAACTGTGATGAGCCCAAGGTGTCGATACAGTTGAGGTCATATCCATGAATTTGAGGGCGAGAAAACTCATGCCACGAGCGCTTGCTGTCCCGCAGCCATTCAGCATGAAGACGTGTAGTCTGGTCTGCACTGGTAGAGAGTAGGTAGCCTCCACTTGGATCCCACTGAATACCATTTACTGAGCGGATATGGCCCGAGATGCCAAACTGCTGCACCCACATGTCCGCATCCAAGTCATGCCGCCATACTCTCCAGCTACCTGTACGGCCTAGACTTACGACTTGGTTGCCATCGGGCGCCCAGAGTCCAATCCAAAATCCACCAGCACTACCGGTTGCTGTGGTCGATCCCTTTTGTACACTGATCTCTCCCATTCTCTCAATCGACATCCAGACACCCGATGTTGGGTCTTGTTCCCAAATAGTGACTGTGTTATCGGCAGAAGCAGAAAGCAACTGTGATCGAGTTGGATCCGGGTTCCAGGAAGTCGTATAAATCCAATCTTCGTTTCCAAAAAGCAGGGCTTCGAAAGTGATCGAGTACTTCAACCCGCCGGCTTCAAACTCGTGGGCTTTGTTCGAAAGTGTAGGCTCCATACCTCCCAGTAAAGGATCAGACTCATCAAGAAGTGCAGGAGCTTTGGCTTCGCCTAGATGCAATCGCCATAGGCGGATATACTTGTCCTGGCTTGCCGAGGCAATGAGAATATCATTGTTGTTGTTCTGCTTATCTCGTGTGATGGAGAGTGATCTAATCCAGGCATCATGGCCTGTAAGCACAGCTCGATGTTGGAATTCCGGGTTGTTAGTGGACGATTCCGCGACAAAGACATGAATAGAGGTTGTAGTGCCCGCAACCGCCAACATCAACGGCCGAACCTTGTCCTCTCCAAGCACCTGCAAAGAAAGACACAATGGGAAAAACCGAGGCTTCATAATGATTGTTTCGAGTAATTCACTCTTCAATCCATCCTGACCGTTTATTCTCCAGATCCGAACTGTTCCATCTGCTGCTCCGGATGCAACAATGTCCGTCCCTTCGGCCACTGCTATTGCATTCAACGACCCTGTGTGTCCTTCGAGAGTGAAAGCATGTGTGTATTTGCGCGAATCGGTCTCATCGTTTCTCCAAACTCTGATCGATCGATCGATTGAACCGGAAAGAAGAAATCTTGTTCCTGAGGAGGGGCAGGTGTAAAATCTAACAACGCTGACTTTGTCGGAGTGGCCTACAAGCAGCGCATATACACCTCTCTGGGAGTTTGCCTTGAGAAATACAATTAGACATCAGACCTATATCAATTCAACGAGTATAGGTTGACCTACTAGCGGCTCCCACAAGGCGACATTATTGTCTGCACCATAGGCGAATACACCTGACTTGACATCCCAATCGGCAGCTCCTGGATGCCGATTTCCTCCCACACTGATATAGTCGGTTGAAACGGACACCATTGCTAAAAGAATCGCAGGAGACCAAACAGTATGACGGAGAGAAGAGCTGTCGCAAAAGATTAAAAGATTGTGGAAGGTGGCTTATCGATAAGGCTACCGCTCTCCTCCCCTCTTTCCTTGTTGCGAAACTTTTGTCTGAACAGCAAACATCATGGCTGACTCTATTCCCATCACTGTTGAGTTCACGTACGATATACCTTTCACCCGTTTACACGAAATCAGAGAGATTAATTGATTGCAGGGGCGGACTTGAGCTGCTATTCGGCAATGAGCGCAAACATCAGGTTTCATTACCTGCCCGCTCAGATGATGGCAACCCTTCAAACATCGCTTACTTACTTCGATACCTTGTCGATAACCTACTGAAGGACCAAAGGAAGGAAATGTTTATCATGGAAGACAATGTGTATGTGAAACGTGATTCGTAGACTATATTCTTGTTCGTGTTCTAACTGAACTCTTCAGTCGACCGGGTATTCTTGTTCTGATCAATGACGCCGATTGGGAACTAGAGGGAGAGGAAACATACGAGCTTCAACCGAGAGATAATATTGTCTTTGTGTCAACACTGCATGGTGGTTAAACTGCGGGCTTATCACGCAGGTATCCAGATAATCGCTTGTCAATTTGAAGTAAAGATATAGTCGATATAGCCATACGAATACCGGAAAAAGACAGATAGGTATCATTAAGAGAAGCGGAATCTCTCGGAAAATCCCTAAACAACGTCTTCGACAATTTGCTGTGAGATTCTCTCGGGTTCACGCGGTGTGCGAAGTCCGCTTGGAGTACGGATCCCCTGGGGAGTCGCAGCACCATCGATTGGACTGCCTAGTCCCATGGGGGTAACTACCCCGCTGAGAGTTACTGGGATTTTCAGGCCTTCTGGAGAAGCTGGGATTATTTCTTCAGGAAGGTCGGGAATGTAAACCCGTTGAGCCTCGTTTTGGTAGCTCTCGGGGATTATCTGGGTAGTGTCAGTCATTTTATTTTGAAGTTATTTAACTCCCGAATATCATACCTCAATGATCTCATCCCGAGGAAATTCTAGGAATGGAATGTCTGCGGCGTTGCAAGCCATAAGGTAGCCATACAAGACCCTCAGGACACTCTCGTGGGCAATGATAAGCAAATCGTTTTGTTCTCTCTCCAATTCAAGAATAATCGGCTCCAGACGGACGGCGAGGTCATGATAAGACTGTGAAAGAGTTCAGTTTTTAGTGTATAAATTATCCTCGGCAAAAATCTTACCTCTGCACGGGGGTATCGATGGTGGTAGGGATCGAGCTCATGCTTGGCGACCTCGTCCGGAAACTCGGCTCGGATGTGCGCCTCTGACATTTTCTCGCAGACTCCAGGGTTGAGTTGGCTCATTTGAGATCGCTGGCGGACTTGATATCCTTTCTCGTAGAGATACCTGGCCGTTTCCACGGTCCTACGTCTTGTGGAAGTCCATACCTTCAAAGGCCGCAGTTCGTAACCCTGTGCACCTTCTTCTTCCATATTCTCTTTGATGCTTTGCCGATGAGCCAGTAGTCTTTCTGTCATCTTCTTGGCATAGTCCTCTCCTTCCTCTGAGAGAGACACATCCGATTTGTAGGACGATGCTTTAACGGTGACACCAGCCTATAAAACTGGTCAGTCATTTTAAGGGTTGCTGGAATTTGGGGACTAATACCCGCACAAAATAGGTGCGACGTGATTTGATGTGAAGATTAAGTAGATAAAAAACAATGCGGTTGGAGAGATATCCAAAACTGCGATTGTTCACGATCAACCTTTCTCCTGCATTGATCATCTAGTCAGATATTAGCAGGTGAGCATCGCGAAGTAGGTCATATAAGGTGAACCTTGATAAAATTCAGGTCTTTCTCCTCCATGCTCTGGAATTGGGGAATACGAGCAGAAATACGAGCGAGGTAGTGCTTAACTGCATCTTCTGGGCTCCAAGTAACGTACTTATAATGTCGATAGTTAGTCTTGCACATAGAATTATGAAACATTCTACTCACGTCTGGCGAAGAGATTTTGACCCGACGAACGTTCTCTTCAATGATACGTGGATCATCACACCAAGATTCAATAAAAAGCGTCTAGAAGAGGTCAGCATGCACTCCATATGTTCCATTGGGTACGACTTACTTCGATATCATGCTTGGCAAACTCATTGGCAAGTGAGCGCCGTCCGGAGGCCAGGGGGTTGACAGCATCATATATGGCAATCTGTCCCTTTTCATGATTCAAGAATTGATATATATCTTCTCGACACTTCCTCACGATCTTTTGGCGGAGAAGGACTGATTTAGCGCTTGCTGGAGACAGTGTGAGCATAAATTACCCGTCATGAAGGTCAAGGTTGAGGCTCACCGTTGACATAGAAATAGTCATCTGGAATATCTTCACCAAATGGTATGGTAGCACGTCGATAGTCTCCCAAGTGAAAAATTCTGGTCTTGACTCCAAGCCTGAAGTGATCGTCAGTATTGTTGCAAAGCCACAAATACCCCGTGCATTGAGGCCTATAAATGCTAGAATACATACCATCGAAGGTATCGTGCCAAAGCAACAGACATATGACTATTGAATTGAGATTGAATTAGTAGGTCAAACGACAATCCAAGGTTGATGTCAGCTTCGAAGTCACACATACGTCTTTCCTCTGGCGGGCAATCCCACCGTGATGATCACGATTCGTCCCGAGTGAAAAAGCCGACCGGACTCAGTGCTGTAGAGTTGAGCTGGAGCCAGGTCGGCCTTCTCTGGTAGATCGTGGATAGCATCAACAAAAATAGAAGATTTCCGTCGAAAACGAGGCGAGTTGACCACAATATCAGCAGTGCTGCTAGATGTCAGCTAATCACCTATCACGAAAATATCGATAATTCATTTGACTGGTGATGCCTGAACGCAGTAACATGAAGAGTCTTGAATGATTGGATCTTCCCACTCAAGTACTCCAATGATACAATCATCGCAGTGGGTATATGTTTCGCAATGCGGAGAGAGAAAGAGAGAGAGAGGGAGAGAGGGAGAGAGAGAGAGAGAGAGAGAGAGAGAGAGAGAGAGAGAGAGCTAGGAGACTTACAGTAAGGTATCCATGATCGCGGGGCTGAGAAATGATGCAGAAACTCGCTCCGAAACGATGGTCAATAGACGGAATGCTGAGATTGAGCTCAGAATAAAGTCAAGGTAAACGAATTCACCAGATTGAGAAAAATAGGCTGTTGGGGGAAGTTGCAGGAAAGCAAAAATGAAGGCAGTTCGGGCGATTATGGCGAGTATGGTGAGGTGAGTAGTAGATGGTGTGGATCCCCCATACTAGTCAATACTTAAACATCAACCTTCAACCTTCTTCTAACATTATATGTCAAACCAATAGACATCACCGACTTATCCTCTATCATTAAGTTATCATATATTCTTATTTAAACATAATTGAAACTCATTGACCTCTATTTCACCTTGGATCTCTTTAATATTGTCCTCTTGGCGTGCCCGAGAAGGCCCGATCTGCTTATATAACGACAACCCCGGCGTACAGTAGGGACCAATGACGCCGGCGGAACTGGCATTTTTCACGAGTCTTCATTCATCAATTCCAACTCCTCCAATCCAACTACCCCAACTATTCCCCCAGTTGATCTCGCCCTATCCCTTTTCCCCTCATCTCCTCTTGTGATCTGAGGCGTTCACTCGTCCTAGATCTTCGGGCTGGTCTCCTTGTTTACTTGTCTTCTTCAGCTCTATTGACCTGAACCGCGTGACGACACCGATAATTTCATACAACCCTTCAAAATGGCTGACCTCATATCGTCATTCTCCTTCCTGACGGAAAACCCTGCTGCTGCGGCAGTTAAGGATGCATACTCGTCGTTCTCCGCGCGGAGGGCGTTGCTCAACTTGCCTTGCCCTGGCACAATCGACAACCTGGCTAGAGAGGTCCAGAAGGACGTTTTGCTATCCAACTTTATGTTCTCAGGTCTCCGGGCAGACTTGACTAAGGTCTTTGGCATGTCTCCTCTGTTCCGAGTATCGCACGCGTTCTCGATGGGCTCCAGTAGCAACATGGCTCCCTACAACTTTTCCACCATGTACGGAAGCCCCAAGGTAAGATACAGCCCGCATCCATTGCGATCCATTATTTTCTAGATCGGTACCCTGACCGCAATAACCTTTGGCGCAACAGGTTTTCTTGCAAGGTAACCTCGGAAATGACGGTACCCTCGCCGCTGTCGCGAACTACCGCTGGAACTCAGCTCTCGTCACCAAGACCAACGCTCAGATTATGGCCGGTGGCAGCCAGGGCCTGGTTCAGATAGATAACGACTACACCGGTGCCGATTTCACAGCATCCTTGAAGGCTTTCAATCCATCCTTCCTCGAAGGCGGTCTGACCGGTATCTTCGTCGGTAGCTACCTCCAGTCCGTCACACCCAACCTGGCTCTTGGTTTCGAGGCCATCTGGCAGCGCCAGGGCCTATCTGCTCCTCCCGAGACTGCTCTCTCCTACTCTGCCAAGTACAAAGGTGATGACTGGATTGGTACTGCTCAGCTGCAGGCTCAGGGTAACTTCGGTGCTACCTACTGGCGCAAGATCTCTGAGCGCGTTGAGGCCGGTATTGACATGAACCTTCAGTTTGCTCCTAGCCCTGCCGCCATGATGATGGGTGGGCCCAGCCGTGATGGTACCACTGCTATTGGCGCCAAGTACGACTTCCGTGCATCCTCTTTCCGTGCTCAGGTCGATAGCGCTGGCAAGGTTAGCTGTCTTTTGGAGAAGCGCATTGCCATGCCCATCTCTCTGACTTTCGCCGGAGAGATTGATCAGGCTAAGGTAGACAGACATCTTTTTATTAATTTCTACACGTTCACTAGAAGCTGACCCTCGATTTTCATAGCAAACTGCCAAGGTTGGCCTTGCCGTCTCTCTGGAGATCGCTGGAGAAGAGCTTATGGAGCAGCAGGACAGTGTCGATGCCGCCAGCATGATTCCTCCTCCCTTCTAAACCTCTCTCCTTCCTTTCGAGCCTCGTGTGAATTTCTACCATCCACGTCTCTCGAGCTAATCGCTCTTCATTCCCCCCTGTTTTAGTAGTTTTTTTCACTATCCCTCCCCAAATGTCCGAAAGAACATGGCATGTCACTTTTCTCGGTCTATCCATTTGAATACGGGCTGCTGGAGTAGGCGGCAGTTGTTTGGCGTGATGGAGATTTCAAAAAGGTTCCCTTTTTTTTTTTTACTGTATAGATTCACATCCCGTTTTCCTTCTTCGACCTATTTTCTCCAACTCCATCAACATTTGACGTCCTCAATCTCTGGCTATGTCAATTAATTTTTGGTCCGTGACTGCGTCTTTTCCATCATCTGTTTTGATTTCCTTTGGCCCTGATTTGGGGGAAGGGGGGGGGGTTTGGGGGTTTGAAAGGTGACGGGTAATGCATTGGTGGAGAGCTCTGGTTGTGTTTTTCGCATCATAGACGGACCAATGTAAAACAATCTCCTCGCCTGTGTGGGCTTGTATGAGTATTTATAAGACTTGAATCATATCCAGCGTACTCCGTATTCCGTATCATAAAACTATTCAGAAGTCACCTGATTTCCCAAGGCGGTGTCCGGTAAAAGGAGGGAAAAAAATGCTGTCTGCCTCCACTACATCCACTCCAGGGCTAGTGAGAGCGCTCCTCCAACGAAACTCTGAGCAAACTCCGGAGTGCATAATATGGAATCGGTCTAATACACAAAATGGATCCTTTCCCAAGGTTGAGATTCGTTTCCCCCCACTGTCTGTACCCCATCCCCCTTATTTCTGTAAACAATACAGAAGAAAGGGCCCCGAGAAGGATGGTGTTGGGCTGATTGAATGTTTCATGATCTGTTTCGTTTATACATATACTCTATATTTGAAGAATACTCCATCATCGGTACTTTGAGAAGTTTAAAGTATATAGCATCTTATATCTGCGGCATTTCTTTCAGCCCTAAGCCTGAATTTGACCCAGTTTCATACTGTTTGGTACACCCTGCCCTGTACTACAGCCCTAGCTACAGAAGTTGACATCATTGAACCCAGGTTAGTCGACCTGCATTGGTCTTCGGAACACAATGAAGACGACCTAATGAACAGCCTGAACAGGGACATTAGGTAGCTGCTTATAGATAGCATTACAGTTTTCTGGGGAGGGTCCGAGACCCTAGTCCAATCCACGCATTCTTCTTCGCCTAAGTAATTTGCCTCGTGTCTTTCCCGTGAAATTGGATGTGGGTAATTGAGTCCACCTGTGCTGGTTCGGCGTTGGCCAGTTTCCACTTTGGACCTCTTGCGTGGTTTTTTAAGGCATCCCAGGTTCTGTTTGTGGGGTGTAGCCCTCGTATACCTCAGTAGTTTACCCAGCTAGCTAGTAAAGTATAAAAATTCTCGGAGTGATATGAAACATTCTCACAGTCTTACAAGGTGAAGAATAAATGTCTTTCCGTTTACTGTTTACCTACCTATTTAAATAGATATTTAACTACTTAGGTATGGTTGACTTGACTCCAACCGAAGAGCCGAGAGCCAGTAGCCAGTAGCCAATAAGCCTCGACTGGGATCATGATCTGCATATTTTGGTGCATTCCTAAATTCCCACCTCTAAATTCTGCTATTTCTCTTATCGTAGATCTAATATAAGACCTTGGGAAAGTACATCCACGTGTTCTAACTAGATACTTGATATCCATAGAAACCAGATATTATCTTGGTACCTAGGTACCTCAGATGTCAACATGCCGGACAATTTTAGCCCCTTGATCCCTTGGTGGTCCCATCTTGTAGTACGGATGCCATGCATAAACCTGGAATACCTAAATATGCCCCATGATCGTACTTGTCTGTCAGGAACAGCTAGCAGGTACCTAGGGTACCTGCCTAAATCGAAAAAGAGGAGAATTCAGAAGATAAATGCAACGTCGAACCATATGTTGTGTGTGGTGTGGGTTTGTATGGAGTACTCCGTACCATAACGAGAATTAAGGCAATCATGATATTAGGGCATTTCGGGGCCGAGGAATGCCTCATTAGCATCATTTCCCGAGAGATCAAAGATATGAATGACCTCGGACCGTGCCCAAATTCAGTAGAACATCTCCTATTCTCTACGTCACTATAAAAGAGTTTAAGAGTATAAGTGAATGAATAAGAGGGGTTATCTCATATCTCATGACAAGTGTGGCGATTAGTGATACGGTATGAACCAGTATTAGACTACCGAGTACTCCGTATATTACATAGCATACAATACTCTAAACTCATGACAGAAGTACGTGGACAGCTGTAAGTAAGTGCAGCTTCTCAACATTAACCTTTTCAGCCAGGTGCATTGAAGTGCATCTGTGGCTTCTACTCCGGTCGAGGAAAGGGTTGACCGGGTCCTCAACGGCTGCTGCGTTGGGCCCAGACCAATCTGACTCTATTATTGGAGGATCTCAACCTGTCTAAAACTACTTTCGTACCCGGAGAGATCTGTGAGATGACCCTTTCTATTCTTCTTTTTTTGATCAGGGGGTAATCAGGAACCGATACTCCGTACTTCATACATTCCCTGTGACGTTATTTTTACCTAGAATATCTAAAGACTAGGGGGAAAAAAAAACCAACAAAAACCAACCTAAACGGGAATGAACCCCTGACTATCTATTTGTAGGAGCTATACAAAGATTTAAGATAATTTAAGATGCAAAGGTTCTAATAGTTAGTCTAAATACACGTAAACAGTTCATCGAAGCTTTCGTGAAATAAATCCAGGAGACGGCCGAAATCCCAATCATTAAGCTAAAGGCGTCGGCTGAGATCACTTCAGCTCACATGCCAAGGACATCCCCCTGCACCTGCTAGAGGTGATCGACCTCTGTCCGTGCAGTATGATCAAAGTCTGAAACAGTGACAAGTGCCAAAATAGAATAAAATCCCTCTAAAAGAGTAAAGTAGATCTAATGGGATGTCAGATCTTAGGAGTATAAAAAGAATAAGAGTGGAAGTATGAATATGAGCATATAATACCGTAATAAAACGTAATACATAATACATGATTTGGTAAGCCGACTACATGGTCCAAGCTTCAAGTCAGCTGGACTCGATGACATCGCGGTCACGAGGACAAACTGGATGACCAATCAAGCTGCTTCCTGAACAAAATTAGTTGATGGTCAGCCGACACGGGACTTGCGGAACATCTGTCAATTCCGTTGGATCTTTCTACATAGTATATGTTGATATCGATGATAAATATATCTATTTACCTTCCACTTTAGTATATACTAGTCTTACGAACTATGGCTCCAAACATAGATAGCTATTGATCATTAGCGTCTGGTATGTAACATTCGTAACATTCGTATTAATTACTGCCTTCCCTATGATATCATGTCTGTAATAAACCAATACAAACCAATACGGTATTTGGCTCCGTAATCATAGATTTGTATAGAGGACTCATTAACAGATGAGAAGAGAATCGAGAGATCAGATTGTATTCTCCCTTACCAATTCCATTCTATTAAAGCCAGCTGTTTGATTAATATGGGATTTCTTTTTTTATTATTATCTCTCTTTATGTAGATCTAGATAGATTTCCCGCCCCTCTCTCTTTTTGAACCTATTTTTTTCCCACACCCCTCCCCAGTAAGACAGAGAGTGATTCTTGGTACCCGTCAATGTCACTCCGACTCTGATCTCGCGCCCAATTTCATTACTTTACTTTACTTCTTGATTTCCCGACATTATTGGTGGAGCATTCTCACTTTCTCCATCTATTTTTCTAATTTCCCTTCTTTCTCACATTCCTTGGCATACTCTCTCTCTCTCTCTCTCTTCTCTACCTTTACCCATCTTTCCCCGTTCGGACTTTCCGCCCACCCAATCTCTCTCCACGTACCCCCCCCCCCCTCCAAGCTCGACTCCACCGATCAATCCTCTGCCCAAAACGGATTGCAATTCCTTTTTCCTTTCATTATCACTGTTCAACCCCCCCACCATGTCACAGAATCGTCCGGGGTTGTTCCCGACTTTGCGCATGGGTGGTAAGTCTAATACTAATACGCAGTTGTCCAATTGCGACCTCGTTGATGACCTCCCCACTGATCTTTCATCTACAGAGGTGGTACGCGAAAAGGTCCAAGATGGAAGAACTGGTGAATCTCGAGAGATCTCCTACACACAGTGCAAGATCGTTGGCAATGGCTCGTTCGGCGTTGTTTTCCAGACTAAGATGGCCCCCAGCGGTGAAGATGCTGCCATCAAGCGAGTCCTCCAGGACAAGCGATTCAAGGTAGGGAGAGCGGTCTCATCCGGAACGCGTAATCGTAAATTGTCTGATGATGTTGATGAATGTTTCTAGAATCGTGAACTCCAGATAATGCGCATTGTGCGCCATCCCAACATCGTCGAGCTGAAGGCCTTCTACTACTCCAACGGTGACCGGGTAGCTCAACCCCAACCCCTGTGTATGTGTGTATGTGCGTATGTGTGACTGATCTTCTTCCCCATTTAGAAAGACGAAGTGTACCTCAACCTTATCCTTGAGTTCGTCCCCGAAACCGTGTATCGCGCCTCTCGCTTCTTCAACAAGCTCAAGACTACTATGCCGATGTTGGAGGTTAAGCTTTACATTTACCAGCTGTTCCGATCGCTGGCCTACATTCATTCACAGGGAATCTGCCATCGTGACATTAAGCCACAGAATCTCCTCTTGGACCCCAGTTCCGGCATCCTTAAGCTGTGCGATTTCGGATCTGCCAAGATTTTGATTGAAAATGAACCTAATGTGTCTTACATCTGTTCTCGTTACTACCGTGCACCTGAGTTGATCTTCGGTGCCACCAACTACACTACCAAGATCGGTATGAGCCCAACTTCTTTTTTTTTTTTTTTTTTTGAAAAGTTCCCTCCTCTCACCCCTTGTGGACATACTAACGCTGGATTCAGATGTGTGGTCTACCGGTTGTGTTATGGCAGAATTGATGCTGGGACAGCCCCTCTTCCCCGGTGAATCGGGAATCGACCAGCTCGTCGAGATTATCAAGGTTCTTGGTACCCCAACCCGCGAGCAGATTCGCACTATGAACCCCAACTACATGGAACATAAGTTCCCTCAGATCAAGCCGCACCCCTTCAACAAGGTACATTCATTCGTATCCGATTTTTAATCCTTTTCTGCTCAATCTCTACTAGAGTACCTTTTGTGCTAATCCACTATACAGGTATTCCGCAAGGCCCCACCGGAGGCTATCGATCTCATATCGGCACTCCTGGAGTACACCCCCACCCAACGATTGACCGCGGTTGAGGCGATGTGCCACCCATTCTTCGACGAGTTGAGGGACCCGGCTACCCGTTTCCCTGATTCGCGCCATCACAATAGCCCTTCTAAGGACTTGCCTACCCTTTTCGACTTCTCACGACATGGTAAGTGACTTGAGTTTTTGGCCTTCCTTCTTTTCTAACAGAGCATACTTTTAGAACTTTCGATTGCTCCTCACTTTAACCACAAGCTTGTTCCCCCTCATGCTCGTCCAGCTCTCGAAGCGCAAGGCATCGATATTGATAACTTCGAGCCCATTTCCAAGGAGGAGATGATGGCTCAACTTGATTGAGCGCAGTATTATCTCAGCAATAGACACGTCTGTTCGAAGATCATTCCGCACAGTGTGTGAGAATTCGATGGCCTGCCAACACGAATACAATGGTGCTATGAATAACTTTTATCTTGTTGAAAATGGCAGTCATATTGACAGGACTGCAAATCTGATGGACTAAAAAGGAGAAGAACGGGCAAATGGATGTCCTTCTTCATGGCTGAGCAGAAAATTGGATTCCATGTGGGGATATACCAAGGGGCTGATGATTTTCACGCAACGGAGGTCCATGGCCTGGAGTTCTTATTTTTACGGTGTCTGCGACACTTGGGAGGAAAAAGTGATACCCTTTTTGTGCAAATCTGCATCTGCCTTCTGAAGGTTGAAGATTGCATAGCTTTCATCGGTCGAAGGGGAAGAGAAGAAGAGGAGGAATCTCCCAGACGCAGCAAGTTGATTCTCTATTGAATCTCGGAGAGCCTTTTTAGGAAACGTCGCCGTGGCCTGGAGAATTTCCCCTTTATTTGTTTATTTTCTATCTTTTATTTCTCTCCAATTTCACCCCACGACAGCCCATGGTTCCCCCGAACTCCTACAACTTGCAGCGCTTAGAATTCTCTATTTAACTCCTCTTTGTCTTATCTGCGATCTTCGTTCTTTCTTTTATCTTTTGAACCATTTTCTTCATCTCTTTATCTCGCAATGATATTGTCCTGGTTCCCCTGAGAACTTGGATAGTTCACACCTGGCACTCCACTCCAACCTCGACTCATACTGGTGAGCTACACGTTTTGAAGCATCTTAATTGTTCATTGCGGGTGGTAGTCAGCGGTGTGATGCTTAGGAGTTTTCCCTTGGTCATGTAAGAAAGACGTCCTTTGATAGCCGTCTACCCTCATACATCAAATACTTCAAGTTTCAATTCTACTCAGAAAATAAACAAAGCGATATTCACTAGTGTAATTCCCAAAGTACTGTGTACTCACTGTGCGTATCATGATCTAGAACTCTACTGATATAAATCTACTTGTAGTACTCGCATCGTTCCATAGTCAACTTGTTTAATAGAATAATGATATTACTGATCTAATTGGAGGCGGAGAGCAGAGAGAGCCGGACTGGATTATTTAATCATCCGGCCTGGCATATTTACCTGGAGAAGCTCCCATCGTTCAACGCCAACTGGACTTCCTCACTCTCTTAATTTTCAATCATTGTCCAACGTCAATTCTGATAAATGGGCGACTACGAGCGTCGGAACTACAATTCCCGCGGGGGTGGTGGTCGCAAGCGCCGTTACAGAGGCAAGTATTGCGCTCTCAGGCTTCCCTATGAAGCAATGCTGACCTCTTTCCCTCTTGCTCAGACGATGATGACTATGATCGTCGCCAATCACGACCCAGATACGAAGAGCCGCTGTTTGTTAAGGTTCGCCGACAGCTATTGACAATTGCCGAATCGGTAGGAAATGATCTCACCCTACTTTCGCGCGTCGCGCAATGCGATACATTTGAAAGAGTGATCACTAATATTGAATAACACTTAGGCTGCTCGCCGCGTCGAAGATGATATTATGGGAATTGCGAAAAGCGTGGCAGAGCACTACGATGACGAGGAGCTGCGTGAGACCTACGTGAACATTTCATTGGATCTGTATGTGTTACCCACTTCCAAGTGCTCAAGCTGTGTACTCAGTACTTTACTGTTCCTATTGTTACTGACATTCCGCCAACTTCAGTGTTCTTGAACAGCCCATGAAAATCCCTTTCGTCGCCGCCACAGCCTTGGTCGCATACAATCTCAAAACAGAACTCGGAGCGGAACTGCTGCAGAAGACTGGCGAGAGTCTGCAGAAATACGTTGATCAGGGAGCATGGCGCGAGGTCAAGCTACTCCTTCGTTTCTTGGGTAGCTTGCAGCCTCTCTTTGAGGGTGATGGTATCTTCCCGGTGCTGGATGAGCTATTTGCGCGCGCAGTTGATCTCCAGACTGCATCCTCCGAAGACTTGATCGGTATGGAACTTGTCAAGGTCATTCTATTTGTTATTCCCTATGTGATGTCTTCGCCTGCCTCTGGCTTTGAGGTGCAGGCTTCTGCGCTTCTTGAAAAGACAGGAATTATCGCTTCCACTCCCCACGCTCTCGTGGAGTTGGTGAAATCTTTTAACCCCAATGAAGAGAGCTCGGAAACGGAGCCCAATGTCATCAGTCTCATGCAGACTCAGCTTCAAGGCGAGGCCAACCAGGGCTGGGCATTGAAATGTCTCCCCCGACCCTGGAAGGGAGTACAAGAAATTGAAAAGGTTGAGGATGGTCTGAAGCTATTCGAACCCGTGAACAAGATCCCCTTCCCGCAGATCAACATTCCGAGCCCCGTCCCGAACGGACCTCGCACTCTCTTCCCAGAGGTTTATCTCTCCGTTTATGCTGACCAAGAGATCGACACCGTGCCCTCCACATCGGATATTGCTTCATCTCTCCTACGAGATGCTCTAGTCGATACCATCAACCTGCTAGATTTCAACCGCGTTGCCGTTGCCAAATACTTGATTGATGTCGATTGTTACTTCACCCCTTACACCTTCGTCAAGCGAGCCACGCCTTTCGACCGAATGCGTGATCTGGTGAAGGAAGGCCAGGCATGGAAGTCCGAGGATGTGGCAGTCGATGCTGTTTTGTCCCTGCTATATCAACTCCCAGCTCCAGCGCACAAGCTCGTTTATTATCATGCTCTTCTGACCGAGTGTTGCAAGATCGCCCCGGCGGCAATTGCGCCCAGTCTTGGTCGTGCAATTCGATTCTTGTATAACAATCTCGAGACAATGGATCTCGAGCTGAGCAGCCGCTTCTTGGATTGGTTTGCTCATCATCTGAGCAATTTTGGCTTCACTTGGAAATGGAGCGAGTGGTAAGTCAGAAGTAGGGTGGGAGTAGACCTACTTTCCACTTTCCTGAAAGTGAAGGAACAATCCAACTGACCTTTTTTTTTTTTCTAGGGTTGATGATCTTGATCTCCCGACCATCCATCCGAAGATGGCATTTATCCTTGGCGCGTTGGACAAGGAAATTCGACTCAGCTTTGCGCAGCGCATCAAGGGTACCATCCCGGAGCCATATCTGCCATTGATCACCGAGGGCAAGGAGAAGGATACGCCTGACTTTAAGTACTCGGTTGAGAGTGAGTTTCAAAGTTGAACAACAGTCTTGATATCAAACTAATATTTCTTGCAGCTACTCCCTACTCTAAGGAAGGACAGGAAATTATGCTGCTGATCCGCAAGAAGGCGAGCGATGAGGAACTCCAGCCCTTGATTGACGCTATCGAGCAGCAGGCCCAAAGCGCGGGAGCTAAAGATCCCAAGGTTGTCTCGACGGATGCCTTGGTAACCTCGATCTGCTTTGTAGGATCCAAGTCGCTCTCGCACGTCCTCTCCTGCATTGAGCGTATCAAAGAGCGACTATTGGCTATAGGCCCGGCGTCAGAAAAAGCCCGTCTCCAAATCATCACCTCGGTGATGGAGTACTGGGTCGACCAGCCCGGTATCGCCATCAACATCATCGACAAGCTGCTGAACTACACCATTATTAGCCCTCTGTCCGTCATCGAATGGGTCCTGACCGAGTCCATTGCCTCCGGGACTATTCTGGGCAAGACGCACATCTTCGAGATGGTCTCGGCGACCGTTGGCAAAGTCACTAATCGCATGCGACAGATCGTCAGCGCCCGCATCCAGCCCGGCCTCTACGAGCCCCAGTTGAGTGCACTTGAAGAGACACTCGCGCGTGAGCGGGCTGACATGCAAACTCTCTTCCAATACATCGAGGATTCGATCCTATCCGTTGCCGCCGGCAGCAACGACGAGCTCATGGAGCGTGGCGATGGCAGCGGTGATCAGCCTGAAGATGCCATCATCCGCCAATGGGGTCAGCGCTGGCTCCGGGTGTTCCGTCGCAAGATGGCTGTCGAGGAGTCTTTCATCGCTGACGCCCTTGTTAACGCTGCTCCTGTTGGCACAACTGCGCCTGTCGAAGCTTCTGCGGATGGGGATATTCGGGTCACTGATGCCACGCAATAAGTGAGTTGGCGTATACTAAGTATTGATAGACTGATTTTATCCCCATTTCGCTCGATTTTCCTTAATCACTGTATGATCTTAGCCTTGTCAGAGAACCCAAAAAAGAATTCAACGTCTGTTCCAGAGGAACTTCAAAAGTATTTCCTGGTTGATCTTTTAATATCTATTAGATCTAGCACTAAACATGGACGTACATCAGCTCTAGCTCCAGCTCCAGCCCTTGCTGAGCCTTTTTTTTTTTTCTAAACCAGTCCTGCATTGCCCGGAAGCAAAGTCCCTACCTCTGGGTCTATATCTAACCTTGGAAATAGAATACATAAACAGAAGTACAGTCCCTCGTAGTTTTCATATACAAATCCAACCCAAGAATCAAGCAGGAACCAAAGCCCTAAAAGTTGACCAAAAACCCCGGGTATACCTATAAACCTATAACCTAACCATGCCCATACTAATTAACTAACACCAAAGACAGCCTCCTCCCAGCCTCAAGGACCATCGAGTATTCCAGAGGCAGGCAGTATCTGCAAAATTATAAATTAATATCCAACATCCACCAGATACAGCTCCCAATCACGCCCGTCGATCAATATAATAAGGCGCCGCTTCATCTCCATCGCTACTAGAAGCCCCAGTATACATAGACAAACTCTCATAACTACCTCGTCGAATTCTCGGATCCTCATCCGACTCCACTGAAAGCATCGAACTGCTCGAACTCGAACTCGAATGCATGTCCATTGCGGACAGTTTCGTCGTTGCGATTTTGCGGTCTTTGCCACGGCCCTTGATACCCTTGTTACTGTTCTTGTACAGGGTGGCGAAATATTCCCATAGTTCGCGGTCTCGCGGGTGCACAGGGCCATTCTCGCTGATTTGGGAGAATCGCATGGTGAGGGTGCGAAGGGTTGCGGCGTGAAATTTGTTTTGATGAGACTGTGCTCATTTTAGTTTTCATATTTATGATCATTCTCATATATAGCGGTTAAGTCACGGAGCTGTAATTACCTTGAGATTCCCCAACTGTGTAAACTTCTTTCCACAATCATCAAGCAAGCAGGTAAAAGGCTTGTTCTGCAAATGGGTCGTCTTGTGCGCGCGGACATTGCCCCGTTGGGCAAATCGCTTGTGGCAGATATCACATGAGTATGGCTTTTCACCCGTGTGACGACGTTCATGTGTCTAGAGAAAATGTCAGCCCGCCCCTTGCAGTAACCCAGTCGAGAAATGATACCTTCAAGTTGCCTAGTTGCGAGAACCGTTGTCCGCATGAAGCCTCCTTGCAGATCTGCGCGCCGTCAGTTCCGGTCCCACGAGCTCGGATTTCGTTTCTTTTGTTCTTCCTCATACTTACAAACGGCTTGTCCCCTGTATGTGCTCTCGTATGAATATCCAGGTGCGTCTTCTGCGCGAAACTCTTACCGCAGTCCGGTAGTGTGCATGTATACTTCCGCTTCTTACCTGAGCGGGAAAGTTGGCCTTCGTTAGTGAGAAGGCTACGGGGTGGAGACATGGGATAAGATGGGTAGCCTTGCGGTGCAAGCTGCTGAACTTGCAACGGGATCATGGTCTGTTGCGGTACTGGCGATGAGTCTGGTTTGGCCTGGATAGCTTTCATGAGGACGTCAACCTCGGTAGAAAAGTCTACATCGGACGGGGACTGGTCCTGTGCTTGAGCTTGAGCTTGGTTCTTCACATTCTTCCCGATCTTGCCACCCTTTTCTTTCGAGTCTGAGACGGGCAGAGCTACTGTTGGCGGATCCTGTTTTCCGGGACGGTTGATAGCGTTCTTTGCTGGGCGGATGTCTGGCAGTGATGAATGCAGTGGCTGTTCTGTGGGCAGACGTGATGGGAGCGGTTGACTGGCAACATAGTATGGGAAATTTGGAGGTTGACCTTGATGTTGATGTTGGTTCTGCTGTTGATGTTGGCTCAAAGAACCAAAGCTGAAAGGAGCGTGTGCTGGAGGCTGATAGGGAAGAGAGTATTGATTCTGAGAGTAGTATGGATGGTATATGGGTGAGTCCATGGAGCGACGGAAAGGACCGACAGCATGTCCATACTCGAAAGACGGAGCCGTTTCCATTTCTTCTGGGTCTGCTTCTGCCTCTGCTTTTTTGGTTTTGCTTTTTGATTCTTCCCAGGATATCCCACGTCTTCAGAAAGAAGAGAGAAGGAGAAAAAGGAAGCTGGGAGTATATTTGGGTTCTGGCCAGAAAGTTCAAGCTCCAGTATAAAATCCAGGCGAAGTAAGAATCTCAAGCCAGGATGGATCTATAGAAGAGATGATATATAAGCCCATTGTATGACGTCCCAGATCTAATTAGAAAGACGTGCATGGACGATCAGGGATTTGATGTGGACGCATCATTTCTTGTACTACGGGAGGTAGGTAATTTCCTAATTCTAATTTCTTAATTTCTTAATTTACCAAATTGATATTAAATATTTCAATAAAGATAGGAGAAGAAGGCACCTGGGTAGCGATACGATCTTACATTGTAAAATATGGACCGCGACTGGCGAATCATTTAGGGCTAAGTTTCCTTCCCTCTTTTCCTTCCACATCATCCATGAATTTGTATACATGATCTTACTTATTTTATTACATTCTTCATGAATATAAATTAGCTATTGATTCATCCTTACTTCCTCTCTGTACTCCCTAAAAAAATAAAAATAAAGACGGGCCGGGCCTTCGGGCCTTTCGGGCTTCCCTTTCCAAGTGGACCAAACCGAAATGCCACCAAACCCGATAGTCACCAATAGTCTGCTGCAATCTTCGCTCATCGAATTATCCATGTTAGCCGCCCAATGCCCTGTTAATTCCCCCAATGCCTTAACTCGATCGGGTTTCATCCCAGATGGCAGATCTGCATTGGGATCGTGCGCCACTGTTCTGACTGCATGATTTCCGTAACAGTACAGTATACAGTATACAGTATTCATTTGACTGGACTGGAACTGGACTGGACTGAATTGGGACTGAATTTGACTGGACTCAGTGGACCTGTTCTTCCCCTCTCTTTTGAACCAGTCTGACCCCTGTAACTTCTTGCATTGGACTGGCGTATACCCAGGTGTTCCTGCAGGGATCGGAGTCCAACACGAACTCCTCTCATAGTCGGCGCCAACTGATTCAACACGAACCTTTCTAGTCTCATCGCCTTCTCCTTCTCCATCTCGTTTGTGATTACCCTAGTGAGTATTTTAAGGCTCCACTTAATCCATGATATACCACTCTTATCCACTCTCTTAGCTCTCCGCTTCTCCATGATCGACCCAGACTCGATACATCGTATCGCTGGTCCAATCGAGGCTCTGTGGCGATTCAGACCGAACAAGGGTGGCTTAACTGGGCCCCAATCATTGAAATCTCTTCTGCGCCATTCTGCTGTGCTACTTCGACTCAAAATTCGGTTTTTTTCGGGGCGTTCTCTTGGTACTTTGTTGGACTTTGGTCATGGGGGAATATTTGCAATTTGTTTCCAGTTTAACCAAACCAGGCTAGTGAAAGAAGAAAGAAATACAAAGATTCATGGAATAATATAGAAGATAAAAGACATCACATTGCGCCGAGGGTTTCGCATATCAAACCCTGAATTTAAATTTGATTTTCGACTTTCCAGTACTTTCCCTTCTTTTAACGTCCAGTGTACGGGGAGTATCTAGAAGATATATGTCAGTAAGAGAAAGGAAGATTATAATATCAAAAGAGTTCTTACCTCCAGATCCGTGCACGCATGTCTCCACTGCCGGTTGCGAAAAGGTTGCCAACTGGAGCGGGAGCAACCGAGATCACTAGAGAGTAAGATCAGAATAAAGTAAGCAATAAAAAGGAGGAATTCATAATTACCAGAGTTCTTGTGGCCCTGAAGCATCATCTGGGCATTTCCAGTCACGGGATCCCAGAACTGCACGCCACGATCTTTGGATCCACTCATGACCCAATGACCATCGGGCGTGAGGCAAACACTCAGAACAAAGTCCTATTGACGGTTAGAAAAAAAAAATTCACCGAGATAAGGAAATGGGAACCACTGACCTTGTGACCCTCAAAGGTGCGGACACATTTGCCGCCCTTGACACCGTTGTGAGGGTGCAGACCGCGCGGAACAGTAAGCTCCCAGAGCTTGATGGTCTTGTCTAGACTACCACTGACCAGGTCACGCCCATTAGGCGCAAAGGCAACAGAGTAGACACTATCCTTGTGGCCGTCGGGGTTCTCCAATCGCTCTACAAGGTAACCAGTGGTCGTATCCCAGACGCGGACGCTCTTGTCCAGTGATCCGGCGGCTACGTAGTGACCGTCGGGAGACATAGCCACTGTGGTGACTCCATCCTCAATGCTGAGAGTGTAGACAAGCTTGCCGTCCAAGATATCCCACAGACGGACAGTCTTGTCACCACTGCCTGAAGCAATGTAGCGGCCATTTCCGGCAAAGTCCAGAGAGTAAATGTCCTGCTCGTGTCCAGTGAAGATGTTCTTGATCGTGCGCGAGGCAATATCCCAAACCTACAAAGGCCGAGTCAGCAGAAAGATCCCAAAAATGTGGAAGCGTATAGAAGCTTACCCGGATCTGCTTGTCCTCAGCACCGGTAGCCAGGTACTTGCCATCGGGGCTAAAGCAGACACTGCGGATGTACAGGTCACCGTCCTTGTCCACATTCTCGTCTTGTAAAGTAGCGACATTCTGTCCAGTCTGCACGTCAAAGATCTGTGCCGAGCGGTTGCAGCCCGTCGCCAGATACTTGCCGTCGCGACTGAAACGAACACAACAGACCACACTGTCGTGGTTCAGATGATGCACCAGGTCCACGTCCAGAACACGCTGCACCTCTGGGTTGAACACGGCATACCAATCAGAACCCTCGCGCTTCTGCGAAGGAGGCAGGTCATCGGGGTTCCAATTGGCCAAGCAGTTTCCTATCCGCTCCGGACGCACGAGCGCACTCTGACCAGCAGTCCCAGGTGGTGTAGGACGAGTGATGTTGGGCGAGGCACGGGGATCGGGGTATGCGACGTGCGCCTGTTGAGGAGTAGCTGGGCCAGGGACAGTGCGGCGACCCTTACCAGGGCCTGGAGAGGCTGTGGGAGGGGGTGGAGGGCCACCATATCCAGCGGCTACAAAGGGGGAAAAAAAAACCAGTTAGCGTCTCGGCAAGGAGTTGGACAAAAACGCTCGCAACTCACTGGGCACAGCAGCCGGCGCATATCCAAACCCGCCTTGCGGGGGTTGACCAGACGGGGCGGCGGCAGGCTGGAGGGTATGCTGGGAAGGCTGCTGCTCCGGGGGAGGGGGAGGGGGAGGGGCAAGACCGGGACCACTACCTCCTTGGTTGGCCATTATGCCACTAAACAGGTTGCTGGGGCCGTGTCCCACTTGGGGGGGTTGACCCTGGGGAGCTGTATGCGCCGACGGAGCGATATGGGGGACGGTTTGCACTCCACGAGATTCCAGCTCGTGTCGAAGCATGCGAATCTCAGTTTCGTAGCTAAATGACCAAAAGGAAAAAAGTCAGCGGCAACCTTATCACATGTCATAAGAGAAAATGGCATACTCTTGCTTCATTTTTATCTGGGTCTGCTCCAGTTGAAACACCTTCTGGCGAATCATCTCCATCTCCTGGAGCTGACCGGTAACTGCATGATCTATCAGTTAGAAAGATATCTCAGCGAAATGTCGCAACCCTAGGAATCGCAGCCATGGAGACTGCTAACAGAACTAGAACATAAACAAGGGAGGGCTCCATGCTGCGATTGGGAGGGAATTTCCAGCCGTAGCTATAGAATATGGAAGACAGAGATTGTTGGGGAGATAAAAAGTGCACGTACACTGGTGTTCAAACTCGCCATTATTGCGGGACTGGCTCTCAAACTCCTGGCGCAGTTGATCGAGTAACTCGGTCAGGCGAGAGTTGGGCGCAGGCACCATTCCGCGATGAGCGTTGTACATTGCGATATAGCGAATCGGGGTATAGAGAGAAGTTAACGAAGCCGATCACGGCGGCAAGGCTGGTCGGTGCAGGACACCAGCTTCCGAGAAGGGAAGAAAGTGTTGAGGTGGGGGGTTGATGGAGAAAGAATAGAGAGGTTATGAGGGGTGAGATGTGAAGAGAGGCTGGGAGTTGAGTTTGGGAGAAACGGCGGTTACATTTGGCGCCTGAAGCGACCAATAGGCGGTAAGCGCTTAGAGTGGATCCATCTAGCCCGTTCCGTAACTCTAAGTATGAAATCGACTAGTAAGTATAGCCTCATGAGGTCGATGCATTTTCCAAGGTTGAAGGCAAGACTGGATTTTCAGTTCCATGCAAGTAAAATCTTGACATCGGCATTATTAGTAATTACTCCGAAGTTCCTAAGGTTCCGAGGTTGATATCAGAAGAACACGATATATTGCGTGAATGTCTTCACCTCCAAGGCTCCATTGTTTGGAACCCTACGCCAACATGAATCGCAGGGATCTTTCCAATGTTTCGAGACTTGGGGACTTGATCTGATCATCTTGAAAGTATCTAGCTTCTTCCACGATGACTCGCTTTTTTGGAGAAAAAACGGGTGTCTGTTGCGGGCTTATAAAAATGTGATATACGTGGCATTGCATGGTAGTGATAGTCCCAGTATCGTGCCAGGTGATTATCTAACAGTACCTAAATAGGGACATATGGAGTCTATATCCGTTATGCATCGATGATCCGCAGAATCGGAGATGGCACAGGTATCGGGAACGCTACTCCTACTTTCGGACATATCGATTGCTGATATTGCCAATGTATCGGCTCTGAGACTATTTGTGATAAGTGGAAGTATGAGAAATACTGGTGGTGCTTTCTTGGTATTCAGAAGGGACTATAACTGACTACGGAGCAGAGACTAGAGATTTACCCATCCACAGTACTATTAGACGACTCCTCACAAAAAGGCTAGAGCTTCAAGTCCGACTCCAATTCAGCATGATTTAGGTCATCTAGGCTTCTAGATCTTGACAGTCGACATTCTCCTCCTTCGTACTCTGTCAGTATAGAGTGGATTATATGTGGGGAAATGTTTAAATCCGAAAGACGGCTGTTCCTGTTCCGCTCTGGTCTGATGTCGGCAGAAATTATTACCTATTAAACAACCCGTCCCTTGTTTCCCCTTTCCCCTTTCATCTCTATCAACTCTCCACTCTACCCTCCTGTCCGCCATGGATATCGTCCTCGAATTATGGGATACCTTCATTGGTGATCGCATTTACGCTTCCATTCTCCCTAACTCTCTCGCTTCGGTCACCTCCCTACCGGCCTTCGTGAATGCCGCTAACAGTTCGCTCGCCCTCTTCGGTGCCCCCGAACCCTTCAATTATGAGCCCGCTACCAAATACTTCCAATTGGAACCCTCCAAATATGCATACTTGAGCGCATGGCCCCGGAATAACATCTATCGCCAATTCACTAGCTTTTTCTTCATCACTTGGTATGCGCCACCTGTCCCAATTCCGTTGGGGAGGGTTCCAATTTTTTTTTTTTTTGAAATTGTCAAATTGACATGGAATTGTTAGGATTTTCGGTCTTATAGTCTACTTTCTGGTTGCGACTGCCTCCTACATCTTCATCTGGGATAAATCAACCTACAAACACCCTAAGTTCTTGAAAAATCAGATCAGAATGGAGATCAGACAGACGATGGAAGCCATGCCAATAATGTCTCTGTTGACCGCACCCTTCTTCGTCCTGGAAGTTCGGGGTTACGCCAACCTTTACGATACCGTTGATGAAGAGCCCTTCCCCTTTTACAGCATTCTTCAATTCCCCCTCTTCATCTTCTTCACCGATTTCTTCATCTACTGGATCCACCGCGCCTTGCACCACTCCTCCGTCTACAAGACCCTGCACAAACCGCACCACAAGTGGATCATGCCGAGCCCCTATGCTTCGCACGCCTTCCACCCCCTGGACGGTTGGTCACAGAGCGTACCCTACCACGTCTTCCCCTTCATCTTCCCTCTGCAAAAGGTAGCCTATGTCGTTCTGTTCGGCTTCATCAACCTCTGGACCGTATTCATTCACGATGGTGAGTATGTCGCGAACAACCCTGTTGTAAACGGAGCCGCTTGTCACACCATGCACCACCTATACTTCAACTACAACTACGGCCAGTTCACTACCCTGTGGGACCGTATGGGCGGTAGCTACCGCAAACCCAATGAAGAGCTCTTCCGTCGGGAGACCAAGATGGGTGACAAAGAATGGCAGCGCCAGATCAAGGAGATGGAGACCATCGTCAAGGATGTAGAGGGCGAAGATGACCGCAGCTATTCTGCTGAGCAGAAGAAGACCCTCTAAGCGCGCTCAGTTCCCGATTCTTTCTAACTTTCCGCCTTTCATCCATTTAATTTTGAGCTCCACTGGTTCATTTCGGACTGGACTTTGGGATTCCTACTGGCGTTGGGATGTTTAGATTTGCCTCTGGACCTTTTTTATTTTGTCTATGCAAGTACATTAATTACGCCCATACCTGTTTTAATACTTTCAATAGACATTGCGTCTTGTTCTGTATATATATACACATACCTTGTCACGCAGTTGGATTGCATTACGAATTGAAAACGATTCTATCTAATATCAGCATTTATATTCACGTTTAACAGCCTAATGTACTAGTCTGGGGAGAACTGGACTTGAACCTTGCAAAGGGGCGAGAAATCACCTAGTTATTGATCACTTTGTTTTAATTAGAGAATTGTCTATGGCCCTAGTGGAGAAGCATATAAGTTACATCACGTGGTATGACCGAGATTCGATGTGCTAGCTCATCTCTGCTTAGCGCAGCCATATTCAGGTACCATCTACTAGCGGCTGAATCCTTACAACGGATCTAAGACAATTGAAAAAATTTAGTATCAAATAAATCCCCCAAGGGGACTCATATCAGTATATTCATGAGACATCAAAAGAAGAAATATTAACATATTGGGAATAAAAGGAGTGTGTGTACAACAGACTCAGGTATTTTGAGAAGCTGGCGCCGAAATTATCATGCAGAGGGAAAAATGATACTGATCTATTATGCTAATGAGACCTCACAACGAAAACCACATGCCAGCACCAACCAGACCCAGAGCCATAGCTGTGGGAACAGGGTGGTGCATGGCAGCGCCCTTGGTCGCAGTGGTCGTGGTGAAGATATCGGTGTTGCTACCGCCGCTGGGACCGCCAATGCGAGCACCAGAGCCGCCGGAGGAAGCAGTGGTAACGGCATTGGTAACAGTAGTAGCATCAGGCACGGAATCAGCCGTGATCTCCTGGATGTTGTTGGAGGTGGAGTTGAAGTTGGTGTTGGCGAGTGAAATCTCATTGTTGGTCAGGTCGTACACAACGTATGCACTACGCAAGAAAGTGTCACCGAGAACGGAGGTGCTGCTTCCTGCAGGCACGATACCGAAGACACATGCCTTTTCCTTGTTCGTGAAGTAGAGATCACCTGTATCCAGGACCAGCTCGGAGATGCCGACGTTGATCACTGGGGATGAAAAGGTGTAGGAGATGTTGATATTCTCGTTTGCCATGCTGCAGGGAACGTAGCCTATACCCGATGAAGACTCGTAGGTAACACTCAGGTCATTGTAGATGCTTTCTACGATCGAGTCCGGGAGGTAAGTAAGGGAACTTCCGGAATCGAGAAGGACAGCGGTGGGGAGATTGCTAGACGAGAATGTAGTGGTTCCCGATGAGTTGGAGAGCTTCACACCGGTGAGAGCGATGACGAATTGAGTGTAGTATCCATCAGATTCCTGAATGGGAATGGTCTCAAGGGTGCCATGGTACTTGTCGGAGTTGACTCCACCAAAGAGGATGGAGCCGGTGTTCGCATCCAGATCGTTCAACCACAAGCTGTAGGCAGTAGACTTGATGAGGCCGTTGTTCTTCATGGCCTTCGGCAGATTAGCGTAGGTGTTATCGCCGTTAATGTCAACTTGCGCTTCGTTCAATGGATAACCAATACCGAGAACACCCTCGGACGACGACGATGAAAAGCCAACTCCAAACTGAAATTTCTTGATTGTTGCATCGCCAATATGAAGGGTATCTGTGACATAGTCGCCCGCGGCACCGGAGGAGTCGGCATATGTGATATTGAAATCGGAGTTGACAAAAGCGTAGGTAGATGAATCGCTGCCATCGTATGTTCCGGAGATGCTACAATCGCTACTCTTCGACTCGCAAAGAGTAGAATTGGGGGTATTCACCCACAAGTCACTGCTACCAGTGTCGAGTACCAGGCGCAATGATTGCTCGGGGGTACCCAGTGAGACGTTGCAGAAGTAGAGTGTTTCCTAGAGATGATTAACCACATGAGACAGCGACGCCCCAGGCTCTGAAACATACCTCATTATCTAAAGTTTGGGTCACAGTCGAAGAGCGCTTTCGTCTCGCTTGATCTCTGGCAACTGGATTTGCGACATGCTTTCGCTGGATGTCGAAGCCCACAGCAGTTGGATTTTCGCTTCTCTTCAGGTTCAGCCCTAAGGCTGGAAGTGCCAGGGCCGCCAAGACCACGAAGGAATTCTTCAGATCCTTCATTTTTGTAGCCTTTGACAGGAATGATAGATCAGATCGACAATTGAGAGCGAGTTTGTAAAAAGTAAATGCACAATGCTTTTTTTGGAATTTGGAGAAGATGAAGAAGATCAAATAATTGAAAGCAAGAAAAGCAGAGGATCAAGCAGGGTCCACGTTAGTACGTAAGTGCGTGAGTGGGCTTAGTCGGGCTGTGTCATTAAACGCCGGCATAACCGGGGATCAATGACTGTCTAGAGCTGACCGAACTTTGGAAATCCGCATAATGACAGCTCCGGAATAGGAGATCATATTGTGGCACATCCATAAACTCATGTATCTCTTTCACTAGTATTCAAGAGGGTAATATGTCATTGATAGTATGGGGTAGTGAACTACCTAGGTAAATAGGTAATAATTAAATGGTTTGTAAGACATTTGTTGGAGTGGAGTAAATAATTTCAAATTCATCAGATGATTATTCAATTCTACAGAACCTTGGAATAATCAGATAGTTGACGTAAGATACTAGTATATAATAGTAACTAGTCTAGATGATCAACGTCATCATCTCCATAAAAGGAATAATAAGGTGGATCATAATCCGCGTCATCAAATCTTTCTCCAACCACCTTCATTTCCTCATTTATACTTCATACTCTATTTCTTCTATTTACAGTGATAACGATCGAGACTACTAATTTTTGATACTAATACAAGGGTCTGTACAAACCCCAAACAATCGTACAAATAAGCCCTGGTGACACAGCATCTTCCCTATTAGAGACCCATAGCCTGTCGAATCTGTCGCATGGTGATGCTAGCATTGGCCTGCGCAGTCTCTGCACCTTGTTGCGCAACCGAGTCAAGGTATCCACTCTTATCCCCTATGATCTGCGAGTATCGCTCCCGAATTCCTTCAAGGTGGTACGCGATCCGACTGGCTACATGCTCCTTCAACGTCTTAAGACTGGCAGTGCGGTACTCAGAGGCGATGTCCTCACAACTCACCCCTTCAAAATGACTTAGGATCTCAATGAGATTAGATACACCCGGTCGACTGGTTGGGTTGTATGTGATTTGGGGCTCCGAGTCGGTCATGGCAACCTTCACCTTCTTGTGGATATCGGCTGGCGAGTCGGTCAGGAGAATCCTGGACCGTTCATCCGCGTGAGACTTGGACATTTTAGATGTTGGTTCCTTGAGGGACATGACTCGTTTTGCGGGAGCTATAGTTATTTAGCCAGTCCATTCTGGGTATAGGGCTTGGGGAAACTTACATATCATAGCCTCGGGAATTGGAAAGATCGGTCCGTACAGATGGTTGAAGCTGTTGGCAGTATATCGAGAGAATTCGAGATGCTGCTTTTGGTCTTCTCCAACTGGGACATGGGTAGCTCTGGATAAAACAAGTTTGTTCAGCAAGGAGATGGCACCGGTATTTGTGCCATAGATCCTACCGATGAATAAGGATATCGGCTGCTTGAAGCACAGGATAGGAGAAGAGACCAAGTCGGAGCTGAGCTCGGGCTTCTGCATTATCCAGGGTTGCATCTTCTGGCAACTGGAGTTTGGTCTACAGACTTCATTAGCATACACACTCGAATACAAGTTCGAAGTTTCAGTATTACCTTCCACTGTGTCATACGAGATAGATATCCCATAGAAGCCACTGTGCTAAGAATCCACATCAACTCTGCATGTGCCGGCACCTAACAAGTCCATGGTCAGTATCAGCCCAAGACTTGACATAAGTCCCCACATACAGCAGATTGGAAGAAAATGGTAGATTTCTTTGGATCCAAGCCCACAGCCAACAGAGTAGCAAACGCCTCTCTTCTCCATTTTCTTAATTGAGCTGGATCTTGCGGTACAGTGAGGGCGTGGAGATCCACGACAGAAAAGATAAGCTTGGTGCCAGGCTTTGCACCATTCTGAAGTTTCACCCATTCATTGAGAGCTCCCAGGTAATTTCCAAGATGTGGAACACCTGTTGGTTGAATTCCAGAGAATATCACTGGCTCATGAGCTGGTGCTTTTGCTTTTGCGTCTGTGCTATTTAATCGGACCAGCTTGGGTGCTACGCAAACACGTGAAAAGTGTCTGCTGGTAGACTTTGTTGCAACACTTCCTTGAATACGAAGAGTGGCCTGCATATTGGACTTAAATATACACAAGTTCTGCTGCCAGAAGTTCTCGGGATAGACACGATTGTTTTGGCGTCTGGCCACAAAAACACCCATGTCACGTGACGACTATTTTGATGGCAGTAACCATGTATAGTCAATAGATGACCTTGGGAATAAGATAGTAGCAGCTACGGGATGTTCTCTTCTAAGGTAAATTGGAGGCTACAAAGCCTCTTATGCTACTTATGCTAATACTGAAAGCAGATGGAAGAAAATCCCATTCTTGATTAGGGATTGTATATGGTAGAGTAAAATACACGGGCCTGACAAGGAGCCAGTCGAGTTGAAAGAGATGAAAATAGTACACAAAACTACATGACGCCGAGGAGTTCCCTATAAATGCAAGGCCCGAGCAATGGTTGAACCCGAGGTCCGGAGCTTCGAAGCTCCAAAGCTCCTTATAGGTTCTTACGCTCGACGAATCGGTCACTATCCAGATGGTCGAGAATGCTTTTCTGGTGAGTGGACTTTCGCTTTCCAAATTGAGAGAGGTGTGGTTCGAGGGTTTTCTGGACTTCAGCAAGGGAATCATCCATGGTTTTACCAACATCTGTTCAGCAGTTAGTAAAAGAAAGAATAAAATACCGAGTAGAGCGACCATACCAAGGCTGTCATGCTCCCAGACATTGGCCTTCATTCCGACTCCGTAGAAGGCGTGCTTCCGGAGAAAGGCGAGCCATGCCTGCACTGCCTGTGGATTTCCGTCCTTGATCTGAATCAGGCGACGTAGAGTGATTCGTTCGAAATTCTCTTGGCTCTTCTTGTGCACGAAGTTGCTTCGGGGGACAGTCCAGCGTTCGATGATGCGAGGGAGAGGCACCGGACCAGAGACGGGGAGGTTGAGGTAGTAGGCGGCGCGAATGGCGAAGTCGGCAAAGAATTCCACATTCTGGACACTGTAGGAGCGCAATTGGAGGTCGCAAACTGGGAGACCGTATTCTGCCTTCCTGCGTAGAGGTCGCAGGTAGATTGCTTGCACACTTCGCGGTAGTCGGGTCTCACCAAGAGCGGTTAACCGTTCGGCCCTAGTTCGTATGTAAGTCGATCGATTCATTGAGATTTGCTATGAAATATGCAATCTCACTCACCATTCTTCCACGGGAGGCTCGGATAGCTTGGCTGGCTCAGATGATATGGACAGTTGCTCGGGAATCGCCGATCTAAATTGAATACACTGTCAATCACTCTGATTTCACCTTTTATAAAACCAACACTGATATCTTACGGGGCTGCGGGGGTTGCGGAGGCTGCGGCGACGGGGGCTTTGTCTGCAGCTGGCACTGGGCTCGGCTGGGCTGTCTCGTGTACAGAAGCTGGAACCGGGCTGTGCTGGGCGGTCCCCTGTACTGAAGCTGGCGCATCGGGTTTGACTGGGGTTGATAGCGAGCGAATTGGCATGGACACCTTGATTCGAACCAATTAATACGGATTTTTAGAATATTGAGGAGATTTAGAATATAACGTACCCGAAGGCGCCTGCTAGCTCCCAGGAAGGAGCGCTGTGTGGTTGAGAACATGGTCAATGGCTTGAGGACTGTTTGGTGCGGGTTTTTTTCGAACCTCGAAAGGTTCGATGTAATCTGACCGCCTTGACGCGGACTACCAGTACCTACAAGTATATCAGCAATTTAGATAATATAGAGTATTCAGTTTTCTATATTTGGAGATAGCTTAAATTTATTGAAGAGTTTTAAAAAATAATTCCTTGTACTAGGGATCTACATTTTGTTGTTAGCTACGAATCATATCTTCAGTGTCAACCCTCCCTAGGTATACAAATGCTGACTATCACTCCAGGAAGTCATTTGCGTATCCAGAGAATCTACTCATGTGATCAGCTAGAAACTTGATCTCTATCTTATAGTTACCATAAGACTGATACTATTAGTATATTTATCATACGGGATTCGACTTCTGCCTCTCCGGGCCAATGAAACAGAACCTCCGCAGTATCAGTTGAGATCCACTACTTCTCAACGCCCGCACTTGACTTTCTCCCCTGAACAATCGACAGAAGACATGTCTCAAGCATCTATTTTTGAACAGGCTAACGAGTCAGTCTCATTTCTGAGAGACAGTTTACCGGAGGCGCTCCAAAAGCCTCTAGTTGCTATTGTCTGCGGCTCTGGGCTGAGCGGCCTAGCAAACACGGTCCAGGCAGAGCCCAGAGCGGAATATGACTATTCAGCAATTCCTCACTTCCCTCGCCCCACAGGTACAGTGATCTAACCTTGATCTATAAACTGTTGGATGTCGTACTGATAGCTTGCAGTTGCTGGACATGCCGGAAAGCTGGTATTTGGACTGTTGGGCCAGAAGATCCCCGCAGTCTTGATGGTTGGTCGAGCACAGTGAGTTCACATTCATATCGCAAATAGGATCAGACTGATCGGAAAACCAGCTACTATGAGGGCCATTCAATGGATCAGGTTACATTCCCCATTCGTGTGTTTAAGCAGTTGGGCGTCGATACTGTTATTCGTAAGTCCTACGTCTACTCGTTGGACCATGAGACTGATACGTTCCAGTGACGAACGCGGCCGGTGGCCTGAATTCTAAGTATAATGTGGGAGATATCATTGTGCTGAATGATGTACGTTTCTCTCTTTATTATAAAAGCTAAACTGCTGACAACATCCAGCATATCTTCCTAGCCGGCCTTGCCGGGGTCCATCCTCTCAGAGGACCTAATGTGGAAGAGTTTGGAGTCCGCTTTCCACCTCTATCCGACGCATATGACCTAGATCTTCGTCGTAACGTCCACCAAGCATGGAAAGAAGTCATTCCGTCTCAGAGTACCAGAAAGCTACACGAGGGAGTGTATGCATTCGTTAGTGGTCCCACGTAAGAATACATCGGTTTCGTGTTCATTTGTCTCTGAACTAATCACAAACAGGTATGAAACGAGAGCCGAGAGCCGTATGCTTCAAATGATGGGTGCTGACGTAGTCGGTATGTCGACCGTGCCAGAGATTGTGGTGGCGAGGCACTGTGGCCTTCGCGTGCTGGCATTTAGTCTGGTCACCAACAACGCTGTATTGACACCTGTTCCCCGTGGAGACGAGGAACTGTTCCAGGGCAAGACCGCTGATGAGCTCAACGCCATTCTGGAAGAGGGAAAGGCGGGCCATGAAGAGGTCTTAGAGGCTGGTCGAACAGCAGCCTTGGACATGCAGGTAGGTTTCTCCCCCGCTGATCATTTGGTCCGATGATTAATCTCGGTAACAGAAATTGGTGGTGCACACCCTGGAGGCTGTTTTCAAAGTCTAGATAGACTGCACGACACAAGTGGATGTGGGCGTAACCGTGAGGCCAGAAGACAGGAATTTTGAAACCAGTGTGAAAGGAGCCAAGGCATTGACCTGGAGACTTCCCTTGACGTGTAGATAACATTCACTTCTTGTTTCTCTTGGCCTGGAGGTTATTGTAGTAGGCCTTCTTTCCACTGGTCTTTGTGGCTTGGATGTCGCGGTACTTGGATTTGAAGCGTCCAGTCTGTCGCTCCGTCGCCATGGTCTCTTCAACAAAGTTCTTCTTGCGGTCCTTCTTCACAATGCGGTTACTGAAGAACTCTGTCGGTCCCTGGATAATGGTACCAATTTGGGAGAACTCTGGTGCCTTGGCTTTGCCATTTTCTTTCTTGTAGTGTCTTTTGGGATCCAACACATTACGCATGCGGATGAGTTGCAAATCCCGCTTTAGTTCCGTGGTCATCACTGTCTTGGGCATGTTGAACCATTCGGGTCCAGCGGTGGCCTTGTCCTGCAAGATGTCGAAAGTTAGCGAATCAAATTCACAAACAGACAATTCTTACATAATTGTATATAATTGAAGTTTTGCTCAGAGTAACTATGAAAAATAACTCTCACGGTTGCAGCACAGCCCAAGACGGACTGGTGACGCTGCATCAAGCGCTATGCGTTGGGATATTTTCCTCATAGCAAATTGGGATGGAGGCGAAGGAATAGACATCGTGAACTTACTGTGCTGGGCTTCTTTGCCGTTATCGCCTGAGTCGAGCGTAGCGAGTTGGCTAGCTTTTTCTCCTTCGGGTCGACGAGTTGGGTTGAATCAACGACGGCAATATCATTCTGTTGGCGAATGTACGGCTCAAGAGAAGACCCCGAGGATAACTTGGGGATCCTAATGTGATGTCAGTCCTGTGTCACTTTTCTGTAGACAAAGTTACTATACATACTTCAGAGAAGCGACGTCTAGGCCTTGAGAAATTTGACCATTGGGACGCAGTCTGGCCTCGGCTTCCAACAAGAGCTGTTGGATCTGATCATCATTAAGGTCCTCCTCAACCTGAGGTTGATCAGTCAAATCAGACATTACAGCTGATCAGGGTGGATAAATCGAAGAGCACAGAGGAACAGGGAAGAAGTGGGTTTTATAGGTTAATTTTTTTTTCTTGGTTGCTTCCCGGATCGGATAATCTTTTCTCAGAAGTCGAGTATGGAGAGTTCACGTGATCCATAATTTGAGGCTGGAGCTAAAAAGTACCCAGTACCTCTGATAGGGTGAACATTTTAGTTGAATACTAGGTACTGGTACTTACAATCTATGTACCACAAACAATGTAATTCTATGAGCGTAAAAGAAGACAATATCAATATATCCTCAATTAAAGCTCTGAATCCAAAGCTAAGTTTTATTTAATATTGGACGAACTGCCCTTTGGAAAGACATGTTAGTTAGAATTGTGAGTGAAGTGATAAGAGGGGGTTCGATCCGGAAACGTCAGGCACCTTGGCAACTCAGCGCGCTTCATATCACCCCCACGCGTCATTTGGCGCTGGTTCATTAAATCGAAATCACTTCTCTCACTTCCTCCACTTCTCCCCCCTTACATCTCCCCTCTTGCCCGTCGCGTTGGTATCCTGTCAACCATCGGTGCTTCTTAATCTTTCTTTCCTCCCAACCACGTCGGGCGCAAAACGTGATCCATCATGGAACCTACTCAAGGTGGACAGCAGGGCAGACAGCAACAGCAGCAGCAGCAACAGCAGCAGCCTGTCTATGATGTGCGCAATGGTGGTCACTATGGTATGTCGATTTTTATTTTCTCGCGCTTCCTCGTCATTGTCGCATGGTCTGGAACGGTGCAGTTTGCCCTACTTCCATCATCACATTTGGTGCTTGATATTAGACTGACTTCGGAATTCTGAATACAGGTGCCAGCGCAACTGTATGTTAATGATAAACTCCCAAACCCTCGCTCGAACCTTCCCTCGGTGATGACCTGAAAGATAATTCTATATCGGACCAGCTAACAACTCAATCAGCTTTCTGGACAAGGCTATGCGCCCGTTCCTGAACTGTACACTGGAACTTGGGCAAATGTAAGCTTGAAGTGTCCTCGATTTCGCAGTCTCATTCCTTACACGCATCATTTAGGTAAATCAAGGCCTGCAGGGCAACGCCCGTGATATCTTGACAACCTACTGGCAGCATGTCATTAATCATCTGGAGACTGATAACCATGATTACAAAATCCACCAGCTTCCTCTTGCTCGCATCAAGAAGGTCATGAAGGCTGATCCGGAAGTCAAGATGATTTCCGCCGAAGCACCCATATTGTTTGCCAAGGGCTGTGATATCTTCATCACCGAGCTTACCATGCGGGCATGGATTCATGCAGAGGATAATAAGCGCCGCACTCTCCAGCGGTCTGATATTGCTGCTGCTCTCTCCAAGTCGGACATGTTCGACTTCTTGATTGACATTGTCCCCCGTGAAGAGGCGACCTCCCATGCGAAGCGATCGAGCCAGACAGCTGCAGCACCAGGCCCTTCGGTTGCCCCCGGACAGATGCCCCCATCTCAGCATGGTGTCCAGACCCATATGGGCCCTGATTACGGCTCTCTTCAGCATGGTATCCCCCAGGATCAGGAATATCGTACTCAGCCTGCCATGTATCCGGGATCAGTTCAGCCAGACCCGACAACTGCATATGGCCAGCCTCAGTCTCAAATTTTCGAGGGGATGTATGGATATCCTCATATGCCCCCTCAACAGGTATGAAATTTTACCATTTGGACCTCGTAGGATTTCCACTAACCTTCTTCTAGTGATACTTTCTAAGGCATTCATGTTTTGTCAGAAATTTAAAGAAGTATCTGACATGGCACTTGAAGATTTTGACCAATGGCGAAAATTTTCATTCACTTGTTTTTTTTCCTTTTCATCTACGTTTTACGCAAGGTTCAGGACTAGGTTGATTGATACCAATTGTTGGAAATGGGAGAAGATGTGATTCTCAACCGGGGTTGTTTGATTTGTTGGAATGATGGCAGAATCATCATATTTACCTCTCTGTGCCCGAATGCTGAGAGGATTTCAATCAGGACCAAGATATTCCTTGCCCAAAATTGGTATTAAAAATATAGAAAAAAATTGTAAAAATTGTAAACAGACGACGCCTTAGGTCTTCTTGAATCGTGAGGACAGGTTCGCAAATCTGTCTACACCCTTGGACGGTGCTTGAACTGTTCGAGTGAGTCTGATACACGAGGTCAGCAACTATTCCGATACATGAATATCATGCGAAACTTACTTTTCAAGCAGAACAGGTCCATGAATTGCATCAACACGTCCGTATTTCTTATTCCGAGTGGAAATGTCGTAAAACTCGTCGGCATTATCTGCCTGCATGAGCAACACCGTTTGTTGAAGCTCATCCAAGTTTTCACGCAGGATGAGGACATTAAGACTGTCCACAAATTGAGCTAAATATTCGACATCCTTAGCCAATGCCGCCACTCCATTAGGATTGATAGTCTTGACATCTGGTGCCAGCGGTTGAGCCTTTCAATATATGTTAATAAACTAAGCTACGAGAAAGGGAAGGTAGAGAAATACCAAAATCATGTTTGCAGCATGACTGAGAGCGTCAAAGTAGATAAGCTCTTTGATTTCAGTCGGCAATCCCAGCAAGGTCGAATTCATAATGTTTGATAGGAAGCGGGTTAATGTCTGCATGTAATTACTTGGTTCAGTGGGAGGAGTGGGCGACATCCATTCGTACTCTGCTGTCTCGATGAGGTCGTCAATTTTGGAGTTGACGACTTCAAAGATGCGCTTTTCGGCCGCTTTCTTATTGCTTCGGAATTTTTCAGTGGCTCTCAACGTAATCGATGTGCCAGTAGAATTTTGTGATCGCGCAGCCGCAAGTAGCAGTTCGAGTTCATGACAGGCCAACTCAAAGTGCTCCAAGTTGATCAGAATCTGAACAATTTGACCTAGGTACTGCGACGAAAGACGCTCGACCAGAGTATCGCACACTTTTTTGGAAAGAAGATCATCCAGCGCCTGTTTGATTGAGATATTAGTGCATTAGATTCGGGATACTGACATGCGTCGGACTACTGACATCTTTTAATGTATTATCAATGACATCGGGATGGGAGAAGTCGTCATTAGCGAAAAAGTAAAACTGGTTCAAGAAGTTCCGAATATCGATGCAGCAAAGGGGGTACATTCTTGAGAATGGCAGAATGCATGGGAAGCTATATATCATATCAGTCAGCCAAAACGAAAATAGTATCAAGTAATGCTTAGTACTTACACTTGTTCCTCGTCTGGATGATCAGGACTATACCAGCTCACATTGAGCACTTTTTCATATTCATCCAAGGTCTGAATGGGCATAGGCATGTAGTCATCTGTCGATACAATCTAAAGAAGTCCAGAGGTTCAGCACTACGCGGCAAAAGAAATTTAAGGTCTTGAGGGACATACCTCTTGAAAATCGTCACTGAACCGCCGCTTTAGAAGCTCTGAGTATTTCTCGAAAACCTTTAAAAGGAAGTCATCAAACACGCGCACTGGAAAGTTCCAAGTCTATTTTGTAAGTCAGCCTCGGTAATATGAAAGTGTATCGTAAATTGGGAGGGAAACTGACATTCATTGTTTGCATAAACAAAGCGATCAGGTTCTTTATTTTTAAGACACTCTCTGCGTTGTCCACCTCAGGAAGGGCCTTGAATATGACGCTAACGGCAGTTTGGCACATGGAGTCCCAAAGCTCATCAATCTGTACAAGGATACATTAGTCAGGTCCGTTTCAGTTAAAAGGGGAATGGAATTGAAATTACATCAACTGACGACCGCAGGTCAGGGATTCTTTTCATCGTAGCCCTTTCGACAATCGCAAATCCAGCCATCTCCTCTAGTAGATTGTGTAGACTGGCTCCGTCTTCATCTATCAGAGTAATTGACGATGGAAGCAAAAGATCTTTTTGTCGGCGACGAGTAGTGGCATACTCAATTCGGAACTTGTCTATTTGGCCCAAGGACTGATGGATATGCAGACACTCAAACAAAGGGGTAAATTCCACTTGGAGATCCTCATTTTGTAATAAATCGTATTCCTCGTCCTCATCAGCAACTAACTCAATGGCGGAGTTGAGACTGAAATGTTCAAGATACGGGATCTTCTCTGCCCGTTCCTTGAGCCTTGATTTTCGTTGGTCTGTGTGAAAGAGTGCTATCTCTCCGAGGTATTGGGACATTTCGCGGATACGATACAGCCAGGTGTTTAGGTCTGACATCACCGCCTCGGCTATGGCACGTTGAGTGGCTGGCACGGAGCGTTGAATCATGACCGCGATTTTGTATTGTGTCACCCCCTGAAGGTGCACATTTTGTAACTCTTCAAGTGCACGCAGCGCCGCGTAGTGGTTCTTTTTAGCGAGTAAATCATGGACTTGATTTGCGAGACGAAGGACTTCTAAACAGTCTTGGATTGCGCGCGATGTTTCGTCAATATTTTGCCGATGCCCGCGGGACTCCACCAATGCCTTTTTCTGGTCTGCAAGGCGCTCAGTACTTGTTTGGATAGACTGGTTGAGGTCGAGGATCTCTGCCGTCAAGCTAACTGTCCCCTCACGAATCCGTAGCAATGAATTGACTGAAGAGACGAATTCTTGGTGGTTTGTATTGCAAATGCTTTCAATTTCCGACTCCTTATCACTTGCAAACTTTGCTAGGGTCTGCAGAAGCTGTGGTGTGCGATTTCCAACACTAAATTCGCGAATGGAAGGGATAAGCTGGTCAAGGTAGTCTGTATCCGAGGGAGAGATAATTATCTAGACAGGGTTAGCTTTAAATAGCTTGGAATGACATACTAAAATACTGACTTGATTGAGCAAATGGGGCTCTGGTGCAGCAGAGGTAATTGAAGGCATTCTAATCGGGAACAAGCTTTCAGAATGAGCTTGAGAGACAGTTGACTATAAGGATGCGGGTGACGATGCCGCGCAGCGTCCTGCTCGCAGTTACCGCCCTCCACACCGCCATGAGTCTGGGCTTGAATATATAAAATTAAAGACAGCCTGACTATTATTACAATCATGGATCAACAGGAACTCCTGGAGGTGCACTCAATTTTGCATCTAATCTATCACCGCAATAAAAATCAACATCAGCGAACAAAATGGTGGAAATGGCTTTCAATGCTGAAGCGCATCTCCCTGGATTTGGGATCACAGGACTCGGACTCTGTCGCGGCCTATCGCCAGCATCTAGCCAAGCTCATCCCACGCTGTCACTTGTACGAATATTTCAAAACTTGTGTTAGTTCTTGCTGACTGTATCTTAGAGCATTCTCTACCGTGGTCGCCGATAAACAGTTTTCGACCCTCGGGATTGTGCTCGTGTCTACTCTAGCGCGACTTGCGAAGGTGACTGGGGTCGACGTGGAACTAAATGCGCGCCCAATGCAAAAAGCCAAGCCAAAACAAAAGACACAAAAGACATTAGTGCACACTCTTTCGGAGGATCTTGGGGAGCGTGTGTCTCGGGTTGGTACAGCCGATGTTCTACCTGAATCTAGCAAACCACAACCAGTCAAGCCCAAGTTTAAGGATGTAGAAAAATCTCTGGAGAAAACAGAGAGCACGAAGCGCAAGAAACTCGGCAAGAAGAAGAAAAATGCTATTGACGACCTTTTCAGCGGATTGTTCTAATCTGCACTGGACTACGATTCAACGATTCGTACAGATGGGGAAAAAGTTCAGTTAAGTTTCTATCGTACAAGCCTTGACCAAACTCAATTCCGAGATCCAAGGAATGATAAGCCGATGCCACCCAGAATATTCACTGCACCATGATTGACAATCGCCCACGCCATGGTGTAGAGGTATTTTGGAGAGAACACTGTCCAGATGAACAGGTGGGTTCTCAGGGCAGTACAGGCCGCCATGACCGAAACTATAGATGTTGCGATGTGGAATGTTTGTAGGGCTGCTGGGCTGTGATTTTCCTCTTGGTAAGGTCGAAGCACCTGGCTCTTCGAAACCCACCAGATAGGACCTGCCCAGTTACTCACAAACGTCAAGAACCCAACCATTATCACATTATAACTGCCGACTCCATTATAGGCACTGGACAGGTCCACAGAAGATATTGAATTCGAACCTCCAAAGGCAAAGAAGGTCATGTACTGCATAATTAGCGTCGTGATGGTCACTTCTATCCCGTTGAGATTCATAGATGATAGAATCATGCCTTGGAAACGGAAGAGCAGGAAGAGCGGAATGTTGGTTACTCGGGACTGTGTCATCAGAAGCAGATGGATTGCTTCGTGAACAACGACATTGGATGCTACCAATCGAGGCCTGGTCAGTAAACAGCCAAAAGGGCGTAAGGGAGAGAACTTACTTCGCGCATTTTCTTTTCGGCTAAGCCCGACGATGGCCAACAGGACGTAGCAAGCTAAGCCACCAAAGACGCTTCTTGCCTGCCAAACCAATGATAGACTATTAGGCCATCCCGCGACGATTTTTGATAGAAAGGAGTCGACAAGGAGTTCGGGTGAATCATTTGCCACGAAGTTCAGTTTGAATATGAATGCCAGAGCTGGCAGGATCAAAGCACCCAACCGAGGCAATACACTTGGTAAACTGACAAAAAGATGATAGCTGGCATCCATATATGTGAGGATGATTAATCCCCACAGGATGACCGGGTGACCAGGAAAAAAGGCACGGGCGATATCTGGTTCGGCTGCAAATTTTTGACCTGTCTGATTCCAGCGTCTAAGGATTCGCTGGGAGGCTGCTAGTCCAAATGTAGTCAGGCTGAAGCAACGGAATGCGAGGGGCCTACTATTTCTGCTGGGATTTTGTATCGGTGATGCCGATCTGATATGGAGATAGAAAACCCAGCCTGAACAAATCCAATACCAGAACTGTTGCTCCTCTTCGACGTAACTGCTTGCGAACATCATACTTCCATATCCGAAAACCGTGAATGTCAGGAACACGCCGGTGTGTGTGGATCGAGAACATTCACGGTATATGGTTGGTAGGAGCAGTAAGACTGCGATGGCTGTGATAAGAAGGCCAATTACTAGCCTAGAGACATTGTAATTACTGGCAGTGCTACTCATCACATCTTGTGCGATGTAGGAAAACCGCTGTAAGGCTGGTCCAATGCTTGAAAATGCGTCTTCATCTGCCAGCTTGTCGGAAAGCTGGTGTATCTGGGACCATGCACATTGGGCACCTTCAATCCCAGAATCTGCCCCAGATGCACAGCTTGATCCAGTGCCCTGATCGAACGTGGAACTGGGAAATGTGGCCTTGACTGTGTTTAGCAATTGTCTAGCATTCCGAGAAAGAACATTGAGTCGATGGGCGCCTGTGGAGAGGAGTCAATATATCTGTATGGTTAAGATTGGGGGAAGACATACTGGAATCCCACATATCTAGAAACTCTGGAATGAAAGTCCCTAAACTGTTCAATGGAATCGGCAGGCCGAGGAGACTGGCCAATGTTGGCGTGATATCTGCCTGCTCAACGGTCCGGTAGTACTGAAGCTCAGAAAATGGCTCCAGCGGACTTTCCAGCTGAACTCCCAGTGCCTTGAACTTCGGCGAAACAAATAGTAAAGCAGGAGATGTTTCACCAGCAGATGAGCCACCATGATTTCCAGCTTCGTTCATGCCATGATCACCACATAAAATGAATAGTGTGGATTGAAGGTGCTGTTCTTCTTGCATTGCCGTATATATCTGGTTCACAACCGCATCCATTTCCTGTTGCTTCGATCCCATGAAAGGGCTAGGATATAGTTAGAAGACAGCCAGATAGTTAAAGCAGGGCCAAGAGTATATACCTTTTCGGACCGGCTTTATGTCCGATGTGGTCCAACCCCAGATAATGCATGATCAAAGCAGACCAATCGCTTTGAGCAAGCTCGTTTGGAACATGGCGGGTCACATTATGATCTACTTCCACAAAGTCCTATATAAGAAAAGGGTGAGTCTGAGTCTCTAATATAAAAACCGTCAGCCCAAGAAAGAAACTAACCGACACAAAGAAGCTTGTTGTTCCATCTGCTCGATCAAACATGCCTGGGAAAAGCTTAAGCCAAGTATCGTCACCATACATGACAAGCCGATCTCCTCGGGCTTTCAATTGGGACAGCCATGTATCTTGGAATGCGAGAGTCGACGAGGTATCTGACTCGGCAATGTTAAGGATCACATCTAGAAAAGAAGGAACGGAGCCAGTGGTGATCGCTTTCAATCTAGGCATTGTCACAGTGGGGGAGCCAGCATAAGCCGTAAAAGGTAGCGCAACCCCCTCGCGGATCAGACTGGGAGAATGCTTAGCTACTTTTCTATATGTCCATTGGATCTACCATACCTTTGTGTAAATAAGAATCCAGACTCATTGGAGTAGACGAAGTCACTGAAATTAAGAAGTTAACAATATTCCTATCAAGAACAAAGGGAAATATAAATCCCACCTGCGTAATGCATCAACCACCATAAATATGACTTTGTCAAAGATGGCCGGTGCGACATCTTGGTCAAGGTCGTCGAAAGTGGCTAAACCTGGCAGAAGTGGTTTGTAGGGAAAGAAGCCAGAGGAGAAGACCAGGATACCAATTGGTATCAAGAGGTTAGCAAGGAACGTCCAAAACTTTACCATTTTGATCCTTTCCCCCTCGACTTGCATCCTCCGAACAACTTCAGGAAGACGCGGTTTCTACAAAGGGTGTTTACCGTGTACAGATTGGCGACTACACCGCCTTCATTATCGAGTTTATCCTTTCGGGAAAAGAGCCTCCAAATATTCCAATTCATGCATTTTTAAATACTATAAGAAGGTTACATAGTGGGAAAAGGAGGAGTTGGTAGAAAGGGATGTTGTTTGTGATAGATAGCAAGGAAAAATTCATCGCAAGAGTATGTGTATGTTCATAAGACTCCCAACGCCGTGTGTTTATTCGCTCTTGTCCTTCATTTTTTTTTGAGAGAGATTACGCCCTCGTGCAGGTTCATTTTCTCTTAGTGACCTTATTCGATTTGAAATGGGGTTTCTTAAACGAAATCATGTTGCGGGCCTTGCGATTGTGCTTCTTCACGCGCACTTGCTTGCGGACTCCGCTCTTGGCTTTGCCATCGATATCCATTGCTATTCGCATGATAAGTCAGCTTTGGTTTGTACGAGGAAATGCGTATACGTAATTGAATTACCTTCGACAGTGGAAGATTCCTTTGCGTCTGGCTTGGCTGGCGTTGGAAGATAAGATTAGAAGATGATTTTACAACTTTCTCGAGGGCAATATATAACATACCAGTCTCGTCTTCTGCAACATCCATTTTTGACTTCTCTGGAGCCTCGGGCCGGGGCTGCGATGCAAGTTCCTGTAGTTTGGCGGAGAGTCGTTCGGTTCTGGCATCGACGACGGGGCCGAACACCTTCGCGCGAAGGTTGGCACGGTTGCGCTTAATGACACTAGCCCGGGCACTTTTCGCCATAGTGAAGAGTAGGAATATGTAGGACTGATGTTAATCGGTCTCAAGATAAAAGTGAGAGAGAGAGAGGGGAGGCGATTTGAGATATGGAGTACCTTTTTTTTTTTTATCGCGATAGGCTCCGTCTTATGTCATCCGCCTGGACTTGCGAATCGAAACCTCTTCTTTATACCTAAGTAACTCTTCCTCACCTCCTCCCACCGTTATTTACGACGAGCCAGTATTTTACAGCAACCTGTCGCATCACGAAGGGATATGCGCATCGGCAAAGCCCTTTGATTCGGCTTGGAATCGCTATATTTGGTCTGAAATCCTGGGGCAACTACAACCACGAAGTCGCAATGGCGGCGTCTGGCCAGGCGGCGGACTTACCGCGTCTTATCAACCTCATCAGGACCTTGACCATTCCTCAATTAAAATATCTTCTCCGCAATGAGGGTCTCCCGTTAGCGGGGTTAAAAGCGGCATTACAGATTCGCATCATCAGCTGTACGTTCTCTTCAGCTTCAATCGAGTTAAGCAAATACGAAATGGTATTCTTGTACTTTAGCTAACGCGGAGAAATACCAGATTTGGAGCGTCTTTGCGCCTCTGAGGGAAATCCCGAACGCTATAATGCTTTGGTGACACGCATCATTGCTTCTGGTGTGCCTGGGGCGATGATCTGGCAAGCGGACATAAATCCCCAATTATCAAACTCAGCATCTCCCACACAACATCCCACGCCTCCCAGAAACTCTATGGCTCCCTACTCGAATAATGGTAAAGACCAGTCTTAGGTGGAGAATTTGATGAGAGGAGCTAATGGTTTCCAGGTGTGATTCCAGATATTGTCCACTTTAAAGAGAGTCCCTTTTACACCATCGTGGGCCCTCTGTCGCAAGTCATAGAGTGCAAAGGTACGTGATCATTCGTTCTTCTTCTGTTTAGATTCTGTCTCCCATTTCTCATTCCCCATTTTCTAACATCGAGTAGCGCGGGAACAAACAAGAGACACCGTGGAATTCAAGATCATACTATCCCAGACGAATGCCTCAGAAATGCAAAATGACCCTGACATGCGAGTGATGATTTACTGTGCGGCGGATTATGGGCTTAGACATGTCACCAAATCCGATATCACCTTTCCTCACCAGGTAGAACTCAAGACAAATCTCGACGAGGTCAAGGCGAATCTGCGAGGACTCAAGAATCGACCCGGTACCACACAGCCAGCGGATATCACCGACTACCTCCGTAAGAAGCCTCTGTATCCGAACACTGTGGCACTGACTTATGCATTGACGAACAAGGTGAGCTATCTAACCGCTGACCAATTCTGTCCGCTGAGGCATATGCAGGGTAACTTTGCTAATTTGCATTTTTGGCAGAAATTCTTCATGGTAGCCAATCTTGTCCGCAGACATCCCATTGAGAGTCTGGTCGAGCAGTTGATGTCTAGAAAGTTAATTTCCAAGGAGCAGGTCATAAGAGAGAGTATGTCCCAGAGAATCTTCACTTGTCAATAAATCATCTCTGACCTCATTTCCACCCTAGTGAAAAGCCGTGCTGAAGACTCCGACATTGTGGCTACATCGAGCGTCATGTCTCTCAAATGCCCTTTGTCTACACTTCGGATCCAAGTTCCATGTAGGTCTGTGGTTTGCACTCATAACCAGTGCTTTGATGCCTCTTCTTTCCTCTTGCTCCAGAAACAAGCACCAACGTGGACTTGTCCTGTCTGCTCCAAAGATACGAGCTTCCAGTCACTTCAGGTGGACCAGTAAGTGCAATTGTCATGTTCTCCCCCTCCATAAATTCATACTGACATCACCAAAGGTACGTCGACGAGATCCTTAAATCCACATCTGTCGATGTGGATCAGGTCGTTGTTGAACCGAATGGGGATTGGTCTAATCCAAATGAGAACAACACGGTAGATCTAGGAGGAGAAACGTCCGACGAGTTCGAAGATGACCTGGTTGAAATCAGCGAGCCTGGAGCGGATAATATTACAGCAACGAAGAAAGAACCGCAGGATTATGCTTCCAGCGTTCTGCTCCAGCAAACACCGGTTCAGTCCCGGGAAGTGTCTACACCATCTTCTGTTGCTCACACATCCAGCAAGAAACGTTCCGCTGCCGTAATTGATCTTACAGGCAGCGACGACGATGATGAGGCATCGCCTATGCCTCCTGTAAAACGGCCAGCTCTAGGCTACATGTCCCGTGGTGCTTCATCACAAGACAGCTATCAGCCTACGGCCAGCAGCCCTCTCAATAACCGAGCCTATCCTCCATAGACTGGGTAGAGCTCAGATGCTCTACTCATTCGTGGCCTTATTATTACTCTGCATTTCTTATGGAAGCTATGGCGTTCTTATGGAGCTTATCCACCGTCACAGAAAAGTAGAGCTCAGCTCTACTCAGCGATGACCTTATTACTATTTGCTCCTGCATTTCTTACGGAAGCTATGGCGTTCTTATGGAGTTTATTTTATCAGGATGGGAGTTTATGGCAAACTACATTTATAGCAGGTAACTAGTCTTTCAAGGTTCAAGGAATAGATATTCTATACATCTAATCTTCATACTAACTCGTAGCTATTTTTTTCCTTCGAAATCCTGGTAGTTACTCAAGAATTATGTAGAGAAGGCTGATCAAGCTAGATACACTCCAGGAGTAATTAGCGGGTATCTGTAGATAACCATCGACCACAACTCCGCTTCCCCCGAGCCTTGGCAACCAACTCTCCCCAACATCCACACAAGAGCGTAGAAGCCCACCATGTCATTCGATGCAGCCTTATTAACGCTTCCCGACTCCAATGCCCGCGCCCTCAGCTCTTCATGCTTCGACTTCCTCCTCATAGAACTAGTCCCGATGGCTGAGCGACTCGCCAAAGACCTCGCAACCCGCGACAACGAGCCAGAAGATGAAGAAGTCAGAGAGACAACATACTTCCGTCTTGAATCCCTCGGGTACCGCGTCGGACAAGGACTAGCAGAAAGGTATGCTTTTGCTTTACTCTACTCTACTTTGCTCTGCATGCTGTGCATGCTCTGCACAGCATTCCCCAATGCTTGCTCATCGCCTGGTCGTGAAGCTCCCAAATCTCCCCGAACAAGGCTAACAACACATCACCTCCTATAGATTCTCCCGCGATCGCCCCCGCTTCACTGATAATCTCGATGTGATCAAATTTCTCTGCAAAGATCTCTGGACAGTGCTATTCCGAAAACAAATCGATAATTTGAAAACCAACCACCGCGTACGTTGACTATTACGTGCGCACGACTGCAATCGCTAATCTGCAATAAAATAGGGGGTTTATGTCCTGACAGATAGCTCATTCCGACCCTTTGCTCGAATGAGTATGGCAGCGCGGGGTGATGCCATAGCGATGGCTCAAGCGGTAGACTACTTCCCACCCCCCACCCATGAAGCTTCCGCTGATGAATATGTTACAGTACTTGTGGTTTCCGTGTGGAGTTATTCGGGGTGCGCTGGCCAACTTGGGTATTAATACTTCCGTACAGGCAGAGACATCGGATCTTCCTGGAGCTACTTTCCAGATTAAAACCATCCAGCCTCGGCCTTGATGGAATTATCACGCACCAGGCGGGGCCTGGAGAAAGAAACTTAATGACTGCCGTCAGATACCGAATGGTAGCTTTTTCTATTACAAATGCCTCGGCAGCTGGACTGGCGAGGGAGATATCCATTCTTACCCTCCTTGCCCTGAAGGAGCGCATTAAAATATTTACCTACGGGATGAATATACGAGACGTGCACGAGTGGAAAATAGATCTTAATAATTCTTCGATCTTGCTGTGGGTCACATTCAAGTGCCTAATGACTACCCTTCAAGGGGTCTCTTGTCCGTTCATAATATCATGATCTCACGCTTAAAGCCTATCTTTCCGCGAATTAGCACGGCTTCTGAATATCTCCACCATGAAAGTGAGAACTCACTTGGGAGGGGGGGTTCTTAACGAACTCAACACCCTTTTCGATGTTGCCCTTGAGTCCAACAAGGCAAGCCTCGAGGAGCTTCTTCTCCTGGTCAGTCACGCCGTCCAAGATGTTAATGGCCTTCTCAGCGCCGTTGGGCTGTAAATATTGGCGTTAGTCAAGAAGTTCTGTACGTATAGTTTTGAAATGTCACTTACGCCGAGCTCCACAGGAGTGGAAAAGAATTCAACACCAGTAGCCTTGACAATCTCATCACCGCCAGTAACACCGGGCAGGTAGACGAAAGTAGGCTCGACGATACCCTTCTCGCCCTTGGATGCCTTAATCACAGCCTCGGCGAATCTAACAATATGTAAGTATTAACCGGAAGGGTAAAGATGGGCTGCGACATACCTGAAACCAGCAAAGGCCATGGACAGGGTAGCAGAGCCAGCACCGTCCTTGGCCTTGACAACCTCATCACCACCAAATTGGACGCCTAGAAACTGTTAAAAGCTAGTCACGGCAAATGATATGTGGAGATGACTTACGGTTGACAAGAGCATCGTAACGGTCCTGGGGAATCTTAAAGTTGGGAGCAACCTTGCTAAACAGAGGGACGATAGTCTCGCCGGAGTGGCCGCCAATAACGGGCACAGTGGCCTTGGAGGGGTCTGTAAGACCGGAGAACTCTTGGGTGAAAGTCTCGGCACGGACAACATCCAGAGTGGTCACACCGAACAGACGCTTAGCGTCAAAGACACCAGCAGCCTTGAGCACCTCGGCGGCAATAGGGACTGTGGAGTTGACAGGGTTGGAGATAACCAGGATGAAGGCCTTGGGGGCAAATTCAGCAATGCCCTCAATAAGACCACGCACGATACCGGCATTGATCTTAAAGAGGTCATCACGGGTCATACCGGGCTTGCCTACAATTTCAGTTAGCAGTCTGACAGTATCTTCCACAGGCTAGCACTAACGGGGAATGCCGGCGGGGATGACAACAATGTCAGCACCAGTCAGTGCCTTCTTCAAGCCATCGTCCTTGGGGAGGTAGCCGGTGATTTTCTGAATGCATCTGTCAGCTCAATATGGTCGTCGCGAGAGGGAATTGGCTATGGAGGACGTACAGCAACGGAGGAAATGTGAGAAAGGTCAGCGGCAACACCAGGAGTGTTGACAACATCGTAAAGGGCAAGCTCATCCACGTGAGGGCTAGCTTTCAACAGAAGAGAAAGGGGCTATTCAGAACAGTTAGCAATATTCACCTTTCGAGCTGATTAAAAGCTTCGGTAAATCGGTGAGAGCTCTTACTTGGCCAATGCCGCCAGCGGCTCCGAGAACAACTAGGACAGGTCAACGAAAATCGAAATATAGGTGAATAGTAGAACATACCAGCCTTAACCATTATGAAGTGAAGTTTTTAGAATTGGAAGAGTGGGGAGTGGAGAGTTGTTTTGCTGAAAGAGAGAAGAAAAGCGAGTGATTTATAAAGAGGGGCAATTGAGGGGCCCCGGTATTTCAATTTGTCAGGTTCGCCAGGGGCGGTAATTACCAGTTGACAGGGAATTTATCCGATCTACTACTACACCCGTTACACCAATTCCGATTATTATCGTCCGTATTATAACCTTCCCCAGTTTTGGTTTGATCATTTCGGAAAAAGGCGGAGATGTAAATGACGAAATTCAATCTGTTTGGCCTGAACCTTGGGATACTTCAAAAACCCGAGGCTGATACCGTTCGGCCCGGATTAATGGTACTTCTTAGTTCACAACTCCATTGCCGAGTATTTCGTCATGTGGATATCATTTTGGGAGGTTTTCTAGACTTTTATTTGCTTGAAGCAAGAGATCAAACTCCCAAGGAAGGAAATGTCGCTAGACTACACATGGATCCCGTTTCAGTAGAACGTGGTTTTCCAAAGATCGTCATATTCCTCCCTGCGAATCTCCATCACCCAGAGTACTATATCCGTTTTTCAGGATACATTTACTCGGAGGCCTTCTCAGCGGCCTTGCGAGCCTTGACACCACGAGGAGCCTTGACGGGGGTCTCCTTCTTAGGGCGCTGGGACTGGCGGACGGCGCTAACACGGGCAACAGCCTCCTCACGGAGGTCAGCACGGTAGCCAGACTTAGCAGTCTTATCAGCAACACCCTTGTAGATCCTAAATTGTAATATCCTGATCAATATTCGCTGTTGATGTATCGCACGAAAGGAGCTTCTTACTTGCGGATGGAGGCCTTGGGGCCGTAGGTGACGGTCACAAAGGTCTTGGCGGGGTGCTGAGGAGAGCTAGTCTTCTTGGTAACAACGTTGAGATCACCGCTGTCAGTACCCTGGATACCAATGGCCTGGACACAAGTTAGGATTGATGATGTACAGAGAATTGATATAAGGAATGTATGATCGCGTAGATGGACAGGAAGGGGAAGAGGTAGATGGAGGGATATCGATATGTACCTTGCTGTTAGCGTAACCGGCATACTATAAACATTCAACGATTAGTTATAACTCTCAACCCCCAAAAAACACCACATGATTGACACATACCTTGAAAGACTGCTTGTTAACCAAGTTCAAGGGATCGCGGGAGAACTGAGCACCGCCGCCGGTGTTGCGGCGAACCAGATAAGCATTCTGGTTACCTGTTCCATGTCAGCCTCCAAATCTCAGGAGAAGAAATTCCAGAAAAACATACGGGTCAGCTGCCAGACCAAGTCGTTGGAAACGTTAGAGCGAGCGGGAGCCATTGTGACGATTGATTTGCGATTGAATCGATAGAATCAAGTACGTTGCTTCTGTGTGAGAGGATTCCAAATCGGGAGAGACTCGCTAAGCAGTCCGACTGAGGACTAGCGTTGATGCCTGAATTCTATCACTGATTCCCAATAACCCAGGTGTCAGTAATTGGTCGATAAGATAATCAGGCATCAAGGCAACGAAGCTTATCAATGAACTCGTCTCTCCAACGGCTTTACCGGAAAAGGTTTCATTTCTAACAGATACAAAAAGGTGGTGAAGGGGCCAAAAGTAACCCTCTACTCTCTGCTTCCCTTCTCCCCTGGTCATTCCGAGCATCCAAGTCAAGTACATATCACACCATGACATATTTCCTCTTCTACTCGCTCTTGCTCTCGGTCATTATCGTCGGAACGGGTAAAGTCTTCCGTCTTCCTACATCAACTGTATCCCTAACCAGCCCATAGCACTCTACCTTACTCGGTCTCGATGGATACCGTTGATCAATGTCCCTGATATTATCTACCACCGCCTTCCTTCCAGCTTCACATCTGATCTAGAAGATGGCCTGACCTCGGACCAGTTCGACATTACCACCAATATCGCAGATGGAGACTCTCGCGCTGGTCTAGATCAGAACGCGAAACGTGAGATCCGGAAGATTATGAAGAAGCGCAAACTTGACTTTGATGAAGCCCGGAGAATTTACACGGAACAGCGATTCGCGAAGCATAATATTGGGCCAGATGGACGCCCCCGGGATCCTAAGTTTGTCTCATTCTCATAATCCTTTGTTTCTGTTCGATATGATATCATTTTTTATATACTATCTGCCTGCTATCGTGTCTAGATTGCTGTATTGTCGAAGGACATACTTGTACAAAGGGGATTAAGAAGTTGAAACTCTAATACTATTAGAAGTTTAGACCTCACCAACGAGTAATAGTTTCATCCAGTATCTGCATTGAGGTAATATCACTTATTTGCCATCATTCTAGGTAAGAAGGCCTTGGTGTTCTCGTACACCAAGAAAGTCATCCATGTGCTTGGTAACACCCGCAAGAGATTCGGACCCAAGCCCTTATAAAAGCCTGGAAGTCCTTCCCTCTGCCAGATCTTGAAGATTGCATCGGCGGCACCACGATATAAAGCTTGTGCCTCATATGATTGCAAACGTGATCGGATCACTTGATATGGGTAAGTGACACAGCCCGCAAATAGCTTCGATAGACCAGATAGCGCAAGGAAATCTAGATTTCCAAGCCGTGTTTCTATATTTGCTGTGTCCGCCCCATGCCCATGCTCATTATCCAATGATCGGGATCGCATCTTCTTTAGCGACTCATACGCCATGAACTGAAGAGCACCATGGCTAACCCCGAACAATGCCGGGAACAGCCCCCTATAGAACCCGGGTATACCCTCTTTGAGGTAAATTTGCTTTGCTCCCGCTGAAAATGATGGATAGGCACCGGGAACCCGAGAGCCTGTGGACAGCATGCGGGTTTTAATTACCCAGATAGGGTTTGTAATGATAGAGGTAAATGCACCTAAATTTGGCGCTATAGTCAGTCAGGAGCATTGCTTGTGAGCTTTTTGGATGTATACCTGCAGTCCCCGAGGCAAGAAAGTAATCCGAGGATGTGAGCATCCATGCCTCCTGTTCTCGGTATGAACAAAGAGCATCCTTCAGACTGCTATAAAGTAGAAAGTACAAGCCCCAGCTGGTGGAGTTTCCTAGCAAATTTGGAGCTAGACCTCTGTAGAATGCGGTAGCGCCGCCCTCATTTTTGGCGATTTCTTTGATAATTCGAATTGAATTGCCGAGACGCGATGATGAATTTCGATCGACTAGAATAGTAGAGGGGTAAGAAGGAGTCTTTTTGCAAGGCGGGGCAAATTTTACCTTGAAGTCTCGTTTTGACTAGGTCGAGCGGATGTAGACAGAGGGTCGAAGCTATGCCCGCGGTGAATCCTGCTACGGTCTCCACAAAGGATGACGACAAGTCATCCTGGCCCGTCATGAACCTGAGGATAATATTGTCGGGAGTTAAAAGAAAGAGGTAGGAGTTGTTGGAGAGAAGTAAAAGGCCAAAAGAGAATGAATATGCGGGTAACTTTTTCTGCCAAGCGGAAGGGAACTAGCAATTCGTCATGATGAGACGAAGACATTTAAATCCGGTATCTTGCGGAAATAAAGTCACTAATCTACGCTTTCGTTTGTCGTCGACATGATTACATTGTGTAATTTAAAAGTACATGTTGTCCTGTAGCGTTTTGCATAACAGTCCTTTGTATGCATCCGAGGCCGCGTGTCAAAACGAAAAGCGCCTCAAATCCAATCCTTCTTCATCGTAGTTTCCTTTATATGTGAGGATATGACAATAACTTCTTGCTTAAGCCAAGGGAGAGAAGAGCCTAATTGGTTAGTTAGGTTTGTATTGGACGGAAGGATGTTTTGGAATAGGCATACTTGAACAGGGAAGGCTTGGGTTCACTGTAGGTGTAACCTATTGTGTTGTTAGATTTAATTCTTCATAGTTTCGATATGGAGAGCAAATCATACCCAGGTAGATAATGAGAGGTAGGTAACCGCTAAGAGAGAATGGTTAGATTAGCTTGTTGGAAGCCAGAGTTTATAAAGGCTCACTAGTGAATCGCAACACGAGAGATATCGATGACCTTGGAAACACGCTCCTATAGAGAAGGAAAAGACATTGGTCAGCCTTGAAAGGAGGAAGTGATGTTTAGAATGCTGGAGGTCGCGACAAACCTTGGTCTCTTCAGAGAATTGAACCATATTGTATTGTGATAGTGGGCCAGTAAAGGCTACAGTTAGAAACCCCTTGATTGAAAGGGAGAATAACGGATAAGATGATTTGAATTGTTGATTGAATGATTGAACTTGGGCTTGGTTGAAGATTGAAGATCAAAGGCAAGACGTAAGTCCGGAGCGGTTCAGAAGTTTTCGGGGAAACATATTCCCCTAGAGCGCGGAGCTTGTTTCTGCCAGAAGGCGGTGCTGATAAGGATTGTGAAATTACATCCTCGAAGCGCAAATGCTCAAGCTTCCCTGCTCTAATTTCCATTCCCCCACCATCTCGAATTTTCCCATTTCATCTCTTCCTTTTGTTTTCATTTTGTTTTTCTTCACTCATATCACGAGTTTCTTTTGATCCGAAAGCACCATGTCGGGCGCACGGCATTGGTACGCATTTCCCGAAGCCCCAAACTTTTATGATCCATCACTAATACTTTACAGGGAGCAAGACAAGGAGGCTACCTGCTATGTCGGTAACCTCGATGAGCGCGTTACTGATGCCCTGGTTTGGGAGCTTATGTTGCAAGTCGGGCGCATCGTCAATGTTCACCTACCCAAGGACCGTGTCACCCAGACGCATCAAGGATATGGATTCGTTCAATTCATTAGTGAAGAAGACGCAGAATATGCTTCCCGGATTATGAACGGAATTCGTATGTTTGGAAAGCCCATTCGTGTAAACAAGGCATCCGCAGAGAAGGATAAGGGTGTGGAAGTTGGCGCAGAGCTCTTCATTGGAAACCTGGATCCCATGGTCACCGAGGACATGCTTCATGAAACATTCAGTCGCTTTGGCCTTCTCGCCAATCCCCCAAAAGTGCGCCCTATCAAATTTCTCCTCTTATTCATGTTTGTGAGCCAACAGTCGCTAACATTTTATTAGATTGCCCGTGATGACAGTCATCTGTCAAAGGGTTACGGATTTATCTCTTTCGCCGACTTTGAAGCATCAGATGCTGCGATCGCCGGCATGGATGGTCAACACCTCATGAATAAGCAATGCACCGTGCAGTACGCTTACAAGAAGGATGGACGGGGAGAGCGCCATGGTGACGAGGCCGAGCGCATGCTAGCCGATCAGGCCCGGAAACATAATTTCAAACTCCCCACCCAACAAGTTTCGACTCCATTCCCTGGAGCCGGCTCAGTCCCTCCCGTGACGCCAATGCAAATTGACGATAACTCACATCCTCTGAGTGCTACTCCCATGACACCTGACGTGAGTATAGGACATGTCATGCCAATGGCATACCAGAATGCGCCTCCCCTGCAGCGACCCCCGCAACACATGGCCCCGCCTATTGGTATACCTATGCACATGCCTATGGCACCGCTCGTCGCGGCCCCGCCAGGGTTGCCTGCCCGGCCTCCACCCTCACAGGCTGGATATGGTGGACCCCAATCCTTCCACCCATCAGGATATGTTGCTCCTCCTGGTCAGCAACCCCCCTTTGCCCATCAGGGCGCACCACCTGGATTTGCTCCTCCTGGCTTTGCTCCTCCTGGCTTTGCGCCACCTGGATTTGCGCCACCTGGATTTCCCCGGGAGGTGCACCGGGAGCTCCTTTGCCCCCAGGCTTTCAGAACCGTTAATAGCGTTCACACTACCCCAGATGTAATAAGACGGGGGTCAACCCCCTGCTAAGGAAAGTCTCTAGTGAACTTGATATGACTGGATATCTGTAATATTACGAAAATGAACTACGTTAGCCTATGGCATCGAAATTGCTTGTCAGAAGTAATTTGAATAATCCTTGAAAAAGCGATAGATCCATGAATAACCGCTTAGTTTACTTTACATCTCTCCCATCTCCACCATTGTTAATCGTCCATTGTGCTAAGTGCTGTATAGTTGCTTATACGGTCATATCAGCTTCCGGATAATCTCCAAGAACTCTTGTTGGTTCTTGCTGTGGAACGAGGACACCTGCGCAAACTACCATTTCTTTTACACGGTTTTGTACAACTACAGTAAGTACTGGCTTTCTAAACACCATCTTTGAACCATGTTCCTTTTCAAATTCGGGGAAGACCGAGGTAGGAGTAGACTATAGCTTCCACCAAAGCCGTCGGTCCCGGAACTTGGTGGCTGATTTTACAAGCTCCTGAATAGATCATGCATCTGTGACTCCTTAGCGGAAGGCCTGCACAAGCAGCAGCCTCCATGGTTGATTGGGCATACTGCATTGTGAGTTGCAGGGAAAGGTTGAATGGGATTGAAGTAGAAGTTGAGTTGAATTAGTGAAACTGAAATGAAGGCCGTGAAAAATGAGCTTGAAGAGAGAGAGTTGGTGATGTTTGAAGAAATGTGATACTGATCAAGATTTGGATCAAGTTAAGCTTTCTTCCAGACATTGAAAATCCAATTTTAAATTGAAAGAAATCGAAGGTCGAGGGAATGATGCCCCAGCATCATCATGGAGTGACTTATTGCACGACGCAACGGCGACCAGTATAAGGGTGGCAAGTTATTAAGATCGATATAACAACGACGTGAGAGGATGCAGATTAACTAGGTGAAATTAGACACGGATAGACGGCCACTTATGTGGCGGGGATTAGGTCCATTAAATAAAGATCCTCTGTGGAAAGTCGGCGCAAGACTTCCAGACGAACCGAGATGGGTTGAGCAGGTGGAGTTCCTGGCAGTCCTGCGCCAAATAGCTCTCCGCATATATCATCTGCACGGTGTGTAGGCCGAGGGAAGATAGACTATTTGAGTTTGAGATCATTGGTTTTTGCTATCAATCTTGGAGGCATCATATACCTCGGTTTAGACCATTGGGTTCCTGGTTGTACTTGTAGACAAAGAGTGCGCCAGACACTTCATTACGCACAATCCTGCATCATTCGAGAATGATAACGGTGTTAATGAAGCCTTGAACCCCCAGTAAGCAGGATGTCTTTGTCTCTAATCATTCGTGGTCCAGACTCCGACCAGTCCCAATATCGAGTATTGGGAGAGTGGCCTTGACATCTCGGTGGCAGTGTTTGGAGCCATGAATTGGCACCGGCATCTGTTTAATGCAAAGGATATTGTCAGCGAGGTTTCATTTTTTGCTGATGTATAATTAGTTAGTTTAAGATCAAGCATTACGATATATATGCAGTGACTTGAAAGTTACTTACCGGGACTTTGGTCAAGAAAATGTCATAGGGGTTTGAATTTTGCATCAATTCAAGGATATATTCCTGGATCTCTTCGATGATACAAAATACATCTGCTAAGATAGTCTGCATGCTTTCAGGGAATGGAAGCTCGGTTATCAGATCAGTGATCTGCTCGAATGGCATGGTGAAATATTAAAGAATTTGGAAGATGATAAATTGAATGCCTGATTATTAAGGACTAAATATATCTGGGGAAGTGGATCTTACTCTTATTCTTACTCCATACTCTGAATTTCCTACCAGGGCAACCATCTCATTGTACATATATCCTGACTACTCTATAAGTTAGATCCTTTCTTAAATCTACTCTTCCGCCTATTCCTCCTACTTCAACCACTCCTCAACCTACTCATCAACCTCCTACTCCCTCCTCTGCCCAGGTGGAAAAGATGATTCGCTCATGTCCCCACTACTGCAGTCCAAGATACTAAGAGTACCATCTGTCTCATAGGTATAACTGCCCGTTAAATCTGAGTGCGGAATATAGGCAGTCTAGGGTTTCAACCGCTCAACACCTCGATTTATGAGAAAGGGCAATCCAGCAATTTACGATGATAGTTTCACTCTCGATGCTTGACTGAGAATGACTGACTTCGCCAAATTGCAAAGACTCGTCACTCTTTGTGGCTAAGCCATATCACTCTGACTCTTCGAAACCGGACCAGAAAGCACATGCCAGTATTCTCTCTGACGACACGCGACACACGAAAGGAGTTTGATAACCCTTCATTTTTAATTAACAAGATGATGATCTCTACAAGATGTGGATTGCGACTGTCGGCTTGACACTTCGCAGTACCTCTGCAGTTAGGTCTCTTGATTCACTCGAGCTCCCGACAGATCTTCTGTTTTCAAAGTAATTGAGTAAAATGCCTTGAATCTAGCCTCGAAGAAGACAATGCGGAGGAAGATAACGCTTGCGTTCACGCGAAAGAGATCCACGAGGCTCCTAGCTCTGGTCAACCAGGATAGTTCAGCTGGTTCTTTCAGACAAGTCAGTGATAGCTTCAAGTCACACAATATAAGTATTTAGAAGATAACACGAAAACTCAGAACAATCAGTTTCTAATTTTTGCCCTTAATATCTTACCTAGGTGCGTAGGTAGTAATGAGAATATGAGAATAATACCTGGGCATATGACAACTACATCAATACCTAAGTATGAACATCAGACTATTGAATCTTAAAATATCGATCAATTTCTTCATGCTCAGTCAGACTGAAATACCAATAAACATGCAACCAGCATCATCTAGGCGTCATAAAATACAAGAGCCAAGTTGCAACTCCAGGCTATATCAAATGCTATTGCTATTGCCATTACAGGGCAAGGTTGTAGGTGTAATCATCCTCAATGTTCTGCGAGACCCAGAGTACGACGGAGCTGCAGATTAATCAGTTAACAAGGTATTCCATTTGAAAGGCCAACGATCATCGGAAGGGTCGGACTAACCTCATCATAACCAGCGCATTAGCTACCACATTGGCAATTCCAAAGTAGAGTGTCTGTATCGGATAATCCTTGATAATGTACTTGAGGACCAAAACCGTCTGCACAGAAGCCGTTAGCCAATGACCAAACTCGAAAGACAACTTCGATACGATCCCAAAGGATAGGAGGAAAGCTTTAAGGACGTACCACACTCCCTGCTAGACCACCAGCCAAAAGCGCAAACCCAAGGAAAAGCACAAAGCGCGCCTTCCACGCAACTCCGCTCCCGCTATAACTGAAGCTATCGGCCTGCAGCCTCGACTTCTCAATCGAGTTGATAACAAGCATACCCAACGCAGAGCAGATGCCGGGAATCCAGTCGACGAACTTGATGTGCACGTCGGAACCGTTACGGGCGCTGTGCGAGAAGGAAGCAACATCGATAAGGAAGAAGAAGCCAGCAGCGAACTAAAACACGTAGTGAGGTTAGTATTTATTAGTCGATAGTATTTGCCATGTATCTTAAATGCGACATGACCTGCTCTGGTGGGAGGGTTCTGATGGATTCGATTATGACCAACTCACCAGTGCGCCAGAGGTGTAGACGCCCGCGTTGCGGACGGCAGAGTTATTAAGCCATTCGGGTTTGGAGAAGCGGAAGAGATTGTTGCTTGAGACGTCCATTTTTGTTTTATTGTTGATGTTTGATGGGCTGCTGTTACTGATGGTAATGACGATTAGGTTGGACGGGGAAATGTCGGGCCGATATCGATCTCCTACTCATACCATCATCTTTCGATATTCAAGGTTTCAATAATTTTCTGCGTGTTTTTTAGGTAATATTTCTGCCTCTATCAAAACGTTATATTCTATTTCTGATCATCGGACTGAGATCTGGCGTCGTCATCATATTTGTGGTTACAACATGAGCCAGGCAGCAAAATATATATAGCTATACTAGCCGTTTCGGGAATGTCTCCAGATGATGCCTGGATTAGTTCCAAGGCCAACACGGTCTACATACTGCATATCTAGGCACCTAGGTATGTTACTACTTTGTGGGTTGAATATCAGAGTTCGTAAGCTTCATATCGAATTATGGTAACCTTAAACTATTTCAGGCAAGCACTTTTCTGCTGCCAATGTCGACGCAACCCCAAGTTGGGAGAATGGAAACCTATCTGCCTACTTGCAAGTATTTGCAGAGTGGATTGTGGCCAGGAACGATTGAAACCGCAACTGACGGCCTGGGTTCAAACCAATGCCTCAATAGTAATACACTGGGCGGCTCACCCGTAGTGCTTTTGACTGCAAACTTCGAGTCAAGGCTCTCATGTGCAGTATGTAGTACAATGCAGTTGTGGAATATTGTGAAAGGTGGAAAGCATCAAACTGCCATCAGACACAGCACTCATGCGGAGTCAACGGGGTGGGATCGCAGCTTGTCCATAATTGAATCGATGGTGTCCATATCAGCCGCATCGACATGCTCGGTTGTGTAGCCCTCTGGGAGGCTCTTGACAAGCTCGTCCATGGTGGGTTGGTAATTGCGCACAGCAGATGAGAGCGCATAGACGGCCTTCTTGCGCGTGGCCGGTTTTGAGTCAGAGGTGGCGACCTTGACAAGGATAGGTATCGCCTTCAAGTCAACGAGCTGTGGAAAAAAAATTAGCGCCCATTTTCAGATTAATCGAATGGATTGTAGAGTGAAGGTACTTACCTTGGCTTGCGACTTCTCATTGTTCTGCACTGCGGTGCCAACGCACCACGCGGCATAACGGCGCATTTCCGCGTCCTCGTGCTCAAGTAGTTGAATGAGTGGGGACCAAAGACCCAGCGGTTCAATATTGTTGGCATTGTCAATGCCCTCGATCATTTGCTCAAAATTGTCAAAAGCAATAAGCTTATTTTCCATATCGGAGTCATCTGAATGAAGAACCTCCATGGCAGCCTTCATTAGGTCTGCTTCAGATGGGCCACCGAAGAGGGCATTCATCATTTCTGGGGTTATGTTGCTGGTGGGCTTCGATGCTGGAGCGCCATCTTCGTTCTGGGTGGTGTTTTGTACACTCCATTTGAGGAGCTTGTTCATTTGGGGATCCATGACAAGGAATTAGTATGTGTAGTATATACAAAAAGTCGAGAGAGAAAAGCGCGGGAATAATAAGAGATAAAAATCCATGGGAAAGCATGACATAATCTAGAAGGCGCTCGATGTTTCCTGTGGCTTCGGTCATGTGACCTTGGAAATGGCGGTAAATACAACATTAACCACGTACGCTAGAACACTCTCTAGAAGGAATGGATTAAGGAGATCATTGATCAATGATCATCTCAAGACTACCTACCCCCTATACCCAGGGGTTATGATGATGTTACGGAATACTCCTATTACCTACTCCGTACACTCCATACACTCCGTACTAAACTCCCACTACTCTAAACTATTCCACTAGGGAGGCTGAGCATAGAGGGGCACAACTATACTTAGGCTTCCTTCAACTTCCCCGCCTAACATTCTGGAATTACTTGGTGGCCTTATATTATAGATAGAGTAATCGAATATGACAGGAAGCTTAGTACGTGCATTCTTAGTACTGGAGAATGTCCCGCTACCGAGAGAGAGTGAAGGCTTCCACCAAACCAAAGAACCCCCCACGAGGTGAATTACGCAGAATACATCCATAATAGGAAAATGGAATTGTCATATACTGAATATAACGTCTGCCTGGTGAGAGTTGTAAAAAGATAAAATAAAGTCAAAGAAGCGGTCGATTGGGGGGTTAATCGAGGCCTTCCGCACACACCAGGTGTCCCGACCATCACAAACCCTCCCCCTCCTCTCCACTTCTTCCCTCTTCCCTCCTTCCTCCCTTTCCCCTGCTTCCTACTCTCCATCTATAACTTCTCCCCTCCCCCATCTCCAATTTCCCTTTCTTTTTCTTCTTAGTTCCTCAATTCATTCATCATGGAAGGTAAGCTTACTCTTCATCTCTCTCGTCTGGTTTTGGTTCTTGTGGCCACCTCATCGGCTTACCCCCCTCCCCAGAACTGGGGGCAAATCAACTGGAGACTCGATTGCATCCAACTGTTTACTTCAAGACCTTTTCGCTAATTCATCTGTTTTCTTACAGAAGAAGTTGCTGCTCTCGTCATCGACAATGGGTACGTACCTCTTTTATTGCTCGTCTGGGAAGCTGGGGGTGTTTGGGACACTTCGTCAATCCGGTCGCGGATCTCCTCTCATCTCCCCCCTTATATGTCCGACCCGGCGAATTGAGTCCCAATCGCCTCAACCCGGAGTCCCAGCGGAGCATACAGCATGTGAATCTATAATTCAGGGATGAGTACTGATAATTTGCTTGTAGTTCGGGTATGTGCAAGGCCGGTTTCGCCGGTGACGACGCACCTCGAGCTGTCTTCCGTAAGTTCAACCCCACAAGAACGAGGGTCTTCCCCTCCTCGCAAGCCATCCCACCAACCCTTGCATAAGGGTTTTTGAGATTTGATTCTGTGGCAATCCGAAAATCAAACTCGATCCTCACTTGCAAGTTGGGAATTTTCAGGAGAACATACGCTAACGTTGTGAACAGCCTCTATTGTCGGTCGTCCCCGTCACCATGGGTAAATATCCCCCTACCTTTTACTATTATGTCCCTATATTGCGCAAGCTTTCCATGCTCTTGCAAAAGGACACTCTGGAATTGACCAAAAAACTAACACGCCCTTAGTATCATGATCGGTATGGGTCAAAAGGACTCCTACGTTGGTGATGAGGCACAGTCCAAGCGTGGTATCCTGACTCTCCGCTACCCCATTGAGCACGGTGTTGTCACCAACTGGGATGACATGGAGAAGATTTGGCACCACACTTTCTACAACGAGCTCCGTGTCGCCCCCGAGGAGCACCCCATCCTCTTGACTGAGGCTCCTATCAACCCCAAGTCCAACCGTGAGAAGATGACCCAGATTGTGTTCGAGACTTTCAACGCCCCTGCCTTCTACGTCTCCATCCAGGCTGTCCTGTCCCTGTACGCCTCCGGTCGTACCACCGGTATCGTCCTTGACTCCGGTGACGGTGTTACCCACGTTGTCCCCATCTACGAGGGTTTCTCCCTTCCCCACGCCATCTCTCGTATCGATATGGCTGGTCGTGACTTGACCGACTACCTCATGAAGATCTTGGCTGAGCGTGGATACACCTTCTCCACCACTGCCGAGCGTGAAATTGTTCGTGATATTAAGGAGAAGCTGTGCTACGTTGCTCTCGACTTTGAGCAGGAGATCCAGACCGCTTCCCAAAGCTCCAGCCTTGAGAAGTCCTATGAGTTGCCCGATGGACAGGTTATCACTATTGGTAACGAGCGCTTCCGTGCTCCTGAGGCTCTGTTCCAGCCTAACGTCCTTGGTCTTGAGAGCGGTGGTATCCACGTCACCACCTTCAACTCTATTATGAAGTGTGATGTTGATGTCCGTAAGGACCTGTACGGCAACATTGTCATGGTAAGTCATTCTCCATAAAAATTGTCTTTCGACTTGTTGCTAATTATATCTCTAGTCTGGTGGTACCACCATGTACCCCGGTATCTCCGACCGTATGCAGAAGGAGATCACTGCCCTTGCCCCCTCGTCCATGAAGGTCAAGATCATTGCTCCCCCCGAGCGCAAGTACTCCGTCTGGATCGGTGGTTCCATTCTCGCCTCCCTGTCCACCTTCCAGCAGATGTGGATCTCCAAGCAAGAGTACGACGAGAGTGGTCCCTCCATTGTGCACCGCAAGTGCTTCTAAGCATCTTCTGCACCCTGATCGTCTTCGCTCGTACTTTACTGGTGTATTAAAAGGCCGCATGAAGGCACCGGTGGATTGCTCGCGTTGTTGGACTCGCATTATCAAGCGAATAGCCTGAAAATGGAAATATTTTAGTGGAATAGAGTCGGTTTTTTTTCTTCCCTTGACGTTCCCTCATCTTCTGATTTCGCCACGTGCTGTGCTTCTCTATGTCTGCATGAAAAGCTCTATGAATACCGTTTCTCCCTGATTCTTTTGCCCCCGCGGGCCGGGTCGGGGCGCCACGGATGTAAGCTGAGGATGTACGAGGTTTGGCATCGGTCGTGATCCCTTTTATGTTCTAGCCTTATGCCTTTGTATCTCCGACTAAATTGTCTCTTAAACACTTTTTCTTTTGATCTGCTCTCGGACATAATAGATGAGTAGTCATGGAAGTAGTTAACGAATTAGAGAGCCTTGAATACACTCAAAATACAGCCCTGGAACACGACCTAGGTAGTGGATTTCCTTTCCCAGTTCTTGGCCTTCCCCTTCTGTTTTAGTGATCACTGCTTGCCGCTTTTTGCTGACTGAGTAGAGCTGAGCACGTCATGAACGCCAAGAGCAAGTCGCCGTACTAAGCGTCACCTGATCGTTACCTGAGTAATCACTGTGCAATATCTGAGCGGCCTGATTCGCTCACTGAGCGAGCACTGAGGAGCTGAATAAGCCACCTCAATAAACTGCGACACGCTAGCTCCATTAGATTTCACCGTTGTCCCACCAACAAAGGAGGTTGTCAAAAGAACAATAACCATGTCTACTCGAGAGGATGCCCCTGAATAGTACTATACTGTAGAGGACATGATTACGTATATGCTTAATATTTACGGCGACCCTGACCGCATAAAGAACGCGCGCCGTAGATTCCGCGAGCTAACATAAAAGAAGGACGAAAGGTTCGCTCCTTTCCTCTCTAAGTTCATCCTCCTTGCGCAGGAAGCTATAGTACCTAAGGCTACCTGGAATGATGAGATCACGGAGAAGCTAAAGAAGCCCCTTCGAGACCGCGTGGCTGTCATCAAGGATAAGGATTTCACTTTTAAAGAGTATACTGATAAGATCCTGAAGATGTCGAAGAAGCTTGATGCCTCTTAGATTGAACTAAAGAAGGAGACCAGGGATAGTAGTAAAGAGCCCATCATAGGGGTCGGAGCTAAGCCTAAGGACTCTAAGTTCACACGTGCTAGCGATAATCTCCGAGACCTTAAGAAGCCCTTCGAGCTTTCTGAGAAGTGGAAGTCACTGAGCGTTCATTAGGCCTCAGTGGTCTGTCACGTGATGAGAATGAGCAGCTTACTGAGCCTGAGCCCGGACTGAAATTTACTCACTGAGCTTGACTCTGAGCGTCCTCATTAAAGCGGCGGTAGCTGTTTTAGGAAAGCCCCACCGTGGAAAGGAAATATGCTACATACAGCTACCTAGATTGAGTAAAAACCCGTGAGGGAGCTTCTTTTGGCAGAAGCAATTCATTCTCGACCTGATACTTCGTTGTACTTCGTATTCGTACTACTAGATGTTCTAGGAAAATAATTTCAATTCAAATATTCATTTCCTGATGAAAATCAGGGTATATATAATGTATCATTTATCCATCATACTCATTCGTTTTGGTCGGAACATGTCCAAAGAAGAAGAAACAAACCAACAAGGCAAATATAAAACAACAAGAAAAAAAGACCAACCTATAAATTATCAAAGAAGATTGTAGAGTCAAATCATGCCCATGACTCGAGACCGGCAAGGACGCAGCCCTCTTCACCCTCGGCACGAGCACGCAGCTCACCAATGCGGTATACAGCCTCACCCTCAGCCTCGAAGGTCTTGCGAACAGCGGCTTCGGAGGCAGGGTCGACAGCAATGATCATGCCAACACCGCAGTTGAACGCACGGGCCATCTCGGCAGCGGAGACGTTACCAGCGCGCTGGAGCCAGGAGAAGACGGGGGCTGGGTCCAGGTGCGGACGTCAATAGCAGCAGTGAGGGTATCGGGGAGCATGCGGGGCACGTTCTCGACGAGACCACCGCCAGTGATGTGGGCTAGACCCTTAATGGCGCCGGGGTGGGAGGAGAGGGTCTTCAGGATGGGCTTGACGTAGATACGGGTAGGGGTGAGGAGCGCACGGCCGAGGGAAAGCTGCTCAGTTTGTCCGGGGACGGAGAAGGGAGCGGGGTCGGTGTAGCTCAGGCCGGTGCGCTCGACGACCTTGCGGACGAGGGAGTAGCCGTTGGAGTGGAAGCCGTTAGAGGAGAGGGCGAGGAGAACGTCACCGGGACGCATGTCATCGGTGTAGGGCAGGATACGGCGGGCGTGCTCGCCAGTGGTGTTGATGGCGCCGATAGCGGCACCGACGGCATCGTAGTCATTGCCGGCGAAGAGGCCGGGCATCTCAGCGGTTTCGCCACCGATGAGGGCGCAGCCGGCTTGCATGCAGCCAGCGGCGACACCGGTGACGAAATCAGCGGCTGTGGCCACATCCAGTTGGCCGCAAGAGTAGCAGTCCAGGAAGAACAGAGGTTCGGCACCTTGAACGACCAGGTCGTTCACGTTCATGGCGACCAGGTCGATACCGACGGTGTCGTGGATACCCACGGTGTGAGCGATCTTGAGCTTGGTGCCAACACCATCAATCGCACCGATGAGGGTAGGAGAGTGCGGGTGGTACTCTGGGTTGGCAGCGGCCAGAGAGAAGACACCGCCAAAGCCACCGATGACAGCGTCGGTACCGGGGCGCTTGGTGAGACCGACGGACTTCTTGATGCGGTTCACCAGCTCGTTACCGGCGTCAATGGACACACCAGCAGAGGCATAGGTCAGCGAAGTCGCAGCAGCAGTCTGGCGGAATGCACGGTGGGCAATGTCCTTGCGGAAGAACATGCCATCGAAGTGGATGGTGGCAATACCCTCGTAGCTCTTGGAGACAGCCTCCTCGAGAGTCGAGGCAGTAGCTGTGGCAGCGATGACACGGCCGCCGGAAGTCTGGAGCTCATTTCCAGACAGAGTGGTACCGGCGTGGAAAATGACAGTGCCAGCGGGGGCAGGGTCCAAGGTGATGGGCTTGCCCTTGCCGTAGGAGCCAGGGTAGCCGCCAGCAACAGCGACGACGGTAGTGGAGAACTTGGGCTCAATTTTGATCGAAACGCCGTCCAACCAGTGCTCGGTACAGGCAACCATGATTTGAGCAAGATCAGTATCCTCGCTCAGGAGAGGCAAGAGGGTCTGAGTCTCGGGATCTCCACCACGGACATTGTATTCAAGGACCTTGGGTCCATTCTTGGTGATCATCAATCCGGTGAACAGGATGCCGACGAAGGGGAAACCATCTTTACGCATGCCATCAATAGATGGTTGAATGATGTTCTGGTCAATCTGAGCGCGAATTTCCTGCGGCGCAATGCGCGTAGGCGCATAGCAGCCCATGCCGCCAGTGTTGGGGCCCTGATCACCGTCGAAGATACGCTTGTGATCCTGAGCTGGGGGCAGAGAGCGGATAGTGTAGCCATCGCTGAAAGTGAGAATGCTCAACTCGTCACCTTCCAAAAGCTCTTCAATGACGACCTCGTTACCGGCCTCGCCGAACTGATGGTCCAGCATCATCTCGCGGAGTGCCTGGTGAGCCTCCTCCTTGGTGGTGGGGAGAACAACACCCTTTCCACCAGCCAGACCGCTGGCCTTGATGACAACGTCATGAGTGACAGAGTCGAGGTAGCGGCGTGCAGCCTCATAGTCAGAGAAGTTTCCGAACTCAGCGGTCGGGATGTTGTGGCGTTTCATGAAATCCTTGGAGAAGGTCTTGGATCCCTCCATGCGGGCAGCAGCCTTGGACGGGCCAAAGCATCGGATACCAACTATATCAAATCTTCAGTATCAGGAATTTTTTTTCTTTTTTTTTGTGCCTGGCAGCGACAAAATCGCCTTTGAATCTGCGACATACCAGCCTGGAAATAACCGTTGATACCATCCACCAGCGGGGCCTCAGGGCCTGGAACCACCAGGTTCACCTGGTTCTTCTGGGCGAATGCCACGAGGCCGGGGTAATCATCGCCCTTGACATTGGCGTTGGCGATCTTGTTCGAAACACCCAGACCAGTGCCACCGTTTCCGGGAGCGACGTAGACGATGTCGACAAGAGGCGATTGGCTCAGCTTCCAGGCGAAAGCATGCTCACGGCCACCATTTCCAACAACCAGGATGCGCAATTGTTCTTGGGCCATATTGAAAGCAGGATCTCGAGTGACTGATAGATGTTAGCGATAGTTGAAAGTAAATCCCACCGCGGGGTACCATGTCTCCAAGGTGGACTGGAATTGAAAACACGGAATGGATAGGAATAAAAGACAAGGAAAGGAACATAAGATTATGAGGATATTAATTTACTGACCTCGAGAAACTTGAGAAACACCTGCGGGAAAGTGGATGAGGGTCAAAATGGTTCTCTGTCTGACTCGACACTTTTTTTTTCTGCCGGCGGCGGTATTTCTCCGACCCCCAAACTTAGTACTAACTACATTAACGTCAACTTTTTATATGACTTTGTACAAATTAGGCCGATACCGGACTCAAATCGATAGAGCCTGTGCATTAGTTTATTTTATCAATGGCTTCCATAGCAGCATAGCTTATATTAAATCAAATAGTTATAATCTGAGGCTCGAGAGTTTTATATTTCCTGCCTCAGGCCGAAGTCATTAAGATCGTGGGCGGTGTCGGACAGCAGAAAAAAAAAAGACCAGCGCGTTAAGACGAATTTGTCTGACGAGCCGTGCTCCGGCTTTCAGGGAATATCTTTCGTTATTCCTATAACTCCATTCGGTTCCTTCATATATTGACCCGGATGCTTCGTGTCTCTCTCCGGTCTGTTGCAGACCCGATTCGGGACTATTCCTGCCTCTCCTGTCTAGCCCGGCGATATGGCGCGCCAGCCGGAGTGCGTCAATTCCACCGCGCGCCTGTACTGCGCAATAATGCTAGCAGCAGCATTATAGAGAACAAGTCAGGAGATGATGTGCCTGCCGATTCCCTGGTGAACTCCACAGACAGTGGATCCTCTACAGTTGTATGTCATCTGCAATCTTCAGCCATGCTAGAAAAGCCGAATAAACTGACATAACATCTCCTTAGGATGGTGAGCTAAAAACCGAAGATTCAGGAGAGAAGAAGACGAATAGCGATGCACAAAAACCGAAAAAGCGAAATAAAGAGAAAGGATCGGCCATTGTGAAAAAGCTCATTCGGGAAAGTATGAAACATCGAAAGGCAGCGAGGGCAGCGTCAGACAAGCCACAGAAGGAGAAATCAAAACTTTCACATGTTCAGAAATATATCCTTGAGAAGGAAACTGGCGAGATTAGCTCCGAGAATGACAAAATTACGGGTGAGTGGTTGGGACAACATTTGAACCAAGTGAATGGCATCTAACACATACAAGCACTGGATTATCCTACAGCTCCTGTTCCTGGTCTTTCATTCGGTCTTGATCGAACTCTTTTCAAGTGAGTCAGCTCTAAAATGGCCAAATTTCAAAGCTCTAATGATGTATAGCCCTGGCGTGTATCAACTGCGAGACCCCCGATCTCGCGTCTACAATTTTGATCCTTACCTTTCATCAATAATGCCCATCAGCGAATTCGATTTCAATACTCTCAAGCCCTATATCACTTCGTCCAAGGACGAATATCTTCGCAGTGTTGCTGTCAAAGAAAAAAAGAAGTACGTGGGTTCTTCTTCAAGTATGACATCAGTTCTCTCGCACTTCCACTACCTCCTATCTACCTGGAGAGCTGTCGACATCCGCAGTCTGTCGCAGGGGTTCCCAGAAACCAGAAACACATTTACACGCCTTCTTCGAGCACCGGCTGCCATATTCCTCCACCATAAGGATGGTGTGTATTCTATCGACGCCGACAAGGAATTTGACATGGCCAACGTTCTCATGAATCTTGGAAAATCCATGGAGAAGTTGCTTACTATGCCCAAGGAGGAATTCGAACGGTATCGACGAACTCACAAGAACAAGATCACTGCCGAGGAGGAAGAGGCAATACCCGAATCTTACCACTACTCCACCTACGGAGATTTCATCATGCGGTCTCAATTAGATGCTTATGATCCGCGTCTACCTGGCACCGGTATGTTTGATCTCAAAACCCGTGCTGTAGTCTCAATCCGAATGGAAGCTCAAAATGTTGAGAATGGCATGGGATACGAAATAAAAACTCGCTTTGGTAACTTTGAATCATATGAGCGTGAGTTCTATGATATGATCCGGTCAGCCTTCCTCAAGTACTCCCTGCAGGTGCGCATAGGCCGTATGGATGGAATCTTTGTGGCGTTCCACAATATCGAACGAATCTTTGGCTTCCAGTACATCAGCTTGCCTGAAATGGATCAAGCTCTACACGGCCAAGAGGATACTGCTCTAGGAGACACTGAATTTCAGCTTAGCGTTGGATTGTGGAACAAGATCCTCGACAGGGCAACTAAAAAGTTCCCCGAACAGTCTCTGCGCATCCACTTTGAGACCCGCGAGGCCGTGACACCCTTCATGTACATCTTCGTCGAGCCCGTTTCACCAGAACAGATCGACGCCATTCAAAATAAGAACAAGGCCGAGATTGAGGCAATACAGAACCGCCTTCTCAACCTCAAACCTGAGGAAAATGACTCCGATCTGAATGAAGAATCTGATTCTGAAAGTTCAGAACCAATTATTGAAGCTAGTGAGCCGGAAACTTCGGCTCATCCAGAGTCCATTTCCGAACCAACAGCTGAGTCAATAATCGAATCAACACCCGCACCAGCAGCAGATGAAACCGAAGGGAAGGAGACTGAAGAAGAGACCAATGAGCGACCCCTCCTTGCAATTGCACTGACGATCAAGAACAAAATCAATGACAAGTACGTGCAACAAGTCGTGAATTTCGGCCCAAAAGACAAATGGGCAGTTGAATACGAGATCAACGACCTGTTGCCTTCTCACGGAAGGGCCCTGTATAAGATGTGTCAGACTCGCCGCCACATAGCCTTGAAGGGTGGAGACGAGGACGAGGCTTCAGAAAATGCGAATAACATATTCTTCAGACGCCTTCGTGAGATCAGCAAGCGTGGTCGTAATCATCGCAAGCGCGAGAACAAACTTGACAAAGAGCTGGGCATAATCGAGTACAAAGAGAAGAGGTGAAATACCCCTAGACTCTCTCGACACCCAAATCACCAAGCAAGGTTTGGGTTTTGGTATGGATCCATGGATGTAACTGCCTCTTACTTTGCTTCTATCAAATTCTCTGAGGTCATCACTTGGTGTTGATACTCTCACTTGTATAATAGCCGTGACTTTCTCTCTCCCCATTTTGCATAGTTGGTATTCGGTTGGTTGGTTGGGCCCAGGTTGTTTTGATACACTAAGCATTTTTATGCTGTTTTTGAATGTCTATAGAGTTATTTCCTGCAAATAGTCTACAAATCAGACAGTAATTGACTCATTCACTTCGTACTTGGCTTGGATATTCAAACAGTCGCCCAATGGATAGTCACGTGATAAACCAAACCCTTAACTAACTACTAACTATTTAGCAAACCTTCAACATACAACCTTTAGTATTCATGACCCAGAGCTGAGCATACCTCTATACAACCTGATTTGATGACCTAATCTGTAGGAATGATATAGCACATGCTCATATCAATACACTTACATTAAAGCTCTCGCTCAATCTTTTGACACCAACTGTACTACATATTTATGGCCTGGTTAAGAAAGGAATAAACGGGGTTCCGGAGTCGGGGGCATTTCTTCTTTATGTAATGTCTCTGTGTGGCTGATGTTGCATGAAGAGTAGGACAAGATTTGACATAAATTGATTCGAGCAGTGGAGGAAGAACGAGAATAAGTACCTCTCCAGAGGCTTTCAAGCAGCATCTATGATCGCCCCAATGAAGATATCCCGAGTGAAAATCCTCCAAGCGAGAATGAAATACCAGTAGAGAGCTATAGCTTCGAATTTCTGTTGACGCACAACGAGGAGCTCCCATCCTATGGTCAGGACCGCCCGACGAGCAATATGCTAGGAAAGCGCTTCCGGATTCATCACACCGGATGAATTTCACTTATCATGTAACATACATAATCATGGCTGTATATCTATGGACTATGAAAGCGAAATTTTCGTTTCACCCGTTCGGAGGCAAGTAGTGGGGACACAATATCAAATTTGATTGGGTGGCCAACGAAGTATCAAAATTCAGCGACCTGGCACTACCTGCAAGGAATCATCGCACTGTACATACACTACAATTCATCGTTCAGGTCGCCATTCTCCCTTTAATCATGGCTGTGTGCACCAGTGCGGCAGCGGATTCCTCGCAGAGACAGATTAAGAAGTTTAGTCTGCACAAACTGAGCACTTTAGCCGATCGAAGATGCAATAAAGCTTTCTTTTTTTTTTTCTACCTCTCCTCGGTCCTGGGGACATAAAAAACGCGTAGTAGCTCATTGATGCTGATCGCAATGATAGTTTCCATCTTCGGCGCCATCACTTAGCCCATAAAATCGCTCTTCCTCATCACGAAAACCAAGGTTCCAACCTTTCCCAGCTATGCAAAGTCATTTGATGAGTTCGTCACCTATGATACCTCGGATGACTTCACATCTAGCATCCTTGAAGTGCTTCAGACCCGTAGCACTCTTAGCTAGGCTGATACGTTTACCTTCTACCCTAACATGTGGAATTCCAATCCCGGGGTTCAATTGACAACGCCCGACAGATCGACCTCTGAGAATTTCTACTATCAGCTACCAAGTGAATACGACACAGGTCTAATACGTCAATTCGTATCGTGCTTGAGCTCTACTGTCTCATATGACACTATCAACGCAACACGGTTCCCGACGAACTGTCCCCTATGTGAACTATGAGTGGGCAACAGAAAACACCTACAATTTTATTTACACCTACGACGTCATTGTCTGCATGCTAGTGAGCAGCGCAAAATTCCACTGGAAAATGACGCACAACCGACAAGACTTCAGCAGAGTCGTCTATCTCAATACAACCGTATACGATGAAGTATCTCTCTTCGAGATTACGGTGAACACCACGTCCGGTTACTTCGAACTCCCCAATTACATAAAAGATAACACTCCAGGCCCCCTCCTCGGGAGTATGATCGGTTACGAATGAAACCACCTTAGTAACAAACAAACAATTAATACTTCTGTTTGGGAATGACCTTGGGTGGAGTAGGTAGGTACTAACATGAGTGAGTTATATAAGACGCTGATCAATTTATTATTGATAGAAGACTCATAAAGTGAAAAGAAACAAGTAATACATACACCTGATCATATTCAGATATCTCATCAATACAACACCCAAGGTCGATCCAACTCCGATGAGAAAAAAGGAATCTAAGAAATAAATAATAAGAAACGCCATCGCTGCATAGTGCCAGACGTAGACAGCCACTCGTCGAATGAAAATAGAAAATGTAAAAGAATAGAAAGAAGAAATAAGGAATAAGAAATATGACCAGGATACGCCGAAAATCCATACAGTTAATAGCGCTTCCAATAAAATGAGACATGAAAGTTAAAGGAAACCAAGACCAGGAACACATATCGAACAGCTTAAAATAGAAAACAGGTAAAAAATAGAAAGAAACTTAAGCAATATCGGGTATCAGTGTCAACGACGCATAGATTCTGTCGTGTGGGAAAGCAAAAAAGAAAAATCACTCTAAGCCCTAACGCATGAGGGCAGGAGAATAGGGAAGGGAAAGGGGAGAAGAGTGGCTGAGAGAGCGTGAAAATTAAAGACTCCAAGTCTCGGAATGTGTACATATGTACAGTTTCATATGTGAAGAGAAGGGGCAAAGAGGCTAATGGAGATCTTGCAGATCGATTTTTGGTGGTGTCCAGTCAATACGAGGTGGTTGGTCGTCCTTGAGTTCCTTGACGCAGACGGGAGGACGCATGGACTCGACGCGACGGCGTTCCTTTGAGGCGTTACTTGTCAAAAAGTCTCGGAGGGTAGATGAGGCCATGCCATAGGCACTGCGAGTACTACCCGCATTTGTAGAGGAGGTACTGGAGCTTCGCACGCTGTGGACGCTCTCTGCTTTGGCGATTGCGCGAGGTACTGCAGGCACGGGAACGGCTGACCGTGTAGAGGAGCTGGCAGATCCATATTCGGGAGGATAGATTGGTGCAGCGCGTGCACTTTGCGGTACTTGCTGTCGTAGATTCGGCACACTTCTCATACGACTGGTTTTGGACAAGATTTTTGGTTTGACTGCCGGCTTCGCTCCCGACTGAGGCTTCAGCTCGAGGGGCTGGTCTATTATGTCATCGGAAAAGCGACTCGCAGATTCAGGGTTGTTGGGTGGAGATGATTGGATCTCGTCAGCCAAGACGGCCACTTCAAATTTCAAATTTGCAAACATCGTGCCCAGACTTGCTGCTGTGCCAGGTCGTCCATCACTTGCATCGTCATCATTATCGTTGTCCTCAATTCCGTTCGCGATGTTGTAATTGCGAAGGAGGTAGCGGCCCAAACGAGCAATTTCGATGTCCCACTTGTTTTGAAGAGCTTGCAAGATCACATCCACATTGTGGGCTCCAAATGGTGAAGCATCCAGAGATGACGACGGTGAGTGAGTTGGTGGAGGCTTGGTGAGTCGGTTGTTAGACCGAGAGCCGATTGCCGCATGTATGGATCGACGAATAGAGTATCCAGTTGAAGCCTGGACTATGCTCGCGTCCCCTTTGGCGCTATCGGCTTCTCGACGCACGGTGGTAAGTGACGAGATGCGGTCTTTGTTCATTACAGAAAGACTGAGCAAGGTGCGATTGCACTGGAGGCCATTGACCAGCACTGTAAATGACTGCAGGTTGATATCGTTATTTTCACAATGCACCTCACGTAGCGATGTGTTCTCTTCCAACACAGAAGCCAGGGTATTCGCTCCTTGGAGACCAAGCTTTTGGTGTTCAATTTTCAGAACCTTGAGAGATTTATTCTTTTTCAAGCCCGTGAGAGCCAAATTAAGACCGATTCCAAACCGAGCAACATCCAAATGCGCGCTCTCTCCGCTGATGTCCAGGGCTTCGAGCGTTCCGTTTTGTTCAAACATCAGCTGAAGGGACCGGCAGGTTTCAGGACTAGCGTCGTAAGGAAGCGAAGCCTTCGATATATCCAAATAGCGGAGCGAGGTATTGTGGCGAAACGCATCAATCATTTCACGAAAGTGTTCTTCCTTTTTGAAATCAATCATTTGCATAGAAAGGTGAGATGGGGTATCATTCTTGGCAACGGCGTCGAACAAGTGTGAGCAACCAATGTCCAGACGGTTTTCATTTACATGTAGGTGTAGGCTCCGCGGGCCGTCTGATCCACTGGACATGGAGTGCATGAACATGGCCACATCTTCTCCACTTAGACCGCACTGATCAAGGCGTATCATGCGCAGATCGTGAGAACGGTCGCTGGCTAGGTAGGTGGAAAGGGCATCTACGGTCTTGCGATTGACAAGCGTGCGACTGAGGATAAGCTCCTCGAGTCGCCAGTTGAACAGCATTTCTGCAGAGATAAGCGGATCAGAGCCCGAAGTTCGAGAGATGCGCGACAGATTGATCTTCCGAATTTGACTAAAGTAACCGATATACTGCTGGAGCATTTCCGGATTCAACCGGCCTTGCACTCCGGCAATATTGATAACTTCAAGTGTCGACTCTTGGGCAACAATGGTGGAGAGCACGAGGTCGAGATCGTGGACAGAAAGACCACAATCTCCAACCTCCAGCGCGCGCAGACGACTCTGGCTTTGTGATGCGGCATCAACTAGATAGTCTAAGTCCGACTCACCGAGTTTGATCCCGTTCAGAACCACCCAGTTCACGTTTGTCATTCGCCGGCGACAGAGAGGGAAAATAGCCTCCGGAATTCCACAGCCTGGGTCTCGGCTCCCTTTGTCCAACGTCGGCACGCGTGTAAGACAATATGAGAAATCAAGTCGACACAACCATGTGCTTTTCAGAGCCAGTGCGCGCACCTCTTGTGATAAGACGGATAAAGTTGCTTGGCCAGGAATCTGCACCATGCCACCCGCCTTATCGAGATGAACGTCAGGATCCACACCATGAACGTCGAACAAGCCCTGCAATGCATCCAGATTAACACACCGGAACGAAATGGACTGAAACGACTCATTGTATCTAAGCGCACGCATTACTGCAATCAGCTCCAGTGCGCTATATCGCGATCTGGGAGATTCGGGCCGAAGTAGACGAAAGCACGGCGCATCTTCACACTCCAAGTCAATGGTGTATCGAATCTGCGATGTATCAATCTCATAACTAGCAGAATAAGCAACCAAGGTTCGATCAAAGCAGCCATAATCTTCGTCTAGAGCGACAGGAGGGAAATTTTTCTCGTTGTTCAGTTCGCGTGGCACAACAAAGTCATACGGCTGCCTTGTCCACAGCGGACGCAGGAACTCGGTATGCTGTCGGATCCAACAGGCGACTTCAACCGAATGAACGGATGCTAGAAACACGTTAAATGATTTCTGCAATGGAAGCCTGAAAAAAGGTTAGCGAATGAACTCCATGCAATCTACGAATAGTCAGATGAGCTCATACCGGAAAGTCAGATGCAAGCTATCATCGCCATATTCCATAGACAGCCCAGTCAAATTCATGAGGCCGAACGATTGACTGGATGACTCCATTTCGTAAAGAGATACTACCGACGATCGACTGTTGGCCTTCTGCATAGGTAGCAGGTGAACTTTGTGCAAACCAATGGCCAGATAACAGCCAGTTGGAGATAGCTTCGTGAGATCATCAGAAGAAGAACGAGTAGGATATTTGCTCGAAGCAATCTGTATCACGCGAAACATTCGGAAAGTAGATGGGTCGTAATCTCTCTCGTGTTCTAGCATTCTTATCGCGAACTCAACCGAGGGCCGATCAAAAGGCAAAGGATCGATTGCGCGAGCGATCTGCGCTGCCTGACGAATTCCCACCATCCACAAATTTAGCTCCTGAGGATCGGATGTCTGCATCTGGATCAATGCACCTTTGTGTGCGCGTTCATCCAAGTAAGCCACCTCGACAGTAGGTGAAAGTCGACCATCTTCGAGCATGTAGACTGCAATGATACTATTCAGTGGGATCCCTGTAGAGGATTCACTACTCTGTACCAGTGACTGCATATCCTGCATGGAACCTATCGAGGCCACGGACTGGCGGTGGTGCGGCTGAGATTTATTGTAAGAGGATGGAATAGAGGGGAAAGTATCAGCAGCCTTGGCCTGGTTCTTGAACCGGATAAGATGTGAGTCAGTCAGAACCAGGTAATGACTCTTTTTGCGCCATATGCCGCCGGTCGTCTGAATTCCTCCATGATGAAGAATTGAAGAGGACCAGATCCCATTTCGGGAATTAATCGGTCTTTGATCGTCACCCATAGAGGTAGTAGAAGCGCCGATATTATCATCACCTTCCACCGGGGGCGGAGACATCAATGAGCCAAAGACTGAGGATCGCTTCTTCTGCCCAATAGACTTGCGACGAGGTTGGGGGCGAGGTGTACCAAGAATGGGAATTGAGGCATTGGCCGTTGTTACAGGCCAGGCAGCAGCATGTCCACCTGGTGTGACAGGTGTGCGCAAGACATTCCCTCCTGCAGGCCATCGATTCGGGCTCTGAGAGCGGCTAAAGAAGCTGGAGTTGCGGCGAGCCTTCTTATCTTTGTGGAAGATATCATCCGACGTGGTACGGCCATCGAGTGAGGGACGAATTGTAGACGGAGATGCAGATGATGCAGAGAATGGCGGACTGAAAACACCTAAACTTTTTCTTCTTTCTTTCTTCTGTAGACGTTCAGGCATGACGACTTCAGAGGGTTCAAAGCAACGATATGGTAGAGGTAGTAGGTAAAGCGCGGCGGGGGGGCGCACTGGAGCTTATCTCGTCGACGACCCAACGTCGTTCACACTGCAGCAATATCACATTAGACCCTGACTATATTTGCTTTTTCGATTGGGTGGCTAGCTAATCTTGAGTAGTGGAGAAGATAGGAAAGCGGGGGGAAGATCAGATACCAGCACTTACGGGTGAATCTTCACAGCGCCATGAGAAGCAATTGACGAAGCAAATTGTTCGTAGTAATCCACCAAAGAGGGGAACAGTATGATGCAACTGTCAACTTCAACAATGTGGCGGAAAAGTGTAGAACCAAAGTTGGAAGTTGTGTGTAGTTGACCGGAAGGGGGGCTTGGTGAGGATCCCGCTATTTCCCAGCACTAAGTACCAAAAGCGGTGATCTGGATTCAGAAGCCTTTAACTCTGGAATTTGACGATTGAGAGCTTCCCCTGTTGAAAGCTTAATCAGACGCAAGTATGAGGTCAGAAATTGTGTCGATCTCAACGTGGACAAGCGGGATTGGAGGAGGGGAAATAGGATCGAGACGGCGAAAGGTGTGATTGGGGAAAATTAGCGAGAGGAAACCCCAAGATGCAAACAGCGAACAGCTTGATAAAGCCAACGAGAACAGCAGAACCCAAAAAACCAAAAACTTTGGATGGATCCTCGAAAAGTAGAGAGGTTGTGTAGTTGAGAAAAAGGAGGCGAGGAATGGACGGAAGCAGTTAAACGTACTCTGATTTTCCGATGAACATGTCGGTGTTTCAGAGTCGCTCAACTTGCGCTTTTTTCAGCTTTTCCCAGCTAAATGTTAAGTAAAGCTATTATTCTTCCAACTCGATTGAATTTTCGCAGCTGACTGATTATTGGTATCTATATAGGCTATACCAGGAGAATATGAAAAGTAATGTGTTAATGCGCGTCTCGCCCACCGCTATGAGACCTATCGAATTGCAGGCGTATATGAGCGATTGGATTGCTTCGGACCACGTAAGAGGCGTACTCCACCATGTACATATTAGTACATCAGTTCTTAGCTAGCGCAGTCCACTTTGACAAGGGTCTCGTTCATTCTACTGTCTCGGCAGAGAATATATCTCCACTCATGGAAGAGCTTTTGAATCGTACGGAGTACGAGAAAAAGGTTATAAAATTATAACATCCACAATAGAGAGAGCTAGGAGAGCTTCTATGATACTAAATCTGTCCACGGGTATTTAAAGGACCCACAATAGGATCAAGATCGACGAGATGTACATGTTCCAGGGGTAATCAAAGTTGGAGACTGAAGCTTGACAGGGAAGATCGTAAAAGAACGACTACCTAAAAAAAGAAGCTCGACTTTTCTAGGTATATCTTCGTATTACCTACATAAGTAGGTAATTATCGGCGAGTGCCATGTAATCGCTCGGTTTCAAGTCGTTCGACACGCTTCATCTTCCGCATTAAAGCAGTATATTCCATGTATCGTTTCTCGGCCCAGATACAGCCGCCTAAAGTCATGATGGCCATGTGGATGAAGACCTTAAATTGCGGTGTGAGTCCCCGGAATACCCGAGAAGAAGGTGAGATCCACTCAGAAAAGCCTTCAAGTGGTCGGTGGAACAAGCGCGAGCGGATATAATCCCCAGAGAATATTGATGGGCGAGGCTGAGGACTTGACTTTGTAGTTGTGGGTGATGTGGACGTAGTAGGCTTAGAAAAGATGAATGGATGTGGAAGCATAAGTATCATATGAGCGATGAGAGATACAGAGCCAAACTATGTCCGAAGATTAGCGATAGTTCATATGCATATGCACATACGGATGCAACTGGTGGTACGATACATACACGAAAAGCACCTGTCATGAATCCTTGGGCTGCGATATATGTGATTTCAGCCGGTGGCTCAGTATCGGACCTCTGGCTTGGTGGCGGCATTATGAGACGAATTGACTTTATCGAAATAACACAAGCAGGACGCTATGCTGCATCCAATTGACTTATTCGGTAGACGAGGGGGCTGAGAGTAGTTTATGAAAAATGCTATAAGCACCGAGACAAACTAATTGAATTGAAATCAAACTCTGGACCAGCCAGCTTAAGACAACTGACGATTCAACAAATCCCGAGATGCCGTTATGTACGGATCAACTATTTTCCCGATGTCAATAGTGCATCTATAATCTCCACTCACATCATACTATGTAGAGGATTAATCAGATGTGCGTACCATGTTCATACATTGACCCAAAAGTAAGTCTGTGTCCATACTATCGGTTGTGGCTGGCCTAGGTTGGGTCAAGTTCCGCCTCTAAAACTACCTGGATGCCTAATGTTTTGAAAGTAAATTCTACGTATCATCTAGAGTATTTGGGTTACAAAGCACAACAGATAAAGACTTATACCTATGGTTCCATCATGATCCTCCCAAGGTTCCGAATTCCCGAGATCCACAGGTCCATTTCTATACTACCACTCTACCTACGTTGTATGTAGTAGTGATGGATATTAGGGCTCAAGGACTTCCTCACTTGGCCGTACCTTCAAGGTTGTTTAATCTATATTCTGTATTATCGCTCAGGACCTGGAGAGTCCACTGGAGGTAAAGGACTCCGGGCTGGAAAGAAGATGCACCTCAAATTACCCTACGTAAGTAGCTGCAAGCGCAAGCTCAATTATGATTCCAAGGTTTTCAGCCTATAGCGACCTGAATATCCCAAGAAGGTAATTATCGTTGCTTCATGCTGCTCATGGGACCATGGTTTAAGACTTCTCACATTACGTCCTGAGGCCCTTGAATGAAAGCAACCATCTTGGAGAAGACCATAATTCGCTTCAAGAGCTAGGTAATCGCCCATGTGAAATACGAGGTCTTTTACTGCTGATATATTAGGCATATACCCCTGTATCTCCCAAGATCTCTCCCAATTTCAAATTCTTCCAAATTTAGAGGCTTCCTATATTGTCTTCTCACAAACTGAAGTGAAACGCACGCTCAAGTCAAACTTTTAGCCTACATCATAGTATTTTCAGGTGAAAAACGAAGGTATATACCAACATGAGTATTATACCTAGGTAACTCCCACCTTCATCTTCATGTTCTTTCCACGGTTCCAACCTTGAAAGGTCCTTCCTTACAAAATTCTGACCACGTTGCAAGATATATGCTCTATAGTTCTACTTCCAAGGTTCTTTATCTGGGATTTCTTTACCTTCAACAAACACCAAAGTCTGCGAAACTCCGTGAGCGAATAAGTATTACGTTGATTGCGGAGACTTCTGAAAGCGACCACATTACAGCAGAAAAAACAGTCAAGCAGCTAAAATTTGGGCATGGAGCACCAGGGAAAATAGCCAGCAAACAACTTTTGGTTCGTCGAGTCAACGCATTTCCTAATGGAGCTTTCAAGGAATCATCTAGCATTGAAACCTTGGAAGAATTTCATTGTTCTCTTCTCACAAACCAAAGTGAAGGTGAGGTGAAAGTCTAGATGAAACCTACGTCTAATTGGAATTTTCAGCAGTTAAAGGGAAGTGAGACCGGGAGGGTATATAACATTTGAAGCGACATAGATCTCTCTCATCTTCCATCCTTCCTTGTCACTTATAGACCTGGCCATCTGACAGATTTTAATGCATCTGGATGTGTTCTTCTCTGTCTTTTCCTTTGTGACTGCAGGGTTTACACTCGCCAATGATTTTCAGATAAATTTGCTTTTATCTGACGGATTTTCATCTACTTTCATCCCCATATCTGAAACGGAAAAAGTTCGACTTTGCAATCATTGTGCCCAGGCGGTCCTAACCCCAGATCTCTACTTCAACTGCTGTGACCATTACAGCGCACGCACGGTTACGTTGATATTTCCAACTTCCAAACGCATTTTCTTCCTGTTAAGCTAGAGCTTGGGACATCAGCAATGAGGGTCTCAACAATGGAGTTTTCAAAATCATGTTCTAGCTTCGAAGAGCCTGTTTACAGAGATGTGAACTGATTCTAATACTCGGAGATGGCGTCAATAAATTTTTGGGTGAAGTTCACTCTCACCATTCAAAATGGGAGTGCAGTTGCACCCAAAGTAACTTGGAGCCTTTCCAGGCTTCTATCCAACTGCTATCAATCGAGAGGACGATAAAGAATTGAGACTGATAACTTCAAACGCCTTTTCAACCAGTTCTACGACGACCCATTGAACTACAAACCAACCAGGCTGGTTTTGCCATTCCTTCGCCATCTAGATGTAGAGGATCGCCTCCTCCTTTGATGCAGCATGGAACCTTGATGTGATGAAGCCTGTCTGCTTAATGATACCGCTGGACGTGGTACTGTAAGATAATGGGGACGTCCGTTTTCAGCTCCAGTCAGCAGAATATAAGCGATACCGAAATTCAATCCGGCTTGCATTCACTTGACTTTCATCTATGTTTCAGTTTCATTTCACTTTCACTTTCAGCGACCTTTAGTGAATGGATGCACGTGGATTTGAAATCTGGACATACCACGCATGAAATTATTCCATAACTATCCTTTCTTCCTCTACCACATATCTTGGGGCTTAGTCAAAGGTGTTCTGGACCTATAAATCCAGCCTGAACGAAGCTGGCAAAGTTGTCACCATTTTGGGCGCACGTCTTATTTCAAAGCAATGCAACTGCAGGAAACAGACCATTCTCTCAAGTCCCTCTGGCGTTTTCCGATGATATCAGAACATTGGCGCAACATGTTGAAATGCTGGTAGCGATGATGAATGGCAAGACTTCAACAACCATTCATAGGGGAAAGGAGGAAGGGCTGAGGTTTGAAAGTTTCATTGATGATGAGCGCCATTTAAGAGGAAACATTTCCTGCCGACAAAGCTTTAGGCTGGCCCTGATGAAAATAAGTCGTTGATCTCCAGGTCAAGCAGACTAGTTTTGCCGAATCATCAACCACTCGCTTATTCCAGCTTATTCCAGTGCTCATGGTACTAAACTCAAGGGATTTCTCTACTCTCTTTGCAGAGATCTACGGAGCCTGTTCGGATCCCACACAAAATGAAGGAGTCAATGTTACAGCTTTGTACACCGAGCAGTGTCTGATCGGAGTGGAATATTCTGGATTGAAGAGCTTGAGAGTGCTGTCTTGCCATTGTAAGACCACCCCCTCGGTGGAGTTCTACATATTACACAGAGGCAGCTGAGGACACTAATCTACACCATCTAGAAAATGCAAGTATAAAATAAACTCAAATCAAGGCAAGTAGCCTCCTGTCATAGACAGGAGAGGTCATCAATTGATATTATGTAAAGAATCCAGATCTTTGATCTGAAAACTCGAGCTCCGGTCAACATCTGCTCCCAAGAAATGAAACCGAACGAGTTTACAAGTTGATAGCGAATGAACAAAAGACGGGGAAGAGAACAGAGTGACCGAGCGAGGGAGGTTATAAGACCGAGACGTATAGAAGGTCCAACAAAAAGTAATAGAGATAAAAACCCAAATGATGTGCTCCAGGTGAAAATCGAAAGAATCTCGGATCCGGCCATGAGATTGTGACACCATGCATGCGCTCCCAAAATCAGAAGAAATAAAGATGTAAAGTAAAGGTGTACAGGAAATGTTGATACAGACGTGAGTTCAAGGCCGTATCAATACACAAATACAAAAGAGGGTGAAAGAGGTGAAACTCTAGTCGTCGCGCCGACATAGTTCGTACGAAGTCTCAACTACACCGGTTGATTCTTCGTCTTCTTTGAAGCTCACCCGACGGAGGAGAGTGGGCATCAAGCCCCGAGAACGCCGACTGGGTGAAGCGACACGGGTGGTTGTGATGATGGGGACCTTGGAATAACGGTAGCGGTACTTGGATCCTAGCAGCATGACACGGCCATATGTCCACCAAAGACACACGCCAAAGACACCGGCGAGTAAAAATCCACTGACGGTTAGGAACAACCAATGCTGACCCATCTGTTTTCAGATTAGTATAGGTCAATAAAAGGCGACACTGAAAGAGAGAGAGAGAGAGAGAGAGAGAGAGAGAAAAGAAAAGAAAAAAAACTTACCCAGAATATCAGACGCGCGTCCTTTCCGTGCCAGCTGTTACCCACGTGGTGGGTGAAGAAACTCCAGGAGTGTTGGTTGTACTCATCCTTCATCAAGATGCGTACACGGGCAGACTCGGCGGGATTGGTCTGCATGTACTGCTTCCATACGACGGACAAGAACAAGGGACCGGTTGTGTACATGACAGTGATGTAAGGGAGCAGCCAGCTGCGGTCGTATTGTTGCAAGGTCTCAATAGTTCGAAGGAAGAATGGGTGTTGTGGCACAGAGCCCATGGCATCATTGGAGATACCGGTAGGAACAGTGCGACGAACCCATGCGGGGTAGGCGAGAAGGGGGTCTAGACGACGATTGCAGCCCTGTTTCAGATGTTAGAATTGTAAGAACACGGGGGGATTGTGCAGAAATACGCACATCATCCAAGTCAATGTAGGTACCACCGTAGTGGGCCAGAACAAAGTAGCGAATAGAATCAGCCCTCTGGATAGGGAATTTGTAGCCATCAAAGGTGTCCAAGAACCAAGGATATTCAGCAGCGATGAATTTACGCGACTTTTCATCAGTCCAGAGCTAAAGGAATTTGTTAGTCTCGGTTTCCGATTAAGGGGTTGGTTCATACATACAATGTATTCATAGTCGGGATGCAAGTCAATGCAAGTCTGTTGAGCCTCGCGCCAAATCTCAGGGATTGTCTCATTCAAGTAGGTTTGGTGGATTATCTTGGGAATGATCTGGGGACGATGTTCGATTAAACTCGAATTGGGCGACGGTAGCTCTGACCGGTGAATCGCATCTGCTGATGCATCCTCGACTAGTAATTGCAACAAAGTTGATACACTTCGTACTAGATAGGTCAGGATAAGGACATTGACGACGATGAAGATGATGTAACCGCGCCGCATTTTGAAGTGAAATTGGGGGTTTGTTTTTTTGGTTGAATTGGGTCGTAAAACGTAAGATGTGTGTGTGAACAGTGAGCTTCTCACCAAGTTAAATCTTGGAGGAGCTAAACAATTGTAGAGTCCCAAATTACCGAGTATACGTAGAGAAGGGAAATAAATAGGGGGTCATGAAAGTTGTCGATCTTGGACAAGAAAGAGATTCAGATTTTAAGAGGTTGAAAGTTTGAAAGTTTGAGAGAGTGACTTGAAAGGAGAGGACTGAGAAGGAATGGGCTATAAGGAGTGTGGTGGAGAGAGATGAATGTTGGGGAAGAGAGCGCAAGGGAAGCTGTACCAGGGGAGGGTAAAATTACCAAGGGGGGTTTCCTATTTTGGGTTAGTAAGAGGCGGAGATACTTTCATTGGCTAAGACGACGTAGCTCCCCACATGTTTAGTAGATATTATTGGATATCCATAAACAGAATTAAAGACCAGATTAGGTCAGGTTTCAAGTTTCTTACCGCAGTGGCTTAGATTGATTTACGTACGCTTCTTCTCTCTCTCTCTTAAGATCTTATCCTCTCCCGCCTTCTCATTCGTACGTATACCCACCACAGCCCACAAGACCCGAGCCCCAATTGTCCATTTCTTAAGGATTCAGATCCCTTGGCATTGTACTTTGGTTTTCTTGGTTTTTTTTTGGTTTTCTTAATTTTCTTGGGTTTCCTTAGCTGCGTACGTACCAATACTTAGTACTAGTCACTACCAAACCCAAATACTATATAATAGTGATATCCCCCTTTATACGATGTAGTCAGAGTCAGCCCCCACTCGACATACTCCGTACCCCAATACAGAAACGTAAAAGCGCACGGTGCAAGGGAAGTGGATCAAGTGGATGCTAGGCGAAGCGTATTCGTTTAGCTGCTGGAAATTGTGGCTGGAATTATTTAGTTGCTCACAGCCCCACTGAGCTACGTGTATTCGGGGTTTACTAAGTAGTTGTTTATAAAGAACCACCAAACAAGTGCCGCCGGTTAGACATGATAGACATAAACGCCTCCACTTGGTCCACTTAGTCCACTTCCGTGGGTCAGAGCATGCGAATTGGCCTTCTCATCCATGGTTATAGGTTCACGTTCACTTTTGCCATGATAAAAGATTATTTATTCCGTTGTCTATTCCTTGATTTAAAAATTAACATGTCATCGCCAGATTTGTGGCTGATAGGCTGGCATATAGGCATCTGACGTGCCATTGCGGGCCTTACGTTAAGTATAGTGGTATACTTAGTACATCTTGATCTCGCATACCTTGCCTAATTAGTATTGAGAACAAACGTGTATTATCATTTTTGGTAAACGGTAAATTGTAAATGATGACCTCCAACCTTACTACTGAGCTACTACCTAGGTACTGAACTACTAGTACTCAGTTTTAGGTAGAGTTTAACGTGAAGGTTCGCTAGCGCCTAGCTACTTCATATTAAGAAATATTTGCGGTTTATACGAATATACCCATAATATTGAAATGATACGAACAAGGCTCAAGCTTTGACCAATGCTACCGATCAGCATGGCGATGTGACTCGACAATCTAGGAGGGGGAACTAAACGATGATCGAAGTACGGAGTATCGACCCCCTAATTGTACATGCCAAGCAGTCATGACGCTAGACTTTGTTAGGAATTATTCCAGAGTCGACGCCGTTTTACACCGACACACCAATCATAGCCAACTCGGACATTTAGGCCGCATTTGAGCACATGTTTTGCCCTGAGTCCGATAGGGACTCGAGGGGCACGGTTCTGGAATGTATTTAAAGTAAATTCCATCAAGTATTACGAAAAAGAGAGAGAAAAGAGCAATAGGAACTCAGAAGCCAGGGCTTGGTGCCAAGAAAGAATCCTGAATGAGGTCCTAGATTGACTTCAGTAGGTAAGCAGAATGATAATTATTCTAACGAAAGCTTTCTGCCTTTGACGAATATCTAATTTTCTAGGACGCTCGCAAACTTAGCGACATCAATCTCATCGCTATCTTAGCATCTGATTTCTACTCGAGAATAAAACTGATAGACTTACCATTCCGTAGACCATTAGGATCGGCGAGGAGAATGTAGCGTCGCTCGAGGCGATAAACCCTTTGTCTACGTTGTTGGTAATGATATTATGGGCGTTGCTGGGTTTCTCAAAGAGCGCCGTGTCATCGGGGCAAGTCCGAATGGGGCACGTATGGACGTGACTTTTCAGTCCCCTTGCATCCAGAATTGCTTGATTGCATGCAGTGCACTTGTAGAATCGAGCAGCCAGCGTACCTAGGTATTAGCTAAAATTCAGCGATCTCTGTCGTGGCTAGGAGATGGGCCTGAAGGGATTGATACAGGCACCTGTATATAAATCGGGTGGGAGAATCCCTTGAATTTCTGATCATCGAATAGGAGGACTCCTATCTCACCAAGTTGCCCGATCGCCTCGTTGTGATTGGTCGGGTGAATAAGTTCGATAAATCGACATCGGCCTGGATGAACTCATAATAGTTATGGCATCGGTCTCGATGAGCTCATCACCTCCGGCCAATCATGCCCTGAGAAGCTCTATCAATTGAGTAATTTATATATGCATGCCTGTGCACCAAAAAAGCCCCTTTCAACAACTAATCATTGTGGAGTCATCCACTTACTGGACGAGAACGAACAGGGTAGATCGGGCACGGGGATGCCAAGGATAGTGGGGTTTGGAGGTACTGTCAACAGAGCAACCACTTCTGCTTCTGGACTGTGATGATACTATTATTTGGCCTTGGATTCGATGAGAATCTGAGTCTTAAATTCCTCATTTGCTGCTTGGAAAGAAATCCACTTACTGCACACGCCATCTTAGCTCTTTAGAACACTGCTTGAGGGAGGACCACGCTGATTGAGGCATATCATAGTCAAAAGTGAAATCAATGTGGAATTTGAAGCTTTCCAATCCTGGAGGAATGAAGTCTCTATCGGTGGGCATGATGATTTGTCGCTGCTGCTTATGAGCAGTTAAAATCCGTTCAAATTCTCGCCCAGCGAAATGAGACACTGTCTATAGGAAAATGATTGCTCGATATCTGTTCATCCTCTGCCTCTTGTACATTCCAATGCCATTATGGCCCGCTAGCTCTTGGATCCTTCTAGCAGTAGAAGGCACTATGCTGTAACAGGCTATTACCTCCAGTAAAAGAAATGTCCTATCTCGGAAGTGGCAGATGATGGCTTCCATTTTGTTCGCTGATTGCTTCGTTGATGACGACCCAAACAAGGTCAATCGATTGCTTACTGTGGTAATTGATAAGCCACTAGGCAGTCTCCTTCCCGAGATCATTATGCACCATGCTTTCAATTTCTGCGGATCCAGAGATAGCCAGGCAGATGTAAAATTTGACCTAGGCAATCATTGAGCCATTCATCCCTGGCTAAGAATATCTTGAGAGGTCTCATCACTGTATGTCGCTTTGAAATGAAACAGCCCAGCGAACAATGGACTTGCAGGCCTTCAAAAATGCACGTCTCGAGGTACTCTGTCGAGTTCGTGCCTGCCACCTAGGCTCTAAACTTCAGCCACAGTGTTAAGTTTCTGATAAAAGCAATTTCATGAGTGTCGGTGGTGGTATGTTTTGGGCCAACTTTAAGATTTTGGGGATGTTGCGCACTGGCAGCTCGAGCATTGATTGAAACAGCCATTATTGTGATGGATGTAATAGACTTGGTTTCGATTCATCAAGTGATTTAGGAATATCTACAAGGATGGAAAGGACCAGAGTCTTTTTCAGAGAAAGGAGGGCAGGCTGAGAATATGGTGTGGTTTCGCCATTAGTACGTTAAATGCAGATCATGGCAAATCCATGGGTGAGTTGCGAGGGTATTGTCATGGTCGTGAATGTGGATGTATGACCAATTTAGGGTGCGCTAGTTTCACAGATCCGGGTTCGCATGAATGGGTCAAGTTTGCGGTTTCGATACGCGGTAGGAGTGGTAGGAGTGGTAGGAGTGGTAGGAGTGGTAGGAGTGACTATGGCAGTAGTATCCAGCCTTTATATGGCGATGACCTATGGCATAAGTGAAGGGACTAGAGCAAAGTGAAGTTTCCAAAGGTAATTGGTGACGTTGATCTACGTTCGAATCATTCGGCTACCTGAAAGTGAATGATTGACAATAATACGGATGAGATGAAGTTGAGCCATGTACCCTGGGCACCAAAATTGTGTGCATAGATTTGGTGAATTATAGTCTCGTCGTCAAAATCGACGATCAGTCATGAAAAATTAGGGTATCTATCGCTATCAACGCTATGAATCAAATGCAACTCCTTTTCCCTGGAGAATGTGTGAAAATCGCCTATGTCTCCCACATGTCTGATTGATGTAATCTAATCATGGACGTTATACTGCCGCAACGATACCAAGGTTTGCCTGATGGACTAGCGACATGTTGAAAGAATCTGAACCCAGATTAATCGTACTTGGAATCAAATGGCAGTTCCCCTTTTCAATAAGAATGCAGTATGATATGCTAAGCCAAGCTGAGTGATACAGAGAAGTCAGGCCAGGTGGCGTGAACTTCATGAACCTGTGTCAAATCCGAACAAGACCCGAATAGAATGGCAAAGGTAGTTTTGCACGCTAGTCCATCGATTTGATGGTATGAAGTCGAATATTGCCCGAGGGCAGTACAACGCCATAACACAGGCGTATTCATCGTACCTCAGGTACAGCGGCGGCAGCAATTTCCCGATCGATATTTGTGTTATCCATTGGACGTGCCTCGACGGTCTCGAACATACGGCGCCACCACATCGGCGGGTCAAGAGGGCGATGGCCATCATGCAGAGAAGGATATACGTCATTGAAGAAGTACCACACATGGCCGACGACAACACCGCAGAGCTCGTCCTTGGGCACGGTCTTGTACATAATAAGGCTGAAGCCCATCAGTACCCAGGGAAGATAAGGCGCGGTGAATACCAAAAGACCTAGGAAACTAAGTCGTGTCTCGGGGTTACGTCGGGCCCAGATGTAGACCAGACTTGATGAAAGCGCCGAGCCCAGAAAAGGGAGTGGTAGGAACGGCGAAATAACTAATAGTGAAGACATCGCATAAAAAATAAGCCATGCGAAATGCGCTGGCGAGCGGCCCGACGACTCCTCCAACAGGCGCGAGTACCGCTGGAGGAAGAAGACGTGAAATACCAGGTCAAGATTTAACCGACCGAAGTAAAGGAATGTTGTGACAAGGCGCCAGTACTGTGATTTGACGTAGACAGCACGGAAGCTGTAGAAGAGCTGGAATTCATCTACAATGTGGCATTGCACTAACACCGAGGTCGCCACGGTGGCCACTGTCCACCACCGAGTAACGGGCGGCATCTCATAGAACCATTGCTCAAGTGGAAATTGGCCTATCTGCCCTGGGCCATTATTCTCCCACATTGCAGCCATGATTCCGAATGTCTGGAGGTTGAGGTAGAAGTCAAGATGAGGTGAGATGTGTCCAGAATTTCAGTACTACGGGATACAAATCAAGATAAGTGCCTTATCAGGATACGCTTATCACGTAAGCAGACACGCTTAGACGCGTGAGGCGCGTGAGCTCGAAATTCATTAAGTCCTGAAGTGCATCCCAGCCACCCTGTTTTTCGTCTTCTTCTTCGTAATGGCACTTTGACGTGACTCTCGCTTACAAAAATTTTGATATTCCCCGCTTTACCTCCTTATTAAGAAAACAGTCTTCGGCAAGGCAGGAGTTCTGTCAATTGATTGTTTTCGACTACGGGATACCCCCGCGATAACCACTCGAGGGTTACCAAAAATGGCAACAAAAACAGCTCGGAAGGTCACGGCGTCAAACCATCAACAACTCAGACGCGCATCACCACCTCCAGAATCAATGTCAACTCCGATAAAAGGACGCAAGTCAAAAGCCAAAGACGCAAAGAAAACGATACCAGGGAAGCGGCCAAGTAATGTTGAGCGTATGTAAATCTGAATATATTCATCTTACCTAGTTAACGCTGCAACACAACTAACGAGTCTCCCATGTACAGCCGGGGATCCAACTCCTCAAGGAAAACGCCGCCGCTACAAGCCAGGCACAGTAGCCTTAAAAGAGATCCGCCGCTACCAACGCTCCTTCGACCTCCTAGTCGCAAAATTACCCTTTGCCCGACTCGTGCGCGAAGTCGCGCTCGATTTACTCCCCGCAGATGTTGGTGCCGAGCTGCGCTGGCAATCATTCGCCATCCAAGCGTTACAAGAAGCGGCCGAGGCATTCCTGGTCCACCTGTTCGAAGACACAAATCTTTGTGCATTACACGCGAAACGAGTGACTATCATGCAGAAGGATATTCAACTTGCGCGCAGAATTCGTGGGGTGTGGGGTGGTCTTGGTTGAGGTCTGATGCGCTCTTTTGGTTCCATGATTCAATCGACAGATTTGATTTGATTTTTTGTTTTTTCGCGCTTTAATCTTGATATGTTGTCATTTCTTCGTGCCAAAATACTGCAAGTTTCAGCCGGCGTCGTTGGAGTATTGGGGGTTACGGTGTTGCCATTATCTTTTAGTGTTTGAAGCTACTTGCGAGTCGAGAGCGATGCATATCGTCGTGATGGTGAGGTATACCTCGGAGCTGTATATGTGCATGTGAGGTGTTCTGTCATCTTTTTACAAGTGTTCAAATGAAGACAACCCAGGTGGTTAGAAGCGTTTTTAATAGCGTCATATATTAAAGTCCACTTGGTCATCCAAGGGTAAATTGACTATCCTGTGCTATTATCTGAGTACTGCTTGTATCGAATGTGATATTTGTTCATAGAGAACGGGCTAGAATACATCATACCAAGCATTAGCCAAGTAAAATCATAAAAAAGAACATAACCTTCCCACTCGATAAATTAACCGAAAAACGCCTTTTAATGTGTTTAGTAATGGTATCATGAACGAAGCGCCAACCTAACGAATGGAATGGTGAAAGTCAAATGAAGGCAAGTCATATCCAAGATGGTGGCAAGCACATCATACATTGTGAAGATGGCATCAAGCCCGTCTCAAACCAGCTGGAAGACCCATGATAAGTCGTTGACCTTCTTCGCGCACGCCACGGGCTTCGTCACTTTTACCCTGGCGCTCAAGAGTATCGGCGAGCATGTCATCAGTGACACTGGCCCAGAGACGGTCGTTAGCTCTTTTGGCCATGGCGCGGCCGGCACGGGCACTCTTTTCAGCCTGTTCGCCCACAACACCACGAAAGTACTTCCAGCTCATGAATGTGAGAGTCATGCAAGTGATCTGGCTATTGCTGATAGCCGTGGCAGACTGCAGCGCCTGTTGAAGGTATTGCTTAGTCTGTATAGTGGACTCGGTACACACAGTAGCACAGACTAGATGATACGCGGCTTGAAGGTACTTATTCTGACTATTTTGACAGAAAGTTTCAAGCGTTGCCAGAGAAGCAGGGAGCTGACCGTGGCATGGATGCGCAGGGTTACGAATAATGAGGACAGTATTGAGTAAAGCGAGGACACATATGTCTCGGCAAGGGTCATTGCGAGAGCTTTTGCCGGCCGAGGGTGAGATTGACAGTAATGGCGACTGGAAGATTGCCAAGGCCTCTACCAAGTTTCCTGTAGCCTGAGCAATGACTCCAGTGGCATATTTCATAAGAAATTGGATCGGCATTGGGAGATTAAGCCCGATTTCTTGGGTGACTTGCTGTAGCTCCGTCAGAGTTTGACTAGCCAGTTCCCAGTCAGTCCGGGCACAAGACAGGAAAACACGTTGCAGAAGAAAGTTGCAGTAAAGGGATCTACGCCATTGAACACGTCGCGTAGCATTCATCATTGACTCTGTGATCTCCTGGGGTGCCTTAAAGTCGCCTATGAAGGGTGTTAGATGTAGTGTTCAACAATAAAAATTTGGAACCGTATTACCTTGAATCATGCGAAGTCCCTCGTCAAGGTATTTTTCTGCCTTTCGACCATCATAAGAGTTCTTTGCACTCAGTGTAATAGAACTCAGGAAATAAGAAAGCGCATATAGGTCGTGCTGGGGAAGCCAATTGAAGCTCAGGAGTAGAGTTCCGTTCTGAACCTGTAGAATATCCCCAGTATCCATGGATGACGGCCCAGCAGACTTCCCACTGAGAGGAATACAGAACGAACCATCGGGACGCCAGTTATGGTCATTCAAAGTTTCGTCCACCAAGGCTTGCATAACCTTCAACTTCTCAGAGGATTGATTGACATCGTACTCCAAGAGACTGCAGCAGATATCAACCATTTGAATGAGCGTGACAAGCTGAGGAATTTGACTAAGCTCGTCATTTAACTGGTGACTACGTGCTGCAGCCACTGCACGCTGGGCTTGCTCAATAGCATCGGAGCCTGTTCCTTGTTGCAAATGCGCCAGGGCGCCAATTATTGCAGCCATTGCCGCAACTGCTCTATCACCATTGCGACTCGCCATCGCTGTGATCTTGTGAAGGTGTTGCATGGCTTGAACATAATCTTGATGCGAAGAAGACGACAACGACAGGGTAACCCGCAGAAAGCGAAATGCATATTCCCAGGCTGCATGGCGAAATACCTCGACATTTTCGATCATGCCATCGACAGCTTTTAAAGAGGCCTTCGGATTTGTCTTGTAAAGCATTCGCGCTAGGAGATGTTGCATACTGTACTTTAAGTCAAGCATGCGATTTCTTTCACAAAGATCAATTCCTTTGCTCAAAGCAGTCTCAGCCTCAAAATCATTTTCTGTCTCCTCAAACAAGGTTCGCGCATAACGAAGCCTAACAAGGGCTTCTTTGCGAGGTTGCAATCGCCAATTCTTCAAAACAGCCTCCAAGCATCCAAGTCCTGTAGCAATCAACTTGTAATATTCTTCAACATCTACCTGCTGAGTGAACAGCGCCATTTTCGTTCCTTGATTATGGGCAGCATTCAGGTATTCATCCGCCAATGCTAGCAGCAAAACCTGGTAGTCAACGGGTGGTTTGCTAGATTTGCCTGGCTTCTCAATAGATTGAGAAACAGAGTGTTTTTTTGATTGTTTCTTTGGAGTTTGCGACATGATACTGATTTGTGGTGCTGGTGCTGAGGCCAGAACTTCTGGAAGAACCAGTGTCGCAACTGAAGGTGTTGATTGTAATGGAGCCGGGACCGCTTTGAGAGTCGGCAGTTGCTTAGAAGCAGACGGAACGTATTTGAGCTCTGTTCTTGAAGGAGGTTTAGCCTGAACTGGTGTGGCTTCAGCTTTAATTACTGGTTGCTTCTGTTGTTTTTGTTGTTTTTGTTGCTTTGGCTGCTTTGATTGCTTCTGTTGCTTTGGCTTCGGCTGTGGCTGCGGCTGCGGTGGATGAGCGTTTAATATTGGCTGGACTTGGATAATCTGGGGCCGTTTTTGGGGACTGGCCGGGGCAATTATTTGTGCGGGTGGTGCTTGCAGTACAGGCGGTGCTTGCGAGATAGACATATGAGCTTTTGATAAGATTGGTGAGACTGGAGGTAAGCTATTCACGATCGGAGCTGATTCCAGAATTGAATCGGTATATTGCGATAATGTGGAGTAGCGAGATCGCGGGGCAGTTGGAAGTGGTTGTTGAACAAAAAGTTCAGCTGGGTTGATAAATTGATGTTGAGGCTCAGCTGGCGGCGGAGGAGGTGGAGGTGGAGGTGGAGATGGAGATGGCTGCGCTGATATACTTTGGCTCGGTTGGGATATTTGGGTAGGAGACTGTTGTCGTGGTTGAGTACGAGGAGATTGCTGTTGCTGTTGTTGCGGTTGTGAAAGAGGCGTTTGGTGTTGCTGCTGCCCACGCGATTGCTGCTGCTGATACATAATAGGTTGTTGTTGTTGCTGGCTCATGAAACTTGATGTTTGGAACTGTTGATGTTGATGTTGTAGGAGAGGAGATTGTTGATGTTGAAGTGGAGATTGCTGATGAGCAATAAGAGGAGATGGTTGATGCTGGGGTTGTTGTTGAAGAAGAGGAGAGTGCTGGTGGGGAAGGAGGGGGGACTGTTGCTGCTGTAATGGCCTAGAGCGAGGAGATTGCTGTGGCGGTTGCTGCTGCTGTCTCTGAACAAGAGGCTGTGATTGAAGTGGCAGTTGCTGGTGCGGGTGAATGAGAGGTAGCGACTGGTGTTGCTGCATAGAAACTTGCTGCTGAGGCTGTTGGGTATACTGGGTATATGTAGAATACGGAGGCATCATGGCTGAAGGGTATAGAGCCGGCTTGCCATAGCCATTATATGGCGAAGGCGAAGGGGTAGCAACATTGTTATAGAGCAACTGCGGCGGGGAAGCATGGCCGGGCTGATACGGTGGAGGGGGAATATATTGCGGGTATTGACCGGAATTTGGTGGTGGGTAGCTCATAGCACCGGCATGCGCTTCTTTTTTTCCCAAGCTTTGAAGCTGAAAAGCCCGAATGTATGTTGCATGGTAGACTTTCCGAGTCTGTCGGGGCGGAGAAACTCACGGCGGTCAGCTGATAAGCCCTGGATGATCTAGATATTGATCACGACATATCATTCTCCGTCATACTAGACTATAATGATTGACTATCTTTTTTTCGATTTTATTATTCATTTTTTTCCCTACCTGAGGTAGCGAGACTACTTGTGTGAAGTTATGTGTCAAGAACCCACCAGTGGACTAGGGCTACTTATATCCTCTTCATCTCAAGGACTGCCCAAATTTCTGCTTAACCATAGTAATCAATACTTGTCATTTAATTTTAATCATTTGAGCTGACGAGACATCTGTTAGCAACATGCTCTCTTTGTTTGATAAAACCTAGTTATCAAAATATTAATATTTATAGGCTCGATATTAGGATTCTCACAAGTAGGATCTCGCTGCTATGTGCAATATATGGCAACAACAACATGCTCAGGTGTCCACTACCTGAGCTACTGTGACCTATTCTGGGTACAATGCCCCCATGTATTATATGCTCATATTCCACCATTTGTCTCGAGGTCGTTTGTGTGTATATTGCAAAATTTCCAAGGTTCCAACCCATTTTTAATGGGATACAACCCCCAAACACACTCCGTTTCGGACGAACTAGTCTCAGGGAGACCATTATGAGTGAGGTCTTGGACAGCCGGTGATTCCGATAAATCTAATACCTAGATTCAGACAGATCACATTACTTGTGAGAGGATTATACTAGCGTTGAGGCGTTGCAGAGAACTAGGTTCCTCGGTGTGGCAAGGTTATGAGCTATTCTCTCGGATATCACTTCAATCCTTACCGAAACGTGGGCTGATTTTGAACCCGTGTAACAAGTGTATTTCTCGGGGAAGAGGTAAGTTAAACATTTCCATACTTACTCTCCGAAACATCCTAACAGGTGATCCCTAACCAGGTAAATATTCGGGATCTATAGCAGTACAGTAAAGATGGAGAACAACTTGAGCCTCTCTTATACCTTAGAAACCTTCAAAGTAGATATCAAATCGAATATATCCTATCTACGTTCCAATGCTTTGATATGCGACTTATCCCAAGAATCTCAAGTTCAAATGGCCAACACTGAAATGGATGTTGAAAATGATAAAAGGATTCTATAAAAGTAGATACCAACCTTCAAACCTTCCAAAAATGTAATAACGCCGATCTAAGTAATGATCCGAAACCCAAAGTATATCCATCCCTGAACCTTGAAACTCCAATGACCTCATTCCTCTCTCAACGCTAGAGGATATCCAAAAATTAGTTATAACATACGTATAGATGTGTATAGTGAGTTGATCGACTGCTCGTTCATAGCTGGCTGAATGACTGTTTCACTGATATTAGGCGTAAATGTGAGCGGCGGATGTTCTCGAACTGTCCATGGACAGAGTTCATTGCAGTTGTCCACTCCAATGGTCTTTTCTGCAGGGTGGATTCGCTGAGCTGCCCAGGTGGCGTCAGGTACAGGGCCAGTACCTCCCAGACACCGCTGGGTCCAGAAGGAATATGTGGACCTTCCTGATATCACTGAATTGAAAGGTTGTTTTCGAGGGCATTTCAGAGATGTATTGCAAGCACCACAAACAGTGATACGCTTGCACGATAAGCAACAAGAGTCGTAGAGTTGACAAATAGTGGTTTGGTAGGCAGCTGAGACCCAGAGATCGACTGATCGATGCGCACAGCCAAAGCGTGGGGTCATAAACTCTTCTTTGCCGATTTGACCTGACTCCGTGGTGAGTTGATACTCTGTTCTCATGACGACCTGATCCTCCTCGTTTAGTTCCGGGTATAAGGAAACTTTCAGTTTGGTAGGCCCATACTGTTCGGTGCATGAATGCCAGCAGTAACGATGGTTGACCATACCACCAAACTCAGACTTTAGGGCACCCAACGAGATCTTCCTCACTCTTAGATCATTTGCGAGATTCAGTTTGTCTTGGAAAGTCAATTTCTTGCAGGGACACAAGTCAACGATGCCAGCCAGTGCGCCTACGTTACATGTGCGGTCATCAGCTGTCTTGTGTTTGAGTTCCCGAGAAGAGAAAGCAGCCCGCGGGTGGAGTTTTAAACACTTGGAACAAGCACTCCAACGGAAATTTTCCAACAGACGGATGAACTGCCATCGCGGAGTTGCAAAGTTGTGACCATCGCGATAATGGTGAAATAGTGGTGCGAAATCTCTAGTGAAGCGAAGAGACTTGGATGAGAGTATTGATCCAGAGATCGCAAACATGCGCTTACATGTTAGGGCAAATGCAGCCTCAGGAATCAAAGTGAGGTGGGACAGAATCTCCAGTAGTAGTTCGGTGGGAAGTTCCATCAAGTAGCAACGGCCCGATTCCTCCATTTGCTTTCTCTCGCGAGTAGGTGACCACGACTTCATTCTAAGAATGATTTTCAGCTTATTAAACTTATCAGAAGCTCGTCGTGTAAGGCGCTCTGTTACGGCGTATGGGGACTCAGTTGCAGACATCGGAAGCAGCTATAGAGGGGCTTTCGGGGAAGGGGCACTTTCTCAAGAGTTTATGTGAAAGGGCATGAGGTATTGTAGTAATTATAATATAAGAATATGAAGATGTCAGGTGTCTAGTATGGGAAGGCGAATTATCATGTTGGTGTACAGTATAGCATCGCGTGATAAGAATGAGGCAGCATCTTCGAATGAAGAAAAAGTGAGGGATCTGTTGACCTTGAAATAGGCTTGAACAGTTGATTAAGTTGCATGAAAGCGGACCATGGGATTGGATCAAAGATTGCGTATGCTGTCATCAGCATTACATACTTTCAGCTGTAGCCCTATAGGTTCAGCCGAAGCCTGACCGGTGCAGGGGCCCCCCTTCTTTGTCTGATGATCCCGATGCAGACAACCTCTCTACTACTCGCGTCTATGGAATTATTTGATCTGGAAGGGGGAACTCAGAACAGAAAATCCATATTGTCGGCAGCATCCGTTTCCCACGAGTTTCGCCGGAAGTATTCAACGTTATACCGCATGCGGAAACCCTATTGCCGCATTAAGCATCATAGCATCATCACTCACTAAAGAATGTAAAAAGATCCCCCGGATTAAAACTTTATTGTTTAGATCTTGACCGCCTCGGAATAATATCTAGTCTAGATTAGCCTAATGCGTGGCCTTGTCAACTGATAGTTAGATAGTTAAGGGCATCAGGATAAAGTCCCATGACTTGGGAGGGGCAGATTACTTACATAATCATGCACGTGGTTCCGATACGCATAAGATCAGTCAGCACGAGGTTGTGTTCATAACTGCTTATGCTGCTTATGCTGCTTAGCTTATCAGTTCTTCACCGTTTTGGCCCCAATTTAATCCATGTTTTGTTCTATAAAGTCAAAAAATCCCAACAATTGTTTCCCATAGGTTCTTCTACTTTTCTGCATGAATGCACTCCATGCCTGACTTTGAATCTTTGTCGTTCTTTTTCAATTCGTTACCCATATACATTCTTTTATTGGGGATAATTGCTATGGGGTTGCTTTCATGGGCCCGACCGAATGGTCGAATCGCCTTCTTCCACACCAAGGACAATAAGCTCTTCTTGACCAAGGCAAAATCCAATGGAAAGGAGCAGACTACTCTGTTGGATGTCTGCCGTGAATCAACACCGGAGACATGTCATCTTAACCCATTCCTTTTCAATGGACATCTCCAGACCGCCTGGACTATTATGCAGGATGATAATGTCCCCGTTCACTACAAGCGAAGAATGTTTGAGTCGGAAAGCATAATGCTCGCAGGACACTATGCCATAGATTTTGTCGTGCCTGCTTATGAGGTGCCAGCTGAGGGTAAATTGACGGACCAGGAAAGGAAACATACCCAACCAGAAGGTCTTCCCCCGCGCACCTCCTTTTATACTGAGGAGGAGTTCACGGCTTTCCCATCTGATGACACTAAGCCTATGCTTGTGGTTCTTCACGGACTAAGCGGAGGTTCCCATGAAGTATACTTGCGAAATGTGCTTGCTCCTCTTGTAGCTGATGGCACGTGGGAAGCATGTGTGGTGAACTCTAGAGGATGTGCTCAAACTAAGATCAGCACTGGAGTTCTTTATAATGCTCGTGCTACTTGGGATGTTCGCCAGTCAGTGAAATGGCTCCGAAAAACCTTCCCTAACCGCCCTCTCTTCGGCATTGGCTTTTCTCTCGGTGCCAATATTCTCACCAACGTATGTACTTGTCTTAACGTCCTGGTATAGGCACTAACATAGATATCAGTACATTGGCGAGGAAGGAGACGCTTGCCAATTGAAGGGGGCTGTGCTCTGCGCCAGTCCTTGGAATCTGGACATCGGCAACGTCGCCCTGCAGCGGACATGGATTGGTCGTGAGGTATATAGCAAGACCATGGGTACAAGTATGAAGAAACTTTTTGAACAGTAAGATCAGCTGACTGGTACAAATCTATTCAAATCCACCAAATGACTAACCTTTCCAGGCATGTTGATCAAGTTTCTACAAACCCCCGCATTGATGTCGAGGCTGTGAGAGGTATCACTTACTTGTATGAATTTGATAGGTTTGTCTTTTGTGAAACTTCCCGAACTTGATCCAAATATCTAATATATATAGACATTTGCAATGTCCCACATGGGGTTACCCTACGGAGACTGCTTACTACCGTGATGCCACCTCTACCGATGTGATGATGAACATACGCATTCCGTTCCTTTGTGTCCAAGCCGAGGATGACCCAGTAAGTTGCGCAGTACTCATTCTGCATATCAAATATTAACAGGCCATAGATCGTTTCGCATGAGTCTTTACCATACCAAGAATTTGGTCAAACGCCTTACGGTGTCATGGTTACTACATCTTGGGGAGGCCATCTCGGCTGGTTCGAGCTTGGAGGAGCTAGATGGTTTGTTAAACCAGTAAGTGACTCTCATTGAAAATAAACGATTGCTTCATGCTAATTACCCCAAGGTCATAAGCTTTTTGAACAAGATGGCCAAGGAAATCGATACTTCGATCCCTCCTGTGGTCGAACACCCTGATAAAATGCCGGGCCAGGTTGCCAGCCATCCCGGCCCTGGTAAAGATCTTGATCTGGCACCAAAGCCTGATTATCACCCCCTGCGTCGTAGACTGGATTTGAAGCTGCCGCTGTAAATCAAGAGAAGAGTGAAAGTGAAGAGACTGGAGACTTACATGATTCCGGGCATCACAGTAGATATGATGACTTTTATTTAGATTACATAGACTTCGAAAGTTCATTATAGAATCACTCAGATTCGGGATGTTTACAGTATTTGGACTTCGTCGGGTCTAAATCGAAGTTTCAATCGAGATCGAATTCATCATAGTTTGAAGAGTAACACCCTCGAATTGATCAACGCTATTGGCAACATTTTGAATTGAACAGATGTAGATTAATACCAAAACGCCAAACCCCTGTCTATACAAGAACATGGTAAATAATAGTTTTTGTTAAGCAAATGAAACACTTTTCCGCTTGGGCTTCGATGATTTGGAGCTGGATGACGAAGATGAGGCCGGCTTGTCAGCGCCGTTCTTGCCCTTCTTCTTACCTCGAAGACCATCCTTGACTGCTTCAAGCTTAGACTTCTTCTCTGAAGCTCGTGCTTCCATTTCCTTCTTTCTGGCATCTCGAATCTCCTCTAGTTGACGTGCCTTCATCATCTTGGACTCAATCTGGCCTTCCTTTTCGGCATTGACCATAGCAAGGATGGTCATCATACCCTCCTAATAGTTCTATTAGTCAATATTTTTTGGCATATGAGAAAAAGAGGGCGAAATCGCATACCTGATCATCGACGAAAGTCTTTCCCTTCTTCTTGCCCTTGGGCTTCACAACTCCAACGGGTGTAATCGTATTCAACTTGGGCAAATTCAACTCTGCCTCGGTATACACCCGCTTCTTCTTCTTTTGTAGGTTCTCGGGAGCGGTGCGCGCCTTAGACTTGACTTCTTTCGGCGGGGGACGCTTGACGTTCTTAGATTTGCTCACACGCGAAGAAGATGAGAGAGGCTTAGAGCCTTTAGAGCCTTTGGAGCCACCAGATGAAGAACCCTTGGAAGAAGAGCCCTTAGAGGGGCCTTTTGACGATCCTTTGGTAGGCGCCATTTTTTTTATTGAGAAGATTGAACGAGTAACGATGCGAATTTGCACGCAGATGTAAGGGTATCGAGGGGCAAGGGCGAGTTTCGGGTTGGACGGTGACTTATATTAGTAGAGTCAATCGCACAATAATCAAAACAGAAAGATCAAGCAAATGGCTTGAGGGAAAGAAACATGCAATCGCAACAGTCAAATTATCTCCGAAATTAAATTGCAGAAGAAATTTTTAAACAGGAAGGCGGTGGACTTGAGACTGGATCCACTACCGACTTCAAAGCGAAACCTCCTCCACCAGAGCTCACCATATCTCCAATCCTTACCTCCCCTCTCCATCTTAGCGATTGACGACTGCAGTGGACGCAGAATCGTCTTTTCACCATGACTATCAACCCTACTTACCTCGCGCAGCGGACGCGTTCCTGTACGTTTCCATGTCTCGATGCGAGCATCCCCGAGGCGTTCCGATTGCCCGGCGTGTCCTGCAATTGAAGGCCCATAAGGTCTTTGTTACAGGAAGCTGATGTTTTTTCTTCTCTATATAGCTGCAAACTTGGCGCAGGCTAAGACCAGAGTCCTTAAGTCGTACCGGGAGTGGCTGCGCGCGGTCAGTCTACCTTGAGATCCCTACCATTCCACCCACCGAAACAAAGCCCAGGTCTCCGAGCGAATACACCTGCAGGAGATATTCTATCGTGAACACTGTAGTACGGATATCAGAACTAACTCGTGGTGTTTGCGAAACTATAGTCCCCCGAAATTCAGACCATGTACTCCCTGAACATGCCTGTATCAGTCATCCGTACCAAGATCCGCCAGGAGTTTGAGAAGCACCGCTACGTTAGCCAGCTTCCCGTTGTGGATGTCCTGCTCTTTCAGAGTCACGCCGAGTTCCAGGTTAGTTGAAGCACCTTCGAATTGTGGATCCTGCCCGCGGGTATGAGTAATGGAGGACGAGCCATTGGATACAACGAAACATGTGTTCCATATGCATTCTCGTTTCTTGACTCTACTCATCCCCAAACAACTGAGCAAATACCCCCCATACTTGAAGCCATGGCTGACTTGATTACAGGAAACCCTCAACTACTGGAAGCAGCACTCTCACGTCATGAAGTACTTCCGGCCAGAAGAAGACCCCGGTGCGCGGCTACCACCCAACTTCGTTTCGGGCTTCTTGGAAGGCCGTAACTGAGTTGTCTTCTGCGCTTAACCGATTATTTCCTATATCGTTTCCCTTTCTTTTTTTTTTTTTTTTTTTGCAAGTCCATGGCGTGACAACGTTATCGGCAGAGACATGATGTAAATACTGTCTGAGTAGGTCGCCAAACTCTTCAAGCTATTCAAGTGCGGGCATCAAAAGCTAGAGTTACGCTTACCGTAGATGGACTATATTTCATGGCTGTGGTCTACAACTACTGCTTTGGGTACCAAGCTTTGTATAAGATGACTCAAAGTGCTAGAAATGGCAACATTATAAAGTTAATGTCGAAAACAATAGAAGAACTCCTAGGCCATTTTCTCCTTCCAAAGTACCTAGTCACTTGGACTCTGTTTGTACCGCTAGCTCTATATCAGAATTCTGCGTGGTTGCTGTTTCAGAAAACATTGAAGTATCCTTCCCACTTTTCCCATTGAGGCTACTCCACTCAATTTCAGTGATAGAGCCCCGATTCTTACGTACAGAACGGTACGACTTGAAAAACGCCGGCATAGGCACTATGCCCCCCGATTCTGAATCTTCGAATGAACTGATGATTTTCTTGACAGCTCCTGTCATCCATCTGTAGATGAAAGGTAGATTTGCGCAGACAACACCGCCAAGTGGTTCATAGACAGAGAGAATCCCTAGAGGAACACCGGTCCCTATATTGATGTCAGTCATGTGAACAGAACCAGATGCAAGCCGACATACAGGTGAAATCTGTTGAGCCTTGACTGACAACAACTGTCAATCTAGCAATACTGATAGCACACGTACTATAAAAGTCAAAGCCAAGGTTAGTAAGGTCGAAGCAGGAGTTCAAATCAGGAAGCATACGCACAAGAGCCCAATGGCAAAGATGGCAGCCAGCTCCAACTTCCTCCTCTGAGTGATATGCAGCCCGAAAATGATTGGCATTGGAAGTAAGAACACCCAAATATCAGTAAGAAGATTGGTAATGTTAGTGAAGTATGAAAAAGCCACTAGATCAAGACAAGAGCCCTTGACACTGGCATCCCAGAACTTAGTAACGGGCATGCAGTCTAGCCCAAGAGTAATCTCCATTACACAGATCCACAGGAAGATGAAGACTGCGGTTCCGATGATGATTCGACGGAACAGAGCTGTGCTAAAGATTCTGTAATATAGGGAAAGAATTGCGAGCTTTGTGCTTGCTATGGCGAAGTTGTAAAAGTGGCTGAAGATGTAGTCACCCTATTTTGTAAAATTCTTTAGCTCAAGGTGCTTCATAACTAGTTCACCATAGAGCCTCGCTGAAGTCTTACCATCATAAAGATTTTGAGCTCTTTTGCAGAGAGGGTTGCGACATGTTTGCCAAATCCATACGGAGGGCCTATATATTTGAAGGTTAAACCAGGCTTCAAACAATCCCCCTCTCATCCAGGCAGCTTGAGAATTTGAACATCAATAACTCACCATATACTAATCCACTGATACATAGACTTATAGAAATAGCCTGTAAGAATCCAAGATTAGATCTATAGGAATGCTATGTAGGACAACAAAGTCCTTGAGTGAGCTGGTAGTATCCACGTAATACTGACTGTAGAAATTAATATCGCGTAATCGTCAAACGCCATGCCATTTTGAGAGGATGGTCGAAGTTTAACGAAGAGCCGTACTCCGGTGAACAAGAAGAGAAATGGGATTGGGATAGAGTAACAGATGTTAACTGTCGAGACTCTCGATTCATTAAGGTTGACTTCGCCCATAGTGCTGAGACCTGTTGCTAGTATACCCTGAAACCCTGTTTTCTGGGGAAAAGTTTACCATATAAAAAACCTTCGGAGGCCTCGAGCGAGGAATCAAGGGATACTCATGGAAATTAGGTATAGCTCCAAAGAAACAATTCCTATTAACTACCTATATATGTCATTAACCGTGCTGTTTATTTGCTTTAGACTAATCACAGGACTGCTAGTATCCGTTTGGGGATGATTCCGGCGTCAAGCAAGCTGACTTAGTGGCACTGTGAATGGTGATTCGAATCCATCCTGCTTCATTATTAGCGGCTAGACTAGGCACAGTATGGATGACCACCTTCTGGCCTGAATTTGGAAGGGTTAACAAGGGTGCTAGAAGCAAGGAAACGATAACCTTATCTTGTCATGAACAGTTCAGCTTCCTTATGCTATCACCAGCTCTGGGAATGTATGATGTCTTTTTCAGGTCCAATCACCTCTAGGGCTCAATATTCAAGGTGTGATTCCTAGACACCGACTTTTAGTCAGACAAAAAGACCACAGCACTTGGCAGCGTGATTGGTTACACGCATACATGCATACCCAGTCAGGCACCTGGTCCGTGGTAACCTGCATAAATATGCACCCAAGGGGCTAGGATCGTCAACAGTCACCATTATCCTAAAATTATCAGCGTACGGCGTACATGCTTCTCAGGCCTTCATCTCCCTCACTCTCTATTGGGTCATTATTGGTCCCAGATTTGAGATGGGTCTCAGAGCTAGTATTATCAGCCTTGCTCTCGTGGTGCTAGCAAGCACAACTTGTGCTGCCCTTGGTCAAAAAACCAATCCGGCAGTTGATCTGGGCTACGCGACATACCAAGGCTCCTACGACCCTCTATATGACTTACACATTTTTAAAGGGTGAGTTGCTGGTTGCCTCGTGCGGACGCCCATTATCCATGCCTTGAAAAGACATTTACTCACTACTACCCAGTATCCGATATGCTGCCCCTCCAGTTGGATATCTGAGATGGCAAGCACCACAGGCTCCTTCTGTAAATAGGGCTCGTATTATATCTGCGACTGAACAGCCGCCAATTTGCCCTCAGTCTGGCGGTGCAAAGCTTCCAACAGAATATGGATTCAACTCCGCTCTCGGCGATGAGGACTGTCTGTTTCTTAACGTGTATGCTCCGTCGCATGCAAGAGATCTCCCAGTTCTACTCTGGATCCGTAAGATTTACCCTATTCCTGATTATATCAAATTAAAGTTTTGATATTGTTGCTAAGTATGTCCTTAGATGGTGGTGGATATGGACTTTACGGGGCAGAATACGACCCAAGTGATTGGATAAAGACCAACGACAATGGCTTTATTGCAGTTATGATCCAGTACAGACTAGGTGCATTTGGCTTCTTATCTTCCGAAGATGTATACAAAAAAGGTAAAACCAACGCCGGTCTGTTAGACATGCGTTTTGCTCTTGAGTGGGTACAAAATCATATCTCGAATTTCGGTGGTGATCCTTCTCGCGTGACTATTGGGGGTGAATCCTCTGGTGCTGGTGCGGCAATGCTGCAGTCCATGGCTTATGGCGGCCGAGAAGACCATCTTTTCAATAATGTAAGCAGTTCCTCTCGCCACAGATCTTCTCAAGGCTTGTTTTTTTTCTGAATCAGTCTAGATTATTGCCGCAAGCCCATATACGCCGACACAGTATAGGTGCAATGATGAAGTGCCAACTGGCCATTATCATGAGTTTGCGAGGCATGCAGGGTGTTACCATGATGGAGATTCCAATCATTCAAGTATCTTTGACTGTCTTGTCAAGGCGGACACTATCACGCTTCAACATGCCAGTGGAAACGTTTCAACTTCTGGTGCATGGGGCACATTTGCCTTTCTACCCGTCATTGATGGAGACTTCATCCGGGATCTACCATCGAAGCAGTTGCTAGAGAAGAAAGTGAGCGGAAAACGGGTTTTATCAGGTGTAAGTCCGACTCAATTCACAGTTGCTATGCAGAGGACTTCGTGAAATTGATTATACTTGTTCATCTATGCAGAGCAACGCCAATGATGGTGTCCCGCTAAGTCCACCATACATCAAAAGTGCAGAGGACTTTTTGGCATACATCAAATCTTCATTCCCTCTTTTCACAGAGGTCGACTTCAACCACCTTCTTAGTATTTATGGCTTCAACTCCTCTTCTCCCACCAGCAATAAGCTCCTCTATGATACCCTCGGTGATAGAGGCCTAACCGCCAACAATCAATCCGAGTTCTCAAATGGGCTTCAGCAGACGGTATTCAACATCTTCGCTGAAACAGCCTTCGACTGCCCATCATACTGGCTCGCCGATGCATTCTCAGCGAATGAAACCACAAGCTGGAAATATCAATACTCCGTCACTCCCGCCTACCACGGTGCAGACCTGACAGCTTATTTTTCTGTTGGGGCAACGACACCCACTCGCAGTCTCATGTACGCTGTTCAAAAGATTTGGGGATCATTTATTATACACGATTCACCTATTATTTCCGTTTATGATGCCAGGGGTGGAGTTTACAACGCCACTGTCCCCGAAGGTGCAGATGGTGATATCTCGTGGCCGGCGTGGTGCGAGTCTAAGCCGGTGTTGATGAACCTGAATACAACTGGTGGCACTCTGCGTTATCATAGGGTGACTGATCACCTTGCGTTCTGGATTCGTGAAGGGCGTGATATCTCGAATGAATTTAGCCTAGCAAATGCAAGCAGCTGGGAGGGTGGTCGTGGGGAACGCTGTCAGTTTTGGCGAGAGGTTGGTCCACGAGTACCCCAGTAGGTAACTAGGTAGAGGAACCCTCCTCAATGTCTTGCTAGGTAGGATTGAACATAAATTTGCATATGTCGAAGGCGGGATCTTCGTAGTATCGTTTTGAAGTCATAGATCGAACATACCTCCCGAGGTCAGGGCTATAACTAACCCTATACCTGTTCATCTATACGTGTGGTTTACACCCAGCTTGGATCCTATTTTGCGAGAGAATAAATATAAAATGGTTGAAATTGAACAAGTTTTAGCTCAAACCCCCCAACGCCATGTATATGTACAAAACACAAATGCAATTACAAGTCCGTACTCAAGACTGCATCTGGTTGTCGGCGTTGAACTCGTTTCGAGATTGAGTAAATTTCTCGGTGACAACATCGCATAGGTCCATCATATCGGTAAGTCCTTTATCTAAAGCTTCCAGGGCGGTAGTCTCGTCTTTAAAAAAGGAATATCAGCTTTAACTGGTTCTGGGTCTAATATTCCTGGTATACTGCTGAACTCACCGGTTGTCTGAATTCGCAAATGCATTTTGGCTTCGGAAGGATGGGGGATTGTATATCCACAAAATTCGACGAGGGGACTAACAGAGGTTAATCACAAGTAAACTAGCGGGCCACAAAAGTACGCAGGGCATAGCTCACTTCTTCATAATTGCATAGCGCAGCACGTTTCCCATAGTGTGACCCTCGTTGGCGAATTGGAACGAAGCGGCTGTATCTGAAGCACCAGGAAGCTAGAGAGATCAGATTTTAGTATTATGTTGCAGTTGTGGGCATACAACAATTGTCACGTACTACAACGATGCGCTTCTCGTTCAATAGGAGATGAGGGTCAGTGGGCTCCACACCCTCTGGGACATCAACGTCCATCATGGACTGATCCTCAGAATGGACCGAGGCAGGCATTGTTTAATCTGCTGTATGGGATTGGAGATTGGAAATTTGCGAGTCGCAAAGGAGCAAGATGGTAGGTATGTTTTGATTGAGTAAAGTCGAAGTGGCGCAAATTTTATTGCAGGTCGGAGCTTGAAATTGAAAGAATGAAGTGAATTGAGAATGACCGCTTTTTTTCTTGATCGCAAGAAAAAAAAGTGGGGTATCGATAGTTTCACCGCCTCCGTAGCCTTCACCGCCTTAGGATTGAAGTATAGCTTGAGCTAATCTCAACCCCATCTTCCGATGATTCATCTATTTTAATGAAGCTTTAAATTGAGCTACAGCTTTGAATGGCCATATAAAATGTGACATGGCTATAGCTGGTCTGAAGTACCACGCATCCAACAAGGTCAAATACATACAAAGGTCAAATAGCCTAAGCTCACTTAAACAGGCTTGGTTATTGATTCAACATTCAACATTCAAATTTCAGTTGTTACCTAGGTACATTTCAATGATAATTGAATGATTTGATCCAGACTGCAGTCTTGAGCATGGATTGGTAGTTGCATTTATGTTTTGTACTGCCAGTTTGAGTTTCTTGCCCACGATTACTGTGAGATACTGGATAGAACCTTGGAAGGGCATTTGATCAAGAAACTCGATTCGAGCACATCGATAAGGTTGAAGTCATCTAGAACGTCAAAAAGCGCGCACCAAGCACCCGGTGTACACAAAAATGGTCGACATATTTAAAACAAAAATTTCACAATTTACACTTCAGCCTTCAGGAGCAACCAGGAACGCCAAAGCTACCTAGGTACGAGGCTCAGGTTGCCTACAAAACATTCGAAAACAAGCTAGACTTCCTTGAGCAGGACTCCAAGTCTATGACAACAACAACCTACAATCAAACTCTCCATTCGACTCTAGTCATTCAAGGAGAATGTTCTCGATGCTGGTCTAGCAGCCGAAGAGCTGTATGTCTGGCATCACCTTCGAAACATCCAGACGCCATCATCTCCCGAGAACGGCCTAGCACAGTGCGAAATCTGTGACACCAATGGGAGAGCATATAGTAGTATACGAGTGGTGCTTTACGGCAGCCAAGCTCATTTGCATCTACCTAAGTACAATCAACTCAAATCGACCGAAGGTGTCTAATTCGTCACGCTATAAAGTGAAGGATGGTCTGCACACCTACTCACCAGGAGTTCATCTCTCTGAAAATCAAGCGTCTCCAGCCTGAAAAGCTAAAGTCTCCATGAAGCTTTATATCCAATCAATTTGAAGCCAATCAACATACAAATATCAGAAATTACGATTCATATCTACACGACACCCGTACGATCAAAGTGAAAAATGCCCAAGGCAGGTTGTTCTGGATAAGGGAAAGCTATGATAATACGATAATAAAAATGAAAACAGTGCCCTTCCGCACTTCGAAAACCTCTCACCAACATCTGAAACTTGCTCTGGTGAAAGGCATGTCTACAAGGCCAAGGAGTAAAATGGGTTTTTGCGTTGTGAGTAGGCAAAGCTTACAAGGAAAGCCTAGTCTCTGATTAGCCATACCAGAGCTGGAATCACAATGTTAAGTGTTTCTGTCGGTAATTTGACAATGTTGAGATGCGTATTCGACATAAGAGAATGTTTGAAACTGGGCGAGAAAGAAACCAAGTAGAATCAACTGATGAAGACTTTCAGATTAAAACTCTTCTGATTGAGTAGTCTACTAAGTAAATCGGTATTGCCAATCCTTTATGCTACTAAATCGTGGACCCATGGTATAAAAGTGAGGCCACAGATTAATAGGAAGCTGACAAAGTACTATGAAATATCTAGCAAGCCATTGGGGCAAAGAAAGTAACTAGAATAACCAAACTGCTCAGGTAGTACTCAGAGCCTGAGTAGAGTGACTCTTTTCAGGCTCCAGTTCTCTGTTCAGGCTGCTCACTTTTCCACTTCCGATTCAAATCCCCCTCCTTATAAATACCGAGTTACCATTCCCTTACAAGATTCTAACTTCCCTTCTCCATCCACCTCATTTTTAAGCACTATGGCTAAAAATGCTCAACCCGATCATTCTCGCCCTAATTCAGCCTCTGCTGTTGAACTCGATGAATCCCTCCCTCTCCAACCTGATACGGACAAAACACCTGATGAAGAGTGCCTGAGTGAGGGCCCTGAAGAACTCTTGGCCAAGCTCAATATCATTGTGAATACCTTCCAGGACATTAAGGACGGCATGATGAACAATGTCGAGGAGACAATCACGACCCTTGCAGTTGAGTTTTGTCGACTCCGTCGCAAACTTAAGACCCTCGAGGCCGAAGATGCGCAACGTCGAGCATACGAAATGTGGGTACACCAACGGGAAGAGGCACTGATCTACGAAATTGAAGAGATGATGAGAGTCTGGGCCAAGGTTGTGCAATGGCTAGACGAGACCTTTTCTGGTCCCGATTCTAGTGAGAACGTCCCTTTGATCTCTTAAATTCTTGACTCCGGAACAAAGTTTCATTTCTAATGACCACGAACCACGAATACATCCTTATCGAGAGTCCAGCGGGAATCGTCTTTTACTTTCATCTCTAACTTGCAACTGTCGTGTCGACACTGGAAGAAACTCACTTTAAATCGCTTGGTTTACTACCAAATGGCATTAGGATGGTAACAAGAGTTTGGACTTTAGGAAAGGAGATAAGAAGACTCTAACTCATATTCTCACTGATTACTTACAGTAGAACATCTAGTAAGTAACCCACGTAGTTTAACTGCTGAGACGGTAGACCCAGTTCTGAATACTAATTACTGACAGTGGCTTCATTTATTTCTGAGTCTCTCACGCATTTCCATTGTATCTTAAAGTCTTCCACTACAAATACTGCACTACCACAACCTTTCAACTTCTCTTTTCATCCAGGATTCGCACGCTCGCTCATATGATGCCGCACCTCATCCAGCCAGTTATGAGAGGAGCAGTTTATAGAGACAACCCAAGTGATAGAACCCGGAAATTCTCGCAGTGAAGCTCAAAGTCTTCTTGAACTAATTTCTAACAGCAAAGGAGGATGACCCTAGCACCTTCACCCCCGAATCAAGCTCTTGGAAGTGATAGTTCTCCATTGACAGCTTGATCAATGTTATATGTCAAACACCTCTACCAGTGCCTTGCACAGGTGCTAAGACGGTATGGCATTTGATCAAGTGCAATTTCTCATCATACTACCTGGAAGGAGGAACGGAGGGTTCGAACCCCTTACAAATGATGATCTCACAAGCTGGGCGACCTTAGCCTCCTATCTAAACTAACTACCAAGGATTACAAGGACGGAAATCAGAGGTTGGCTGGGCTTGAGCTTGTCATGTATGATGCCCGGTGTCAGTCATGGTTTTGCCAAAGATTATCAAAGAAAAAGGAATAAAAGCATATTACTATATTCAGTATTGAGTGAGACTTCAATATTGCAATTCTGTGTCTGTTGCCGACACCGAGGGTGAAACTAGAATATGGGTATCAATACATTGAATATCGTGTTGTACATGGTCTCGTCAATAGAAAATACAATCCAGACTTGATGTCCCTTCCAAGCTCTTACTTTCCCAGTCCTTCTTGTTGCACAATATCTGATGTGTTGACTAAAGATGCATGCAGCCCGAAGTTTTTTTCGCCATTTTCTTGTTATTCATCTCGTTGCCGCTTCTTGAATCCCAGTCCTTCTTCGACGCGATCTAAGAGAGAGTTCGCAGATGCAACCGAATCGGCAACTGATAGCGGGGGATCTTGAGTGGTGCTAGTAGCTTCGGCCAAGGCGTCAGCAGCATCTTTAGTCTCCCTTCTTCCTTTCTTGCGAAGATTTTTGGATTCTCTAGCAGCAGATTTAGTAACATCTGTAGCGTCTGCTCTTTTTTGAACTGCTTGAGCTCTTTGTCTTGCGATGAAATCCGATTCTTCATCATCCACTATAGCACCCACCGCCCACTTATGCAAAACTTTGCTAACGTCGTCATGACGGGAGAGATAGTCGAGAGAATGGAAGACATTATCAAAGACACCGGGCTTGTCAGCATGTAAAGAAGTAAATTCGGGGATTTCGAAAATATTGTACGGTTGAGCACACCCCTTGATCGTGCTGTCGTCAATCAAGACTGTATTGGACTGATCCCAGCGGCTTACAACTTTGCCATTCTCTGTTTTAGAATTAGGGTGGAAAGCTTGGATGGTTTTATCGCTCCATACAACTTCAAGTCTCTTGTAGACCTGCGCATTGGATTGATACTCCAATTTGCTTAGACCAAGCGTATCACGGCCCCATGCTGCAATGATCCCTGCTCTGTTCTTTTCAGAGATTAGGTTGAGTGCTCTGTACATGATTTGAGGTGTGGCACTTGTCCAGATCATCACATAATATTTGCGGGTCAATTTTTGCAAGAACTTTGTAAGCCCTTCACGCATGATGAATCCTCCTTTTTTTGTTTTCTTGCCAAGAGTACCGTTCATATCGAGGATTACCAACAACGGCTGTGGATCACATTTACTCGCAACTGAAGTTGCTCGGGCCAGGTATTTCGCAGTGGGCTTTGGTGCTGCTTTGAAAATCACTTTTTCTTGGTCTCTCTGTGGGCTGCTTATCAATTGGTCCATCTGCAGTGAAGGCAGTGAAGGCAGTGAGTTGACTGGGAAAGGTCCAAATGACGGCACTGGCATCTGCGGAAACATTTGTCCTGTTGCAAAGTTCGAATTGGCTGGAAGGTGGTGTGTAAGGAGGGTATTGCAATTCAAAGGAGCCAATTGGTAGTCGTTGAAAGCTGCGGTGGGTATGCCATATGAGCGGGGAGGGATTGAGTGGGAAGTATTAACCGTAGAGCCCGGTTGTAGATCGTGGGTAGGCGCCTTGGCCTTGTTCCTTTTTTCTAGTATAGATTAGCTGCTGTTGACTAACACATAAATTGACCAATCTACCAGAGGTCATAATATTGGCTGCAAGTCTGGTTTGTTTAGAAGCAGGAGTTGAAGAAGACCCCCGATCATCCTCCCCATCATCCGCCCATATCGACGTTTCGGTGGATCTGGCATACGGCAATCCTCCCTCTTCACGCTGAAGGTGTTTACGGTGGGAATCCTCACTTTTACGAGTGTGGCCGGCGAGATGCGGGCGACCTTGCGAAGGAGGGGCATTGCTTTGCGCAACCCCCTCCTTTGTTGATTTCCTCGTTCGAGGAGACAGCGTGACAAATGTCGATGGTGTGTTCGGTTTGGTTTTATGATAAAAGGTGAGAAGGCGTGAAGGACCTAGTTCCTGATTTTGATTGAAAATGCGACTGACAGAACGCGTGAATGAGAACCAGGGAGGTGAAGGAAATCTGGAAGGATACATTGTTTTAGATGTGGGAATTGTGCTTTGGCAAAAAAGATCTAATCACTTATCTTTTTCACCGCCTGTGGCAGTATCTTTTTTTTCCTTACCGCCGACTTGATCAGCTTCGTTTGGCACTGCATCGTGACTTCATCCAACACAATGGCTATTTCAGATATGTTGAACCGCCGTGTGCGGGCTCAACCAGATCAACAGGAAGATATCTACTCAGAGGAATCCAACGCCGAGGAAGTCTCTTCAGACGAGAACGAGGAAGAAGGCGATTCAGACGAAGATGTACAGCATAATATTCTATATATCTATTTACTCATTTTCTAACAGCATTCTAGATGAGCGACTCCGATGAAAAAGAAGATGATGAGGAATTGGAAGACGAAGAAACCCAATCTTCGAACTCAGAAGGCGACGACGACATTCAAGCCTCGCTAAGCAACATTTCCTTCGGAGCCCTGGCCAAAGCCCAAGCATCAATGGGACCCAAAAAGCGCAAAGGAAAAGCAAGCGAAGAATCAGAGACCGCATCGCCCTTAGACGACATCCGCGAAAAGATTCGCGAAGCCCGCGAACAGAAGCGCGAGGCAGCGACCAAACTAGCCGGGTCGAAATCCCAACAGGCTAAAGAGAAAAAGGAGAAAGCCCGCGCATCCAAGCACGCGCCAATGGTGCAGTCTTCCAAGTACGCTGTCACACGTAAACGGCAGGTAGTTGAACCTCCCAACGTTGCCAAAGCGCGCGACCCTCGCTTCGATGCCGCTGTTATGGGATATAGTGGTGCAGGACGACACAATCAAGCCACTAGCAACGCTTATGCTTTCCTCGATGACTACCGGGAGTCGGAACTAAAGGATTTGAAGACTCAGATGTCTAGGACGAAGAATGAGGCGCAGAAGGAAGCTTTGAAGCGACAGATTCGGTCTGCGACTGATCGGATGAAAACGCGGGCAAATGAGAAGCGTGAACGGGAAGTCGTTTCTGAGCATAACAAGCGCGAGAAGGAGTTGATCCGTGAGGGCAAGAAGAGCACGCCGTACTATTTGAAGCAGTCTGATCTCAAAAAGAAGGTTATGGAGAAGAAGTACTCCGAGATGAAATCGAAGGATCGGTCCAAGGCTTTGGAGCGTCGTCGAAAGAAGATGGCTTCCAAGGAGCGCAAGGAAATGCCATGGGAGCGACGGGGCGCTGGTGGCAACGACGCACCGCCGAATCGTGGGGAACGATGGGGAAATGGCGGCGATGATGCACCTCCTAAGAGGAGACGTTTCAATTCAGATTAAAAAGCTACGGAATATGGAGTGGAATGAGTGACGCTGAATACCAAAATTAGATTTCTGGAGATCAGAATGGTATGACCGAATAAGTCTGGCTACGTTGAAATACAAGAATTGAAAAAGTAACAGGTGGTTCACAAATGCAAAGTCCCAAAGTAACATCTAGAAAGAAAGGTATATGGTGAAAATGACCCAACCATGAACGCCGCAAGATATGAATATGCAATATTTCCCAATGTGCAGGTTTTTCCGAGTCTCAGGCTCAACACTGTCGTATTGTCGTACCAGTCAGGAAAGATATGAGAGGATATATAAACATCAATGTCATATACGAAAGGGGGAGAACTTGTGACTTGATCAGTGGAGAGCAGCCAGTAAAGTTAGAGAGTAATGTAATTTTATGAGGAAGGATTATCCAGTTCTCAGAAGTGAATAGATATCTCAGGGAGAAGTAGGATTGAGCAATGAATTCACTGCACGAAGTCGTCGGTAGTTTAGCTGGTCCTTTATTGGATTAATTGTGGAATAGATCCCAAGCTCGTGCGCAGAGGCCGAGGAACTCTTCCTTCTTCCGCCGCTGTGTTTCTGGAGAGTCCCTGCCTGCGCCGAATGGACCATGGCTGGCTGCAGCGGGATTTGGACGGTAATGATCTGGCCCATAACCGAGAGGTGGGGTCCCGTTATCATGTTCATACTCGCTGCGAGGGCGACGACGAGCGGTAGTATCTGCGTTCTGGAGAATTACAGCTGGAGGCGCACCCAGCGCACCCGGCACAATTCCTTCGTGTGCCAAAGACGCGGTCTTTGGGACAGTATGAATGACATGTGGAGATGGCGGGGTTGGTGGTTGGTGACCTCCATAATGCACCATTCGGGGAAGCAGCTCTTCCCGTCCGCCGGACAGCTCCTGTACAGCTTCCTCCGCAGATCGGTACTCACGGGCCCGACTGGGAGTTAGAGACATGCTGCCCGGTAGACCTGGAGAGGGCATCGGTGCGAGGTTAGACTGCGAGGAGTTGCTACTCGATGCAGTCGGATAGAGGCCAGGGCGCGCATCGCGATCCCGACCCAACGCATCAGAACCAAATACATCGGACAGGGGAGGAAGGCGATTATTTGTCTGAGTAGCTGGAATATGGTGCATGTGAGAGGTTGAGCCGAGAGTCGGGCTCTGATTGGCAACATGCCGAGTCAATGGCTGTGGCTGATATCGTCCACCACTGAAGGTCTGATGGAGTGGAGCTGATTGAATAACGCGCTCGTTGGCGAATTGCGACGCGGATGGTGGGACGATCGAGAGACCTGGCGGAGGCCTTCGCTTGGAGCTACTCTTCGGCATACCCATAAAACCGACCTCGGATGGTTTGATGCCATCAGGACCGTCATCCTTGGCCGATTTCTGTAGTCGCGCCTCGATTATTGATCGCTGTTGATCCCTCACGGAGAGACTGCGCTGGATTTGTTGTCTCATCGTGGGGTTGTGAGTCTGGAAACCGGGCGATAAACACGCCAGGCCTACTTCCTGCATACTCGCCGTCATGGGTCCTCCCGGCGGACGGACCTGCAAGCCGCTCGACGAGGGAAGGCTCGTTGACAGATCCAATCTCCGAGGTCGCGGGCGACTCTGCATGCGGGGTGACGAGGCCGGTTCCTTTTTCACGGTAATCTTGGGACCAGCGCTACCTTGTGATCTAAGAGAAAAACAGGTCAGACATGGTCGCATCGACTCTGTCGCCTCTGGTGTACTTACGGTGATGACGGATCTTTGTTCTCTGGAGAGGCTTTGGCAACTGATCTATCTCGAGAGGTCGCCATCCGGGGTGGAGATGAATTTGCCGGACCTGGAGGGGCCAAGGTCTGGCAGTTTTTCGGACTGGGATCGCGGGTGGTATGTGGCGATGACAACGCCGCTGGTGTCGCGGATGCAACAGCCGTCGACATGTTGTGGGAGACCGAGTATCACGAATTTATATTATAATAAAAAAAATAAAAAAAATAAGATGTCTGTTGGAAGTACTTTGCTGCACGGGATCGGCGTCAAAAGAACCCCGGATGTTGGTAAATTTAAAGCATCAAGAGAGTTAAAGTATATGGGATACGAATCTGGGAATTCTGTGGTATGAAAATGTCCAAGATAGCAACAAAGAAAGTCGAAAGTCAAAGGTCAAAAGAGAGAGTGGGATGGCGGTTAGTCGGTAGAATTAAGAAAGGTCCGAGAGAAAATGGACTAAAGAAGCTCAAGACTAAAAAGGGGGGTTGTGGAAGATGAGGGTCTGGACCCAGAAGGGGGAAGAGGGGATGTTTTTTTTTTCTAGGGGTTTGTACTCGGTACTTGGTCTGTAGTGGTGGATACACTGTAAATCGAAGTATCGGATACCTATCCAACAGAAACTAGTTCTTACAAGGTGGAGCGACTCAAACACATCCTGCACCGAACGTATCAGGATTGTCATTCTGAGACAAGACGTGTTTCTAACTTCTTAACCCGTGTTTATGTGTTGGTTTGGTCTGTGTCATATGGCTGTACTCAGGTCTACTTTTTGGGTATTTATCCTGGACATCATGACTCGTCACATCTCCTGAAACACATTTATACTTCAGACTCTGTCTTATTGATATTCTCTCTGTTTTCTCTTTACTCTTTTCTCTACAAGGTATCCTCCATTCCTTCTAGCCTCGGCCCCCAACATCAGACTATTCTTGGTATAGGTATAGCCTGGTTCCCTAATCACACCATGTCACATTGATGGCGCTTAGAGCGACAAGGAAGAGAAGAGGGGCCAAGTCTGTACTTCATATCCTATTTAATCTAATCTCAGGATCTTTGGGGCCTAAAGAGGGGCTCTTTCACCCCTGAGATATCCACAGTTATGGATAAAGTAAAGAGGACTCAAAAAGTGGATCTTATAGCCTGACTTCACTTTTATACCAATTTCAAAGTTGTATATTCACTGATTCATAAATATGAATGATTTGTACATGGAAATTTCAGAAGGGTGGAATAATAAGTATACCTAGGTACCTAGGTACTGGATTTCCTATGCTAATCCTTTGATTCAACCTCGGCGCACCCTATAGAAATGGTATATTACCGGTCGTGATCTACCTAGATACCTAGGCAATCGCTTATAAGCTAGCATCTGTCTATATCTAACCTTAGTAGAGCTTACATAGGTACTAAATACGCTAACCAAAGTGTGAGCGAAGGCGGCGACCAGTATAAGAAGAGCTAGGAAGGGGAACGCCAAGAACTAGGAGGAGAGGCAATGGGTTAGTGCTAGCGCTTTGGTAGCAACGGTCTGCTTCGATGGCTGTTTAATTGTAGCTTTAATGCCCTAGATATCCCTATTTAGTGTGCCTAGTTCGTCTTACTAGCAATTTAGGTTATGGGAAGTTCTTAGTGAGCTCCTCTACGCTTCTGAGGAAGCTTGTCACAGTGGGATTGGAAGCCTGTCTAGTTGCCGCAGGTTCCCCACAATGAACCACCATTCATCATTCATCCAGCATGGCCCAGCCTAGACCATTTCCTAACGCCCTGTGGCCGCGGGTCTGCACAAGTCACGGCAACAAATGTCAACCTCACCGCCCTGACGGATCGAGTCGTCACCGGATTCGCAGCCATTGAGCCTTGATCAACTGCCAAGTGAGTGAGACTCTAGAGCTATATAGCATCAACCTCTAACACTAACTACAATAGAAATTACAATGATTTGGCCAAAATCAACAACAATCCGGCGCTGACACCCGAGTTCCTGTTATTATCCCTGCGACGCCGCCTGATCCTGGTGTCCAGTAAAGATCTGTCGAGCCAGAAAGACACCATCGCCAGTCGTTTATGAGCTGATTGAGGCTCCTGGAAACCCTAACATCAAATACCTCGAAAAGGGCTTTTGTCAACTCTAACTTATTTGCAAGGATCGGTGCACGCCATCCAAATTCATTCCGAGATCGAATAGTAGTGTTGTTATAATCTTCCCATCTGGGCAATAGCTGCCCGTGCTATAACCTGATCACGCAGGCATTGGGATACATGGGCATATCCGTTGTTGTTCTGGCAGTCGTGATATCTTTGCCGCATAAAATACACGCATTTGAGTCATCAATATACCGCCAATGGTGGGAGCTATCACTAGCCCTTGTCGAGTATGACATCGTGTTAGACTTTTGGTCTAGAAGGTGGACGTAGTCAGCATCAAGAAACGGCACTAGATGTCCAGATAAGCACTTTTGGCTTTCGACTTCACTGCTTTATAGCCTTGAAAGTTCGTTTAATCCGTATTTAGTCTATCCACCAAGCACGTGGAAATGAATGATTCCCATGATGAATTGTTTAGCGTGAGTTAGTAACCAGGTGATCTTTGTATTTGAATGGGATACGCTGATCAGCTATTTACTAGTAATGTTGGTGATCATTCGAGAGAAATTTCCTGAATGCTAGTCACTCTGATGTTCCAGAGGGAGCATTAGGGCTGACTGAAACCTAAGCTAGGTCTATCTCTCTTCGGTAAGATGAATGAATTGGAAGAAGTTCTAGCTTTCTGTCTTGTTTGCGCTTTTATAGGCCCCCAGACGTCTGATCCAATGATATGCTCGTCGATGGGGATGGGTGGTCCGATCCATTCAAAAGTTGGCCAGTCTTAATATTTTTTCAACAATGCAAATTTCGTTGATCACAGTCTTGCAACTTTTCGTGTAAGCCTTTTCGCTGAATTGCTGTGGAGTCTGGCCAGGTGAGGGGGCGAAATGCTTCCCAGTTTCAAGATGGGAAGTACTCTCGAGATGGTCCACATGGAGATCCTCAATAAGTCCATAGCTCAGGTCTATTGGTCTTTATCATTAGTAGAGCGGCGAGTCCGCCTCTTGCAGCCGTCTATGGAGACCGTCTTGAGTGCATTATCTCGGCCCTCGGAGTTGGAAAATGTTTGGAGATGGCCGGGACGTGTATCATCGACAGCCATGCCATTATACGCATTAGCTCCAGAGGATACTGGTACCAATTCCTGGTGCAGAGCTAAATCTCACGTGGGGTTGGTATACTTTTAGGTTAGTGATTAGCATGAGCGAGCATTGTCCTGCATAGAGAACTGGTGAATTTACGTATGTGGATAGAGTAACCATAGCATTCTGACGTTTGGAGTCCTGCAGCTCCTCCTTCAATAAGGCATTGATTTGGATCAGATTGGCCTTTTTCCCTTTGTCCGATACAGCAGATGGGTTTTTGGAACATACGTGATGATTCCTTCATTTTTTTCGAATTTTCCACTCGTTGGATTCCTCCCGGACATGCAGCTTCAACCACGGTGGAGCCTGGTCAGATATGGCAACGGATTTAGGCGATATCCGATGCTCGGTGGGTGAAACTAATACAGAGGAAAGATGATTGTATCGTTTTCGGGATCGAGATCACACCCTACCACGAGGGTAATGCAACGACCGGCTATTTCAATAAGTTATATATAACCTTGGAAAGCCTTCGGAGCCCGGCTCCTCTGCCCTCGACATTCACGAACAGATTAGCCAACTTTCCAAGGCTGGACGTCAAAGGAGATGAGCGAGTGGCGTGGATCTTCCAATTTCCAAGGTTGGAAAGGATAGTCCTGAAGCCAGACCAAGAAATGGAGGGAATGAAGGTGGAAGAATACATAAGAAGTGAATGTTGCGGGATTCTAGTTTATAGTAGTGAGTAACTAGGTGGATGCCTAGGAACCCGAATGAACATTAGAGAGTGAAGGTGAAAGTGAAGGGTGAGTGAAAGTCCACGAGTAATAAGATAACTAGGTAAGAGTCAGACAATGAGAACATGCTCGGCATGCACCTACTACCTGTTAAAGCCTAAAATATTGGATAGAAATTACAAAGTAGAAATTGATCCACAAACTCATCAGGAGGATAGTCCCGAATCCTTCATTTCATTGCTAGAAGAAACTAGCAGCGACCAGCCATCCAGGTGCTCAACACACCAGAATAACCGAGTCGATCATCTCGCATCATCACAACATATCATGAACATGAACCGCATCAGCGCGTTATTGTAAGAAAAAGGGAAGGGCATTTTGACTCTCGCGGCGAGAAATCAAATCAAACGCGAGAGCTAATAGGGGAAAAGGGCAGGGGATAAGCGGATAGATGGGCAGTAATTCTATTTATGGAGGCCCAACTAGAGCTCGCTCTTATGGGGGTATTTCGGTTGGTAGGGGGATTAAAGGGAGCGACACGCTTATTTGAAGACATGGCCGTCAGCGAAGAGGAGCTCCTTGCCGTCAACGATGGCAGGAACATCCCAGGCCCACATGTCATCGACGTACTTGCGGTCAGACTCGGAGGTGTGGTCGAGCTTGGTGAATTCGTAGCTCTCCCAGTCGGGAGCGACATCGAAGGCAGGCTTGAACTCCTGGCCGCGGACCAAGAAGACACCCTTGATGACACAGGCGTAGTTGGCACCATAGACAGCCTGGGCACCGAAGAGGAACTTGCGGGAAGCCTCAAGACGGGCGTGGAAACCACCGATCAGGTTGGTGGCCATGAAGGTGAGCTTGAGCTCCTCGTTGTACTTGTAGTCAACCTTCCAGAGGGAGTACTCCTCGGCGTTGAAGTTCTTCCAGAACCAGGGGAGGGCAACGGGACGGGTGTCCTCGTTGGAGTACTGGCGCTTCCACTCATCGATGACAAGGGTAGGCTTGCCAAGAGCCTCAAGAGGGTGCTTGGCCTTCTTCTCAGGGGCGGGCTCGTCCTCCTCAGTGGCGGGGGTGAACTTGGGGGCGGGCTTAGCCTCCTTCTCCTTCTTGGGGGGAGTGTACTTGACAGCCTCCTCGGTCAGGACGACGTTGGGGAGGACGGCCTTGAAGGACTCCTGGTTAACAATGGTGTTGAACCAGCGAGCGACAGCGGGGTGGGCGTCGCGGAAGGACTTGTCCAGGACGGTGCCAAAGGCGCGGACAACGAGGGCGGCGGAGAAGAGATCAGCCAGGGTGATGCGCTCACCGACGAGGTAGGTGTTCTCGGTCAGGCGGGTCTCCCAGACAGCGACGGTCTTCAGGGCATTCTTCTGAGCCTCATCGACGACCTTCTTGTTGTAGCCGTCGAGGCCAAGGAGGGGGCGGTACCAGGCAGAAAGGCGGGGGAGGACCTCAGAGTTGGCAAAGGACAACCAAGAGACGATGGAAGCGTAGTCCTGCTTGGTCTTTCCAAGGAGGGTAGTCTTCTCGTTCTGGGAGGTGACTAATAGCGAAAATATTAGTTTTTTGTTAAGAAGTTCAGTGTAATAATTCAAGATGATTCGTCAATGGAACAAGGAGGGGGGTGGAAAGCTACAGAAGCTCCCATCCCGATATTTTTTTTTCTCCCGAAGCGGGGTACTAGAAAATTTCTCCTTGGTTTTCAGAAGTTAAAGATCTCAACAGGTAAATGTACTTTTTAAAAAGATACCTTTCTGACAGGGATAACAATACTTTCATCATAAGAAAGAAGGGGGAAAAAAAAAAAAAAAAAAAACCATTGTTGACACATACCATAGATGGCGATGGCAATAGCCTCAGAGAGGGTGAAGCCATTGGCACCCTCAAAGGAAGGGATCTTGCCAAGGGGGTGGATCTTGCGGTACTCAGCAGTCTGGTTGAAAGCAGCGCTGCTGTTAGCCTCAGTCTTGACCAACTCGAGGTCGAGGTCGTTGTGCTTAGCAGCGACCAAGACGGCGAGGGTGCGACCGTTGGCCTAGAAGAAATGGACAATTAGAATAAGAAACATAAATCACTCCGTTGAGACGGGCGTACATACAGAGGGTTCAGGACCGTAGAGCTTTCCGAAGGCCATTGTGAATGTTATTATAGAGGGGTTATGGAAGAAAGGAAAGGAGGAAAAGGCGAGGGGCGGAAGGAAATTTTGTGCGCAAATGGCGTAGTCTCGGTGCTCGGAGGAACTAATATTGCACAGGTCACATGATCGTCGGGAAAAACAGCAAGAACAACCAACCAGTATAACCCATGGGCTAAGGTCTAATAAACACATACACTATGGCCCGACACACCCCCAATGGCATCGTACAAGCGATGAAGGCATTGAGACTACAGCCCTCGACGTCAACCCGCACAGCAATCCTCCAAAAAACCCGCTCCTACGCAACCGAGGTGGAGGTTCAACCGAAGGTGTCACCAGAGCCAAACCAACCGACAGAAGCCAAGGCCGCGCCCGAAATTAATTTCTCCAAGTTCAACAGCAGCCCAGCGCGAATTGTGCCCGCTTCTCCATCCTACTTCTCCGGAAACCCGCGATTCATCGACCACGTACTCAAGCTGGAAACGCTGCAACGCCAATATGTCTCGCTCCCGAAAGTACCGGCCGGTGAAGCTCCTCGCATGGCATGGATGAAGCTAGCGCAGTTCCGAGACTTCTTAGGCGAGCAAGTTCCCACGAAGAAATACAAGAGTCTTGTCAAGATCCTGCAGCAGTTAAACCGTATCTCACCGGATATGTTGCCCAGCCAGGTGCGAAGTGCCCTGGCAACTTTCCTGCGTCCTGGTAACCCCTACGCTGTGCAGCATGTGCCGCGTGCTGTGGATGATATGGGTCGTGCGCGCGCTAAAGGCAAGCGTAAGGAGTCGACGGCCGTGGTGCAGCTGGTCGAGGGCGAGGGCGAGGTTCTGGTCAATGGTAAATCGTTGGTTGAGGTGTTCCAGCGAGTGCATGACCGTGAAAGCGCACTCTGGGCACTGCGGTGCACCGATCGTATGGATAAGTATAATGTGTGGGTGACTGTTCGGGGCGGTGGTGTGACCGGCCAAGCCGAGGCTATCACTTTGGCGATTGCGCGGGCATTGCTTCTACATGAACCTGGCTTGAAGCCTGTTCTGCGAAAGGGTGAGCTTTTCGACTTCTTGTCTGAAGAACTATTTACTAACATCTTTGCTAGCTGGTGCTATTACTGTCGATGCTCGTCGTGTGGAGAGGAAGAAGCCAGGTCACGTCAAGGCCCGCAAGATGCCTACCTGGGTCAAGCGTTAAAACAAGGTATTGGGGGACGAGCGATGCTTTTCGATTTCTAAACTATGTATTATTTCATCCATGTCTGCTATGGTGGCTTGAGTCGCCTGTTCTGTTCTATATCCTGTACTCAAAATGCATATGGGGCTTTTTGCTGAATACACGACATTTTACGGTACATTTTGTTCTACGTGACCAGGATCAGTATGACGCCGTAATTGTCCGAACGCGACCTTCAACATTAGAAAAAGGTTTGTGCCAGCTACTCAGAGTGAGAGTGATACAGGGTCTTAGCATTGTTCCATCCCGCATCTACCTTTCGCATCCTCCAGGGCCGATGACATCAAGATTAATGAATTGTATGAAAAAAGAAAAAAAAAAAGTTACCTGTACCGATCCAATATATTGAAACATGATCATGAGTTTTCATAAAATACCCTTTCGGTATATATTGTATCCATCCATAACCCAATGCGCCGCCTTGCCATCTTTTTTCCCCCCCAGCCTGTATAAACCCAGCCCAGTCCCATCCGGCGAATAAACCGAACCCTGTAACCCAGCACAGTACTCCGACTAATATGTACAAACGTAATGAAAAACCCACCAAGGAAATAGAGTATCGTCACAACTCAACGACGGGTAGCTCAGGATTGGAGAGGTTAAACCCATGCAGTCATTATCATCAGGATAAAGGCGTCAAATGTGGCTGACGCCACGCTGGAAATTATTTGAGTCTCTAGAATTCGGGCAAAGACGGGAAAGAAGTTTGAAAATATCCGCAGATCGCGAGATGGAGAAGAGGGAGGTGGAATATGATTTGATCGATCATGATTTCGATGTCCGAAAAAATAGGTCAGACAGCAATCCGATCTGTCGGATCCGGTCTTAGCCAAGCTGCCCAGTGTGGGCGATCTGAAATATCACATTGGTGTTGATGGTTGGCGCGGCGCTAGTGCATAGTAGTCTATATTGTTGGGCACCTGTCATCCTAGCTGCCCCACAGCTGATTATCCCAGTCTTTCGACTTTCTCCCCAATCGGGCGGCAGAAGCGGATCTGAATAATGTGTTGGGCCTATATTCCTTTTTTTTTCTCCTTCTTTTCCGAGAGAAAGTTGAAACCGGTTATGATTCATCTGGTCGACGGACTTGGCTTGGTTGAAAGAATTGGTGGTAAATTCATCATCATATCAGGTTTTGGTAACGTTGCCATAGATCATCGTCAGGTACTGCTTGTACATGTAGGGATGGATTGTACCATGTGGCGGAGTTCGGGTTTTTTCTCCATCAGGTCGATGCATTGTCCCAGGACTAGAGAGAGATTTGTTAGTCAGTTTCAAGTTTTGTTCTGCTTTCCCCCGACTTAGGGCTTGCGAGAGATCAAGATCAACTTACCACAGAGAATCTCTTCTTCCCAGATCCCCATCTGATAATCCACTAGACCATGTTGCTCCAGTTGATCGCAAATCTGAATCAACTCTTTCCCAGACTGTTCCAGTCGATCTCTGGAAATCAGATTGGTCTGTGCGGGTAACTGGCCTGTGGTGATATAATCTTGGGACAACTCCTTCTGTTTCTGACACAGAGCTAACCAGCAAAGATTAAACTCGTTCCAAAACCGTAAGCGGTCAGGATAGACGAGATGGTCGTCGCGCAGAATCCCTATGTATCACAAAAGGGGGCAAGTTAGCTCTCTCTCTCCCAAATTGTCAGAGGATGCTTGCATGACGCGTGCCTGCAGAGCAGAAAATAATACATGGCAAAAAAATGACAGAAAAATGACGAAAAAGTAAAAAAAGAATGATCGAAAAAGCAGGTACATGAGAAAAGAAGGGTCCAGTCAAAGCCAGCTACGACTTTGGTACGACAGCCCTTAAACCAATCCAGCCATCAGCGAAGACGGGAAAAAGAGTCCATACTTTGTAGACCTCACACAAGGCTCCTTCCACGAAAGTATAAAAAGGGAAGGAAAAAATGCAATTCGACGATACAAAATGCCGTAGGAAGAAAATGCAGCAGAGTAAGGAAAAAAAAAAAAAAAAAAAAAAAAAAACTTACCAAGATCCCGTGCGTTTGTCACAAGCCAGTCGGAAATTTCCAACAACGATGTATTCGCTTCTATCAATCGCCCAGCTCGCGTTCGGTCAAAGGTGGTGCGTAGTCGTCGCTGATACTGAAAGTAAGAGTGCTCGATACTGGAAGAAGCAGTAGCAGTCTGATGTGATGGATCAGGATGCTGTAAAGGCGAAGGATCCAATCGAGAGGACCCGACTCCCATAGAAATAAAATCGGGCATGGTCGTGGAAAAGGATTGCGTGGTGCTTGGGCGTGCAATGGGACTTGGTTGATTATATGGTATCTGAGGATTCATATAACTCGACAGTCCTGGGACCCCCGTCCCCGATGGTTCCTCCGGAGCGAAATACTGTGGAACGGCAAATTGATTCGATAGGGCTTCAATCGCTGCAGACTGCCGCGTCGAGTACTGTGAAACAACGTCAAAGGGTCCTTGTACAGGACCCTGTTGACCAAAGCCGTACAGCATGCCAGATTCGTACTGCACAAACGACTGTGTATCCTGTTGTTGTTGCTGGTGATGCTGTGGCTGATGCTGCATGCGCTGAGAGCGATGTTGAGCTGGCTGCGCCTCCATCTGTCGTCGCAACCGTGCCGAGTACGGATCTCCCTGGAATGGGTTGTCTGTGTACGATGCATAGTCATATGAAATTTGTGGACTCCGGTCTGGAGCCTCTGATATGCCCTGATCTCCTCCACTTTCACCTCCACGTGGATGCATGGACTCGAACTCGGTTAAACGACCCGGAGCATTGCTCGATCTTCTTATAAACCGCTCATGCTGCTTTTGTTGGTCGCCATCCATTAGGATGTCCCCAGATCTGCGACAATCGAGATCGACCCAACTTTTGGGGGATAGTGGTGGACTTGCGTAGGATGCCAGAATGTCACGATGTCACGGATGTCACTGTCAGCTTGAATATGAATTCTCTAAGTTCCCGAGACTTCTTTTGCTCTGTCCTTTCTTATTCCCAACGTTAAGTAGAGGTCTTTCTTTTGTATTTGATGGTATGGATCTTTTTTTTCAGTCTCTGTCTTCTAGAAAAAGGTAGCCAGATGAAGAAGAGGTTGAAACTTGAAAGATCAATTGGGGCTTATCTTTCTCGTTTTCGTTTTTTCTGACGAGAGCTCAGCCTTGGGATGAGTGAAGAAGAAACGTAGTCACGACTTGGGTAACATGTACATGTACATGTACCGAGTGAAGTACGAGAGGGAGGGGGGAAAGAGAAAAAAGAAAAGGAAAAAAAAAAAAAAGAAAAAAAGAAAAAACGAAAAAGAAATTGACCAGTCCTGTAATTGAAAGGAAAATATAATAAAATAGGAAAAAGTGGAATAAAAAATGATGGATAAAAAAAATAAGGAAAAATAATATTATAAAACGAAGCAAAATAGAATACGAATATGGAGTAAGAAAGGGGAAAAATAAAATCGATAAAATCGACAAAAAATATATATATATATAAATAAAAGATGACGCCAGAGGTGGGAATGAGGGGCTTTTGGGGAAGGTGTCGGAAGATGAAGGAGGAGGGGTTATAGAGACGATGGGATAGATCTAGATACAGATAATAGAAAGTTTACAAGTTCTTTTGGGTAGATAGAGAAGGGGTATATGAGACTATCTACTTAGGATAGCGCTAGCTTGTCGATCGGTGTGTGTGTGATCTACGCCTAAACTCGTTTCGGGCCTGTACGTCTGCGATCGCCCGGGAACCCGGCGTGTTGGTTCATGCTGAGTTCCCGACAGCTAGGGATGAAGATAATTACAGGCAAGGGGAATAGGTAAACTAGACTAAGAAGTATCGTATCTATGTACTATGTATTGTCTATTTCGATGTGTAACTCTTACGGCTGACCATCTAATAGATCCATGAGATGAGTCGAGAATGATACAGATATCTATATCTAGTTCCATTATCCAGTATCATGGGAACACTTTGGATCTACCTCCCTAAGTATCTATAAAAAGTAAGTTTTATACGGATCTACGGAATCGAGGTAAAATAACTTAGGGTTTGTTCCGGTAGATTAACCGTCCTCAATACCCAGCCCTAACCCAGCCCCTTTAAGATCATAGGTACGCAGTACATGCACGATTTATTCTCAGGATAGAAATAAAATAATACACAAATACTTTAGTACTTCCCCACCTCCGAGACATGTTTGGGGAGATCTCCATTGTCTGCCCGATTGCCGATCTGCAGATACTTGCACTCTATTGTATATATTACGCCCCCAACTGGATCCGACGCTCTGGTTGGGATGAAGACAGGCCGAGGTGGAAGTTGATAAGTCTCCTTTCATTTCCGAGGCAACTTCTACACAAATAAGAATAGAGACCATGGCTGGAATTGACTTCAATTTTACGTAGGTGCTCCGTATACAGGTAGGGCTTATACGACCTCGGGTTGCAGTATTCCTGCCCAGCTCCGACAATATCGGCTCATAATACATCACCTGGGCAATTCCTATACTAATATTAGATCCATGCATAAATATTATGTACTATACCTAGGTAGATTCAGATTCACCCCTTTATACCACAGGTAACACTAGATGATACAATCGTGCCGGGACTCGCTCAGTCTTGTTTGGCCAAGGCCTTGTGCACCTCGGTATATAGCTTGCAACTAGAAGCCCGCAGTTGCACCAAAAGGGCTGACAGGGGTTTGGGAGAATTAAGGGCTTTCTTGCAAGTTTCCAAGGTTGTGAATTGTAACAGAATATGGATAGGTATCAAAATCAATACATTATTTTCTCCCAATCTAGTACTACCCGTCTCGGTACTCTCACTATGTTGTGTACTTAATACTACCACTCAGTAAATCATTTCTTTCTCTAACCTTCCCATTCTCCACCTACGTATACCTACCTAGGAAATCCTGATGATAGAATGACATAAAAGATGAAATATGGGCCGTTAGGTATCTAATCCTAGTACCTAATCTCAGGTACCCACATAAGCCTTCATTCAGGTACTTAGGGTACCTGGTACTCGGGAACAAATCTCCACGAGTCAGCATAGATCTGACCTGTCAACTTTTTTTTTTTTTTTCTTTTTTCTTTTTTCTTTTTGGCTTTGATTTTATATTTAATGAGAATAATAATAATATATATATATTTTTCACTCCAGCCCCCGTGTCAGCTGACAAATACCACTTCATTTCAGATTTCGGGGAATAGAAAAGAGGAAAAGAGGGGGCTCGGGCATTAGCTGTTCGTGAATTCGGTGTTACCTTCCTACTTTCTTCAGACTTGTCAGTGACTGGGAGGATTGGGATTCCGGCCGCACATTTCACACATCTTCGCACATTTGTGGACCACGTTGTAGTCCGGACGGAAAGAGGTTGTCCCGAAGGTGCGAAAATGTTGAGGCTGAGACAATGGTGGTTTTATATCTGAAGTAGAAAACAGAAGAAAAGAAAATGGAAAGGTAAAGAATGAAGGAATGACGCTTGCATTGCATTCTGTTTTCTTTCTTTCTTTTTTTTTTACCCCCAATTTGGTTTCAGACTCGACGTGTGGGAACTAAACTACATAAAACAGGTCATAGCATCATGTCATATTGGTCCCCACATGTTTCAAGGGATCCATAATCGAGCACGGGGAAATGCAGTATTGGAGTTGTAGAGAAGGATAAAGACCAGAGAATGAACGAAGAATAATAAGCAGGACAGGTGCCGGACCCGGACCGGAAACCACCTATATTTGATCTATATCACTTCATATCAGCAAAACACGACAACCTAAAGAAGGTCCGACAGAGGTAAAACTTACTCAGGGTCATGCTCAAGTTCACATCCGTACTCTCGACCATCTCAGTAAACTCCTCGAAGCTGATTTTGCCGTCACCGTCCTTATCAGCCTCCATAATGGTCTTATCCACAATCTGCTGCAGCTGTACATCCTTTAAGTTGTTGCCGACCATCATCTTCAGCACGATAAACAACTCTCCGTTGGAAATGTAGCCGTCACGGTCAATATCGTAGACCTTGAATGCGAAACGCAGCTTCTCCTCCTTGTTTCCCTTGGAGCTAAATGCTGAGAGACCAGTCACGAATTCTTGAAAGTCGACATCACCACCACCATCCTCGTCGAAGATAGCAATCATTCTATACAAAAAGTATCCATATCAATATCAAGTTGATCGCCCTCGTTATGGAATACATTTCCGGAAGGGTGAGATTGGGGAACGAACCTCGTGGCCAATGGGTTGGATGACACCTGGGGGAGGGATAAGAACTCGTCGCGATCGATGGTACCGGAGGCATCCTGAGAAAGTGTTAGGACAACTAATCGAATATAGTGACCCTTTCAAAGGGGTGATGGTGATGGTACCTTATCGAGCTTCATGAACCGCTTGCGCAGTCGGTCCACTTCGTCTCGGTCGACTATTCACGCGGTGGTCGCAGTCAGCCCTCCGCCACATCACATTTCATCTCCATAGAAGACGCGTACAGTTAGAGGTGGAGACAATATTATCAAGAAGTTGGCTGGTGCCTACAGAGCCTCGTCGGCGCTGTGCGCTGTGCATGGCAGCAGAGCTGGGTTCGGGGTGATCCATAATGGGTAGAGGTGGGGGAAAGGTAAATGGCGGTAGAAAAGGGAGACTGGATATAGTAGATCAAAGCTTAGATGGAAAAATGTGAAGGTGAGAAAAAAAGGGGGTCGTTATAAAGGAGATGATGAAGGAGATGAGATTCCCCAGATGATAGACAACATAATTGAGAATGGAATCTGATAATGGTCGGCCCCGCACTAACTACATCCGGACAGGCAAGCGAGCCCCTGAGGCCGTGCGTTCGCCCAAAACAGGCGGTCGCTGGGTGACATTACAACGTCAACCCAACCGCCTGCCCCAGACACACCCAATTTGCCTTGTCAAAATCTCCCCACTTCCATCTCATTTCATCATAAAACTACGTTCACAAGAAAGCGCATGAGCAGACCTTTCTATTGATACCAATTAATTGCCATTCCTGCCCATGGTCCTTACCCTACTGCGCGTCCCGACGTCATGACTCGGTACGGGGGCCTGGGCCGGACGCGCCCGAAAAAACTCACCTCAAAGGCGTCCATCCCCATTATCCAAGAGCATGAGATTGATGTACTAGATGATGAGCTCCAAACCACCTTACAACAAATTGAAACAGGTGTCGAAAAAGCCGAAGAATCAGTAAGTCACTAGCCTCACCTTAGCCACACTTCCCTGCATATGATCACGTGATATCATATTACAAGGGATGCAAATTTTCACATGACTGACTGGAGACGCAATATTAGGAATTTCACTTGCAAGTTGCAATCAATGCCACTGCACAGGGTAAAGGTAATGCGGCGCAAATTCCGACACCCGAAACCATCCTCAGCACCCTCCAATATGACGAGCTCTTCCCACCTTACTTCTCCCAGCCGGCCACCTTCATTAGGTTCTCCTCCACGGTGGAGGATTGCTGCAGATGTCCGTACAACATGAACGAGGACGATGATGTCTTCCTCAAGATCTACAATCAAAAGCGTGACGCATCAAGCCAATGCTCCGAAGATGATTTCGAGGCGACGATGAACTTCTTCGAGGAGACGGCGCAAGCCAAGCAGCCATACGCAGCAGTCGATAGTCCCCCCGTTCTGCCATTCTCAGAGATGCAAGAAGCAATGGATGCCGCCGTAGAGGATTGTGTAAAGCGCTATGCCAAAGACTTCTATGAACACTGGAAGTCGCGTCGTTCAGTTGAAGGTAACCAGAATCAGACACTGGAGCCAAGTCTCAAGGTGAGTAGCGTAACAACTGCAGTCAGCATGTGCAAAGATGCTGATCTTTTCATAGTTTGAAACTGGCCAAGACACCGATGATAGTGACCCATATGTCTGTTTCCGCCGACGTGAAGTGCGACAGATTCGTAAGACTCGTGGCCGAGATGCCCAGAGTGCTGAGAAGCTTCGGCGGCTCAGGAAAGAACTCGAGGATGCAAGACAGATGGTTGCACTGGTGCGTCAACGTGAGGTTGCTCGCAAGGAGATGCTTTCGACGGATCGCCTGCTATTCTTGCAACGCGCCGAGGTGAGGGACATGAAGCGCAAGCTCAACATCAAAGACGATGATGAAGATCTCATCAACCAAAAGGTATGTTTGTCTGTCTGCCTGTTCAAGCTGAATCATACTGACAAAACTTTACCACAGCCCAAGAAGAAGTTGGATATGCCATCTGGACGACCAAATGCGCCTCAACTTCGCATGCCCATGAAGCCTGGTTTGCAGGGTGCAGAAGACTTGCAGTCTTTAGAGGATATGCAAGCCGAGAAGGAAAACGAGATTCTTCGCGATATCAAGGCGAACATCACCAAGCATATCAAGTGGAACGAGGGTTATGTGGATCATACCCGCGCACCACTTTCTCCATCACCGGAGAGGACTTTCGATGCGGCAGCATTCAGGCCTGCATTCACGGCGCAGTTGCCAACGCCACCATCATCGGAATCTTCTGCGGATGCGATGGACACCTCAGTAGATGTCACTAATCCCCTCTTCTCTCGAGAGAAACTTGCATCTCGTGCCATGGAATTGCATGGGGAGCCTCATCGTATGCCGTCGTTCCGAAGAAGAATGGGACGAGGTGGTAGACTGATGATTGATCGACGAAACTTTGCCCGCTTCAACGTCGAGATGGATCCTCTAAAAGTAGATCGTTTCAAGTATGACCAAGAAGACTCAGATGAGGAGCCTGTGTATGACACAGATGCATATAGCATCCAAATCATGCAACACCGCGCAATCGCCATGGTCAAGGCGCGCGAACAGGCCGCTGCTGCTCAAGCTCATGCGCAGGCGCAAGCTCAAGCAGCCCAAGTACGGCGTATGCAGGGAGAGCAACCCGGGAACATTGGAAACCCACATCCCGGTGTAGTCGCTTCGGGCGAGGCCTGAGCTATCTCACCATATTTCCGTGGTTATCGTTTTTTCTGCAGCATTATTTGGCGGGCGTTTCGGGTGTTCCTTTTCTCGACCCTCCCTTCGTCACCCTATTTTCTCCTTTTCACCTTTTCACCTTCTACCTACCCACTTTGTAGTTTTAGTACCCCCTGACGCTTTCACGATTCCGTTGGTGACGAAGGGATATGGAGCCCGACTCCCCTTCTTTGCTTTTCTTGCACTCACCTTTACCGTTCTTGCTCCTCTCCACCCATTTGAACTTTAACTCGACGCAGAAGCCCAACTGGACTTTCAGTTCATTTTGTGGCAGTCAGCAGGATTCACGTTCTGCATTCGTTAGTGTTTCGTTAGTGTATATAACACATTTCTCGCCAAGGGAGCTGGCATGGCTAAGATTGGTGGAAATCTTTGTATGATGGATAACTGAGTTATGATGCCAGCGCGACTGGAAAAATGGAAGGCCGGAAAAAGAGAAAAAAAAAAGACTTCACACAAAATCTAACAGAAATTTAATAATTCGGAAAACTTTTTGTTGTCGCAATGTACAATTCGTATGGTAATCGATTCGGTAACGCCGGATGAACATGAAATCAAGGGAGTCGGGGTCGACGGGACACAAAATATATCATGCCCGCGATGTCTTTGACGGTCTGGAGTCCTCACTGTCATCATTGGCACGTTTGGAGGAGTTGCCAATCAGGGGTTCAAGCATGGACATGATAGCCTGCAAGACCTCCTTTTCGCCGATACGGACTTGGAGAGCCATCTTGAGTCGCCGAGGTGTTCCCTCAAGGGCTTCGGGGGCATTTGGAGGGAGGAGGCCGGACAGTAGGTGAATATCATGGGCGATAGAAGTGCCGTATTGAGCTTGCTTTACCTGCAGAACTTTGTACAGAAGACCGGCCTGGTTGACGTCCAAAGCAACTCGCTTAGGCAGCTTGTTTTTGGCGCGGCGCTCTTCAAAATCTTCGGGAGTTTGTGTCAAAACAGTAAGAAGCAGAACAAGTTCGGCAGGAATGATATTTTCCAAGGTGGCATTGGCCAATGGTCTGGGGATCACATATCCATCTTCCAATACGTCGTGTTTTTCAAGAAGATCAAGCTAATCGAGATGTTAGTAAGTATTTCTCTGTAGTGAAGAAGGAATTGTGGAGACAGACCCTTGGTTGGCCGTGATCATCCTGAAGACCGGCTACTTGGCAAACATCACGTATAGACAGCTCAATAACGTCGAATTGCGCGTAATTGTCGGTGACGTAGCCATACCGACGGAGGAGATCCGCACGAGGGATTTCACCGTAGTCGTTAAATATCTCCTCGCCTTGTTGAACATGTTTGATAGCCTTCATAACAAAAGAATCACCTTCCTGGTAGAGGCGGGCATTGTTTCGATCAGCATCGGCGTTGAGGAGATCGGCAAGAGGAACCATGCCCTTGGGAAGCTGTTCGTCTTCGTCGTCGGTCTCATAGTTCTCATCTTCATTCTCGCCCTCATCATCACCCTCATCATCTTCAACCTTTTCAATGTCGAAGGCATAAGCCATGATCAAAGACCCCATTCCATGAGCTAATTGAAGTAAGGCAACCGCACCAGCATCACCCGCATAATCGGCAGGCCCTTTGATCGCAGGAAATAGTTGCGGGTTAGCCCTGACAATAGGCAAAATCTTCTGCAAGATTGACTCATCGGCGCTTTGCTTGCCGATCTTATCGACAATGGCACTAGCCTGTAATTCACGTAACTCGTCCGGTGACCAAAACATCAGTGTGTCGAACCGATTAGGCATCATGGATAAATAGAGCTTCCAATTTGATGCTGCATCTTGGGAATATTCATAAATCATAACCAGCATCAGGGACAGCCATGGCCCGAGTGCTTCAAGTTCATTTTGGAGAAGCAGACTCTTCAACCCCGAGTTCTCCACAGAGAGAATTATGGAGCGCGGGATAGAAAATAATTCCTCACCCTCGGCTATGTTGGCTCCGGCAACTATATCCAATAAGGAAAGAATGTGATATTAGATGGGGTTCAGTTTGATATGGCTTTCTGTGCCACTTGGGGGCTGGCTAGTGTGTGGTGGGGGGAAAATAGAACTTACCGAGTCCTCGTCCTGCGCCCTTTGATCTTAGATCAGCTAGATTGATCTTGGGATTGATTCTCACTCCTGGGCAGACATGGAGCCAGGAGATGAGATCACGAGACTGCAGCTCGAAGTTTTCAGGGTTTGGGAAGTGGGCTGAGGAGGACATGGTGTAGAGGTCCGGGTTCAGGGGAGGTGAGAGAAATTATGGATAGGATTTCAAATTCCTCAGAGATACATTCAAGCCAAGTCTTGTAAACTATAGTGAATGTATGAACAGAAAAGAAAAAGGAAAGGATGGCGTGGAAGTGTTCAATAAAGAGAGTATGTAGATTGGGGACAAGGTTTGTACTCTTTGGAGAACCGCCATCACCGCCTTCGCCCTTTAGTGTTGACCCTGATAACGATAACGAAAAACCAGCAGAAACTCATACTCCATCATTTTCAAGTTCAACATAGTCTACATCATACTATCTAGGTCAATACCTGCCCATCACCATGATTGCAATTGGTATGGAAGGATCTGCCAATAAGGTGGGAATTGGAATTATGCTTCATCCCGAAGATGGCAGTACCCCGCAAGTACTCGCAAATGTCCGACACACGTACAACTCCCCACCTGGAGAAGGATTTCTGCCCAAGGATACAGCCCGTCATCATCGAGCATGGGTTGTGAAGCTGGTGAAGCAGGCACTTCAGGAGGCGCATGTGTTGCCTGAAGATGTGGACTGTATCTGCTATACTAAAGGTCCCGGAATGGGTGCCCCGCTACAGAGCATTGCAATTGCGGCACGGATGTTAAGCTTGCTTTGGGGCAAGCCCATGGTTGGAGTCAACCATTGTGTTGGTCGTATGTAATATCTCATGGTTTCTGAATTTACAAAATTCTAACATATCAGTACATAACAGACATTGAAATGGGCCGCCTCATTACTGGTGCTCAAAACCCAGTCGTCCTCTATGTCTCTGGCGGAAATACACAAGTGATCGCATATAGCTCCCAAAGATACCGTATCTTTGGCGAAACTCTCGATATTGCTGTCGGCAACTGCTTGGATCGATTTGCTCGCACTCTGCACATTCCAAATGATCCTTTCCCAGGATACAATATTGAGCAGTTGGCAAAGAAGGGAAAGCGGCTAGTGGATCTTCCATATACTGTGAAAGGAATGGACTGTTCATTTTCTGGAATATTGGCTGCCATCGACTTAGTGGCTGGATCCTTGGGGTTGAGCGGAGAAAATGGTGCGAAGGACGACGAGGAGAACGCCGATCAAGAGCATGACCAAGATCTATATGACAAGCCCACTCGTGCAGACCTATGCTTTTCGCTCCAGGAGACAGTCTACGCCATGCTGGTTGAGATTACTGAACGGGCAATGGCTCATGTTGGTTCTAAGCAGGTGCTCATCGTGGGTGGTGTTGGCTCCAACGAACGATTACAGGAGATGATGGGCATCATGGCTCGAGACCGCGGTGGAAGTGTCTTTGCAACAGACGAGCGCTTCTGTATTGATAACGGAATCATGATTGCCCAGGCTGGCATGCTATCATACAAGATGGGTATCACCACTCCACTGAAGGAATCTACCTGTACCCAGCGTTTCCGGACAGACGAAGTGTTTGTGAAGTGGAGGGATTAGATATGAAAAAATATTCATGAATTACGAATAAAGCTTATCGGCGCGGAATTGTCCACGACGCGTTTGATTGAAGACTATCTGGAGTCGTAAGGAGGTTTTGGAACAAGATTTGTGGAACTAACAGAGTAACTCAAGTGGCTCGTTGGGCAGTCATAACTGAAATCTTGCCCTGTAGTATGACCAAAACCATAAACTCCTTGATAAACGATAACCTCCCCAATATTTGAATTAACTCCTAGATAATAGAATGCGATACTTAAGTGAGTGAAGTGATAAAGCCTCCGGTATTCGCCGCAGTCCATACGATTTTTGCGCAGCTTTTTCCTGACGACTATATGCCGCATGAAATTTTCATGTCTGAGTGTCCTGAATGGACTAGGCGAAAGATACAGAGGCCTCAACCAGTGATATCACCGGTGGGCTTGTAGAGGATGGAGGTGACATACTACATCAACGTTAGAAATATTCGTAATAAGAGGGGGAAAAAGTAAGAGAACGATTGAGTAGTCATGTCTACACCCACCTTGCGCTTATATCTGGTCGTGACACTTGTGGCAAGGACACCGTTCTTGATGCTGCTCGTAGCAAGATGGTTCAGAACAGTGTGGTTCGGGTAGTTGAGAACACTGCTGTCATCTTTCGTAGGAGTGGTACTGTTGAGAATTGATTTGCCCAGGAACAGTGGGAGACTGGGTGGGGTTGGGGTGTCCCCAATGACATTGGCGGCCTGCAAATAAGCTGGGCTATCTTCTTCTTTGTCCAGGTCGGCAAGGAATTGGGGAATGGCATCGCCAAAGTCACCAGGAGGAACTTCCTCCTCTACTGCCTTCTTGAGCTGGTCCGATGGATCTTCAGATTGGTCTTTGGCAACAGGAAGTGCTTGGGGGGTCTGAGGACCTGCAGAAATGTCGGGGTTGAAATCGGCAGCGTTCGCACTGATCTCGATGTAGTTCACTAGATGGTTGGTAAAATCGACGGCAGTAGGAAGTGTGTCTGAAGCGCGCATTTCACCATCGACAATGAACTTCAAATGGTGTGTTCCAGGTCGTAGATTCAGAGTTGCTGACATGGTTCCACCATTTTCACTACATACAGGGCCTAAGTTAGCCTGTATTTCAAGCGGCAACTGAGGCTGAAATAAGGACCAATACATACCTTCGATGCAACTTGAATTTCTTTTCCCAATTAACGAAAGTTCCAGTAACATAAACCTTCTCACCGGGTCCAGCCCACTCAATGAAAGTGGGAACAGCCTTTCCAGCACCGAATGGCTGGAGCTCATCAACGAGCTCGTCTCCGTCCAGAGTTACATTGCTAAGATTCGCGGCCTCCGCGTCCATCTGCTGATCCAAAATTCGGTCTGCGGGGAGCGATTGGATGTGCGAATCTTCAGGTCCAGCTATCGGTGATCCAGGAGTAGTGGTGGCATCACCAATGGGCAATGGCATACGTGGAGGTCGTTGCAGATGAGTCGAAGCATTGTAGTAAGAGTTGAGGAGTGGGCCTGATGGTGCCACAGGATCACGCCCCGCAGCATGGCGCGAAGTCGGAACTTGAACCGGGTTAGAGGCATCTGTCGAGGAAATGTCTTTGCTTTGTGTAAACTCGGCACGTCGTTCATTCTGCCCAGATCTGGGGGATTTGGCTGGAGGTCCAGGGGCGTTACGGGACTGAAGGCGTTGCTGGCCGGAGGGGTTACCAGCGGCTATCTCACGGGGTGCCGACGGGTCAGCTGCAGTCGCTTTGGAGGTCGAGATTGCATTGAGAGAGGGACGATGAGCGACCTTTCGCTCACCTCCGCTGTGAATGTGGCCGGACGGCGCGTCGCCGGATGCGCCTTTGGAAGGGTTGTTGCCCATCGAAGGCGGGGTAGGGGGGGTAGATGCGATTGCGCGAATGGAAGGTAAAGGGGGAATTGATGGGTGAAGAAAAGAAAGATTGGGACGGGGGCCGATTTAATCGGCAGCAAGAATACCGCGTCTCAAGTTGAGGATGAATAATTGCCCGCTCAAAGAAAAGCAGTTGGTTTCGAACGATGACGCTGGGGAAAACCTAATCGGGGTATTAGGGCTTAGGGCAATATGTATTAGTCACCTTCCCCGGACCCACTTAGTTACTTGATCTAGACAAATGCAAGTATGACAAATGTTGTGACTAGAGTAACTACTTCAGGTTGCTCAAATCTCTAAAGGACTACTGACACTAAGGTCTGTAGAGGCTGGCACGGATACATATCCGTAAGATTTTGGATACGGATATCGGATATTCGTGATATTATATCACCGCCTAAATAAATCATACGATACTACGATAGAAACTTATCATCCCAAGTCCCTAATTTGATATCTAAATAGCTATTCATTCATAGAATGAGTCTCCTACCACGCCGGGTCTGGCGACTATCAATCTTCTTTAGATGTCTGTAGTATTCTAAAGGACCATAAGAGCCTACCAGCTGGGCATTCTGCGCTAGCTCGTGTACGAATCTTAGCCCTTTGGGTATCTAGGAGTCCTCAAAGATAGCAGCAGTGGCAAATCATTTGTCAGACGCATGGTGTAACGGGTTGATACCCGATGAAATGCTCAGTCTCTGGAGAGACTGCGCTCCTGGCATCTGTGCGGAGCCGAACGAGCTATAAGAACACCCGGTCCCCAGGACCCCTTTCCCTCCCTTAGTTAATTCTTCTTGTTTACCAATCGGATCTTTACAGCCTACAAATTCCTGCATTCATCCCGTAGCACATGGAATACCTGATAAGCTCATTCGGTAAGCAATATTCCTTTCTCTCTTTCTCATATATACTTATAGTTCCAGGTATGATATCGAGACATGTTGGAACTCGACATATCTTATGATTTAAGATGCTATCCTTGCTCAAGAGCAGATTAAACATTGGAATAGTATTCAGAATCAGCTGATACCATTTTCAAATGATGACTGGTCTAATCTTCGTGAGCTTGCTATGGGTTTTTCAAGATTCTATGAGTTTACCCAAATTATCTCTCGGCGGCAACCTCATATAGGTCTAGTAATTCCTATTTACTATGAATTGCATGACCTCCTTATAGAAGCAGCTTCTTTTGAAGGCGATTTTGCAGGGCTTAGTCCTGATATCTCTTCTGCTATCTTGGTTAGAATGCAAATGTATGGGAAATACTATGATCTTATGGATACGCAAGATATCTATTATATAGATCTTGCTCTTGATCTACGTGCTAAATGTGCTTTTTTAGAACAAGAGCTTGAAGATGGGGTTATTCAAGGAATCATTCAGAACATTAAGGACTTTCTTCATAAGAAATATCCGCCTTTGGCTACCTCAATCTCTAGTTTAACTTCTAGAACTATGGATCCTCCTGCTTGAGCAGGTATGAGAGCTCAACTTCTACAAAAAGTATATTCTCAAGAAGTATCTCGGTCTTCTGATATTGATCACTATTTTGATGAACCTCCTATTCAAGTAGAAGGATTAATAGAAGACCAAGATGACTATAAGTGGCTGCTTTCATGGTGGAACGCTCATAAGGATCAATACCCCAGGATGGCAGCAGTTGCAAGGGACTACCTTGGTATTTCCAGCAGCTGAGGTTTCAGTTGAAAGACTTTTCAGTTCTGTAAGGGATATCCTAGGTGTTTGTCGACAATCTCTGAACAGTAAGACTATGAAAGAGTTATTATGTGATTGGACAATCTGTCGCTCGCTTAGCGAGCGTAGCTAGCTAGTCGCCGATAACTGAGAACGGTGCTCGAGTTCTTACTTCAGTAAAAGGGAATTGGAGTTTACTGCAGTAGAAAGGAGTTGGTAAGCTTCAACAAACCACTACTCAACACCGTAGACAAACCACCAAATGTAGTGGTCTCTACAGTACTGAATATTGTGGTTGTTGTGAAGTCTGCTTTTTCATTGATGAAAGAACTAGCTACTTATAGTATATGGGTGTCCTTCTGCCCTGGACGAATGTCAACATTCGTCCGAGACAGAAGAGACGGTGAAGACGGGACATTACTGTCGCGAATGCACATCGCTCAAGGGTGTCGTTTGCGATGAATGCATATCGTTCAAGGATGCCGTGATATACTAATCTAGTTCCAGAGTCACTGTCTTGGCAGAATCTTTTTCGGCCGAAATACTTTCCGTCTGTTGATGGCCTTGTTTCTCGGCTGTCGCAACACAATCACTTATTATATCTTCAGCCAACTTACTGATGGAACATATTGCAGTTGAGTCCACTAGTGAACTGAACCCATCGAGGTTGAAATGACAATTATCGGGAGAACCTGTCCATCATTGCCTTCCAAATGAGAAACGGAAAAATCTGGCTTGAGGACCATACTATTTCTGAGGCTGGATGGAAAGGCTGGGTAGAGCTCCTTAAACTAACGCTCCACCTTGTCGACAAGCAATTTCCAACTTTTGGCAATCATTGCTCGCAACTTATCACTAATGATCAGGAATCTTCCATCTGGTACAAAATACCTGCGCAGCATCGGTTCAGACCCCATTCAGGGCATCAACAGGATCTGGTCACCTATTTGATGTGATGCGGGAAGTGGAGTTTGTCCCGAATATTATTGATTCATGGAAGAAATCTTGGAAAGTCGGTCGACAAAAGATACAAAGATGCTCGAGTGAATTTCTTTGAGTTCCCAATGAAACTGAAAAACAGGGGCAATTGTTTTTAAATAGACTACTGTTTCGGAGTTTCTTTGTGTTGCAATGAATTAATGCTATTATATTCAAATAGACAGTCGTTGAAAGGAGCCTCGAAAGCTCAGTTATAGGTATAAAAGGGGCTCATCTCCCTATAAATTTCAAACAGAAAACAGGACAATCAAAAAATAAAGTCACAGCTGACAATTCAGCTTCAAGGAGGCCGAATTTCTGACTGACTAGTATAACAAGTGACTGAAAGACGACTACCTTCTTATTACCTATTTAACCTTCAACATCATGACAGAGACTGTCCACATCGTCAGACCCTCATCTCTTGCCAATATCAGGCACAAACTCGTCACAATACTTTCAGCATGGTGCACCAATCACCCCTCGAGAATGACAGCTGAAAACATCGCCAAAGAGCTCACAGCTTATATACGCCTTCTCCCAAGATTTAAACGCCTGAGCACGGAAGAGACAGGTGCTTGCTATCGACACAAAATTGACATGATTGTGAATTCAATGACAGAAGTAAGGAGAGTAATTTGGATTGAGATGCATCTACCAAGACCTAGCGTTGAAATCGTCGAACTAATGAGAATACTCGCTCAGCAGATTGGAAGACTAACTCTGTTCGGATATGATTTCCGGGATAGATTTGCACATGATATGGCTTTCGAGGTTGAAACCACCGAAATAGAGTACAGCTCCGGCCTTTTGAGTGTTGGCACAGTCAGTGACAAGGAAAAGTTTGTACGTCACACTTGGGATCAACTCTATCAGCCAGTGACATTCTGTGCCTGTCTTCAATGTAGCAAGCGCTACGTGTCTCAACCATACATTACTGATCCATCTTCTATGTGGGATTCTCAGCTTTGATACATGCTGAATTTTGAGAACTCGATAAAAGAATGAGCTAACAACGCAGTCAATTTGAGATTCCCTGTTCATAGCCAGAAACTAGCCCTGGAAGTTTAAGCACAACCAGAACATCATTACAGCACTATATAGAGAGAGAATGAGACCTGTCAATTTTAAATCCTAGAATAAAGTATACGTAAAGTAACCATGCCGTAAAGGGATAGATGAAAACACACACAGAAACCAGATCTAAAAGAAACACCACTCAGCAACTTCTGTGGAATGCTTGGAAGATAACCAGTGAGAGAAAGAACCCTCCTAATGACACTGAATCTAATACCTTTGCATTCTCAGATTTACAGATCAACGCTTTTCTGATGAGGGTTGTTGGCTCAGGTCTCATTATCCAATTCATATGGTCATCACCAACTTTTCGTTCGGTGAAAGCAGAGGCCGTCGTTATATCCACTTCTGTGCTCATGCCTGAATAGGAAACGTTGAAAAATTTTTATAAGAGACAATTAGTCGCAGGCCGGAAGTAAATTAGGTAATTTTCATTATATTACATTGTTTTTATGCATGGATGAATCACGCTGAAACCTCGCTACTCTCTTCCTCAAGAATAGTGGTCTGCTGAAGACGATCCTCCCATTTGAACTCCCAGTCGAGAGATGAATTTTCAGGAACTACTTCCTTCAGTATCAGTAGTTTCCTGGATTGTATCCGGAGCAGTTGTGACAAGACACCGCCAGTAAAATGCAGCAACAGGCCCACCGTGACACCGGTAAGCACAGCTCCAGTCACAAAGTATATAAGTGGCTGCGATAATTCATTAGATAAGTGTTATGAACATGAAGTGAACCTTGGGACAAGGTATTTACCTCAAACTTAATCAAAAGTCGCACCGGCAAGAACGCCAGTGACAGGAAAACTTGCAAGCAATAGAGGAAAGGGGTGGCTAGAAAGTAGAGGAGTGAAAATAGCCAGTAGATCAGTTGCTTCAGGATAAGTGAAATGCCGCCGAGCAATAAATATACAATATTGAGGGCCGAATCCATCATGCTGTCTAGATCAGCGATCTGGATTGCGACGTGGAAGCGAGTTACAGTGTTGTATCAGTGGACTATGTGGGGCGTTGAATCACAAGATATAGACCAATTAACTAACTAGAATAGAGATCTGGCTGACAAAGAAAGCCAAACATTGCAAATATTATTTGCTATAGCGAGGAGAAACAGGTTCATTTCATGAATTTTGATTTGATTTGACTCATGATGCTAGCAGCTGCTTAGAGCTTATCAAATTAAGTTTAATTAACGAAGAGAATCATGACGATCTAAGTATCAAAGGTCACACTCCTGGGTTATGGATGTCACTCCAAACATCCCGATGTCAGACGAAACATATATTCCCAGGTTTCTATGTTGTCGAAACATGAGATATTACTTAGCTAAGAATCTAGAACTTGTTCCGCTCGCTGATGTGACCTCGCTCGAAAAGCACATTTATATGAACTGCCTAGACACAGCCTTGGAGTACAAACGGAATGCAATTTAATTTGCAACTTCATACATATGGATTGGACGACTCCTAATTCAACGCTGCTATTTGCTCTTGCTTCAAATATGTTTCGACTTCCAGAAATCTTCGATCCTATTCTAGAAATGGCAGGGTTTATAGCTGCCTTAGCGAACCCTTTTAACTATGTTGGCGGAATTACTTTCAAACCCGACAAAGATATCAAGGACTTATCTGGAAAGGTTGTGCTGGTAACAGGAGGTATGTCATTTTTATTGAAATACTTCTTCAAACCTTGGAGAGCCTTAGAGTAGAAGGTCTCATAAGCCCTAGGAAATGCTGGCCTCGGCAAAGAGACAATTCTGCAGCTGGCGAAACATAATCCAAGCAAAATATTCATGGGTGCTCGGTTAGAGCTGAAGGCTGCAGAAGCAATACAATCAATCAAGTCATCTCTTCAGAGTGATGTTGAGATGACTTGGCTTTCATTGCACTTGACACTTACCGAGTCGATCCAAAACGCCACTAAGCAATTCAAAGCTCAATCTCAGCGACTAGACATACTGATCCTAAATGCCGGCGTCATGGCTTTACCACCAGGGAAACAGAGCTGGGGCACGAAATCCAACTTGGAACAAACCACACCGGACACTTCCTCCTCACGAAACTCCTACTACCAAGTCTGCTCGAAGCAGCTGAGAGGCCAGACTCAGATGTTAGAGTCTTGACACTCTCTTCAGTCGGACACAACTTTGCTCCTTCATTCGATACAATTCTGAATCAGGAAAAGCCCAAAAAGGTAAACAAAAATGCTCGTTACGGTGCTTCCAAAGCTGCGAATATTCTTTTTGCAGCGGAACTTGGTCGGCGTTATCCATCTATCACGTCAGTTTCTGTTCATCCAGGCATAATATTTACCAATTTATGGGATTCAACTGCTCAAATTTCATCGACTGTCAGAATTTGGCTGCATTATTTTGGGTCGACTGTCTCTCAAGGAGCATACAGTGAGTTATGGGCTGCTGCTGGTGGAAGGAGGGAGGATCTTGTTAATGGGGCTTATTATCTTCCTGTTGGACATTTGAAGCCTTATAATAAGTATACACAGAGCAAAGAGATGGGCAGTCAGATATGGGAGTGGACTGAAGCTGAGTTGAGAATGAAGGGAATTGAGCCAAGACAATGTCCTCGGCCCAAGGTTGCAGCACACTAAGCGGGTTGCCGGCTTTACCGGCTCGCTGGATGATCTAGGGTTACATTGATTTACATAAAAAGCGGTCTTCAAAATAACCTTGGAATCTACAGTATGGCATTTCCTTAAATTGAGAAAGATGATAAATTCAATTATTCATACTCAGAATACTCAATGGTCTCAATGACAGAACAGGCTGTGATAAATTTAGAGCAATGCTGGTCTGACATAGCTCGCGACCTAAGGCGAATTCTCACAGCCTTGCAAGGTTAACAAACTCACCTGGTGCATGGTATGCTGGTATGTCCATATTCAAAGCATCTCCAGAGTAGCCAAGGTCTTCTGCAACCAGAACAGCACACTTTTCGCCAACTAGAAGAGCAGTCTACCCTTGAGTTAGTATGAAATTACCACGAGTGCTTGGAGCTATCATAAAAACTCACACTATAGGTATTGCAGCCGACGTTATCAGGACAAATCGACAGATCACAGACTTTCAGTCCTTTGACGCCGTGAACGTTCAGACGCTCGTCGACCACGCCTCCAAGAGGTGCGATAGAGCTACCCTCCCGTGGAGCCATACTACACGTACCTAGGCAATGCCAAGTTGTCTCAACGTGACGTTGGACTAGAAAAAATTAGCTGGCAAGTAGACGACTGGACAGTTTTGAACATACCCCATTTTTCGATATGCTGAATATCTTGCTTGGAATACTCAAGGTGAGGATGAGCTTCATGCTTGTGAGAGCTTAGGAAAGAAGCCGATGCCTGTTTTCCAGGCGCCAATGGTGCCGACCAAGAACCTTTAGTTGGTTAATGAGCCAAATGCCATGATTTTCAAGTTCAAATGAATAGATCTTACCATGTTGAATACCAGCAGAAATATGGTTTGGTCCGGCGTATGCCTTTGTTGTCGCCAGATCCATATCCCAAGATCGAGCCGGCGAGTTATAAGCAAAGTGAGGGTGCATTCCCGTCACCTCTCCGGCATAGGAACTCATACGTCGGGCTGTCTCGCGAGATTTGATATATCCCCAGACCAAAGGAGCCATATCGCGCTTATCGTTCATGAACCCAGCGTCAAAGTCAGGTACCTCATACGGGTCAGGAGACTGGATGTGAGTTGATCCACGAGAGAAAGGATATTCCTATTCTTTTCATGAGCTAATAATACAACGTAGATCTGAGGTCACTCACCAGGAAGTGGAACATCGTGAAGAACTTTCCAGGTGGCATGAGCATATGATCTCCGAACCAACTATGGATCTGTTAGTAGAGCCTGGTATATAAAATACATTATTTACTTACCCGGAGATGACCGAGTAGTGCATGACAGGCTTGTCAGGCTTATTCTTGAAGTATGACTCCCATCCCTTGACGAATTCTGGGGTTGGCCAATTCTTCATATTGCCCAATTCTTGAGATGTGGGACGAATCTTCACACCAGCATCAATACCGTTAGTTGCCAGCGGGCCTGTGCCCTTTATATTCCACTCCTGAAACACTTTCTTCTGGACCTTCGGATCTCCTCGAATGAAATCATCGAAAGTCTCAACCTCAGGCTTTGCTCTATAGACAGAGAAGGTAAGGTAATGGTCCTGAAAGTTTCGTCCAACTCCGGGCAGGTTGACCAAGGGCTTGACTCCTGCACGGCGGAGCTTCTCTGGGTCACCAACGCCTGATCTTTGTAGGATCAGTGGTGAACTGAGTGTTCCACCACTGATTATGATCTGCTTTCTGGCTCGGAATATTCTACGAATGGGATCTCCGCCATTTAGAGGTTTTGCTGGAACCGTCACAACGCCTACAGCACGGCCATCTTCAATGATCACCTTTTCAACTTTGGTGTTGCATTGAAGGTGAAGATTAGAGTGCTTGGCTCTAGTACTGTGAACATATGCATGAGCAGCATCACTTCGGCGTCCTATTTTTGAATATTGTTAGGGATCATCTTCAAAAAATTCCATTGTTCTTACCTGTGTCGCGATTGATCCACTTTAACCAGTGTTCCGCTCCGTGACTTTTGATATTGGTATGATTAGCTTGGCTTAAACAAAATTACGTCTAGAGTTCGTACCCTGTTTTCAAATCTTGAAGGTCATCAGTCACAGGAATTCCCTGAGTTTCAGCCGCGCGAAGGAAGTCTTGCGCGATTGGGTAGGTATGATTGCCGAATGATACCTTGATAGGGCCGTCATGCCCATGTAGTTCTGGATTATTGCATGCTCGCTGGTAAGTCTCATGCTTCTTCATTAGAGGAAGCAAATCATTAGTTGTCCAGCCTTTTGCTTGAAAATCATCATAGTCAGAGGCTGATGCTCTGGTATACATCTATTCTTGAGTTAGCTATTGACCTTGATAAAGATCATCTGAGAATGAAAAAGATACCATAAAGTTGATTGAACTTCCTCCGCCAAGAATATTGGCACAGGGAACAACGGCCTGACGTCCATCTAGATGCTCGGATGGACGAGAGTGATAAAAAGAAGCTGTTTTGGAGTCAAGCTTCATGTTGTTCGGATAAATTCCAGGACGATAGACCCTAATATTGTATCAGAAAATTGCTCCTCATAGCATCCAGTGAGGCTCTTACCATGGATTGTTGAGGTTGTTCTCTCCTACCTCGATCAGCAGAACTGAAAGGTTATGATCCAGGTTAGCGAGACGACCAGCGGGGACACAGCCAGAGCTGCCGCCCCCGCAAATAATAATGTCGACCTCATCTGGAATTGTCATGGTGCAAGAGTGAGACTATGTCTGCTCTTTTGTAGTTGGGAATGAATTTCAAAGACTTTGAGAATGAGTGGCGAGGCAATAAGAGAGCGTGAGTCCTGGGTTTTGATAAAGGCTTTATACCCGTGGACTTCCTTTCTCCTATCTGTTCAGAAAACAGTCATTGACTTCTTAGTACTATTTCTAGAGAAATATAGCATTGATTGGTCTTCAAATGTGACCCCGCGCGCGGAGACAGAGTTGGTCTAGCTTGCTGTTAAAGTGGACATCAAACAAGTCTCCCTCTGTAATAAAAATTACAGGCTTCATTCATCCGGTGTTGTTGTCCGAGTTTCAGTCCTAATATCATCACAGATCATCTACTACAAGCTCAATGAAAATATGGCCCAGATTATCATTCAGTTTGCTCCAAAGGTTCTTGAACACCCTATCACATCTCTGATTGATAGTTCAATGCCCATTAATTGCTACTTCCAAGGTTGAGGCCTATCATATCTTCTCTTCCCAAACATCGGCCATTGAGGTCTTTAGTATTATATATAATCTCTCTCATATAGAGCCGTCTTATTAAAGTTATTTTTATTGATTTTATGTGGAATCATTGAATTTTTCGGTTGTTTGACCCCGTACGTAGTAATTTGCTATCTGATACTGGCGCGGGCACTAATGAGGGGAATACGATTCTATCGTTTCTATTCGATGAGATATGAGATTGCCTAGCTATGATGACCCAGGCCTATGTTATCGCTCCCATTCCTCAATTTATCCGAGGTTATTAACATTTCAAGGATGGCTGCAAGGTGATAAGTCCTATCTAGTACCTCTTGGCATGCGTTTCCGAGTCAGGATTCGATCCCTTGTTTATGAAGCACTTACTCAGGAGCTGACTGGCAAGCAATTATCAATTTTAGAGGTCTGGGGCCCTCTCATGATCTTATAAGCGGTCGTAGTTGATATTCCAAGGTCCAGAAGATGGGTCCTGCTTCCTTGCTACATTGAGATACCTAGCTAGATAAGTAGGGTAGTATATCAGTTCTAGGGTTCAATCCCCTCTCTCAAAAGTACGTGCAACCTTGAACTTTTCTCAAGTGTTGAGCAAGGTAGAATATTTGTACATGCGTCTAGCTGATTTTGAAGTAAGCCCCACCGAGTCTGCATGAAATATGTGTCGTGGCAGGCTTCGGAGTAACTATCGGCGTTTCTCTAGCTTTATCAACCATTCATCAAACATGAGGTAGTAAGATAGGATATAGTTGGCAAATCAAAGGGACTTGGAGCTTCAGCTCCACATCAAATGGATGAGACTTTAAGTCTAGCCTTCGGGATATGCGGAAGACTCCACTTTCCCCGCCTTTCAACCCCGCGATTCATGCAGATCTTTAAGTCCTCAATTGATGTATTTAGGTATTTTATTGCTCTTCTTATTCGTGGGATTTGAGCTTCTCACGGATTTCGTGTCAATTTACTAGTCCGAGTACACCTTGTGGAGGAAAGCCTTCGCCTTTTCCCTCACTGAAAGCGAAAGATATTTTTCCTTTTCATCCATGGTGAGTGTAGCAACAAACAGGACGCATGTCACTCTCCGTACCACATGTCCTTTGAGAGTGAGGCCTTTTATATTTTAGCTGTCGCTGCTCGCCTGGGTGGTCAAAACAGAAGGACCGACAGGCTCGAGCGTCAAGGTCAGGGAAGTCTTTTCATTATGAGCCATCCAATCATAAGCGACGAGATAATTATAGAGTCTTGCACAACTCTCATGATTGAGATATGCAAATTTCATTACATGCTGGGTTATGGTCGGACACAGTATATCCTCGATATTTGTGGATTGGTATTCATTAGATAACAGATTGAAACAATGAAATCTCAAGTCCCATGCTCTTAAACGTGAGAAGTGAAGTCAAATAAAGAAGGAAGAGTATGAAAAATTTTTAAGTAGTGCTTAGGTATATACATCGTAAGTGAAGTTGGAAGTGGGTAGTTAGGTCAGACTTATAAGGAACAAAATGGGACTCCGGTACTGGTTCTATTATATCCCGAGGCCCACGTGGTGCAAACTGTACTAGACCTACCTAGGTACGGGTTGAAATCCCCCGAGGTCTGAGGTATTTCCCTTTTGCATTTCTGTTGCAGTTTGAAACATGAAACCTCAAAAACTGTCATACAAGTTTTAGTAGCTACAAACGTCCCGTAGTAGTGAGCTTCAGCCAAATTCCTCTCTTTTCTCCTTCATTTGTTTCAATAATTGTCTCGCTTATATACCATCTGTTGAGATTAATTCCTCAAAACATTCATAAACTATTCTGTACTCCGAATTGAGTTCCTTATGTAGACTTATGTATGAAGCCACGTGATCCAACTTTATCAGAATGTCCTTACATAATACATTGTGATTGGAAGATGAGGACAACAAAGGGACGAGAAATGAACGCAAGGAACATCCAATCGTGTACCTCTATTCCCCACTTAACCTCGAAGTAAAAGCAGCATTCACCGACAGCACTTTCAATGTTTCATTGACACATTTGGTCCTCTGTTTCTTTGTTTACCATCTCTCGTTAAAATTCCCTTCATTTGTTTCCTTCTGACTTCAACCCTCGCGCGACGCGCATTATCAAAAATGTCCCCGCCAGTCAAAGCCAACCGAAAGATTCTCCGGAAGCCCACTCAGAAGGCGACTGTGATTGAATCTGCTCACAAAAAGAAAAGCCAAGACGCACCTGCTGTCGACCAGGCTATTCTAGACAGGATCAAAAAATGCCTGGACCGCGCCTATCACCCCAATGCATCAGAGGCAGAAGCGAGAGCTGCGATATTCTTATCCCAGAAGCTTATGAATCAACATAATGTGAGCCAGGCAGATATCATGGCAAAAGATGATAGTGCCGACAAGGCTCATTTTGCTGGGCGGAGTATCGTGTCCATTACCAAGACCGGCGGCTCAAGCAAAAGAGTAATGAAGGAAACATTCGTCTGGAAGATTGCACGAGCAATGTGCACCTTTTTTGATTGCAAGCATTTTTCCACTGATCATATCACATATATGAACTGGACCTTTTTTGGAGTCGCTAGCAACACTGCTGCTGCTGCGATGTCGTTTGAAATGGCACACAACCAGATCGTGGAATGGGCGTGTGAGTACAAGGGTGGCACGCCGACATTCAACTACCGTCTTGGTGTCGCAGATGGACTAATGGCCATGGCAAAAAGGGAGAAGAAAAGAGAATTAGCTCAGGTGCAGCGCAAGGAACTGGACATCATTGCGGCTAGAGAGCGCGAGGAAGAAGCGGAACGTCGAAAGCAAGTCGAAAGACTGCTTCTTCAACCAGCTCCTGCTGACGAAAACATGTCACCGGATGATGAACACATGAATCTGGGATCTATAAGCCCGGGTCCCAATATGAACGACTTTTATGGCGCCGATTTCGATTCTGATTCCGGATCCGACGGAGGCGAGGAAAGAGACAACGATGATACCGGCAGTCCTGCTATTAAAGCCGACTTCGACATGAATGATATTGAAATAATAGACTTGACTGATGATGTGGACGAAGCTATTGCAAAGTTGGTGAAACGTGAACCTATAGAGCAAACTCCCACAGAAATCCCCGATTTCAAATTAGAGCCGGATGCTTCAATTAAGTCAGATGCTCAGACTAAAAGAGAGCCCGATCTTCATTCTATCCCAGCGGAATCCCCTTGGAATTCTGGAATGCAACTTGTTCAATTCCGAGAAACAGCAGGCCAGGTTGCGGATGCTTATTTGAAACAAAATAGTATCAAACTACGACACCATAAGAAGCGTGAACCGGCGATCAAAGACCTGAATTCATATCGGCAGGGTCAGAAAGACAGTTCAAAGATTGAGATTCATGATAGACATAAACCTGAGGCTTTCTAGATGACTATTTTTTAGCAAACTGGACGCCGTATCTTATTAGTTAGAAGCTGGAAATGATTTTATACGCAATTAACTTTATTTTTAATTTTGACCACGTGAAGATACATTCAACAGTGATTCTAGACTGAGGCTACCTAGCATACATATGTAGCATAAATGTTTCACATACGCTTCTGAAATTGAATGACACGAAAGTGAATAACAAACAGAGCGGATGGTGTCATTTCTTGTGTGCACAAATACTTATAATAATGATCTTTCCAGACGCGTATCCAAGAACAGCTGTTTCACCTTGCGTAGCCGAAGCGCTCGGGCTACGGTATTCAGATGGAACCCACAACATCTTTTCACTGCCAATCGAGATCCAGTCCTTTTGTATAAAAAAATGGTCATTGCCGTGTGTAGAGATAAGGTTAGGTTGTTCCTGAGGCTTGTGGATCTGTATGAAGCCAAAGTTGCTATATAGACCGTGCTTAGAAAAGTTAAGCTTCAAAACTCGTTCCTTGAAATGAAAGGTTTGTTTTAAAGAGCCTGTGGCGGTGTCCCATAGGCGCACAGTCCCGTCATCTGAACCTGATGCCACTAACTGGCCATCTGGGGAAAACACCACCGTTTCGACCCAATTTTCATGGCCCTCGAGTTTATGTTGCTCGGTGCCCGTAGCGGTGTCCCAGATGCGCACAGTCTTGTCATATGAGCCTGATGCCACTAGCCGGCCATCTGGGGAAAACATCACCGTTTGGACCAAACGTTTATGGCCCTCGAGTTTATGTTGCTCGGTGCCCGTGGCGGTGTCCCAGAGGCGCACAGTATTGTCATATGAGCCTGATGCTACTAACCGGCCATCTGGAGAGAACACCACCACCTGGACCCAATTTTTATGGCCCTCGAGTTTATGTTGCTCGGTGCCCGTAGCGGTGTCCCAGAGGCGTATAGTCTTGTCTCCTGAGCCTGATGCCACTACTCGGCCATCTGGAGAGAATACCACTGTTTGGACCGAATTTTCATGGCCCTCGAGTTTATGTTGCTCGGTGCCCGTAGCGGTGTCCCAGAAGCGCACAGTATTATCTCTTGAGCCTGATGCTACTAACCGGCCATCTGGGGAAAACACTACTGTTTGGACCCAATCTTCATGGCCCTCGAGTTTATGTTGCTCGGTGCCTGTGGCGGTATCCCAGAGGCGCACAGTCTTGTCATGTGAGCCTGATGCCACTAACCGGCCATCTGGATCTGGGGAAAACACTACTGTTTCGACCCAATTTTCATGGCCCTCGAGTTTATGTTGCTCGGTGCCCGCGGTGATATCCCAGAGGCGCACAGTATTATCTCCTGAGCCCGATGCCACTAACTGGCCATCTGGAGAGAACACCACTGTTTGGACCCAATCTTTATGGCCCTCGAGTTTATGTTGCTCGGTGCCTGTGGCGGTGTCCCAGATGCGCACAGTATTGTCCCCTGAGCCTGATGCCACTAGCTGGCTATCTAGATCTGGGGAGAACATCACCGTTTTAACCGAACCTTTATGGCCCTCGAGTTTATGTTGCTCGGTGCCCGTAGCGGTATCCCATATGCGTATAGTCTTGTCTCCTGAGCCTGATGCCACTAATCGGCCATCTGGAGAGAATACAACTGTTTGGACCAACTTTTCATGGCCCTCAAGTTTATGTTGCTCGGTGCCCGTAGCGGTGTCCCAGAGGCGCACAGTATTATCTCTTGAGCCTGATGCTACTAACCGGCCATCTGGGGAAAACACTACTGTTTGGACCCAATCTGTATGGCCCTCGAGTTTATGTTGCTCGGTGCCTGTGGCGGTATCCCAGAGGCGCACAGTATTGTCCCCTGAGCCTGATGCCACTAGCTGACTATCTAGATCTGGGGAGAACATCACCGTTTTAACCGAACCTTTATGGCCCTCGAGTTTATGTTGCTCGATGCCCGTGGCGGTATCCCAGATGCGCACAGTCTTGTCATATGAGCCTGATGCCACTACTCGGCCATCTGGAGAGAATACCACTGTTTGGACCAAATTTTCATGGCCCTCGAGTTTATGTTGCTCGGTGCCCGTAGCGGTGTCCCAGAGGCGCACAGTAGTATCCCTTGAGCCTGATGCTACTAACCGGCCATCTGAGGAAAACACTACTGTTTGGACCCAATCTGTATGGCCCTCGAGCTTATGTTGCTCGGTGCCCGTAGCGGTATCCCAGAGGCGTATAGTCTTATCTCCTGAACCTGATGCCACTAACTGGCCATCTGGAGAGAACACCACCGTTTGGACCCAATTTTCATGGCCCTCGAGCGTCTGTAAGTTCGAGTTCCATCTGTCCTCCACCTTTGGACATGTACTAATCCAGTCGGGTATCTCTGTCCTGTATAGTCTTCGCGTAATTGAATTTCTGGGCGCAAAAACCAATCCTGAACAGTAAAGCTGAAGTGGAGTAGCATCAGCCATTTGCAAATTCCTTAAGGTAAAACGTTTTGCATCGTGCAACAAGTCGGAAAGCTTGGCATTTTGGTGGTCCTTGAGCCAGTCAACATATATTATCGCATGGAAAATCTGTGCCAAAAATTACCTGAAAAACCAACAGCAACGTATTCAAAACTCCAACTGATTCACTTAAGATCCCCATTAAACTCATTGCCTCCAACCAGTGAAGTAAATGCTCTTCTAGAAATGATAGAACTTCCTTCCCGTAGGCCTTCCCGTTCTTGCTTTGATCGAGATGATACGTCCAATAACGACTGGCGTATTGTAGCTCTGGTACAAGGCACTTCTTAATGGTTTCACTTTGAATAGTAGCCCGGTTTGTTCCATAGGGTAGATGGCAAATATTTTTCTCAAGAGAGCCCATAATGCGAAGACAATTGATGGCCATCTTTTCGTGAACTTGTTGCTCGTCCACATGAAATTCCTTTTCAGTACCCAGGAGAAAGTCCCGAAATGAAAGATGTAGAGTTTTGACTGGCACATCATCATCATCTGAAATACTGAGAACCGAGCGAAACGAGTCCAGTCTATTCTTGATAGTATCCTTTGCAAAGCCAGTAACGTTAGAAAGTGCGTTGACAGAAAGGGGAGTAGCAAGAAGAATGATGACACCGATTATTTCATGGAACTCTTGCATGAACTTTCTCTTTTCATCATCTCGCTTAAGCCTATTGAGAGGCTGGTTTAAGATCGGCAAGTATGTTCGATCCATTTCCGAGGTAGATCTGGTGGCGGGATCATTCAAAAACTCCTGCAGGCGATCCTTGGGCAGCCAAGTCTTGTCCCCAACAAAACGACAAATAGTAGCTGCGAAGATAAATAAAGGAATCGATATTGCAACAAGATCCTGGATCGTGTTTTGTCCAGGCCAGTCTGATTGAAAGAACTCCTCTAGTTCTTCTCTGTCATTTTTGATCCTCTTCAATTGATAGGACAAAAACTCTGATATGTCATGCTCTATGATCGGCTTCGGGATTTCGTGCAATACCAAGTGCCGACGGTTCTTGTCCTCAATTTCTCTGAATCCTAGAAGAGTTGGCAGCTCCGGCCTGCTTGTCAAAAAGAATCGCAACCTTATTGATTCAGCTTCTTTCATCTGTGATAGAAGATGCAGTAAAACTTCGACTTCGCGCTCCTTTTCACACTCATCTAACGCGTCAATGACAATTACCCAAGTTTGCGGTGATCGAGGAGAGCGGTCAAGGTCAAGAAGGGGCTGCTGCAAAAGCTTTTCGAACTGCACTTTTAGAGACTTAGCTGAAATGCCTTTGTTATCCTCAACCGCATGTGCAATTCCAGGTATCAATCGAGGCACCCTGTCAACAAGTTGCTTTGCAATGGTCGTGAAAAGCCGTTTTGCATTGCTTCGATCACCTGCGCCTCTTTTGAAGAAGAAGCTTGCCCCGAGAATGCCCATGTCTTGAAATGATGCGGCTAATGTTCTTGAAATGGTAGATTTGCCAGTGCCAGCCATTCCTTTTAACCAAAAGAAGCATTGGCCATTGGGAGAAGTTGCCCACTCTGTGACTTGTTCAAGGAGCTCAATTCTGGTTCCGGGTAGACATCTGCCTTCGTATTCAGCCATCATGTCATCTTCTTCTGAATAGGCGTCAAAACACGCCTCATCCAGGGTAACTAGGTTCGAAAGGACAGAGTCTTGTCTCAAATCTCGAAGAGATGACAGGACTTGGTCGATTTTAGATAGCATTTCTTCCGCTTGTTCTCTGCATTCTAGATAATGATCCATACTAACCCATTTTTGTAGATTGTGTTCTTCCTGATTGATTGAGGATTGAATACTCGTGAGTGATTGATTCGTCTCGTCAGTAAAACAGTCCCTCATCTTTCTTCCTTTACCAGCATTCTGAGCGTTCCGTACCTCTACTGTGTAGAGCAAGATAGCTTTCAACAATCTCGTGATTGCACTTCCCAATTCACGTTTCCTTGTGGAGTCACTAGCCTGATAGAATTCTTTTTCTATAAAGACACCTCGAGCCAATGCCATAGCCAAATACTCCGAAGATTGAAACAAAGCATTCCGTGAATTGTAATAATTTTTCGTCATCTGTTTTAGTTGGAGGGTCAGTCCCTGCTCCTGTGACATATGGCTAATGACGCACCGTCAATCCTAGTGTCACAACTGTCCAAGCGCTCGATGCATGTTGAGTAACATCTAAGGCCACAAGCGACGTGATGATTGAGTTGAAGGATAGTGCAGCGTTGATGATGTTCTCTGAAATCTGGCGAAAGTTTATGTCGTCACCCTTCGACCTAGGAATTCTCAGGCTCCGATTTTTATAGTCTTCATATTGTGCCTCAGTCGTTCTGACAACTTCATTAAGGACATCTACAGTCTGTGAGGTGCCATTGTGTGGTTCAATAGAGACCTTGACTGTCGAGAGAATGTTCTTTTGGGTTTCGTCCAGTTGATCATAAGCAGCTTGCCACAGGTCTTGCGGCGTCACGGGATCCTCATGTAATTGACTTTTGCTGTTTCCGGCGGCTAAAATTGATGGCGTATCAGATCTGCGATCGGGACGAACCTGAGTTTGGTCGTGCGCTTTTGTATCCCGCGTCTTCTCCGGTTTATGGAAAACCTGATCCTTCCATCTCGTCAATCGATGCATCTTGATGATAGTTCGTGAATTTGCTAGTGAGCTTTGTTAGAGATTCTCAAGCTAAAAATCGAAGGGTCAAGGAATGGCTGATTTGGAAATTTTTTCAATACAATTCATGAAGAGAATTTAAGCTGGACTCTAACGAGCTAAAAGAGGGGTACGTCTTCAGCCCCCATCAGACTCTAGCGCTCTAAGCCAGGAATCATCCATGCCTTTCTGTCTACCCGCGCGGCTTCCTAGTTAAGTTATTGTAATTCCCCTTTATAACGATACATTATTAGTAAAAGGATCGTATCGTTACACCCATGGTATCGCTATCAGAAATTTCATGCAATTTACTAGCTAAAGAAGCTCCTAATGTCCTTCTGCTGCCTGTTTGAACCAATCCTGCTTGAATCTCTGCTTCCCGCCTGTGAAGAGCTCTAATATGACCAGGATTCGCTATCTCCTGCTGCTCTTCAAATAAACAAAGCGCCTATAAAGCCTGTAGCGCCTCTGCTGATGTAACTCGTTCCTGCTCCATAATAACCTGTCCAATATCTTCTTCAACCTCATTATCCTGACTTGGGCCCTGAAGCCAGCCATTACTAAATACTTGCATCTCTTTTCCGTTATAAATATCCAGTCTTTCCCAGAAAAAAAGCTGCTTTCCCCCGAGTAACTATTCCTGAGATAGTTATAGACTCTTCAGCTTGTTATATCCACGTAAAAAGCGCTTCTTCAAGATCTGGCCAGCTCTCTCGATGAAGACGCTTCTTTTTTTTTTTTATCTCGCTTAGGAATATCGTCAAGGTGTTCGTATCATTTTGAAATAATTTCAGAGACAGAAGATTGAGAGATAGGCTGCTGAAATTGGGTAAAAACCATTCGCTAGCTTCGCGATGGGTAAGGGTGGGATTTGTACGTTTATAGGCTCGTAAGGCGTTTTTCTGCGCGAATGAGATAGTCGTGTTGAGGAAGACATTTTTGCAGGGAATATTTGCTGAATCAGCACCTTCATATGACGATAAATAAGGAAAAATAGGTAAAATTTATCGATAATCGTGATAAAGAGGGTTATCGTTCTATACATATGGGGTTTTAATTTTGACAACGTGGCCTTATCATTACATCCAGTTTATCGTTATAACCAATATTGATAAAGGGGAATTACAGTATCAATCATGTTTCTAAGTAGGGTGCAGCTACAGTATGGGTCAAAAGTCTGCCAACACTTATCGCGGTTTTCAGCGCGTTTTGATCACATCGCGTAAACCCGCTCTTTTATTTTAAATTTTTATACCAACCATGGCTCCATTTGGTACTAAAATTAGTGGAAGCCGTGGTAGAAATCAAGAACTTTCTACTGACCAACGTGCTGGCATCCTCTCTGCCCTTGAAAATGGTGTATCGCATACTAAACTTGCTGCTATCCATGGCTGTAATCGCAGCACTATCTATGCTACTCGCGACCGCTATAAAGCCACGAAAACCACTAAATCTCGCCCTAGAAGTAGAAGTCCGCCTATCTATAACGAAGCTGCTAGAAGATGGATATATCTATAGGGATGATAGAGATGTCAGTGTTTGAAGTTATTATATATTTGTTAATTCCCGATTGTTGGCAGACTTTTGACTTACAACGTACATACTCCGTTATCGATAGCAATCAAATATTGTATGTGGTTCCAAATGACCACAACACTAACATGTCTGTTTCTCTAATATAGTAGACACCATGATGAGATGGACTAAAAAGTACCAATTTCTACGGTTATAAGATGATTTAACTATAATTTACTTAAATTATCAATCTAAAGATAGGTTGTAGTCCTGCTCTCCATCGATATGATTGGCGTATATAGATCCACTATTGAAATGCCAATATGGTCTGTGCATTCAGGGATGATGACACTAATCATAAACGATGTTTCAACAGCGACTATCGCTTATGGACTGTCTTGCTCCTAATTTCCCCTGGCTCTTGGTTAGCTACAATTGACTATCTACATTCATATTAGAGACATCTCCCAACTGAAGCCTGCCGACCTCACACAGTTGATCATAGCAAGCTGCTGAGCACCTTACCTAGGCTCTAGCTTAGCAGATCCACTGCGTCTGTGGCTGAGTGGGGACTTCAAGAACCCCCCTTCACCTTGTCACCATGGGAGTACTACGCGCTCGCACCTTACTAGTTGCACTAGGCTTGGCATCATTCTTCATCTGGTCCTTCTCGCGATGGCATCCTGCAGATGAAAACTACTCGCCTGATTCTCACTTAAGCGCGTCGCAAAATCCCGATCTCATAGCTGCGCACCAGACGTTTTGGAAATTGTTTCATGGGTATCTTGAGAAGCATGGACCGGAAGCTAGCCCCGTGGTTGAGGATGAGAAAGCCCCAACGGAGGGATTTAATGCAAATGACCCGAAATCGCGTCCTGACTATGTCAAGGTCGCGACGGAAGATGTCGCGTCGATGAGGAAATCACATACTGCATTTATAAAGGCTATCACCAGCTCCCTGCCACAACTGCAGTATATCCCTGGCACCAAAGGCGTGGTATCGACTGCCGGTGGTTCATATTTGCCTGTGCTGGTCATATCACTGCGCATGCTCCGCCGGACAGGGTCAACGCTGCCGATGGAAGTGTTCCTTGCCAATGAAGAAGAATATGAAGACTATATCTGTGACGTGGTGCTGCCATCTTTGAATGCGAAGTGTATTGTGCTATCCCGTATTTTGGTCGCAGCACCTACAAAGATCGAGAAGTACCAGTTCAAGCCATTTGCTATGCTCTTCTCGTCATTTGAAGAAATTCTCTTCCTAGATGCAGATGCATTTCCACTGGAGCGTCCAGAAAAGATGTTCAAGAGTGAGCCCTTCCGCTCAACTAACATGGTCACTTGGCCTGATTTCTGGGCATCTTCAGTGTCACCTCTCTTCTATGAAATTTCGAACACCACCGCTCCGCCTATGAATCTGCGCCAGTCGACAGAGTCCGGCGAGGTGCTGCTCTCCAAAAAGACTCATACGCGCACTCTATTGCTCAGCACATACTACAACTATTGGGGCCCTTCACACTACTACCCGCTTCTGTCTCAAGGTGCCGCCGGCGAAGGTGACAAGGAGACGTTTATCACAGCCGCCACAGCCGTGAATGAGCCCTTTTACCAAGTTAGCGAGTCCATTTGTGCACTGGGTCATGCCAAGGAGGGTGGTATGGCCGGGTCAGCTATGGCCCAGTTCAATCCCATACAAGACTATGAGCTCACCCGTCAAGGCAAATGGCGAGTTCGAGGGGATGATGCCCCCGCTCCAGATGTAGCCTTCATTCACGCCAACTTCCCCAAATTTAATCCTGCTACAGTCTTTGATAGTAACCACGAGGTCAAACCCGCCTTCAATGACGACGGTTCTTACACACGTGCCTGGACTATTCCCCAGGAAGTTGTTGCAAAATTCAGTGCCAAGGTTGATATCGAAATGGCATTCTGGCGAGAGATTCTATGGACAGCTTGTGAGCTTGAAGACAAATTTGTTTCTTGGGAAGACAAGACTGGTATTTGTGACGGCGTCAAGGACTATTGGCATGCCACCTTCCAGTCTGACGGCTTGCCCTCTTAAAGAGATGACAGCTTCCTTGGATGAATCATCACCAAAAACCTTTCGCCAACAACTGGCCTCCAGCACCGAATGAATACAGGGTCATATATAGGCCTTCCCCATGTGACTTGTAGGGATACCGAGACCATTCTCCCTAAGATATGCCCACTCGCACTTAATACATCGATATATATCATCTCGCCCTTGAATGTACCTTTGGAATGGTCAATCACTTGGCAGCTTGTTTGGAAATAGGCTGTTTCTTGGGCTTTGTATTATTATAGTCGCCATGTCTCAACATTCTGCTCTTTGTCATGTACCATACAGATAACCACTCGAGATTTTTTTTTTTTTTTTTTTTAGCTCCATATAATGATCAATACATAGCAAGCCTGCATAGCACATACGCGACTAGTATAACTCGATCGGGTTAATTGAACTTTGAATTGAATTGACATTGAATTCATAGCATTCATGGTGTTGCCATCTTCTAGGATTAAAGTGAAAAAATAAGGTGATGGGTATGAGGTAGATAGCAAAGTGGAGTGAATTCTGATGTATGTTTCAAACTTTGGAAGTAATCACGACTCATGCTAAATAATGTACAAAGATGCTTTTTTTGGGGAATATAATACATATAGTGCACTTAGGCAGTCAACAGAATACATGATATAAAGGGGCTTGAACCCAAGAGCTTCTGCGCAGCTATTTAAGCTCATCAGATAGCAAGCCGGTCTTCTCCGCCTTGCGAATAGTCTCTGCAAATAATTCCTTGCAAGGCACCTTGCTACCTAAGCGTGCACAAAGCAAGAAAGCACCACTCAACTTGCGGTGCAGACTATAAGTCTCTTCAGGAGGAGGCGCGAGCCGTTCCCGAATCATGATAGGGATCAGGGCGCGTACTCGATCGGTGATAGTCTGATTCTTGAAGTCGTATAGATCAGGTGATGAGAGCATGAATGGCTCGGCGAGGGTGACGATTGAAGAGACGTGGGCGTCGGCCATGGCCTGCGACTCCATGCCGGTGAGGTAGCCTAGTTTGACGGAGAGGTCGTGGCAGGCTGTGCGGTCATTACGCACTGCTGCAACCAGGGTGCGTACGTATGTGGAGATGAACTCGGTTGGGTATTCGCGGGAAGCACCGAAGTCTAGTAGTTCCAGACGGTTTGTGCGTGCGTTGTAGAGGAAATTGGTCCAATTCGGATCTGTTTGCATGTAGTGGAATTCGACAATTTCACGTAGACACAGGCTCATGATTTGTGTACCGATCCAGTCGCGCTGTTCTTGGGAGAAATCTTGGATTTTGGTTACTGCTACACCTTCAAGCATTTCCATGGTCAAGACCTGTTTGCCTGAGGCCTCGGACATGACTTCTGGTATGAGGAAGATGGGGTCATCTTTTAGGAGCTCACGGAAGCGGGCGCTACATTGTGCTTCGCGGAGGTAGTCGCATTCCCAGCCAAGTTCGATTCGTGCATTGGCGATAGTTTTGTCAAGGAAGAGGCCTCGTGGGAGGAGTCGGGAGGCTGTGAGGAGAATGGAGAGGTTGCTCAAGTCGGAGTCGATGGAGTCTGCCACGCCGGGGTATTGGACCTTGACGGCGACAGGCTTGCCAGTTCGTTTGAGAACGGCGGCATGGACCTGTCCGATAGAGGCCGCAGCCATAGGGATGTCATCAAATGACGTAAAGAGGTCTCTCCAATCAGGCCCGAGGTTTTCGGACAGGACTTTGTCGCGTTGCGAAGCTGGCATGTAATCTGCGCGATCTTGTACCCGCTGGAGTACTTGTTGGATTGGCTCTGGGAGCATGTTGGAGTCTTGGATGCTTAACATCTGGCCCAGCTTGAGGGCAGCACCTCGCATCTTAGACAGTTTGGCCACGAGTCGATCCATGTTGGCCGCGCTGAACATAAGAGAACCAGTCTCTTGACCACCAGCAGCACGGCGCACTGTCTCGCTAACCGCGCCATATGCCAAGGAAGTTGCCAATCCACCATATTGCCAAAGTCTACCCAGTCGAGACGACGGTACTCTAGATTCCATCATCTGGTATGGCACGGCTTTTTCCGTCACTGGAGTTTCAGCAGTGGACACATCTTGAGCGATGTTAGCTGCTAGTTTTTCTATATCCTCGACATCTGATTTGGAAGTAGTCTCCTGTAAAATTGGCTCTTTGCTAGCCACATTCTGTTGAGGTAAGCTTCTCTCTTGAATCCAATCCCTTTTTGGAATTGGGCTTTTACTAAGTATACGGGATACCTTCGCGCTATGGAAGAGGCCCTGCATCATCTCTTCTGACAGCTGCTCCTCTGCAGGTGTCGTATGGTTCTCCGGGCCTGTCACCGAATGGAAAACATCAGAATTCAATCCATCCTTTCCAACGGGCTGAGAGTCCCCAGCAGCTTGGGGAAGCTTGATTTGAGGTTGGGCGGGAACATTTGAGGTAGTCTGTCGCGAAGGCTCGTAGAAGACGTCTTGTTGTGGGCTAACATTGAGCACGCCAGTAATCTCATCGCCGGTATATTTTGCTGTAGAGGCCGGGATCTGTATTTCCTGTTGTGTTGATGCGGTCTCCGGGATGGGCGAGATAGTTTCTGCTACAGTTTGGCGACCCGTTGACTTATTGACTGATGTCTGAATATTCGGTGGAGAACTTGGCGGAGCTGATGAAGGGTCATCGAAGCGACGCGCCAAAGCAGCAGCGGCTTTTGCGGTCAAAATCAATCCTTCCGTTTGCTCCTTGATGCTTTTTGTGAGCGATGAGGTCCGAGTGTAAACATCGAGCTGGTGCTGACGGATGGCCAGATGTTTTGAGGCGACGGTTTTGGAGACATTGAGAAACTGGAGAATGTCCAGCAGACGCCGGCCTGACATGATTTAAATACCGTGATCCAGACACAAGGTAAAAGCTATCAGGCAGAATAGGGCGGTGCGGAGTAATAGCTACGAATAATTGATTAGTTGATCCTGATAGAGAATGTGCCGGCTCGGCCGCCTCCGTCTTTAATTCTGCCATCAGATAAAGAACATAATACCCCCACCTTCTTCTCACTCCTTCTTACCCCAAATTATTTTCCCTAGATCACGATGCTACCGGGTACTTCATCTGATCTTGAGCTGAAGATTTTCTCCCTTGAAGCGCGGCTACGTGACCTGCGTGCGCAAGTCAAGGACTCATCTTGCCCTAATACTTCGATATCAACAGATACGATACCTCAATTGACAACAGGTAACATTCCCAACTGTCCTAGGTGCGGAATGATAGATCTAAGTATAATCCCAGTATTTAATAATATATCGGATACCAAAACCATCCGATATTCATCTCTACATGCTCTTCTCATTCTCTCCGACTCTGCCCTCCCATTGGGCTCATTTGCATACTCCAGCGGATTAGAATCATATCTAGCACATCACAAAACTCCTCGTTCTAACCCCTCGTCAACCTTCAACCACTTTCTCAAGATCTCTATTGCTTCAATCTCAAGTACATGTCTACCATATGTTCTAGCCGGCTACCGACAGCCAGATACATTAGAAACCCTGGATAACGATCTTGATGCATCGACGCTCTGCATTGTCGCACAGCGAGCCAGCGTGGCGCAGGGGCGCGCATTAATTGGTGTCTGGGAACGTTCTCTCCGTGCGAGCTATGGCAATCCTCTCACCGCAGATGCCGGGGCGCAAATCGCCGTGTCTGCGGTGGAGAATTTCTCGGATGCCTTGAAATCATCTTCTAGCGAGGTTGATGAATATGATTTAGGACCTAATGGCCACCTTGCCCCTCTTTGGGGCGTAGTCTGTCGAGCTATGGGGCTGGATCTACAGCAGACGGCATATGTCTTTGTTATGAATCATGCCAAGTCGGTTCTTAGCGCCGCAGTGCGCGCATCGGTCATGGGTCCGTACCAGGCACAGAATATTTTGGCAAGCCAGGTCTTACAGGATATGATCTTGGAGCGCATTGAACGGGAGTGGAATACAGCGGTGGAAGAGGCTGGGCAGGTAGTGCCAGCACTAGATCTATGGGTTGGACGACATGAACTTCTCTATAGTCGGATCTTTAATTCATGACTGCATAAGATTTAGATTCGGTTTCTTCTTTCATACTCAAAACATCAACTCCTACACGACGAAACACAGATCTAGATCCAAAGCCGACCTCGGAAGGAAAGTTTCAAAATTGCGCCTCTCAAAAGCCAGGGTATCCAAGAGAGCACCTGATGTTCGCTCGCAGCCCCAGCGCCAGAAAAAGAAAAAGAAAAAAAAAACCATTAAAACTCAACAAATAGGAGCGGAACTTTCAAATAGGAGCATAAAGTTCCGCCGAGAAGTCGGAAAGAACAACCCCTAAGGGTGTAAGGTCGTTAAACGCCGGGTCCCTGACCTGTCCAGATAAACCAGCCACAAAACACCGCATCACCTGGAACAAATATTGTAGATAAAAGGGGGAAAAAAAGAAGATATTGTACAAGAAGGTAATGAAAAAATGCTGCAAATTAAAGGGTGATATGCATGTGGTCCTTGACTCCGAAGGACAAACCGCAGTTGGGGCATTTGCGAGAGCGAGAACTGAGACGCTCGTCGACACATTCCCGGCAGAAAACATGTCCACAAATCTTGATGACAGTATTCTTCCATCGGCGACAGCAGACGCCGCAGAGTGCCAGTGACTAGAGATAATGTTAGTAAACATGGGGAAACAAGGCCAAATCCAGAGATGACCTACGCGCAGCATTTCATATTCCGAAGAGCTATTGCCAAGACTCTTGCCCTTCCAGTTCTCAAGACTCTTCTTCATATCAGAAAGAGATTGTTTCAGACTAACAATCTCAGTTTCTGCTTCGCGCAGAGCAGATGAAGTGGTGCCCAATTTCTCATCTTTGGAGCTAGAGAGTGCCTTGAGCTCAGCAACCTGACCCTTCAGACCCTCCTGACGAATGTTACTTTCGGTCAACTGCTGTTGCGCCATGCGCTGCTTCTCAATGCAAGAGTTGAGGGCTTCCTTGAGCTCGCTATTCTGCTTGTCCATGGTTGACAACATAATTCGGGTTGCCGATTCCGATTCCTTCAGCTGAGAAACAATGTTTGACGCCTGCGAGTTTTGCATTCGAAGGGTGCGAACCTCAACTTGCACCTCGTCCCTGGCTTTTGCTGCTAAAAAGTAATTGTGAACCGCTTTAGTTTTCTCAACCGTCAATTGTCCAACTTTTTCTTCGAGGGCACCGAAATGCGTCACTTTCTGTGAGGCTACAGTAGAGAACTTCTTGTACGCCGTTTGCATAGAGTTCAGCTCATTGTTCAGCATATCATACTGTCGTTGCAATGTGCTGTACTTAGATCGGAGTTCTTCGAGAGGTAGATCGTCCACCGTTTCTGAGCCTGCAGAACTCTCAATTTGCAGTTGTAACCGCTGAGTCTGAGACTCCAAGGCTGCAATTCGGGCCTCCCGTGCGTCTGCAATCTCCTGCAATTTGGCCTCGACGGTCTTCTCCTGCGATTGAGCTTTACGCAGATCCTTGTCGGCCATAAGCTCGTCACGAGCATTTCTGATTCGAACAAGGTCGGTTTCCAGTTTCATCAGTAGATTCTCCTTTTCTGCAATCGTGCTCTGTGCTTCCTCTTCAATCTGTGTCTTGTAGGCAATTCGTTCCGCTCGTAGCTTTCCCGATTCTTCCTGCAACTGGTTGTTTTTCGCCTCAAGGTGATTAATTCGTTTCACGACATCATCATGCTGGGATCGGAGTTGTTTGAACAGGTCGGTTTGCGCATAATCATCATCAGTAAACTTCGAATGCTAGAACATAGGTCAATTAGGTAATGTTGTTCAAGGCCTCGTCGAGATGGATCTACCTTAATTTTGAGCTCAGTGATTTGACCAAGCAAGCTGGCATTCTCGGCTTCCAATTGTTTCACTTGTTCCTTGTGCTTTTCGGAAACCGCAGTAATTTGACTATTGATAGCTTGCAATTCAGAGACATCTGCAGCAGGCGCTCCACCATTGGCTGATGACTTGTCTTCTCGTGGTGTCTGGGACCCCTCCGCACCAGGCCGCTGTCCACCACCCATGATATGCTGTTTCTCAAGTTTTGCCACGGTGAGACTTTTGGCGCGGTCGAGTTTCTTTTCCGCCACCATGTACCTGAGCGAGGCTGTCTCGAGACTTTCTTCGAGTTGTTGTTTCTCTCGAAGTGTCTTCTCGTATTCCGTAATCGCCACCTTTTCCTCTGCGAGTTTCTTTGCCAATTTGGTTTGGAGCTCAGTGACATCAGGGGACATGTTAGCAGATTGAGATTGGATAAAGTTGATAATTTCGCGAACTTCGGCGGTTCTAGAGGTCAAATATTGCTCAAAGTCTTCAACTCCTTCGAACCACAAGGAACTTTTAAAAGTGTTTTCTGCCAGGTTGTCAATCGCTGCTATATATAATATGGGGGAGTATGATCTACCCTTGATCGGTTCTTGTGAAGGGCCCAGAAGAAGTTTGACCTCGTCGATTAACTGGATTGAAATTAGTCATGAGCTATGTATATCATAGATGCTGCAAGGGTAAACATACCTGGTAAAACCAACTGTCCATGAAATGAAGACGTTGACGATGGGCTACAGATTCATGGCATACCTGACCCAATCGTGACTCCAATGTAGCCACATTCCGCTTGTATTCCTGCATCTGGCGGAGGATCGCATCTTTTTGAAATCGCTATCGGATAGAATGCATTAGTGACATTTAATCATTGATTATAGTTCTTATTCAATTAAAAAACATACATCCAGGTCTTCCTTCCATGGCATGTCAGTATCGGGGTGCGGTTTGGTAGCCGAGTTCACTGCAGTGGCCTGCTTCTTGAGAGGTGGGGCTGTATCATTGCTTTCTGAAGCAGGGCGCTTCCGGTCATCCATTGTGACAAGACCGGACTCTGTTGACAAAACAGGGGGTTCGGCGGCCGGCATCAGTGGCTAAACTGGCATCGAGGGGAAGTTCACGATCACCGAACCGTCAACCAGTCAGGCAGATTTAGGCACTATGACCGTGAAACAAGATAAGAGTTCACACAGAAATAAAAAGACCACTCCAACAAAAAGGAAAGAGAGAGAATATAGGAATGTGAAGGGTGAATGAGAAGGGGTGAGATGGATAGGATTGAAGGAGAGCAAGCCAGGAGGATTTTCAACGAGGTTTAGCGTTGCCGCTAGCCAACGTCATGTGATCGATAGAACTAGCGGGCGGTGTGAATCCACGCTAGTCCTCGCGCGTTTTACCCTTTACCCCAGCTGGATCATTTTTTGATCTTCAACCCCACTCTTCAACTCTATGGTCTCAAGATGAAGACATTTTCTAGTTCTGCAATCAGTATGTCTTTAGTCAGAATTTCATGCACTTGATATCTAACTCTATCAATAGACAAAAAGGGCAAGAAATTTGCCCCCAAGGCGAAGTTCGCCCCTCAGCGCCGACCGCAAGCCGTGACTTCTACAGCTTCAATACCACCCCCTTCACCGTCGCCTGCTGCACCTGATAAAGCCCCTATAGATTCAGCTGCCATTGGGAATAATGCGCGACCCGTAATTGAGAACAATGTCCGACCTGAAGGCACTCGGTCGGTATCAATCGCGCCTCCTACACCCATTCCTACACCCGAGCCAGCATCCGTCGAAGAAGTTGCTGTTGTGGACACTATCGAGCAGCCTAGAGTTACAACCTCAAACGAAAATATTGCGACAGCGCCATCTCCTGCTATTTCCGAGAAATCATTTGTCCCTGAATCTGCTGTCGTCAATACAATTGAACAGCCTGAAGTTATAACCGCTAGTGAACAGAATTTGACAGCATCCTCTTCTGTTGCACGCGAACAAGCATTCATTCAAGAATATGCTGCTGTGGAAAGCATTGAACAGCCTGAAGTTATAAACTCACGTGAACGGACTGCGACAGCACGCTCTACCCCCCAGTCGACGTCACAGAAGCGAAAGCGATCCACTGCAACAGATTCCATTCGAGCTACTTCGGCGAAACGAGCTACTCCAGCAAGACGTCCTCGCCCGAAGCGTGAATCCACACCCGAAGCGTCCGAGGCAGTGGAACTCATTACCAACGTTATAAAAATGTCAGAGCTTTGCAAGGACCCAAAGACTGGCAAGAAATCCCAACGCGAGATTGAATTACGCAAACATGAAGCCGCCGCACGGGAGCGCAAAAATAAAAAGGAGGATCGTCCAGCATCGATCAAGCCGGATAAAGTTGAAAAAACAGAGGAATCTAAACCAACTGGTCCTCAAATGCGCATTGTGAATGGACAAATCGTTCTTGACAACACTTCGCTCGAGGTGGACCGTCATAGGGATGCTGATCGTAACATGGATGATCTTGAAGATGTTGTGGAAACGCAGCTTACACGCAAAGTTAATCAAGCTACATATGGAAAACGAGCTAAGCCAGAGGCTTGGGATGCAGAGCAAACATCCTTGTTCTACCGCGGACTCCGCATGTTCGGTACAGACTTTTCACTTATCAACAAATTGTTCCCTGGCCGTACGCGCCGATCGATAAAACTCAAGTTTAATAACGAGGAGCGACGCCACCCTGGTGACATTAATGAGGCCCTGATGGGTCCCCGTGAGGGCATTACTAAGGAAGATTTCTCGTTGTTGACCAATACAACTTATGATGATCCCAAAGAGTTCCAGAAGGAACTTGATGCCGAAGAGAAGAAGATTAAAGAGCGATATGCTGAAGAAATGCAAATTGAGGAGGATGGTCTGCTCAACAAATGAGTGTCATACCCATGGCACTTGAGCCATCTAATAATAGCAATTTAGTGAATGTTGAATGATCCAATGTACCTACATTTGGTTGTGGAATAGTCATCACATTTCTTACACGGCTTTATCACGAGGTCTTTGGTTTGGACGATACTCTTCTTTACCATTACTTAATTGCATGCCACATTGATGACAGTAGTTTAGTAACTGCACATATAAAATAGACCATCAAACGACATGAAAACTCATAAATAGCTTCGATTCCGAAAAATCATGGATGGAATTTGTGATTCGAATCCCTACTAGGTACGATCTCTGATTGTAACATTGTACCAGAAAATACTTTCAATATCAACATCACCCATGAACCGCTCGGATTGCCCATATGCCACTTTCGACCAGCTCTACACACCGGTTGAATAGTCTCTCATCTCTGTGCCTGCAATTCACCCTCAAATGTGTGAAACAGCCATACTGAAAGAGTTCTATGAAGGAGCCTGGGGTCATTAATTTCTAATCACCCATCCTAACCCCATCTCCATTGTGACAACCAAGCCGTAGTTCGAATGGAAGGAGAGGTGGAAGCCACCTGGGTAGCTTCCTCACTATCATAATTAGATCGGCATACGCGTTCACTATATAGTCCTGTATGAATCAGATCACTTTCATTTACTGATATTTTCTTCTTGGTAAGAATTTCCCTCGAAATTCCCTGTTTGAATGAAACATGAAACATTGCACATGGAGAGATCCATCATCACCTACTGGGTTATCACTAGACACCAGTGAATTCTCGATATTGAGGATGTGCTGTGGATTGGCGTTCATAGTAATGGGAGAATGTCATAGGGGGCTAGTGATGATCATGAGAGCGACATCAATTGAATTATTAGTCTCGCAAGCAAGTGACAAGGACTTATATGTATTGAAAGTTTGCCACACATCTAATACTAGTGGGTTTGTTCGTCGATATCTATATCATCTGAATCTTGAGATAAATTCCAAACGATATAAGCACTGCAACTCCAACCGAACTCCACAAATGCAATACTCGATCTGCAGTTAAGTAGATGTCCGGCGACATACCATCTGCCATATTTGGCCAGCTCTTCTTTTATGGCCTCATAATCCACAATATAAGACCCGATTGGAGACTCAAGTGCTCTCCCAATGTATTAATGCTGCAAGAGGAGGAATCCCGGCCCACTTGGACTGTAAGAGCCGATGGAGGTGAAATGCTCTCTCCCATAAACTGGACTCTTACTTAGTCTGGTGGGTGAACACAAGAACGATAGACAGGATTGAGCTTGCGCCAGCTCATTGCGGAATTTTTCCAATTACATTTTTCATCGACCTGCTGCTAGCAAAATGCCGGTCCATCATCGGTAAGCCCGGGCTTCAATGATCTGGAGAGTCTTTCGGTGAAGTTGACTACTTGGAAAGAACAAAACCCATTCGGGGGTCAGAATGAGGCCAGCCATAGTATAGTCTCGTTTGAGAATGACTCCAGATCCCGGCTATAGCAAACCGCCAACCACTGTATAATATTGAGTTGCAGGACTTGTCTCCTCTTTTGAGGACACGCGGTATTCAGTCAGCCTTCTGAGAGATCATTCGCTACACATGGAAGGGATCAAGTAGTACTCTCTGATTAGACTGAGAAAAGCTCATCCGAGAATCTTGTTATCTGCATCCTCGCGAAGGCCGTGATATTGAGATAGACAGCTAAGGTTATTGTGCCCGCCGAGTTGCCGACGGAGTTATGACTCGGGTCAGTACTGGAAGGTAAATCAATTGAAAGCCCGTTGGGTTCCTTTTCTGGAAATGCAGAACCATGCGTACTTTCGATTAGTCTAGATCAAACGTGCGCCCAGTAATTCTTGTTGAGGGGTTGGAATGGTCAAATGAGAGCCATGCAAACAACCACGACGCCTGCGAAGCCACCAGAAGAGTGGGTTTGTTTCCATAGAAGCCACAAAATGAGTCTGTGTGTTTGTTTTAGGTCAAATGCAGGCTATTGGGGTTGAACCAGTCAAATGAGTGCTTTGCAGACTTTCCACTTCATGATGCCTGGCTGAGTTGAAAGGATATATAGAAGAGAGGGGTTGGTTACCTGGGAATCTTCATTATACAGGAGGAGTCCTAAGTCTAATAAATAATATGCGGGTAGAAATTGGAAGTGAATGAGAAAAGTAAGAGCGAGGTGAGAGTGAAGTGAAAGTATGGGTGTATTTGTGGCGATCGACCATCTGTAGTGCTACATGTCCACAGTGGTTAACGTAGACCCCAGAATGAGTTCAATGGCATGAGCATCACCCCACCACAACCTCGGAGCAATGGAAGCAATGGAAGAAGTGGGACTACACTTGATAGGTGGCCGGGGTAGGTTGATGATTGTATTATGAAGAAGAATTAATAGAGAAGAAAAACTTAGAATTAACCGAGTAGAATATGAAGATGTCATAAAGGTTTCAAATCCAGTTCGTCACTTTCGTCTGAAAAAACTGCTCAAATAATAAGAAAGTCTTGGTTCGTCACTATATATGCAATCATACCATCAGAGGTTTTACTTCAATAGTCTGATACCCTGAAGAGATTGATAGAGGAATATTGATGTGTTGATGTACGCATAACACGCCTGTAGATATCATCTGCGCCGTGTCGACCCAAATCCAGTACTAGCACTGGTAGAAGAAAAACTGGGGGAAGATCGTGAGCGAGAACTGCCCTCTCCAGGGTCATTGAATCGACCAAACGATGAACCTTGATACGAGTTGCCAGAACGCCGTCCCATCTGATATCCCGCAGCTGTACCTCCAAGGGCACCAGTCCAAAATCCAGGCCTCCAGCCCTGCGATCCAAAGCTTCTTCCATCAGAGCTGCTATAAGGAGGGGGTGGGCCACCTGGGTAGTCACCACCACCTCCCCAGCCCCAGCCTCGTCTTTGATCTCTTGGCCGATCATTGCCCCGGAAGCCAAGACAAGATGAAATAATAAGAATAAAGACAGCAAAGAATATTCCAAAGAAGATGATATTTCCAATCAATTTACCGGCTCTGTGGCCTGATGACCAGACATTGTCGCTTTTTCCAAACCGCCTCTCGCCTTCCTCTGTCAACATCATCCGGTACTCGACACCACAGCTCCCTTTGAGCACCCACTTATCCTCTGCACTGCGATAGCCCTCGCATATCACATCTGTTGCACCGAGCTTAAACTCCTCTGGAAGAGATGCGGTACAGGTCCATTGCACATCTTCTTCGTCATAGTCGTAACCTTGATTTGTGCAACGTATAATTTCTGGTTTGTAGAGGTTGCATATCTTCTTCGATGGGCCCACACAGCTGAGTTGTGGGATGGGTGAAACGCGACGAGATGTGGTAAGACGATCAGTGCGTAGAGTTAGGGTTTGTACATTGGATAGCAGAATCGCATCTCTACCTGGTGGGTTATGAGATATAGCGCACGCTGACGAGAGCAGCAGAGAAGTCGTCAGTATAGAAGCAACAAGATTTCGCATGATAAGTCTCGGTGACTTAAGTAATTTTAGAAATACCGAGGTTGAGTCGAAGGAAGAAATATAAAGTCGTGTCCTCCAGCGTGTCATGTCTCGATAACGATAAGCGATAATGATAAGCAGTTCGGCCAAGCCCAGGTCCACCCGAGACTGAAAACTGACCCGACATCAACTCACGATCGGTGGGGATGGGTTCGTGACGATGGTGCTCGAACAATGTATGTATCCATTAGTCCAACTTTGAGATCTGATGCTAATATTCTCCAGATGAGCCCGCGCCAATCGCGCCTCAATCCTCGTATGCCAACTACAATCCAAAATGTGGAAGCTATGCTAACCTTTAAAGTCTATCCTTCACACAGGGATTTTTACTGGGACAGTTATCCGTTGTGCTACTCATCGGCGCCTTCATCAAGTTCTTCATATTTGGAGAGGCTCCATCTCCACCATTGCGCGGCTTTTCCAGCGGCACAACCCACCTCCGCTACAGCTCCGTATATAACCCTCAAGATGGCCCCCAGAATACCCTCCGTGAAAGACCGTCAACTTCAAATGTCCTCCGTCCGGTGCCCAGCTCCTCCACCAATACTCGCTCGATCCTGCGCAAAACTTACTACAGCGCCATCCCTACCAACCCCTCCAAACATGGACGACACCGGATGCACCATTCCTCCCACCAACCCGAGTCTCTGGATTGGTTCAATGTTCTGATTGCACAGACTATCGCTCAGTACAGGCAGACTGCTTACGTGCTGAAGGACTCGCCGACGTCGTCAATCCTCAGCTCGTTAACAGCAGCCATGAATAACCCCGAGAAGAAGCCATCATTCATTGACAAAATCACTGTGACGGATATTTCACTGGGTGAGGAATTTCCTATCTTCAGTAACTGCCGTATCATTGCCGTGGATGACCCTGGTTCCGATGGCGGCAGATTACAGGCCTTATTAGATGTCGATCTCAGCGATGACAATCTTTCCATTGCGGTGGAAACTTCCCTGGTGCTTAACTATCCCAAGCCCCGGTGCGCTATTGTTCCGATTGCACTTTCAGTGTCTGTTGTGCGCTTCTCAGGAACTCTGTGTATTTCACTGATTCCAGCATCGACCGACACCGACCCGCTCGACTCGCCGACAACGTCGCCCAGTCCACCAACAGCCGCACCAGGGGCAGCTGGGGCTCCAGGAAATACCTCCGGACAAGAGGGGCAGCAACAGAAAAGCAGTCCTAAAAGCAACGTCGCGTTCTCCTTTCTTCCAGATTACCGCCTGGATCTATCAGTGCGCTCGCTCATTGGATCACGCAGCCGACTTCAGGATGTACCCAAAGTGGCCCAGTTAATCGAAGCTCGCGTCCATGCATGGTTTGAAGAGCGTGTTGTCGAACCCCGAGTGCAGGTCGTCGGCCTTCCAGATCTCTGGCCGCGCATGGGAAGGACTGGTGTCCGCACTGGCGAAGACTCAGATGCCGGGTCAACAGCTGCACCTCGAAGTCCTTCTTCTGCTGAGGGTAGTACCAACCCGTATCAGTTTTCGGGTAGTCCTCGAGAAAATGAGGGACTGCGGTTCCGTGGACCGGTCGAGCCTCGATTCGGGTTTAGTGGCTCGCGCAGTAGCAGTTTCAATACTGACAGGGTCAATCTGCGGAGACCCAGTCTGGTTCATTATGATAGTGCTGGGGTTGAAAGCGAGCAGCTTCAGATGCCTGGCTCTATACCTCTTAGCAGGTAGGTAGTCTAGTAGTCTACTGTCATGATTATTCATCAAACAAAAGTACAATCAGGTTGAATTCATCGACGATGAAAGTTGATACTTCGAGAATTCATTTGACCTAGGAAACTTGGAAGTTACGGTTTGCAGAGTTTACATGTACAATAATCCATTTGATCGGAACTTTAAGTCATATGTCCATCTCGCCATCAATCAATCAGTCATAAATCATGCCAGATAAAGCTTAGACAGCAGCAGTAGGCTTAAGCACCGTCTCAAGATAAGTCTTGCGGTGAGCGTTACCATCAAGCTCAGGAGCCCGATTAAGAGGTGTCCACTTAGGCTCATCCTGGAAGAGCCGCATAGCTTTGATATACTACAAAAAGGTCAGTAAAGACTTCGCAATCGCAGTCCATCCCAATCCAATTTAAACTTACATTTTTCTCATTTGTAGTAAAGCGATGGTAAATACCAGCGGGCAAAACAACCACATCAGACTTATTCAAGAATATGCGAATCCACTCATCCTCCTGACCGCGCACATCAAAGAATCCCTCGCCATCAAGGATGTAACGGATCTCCTCATCTTCATGCAGATGCTCAGTGAAGAAACCTTTCACTTTCTCCTCATATATGGGGCCCATGGCATCAGGCGAAACGCAGATCTGGTCGCGGTTCTTGTAGCCGCGCTCTTTTGCGATCACGTCGATCTCCTCAACGGTCGGGCAGCGTCTGTAGAAAACACCCAGAGAAGCGAGGGTTTCCTCTGAGACGGCGCGGCCTGAATCGTGGGGTTCGCGCTGGTCGCCCTGGACATCAAGACTTAGTATATACCCGAGGTAATAACAGCTTACGCCACGACCTATATTATAAGGCTAGTGGGTGAAATTACTTACCGGCAAGTTATCATACCAGTAAGCCCTCATGATGAAATTCCAACAGCTAACTTGTAAGAAACAAACACGAGATGAGAACAAATGCAGATGCCAAGTTAAATTCAAGGTATTGAGGGAACATCAGCAGCCCCGCGATTGGGTGCGATGGCGCAATAAAGAATTATGTCAGCCGCTTATCTATCACGTGACCAGTGGATTTTTTGCTTATCGCGTCTTGAATGTCCGTTTGTTTTGTCTGAACTGAACAACAAAGATGGCTTTTCGAGCTCGGCCTTTATCATTGTTGCGCTCGCGCGCTGGCACTCGTCTACCTATTCGCAGGTCGCAAGGGTTGGCGACTGTGGCTGATGGTACACAGTATGTTCTGTTACTCCCTGAGAAACTTCACAGCTAATTGTTCTTATTCTACAGACCATATGACGTTATCGTTATTGGAGGTGGACATGCCGGTGCAGAGGCATGTGCCGCAGCAGCTCGCTCAGGAGCGCGAACGGCGCTGGTCACGCCCTCGCGCTCGAACATCGGAGTGTGTTCGTGCAATCCTAGTTTCGGCGGAATAGGAAAGGGCACGATGATCCGCGAGATCGACGCAATGGACGGAGTTGCGGGACGAATCATTGATAAAGCTGGCGTTATGTTTCGTGTTCTGAACCGCTCTAAGGGTCCTGCGGTCTGGGGGCCCCGAGCCCAGATTGATCGTGACTTGTATAGGAAGTACATGACTGAGGAGCTGGTCGGCACGGAAAACCTCAGCATTGTCGAAGGCAAGGTTGCCGATATTGTTGTCTCAAATGAGGGCGTGGAGAGCACACCTGGTGCCGCCCAGGGGAAGATTGTTGGTGTCCGGTTGGAATCTGGGGAGGTTATTCCTACAGGCCGAGTGGTCATCACAACGGGTACTTTCCTTGGTGGTGAGATTCACATCGGTATGAAGGCATACCCATCCGGGCGAATGGGCGAGGCTCCAACATATGGACTCAGCAAGTCTCTATGCGATGCGGGATTCTCGCTGGGTCGGTTGAAGACGGGGACACCGCCGCGCTTGGACATGAAGACGATTGATTTTTCTGGGTTGGAGGTGCAGCGTGGTGACTCGCCGCCTATGCCATTCTCTTATCTGAACAAGACTGTCGAGGTTGGGGACGAGGGCCAGCTGACATGCTGGATGACGCATACAAACGAGGCATCCCACGAGATAATTCGACAGAACCTCGACAAGTCGATCCACATCCGGGAAACCGTTCGCGGACCACGATACTGCCCGTCCCTAGAATCGAAGATTATTCGATTCACGGACAAGACGCGGCACCAGATTTGGCTCGAGCCCGAGGGCTTTGCGCCTAATGAGGTGATCTACCCGAACGGTATCTCGATGACAGTGCCGGAGGACGCTCAGTACGCTATGCTACGCACAGTCCGCGGTCTTGAAAATGTGACTATGCTGCAGCCAGGCTATGGAGTAGAATACGACTACATCGACCCGCGCAATCTGCGATCAACGCTAGAAACTAAGCTGATCAGCGGCTTGTATCTGGCCGGTCAAATCAACGGCACTACAGGATACGAGGAAGCAGCCGGCCAGGGCATCATAGCCGGCATGAACGCCGGCCTGGAAGCACAGAACCTCGCCCCTCTAACACTCACCCGATCGGATGGATTCATCGGCATAATGATCGACGACCTAATCACAAAGGGGGTATCGGAGCCATACAGAATGTTCACAACAAGGAGTGAATACCGCATCTCAACACGCTCCGACAACGCCGACCTCCGCCTAACACGCAAGGCCCGCGCCGCAGGTGTGGTCTCTGACGCACGCTGGCACGCCTTCACCTCAACAGAAGAGCAAATCCAGCATCTGCAAACCTTGCTAGCAAACACCAAGATCTCCTCCTCAGCCTGGTCACGCAAAGGCTTCAAAGTGCGCGCTGACACCTCAATCCGCTCAGCGCTCGACATTCTCTGCCTAGACGGCGCAGACATCAACGCCCTCATCCCGCACATAGAAGGTCCGCCCAGCACAGCGTACGTACCCTCATCGTTTGCGCCGGAGATCCGCACGCGCGTGGCCATAGAGGGACGTTACGCGCCGTACCTGAAGCGACAGGAGAAAATGGCGCAGCGGTTCCAGCAGGACGAGAATTTGCTGTTACCAGCTGATCTTGACTATGCCGTCATCCACGGAATCAGCAATGAGGAGAAACAGGCGCTCGAGCGCGTGCGACCTACTAGTGTTGGTATGGCGCGCCGTATTGAGGGCGTTACCCCTGCCGGAGCTTTGCGACTGCTCATGCATGTTCGGAAGGGGACTGGGTTTACGAAGGATGTTTCCGACGATGTGGCTGATATCTTGCGTTCATCGTCTTGATACGGCCAAGGCTGTGTATTTGTACTATATATTTTGATTATACATTAGCGATGCACCTGCACTACGCATACGCATGGCGTTGGATTGTTTATGGATATTATCTCGGGTTTTGTATAGTCTTAGGAATCTAAAAGTGTACTGTCCAGGTGAGGTACTAGGTACCTATCTAGGTAGGAACCATACGATTGTACAACATGGAACAGCGGATGAAATCAAAGTTCCAGAGTCAAAATCTAAGGATGAACTTCTTTAGAAATAACGCACAGTACCCTGGAACGCATTCTTCATGAAGCAGCGCAAAAGGCCTGTGGAACGTTTCAAATTGCAACAACGATTGTCCGGTTGAAGTATGAAGTTTTGGTTCACGGCAATAAAAACCACAAATTGAGGACGAAAGTTATACTTTGACAACTTCGTGGCTTTCTCTCCTGTTGATTAATTCACCTATTTCAGGGGGCTGTCACTTATAACAATGATTATAACCAGGATAGATGATGATTACTGGTTCATGAAACTGTAAGGACACAGACACAGACTACACACGACACACGGACTTTGACAGCGAGAGCACACAGACACACAGACACACAGACACAGACCCGGACCTCAAGTGGAGATGTGGCGATCGTAACCAAGAAAAAAACCCCCAACGCAAGGGCCCTCCGGTATTGAGACACGGTAGATACTAACTACGCAACTACGTAGAGGGCTTGCCTTGTCCTCCCTACTCAACCAACTCAGTACCATGTGAGTGTGTCTACTTATCCTCCGGCATTGTGCTCATTCTCATTCACTCATGGGATTCAGCAAAGTGGAAATAATAACAAGAAAAGGTTTGCAGGGAGTTTGGAGTTTGCAGTTTGGAGTCTGCAGTTTGAAGTTTGCAGTTTGGAGTTTCGAGTTCCATGCTAACAGTTATCATCGCTGGCTATTGTTTCATTTAATGGCACATCACTGAAGTGAGGTATAGCAAGAATGGAATGGAATGAGAAATAAATGAAATGAAATGAGGGGGAGAAATGAGACCAATTGGGTTGATCTGTAGATCTACTCCTCGGTTCCAACTCCCTAAAAACAGGAACAAGACTATCCTTTCCGTTGTAAAGTCAGGAGTCAGGAGTCAGGAGAAATGAACTAGTCTGGAGAAGTCAGAGATAGGAGGGGTGTGAGAAGGACTAGAAGCAACAAGCAAGTCCGCGCATCTCCGTCTACTATAGATTATTCGATGCACATTCAACGATAGATATCTAGTGTAGTCTACTACCTACATTAGTTAAATACAGGTTTGAAATATGGACGATGCAGGCGCACGGTCAGAAGAAACTGGAAACTACTCTATACAGCACTCCGTCGGTCCGTCCATACGTACTACGTCGACGTGCCAGTAACCCAGGGGTGGCGATCACAGTGACTAACATGCACTCCACAATGATTTTATTCCGCTATGACCAAATAACGAGCCGGCTGGGGTAGATTAGCCCGAGAGCTCTAGCTCTAAATTCTAGATTCTAGATTTAAGTGGATCAAGTGGACTGTTGGCAACATCTGTACCAGTACCAGTTTTTTATATATTTTTTTTTCTCCATTTTTAAGTCAATGGAAAGAGACAATATAACAGAAATAGAGCACGCCATGTCTCGGAGGGAAAATCCCTGTTCATCTTCAATGATTTCCAAGGTTGATGTGGAGTAGGTTATTGTGGTTGTGCAGAGGGGTGAATAGGGTCAGGGGGAATAAGACTAAAATAAGAAGAGGACCTGGAAAACAGTAAAAAAGTGTAAAGGTAAATAGTAAAAAGAAGTTTAAAAAAAAGTCAATAAGATCTAGTTAGTCGTTCTTCAGGGCTGTACTACCTATGTGTGTGTGCATGTATGTGTACTCCGTATAGTAGTTACTCCGTACTCACCGTTGAACAGTCCACATGGAGTAGTGAGTTTAGAACCTATTATGATCAGTTTGATATTGATGACTACAGTAATTGTTTTAATTCAGTCTACTTAGTGGCTGCACTAGTTTCCCGACTGTTTGGTTCGTTCTATTAGGTTTTGTCGTAGATCTCCCTTAATATCAAGTCCAGTCAGCAATGTCTAATCACTCCCCCACTAGATCATTCCACTTCCCGCGAACTCGAGGTCAGCGCTTATTATTTACCTCAGCTAGGCAAATACTCCTCAAATCTTACTCTAATCTCTCTTTCCCTCTCGAAGTCAATAGTTTCAGGTCGCGTCTATTAGCTCCCGACTCCCGGTTCCCGACTCCCGACTCTAAACCCGAGTACCAGGTTCCCATAGACACCAAGTGGGCCACAATTAAGGTGGCGGACTTGATTTTCGCCTCCTGGTCGATCTCGTTAGATAGGGCCAAAAATGGAAACACCATATATCCTGTGCAGCTGATGGGATATATAGTGTCTGTACTGGTAGGAAGTCCATAGTGAGCCTCTAGACCTCGTGAAAGATGAATGTCTATATATCCAGGTACCTGCCTAGGTAGAGTCAAGTAGGTTTGAACCAAATCTACCACATGCAGATTCAAGATTAAAGATCTCAGACGATCTCTGTATCAAAGTCCATTTTCTTTTCACCTCAGAACAGACCACAAGTGAATGTGGATGGAAAATCAGCAATAAAAAGCGGATCTAGTCCACTTGACCCGAACAATAGCCAGCGCAGCTACACAGAAAAAGGCAAGTGCAGGGCCTAACTAGGTAACAAGTTGGGGATCAGATCAGTGATTACAGGCGTTCCGGTGCACTAGACCATGGACTTGGACATTTATTGATTGTAATAGACTAGGCCCCGTTAGAGGTTCGTGCGTCAAGCCCCACAGTTTATTTTTCTGTTGTGGCGCAATACGATATACGGAAACGATCGTAGCGTACAGAGTACGGAGTACCTGCTGATAAGTGCAGAGATCAGATCACAGACCACCACACAGACCAGTCGTTGATATAGATATCATCCTTAACCTCCGAGTAGAAAGCGTAAAATACAGATTGGCTACATCCGGATATCTGGAAATACAAAAAAAAAAAAAAGAAAAGATAAAAAAAATAGATAAAAAAAGAAAAAGAGAGAGAGGGGGAAAAAAAAAAGAAGAAATCGAACTAAGGGATGCCTCGCCTCGCTTGGTGGCCCGAGTGTCTGGTTCTTGTGGAGAAACCACTTCCTATTTGGGATTTTGACCTCTTTTTTACGTGGACTAGAAGGGAGTGACTGAAATGTTGAGTGGCAAGTTGGAAGCGGGAAGTAATGGTAGAGTCATTAATTCGTATCACTAGTTAATTTAATATGGAGTAAAAATGAGTTCATATAGGAGCCAATGATAGAGTCATGAAGTCACAGTGACTACTGTATTAGCGGAGTAGACGGGAGTATTCCGTCCGCTCATCACAGCCATGTGAAAAGCCACAGAATAGATATAATTCTACATACTATATACTAGATCTAAGGTTATCGCGTCAATTGAGTTTCAATAAGCGTGCCCGTCAAGGATCTCCTGTTCATCCAATTCTCTGGGACCAATATATGAAACGGGTATTAAACGGAGAACAGTTCTCCGTTTATGGAAACCACATGGTCAGAAGGAAAGAAGGAAAAAAGAAAGAATTGATTTTTTTTTTTAAAAAAAAAGAATATAAAGAATAAAAGAACGAAAAAAAGGAAAAAAGGGAAAAAAGAAAAAGAAAAAGAAAAAAAAAGAAAAAAGGAGAATAAGAATAAGAATAAAAAGAGGCCAAAGCCAAAGCCCGAGGAGTAGGTAATGTGGATTCACCGCCGATCTATAGTTAGTGCGAGTACGCGTGGTACCTACTCGGAGTACCCCGAATACCTGCGAGTAATTGTTTCTTTTGGATCTGGATCTTGATCTGCTGAGGATCTCCCGAGAGAGTTTGAGTGGCACATAGTAGTATTTTCTTACTATATAATTCTACTTCTCATACTTCCTCTGTACGCAATTTCTATTGTACTCGTACTGTATACTGTATTAGCATACTAATACAGTATGCTAGTTATTATACAGTGGGACCATATCTCGATCTTCAACCCATTTTTCAATCGTCGCTAAATTAGTTCGGACCCTTGATGATTGCCTCAAGTGAACCATGGTATGATATTAGCTAGGCATGGTGGAGTTAGCCATCGATGGCGTCCAATAGAGTAGGTATAATTTTAAAACGCTCATCACATAATCAAGCTAATTTCAGTTTGAGCGATAATATGTAGTAGTTTTTCACGTAAGTTCTATAGCTGAAATCTCCCTATTACTTGAGAACAGTAATTGTATTCAAGGGATGATCGTAATAGCCCCGTGGCACGGCAGTTCGATGATGATTGCATTTGATCCTTAATTTACTTGTAATGGATTAGAAAAGGGGTGAAACTCGGTACCTGCTTTCCTATTTTATTTTTCCTATTTTATTTTCTCTATTACTCCGATGAAATCATTTGCAATGTTCCATCCGTGAATTTAATTTTTATTATTTCTACTTAGTATCATTTTGGCTTAGATCATTCCTTTCTTTTTCCCAGTGGAACTCATACTTTCGCATGTCAAAAACCCCTGTCTAATTTGCTTTTATATGAATCTATTGCCCCGCAGAACCCTCCGAAAGAGAAAGGAGTAAAGAAGAGAGGAGAAGGGTATATTTCATATTATATGTTATATGTTGTATCTTCTATGATCTATATTCTATATTCTTCATATTCCATCTTCTACATTCTACATTCTACTGGAATATGAGAAGTATTCGCTTATTCTACTGTGGATCATCCAAATACTGGAACTGCCCTCAGCCGTGGAACCGAAAGTGGAAGATCTACTCTAAAGGAGATCGGTGCAACCTGTTGACTCGCTGACTCTCGGGCCCGTGCTGACCATAGGAGGGGTTAACTCAAAACCACCGCTTTCCTTCTTCTTACCCTGGTCGATCTAGCTCTTCTTTTTTTATCTGAGCTTGATCTTTTTAATTTCTACATCGACCTTCACTCTCTCTCTCTCTCTCTCTCTTTCCCCCCCTCTCCCTCCATTCCCCCCCCCCCCTCATTACACATTACCCATTACTCATTCTCACACACACCCCCCCCATTCCACCCATCCCCATATTTCGATCAAATAAACCCACCCTCCCCTCCAATCATGGTCAACGGTACTGCCGCCGTGTTGGAGCCAACTTTCACGGGGTATGTGGCTACTACACAAGATGCCCTCCTATTATTCGAAGCATGTCTCACTGGAGTCCTACACCATGTCCCTCGTCGCCCACATGACCGCGAACGAAGTCATCTGGTTCGCAGTGGTAGTGTTTTCATCTACGAGGAGAATGCGTCTGGCATCAAACGTTGGACAGACGGTGTGACATGGAGCCCCAGTCGCATTCTGGGTAATTTCTTGGTCTATCGTGAGTTGGAGAAGCCCTTCCCGCCTGGCGAAAAGAAACGCGCTATGAAGAAGGCCAATCGACGGCCTGCTCCCCCAAGCCGACCCGGCGAGCCATACCCGCGACATGACAGCAACGCTTCGAACTACTCGCCACCACAACCCCCGGCCTCGTTTGGAGACCGTCCACATCAATCAGAAGTCGAGCGCGCCTTGGTCGGGTCCTTGGTCGATTCCTACGGTTTCAAGGATTCCGGCTTGGTGAAGAAGACCATGAGCGTGACCGTGCTTGGCGTCACTCATCACCTGGTCTCATACTACAGTGTCGACGATGTCATCCGGGGCGCCTTGAATGCGCCGTCTATGGTTGAATCCCTGCGATATCTCCGACCCCGCCTGGATCTGACCCAGAAACAAAGCTTCCGCGCGCCCATCGATGATGTCGAGACAAGCGCTATGGAGGCCCGCGTCCACGACCCTTCCCAGGCCGCCCTCTACGGTTTCCGCCCGCAGATGATGGCTCCTCCGGGCTATAGCATGCCCAACCCATCACCAGACTTCTACATGCATGCCCCATACACCACACACCCTCCTCAGTCCGGTCCCATCGCAGGCTACTCCATGAGCCAGCAAATGCCCGGGCAAGCTGCACCAAATCCATATCTTCCATCGCCTTCGCAATCCATGGTGCCAAAACAGGAAGACTACCACGCCTTTCGCGCCGGGCCATATGGAGGAAGCATAGATTCACTCAACCACAGTGCCATTCCTGGAATGAACGCTCTCCCTAGCTCAATGGGCGAGCGCAATCGCTCTGTGTCAGAACACAGCCCATCAGCCTATCGCAACTCTTCCATCTCTTCGCGGAGTGCAGCCACCGATGCGACCTCGCCCATGGACCCCGCAACGCCAGCCACCTACTCCCGTGGTAGCTTCAGTTTGTCGGGCCAGCTGGAAAGCAACCCGAATCACCCGAATCATCACATGGAGTCCCGCGGCATTGGCCCTCTAGACCATGCCGTCTCTCGCCGTGAATCAAATCCCACCCATCCATCTTATTATCAAGATCGGCCTCAATATTATGTCGGTGCCAATCAAAGCCACCACCCCCATTACGCGGCCGCGCAGCCCTTGTCCACATGGACAACTACTGCACCAGCCCAACCTCAAATCTAGTTACTTTTCAGTCCCCAATTTTTGCTCAAAGTCTGGGTGTGCGAGAATGCGTTTGGTTTCCTTTTTTCTTTCTTTTCCTTTTCTCTTCATTTCACATCTCCTTTCAAGCGGGAGTCTGGCGGCTGACTTTTTATTTTTTCCTTTTTTCGTTTTTCTATTTCTTATTTCATATTTCCTTTTTCCTGATTTCACTATTCATCGAGTCATGTATTTGGCTCGATAGACTTCATTTTTGCTTTTGAGGTGGAAACTTGATTAAAGCTGAAAAGCCTCACTCGATGAACCCGTTCGCGCGGGAGATCTTGTCTTTTTATATTCACCTTCTATACCTGTGCGGTCGTTTTCTTCGTTCTTCATTTTTCTTTTCATACCATATTATCATGGGCATATGGCTACCTCCTTTCTGGTTGGCTCTTTTCCTTTTTGTTTTTCTTGAGAACCACACGGGAGGCGTTTTGTGATTCTGACGATGTGACGCAACAAACCTATATAACCCAAAAAAGGTTTTTTTTTCTATCTTCTACTTCTCTTTGCTCTTTTCAAATTATTCTCCATCACTATGGACTCCTTTGCTCTCTTACCTTTCTCTCTCTCTCTCTCTCTCTCTCTATTTCCTTTTTGCTTGTATGAATTGGTTTTCAGGTCAGGCTTGATCCAGATCGGATCGTATCTCTGCTTTTGCATCTGGATTTGCATTTGTGGCAAATACAAAGCTAACTCAGCTCAGCTGAAGCTTTCGTTGATAGGATAGGATAGGATACCTAGGGTTGTACCTATCTCTTTCCAAAGTTACGTGGTCATGATATGGCTCGGTCGCGTTGAGGTCTTTGAACCGTTATATCCTGGCTCGTGGGGTGGCACCTTTGTTCTTGTTTGTTTTTAGTTTTTGGTCTGGTCTTGTTTATCTATGGGGCGGTAGTTTGATTTATTGCGAGTGATGCAACTGGGATCATTTCTCTGATCTCTTTATGTTCCTGTTGGATATCAAGATGGATGGGATGAAGCATGGATCGGATGTTCTACTTATGGAATGAAAATTATATCCGATTCTATCTGTGCCTATATTTGAACTCTGAGATTGCTTTATCCTGTTCTTAGCGTGGTCTTTCTGTAATAATATCTCCAGCTGTTTCAAGTTTCTTCAGCACTCAGTCAAGGTGCCTGTGCCAGGTCTGGGTTCAAGTTTGCAAAGGACTCCAAGATATAGGTAGACTTGTAATCCTGAATCCCAAGTCGCCCAGCCAGGTTTCTAGGCTTCGAACTTGGAATTTCCCTAGGTATCAAATACTTATGTAGGACATGGCTCCCTGAACCTTGGAAATAAGGGAGACATCATAGCCAATTATTCATTCCAAAAGCCTCAATCCCAATCCTGGAGCGAAGACAGTGTCTTCGTTTCAGCTCTGGAATTCTCATGTTATGACTGTTTCTTATCTATCCAATCTCCTTTTCCCAAGGTTTATAACAAAAGCCGTGCAGTCCAAGATTATAACGTTCGTGATACCTTGATTTCTAGCTGGTACCTCGTTCCTAGTACAGTACTTCAGGCAACAGCAACGGCACCTTGATACCTCGTTCAACATCCGCATTCTAGTACCGATACATCTTGTTTTAGGAGGGAGTGAGAGGAAGGTTGTCTTTGATTATGGACTTTATGTGACCTTGGGTCGGGGAGAGTCCTGAAGTTCTTGTTCTTGTTCAGGTTAATAATCTACGGCTAGCAAGGGTAAGGACAACCAGGATAGAGAAAAGGGGTAAGTTGCTGCTAATAGAGATCAATATTAGTTCCAAGGCTGCCCAGTTAATTGGTTGAAATGACACTTGAAGGGGATGTCACAAAGGAATAAGGCGACTGATTAAGAGAACATCGCAATAATAGCCCACCGTTGAATTTCACCCAAGCAGCCATGTTGGAGAAGTACATGTAAGATTAGATGGACTCTGGAGGGAGGGGGTGGTCGTTTTTTGGATCATGGATAGACCAATTACGGCCTCGGAGTCGACGGAATGGGAGCTCTTGCTCACCTGGACAGGTTGGCTAACTTCTTCCCGAGGTCGGGCTAAAGAGGACGAGGACTACAATGATAAAGAAGAGGGGAAATGTGGGAAAGACTGCCAACTGAGATCAATACTAATTCGTTAAGTCGACATGCTAAAGGGATATCGTGAGAGTAACAAGCAGAATATTGGGATATCAGCCACCGAGTTTTCCGACACAAGAGATAAACAATGCAACACATAGAAAAACTCTATAGAAGTAAGAAATGAACTCCGGAAAGAAACAAAATTGACGCTGAAAGCATACCGGATAACAAAGAATACGAAAACTACAAAGAAGAAACTCTCACCAACACCGAAGAATGCAGCGACCAGCGATCCGCAGTGAGTCCCTCGCGAGCTCTAGTCTTGGAAAAAGTCACCGTCAATAGGCAAGGCAGTGTTCGGCATCATCATAACCGGGCTGCGACGAGCGCGTGTTCGGACTTCATCCACAGTAGTGACATCCGATTCAGCTCCATAATGAGCAGTAATAGAGGTGGCCTCAAGATCAAGAATCAGGTGACGGCGAAGACTTGCAATCATTATTATCATGTCAGAGGTGCTGTTGTAAGGACGGTAAGTTCTGGGGTTGATCTCGGGCTCAGGCACGGCCTCAGGCAGTTCGAGCTGGAAAAGTGTTAGCTTATTAACTTAACCAACATACTGCACCCTCTCACGTCAAAGATAGTAAGGGAATCAACATACTTTACGAGTAACGGCTTGGCCAGTGATAGTCACATAGTTGTCCAGAGCCTGCACCAAGCTAGCGAAGTTGTAACGTCGTCCCAAGCGGGCATCATAGCTAGATCCGAAGCGTTGGCCGATCTGCTTGCGGAAGTCGACAGAGCGGCACTTCAAGGGCTTGTAGCTCGGCAGAGACAGGACCCATTTGGGGAAACTGCCCAGCCAAGTCTGCAGCACGGGATCGATCTCAATGGTCAGACTGATGCATGCATCAGCAGTAGGCTTCTGGACAAGCATGACAAAGGTGAATTCGCGAGGGAGACCAGATTGCTGCAGGGTGTTTTCCTCAATAGACCAGACGACTTCTCCGGCCTCAACATCATACATACGTCCGATGGGGCTCTTAGTTTTGCGTGCCGATCCTTGAATTCGCATCATTTCGAATCGGCGGTATTTACCCTTCAAGGTGCCGGAGGGGACAAGGCTTGCGCTGACGGGAGTATCAGAGATACCGAGCGAGCCGGCCAGGCTGAAAGTCCACTGCATAGTCTCAGGGGAGACAGTGCCATAGATGAGGTGGGGCGCGTGCATGAGGAAGTAAGGGTCTCCAGAGGACATGTTGGGATGGTCAGAGGTACCATTGGAGACATCTGAGACCTGGAAATTGTTCTCAATTTTGGCCCGAATCGTAGCAGCTTTAAACCGGTGAGTCTGGGTGTTAGGAGAATGAAAAATGAAGTCGATGGCGAGGAAATCCACATGGGGACGCACTGGGTCCGAGACCTCGGAGCTTTGGTAAAAGCCGTGCTGGAGTCGTTGCACATGAGCCGTGATATAAGCCTCACCAGGTAGCTTCTGCTCATAAATTGCCTCGCGATTAATCTGGAGCTGAGGGTTCGCCATGTTGGGGTCCACGGCCGGAGTTTGTTGAGGGGGTTGGAGGAGAGGTGGGTGAGAGGGGAATTTTGGGGTGCGAGAAGTTCTTGCCACCGTTACTGTGGCCATCGTGGGGACATCGGCGACTCAGCGACGACGACGACTCAACGACGACTCAGCGATGTAGGGCTGAAAGATGTAGGGCTTAGCCACCTTGCTGCTTGATGTCCATCAGGAAGTCTTTGAGACTGCCTGCATCTGCAGTATGTTCTATAAGAGCACTGAGAAATAGAGTGGGATCTAAGGGATTAGACACTAGTAATATCTTTAAGTTAGTTACTTGTGATGATCTACACAAGTATCTTATCAGGTGAGATGTCATGCGCCGGTGGTCAGGTGCCGGATGTAGCCTTGGAAATGAGAGGCATTGTTAGTAGGATGATAGGATCATAGTGTAATTACATATCAACCATGAAAACCTTAACCTTAGAAGTGACATTATGACATAGAAGCCGGTTTTATATACAGATATCTCTAAACGTTCGCAATGTTCGTGAAATGTGAATGTATAGATCGGGGATGACGTTGGTCGGAATAAGGGTTAATCCGATCCCGTTCGTAGCTAAACTTTCTCCGCTCCGGGCTGGGCTTCAAGCTTGACAATATTAATCTCAACTCTTGATGTTGGTGTGATCCCTGTGCAAATTGTATCTCTAAAACAGGGTTGATCACCAGCTAGGAGCTAACTCAGCATTGATTACGGAGTACTACAGTGTCCCGTATAGAATTGCATGCAATTGTGACAGATCTTGTTTGCAGGACCAGCTTTGCTGTAGCTAGCTAGCTTCCTCGCCTATTACCATTCAAGCAGAAGCAAGATTTTGAAAGAGGAGCTTCAAGGTTGTGATGTGTTAAAATTCTGGATTTTCTTGGGGCCATTCGTTTTTGTTCCGACTTTCCTCAGTACAGAGTAGCTGACGCCTCTTCGCCTTTTCCACTCTCTTTTCTCTTTTCTCTTCCACAAGATGATATCTGCCTCTCACTTGCTGCCTCATCGGGCTACCCTGGGAATCCGGGTTGTCCAAAGATTGCATCGGACCCATGGGATGCAGATTATGGGGATCCGACCTCAATGCATGTCCACGTTGACCAAGTTCCCTGTCATGGCCCAGTTCTCAACCAGGTATGTTGTTTGAGGTACCATTGAATTCTAATCTGACTTGTCCAGAAACAAGATAGGTCTGCCAAAATGTGTGCCAAAGACATCGATTCTTCAACAAAGGTGGTCAACCTCGAAAACACCCGAACCTGAAAAGTAAACAGTCCAGCTTCAGATCAATTCTTGAACTTTCGATGACTAATATATCGTAGACCAACCATTAAGCCCATTCTATCCAAGATCCCCTTGGCTAAAGCCCATGAGAACATTTACACTGTCCCCAATATCTTGACCTTTACCCGACTACTGGCAGCACCCATGGTTGGATATCTGCTTGTTCACGACTACCATGCTGCTGCTTTATCTCTATTTGCTTATGCAGGTCTTACTGACCTGGTTGATGGATATATTGCCCGGAAGTATAACCTACAGACAGTCGTGGGCACAATCATTGACCCCATGGCTGACAAGCTCTTGATGACGATCGGCGTAGCCTGCCTAGCGGTGAACGGATCTCTTCCGAGTAGGCAAAAATACCCTCTTCTAAGATATATGTTTTATGCAACTAACCTGAAAAGTATGGCTGGCCGTTATTATCCTAGGACGAGATGTCGGTCTGGCCCTTTCGGCCATCTATTACCGTTGGATTTCTCTGCCGGCCCCGAAAACTATGGCTCGGTATTGGGATTTTTCACTTCCTTCGGCCGAAGTAAAGCCTACTGAAATCTCGAAGATCAATACTGCACTGCAGTTGGTGTTGGTTGGCAGTGCCATTGCATTTCCAGTTGTTCCCGAGGCTGTGATTAGTGCATGGCATTTGAGTGAGGCCATGACTGGATTTCAGTAAGTGATCGACCCGCCATATTCCCCATTCTCAATTCCCCGATGCATGGCACATGGCAAGCATGGACCTTCCGCTGTAGGTATGGGCATAGTACATATGACCACAGTGGGGAATAGGGCTTCTCTCTGCTTAGCCGAAGCAAGTGCCAGAAGTCTGTACAAGTCTTGACCGTTGTATCTTGCATTTGCATATGTTTCATCTGTGATACATATCGGGCTAATTCCTTTATTGGGCCGGTGTACTAACATTCTATAGGTACCTTGTGGCAGGCACAACTCTATGGTCGGGCCTGAGTTATGTTTTCTCCAACAATGCGGTGAAGATCCTTAGTAATGAGGAGATTCAAAGACGGATTGCCCAAGCAGCCAAACGCAAGTAGGAGGGAAATGTTTACATTGAAATTGGAAAAATGGAAAAATGGAAAAACGTGTTAGCCGAGTTATTTTTTTTCCAGCAAATTCCACGTGTTGTTCCTTTGAGGACAAACACCCGTTGAACCTGCGCATGCAGTTGGATTTGACAGTTGGTAACATGATGAGTTGGACAGTCTTGGATTCCAGGGTCATCCTAGTTTGAGCCCCACTCCATCTAATTTCCGCAAACAAGGGTTAGATGAACTATTCAGTGGCTAGCTCCGTTTATTCGTATGAAGCTAGGAGTTGTTAGTAGGGGATATGCGATGTTATTAGAAATACTCAATACTGAATGGTTTGAAATCAAAGCGAAGGAAATCGAAGTTGATGATAAATCAGTACGGACTCCGAGTAGGTAAGGATCAGCGAGCATTGACATGATTCAGGGAACTCATAATGTAATCAGAAAGACTGCGTGCGGGATATGAATTCCTATAAACTCCCTTGACCTCCTTCCATTTGTCAGATCTATGCCCACTATCTCCACTATCTCCACTGCATCTGTGAGATAGTTGCTTTCCTCCAATCACATCCTTGAATCTGCATACTAACACATTAGGCCAACCCTTGGTACCGGACTTAATGGCATCAAATGGAGTTTTAGTGCTACCGTCATATTTTTACTTTGTTCTTGAATTCAGAAACTCACCATGAGTCATGAGCTCCACTTATCGCTGACGATTTCCTCTGAATTATATTTTCACGGAGTTAAGACTATTTGCTTACTCCGGTATATAGTTCCGCTTTTATCTCCTCTCTTTTTCTTTTACTTTCTCATCTTCCAAACTTTCTCGTTGTCTCCTTCTTTTGCGTGATCTTGTATATACCCGGTTATCCCTCAATAAATGTCCATCTTCTATTGAGCACTTGACTGTATATAGAGATGGAAGGCCATCACTCGGCTCAGCCTGAAAGCAGCCACTCCAACTCCTTCAATACCAACTCTCGCACAATCAATCAATCCAATTCATTCACTTCAAATGATGGAACCCGTCATGAAGTTGTCTCACCAGTGTTCTCAAGCGCTTCATCTTCCCTCTCCTCCCATGACGGTCGCTGGGGTGAGCAGGAGACGGGTGACCCCGTCTCCATTCGTGGTGCAGTCGAGGACTTGGCAGAGATGCGTCGCGAATTGAGTCAAATCCATCAAACCAAGTCAAGCACCAGAAGTGTGCGTCGTCCAAAGTCACGTACTAGCCAGGCAGCCCGTGATGAAGAAAAGGGTATTGAAGGTGATTCCGACACCGAGGCCGACTCCTTTGATCTGGAAGAATTCCTGATGGGCGGCCATCTAGAGCGCCGTACTACTGCAGGCGATTCCGCCAAAAAGATCGGTGTTGTCTTCAAGAACCTTACTGTTCAGGGTGTACAGACTGGTGCCTCGTTCGTCCGTACTCTACCCCATGCTGTGGTGGGAACCTTTGGCCCTGATTTATATAATGTCATTTGCCGATTCGTGCCCCAGGCCCGGATAGGTAAGAAGCTACCTATTCGCGATTTGATCCATGATTTCAGCGGTACAGTGCGCGAGGGTGAGATGATGATGGTGCTAGGTCGTCCTGGTTCTGGCTGTACCACCTTCTTAAAGGCCATTGCCAACGACCGGGCCTCATTCGCTGGTGTCAACGGTGAGATCAGTTATGGCGGTATCTCTGCAGAAGAACAAAACAAGCACTTCCGAGGTGAAGTCAACTATAACCCGGAAGACGACCAGCATTTCCCGACGTTGACCGTCTGGCAAACCTTGAAGTTTTCGTTGGCTAACAAAACTCGCAAGCATGACCGTGAAAGCATTCCTGTCATTATTGATGCGTTGCTGAAGATGTTCGGTATCAGCCACACCAAGAACACACAGGTCGGAAACGAGTATGTCCGCGGTGTGTCGGGTGGTGAGCGGAAGCGTGTCAGTATTGCCGAGACTCTGGCTACTAAGTCGTCCGTCGTCTGCTGGGACAACTCCACCCGGGGTCTTGACGCGAGCACTGCCCTTGACTATGCCAAGTCTCTGCGAATTATGACAGATGTCAGTAAACGCACGACTTTTGTCACTTTGTATCAGGCTGGAGAAAGCATCTACGAGCTGATGGACAAGGTCCTGGTCATTGATGCTGGCCGGATGCTTTACCAGGGCTCCGCCCGTGAAGCGCGTCAGTACTTTGTTGATTTGGGATTCTATTGCTCGGATCAATCAACCACTGCCGACTTCTTGACCTCGCTATGTGACCCCAATGCTCGCCAATTTCAACCAGGCCGCGAGGCATCAGCCCCCAAGACTGCCATTGAGCTTGAGCAGGTGTTCAAGAACAGTGACGCCTACAAGCGGATCGAGAAGGATGTTGCCAACTACGAACAGCGCCTCCAGGAGACCGAGTGTGAGGACACACGTCGTTTCCAGAAGACTGTTGCTCAGTCCAAGAGTAAGACCGTTTCCAAAAAATCTCCCTACACTGTTTCTCTCGCCCGCCAGGTCGCAGCCTGTGTGAAGCGTGAATTCTGGTTGTTGTTGGGTGACAAGACCTCCCTCTACACTAAGTACTTCGTTCTCGTTTCCAATGCTCTCATCGTGGCTTCTCTCTTCTATGGCGAGTCTCTTGATACCAGCGGCGCCTTCTCCCGTAGCGGTGTGACCTTCTTCTCTGTCCTCTTCCTTGGCTGGCTGCAATTGACCGAACTGATGGCTGCTGTGTCGGGTCGAGGAATCGTTGCCAGACACAAGGACTACGCTTTCTACCGCCCATCTGCCGTCTCTATCGCCCGTGTGATTGTCGATTTCCCCGCTATTCTTGCCATGGTGATGCCTTTCACGCTTATCGTATACTTCATCGCTGGGCTTGACGTGACGCCCTCTAAGTTCTTCATCTACTTCCTTTTCGTCTACACAAACACCTTCTGCATCACATCAATGTACCGGATGTTTGCCGCGCTTTCACCAACTATCGACGATGCAGTTCGCTTTTCCGGCATTGGATTGAACCTGCTGGTTATCTTCGTCGGCTATGTGATCCCCAAGCAGACTCTGATGTCGGGCTCCATATGGTTCGGCTGGCTATACTACATCAACCCGATTGCATATAGTTATGAAGCGGTTTTGACTAGCGAGTTCTCAGACCGTATCATGAATTGTGCACCTTCCCAGCTTGTCCCTCAAGGACCAGGTGTGGTGGAGGGATACCAGGGTTGTGCTCTGACCGGTTCATCTCTGGGCCAAACCAGCGTCCCGGGAAAGCAATATCTGAGTGTCAATTTCCAACTGACCCGACACCATCTCTGGCGCAACTTCGGCGTGGTCGTTGCATTCACGGTTCTTTATCTCATCGTCACTATCCTGGCTGTTGAGTTCCTTTCTTTTGTCGGCGGTGGTGGCGGTGCTCTTGTCTTCAAGAAATCCAAGCGCAGTAAACAAATCGCTGCTAAAACCACCGAAGCAAATGATGAGGAGAAAGTGGCCAGCTCAAGTGACAATGCAGCTCTCTCCCGCGGCGAGGCTTCATCCGGAACCGATGAATTTAACCGTCTCTCCAGAAGCGAGCGATGCTTCACCTGGAATAACGTCGAGTACACCGTCCCCTACGGCAATGGAACCCGCAAGATTCTGAACGGTGTCAACGGATACGTGAAGCCCGGTGTCATGATTGCCCTGATGGGCGCCTCCGGCGCTGGTAAGACAACTCTACTAAACACCCTGGCGCAGCGTCAAAAGGTTGGCGTGGTCAAGGGCGACATGCTCGTGGACGGACACGCCCTGGGTCCTGACTTCCAACGCGGAACCGGCTTCTGTGAACAGATGGATCTGCATGATAACACCTCTACCATTCGAGAAGCATTTGAATTCTCGGCCATCCTTCGTCAAGACCGCACCATCTCGCGCCAGAAGAAGATCGAATACGTCGACAGTATCATTGAACTTTTGGAGCTGGATGACATCCAGGATGCCATTATCGGTTCTTTGAACGTAGAGCAGAAGAAACGAGTAACTATCGGCGTGGAACTGGCTGCTAAACCGGGTCTCCTCCTCTTCCTTGACGAACCTACCAGTGGTCTGGACAGCCAAGCCGCACTCTCAATTGTGCGTTTCCTCAAGAAACTGTCCCAGGCTGGCCAGGCTATTGTCTGCACCATCCATCAGCCCTCCTCCATGCTGGTTCAGCAGTTCGACATGGTCCTTGCCCTCAACCCCGGGGGAAACACATTCTACTTTGGTCCTATCGGCAAGGAAGGTTCCACGGTCATTAAGTACTTCGCCGACCGTGGGGTCGTCTGCCCACCCTCTAAGAACGTCGCCGAGTTCATTCTCGAAACAGCCGCAAAACCCATCCACCGCAAAGGCAAGCAGATAGACTGGAACGAAGAATGGCGCAACTCTGAACAAAACCGCGAAGTCCTTGTCGAAATCGAAAAAATCAAAGCAGAGCGCAGCCAAGTACCAGTGGAAACCACCGAAACCCCATACGAATTTGCCGCTCCAACTCTCATCCAGACAGAACTTCTTACCAAGCGTCTATTCCGCCAATACTGGCGTGACCCCTCCTACTACTACGGCAAGTTATTCGTCAGCGTCATCAGCGGCATCTTCAACGGTTTTACCTTTTGGATGCTCCCAAACACAATAGCAAGCATGCAAGACCGCATGTTCTCAACATTCCTGATCATCTTACTCCCACCAATCATCCTCAACTCAAGCGTGCCGAAATTCTATATAAACCGTGCGCTCTGGGAAGCCCGTGAATACCCATCCCGTATCTACGGCTGGGGCGCCTTCTGCACCGCAAGCGTCGTCTGCGAGATCCCCGCAGCTATCATCTCAGCCCTGATCTACTGGGTGCTGTGGTACTACCCAGTCGGTTTCCCAACAGACTCGTCAACAGCAGGCTACGTTTTCCTCATGACAGTACTATTCTTCCTCTTCCAAGCATCATGGGGCCAATGGATCTGCGCCTTCGCCCCCAGCTTCACCGTCATCTCAAACGTCCTCCCCTTCTTCTTCGTCATGTGTAACCTCTTCAACGGTATCGTCCGCCCATACACCGCTTACCCGGTCTTTTGGAAATACTGGATGTACTACGTCAACCCAGTAACCTGGTGGATCCGCGGCGTCTTTTCAGCTGTCCTCCCCTCTGTGCAAATAGACTGCGCCTCTGATGAAGTCACGCGCTTCAACCCACCCTCTGGCCAAACATGTTCTAGCTATGCGGACAATTATATCAAGAATATCGCCAAGGCTGGGTATTTGCTTCATCCCGATGCTACCTCGGACTGCCAGTACTGTCCATATGAAAATGGCGCGCAGTATATGACTCAGTTGAATGTTCATGACGGAGACAAGTGGCGCTGTTTCGGAATATTCTTGGCTTTTGTCATTATTAATTGGGCTCTTGTCTACTTCTTCATCTATACTGTTCGTGTGAAGGGTTGGAGCTTTGGGCTTGGGTATGTTTTCTCCTTATTTGGGCTGAGCATTGAGCGTGTAAAGGCTTTGTTTAAGCGGAAGGAGACGAATTAGTGATTATTTTCCTTCTTCTGGTTTATGATGCCCTGGTGGCATTTTCCTAAGCGTTTCGACTAGACAAGTATGGATCAATCATGCGGTGCTTCCAATTTTTATATTGTTTATAAATAAGTATAGAGTCAAATAGAACTAGATTGGAAATTTCAGAGATACTGATCATGAAATATCTTCATTCTCATCGCATGTGGTTCGTTGCTTCTGAGCACCATGTTTTTCAAGTCCCTCGAGGTGCTCAAATAGAACAATCAAGTAATCAGTCCCATTGTGAGCGCTATCAAGCATCCTCAAACTAACTAATAGACCTCGCCTAATTATATGAACTGATATGAGTGATAAATGGGCGAATGGGTGGGTGGATGAATGACTGGCAAAGAAAGCTCACTAAGATCTGCCCATCCTCATCTTATTCCGCCGCTCATTCATAGCACGATCTTGTTCCGCGATTTCCTCCATCAAGAACCATGGCTTGCGCTCGTCGGTTAAGCGTGGAGCGGGTAGCAACATCGGAACGGGGACTGTATCATTGAAGATCTCACGGGTGATATTCGTAAATGTTCCACTTTCCGACGACTCTGATGTCGGAGCTTTGCCTTTCCCTGCCGACTCCTTTAAAGTGGAATTTGCGTTGATGACAGGCACCAACACGCCACACTCATAGTTTCGGAGGTTTATTTTCTTCAGGCCTGTTGCCCGATCTTTCACGAGGCGGAAACCCCTAGATCAAGATGTGTTAGTGAATAGATCTACTACTTCGTTCTGATGCGCTCATAGTCAGTCCTACCAGGCACTCTCGGAAAGATTGTGGCTTCCAACATATGCCCACCCTTTGCACTCATCACCATTGGGCAGCGTAATAGGTTCGTCCGGCCAGGCGTATATCAACTACCATGTCATATAAGTATCATAGAAGATAGGATTGAGGTAGTTCCGCGTACCTTGTTATGCATCAGCGTGCCCCTCTCACTTAAGCAGTCTCTCATCACCCGTCTCGGAAACTCGGCTCTTTGCCAATAGGCTTTATTCATCATAATCGTTCCGGCGGTATCAATTGGGTTTTCATGTGCCTCTGTCACAGTTTTGTGTGACGGAAAATAGACCTGCATGTGAGCATCAGCTGTATCAGTCATAGCCGCATCGTCTTTTCTGAAGACGCTTTTTTGTCGCGTGGGGTTTTCTGTAAGTCCATCATCACCTATAGCACATTAGTCTTTGGTGATTTCAGTGGATAGAAATGATATGATAGCTAACCCTTGCAAGCGAGATAGATGCGACGGAGAAAGTCTTGGTCCAGGGCGCCGATGGAGGAGGTCTGTAGATGTTTATCAGTGTGAGTTATGAGTCACGTTTGAGGAGGTGACCTACTACATAAGCAACGTTTATCTTCGACAGGGATCGCATGCCAATGCGCGTAACAGCTCTGCCCAGGCCGCAGAATCCTGTCCGCTTCAATGCATCTCCGGTATGACTCCCGCCGCTGTAAACTGGTTAGAACACAAGATTTTGAGTTGAAAGAATCAGGTTACTAACATCGAATGAACAAATTCGTAACAGGAGGTTTCGCTGAAATCGTAACCTTTCATCCTCTCGATTACGAGGTCTGAAATCGTGCTAGCCCGGAGAAAGTACTCAAGCTCAACCTGAAAGGATGTTTTGGACAATTCAGAGCCGGACTTAAGCTTCGGAAGATCAATAATGAATACGGTCTAGATGGTTGTTCTTTCAGCAAAAGCAGTCATCACAACGGGTATTATCGATTACTAACGTTCTCCATCAAACCTCGCACACCCCAGTCATGCGAGGTCGCGTTCGCTGTAGGTACCGCGATCCGAAGGTATTCCGTGTGAAACAGAAGAATCAACTTAGAGTGCATGCAATTGATTTGCCCTTCCATTGGTGGAAAGCATAGCTTGACATTCGGCATTCTACTCGTTTCTTCTCGATATTGGCGACGCTAGACCATGATTAGATTTTTTTCCCCTTGGAAGGATGAGGTAGCACTTACTGCATCCAGGTTCTTGACACTCATGACAAGAAGTATTTTTGTTTCTTTTTTCAGCTTATTGAAAATCCACTCGGTATCCCAGATAAACGAGCTAATAACTGCAAGTTTCAAGTCGGATGCTTGAAGCAGTTCTTCGAATGTGATATCATTTCCAGACCGTGCGATATTGGAAAGGTAGGTTTTCTTCACAATTCCGTGGAGCCACTGGGGAGTAGACTTTGTGGTAGGAATCACTGACGATGGTGCTGGCACTGGCACTGGCACTGGCACTGTTGGCATTATGGATCCTGCGGGAATTCGTGTAGGGAATGAAGTATTCGTTAGTGAAGAGGAGTGATGAGTAGCAGGAGCGGAAGTTGCCTCTATCCTGGGTGCCTTTACTGGCGATTGACCTAGCGGAGGCGAGAATCCTGCCTTTCTTTTACCATCACGGATATCTTGACGCCTCGGACGCTCAGTAGATTCCATTTGCTGTCCATGAGATTGACGAGCATTTTGACGAGCAAGACGCTCAAGCTCCATTTGCTTTCGATCAAGTCCAAGGATGCCTTGCATCACAGGGACTTCCACAGGTGTCTGAGTACTAGGCTGGACATTGCCATGGAGTTTGTTGACTAGTTTCGGTTCCTCGTCATTTCCAACTTCAGTCTCACTGTCAGATCCAATAATAGACTTGGACTTTGGATGTAATTCTTTGACATCCGAATCATCGTCTGAATCATTTGTCAGGTCAATCACTTTCTCGTTTGGTAACGAAGATTCGCCAACACGGGGCTGGATGTCACGAAGAGACGCTTGGATTGCGGCTTCCACCATTGCAGCCTCCTCCTCCTCAAGGTTGACCATGTCGACCATGTTGACAGCGACAACGTGCCTTTTAAGGCTTGGGAGAAAAAAAGAAAAGTCTGACAGGGAATCAAAATAGAGAAAAAGATTGGAAGGTAGAAAAGCACAGCTGGTAGATGGATAAGCGCAGATAATGACCTCACCGTTTGAGCGAGTCAAGGAAGCACTTTTAAAGAGGAGCAGATGTAAGGGACAAAGAAAAGAACGATAGCTACGGAGAGAGTCACGGAGTCAGAGTCAGCAGCGAGCTGGAACTTTGGATGATAAAAGAGGTTAGTGAATAAAGATCAATACGTTTGTTGACTGACGCCTAGGCGCACAAGGTCACGTGATATGTATACAAATATCGCAAACATTCAAGTCATGTTTCCTGTTTGCTACAAACGTTTTCCAACATGAGCTCATAAATGTCTTTTATTTGCAATTTGGGAGTTTGAGTTCTTATGCAGAGTATTTACTTTGCTGACAAAGTTTGCTTAGCGTCTCTATTCCAAAGAAGTTTATCAGTCTAGTTACTTCAAAATTCACATATGTATATTTCCCTCACACCTACTGGGAAAGTTGATCTTGCCTAATTGGCATGAACAATATTGAGGTTAGCGGGCTCCAAATCAGCATGCGAGATTCAAGTCTTACTTAGGGAAATTGGAGTATACATACTTCTATATTCCAAGTTTTCTCTCTTGAGTACCTTCCTCTTCTTCCATCCTTCCAAATAATTCATGTATATGTCCTCATATCTTCTCTATAATACCTTCATGTATAATTTTCATCTAAACACATCATCAGATTTCAATGCTGTCTTCTATTTTTTCCTCTGGGACTACAGAGTTTGCACCCACTGGTAGATCTTTCAAGGCTGCCTAAGAGATTGCCGAAGCATAACTGGGATTTGGTGTCTACATACCGAACCAGTGCCCGTCCTTCCGATACTTATCTTAAAACTTCCAAGGTTGAAGAATTCCCACTGTCTTGGCGCATTAACAACTTCCAAGACTTCTTTTCATCTTCTCTAAGCCTTTTGATCTAAAGTGAAAATAAAATAAACATGAATTAAAGCACATGTTCAATGTCTAAGAGGTTGGCCTTCTTTTAATCTTCTACCTCTTTCAATCCAAAGTGGAAGCGAGGTGAATATGAAGTGAAACGCACGTTTAATGTGAGGATTCTCAGCTTTCAGCAGTGATCTCCCGATGTTAATAAGCTCCCAAAGTTGAAATAAACATTTCATGTCGAAATTGGGATATATATCATCTCTTTCAAACCTTTATACTACCGTTTTCTAACGATATCCCAGGTTTAATCCTAATTATTCTCTTGGGAGTCTAGTGCCTCCAGCATCACTCAGAAGATCCTTCACCGATAATAAAAGTAGCTTATATATCCCAAAGCTTGCTATGTTCTCTCAAATCGACAAGGACAGTGATAAAACGTCAAATCCATAAATGCGGTGATGCAGGTCGGGTTTAGGATCTCGCCTTCCTAAAGCATGCAGTAACTTCTCTTAACCAAAGCATCAAAGTATTCCACATGCCACTTGTGGACTCATGGCAAACCCTCAACTCCCAAGTCAACCGCGAAAGCTACCCAGTGATGCTTATATTACTACTCATGTCCAGCAACTCAAGCACGGCTATCACTAGAGCTCCGAAATCTAGGATGAAGTTTACCTCACGTCAATTTCCTAGCTATAGGTAGACTTTGTTTTTCACTCGCCAATGTGAACGACAACAAAGTGCCACCCAATGTTTTTCTATTCATTTAGAGTGAGCTCTGGACACTGGAGAATAGAAAAGGGTTCAATGCCGAGGTACCGATCTACAATCTTGGGGTATTCCATGACCCTAAAAACTTAGTACATTTGAGTATCATTCCACATTCCGAGGTCCGCATTGAAAACCGGAATTAAATTGACTTCCCCGCAAAGTGAGCCTAAACTGGGGTATAACCAGAGTTTGACGTCTCTAGGTATAGTGTTGACGTCATGAAAAGTGTATTTGAACAGCATAATCAATCCCAATCATAAAGTTTGCAAATCAACATTTAATTACTGCAAAGTCGTTCTTTCAAAGTCAACAAAGGCTTCTGAGAATTTAGTTACTTGTCAACCAACATAATTCCAAATGTTTACTAAGCTACCTCTCCCTCGCCTTTTCCGAGTACTTCGAGGTTCTTTCAAACAACAAGTGCGAGGGCTAGGCTTGTTGGAGTATCATTCACATAAACTACTAAAAGATGTGAGATCAATGAGATGCACAAGCTGAATTTATCCATCGCTTACACAAAACGAAGTTTCATATCCCAGTGCCGAATGGTATCACAATCAGGAGTCCGCAGGAAGCCAAGGAGGCTGTTTCGACTATAAGTGAGTCCTGATGTGCTTCCCGAGGTCCGGAGTCAATTCTCTCAGTTCCTCTCGGCTACTATTCTACAGTATCAAGTCTCACTGTTAACCAATACTTACTTAGATGCACCATCGGTAATCAAGGCTCAGATCCTCGCTGGAGGACGTGGAAAAGGACAATATAGCAGCGATGGTAAAGGTGGAGTCCGGATTGTTAAATCGTAAGTCTGACAAAGACAAAAGAGCTCAATTCTAATTCCACCCTAGCCCCGGCGATGCGTTCGAAAGCGCTTCCAACATGCTTGGTTATCACCTCAAAACAAAACAAACACCGCCTGATGGGCTTTTGGTGGAAAAGTTATATATATACAAAGCAGTCGATATCGCTCATGAATTTTACGTTGCTATCACCTTTGATCGCGATCGTAATATGCCTGTTCTGCTGATATCGGACGCTGGCGGCGTCAATATCGAGTCCAACCCAGATAAACTGGAACGTTTCTGGTTCCATCTAGACGCTGGAATCACAAATGAAATCACAGCTTACATCCAGGCACAATTTGGCTTTTCTGACTCGGAGATCAAGGCCATATCACATATCCTCAACCAAATGGTCAAATTGTTCCATGAAAAAGATGCCACTTTGCTCGAGCTCAACCCACTTGTGCGAACAGCGAGAGGCGACTTTATGTGCCTTGATGCCAAATTTGATTTTGATAACTCGGCACGATTCAGGCAGACGGAGATATTTAGTCTCGAGGAGCAGTCATCGGAGGAGAAGGATGAGTATGAAGCTTCTAAATTGGGTCTTTCGTATGTTCGTCTTGATGGTAATATTGGAAATATCGTTAATGGAGCTGGGCTGGCAATGGCGACGAATGATCTGGTTTCTTTATTTGGAGGAAAGTGTGCTAACTTCCTGGATGTTGGTGGTGGAGCAACGAAAGAAACCTTGTCCAAAGCATTCGATATCCTGGACAAAGACTCGCGCATTAAGGGCATTCTGGTCAATATCTATGGTGGTGAGTAACGTGTCATATTGGAGATATTCAGTTGCCAACAATTATATACAGGCATTGTGCGCTGTGATATGATTGCCGAGTCTATTGTCGCCGCTGCTTCCAAGAAGCAAGGCTTCAGAGTTCCGGTTATTGTTAGGTTACAGGGTACGAATTGCAATAAAGGTCTCGAGCTAGTGAGTGTACCGCGCAAAATCATAACTTCAATGACTGATTCTGGATTAGATCAAACAGTCAAATTTGGAGAACTTGATCGTGGAGGCAGATTTTGATGCAGCGGCACAGAGAATCGTGAATTTAACGAGTTGAAGAGTCTTCGCATGAACTGTATAGGCCAAAAACTGAGAGCCAAGAAGAATAGTTACTCATCACTTTCAAAGCTCTCGTTTCTGCAAGTAAACCTCAGGTCCAACATGACTGCGAATTACAGATTTGATCCCGTTCACTATTGAACCTTTCCCCTCGAATCAACAGGCCAGATCTCCTCAATAACACCATTCCGATAGGCATAATAATAGTCATGCAGATTAACAGTAGGATCAATATGACTGGGAATCATTTCCACACGGTCGCCGACCGAAAGATCCGGGGTTCCTTCTTCCCAGCTAAGAGAGCCATGCTCATCTCCAAGAACACCATAGGTATACCGCGAGTCTTTGCATTCAGCAAGACCACTATCAGTCGTCAAGGTCTTAAGTCCGCTATCAATAGTCACAGCCCTCGGACCCTGCTGACTCAAGACCGTTGACAAGATGGTAAGACTGTTGGAATAGAATGTTCCAACAGCGTTCCGGTAGTCTGTATCCATAAAGATGAAAGACCCGGGCTGAAGCTCCGTGACACCGGGAACAGTAGCACAGAACTCGGCAGTACCGGTTCCACCCGTTGTCACAACGTCAATGCTGAAGCCCTCCTTACGCAATTCATCTGCAGTCCCGGTCAAAATAGCCATGGACTCGAGACATTGATTCTTGCGGTCTTCTCGGTCATGCAAATGCTGCAAATGGCCCTCATAGCCTTGGACACCAATAAGGTTGAGATGCTTAAGTCTGGCGATGTGGTGTGCTAGAGCTATTGCCGGCTCTCCAGGCTTGACACCGGTACGGTGAAGACCAACGTCAAGATCAATCAGAACGGAGATACTCTCGTCAATACCAGAGCTCGCTAGTGCCTCATCAATCGCCGATGCGCCGAGTTCACTGTCTACCACAATTCTGATGTTGCGGTTCTTACGATAAAGCTCCACTAGCCTTCTGACCTTTGCTGGACCGACAATCTCACACGTAATGAGCAGATCGTCAAAACCAGCAGCGGTGATAGCTTCTGCTTCGCTTACTTTGGCCACACAGCCACCCTTGGCACCAGCCTTGACCAGTTTATTAGCCAGAATGGCGCTCTTTGTCGTTTTAAGATGGGGCCGGATGGAAAGTCCCGTTGGCAAGAGCTTGTCCATCAGCTTTTTAATGTTGGCTTCCATGAGATCAAGGTCCGCGATCATAGATGGCGTATCGAGGCTATCAAGCCGATCGCCGACTTTGGGAAAGTACATATTTTAGTTGATTTTAAGGGGTAGGTGCGAATGTTCGAAAGCTGTTTGGTAGTCAAGATGAGGAGACCCAGAAAAGAGGAAGGAGATCAAGATTATTTTATAATGTCGATGCAAGGGGGAAACTGCAACCGTGACATATCGGAAAAGATCGTCCATTTTATTCTGAATCGAATTCTCATCCCACGCTCTCTATGCGATCTGGTGAGATTTGATTCGTTGTATTGACGAGCTCCCACGCTAAACGTGGCCCGCACTATCAGTTATCTGTCCCCATAGTTACCATACTTTACTATTTGAGGGGTTCTACCCCGCTAGAAGAAGAAGAAGTCAATGCAACATTGATCTGCTGAAGGAAATGGAAACCTTGGAAGCAAGTATTATCATAATCTATACAATGTCCATTGATACATTTCTACACGGGAGTCGGAAGCGGAGTTGTGATATCAAAGGGCATAATTCATTTATCATAGCATTATAACAGCAAGAGTACTCTAACGAGCTATTACATCTCTTATAGCTAAGCAATATATAAAAATCAATTGGGGACGCCTGTGGCAGGAATGGGCAACCTAGCACAGCCAGAATTATCACATCCAGCAAAGGGAACATTATTGCCCCACCAGGAAATATCGACTTCATGGTACTGAACCGCAAAAAAGATGATGATACCAGAGATAGCAATTGCTGCACCAAAAGATGAAGTGAGCACATAAGCGTATTTCTCCCACCAAGCGAGGTAGTGGCGCTTAATATAGTAGTTGAAGACGAAACCGACGATGAGAGGAGCAATAACGTAGGTCAGATTGTAAGGCGCAAAGTTCATCATTCCGTAGAAGAGCAGTGGGGAGTAGACGTAGCGAGCACCCGAGCGAGGGAAGTACTTTGATGTTAGGTAGAACGGAATAGGCACCACGAGACCAATGACGAATCCGTACAGAGTCGTGTTGTACCGTTGGCCAGCAGCGAAGAGTCTCTTAGGCCCAATGGCACCCCAGATGACCGATGATGTGAAGAAGGTGGTGATTGACTCACAGTTAAAGCCAGATGCCTGTGTGCTCTCGCAAATGTTGGGGATGTTGTGGAGTGCCCAGGCATTCACACCTATACTCACAAAGGCGGCGACAATGGTGGCAATGACCTGTGCGCTGAACATCACACGGGGTGCAATCTTCATGTAATGGCCCATTTTTAAGTCGGCGACAAACTGAATGGCCTGCATGCATGATACGACACCGTAAGTCTTGAATATCATGTTACCGATAGGCTTGTTCGGGAGGGCATATCCGGCGATGAACTCGGCAATGACGTTGTTCGTCACTTCAGAGTTGGTGATAGCATACACCATACCGTATGGAATCTGCAAAACAAGACACAAAGCCACGGCGATCACCATACCCCACACGGGGAATGTGGTTTCATAAACCTTCACCACAATACAGCCGATCACAAAGGAAAAGGCCAAGATAGTGGCGTACCACCACTCAGGAACTTCCTTGTATGTCTTCATCAAGCGGTTGTGAATATCATCATGCTCATCACGGGCATTGGTCCACTTCCATATCGCCTTGAATCCTCTGCTGAGATCATGACGATTGAAGAGAGAGACGTGGACAATGGCAGCGAGGTAAGCTCCAAAGAAACAAAGGAACATAGTTGCATAGGACGCACTCATGTAGGGAGGACTATATGCCTCGTAGGCTTCGGCATCAAAAACTCCATTAACCATGATTTTCGAAACATTGTAAGCAGATCCTGTGTTGTCGAATAGTGTGTTGCTCATGATGGGGAAGTAGCCACTATTCCAGGTATTTGTCCACCATATGGGAATGATCGCGCAGACACAAAAGATCAAAGTGCCGATCGTAATTGTAACCAGAGCATAGAATGGTGTGATGATAGGATCGTACAAGACCGAAGCCACATTCCAGTCGAAAGATGGGATTGGATTGAATCCCAAACCCGTAATGCTACCAGTGATGGCGGCCAAAGTCATGCTGCTGGGTTTGATCCAAGTCATCCAGTTGAAATCGGATAGTGCCTGGAAGATGTACCCAGGGAACCAGTACCAAATGAACATGCCAATAAATGAGTATAGAAAGATTCGATAACGGGAGATAGTCCATCCGTGTACAACCTCTCTGGCGTGGTCAGTATGCAAGGCCTTGTTGAGGGCTATTGTCGCCAGGGCCTTGGGATAAATCATGGCAGGGGGGTAAACAAGGAATCTGCGGACTAGGCCGGCTGTACCAAAGCCAAGCAACTGTGTTGAGAGGGTCAGGAGGATTTGGAAGCCAGCCTTGTCGTAGAGGGCAGTGTCATTGTACCACTTCTTGATCTTGAGGACATCAAAGATATTGGTTGTATAGGCTGTTCCGAGTGACCCTCCATATCCAACATTGGCCATCACTGTTATCAGAATGTGCTCTTTCTGGTTGAATGGTCCTGGATTCAACGAGAAGCGCCAGCCAAATATGGAGTATTGGCGAGTGGGGAGAATTCGATGCATGAAATCCCCCAGAGGATAAGCGACGACTTGAGAAACGTAGGAATTGATGAAAAGTGACGGATAACGCAGGGTGAACAGTTGATTGACACCGGTGAAGACAATAGTCAGAAGAAGGCCCAGAAACCAGGCCCTGAAAGTGTTTGCCGAAACTGTTATATCGTCTGTAGGGGACACAACAGCGCGAACTTCTGCGTATGGAGAGTCATTCAGCACGGTGTCTCGCAGCTCACGAATCGTTTTGAGTAGATCAGTGGCTTCCACACCAGTGATCGTCTTGCGATCACTGGCTAGGAATTCCTTGGCAGTGTCTAACAGCTCATCAGGGTAGTTGCTGTCATACGAGTGCTGTGCCAATGTCTCTTTAACGATTGTCACGAGCTCCTCATATTCGCCGTCCGCCAAGTCCTCCTCGGGCAGGATATCTTCTCGGGCTAACTTCTTCTCCTTGTAAATATGGTCCTCGCTCAAGGTTGCCATCTTGAAGGAGGAAAGAATTGCAGGGAGCGACTTCTCTCTAAAGAAAAAATCTGTGTGATCGAAGTCTCAAGGATAGAGATTGAAATCACAACCATCCCTTGTTTAAGTAGTAGTTCACAATATTAGTACACCCAGTTCTGATAGGGCTTCCGGATGCAACGCGGAGCTCCGATCCACCTGTTCCAAGGTTAAATCTACCCAGATAATAATTAGGGAAAGATTAAGTTCTGTCTTGCAACTGGCCGCCTAAACACAATAAAGACGCCATTCGCTCTATGGGGGGTCACCATTGTTTTAGCTTTGCATTAGCTTGGATTTGTTGCGCCAATTGTAGCTAAACCTTTGCATTTTAGTGTCATCTTGGGAATGCTGCATTGTTTAGTCGTAGTTGGTATGGTGGCGTGGTGGCGTGTGGCGTTCCTACTAAAACTATTCCGTACATCTTTGATATCTTAAGGTCAGTTACTTTTACAAATGACTATTTATGTAGTTTATCAGGTACTCTATAGACTGTAGATAGGCCTCTGCGCTAGAGGTATAGAGCCGTGCGCAGTTGTGAAACTCGATAGAGGGATTTTAATGTGTTCCGAGGTCGCATGACCAGGCCTCCCAACCTTCGATCAATTGATAGGTAGTCGACACCGCCTTGGCGCCAAGTATCTCTTGTTTCAATTTTAGTTGAGGCTGTAAGCTAAGTGCTTTGAGGGGTATAACGAGTAACTCTCGCTTCTCTGGTTATTTGTATTTTCAGCCTTGAAACCTTTCCATGACAGCAGTTAACTTGGCATATGCAGGAAAAACCTTGGAAAGTCCAGTAACACAGTACCTGATGGGTACTAGCAAAAAATATCCAATCTATCGCAATGCGTATCTTTCACCCGCCATTAGCACAACATATTGTGTAGGGTTACATACGGTCAAATCCGAATCTCTAAGGTATGCAGCTATTGATTGGGTATATGTTAAGGTTGGATTAAAGTGGATCTCGGGCCGCACGGGGAATGGGAAGTCCCTATTGGCTGTTGGACTTTGGCCAAGCGGAGGAACTAAACTTGAATGGACAATCGACCGATGCTATCTGTTTTGGTGGGGTATACTATTGCTGCGCAGAAGGAAAGAAATATCTTGAATTTTGATTTATTTGCAGCGTTGCACAGTTATCAAAGTAAGGGCCAGCCGACATAATACCTAGGTGCGTGTACTTGTGTACCAATATGGAGTAATAGATCTAGACCTTGGAAGTCTTTATCGGGCGAAATCTATCATTCTCTCTCATTTGCACTCAACCCTTTGGCCGACGTACTGAGTACTTTACCGCGGTTCCGACGGTCACCGGTATCTCTACTTTCAAGCCCATGTGGAGTAGCCGGCATGAAACGCTTTGACGTGCGGCAAGTCTATTATACTTACGATCGGATTCCGATCCCTATCCCTGCTAATCGATCATGTCACCTCAGTACACACCTTGTCTCTGAAAGAGAAGCTAATCTCACACTATTAGTCGTAGCCTCGGGCGCCTTCCAGCCCTATAGAGTTCACCGAACTAAAACCGACTTGATTTTCCCGGAATCCACGCCATCTTGATGTTATCTCGCGTATCTAGAGCTCCGGAGTCCGCTTAGTCCATAATTTGATTGGTATAGAATGGAACAGCTACAAATCGCTAAGTTAAATGAATGAAAATTGAAGGCTGGACCTCAGTAACAGTAGATGCGGAGCTATCATAGCAGACTCCCAGCCTAGAATAGAATTAGTTCAGGTTTTACCCACATTTCGGGATTTTTTCGTACGAACTACCCAGTTACTTCCTACAGTAGTCTTGGCTATTGTGGAGTATGAGCATGGGTGATTATTGTAGTTGTTGATCTCTGCTCCATCGGGAAATAGCCTATACAGTGAAGATTTCATGTCAATTGGAAATGGTATGTAAATTCAGGAATTCTGCCAAGTATGACAAGTATAGTAAATTCCTATTCACAGGAGACAAGTCCCCTGAGAGTCCGCTTTCGGGTACCCTACAGTAGCAAGCACGCGACTTAAATATTCCGGGTTTCCCCGTAGCGCATTCCATTCACCCTCGGCCTTGACCATGAGTGTACTAGCCAGAATGGTACCATTCAAAGACACAACGCCATGGTCTTCAATTTGTCCAGCGGCAGCCACGTCAACTGGTAGTTGTGCCGTTTCCTGTCTGCGAGGGCAGATCATCATTGTGGTGAGGGTCATGGCAAGGTTATAGGCCACTGCTGCTGGCCCCTCTGATGGCGTTGAGACTGTTTCTTGTAGCGCATTTCGGCCCTCCGAACATGCGACAGCAGCTCTATATAGAGCCAGGTAAATACTGTGGAGGGTATCTGGGGAGGGATTTGGTGGTAGCGGGAGGGCAAAATGAGCGAATGGGAGTTGAGGTAGGTGCTGGAACTTGGAATTAGAGGTGTCGTCCTGGGGTTGGTTCTCTATGAGGTCAATCAGAGGATGCCATGCCTCCGACTCCGACTCCGACCCTGGCCCTTGTTGGCGCATCGCTTCAACGGGGAGAAACTGAAGATGGCGATGGGGCTGGCTAGCGCCACTCTCATCGCCAGAGTTGAAAAATGCAAACAGTCTATTTGTGGGTGGGGTTGCTCGAGGTGTCTTGCCATCGTCATCCCAGATCTGAAGGCATTCGTAGGTGGCTTGCAGGTCCGTCTTTTCAAGCAAATCGGTTTGTGCCTTCCATTCTTTAGTTGTAATTATGAAGTGGTTCGGAATTACGGGGAATTTATTGAGAACGAGTGCGTGCGATGGGAAGCTTGCAATCAATAGCTCTGGTGAGGGGTCTTTGAAAGGATCGAATTTTGGTTGCTTTGGTAGCTTTGGCTCGTTCTCGGGTTTGAGGTTCGATGGTTTCTTCGCAAGGGCGGGGCAGTAGCGCAATTGAAACTATACATCGATATGGCGTTAAACACTGATCGTGATCTATCGAAGCTTGGAAAATTTCCTTACTGGTATCCCTGCTGAATTGACAATTGATAGGTGGGTCGGGGAAAATAGAAGGTGATCGCCCTCCTTTGCAGCCTCAAAGCGCCGCGCGACCAGTGAAGATAAACTTTCGTTGACGCGAAGTAGCATCGCTGCTTCTGATGGATAGTAGTTGTTGAAGGTGTGCATGGCAATGCGGGGGATGTTCTCCATCCCGAGATCCCGTCGTTGAGTCTACCGAGGTCTGATTCTGGCCACTTCAAGGTTGTAAAATTAAATTACCTATTTTATTCACTGATTCTACTCGAAATAGCCGTGTTATGCATAAAAAGTCAATTCGGCCTGAATAAGTCCTCGATGTTGGGAGATTAAGTGCTTATTTGGTATGGCTGATTGACTGTTACTGCGTCCTTTTAGCATCCCGTTTTAGAATTACTGCGTCGTTTTAGACTGCAGCTAAATCGACGCAGCCGCAGTGTTAAAACGACGTTGTCTACGTGCGCAATAGCCAATAATAATATATCATCAAATATCAAACATTTTGTCAGAAAGATTGAGGACTTGATCTGATTTCTCAAAATTTTCCAATTTTAAATTATAAGCTTATCAGCATTATATCTACAAGTTTGTAAGGCATATCCCAGCCTCCACGATGAAGAAGACAAGGCCACACGAAAATTGACAAAAGGGCCAATGAGCGTGCCCATGATACTTCTGGTCTCCACATCCTTCCAATAAGTAATATCAACATCCATGGATCTCAGCATTGTAACTTTTTCGACCATCCGAGCTGAATCATACCCAGGTACACTCCCAGATCTGGAGGTTCCCGAAGATGAACAAAATACTGAATCTATCAATTATTTGAACATTTATGCAATAATGCATCACAGCTTTGAGCCCAAGTTCTTTTATATTACATTCCACGATTGAATTCAACCATACCACCATGCCCACCACGACCCTGGAACTCTTCCTCAAGACTATCAACACTGATAGCCTGCCGTTGAGGGAAAATAGCCAAAGCAAAAGGAAGCGCAAACAGTGATGTAGTTAGAATCAGTCCCAGATTAACAGGAAGGACCATCCGTGGATTTGCACAAAGCCACTGGGTCTTCTCCAAACGGACTAGAATCAGGGGCGGAAGAACCATGATAGGCGTAGCAGTGATCACACGGCTGATAGCAGTCTCGCCAACGGCAATAGTAGCAGCCTTTCTACTCTTGCCTAGGCTCTGAAGTGGCTTGGCATCTTCAGACTGTTCTCGCTGAGTCCGTTCCTCGTCAGATAGGACGGGATAAATATCTATGCCCTGGCGAATTTCTTCGCCGCGCATGAGGAACACGTTTAGTGCGCTAGCACTGGCGACAGCAGCAAAAGGTACCAGACGTGTTAGAATAAGGCGCCTCTCTGGAGATATGCCTTTCAGTCGTGGTACTAGAGCATTGAGTCCTAAGGCCACAGAGCAGGAGGCTGAGACGGCTAGAAGATATGACTTTGCTATTTGCGATGTTGATAGTGGAGTCGATTTGTTAGCATTGGCATTGTTCACTGCAACATTGAGCGATTGATTGGCAATCTGCCACAGAAGAGTGCCAGTGGTCTAGAGGATGTTAGTTGGCTTCAATGCGGAAATTACCTAGGGATGAAACTTACCTGGAGACCAGGTGTAAGCATGCCGGCCGTAACAAACAAGTTAGAAAGCACATATCCTGACATGCGAAATGGCATCATGACTGGTTTGCCATTATCTGATGGAGAATAATTTAGCAATGCTCCTAACCTTGCTCTACTAAGATTATTCATACCTGGATGTAGTGTCGAATCGACCACCTTCTTCGCACGCCACAATTCCGGGGTCATCTCTTGGATCTGATTCTGTTTGTACAGAGAGATGAGACGCTTTGAATGCTCTAATCCAGCAGACGAGACAAGCAGCATTCTAGAATAGCTCAAGGAGTCAGTATGGTACGATAGCAACAATAAAATCAACTGACCGTGGGTCGGAAATGTCTGCTGCATGGCGAACACGACCCCAATATGTGCTCAAGTCATATTGGGAAACTGGAAGATCCCGATTACCAGGAAGTGATGCAGACATGCCAATACGATTGATCTGGAATCACGAGAGAAAGTTCCCTTAATTTTTGATATTGTAGTGGGGCTGATAAGAGACTGCTATCCAATAGTAGTCTGGAAATTGCTACACAACTGGATAGGCTCGAGATCCTCATTTCCAAACTTCTTATAAAGTCCACGACCATCGGCAAAGAATCAAGACAATAAGTCTTCAGCCCAAGATTATCGCCTTCCTTGAGCCTCTCTTCCCTCAAAGTGGCGCCGATCCCGTGTCTTCTATATTTAGGAAGTATCCCCATCACCGATAACACTAAATTTCATACTTAAATATTATAGAAAGAAGTTAGTAAAATACTTACGGCCGAATCGCTTGCCTGACATGATTTCTTCGGATATTTATCATGGCACCGATAAGATCATTGCAAAAGTCGGGATTTGTTGCAGTAGGCCACTCGATGTTTTTCCATTCATCAACCTCGGCTTAGTATAAAAGTACCAAATCGCTAATGCGAATATCTTCCCCTCTTTTGTTTCGGGATTGTTGAAAACAGCTTTCCAGAAATTTGACCACTGGATCTTCTCACATTTTCTTGGCAAAGTTCTCAGCTCTCCAAGTAACGTTGGCCTAGTTGGGGCTCCGAACATGATATGGAACTTATTCGTGTCTGGTGGAACTCATTTGTAAAATATTCTGCGCTTTTCATTATTCACCTGTCAATTAATCAAGCGAAACTACAAGTCAAGTCGAACGTTGAAACATATCAGAAACGCTCGGAAAGGATCAAAAAAGTATTAAAACACAGCACCAAAATGGCATCACGAACTGAAAACAAAAAACCAACAGGAAAAACATCGCTAATTTCAATCATTTTGATCCGAGACCCAAAGCGTCAGTGATACCACCAAGACCTAAGCCGTTGATGATCTTATCCAAACCCAAAGCTCCTAGGATACCGTTCAAAAGACCACCAAGACCGAGACCATCCAAGAGACGACCAACAAGTCCCAACACACCGTTCAGCAGTAGACCAACAGCAGCAATGATCTGGAACAATGGCTCAGATAGCAAGCCCCAAAGAGGGTTCAGTTTCTTCTTGGCATGTGGCATATCAGCGATACGCCTGCGACCATTGTCAATGGTCTTCACAACCGTCTCAGTCAACTCCTTGATCTGATCAGCCAGTTGGTACTCCTCGGGGGTAGCATCCTTAGAAGAGGCGCGAGCCTTGGCAGTTGCAGCAATGCGGCCATCAGGATCGAGCGCTCGGATGGCGCCGTTGCATTCTTGCAAGATGCGGCCTCCCTCTTCGATAAGTGGCTTTACATCCTTAACCAGCTTCTCCTCGTCGAGTTCCTCCTTCGGTGTGCGATCAGCTTTGTCGAGTTTCTAGAAAATATATTAGCAATCCATTTTTTGGTGAATTATGATCTCGGATGTTTGATCCTACCTCGGTAATCATTTTGCAAATTGGCTTGACCTGCTCGATAGTCTGGGATAAGATGTTGCTCATCTTTCTGGCGAGATCACGATCATGTTCAGCCTTGGCTTGAGCCTCGAGCTCTTCAGGTGAAGGACCTTCCTCAACCTCGGGCTCAGGTTCGGGTTCGGGTTCGGATTCGGGTTCGGGGATGTTCTCGAGAAGAGTGCACTCGCCGACGCGGTTGCCATCGTTGTCAACAACATATCCATTGTCATCAATAGACTTGCCAGCCAGGGTAGCCACGTTTCCAGAAGTGAGCTTGCCAATAAGGTTGCCATCAGCATCGCGAACTTCGCCCTCTTTGTTGACCTTACGGCCAGACATAGGATTGATATCGCGCTTCTTCTCCTCCGGCTCCCAGCGCTCAGCTTTACCAATAGTGTTGCCATTCTTGTCTATAACATCACCATCCTCATCAACCTTGCGGCCAAGGAGGCGCTTAGCATCACCTTCAATCAAACGTCCGATGATACGTCCAGCATCAATGATGACGCCGTCCTTTCCAACTTCGGCATTATCAAAACCAAAGAATGGACCTTCAGCCTTGTGTTGCTCGGCTCCAGGGATGAGCTCTGCACGACCGATGATTTGGCCGTTGTCGCCCCAGATCTGACCCTTACCGTCGACCTTGCGACCAGCTAGACGCTTGTCGCCTTCGACAATACGACCGACGACAGCACCAGTAGCAGGATCAACGACATTGCCCATCTTGTTGACGACTTTTCCTTCAAGAGCAGACAGATCCTCTTCTTCAGGCACCTCCTCCTCTTCTTCGGGAACCTCGTAAGGCTCAGCACGGCCCTTAACATTGCCGTACTTATCTGTGATCTCGCCGTCTTCATCAACAGCACGACCACGGAGTTTCTTTGCATCGCCTTCAACCAACTTGCCAACGATTGCACCTTCATCATCCTCCACGAAGCCATCCTTGGTCACGTACAGACTCTCCATGCCGGCGAATGGGCCTTCAGGTCTATTTTCAAGCTCGTCATCCGGAATGAGCTCCACGCGGCCAACGACCTTCTTGCCACTGTAAATCTCGCCGTCTTCAATCTTCTTGCCGGTGAGTTCCTTGGGGTTACCCTCAACAACACGGCCAATAGGGAATCCTTCAGATCCAATGACATATCCAGCTTTGTTGCAAGAAAGACCGTTGAGGATAGACAAGTCTGGTACCTCCTCAACCTCAGGCTCAGGCTCAGGCTCCTCCCATCTCTCAGCACGACCAATAACACTGCCGCGGCGATCAAGGACTTCACCATCTTCGTCAACGCCGCGACCGAGAAGCTTTTTTGCATCACCTTCAATAAGTCTGCCGACGCGAGTCTGGTTCTCATCCTCAATCCAGCCATCCTGAACAACGACAAGACCTTCAAGGCCGGAGAAAGGTCCCTCCTCATCTTGGTCATCATTCACGGGGAGAGCCTTCACCTTACCGATGACGTTGCCCTTATTATCCCAGAACTGTCCCTTCTCGTCGAGCTTGGCGCCGAGTTTCGAAATTTTCTTAGGGTCACCTTCAACAAGTTCACCGACGGGCTTTCCAGAAGTCTGGTCGATGACCCATCCACGCTTATTGCAGGTCAAGCCCTCTAGGGTATCCAGATCTGGGATGCGTAGCTGAGCATCTTCAGCTGCATCTTCAGCGGTTTCTTGAGCGTCGTCGACGGTATCTTCGGCTGTCTCTTTGACTTCGTCGACATCTGGAACTGCATCTTCAACATCGCCAGTTTCAGGAACGGCTTCATCGAGATCATCAGCATCGGGAACAGCATCCTCGGCTTTTTCGGCAACATCATCAACACCAGAAACGGCATCATCGACATCTTCAGTGTCGGGGAAAGCATCCCCAGCCTTTTTAGTGGTTTCATCAACATCAGGAGCAGCGCCCTCGACACCGTCAGTGTCGGGAACGGCATCCTCGGCCTTTTTAGCGACACCATCAGCATCTGGGGCTGCTTTATCGAGATTTTCGGTGTCTGGGAGAACATCCCCGGTGTCAGAGGTAGCTTCTTCAACGCCAGGGACTGCGTCCTCGACATCCTTGGTGTCGGGGAAGGCGTCTTCGGCATCAGAGGCGACATCGTCGACATCAGGGACAGCGTCCTCCGCACCCTCAGCAACATCTTCGGCAGTCGACTTTGCCTGATTAACGACGTCATCTGCTTGATCAGTGGGCAGGCCATCCTCGGCATCCTCGACGTCCTCCTTAATACCATTCAGGGTACCATTGGCGTCGCCAACAGTCCCCTCGATAGCCTTCTTCTGCTCTTCAACAGGCACAAGCTCAGCGCGACCGATAGCATCGCCTTCATCGTCAACAATCTCGCCCTCATCGTTCAATGTGTAACCGATGAGATCTTCAGGGTCGCCCTCAACAATCTTGCCAACGACATGACCCGAGGAATTCTTGATAACACCTCCATCTGAAATAGAGAGGCCTTCAAGCTGGGCAAGATCGGTAACAACATTCTTTAGCTCATCATCCAGCTTAGATGTCGGAGATTCATTGGTGGCTTGTTCAGCCAACTCATGAAGAATGTCCACACGACCGATCAAGTCACCATCCTCATCGAGGATCTCACCATCATCCCCAACAGTCTGGCCAACCAAGTCTTCCTCGTCACCTTCCACTACTTCACCGAGTGGGTTGCCATCCTGTCCAAGAATCTTACCACCATCGGCAACCTGAAGGCCCTTCAGGGCAGACAGGTTGAAAGGAATGGCATTCTTGACAGCGCCAGCACCCTTGGCAACGGTATCTTTGGCCAAACCAGTAAAGCCCTTAGCTTTACCAGCGAGCCCAGAGAAACTACCACCGCCGCTAAGAGGGGCAGCAGATCCAGAAGCTTGAGATATAGCATCGTCTGGTGGGGATATGGGGCGGCGTTGCTCGGAAGAAGCAGACTTCTTCTTCGACTTTGGCGATGGTGTCTCTGGCAAAGATTGCTCTTCAAGGTCATCGTCGATGGGCTTCGGGGCTTTCGGGGTGAGTTTGTGGGAGGGCGTCTTCTTCACGGACTTGGGGCTCTCAGCTACACTGGGGGCCGCGCTCGAGCCGGAACCCTTGCGAGTTTTGGATGGAGTTCCAGTCTTGGAAGCAAGCTTTTTGGGAGCTTTGCTGACTGCCGGTGAAGACATCTTGAAAGTAATATACACTTAGGGTCGTGAACTATTCAGTATATCGTGAAGTAGATCGTAAATCGTTTGGGTATAGGAGTCGTAAGATTCGTCGAGAATTCGTTCAAGGGTTGTACAAATTGGTGGAATCAATAAAGTAAGTGATAGAGGTAGATATAGAAAGGTAGGTGTTATGAAAGATACCTCGTTACTTTGTGTATGAGATTAAAAGTATTCGTGATTTAGAGGCTCAATTCAAGAGTTCAGGGGTTTCTGATAACTTGTACAATGGGCCAGAAGCCTCGTCTGTTATATAGACTAGCAGAACCTGGTATCAGGTACAGACAAGTAGAGAGAGCATACGACGTCATAGCAGTTGATATCATCGATAATATGTAGTTCAGCCACTAAATGCTTCTTCTGCAGGATACACGATAGATCGGGTGAGAGTGCCACAAGCCGAGTCATCCTCACCAACTAACATCATAATAGCGGGGCTGTCAGATACGGCTAAATGTGAATTTATCTTAGTATTAATCCATTCCTCTGGTTGGATCTGCGAATCAGAGGTCCTTGACAGCTTGTGGCTGAATCGGGGATTGGCAGGTGGTGGAGAATACCCTGGCTAAACATGACTGGTATGACATGACGAAAGAATCAAGTATAACCTGAGATTCGAAACTCCTTTCAAATGTTTACAGGAGAAATTGGCCTTTGATAAACTCTTTATACTTTCAGCGTCTTGCCCTATACTACCTAGTCCTGGCGGTCTAAGCATCTAACTCAATCGTTATCACTGCAATTAAGCATGCATCGAAAGTAGAGTTGAAGTGTATTTTCACGTCAGATAGGAGAACAAAAACAAGGAAATTTTGTGCATGAATTAGATACTTGAATCACAGACAGTGGTTGACGACAGGTTACGAACCGTGGGAACAGGTTGGCCACTTCATTTGGGTTAATGCCATTCGACAAATCACACTGCTTATTTGAGTGCAGGGACCCCTGATCCAGTTTTATTTGCCTCCCTTCTAATATATGATTACTTTCATTATACCTAACCTTGGAAGTAGAGAGTTGTGTCAGTTTGACCACTGTGGGGTGTATGTGGCTTGGGATCTCATGTGTGGTTCGCTATATATATGCACACTACTAAATGAAATCTACGATCCTTCTGGGCCAGCACTAGTGCGCTTCAATGCAGCGGCTCCCGAGGATTTATTGCCTGGAGGGTAGACCCGATGAATTTTGTCTATTGTTGATGTACTCATACCTACCTAGGTAGTTGGTATCCAGCAATTATCTAAAAGCCTGTCGAACGGTACACAACCTTGGAATGGTCAACTGCCCTGTCCAGCCTTCGGTACCTAACTCACCCTGGGCTGATTTATGGACTCTTCATTATCAAAACTCGTTCGAACCGAGATATAATAAAGTAAATTATAGTACCTGGTCCCACCTATGACGCCGTCAAAGCTATATATGGCCCCAGGAGGTCCTGTTCGAGACCTTTGATATCAAATGAACCCCGCATAGAATACAACGTGGAAACTTGAAACTATTGGAGGTTTCAATAAGCCACAAGGGCCTCGGCTGGATGAGATCATGAACGATCAACGCGATTCATCATTTTAATCTATTTGGGTGGAGTTCTCCGCCACATTAAGTCATCCCCGCATTAAGCCTGATATCATCGGTTGGAATGTCAACGCGAGGCAGCTGGTAAAAACTTGAGATTGCAGATAAATATTTCGTATTTTTTGTTTCAATTTAGCTATTATTTTGGGTAAATCAGTTATTCCGGGTGTCATTCGGAGTAAAGTGCCAATCTCGCGTGGAATTTAGAAATTGGCTCCGCAAATCTAAGTTTGACCTTTAGCGCCGGGCAAAACCAGTTTTGACTTCCCTATTAAGGCAGTCTATATACTAGACCGTACTACATAGATGTAGCTCAGATTTAAACTACCTAGGTAGACCTGGGCATAGAATATTTTTCTCGGGAAGATGAACTTGAAAATCGTTGCTTCAACTAACAAATCGCGATTTGCCCATTGATTACTCCACTTGGGAAAAAAGAAAGAACGAGGGTACGAGGCAACAGAAAATAAGAACTTATGTCGTGAGAACAAGAGTATAAACTGACAAACAAGAGAGTGTTACATTGGCAATGACCTGGGTAGTGACATCTGTACCTTGCTTGGAGGGGCTGAGTACGAAAACGCACCAGGAAAAGTGATACAGAGTAGAAATACATTGATTCGGTCCAATCCATGGGCCAAGTATACTTGCCAGCTACTCTTAACATACATGAAGAAAATAATCCCAGAGCCTCCCATGACACAAGGGTATCGCTATGCTAACAAACAAATACACGAGCCTAACCCCTAAACATGCTTTTGGTAGAAACAAGAAACAAACTGATACGCATCTCCGACTAACGGTATGTCCAAGACTTGCCTGGAACTTCGCGCTTATCTTTGCGAGCACCCGAGGGAGCGTCAAGTGCTTTGGCGTACGGATTAAAGGGCTTCTGTCGTCGGGTAGCGTTGATAGAGGCAGCAGGAGCATTGAGAACAGTATCTGCGGCACCGTAGTCGAATGGAGCTGTCTGTTCCTTGGCGGCAGTGGCTTTCTTTTCTTGTTTGCGAGCCCGTTTTCGCTGGTTCTTTGTCATTTTAGCGGATTCGTCAGGCATTTCGTTTGATTCGTCGTCGCCAATGGAACTTTGGTTAGGTGATTCCTCCACAGCGTCAGACTTTCTCTTGCGCGGGCCGCCGAGTTCTTTGACAGTGAAGACCTTGTTCTTCTCCTCATCGGCGATCGAGTTAGAGGCAGGCGCTGCAGTGGGAGCGGCTGATATGGGAGTCGCAGGCGTGAGCTTCTCCCGAACTTCAGAAACGTTCTTTGCCATGGGTGGCAATGGAAGAGAGAGACGAACAGCCTCCGAAGCTGCAGTAACAGAGTATTCCGGAGGAGTTGGGACCTCCTTCACTTCCAAAACATTACCCCAGAACTGTGATTTCTCAATAGTAGGAGGGTTGTTCTTTGTCGTTTGCGAGAAATTGAATTCATAAGTTGGCTTTGCCAGCTTTGGACGACTTGGGGCGTCTCGCCATTCGGGACCATCAACTCCGGCAATATTTGCCTCTTTAATAACCTTGAGGAGATCATTCGCTCGGTCCTTGACAAGAGGGTTCATAGGTGACAGAGTGCGGAGCAATGATCCCATGTCAAGAGGAAGGTACTGGACGAGCTTGAACAGTGTGTGTCTAGGGATCACAAACTGGGGATTCTCATCTTCCTGTCGAGCTATCTCATCGCGCCACTTGTGAACAGCCTTGAAAATTGCAAATTGCTGCTTGGAGTATGAACCCGAGGCACGGGACAGCATATCATACCAGCCTCCGGATCCATGGCCAGTCTTCTCATCATAAACGGAGCGTTCGTATCGCTGCAGACACTCGATCTTCGATCGCTCCTGTACATAGTCGATGTGACTGATCTCGGGCGTCGAGTTCTCAATAAGGTCGTTGCGTAGACAATCGTAAATGTACAGTAGAAAATGAGTATCAGATCGGGCATAGTCAAACATAGCCTGTGGCAACGGGCGAATTCGCCAATCGGCCATCTGGTGCTTTTTGTCGGCTTCAAAGTTGACGATTTTCTCGAGAAGAAATTTGAGACTCTTCTGGTGATACTGCAATGCAGTGGCAGCATGAAACGTATCGAACAATCCTACCACATACAAGCCCAAGTCCCGCTGCAGCCAGACGATGTCCATTTTCGAACCATGGAAAACCTTCAAGATTTTTGGATCCGTGAAAACTTCGTTTAGAACTTGCAGCTCCTCTCTCCACGGTTTCAGAGTGTCGACAATCCAATCTTTATCCCGAGTACTGATTTGCATCAGCGAAACAAGCCCCACGTAAGAGTGGGCATCGTGGTGCTCCAAATCAATAGCGATCTCTTTCGCATTCTTCAGATCACCCAGCATCTCCATGACTCCATCCATAGTATCCACAAATGTCGCACTAGTACTCTCAAGCGGCTTGTATGGGATGGGAGTCGCGATCTCATAGACAGACTTCGGATACTCGGCCGCACGAATCTCGGTTTCGTAGGGATGTTGGTATGAGACATCCGGGCTTTCTGAAAATGTCAGGGGCACAAGCGCGTTAGGTTTCGCTTTTAGCAGAGGCTTGAAGGTTTTCAAGTCATTAGAATTATCAGGTTTGTGGTCAAATTCGAGTTGCGGTTTCTTAATGATGTTCGGTGTGAAGCGGATTCTGTTGTCGTCTAACTTCTTTGCGGCGCGAGCGTCAGCGTAGGCTAGACGGGCCATCCCCTTTTCTTCCTCTGAAGGGCTCAATTTTTTGATAACACCGGTAAATTCGTCCAAGCTCGCATCAGCTTTCTCCAACATCGAATCAATCACGTCCACCACGCCATGCCAATTTTCATCGATGGAATCCTCATTTCTCAAGGTCGGAGGCTTCACTTCAGTTCCGGTTATAGCTATTTTCAGTACTGCAGAAGTTAGTGCAAGAACACGTTCAGCCTGCTCGTCTAGCTGTTCTGTGAACTCAGCACTAGAGGTACGGTGGAAGCCCAAGTCTTGTGCTGCGATCTGGCCTACAGTGCGAGTCACATTGACAAGTGCGGATGTCAGGTCTCCTTGGAAGGAGGGGAATTTTGCAGGTTCCATATCGGGCAAAGCTCGAGCTGGACTGCGAAAAGAAACGGGAAACAAAGATGAAAAAGAGGTATTATGATGAAAAGCATGGCAGGAAAGAAAAAAAAGTGTAGGCAGACGGCAGAAACAATCGACCGCCTACCTAAAATATTCAAGCAGCAATGATGTTTCATTGGCCCAAAGCTGGGACTATTTTCTTTCTTACTCTATTGCAATCACATTTTCTCGAGGCTCAGATAAAGCTCCTTCTGATGAGCTCTGGTCCTTTTTCTCAATATAATATCTCAATTCCTCAATATGGCTGCCTCTATTGCCCCCGAATGCAACGATATCAAGGAGTAAGCTAACGTGGAACCTTCCAGCTTTGCTTGGTTTGGATAACCACGAGTTCGGAGCAAATACTGAAATTTATCAAAACAGAAAATACGATACATGTTTCCTCAAATGGTATAGTGAAAGTAAGTGTCCCGAGACTTCCTTGGAGGGTATACAGGTGGCTAAAAACACAACAGAATACCTCCGTGGCAACACCACCTCTAATGACTGCGAGGAGTTGTTCACCAAGTATAAGACCTGCTTGAAAGTAAGTAGTCGATGCTGTCTGTAATAGGGGCAATAATTCTTAACATGCCACTAGAAAACCCTTCAAGACAGAGGCATTCATACGATGCTAGAGGATGCCCGAAAGAGCAGCAGCGAAACAGATGCCGAGTTTCTGAAAAAATCTTGAATTCTTAATCTTTATTGATACCATCTCTTCTCTCTATGTAATTTATATTGTTGTTTCAGAGCAAAGTATGCATTCCCTCTCAGATTTAAATCACGGAAATCTTTGCCACCTAGCGGAGAACATCAAGTGGACCTGGATATTATCAGCTTCCCAACCATGGATATTAATCTGATGCTCAGCTGGATATGAACTCTAGCTAGGTCAACTTGTGTCGTAGGCTACTCATTCCAATGTTTAAATATTTTTGGGTAAAGTAGGTATGTATGTACAAATGAAGGAGTTAGCTCGAGGGAGCATGAAACGTCCACTGGTTGACTCACAAGTGACTCCAGCTGTGGTGGTTCCTCCAGTATTTTTACTCATTGATCCCGTCTAACTTACTGCAAAGCTTTGACCAATTCATCGACAGACTTCATTTCACGGTCGTTGTTCTCACCCACATCCAGAGCAACCAAAAAACGACTGACACAGTTGTATCCCGCAATTCCAGTAGTAAGTTCAACAATCTCGCGATCATCAAACCCAACAGTCTTCAACTCTGCAAATACATCATCCTGGACAGTGATAGTACGGGTCATTTGGTCGGTGTAGCGCAGAACAGCCCGTTGCTTCGGAGTAAGTGGGCTACTCTCCAGCTCAGAAAGATCACCCTCAGTAGTAGATGGGAGTATACGAGCAGTATGTAATTGTTCAGGCTCAATACCACCCTTCAAAGCGAGGGGTGCATGGGCATTCCATTCATATATGGCATTGTTCAGCACAGCCACTCGGCAAACCGATAGCTCCATAAGGCCGGAGTCGACGGTGGTACGCGATCGAATCGCACCGATAAAGCTGTTCCAGCCATCTGCTACTGGTGGGCTGTGTAGCAATGAGAGGTCCAGTGGGATCAGTGGACGAGGGTTCCGGCGCGCCGCAATGCGTTCATAGATAGCGGCAGTGTCAGCAGGAGCATCAGCCGGCGGGGTATTAGGGGCGTATGGAAGACGCATGGTGCGAATATGGTGATATTGGAAGGACCTTAAGATTTTAGGAACGGTGATTCGACGTTGTAGGTACATTCCCCAGGTATTGGCTTTTTTAAAGGTGTTTTCCCCGCAGAGGCTCGTACCAACCGAGTGGCTCACTGCCGAGGGGCTTTGAGCGGGTCAGTGATTAGCCGATACGGCACGAGAAGTCGGTCGGAATTTATAGACTTAGTAAAAATTGACTGAGAGCATTGAGAAGAAAACATAGCGTTGTCGGTGAATTTTCAAAGGTTAGATTGATGTTGATGGCTATTGAAGGCTAGCTGTATTCGCGATATAATCAAATTCTGCCAAGACATCTGTTCACCCCAACGTCATCTCAACTTTTGAACACATACATTCTTCTTTCAACGAAAATCGAGAGCTCCATAATGCAGGTTGCAGAAATACTTGCTGATATAACCTCTCTCAAAGCTTGTGTATGTATCATCTTTCCAATTTTCCCTCTGGGGACTGAACGAGCTACGCCGGCTCCGAGAATAAATAACATATCTTTGCTCACTGACTGCTTGTTCAGGGCCACGAGGAGGCTCTTGCCTTGGTAAATGTCCACAAGTCTACAGCACCACCAGATGACTCTCCGATCCAACTCAACAAAAGGGATCAAGACTTGCACCGAGCAAAAGAGCTGGTAAACCTCCACTATGAAGTCAAGAAACGTTACCAAGACGGCGAAGTGGACGAAGAACTTCGAAGAGCCCGCGAAGATGTGGACCAAGTCATTTGGGATCTGTCATGATTTGCTCAAATTCTGAAAGTCAAGTCTTCCAATCTGCGTAATTTTTCACTCTTACCCTGCCTGAGACTACCCTGGAACTTAATTGCCATTCAATTCCACTTTGGATTATCTAATTGAAATTGACGCTTTTATATGTCGCTACTTTGCTAAATATCTTACACCAACATTTTTTCATTCTTTATATGGACTATGTCACAGTATGCCAAATACACACCGCATTGCCAAGGCAAAGACCGGGTCAATGAGAAGCGAAAACCCAAGTTACTTCCCGCTGGTATCCAATAAATATTCTCGTTACTTCTCGAATAACTGAAAACCTTTACAAAACTTCCACTTGAATATGATCAACGATTGACCTAGGTACCTAGGTACCTCAATGTATTCAGAATGGGAGTAAACCTATTCGTAGGTGACAGTAACGCTGTCCCTGGAAACAGAGCTGGAGGTCAGAACCTCGTTATCCTGCTCGATGTCCATGAGGGTGGCACTGGAAGGTCCATAGCTGGTGCTGCCAGACTTGGCCTCGGCACTGCTGAAGGTAACAGTGCCGAAGTCAGCGAAAGGAACGAGCTCGCCATCGCTCTCGAAGTCCTCAACAATCCACTCCGCGTTATATTCACACAGACTACCGTCATCTACATTGGAGAATGTGTGGGTCACGGTCTTTCCAGTGGTGATATTGTCGACGGTAGCAGTACCGCCAGTAGCTGAGGTGGCATCAACGGTAACTTTGATCTTGTCACCAGCGGAGATGTCGATGTTGTCAAAGTCGTAGGAGTAGTCGGGGTACCACTCATACCAGGCGTCGTAGGACACTTCGCTGCCCTGAACACAGAAGTCGACACCGACCTGCAAGATGGCGGTCTCGCAGGTATCCCCGTCGATGCCAACCCAGGCAGAAGCGCAGTATTCCTCATCGCTGAACTGTCTGCGAGACTTAGCGCCCTCTTTGTCGCCGAACCAGCCCCAGCTACCACCACCACCACCGCTACCACTGCTACTGGGGACAGAGGGAGTGGGAACGGTGAATTCTCCGGTCACGTAATCATAACCGGTACCGATGAGAACGGCACCGGCCCAGTTGGAGCTGTACTCCTCGTGGGAGGTCTTGTTGAAGTGCAGGACCTCGTTGGTAGTGCCGGCCTTGATGGGCGGGTTGCTATGGCGCTGAGCAGTACGACGTGCAAGGCGGGCCTCAGAGCGAGCCTGGCGCTTAGCAGTCAGAGGAGCTGCGAAAGCTGCAGTGGCGAGGGCACTGCCGATGATAGCAGTAGAGAACTTCATGTTTCCGGGTTGGTATTCGAGATTTGAACCTTTGCTGAAGATGCTTTGTTGGTGGATTGGAATCGAACCTGGGCAGACCACGCCGTCTTTATATGCCTTGGGTCGCAGAAGCTTACAGCATAATCTTTCATCACATCTTGCAACCTTGGAACCTGATACTCTCTGTCAATGCAACATCATTGCCAAAATACCAATGCAAAGACCGAGGTGAGTAGATGGAGCCACATTGGTAATATGTGACGCCGTCGGAGGCCGATATAATCTCCATCCGAGTCCAAACTAGGAAGCTGGGATGTGTTGTGAATATGCATCTGCAGGAATATGACTATAGATAGCGGTGAGCCGAGTTGAAGAAAGGTGGATCTCCACTCCCGTCATAGTTCGCAAAGGTACCTTACATAGGACAGGTAGTATGGGAAGGTACCTACACCTGTGGAAGATCATTCTGTTTACTATTTACACAACCTTGAAATATCATCCCGTGGTCTTCCTAGAGGCATCCATTGAACAATTTGAATAAAGCGCATACGTCAGCTGATATGATACTAGTCAGGGGTTGCATTGACCTAAACTATTCATGCAGGTGTGCTATCTTCATAGAAAAATCCCCAATGGTTGGCCTGGCCTCCAGCCGAACCCCGGGACATATCTAAAGCTGCATACATGAGCCAAGTCAAGGACGGAAATGATCAACTGCAAGTCCTAATTATTGGACCTTGCAAGACTTTTTCAGGTGAAGTCTAGCCCAATTTTTTTGTGGAGCCTCTGATTGAGGGGTGAAATAGCTTGGTTCTTGATAAGAATTTATGCCAAGAGCATTTCAATGTCAGAACCACTACAATGAATCTGGGGGCTTGTGTTTCTTTCTGGGTTCAAGGCGATGATAGAGTTTTGGAATGGAACAACCTTAAGTCTTACATCTTATTGAGTCAGTGATTAACTAGCATTGGTAGAAAGTATGATTCCAGAGCATCATACGGTTAGGTTATGCAGTTGATGATGAATTTCTTATCAAGCAATTGACCTAGCCCCACTGTCAAGAGTACCAACAAACTAGAAGGGCCGCTATTTGCACCGGCTCTTAGTTATGCAAGAGAAGAGATAATGGGGCCGGAATGTGCCCATTGGAGGAATCCATGAATATGTTAGACACTGTTATCTGAGGTGCAGTGCTTATTTCGTACTATCCGGACCGCGGCCAACTTCATCTATACTATAAGAAGTTAGCAAGTGTGACTGATAGCAATGCATTCAACCCCTCATTTCTCTATCTAAGTATCTGTTACGTAGGCAAGATAACCAACTACGTAGAAGAGGCAGAAGCATCGCCATCATATCCCATCTCAAAACACACTCATATTGACGGACACAATGATCTTCCCCAACACCTCGGCAGCCTTGAGCCATATTTCATGGTAAACTCCATGACAGTCCTAAGTTCAACGTTGAAAAATGACTTCAAAGAAGGATGACAGAATTCCCGAGAGTCCTCGGGAATGTCTTCATAAAATCAACTCTCATAAGGTATAGTTATATTACTTTGTAAGATTATACATAAGCAGATGGAACTAATATGCCGATACAGTCGATAGAACCGACTAGTTCGCGATGCTTCTCTATTCTTCGTGCGCATAGTTTGTCTTTGTAGTAGCTTTATGCGATTTTATGCGGTTTTATGCGTTGAAGGCCATCCTATGGGAAATGAGATTTCGTCACGGTTATAGATACCGTCTAGATAGATCCCACCTTCGAAAGTGTTTTTTGTAGTAAACCAAACCAATCCTGAACAATTTTACAGTTCTAATTTGGTGGAATCTCCTATCAAGTGATTGCTGTACCTTTTTCGGGCCTTCATACAAATTTTATGAAAATTTCACTACGAGGGCTTCATTCGGACATATGAAAGTACAAATATTTGTTGATTCGGCCCGTAGCACATGTACAATCTCCCTATAGGATCAGACCACCTGAAATGCCAGCATGTACTCGCAAGACATGTGACAGTAAAGCAAATTCTAACGTATCCCCTAGACTGGAACTAAACAGACCTGCCGCCCCACAACCCTTTCCGCAAGTAGGAGGTAGCCTGCTTTCAGGAATAACAGCTCTAGTAGAATAGCTTCAGGACTATATCAAACTATACAGGCATATTTGTTTCTTTAATCAAAGATTCTATATATAGTTATTCTATAATAAATACGTTACCACAACCATGCCCGCAAGCAGGAGATGGCTTGCTTTCAGGAATAATATAGCTCTATTAGAACTGCTTCAGAACCGCATCAAACTTTGAGGGTATATAGTACTATAGGAAAGATGCCTCATTCTGGTATTATATCTCCACGTATGCTACCATTATACGAAATACTATAGATATAAGTCTTGGACTATGAAGCCTCTTCACGTTTCCCTTGTCAACCTAGAAAGTCTAATGCATACCTCGTGCTTCTAATGCCCGTCGATGCATCGCTTTGGTCTCTTCATATTTACCTTGGCTATCAAGCATATTGCTAAGGTTATTAACACTGTTAAGCGTGTCAGGATGTTTACGTCCAGGCACCTCTCGTGCTTCTAACGCTGGTCGGTGCATCACTTCTGCCTCCTTATAAGCTCCTTAAAGATCTTGAAACCACCCATAATTAGATCAAGGGTGGCGGTATTTAATCCATTTTCATCATCTATGTTATATATAGACTTTAGCAGACTTTTAGCATGCGTGACAGGATGGGTTAACTAAAAAAGATTTCCGTCCCATGTATATGTTTAGTTGTAACTGCAGTTTACTGAGGTGTTGTAGCGTAGTTGACCTTACGGACCCCTGCTAACCACTCAAAGGTAATGCTACTGTGTAGGTTCCTACGAGGTGAAGTTGGGGTGCTGTAAAATCTGTGTTCCATTCATTCTATTCCATATTCTATATTCCATCTCTATGCAGTCTTTTTCTTGGCTTTTGTTTCAGGCAGTAGTTGTCATGTATTGATGGCTTTGTTTCTCAGGCTAGTATCCCAACAGCATAACCTAGCGAGTGAAAATTAGAGAGTGTATCTTTATGATTCACACTAAGAGTCTCCTTCTATCTCTTGTAGGCCTGTCGAAATTCTTCTTCGGCTGCAGAAGACTTATTTTGGTCATAGAGAGCACAACCTAGCCAGTGAAGAGAACAGAGTGTTTCTTCATGATTCGCACCAATAGTCTCCTTCCGTCCCTTGTAGGCCTTTCGAAACTCTTCTTCGGCTACAGAATATTTCTTTTGCTTATAGAGAGCATGACCTAGCCAGTGAAGAGAATAGAGTGTGTTTTTATGATTCGCACCAAGAGTCTCCTTCCGTCCCTTGTAGGCCTTTCGAAACTCTTCTTCGGCTATAGAATATTTCTTTTGCTCATAGAGAGCACGACCTAGCCAGTGAAGAGAATAGAGTGTATCTTCATGATTCGCACCAAGAGTCTCCTTCCGTCCCTTGTAGGCCTGTCGAAACTCTTCTTCGGCTATAGAATATTTCTTTTGCTTAGAGAGAGCATGACCTAGCCAGTGAAGAGAACGGAGTGTGTCTTCATGATTCGCACCAAGAGTCTCCTTCCGTCCCTTATAGGCCTGTCGAAACTCTGGTTCGGCTGCAGAATACTTCTTTTGGTCAAAGAGAGCACGACCGAGCCAGTGAAGAGAACAGAGTGTATCTTCATGATTCGCACCAAGAGTCTTCTTCTGTCCCACGTAGGCCTGTCGAAACTCTGGTTCGGCTGCAGAATACTTCTTTTGCCCGTAGAGAGCACGACCTAGCCAGTGAAGAGAACAGAGTGTATCTTCATGATTCGCACCAAGAGTCTCCTTCCGTCCCTTGTAGGCCTGTCGAAACTTTTCTTCGGCTGCAGAATACTTCTTTTGGTCAAAGAGAGCACGACCGAGCCAGTGAAGAGAACAGAGTGTATCTTCATGATTCGCACCAAGAGACTTCTTCTGTCCCTCGTAAGCCTGTCGAAGCTCTGGTTCGGCTGCAGAATACTTCTTTTGCTTATAGATAGTATAACCTAGCCAGTGAAGAGAATAGAGTGTATCTTCATGATTCGCACCAAGAGTCTTCTTTTGTCTCTCGAAGGCTGTCTGAAACGCTATTTCAGCTTCTTTGTATCTCTTTTTGTTGATGCAAGATACTCCATTATCATATAGCACTTTAAAATGACGGAGAAGATCATTTTCGGCAGTAGAAATCGGTTGATGTGTTTCCTTTAGGAGAAGCAACTGTTGGGTTGAAGGCGTGGGTTTTCTGCCAAATCTTTGTGACTCATTCCTTGGTGTGACTCGAAAGTGTAAGCTTGAATGCTCTGTTTCTGGATCCCATGGTTTGTAGTCCAGAGTTGTCATTGTGGATGCTGTTACATTCATCTCGTTTATTCCAAGTGTATGATCAAGTTGGTCTTGTTTCAGCCATGTGTTTTCAAGGGCGCCTTTTGCAGATGGTCGCGTTAGAGCATCAGCCGCTAGTAGACTTTTGCAGAAGCTTAAAGCATCTGGGTTGACGGAAGGAGATAGTGCGATTGAAGGAAATATAGAGGTCTGGAGGTATGACATCAAGCTGTTACCAGGAAATGGATAACAGTTAAAAAGCATATGGAAAACCATAATCCCTAGAGACCAGATATCCATACTATATGTAGGGCGAAGATGTTCCGTTCCAGGGGGGTAAAGTTTGAGTCTTTCAGGAGCCATATATCCTGGAGTCCCAATCCTCGTATCGGTGTTATTTTCATCAAATCTTTTGCTGATACCGAAGTCGCTTATTTTAACCCACCAATTAGGACCTTTCGACATAACGAGCACGTTCTATGCTAAAATATTAGTTAAAGTGATCACATCTTTATATCGACTCTGTCTGTGATAATAACTATACCTCAGGCTTGAGATCTCGATGGATATACCCATTATCATGGAGATGCTGAAGACCCATCAGAATCTGAATAGTAATCTGCTGTATTTCTTGCTCAGATAGCGGGCTCCTCGACTGGAGGTTTCTTCGGAGATCTCCATGTTCCATATATTCCATTGCGATACAAAGATATCTTTCATTTTCGCACCAGCCAAGAGATTTGACAAAAAAACTATCATACTTGATCATCGATAATAATCAGCATATATTTTGGATCAACTCAAGATTATTACTTAAGAGATATGGTATACTGACCTTCGGCCAAGAAAACTTCGCCATCACATCTAATTCCCGATCGCAATATTCTCGTAGATTTGTGAGGTTATTTTTTTTGTCGATGATCTTCATAGCTCGCACCTTGGCTGTACTGCCACTTAAACATCGCTCTAGCCAAACTGTCGAGAATCCCCCATGACCAAGTGGACCCTCTCTGTTCCATTTTTCCTTCACGTTACTTCTGCCCCTCTTTTGGTTGTCTGCTGTATGGTAATGAAGCGTGGCATCTTGTAGAATTTCCGTGTGCAAGAATCTCATATCCTCCACACGTACTTTGCTCTCCATGATGGAAAGATAGCTTAACCTTCAGCCTTGGAGTTATGAAGAGGTTAAAAAGGTCTCACTAGAATAAAAACGAGGTTAAGTTGTTCTCAGCCGTACACGCATAGCGTGTATCAGCTGTCTGGCTTGGCAGTCGTGTATTTCTTGATCACTAGTCCAATTAAGCCATCAAGGCTGACTGCGGTACATAGCTGTGAAAGGGTGCGGGGTCCCCTAACCCTGCCACGCTCCAAGCTTTCTTTTATAACCGATCGATGAAGCCACTGGAGATGCGTTTTTTAAATATGTAGTAATTTGTCTAATATACCAAAACCCTATCACACCCCCGCGCGTGAGAAAAACATCCTTAGCGAACAAGAGAATTCGATAAGCTAAAGAGACACCGATTAGAAGTGATGGTATATAGGATGAAACGAGAATTGAAGTCTGGAAGGATATCATCGAGCTAGGGAGCCAGACAGTAGTGCTCGGCAAAGATATCGAATAATCCAAAAATCTATTATTTTTATTCGATGCCGAGCGATACAAGACAGCTCTCCCCTCAAAATTAGCAGAGATCCACCGCTAAATACTTTTACACATCGTGTAATATTACGTAGCAAGATACTGTACCTTTACGGCGTCTATCGATTAATCAATAATTGATCGACGCTAAGGGCTTGGCAGTGGGGCCCGAAAAGAGTCATTGTGTGTTGGTCAAGCCGATTTCAAGAATGACTGTACTGCACACTGGGCGCCATCTTGCTCCTTTCATCACCCTGTCCTGAAGGCTCATCCAGTTGCTTACTTCCGCACCCAGAGTAATTCGGTTGACCAATGACAGCAATAGAAACAGAGAAAGCAGAGAAGGAAGTCGAGACTGAGTAAGAATTGGCACATTCATCTACGTCATCCAAGACCTTCAAGATGCAATTAATCTCAAAATTCAATGTTTTGAGCTCTTTAGATTTTTATGCTCCTAGAGGTAAGGGACAAAGGGTTATTCGGAGTGGACTGACATCAGAGAAACATGGAATATGATAAAAATCTCATACGTAGCTCAGTGACAATCCAACTAGGCTTTTCTTGATTCAAATCAGCCATAGTACCCTGAATCGGATCAGTAATGTCAAGGCTCCTACCATGGTTTGTATACTTAAGAGATAGCGATATTTTTGAGCTGTATCATCTGCGCTTGCAGTGTTCATCCTCGTGATGGGAGAATGTAAGTGAGAGATCAGAACAGAGTGCAACCCTTCAGCATATTTTTCACGCAATGGGAGGTAATCTTCGATGCCCTTTCTCTATTCACCGGAGAGCGATTGGACATGGCTCCCCCTTTTATCATCTTTCAATGAATCTATATCTTTTTCAGTCACTTAGCGTACAGCTTTTCAATATCTGACTTGGATTTTAATTCCAGAAATTCCAAAAACTTCAATAGCTCCGGAGATGAATTTCTCATTTTTTGCGATAAAGGCAGATTCTCGTTCATTTGCAGCTCTTCAATTTCAAGAGTTGGCTGAACATCAAGGAGATCATCAAAGCAGACAAATACTCTTCTTGACTGCATATTGAAGGCTTGGGATGGTAAATGTCATGATAGCAGTGCCTGGACGTGTTGATCTATCTTAATGTACTGTCCTAGATCTTGGTTACAGGATAGATCGAAATCAGTTCGAAGCCGATTTTTGAATCTTACTGTACGGAGTAGTTGCTCTACAGCCTCATTAAATGCGTAAGCCGTAAAACTGAAATCCACTCGATTCGCGTCTTACTCAGCTCATGCACCTTTTAATTAGAAGTCATTTATTTTTTGACTCTTTGATATTGACTTGACCTTGAATTGATTAGTGAGCGACTTAAACCGCAACAATGAGCATAATGACAAAGACTAAAGTGGCCGTTATAGGAAGAGGTAGGTTGAGTAGGCAAGAAGTGTGAAGCTTTGTTATAGAACTCACTATGATGCAACCTAGGACCAACCGGCCTCTCTATGCTGAAAACGCTCACAGAGGACGGGTTCGCCGTTACGCTTTACGAGCGGCGCAGCCAGGTCGGCGGATTATGGGCTTACACTGATAATTCATCATGGACTACGGCACTGAAGAGTAATGTCAAGTCGTACGTTCTCAAAGCAATTAATCTATTTTACTCACATCATTCGCAGGTACAAAAGCCAATATTAGTAAATACACATGCGGCTTCTCTGATTTCCCTATGCCTGACAGTAAGTCAAAACCATAGGTACCTTCTTCAATCACGAAAAACTGAATAAATTCAGAAAATTCGTCCCACATGAATGTGTTCGAATGGCAGAAATATATGGAAGACTATGCGTGCCATTTTGACGTGCTCAAGCATTGTGTGTTCAACACCTCCGTTCATAAAGTGCACCGCAATGCCGACGACATGCGATGGGCTCTGGAACTTGAGTAAGAAGATGGCAGACGGGAGACTACCGAGTATGACCGTATTTCCATCTGTAATGGGTACCAAACTAAGGCACGTGTGCCAAATCTTGAGGGACAAGAGTTATTTGAAGGGAGAATTATGCATGGATAACAGTTCAGAGAGTAGGTTTTTTTTGCAATGAAAAACCCAAGCATAGTCTAACTTGTCACCTAGTCCAGCGCCATTGAAAACAAAAGAGTTGTTGTTCTTGGTCTCTGCGGCACTTCGGGCGACATAATTCCAACTCTGATGCCTGTTGCATCGCGTGTCTGGGTTTCACATCGCCGCGGATCAGTTTTTGTACGGCGCTTCCAGAATGGTACCCCCGTCCACCTTCTCTTTACCTGGAGGCGCTAAATGCTTGGAACGAAGTTTCAGCGGTGGCTCCCTTCATTTTTCCGGGTTTGCGGTTATATTGAGATCAAATACTTTAGCCGGGCGATGCTTGAAGGCAAACCAGACCCGGCATAGGGGACTGAGCCATACCCATCGCCGAGCCTCATTATAACAAGGTCTGGGAGAGAGTATTACCATTCTTGCAGCATGGGAGTTTGACCTTACTGAAAGGACTTACAAAGTTCGTGGGCCGAAAAAGCATCCAGTTTGCCGATGGGACAGTTCTAGAAGATGTTGATGTTGTGATTTTGGTGACCGGATACGAGGCGGACTTTTCACTCCTGAGCCCAGATATTGTTGAGCGCAGTCGAATAAAGCTAGAGTGGTACCAGGGACCAGATATTTACCGGCTTTGGATGAATTTGTTTCCATCTCGCTGGGCTGACTCAGTAGCTGTACTCAACTACAGCACATTTGAAGAACAAACGGGTTCAGCTTCGCTGACATGATGAGTATGGCTATCAGTAGCGTATGGCTGGGCATGGAGTCACTTCTAAACACGCAGGATATGGAGCGTCATATTGATAAGCATCAACGCTGGATTGCTAAGAGGTAGCACATGGATCCAAACACGCCTACAAGTGCCGTCAAAACTTGGGAGTTTCAAGGCTGGTTGCACCAGTCTGCAGTGACAGGGATGAAAAACCTCGGATGGAAGGGATGGAAGTTCTGGTGGCAGGATATTACGATGTATAGAATGATGAATGATGAAGTCGAGACAGCACATGTTTAGGTTCTTTGAGACCGATAGAAGGCCGATATGGCCTGGGTCTAGGGACGCGATTTGCATGTGAACGAAGTTGTCCAAAAGACATTCCCATTACAAGAGAAGAAAGACTAGAGGGAGGAGACTTAGTCGTGGTTGATATTTATCTGATGGCAATTAAAGCCACATGATCTTGCGCCGCTTCTTCAAGTGTGCTTAATAAACTAAGAAAAAGCGTGCTTCATTAGTTAACTAATCTGAATATTACTAATTCAAATGAAGTTCAATTTTGCTAAGTCCAACCATTGTAAGTATACCTCTAGTGGATGTTCATGTTTCCGCCAAGTTTTAGGCATCGTCCGCATATTGCGAACAGCTTTAGCTTCATCAATTAGCTTCTGGGTCTGAGCCCTTTGGCCTTTGATATGCTGAAGCCACTTCTTTGCAAAGCTTTTTCCCTGATCATCAACCATCATCATCGTGTCGTATTGGAATTGGTGCCAAGCTACTAACTGAACCTGAATATCCTCCTCCTATTCCTCTTCTTCCTCTCCCTCTTCTTCTTCCTCTTCCTCCTCCTCTTCCTCTTCCTCCTCACTCCTACTCCAACTCTCTTCAGTACTAAAGGTATCATCCTCATAGTCTAGTAGTGGAACAGGCTCTTTACTACTGCGTTTAAACTCTGGTTTGAGTTCTAATCGGCCATCCCGCCAGAAAGGACAAGTATCATGGCGGGAAACAGTAGTAAAGAATTGAGGGCTTGGTGTCTCAAAACAATGGATGATATGCTTACAGCATAAGAAGCGACTAAGTAAGAAGGCTGGACAGGCACAAACCCACTGATGAGGATCTGTGTGATACTTTTTCATCTGATCTAGATGAACAGCTTTTCTTATATCCTTCTTCCATTGCCTCTCAAAAGACTCTCTCCATTGGCCCTTAAAGACCCGCTGCTCTCCACCTAATATAGCCCTCATCTGATAGACTTTATCAGGAACAACACGAGTAAGTAGAGCCCATACCACTAGATCAACTCTAGGCCGGTTAAACCGATTAAGGTAGTCATGTTTCAGCTTGCGCCAATGAGACTCTGCAATCATTGTTGTTTTAAGCATAGGGATCATCTCAGGATTAGCAGCCCGAGCCCAGAGAATCCATTTATCCTCTCTATACCAATTGATAAAGAGATAGGCCCAGAGATGGTAATAGTCGCGAGACCGACACCAATCATACATCTCTTGGGCACATTCTTGATGTAGATGCTGCTTGAATCGAGTGCCATTGATGTCAGGAAGCAAAGGATGGATATTGAAATGTCGGCAGATTATGCTTATAATGATATCCCGCTCCTCTTTAGTTGGCTCAAGCCTTCGGCTTTCAACAGGCCGGATACCACGAGAGGGACACTGACATTGACCAGAGCCTATATCAATATTAGTAAATATGTAATCTAATGGTCAAGCTAGTGGCTGAACCAATATAAATTAGAGTAAAGAAACCAACTTACCATCAAATTTATGCTCGTTTGGCCGTTTATGTGGAAGTGATCCCCAGCAAATCTCAAGATGATACTTCCCAATCAACTTTGCAGCAGCCTCTGGATCATAATGGTTGAGCGTTGCTGTCTTGGTAGAGTCTTTCAACTTCATACTAATAGCTCGCTTCGCATGCCAGTAACAAAGCTGATGCTTAGCCTCTGGCCATACCAATTTGATGGCTTCAATCTCTGCTGCATCCTTATCAGTTGCAATCAAGCTTGGCTGAAATCCAAAACCCTTAAGCTTCATAAGAAACTGATAGAGAATATATGACATTGCCCCTGGGTCTGCTGTTCTTTTTTGATACACATCAGGCTGAATATTCTGTTTATCAACCAAGCAATAGGCAAGCGGAATACCAGTGCCATCAAGCTCAGCCAACACAGTACATAGCTCCATCCCACTATTATTTGTCCCATAAGTGGAATCCATGATTAATTTGGGCTGTGAGTTTAGCCTTTTAGCCCAATGGAGACATGGTTCGATAGTGTCAGGGAGGTAGAAGCCTATAGTATATCAATATTAGTAAATATATAAACCAATGTCAATGCCAAGGCCAGTACTGCCCTTACCTAATGCCAATAAGTTGCCTGCTTTAAAGATATCATGGTGGGCCTGATACCTTCCATTCTGGAAATCTGCCTCATTTAGGAGCATTTGAGCTGAAGTAAGAGGATCTTCGTGGCGTCGCCAATGCTTTGAGTTTGCCTTCTGCCAGATATAATAGACTTGGTGTCTCGACACTTTCCTTCCTTCAGGATGCTCTCTAACCTGACGGGAAATCACTGCAGGGGCATGGTTAAAGACAAGGGAGTTTATAAGATCATGTATGGCTTGCGGAACTTGAAGATCTTTATAAGGAGGGTGCCAATTGTGCTGAATAGAAAGGCGGAGGGTTCGATGAAGTAATGATGGCTGTATAATAAGCTTACTTCCACAATGAAATCGCTCTATACGGTGGCTATCTCTCTGCTTCTCAATAGGGACCTTGGAAGGATGACTTTGTATATATGCTTCATCCTGAGAGCAATGATATCTATATCGATGATATTGTGTATCAGTTGATATGTATCGGAACCGGAATCTCCCCTTATCCCAGATCAGATCTAGGAGATCATGCATTGCAATTCTCATCTTTTCTTTATCAAACTCAGAGCCAAAGTTGACAGGTAGAGTATCAAGGTCAAACTCAAAGTCATGGCTGAAAGGTTGACTCTGTTCATTCCAATTAGAGATAAGTAGGATAAACTCATCCCAATCATCGCGCTGAAGAGAGCGTTTTTTAGTATGACGATTACAAAGGCTTTTCCGCTTCCCTTGCTTATTGATATCGAAATCCTCGATAGGACGAGGGTTACGGCATTTCGTGCAAAAAAAGGTAGTAGTATCCATGGTTGGAGGGTAGAATTCAATGACGTATATAGTAAGAGGTATGAGATGAGACGCGATTGTAAACAGTTTGAATGCCAAGATGCTAATTAGTAATTATCACGTGTGCTACCTACATTTTTTCGGGGCTCGCTATCAGTGACTTCGCGACCCACTCACGTCCCCAATCCGCTCTTCCTGACCTCAAGGAAGCTTCCAAGACTCGTCAGCTTCCACTTGTACGACGTATGTCTCTAGGTGTTTTGTATTTCTCTAGTTTGGAACAAGAACCACTTGGTACCAGCATAATGCCATCCTCTCTATGAGCTATTTTATCACGATATCTCCCGTATTCACATGAATGACCTCATCGAGCCTTATCGAGCTGTGAATCAATATGGGTGTCACTGGCCTGTGGACGGTGGTACAACCCTGCGCCCGCCCCATAAAACTTGAGACCCTCAACAAGAAAAGATTGGCGGTCGATGCATCTATCTGGATTTATCAGTTCTTGAAAGCAGTACGAGACAAGGAGGGAAACGCGCTGCGGAACTCCCATGTGGTTGGATTTTTTCGTCGAATATGCAAACTGCTGTACTTTGGAATCAAGCCAATTTTTGTATTTGACGGAGGCGCTCCGGTTCTAAAGCGACAGACCATTGCCAGTCGGAAAAAAGACGTGAGGGTCGCAGAGAAGATGCGGTGAGAACCGCCGGCAAGCTACTGGCGGTCCAGCTCCAACGAAGTGCAGAGGAAGAGGCGGAGGCGCGGCGTGGGCGAAAAAATCGTACTCAACAAAATAAAGAGGAGATCAGCAGTGGTCCAGTCTATGCGGATGAAAATTTGATGACTGAACAGGAAAAACAACGGTCGCGCAAGTTCAAGAAGAAGGATGCTTACCATCTGCCAAATCTTGATATCTCCTTGGAAGAGATGGGGGCTCCGAATGATCCACGTATCATGTCACAAGCAGAGCTGGAGGAATATGCTCGACACTTTCACCAGGGCCAAGATATCAACCTGTACGATTTCTCCAAGATCGACTTTGATGGCCCTTTCTTCCTCAGTCTCCCACCTACCGACCGCTACAATATCTTGAATGCTGCGAGGCTAAGAAGTCGCCTTCGAATGGGTTATTCCAAGGAACAGCTAGATACCATGTTCCCCGACCGCATGGCATTCTCGAAATTTCAGATCGAGCGCGTTACGGAACGAAACGACTTGACTCAACGACTAATGAATCTTAACGGTATGAATGGAGAAGATGCCTTTTACAAGTCTGGGCAGCGCATTGCTGGTGAGCGCGGGCGAGAATATGTTCTCGTTAAAGACAACCAACACGAAGGTGGTTGGGTCTTGGGTGTCGTAGGGAACAAAAATCAAGGCCACGAAGATAAGCCTATCGATGTAGATCGATACGATCTACCAGATGCAATGTCACCGTCAGAAGACATATCTGATGACGAGTTTGAAGATGTCCCGATAGAAGGACTCAATAGATTGCCCAAGCTTCCTTCTTCCCTGGAACAGACCATATTTGACCAGTCTCTTCATCAACAAGAAAACGTCGATTTGCAGATGGCTATACAGAACTCTCACCTAGATGATGCCGAGGATGATCAACTTTTCGTCCAAGGCAATGAGGACTTATTTGAAGACATGGATGAGGACGAGCTCCAACAAGCCATCGCCCTCTCACTACAACCACAAGAAGATCATGACGAGAACATGCCAGAAATATCAATGAATCGTCCCGAATCTTACAATCCAATCGAAATTGAAGTCGACCCAGTGCCTAGTGAAAGCGACGATGACGGAATGGACTTTGCAGCTGCGGTAGCCCAAACTAAAGTTGCCCCAAAAACCCACATACACAACCCATTTGATGGACCTCTTCCTTTTGAATCTATTAAACTTACGAAGAGTACAAAAGAAGCTGATACATCTGTGGGTTTGGATGAAGATGAAGATGCAGGTGGTTTCTTAAAGAAATCCGTCCAATCAAAAAAGGCGGATCCCATTCCTCCCTGGTTTGTTGGAGAGAGAGTCAATCAAGAATTCATAACAGATTCAATGCCTGTGGATTCTGCGGAGAACGATGACGATGGTCTTTTCATCTTCGACCGCCGCTCACCTGATATCATCGATGTCGATACAATTTCAGACACGAAGGAGATAATTGACTTGAACGAGCCAGTTGAGAAAACCAAAGCAAGCCCTGGAATAGAAATTGATTTAAAACTGAATGACCAAAAGATAGAAAATATCTTCTCAGCTCCGGTATCACCCAACGGGATGGAAAACTCACAGGACATTCTTAACTCCCCTGATGAACCCCAGGCAAAACCTCTTTCTGATAATGGAGAGGAACTCGATACCAATGGGAAACCTGCTTTCATTGAGCCCTCCCCAGAGCCGGAATTTGAAGATGTTCTGTCTCTAGATCATGTCCCCCATATAGCTGTGACAACGGAACAGCCGTCACTGGAAGAACAGCCGTCACTGGAAGAACAGCCGTCACTGGAAGAACAGCCGTCACTGGAAGAACAGCCGTCACTGGAAGAACAGCCGTCACTGGAAGAACAGCCGTCACTGGAAGAACAGCCGTCACTGGAAGAACAGCCGTCACTGGAAGAACAGCCCATTGCATATGGAGATATTGATGATGGGGGCGAATTCAGTGACCCAGAAGATGAGGAACTTATGAGGCAACTTGCTGAAGAAGGGGAAGAGCATGTTCGATTTGCCCAGACCCTTAACTCCGCAGCGGCTACCCAAGAAGCATTTGATTATGAGCAAGAACTTAAACAACTTCGGACTCAACAAAAGAAAGATCGGCGTGATGCAGACGAGGTGACTCAAATCATGATTACGGAATGTCAGCAATTACTTACACTCTTTGGATTGCCCTACATCACCGCACCCATGGAAGCCGAAGCACAATGCGCTGAACTTGTCTCTTTGGGCTTGGTGGATGGTATTGTCACCGATGACAGCGATACATTTCTCTTTGGCGGTACCCGCGTCTACAAAAACATGTTCAATCAGAGCAAATATGTGGAATGCTACTTGACTTCTGATTTCGAAAAGGAGTTCGCCCTACATCGGAACAAACTTATCCGTTTCGCCCATCTCCTTGGGAGTGATTACACTGAAGGCATCCCTGGCGTCGGTCCCGTCACAGCTCTAGAGATAGTGACCGAGTTTTCGAGCTTAGAAGAGTTTCGCGATTGGTTGCCACAAGTACAGATGGGCTCGAACAACCCAGACGACGCCCACGCTACCTTTCGGAAGAAATTCCGAAAAAAGGCCTCGAAGATCCTCTTGCCTGTTTCATTTCCAGACTCTCGCGTTGATACTGCTTACCTCGAGCCGGAAGTTGATTCAGATCCTTCACAATTCCAATGGGGTGTGGTGGACTTGAACGGCCTCAGGGGTTTTTTAATGTCCACAATCGGCTGGAGTCAAGAGCGCACTGACGAAGTCTTGGTACCCGTCATCCGCGATATGAATCGTCGAGAGAAGGAAGGTACACAGTCTAATATCACACAGTTCATCCAAGGGCCCACCGGTGCAGGCGCTTTTGCACCGCGTGTTCATCGAAAAGGCCCCAGTCGCCTAGAGAAAGCTTTTAGCCGACTCCGACAAGAAGCTCAGGGCTCGAACTCTTTGCCCAATGATGATGCCGTGGATTATTCTTCCAAGTCCACCAAACGGTCAGCATCAAATAAAGAGAGTAAAGAGAGTCAAGAGAGTACTACGAAGAAACGAAAAACTCGCACACGCGCCAACTCGTAAGCATCATGAAGTGCTGATTCGCCCATAAAAAAATGTTCTATTAAAATCAATATAAACACAATTATCTGCACAAGTGATAGCAAGACAATGAAATCAAAGTGATGAGACAATATATAGATCAGGTGCTTCATCGTCCGACTACAGTACACTTGCCCAGTTATGTACTAGGCGCTTTATTAGTCCTGGTGGTTCCAGGTTTCACCTGCAATAATGGGACCACATTACTTGGAAGTTTTGAGGTGTATTCAAGTTCATGTCATTCATACGGTGAAAATACATTATCATAGACAGGATCAGCTAACGAGACCGAATTTACCGCACAGTGTAACCACCATCAATGAGCAAATCAGCACCAGTAGTGTAAGTGCTAGCATCGCTAACAAGGTAAACATAAGCACCCTTCAACTCCTTAGCCTGACCATTGCGACCCATAGGAATCATAGAATTCCACAAATCCTGCGTCTTCTGTTCAACAAAGTCTGAAAGTCCAGTATCGATATAACCAGGCGAAATGCTGTTGACGCGCGCAAAGCCACGCCACTCATTAGCCAACGACCGTGCCATATGAATACAACCAGCCTTAGCAACATTATACGAAGTCTGCTCCTGAGGGAAATTGGCAATGTGTCCAGACATAGAAGAAGTAATGACGAAGCTGCCAGTGCCACGCTCCTTAAAATGAGCTCCAACAGCCTTGGCGCAGTGGAAAGTGCCGTTTAGATCGGTTTGGATCACTTCGTTCCAGTCAGAGACAGAGCCGTCTAGGATTCCGCTGCTGGCTGTGCGGCCTGCATTGGCGATGAATGCATCGATCTTGCCGAAGTCTTTGATCACAGAGCTGACTAGACCTTCGACACTCTCCCAGCTGCCGACGTCGCACTTGTAGGCTTTCACTTTCACACCGTACTTTTCTTGGAGCTCCTTTGCGTTCTTCTCGCCTCCTTCTGGGCGGGAGGAGTAGGTAATTGCGAGGTCAGCGCCCATTTCGGCGCAGCCGCGGGCGGCTTCAATGCCCATGCCGCGGGGACCGGATGCACCGGTAATGATTACGACCTTGCCCTTAAGGCTGAAGAGGTCCTTGATGCTGTCGGCTTCGGGAACGGGAATCATGATGTAGGTGGGATGTGTATGTTTTTGAAGGGATATTTGGTTTGGAGGAGATGGAGGAGGGGAGGTTGTAGTAGATATAAGTTTTGAGAGATTATTGATGATAGAGAAGGAATACCGAAGGCAGAGGCTGTCCTTTTATAATCGTTCGTGTTCTAGATTCCCCTCTTTTCCAAGGTTCTATAATAGAATATGACTTAATGATTAAGTGACGACATGTGGATATGTAATTGGCTGCCTTGATACAGTCTGGGAATTACGCCCGGTTTCAGCCTATTTCCAATTGACTAATGATAATAGCCTGTCTGGTACATCCAACTAGTTCTACGGCGTAACAAGTTAAATACTGTACTTGCTAGGAACTATGACGTCACGACATATCAACATTCAACTAATCGGATGATTGTTGCTCTTTGCGGGAATGTCAGGGAATTCATTCAATGGTGAATGGGGCTTATTTTAGCTACAAATCTCATACGCCTCAATTATAATATACACATTAATGAAATGGAGGTCGTTGTGTAGACTGGGTATGTTGAATCGCAGTGTATATATAGCCCTTGACATCATTGTGGACCCTGACGTAGTAGGTATCTACACTTCAGAGTCCAACATTTTCAACATCAACTCTCGGAGGTGTCAGAATATGAAGACCCGTCGTTCCTCTATCTCTGTTCACAATCAGTTATACCTTCAAATCAGTCCACTCGTCGACGTTTCTAGCTCTATAACATCTTAGCAAGCAAATCGGACATCGACGAATCCGACATTTTAGAAGGCAGAGAAGTCCAGACATGAAAAATCGCATGGCTCATCACTCCGTGTGTCGCAATTCTCAAAAATATCCCGGCTGGGCACATCTCCTTATATGGCTCCATTGTTATTACAGGCTTGGCTACAGGTTTCTAAATACTATGCTCCTGAATATGCCTCAAGGTGAGTAGCGGCTCATTGTAGTCTTGTTTTGCAGATGGTTTGCCTCCAAGTATAAGAAAACATGATGCTGGATGATTTGTCTATCCCACTTGGGCAGATCCCTGTTCTTATAGATTCTATGCTGCCCTCTGTCTTTCCCGATCACAATAGAGGATGCGAGCTGGCGAGTAATTACATTCGTAGCATACATAGTGCCAGGTTTAGTCTTATTATGGCCCTAATTTCATCCAACCGCATAGGCTTTACCAAGAAGAGTACATCTTCTACACCTAGATTTATAGGTTAGCGGGCCGGTCGGATCATTACACCATAGTTATTCAGATTATCTGAGGTACCACAGTACCCAACACACTCCGGGCACTTTGTTCAAGATTTTGCCCAAATTCCTGCAAGGTTATCTTATGAGGAGTAATAAAAGCAGAAATTCTGACGAAAACTAACCCTTTGTGCCGAAGGCTTTCGACAAATTTCAAGTTCAAAGTTGCTTTTGTCAAAGTAGAAGTTTCAAAGTATAGACAGCCAGTGTCCGAATCCGCACTCCTTCCAGTATTGAGCGGTTGAAACAAACCATTGGTGAAGGTTTGTCGTCTGCGTTTCAAAAATCGAGTTGCACAGGCCTCGAGATATGAGCAGTATTGGTCCATACTATCCATTCAAAAATTGAAACAAAGAAGTTTAAACCAATCGTTTTCTGCGCTTGGACTGTTGGCTTGGGTGGTACTCGCCGAAGTAAACCACTCGCACGGCGGGGAACAGTTCAAGCGATCTGAGCTCAAAGCACATCTTTATATCCGAGTAAATCCACATTCAGGTATTTAGGTTGGTGCACGATGCCGAATCAAAATTTGGCGGAGTAAGAAAATGAAATGCCGGCGTACCTTGGTGCAATTCGTTGGACAGCGCTCGAAATTCAACCGAAGCAGAGCCAAATAAGAGGAGCGAGCCGGCTGAGGAAAATATTCCAGTTGTCGCTTGGATAATAATCAAAAGTTCATTGAGAAGGGATTTGAATCGTGGAGAGCAATTTGATGGAAACCGTGCTTGATAGAAGGTTACCCCGGTGAGAAAATTGATGTGAGGTAGAGATACAGTGAACACTAGGTATAGTTAACACCATCCATATTTGGAAAGGATCAAATGAACGGGGCATATCTAGTTAATGACTGATCTGTTGAGTGAAATGACTCACTAACCTACGAAATGTTTCGTTGTCTAGGTATTTTGGCCCCTAAGGGTATATATCTGCAGCTGATGGCGCTCAGAGGCAGTCCGGGATGATGTGGTACCAAAGTAAGAGTAATCTGCTGCAGCGACCTATCGTGAATGGAACCCCATGAGCTGATCGCTTTTATCGTTCTGCAATCTAAGTATGAGGAACTTTGGACTCGCTTGGAATAATAACTTGATCAGGACTCGGGATATACTATGTATTGATGCTGTGATGAATTATCTAACAATACCATTTCCAAGGTTAAAAATTGAATCCATGAGACTGGTTGAACCTAAATTTGAAGATTATTACAGGCGATATATGGGAATCCCGTTTTCACTTGTGTATTGAAAGATGCCGACTACCATTGTGGCCAAACAGTAATATCTCTCAACTCCTCTCTCTGGCTCATATAATATGCTTGCCCCAGCAGATGGAGCTTCCGTCGATCAGTCTTTTTAGATTTAGTTTGTGGGATTCGGTCGATGAGGAGAAACAGACTAGGGACACAATAGGTTGGCAAATTCTGTGCAGCGGCCTCACCCATCGCCTGTGTCAACGGGTAAATAGCATGGCAATTCATAACAGGTCGGAATTCCATATTTTCAAAAGCGCCATCATCCACATTCATTGGATTGCTGGATAGGTAGACATAAGCGACAAGGATAGGCTGGCTGACTCCATCCGGTGCGCCGACCACATCGACAACAGCGACATCTCCAGTGGATAACTGGCGCCGAAGAATATTTTCAACCTGAACGGCTTCAACTCGACTACCGTCCAGCTTCAGCATTGTATCCTTTCGACCGATCAACTCAATTGTGCCGTCGTGGTTATATCGACCCAAATCTCCGGAGCGGTATAATCTGTTTGCTGGCCGTTCAGGATGCAATTGTGCCATCCATGCCGGAGGCACTGAGAGGAAATTTTCAGATTTCCCAGAAATATGATCGAGATAGCCTCGTGAGACATGAGGTCCTTCAATGACAACTTCCCCCACAGCTCCGACTGGCATAAGCTGATCTGAAATATCGGGGTTCACCAACCATATTGCGCCAGTGGCTGGCCTGCCAACTACAGATCCTCTCCCAACTTGTAGATTTGGATTGAACGCACAGAGAGACGCGACTTCGCCCATGCCGTATTGGTTAATGACTCGTACCCGACCAAGCCACTTGCTCAACACGGCGTCAGAGACCGGCTCTCCGCCAATGCACATTGTCTTTAGGGTTGGCACTCGGTCCGGAGTTATATCTATCGCAACTGAGGGTGTCACAAATGTCATGTTGGCTTGTAGATTATTCATATCGATCATGAGAGATTCCACCGTTAATGAGACTGTGGGGACACAGCAGCAGCCGCCTGCTATGAGGGGGGCAATGAAATCATTGTTGCTAATATCAAAGGCATAGAAGTCGAGCTGGAAGAGACGGGAATGAGGTCCCATGCCTGTCACCCGGATATAATCCGTCAACGACGATGCGTAGCTTCGATGTTCCTGAATAATGCCCTTGGGACTTCCAGTGGAGCCAGATGTAAAAAGTACGACGCATGGGTCGGAGGGCGTGACGGTGATACACGGCACACCAGTCATATGAGGTAGATTTTGAAGGGAAGCCTTGCTGACCTCGAAATTTGTGCGAACTAGATTGGAAAACTTGTCACTGAATCCAACAGATGTCAGCATGAGTGTGCTTTTAGTCCGTTCCAAGACAGATGCGAGGTATGGTGGAGGATCATGGGCATCGACACAGATGTAGGCACCACCAGCCATGAGAACGGCTAGGCGGGCAACGATCGCCCATGTAGACTTGTAGAACATGCAGGCTATGTAAACACCAGGTCCAACTCCCTGGCCCACAAGCCAGTGTGCTAGTCTTGAAGATAGGTCATTGAGCTCGCTGTAAGTGAGATCACCATCCCATGAACAGACAGCCTGTGCTTCTGGAGTAGTTTTCACATGCTGTAAGCATAGTTCATGCAACAAGGCGTCTTGAGTAGGTGATAGTGAGCGAGTAAAGTTTGCAATAAGCTCGCGATCATGTGAAGAGCACATCTCCACAGCTCCGATCGTCTGTGTCGATATACTGCCAATAGACGATAGTGCCTGGTCGAAACTGTGAAGCAAGCTAGTGGCCAGCTGCAAACTGACAGTTGTTGTTTCGACATGAAGAGTCGCCTGTAAACAAACCTCTGGTGTTCGGTTGATAGAAAGTATCAGACCAGTGTTAGGCTCTAGCTCGGACGGCTCAGCGATGGGTGTGGAATACAGGTCCTGATAGAGATCTGTAAATGGTTTGATGCCATTGGTCTGACGATTTTGTCCTCGGTACAAGATGATAGTATTGTAACGAGAGTCGTTGCCATCTTTTCCATGGTGTTCAGGAGTGTCATTCACAACACTTGAAGCAGCAACAATTGTTCTGAAGAGATCTTGTACTTTATCTTGCGTGTCAACATGAATCTGAACTGGTGAGCCAATCATTATCTCATGAGTCCCACCGACATAGCATCGGCCTTGCATATAATCTTCAGCAATGTAGAGTGCGGTGGATGCAGTAAATGTACGAATGGTAACTATCCAGGCCAACTGCACAAGGCGTTGGACCTGCACATCCGTATCATCATTAACAGCTGAGCATGGTGCTTTTAGGAGTTTACTTAGATGGAGAAGATCCGAAGGCCTTCGAGCCAGAGTCAAATGAACGGATGAGTTGGATGGTTCATGTGACTTGTGTTGGTTTTGCCCTCCATTCAGAACCGAGTTGATTCTACTCGATTCCGAATATATAGAAGCCATGATATCAATCTTCAAATAGATTGTAGCTGGAATATAAAAGGTAGCATGAGCGGAAGAACCGGCGATTTCAAAAAAATTCCCAAGAAAGAAACTTGACAGTAATTAGATTCAGCTACTTAAACTTAAGTACTACACAGGTGGGGATTGAATCTCAATATTTGGTTTCCAGTTTGATACCCACCCCTTCCGATTCACTTTCCGACCATCTCCACCTGAACTGTGATGGTTCTATCGACTAAAATGGTTTAGAAAAGGAAACCTAAACCCCGGTAAAAGTACACAGAGAGTATGACAGTGATAGCAATCATTGTGACCTGCATGGTGCCGGTAACATCTGTAACATTGAACCTCGCGTAATTCGTACATCACATTCTTCGTCTTGTCTGCCGATTCAATGTGATGCTTGTCAATGGTTCTATTTGAAAGTGGACGGCTAGAGAGATCAAATAGATTGGAAACCCAAATCAAGCCGCCCTTCAAGGTCGAAAGCATATTCAACGATTAACCCTGAATCCCGAGTTTCTCATCAACTCCAGTAAAATCTCGATAACATAGCATAGATAGCGGGGAGCCTAAACGACACGAGTGACCCCGGGCTTATAACCCTCAAGAATTGTGGTCACTTGCCCCCAAAGCTTCTCCCGAGCCTGTCGTCCTTCCTCGCTGCGCACAAACGGTGAAAGATTGGTGTTGCAAGTGTATCCATCGCTCATATAAGCGCCATGGCCTTCAATGCCAGTAGATATGCCAGCAATCAAAGTACGAGATCCTATCTCCGTTGTCCGTGCCATGAAAAACTTCATCACGGCAAGGCCAATTCCTGCCTCTCGTGCCAGTGCTGAGTGGCAAAGACCTGGGTTTACCATGGTGATAATAACCTCCGATCCCTTCACCCGTCCAGCAAGCTCTTGGACAAGCAAAACCTCGAGCAGCTTTGATAGTGGGTACCTATCAGTCATCTTGGCAGTTGCTGGGTCTGAAATCACTTTGAGAGGCTCATCGGCTTTCCACTCCGGGAAATCAACCCACCCGTGAACTTCACTTACCACGAGGGAGAGGTGAGGCTGGCTGGAGGGGAACTGCATCTTGGTTGCTTTTAAGGTTGGGAGGATGAGCAGTGAGAGCAGCAAAGTATTGATTACATTGACAGTGATAGTTTTCTCATAGGTCCCAACCAGCTCGAAATTATTTGTTGCAAGAGCTGCATTCATAATTGCTGCATCAAGGCGGGGAAGCTGAGAGATACGTTCGCCGAATGCCAACACGGAGCTATGAGATGCGAGATCCATTTCCCACACTTCACAGACATTGCGTCCGGTGGATTTCTCGATATCCTCTTTGGCAGCCTCGCCAGCTTTCACATTACGCACAGCCATAATCACTTTGGCTGCGCCCAATCGAACTACATGGCGGGTGGCTTCCAGGCCGAGACCGACATTAGATCCAGACACCAAAACCGTCTGGCCCTCGAAGGACTGAGTGGGATAAGATGGCCGAACGAAAAATTGGGAGTAAAAGAAGCTAGGCATGATTGATGATTTGAGGAGGAAAAGCTGAGAGAATGAGGGTTTATAAGAAAAGTCATGATATAATGGAATTCTGGTACGGAGTTTAAGCGGCGTTAACCCGCAACTCAAGGCCGGGAATATCGGTATTAATGGTGGCAAGTTTTAACTCCATATATGTATACAAAGTATGACTCAGTAATAAGGCTTTGGCATTTAATAAGAATTGACCACTGTTAGTTACGGAATCCGATAGATGCAGCCGCGACAAAATCCATAAAACGGAAAATAAAATACGTATTTTACACTCGGCAGAATGTTTTATTACCTGTGTCGTCCCAATTCTGCTAAGTCATCTCAACCTTGAAATTCGACCAAGTCCAAGTCCAAGTCCAACTCCAACTCTACTACAATTTACAAGTAATAAGGTAAAATATCTTATTCAATTGCATTGATGAGAGCACTTTTAAAGCAAATACTTAAAAATAAACGAGCATACATGAAAACCAATGAGATCTAGAGCCAAGTTGCAACCAACATCACTCGATTCTTCTTGTAAGGGTACTGGTGCAGGTATCGATGAATATCATCAATCAACTTGGGGATGGAAGTTCTATGTGGGATATCCTTCGTTCTAATAGATCCCCTTCCTCCTTTTCCTCCTCCGTTTGTATGTTCCACTCGCCGTTTGTACGGTCTTGCAGGAGAACTACTGCGGGTAAAACCAGCTAACAATAAAAGAGGGTCAAAAGGGTAATTCCGTTACGGGCGGTGAGATGGCACTTTAGGATTACAATACTATTCATTTTGTCGCGGCTGCACTATCGGATTCTGTTAAATAGACTGTGACTGGCTGGCCAATCATTCAAATGCCACAAATGAATGAAACTGAATTTTCTAACGAGGGCGTAATCTGGCTTAAATACACACCTAAAAGTGGGTCCCAAACCACTTCCTCTGACAGATTCCGTAGTTAATGCAAACAGTGTTCGGATTTCTATTTCGCCGAAAACCGAGGATTGAAAGTCAAATTTGAATGACGTTTTGTTAAGTGGCCAGGGCCGAGAAAGGAATACTCACTCAAATATTCTAAATATTATATCTGCTGCTACACGTGTAGATGGCCACGGCCATGACCTAGGTAGACTATATCAGATATAATTTAGTGGGTAATCATCTGACAAGTGACGTAGCCTCTCCACTTCGGCTTCATACTATCTTCATTCTCTTCCAAGGTTCTTCTCACTCTCTACACTCTACACTCGTGGATTGAAATGTTTGAGCGTCTTGGTCAAAAAGTACTCCATGCTGTTGGGGGTAATAATAATTCCCCGCCTAGCCATCAACAACATCTGTTAGGCCAGGGAATGGTGCATAACGATGAGCGTCCAATATGCTCAGCTCCCCAAGGAGGCACATATCCCCGCCTAGCACGACTTTCTGACGGTTCAATCCTGTCCTCTTTTACACGCTTTCCAGATGGCAAACATGCCCTCTGCGTTGCTCGCAGTATAGATGGTGGACGCACCTTCGAGAACTTATCAGAGGTAACTCGGTCAGCAGGAGATGTGGACAATATGTTTCTGCTCGAGATTTCTCCTGGAGTTGTATTAGCGGCCTTTCGCAACCATGATGTCGGCCCTAATGGTCCAAAACACTTTCGCATTACTGTCTGCAGGTCCTTTGATGGCGCTCGTACATGGCAGTATGCATCCCAAGCCGCAGAAAAAGGCGCTCCACTAGGGATTTGGGAGCCATTTATGCGATTAGGGAGACAAGGCGAGGTTCAACTCACCTACTCCCAAGAATTCGCACCCAACAATCAGTGTACTATGCTAGCTGTCTCGCGGGATCAGGGAAGTACCTGGACTCCACCAGTTTGTCTGCATGGTGATAAGGATTTTCTGCGAGATGGAATGAACGGCATCGCAGAGACCTTTGACAATGGTCGCGAGGCTCTCGTTATGTGTTTTGAAACTACACGTTTTGGCACATTTAGTATAGAGGCACTTATATCCTACGACGATGGTGCTACTTGGAATAGTCGTCACCAAGTTTTCTGTCCTAAGCGCGGTCATAATGCCGGTGCTCCCCAGATTGCGTCCTTTGCAGACGGTTCTATGGTGGCTGTGTTTATGACTGATGAGGATTCCGATCGGGTCGAATGGGTCAAGCACGCCTCCATTAAAGCTGTCTTCGCGGGCCCGCCACAGAATGGACACATTCAATGGAGCCCACCGACTTTTGTCTCGCCTGAATCAAGCTTCTGGCCCGGAGTGATGGCTCTTGACAATCATACTGCGCTGGTCACGTATGACCGAGGGGGACCACTTGCTAAGACGATTACTTGGAACCCTCAGTACTGAGTAATGGGAATGTAACAGTCCGGGTAAAGGCACTATACGGACAATGAATATAGTCGAAGGCTTGAAATGGAATGAACTCATGATCATCTTTTTGAACAAACAGTGCTGTTCGGCTATGCTTCCGATTCTCGGGTCAAATATCCGGCAGCTAGATTCGCATGCTAACCTTGACATAGAGCATCGATAACCTGAGAATAGTATTTTGAGTGGAGTTTATATGTATGCCGCTGGTAAAATCAGACTTAAGTGCAGGTTAATAACAAGCGATTGAACGCTGTAGAAGCTGAGCCCATTGAGCCTATCAAAAAGATAGCCGATATGCGACCGTCTCCGCATCGTCGGAGCTTGTCCGGGATCGGCTCTTGATCAAGTCTTCTCCGCTAATCGCACCATCACTTTCTCTTCGTTGTATCTCTAAACTGTCCCTTATTAAGCTCAATTTCATCACCTCATCACAATGGCGTCCATCAGAGCCAATTGCCGCAAGGTCATGTGCATCGGTCGTAACTATGCGTGCGTATCCTAGTCATTTTTCCCTCGGGGAACTGGAGACGCTCAGACTCGTGTAACTCAAGCTTCTTCTGTTCTGAACTGACCTTTGCGACTATAGCGATCATATCACCGAATTGAACAATACCGCACCCAAGCAGCCATTTTTCTTCCTTAAGCCCGCTTCCGCCATTCTCGCCCCTGGTGCCGGTCCCGTTCTCCGTCCCAAGGGCGTTAGCCTACACTATGAAGTAGAATTGGGTCTTGTGATTGGCAAGACCATTCGGGATCTAGATCCCTCAGATGAGAAAGGCGCACTGGACTCCATTCAAAGTGAGTCGGGTCTCACCTGCTGATGGTACCCCACCTTGAAGCTTGTTAACAATGGTGTCTGTGTTTCTAGGCTACATCCTCGCCATTGATATGACAGCTCGCAACGTTCAAGACGAGGCTAAGAAGAAGGGTCTCCCCTGGTCCATTGCCAAAGGCTTTGACACTTTCCTGCCCATTTCGCAAGAAATCCCCAAGTCGCGCATCCCCAACCCCCACGATGCTTTCTTGCGCCTTCATGTTGGTGAGGTCGAGCGCCAGGCTGACTCTACCAGCTTGATGCTGCACAATATTCCTAAGCAATTGGCACAAATCTCGCGTGTCATGACTCTTGAGAAGGGTGATATTGTCCTTACTGGTACACCCAAGGGTGTTGGTGAGGTTAAGGCTGGTGATGTTATGCGCGCCTCTATTGAGGTTGGTGGCAAGGAGATCGAAGAGGGTCGCATTGAAGTCGAGGTGAAGGACCGTGAAGGTCTTTACGAGTTCAAGGAGACCTAAAGTCGAGCTGATCGCAAAGCCTATTGTCTATAGAAGCCATATAAAATCAAACTTTTGTCGTCGAGCTGATACTCTTTTTCCTTCATTCTCTTTCTCTATATCTGCCCCTCTCTCTGCCCCTCCTCGGAGCACGGTCACTCCTTGCTTGACCAAGCTTCATTTCATTTTCTGTTCAACGTTCTAATGATCTTGAATTTACTTCATATTCAGCGCGTGGGGGAATTGAATATCGTCAAGTCTTCTCGACATAGCCACATGGTCAGGCTATCTGACTGCATCGAGCTGGAACTCGCCAGGCAGATATTTTGAATGACATCCGAAACATGACGAAGCCGATATCTTCACTCCGGTCTAGGTTTACCGTCATGGTTCTAAAAGCATTATCTCCGTATTTCGCATGAATCAGCTCGGAGGATCATACGGCTACTCAAATCCCTCCAAATCCCTTCCTGGTAATTCATTATCCGCACGATGAGAATGTATATAAGAAAAACCGAGGCTGAATAGTCCGTGGAGACAGGGTTAAGGCTTTAACCGAGCAACAAATCATATCAAGCGATAAGATCTTTATCCGCCCCACTCGGTCGCTCGCGGTAACAAACACAAGTTCTCCACAGCAGAACTGTCTATGAAATGTCCAATATCCATATTCTATCTCTTTCAATGTGAAAATCTCAGAATGTATGAAGTCGATGGTAGTATCCTCGACCTAGCTTAAAATCATCGACGTTTTCTACACAACATGCTCGAGGACTGGCAAGCCCGCATTCGCGCCGTCGACACAACCTCCCCTACCTGCTCCGATTCAACTCAAGACTCCTCTCCTAATACACTATACAATCAAGATACTGTCGTACCCCGTACATATGAACCAGATGCCTCTTTGGTACTGGTTGGCATCCGAGGATGCGGCAAGCGCTCGCTAGGATTTGTCGCAGCGACGGCACTAAGACGGCGCTTTATAACCGAGGATCATTATTTCAAGGAAATTACAGGCTCAACGCGGCGCGACTATCTCAAAAGATTTGGCAATCAAGATTTTCAGAACAAGGATATTGAGGTGCTGAAATTGATGCTGGACAATCACCGCACTGGATGTGTAATTGAATGTGGGCTCGGCACTCTAACACGGCCTATTCAGGCCCATCTGCGTCACTATTCACGAAAGAACCCTGTTATCCATGTTTTGCGCGATACCAGCATTGTTCAGCAACTTCTTGGTCTAGAGGACCAGTCAATACGACTGTTGCGCGACGCAGACCCTACACATCGGACATGCTCCCATTTTGAATTCTACAACCTCGAAGATCGCACCCAATTTGTCTCGGAGGACGGAAGCCCTGATCCTCGATCTGCAGCGTATTCGTTCAAGCTACAAGAAGTCAAGAAGGATTTTACCCGCTTTGTTCATTTCGTGACCGGCACCAACGTACACTCCAGCTACGATTCACCTTTTGTCCTGCTTGAAACACCTCCGGAATTCCGTTCATACACCCATGCTATCTTCGTTCGCTCCTCCGACCTTACGGCCGATAATGTGAACCTTCCAGAGCTAGAGTCAGGAGGAGATGCCATCGAGCTTTGTGTTGATAGCTGGGGGCCCGAGATGGCCGAGGTGATTACGAGACAAGTGGCTATTTTACGCCGTAATGCGCGGACACCTGTGATTCTGTCAGTTGACACTTCTCCCACCGGCGTTCCGAATTCGTCATATTTCGACGTCCTAGAACATGGGTTGCGGCTGGCGGTGGAATACTTAGTCATTGATCTTGGCCAAAGTCGATCTCAAATCGCTCAGATTATACGCGGTCATGGGAAAACCAAGATCATCGGTGAGCATATATTCGAAGCGTTTTCCCGTGTCAGCTGGGACGACGAGAGCTGCGTCACTCTATATAATGACGCCGGAAGGATTGGATGCCAGCTCGTTCGTTTTTTAAGGGTAGCTACAAACCGCGAAGAAAACAACAGCGTCCAAGAATTTGTCAACAAGATTCGCTCTCTACCCGGAGAGCACCCACCACTGATCGCATATAATATCGGCCGTCTGGGAAGAACATCCCAAGTATTCAATTCCATCCTGACGAGCGTCACACACCCGGCCATCACAAGCACATCAGAAAACGAGCGCGACACGCAGATAACATCTCGCGACGCCGTCCAAGCCCTCTTCCACAGCTACGTGCTTGACCCATTGAACTTCTACATCCTCGGAAGCAGCATCGCCTACAGTCTCTCACCAACAATGCACAACGCCGCCTTCAAGCACTGCGGCATGAGCAACACATACAGCATCCCCGAATCACCATCCCTCGCAATCCTAGACCAATTCCGCCGCGACCCCAACTTCGGCGGCTCAAGTATCGTCCAGCCCTGGCGTCGGGAACTCTACCAAAAACTCGCCTCTAAAAGCCGGCACTCCGAAGCAATCGGCGCCATAAATACAATCATGCCTCTGCGAGGCTCATCTGACGGAAAAATGTACCCCCTCACCGAACAAGCCTCGCGCCGAAACCAAGCCGGCCCTATCTTAGGCTGGTACGGCGAGAACACAGACTGGGTCGGCATAATGATCTGCATCACTCGACACCTCTCTCCCCGAAATGCCATCAGTTCAAAGACAACAGGTCTAGTTATTGGTGCAGGTGGTATGGCCCGCTCTGCCATCTACGCCATGCTCCGATTAGGCTGTCGCAAGATCTTCATCTCCAACCGGACGCAATCACGTGCGGAGGAGGTAGCCCGCCACTTCAATTCGTGGGCTTCATCGCAGGTAGACTCGGTCGAGGTGGTTCGCGTGCTACGATCTACACAGGATGACTGGCCTGAAGATGCAAGCCCGCCTAGTTTAGTTGCGTCTTGTGTTCCTGCCGATCCAGACCTCGATGAACCACCTGCTAATTTCGAAATGCCGCTACAATGGCTCGGTAGTCCTACGGGTGGTGTAGTATTAGAGGTATATTTTCTCCACTCTTGATTACTGTTGTTTGTGTTTTGCATTTTCAAATACTAATCCAGCTATACAGATGGCTTACAAGCCGCTTGACACACCTCTTTTGCGACAAATGCGTCGCATCAGAGCCGATAATGGCAGATCATGGGTTCTAGTCGACGGACTCGAAAATGTCATTGAACAAGGCATCGCTCAATTCGAGTTGATGACCGGTCGCAGAGCCCCTAGACGACTGATGACCCAGGAGGTCCTGCGTCACTATGAAGGGGAGAGCGGGAAATTTGACGAAAAAACCATTCAGGCTCGATTGGACGGTGTGTGTTTTTAGCCGTTCAACATGGAACAGGAACATAAAGGAAACAGGAACGGAATTGAAGACGGTAATGAAAAGGATATCTTGGAGTTAGGATAGGATGATTTTTGGGGTTCCTTGGAAGGTTGTTAAGCTATTCCGGTTATGTGAATTTGAATATACCAATCTATGCAATGAATGCCTTTGTCTACTTCCCTTTTCGAATGAGGAAAATCCTCAATTCTAAGGCTCTATCAAGCCGTGAAAACTTTCAGGTATAGGCAGCTAAGTAGGTGAGATATGATAAATACATGTAAGTTGTATTGTGATGAGACTGGCGAGGTATCCCTTCCCCTCTCTTAATCCCTATTATTTAGTGGCTGAGCCAATATGATGGCCTACTAAACTTTTTTCCGTTTCACTTTCTGTAGAAGGTCGCAACTTAGTGCGATAAATTATACAATCCATTGATCTAAATGGAAGGTAACTTTTAGCTCCTGAACATTGTGACAGGGACGCTCAACATTAGTTTACTCTCAGCATATTGGTATAGTAATAAAAAACTTCATCAAAAGCCATCTTACCATTTTTATTTGGACTATGCTCCGATGGCTACCAACCTCAAAAAATTCTGTGGTCTAAGTGTTACAAATACTTTTCAACAGGGCAGGCTCTGGGCTTTCAGAAATATATAGAACTCAGGACTGAAGCGAGCTTTGGATTATCATGATCAAATTCAATCCAAACTCTCTGATAATTCCACCAATATCCCCTATTATCCCTTTCTGCCATGAATTGCCTTTCCAGTCTTCAAATAGGTGTATGTGACCCTTTTTAATCATATCAAGCCTTGTTAAACATTTCCTTGAGTCATTTGGATACTGCATCTTATACTTGTTCTTCCACTACATGAATACTTATGGGCTTGTGATGCACCCGGAAGTCATAGTTATCACTACATAAGGATATCATGGATACCTCCATCGCCAAAGTGAAAGAGATGGAGCGTCCTTGATATCTTGTTCTCCGGAGAATCACAGTCATTATTGCCATCCAAATCCAGCCTCCACTATCACCAGTCCTATACGACTAGATGCTTCTTCGTTAAAGAATCCGAACGAAATCTTGTCTTTTTTTATATCTAGCGATACCAAAATCCAAAATGATGGTCATGCTTCCACTATCCCCGCTCCTGAACCGCAAAAGGCTTATTCTTATTCATCCAAGTACTAGAGAGACAATCTTTTTCCTGAAAATGCTGAAAATAATCATCAAACATCGAGCTAAAGAAGAAAATCCGTTAGGAAGAACTTCTGTCTCTTAGAAGCTGTTGAGTTATTGATTGATTATTACTAGTCTTCTCTCAGTCTCTGAATTGCACACACGCTGGAATTAAATTTGACCGTCTCTTATAGTTACCATGTTCATGAAATCGAATTAGATAATAATTCTGCATAATGGGTTGGAGCTATATAAATTTAGCATGCATTATACAGCCTATAGAGCAAAGGTTGGAGAAGCAGATATAATCAGAGATCTGATATTTTTCTCCCCTTCCCAAATTCAAAGCTGCACATGGAGTTGACAATGTGCAATTGGTAAAATTAACTCTTGTAGATGTGACTGTGGACGAGGAGGTATACTAGGTAAACCCATGTAGCGCCTCCGAATACTTTGAGCAGTGCGATTTAGGTCGTTAAATCGAGTATTGCTATTCGATTGGGCAGAAATTGTAGAAGCTATAGACGGAGAAGCTATAGAAGCTATAGATGGAGTAGTGATTGAGGCTGTAGATGGGTAGAATTGGTACAGTCATTCTCGAAATCGGCTTGAGCAACACAGAATAGCCAAGAAATATTGCGGGGTGTATTAACTTGTTCGATACATCCCTTGGTACCGCGCAAATAATATTTAATTCACGACGGTCACAGCCCATCTTAGCCCTTCAAAGCACAGGCTTATCCACCTGCACCGCCTTGCCGAGAATCAGTATCACTCTTAGTGTGATGTTGCTGTTGCTGCTCAAGAGTTTCAACGTTACAGTTTCTCCTACACACACGGTGGTAGGCGAGTAGGCGGCGCTTTTGACAGCGTATACAGGTGGTCGAATCCGCTACAGTCCCATTACTTAGTATTAGCATGGTCCTCAGCGAGTCCAGCCTGAAAGTCTCCATCACCAGTACCTATTCCTTATCAGCCTACTCACATCGGCCCCGGTTGATTTCACAGATTAACAATACTGATAAGAAGTCCAAGATTGCCCTAATATAGACATAAGAGGTGATTCTCATTTTGTCAAATTTCTTAACAGATTTCAGTGGCTTTCTGTTTCGGACTGCATATCTCATCTTAAACGGTGTTCATGATCAGTTAGGTATTATAGAGGAATATAATATGTGATTAAATACGTTTTACCCAACCAGTCAGCCATTTCATAGGCGGACTTGCGGTCTTGTTGACTGCGTTTAAATGGTCGCACAAAGAGAGCAAAGATAAGTTCTGGCTCGCCCGTAGATCTCAACAGCGGTGTTTTTCTGTATACATTTAGGATTATGTCATTCAATCTAGATTGACTAAAAACTGATACAAAGACGTCTCAATTTTCGCTGGTTGTCGTGACTTTAACTACACACGCCTAAAATTTGTGAAGTTATCAGATTGATGAGGCATGAAGCTAGACAAGATGTCGACACTATGGCGTAGGCTATTTTATGACTTATTGGGTTTGATCAGAAGGTAAGTCCATCCGACGAAGTTTCTCCGTCGTACTCGCTACCCTGTGCGTTGATATCCGCTCCTTTGTCTAAAAGAAGCTGGACAATCTCTTGATGGCCTCCAGCTGAGGCGGCATAGAGAGCGTTGCCGAACCCGCCACCCTGTGCGTTGATATCCGCTCCTTTGTCTAAAAGAAGCTGGACAATCTCTTGATGGCCTCCAGTTGAGGCGGCCTGGAGAGCGTTGCCGAACCAGCCACCCTGTGCGTTGATATCCGCTCCTTTGTCTAAAAGAAGCTCGACAATCTCTTGATGGCCTCTATATGAGGCGGCCTGGAGAGCGTTGCCGTACTCGCCGCCCTGTGCGTTGATATCCGCTCCTTTGTCTAAAAGAAGCTCGACAATCTCTTGATGGCCTCCGCGTGAGGCGGCCTGGAGAGCGTTGCCGTACTGGCCGCCCTGTGCGTTGATATCCGCTCCTTTGTCTAAAAGAAGCTTGACAATCTCTTGATAGCCTCCAGCTGAGGCGGCCTGGAGAGCGTTGCCGAACCAGCCACCCTGTGCGTTGATATCCGCTCCTTTGTCTAAAAGAAGCTCGACAATCTCTTGATGGCCTCTATATGAGGCGGCCTGGAGAGCGTTGCCGTACTCGCCGCCCTGTGCGTTGATATCCGCTCCTTTGTCTAAAAGAAGCTCGACAATCTCTTGATAGCCTCCAGATGAGGCGGCCTGGAGAGCGTTGCCGAACCCGCCACCCTGTGCGTTGATATCCGCTTCTTTTTCTAAAAGAAGCTCGACAATCTCTTGATGGCCTCCAGCTGAGGCGGCCTGGAGAGCGTTGCCGTACCGGCCGCCCTGTGCGTTGATATCCGCTCCTTTGTCTAAAAGAAGCTCGACAATTTCTTGATAGCCTTCATATGAGGCGGCCTGGAGAGCGTTGCCGTACTCGCCGCCCTGTGCGTTGATATCCGCTCCTTTTTCTAAAAGAAGCTCGACAATCTCTTGATGGCCTCCAGCTGAGGCGGCCTGGAGAGCGTTGCCGTACTCGCCGCCCTGTGCGTTGATATCCGCTCCTTTGTCTAAAAGAAGCTCGACAATCTCTTGATGGCCTCCGCGTGAGGCGGCCTGGAGAGCGTTGCCGTACTCGCCGCCCTGTGCGTTGATATCCGCTCCTTTGTCTAAAAGAAGCTCAACAATCTCTTGATGGCCTTGAGTTGAGGCGGCCTGGAGAGCGTTGCCGTGCCGGCCGCCCTGTGCGTTGATATCCGCTCCTTTGTCTAAAAGAAGCTCGACAATTTCTTGATGGCCTTGAGTTGAGGCGGCATAGAGAGCTTTGCCGTACTCGCCGGCCTGTGCGTTGATATCTGCTCCTTTGTCTAAAAGAAGCTCGACAATTTCTTGATGGCCTCCAGCTGAGGCGGCATAGAGAGCGTTGCCGTACCGGCCGCCCTGTGCGTTGATATCCGCTCCTTTGTCTAAAAGAAGCTCGACAATCTCTTGATAGCCTTGAGTTGAGGCGGCATAGAGAGCGTTGCCGTACTCGCCGCCCTGTGCGTTGATATCCGCTCCTTTGTCTAAAAGAAGCTCGACAATTTCTTGATGGCCTCCGCGTGAGGCGGCCTGGAGAGCGTTGCCGTACCGGCCGCCCTGTGCGTTGATATCCGCTCCTTTGTCTAAAAGAAGCTCGACAATCTCTTGATAGCCTTGAGTTGAGGCGGCATAGAGAGCGTTGCCGTACTCGCCGCCCTGTGCGTTGATATCCGCTCCTTTGTCTAAAAGAAGCTCGACCATCTCTTGATAGCCTCCGCGTGAGGCGGCCTGGAGAGCGTTGCCGTACTCGCCGCCCTGTGCGTTGATATCCGCTCCTTTTTCTAAAAGAAGCTCGACAATCTCTTGATGGCCTCCAGCTGAGGCGGCCTGGAGAGCGTTGCCGTACTCGCCGCCCTGTGCGTTGATATCCGCTCCTTTTTCTAAAAGAAGCTCGACAATCTCTTGATGGCCTCCATCTGAGGCGGCATAGAGAGCGTTGCCGAAGTGGCCGCCCTGTGCGTTGATATCCGCTCCTTTGTCTAAAAGAAGCTCGACAATTTCTTGATGGCCTTGAGTTGAGGCGGCATAGAGAGCGTTGCCGAAGTAGCCGCCCTGTGCGTTGATATCCGCTCCTTTGTCTAAAAGAAGCTCGACAATCTCTTGATAGCCTCCGGCTAAGGCGGCCTGGAGAGCGTTGCCGTACTCGCCGCCCTGTGCGTTGATATCCGCTCCTTTGTCTAAAAGAAGCTGGACAATCTCTTGATGGCCTCCAGCTGAGGCGGCATAGAGAGCGTTGCCGAACCCGCCACCCTGTGCGTTGATATCCGCTCCTTTGTCTAAAAGAAGCTGGACAATCTCTTGATGGCCTCCAGCTGAGGCGGCATAGAGAGCGTTGCCGTACCGGCCGCCCTGTGCGTTGATATCCGCTCCTTTGTCTAAAAGAAGCTCGACAATTTCTTGATGGCCTCCAGCTGAGGCGGCATAGAGAGCGTTGCCGTACCGGCCGCCCTGTGCGTTGATATCCGCTCCTTTGTCTAAAAGAAGCTCGACAATCTCTTGATAGCCTCCATCTGAGGCGGCATAGAGAGCGTTGCCGAACCAGCCACCCTGTGCGTTGATATCCGCTCCTTTTTCTAAAAGAAGCTCGACAATCTCTTGATAGCCTCCATCTGAGGCGGCATAGAGAGCGTTGCCGAAGTGGCCGCCCTGTGCGTTGATATCCGCTCCTTTGTCTAAAAGAAGCTCGACAATTTCTTGATGGCCTTGAGTTGAGGCGGCCTGGAGAGCGTTGCCGTACCGGCCGCCCTGCGCGTTGATATTCGCTCCCTTAGCAATCAGATCTCGTGCTGCTGCTACGAGCCCGTGTAAGCAAGCATAGTAGAGTCTAGAGCCTTGTGGAGGACCAGGGTGATGATCCCAATTGCTATCAGCCTTATATAAACGAGCCCATCGTTGGAATGTTGCTCTCTGTTCAAGGAACCTGACTATCACTCGAACTATATCATCAGAAGCCTCAGCCAACACTGCATGGTCTGTCCAAAGTTTCGCCGCATATCTTGCCATCGGAAAATCTCGCTTGATCACTTCATTGCTACCCTTGATATCCGTAAGATAAGTCAAGCATGTCTTTGTTATAGAAATGCTAGCAGTCGTAGTTTCGAAATTATCATGTTTAAGGAGGTACTCTTTAACAGAAAAGTGGGCAAGATGTAGCTCTTTAACGTCACCTTGAACGACTGCCACTAAGCTAGGACAGTATTTCATAATATCAGTCTCGCGAAATAGTCGACGCTTGATGTTAAAACCTCCTGACTCATTTTGCATCTGCGTCGCTATGATTTCTCTAGCTTCAGCCAGCTTAAGAGGTCGCTTGGAGTATACTAGGAATTGTAGGAGTCGTATTGCATCATTTTTTAGCTCTATCGGTATGCTCTCGACCATGCGCTGATATGTTGAATTTAGATCTGGTGGTAAAGATACGAGAGCTTCCTCCATAGCTGCCTCGTGAGGACATTGAGCTAGGCTATTCAATTGACAGAATGCCCACCTAAACCTACGCATAATATTAGTAAACTATTAGTCCATCAATTAAAGCAGGATTATCTCACATCCCGTCGGCCCTGTCTCCAACCGCCTTCTGGATCCTCTCGAGAATATCCTGGGATAAGTGATTCTCTGTAAAATCTCGTCGCTCAGAAAGTTGTGCTATTACCCACGACCGTATATCGGAGTTAACAGCCTGCTTCTCAAGTGGTAGGCAGTTTTCCTCGCCTATTAGAGGGGGAATATAACGTTGAAACTCGAGTTCAGGTCGACTGGTATAAAGTAGCTGGATATAGGCCAAGTCTGGCCTAGAAACCATTTCTTTAATCCATAGGAGGATATCGTCCCTTGTTTTTGATTCATCTAATGCGTCGAGAACGATAGAAACCTTTTTCTGGCCTATAAGCATCTTTGAAATAATATCTGAGAGTGCCTGTGTTGTAGGTTGACTGCTGCCATTCTGGTGTCCTCTAAACAAATCATCAAGATATGTAGTAGAGCCGACCCCGCCTTGGTAAAGTTGGAAAGCAAGCGACCTCAGCAGGCCATTAAATGTCTGCTTTGTGAAGTCGCTAAAGTCAAAGAAGAAGCTGAGGATTAGACCGTTATTTGCCTTTACAAGATGATCAAGCACAGTTGTACTAAGGACCGTCTTCCCACATCCCGCAAGCCCGTATAGCCATAAATGTCGACGCGACCCTAAGAGCCACGACTCGAACACAGGATTTTTTAGAAACCACGCGCCTGTCCCCTTATGACGCAGCGTCCTCGCGTGGTTAGCATTTATAGACGGATCCGGGGGACAAAGCCAGCGCCTGATCTCATCAGTGCGAAGATCAGATCTGATAGAATCAGTTATGGTTTTCGTTATATTAGTGGTCTGCTGCACACTATCAATCTGTCGTTGAACTTCTTATAGTTAGGACATATAATAATTGAAAATATAATATAGCCTTATATATTTGCTAGGCTGCATAGTGAACAAAACAAGAACTAACCTGACTGAAGCACTTCTAGTGCCCTCTTAGTCTCTTGGACCTCTGTAACCGGCACGTACGCCAGAAGCTCTTTTGTATACGCGGCGGCGGTCGCCGAGGCGTAGCGTTGCCATCGATCGTTCTTATGAGAATCGGCGTAGTCGCAGACCCCTCGGATCACAAGACAGGGAAAGTGGTTCATTAGGCCGGCCGCTTCCATCTCAAAGCAGATGCAATCTTCGCCGAGGTCAGCAACAATCCGATCACGAGCAACAGCATCTTTGATAAGTGTGTTGCCGGATGCGATGGTCCCATAATGAATATCGGGATCACTAGTATCTCGAGAATCACGTTGAACCTCATTAGCTGTGTCACAGCCCCGACAGTCTGGGCCGGGGATATGGTCGCATAAAGTTTTAAAGAGGCGGTCGTTGTCAAAGCCCTGGTGAGCATAACCTGGATTTCGCTTAGATCTTTTGCCCATCTTCGGGTTCTTCTCCAGCATTTCTTGAAGGAAGTAGGGGACCTTGGAGTTTTTTCGCTCGTGGTAGGCCTGGATTTTGCTAAGCGCACTGAGGAGGACCGTCGGTGGCCGTCCAAGAAAGCCTTTACGCTCACGCTTGTCACCAGACTTTGCCTTCATCAGATCGTACTGGCAGACGCCACCCATGGTCCCATCGGGATGACTCACGACAACATCACCTAGCCGGATATCGTAGTCCTCATCCGGTCGAGCGATGCCGCCGCCTATACCGACCATAAAACCAACACGAATGGATGGCAAAGATGCAAGCAGGCTCGAGGCTGTGGTTGCAGCCGAGGTGGTTCCGTAGTTTCCAGCAGCCAGAGAGGCAATAACAATATTATGGTCTCCCACACGACCCCACGTATAGACGTTCACGTCGGTTTGGTGTCTAGTGAAGCCGGTTGGAGCTGTATGTTCCTCATCAAGCATCGCTTCTGCAGCGGCCCGCTCGATAGGAAGAGCAGAGATCCAGGCGATTTGATAGAAATCGGGGCTGTCGAGGGTGTTTTGGGATGCCATGATGCAGAAAGAAGCGCTCTAGACTTCCAGACAGGCGGGAAAACAGGATTATGCCCTTCACCTCTGTCGTAATCACACGGGAAAAGACGGAGACGAGAGTCTAACGTATTCTTCGTCACTGGCAGTCAATCCAAGGGAGCAACCTTGCCAGTTACCATATAGGAGTACTGCTATCAAAGGTCTCATTCACTCACGAAACGATCTTAGACACCGGGAAGCAGTAGGAGGATCGATAGGTCTGCACTTATCTCGAAGATAGAAGAGGTGCAATAGCTTGGTAAACAGTATTTATAGCCTTCTCAGCCCCTAATACGCAGTCTCATGCAAAGGTACGTATTACAGCCGCAGGGCGGCAAGAGAAAAAAATATTATTGGCGGTAGCAGGTTATCGAGTATACATACAGGTCAGAGGGTGGCGGGGTCCTCACCCCACCCTCTAACCTGTCTGTATACTCCATTTATCTCCATAGAAGCTGTGACGGTTACAGAATGGACACTTTTACACACCTCTTCACTTTTTGACTCCCTACTTTCACTGAGCTTTCTTTTGTGGTTGTGGTTTTTGGCTGAATCGACCTGCACGTCCCGACCGTGTTGCATAGAGCGTTCCCCTCAGTTAAGTAGTCAGCAGCAGGGCTTCCAAGGTGAACTTTCCTTTTCTGGCCCTCGTGCACGAATAAATTTCTCCTCTTTCCAAACAAACTTGGGGTTTTTTTTCCTCCCGAGCACGTGGTTTGAGCCTCATTCTTGCTTGACCAGCAGCTACGAGACCATGCCACGAACTCTAGAACATGCGTTCGCACCAACCGAGCATATCTTGACTACGGGTGCTCGGATTGATCAGTAGCCATATAGCTGCAGATCTATACAGTTCTGGAACCAAGCTTTGGAGAGACGATCTCAAAGACATATAACAACAATTAGGCCAATCCTATACGGACCGATTTTCAGTCCGAATTGATGGAAGCATAATCCAAATTTTTAATTCCTTGTTCCAGGTACAGAATTTTATCTGGTATGTGTAGTATTCTGAATCAATTTTGGCCTATAACCTAAGTTTCTTAGGGAACCCTATACGAAACACCAAGAATATTGGCAACTTGTGGGCTCACAATTCAACGGCCCCGTCGAAACCTATCTATGCTTTTATATTGTGGATTGAAGAAATCAGACTTCGCGAAACTTTCGAGAGCTTATAACACAGTCTATGCAAGTCTTTGACGAGAAAGACTTGTTGTGGCAAAAGAGCACGACCTGTAAACACTTGGTAGCCTTGGTCCATGATTTACTTGGTATAAACGCTGTGAAGAAAGTTATTTGCTTCGGGCTTGGTGATTTTTGCCGCTCCGCCCGTGAAAAGCAAGAAAAATCAGTTTTACTCTTGGAATAAGACCTTAGATATGGATAATGTGATTGGCTGTCTAATCCAGCATTCGATGGCTCTCACTATCGCTCAATCTCGAAAAAGAGGTAGATTAAACAGGACAACAAAGCGGGTTTCATGATGCATAAATCAATGTCAAGTCAACTCCAGGGCGTAAATAAAATAGAACCATATTAATGATCTCTTTGCGAGATGCTCTAGGATATATTGTGTCTTTTAAGGCTCGGAAAACTCCAGTTAAGACCAACAAAGGCAAGTGTAAATGCTTCCAGTGCTTGTACAGGAACCATTACAAGCAAGACCCTAGCGAATAGTGTTGGAAACACCCCAAGAAATTGCGCACGTTTCACTAAGCTACATTATATTATGCACAATCCAGAGATAGATGGCGTTTCTTAAAGCGGATTCCCCGAAAGTGTAGATACTTGTCGAAGCAACGTCTTGAATGCCGTAATACTTCAAAATAGTTTCCATCAACCCCCTCTCTTATGCGGTATATGACCACATAGGCAAAGTATGTTAGTCCTGTGAGATCAGAAAAGCTATCGTAAATAAGCCTGATGATTGCCCCACTCACGACAGTCGGCCTTGAGTGTCCGACATGGAACGTTGATATTAACAACAGGTCCAATAGTATATTAACCACGAATTTGCTAGAACTTATCATCAAAGGGCAATGCTACGATACCCAAGCGTATATTTTTGAAATATTGTACATGTGTTTAGAGTTTTGGCGTTGATGGCGTCTTGTAATGTTGATGTCGAGCACTCGCTACCTATTACTCGGCTGGTGTGGTCTGCGCTTGGTGTACTTCGAACGCCATATCGCAAGAATCTTTGTAGAAAGAATGGAAAGCGTCATTGGCCACGTCCTCCGAATCTCCGTCCGCACCTTGATTTGAAAGATTGATATCCATAGATAACTCAATGCGAGAGGGGTTGAAGGGACCCCTCTCGAGAAGACAGAAGTTCAGTACGCGTGCATCAAACTCGTATTGGTGGACTGCTGTATCACGAGCATCGTCTAGTATCGGGAATGTATACGCGACTGTGATGTTCGAATCCGAGGGTGTCGTTGAAGTTGTGGCGGAGGCTAGCTCCCGGGGTAGTGAAACATGGCAGAAAGCTGGTAGAGGAATGGAGGTCGATGAGTCGTTGGTAGCAAGTGAGGCTTCACGGAGAGGGGCCTTGATACTCTCCGCGAGGGATTCGTACTCCGGCAATTTAGACAAGGCGACGTGTGAGATTTTGCGGTAAACCGTCCGAGTGAAATGGACGTCTAAGCCGTTTTCAGGGAGGAGATATTCGATGCCACTGGTCTCATAGATTGCCTTCACTTGTTTGATATCAATGATATCATGTATCTCATCTAAGTTCTCAGAATGCTCAGTGCTCATCGCAAAGAACTCGATTTCCAGCTCTGGAAGTGTCTCACTTGCAGATGGTGGCGGAATCAGGCGAACGCGACGTAGTTGATAATCTGTCCCTATATGGACGTGTTTAAGGGATTCCAGGAAAGGGTTGATTCGCGGGATATCGTTGACGAATTTTCTGTCTAAGGAAAGACCGCCAAGTTCAGGGGCACTGAAGCTCGTATTGGTGAAGGGAGATTTCTGTGCAAAGAGACATTGACCGACGGCAGCAGTCACTGATTCATGAAGTTTGACACCAGATTCAGACTCTATTGGTAGAGTCGAGTTTCTACGAAGGACTTTCAAAAGTTGGTCCGAGATTTGTGTCGGGTGATTATCGTAAAAGAGCTCTTGGGGAGATCCAATTGTCGAAGCCTGAACAGGGGGCGTGGCCCATCGAAACCATGATTTCTCTCGATCAAGCCAGGAAAGATTGTTAGGTGAATTGTAGGTGTAAAGATCTGCTTGTTGCGTGGAGGGTAGGTAAGTGGCAAAGGATCGTCGCGGCTGGTTGCTATTGTAAATCGCCAAGTTGAGTGCTCTACGAGCATTATCCGCACCCTGCTTATTCTCGGCAAGATAGTAGACTTTTTGCAAGACGTTGGCCTTTCCCTCAAAGCTGACTTCGTAAGTCTGCTTGATCCAGTCGAGAAACTGGGGTGTGAGCGCCGAGACAGAGGCCTCCGGGTCGATGTTGATCGTGTCCTCTCGAATTCTCGCGCTGGCATCTGCAATTATCTCACGGATATGCTGGCAGGCACTTTCTGTTCCGGTGATTCGCACCAGTCCTAGGGAGAGAGTAATGTCGATGCTAGACTGAGACATTTTCGCCACAGAATCGAAAGAGAAATTCAGAGAATTCAAGAGAAGTTCAAGCGCGAAGTGAGGCATATGGAGATCCAGCTGTCCAATTTCATCACCCTTTGCCAGCTGCCAGCAATTCCGCAGAATTCTTTCTGCCAATATGTGTTTGCCCTTAAGATCCAGCGATGAGGTAACCCGATCAACCGCATCCTGGTTCATAGGATTTGCGAGTAAGAAAGCCGATTTTCCAGGCCTCCACTGTTCAGCTGCCTCTGTGCCCAACGAAGAATAGATGTTCTGATCAACATAGTTTGATAGCTGTTCCCACGTAAATGACGAGGCCAGGCGTGACCGTACTTCCTCCCAAGCGTCGGAAGCCAACTTTTGGCTTGGGTTTAACTCCCCTCGGAAGCTGTCGAATGCTTTTTGTACTGACTCTGAACAGCCGCCTAAAACTTCGGAATCCAGATCGTCCAACATGGAGCTTAGTAGGCTGCTTTGGGGTTCGTCTTTGGCTTGTTTGCGCTTCCGCCGTCGCTTAGGAGGTAGGACGATTATTTTCCCTGGTTCACCTAAACTGTCTACCCCTATGGGGATTGATCCAGCACGTTTCGACTGGTGTACTTTCCGATCTATCGTCCGTTTCGATTGCTCCTTCTCCTCCAAATCGTCCCAATCCTCCGCAGGCCATAATGGAGCGTCATCTGAGTTTGAACTTTGATATCGACAAGTGACAGGATGGGTGTACAGTCGCAGGAAGTAGGGGCGCGATATTGAGGAGCCAATGAGCCCTCGGAGGCTCCTCTGATGTTGCATGGCCAATCGATGCTGGTTGTCTGTAAATCTGCAAATTCGCGATTCTAGCCGCTGTCAATCGCGCTAACCAAAAATGGATATTGGTGCCTGAGGTGCCATTTCCGTAGTTTGGGCTGAGCTTATTTCATCGAACCTCTTCAGCTCGTCAGTTTTCCAGTGTCATTGGCCAATTGTTCAAGATGGAGCCCACATTGAAGAGGCGGGGGTAAAAAGTCGAGTCCTAATTTGGATTGTAATTGGTACTAAATGTGCCCATCAAGCCTGAGAGTGATGCAATCCAGGGATAAAGCGTCCTGATTGGTCTGTCATTGACGGCCATATGCAGACTCTATAAAGCGTGAAGTGTGAAGAAATAGATTGAATAAAAGTAAGCCGATCTTACCACTTGATATCGCTTTCTTTGAAGTCTAGAGTCTCATATACTGAAATAGCAATTTGCGGGTCAACAATGACCAAACAACGGCGCAAATGGCGGGGGAAGTTCGCGGAACCCTGCTTTACCGCCCCCTCAGAGAAAACCCCCAGTCACAATTACGAGGTTCATCCTCGATATGACGGAGAATAATGCGCCAGACCGGCCAGCCAGCGCGGTAGACTCTCACTCTCCATGCGACAACCGCCCTGACCAACGCGAAGCCCTAGAGCTCCACGAGATTCAGACCCAAGAAGACAATGAATTGGACGACTCCATGGCATCAGCCTCATCAGGCGACGAGTACCATGTCACAACTAGACGGGCCACGCAAACCGCAACGCCCTCGATTGCGTGTCACAGGAAGGGACTATGGAGCAAGCTGTGTCACTTCTGGACACACCACGTCACATTGACAGTGCCGCATAAAAGCAATCGTGATCACTTTGGTATGCAGGTCTCAACAAATCTATCTGGGTATCATCACTAACAGAGATCTAGCTCTGGAGAGAACCTTTCTGGCATATGTTCGAACTTCGTTGGTTATTGCCATGCAGGGTGTTCTCATCGCCCAGCTGTTTCGCCTCCAGCGCTCGCCGACTGCAGAGGACCGCCTGAAGTTCTACCAAGTTGGCATCCCGCTAGCTGTTAGCTGCTACGGTATCGCTATCATTGTGGCGATAATCGGCGCATATCGCTTCTGGAGACAACAGAATGCCATTGCGTTGGGGAAGATCTATGCCGGCGGTTGGGAAATAAATCTCGTCGGCATCCTGCTCTGTGTTGTAATTCTCATCCTTCTCGTCTCGCTTCTGGTACTCTTCGGCTAACATGATCCAGACCATTTTATCAACGTTTGTCCTTTCTCTTACAATCATTATTGAGATCGACCTCCATCCTGCCGCCTCTATCAGAAGGATGCTGATACGGTGAATCACGATGTGCAAATCTAAGCAAACTCGTCTTCATAACCTTGCAACCCTGGCAAGTATTAGATTTTTCCTCTCCATTTAATGCCTTGATGACCTCGAACGAATTGTTAGACTTTTATTGCTACGTCTTTCTACTGAAATACAAATTGTTTTGATTACGATACTTTCAATTTGGCCTTTATCCAACGTTACTACATTAAATAACAAATTCTACATCTCAGCTTGATATTTGTGCATTGTTGACAGCTAGGTCAACGGATTAGCGCACTTAGCAAGTCAAGTTCACATTGACATTCCAGCCTCCAAAGTTTAGATATTAGCGCCTCCGTTCAGGGGCAAGATTTGACCTGGGAGAAAAAATCAGCAAATCGCATTGATGACCTACATTCCAAGAGCTGGACTCACCGTTAACCCATTCTCCCGCGGGGCTGGAAAGGAAAGCCACAACACGACCGATGTCAGCTGGCACACCGCAGCGCTTCAAAGGGCTACCATTAGCCAGAGCAGCCTCAATGTCCTCGATGGACGAGTTCTGATCGCAGCCAGGGGCATAGCGCCAGGAGTTTTTGAGCCACATGTCACTCTTTACACCAGCCGGTGCAATGGCATTCACAGTGCAGCGCTTCTTTCCGAAGTCAGCGGCAAAGCAGCGAGTGAAGCCCTCGATCGCACTCTTGCTACCAGCGTACAGCGAGTGACCAGGGACACCGACACCAGCAGCGATGGAAGACATCAGAATGACCCGGCCACCAGGCTGTATATGATCATAGGCGTTCTTCGCGACGAAGAACTGGGCGCGGGTGTTGAGGTCGAAGACATCGTTAAAGTCGCGGAGCGTGGTATCAGCAAGTGAAACAAACTTCTCAGTTCCGGAGTTCGACACTACGATGTCCAGCTGGCCGAAGTGGGCAACTACCTGCTTGAACATGACCTCGATTGACTCGACTTGGGTCAGGTCTGCCTGGAAAGCTGCAGCATGCACTCCAAGTGCCTGGATCTCTCGGACGATCTTTTCGGCTGATACTGGGTCCCGGGCGTAGTTGATGGCTACTGAAGCTCCCTTCTTGGCTAGCTCGAGTGCAATACCGGATCCGATGCCGCGGCTGCCTCCTGTCACTAGGGCGACTTTACCAGCGAGGTCTTGCTGCACGACATTGGTAGTTGGGACGACCATTGTGAAAGTTTTTGTTATTGATGGTCAAAAGAGAGATGTAAACTAGGAATTTAGTTTCGGGGGAACGGGTTCTTAAGAATACTGCTGATCAAGGTATCACTGGCTGAAATCAGTAGTATGAGTTAATCGTATCCTGAAACTGTATACCTGGACCATTGATTGGCTCGGATATTTTTTTTCTCGGCCTGTTTGAGGTATTAAGCTTAATTCCACGGCTTTCAGATACTCTACATTCTTGAATGGACGGCTAATATAGAATTATATCGCCGTTTGCGAGCGCATACACATGTTGATCTCGGGACCATTTACCGCATGCGGCAGGCAACATGTCAAGGCGGCGGCGAGGATCCCCCTGAATGTCACATCTCTCAGTCTTGGTTGTATTTCTAGATTTAATGGAAATTATGAGGTGAGTTGTATTAATCAGGCCGGATCCGGAGAGAGGAGAAATTTGAGCCTGTCGACAAGACCAATGTACTTCGTACAGTTTCACGCAGCTTACATAAGTGGATTATCATTCCAAACCTACCTTTCATCTGAGGTCTTTAGTGGTATATCGAGTGATTATTTGATCTCAAAGGTGGTTCGAGACTCAGACAACTTTAAAAAACCGTCGAACAGTTTCACCCGTGGACGACTGCAACCGCCTAATCCCTTGGGGAGTCTTATTAGGTAGGTTTTGCCAAATTTTATAAATCTACTATTTCCCGCTCATTTTCCAAAAGATTTTGAATTTTTTTCGATGACTTTTTGAGAAAACGCACCATTCTGTCAGCTTTTTGCGCCCTTTGATCATCCCCAACTCTCATGAAGTTATTCAGCGAGGTCTCGCCACTCAGCCATCTCTATAAACGGAGTAGGATGGCAGAATCAAGGGATCCTAGAAGTTTTCTACAGTGATTGGAAAGTCCCTGCCCAGAGATCTGAGGTCTCTTAGATATTCCCACCACAGGATCACTGCCCAGGAGGTCTTGTCGTTGGCGACATATCCAAAGGCACGCCACAATTGTGTCATTCGAAGGTGATACTTAATTGTCTATTAGTAGTCTGAAGCTTGATACCAAGGTATGCCATTTTCAAAGTTCATATCATATTGTTGATAATATCGGTTGGGCGAATAACCGACACTAGAGTAGAAGCTTACCTCCTACTCTGTGGCCGCGCTAAAATCTAGAATGAACACACGTCTCAATCATATTGACCACATACATCACGTAGTCAAAATAATACAAGAGTTCCCTGCGAACAGACACATATCTTCATGTTCCATTAGACCATGTGATTTCAAATAGAGAATCAAAGGAATCAGTTCCAGAAAACCTTTTGCAAAGCATCACACATCAGAGTAATAGATCTCTTTCCCTCCGACAGCACACCATCCATAGCCAAAAATGGATGCGGCATCCCCTTCATGACTTGTAAGTCTACTTCCACGCCAGCCTTTTGCAGCTTCTCCGCATACTGCTCACCCTCAGACCGTAGCACATCACACTCACCAACCATGACCAGAGCCGGAGGGAGGTCAGACCAGTTACTTGTATAGAAAAGAGGACTTGCCTCTGGGTCCTTAAGATCGGCCTCATTAGGCAGATAGTGATTGCGGTACCAGAGCATCTTAGCCGCGGGCAAAGCGACGGTGTTTTCATAGACACGATAGGATCCATTGGTCTCCACTACCGCAGTATTATCCGTGACTGGGACTGAGAGTAGCTGCGACAGGAACCTGACTGGCGGTGACAGAGTCAATGCCTTGTGAGTCATGACTGAAGCGAGGTTTCCTCCGGCTGAGGATCCTCCAGTCGCCATCTTTGATTTGTCAATCGATAGCGCCGCGGGTCCTTCGGAGATCAGCCATAGTAGCGCTTCCCAGCTATCGTGGACTGCAGCGGGGAAGGGATTCTCAGGCGCAAGACTAGACGACAAAGATGTGTTAGATGAGCTGCGCGAGAAATTAATTCTTCCTGGAATTCTCACCGATAGTCAACTGTCACTACAACGCAGTTCCCGCGCACACAAAGATTCGAGCATACCACATTCTCAGTGTCAATTGAGCCAAGAACCCAGCCACCACCGTGGAAATACAGCACCACTGGCCATCCACCAACTGGTACTTCGCCTTTTGGGGTAAAGGCCCGAAGCAAGATGGGAGGTCCTTCGGTCTCGCGGCGCTCAATGGTGATATCCTGTGTCTTTCCAACCTGCAGCATAGGTCCAGCACCTGGTATAAGAACACCACTTGTTCTGGAGGCCGCGACTGGTTGCAAGTGGACCTGCTGATTGTTGATTATAAACTTGTTATAGAAGTCGACATACTCCGGATCCAATTTATCCTTGACAGACTCATGGATAGGGTATGGAGGCCGGTTAACGCCTGGAACAGCAGACATGATGATACAGATGAAAAGATTAAAAGTTGAATATTCTAGGAAACAGAAATGAGATCGAAGCACAATAATAAACCCTCCCCCCACGCTTTACGTGGGATGCGGGGAAACAGATAACACGATATGCGATAACATGCCTTAATCAGGTATAGACGGCCCCATTCTCCAAATCGCGCTGTGACAATACCCCTCTATCGCTGCGACCATAAAATCCGTGAAAAAGAGGGGCTTCTTTCGTGGGATGATCAGTAAATAGATCGGCTGAGTGGCTCAGCTTTGGAACTCCTCCAAAGACTCCATTTTACTTATGAAATATTACACAATGGGGCTTCTAAGACCCCTGTTCTGACCGAAAAGGCTTTTAAGCCCCTACCAGGTATTTAATCGTAGGCGATCATCGCCAATGGTGTGGTTTACTGTTCAGATGCTGGTGTAATGGACGCCACCACTATGAAGCTGGTGGACGGTGACATCAAGGCCCACACCATGAGTCGATCTCGATTAAAAGCTCAAAACTTTACTTTTTACAGTATTAGGGCGATATGAAGCCTTGCCACACATAAGTTCTTTTCTTTTGTCATTCTGCTTCTCCTTGCTTCGTTTATCTTGCGGTGTGTCGAGCTGCGGGCGATATGCATGAGCCCAGTATTAACCCAAGTTTTTTTTACAAATGCGTTGCAGTCAAGACATTGCCTCTTAACACCGATCTCGAGATCGAGTGTATTACTGTCTTGTGATCTCTTATATCAAATCAAAAATAAATTAATCAAGGATGTCCCGAAGGCGGTGGATTCAAAGTACCTAAGCCTAGAGGTTATATGTATGATATAGTATGTCAGATAGGCGCTATACAAAAGCCTAGAATTTATGTGCAACATTGAAATCCTCATCCTATCACTCTGTCATGGTTGTTTCAATACGTCGAATGATTCTTGCAGGATTCCCAGCAACCACATGAAATGGCGGTACATCCTAAAATTCACAATCCAATCAGTCAAAGTGCCATAATGTGATCTTAAATTGTCAAACATACCTTAGTAACCACACTACCAGCTCCAACAGTCGAGCCCTTACCAATAGTCACACCAGGAAGCACAATCACATTTCCACCAAGCCAGCAGTCCTCCCCGATAACGATCGGCAGTCCCGTCTCGGGGCCTTCGAGTCCGTTCCGTAAAGCTGGATCAAGTGGATGTGTTCCCGAATATAGACTAACATTGGGCCCGAACAACGTCCTTGCTCCGACAGTGATAGGACAAGTGTCAATGAATGTACAGTTTGCATTCACGAAAACACCCTGGCCAAGTTTCACATTGAAACCATAGTCTGCTTTGACAGGAGCCTCGACCAAGGGTTCGTTCTTGAAGAGTTCTTCATCGGCTGCGGGGTCATCAAGTTGAGGCGGGAGAGGAGTTTTGTCTTCCGTAATGCTATAAGAACGATCAGTCAATGTGGCAGTCCTGGAGTTCAGTCCATGTGAGAGTCTTCGGGATATGCCACCAGCCATCTAAGACCTTGGGATATCAACTAGCTCCCCGGTGTCTTTCATATTCCAAGATTCATGACGAACTCTGCAGATTTTCACATTGAATCAGAAGGGAACCTAAAAAAGTCGGACTTACTCATTCCAAAGCTCCACAAGTCGTCGTCTAGAAACATCACCCGCATTATTGAATCGAATGTTTGCAGACTTGCAGCGAGCCCGTGCAGCTGTAAGTTCAGGCGTGAATGCACGGTATAGCTCCCCACGGAGCATTTTTTCTCGCTCAGTGTTTCCTACCATGATTTGATAAGGCGCAATGCTTAAACTGTCTAAACTTAAAGTTTCAATAAGCCTAAAGTCTGCGTATTCACGCTGACAACCAGAAAAGTGAGATGATAGATAGTTCAGAGGACAAGTAATACTTAAGATATGCGGTCATGTGACTTAACTTGCCATGAAACCTAGGTAACTGGTGGTTGATATCACTTATATAAATTTATGTAGCGGATGATATAATAACGACTTTAGTCCTCTGAGCGCTCGAAATTGCAAATCGTGTTCCCGCTGGTCATAGCTCCTACCTGCATTTTGATATTGACAGGGTGCACATTAACGACTCGGATCACTTCTCCAGAAGAGAGAAAATAAAGTTTTCTACCATACGTATTACGTATAGGAACTTTTATCGATATGTTTTGAGAAGCCAAGTAACCGGGTTGAGTAGGTGCTGACGCTGGCGGTTTGACTGCCGCGGTGGATGCAGAGGGACCGAAAACATTTCGATAAGGGCTATCAGGCCCCTTAGATTTTGGGAGCCTTCATCGGCACTTCGGGAGAGGCCTTTTAAATGACTCAAGCATGGTGAACTGCAAAGGATTCGCCATATCTTTTCACGAGCAGGTTACTGATTTGGAGATTTGAAAAGAACTTGATGTTGGCTTAGAGGGCTGATTCTGGGGTATCTCTACGTATCTGGGATTGTTTGCTGGCGATCCCCAGACTAACGACTGATGAGAGCGCTGGAGGTAATATACCTAGGTATATAGCCAAAGCGTTGAAAGCCATCCGTCATGAAGAGACCCGTACTAAACCAGGGCCTGGCTTGGCCGATATTCATCGACCCTGGCTAGAACTTATTTCCATATTAGGTGCTAAACGATAAGTTGGGGAAGGTTATTCGTCACTAGTCCTGCGATCTGGATTGGTTCGTCTCAGAATCTGACATGTAGACGCCTTTAACTGGTGCACGATGGCTGCTGCGAAGAAATTAAGAATTGAAACAGAATATTTACAGTTTAAATATCAGTCAATCTGGTAGTTACAATGACAATTCGAGGTAATACACCTATTTCATAGCCTCACAAGACCTTAATGGGTATCTAGCTAGACCAATAGATAGTCCCAGCATGGATGATGATAGTAGAAATGCCGTATACCTACCTCTAGAGGTGAATCTTCACACAATTTATAGTGAATACAAAATCTCCAATATTACCTAGGCAGGTCCCTACAAATGAGTACCTCACTTAGATCAACCCGTATTCCTACTACCACTTTCCAATTACGTTTACTTTCACTCTCAATTTCATTTTCAGGTTCTAATAAAAGACTGTTGGTATGTTTGAGCCACTTGGAAAGGGTATCAGTATTGGAAATTAATGACTTGAGTTTGGACATTGCTTTCAGGGTTAAACAGGGAAAATGATCGGTAGTTCGGAAGTAAAAAGTATTATATCGGGCTCCCGTAGAGTCACCCATGTAATTATTAATAATCATCAATCTTGAAATCTATAATTAAATATTCTTTATGCAGTAGAAGCTAGGTTAGACCGAGCCCTTTTGAGCAGCCTTGCGTCTGATCAAGAAATATTGCACACCAAGAGAAGCAGTAATGACCCAAGAAGCAGCAGCAAGAGCCGTGATTGCCGTTAGACCCTTCAAATACTTAGGTGCGTCCGCAGAACGGAAAATCTGAGAGCCGGCAATTCCAGCAAGATTGGCGCCCATAACAACAATTCTAGAAAACATTAGCTCAAGTACAATATTGATGGTGAGTGGAATGACTTACGCCATAGCAACACTTCGCTCTTGGGGTGTTTTGCAGTAAAATGATAGCCAGCCGATATTAAGAATGCTAAGTGGTGTCAGTGTGAGGTCAAAATCATACTTCGGACTAGATTGAACGTACTGCATACTGCAATAAGAGATATTGGCGACGACGATAACGCCGTATTTGTGCCACTGGCCGTCTGTGCGAGGCATTGTTCGTAGACAAGCGTATGAGATGAGATTCCATGTAATAGAAATCAAGACAAATGGTCCACGGTGACCCGTCCAATCACTGTGATGTATTGTTAGACTTGAACAGGAAAAATGTGAAATTTAAAACGGAGTAGACTTACGATCCAACGGAGAGAATTGTCATCCAGATGATACCACAGTAAATAGGAACAGATGCTAATGCGTTTGCACGAACAGAAGTGAATCCCAAAGACTTGATCAGGGTAGGTGTATATTGAGCCAGACCCTGGAAACCGGACATGGAGACGAGAGTGACCAAAAAGTGCTGTATAATGCGTGGCTGCTTGACTGTCTTCCAGATATCGGATCCTGAGATCTGGATGTGGCCGCGAGCTTTACGTGGATCATCGAGGAGGACACGGTTGACGATGATGTGGGATTCACGTTCGTTGAAGTAGCTCCAGCGACCAAGGCTGACCAAGGCACGACCATCACCAGCTTTGGGAGGTACAAAAAGTGTGAAAACAATTCCGATGAAAATGGTAATAAGACCCTCGACTGTAAATATCTTTTGGTAAGAAGGTGAATTGATTGGCAATATCGAGATTACTTACCAAGGAAAATCCAACGCCATCCTTGGAAACCAGCCTTGCCATGGAGTTGTAGCAAACCAGCTGAAATCAACTGTGATGTAGCTGCAGCAAACATCTGACCGTAGAAGAACAGGCTAGTCCGGAGACTGGTCTCATCTTTCTTATACCAGGTGGATAGATAGTAGATAGCACCTGCATGGAAGATGGTTGATTAGCCGGATGATTCTACGGCGTAAAGGTTATGAATAAGAACTTACCAGGAATAAAACCACCTTCACAGAGACCGAGCAAGATTCTTGTTGCTAGATATGCCCCATAGGAATTGACAAAGCATTGGAAGGTTGCGACCATACCCCATGCAAATATTTGACCGGAAAGCCATAAACGGGGCCCAACACGTTGCAGAATAATGTTGGATGGAATTTCTGATAGGACAATTCCGGCAGATAGAAGCTGGGATCCAACGTTGACTTGATTTGTGGTAATCTTGAGATCCTTGGTGAAAGTCGAAGTCAAAACAGAGCCAATGTTGCCCCGATCCAGTTGAAGAGCGAAGAAGGCGAGGGCAAGACAGGGCAATAGAATGAAATCAATTCTATTCAGTAATTTCGTTAGATACTGTAGGAATGCATACTATGTGTTTGAGTCAAATTCTTTTCTCAACCACTTACTTGCGTTTCACAGAGGCTTCTTCACTCTCATCCCAGTCCTTGGCGATGATAGCAGTTTCATTATCGACGTATGGTTCGTCAGCATTGTGCTTTTCTGAGGAGATATCCTGCGCGGGCAGCTTCTGCTCCAACGATGCCTCTGACATCTTAAAAGAAAAAGAGAAAAAAACAAACGTTGCTCAAAAAGGAACAAGATTAAGTATAGGACTTGACTTGTGTATCAAGATGATCACAAAAGATTTGTGTGGGCCTTCGGTATTCTTATATAAAATTTTGACTCGTACCTTTTTTAAGCTTGCGTATTCCTGCGTTTAACATCTAGATTCTGCTTTACTCTGGTTGGTGTGGCCTGAGATTGTCGCGACACAAAACGGAGGTATGGCGCAATCATCTTGGCTTTGACGACAACGGTTAGGCCCATTTTTTTTCCCACGATTTAACCACGTTTAAACAGTTGTTCGGATATACCCCGGTTGGCCCTAATAAGGCACAAGGCCCTTTTGCCATCTAGATTTTTTTTTTCTTCTTTGAATTCTTGGGAGACGCATCTGTTCAATTCTGAATTTCCATGTTCTAAGGTGGGTCTATGAATGATGAATCTCGTACGCGGGTATTTCTGTTCCGGGGCCCCATTGATTTATGTAGAATAAATGGATCTTGGAAGGATCAGTAAGTATATTCTGCAGGATCCTGTGGGACCCCTACGACCCCAGTTAATTTTTTTTATGAAGGATTCAATTCTCACAAGTAGTCTTAGCATCATTCTACTTATTATATGTTTCACTAGCCTGTCTGTATATAAATTATTTTTTATGTTCTTACACCCAGACATCCCAAGGCAAGCCATATCGGCTTGTCAATGGTACCTGCGGGCCTTCAGCCTCAATGATGTATCCTTCGGCGCACCAATTGAATGAGACTTGAGGCTGGTTGGCATAATAGATGTCGTGCTTTTTATCCAAGGCATCCCGAAGACTACGAACAGAGCTTTCCGGTTGTAAGACATCCCATGGCTCGATGCATGTAACACCTTGGCAAGATTTCAAGACGAGAAGCAGAGCATCAAGTCTGCTAATTGCCTGGGACAAGCTGCGGCCGAGAATCTTCGGCTCATCAGTACCTGCCTTATTAACTTTTGGGTAAAGGTTGTGCATTTGGTGCGAATCCGTCTATAGATTAGGGTCAGAGTTATTCTTCGTAGATGTTTCTACAGCTCAACATACCGAGAGATCGTATAGTTCATGTTCATTGGTGCACCACACAGAGTAGTAAAGATCGTAGCCCTCACCCAGCAAGCGGAGTGACTTGTACGTGTTATTGGGAACCCTCACGCTTTCATCGGGACCTTGCGACACTGAATTAGCATATTTCCATATTAGGTCTGGTTATATGCAACTTACCGACGCCACCAAAAACACCCTCTGTCACAGCATGTCCCCAGTATTCAACTGTAACATGTTCATGTCGCTGTCCGCCAGACGCGGAAGTCACGGGGATGGCCGTTCCATCAAAGTCTGAGCGCGGTGGAATACCCGCAAGATCAAAGATTGTAGGGGCCAGGTCAATGTGAGTTGTTACAGAATCTTGAATATGCCCTTCAGGGACGCCCGGGCCACGGATGAATAGCGGGACCCGGATATCTTCTTCAAAACCACAGGTTTTTCCGGGAGGTAGCCGGTGCTGACCGATGTGGAAGCCATTGTCCGACGTGTATATGATGTAGGTATTATCAAGCTTGCCACTCTCCTCAAGTCGGCTGACGAGCGAGTCCACCAACTCATCCACACCTTGCAATGCGCGCAGACGGGACCGGTAGAAATTATCGTTATAATCCACTACCGTCTGATTCTGCTGGGGCAGATCTCGAACCCAGCTTACCCCGCTAGGCTGGTACATTGTTAGACAAAAGTTACTTGATTGGAAACTGGACCGACACGAACCTCATCTGGATTGAAACTTTCTGTTCGTGGCACTTTCACATCTTCGAATAAATGTTCGTGTCGTTTCAATGGAACTGGCTCAGTCATAACGACCGGACCTGCACCCAATCCATGCGGGTCGATATTCGAGTGGGGAGCAACGGGAGAGACGGTCACAAAGAATGGGCGCTCTCCTTCCAATGCATCATCTAAAAATCCATGTGCCTTTTTAGTGATCACGTCGGTGGTGTGCTGACCCTCATAGCTCACTGGAGCTTCTCGATTGCGTTGATAGGTAGAATTGAGGTAGGAGTAGGTGAAAGGCTCCACAAGGAAGTCGGATCCGTTAAATCCATTCGGATAAGGACTATCGTAATTGTAAATAGAGTGGGAGTTGAAAAGTTTGCCGGTATAGTAGGTGTCATAGCCAGCTTCTTGCAGCCAAACTGGCAGCCAGTTTTCATTGAAGCCGCGATCCACGAATTTAGGATATCCACCTACGTTGGGTTATTAGGCGCAAAGCTACAGTATGTCCAGTTAAATAACTCACCATATGGAGGATTGACATCTGTTACATTAGTATTGTGAGCTTGACGTCCTGTCCACAAACTGACCCGAGATGGGCAGCAAAGTGCCGTCGTCACAAAATGATTGCGAAAAAAGGTTCCTTTGTCACGGATATGTTTTGATACGCGTGGTGTATATGAGATAGAATCAAGCTCTAGATCTTGATCGTCCGTGATGATGAACAAAAAGTTTGGCGGCTTCGATGATTGCGACTGACTCGGTCCAAGGACTGATTGTCCGAGGACCGATTGTAGCACACTCTGTACATTTGCGCCAACTGCAACGCCTTCTACGGCAGCAATCAGACCAGCGACAGTAACAAGAAGCTTCATGTTGACTTGGGATGCAGAAGTGTCAGATCAAGCCAGAAGTGATGATATCGATGACAAGACAACGTCTTGGCTTTTTTGTCTTTTTTGTCAAATGGCCTGAGCTTTTGAAGAGTGGAGTAAAGTGGAGCCCACTCTTGCGAAGCTCAATGATGCCATCGGCGGTCAAGATGGCGAGGTGGATCGGCGTCTACAATTGCCGAGATATCTACTTCGTACTAACGTATATTAGGACTAGCTCATCGACAGGAACGAAGACTTCAAGATAAATGGCGTGCTTTAACTTGACAATGAGGACACAACTACCTCGACCTGCGAACCACCAAGGCACTCAGACTTTTCTTCAATGTTTGCTCAGACCACCTCGCTTAAGGATCGCATGAGATATACTTCGTACTATTTACCGCATTCGTCTTATGTTCTCATATATGTCCATGGATGCCGGTGCTTCGGCTAAATGAGATGGCTGCCTTTCTACTTACAGGCCTAGTTAGGTAAGGTGAAAAATCTCTCCCGAGACCGAAAAATGACTAGACATGCGAATACTTAATTCTGGCCCTGGGCCCAACAATCCTAAGTTTGATATACAAGGTTCAGAGACCTCGTCGAACCTTCTAAGAACTAAAGAAATTAAGGTTGCACATTTACATTCCTAGTGCGACATCGTTTGCAGTAGCGTGATCTCTACAATCCTTGCAGGGCGAGATCTGAATTACTGACACGTTCGATCGGATCGGATTTTATCTGGTTAACGCCGAGATCCTGTCCTTAGAGATCCTGATGGCCTTTAGAGCTCGGCATGAATATGAATATTCGCTGCGAATGCGAATATTGCCCCCGTTATCCGCGATTACTATTCGCATAGGGTCACGTTATATACTAGTCCTAATTAGGCATTAAATGCTGTCAACTGACTACGACAACGGTACGCCTAATCCAAAAACCCTTTTTTTTTTCCAAGCCCTTGTATCACGTAATATGGCTTTTTTTCTAAGAGAAGTGTTTTCATATACGGATCAAGACAGAGTGCTATATGGTAGGTATGTTGCTGATCTATACAAGTATAATACTTACTATATTCAATATTCCGGACTTAGCAGTAGAGCTAGTATCAGTGCTAAGCCCTTTAAATACTTCTTCGCTAGAGATAGCATGACTAGGTAGGTCATATTTTCTTTTTGCAGCTTATTGGTCAACAAAGAAACAGGTATTTGGGAATGAGATTCCCCTGGAACGATAGTGCATTTCGCCAAGATAACCATGGGAAGGACTTCGTAGTCCTGGATCAGGGAACCCGAAGAATCCCAGGGAAGGTACCGGCTCCTGCGAGAGCACTCACGGGGTCATAGACTCCCTTATTTTTGGTAACGACATCTCGGGCTCCTGGTAAGATTAGCGGGAGAAATTGTCGGTCAACCGATCAACATGTGTTATATCCATCTATAATTTATATAACTGTTCTTGAACGAAGTTACAGTAATAAGAAGGATAAGAGAACAGTCTCACTCAGTTGATAGTAAAAGAAAATTCTCATTTACTTTGATCGAGTCTGAATCGTTTCAAGAAATCTGGAGACACACTGGTATAAAGCTCCTTTTTCTTTCTGCCCGTACACTCGGTCAATGTATTATTACAGAGTTTTAGGAGCACCGCGGATAATTGATAAAGGAACTTGAAGAAACCTATTCTATACTTGCTGTTTTTATTGATGAGTAGTGGTAAAGCAATATTATGGGTCATTGGTCAATTATAGTAATAGCGAATCCTTGACTTTGTGAAGCTTTCTGAACCCTGAAATGGAAATAATATGGCAGAATAGGGTTATAAGATGTTAGACTTGCCAAACATCAGATTATAGCATGGAATACGTGTAAAAATTGGTTTCCAATGTACGGGATGGGTGCTAAAACAAAAGAAAAATGGTACAATAGGTCATAAACGGAGAAGTTACAAAGATGTATGGTTGAAGATGGATCAACAGTATATTGAAGTCAATACAGTGAGTCCTTCTTGAAGGACTTCTTCAAGATTCAGTAACTAGCATACACTTTATATCCGCAGATACCACCTGGTCTCCTGAACAGGGGACAGGAATAGAACCATCTCGATGCGCCGACTATCTATCGGGTAGGCGACAACTCACCGACATAGTGGGCGCCCACCATTCGGTGGCAGCTACGAATAAGGTTGGTCCTACTAATAGACCTATAGGGCTATAGAGGGAGATAGAGCGAGAAAAAGAGCTTATATTTTCAGGAAATACTTTATAATTCCTCCACATATCCGTGGTGAATGAATATTATTGGAATATCGGACAAAAGACATCCCGGTTTAGACTACATCACGAAATCCATGTTCAAAGTGCATCGCAAACGACAACCTTGAACATTATGCATTTACAACAGTGACTTCCCGTCTTTACCGACTCTTCTGTCTTAGACGATGGAACACATTTGTCTCAGACAGAAGAGCAACTTATACGATAAATAGCTAGTCCTCACGATGAATGAAAAACTAGAATTTACAACTACTTCAGAGGACACATAGATATTATAGGGGCGTAAAGCGTTACCTGTAATAGGTGTCAGAAGTGGGAGCTAGCCTCTCGTCTACCTTATCGAATAGCTATTCCACTCTTGGTACTGGTGTACCGACAAATATATTTACGAATCTTGTACCATCCAGTCACAATAGATACAAGAAACCTACCAAGCCTATAGAGGCTTCGAAAATTACGCTTCCAAGTCTCGCCTAGAAGCTAGCTACCTACAAGTGAAGTTATCAGATGAGATGGTTGAGCTGGTTTGCTAGCTGAATCATCTGGATAAATAGATTCAATTAGTGAATGTTATCGTTTTTTGAAATTTGGAGTTCTAAGACTAAGTAATCCGATCACTGGGACCAGCTCCATCATCAATACAGCCATTAAGGTTAAGATAGTTCCATTCCTGTCGTGCCCACTTAGAGTGTTGGTTATCACTAATTTTCTGATTTTAAGTAAGAGAAAATGATATTACTTTTAGCTCCATTATACGATTGAAATATTGTTCAACTATTACTAGTATAGTTAGGCGGTTGCGGGTTTATGTGAATGCGAATAAGAATAACCTAGAAGAACTGCGAAATTATTCGTGCCGAGCTTCAATGGCTCTTCCAAATGCCTATATTACCAGGATTAGTAGCACGAGCCAAGAGAGTTAATTCATTGATCCTGTTCAAAGCAGCCCTGTAGTTGATAAAGAAGTAGGTCTAGATATAGACTAACACTAATCTTATATCTCTTAAGCACACTCTTGGTAATATTCTGCCTTAATTGAGGGCTGTTGGTATTAGGAATCAGAGGATAAAGTACCAATACCTCAGGAGTAGATAATATCACAACATATTTTCTTAAAAGCTACAAAGCCAGTCCAGTCCCCTTCCGAGTCCAACGATACAGCGCCAAAACCGCTTTCCTCCTATGCCGAATCTCACTGGGATTCACAGGCCTCCCACGAGCCTGTGCAACAGCACTACGCATCACCTGCCTAAAACTGCGCTGATACTCTGTATTCAGCGTAACAACACAAGACTCGGTAGCCCGAATCATAGTCTCGCAGGCATTGAGAATACCATCACCAGCCTCTTTCTGTAGACGCTCGACAATGAGGAGGAGTAGGAAACTCCCCTGTAGAAGCTGGATGCCGAAAAAATAGGGCATGAAGCTTACATCGGGGTCGAATCGTAATATTTGCTGGACTGAGTCTGCGGCTTCGAGGGCGTGGGAGATTGTTGATGCAAAGGCTGGTGAGGAGGTCCAGAAGTCTTTGTCTTCTATTAGGGAGACTGGGTCCCATTTTCCTACTAACAGGATGTGTAGGACGTGGACTAGGTAGGAGGCGTAGGCTACTACTGTCTGTGTGTGCCATGAGTAGGCCTGGGATATGTGTGTATCATCTGGTTGATCGGGGGTTTTAAATGCTGACAGGGAGTGTTCCTCGGGGGGTGTCGTTGTTGTGAAAGTTGTTAAGCTGGCTTTATATGTTTCGAGCTGGCGTAGGACTTCCGCTAAATGGACATCCCACGCCTCTTTTCCTTGTAAACGAAGACCGAGCATGGGGTGATTACGCGCTTGATTCAGATCTATCAGCTCGCCTGTGATCGTCATCAGGGGTAGGAAAAAACCGAAGATAGAGTGGTCATGACAGGCGAAATCTGGGAAAATACGCCGCTTATTTTGGTCGCCAGATCGTGTACATTGCGGTCCGTCTGGTCGAGGACTATTGCTGTGAATAATACCAGCTTGCCAAGAGGCTTCGTCCAACGGTAGGAGCAAGTCTTCACTTTCGGCATCTAGGAGGGCGAGTGGTCGGTTGTAGCATAATGCTAGGTGACGGTCCATAATATATAATAACCACCAGGTGCGACGACGTTCTTCACGCCACTCCTCTGTGATAATGGAGCTGTCCTGCAGCTCAGTGGATTCGTGACAGATACAGTTCAAGCTTGGTCGTGAAGGGTTTGAATAATCAAACACAGGGCCGCCGGGTGAGTTTTCCCACCCTTCTAGCGGGTAGCCGAAGGGTGGGCTCGATGTATCACTTTGGCCATCCACGCCCAAATTCGCCTCAATCTCTTGATTCAATTTCAGCTCTCGAGACAAAGTGAACGCAGCATGCCACCTAGAATCATGTTAGTCGAGTATATATAACGAGAAACCTGATTCGAGAAACTGACCATCGCATACTAGCAGCTTTTTGCTCACTAGATGAAATTATAGATGCGACATGAATATACGCGATGACATCGTCGAGGGTTCCTGCTGGCCCAACGAGGCCTTTATCATCACCCACTCCTTCAAATGGGTGATATGCAGACGCAGCGGAGAAGTCCTGCTGTGTACTGGTACTACTAGCAGCTTCCTGGTCTTTGAACGACACATGAACCAGCGGCCTGATCAACCGAACTGTCAACCCACAAAGAAATTGACATATTTTTCGACGTTGCAGAGGTGATATGGACAAGGAAAAGGCCCGGTCATCTACTGCAGCTACCCAGAGCATACTTGCTAGCAGTGCCGGACTGCAAGGTCGGGGATTTTCAGTATTCATGAAGGAAGCCTTTCGCAAGACATAGCAGTGAATGTGGTGGCAGACCGGATGCATATGGGTTGAAAAAGCACTCGTAAAATATAACTCGAGCAGATCGCATATCAGACGGCGCGGGAGATTGGACTCTATATATGGCATGACTGGTTCAAGGACTGGGTATTTCAATATCGACTTAGTCCGGGGAGTCGGGGCTTGACTTGGATGGCTATGCGCAGGTACAGAGGCCCCTTGCGACCCTTGTGAGGGTGGATGGTCACCAGTGAAATGAACAGGATTCCAGATATCTATCAGCCGTGGCAGAGGTCCTTCGCCCACGTCACCAGGGATCTCATAGGAATCCGGTGAGAGACGAGCAGCTTCTAACCATTGCTCCGTTGTCGCATTCCCTCCAGTCACTGATACTGTTGGAGGACCATCTACACATTGCGCTGGCGCAGAAAGTCGAATATCGTTGACGTTCGGTGACTTCTGCTCGTAGACCGACTCTGGTGAGCTGTTCTGCAAAGGCGACATTTTCAGATTTCCAGTAGACTGTTTTCTTGTCGCAATGTTTGGCTCGGGCTCCGTTGCGTCTGTCGCAGGCTTGGAGCGCGCGATGCGCCCCCGCTTTCTACGTTCGCGAGTGAATTCACAACGATTATCGCTTCTCAGACATCTTGAACAGGGGAAAGCTCGGTCGCATCGGACCCGCCGCAAGTGACATGAATCACATGCAACTCGATTTCGACGCCATCGTCGCTTGCCACTGGGGAGATCGGTCGGACTGGGGCTCATAGGTGACAGGTCTGCAGACTGGACTTCCATGATATTCAGGACGTTAGATCTGGAGAAATATGAAAATCATAAACTGAATCTGGGGCAGTGGAAGCGCGGGGAAATCAGCGCTCGTGCCTCTTCGATATCCACTTAGAAAGCGTTAAATATCCCGCATAATGTAAGGTATTGTCAAAAATACGAAAATCTGGGGTTTGATTACTCTATGATTCTGGGCGACCATAGGGAAAAGCCTTATTCTTGTACGTATGACCTAGATATTTTCCCTATTTTTTCGACTCCTTATTGGGCGCCTTTTGAAGCGCGGCTTTAAAACGTTCCAGCGCTTTAGTTCTACCGGCTGAATGCTCCACAATGGGCCGAGGATAGCCATTCTTTTCCGCTACAGGCCCAGCACCACGCGCATAGGGCTCATGAATTGCAGAACTTTTGATGTCGCGCAACTCAGGTACCCAGCGTCGGATGTATTCACCGTCGGGGTCAAATCGCTCGCTCTGGCGTGTGGGGTTGAAGACACGGAAATACGGCTGCGGATCCACGCCAGTTGATGACCCAAAGCCCCATCCGCCGTGATTGGAAGCAAAGTCACCGTCGATGAGGCTTTCCATGAAGAATCGCTCTCCACGGCGCCAGTCGATCAGCATATCTTTGGACAGGAAAGATGACACCACCATGCGAACACGATTATGCATCCATGCTGTCTCGCGGAGCTGTCGCATCGCGGCATCGACAACGGGGTAGCCTGTTTTGCCATCGCACCAAGCTTGGAACTGATCTGTATCGTATTCCCATTCAATGTTTGTATGCTCGGGTTTAAAGCACTTGTTCATACTGTAAATTTAGTCAGCGTGTGAAAGGGGTGACAAAGGGATATCATATACCCGATGAATGGCCAGTGTGTAAGCACATGCCTGTAGAAATCACGCCAGGCGACTTCACTAATCCAGGTCATGAGACCCAGGAAATGCTTATCCAGGTGGTCATTGTTGACCCTCTTCGCCTTGGAAACAGCGGTACGAGCACTCAGGACGCCCGACGCAAAATATGGACTGAGAATAGACGTATTATGCTTCGCCATGATGTTGCGAGTGGCTTCGTACTCCTGACCCTTTTCCTTCAAAAAAGCATCTAATCGTTGGAGGGCCTCGTGTTCGCCTGCGGGGTAAAGCTTCTTAAATAGCGTCTTCTCATTTTTCGAGAGCTGTTTGTTTTTTGGCGCGCTCGGAATCTTGCAATCGAAGAGATCTTTCAGTGTCTCCCGGGTATTGCTGGGGTTTGAACCAGGATTGTCAGATAGCTCTAGGTAGTCTGGGTTTTCTTTCAGGAAAGCTATCCAAGAGCGGAACCAAGGTGTGTATACGGCATATTGTCCGCCTGTTTTGGTACTGAAGGCGCCTGGAGTGACAACACATGTGTCATGATCAAGTTCAAAACTGATGTCATTCTCAGCGCACAATTCAACCAGCTTGGCATCCTGGCGCAGTTCATCCACCTCATATTCAATATTCGCATGCAGATTCTTGGCTTCCCATTGCTGGCATAATTCAATAACTCGGCTTGGGATGTTCTTTCGCTTATGTTGGGTCTCCACGTATAGTGGGATATCAAGCTTTCCCAGGTCTTGCTGCAGCTGCTCCAATGTTCGGAGTGCAAAATCGACCCGAGCAGGGCTGATTAAATGGGCTGTTAGATCCTCTGGCGAAAGAATGTAGAGGCAGATCAAGGGGATCTTGTGCTGCTGAGCAAGCTCTGAGGCCTTGTGCAAGGCCCGATTGTCATTAGTGCGCAAGTCAGTCTTGAACCAATGAACCACCACTTTTCCCGCTGAAACTGAACGACGCTTGTCTGCTGTATTGCGACAGGCTTTCTCCAATGTTTCAATTGGCCGTTCAATTTCGCCATCGATGTACGCCTTGCATCGAGCATTGCTCATTTCTGGAGGATAGAAGTCGCGCAAGACGATTCCGAAGTCTTCAGTCTGGTTCGCGTTGGGATGCGGTTGGCTTAGATCTGGGCGACTTCTTTTGGTTTCGTGGGAATCTTCGGAGACGTCATTGCTGTCCTGGTTGGATGCTGCACGCTTGGGACGAGCCATGAGGGGAGTAATGCTGTGAAATTGAGAGGGTTTGAGCGTTTGGAGAAGTTGAAATTTCAGAACGCGTGCTGTCGTGAAGTGAAAAGGGGTATTAACGCGCATCAGTGGAGTTGGAAGATGCATGGTGCAGATTCGCTGTGGGAGGCCGTCATCGATCGATCGAGATTCCTGACGTCACCGATCTGGAGGCGAAACCTGGGTTTTTCACTCATCATTTACGACGTACTAGTAGAATTAGAAGGTACTCGGGTGTGATCCTCCCAGAACCGATCTTGCAGACAAGATCTTAATTTCTCCATATAGTTTCAGGGTTAGTTTCTCTTGAACAAATTTCGTACCTAAGCTATCCATCAAGTAGATCGACCCACGTCCACGTGATCTTTCAATTTACCACGACGAAGTATGCCCAGGTGAATATTGAACATAATCATGTCTTGAATTTGATTACTCTAGAACTTGTTTGACTAAATATAAGAGTAGAGACGACAGAAATTTACCAATATACTCTAACAGAACAATATGCCTTCCAAAGCCTATCAAGGGTGTCTGAAATGCAGGGATAGACAAAAATGGTCAAATGGAGCACGGAGGAGCAACCAGGAAGAACTTCTCGGCAAGAGCCGACTTCCCCGTATGAAGGAGGCTCGAGAGTCGATATTCTCCTCAAGAATCGAAATTCGTCTTCACCGCCCCATTTAGAATGCCCAGAAGGGTAGCCTTTAATGCTGATCTTCCCCGGATTCCATATCTAGTCCTAAACCCTGTAGATCCTCAATATTTTCCTACATGCAAGGCCTTCAATTAAATACTGACTATACAGTAGCTCGTCATCGCACGTTGAAATGACAAATAAGGAAGGAGTTGAAATTAGTCAATAACAAATAGCAATGTTGGCAGCCAGAATGATACCTAGCGGACTCGAGCGGACCTAGGACGACCATCTCATCCGTGCTCCCTGCATGCCGTTAAAAATTAGGGAAAATGTGAGGAGTTCTTCCCTGTTATTGTTCCGAACTTTATTCCCGAACATGTAGAATTGTCGAATATCGAGTCTGTGCCCAATGGATATCGAACCCTGTTATATCCTTGATCCGCATTCCCACGCAAGGGCCGATTTTCTTTCTTTTTATTTTTGCTTTTGCATTCAATATTCTAGGGTTTAAAATAAATTCTATTCCCCGAGTTCATAGCGAAAATCCCCGTCTTTTCCATTGAAAAGATGTAAAAATCTTATCCATGTCGCCCGCTAGCGAACAAAGTTCGCATAGCTTATGGATACACACCTACTATAACACGGATGTTGTACGCAGTCAAGTAATGGTGGCTTTTGCCGCGATTGCTTTGTACAATGCTGTTGAACTCGTCGCTCTTTGCTTCCTCTCCTTTAAGCGAAGACGGGGCTCTTACTTCTGGAGCCTACTCATCTCGTCAGCTAGCATTTTCCCACACTGTCTGGGATTTATCATGCTCTTCTTCACCGGAACCTCGCCATATTTCTGCGTCACTCTGATAGCTCTAAGCTGGTGTGCCATGATAACTGGCCAATCGATAGTGCTATGGTCCAGGCTACACCTTCTGCTGCAAAACACCAAAGTTCTCTGGGGATTGTTATGGATGATCATCATTAACGCCATTCTCTTCCACACACCGACAATAGCACTGCTATACGGCACCATTGCTGCACCTGAAAGCCATTTTGCTAGAGGCTATGCTGTAATGGAACGGATTCAGCTGGTCGTATTCTGTATTCAGGAACTGGTCATTTCGGGTATATATGTCTGGCAGGTATTGAAACTGCTACGGTTACGCCCGGAAGGCACGCGACATGATGTCTTGCACCAGGTACTCATTATCAACATGATTATCCTCCTCCTCGATGTCTCTGTCGTCTTGATCGAATATGTGGGGTTCTATACGGTTCAGGTCATGCTGAAACCCGTCGCTTATAGTATTAAACTCAAACTCGAATACGCTATCCTGGGGAAACTCGTCATTATTGCTCGAGGATCTCCTAATGGGGATGAAGTACCCTCTAGCATGCACGAAATCGATTCTTGCCATTCGTTACGAGAGGAACCATCTCTTACTGAGCAGTGTGCCAATTTCTATCGACAGTACAGTCCTCCTTGGTTTTGGGAGAATCCACAACATTCTAGTTATGATTCCTCGCCAATGTGAGCCCTTGAATAGAATTTATTTTTTGCAAGCGAACATTTCTTGACATTTAGAGTCAATTTTTTTGTATTTGTCGGTTTGGCGTTCAAAACAATAATCTCAGGGTTAGACTTCGTCGGCGCACGGAGTTATTACTTAGGTGAGGTTCCAAAAAGCAACGAGTCTTGGATTCATTTTATTTCATATATAGCGTAGGATTCATATACATTATTTCTAGCTCAATGACGTATATCAGAAAAAAGGACATTTGGGCCAGCCTGTAATACCAGCACACTTCCAAAAACCTTGTTTTCCGGTTGAACCATTGCGGAGCCGACAGCTCCAAGTGCCCTCTGGGTCTCAGAACCGATGTTTCCTTCTAAAATAGTATCAACACTGTCAGAGGTACCATTGTGGCGTCCAACAACGACGATGCAACCGGGTTTATTGTAGATCTTGTCTAGTTCTTCTCTGACACAGGCAACAGCCAGTCTAGCCGGGTCACTGAGTGTCTCTTTAGCAGTCGGCACTTGGAAAACGACTCTGTCTTTCAAATTATCCTGAATAGAATCTCGGATAGTCTCGAAGAATACTAGATCTGATTGCTCATTTGAGACAGTAGCAAGACCACTAGATCCTGAAGCAGATGCCGTCTTGGATAGGACTATCTTCTTCTCCGATAGATTTGTTTTCAAGCTACCGACCTGGATTATAGTGGCCGTAACATGGTCATTCTGCGCTAGTTGCAGAACAAAGCGAAGGGCGAAACGATCATCATCACCACCAAAGAAAGGAAGTATGATATGATGCGATCGGTCACCCGTAGATGGTCTGGTCCACAGTGAGCCTTGGATGCTCAGGCCACTCTGAGATGGTGTTGCTGGATGCTTTCCAGAAGAATTGTGAGACTCCGGACTGTGCTCTATCAGAATTCCTACATGACCCGGAACACGATCTATGATATTGGTGACAAAGGTTGGATATGCGCCATCGGCAAACCGATTAGCAGCATCGATCTCAAATCCATTTTGGCGGTCTGTCAGAGCTCCTGTTTCACTCCAGGGTAGCAGAAGTAGATCTGCGACATCTTGATGAGCCATGTCGACAACAGTATCTGCGTACGAATACTCGGGTACGACCAAGACACCAGCCATGAGAGAAATATCGTGCCATTCACCGAAAGCGCGGAATGTGTTGACAACTGGATCCCAGAGAGCATGGTCTCCTGCAGATACTTTCATAACACTAGAGTCACGGTCTGTCAACTCCATGAGCCGAACACCATGGACTCTGAGGGATTTTTCCTCTTCGTCGGTTGAAGATAATGCGTCCTCGACTGTTTGCTCATTCTGCTTGGGCCATTTTGATGGATGGACACGGGGTGCTAATGAAGAATCTCCACGGCTGGCAGTTAGTAGAGCTGCCAAGGTGCAGATACCAGAGAGGCCATCTAAGCGAAGATAGACCAAAAGCTTCCGGACTGGAACTGTCTTCAACTGATCTTTAGCCAGGGCGACACTATCAGAACGAGTGTCTGGTTTGAGGGTATTGCCGCTCCAGTCAATTTCACCGCGTCGCCACCGTTCAACCTTGAGTTGGTACCAAGGGGGATACAACGCCACTGTCAAGGGTGTTGTAAGGAAGGTAGTGACAAGAGCCATGACCACGAAGATGGTGAATGTTCGAGTACTCAAAATCTTTGCTTGCAGACCAATATTCTAATATCAGGTCAGTAGGTGCATCCAGAAATCATGCAACTTATAGGTAACTAACCAGAACAATAAGCTCTACCAGACCCTTACAGCTCATCAAGACCCCAATAGAGAAGCTCTCGCGCCATAAGAGACCACAAAGACGGGAAGCGAGAGCGCCTCCGGCGACCTTTGCTGTAAAGGCAATTGCAATAACCCCTACCACATAACCCCACACGGTCCCATTGTCCAATAATCCAAGGTTAGTCTGCAGACCGGACAAAGTGAAATAGAGAGGCAGGAAAAGGGCTGAGACCAAGTCTTCGATCTTCTCTGTTAGCTTGATTGCAAAGCCGCCCTCGTGAGGACATATCAACCCAATGGCAAAGCCGCCAAAAATCGCATGAATGCCAATAGCTTGTGTAAAGAATGCAGAAACAAGAGCGATCATCAGAGTCAGTGTGACAACGGATTGACTCGGGCCTTTCTGCAGACTTCCAGTGTGCTCCAAGAAGCGAAGGAAGAGCGGACGGAAGACAAATACCAAGAACAGCATATAGCCCACGCAAACAAGTAGCACCCATAGCGCCGTAATTCCACTTCCGGCGTTCACCAAGGCTACGCAGAGGGCAAGCAGGATCCACCCGACGACATCGTTTCCAACACCTGCAGAGAGAACTATGACACCAACTCTGGTCCCAAGAAGCTTCAGCTCTGTCAAGATGCGACACAGTACTGGAAATGCGGTAATAGCCATGGCGATACCAATGAAGAGCACGTAGGTACCGAATGCAACTGGAACAGTTCCAGCTTCATTCTGGAACTGGTTGTACAAGCCGTATGAAATAGCGCATCCCAATCCGAATGGCAGGATCATACCCGCAGCTGATACGCTTAGAGCAACGCGCCAGTTACTCACTAGGAAGCGTACGTCCGTTTCCAATCCTACTAGGAATAGGAAGAGGACTAAACCGAGATTTGCAACCAAATTCAAGCTGGGAATACTGGCACTTGGAAATATTGAGTCCGTGAATCCTGGAATGTGGCCCATCACCGACGGGCCAAGGATAATGCCGCCGATTACCTCTGAAATGACACGAGGTTGGCGAATCTTAGAGAGAGGCCAATGGAGAATACGACAAATTCCGATAATAATGACAGCCTGTATCAATTAATTTCATGCCCCGTTGAGAATGTCCGTTCGAAAATCTCACCTGAATGATGAACAGTACAATGGGGTTTTTCGAGTCATATTCGGCCGGGTTTGCACCCTCAAGGATACCTCCTTGGGCCTTGACCCTGGTTGTGCTAGTGGCATTAGTTGCCATGTTGCTATATACTCAGTTTTTGATGCTGGTAAGAGACATCTGGGGGCGATTGAGGAGATAATAAAGCTCTCCAGCTTAAGAAGAGGGGCTCGACCACAGCTAGATCTAGCCGGATATGGACTAGCCGCGGACTGGATGGGTCTAAATTGGTCAAAAGCGGGGAAAACGTGGGTCGGAAACTTTCTTTATTTGTTTTGTTTGTTCGCATTTGCTGCAATCAGATGATCGCCAAGACTCGTGTTATCCTATCAAAGACTTCGAAACTTGATGAAACACGTCGTCGAGGAGTTAAAAACGAAGCTATACGCTTATCCTCGCATTCATTTGATTTCATACACGAGACTGTTCACGCGTTTTGTTCATGGCGTCCTTGGCAATTTTAATAGGGGTCTTTAGCGGATAAAATTCCCTGCTCAGCCTTACGATCTCGTGCAACGAGTTACGATTTCGACTTCCGAGGCTCTAAGTCCTGGGTGTTCCTTGAGAAAATCGTGTTCCAAAGGTGACGCTTCAACTTTTGAATCTTCTCACATTGTCGACTTCGGACTTGGTAAGAGCAAAAGCACATCCAGCTGTTCAGCCATTCTGGCAATAATAAGCGAAGGGCTGTCATCTGAGATTGAAGGCTCTTGTGCACCGGTGAGATTGAACTATATCTTGGCGTGTTTTTCTGAGCTTCGCGGGCTTTCCTTCCTGCTAAGTCATTGAACCCTTTCATGAGGTCTCAATTTACTTGTTATTGCTTGAAAATTACGGTCGGCGCTGATTCGAATGAGTCAGCGAAAACACTGCATCATTTTGGTCGGGTATCCTGCCATGTGTGTATCTAGCGGTGTGGTCGCCGCTTGGGCACCTGTGCAGAGCATATTCCAGGGGCTCTGACCCATCCCAAGGTCCATATGGGCAGCATATAGAGGTAGTTGATAAATAACTACCCACTGCGGTGAGTAAGACTATTAATGTCACTCGAGTCACACCTAGCCCGAAAAACACCTAGGTATTTATTGTTGCGACGTTGAGCGCTGATGAAATTCCAAGATTATATGTAGCGTAAGAGCCAGACAAAACTCTTCGACATTGGACAGTTCACACGAGCTACGTAACTTTCCAATACATAAATAGGGGCCTGACATGGACATAATATTTCTCCATTAGGCATAAGGTCTTCGGGAAATTCCGAGATCCGTTAACTCCGCATTTCTGCTCCAATACATAAATAGGGCCTGACATGGACATAATATTTCTCCATTAGGCATAAGGTCTTCGGGAAATTCCGAGATCCGTTAACTCCGCATTTCTGCAAGCCAAACGTGGCCATAACACGTGAGTGGATACCGAGCGAGTGAGTGGAGGACTTTATTCTATTATTAACCAATAGTACGGCTATACCAGTCTAGTCCGGAACTCGCTCGTTTCTAGTGCCGAACGCTTTTGCGCGACGTCGGTACTCGGACTTACCAGACCCCGATGCTAAGCCAAAAACAGCCACCAATTCGTGGTTTAAGCATCAAAATTGAGTCGAGGCTCATTCGGAGTTAAAGGAATTCCGGCCCGCATTAATATGAAGGTTTAAAAGCTACTTCATAATGACTGTTTTTCTCCTGGATGTTTTCTCGCCAACCTGATTCTTCAACACTACTCAGATCTTTCCGTCAAAATGGAAAAAGATGAGTCGGATTATGAAGCTGAGTTTGCCCCTATCGCAACACGCGCGCCAACTGTTGTTGAGGAGCAAGAAATCGAATCTTTGCATCGAATTGCATCGAGCAGACTTGGTCAAGCACTATCCGCTTCACATAGCAAATCAAACAACGACCCTCGTCTGGATCCCAACAATGCCAAATTCGATCATGCTTTGTGGGCACAGTCAATACTTGGCAAGGTTCAAGAACAAGGAATTGATATTCCAGAACAAGGCGTAGTTTTCAAGAATTTATCGATGAGCGGCTCTGGATCTGCACTTCAATTCCAGCAGACTGTGCTTTCAGGCTTGGCCACTCCCTTTCGCGCTGCTATTCGAGCTTTCACAGGACAAAAATCACCGCCACGACGCATCCTGCATGGCTTCGATGGCCTGTTACAAGGGGGTGAGCTTCTTCTTGTCCTGGGTCGTCCAGGAAGTGGATGTACTACATTTCTCAAGACAATGACTGGCCACCTGGGTGGCTTGACCATGGATCCTGGCAGCACAATTCACTATCAGGGTATAAGTTACGAGGATATGCTCAAACATCACCGCGGAGACGTAGCATATAATAAAGAGGTGGGTATCAACTCTATATTTTTCTTTCCACGCTCACTTTTACTAATTCTTTCTAAGGTGGATATACACTTTCCTCATCTCACTGTTGGCCAGACACTTTCCTTCGCTGCATATGCGCGTGCTCCCAACCGAAGATTTGACGGTATTACTCGAAACGAATACGTTGAGACACTGACGCAGGTAGTCATGTCTGTCTTCGGTCTCTCCCATACATACAACACCAAAGTCGGCAGCGAAATGGTTAGAGGTGTCAGCGGAGGCGAGCGAAAGCGAGTCAGCATTGCTGAAATGTTCCTTTCTCGCTGCCGTGTTGGTGCCTGGGATAACAGCACTCGCGGTTTGGATGCAGCCTCGGCGTTAAAATTTGTTTCAGCAGTGCGTCTCGCGGCCGACCTGAATAAATCATGTCATGCAATCGCCGCATATCAGGCATCTCAATCGATGTACGACCTTTTCGACAAGGTTATCGTTCTATACGAGGGTTACGAGATCTACTACGGTCCCCGAGATCAAGCAGTTTCCTACTTTGAAGACATGGGATGGGTTAGACCCGATCGCCAGGTCAGCGGTGATTTCCTCACTGCCATCACTAATCCTGCCGAACGACAAGCACGTTCTGGTATGGAGGAAAAGTTACCGCGCAGTGCAAAGGAGTTTTCTGAGTATTGGAAAAACAGTGCTGAGTACAAAGCTCTGCTTAATGATATCTCGGAATATGAAAAAGATCACCCACCGAATGGCGATGATGCCAAACGCTTCCAAGTCAGTCATCAGTCGCAACAAGCTAAGCACGCAAGATCTCGCAGCCCGTACCTTCTGTCTGTCCCTATGCAAATTCGACTTTGTACTACCAGAGCGTATCAAAGAATGTCCAACGATCGGGGTACTGCCTTTGGGCCCGTTGTTGCCTCCCTGATTTTGTCCCTGATCATCGGTTCCGTCTTCTATAACACCCCCACAAACTCAGCCTACTTCTTTCAGAAGGCAGCTGCTCTCTATATCTCCGTGCTTATGAATGCACTGCTTACCATGAATGAAATTTTGCAACTATACAGCCAACGATCGATTGTGGAAAAGCAGGCTGGCTACGCATTTGTTCATCCTTTCACAGACGCATTAGCAAGCGTTATCGTGGATTTTCCGATCAAGCTCCTGAGAATCTCCATTTTCAGTATTGTCATATACTTCATGGCCAACTTGCGCCGTGAACCCTCTCAGTTCTTTATCTTTTATCTGTTCCTGGTCGTTACCGTCTTAACTATGTCTGGTATGTTCCGTACCTTGGGAGCTTTAACCAAGACCATCGGACAGGCTATGTCGATGGCTGGAATTATGGTTCTTTGCATCGTTGTTTATACAGGATTCACCCTGCCACAACCTTACATGCACCCCTGGTTCTCTTGGATTCGATGGATCAACCCAATCTACTACTCATTTGAGTCTCTAGTCGCCAATGAATTTCACGGCCGTGATTATCCTTGTCCCACAGTTATTCCGACCTATGGAACTGGTACGTCATTCATCTGTTCTTCTGTGGGTGCTGTTGCTGGGGAACGTTTTGTTTCTGGCGACTCTTTCATTCAACAGAACTACCACTACGTATACAAGCACGTCTGGCGGAATTTTGGTATTCTTCTTGCATTCATGATATTTTTCAATGGTCTCTATCTGACCGCAACTGAATTTCTCTCCAACAATGATAAATCAAAAGCAGAGTCTCTGGTCTTCCGACCTGGTCATGCTCCAAAGTATCTCCAGGCTGGAAAAGATGCGGAAAGCGACATGGTTGATGCAACGAAACTTCAAGTTCAAACCAACGATGAGATTCGTCTTCCAAAGCAGAACGACATCTTCACATGGAAATCTGTCAACTATGACATCCCTACCAAGGACGGCGAACGTCGACTGCTGGATAATGTGAATGGATGGGTTAAACCTGGAACTTTGACCGCATTGATGGGAGTCTCTGGAGCTGGAAAGACAACTCTTTTGGATGTCCTTGCTCAGAGAGTCTCTATCGGCGTGGTTTCAGGTGATATTTTTGTCAATGGCCAGACTCTGGCCGCTAATTTCCCGCGTCGGACTGGATATGTACAGCAGCAAGATATCCATTTAGAGACCAGTACTGTGCGCGAGGCTCTTCGTTTCAGTGCATTACTTCGCCAATCCAGACATGTTCCCAAAAAGGAAAAGTACGAATATGTCGAGCAGGTCATCAAAGTCCTCGGCATGGAAGATTTTGCCGAAGCAGTTGTTGGATCTCTTGGCGAGGGCCTCAATGTTGAGCAACGAAAACTCCTCAGTATTGGGGTTGAGCTTGCTGCAAAGCCCAGCCTTCTGATTTTCCTTGATGAGCCCACCAGTGGACTGGACTCGCAGAGCTCATGGACTATCTGCCAATTCCTCAGGAGACTGGCAGACAGCGGACAGGCTGTGCTCGCCACTATTCACCAGCCAAGCGCAACACTATTCCAATCGTTTGATCGCCTGCTCTTTTTGGCTAAGGGTGGAAAGACAGTTTACTTTGGAGATATCGGAGAACAGTCATCCAAGCTTCTAAACTACTTTGAGAGAAATGGAGCACGAGGGTGCGAAGATATTGAGAACCCTGCTGAGTATATCCTTGAAATGGTCGCTGGAGATGGCTGCCCTGGCGTGGATTGGGTGGATGCCTGGGATAATAGCCCGGAGTATCAAGATGTGCTGGTAGAAGTTGATCGTCTGAACTCTCGCAACCCTTCCTCCGAAAAATCTATCGATGATGACGATTCGGAATTTGCCATGCCTTTATTGGGACAGTTTTGGATCGTTTTCCATCGTTGTTTTCAATGCATCTTTCGCCAGACAGACTACATCTACTCCAAACTCATCCTCGCCATTGGCTCAGCTCTATTCATCGGATTCTCCTTTTACAGGACTGACAACTCCGTGCAAGGATTTCAAAACACCATTTTCAGCGTCTTTCTGCTTTGCACAATATTTAACACTATGGTCAACATGATTCTCCCTCGCTTCGTTGTCCAGCGCTCTCTCTACGAAGTCCGTGAACGGCCATCCAGAATCTATTCCTGGAAGGTATTCATTGTTTCCCAGATCCTCGTCGAGGTCCCCTGGCAGATTCTAATGGGTGTCGTGGCGTGGGTTTCCTACTACTGGGCTGTATTCGGCACAGCCCAGACATCCGATCGCCGTGCCCTCATCATGCTCTTTATCGTCCAATTCTACATCTACGCCGCAAGCATGGCCCAATTCGTGGTATGCGCCATTCCAGAGCCATCTGTGGCCGCAATGATTGCAACACTCATGTTCGGGTGAGTACAGTGAACTTCATCCCTTTACACCCAAAATCTTTACTGACTAAATTCCAGCTTGTCATTCATCTTTACTGGTATCCTCCAGCCTCCTGGCGATCTACCCAGATTCTGGATTTTCATGTATCGCGTCTCTCCATTTACATACTATGTCAGTGGAATCAGCAGTACTGCGCTACATGACCGAGAAGTACGATGCAGCTCGGCCGAACTCAACGTCTTTGATCCGCCGTCCGGCCAGACCTGTATTCAATACATGCAGAAGTATCTTGAGACTGCCACCGGTACAATTTACAACCCTAATGCCACTTCTGGTTGTGAATACTGCAGCATGACCTCTTCAGATCAATACCTCGCTGTCCGAGAGATCTACTGGAGCGACAAATGGCGCAACTATGGCATTTTCTGGTGCTATTTCATTTTTAACATCTTTGGTGCTATTGCATTGTACTACATTTTCCGAGTGAGAACGTCCAAGGCTAAGACCGGCAAGAAATGAGCAGGTAGCTTGTGCATTGTCTATAAAAAAATACCTGCTTGTTCCTTAGACCTCCACCTTTGATTATATGTACAAATCTCATCTCAATTTCCCCCTTGGCCTGTTTAGATTCCTGTTACATAATGCAAGTCACGCCTAATGAACTACCTTCTATCGCGTATAACGTTACAAACATGCTACCACTTAAACCCCTAATTTGAATACACCGTTCAAGGCATCCAGTCAAGATCAAATAATTCAAGATGTCTAGAACAAAGTGGTGGAGATATCTCGTTGTAACAATGGAGGCTAAACTATGTCAAGACTTATACAGTGCTTTTGGGATCTGAAGTCAGTCTCACCGACAGAACTCTATCGAGCACTCGGCCCTAGTCAAAGACGCGTATGAATGCGGAGTGAATATTCGTAGCGGCGTGAGTCTTCTACAGGAGCCTGGGCAGGAACCGAAGAGGGCTCACAGCTTAAGGTACGTGGTAACACCAGTACCACGAAGGCTCTGAATGCGCTGCTTATGAATATCCCCACGAATTCCCAAGGCAAGAAAAGACAAAAATTGAGAAACAACATAGAGTAAAGGAGCAGATGGCACCATATATATCCTCCAGGTAGGAGTCAAATAGGCAGGACTTAAGAAATATATAATAAAATGCAACGAAAGCGATTACACAGCTAAACTAAATGAGTTCTTCTGATTCGAAATATAAAAGTAGAATTGAAAAGAAACTGAAATATATGGATGCTTATTGTCGGTACACCAGTGGGTATAGCAAGGTTGGTGAGAGACTAACGCCCACTTCTGACACCTATCACAGGTAATAACGCTTTACGCCCCTATGATATCTGTGTGTCCTTTGAAGTGGTTGTAAAGTCTGGTTTTCATTCTTAGTTTGCTATCTATTATATAGTAACAATTTGATCACATGACTGTTTTGTTCTATATTCCAACACTTATAAAATCCAATCTTTTGCATAAAATTCTCTGGTAGATCGATATATGGAGAACTTTTCCATTGATGCTGAGTCCATTCAGATCATGAATCAGGAGAGGTTTCCGGTTCCATTTCTTTTTTTTTCAAATTGGAATCTTTTCAAAAGGGCTTGAGTAGATAATAGATACAAATAGTTTTGGTGATCTAATGTTGAAAGGAAATTGATCAAAGGATCTAGGCAGGGGAGTTTCCAGGAGTCACGCGGTAATATATGATGTCAAGCATACTACAATTAGGCGGTGGCAGAATTCGGGCGAACGCAACTATGTTCGTATACATTTCTAGTGACACGAATATGAACAATCATTCTTAAAAAGCTCGAACAATATTCGAATCGAGCTCTCAATAAGTAAACAACTTAACTAGGAGCACACTGGCCTACAGTCTTTACAAGAATGAGTTCAATATGTCCTATTGAAGATTCTAGCTCACAGTCGAGTTTGATTCGCCCCAACGAGGCGAACATATCCCCAACTACACGTAGCTGGACATGGATTTACGCAATATGCATGCAATGACTCGCATACATCAAGCCCAGAGGATCGGGAACACGTTGCAATCCAGCCCTGTTTTTGCATGCATAAAACAGCATTACTTCTTTTGTGCTGTCGATTGTGAGGCTCAACATCCCCTCGTACTTTTGTTGGTCATCTGTTTGCATGTACGTGCACCTAATTTGAGTCTACTTAAACAGCTGTTACTGCCCCCGTCGATTAAATATTAAGCAAATCCCATTTTTATCCATATTTCCAATCTTCGACTGCTCGCTCCTCTGAGACCCTACTTCAAAATTCATCAACATAATCTTATCGAATATCACACTATGGTCCGTTTCTCCATCTCACATCAACCTCTATTTGATTCAGTAGGCTAACAAACTCCCCAGAACCAACTTTCTGATGTTGCACCCTGCCACGTCCATAACAGCATGCGATTAAGGAAGCCATACCTTAAAGACAATCTCCCAAACAGGCTATGTCTTCTATGTAATCGGTCTTTCTGCGTCGACCACAAGGGGATGGAAGACGGTGTCTGTGAGATTAATCATAAGACATACTATTATAATCATCCAGCGGCCCGAGAGTACATATATCGGACGTATGAGGACTGGAAGAAAGATGCCCAGAAATTAATAGTTGACGAGGCGTCGGGGAATGAGGGGGAGGTTGTAGTGGGGGAAACCAAGACCGAGTCCTAGGGCATACATCCCACATGATGAATTTGACACGATTCTTGTAAACAAGGATATAGTACTTTCGACAATCGATACCATGATATATTCTGCAGAGGCAATAATTTTTAAGTCATATTCACCCGTATTCCCCCCATTGCGAAGCCTGACTCGTCAGAATTGAAAAATTCGGCCTAATCAATACCATGTTTCACGATAGTATCTTCAACCATCTTAAACCATGGTATCATGATCCTAGGATTTCCAGATATGGCCCTCTTATAGTTATATCGATGTGTTTGACAGGTTGTTAGATTTGAGTGTTGTTTGATAAACCTAGTAACCTAGTTTATTCAATTATACCAACAGAAACAGAGGTATCAGGGTGATTAAAATTCGCAGCCAGAGTAAAAGATTAGCCATATATGGCATAGATTAGAGCTGCTCCGTTAGAATCCATAGAAGTTCGTTAGTTCCCTATCGATTAATCTTCAATTTTAGAGAATTTATAACAAGAATGACGTTTACATATCGTATCACGAATAAAATAAAGCTTTGAAGCAGGAAGCCTTGGAGCCATGTCTTATCTGCACCAGCCTTGGGAGGCTTAAAATTGCGCAAATTAATCCCTTCAAGAAGTGTCTAAAGTTCTTCTGCAGTTGCACGTATATATCCGACGTTCATCAAGGTTCTAATAGTGGAACCTTGGAAGTTACCTCGCTAGGTAATTGCCCATACTTTAAGCCTTCCAATGGATCTATACATAGGTATTGAATCATAGATAAACATCCGCACCCCATTGAAACTTTATATTCCTAGGCTGAGTTCCAAGTGGGCCTACCATCGGTGGATACACAAGTGTATATGTAAGCTCGTAACCTGTGAACAGTTGAAAGCAGCGGTCAAGGTGCCATAAGTGATACGAGAGAAAAACTTAAGGTAGTCTTGCGACGTCATTACAAGGTTCTCAGCACTTCTACATGAATATAAAACCCACGTTCCCGCCACTATTTCCCCACAACCCACAACCCACAACCCATCAACTCCACCATGTTCCCCCCTCCACCCAAAGATCTAGACTGGAAGGATATCGGCTTCAAAGTCCATGAAGGTAATTAAATAATCTATTATATACCCCTGCCCCCGAGATCCATTTGCAGCGCCTAGTTCCTCCCAATAAACCCATCGACCAACCAATCTATATCACAAACTAACGTAAAAAACAGTCAATGGCCATGTCGAATGCAACCTTTCCCGCACAGGCACGCAGCAATGGAGCACCCCAAAACTAGTAGAATCACCATATCTAAAAATCCACGGCATGGCCCCGGGCCTAAACTACGGGCAGCAAGTATACGAGGGCCTCAAAGCCTTCCGACACGCCAACAACAAAATAACCATATTCCGCCCGACGCGCAACGCGTTGCGAATGCAAAAGTCAGCAGAAGTGGTCTCAATCCCACCAGTCCCCGAAGATGTTTTCCTAGAATGTGTCCGGCTAGCAGTAGCCTCAAATGCAGAGTTCGTGCCGCCGCACGAGTCCGGCGCGGCGATGTATATCAGGCCGCTACTGTTCGGGTCATCGGCGCAGCTGGGCCTTAGCCCACCAGATGAGTATACGTTTGTAGTGTTTGTTATGCCGACGGGCGTTTACCACGGGTCTAGCGGTGTCGATGCGTTGATTTTGGAGGATTTTGACCGGGCCGCGCCGAGGGGGACCGGCTCTGCTAAGGTTGGGGGGAACTATGCGCCTGTCATGCGGTTTAGTGATCGGGCGAGGAGCGAGGGGTTTGGAATTACGTTGCATCTCGATTCTGCGTCTCGGAGTGAGATTGATGAGTTTTCGACGTCGGCTTTTATTGGGGTTTTGCGGGATGGGGAGAAGAAGCTGCAGATTATGTTGCCTGATAGTGCTAATGCTATTGATTCGGTGACGGCAGGCTCGGTGGCTGAAATTGCGAGAGGGATTTTGGGGCTTGAGGTTACGAAGAAACAGATTGGGTATGAGGAATTGGGACTTTTTGATGAGGTTATTGCTGCTGGGACTGCGGCAGCGCTGGTCCCCGTGCGGAGTATCACCATGCGTTCGAGGGATGAGAAGTTTCAGTATCGTTGTGGAGAGCAAAATGAAGGTGGTGAGGTCTTTACCAAGCTGTTGCAGACGCTGCGTGGGATTCAGTTAGGATCGATTGAAGATACATTTGGCTGGAACTATGAGGTGAAGGATGTTTAGATACGATGCTGGGAAAAAAAGCAAAGAGAATAAAATGTTCTTAGTTCAATTAGGTCTGTAAAATAACCCATTGGCCGACCTAGTACATCGCAAAAAAGTGATATTGAATATGCAGTATTGAGACGGGCAATTCCATAATTCAGAAAAAGTCATAGGGGATATCATATCGTAGATGTAATCGCTGAGAACGAGACACAAAGAAATAGTCACTCGTAATATAGAGTCTACTTCATTATGTTCCAGGGAGTGCGCATCTTTTGCGACTTTCCATCAGGCATTATGTCGCCATCATCATCACTTCCAGTCGGAGAATCGCCATCGCTGTCTGAATAGTCCTTCGGGGTGGGCTTTTTCTTCTGAGGTGACTTGCGCTGATTCTGCTCCTGCTTGATCTCGTTCATTTTGGCCTCTTTAAGACTTTTGAGTGACAACGCTGGATTGAACGGTCCAGCTTGCGACGATGCCAGGAACATGTTGACGGGTTTCTGACTAGACTGAGGGGTTTCTCTTAAAACTGGTTAGTGATTTATAACGATTAGGAAATCATTCGGGAGTTTTGAGCTTACCTGGGGGCTGGTGATTTTGTGGAATCATGCTTTGAAGTGATTTCAGGCATATCATCACTCGAGTCATCCTCTTCTGAAGAACTCGAAGAGCTCGAAGAACTCCAGTCATGTTTCTCACTGGATTGCTTTACCGTATCCTTGTCCTTTTCCTTTTCCGCATCCTTTGACTTGCCAAGAATAATATCATCATTTGAATCATCCTCTTCTGAAGAACTCGAAGAGCTCGAAGAACTCGAAGAACTCGAGTCGTCTTCCTTGTGTGGTATTTTTGCTTCATCAATGTGCTCGGCTTTAGCGATAAGATCAGTCGACTCATCCTCCTCAGAAGAACTTGTCAATTCAGAACTCGACTCAGAGCTTGAGCTTTCTTCATGGAGAACCTCAGTGGCCTTTCTCTTGTTAATTGGATCGGACTGTTGCTTCTCAGATCCTAAGTCTTCATTTGGGTCTTCAGGGCTCTCGATAGCATCCACATCAAACAGATCGGACTTCCGCGTAAAGTAAAACGTGTCGTCGTCTTCCGACGAACTTGAGTCTTCATCTTCAGAGTCCTGATTGGAATTAGTCTTAAGCTTTTTGGATTTGTGACCATCGAAGATTGACTCTCCGCTACCCTCGTACGAGTCGTCTTCGCCCTGATTTTCATCTTCGCTGATTATGATGATGTCGTCGTCTTTATTCTCAAATCTGGTATTGGATGAGCTCGCGAGGTTTTCGCCAGGAGTGGGCAGAGTCGGAGAGCTCAATTGTGTTAATTGCTGGTCGGCAACGGGCTGAGAAGAGGACGGCGCAGTCTCCTGAGTCTGAAGAGGGGACTTGACTGAAGACCTGGGTACTGAAGATGGCAAAATAATACGATTCGATGGAAGGAAGGCAAGTGGTGATATCTGGGATGGGTGTGGGTTGACAGCTGGTGTATCACGAGCCCGGATTGGGGCTGGCTTGGCGGCGGTTTTCGATACCTTCGAAGCGGACTTGGGCGATTTGACTTTCGATACCGGGGACGATCCACTAGACATTGACTGTAGCTGCGGCAGTGGCTGGGTTGACGGGAAATTCTTAGCAGAGCTTCTTGTTTGGCGTCTTCCCGGGCCAACTTCTGACCCAGAGTCAGCAGGGAGTTCAGATGCAGTCGACATCAAGTGGTCAATGAGCTGATCAGCCAGTTGAGATTGTGTAGGAGTAAGTTCTTGCTCTACAGGTTCAGGCACTTCTGGTTCCAATTGACTCGGAGAACGCGCGAGACTTTCCTTGGGTGTTGACTGTTTTGGGGTCGATTTTGCGGCGACTGGATCGGTTGTCTCGTTAGTTGTCTCAGAAACTGAGGTTGGATCAGACAACATCAACTTCAAAGAAAGTCTTTGAGATCTAGTCCGCAAAGGCTGGGGACTTGCTGTCGACTCCTGCTGTGTAGACTTGAGCGGCTTAGACTTGGAATTTGCAGGTAAAGTTGCGAAGCCCGTAGTGTCATTAGTAGTCTTCCGCTTCGACGCACTCTGCGAAGCCTGGGCGCTAGTAGGCGCATCTTTCGTCTGTTGAGACGTAGACTTCGGAGCGGGAGATTTCTGCGAAGACTCGGGCATGGTCGCAGAAATCAGCACGACTGGCTGGGGAGTAGGCTCCTCATTCACTTGTCTTGAAGAAGCACTGCCAGACGTCTTTGAGCTTGGTAGCCAGTCTGGGGTCGGGATATCTGGCAATATCCTCGACACTTGCTTTGACCGAGAGGGGACTTCTGCCGGTGATTCGGGAATAGTCTGAACGTTTGATTCCGAAGACTTGGATGGGGTGGCCTTTTCGGGCACATTCTTTCCCTTTTTATTCGATCCGTTCTGGGATGCAGAAGGGCTTTGAGTGGTAGCAACTTCCTTTGATTTGTCAAGGACTACCTTGGTCGAGCGTAAGGGGGAATTCGAAACGGGCAACGGGGGTGCATCGACCATTTCGACGTCTTCCTTTGCCTTCTCTAACTCTTCTATTTCCATCATATCTAATCTCTGCAACCTGCTGCGCAAACGAGCGAGTTTCGTTTCAGTAGTCCGTGTTGTCCTGCCACTTCTATCCCGCGTCCCACCACTTCTGCCTGTCAATTTCGACAAGATACTTCGCTGTTCGAAAATCTGTTCAAGGAGTTTCTTTGCTTCAGGCGCCGTGTTTGGGTCTGCGAGCCGCGTTGATTCCTGCTGTTCTTCAAGCTTACGCAAATTCTGCTTGTCGCGGAACTCCCTAACTTTCTCTTCGGTGTACCCAGGTGGGTAAGCGACGCCATTGATTAGGACTGAGTCGACTGGGTTCTTGGGCCCGCTGGGTGTTGAGTTGACAGATCTCGATTCTTTGGCTTTCAAGGACTTCTTCTTAGGCATGGGCTGGGACATGCTGAAGTTGCGCGGAATCTCGTCATCACCATCTAAACTTGGAGAAACGGCCAATTGTGTAGATTCAAAGGATTGGCCAGCTGGAAGAGAAGGCGAGTAAGCACTTGGCTCGTCAGTGAACAGTTGACGAGCAACGGCCCGGGGAAGCAAGTCCTCCGCAGCTTTTCTCTTCTTATTAGGACTCTTCGTGATACCGAGACCAAGACCTTTGGAAGATCGCGGAGGATTTTTAGCAAGCGTTGCGCCGTGCACTGGAGACGCAAATGATGGCTTGCGACCCCGTTTGATAGGGCTAGTTAAGACAGCCGGCTCCGGTATCTGCTCTTTTGCGCTCGGGGATAGCACTGCTGATCGCACTGATGGTTGCCGTTCTAGTCGGGGTTCCTTCGTAGGACGGTCTTGATCTGGACTCGAGTCATGCTTGCGACGCTGTCCCTGGGTGGAAGGTGCTTGAACGGTTTTCTTGATGTTTGGCGAGGGTACAAGTATATGGTCAGAATGGGAGATAGCCTGACTTGGCCGAATATGTGATCCGCCAAGCTCCTCGCTCTGCACGCGACCCTGGGGCGTTGTAGGGACGCTGGGTTGTGATGTCCCCTCCGGCTGTGGTGCCTGCGACGTTGTCGCGGAAGCAGGAACAACGCTCTCAACAGATATCAATGGAACATCCGGACAAAATTGCTCAGTAGACAGACGCTCACTTTCCGAGCCCTCCTCTGGAATCGCAGCAAACTTATTCGCGCCGTTTTTATTAATCTTCACACGTTTCCGTCGAGCAACCGATGTAGCCGTCCCCCAATCCTGTACAACAGAAGGGAATCGTACAGGAGCATACGGCGCAGGCATTTGCATAACCCGAACCACTCCCCGTTGATCATGTCCATCCGCGCGTGCCTTGCCCATATCAACCCAGACACTAGCAACAGTCAAATCAACCTCCAAATCCATAGACGGGTTCGCATCGTCGACGAGTTTTTTGATTTCAGGCGGTCTAAAAACACAAGCAGCAAAATTAGTTTTCCAATTGACACAAAATTCCAAGCTTCGTTGACACTAACTCTTGACCTGGACGAAGAACCTTCCATTTATCCAGTATCATGCAAGCCAATTCAGCCAATGTCGTTTCCTCGGGATTTTCAACAATCAAAAGAAAAGATGTGTATTTTTTTCCGGCGTCCTCATCTTGGCTGGTGTTTCCACTGCCAGGCATCAGATTTCGTAGAAAGCCCGGGCTAGTAATCTGTGTACGCGGAAACACTTTGACTTCCAGGCGTAGGAAAACCATGATGAAGATGGAATGAGGGAACTTGTTGCTAAATTTGAGATGAGGACAGTTGAAAATAGGGTGAGAAATTCATTTGTACATGGCGGCAATGGAAAGAACACAATTGCGCATTGTTGAAAGACTAAGCAAAAAAAAAGTGCTGCGATAGCTCTAAGTTTGTACCTCAAATCACAGGCTGCAATCTTAAGGTACCGTGCTCCACTCATGTGACCTGTCAAAGGATTTGATCACCGGTTTAGATACCGCCTGAGTATTGACCAATAGAAGGTCCAACCTCGTTTCATTTCGATTTATTCTACCGGTTTTATCGGTGTGAAGCGCGTGTTTCGTTGGCGGATCTTGGGAGCAACTGTAATTTGATACTGGTTAGCTAGTAAGTGATTTATCTATTATTTACTACGCTAACTTTGGAACTGGTTTGGTGGTGAAAATAGGGGAATGATAGCTAGGAGTTAAAGTTGATCCAAGTCTGGCCCTTAGGGCTTGTAGATATCAAATAAAAAAATGATGAGAATGAACTAGGAATAAACAGGCAGACTAAACTATTCCGGTGGCGTAAAATATCTCTGAAACCGATCAATCTTAGTCAACTGCAACTCAACAATAACCTTATGGCAACTCATCAACAAACTAGGGAAGCGCACAGTCCAGAAAACCAAGTACCCCTCTGGCAAACCACCAATATGAGCCTTGAGATACTCAGGCATGTCATTGTAATGGTTGCGTTTGTTACGAAGGGCACGTAGGAGATCCAGCATGCGCGAGCCCGTATACTTGCGCTGTTTACCGAGATTATCTTTGAAATCGCGTGGGAGGAGGCGGAGGAAATCTTGTTCGGGGCCCATTACCTGGCGGGCTACGGATTCAAGGCAGAGGAGAGCGTCGGAGGGGGGGTCACGGGACTCGAACTCGAAGTGGTCGGATACATCGCAGAGGAAGGCGAGGCGGTCGGATGGAGGCCAGAAGAAGGGGTGCATCAGGACTGCGCTGGCGTCGGGACTATATTTTAAGTTAGTATGCTGTGATCGGGGGAGATGGACCGTGCAGTTAGATGAACAAGACTTACCGGCGGCGAGGATCAAGGGATAACATTGATCGAATAAGGTCGTCTGCCTCGAAAGCATAGTCACCCAGACGATCTAGTTCCTGAAGATCGAATTGGCCCTTAACTATGTTGGCTTCCCGCATGAACTTGCCATCCTTGTCGAATGGGTGGCTTCCTCGCGTCAGGACATAGTAAAAGACACATCCCAAGGAAAAGATATCGATGGCTCGCGTTGCTCGGCGATTGGTTTGTGGATCGACTACCGCAGGCTCAGATGACTCTGTATGCTGTGAGGCGAGACTGAGAGGGCCGAACTCGTCGTCGACTAACAACTCCGGAGCACGCCAGCCAGAGGTACCAGCGGCATGGGCGGTGGTGGCTCGGAAGGAACTTTGGTTGTCCTCGAGCTTCTTGCAAAGACCAAAATCAGAGATGAGCAGTCGGAGAGCTCCTCGGGTTGTGGTTCGACCGCGTGGCATAGAAACCAAGATATTCTGCGGTTTCAAATCGCGGTGGACGATCTTGAGCGAGTGCAGGTATCTTACACCCTGTGTGATTTGCCGTAGGACGTCGGGGAGGTCCAAGCCGCTCTGAACTAGATCAGGGAATTGGATCGGACGCTCAATAACATCACCGAGAGACGCTGGACAAAGCTCTAGGCCGATGTATAAGAAACCTGCCGCCTGTTCACGGCAGAAATAGCGAATGACATTGTGGTGATCGTCGCTCTCCTGCAACAATCCCACCTCGTGAGAGGCTATGTCGTAAAATTCCATAAGCATACGCTTGACGGCCACGTTTCGACCATCAAATGCACCCCGGTAAACTACAGTGCCGTGGCTGCCATGGCCGAGGACAACATTGGTGAAGACTTCCAATCGCCCAATACGGACGACTCCGTCAATCTCGGTCACGTTAGAAATGGTAATATTCCTCGGCACATTCGGGGCACTGGGTACATCTGATGCCGAATTATTGGAGTGCTCAATTGCTTGGTCGGTTTGCTGTGTCGCATTGCCTTGCTTCTTGCCCTTCTTATGATGCCTTCCGCCACGTCCACCGCGCTTCCTCTTGGGCTTTGTTCCAACCTCATCACCCTCTGTCAAATCCGCAGGGTCACGAGAAGGTTCACGAATCTGAACACGGGTGGTCGCCAGTCGAGAGTTGCTCGCAGTTCGGGATGGCCGGGGGTGGAATCACGGTCTGGGGTAGCATCCGCCACGTCAACATCAACAATCACATCAGGAACTTGTCGAGTGGCAGTGGAGGCCCGGTTGATGTCGGCTGGTCCAAGTGTTGGAGTGGCAGGGGTTGAGAGAGGGGGTTTCTCATTCGAATTGATAATATTCTTGATATCCAGCTTTTGCTTCGCGAGGTCTCGAATGTGGTCGGAATTGAGATAGAGGAAGGCCACGATGAACAAGAGGATGATGCTGACAACAATATCTACTGCGTTATCCCAACTCTTGCGGATGATCGTGCTGTTTCGCAATGCTGGAGGGAGAGCTTCAGAGGGGCTGCGTTGGGCAGCTCGGGGGGTGTCATTAGACATATCAGTCGGAGATGAGCTACCGAGTCGTGGGATGGACGGTCTGGTACGCGGGCCGTGCAACTCGTGCACTCCAGTCAACGCATCACGTTGCTGTCTCGAACTCAAGCTCATGAGGGACTGGCCTCGGCGTAAGAAGTCCTTATCATAGCACTGGGCCATTGGGGCACGGCCAGTGACCAACGGGTATGTTTCCTCAGACAGCGCATACCAGCCACCAGACTCAGTCGAATCAATAAAGACACGCATGTCTCTATCATCCAGCGAACCGTAGTCGGGATCCGGGGGCTGAAGCGGCTGAGACAGAACCACTAATGGGGTGAAGGCATCAGGTACATCCTTATTCGCCGGGCGAACAACGTCAAATACACGGGCTACTGGAGAGGCAAAGCGCTGAGTGTAGCGGGGGCGATCCATTCGGGAATGGTCAAATCCAAGGACGACACCATCATGCATGCTGTAAACATGACTCTTGTCCATAGTGTAGAAATACTGGCTCTGCAAGTCCATGTCACGGTTGTTGGGCGCCCATTCGGAGTACTTCAAAGTACAAATCGGATCACCAGTTTCTGTATTTTGGATAGCCACGGCATATTCAACACGGCCAATAACCAAGGTACCAGACGCTGTTTCACACTCCTCGGAGTCCAGATCCTGTCCATCCACCCTCCGACATTCCTGCCCGGTAGTAAAAGGACTACGAGAGCTGAACACCCGCAGAATGCTACCAGTTCGGGCATCAATAGTATATAATGTAGTTTCTTTCCTCGCAGTGTACGTCACAGCAGGCTCAATTCCAGAATACGGTGTTTGGTCCACAAGCTCTTTGACAGTCAGCCCCAGCTTCTGGAGCCCAGCCTCAGGGCCAGGGCTGTAAATATACAAGCTGCCGTCCTGGCTCGGCTCGACGATCCACAAGAAATCATCCTCAGGCTGAGTATCATCAAAGCTGGATCTGTTCGCACGATGGTAGATACTTTCGACGACAGGGCTGCTCGGGACCTCGAGAGCCCAGCGGGCAGAGCCTGTCTTGCGGTCTCGGGCGTGAATAGTTCCGTCGACGGTCGCCAGAAGCACAAACTCCTCAACCTCCCAGTCCTGCAGGGACCGCGCGTGAAGCTGCGAAGCCAGACCAGCAGCAGTGCTGCTGGCCTGGGTAGGAGGGGCTCGAACGGCGCGGCCAGAGCCCGCCAGAGCCAGAGTTGCGAGGGCGCTCGCATCGACAGATTTCACGATGGGAATAGCCACGGGGGCTGTGTGGTGTTTGGATTCATGTCCGGTCGATCCTATGGGGACTGGGGTGGTGAAATCATGATGGTCTGGTTGCTGCAGCGGAGCTACCAGGACTGGGAGGAGTAAGAGGACGACGCTGGCCGGGAGGGTCGAACGGGCGCCCGGCAGCCGCCACCACATTGTGAAGACTTCAGCTCGGTCAGGGATTAGAGAGTAGTAGTGGCTAACGAGGAGAAGGTCCTCAATTCAAGTTCATCGATTGTTTGGTTAGGAAGACGAATGTGGAGCGAATCAAGAAATGCGTCGCAGATCATCCCCCACCTAGGCTAGGAGGGTTATGAAGAAATGGAGGTTCAATTCAAAGATGGAATCTGATGATTCAATGGATGGATGGAAGAAGAACTTGGGGTTGTTGACGAAGAAAGAAGAAGGGGGAAGAACGTCAAAGTACTTTTGTGTGTAATAGCCTTGTACGGATTGCTTACAGTACACAGTCTAGACCCCCCTTCTTACTGCGCCCCCACTGTAACACTATGTATGGATACACCTGTATTGATACATTGCCACGCAATCAAGGTACACCTCCTGTTTATCCCTCTCAGGCTTCTCCATTTCTATTTTTTTATGTCAACTTCGTGTTGTACAACGTATGATTCATCCAATTTCGAGTGAACGTATAATTTGCCTCTCTTTCAACGCAGTATTATGACACACACGACCATCCGGGGAAATGGATTTAGCCCCCGAGAACCCCGCTTATTTACTTCAAAGACTTGAAAGCAGACAGTAGAATAAGAGATAATTGGAATTCATTTTTTTCGACTGGTATTAGTCATGTTAAGTATGTATGAGATCCAGACGCCAAATAGGAGAAATACGCCCCCAAAATATTCGTAACTACACGCCACGTCAAATATTCTTCTCAGCCGAAGGAGAAAGAAGAAAAGAAAGCAGAATAAAAAAAAAAGGCGCCATAGATACAACAAGGTTGGAGAAACAATAATAGACATAAAGGAAACGCGGTGCCAAAGGGAGTATTAACAACAGGTGGGACCTTCAAGGTTCCGTTGAATAGCAGAAGATTCAAGATTCACGAAAAAGAGAAGATAGATTTTAAACAAGAAGGCTCAACCTCCACGAAGCATCCAGGTCACGGCCGTGGCCCAACCCGTTACAAAAACAACTGTTAGAATACTGGCACCAGCACGGTCACCATTGGTGATATTGTCCAAAACTGGGACCACGTCGGAAGAGGTGTTGGTACCAGCATTGGGATTACTCTTCGACGTACCACCCTTGTCGGCCGTATACGGCGCTTGATTTTTGAGGGGGACTAATGCCGCATTGAGAACACCCAACACAGCCATCTGCTGTTCTAATCCATCAGTGTTATCCCACGTTGATGTATACCATGTAATTCCGCAGTGGGAACCATCCGAAAGACCCGTGCAGGTTGCAGCGGCGGCAACAGCTGAGGTCTTTAGCTTCGGGATGATCAATGAGGATGTATCTGGCACGATGGTGGTTAAGAAGGCAAGCCAGCTGGAGAAATAAGCCTTGAAGGTAATCTGGTTGCGATCACATTTTGAGGTGGATTCGCATGTGGTTTCAGTGAGAATATTGCCGCCGGAGCTAGCATACGGCTTTTGAGTCGGGTAGAACTGGCTTGACGTTCCTACTAGACCCTCTATACCTTCCTTCCACTTCGATGTGCCATTCGTCTGTCATAGTCGTCAGTAATAAGAAACGAAAAAGGAAAAGATCGTCACCTACATAGTTGTACATGTAACCAGCACCGCTGATGTACGTGCCATAGTTATAGGTCCATTGCCAGTCACCATGATCAGTGCACTGGGTCTCGCAGGTGGTTGTATCAGCAATGTTCCAGTTCTTCTTGAGCAATGGCGTTGTCGCGCTCCAATCCCAGATGCGCTCCGCCCAGTTCGCGTATGTCGCATTATTGGTATAGAGCGCCAATCGAGCAGCCAACTGGAACAATCCACCGTTGGAGATGGCATTCTTTGTAGTGTAACCACTCTGGTAAGGCCAAATCTGCCAGCGCAAACCACCATGACAGCTGCTGGTGTCCCAACGAGGAACTTGAGTGTTAAAGACACCCTGCGCAAGCGAAACCCACGAAGGCTCTCCGCTTTTTTCGGGAAAGTTCAGTTCGGCAGCGGTAATGGCGGCCAACCCCCAGAAAACTTGATCATCGTTACCAAGATACTGGCTGTAATTTGATGGGAAGTAATTGTCGTCGCCTTTCTGCCAGTACATGCCCTCCTGAATTAGATCGTTGAACTGGCTGTCGCCTGTCAAGAACCAGTACTGGATGAGGATCATGAACATGGATCCACCTTCCCACCAGGTTCCGTCGAACTTTCCTGGAATGTCTTTGGATTCTCGATCATTGTAGTATGTTATCATGTCTGTGGCGACGGTCTTGGCAGCGGATTTGATGGAATCTATTGACACATTCCTAAGGTCAGCCGGGGATTACACGAGGCTTGGAATGTTGAAGGCTGAAGACGGAACGAAATTCACGTACTTTCATCGTCAACGTTGAGTGTGATAGCGAGGGCACCCTGGATAGCAAGAGAGCCACCCAATATGGGTAGCCACTTTGACAAGATCATGATTGAAAAGAGTGGAAAGATTTAACGCATGGATGAAAGATGGGGGAGGATAGGAAGATGAAAGGCGGGGGGTTGAAGGGTGGAAGTTGAAGGGGAGATGAGGAAGAGCAAAAAGGCCATAAGCAAGATTCGGGGGCGCAGCTTAAATCAGTGGTCGATCTGACCTTAAAGGGTCCCTGGTTCGGTGGGGCGCCAAAGGCAAACTACTATATCACTTATATTTCATTTGCAGTTTAGATCTAATAGACTAATGGAATTAAAGATTATTTTTATTTGAAAAAAAGGGGAAATCAGGGAAAACCGAAAACGTTTCATCCCCTGGAGAATATATGACGGTAACACTTTTGTTAAGAAGGAAGTGGAAATGAAACTCTAGTCTTGGCAATACCAATAGTCACATCTACGACGTGGAGTCTGATTTATGAAGGGAATGGAATTGTTGCCATACAAAGTATTATAGTATTGCGTCACTCTTTCTGACGTTTAAATAGGTAACTGAGTTAAGTTGTAACTCATCTTGACCGTCGATCGTGATTCGCGGGGTAAAAAGAGCACTCGGCTGCCTATGGATGCCGAAAATGCCAATTATGCCAATTACGCCAAGGATGTAATTTTAGAACTGATGAGTAATTCATTGTTCACTCCCTATTTAATATTCATTGTTCACTCCCTATCGAACATTCACTTTCTGACACCTGGATTTACACAACTATATGATCTCTCTCGATCTACATTGATATAGAAAACTGGGGAATCAGGGTCCAACTAGGTCTTAGCGGAGGGTCCAGAAGACTAAACTTGATTTGTATATGTCATGTGACTTCAAACCTGAGGCATCAACATTACTAAGCTAGCTCGTTTCAGCCCTAAAATAGAATCATAAATTGAAGCTATTGAGTGTTTTACACTTTAATTTTAAGGGATATACATTTTAGTTTTATCTCCTATCACATCAAGTCATTTCACTGTTTCACATACGCTCCCGCCGGCGAGGAGCTGCCCGGATAATGTTGTCCACACGCAAGAGGAGCTAGATTAGAGTTAGTATATGCATAGTAAAGCGAACAGAGAAGAAAAAAGAAAGAAAACATACCTCAGCGGCCTCAGATGCCGACGACACAACGGCCTTCTTCAACTTGTATGCCTCCACAACACCGAGCTCACGCATGTCGGCAATGCCACCACCAGGAGTCAACAGATCCAGGCCAGAGTTGGTCAAACCGTTGTTGATCGCCTGTCGCAGACGTGTGACCAAGTCGCTAGAGTCAAGACCGGCATTGTCGGCCAGGATAGTAGGCAGCTGCTTAAGAGCGTGGGCGAACGAGTCCACGGCCAACTGCTTCTTGCCGGTAGTGTTCTGGGCAGCCTGCTCAACAGCCTTGGCCATAACCATCTCGGCGCAGCCGCCGCCAAGAGTAACACGAGGGTCCTTAACTGTCTGAGACAAGACGGCAAGCGCATCGTGCAACGAACGCTCGGCCTCGTCCAGGAGTTGCTCGGTGGCACCACGCAGCACAATAGTGCAGGCCTGGCCGGCAGCGACGCCGGAGAACTTGATCAGAGTGTCCTCGCCGATGATAACCTCCTCAATCAAGTCACAAGAACCCAGCTTGACCTGGTCGGGGTGGTCGAAAGTGGAGGCGATCTCACCACCAGTCACCATGGCCAGGCGCTCAATTCCGTCGAAATCGGCATGCTCGATAGACATGATACCAGCCTCGGTGAACAGCTGCTCGGGCCAGTTGTAGATCAACTGACGGTTAACGAAACAGTTAATTCCGTGGGACTTGATCCGCTCAACCTTGGCGCGCATCTTCTCCCGCTCGGCCTTCTCCAGATCAGCCAGCTTGCCGGTCGAGTCCACCTTGACGCGAGCACCAAAGATCTTGACCTTGTCGGTGTCCATGGCAGTGTTGGCCACCATAATCTTCGCATTCTCCAATCGTTTGGGCTGGTTGACACCGATCTTCTTGTCCAGGATGAATCCCTCGTCCAGGTACGAGTCACTCAACTTACCACCGGCCTTCTTGATGATCTGAATGTGGCTGAGGTCGACGGAACCCTTGAGGCGCAGAACGGCCTCACACGCCAACTGGGCAAATTGTTCGCGGTCTTGTGCCAGAACCTTGGAGCTGAGGGTTGTGCGGGCGATGGAGTGCAGGTCTTTGCGGAAGGCAACGGGGTCCTGGCTGCGGTCGACAGCGACGGACTCGAGAGAGGAGAGAGCGGCACGGCTGGCTATCCGATAGCCCTCGATAATAGTCTGGGGGTGGATCTTGGAGTTCACCAGCTTTTCTGCTTCGCGCAGCAGCTCGGCGGCGAGTACAGTAACGGAGGTGGTACCGTCACCAACCTCATCGTCCTGGACCTTTGAGATGTTTACCAGAACTTTGGCCGCGGCGTTATCCAAAGCAATAGATTTCAAGATTGTAGCACCGTCGTTTGTCACAAGAATATCTCCGGTCGATCTGTTCCATAGCACTATCAGTATATATTCCTAGTCGAAACCCATTACACTCCACGTACGCAGACTGTAGAATCTTATCCATTCCCTTGGGACCAAGGGTGCTCTTTACAAGGTCACCGACAGCAATGGCACCGACAAAGGCCGACAGACGAGCGTTCTCGCCCTTCTCCTCGATCACATCGTCGGCAAAGATCTGTGTGGGATTACCGAATGACGCCTAGGGACAGAGGTGATTAGCTTCAGAGCAATGTGAGCCCAAAATTCAAGTACATACCATAATGACCAGCTAAAAACGAACAATCGATCACGATGATCAAATGTGTCGATATACTGGGAAGGTGGGAGCAACTTTCGTCAACAGTGGGGGATGAGGGAAAGGAGAAAAGTTAGGTGGTCCGAGCTTCTGTCCCTCCTATTGGATTATAACCCATCACCGCCCGGGGCTGTTGCTTTCTCGTTCATTCTTTGAATTATTTTTGCTCTCAATCTAAGTCTGCTCTAGTGTAAAGTGTCTAGAGTTCTTTGATCTCGTCACAATGGCTGATTCTGAAGAGGCCACAGTTCCTCCTACCAAGCGTCCTCACTCCGCCGTCGAGGCAGACGAAAGTGGTCCGTGATTCCCTGAGCTTCGCAGCTTCGCGCAACCTGCTAATCGAGACAATTTCACAGATGATTCCTCCGACGATGACTTCGGCCCAGCGCTGCCGTCCGAAGTAGCGCCGAAGAAGAAGCGGCGCAAGCTGCCCTTCGAAAAGGTTTATGTGACAGCGCTACCTGCCTCGGCGCAGTACTCCAAGTCGCTCATGCACAAGGATCAGTTATCCTTTCTGACCGTAACCCCGTTCACTGATTTTGTCATCACGAGCTCTATCGACGGTGAGGTCAAGTTCTGGAAGAAGATGGCTGAGGGTATCGAGTTTGTGAAGGAGTTTCGCGCTCATTCAGGCGAGATTCTGAGCATGAGTGCCAGTGCCGATGGCAGAAGCTTCGCATCGGTTGGAACAGATAAGACGGTCAAGATATTTGACGTTATTACGTTTGATCTACTTGCTATGTATACACTGGATTTTACACCCCGATGCGTTTGCTGGGTCCACCGACGAGGCGCTTCTTTGCCATTGCTTGCTGTGACGGATGAGTCGAGTAACGCGATTCAAATATTCGACGGCCGCGGTGAGAACCCGAAGCCCTTACATACAGTCAATCATATTCACCGTAGTCCTGTCGTTTCGCTGGCCTTCAACAATGCCTTTGACTGCGTCGTCTCGGCCGACGAGTCTGGTATGGTCGAATACTGGAGAGCAGGAGATGCGTCGTTCGAGAAACCCGATAATGTCTTCGAGCTCAAGTCATCAACCAACCTGTTCGCGTTCAAAAAGGCCAAGTCAATCCCGACAGCAATCACGATCTCGCCATCGGGACAACACTTTGCAACAGTCTCGTTCCCAGACCGCCAGATACGGATATTTGAATTTGCAACAGGCAAACTGTACCGCACGTATGATGAGTCGATCAATACAATCATCCAAATGCAACAGGCCGGAACGGCGCCATATCAGCTAGAAGAGATAGAATTTGGACGACGATTGGGAATAGAGCGAGAATTGGAATCTGGCTTGGCGCGCAGCCGATTCAATGTCTCATTCGACGAGTCTGGCCACTTCCTCCTCTACGGCTCGCTATACGGCATCAAGTGCATCAATACTTACACAAATCGCGTGGTACGGGTTTACGGTCGTGACGAGCCCTTCCGAGCAATGAACCTAGCCCTGTACCAGGGCCAACCGCAGAAAAAAGGCGTTGTCACCGTCTCCATGGCAGCTAGTAATAACCCGCTCCTGCAAGAGGCAGAAGGGCGCGACGCAATCCTACTTTCAACGGGCTTCGCTAAAGTCCGGTTCTACATGTTCACCAACGAAACTGAGGTATCCAAGACGAGCCGTGATATCCAAAACGAAAGACCCACAGAAAAGGCTCGTGCCGATGCTAGTACCACCAAGGAAGGCGAGAGTGGCACTGCCGCCATCATACACACCACCATGGGCGATATTCACCTACGCCTCTTCCCTACTGCGGCTCCACGGACGGTTGAGAACTTTGTCACTCACGCCCGCCGTGGTTACTATAACAACACAATCTTCCACCGCGTTATCCGCAAATTCATGATCCAGGGCGGAGACCCGCAAGGCGACGGCACCGGTGGTGAATCGATTTGGGGCGGTGAATTTGCTGACGAATTCTCCAGCTTGAAGCATGACAGGCCGTATACTCTGTCCATGGCCAATGCGGGACCCAATACGAACGGTAGTCAATTCTTCATCACGACAGAGAAGACACCGTGGTTAGACAACAAGCACACTGTCTTTGGCCGTGCGGTGCAAGGACTAGACGTTATACACAAGATCGAGAATTGCAAGGCGCACAAGGAGAAGCCGGAAGTGGATATCAAGATCGTTAGCATCAGTATTTCTTAATTTTGAAGGAAGACGAGAAAATTACACGGTAAGACAAATCAAATAATTAGAATAAATTATTTCGCGTGTGGAACGTAGCCACCCGCCTCTTTGTATTCATATCTGTTTTTAAGATGTACTAAGGTATATATGCTAGTGAAAGTGTATGAGTGATAGTCTGAAACGGGCAACCAGCCCAAGAAAAGAATATCCAAAATATGGAAACAGTAGAAAAGAAAAAAAAACTCCAAACACCCAAGCTTCCAGTACATCAGCGCTGTAGATGCAAATGAGAACACCGAAAGGAAAGAAGTAAAGACTAAGCCAATACCCGATCTATCCCGGACGAAAGTAAAGGGGGGAAAAAGAACTGATCTATCCACGCGAGACAGACCGGATCTGTACATCAGAAACAGACTGCGGCAATTTCTGCAACGTCGACCCAGTATTCACACGATTGTCCCCAGAACTAGCAACCTCAGTGCGCGAGCTACTAGCCAGCGAATCCGGCACAACCTGCGCCATAGTCGTAGACTGCAGGTCAGACTGCGCACGAGCAGCAGAACGACCCCAGGAAACGGGGCCGGGGTTCACGATTCTGATTGCGTTGGGCAGGGCTGCATTGCTGTCGTTTGCGCCGGTTCCGGCGGCGTGGTAGAGACCTGGGTGTTTTGCGTCGTAACGGCGCTTGAGCCAGGCGCCTAGGACCGCTAGGGCCGCGAAGCCGAAGACCAGCACTATCAGCATTATTATCCATCTGTAGTGTGAGTCCCACCTATTAAGAGAATTAGTATATGGAAGGTGATGTTGCAGCCGGCGCGGGTTGTAGGTTTGCTATTGGCGTGGCTTGGATTGAATTGAATTGGGCGGTCTTACCAGGATTTGCCGGTGTCCGAACTTGACGAGCTCAAGCTTGAGCCAGTGCTTGTTGAGCTTGAGGTGCTTGTAGCAGTAGCGCTGCTGGTTGTTTTTGTTGTTGTTGTGGCAGCGCCGGTATCCTTTCCGTCCGAATTACAGTAGTTGACATACCACTGCGACAAGACCTCCTGCTCGGACGAAGTAGTGCAGACGCTTTCGCAGACACTGCCATTCGTTTTAAGTGTCGAGATGCGAGACGAAGAGCAGAAGCATGTCACCCAAGTTGACGAATCGGTGTTCTCAAGACACGTATCCTGGGCAGCGTACAGGGTCGAACATGACAGGCCGCATGGAGGAAAATTTTCAGACCAGGTTGTCGGAACAAGGTTTTTGGAGACAGCGTGTACGGAAGAAAGGAGAGACAGCAACAGGAGCGGAAGCAGGGCTAGCCAGCTGGCTAGGTAGAGCATTGCGGAAATGGAAAGAGAAGTAGATCAGGTAGATCAGACCCTCTGGTATAAGAACTAATTGCGAACGGAAGATTAAAGAAGATCGAAATCCCATATGAGGGGGAAAGGAACTGACATGAAAGGGTCTGGGCCGAACGCAGCCGGTCTAACCTTGAGTTGCCTTTAGTCCCGTTTAGGCTGCTTCCGGATATTTTTTTAGACTTAGCTTCTAGGGTTCTTTAGCTGTAATTATTTTTCTGCTTGTGTTTTGATAGAGTAGGGATTTACTATAATTGTTCTAGAAAGGTTTACTGGTTTAGTATGCAAGGGCAGTTTATCGACAAGGGGCTTAAAATCAACCCAAAACACGGATCCACTGATCAGCTTTCGTCTGAAACCCTTCTCTCTTCTCCCTTGATCAACTACGTAAATTCAACACTGTCAAAAAGGTATCCAGTCCTTCTTAGACACATAAGCACTCTACCTAGAATTGCCAAGGTATTGTCGTCTGTCAGATGAAGTAAGTTGTCGCCATCTTAACTATTTATAGTTGGAAGTCAATCTCCGCATTCAATCTTGCATGCATGAACGTGCATACTATCATTGGATGTCTTGATTGAGCCTATTTCAACTGCTATGATGTCTTAGATTATAACGTCATATTTCTTATTTAAGAAATTAAGATTATGATGATGAACCTTGGGTCATACCTTGTTGCTACGGCTCAGGGGAAGTCAGACCTGTCAAGTTTCAAAATAACCTTAGAAGCTACTTAGATAAGTAATTAGATAATATGGCTTTAGTTTTTGCGTAAATGCCAAGCACGCATTGGCTGGATATTTAGTTGGTGCTGAATTAACAAGACATGGCCTACCAACGCAGCATTGTCGAAAATTCAAGATTCCTCCCAGGTATGCACTAATGTAGTGGTATAGCTATACATTGCAATTAAGGTGTGTACGTGCGACTTAAATCATCTCGAGTTTTCCCAGGTGGTTTCTTCGCTGAACATCCAAGGTTCCTAGCCGGATGGGGTCAATATACAGCCTAGGATGACTTAATAATATATTCGTGGGGCGCCTCACCAGCGACGTATTGATTGAATGATGGTCGATAGTATCTGGAGTTAAACACTCTCGATGGTGTTATTGATAATTACTTTATGGCTGGCTCGACTCTAGAGGCTGCTAGTAAGCGGTATGTACGCTATAAATATCGTTGGTCTACCTACCATGAAAAGCTATCTTGATACTAAGCAGACAGATATTCGAGTAAGCGGCGGCTGAGCTAGTGGACTAAGAGATAGCGATCATGATATAGGCCGTTAGTTAGAATATAGTAATATCTTAAACCATCTAGGCAATAGATATAACTAAAGTTGTCGCTCGAAAGAGCGATATTCGAATATCTAACTGAGAATAGCGTTCGAGTTCTTACTGCAGTAAAATGGAATTGAAGTTTACTGCAGTAAGCGAGGAGTTGGTGAGCTTCAACGAACCACTACTCAACATCGTAGATAAACCACCAAGTGTAGTGGTCTCTACAGTACTGAATATTGCGGTTATTGTGAAGTCTACTTTTTCATTGATGAAAGAACTAGCTACTTATAGTATATGAGTGCTACTCTGTCCTGGACGAATGTCAACATTCGTCCGAGACAGAAGAGACGGTGAAGACGGGACATTACTGTCGCGAATGCACATCGCTCAAGGGTGTTGTTTGCGATGAATGCATATCGTTGAAGGATGCCGTGATATACTAATCTAGTTCCAGAGTCACTGTCTTGGCAGAAGCTTTTCGGCCGAAATACTTCCCGTTTGTTGATGGCCTTGTTTCTCGGCTGTCGCAACAAGTCCTTTATTATCCTTAAGAAGTAGACAGATCTCCTTAGAGGACTTCTGGCTCCCACATCTCAATTCTGTAAGGATATCTTGCATAATAAGATAAAGGATATAGCAGAGACACCTAATAAAGCTATCAACACCTAATAATTATATTAGTAAATAGTAAATTTAAATTTATAGAAAGCTTACCTTCAAAACTTGAGTTAGGTGTATCCTCAAGATAGAAGAAGAGCTCAGATATCAGAGTATCATTATTACTAGCATTATCAGCAGTAATAGTGAGTAACTTTGGTGAGATTTGGAGCTCTTCTAGTATCATATAAAGCTATTCTACCATATTATCTCTGGTATGAGACCCAAAAAGCTCAACAAAATCAAGGATTCGCTCTTGATATTGGAAATCAGGGGTTAGCTAATGACCAATAACCCCTAATATTGCTTTACTATTCTTACTACTTCACCCATCAAGAGAGAGAGAGAGAGCAATTGTAGAACAGGTTTCTTCAAGATCCTTTATCAATTGAACACGATGCTCCTTGAACTCTGCATCAATACGTCGACCAAGTGTACGGGCAGAAGAAAAAGGAAGCTTTTTACCAGTATATGTCCATATCTCCTGAAATGCTTTAGAATTAATCATAGTAAAAGGTATATTCTCTTTTACTATCCATTGGATAAGACTCTTCTCGAATCCTTGTTCTTGCCATTGCTTGGTTTGAGAATAGAATGCAGAAATGATAGATAGCTGCTGGGAGGAAGGTTGGTCCTAGTAGATTTATAGATTAGAGAGAGAGAGAAAGAGAGAGAGTTTACCTTTTCATGTGTTAATTTAAAATGCCTCCACATGTTTGTGGTTGATGACTGTCTTTGCGAATCCTTTACTATCCAGTTACAATGGATACATTCAACCAGCCAGTCTTGCTGAGGTTTTGTAAATCCTTTACGCTTCCATGTCTCGCCTGGAAGCATAGTTCTCGTAAAATGATCCCAGAGTGCTGTATTCACTATCTTTGAACGTGTCTTCTTGATTGGATCTGGTAGATTGAAACCTGATGTTGGAATCAGGCTAGCCGGCAAGGAAGTAGAATCTGAAGGTATCAGAAAAGGAGTTTGGCTAGCTGAATCATCTGGATAAATAGAAGATTCATCGGGTGAATCTTGTCGTTTATTAGGCGGAGGAATCCGATCACTAGGGTCAGCTTCATCATCACTTCCACCATTAAGGTTAAGATAGTTCCATTCCTATCGTGCCCGTTTAGGGCATTGATTATCACTCATTGTCTGATTTTAGAGTAGTGAGAAATCAAAGGCTATTATCATCATACGAGAAACATTTTCAACTAACTAATACTAATGTATATGTCGGTACACCTATATCAAGTGTGGACTAGCTATTCGATAGGCTGACACTTCTAACACCTATTTGTATGCATATTGATCAAGGTTGTTGCTTGATACACTCCGAACAGGAGTTCGTGATGTGGTCTAAACCGGGGTGTCGTTATCTGATATCCCAACAGTATACTAGTATAACTAGGCGGTAGGCAGTGGCAGAAAACTGCGAATATTCGCGAATAATCGCATCAACCGCGAGTGCGAATACGAATAACCTGAAATAAGTGCGAATATTATTCGTGCCGAGCTCTACTCAAGCCTATTCAGTGGCCTACGTTTTAGGTGGTGGTGTGTTAAGTGGTAGTGGTTTATGTCCAGCTCATACTGTCATACAATAAGCTGAAGGGGTGTGTCAAAGGAAGTGGTTTGGGATTCACTTTTAGGTGTGTATTTAAGCCAGATTACGTTCTACTATAGTAGTTAGAAAATTCAGTTTCATTCATTTGTGGCATTTGAATAATTGGCCAGCCAGTCACAGTCTATTTGACAAATAGTCCAAATAACATGCAAAAAAAGCAAACAGTAACCGTCTGACACAATTATGGGTATCTTGAGCACTGCGCTTGGCTACTATTCGATGAATTGAAGCAAGATGCCCATTTCTATGATATAAGAACTAAGGCGTCAAAAGTCGCGTACAACCAGGATTGTTAGAGAAAATGTGTGACGGAGAAAGATCAAAGATCTTGTGCAATTCGAACTTCAATATTCTAAATGGACTGATTGATATACTCTGATTCGGCAGAGTTCCATTTGAAACCTCAAAAAGGATGTATGTCAATAATAATATACACGCATTGAATCAATTTCCCTCTGAATGAATCCTTTCAGCATTGGCAGGCCATCTGCTCGGGCTGGCTGAATCTCGACTATTGGCCCACAATCTCAAAGATCGTAGTCGCACGGACTTTTGTAGCCGGGATGTTATCGGATGAATCATCTTCAGATCGTCGCCTCTTAAAAGAAGCTTTGTCATCTGAGACTATCGCGTTTGAATACGGCAAATTTTGGTATATTTCGTGGAGGTTTCCTTTGATGTCATCCAAAAATGTGCTTTTCGCCCACCGAAGAACGCTATTCACGAATTGGCGGCACTTCTCACGGTCTTCCGGCTTGGGAAGATAGTAGTTGTCCAAAAATGACATGTAGAAAATTCCATCGTCAGGGTTGAGAAAATGGACATATGAGATTGCTTCACGTTGGCTGAGCGATAAGGAGAAAACGATGGATTGTGCGGCCGACATCTTGCTCTCGGGGTGAGCAACGCCATACAGATACTTCATTGAGTTGGTTCTGTGGGCTCCAGCCGAAGCTAATTGACTTTCCGCCTTGTACAATGAACCATCACATGCTTCTGACTTTGCTTCTATCAATAAGAAAGGGAACATATTCACCTGGGTTGGTGAAAAATATCCCTCATATAGAGGGTTCTCCAAGATAAGGAGATCGTTTTGAGTCCGGGTTGAGGCCGCCCCAGGTCCTCGGCATTGTTGGCCAGTGGTGAAACCAAGGTGGTAATCGGTTTTTGGCGTGACCAAAGCGATCTTCCCTGGGATTCTGGGAAGAGGTCGCGGGTCCCAAAGCGTATTTTGGCCATACCGAAGGTTGTTATCGGTAATGGGGATGAGGTTGAACATCGATGTGGTGAGGATTGTAGAAAGCATCGACGATTCTTTTTGGTCCCAGACGTCACGGATGGCATTCTCAATTACCGATTGTTCGTTTAAGGTTAAACGTTCGCCAGACTGCTGCAAAATACCTGCATTATTGATTGCTGCACGAACATCGGCTGGAATATCTTTTCCGAAGTTATCGATGTATAGGCCGTTTGAGGTGATGATATTGCGCAGGCCCAAGTTGTTAGTGGATTTGTTCGATCGCTTGGAGGTGACAGATTGAGTTGCCATCCTCTCTGACTCCGAACCCAGCTCAGGTTCCGAGACCAGCTCAGGTTCCGAGACCAGCTCAGGTTCCGCGGCCTCATTTTGAGATGAACTGATACTTTTTAACCACGCAACGATACGAGGTTGATCTTGTGCAGTTCGATGGGTTTCTGGATGAAGGGTGCAGCTGCCTAGGTGATTGTGAAGAGTGGACATGACTGATATGGCACCCTGGAAAGTGGATATGGCTGAAAGGGTAAGAGCATATGATAGAGTAATCTAATCTGGAAATCTGGGCAAGAACGCCTGCGGTGTGGAAGTAACGGGGAAAATGACTGCTATTCCCACATCTATTCTGATTGAGCATCGGTTGTATCCCTATTCGCTATATTATCTGATGAGATACGAGATAGAACAGGTGCAGTGGAAATGTAGAATATGTTATTCAGCAATGATGGTGATGGGAGAGGAAGACGTATAATGACGACGCACGAGCGATAAGTTCGAGTAGATACTCAACCAATCAGATACATCGATCTCATTGAGTTCTTATTGGACAATAAAAGTGGAGATGGTTGTAATATCTTAAACTGTTTATTCAAGAATTCGACATCTTTCTTGGAGCAATTGAGCATGACGACAGAGATATTTAAACCCTCTTTGGATCTTTGGTTTAAGGTCCGAGGGTACATCATCTTCCACCACCCATTCATCTTACATCGCAACATTTGGTAGCATGTCGAACAGTGGATAATCCTGTCAAAACACGTCATCTGGATCGAATCCCGGAGAATCAACCTCACGATAAGCTTAATTCCGACACGCGTTTTCCCCCGCGTTCTCCTCAGATGTGGCCAGGTGGGCCGGAACCGGGGCCCATGGGCACGTCCCGCGACGCCACTCAGATGCAGCTCCTCGGTATGAGCTTCTGTCAAAGGACCGATTCCAAGTTTAGTTTAGTGCATTATTAGTCAGCTCTCATACGTTCTTTACAAAATGCAGAGGAGAGCTGAGATTGGTTTTCTGGTCGGATACGTGGCGTCTAATATCTGGAGAATTTGGTTCCCAGACGCCAAGGGCGGTCGCGTCCGACCAGTCAGGGATGCAGTTTTCGATGAAAGTCGGCGATATACAGCCGACTTCGAGCCCCATAAGCTATTAGAGATGCCAATCTTTACTGGTCCAGATCCAAGCATCCTCACTGATCAAGAGGCTACCCAGGTGGTGCAGGCTGAAATAGGAGTTCCAATTAGCTATATTCAGTCGCTGCCACCACCTGAAGACGGTCCTTAGTTAGACCCAACAGATCCAACTAAGCAGTTTGAATCCCCAGTTTTTTAGCCGAAAAACGACCAAATTGGTCAAATTGGCCTACCAGAGCCAAAAATAGGGGAAGAAACGACCAGGGAAACTCGGTATCCTACACCGAATGCGACCGATTGGTAACCTGGGGCGTTCCCAGAGGAACCCCCAGAGGAACTAAACGCGCCAAATTTATCTACCCAAGCGCCAGATTCGCCAGAATCCGTGCCAAATCAAGGGGTGGAGGAGGTCCTAGAACAGGACCATGAGGAGGATTTGCCACTCCAAACTGGCCAAGATGGCCAAAACGAAGATGTAGAGATGCAGGCTGCCATTGAGTCCCAATTCGAATGGGAAATGGCGCCATATCGAGAAATTGGATTGGATTTAGACGAATCTAATATCATCTCTGGGAAGCGAACACGTAACTCAACCAGGAAAGATGATGCATACTTTACCCAAATTATGCTCCAAGATGATGAGCCAGATCTAGACCTGCCAGTCTATGATCAGGCATTCTACACCAAGATGGTGTATTGCGTGAAAAATGAGAAAAACACGCATAGAGATGACCTCCTAGCTCCACCAAAGAGCTTTCGAGAGGCTAAAGGACATGAATTCGAGGATGGCTTTAATGCCGCGATGCAGAAGGAGATTCATAACCTTACTGAAAAACACACATTTTCAGTAGTGTCGCATCCAAATGATCGCGCAAAGCAGTTATTACCATTGAAGTGGGTGTATACCTATAAATTCGATGAAAATGGTTTTCTGCTGAAATGTAAGGCTCAGATTTGTGTCCGTGGAGATCTAGAGAGAGTCTCAAATAAAGAGAGACGATCGGCCACATTGGCTGTCAAAACAGCCAGTATGATCTTTACGATCGTGGCCATATTTGACCTAGATCTACGCCAAAGAGATGCTATGGCGGCGTTCCTAAATAGCTCCTTAGAGGGTAAGGAGATCTATACACAGTTACCTGACGGATTCAGGAGCAATCAGGGAATGGTATAGCGCCTGAATAAGGCTCTGTATGGCTTACGCATCTCACCCAAGCTTTGGCAGAAAGAGGCGTCTCGAGTCCTCTTAGGGCTTAGCTTGAAACAACTCTGTGAGGACCCATGTGTCTTCATTGGTAAAGGAGTCATAATATTCTTTTATGTTGATGACTTCCTGATCGCGAGCCATAAGAGCGTGGCCAAATACGCCCAGGAATTAGAGCGTAAGCTTGAAAACACATGGGACCTGACCGATCATGGAGATGCAGAGTGGTTCCTGAATATCCGCATTATCAGGAATCGCTAACTATCTCGGCTCTGGCTGTGTCAAGACAGCTATATTGAAGGCATGGCAGCTCGATTTGGCCTAACTGGCCGGCCACCAGTGGCTACACCAATACCAATCGACGAATTAGGCCTATACACTGGCATCGCCACACCTGAATCGATCAAGCTGTTTCAGGAAAAAGTAGGCTCCATTCAGTATGCAGCCACAATTACCAGGCCTGATGTGGCTAAACCAGCCACCAAACTGGCCCAATTCCTTATGAATCCAGGCCCAAACCATCATGTCGCAGCGGATCGCACGATCATTTACCTGTTCCATACCAGGAATTTGGCAATTAGATATAGGTCTAAAACACCCAAATCCACAGCAAACCCAGGCTCAATGGCTCTTACTATGGCTAGTGATGCATCATTTGGCGACCATGTCGACTGGAAAAGCTCAGCTGGCATCATATGCATGCTCTATGGTGGTCCAATTGACTGGAAAGCGTCGAAACAGAAGACGGTTACCACCTTCACTACTGAGGCAGAGCTTCTGGGGTTGTCCGATGCGGCGAAAACATTGGTATGGTGGAAGAGGATTCTAGTCCACATTGGACTAGAAATGGAATATAAGAAGATTACTCTGGACTGCGACAACCAGAGGACGGTCGATCTGCTCACCAAAGAAGGGGCATTTGAGACCAAATTACGCCACGTGGAAATTCATCGCAGCTGGCTACGCCAGAAAGTCCAAGAAGGGCGAATTAAAATCAGATAGGTTCCCACTGCAGAAATGGTGGCAGATAGATTCACCAAGATCCTACCACGTCAGAGATTTGAGTCTTGGACCAAATTACTCAACCTGGAGGATGTTGGAGAAATGATAGAGTTTTAGGCTTCAACTGCCTTGCATCAGGGATCTAGACGGAATCTGACTGAACTTGAGAGGGGATTTAGGCGGCTCAATAGCTTAAATTGGCCCTAAAAACAGGCCAGCTTGCACCTATGAGAGGGTGAAAGCTGAAGGGGTGTGTCGAAGGACCGATTCCAAGTTTAGTTTAGTGCATTATTAGTCAGCTCTCATACGTTCTTTACTGCAGCAAATTTTACTGCAGCGAATACACACACATTATTTTGGCTACTCTGTTCCTATTTGCTCGCACGAATCCACTATTCAGTTCTCATTCGACACTATCTTACAAAAAGAAATATTACGCTTATGTATTAAATACGAAGCCGAACATTCAGGAGTAACCTCGATTATCATTTAATTAACGAAAAGCATTCAATCAAGTCTCGGGTCTTGATTTCAAATTTATCAATTTACATCTTCAGTGAAATATGACTAACATAGAATATGTCACTGCAGATAGATCAATTATAGTACTGTATTCGTCATTTCGCTGGTTTGTAGAAGCTTGTGTCTAAATCTGTCATGTATAAACAGCCTCACCATGAGAGGGCTATTCAGTGGAATCGATCTATAATTTACCTTTTCACAGATAAGACAGACCGATATGAATGTCAGCGAAAGTGGACTTCTGGGAGCGCGTTTCTGCTCCCAGGAGCATTTGTGTCAGCTAGAATTAAATAATATCACACCAGCGAATCACGACAAACACATATAGATGACTTCTATTGTAAACACTCAAGATCCTAGGAGCACATAAACTCCAAAATATGATGGACCAATAAGTTACGCAAGGAAGCCCACTGCGAGTCGCCACTAAGCCAATATGAGACTCCCAGGAGAAATGGTTATTGTTCTTTTTGGCAACCTCCTTTATTGGTGGGGCAACGGTGAAATCTAATGGAGCTAGCGTGTCGCAGTTTATTGAGGTGGCTTATTCAGCTCCTCAGTGCTCAGTGAGCGAATCAGATCGCTCAGATATTGCACAGTGATTACTCAGGTGATGATCAGGTGACGGTCAGTGATGGCGGTCGCATGATTACATAACGGTAACTGACTTGCTCTTGGCGTTCGTGGCGTGCTCAACTCTACTCAGTGAGCAAAAAGCGGCAAGCACTGAGCGCTAAAACAGAAGGGGAAAGCCAAGAACTGGGAAAGGAAATCTACTACCTAGGTACGCAGTTCATCGCCTGTTCCTCCCTTTTTTGGTATGGCAAAGTTGCTAGCTGTCGGTTCTTAGTTTACCCCAGTATCCCTCGTCGCTTAAGCAGCACTAAAGAAGCAATTACTATGTTCGAATGCAGTTATTCGGTGACCTCTGTTGGAGTTGGTTGTCGGTAGGTTGTTCTTGTTGGATGCCCTGGACAGGATCCCATACCTTTTGCTTTTCCTTTTCCTCTCTTCGTTCCAAGGCTGCCCATACGCTCACAAGAATCTTTGATCTCAAACCAGTGCCCCGAGTTTTCTAGGTACTTCTACTATTCCTCGGTGTTTAGTAACACTTGAATTGGACTCTAATTGTTATGGTGGTTACCTTCCAAGGTTGGCCTTAGTATATATCTTGGCGCCTCCATTGATCCTTTGAACGTTGCCCAGATCCACTGTACGGGAGCACCCGTTGCTGAACTACCAACCCACGAGTGCTTTGAAATTTTATCACCGCGTAATACTGTGGGTTTAGCCGGTCATGAGCACCTTGAAGTTCATCGGATACGGTGATATCAGACCACTGCGGCTTTAGCCATTGCATCCGGCTTAACGAACTGATCGCTAATATCCTGATGAGCAGCCTTTAGGCAAAAAAGCACCGCGAAATCTGCGAAGGTCTTCAAATGAATTTTTATCTGCGATGCAGCCATTAACGCGATCAAAATGGCATCATCGCTACATCTCAAGTTTAGCGTCATGGAAATGCAGCGGACTCCGGTATAACACAACCACCGGTGAATGGATCTGCAAACGGGGCGTACCATCGATCCTGCATGCTACACGTCAACAGGATCAAAGATAACTTCCGTTTTAACTTCTGTTGACCTTACACTGCCCCACATTGATCTCGAGCCATCCTTCGGCTCGTGGTTAGAATAGCCTCGTGGGACTATCGAGGCGTGTCTGGGGATATTGGGAGTGGTATCGTTACACTTTAAACTAACACTTCTACGATCCTGGTAACTACGGATGAGGTCCTGAGGTCAAGATATGTCTGTATAGTCTTCATGAAGTAAGATGACTAGTCAAGTGTCTATAAGTGTAAGAGCCTTAGACTGATAGAGCATCAAACTAGGGCAAAAAAGGCAGAGAAGTTACTTCGTCTGCTTCTGACTTCTCAATTTCTAAACCCTGCCAGGATGCTAGGCTGCATTTCGGCCTTTTGCTCAGAATAAAATACCCAAGATCCAATCCAAGTTTGATCGATTGACTTCATCAGCAACATGCTAACACAACAGCTATCTTCAAGTAATGTTGATAGTTGTTTCAAGCTTGTTAACGCCACATTAGGGATAATTGCACACTATTTATCGAGAGCTGGAAATACTTCCCTCAAAATAAGGCTTCCAAGGTTACAATCAAGCTAAGTAAGCTTAGCTAGAAGCCGGTCCACGCTATGCTGCACCCACGGACCGCGACGCTTGCAGGGGTCCCACCTGTCGAGCTCAAGTATGACGGCGTCCCCGAGTATTCAAGTACGTCTTCCGGACAAGGTCAACCCCTTCTCAAAGAGTTTTAAAAAAAGATTCAAATGGAACCAATACTATCAGCCAGCTTTCCTGCATAGACACTAAGGCATATGTAGATTTTGTCTACACGGTGTATTTCTGTAGCACGTATTGTGGTTTCTTAGTATTCGTCTGAAGCTAATTGAATGGAGCTCCACTTACATTAACCCCTGGCAAATGGAGCTGTTCGAAAATACGGGTTCATTGTTTATGAATATTCTAGATGTCTCACATTCCAAGGTTGTATAACAAGTGGGCCTCGGGTAGCGCCGAGGATTTCTCAGCCTAGGCAGTTGGACCCTAAAAAAATAAATTCTATAGAATCAAATCGTATAGTGAATATTTGGTAAAACTATGCACCAGGATCAATGGTCTCGCGCACGCACCAACGGATTTTTACGGACTCGGAAGTTGAAGTAAAGCCGAAAGAAGAATCCTTAAATGGACCCAGCGCGTGAAGGTGGTGAGATCGACCCACCGGCCAACCAACCTTGGAAGCAATTCTCTGGAACTTAGGAGGCGTTGACTTACATGATACGAGACTTGCATCTCTCTACTTTGTGTGATAGTGGTAGATATGTCATAAAGTCCAGGTGTGAGCATTTACCTTAAATTTCTAACCTTGGCAATGCGTATAGAAAGTACGGATAGGTAAAAGACCAGATGTATTAAGAATCATGCGGTCACTAGCTCGATAGGGTAAATGTACGTTCGATTGCGGCTGCTAGAAACGCCACAACCCTGGGTGAGATACCTAGCGCATTCCAGGGTTTGAGGGACTGTGCGGAGTACTTGGAAACAATGTAGAGAAAATCTTGAGAGTTGAAATTCGGACTTCAGATTTATGGAACTTGAATATACGTGGTGTTTGATTTAAGGCTTAGGGCTTCCGAATACGAGTATCACTAGCATGAACGGGTGACGGAAGATGGAGTACTCCGTAGTACTGCAAAAGGAGAGGATCCATCATACACGTGGCATAAAATTAAATATTAGAAAACAGAAGGAATGAAGGCGAGGAAAAGTATACTCTATCCCCTCTTTTTCATTCCCTTGATTTTCTTATTTTTCCTTATTTTTGCCAATCATTTGATTTTCCAAGAGCGGGTTTCATGGCAAATCCAGTCTAACCCGATTGGGAAAACGCACTTCTTGAGACTATAATAGACTCGACCAATCATAGATCTGTAAATAGTATCCACTTCTGCTAACCGCGGTTGTTTTTGCCCGCTGGACCTGTAAGTGGATTTTGTAAGTGGACTGTTGTGGACTATAGTGGACGTAGTGGAACTGTGGTGGAACTCGTCTCCTATGTTCTGGTCAATATTGAGTCGTCGATCTTATAGGATCACCGTCTTGTATGGTTCCCTGATTGTGGATATGTGGCTAATGTATTTGCACCTAAACTGGCTAATCTGCTGCATTTTCCGATTTGGGTATTTGTCTGGAAGGCAAACGGTCCGAGACTTTCCAAGGATGTTCTTCCCACCAAAAGGAGAGGAAGACATGCCCCACTATTAGATGCTTTTTTTTTGTTATTCTTAATATAAGACCGTATTCTTGAACAGTTCAAGGGATATGAACCATCTAGACCTGATCTCTCCATGTCTTACTCTAAGAAGCGGAAATGCCTGCAGGCCGAGCGTCAGGTAAGTTTCATCAACCTCCTTTCTAAAACCAACATAGTTTACCCCTCTATGGCACCCTTGCAGTTGCATATCTAGTACACCTCTCCCAGAAATTCTATGGCTAACCCTTTTGCACAGCCTAAGTCGATTTTCTCACTTTCAATATGTTGTGTTGACAAAATGGCCCAATATCAACCCAAGCCTCGTCTTACGAGGTTAGATAATAACCGTCATGCCTACATCGTCTCAACACCCACCTCCTTGATATCAACAAACCTCAAAGAGAGCGAGCCACCGAATTCGAAAATGGAAGAATCCTTGCATCTGCGAGATTTAGAGTTAATGATGCACTGGTGCACAACCACATATCGATCTATGGCTCGAAATAGTACTGGCGAGGTACTGTGGCAAACTGTCATTCCACAACTTGCCTTGCGATATCCCTCTCTACGCCATGGACTATTAGCTTTATCAGCCTTGCAACTAGCTGATCACTATGCGGATATATGTCCACATCGTAAACGCCGATACTTGATATCGGCACGAGATCACCAACGTCAGGCTCTAGCGGGGATCCAAATCCACGGCGCTGAAGATTGCAGCGCAACACCGTCAAATGCCCATTTCGCCCTCTGCTGCACTATGGTGGTATTTTCATTTGCATATTGTCTAATAGACGATGCTGACGACGAGGACGACGAATCAGAACAGCCCGACATCCTGGACGAATTCATCGAACTATTCCACCTGACCCGCTGGCTCGTCAGCGCAATGCAGCTATCCATAGACCGAGTAGCAACAGGAGAATTAAGTTCTCTTTTGGAGCCAGAAGAGCCAATGCCAACAATGCCAAATATGACCCGCCTCGTCATGCTGCCCCTCCAACGACTGAACGAAAACGAAGCTCTCCGCGATCCTGCCCATGAGAAAGATGTCTACGGGAAGACTATCGAGTACCTGACCCTTACCCTGGAACAGTTGATGAACCGCGGTGATCCGACATATTTTGCCTTTTGCTGGGCTTTTCAGATCCCAGTTCGGTTTCTGGATCTGCTTCATGAGCGACAGCCTTTTGCGCTAGTTGTGCTGGCACATTACGCTGTTATTCTGCATGGTATTCGTGATTTGTGGTGGATGGGGGATTGGGGGCTGAGGATTCTGAAGAAGATTGGGAGTGAGCTGGATCCTGAATGGCGTCAGCTTATCAGTTGGCCTATTGATGCTACTGGCTGTGATGTTCCGAGCCCTTGAAATGTGGGGCTATGAGAAGGTTTATTATCTACATATGGTCAACTGGTCGGATCTTGTACCGATAATTGACTCGCATTGAACTCAACGCATGGATTCTGGAGTGGACCGAGGAATCAATCTCAAACATTCATGAAATGTCTTCAGCCACAACATCCCTTGGATCATGGTGGCTATTCAAGCCGGTGGGCGCCCAAGCAATTTCCAACTCAGATGCGGAAAAGTTGCTGTTCATCATCCGCAGGTCTTGCTTCACAACAAAGCAGGCAGCGCTGTACTCTACCAATAGAGACACGCCATTTGGATTTATTTCTGTTGTATACAATGAAAGAATGAGCCCAAAATAGTTTCTTTACGAGAAAAAGAACATAATATAAATAGAACACAGAATAAAGTGTTAGTTCTCAGATATTCCAAGGTTGACTGTCATAATTGATATTAGTCTGTACCTAGGTATTACTGAAGACCTCGAGGAGTCAACTGATCCGTAGATTTCACCGTTGTTCATCAACAAAGGTGGCCAAGAAGAACAATACTCATTTCTCCTAGGAGTATTCATATTCATGAAGTTTATGTGCTCTGAGGATTTCTCTACCTAACAAATATTAGTGCAAGCATAGTAAACGATCAGATGATCGGCTTCTGAATATAAGTGGTCTCTTATCGGTTCATATAAAACCGGTCAGAAAGGCAGAATCTTTCTGGCTGTTTTTATTATTGTCAAATCTCAGGCTCGTACGAAGTATTGTTGAAGTAATCGACAATTGAAACATTTGAAATCAAACGTTCCAGCTTTATAACCCTGGCTCATATAATGGAAACATCATTGCGGGGATACTTTAAATATAATTCTCAAGGTCTGTATTTCCATGCAGAAATGAATAATGAATATTACAGCTGGCACCTATTATCCAAAGAGAATTGATACTGCGAGCCACCACCACCACTTATTTGTACTGCTGTGACCCCTTCACGTGACCTTTCACTGGGATTCCAGGCACAGTAGCGGAGATAAGACGACCTCATCCTTGATCACATTTCATGGAGCGCAAACATCGTATTTACATCTCTTGGTTATTTCGAGAATTCTTCATCGTTGTTCCAGCCCTGGGATCTATATCCTGGTCAAGTACCCCCAAAGGACCCTGCCATTGTATCTTGTGCCGTCCTGATGTGGAGGGTATTTCCAAAGCCCGAAGAAGCGGGATTTGAGAGACTTTGTAACTAATTCCCTTCAGAAATTAATTTCGGTCGTCTCAAGTATCTTCCATGAGCAAGAAGGATAGTTTTATCAGACGCCGTAGTCCCAGTCTGGGCGCGAATATCGTTATACCTACGGCCAGAATCGCGTTTGATGATCTCATCAATGAATTTTTTATTCTCTTCAGTCACTATCTTCGCTCGGCCAGTGCGAGGCATAAAGTGTCATGGAGTCAATGTTGTCCATGAATAGTACTATGATGGTACTTATGGAATGATCATGACAGGAGACGATCAGGCTATACATCTTCCCTAAGCCCCCCAACAATTTATCCACGGATATAAGTGAGACCCTGTTAGGTAATATGTAGATATCCACTTTCGTGCGGAGACTCGTTTCTCCGAAGTGTAAATATGAACTTTATCATATCATCACGATTCGATATTAGCTAAGTAAGAGTCTTGGAAAGGATAACTTATCATCTGTGAATGAATAGAAAAGAAAGCTCTTTATGATACCGTTGCTCTGCTATTTCAATATGACAAAAAGTGGTTCAAGCGGGTTTCAAATCGGAGACGCGGGGAAATAATCCACTTTGAACCCCAGGAACGGCCCGAGGTCCAACTCTTCTCTTCTATCCTTCAATCCTTCAGCTCTTTTGGATAAATCTCCAGCCAATTATGTTTCGTGCTATACCCAAACGTCTCCCTCGCCAACTTTCACTTGTAACTACGCCTCGTCTAACCCTTCGCTCATTCACATGCGCTTATCCTCGGATGTCATCATCGCCCGTACAGCCTCCAGTGTCAACCACACTTGCCTCCGACGCTTACCAGTTGCTTTCAACAGAGAACAAAGCCGGTGCAACCGAGGATGCATTATTCGAACAACAAATACGTGATGTGCAAGCATGGTGGAGCTCTCCGCGATATGAAGGCATCAGGCGGCCATATTCAGCCGAGGATGTTGTGAGCAAGCGTGGCTCGTTGCAGCAGATATACCCTAGCTCGCTCATGGCACGGAAACTTTTTAATCTGCTCAAGGTGCGAGCGGCAGCAGGCGAGCCTGTGCATACTAGTTAGTGGCTCGACTACACAGATCAGTCTGGAACTAATGCGTGACCGACAGTGGGTGCCATTGACCCTGTACAAATGACACAGCAAGCAGCGAGCCAAGAGGTCCTGTACATCTCTGGCTGGGCGTGCTCGTCACTTCTGACTACTACTAATGAGGTCTCGCCGGACTTTGGCGATTATCCGTATAACACAGTACCAAATCAGGTCCAGCGAATGTTCAAGGCACAGTCTATGCACGATCGCAAGCAGTGGGATTCTAGGCGAAAAATGACCCCCGAAGAGCGCAAGTCCACCCCTTATATTGACTACTTGCGCCCGATAATTGCTGATGGTGACACTGGGTATGTCCTGCGCTCAGTATGAAGTGATGCACCGAGAAGCTGACTTTGGTTCAAAAATAGACATGGCGGCTTGTCAGCCGTACTCAAATTATCAAAGCTATTTGCTGAAAATGGCGCTGCGGCCGTGCACTTTGAGGATCAATTACACGGTGGAAAGAAGTGTGGACATCTGGCAGGAAAAGTCATTGTTCCAATGAGCGAACATATCAACCGCCTCGTGGCTGCGCGGTTCCAATGGGACATGATGGGGTGCGAGAACCTGGTCATTGCTCGAACTGATTCAGAGAGTGGCAAACTAATTAGCAGCGCCATCGATGTACGAGACCACGAGTTCATTCTCGGTGTCGCAGAGGACGTGGAACCGCTGGCGGAAACTCTGCAGGCGATTGAGCGTGAAGGCGCATCGCCGGCTGAAATTGACGCATTCGAAATGGATTGGGTGAAGAGACATAAGCTGGTCACTTTTGACGAAGGTATGTATAATCAAGGACCTGCTCTCTACTATAGCTAAAATCTTCCAGCTGTCGACGCCCACCTTGAAGCCGAGGACGCCACTCAACAGATCCGAGATGCGTACAAGTCTTATGTTAAGAAGAACCCCGATCTTTCTTTCTCGCGCCGTCGAGCCCGTGCAAGTGACTATACCAAAACACCCGTCGTCTGGTCATGCGATAGTCCCCGCACCCGCGAGGGATTCTATCATTACCGCGCCGGGTTCCCAGCTGCGACCAAACGCGCTAAAGCCTTCGCCCCATATGCAGATCTTCTTTGGGTCGAGACTGGTGACCCCAATGTAGAAAAGGCCGGTGCATTGGCAGATGAAGTTCGAGCGTCGTTCCCGGACAAGATGCTAGTTTACAACCTCAGTCCATCATTTAACTGGATGGGTCATGGATTTGACGAGGCTTCCCTCAAGTCATTTATTTGGGATATTGCGAAGAAAGGCTTTGTCCTACAATTGATTTCCTTGGCTGGTCTTCACAGTAACGCTACCATCACGACTGAGCTTTCTCGTGCTTTCAAAGACGAGGGCATGCTTGCTTATGTGCGATTGGTTCAGTCTCGCGAGAAGGAGATGGGCGTTGAGGTTCTTACTCACCAGAAATGGAGTGGTGCACCGTATATGGATGGTATTCTGGGTGCTATCCAGAGCGGAAGCAGCAGCAGCAAGAGTATGGGTGAAGGTAATACAGAGAAAGGTGAGTAACTTGGTATTCACTCCCTCAAAACTTATTATTCTAATATTAATGCGCAGGTTTCTAATCACAAAAATCATGCTATGTACCAAAGTTTTGATCACAGTTAGCTTGATCCTTGATTTGCTTTGTCCATATGGATATCTCTTATCGTAGATCCTTATTATACCGTGATGCTTATCGAATCGACGTCCTCAGATTGTAACTCAACAGCCTTCTTAGTAGTCAATTCCAAAACAGACCTCTTCTCCTTCTCAACGCCCAAACGTCGCTGGGCCACATCGCAAAGCCCCAAATTTCCGCATTCACAGTCCCCCTCCCTAGCCCACCGATACGTAAGACTCCACCGATGATCCCTGGGCCTAACAGTCCCATCAGCCAGTATGTCATTCTTCCTCTTCTTAATCCCATGAGTCCAATGCAACCGCGCATCACCCGCCATCTGCATCATACACCTGGGCACCAAATCAACGTCAACGCGCTCCTCATCCTTCCGAAACTGCATAATAACCGGCGCGCCAAGGCTCAAAGCATACAGCTGATCCCAGGCCCTATGCGCATCAGCATGCGGCGGGATCCCAGCGCCAGGCGGATAATATTGTAGACAGACTTGATCCGGCGGGCGGGATTCGGTAGTGGGTATAAGAGGCTGTAGCCAGTCTGGGAATTCCTTATAGGGGATTTCGGGATCTATCCCGAAGGTTTTATAGTCGAATGTGTAGCCATAGTGGAGGGAGGTGCGGCCGGTGCGGACTGGCCATTCTAGTTCGTGCAGAAATATCGATATTAGACGTTGTTCGTGCTCTGCGGATATGAAATCATTTTGCCAGTATATCCCACTGGGTGATATGGGGATATATTTGAAATTTTCTCGTTCTGACATTTGTTGAAATTGTGTTTTTGGAAAAAGATTTAATGAGATGGCATGATAAATTATTATTTTAAGGTCATGTGACTGTATATTGCCGGGTGTTATGTTTGGCCGTTTGACCGCCTATCTGGGCGGTGATAGGATTGCCGATGAAAGATTTAAGGCCGTAGGCCGTAGTGGTTAAGGCGGTATTATGGCAGAATGGATACAATATAAGCCATAAGGAGAAGATGGCCAAGTATCTTCCTGTTCTCTACATGGCACACCCTGTGGTCGCATGTGGTATTTGGATCGAAAAGTAAAATTATTCATAATGTGGGATGAAAAGAGAGATAGAGGCAGGAACTTCTTTGCTATTACTTATGTTCATCTCCATCTCTTAGATGCTCTGGTGGAGCCTCATTGATACTTTCGAGAAGACTTTGAACGTTCCGTAGACGAAATTTTCCCCACGTGAAGAGTCCCTACCTCATCACTTGAGGTAACATCACCCATGCGAAGTCGAATAGAGCCCAAAAGCCGAGTCCTCTCCAGACCACCAACCATAGTCGGAGTATCATTCAATGGAATATGAGGATTATCCCGAGTTAAGGATGACACATAACCGAGAACATCTGGGATCAAAGTTGCAGATTCAACAAAGAAAGTAATGATAGATGCAGCTACCATGACAAAAATTGTCAATACCAACGCAGTGATCCATCCCGGGCTGGCAATTAAAGTCAGCTCCGAATCCGTCACAACGCCATTGCCCACGATGGACTTAAAGAGAACTGGTCCCAATTCGGACTTTACCGATGTGCTGTTTCCATGACTGCTTTGCTGGAGTCCATTGAAAGATGTCCGGGTCATGAACTGATAACCTAGACGTGCCATATAAAATGAATTGACCAGTGTCGTGAGCCGCTGTGAGAATAATTCGGGTTCCATCTCGTATAAACTTATGTTCGCATACAGAGTTGGACCATCATTTGGGTTTGCCATCCAGGAGTCAAGCAATGTCGTTGAGGCCTCATGTGCTTGCGGAACGGCTTTGAGAATGCTCTGAGTGAAGTTTTCAAATATGATGGGCGTGGAGAAAATGGCCGGGAGGTCAGAGCTATCTTGTCCAATTAACTTGACTTGATTGGCCACGCAAGCCCCCTGGTTTCTTGTTGAGTCGAGTTCTCTGCTACATGTAACGTTGATCTCGATTGCTTTGAGCGCGATGGAGCATGTAGCCTCTGTAAATTCCAATGCATTGTCGCCTTCCCAGCCCTTTAGAAAGTTCAAGGACATCCAGCTGACTGTGGCAGATGTTCTTGTGCCGTTCACATAAGTCATACTTGGCATGTTTGCAATTGAATGGTTTTTATCGTTCGCCCCGTGAAGATCATGACATATGATGTCGATGTATGAAGTCTCTAATACAGTTGATGTGTTGCCGTTGTCAAGAAGTCCAATTATAGGCACTCCGAGCTGGGACGCGTAGACTGAGTTGTTTACCGAAATCTCTGTCCAATTGTTGGTCAGATTGTTGAGTAGTGGTACTTTGACGTTTCCCCACAAATCCGTTGTAGATCCATTCGTGAACTTCGAAGTGACAAGGCTTGTCGTAAATAATTCATCGGCTGGATCATTTTTCCACTTCCAGCTGTCGAGGGCTGTCGTGTCGGCCGTTGCATTGAAATCCAAGTAGTTTAATTGAGGAGATGAATATGTCTTTTCATAGGAAGCAGACAAGATTCGAAGACTTGCCTGTGCAGCCAGCGGCGAGAGAGCCCAGAGAAGAAAGAGTGCAAGTCCCATAAAATCTACTGATCGCAGCAGCCATGAAGTATAAAATGTTCCAAAAACTGTCGTGCTACCCATGAGCCGCTGTAAGGTTCCAACCGACGCACCCCGCTGTAGTTCTAGATGTGCCAATTTGCGCGACAATCGCCCAACAATAGCAGCAAACACCAATGGAAACAGCGTGACTTCCTTGAGCTCTGTCAGACACTTAAAATGCTCATGGTCATCGAATAGAGACACTTACCACTTTCATCGCAATCTGAATTGAATTCCAACCATTTTCACCGACCCTCCGGTCTTTCAATCCCACCGCAGCCCATACAAGGCAGAAAAAAGGAATGGTTGCGATGAGGCTTATGCACAGTGCTAGCCATCGTCTGGAACCATTTTTGAGCGGTGTTGCCGGTGGAGCTTCGTCATACGAGGTCACACCAATAGTATGATCTTTTGACTGTGAATCGTGGGAAGAAGATGGATTATCCGAGTCTAAATCTTCATGGATATCATTTTGAGGTATTGTTTCCTGTGATGGAAGTGATCGGAATTTCACCCGACCAGGGAAAGACAACATTTCCAAAGTCCCCTTAGTTAAATGGGTAGCGAAGTGGATGAATAAGTCTGCTATTAGATGGGTGCGGGTGTACCTTTACAAGGCAGATTAGTTTAAAAATAGCTGCCGCTGACCTGACGACACGTTCCCTGCATACTCATAAGCCACACTTGTAAGCTTCTCTCGACACACATTTGAAGAAGTAATTCCTGCTTATCCTGCGCAATATTATTCATAGTGCTCCTTCACGCATTGACGCTAGACTTATTAGGAAAGATGAAACGCCACAAAAATTGAGACGGATCTGACCATCTCCACTATTTGAGGCTCAGATCCTTTCCTCTTATAAATACTGATCTTTCCCAAGGTTCATATTCATAAATTTCCACGTCAATTCTCGAGACTACAAAGGTTTAAGAAGAATGACTCAAATCGAGGATTCTTCGGAGTATGAGCTTTTGTCTACTGCCGAGAGAGATGCGCAGGAACCAACTAAAATTACACCGAAGGGAGACTGGCCTGGAATTGCACAGAAAGTAAGAAGATGGAAATGGGGAAGCATCACAGTCGATATACTCGGCATATTACTGGTTGTGCCCTTCCTTTTCTTAATTATTTTTTGCGCCAGCCGTGACGGAGAAACTGTAGATGCGCATACACTCAACCGAATGAAACAGGGACTATGGGCAGTAAGTCTTTGTTTCTATTCGCGACGTGAATGCCAGCTGATATAGGCTAGTCGGCTACTGCTTTCACTCTCGTTTTCTCAAGTATCGTCGGTCGAATGACTCGGCGAATGGCGGAATGGAGACTTGAGAGAGGGAGTTCGCTTAAAACCCTAGAAACACTGAATGGAAGCTCGACATTGATCAACAGCGTTTTGACTCAAGTTCAGCTCAGGAATTTTGGCATTGTTTCTCTATTTCTGGTTCTTTTATGGACAGTTTCACCAATCGGGAGCCAGTCTCCTCTCCATGTTCTTTCTACAGCTTCCACGTCCAACTCGACTCAGCAATTGTTGGGATATCCTCTCATTAATAGTTCCTCCCTTGTGAATGGTGCGGATGGCTGGTCATTTATCGCCCCATATATCCAAAGCATATATAGTACCAGTCTATTATCCGCTGCAAACTTTGGCAACTCGTCAATGGATCCGTGGAACAATCTCAAGATACCCAAATTTGATGGTCTCCAAGGGGTCAATAGCACTGGATGGGCTTCGGTACCTACCAATCAAAACATCTCCTATCCATCCTTGATGGGGATTCCTATCAGCGGGCTCAATAAGACGGGCAATATAACTGCCATTGTGGAGTCGACATATTTCACCCTGCAGTTAGTGAATAGTACAGGCGACCTCAAGTTCGATGGCAAAGGAATAGTGCTGAACATGACCGTGGGTGATACCTTTACCCCATGGAGTGACACCTCTCTTGCTGTCATCATAGAGAATGACACCGTCTCAACGAACGCTAGCACAGTTACTCCCGAGGAGGAAGCGTACATTACGTTCAGTCCAGTTAATCAGACTTTTCAGGCGACATATCTCTGGCAGCAAAGATACTTTCAGTCTGAGATCAAGTGTATCGTCCAGAGTACATCAGCTGGCCAGAAAAATTGTTCTGTCGAACAAATGCGAGTTTCTAGGTCTACCACTCCCCCAGAATTTGAAGGGATCAGTGTGGAGGTCATACGCTCCAATTGGAACAAAATGCTGTCAGGTCAGAACTTCTCACTGTCAGAAGCATATCTGCGCTATCCACAATCCCCTCTTGAAGCCAATCTATCAGACACCTCGACCGCATCACCATCGATGGAGGCTCTCCAACAAAGGCTGGAGCAGCTGCTCAACACATTATTCTTCAGTACTGTTGACCCTGAGGGGTTGTTGTCGGGGATGCCCTCTTATCCAATTCAAGTAGATGCGACACGCATCTTCTTCAACATTGGATCTGTTTATGTCGTGAACTTTCGCTGGTTAGCTGCATTTGTGGTGGCCACGTTAGTAATGACCATATGCGCTATTATCACCATTTTCCTTACCAGTATGAGCATGAATCCAGATATTCTAGGATATATCTCAACTTATGTCTGGAATTCCCCGTCTGTGGGTTTACCGCGATCAGGGACATTCCTCGGCGGCGACAAGAAGACTAGGTCGATCAAAGAATGGCAGGTTCGGCTTGGGGATGTACGCAGTGAGGACAAGGTCGGCCAATTGTCGATTGGGATACTCTCCAGTACAAAAAAGCCCGAACCTGGGAGACTCTATAGAGTGATTACCGATGAAGTTAATGGGTGATAGTGGCTAATATCGTATACTCCTAGCCTCAGACAATATTTAATGATTTGAATGTTAAGAAGGCATGAGATCTAGCACTGAAGAGAGATTAATCCCGACGTCCCAGTGACATCAGGGTATATCAATTTTTTCTTACTCTCAAATAGAAGATGGATCTATACTCACATCACACCTAGAGCTTGATAATGTCAAGGAGGCCTGAAAACTGTAAAAGGTCATACTTTCATATCCTATATCCAAAAATTGATACAGGATCTTCACATAAAGTCATCGTCGTAGAAGTTCGAGTCACGGTCCTGGTTATTACTGGCTTCCATGTTCTCCGCGCTGAACATATCGTCGTAGGCATGATCCTTCTGCCACTTAAGCTGCTCGTGATGCCGCTTCTCCAGCTTTTCCTTCTCCTTTTGCTGGTCACGAGCCTTCCGCTCATTGTTCCGCTTTTTCTTCTCAAACTCCTCTTTTTCAGCCCGGAGGTCAGGGTACTTCTCGACACGGGTCTTGTTGAGTCGGTTGACAATAGGGTTCTCGCGAGCTCGAACTAGGACCTTGCGGACGAGCTTGGGATTGTAGAAAGAGACCTGACCTGTAGCCATTGAGCCGTCTTTCTTGAGGTTCGACCATGGTGTGTAGATGACAGTGATATTATCCTTCTTGTTTCCTGCGCCGAGTCAATTTAAGATATTCTAGTGCCGCATGCTATGGTGCTGGGTGACTGGACTGACCCTCAATAGAATTGGCCTTGGTGAGTTGTGCGCAGTCCTCTAGAAGCTCTTCTGGAATGTTTTCCCAGCTGTCTCCCTCACGAAGACGGACGTAGACGTGGGCACTCGAGAGGTTGTCGACGTGGAACTATGTACGCGGGTATTAGACAGGTTGTCGCATGCGCATACACGGCAGGAAGAAAACCAACCCTATTACAGAACTAAGTTAGTAAATATTTCTAGATCAGTTCAATTAGAAACATACCAAACATCGCTCTCCAATCCAAAATTAATTAGATCCTCATCTAAAGAAACCGTTAGGAGCATTCCCTTGGTAAAATTATGGTTGGCGTACTTTCGAATTTGTCCTTTCCAACATAGATAAACGCAGATGGTTTAACCACATTCGATGTAAAGTAGTACACCATGGCGGGCGAGAGGCCAAGTGCCTAGTCAATTGCTATGGGCAAGTTTATTTGTCGGAAAAGTTGCGGGGCTAATATTTATAGCTTAGTCATCATCCATATTAGCATGTTCACTCATTTAGCTATACAACTTGTATGACAGTTTTGATTTTACCGAGCGCCAGTCTCAACCCTCCCTAGAGGTTGGAGGTTTTATTGGCCTTAACCACTAGACTATATTGTATTGGAATATACTACTTGATACTTTTTGGTCCTTATAAGTTTGATCTTGTCGACCAGGAGGAAAGTTTTTGAAGGTGTTTGCCAAATTTTATAAATTCAACTCTTTTTTTTTGTTCAATTTCAAGTTTATTAGATGACCTTGGTATAACATGTTATTTTTGCGTGCTTCGAATAACCTTCCGACTTTGGTGAAGCTATTCAGTCCTAGAGTAAGTAAATGGGGTACACAGGTCCTCGAAAAAATAGGTTTATTCTGACCAAGAAAATGAACAAGAAATCTATTTACAAGGCTGTGCCAATACCTAAATTATGAACAATGATATATCTAGCTTGTTGGAATGGGTATGCTCTCATAACCTTTTTGGCCAGGTTTGCGGTCTTCCACAATGACCTGCAAGCCCCGACGGCCGCAGTATCCATCGTTGCCAGCGATCCGATCCAGTAGTTGGAAAGAGCCTCCAGCTTCCTGAGTTTCATCAGCTACCCACACCTTCTCTTTCACCGTTTGACCTGGGACTTCTGTGCGCCGAGGATTGTGCCACGGAAGACCAACAAGATGGTTACCAAGGGTGTGGATGAACGAATATAGCTTCTCGAAACGTCTTGTGACGCCTAGCCATGACAATGTTCGTGTATCATAGGCAACACGGACATATGGGTTCATGTATATTCCCGTATCGGTAATCTCATTGACGTTCATTTGAGGATCTTGAATGTCAGCGTGAATCAAACAGCATTCAGACGCCTCCCAGAACAGGTCAGAACTAGCTCGGAACAGAACTGGACTTTTACCACTGTCTGGTGGTGGTTGGAAGTATTTAGCATCAAAGGCCACCATGCCACCCCAGCAGCTCCGAACTCGTACAGCATCCTTCCCATTACGAACGTCCTTTCGACTTTCGGCACTTCCAGAGGTCGTGAACCACGGGAAAAATGGAAGTCCCATACTATATCCCTGCAGATCTCTAGTTGCGAAGGTATCGTAGAATTTAAATGGGTTGATAAAGTCGACAGCACAAGCAGCTCGGTATTGGGCAATGTTGTCCTCGTTTGCGTTGGTGGAGAACAACAACTGGACAGCATCCACGGGGTTGAAAAAGACATCGTTCAAATAAAGAATCTTGTCATAAATTTTCGCCGAGTCTTGAGCAAGTGGTAACAAAGCTTTATTGCGCACATAAGCCAAGTATTCAATACGCTTAACTCGCTTTTCTCCACCGGGAACAGTCACACTCGGGATCGTCTTTGGATCCAAATGTTCTTCATAAACAATAGACTTTTCAGACATAATCTGGTCCTCAAGACTTCGAAGCGCATTCTGTCCTTGTTCTCCACTGTCATTCTCATAGATGCTCACAAATACGTTGTCAGCACCCAGCAGATCGATCAATTGTAATAATTGTGAGCCCCAATCACCACTAGCAAGTTCACCGCCACGATCGTAGAGGCTCGCCACGATGAATACCTTTTCATTTCGCGGGTTTCCACGGCCAAGCTCAGAGGTATCTTGTACTGATGCGCGCAAAGTTGAGTAATGCGCTGGTGGGTGGGTGTAGGAAGGGCGCAGAACTGATGTAAGCGCCACAAGGGCGAATATGATACCCACAAAAGCCTGCAAGTACCAGCATCGGCGGCGGATGAGGAGGCGGCACCGAGGTGTAGAACTCGTGAGAACTGGTCTGGAATTGGTCTGGAGACGGCGGTACCCGGTGGAGGTTGAAGAACGTATACGTGACAGCCAGGGTATCCGACGTGTCCATGAAATCTGACTTGCACCTAGGCGTCGAGAGGTCGATGGTACTTGAGCTTCGAAATCGTCATCATCTAGATTAAATGTTCCATCCGATTCGACTGATGAGCGCGAGGCGAGCTCATATTCATCCGGGTGCAAGAGACGGGAAGACATGGTCTAATTATTGTAAGTTTCAGCCCATTGTCAATTGTTCCAAGGTGACGGGTTGTATTGATAAGTCGTCAGATAAGAGGTCGTCTCTTCTAGCTCAGCTCCCTGACCTTGTCAACCTGGACTGATATCACATGACAGGATCCTACCCGAAATATTACATAATGACTCTGTCAACAATTGTTTCTTGAAGCTTTACTGAAGTATACGAGATTTCGAAGATTTCATGCTTTTTCCCGAGCTTGTTGCTTGTCAATGCTATTACATTGATTCATTGAACCTTTTAACATCCAAATTTAGGGGCTAGATTTCCTCGTTGCACGCATATTCTGCCTGTCTTCATGAGAGCCGTGGCTTCATCAGCATTATTTCATATTGTGTACCTCGTATAACTCATAGAAGTTGATCTATCAGCTGATATAATATAAAGATCCATTGCCTGATCATTATCTACGCTGCTACTCGGAGGTCCAATGTCTCATTGAGCTTTTATAACCCAGGATTCGAGGCGGCCCTCGGATTACGCAAAACAAACTACATAGGTAGGCAGGTAGCCATAAAGACCCACAAACATCGGTTGAGTTATCCATTGCGATCTAAGTCAAGACAGTTGGAGGACTTTTCTAAATTGGGGGGTTCGAAAAGGATTGATCTGTTTATAAGAAGGATAACTAAGTAAGCAACATATAACATCTATTCATCCATGAATAAATGGAATCGCACTTTTGACGGCCTGAGAAATATCGAATTTCTGTTTAACTAAGGCAGAAGTGCTGCAAGTGCATAAAAATTGTCAAACATAGGAATGTGAAAAATAGTCAATGTATTGAAGTTTGTTTGTATAAATCCATCTCATTAATGCCCTGGCCGCATTACACCTCTAGGCCCCAAAGCCAAAATTTGATGATGCGTGGAATCGACACAGAAGATGACTAGCTCTACCGCCAAGAACAGCTGCAGCTGCAAAGTCTTGTGCTGATGCAGAATGTTTCTCATTTTACCTCCAGCTAAGCCCGTAATTGATAATATGTACGGGCAGACCCGGCCTAGCCAGAACATCGTGCCATATTGAATCCCTTTAAGACCTCATGAAAATTTGAAGTTAGCGAATCTAGATACTCTCCCAAATATCTTACTTATTTGAAAATTTACTCTTTGAATTCAGAAATTATATCAACGCCAAAAGCGGGCAGGCTAGACTCCAAATTCATTAAAGATAGGGACACTGAAGCATATGCTGAGGCCCACTTCTGTGACTCTCCAGGGCTGGACTAGGAACTCGCCCTCGAGACACCAGGATCGTTCATCCGAGTATGACTGTATGCCAAGAATTAAAGATTAATGTAAGCTCGTAATTTACGGTTAAATGAACTTATAATACCTTTGGGAACTCAGTCGTGAATATTGGATTGTTACAAGAGTAGACACTGTAACCTTTCTCATTCCTAATCCATCTAATTAACGAGGTTACCTATCTGGAGCTTGGATTCATAGAGCAATGTATAGAGAATTCTGTCTGAGCTCCAATCTCTGGGCTCGAAGGTTACACAGTCCTCGATTCATCTAATGTACTGGTAGTAATCGTATTTCTCTTTGACGCTACACTATGTCATCAAATTACATGTGGAGGTCTTGGCTTAAGATCTCCTGCCCAAGCGCCTTGAATTGTGCAATATCTATCTCGTATTATCTCGTATCTCGAGATTGATACACCAGTTCTCTTGGACACTTTAAATCATTTTATAAAGGCTTCGGGTCCATAATCACAGCAGTATATAGTTTATTTGTGTTGCTTACTTGTCAGGTCTCTAATATCTGTCATGGCTGGTCAGACCCACGTTACAGTTGGCATTGTTGGAGGCGGTCCTGCCGGACTGACTCTCGCCCGAATGCTCGAATTATGTGGCATATCCTACACTCTCCTCGAAGCCTACAGTGATTTCGCGCCGAATTCGGGTGCCAGTCTTGGTCTCAACTACAGCGGACTTCGAATTCTGGATCAAATTGGATTCATCGAAGAGTTTGACAAATATGAGACGCCACATCGGTGGTGGGAGCATCGTGACAGCCAGGGCCATTTACAGGCGTCGTTCGCCATTCAGTCAGAATATCGGGCTAGGTATGTCATGTATCCATAGATGTTCCCTTTGACAGTCTAAACTTGAAGCTCGAACGATGCAGAATAGTAACCTTATCATTTGAGATCAGCTTTGGATATAATCTTTTCTTTATGGAAAGGCAAAAGGTGCTAGAGATTCTTTATGATGGGATTGAAGACAAAAGCAGACTCCATCCCTCTACACGAGTCGTAGCTGTGAGAAGCAGTGAAAAGAATGCAATCATTGTGATAGAGAACGGAGATGAGATAAGCTGTGACTTTATTGCCGGTGCCGACGGTGTCCGAAGCATAGTGCGCCATGAGATAGAAAGCAGGTCCTTCCGTGATGAAAGGAGGTTTCCAGGTATGTTCTCTGATCCAGGGCTTCTTATCTTAGCATATCCGTGTTGAAACTTTGACGTTATTCCTCAAGCTTTCGACTATAGCACAAGGTGGTCCTGCGTCTATGGCATATCTTCTCCCATGGCTGGTATCGGACCAGGTCGTGCCTTTACCGTTTACAGCCAAGATGCCTCAGTCATGGTTTTCACTGGTCGTGACGATGCCTGTTACTGGTTCATTTTTGGAGATCTCAAGCGAGCCATTGATTATAACAGCCCTGAGGAGTTTACTGAAACGGACAAAATGGAAATAGCTGCAAAGGTTGCTGATTACATTGTCACAGATGGTCTTAGATTTGGCGATATTTTTGTTCAAAGACGCACCGCCATTATGATGGCGTTAGAGGAAGGAGTGGCTGATTCATTTTTCTCTGGGCGTATGTTTATTTTAGGTGATGCTGCACATAAGGTAAGCTCTGCTTAGCTGTCTCAAAAATAATAACATGCTGATATCATCAGATGGTACCCCAAGGTGGATGGGGGGTAAATCAGGCTTTTGAATCCGCTGCTGTCTTCATCAACTACCTTCGTTCACTTCTTGCAAACACTACCAATGGCTCAATAACACCACCGAAGATTTCTCTTTCTGATGTGGAAGCTTGTCTACAGAAGTATGCTACACGGCGCCAAGAGCGAGCTGCTGCCATGGTCAGAATGGCGAGTGATCTTTGCCGCTTCCAATTGAAGGTTGGAGCTGATTCCAAGGAGCGCTGGGATGCTCTTGGTAAAATGAGCAATGGAATGAACCTGAAGATGTTATTAAAGATATTTATGCAGGCGGATAAGTTGGAAGATTGGCATTTTGGCAGTGAGCGAGTGGCAAGGTACGCCGAGTTTGCAGAGAAGCTGAGACGCAAAGAGGCTGGAGCCAATATCTGACTCATCTGACTCCTGAGCTACATATGTAACTTCGTATTGCAAATTAAAATAACTTTGGAATTTATTAGGGCTTACTTGATGAGATAAAAAATCCTTTACCGCCAAGACGCGGAACAGTTCCGATCGGAAGATGCCGAAGACGCCCTATATTTGACATGGGCTGTTGTAGACTTTTCTAGCCTTTTCTATTTAATTTTCACATTCATCGCATTTCCAACGCCGAACTCTGTAACATATCATTTAATTGTGATATTACGGCTCAATTGTAATCCGGGAATCGCCTTGAACCGTTAGTTCCACCAGTCACCCCCGCACATACAATCTACACGAAAGATGGATCGTGAACAGTTTCGAATTGCGGCCCACTCGGCGATTGATGACAGTATGCTTTTTTCTTAACCATAATACTCATAGATAACGATCAATTGTCCATATTAACCATTCCGTTTTCTATATAGTCGTCGGCTACTTTGACTCTGTTCCCGAGCGCCGGGTTGTGCCTGACTTGAGTCCCGGATACCTACGTCCATTGATCCCCGAAAACCCACCTGATGAGGCAGAGGAATGGGCAAAGATCCAAGAAGATGTCGACACTAAGATAAAGCCCGGGTTGACGCACTGGCAGTCACCAAACTTCATGGCATACTTCCCCGCTGGCGTCACTTACCCCAGTATTCTGGGGGAGATGTATTCCGCGGCATTTACCGCCCCGGCATTCAATTGGCTTTGCTCTCCAGCCTGTACGGAATTGGAGACTATTGTTATGGACTGGGTTGCCAAGGCACTAGCTATGCCAAAGTGCTTCCTGAGTACCTCTGAGAACCTAGGTGGAGGCGTGATCCAGAATAGTGCTAGTGATTCAATTGCTACTGTGATCGTTGCGGCCCGAGAACGACGGGTGCGGGAACTGGTTCTTGCAGAAGGGTTCAAGGAAGGAACGGAAGAGTATGAGGAGAGGAAGATGGACCTGCAACCGAGGTTAGTGGCTATTGCCAGTGATCAGACGCATAGTAGTGCAGCCAAGGGCGCATTGATCGCCGGCATACGCTTCCGCAGCGTAAAGACTCGGTTAGAGGATAATATGGAAATGACAGGTTCAGGTTTGCGCGAGGTTCTCGAGAAGTGCGACAGGGCCGGCCTGACTCCGTTCCACTTGACTATGACCTTTGGTACGACCAACACGTGCAGTGTAGATCACTTCGCCGAAATTAAGGCTGTGCTAAAGGAGAAACCTGCGTGGCAGCGCATCTGGGTTCATGTGGATGCCGCTTATGCAGGTGCATCTCTTGTGGCTGATGAGTGGCAGTACATCACAAAGGACTTTGCCGAGGGAGTGAGTAGTTTCAACATGAACATGCACAAGTGGCTTCTAGTGAACTTCGACGCAAGGTATGATTTTCTCTTATCTCTTTTTTAGGGTGCTTTACTGATCTGTCATAGTGTCCTATTCGTGCGAAATCGTCTTGATTTGACCAGTGCCCTCGACATCACCCCAACATACCTGCGCAATCCCTATTCCGACATGGGTACTGTAATTGATTACCGAAACTGGTCAATCTCTCTCGGCCGTCGATTTCGCGCTCTCAAAATCTGGTTCGTTATCCGCAGTTATGGCCTTAATGGCATGAAAGCGTATATCCGTAAGACTATCGGACTCGGAAATGTTTTTACCGAATTGATTCAGGGTCGATCCGATATTTTTGAAATCGTGACCAAGCCCGCTTTCTGCCTGACCGTTTTCCGGATTAAGAACCCGCAAGCTTCTCATGGAGCCGACGGCGCTGTTGTCATCAGAGATGAAGGTGCTGATCGTATCACCAAGAAAGTATATGAATTGATCAATTCTCGGGGTGAGATCTTCATTACTGGCACTGTCATTGATGGGGTCTTCGTTATCCGTGTTGTCAGTGCCAACCCGATGGCCGAAGAGAAGTTTGTGAGAAACGCCTTTGATATTATTGTTCGAACGACGGAAGAAGTCTTGAAGGAGGAATAAAAGTGGAAGGGTGAATAAATTTTCAAAGCTCAGATGTCCTGTATATATATGGTGATTATGTAGGAAGCTGTTCAGGTTGATTTTAGATTGACTCCAAAAGCCGAAATTTTTAGAGAAATGGATTCCAAGGTTTTGATTGCATAGACTAACCTCGTTTGTTTCTTCTATCTTTGGATATAAAATATAAGAGCTGCAATGAAAAAGTTAGCCTGACAGCTATTAGTGACATCTTGATAAGCCGTTGAATGAAACACTCTTGGACTGTAACATTTGATTACTTTAACCACTTATGAAACTATTAAACTCATCCAAACTATCATGGGTGTTCATCTCTGAAAATTGAGACGGCTTAACAGACTCCATAAATCTCATTGTAGCACAATCTTTCTCATGCAGAGTTCGTTCGGGACCTCATATCTATACTCAAAACTATTATACCGTCCATCCTGAGGTCTCCAACTCCAGTGATTGTGATGGCTTGATAAGCTTCATGAAGTTCATCAAGTTTGGCGATTTCTCATTCATGGTCGTTTTGGAAGATAAGATCAGGTGATGACTATCTAGGTGGCTATCAGCTTCTGGACTCATGATGATGTTTTAAATTTGGGGCTAGATTGACAGTCTAACCTGAAGGTTACTGCAATCCTTTTTGGCCCCTTCAATCCTCCAACTTTACGTATGCCGTTGAATTGTAATATTAATTACCTGGCACATAACTTGGAAAAACACCGCTTACCAAGCAAGAAAACAGGTCAGTTAACTAGTTAGTCAGTTATATTAAATATTTATTTTCAGAGCTCGGACTATACTCCGACTTCCAAATCTAGAATTATTGAGCTACTCTTGATCTCGTCAGTGTAAGTTGCACTAGAAGGACATGTGAGTTAACTATATGTAGAATATTGGGATCAGCGGTGATGGGTTTCCAAGTTTCGCCCTGCTTATACCGTTTTTCGAATGACACAGGTGCTTCATAAGCAAATTGTTGGAAAGGTGTGGTTGGAGTCAGCTTTAACAGTAATGGATCTTTCTCGGCTGTCGTAGATGACACATTTATAGGGAAGGCATAATTAACAATTCAAAAAATCGAGTGAGAAGAAATCTGGTATCCGAACGTTATTGATGGAGCCGAAACGCGACAAAAGCTCCAATGTGAAATTTCACATTTTCAAGGTTCGAACTTCAAGGGAGGAGACCAAGCCAAGTTGAGGTAATTAAAAATGACACAAGCTCGAGTCGCTCGACATGTAACTAAAAGTCAAAGCCAGTTGACAACAAACAAAACCTCGGAAGACAATTGACCATGACCTATAGCCGATTTATCCAAATTTGAAAGCAAGTCATACTAAATACAATTCAATCGCAAGTTCGAAATCAACCTTAGTACGGAGTGGTATCGAGGCGAGTTAAACTGCTGACTCGATATCCACATAAAATCTTGGAAGATCATAAACCATGTTTCCAAGATTCATGCGACAAAAATAAAGAGTTTCTTGATCGAAGTTAAATTAACCATTCATCCCTCGTGGTCATTAGGTTTTAGAGTTAGTAAGTCAACGCCGAGGCTTCTCCGACCGCTCATCATTTCCCCGCGTTTTCAGATTCTTGATAAATGGCCTTAACTCTTTCCTCATTTATCTACTACCAACATTCGTACTATTCATGAAAAATGGGTGTCAACATGCTAGCAAAAATCTCTCGTTTTCAATCTTCAGCAACGCAATTGAAGGGATGCCGAAGATTTACCATCTCCCTGCACCTTAACTCGGTGGATTCTCCTGCTTCCGCAATCGCATCTTCATTTCTCAAGCGCTTTCAATCGCTGGGGCCTCAAATAAGAAGCCAGATTATAGATGCGAATCAGCTTCAGCTATTGACCCTTACATTGAACCGCCCTTCGCTTTTCCCGACCGCACCGTCACTTGGCAACTCTGCGACAAACCTACCTGCTGGAACACCCGTCCCTCCTGGCTATCATCTGGTATATTTTACGCCAGCATTCTTAGAAACAGAACTCGGGACTGATGGTACTGATGCATCATATAATCCCGACGCACCGTTTACGCGACGCATGTGGGCGGGTGGGGAGGTGCTCTGGCCACGCAATGCAGATGGAAAGCCCAATTTTTTGCGCGTGGGACAAGAGGTGCGCGAAAAAACAAAAGTTCTCAGAGCAGAGGCCAAAGTCGTGAAGAAAACTGGCGAGGACATGATAGTGGTGGGAGTAGAAAAAGAGGTTTCGAACGAGGATGGTTTATCCATCATTGATAGGAGGTTCGTTAGCTTCTGTATTTCATCTGATGACGTCCAAGTTTCCATTAACAGAGTTATTTAGAAACTGGGTATTTCGAAAAGCTTTGCCAGTCCCGTCAATAGCAACAGCATCCAACAATTTAACCTCCACGGCTCATACCTCGCTCCCTAAAGTGTCGACAATCCTTAAAAATGGAAGTATCCACACCAGGAGCATGGTGCTAACTCCAGTGACACTTTTCCGGTTTTCTGCCCTAACTTTCAACCCGCACAAGATCCACTACTCTGTGCCCTGGGCACGAGATGTTGAAGGACACAAAGATGTTGTGGTGCACGGACCTTTGAACTTGATTTCAATCCTCGACTTGTGGAGAGATGTTCAGGCTCCAAATGATGATCCTACTTCAATAGTACCAAAGCGTATCTCATATCGTGCAACAAGTCCATTGTATGCCGGGGATCAGTACTCTATTGAGCTGAAGAAGAACGGTGCAGAAGGGGATGTGCAGATTATTGGCCCAGGAGGCGTCGCAATGAAAGCAGTGATAGAGTGAATCTCCACTGTAGCTAGCTACTAACAGCTAGCTTGTAACTAGCGTAACTGCTGTACCTAAATTCTGTCACATTATGACATAACTATCAATAGAACATGGAAATTAAAGACCAATCAGCGACAAGCATCAATGCTTAATTTCTAGAAACCACTGGAATCACGTGGCTTTTACCGTATGATACTTGGCACGTTCTAGACCATTGTGGAAGGCGGTAGAAGATAGTCGGGGCCAGGAGCATCCAGTAGCAGCGGGTAGATTGATCATGACGTACTGAGGGGCCGCCCAACCTTGGAACTTCAACACTTATTTATTCCTCTTTCATCATCTTTCTAGTAGGCTCATTCTAAAATCTTACCATAAAAGTCAACTACCTTCTCATCTCCAACGCATTCTACCCAAAAATCATCTGGCATTCATATTAGCGAATTTTTTCCCCCCCCTCTAAACAATGAACGGTGCCCAATTTACAGACCGCGCCAACAAGGCCTTGTTGGATTCCAACGCCCTGGCCGAACAATATGCCCACTCTCAAATCCTCCCTCTCCATCTGGCAGTCTCACTGCTTAACCCCCAAGAAGAGTCAGAACAGGCCCCTGTAGGCCATTCTTCACATGGCGACTCATCTGCACCATTGTTCCGTCAGGTTGTAGAGCGTGCGCACGGTGACCCCCAACTTTTGGATCGGTCATTGATGAAGCTATTGGTTCGCATGCCCAGCCAGAACCCTCCACCAGAAACAGTCAGCGTTTCCCCACAGCTCGCCAAGGTTATTCGGAAAGCCACCGATTTGTCCAAGACACAGAAAGATAGCTTTGTAGCTGTCGATCACTTGATTCAGGCCGTCGCACAGGACAGCCAAGTAGAACGAGCGCTCGCCGATGCCAATATTCCCAAGCTCAGTTTGATCGACGCCGCCGTTCAACAGATTCGCGGCACTAAGCGGGTGGACTCCAAAACGGCCGATGCCGAAAGCGAAAATGAAAACCTCAAGAAATTCACCATCGACATGACTGCCCTTGCTCGCGAGGGTAAGATCGACCCTGTTATTGGACGTGAAGAGGAAATTCGCCGAGTCATTCGAATCCTCAGTCGTCGTACCAAGAACAACCCCGTTCTGATTGGTGAGCCCGGTGTGGGTAAGACTACCATTGTCGAAGGTCTTGCTCGCCGTATTGTAAACGCCGACATTCCAGCCAACCTTGCTCAGTGTCGGCTGCTCTCCCTGGATGTCGGCTCCTTGGTTGCTGGCAGCAAGTACCGTGGTGAATTCGAAGAGCGCATGAAGGGTGTGTTGAAGGAAATCGAAGAATCCAAGGACCCCATAGTTTTGTTCGTCGATGAAATCCATCTCCTCATGGGTGCTGGATCCAGCGGCGATGGTGGCATGGACGCTGCCAACCTCCTCAAGCCTATGTTGGCACGTGGTCAATTGCACTGCATTGGTGCCACAACGCTGAGCGAATACCGAAAGTACATTGAGAAAGATCAGGCTTTCGAGCGACGATTCCAGCAAGTCTTGGTCAAGGAGCCCACAGTCACCGAGACCATCTCCATCCTTCGCGGTCTGAAAGAAAAGTACGAAGTTCACCACGGTGTCAACATTCTTGACGGTGCCATCGTCGCTGCCGCTACTCTTGCCTCGCGCTACCTGACAGCTCGTCGCCTTCCTGACTCAGCTGTCGACTTGATCGATGAAGCTGCCGCCGCTGTCCGAGTCACCCGCGAGTCCGAACCAGAGGCGCTGGATACCCTTGAGCGAAAGCATCGTCAACTCCAAATTGAAATTCACGCTCTGGAGCGTGAGCAGGATGATGCCTCCAAGGCCCGTCTCGAGGCAGCCAAGCAAGAAGCTGCCAATGTCGCGGAGGAACTACGCCCCATGCGTGAAAAATATGAAAACGAGAAGTTGCGCAGCAAGGAAGTTCAAGACGCCAAAATCAAACTTGACTCCCTCAAGGTCAAGCGAGATGAAGCTGAGCGCATGGGTGATACTCAAACTGCTGCCGATCTTGAATACTACGCCATCCCCGAAACCAAGAACCTTATCGCGCGGCTCGAGGCTGATCGAGCCCGCGCTGATGCCGAACGCCGCGCCAACAGCGGCGATGGCGGCGAAGCCTTGCTAGCTGATGCTGTTGGTCCCGACCAGATCAACGAGATTGTCGGTCGATGGACCGGCATTCCTGTCACCAGACTTAAGACAACCGAGAAGGACAAGCTACTCAACATGGAGAAGCACCTGGCCAAGCTTGTGGTGGGCCAAAAAGAGGCTGTCGTCTCTGTCTCCAACGCAATAAGACTGCAGCGCTCAGGCCTGAGCAACCCCAACTCGCCTCCCAGCTTCTTGTTCTGTGGTCCTTCTGGTACTGGTAAGACACTTCTCACCAAAGCACTGGCTGAATTCCTCTTCGACGATCCCAAGTCGATGATTCGCTTCGATATGTCTGAGTACCAGGAACGTCATTCGCTCAGCCGAATGATCGGTGCACCCCTGGCTATGTCGGCCACGATGCCGGTGGCCAGCTGACTGAGAGCTTGCGCCGTCGCCCCTTCTCCATTCTGCTTTTCGACGAAATTGAAAAGGCCGCGAAAGAAGTCCTAACCGTTCTTCTGCAGCTCATGGACGATGGTCGTATCACCGACGGACAGGGCCGCATCGTAGACGCTAAAAACTGCATTGTCGTCATGACCTCCAACTTGGGTGCTGAATACCTTGCAAATCCTACCACCAAGGATGGCCGCATCGACCCTCGAACTCGAGAGGCAGTCATGGGCGCACTCCGCAACTATTTCCTCCCGGAGTTCCTAAACCGTATCTCCAGCACTGTTATTTTCAACCGGCTCACCAAGAAGGAGATCCGCAAGATTGTTGACCTCCGTATTTCTGAGGTTCAGAAGCGCCTCGAACACAACGGCCGCAATGTTTTCCTCGAATGTACTCCGGAAGTCAAGGATTACCTTGGCGACGCGGGCTACTCCCCTGCTTATGGTGCTCGTCCCCTTGGCCGTCTCATTGAGAGGGAAGTTCTCAACCGCCTTGCTGTTCTCATTCTGCGGGGTAGCATCCGGGATGGCGAGGTGGCTCATGTCGTTTTGATTGATGGTCGCATTGACGTTCTACCCAATCACGAAAACAGTGACGACGAGGACGAAGAGATGATCGATTCTGACGACTCCACCGCCGAGATGGAGGACGTCCTTGATGAAGATCTTTACGATGATTAAGTGGCTTAACCTCCACGGTTAAACCGACTGGAAAAAACTAAACTTGTTAACGGCGCCCTTTGAGCCTTTTGAACCGTCATATTTTTCACTTCGATCATATTTACACTTCAGCATTGATTCAGCGATTATATATACACATATTACCTGGCATATTATTGGACCTTTTTGTATTTAATCAATCCTCTTACTGCTTTTTCTGGAGTCGGTCTTTTGGGCTAGCTTTTCTTTACACTTGTTGCATAGCATCCAATTGTGATTCAATCAATATGAATTCATTCCAATTCAAATGAAATTATAGAAACAGTAGTCTTTTACCAGTACGTAACTCTCATATGCAATATCTATCTAGGTATATAGGTACAAATTGTTCGATCATTGACATAGACTTTCGATAGAATCTATGGATAAAATCACCAATTTTTGAAGTTGAGATAGATCGCCTGAAACTGTCCTTCACAGAATCCCAGAAGGGATCACCACATCTTATTCCTACTTTACTTCCAAGTTTTCATAATTACCCTCATTTTCACAGTCGACGTGAGTTACCAAGGCTCACTTTAGTCACTTTGCACTTGCCTTCCAACCTTCACTTCACTTCGTTACTTTCACTTTACTAGCTGTACTTCCCTCTCACGTTATCTTGCCTCAACCGCATAATTAAATTTACAACCAACCAAGTTCAATCTTCCTTTACATGGCCTCCAATCCGGAGTCAAAGCGTTTAGCAACTACTTGATATGACCAAAAGCAGATGTGTTGTCGTTATTGTTGATCTGTGCGGGTGATCATTTTGAGACTTTGCTGTCATGAGGTTGCCTCATATCTCCGTGCTTAATGGCAAAACCTTCAAGGCTAAAATATGTTGACCTTCTGGAGACATAAAGGATTTAACAAGTCTGTTTGTTTTTTTCTGACCAGGTGCTATCGAATCTCAACCAAGTGTGGTGAAACGATCGATCCCTTCATTTCCAATGGATGAGATGGGTTGGATACCAGGGCTGGAAGTAGGCCCTATGAATTGAGCTTTCCGGTCGGATGAGGATGGTACAGCCAGCATTATCTCCAAAGATGATGCGAAGAAGCAGGTTTCGACCCTACTGTCAGCGTGGGAGACACCCTCGGTAGAGCTTTGTCTCTGTACTTCTTTACTTTTCAACTTTCACCACATACTATAATCCACAAACGCTCTCATTTGTATTCTACTAATAAACAGCCCATTCAGACAGAAAGGTCCTGACCAAGCCTTGTTTTGGATTGTACGAGAAGATGGCTAGGTCTTGAAGACGTTTTCAACCAATTGCACTTGGAATGCATTCTTGGAGTTTGAAGAGACAGCGAGGATCAATGAATTTAATGCCTACAGTGACGCAGGCCATCCAAAGCCACATCACTAATCAGATGATCCAGGATTTCACAGTGGCAGCAGCGCACGCCTCCATATATAGCTGACTAACAACGGCGCGAAGAGAGGCGCGCGGTCAGTAGCAGTAGTGAAAATGGAAGCGAGACGCTGAGACCAACTTTGAACCCCAAATCAACATGATGGATATCATCGATACAATCATCATTGGGGTAGAATACTTGCAGCATTACGAGCTGCGCAGGAATGGAAAATCTAGGTTGGTCATCGCAAAACGACTATCGCGAACAGCTCTATATTAAAATACGCTCACCAACAACAATTCTTTGGCTTAATATGTAGACAAGAACAATACTACGCATGAAATGTTAATCAACCTTTACGCAGTCAGGGGTTATGTTCAATTATTCCATATGTACTTTCAACTGAAACAGAAGATAACAAGTATAGTAATGGATATATACAAATGCGATCTTCAAAAATCTATCTGCTAAGCCCTATAATTTAGCCTTCTCGTTAAATCTCGGTGCCTCAAGCGGATCATAAACATTCAAGCCCAAAGTATCAGAAGGAATAGAACCAGAATGACCAGCCAGCAGACCCCTCGTATCCAAGAAACTAGGACTCAACTCCTCAACACTAGTCGCACCAATCAACCGCATATTCATCTCCATCTCATCCTTCAACAGCTGCATAGCGCGGTTGACACCGTCAAGCCCGTAAGAAGACATGGCATACAAGAACGGCCGTCCAATACCAACGCCCTTCGCGCCGAGGCAGAGTGCCTTCAGGATATCTGTCGCGCGACGCACACCGCCATCAACATAGACTTCAATGCGCTTCTCCCAGCCTCGCTCACGCAGAGCGGGCATAACCTCAGCCAGCACCTCAATGCCAGACCGGGCCGTCTCAAGCTGTCTTCCACCATGATTTGAAAGCACGACGCCATCAACGCCAACCTCAACAGCGCGCAGTACATCCTCAACACATTGCACGCCCTTCAGCACGATAGGCATTTTAGTAATAGACTTAAACCAAGGAATATCCTTCCAGGAAAGCGCTGGATCAATAAAAGACGAAATGGCCCTAGCAGCACCTTGCGACCGATCAACCCCATCATCACCAACCTGCACATTGGATCCGGCATCCGAAAATTTAGAGCGCATATCCTTTTCGCGCCGCCCAAGCTGCGGCGCATCGACAGTAATAAAGAGACCCTTACACCCGCGCGCCTCGGCGTGCGCAACGATCTTGCGCGTGATTTCGCGGTCTTTGTTCACATAAAGCTGTAGCCATTGAACCTGATCGCCCTGTTTTGCGTCGACGATCTCATCGAAGGAGCAGGAGGCTAGAGTGGGTATCATCTGGATTACGTCGTGTGCATGTGCTGCTTTTGTGAGGACCACTTCGCCTTCTGGGTGGCCCAATTTTCCGAGTGCTGTCGCTGTCACGTAGAATGGAATAGATACTTTTGTTCCTAGCATTTTTGTGGATAGGTCTACGTTTTCGACGTCTACTAGCACTCGGGGGCGGAACCAGATTTTGTGGAATGCGGTGTGGTTCTCTCGTAATGTCTGCGAAGTTTAGTATAAAGATATTTTATAAGGAGGGAGAGGTTGAGCGCACTATTTCATCATCGGCTCCGCTGGAGTAGTATGCCCACGCCGTATTCCTCATAACACGCCGCGCCACAGCCTCGAAATCCATCAGGTTGTAGCATGCTGCGAGAGGGGGTATGGCCTTTATGCGCTCCAGGCGTGCAGCTTCTTCAGGGTCAACTTCCTTCTCTTCCTGCTCGACTGTGGCCATGTCCACTTCGCCGAGGTGCTTGGATTTATCGAGGTATTTGTCTAGGGTGTCGGGTGGGTGAATTGGTTCGAAGGCTTCGGTCGCATCTTTGCCGGCATACTTTAGGATAATCTTCTGCCCACCGGGATGTTCTGGGTGTTGTTAGTTTGTGGACTTTTACTTGAGGGTCGTGTGGTGCTTACCGGGTAGAAAATCGGTTACATCGTATGCTTTGCCGTGCACGATCACCCAACATGAGTCTTTTGTGTTGTGCTCGGCGACAACGGCGCCAGTTAGCTTGGCTTTTGACATGGCTAGAGGATGTGAATGGTGTATTTAGTGTATTAGGAAAGAAGCAGATTGATGTCGTTTAAAGGAACCTCGGCTCAAGTTAACCCGAAAAGCTTTAGTTTCAAGGTTTCGGGTGCAGCTTCTCGGCCGACTCGATGGCGTCAATGTGAAGTCGCAACATCTATTTTTGAAGAGATACTTGAGGTTCGAAACTATGATTGCATGTAAAGATGAGCATTTTGATTATTGGATTGTTCCATTATTAAAAAGTGTGCATAAATGTCAGCTCGTTACATAGTACTCGTAGTTAGCTGATTACCTCGGCTCAAGTGGGTCTGACCAGTTATGATGCTCGGATTACATTCCATTTTATATCAATTTTATATCGAGTTTCCAATACATATTTGTACACATACTCCATCAAAGAACATAAATGTCCATCTTCCAATTGCACCCAGTCGGTCATTAAGGACAAGATCTAAGCCTTCATCCAAGCCTGCTCATCTTTATCAAAAATACTCTCCCGGTAAGGATACTTCTCAACAAATTCCCCTGCATCAAGTACAGTAGCAGAAGTCTCATAGAGCCCACTCAGCAAATCATTAAGCTCTAGTCATGGTCAGTCACCCACTCAAACATACAATTTCAATGATAAAGGACAGAGTACTTACTTTCCACTTCTATGGGACTTGAAGGCTGCAGCGAGAAGCGAGAAGCACCTTCGCGCCACAAAGCCAACGAGTCAGGGATGGAAGTACCTACCAATAACAATCAACTTAGTTTCCTTATAGCAGCTTGATGATACATACCTCGCTCAATGCGGACAACGACAGGATCCAACACACACTTCCCATCAGCTACATCATCAAGATAGCGATCGTAATCAAACCGGAGCATCTGCTGCATCAGGCGAGTATTCGGCATGAAAACTGGCCCATTGGAGTCTTGTGAAAATGGTTAGATCAGAGCTATAATGCCAATTCAAGGTCCGGATTTTCTCTTACAGGGACTTGACTTTGAGATCGCGGCGTGAACCAATCCGTCATCAGAAACTTGGATTCCATCCTTGGTGCGACGACTCTCCTCTTCGCGTGCGTCGTATAGTGTCGCTTTCCGATGTAGTTGGAAGCGATACATGGTCGCTGGGAATGAGGTATGGGTGGATATTAGTGAGAATTTCCTGGTTTTGGCCAGGTTGACCCGTGCAGCTGGGAGCCAGTGAGTGGAGAGCATTTTTTCACTATCTCGTTGGAGATTTTATAACGGTGAGGTTATTCTGTGTATTGGTGGAAGGCGGAAAGGGATTGTTGGGGGAACAAGCTATTTTCGGCAAGCTGTAGTCCGCGACTATCTTCAGTGTGGACTGTCAATTCCACTTTGGCTAGAGTGCCTAGTACCTGCTCAGTGACTGTTGCGATATCTAACTGATCCTACGTTCTGCAGTTAGCAGTTCTATTCTCCTTTTCACTTGCCTTGATAGTTGTGCATGACATCATATTAGTCATGCATTAGTCATGCATTTTCTGGAGAGTCAACTGGTTATAGTCAACTAAACTGGTTATGACTATTCAGTTAAGATATCTATAAAGGAATATGCATTGATCGATTTGATGAGACTGCTGTATGGCGGAATGAGATGATAACTCACCCAGGCTAGTAATCTTGCCACTATTTTCATCCACTCGGCCAATATCATCCAAAAGATTATTGATTATTGATTTTGATATTGATATCTGAAATACTGAATTACAGACTAGTATCTTAGCAGTCTACGAATTCTGTACAAAAGACTCAATATCAAGGACAATAATCATAATCGTCACATTACTCATATTTACATTCTATCTTGATCAATCCTGATCTGTAACCTTCAATAACTCCAATTCGACTTGCACCATAGACTCAAATTCATTCCGGGAAATCCCAGAAGCCTTAGCAAGACGGAACAGACTTTTGATACTCGTCCCAATATGTTGCTTGACTCCAACCTCATGATTAGACTGGCTCTCAGCTTTATCTTCCAGTTTCGCGACGGCAGAGTTATTCGAGGATGCAGACTCCGGCCGCGGGTGACTTAGCCGTCTAGCACCCTCGGTATTTAGCATGTCACCAGAGGCATAACCGTTCGTCCGTGGCTTCTCCTGCTCGTCCAATCCATTGATTTGTTTCCGCAGGAGACTGGCGAGCATATCACCGCCGAGCGAGGACGGGCCGATTTCAGATTGTTCCTCTGATGGATCGTGACTATCCATTGCTGGCTGTACGTCGCCATATTGTGAGAAATATGATGCTTCCGATTGACCTGCCGGACCGGCCGACTTATTCGGTGTACTGGCACCTGGGCCGGGAGTGCGGCTTGGAGTTGCGTCGTATTGCGCCCAATAGTCATCATCATCCTGTTGCTCCTGGTCGTTGCTTTCTTTTACTTGCTCCGGCTCACTGCCTGTAGCTTGCACTGAGCTTTCCTGGATTTTGGTGTTTGTTTGGATGTTTGCGTCGCTCATTGTCGGCGCCCATTCGGGTTCATCCACGGGGTCGTCGTGCGGGAGTAGCTCCGCAATGCGCCAGGCTGGACCCCCGCCCGTGTCGTCCGTCGGACACCATAGATAGATGACCACTAGATTAAACTCGGTCACCAGTACCTGCGAACGTAGTGTTTCGTCGTCGATCCGCTTATATGACACGGGAAGATCGTCTGAGAGCTCTATTTCGCCGGAGGAGGGGTGGGGCTCGAAATTTGCGCCGTCGATCAGAGTTTGCAGGCGTTCTGCTTTGGCATTATCCCAGCAAAGTAGTCGCAGCCATGACTCATTGGATGTTGAGAGGGAGGTGAGGATTTGGACCCGCTGGCGTAAAATTGGTGAGAGGAGAGGTAGGAGGGCTGGCGGTGGGCGAGGAGAGACAGAGGCCGTGGGTAAACATGCGAGTAATGGTTGAAGTAGTAGACGAGGGTTGGGGGGGCTGGGCAGTTCAGTCATATTTTCTGAAAGGGATGGAGAGTGGAAGAGGGAAGGTGGGAAGAAGAGTGTAGAGGAACAGGAGAAGGCAAAGTCCCAAGTTTATTATTCCACACTTTCTACTCCATTCACCCGAACCCTATCACGCTTACTAGTTCGTCCCTTAACCCGAGATCTTCGGTTCAATTCAATATCTGTTTAAGGTTTCATATTATACATTCATCTCATTCAAATGTAGTCCTCTTTTTTCATTTCATCTCCTTTGTATTTTGTAACGGCAATTGTTGTTTTGGCGGGAGTATATAGCCGTCGATGTAGTATATAACCTACCAATCGCGACTGAGTCCAATCTCCTACAACTTCCTAACCGTAGAATATTACCTAGTTATGTAATCAGCTTCATTCACTTCACTGTACCTTTCACAAATAATAATACTTTACCTTGAGTTCATTCCTCCCTAAATGTGAAGAGACACATCTCTAATACCTAGCTTACCCCGCATGATTGAACTAAGATCCACGCTAAATCATGACTGCAGTCTATTGGTCAAGGAGCTTGGAATGCTTGTCTCCGAGATCTGCAAACTAAAGTCCAGTCGCTTCGGCCAGTTTCTAATCATTTCGGAGAATCAGTTCAGTCCAATTGCTCCAGGGCTGATATCAATCTTCCATCAGCCATGAGTTCTAAGGCTATATCGACTGATCATCCGTGTCTAGATCAGAGAGGAACCTCCGACGAGGATTCAGATCTTGAGCATGATCCAGGGGACAATCCTAGAGAAAACGGTCCGATGGAAAGTAGACCTGCGCCTCTGCAGCATCACAGGTCTGCTGTGTAGCTTTAACCTATTAGACTCAGACATCCTGTCATCAGCCGCAGCGACAAAAATGCTGACAGACCCCGGCCTAGCCCAGGGGTCTCGCTACTAAATCTCAATCTTCATCTTTACAATTGGAAGCGTGGGTTTCCAGCTACCATGCACAGTAACAGTCCGTCCGTTTCGTCGGTTCACGGATCTCGTTTGCCATAATCACATTCATCTTTGGACTGCTCACCGTATGCACCGTGTTCATTCACACATGGCGCCAAATGATTGCCTTATGATCTTACTCGGCATCGCCATGCCGGGCATCTACTCCGGCCTGACTTACCTCATCAGCACTTGGTTCCCCCGGCGCGAACAGCAGCTCCGATTCGTCCTCCTGCAGTCGGGTGGTGTCCTCGGCCTCACAACGGCAAACATCGTCAGTTTCGGTCTCAATCACTTAGACGGCGTCGCCAGTCTGGTGGGTTGATGCTAAATGTATTTGGTTCAAGGGCTTATTTCCTGTGTTCTATGGATCGCCACCTACTGGTCGATATTAGATTTTTCCCGGAAACGCGAGCAGCAGCTTTTACTCCCTGTGTGAAGACGAGGCTCACGTGGCATCGCATTAAGGATGGTCGCGCAGATATGATACTCAAGCTATTCTCATGGAGTGCGCTGCTTTCTATCTTTGCCGATACCAAGATCCATGGATTTGCAGTGATGTTCTTCCTGCTCAATCTTGTTTCGACCGCCCTCTTTCTAACAAATAGCTTCATAATGTTTGGCCTTTCACAATCGACACAAGTCACCGTGCGATACATAGTCACCTTCCTATCTACAGGCGCCTACGTCTCAAACTGGGCTGCACTTAATGCGTTCTAGGCTAACAATTTTGTCGAGGGGTGGAAGCACGCTGCCACCGCGGCTGCCGTCACGGCTTTTAATAGTCTTGATGGTGTGACTGGGAGTTTCATAGTGCGCTAGCAGGAGGCACCGCTCTATCAAACTGTAGTTTGGGTTTCCATCGGGTATGTGTCATGCTTGGATTTTTGTTTTGCTTTGTGGACGAAGAGCTCATTTGATAGGTTGCACCTGCTGATAGCGGCTATCTTTAGAGCTTTTACTGTTCACATTTATCTTATCAATCGACAGCAAGAGATGGGCTTCAAAGTGATTGAAGGAGTGGTATCCTATCTTTCTTTTGTGACCGACCTACTCATCTAAGTACTAACAGCCTGGCTTCAAATACGCCTATTAAGACGTTGGTTTGTTCATATTTATTTCCATATCAGGATACTCAACCCTACCGAGAGAAAGAATTACGATCCAGCGTTGATGAACATCTCTTACCTGTCAAAAAATTGGTTATTCTCTTGGTATACAACTACAGCAAACGAGCCTCGGAATTCCAAGGTTGTTGTCGATCAACTACGTTGAAAGGACAGGGTTCACAAGTTGCACTATACACACTGGAAAAGGGTATGGTTCGTCCTAGATTCTTAGTATATAGGTTGTACAAAGTGGTGTGAAATGTGTTCGATTCATGTAGCTACTTGAGTTCCTAATATAGTTGTTCCCCGTGACTTGGGGGTCTGTTTGTTCCGTTCCAGGTTTATGGTATTGCATGATTGCAATATCCATGTTCCGACAGTTGTTGACCATTTGAATTTATGATCTATAAAAATTTGTATTCTAGTAATACTTTCGCTCATAATAAACCCCAGGTCGTTCATCGTCAACGACCATACCTATCTATATCCGCTGATCTTCCAGATCAATTAGCGAAAGTGAAGATTCCGTCTTCTCACGCGAGCTCCTATGATTTGCTTTTGTAGAGTCATGCATCTGGGTCATCGTATACCAAGCTCTATGTTGCGAAGTATGGGATGTTTGAGATCGACGACAGAATGGAGTGGAAAAGAGACGATGAGTGGAGAACTGGACGAAAAGAGGCCAGATGGTTATCATGCAGAGGGCGATTATTAGGAGTGCGCCTTCTATGATTGTGAGGACTGCCAATCGGACAGGAAACCCTATTGAATGCGTTAGGAATTGATTCAAACACGGGTCAAATTCGGAACGTTAGGGACTTACAGCTCACGTTGTTGAACTCTAATGAGCCCATACTGAAAGAGCCCACAAGTCGCAGAATACTAGCCCCAACTCCACTATCACATACTCGTTAATATCATTCGACTAAACTGCAAAGCAAGGGCAAACTTACAATGAGCCAAGTAAGAAAATCGCTGTCAAAGCGATCTTCTGTGTCCCTGGCATATGCAACTTCCAAATCAGAGGAAGTGGCATGATAAGAATACAAGTTCCAGTGATAAAATTGCAGGAACCAAAATAGCGATATACCATAGCTTGATTAATACAGGACCCGCCTGAAGTCCCCATCTGCACAACATACGAAATTGGGTGGCACTGGAAGATGGTTTCGAAGAATGCTGCGATGCCTTTTGCTAGGACCAGTGATCCTATCACGTAGGCAAATATTTGGAATTTTCGTACGGGGAATATACGGATATAGAGGAGGAGGATGGAGAGTTTTGCCGGTGTTATTGTTAGTGGTATGTCGAGGATTTCTATGGCTATAATGGACTGATCTTTTATCAGCCTCGCTTGGATGAGTATGATATAAGGCTGCTAATACCTTTCGAACAGAAATTTTGTCGACCAGATCCTCAGTAGTATCGTCAAGTCCGTTCTTCACCACTGTGGCAAGTCAGCCAGCTGTGCTCAAGGGCCGTGGAAAGGTTGAAGAACTTACTGACAATGTAGAGGATAGCTTTAGCAATATTCGCAATCTACGTGAGAATTAGCATTAGCTTCCGGGTCAAGACATGTTTAGAGGGGCATGATGTACCAGAGCAAAAAGAACCAAGTAGTCATCTAAGCCGTACAGTATTCGTTTCTTATGTCGTGTGTAGAAACGTGCTGCGACGACCATAATCTGCACCACAGAGAGCACTACACAAGCAGCAATAAAGGCTTTGCCGCACGGCTCTCTGCCCTCTTGCCAGCTTTCCATTCCACCAATCGTGCATTGAGAATGCACGTTTCAATTTTAAGTGATGAGTTTTTCTAAAAACAGTGGGGATTGTACCGCCATATAAAGCCGTTACATCGAGAATCGTATTCGTCGTAAAACCACTGATTCATGGCATTTCTAGATAATAAGTCAATATCCTGGCGGGGTAAGCCACATGGAAGTGGCATAGAACTCATGGCTACCGTGGTTCCGCTATTTAGCAACCGCTTTTTGACGTCTAGTTCTAATTTTATAATTGGTCGTTTTTTCTGTTTAGGTTGACCCCTTTTTGGCAGTTTCAGAGTCTATGATGATATGAACCATTTGGCCAGACAATTAGTCCTTGATCGGGGTTTGATTGGACATTTCTTCATCGCCGGATTTGGTAAACAGTTGCCGTCAATGCATGTGTTCTAGAATGTCGTCTTACTCGGGGGTTCCCGGCTAGATTAATGTATTCTCGAGGTCTTCAAGTGAAATATGCTTCATCGGGATTCGAAATCATACCCCGGGATCGGGATGTAACTCACATGTGGTCAGTGTTGGAAGAACTCATATGTTGTAAGTAGCACTGGATCTCATCATCTCGTATGCACGATTAATTCACGAGGTCCTGAACTTCATCCATCAAGCTTACATTAGCCAACACCACTCTATATATACTCTATCTCCAAATCCAGCTCTTTCTCTATAAATCTTAGAGCTGGTGTTGGTTGGGCTGGACCTCGGTATATGCCTCCTCCCTAATTAGGACTAGTGCATATCGAGTTGAGGCTTTTCGGTCCGAGAATTACGGGTACAATTCAACCCGAATCACTATCCCATCCATATATGTCCATGACCCCTTACATCACAATGCCGTACTGCCTATCTCTACTTCGCGCGCGCATCCCTTCAACCGTCCAGCTCGCTGCCCGACCGCTTTCAACCACATCCGTCCTGCGCGGTGACGACAGCAAGTCCGCAATCCCATTTGCCACAGGCCCAGCTCCTCCACGCCTCCCAAAAGAAGAGCAGGAAATCTTCGAAGATCTTCAGCGCCGTTCTACTGGTGCCTTCAGCACACCCCAGGTCAATCAGTCTCCACAATCCACACCGGAGATCAAGGTGAACGGTAGTGGTGAGGAGCTGCATCCTGATGCGCCGGCCGGACTCAAGCCTGAATTTGAGGGCGAGACAAATCCTAATACTGGGGAGGTTGGTGGACCGAAGAATGAACCGTTGAGATGGGGTGCTGGTGGTGATTGGAGTTATGGCGGGCGGGTTACTGATTTCTGATGTGATGACATCGAAACCGAACCCTCGAATTTGTATACTGACTTGTATACCACTGCATTGTTGGCGTTGGAATTAATCCCAGGATCATTTGTCGATAGATCCTTCTTATCCACACTCTTTTTGGATAATCATTGCGCTTTGCTTTTGATTATGAAGTGACATCTTGATTTCGATCGGCTGGGTACATTTGCAGTATCTACTGACATGTATGTTCATGAATCTTATTATATGGCACATCACAAAGTGCATAGAGTCTATCGACTAAATATAGGGTAGCGCGGCAAGTGAAACTCAGCCTAAGCTGCCTGAGCTCACGTTGCCTTGGGCTTTCCCGCTCAAGTAATGACTATGTCTACCTTGGTAGTTCCAGGTTGCCCCTCGGTATAATTCAGCCACGATCTGCGTAGATTCTGCTATCTTATAAGTACAAGTTTTCTGCTTCAAAGCATAAATGTCACGCATCGCGCTTCAAATTACTCCATGTGTGCAGTTACCCCTCATTGTGTCAACTTGGTCTCCACTAGAGCTCCAATTGCCATTATCTGTTTTGCTCAGTCGTAAAGCACGTGACTGATGAGAGGAAAGATAACTAACTAGTTAGCCTTTTCTAGTACGGTGCAACTATTACAAATCCTGGTCAATGATTTCACAATTCCAACCAATTTTAAAGATCTTCAGATCAGCATGGGTGGAACACAAAGATCGCCCAGGCAAGACTCTATTGGGACCTGCAGAGTCTTTGCTGTTGCAAACTCAAAATATCTGCTCCCATAGGTGATCCTAGTCCAAACCCTCGAGAGCTCATGGATGGGATGGATAAGAGATGCAGTGTGACGAAGGCCTGGAGCGACTTCCGCCACCCAGGCATATTGTCTGTGCGTGTCAGGGTCCCAGCGTGGCGTGCCCTAGCTGGAGATAACTGCAGATTTGAAATGTCCGCACCCCTTGAAAGGGTTAATGAATGAACATAGCAGAAAATGACAAACAATATAATACTATATTCTCGAGTTATGAGCCATCCAATGTTGGAAATAGGTCCATCTGGTATATCTTCTTTACCATGACTCGTTACACTCACAACCAGCCAGCCACGATCACATTTTATCGCTGCAGGTACTCCATTCTCTGTACTTACATGTTAGTAATCATTGATCGCCTGAAAAAGCAAAAAACCCAATTGACTGAGTGGGGGGAATGCCTTGTCAGACTCGTATTAACAAGGATCTCCTGTATCTTCCATCCACCGATCTCCGATCTTCCCGGTTATTTCGTCCTTTTCGTGATTTCAATCTATTTATTTTAGTCAAAGCTAGATCTGTTGCTAGGTAATGCTAGTAGCTGAAGACCCCGCCTGAAAACACCTGTTCTGCGCTAATGGAATGGATCATGCAGATTATAAAAATCAAAATGTGATTGATATACTCATACTCCGTGGAGAAACTCCAGGACCCACCACATATCGCATTTTGATTTCGATCTAGCGGTGTAATACTACCTATGCAATGCTAAGAGATTCTAGCTGTATCACCGTATCTAACTGTATCTCGCTGTATCTGGTATTGGAAATCGCGATCTGTTTTCCGGTACCCCACTATGCCCTAAGCCCCATAGTACTTAGACGGGATACCCGATGGGAGGCCTGGGCTATCCATTCTGTACACCTCTCAACAACTAGTTGAAAGAGAAGAAAAATAAACCCGTGAAGTCCACTCTGCATTAATAGATCACCGGGTGGAACTATGGGTGGGACGAAGGGGGGTTTATTGCATTTGCAGAGACAGGAGGAGCTGAAATCTTCCAAGGTTGACAGAAATGACATATCGCAGAAAGAACCTGGGAAGATAGGAGTAGGCTATTGATCCTTAATATGACTGGGTATCGGCTGCTCGACCTTCTCTATTTGTCCATGCGTGCTCGCTTCTGCTTTGCATTTCTCATTCTTACCATAGTTCCCATCACTAAGAACCTGTGAAATATCTTCCAGGGCTTCTGTGGTAGAGAGTAATTTCTTTTTCTTGTTTTTTCCCGTACTTCCTTTCCAATCCACTTATAAGTCTCGACTTCACTGAGGCCGTGGCTGTGATAATTTCTTACCCTTGCAGTTCACCGGTCTGATCAGTTCGCTGGCCCTGCATTGACAAAAAGAGACTAGGTAAGCCGATTTCTGATTTTCCTTGCTTTCTTTTTACCCCGGGGATATTTCTGTTCATGATATTTGGCTATATTCAGAATGATCTTCAGACTTTAATCGAAGATCGCTGAATCTATATGCTTTCTTATACGACTTTTGACTATTCAACGCTTGTACAAACCCTAACTGGAAGATACAGATCTATTCAAAGCCATTGTTTGCAGTTACATACCCGGCCGAAAGATATCCTGGTTGAACTAATATCAAAGTACCGACTATTTCGCAACATCGGTCTTTTCGGTATCTCATATGGGCATTGATCGCCGACGATAAATAAATTTGCCATTGCATATCGAGTCAAGCCGCACTGCTCTTTGGATACCTAGCACAGCCCTCGTGTCCCACGGGTGGAACCAGTGCTTAAACGGAAGCGCTCAGGAATATGCCATTCCTTGGCCGAGAGAAAGGCCGCGGGCAAAAATCACGCAGGTCGGAGGATGAATTCGTAGTATTTCTCCAAGGAGTAAGTTTATCTTATGCCTCCATCATTGCGCAGAGCAATCCAAGGACTGACAATGAAAAAAAGATCCCAGCTCATTGCCGCTGGCAAGAGTTGAAAGATCTAGTGCGACAGACAGCCCTACACATCCGCCAGGCCGTAGTATATGATGACAGCCACGGGTTCCCTACCGGGCTGGGACAGATCATCGTCAAAAACGAGGATGAAGCATGGAGAACCTATCGTACGTTCTCGCTCTTCAGTGGAGCTAAGATTTGAATCTGACAGAATATGCAGAGCGATTATCAACGAACGGATGGGAGGGCCAAAGCTTGGTCGTGACTCTAGCACGCACGAGTGCTCCCACGAAGCCTATCGCAGGACCTACAAGAAGTCCACCAGCCATGATCCAGGGCTATGTGTCAGGTCATTCCACTCCTCCCCGATCTCATGGCAATGTGGCTATGCCTCCCTCACCAGTATCATCCGAGTACGAATCCCAACCTCTCTCCGTTGATAGAACTTCAATTAACAATTACTAGATCCATCCATTCAAGAACCTCAACTTTTTACTCTGAATATGCACCAATGATGGCACCAATGCCAATCCCACCACAACAGTTCATGCCATTGATGGATTCCACACACTGCTTCCCGCCTTCTCCACTGATGCATTACGATGCACCCCTCGGCTGGGGCATGATGCCATACCCTGTATCACCCAGCCAATCTCGCCACGACTACACAGATGGCTACTCGCGCTATGAGCCATACAAACTGTGGAACCATTCCGACACCAACATCTCGATCTACGATATGACTCAGAGGGAAGTGCACGTCCAAAACCTCACCGCAGCCGCAACAGCCACCGACCTACGGCGCCTGTTACAGGGCGTTGGCATAGTCGAGCAATGTAGCGTGACCCCGACGTCTGATATCTCGACCCAAGCCCTAGGCTATGCAATCATGCACAGTGCCGAAGATGCCAAGCGCGCCGTGACCATGCTAAACAATATGAGGTTCATGGGAGCTCACATCCGCGTGAAGATGAATAATCGCCCTGGTTTCAAGCGAAGTGGAAGCTATGAGACTGTAGCTCATGAGAAAACTGATTTGCCGGATCTGGTGTCTTGTGACAGGGGTTCGGAGTATAGCGAGTATGGCCAAGATGTCTCTTTCAGGAAGCCTGTTGAGCCTAATCAACCTCTCGTTGTTGATGGCTCAGGATTACGGAGCAGATCTTCGGAAATGCTTTCAGTTTCTGCGCCGACTTGAATCTTACCTCGATTCGTTTTGGCTTTGTCAGCTTCACGGTTTATTTAACTTCTTGTTGCATATTAATGTTGATGCCCAGGTATATTAAGCTACCTTACTCAGTAGATAAGATAGTCGGCTTTGCTTCAAGTTTTTAATTCAGGATATTACCTGCATCGTCAGGTTGGAACTGTTAATGTTTATAGATCTGTGATTAAGTGGAAGTGATGGGAGTTGACGAAGAGACCACTATCTACTAATAATATTCCCCGTTGGAGCCTTAAGATTTAGGCAATTATCAGATAACAGGTCACCTGACTGACATCATAGATCTCTTCCGATTTCTCTGTAAACCTCGCTAACTAGTCAAACAACCAATTCATTTGCAAATTGCTAGAAGTTTGAGAATCGTTCGTCATTCTGTATATTCAAAAAATGTCTTCATTTTGATCCAACGTTGAACTTCCCTACATATCTCGGCGCGGGCATAAATAGCTCTCCACGCTCAGCACCATGGCGCATCGAGCTTCTTCAGTACTCCCTCCCTTCGCTAAACCTATATTGTTTTCACCAATCCTCCTTACCCGAACTCTCCGCACAACAATTAGATGGCAAAGCACTGGTACGAAACATGACGATGGTTCTGCGGAGCAAACGCCAGACTTATCCAATTTGAATCCACCGCCTGAGGACTACGGCCGCTTTATCTTCCAAGACAAATGTACTGTTGCGATGCATGCTGGAGCAGGTGGCCACGGATGTGTTTCATTTCTCCGCGAAAAATACATCGAGGAAGGCGGGCCAAATGGAGGCGATGGCGGTAGTGGAGGTGGTATATACATTCAAGCTGTTGAAGGCTTGACTAGTTTACATAAGTTGGCCCGCAGGGGAACTATCCGAGCTAGTCGAGGGAGAAACGGCCAGGGTAAAAGTCGTGGTGGCAAACGAGGCGATGATGTGCTCATTCAAGTGCCTATCGGGACAGTAGTGCGGGAAGTGGACCGATACGATCCCGTTGCTGATGCGATTGTTATGAGGCGACAGGCGAGAAGGCAGGCCGAGGAGAGGAAGAGGGCGAAGAAAGAGGAAGAAGGTGAGGAGGAAGAAGAAGAAGATGATGATGATTTCGTTCCGATCAACTATGATCGCTGGGTTCTTTATCCAGGATCTAACCCTTCTGATTTCCTCACTGTCACTTTTCCCGACCTTAAACCGCGGAGACAGGCCATTGCGGCGATGGAGCCCCAGAAGCCCATCTATCTTGACTTTACTCGACCAATGGATAAACCCATGCTATTAGCAGCAGGTGGTGCTGGCGGTTTTGGAAATGGCCACTTTGCCACGCGCGCGATGGGACGACCAAAATTTGCATCCCGGGGCGAAGGCGCCATTCGCCTTGAACTTGACTTCGAGCTCAAGCTACTGGCAGATGTTGGTCTAGTCGGCAAGCCTAATGCTGGCAAAAGTACCCTTCTACGCTCCTTGACCAATAGCCGCACGAGAATCGGAAATTGGGAATTCACTACTCTATCGCCTCACATCGGCACTGTCATCGTCGATGACAATACCGGCCGTCCGGTGATAGAGAGTAAAGGAAGGATTCCCCGCACACGCTTCACTATTGCAGATATTCCCGGTCTAGTGGAAGACGCCCATCTCGACCGTGGTCTTGGACTCGGCTTCCTTCGCCATATTGACCGAGCAGGCATTCTGGCATTTGTCATTGACCTAAGCGCCGGTGACCCAGTACATGAGCTCAAAAAGCTATGGCATGAACTTGGCGCGTATGAGCGGCAACGTGATACCGAGCCCGAGCCTACATCTACGCGGAAGGGCGTGATTGATTGGAATTCGTCTTCCACTGGAGGACTCGAGCAGTTGCAAGACGAATCTCGCCATCAATCACTGAATAAGCCGCCCCGCGCGCTTCCTTTCCTTAATACACCGCTGATCCATACCAAACCATGGTTTGTCGTGGCCACTAAGGCTGATCTGGAAAACACCCAGGATCAGTACAAAGCCCTGCAAGAATATCTCTCCGCTGTTCAGGCTGGCACAGTTGAACACCCTTCTGGACATTCTAATGGTTGGAAGACGGAGGTATCTGCTGTGCCTATCAGTGCGATTCGAGGCGAGGGCGTCTCGCGCATTCGCAGCCTCGTCATGCATCTTTTGGATTGCTACTAGAGTTAAATTAGCGATCTGACTACTTCCAGATGTGAAAGATGGGTCCAGATGCCAGCGCAACTCATCTCGTTCTGTCCAACTGCTGCAGCATCGGCCTGTTGTGCCAATAATATCCTGTATCATATCTCCGGTGTCCTTCTCGCTGGCTGGACCAAGCATATATATAAAAATCTCAACTATAAACAGAGAATTTTGAGACGTCATTCAACCTTGGAAGTCAATTACAAGTACACATAGTGATCTGCACATCAATTTCCTATGATATCCTGCTATCGTGTATTGATTATTACCTATGTAACTAACCAAAACATGCGTCGCAGGAATTCTCATTCCAGTATTTGGATAATATCAATAGTAACTTTGATCTTGCTTCTTGGCTTATCAATATCTCTCAATTTGATCGAACTGAAGGTTTCTTCACCATCAATTCACTATTTAAGGATAGACTGTCCCTCATACCAAAAGAAGAAGAAGCCTTGATCCCAATCTTCCAGCGTCTACGGAACCTGTCTACTCGCCTTTTGTTAGCCAATACCCAACACAATAAACAGCGCCATAAGGAGTGGATCGGTCAACTGTAGCCTATACCTAGGTTAGGTATTTTCAACTTATTGACTACATAGGTTAGCTGCCCATGCGCCCACTCATTTCTCAGACTTAGTAGCTAGTGCTAAATGCGCTTTGGGGCTGCTGAAGATATTTAAGACCAATCAAAGATAGGGTCTCATAAGGTGATAAATACTATAGTTCGGATATGGTCACATGACCTCGACGTTTATTCACGATCTCTTTCCTCGGCCGTTTTCTTCGAACAATTCAGCCATGTTGCCCCCTAGGTCTGCCATCGGTCGAATACACATAAGACCGGTGTATCCACCTCGGATACCCGGCTACAATGTTAATATCCGCCCCTTCACTCAAAATACGAAGCTTCTTCTCGCCCGGCCGCCCGGCCGTCCTCAATTACCATTCCTGTCACCACTAGCACCTACCCGTTTCCTCCCACCGCTATCAATTCATCTTCGCCAGCATTTCGCACGACTGATATCGACAGAAAGCCGCAATAGCTATAAGCGACGTTTCTCCCGCGGTCTTAAATTTGGCTTGTCGTTCTATGCCATTATCGTCCTTTTCCAAATCATCCAGGTGGGCGTATACCAAGAAGACATCGAACACGAATGGCCTACTCCTCCGGAATGGAGCTGGAAGAGCCGTTGGTGTCTGCGATCCGCGCAAGCCTTGCAACACCCTGATCATATCGGCAAGATGATGACCAATTGGCCGATGGTAGCTGGATATCTACATGAGCTTCTAGAGCGTCTGGAAAATGTAGATGGCGAAGGCAAGGGGTTGATTGAACAAGATGAAGGTGGATTTCTGGTTGAGGGTGTCGGACGAACAGGATTCGACATTTCGGCTAAAACTGAGCCGTGGCGCCGTGGATACTTCCAGACTCTCATGGGAGCTGCAAAGGCGGCGGAGAATCTGGATGGATGGTTGACTGATCGTAAGCAGCGCATCTCAGCTCCGGCAGAGTATGTTGTTGGTCCGTCAAATCCCCGACCAAAGCCCATGCCTGCGGCGCAGAAGACCATACCGCAGGAGGAAGATAGCGAGCCGGCATCTCCACCCCCAGAGACATTTTACATGAAGATCCTCACAACGAATGGTTTTGATACCAGGCAGAAGCTTGATGCTGCGCTTGCATATGCTGATTGGCTGGATTTCAAGGGTCTGGGTGACACTGCCGGTGACATGTATAAGTGGGCGCTTGATATTGCTGTGGGTGGCTTTGAGGGCGACGTCAGCAAAGTCGTCGACCTCAAAACCGGAATTTTTAAGAGTGGCTCTGAATTGCCCTCGGAGAATCTCATTCGCGTCTCGACGGCGCTTGCTGTTCATAGTGCACGCCAAGGCAACCTTCCCACAGCACTCTCCCTCTTTACTTCCATCCTCCAGGCTCGACGTAACCTGCCCTCTTCTGACTCTCTCCCCTTCAAATATACACCTCCTGCTCCACCAAAGTCAAACGACATATTCTCCTCTCTATATAAATCTCTCAAAACAGTTCTCATCCCGGTTGACTATCCACCACCCCAACCATCAGGCGACACCCCGCCCTTGCGCACCGCCAGCTCCGCATGTGACGAGGCAGGCCTGATGACATACATCGGAGAAATCATCTTCGCCTCCTCAGCACGAGACCAAGGTCTGTCTTGGACCCGCGACGCAGTCGAAATGGCAGAGTCTACGTTGCTAGATCTTCGCAGCTCCTCCGACCAAGAATCCCGCACCCGCTGTGGACAGTGTCTGAAAGTCGGTCTTGAGAATTGGAAGATGATGGTGTCTGCCCTTGTGGCTCAAAGCCAACGAGAGGAAACACAGAGCGCCGAGCAGGCGAAGAAGGCATGGTTTGGCGGCCATCGTCATGCACGAGAAAAGGCTGCCGAGTTGCGTCGTTGGAAGGCAGAGGAAGCTATTTTGGATGATCGAATTCGAAAACTGTTCCCTATATTAGAGGAACAGTCTGGATTGGATCTTCTTTCTCCGAATAGCTCCTTGTTTGTTTGAAGTATCTTGCATATTTAGCATTATGGAAGGAGCGTCTGGTGTCATACTTACTGCTAATGGCCTGAGGCCATTACTTCGGAATGAATTTAGCTTTCTTGTATTAGTTTGATCATATATTGAATGAAATTACTGTATACCACCATCTCAAGTCCTACCAAAAACAATCCAGCTGGTCTGCACATGGCCATCACAACCTTGGATAGCATCTAATTGATCTTAACAATCGCCTTCCAGAATTGCTTCTGTGCCCTTGGTGAATTCAGTCACTTTCGATCCAATCTCGATGACCTCGCCAGCACCATCGGAACCAAGACCGAGGGAAGGGAATGGATACAGGCCCTATCGGATATCATACCAGCATCAAGTGGAATATTACTCGGAATTTGTAAACTTGACGATCATTGTGTCGCGATAGCTCAAAGCTGTGGCCTGGAGCTTCACAAGCACTTCATAGTCTCCGACCTTCGGCATGAGCGCCTCCGTGAAGACAACGTCGTTGAAGTCGTTCCGGCTATTCTTTAACAGAACTAGGTCATTGATCTGTTATCTATATAGTCCATTTATTTAGGGGATACCGACTCATACCCCGTGTCATCTTTGGCTCTGGGATTTAAATGCAGCAATTACTGACTTGTCTTCCAACCTCGTTTGCTCCATTCAATATTTCGAATTCGTTCGGAGTGCCGATAAATTTTTCTCAATACTGTCAAGTGGAAGACTCAAAACATCTTCTCACTTACAAATCACTAGAGCTACGCAAATTACTCCATTTGGTCGGACCCCGAATCCCATGATTTCGGAAACCGAAGTTATCCCGAACTCAAGCTCACAAGAGCGTAAAATGATATGCAGCTGAATTGCACAATCAATGGAGGTTTCAAGAAAAAAATAAACATGTTACAACGACCTGGACTGAGAAATAGTGCATGTGGCTAGGTGAAGTTCCGTGGTTATTCAAGCAACCACGTCTCCAGCAGTCGGTATATAAGATACGAGAGTTCCAAGGTGTTCAAGATTCTTAATAGATAACGTTGCTTTGATGAAGCTGAGACTATTCAGTTGGGCAGAGCCGTATTGTTCTTCCAATGATTCAGCAACAAAAAAAAATTCTAAGATTTTCTTTATTGTCACTCTCCAACATAACCCTGAAATAGTCTCAAATCAAACATACATAACCACCTACCAAGCTACTGGACTTCGTAGATGGCCTAGTGAGCGGAGAATATCCACTGAAGCCACATCTCAATAGCTGTCAGCCCTAAATTGGTCAATTGTTTGGTCAAATGGGAAGAAATCCCCAAAAACCTGAGACGATCATCCTTGGAAGCGAACGCCCCACTTAAGGAACACTATAAGTTTGGAATTGATTTGTGTACATTTGAAAATCCATCCTGCCTAGTACAAAAGAATATAATGGGGCCAAATGGTCAGATAATTGGACCTGCCGAAGTTGATAGCTACTATAGGTATCGGACTTCGGAGTATAGGTTGGACTTTCCAAAATCAGCTACCGCCGCTTTAATGAGGGAGTCAGGCTAAGTAAATTTCAGTCCGGGTCTAGACCAACTTTCAGCCTCCGGGCCGCTAAGCCAACTCTAATATTCTAACTTATCAAGAATTTACTATATTCTGTTAATTTCAACCTCTAAAAAGATGATATTTTGTGAATGTTTGGTTTTACTGGAATGGTAAATGTGATAGAATGGTAGGAACGTATTGATATTATTTCGGAACTGATTCTTGGAGAACTCGGGGTTGTTTCGTGCTCGTAACTCTTATAGTCCCTACTTCCTAAAGTCACGAGATCAATTCATAGATGCCTCAAAGCTCCATTAGACAGGTAATAAATAGGCGCACTAAAAAGCATTTAAAGTCACATGCTATAAGGTATCTATCGACTTTGAGAAGAGAGTGGAACTAGATACCAGAATGGTAGAAGATTGATACGCTGTTTGAAGCTCTCACAATTTTTGGAAGATCTTTCGTATGTGCTTGCTGAGAGCCCAGTCATACTACATGGTGATGAGTGGCTGGTTCGATAATATGGTCTTCACAGCGGACATCCAAGCCTTCAAATAGTTGGCGCTCTTACAATCATCCTCCAAGATTTCAATCTGGTAAAGCATAGACCTTTCCGCAAGTATTGCAGATCACTTTTCAGCCTCACCATATTTAGGGGACGAAAAAGGCTAGCTAGTTAAGATAAACTAGTCCTAGTCTAGTTCATAAAGTTGATGAAAAACATTCGAGACCTAATTAGGAAAGCCTGAATACTCAGATGAGGGCGTGCTCAGTTATACTCAGTGAGCAAAAAGCGGCAAGCACTGAGCACTAAATCGGACGAGGATAAGCCAAGCAATGGGGAAGAAAATCCACTACATACTCCGTAGCTGAAGGAGCTTTCATAGCTGTCAAGATAAAGTACCCGTAGAAATGGTCAGGGAATTTCTGGTTATTTCTAAAATTAATCAGTGAGATTCTCATTCTCTCTATACGACCTATTTTCTCGGGTAAAGAAGTCATTTGAAGCCATGTTTTCATTATCCTGTTCAGTAGCTTGTGTGGAGAGTAGAAATAACAAAAGTTGACAGTTGATCTTTCAACGATGAATCATCCATATCTACAAATATTTGGTCATCGTGAGATATGCTGCTGAGATCGGAAGACTACCATTCGTTGAGATTCAATGGTATCGTTCCTCTCGCTGCTTCTGGCCCCATCACGCCCTGGAATCCTTTTAGAATCCTGTACCGTGTTTTGTGTCCCGCATATTGGTTTCAACGGACATTTCCGAGCCTTTAGGCTACTTTATATGGGAGTTGCTGATGGACCCAGTTGCCACCAGAGTGGTTAATTTACGAATCCCGACTTAAGACTTTTTGCATATACAATGATTCTGCCCTTGAAACACACAAGAAAAATTTCCGGTACCGTCTACTATAACTCAGCCATACCAGAATCAAGGCCAAGAGCACCCTCGCCATGCAATTGCCTTGTAGGCCCCCACTGGTGCTGCTGAGCGTTGCCTTTTTGTTATCAACAGTCGCCTCTGTCCCAACTATTAGGACAACAAACTCAGTACACGTCGACTCACTGACTTTTCATCCGTCAGCGAGGGATATTTTTGCGAGAGATGATAATCTAAATCAACTAAATCGTCGCTCATTACCTACATCAATCACTGATTGGGCACTATGGAATGTTTGGAAGGTCGCCTGCAAGAAGAATCCAGCCCCAGTCCGAAAAATCCCTAAAGACACCACAAAAGGAACTCTTGTTGAAGACAACGTGTTTCAATTCGACCATGATGATGACTGTGGCAAAATTCCAAGTATCGTTCAACTGAAGAGTAAACTTGGGAGTGGCACAATAGCGACTGTCTACAAAGCCAGCTACGGACCCGTCAGCGGGAATAAAGAGGACGTTGCAGCAAAGATATCGTCAGGAAATGATATGGGTGACATGATTTTCGGAGCAGAAATAGAGTCAGTAATGGCAGAGCAGAGCAAGAACGTCGCTACCGTCTACGACTATTTCTATGTTCCAGATACCAAAGAGGCATTCATGCTCATGCCCATCGCAGAAAGTGACATGGGAGCGCAATTTCCAATTTTCGACAGGTTTTCCACGAAGAAAGATCTTAATGAGATGTTCAGGCAGATCCTCACTGCTATTCAAGTCATGCACACTCCCAGGGCAGATCTATACCCCAATGGTGTGATGCACCGCGACATCAAACCACAAAATATTGTGATGTACGGCTCCACACCAAAGATCTCAGATTTCGATTCAGCGACAGGCGAAGAGAAATCTGAAAAGTTTCTTATGGGAACCCCAGGGTTCATGGCTCCCGGTATGTCTTGAATTTGAATTTTGAATTTACTCTCACCGTTCCCTGGCTAATCATATATATCCAGAGGTCGTCAGAGCGAAAGCATACGATAAAGGTGTCGATATATTTGCTTTAGGGATGATGTGGATAGAGATGAACATCAAGAAGGCTCGAGGAGAAGCATTTTACAAGCTTTGGAAAGCTCTCATCAACTCAAGGGACGGCGAGAAATGGCATACCCCTGCAGTGGTCAAGACCATTTTGACTGAGCAACTCGGTAATTCTTTGAGCAAAAACGAGTTGGAGCTGATGTCAAATGTTTTATGTGAGCCTAGCACCCGGTACGACATTGATGATTATTTGTCCCAGTTTGAAAAGCTGGTAATGGGTAAATAAACGCTATGCTAGATTAATTATCAACATTTGAATGTCATAAAGAGTAATTAGTAGCCTACAAACTAGATATTCAATAAAAAAACTTTGGAACTACAACCCAGGCAGAAGAGAAAACTTTCTCACAAAAATTTTTTGTTACAATGCGATTTTGAAAGATCTCAAAACAATGTTGATTCAGAATCGATACCTAGATAGATAGATACAAGTTCTGGAGGCACCTGTGGCCGACTGACTCGCACATAATTCATCTATACATGTAGCAAAACATAGTAATAAATCCTTCCTAGTCTGCAATCGTCCATAATAATCAGGATTTGCGCGATTTTGATTCGGGAAACAAAAATCTCTCAGCCGAACGTTAAAGGATCACAAGCTTTTAAGAATTCGAAACATCGATGGATCTAGAATGAAGGATTAGTTGATATTACCCACTTTAGCCTTATGATCGTCGATGGGGGCTAGATATGACAGGGGTATGACTGCGAGCTCATCTATAAAGTCTGAATATTTGATACCAGGTTCCTCGCAGGCTTCCAAAAAAAAAAAAAACCAGAGGTTATTCTGTTCAAGTCTAGCTTATTTGGTCCGCAACATTCATAAATATTTCTTCCGGTCTCTTCTCTAACTTCTTTCATCGTCGCCATTGTTGAGTCTGCAGGGCTTACTATTCTTATCAGAAAATTTGAAACTTGAAGGATAATCAATTTCCAAGAAATCTCACCATTATATATAAGACAATTCAAATCAAACTAGATCTTAGCAGAAGTATGGCTACCAAAATACTGCTCCCACCTGGTGGATTTTACGATACCTAGGTAGAAAAAGACCTCGGGGATACTGTGATTTTCTAAGATAACTTTTAGTTGACCTGTTGGAGATCCGGAGATTTCAAATATGGGCCGAATACCACAAAGCGCATTATTCACTCCGCCAAAGGGTTCTTCCAAGGTTCCAGCCATCTCTGTATCTCTAACAGATTTTCTCTCAGAAAGTCTCGCTCTCTCGTTTAATAGCGCAGGCTCAAAAGTACCGGGGAAGATCAATTGAAAATTCCGCCAGTGGGCTATTGGCAGATATTTATCGACTCCTAGGTTTTTATGACATCGGACTAGCTAACCTCGGAAGTATCTAACACTGTTTTACATTTTTGTCTCATTAACTTGCCTACAGATAATTTCGCTGTCTTCAAGTCTATCGCAGCATCGGGAGGCACAAATGGTTTTTCCATTCAGCACAAAGCTCTTTGTGATCCTTTGGAGTCATATTAAGCTACCTTGTTCTACTTCTTTGGATGTTAAGGCGTTGATCGTAATAAATAAAATATTGGCTTCTGGAAATTATACCTGAACAAAAACTCATTGTGAGGCACTGAAGAAAGAACTTCTAAGAGAACTCTAACACCGCAGGAGCTATATGGTATAAAAAGGCCCTGATATCACCGCCATCGCCTTTTAATCACTAACAAACATTTGAAGAACATCTTAAACTCGAAGCTAAGTAATTTGATCCTAGCATAACACACCACTATCTACAAATATCTATTCATCCATCTCAACATCATGGATTCCCGTCATCAGCAATCCGAGGAACGAACTCCTTCCGAACGCGGCCGCTTAATCGAGAATATACTTACAGTGTTCAAAACATCTACTAGGGGACTAACAGAAAACCTCACAAAACACCGATATGAAGAACTAAAGAGCTCTCTCGAGGCTGTGCCCCTCTGGGCAATTCCTCTTATCATCGCACGGTTTCCCCATACACCAATGGTATTTGATAATATAAATCTCCCAGAGAAGCATGGTAGGTGTGCTCTAAGCTGGCCATATAGAGAAGAACTAGTAATTGTGGCTCTTTTAAACCCACTTGATCCATTACATTGTATTTCGAAGCCCGATCATATTGATGGAGTAAATGACGCCCATGGCTATTGCAGCATCTGTGATGACAATCAGATCCCCTTCGGTGCTATTGTGTCTGCTCTCCCATGTGGACATTACTTCCATACGAAATGCCTTCTGGATCAAAAGTATCCATCTTGTGTGTGCTGTTATGAGCGTATCGATAAGTTGAGAGAACTCTAGGAGTGAGGTAAGTCTTGAGTTGTGGTTTTTGAGCTTTTCGAATTAGTTTGTCAATCACTAAAAGTATCCAAGTTTATATTTGAAGCATGATGTACATACTTTTAAAGCCCTGACGTGTTCGTTTCATAATGAAATTTTATATTTGAATTGGAGTTTTCGTACGGACAGACCTATGTACCGTTTTTTCCATGCCACTTCTTGACATTCCCCTTCCGTATTAGTGCTCACCCCCTTGCTGCTTTTGCTCACTGAGTAGAACTAAGCACGTTCCTGAGCATTAAATAGGCTCCCTGATCTGCTCACTGAGTATTAGGTGACACTCAGGGAGAATACAGTGAGTAGTCTGATTCGCTCACTGAGTGAAATCTGAGCGCCCTGCTTAGCTCACTGGGCGAGCTAAGCTAGCACCTCAATAAAATGCAACACACTAGTCCCGTACTTTCACACATAGGTTGTTTACATTATCCCATCAATAAATGTCGGGTTTCACTGGAATGGTCGTTTATCCCAGGAGCCACAGTCCTGTTCAGGGGGTAATCTTACTACGCATTTTGTTTAATTAGTCTATCGATTCTTATCTCGGGATGTAAGCTCCTAGGAAACACTTTATTTAGCCTAGGCACTAGACAAATTTACACCACGATTTCTAATATTACTTCGCGCTAGATCAGAGGGACTATTCTCCATGATATAAGTGAGCGCGAATAACAAGTTACCTCGCCAATAAGCGCAAAAAGACCTTAATACTACTATTAGCAATTCAATGTATACTGGTGCTTAGAAATATACTATAAGACGGAAATCATTAGCTTCCACAAAGCTTATTCCTAGTAGCTAGCCCTAACCTACTACGATAGTTTCCCGGAAAACTCAATTTCTTTTGGTGAGCCAATTATCTAGGAGTCCTAGGATCCTAATTGGTTTAAAAATCCCTAATATTACTGTTGAACATTTGTCAGAGAAAGTGAGGGGGTTTAATCTAAATATAACTTACACTTAAACACCCCCGTAGTCACAAAACTGTGTTCACATTCTCTATACATCAAAAATTTGTCTAAGTAATATAGAGGAGAGGAATGATCTCTCCACTCTAAAGCAAGTTCACTCTAATATTCTTTTCCGAGATTGTATAACAACTAATCTTATGCTAAGCCTTTCGCTCACGATGACCGAACTTGTAAATCTCAATGCTTCTAGTGTATAAAACGCATAACTTGGGAAGCATAGCTTGCATGCCCCATTAGAAATTTTAACACTCTAATTTCCACAAGCTCGTCAAATTATGAGCTCAATACGGGATATATGTGGTCAAGACGAAATAATTCAATTGGCTACCTAGGCGGGCCAGGTCTGGGAAGTTTCCAGCTGGACAAATCAGCCTATGATGGACTTAATTGTGCTCGTAACACTTTCCATCGTCAGCCCTAGCAAACTATTCGCAAGCTTCTCCTCCTTGCAATAGTTGGCGTGGAGCCCAGGAGTGTTACCAAAACAAGTGACTCGGACCAATGTCAAAGCGCCGCTGAAATCGCCTGCGGAGAGCTTTGCAAAACCATCCTTGACTTGTTCCTCTGTAGTGCTATCCTTGAGGGTCCACCGGGCACCAGTCGCCTTTTCTAAAGCCGTAACAATCTCTTTCTGGTTTGTTTCCACAGAAGCAACATACAGGTATTGGTTGCTCGTCCCCTGTGGATGCTCGAGAACAGATATAACCGATTGGCCGAGCTGCTTTTCGTTGGTTAATGTGAAGTTCTTATCACCACCATCCCAGATCGTCGCCGTGAGATTTTCAATATCGAAACCTAGGAAGCCACTTCGAATACCCTAAGTAATCATAGGAGGGATTAGGGCTCACTCGTGTATATCATCATCTCATGAACCACTTACCCAGTCGAACAGACCAGACGTGGCAACTGCAGTCCAGGTGAGTCCATATGACTCCTTGCTCTTCAGATATTCGATCAACTCTTTCTTTGCACCAAAAAGAGGCAGCAGCTGGAGTACAGCATCGTTCTGGCTATTGCTTGAGAACTCTGAGGGAATAAAACGTTGCACCCCAGCCCGAATAGCTGCATCGACAAAGTCTTTTTGCTCGTGAAAAGCGGCTGCTCCCACTGTTGAAATCACCACATCTTGTCCCTGAAAAGCAGTCTCCAGACTGCTCCCCGAGAATTTGATCTTAAGAACTTTAACTCCACGGGGAAAGACTGCTTCGCTTTCCTCACGAGATATGACGGTGACGTTGAACTTCGAAGAGCCGAGAAGGGCTTCAAGAACTATTCTGCCAATAGTGCCACTTGCCTAAAAATGTCCAGTTCACATTAGCTTCTGTTAGTTCAATACTTCATGAGCACACATACCCCAACGATCGCGACATTTTTCAAAAGAACTGCCATTATAATTCGAAGACTCAACTGTCGTTACAATTGGGAGTGGTCTAAATGAAGAGATACTTTATCTATTTATATACTTGATTGCGCTTGCATTGATGTCCTCCATAAGAACTTGCGACTTGTAACTATACACTTCGCAATTACTAATAATGCGGGTTTATTGACTTTTTGTCCGCTGTGGCCAATGATACAGGTTTATTTATCTTAGATCTCCACTACTTTGTCAGCTTCTGCGCGGCTTTCCTCTGAATTACCGCTCTGACCAACTACATCCACATCTAAATGGGTACGGTGAAAACATACATGCAAAGAACTCTCTAATGGCTCCTGTCACGAAATCCTGCCTTGAATGCCGACGTCGCAAGATCAAATGTGACCGCGGTTTGCCTTGTTCGTATTGCGTCAAGGTAATGATCCGATGTACTCACCCACCGAAGAAAGCCAACAGTAAGAATCTGGCTACTCGAGTTGAAAACCTCGAGCAAACTATTTCTACTTTAAAGTATACTTTATCTCATACCAGCCATTTTGTTCAGCAACAGTCATCACTCCAAACGAGTGTATCTCAAGGAGTAGATACAGCAAAGCTGCGAGGTGTGCGTGAGCTACCAGAGGCGTCTACGCAGTTCCAGGGATGCAAACTTGCTCCAGAAGAGCGCTTCATACCAGAACTTCAGTCTCAGCATCCATCATCTGAGGACATAGTGTTCCTCTGGCAGACATTTATCGACCGAGTACATCCTATTCTGAAAATAATCCACGCACCAAGTGTTCAACGCCAAATCACCGATTTCCTGCAAGATGGAATTCAATCTGCTAGCCTACCAGTCCACTGCTTGCTGCACGCCATCTACTACGCGTCTGTGATAACACTGTCTGTTGAAGAGTGTAAGAATATCTTTTATCAATATAAGCAAGATATTTTGGAAAAGTAATTCCAGCTATTCATTTACGTGAGGTATCTTTTGCTGACAGAGAGTAAAGGTACCGAAAGACAATCCAAAAATCTCTTGCCGAAGCAGATTTCGAAACTTCAGCAGATCTGAATGTCCTTCAGGCATTTGTCCTCTATATTGTAAGCTTTCGTTGAGCTATACCTTCTCTTACTAATAGTATACAGGTGTGTGGTAGATTTGATGAGCATGGCACTGATGTTAAAAGGCTAACTAGCATTGGGATCACGATGGTTTTAAACAATGGCCTAAACAATCAGGTTTTAAGCCAGAGCACACCGTTCGAAGCCGAGATGCGGCGACGACTTTGGTGGCAGATCTTCGTCCTTGACGTTCGGATGGCAGAAGATGCTAGATCCGAACCCTGCATTCTGGAATCACAGTTCCGAAACAAATTTCCGTCAAACTTTAATGACACGATTCTCGATCCTCGTATGAGTCAAGTACCAAAAGACCATTCCGGCAAGACTGAGATGTTGTTTAGTCTCATTAGGCTCGAAATCAGCTATTTTTGCCGCCTGATCCTTTTCTCTAATCAGTTCTGCGAACGAAATTTGTACCCGATCATGTGCAGTTCAGAAAAGTGCGGTGCTATTGATCGATTCAAAGAGCGTATAGAGCTAGAGTACCTTGCGAATTGCGATACTTCTATTCCACTAGACTTTTTCACCGCAGAATCTAGCCGCTTGATCCTTGCCAACCTCAAGCTTACAGTTTGCAAACCACGAAGTAAAAATGAAGAATCTCAGCAAATGTTCACTCAAGACGGTTTCCGTGGAAATTGCGTGGATATTCTTGAGCGGGCTCGGGCGATGCGGCTCCACGAGCAGAGCGAGCAATGGCTATGGCTTTTTCAGAGATACGTTGAGTGGGGTCCCTTGGCGTATTTACTCATCAACCTTTCCCTTTCGCCGAATAGTGATGGAGTAGATGTTGCCTGGAGGGTGGCTGATGATATTTACCAATATTGGAGCGCTCATAGCGGACCTCGAGAATACCCTGGGTATACGTATCTCCAAGAGCTTTATGCGCAGGCCTCACTTACAAGGATAATAATGCCTTTGAGTACGGCCAGTATGACTGGCTCGTTGCCATATGAGCAAAATGCCCTCGAAGAGCCATTAGGTTTCATTAGTCAGACTGACGAATCCCCTGATATGCCTGTACTATGCTCTCAAACTATACAGCAAGCGGGGCTATCGGACCAAGGAAACGCTAATAATATGAGCCGACTTATGAACATATCCACGGTTAGAGAGATTTTTGAAGCCCCCAGCAGCGGTACAGCCTATCAGTGGAGCGCAGAACAACTGCTTAATCTTTTTTTTGAAGGGTTGGACTTGGAGCAGAATATGGCTACATGGCTTTAGCATTTGAATCCGAAAGTACAATTTCAAGAAAATAAGCTTGACAAGAGGCAAAGTTTCAATGTCATGAGTTCCTACTACATTTCATATGTAACGAACCAACGGCTAGATAAATGATGTCTTTAATCCAATGAGAATCTTGGAAGTGTCTAACATATGGGGGTTGCTGGAATATAGTAATATAGTATATTGCAGAGGGGGGGGGGGGGAATACTATTTAAGCTAATTAGAGAAATGTCAGATTTAGGCTGAATTAGCAGACTGCACTAATGAATAAGAATGAGCCACTCAAATATGTGTGTGTGTATATATTCAACCAGAATGGAATGTGGCCTAACACCAACTCCAATGCTGACGAATATGCACTTAACTGTAGATAGCCAACTTGGCTGTTCCATATTAGTAAGTGTTGAGACTACGGGAGAAAATTAGTGCCTCAATGAGAGTGATTCAGATTCGTTAAGAAGATCGAAGAACTAAAAGATTCACTCCAAGTCTGTCGAAAGCGGCGAGTGGTGGCAGTATGCCACCATCTCATCTCAACAGTAAGTATACACACATACAGTCATTCTTGAATACTCTGTTTCTATTTGCCCATTCCGATCCACCTTGTTCAGCAATATCTACTCCCTTTTAACAGTTTTTTACTGTTAGCTGAACTTTGCCTCACTGTCAGCTGAACTGTAGACACGGACTTATTGGAGATAGAGGATGATGTAATTGAATATGTTGATTATCCAAAGAAGGAATGAAGCTAACTACTTATATTGCTCGCGGCGTGACTTTGATAAATAAATACTGATTTCCATGCAAAGCCTAACGTACTATTCATTACATTATAAAACGGCATTATAGGGCCGAGTGCTCCTTTAGGTATAGGCTAAACGTGGACTGAGTGCTTAATAGATGCCTCTGAGTAATCAGTGAGATGAGTAGCTCAGTGAGCCTAAGCCCGACTGAAATTTACTTACTGAGCCTGACCCTGAGCGCCCTCATAAAAGCGGCGACACCCGAAATAGGAAATCCCCACCTGGCATGGAAAAAACGGTACGTAAAGCTACCTACATACTTGAATTGAACCCTAGATACATTTGATAACCACGCAAGATCCGAAGGATATGAGATATCCTTTCAATCATTAAATACCTCTTGAAGCCTTGAATACATCACTTGAACCTGAGAAATCTCTAGGGTTTTCTCTATCTAACTCTCTACTGTAATATATCTAATTCGCTTCTGATGGCTATTTCGTTCCGTCCTCAGATCAGTGTTGGCCGATTTCGGAGCATAACATAACTATTTCTACAATAGTTCGCGAATATATTTCAATAGCAATAATCCAAAGACATAGAATTAACTATTTTTAAGTACTTTACAATCCTTTCAATAATGAAAAGAGTCATAAATAATTATCTTAACTATCGCCCTTCAAAATGACTAATGGTGGATCCGCCCGATATCGCCGATTTTTATTTGATTGACTCTTCTTGTGCTTCTCTTTACTCCAGATGCTCGCTGTTAATTCATCCCCTCGTTCCACAATGTCCGCTCTCCGTGCGGTATCACGCAGTCTCCCCCGTGCATCCAAGCTAGCTTCCTCAATTCAATCACCGCTCCAGCGACGATTTGCGGCAACAGCCACCCAAGATGTAAAGGCACAGGTGCAGGTATGAGTCAAATGAAATCTCAACAATACAACCAGTACAAGAAATTGACTGTTCTCAAGAAAGAGGCAGCTCTGCCTAACCCTGATCCCACCTCCGACTCGGTCACTGCGTCATTCATTGATGAGCGCGCGCCGTTCATGGTCCCGACCTATGTGCGCCCTGCGCCTATGATGATGAAGGGCCAAGGTTGTTACTTGTGGGATATGGAGAATCGCCGATATCTGGATATGACTGCTGGTATTGCGGTAACCTCTCTCGGTCACTGCGATCCCGAGATTTCTCAAATAATTGCCGAACAGGTGCGTTTTATTCTAGTTACGAAGCTGCTGCGTTCAATTGCTCATGTCTATGAAATTACAGGCCGAGACTCTGATCCACGCTTCGAACCTTTACCATAACCCTTGGACTGGAGCTCTGAGTCGATTGCTTATTAACCGAACCCGCGATTCTGGTGCGATGCGCGATGCGTCGCAGGTCTTTATCTCCAACTCTGGTACCGAAGCCAACGAGGCTGCCATTAAGTTTGCTCGCAAGGTCGGCCGATCTATTGACCCTTCAGGAGCTAAGCACGAATTTGTCTCCTTCCACAAGTCCTTCCACGGCCGTACAATGGGTGCGCTGTCCGCTACTCCGAACCCCAAGTACCAGACTCCATTTTCGCCCATGCTCCCTGGCTTCAAATACGGTAACTTCAATGATATTGAGCAGCTGCAGACTCTTGTCACAGATAACACATGCGGTGTTATCGTTGAGCCTATTCAGGGTGAGGGTGGTATCAATGTTGCTACTCCGGAGTTCCTTGTTGCGTTGCGCAAGCGCTGCGACGAGGTCGGCGCTGTTCTCATCTTTGACGAGATCCAGAGCGGTCTTTCCCGTGTTGGTAGTCTCTGGGCCCATGCCCACCCTTCCCTGGCTCCTGCTTCTGGAGAAGCTGCCCACCCAGATATCCTGACTACTGCCAAGGCCTTGGGTAACGGTATTCCCATCGGAGCGACCATTGTCTCTGGCAAGACTGTCGCCGAGCACATTAAGACAGGAGATCACGGTACCACCTTTGGTGGAAACCCGCTCGCCTGCCGCGTCGCATATCACATTGTCGAGCGTCTCAACGACCCTGAGCTTCAGCGCGCTGTCCAGGAGAAATCTACCCTATTCATATCTGGATTCCAGGCCCTGAAGGAGAAGTACCCCGAGGTCTTCACTGAGGTCCGCGGTCTTGGTTTGATCCTGGGTCTTCAGCTGTCTCCGGCTTTCACAGCCAAGATTTCTGATGTTATCACAGCTGCTCGTGAACGCGGCATGTTGATTATCAGTGCCGGTGATGGATGTCTACGCTTCGTCCCTGCTCTTACTATCACTGCGGAGCAGATCCAGACTAGCTTGAATATTTTGGAACAGGCCGTTGAGTCGGTTGTTGCCAAGTCTTAGAGCATTGTGACCAGTTTATATAATCAATATCGTCTATAATGGCACTTGTTTATACCATTTTCTTTTTGTTAATTAGCTAGCAGTTGCCGAGTGTTGTATAGATAGAGTTGATGCAAAAAGTGTTCAAGTAATTTCCCTAATTTCCTTCACTTCGATTATAAATTTCTGTGCTATAACTTCCATTAGTTCAATGTTAAGTTGCAATAGAGGTTTACGACGTAGACTTCCTCTTGGCGCCAACGTTATCAATCTTCCCCGCGCTCCTTTAATCTAACGATCGTCTCCAACTTTCCTATTCCCCACGCTTCAATATGGTTTACGCCTTCACACTGCCAACTACATCTCCCCTCTCCTTCCAGTCGTTTCTATCGTCATTAACACATCCTTCCCTTCCACAATCCGCCTCAACAGCCCGCCATTCCCTCCGCCTCGCTTTGAAAGCACATAAGCGCCTCCCCCGCGGCTCGCGCCAGGAGGCAAATCTACCCACCGTCCTCTCTGCATTGAATGAATACATCCCCTATCTATTTGCGATATCCCATGGCCTAAGCGGCCGAGCTGTAAAAAGTGATTTCGCCGTTCGCGATGGGAGCAATGCAAGCCTCCACCCCGGCGAGGAAATCGACATTACCCTTCACACAGAGATCGAGTCATCCTGGAAACCTACAATATCAATGGGAAGTCTATTTAGTAAAAGCCCATCGACTAGTAATTCAGGAACGAAAACCTCCCGGTCGCGTGGTGGCCGAGTCTCAGGTCGCGGCATTGATTTCGAAATCGCTTTCACACTTACAACGCTCGGATATGTCCTGAGTCGGCTTGCGCGAATTGGCGCTATGGAGTCGCTCTATGCTTACACGATGCCGACGGCAGAACAGCGTGTCGCATCCCTGCAGGCGGCGACACGACACTTGCTACAGGCTAGCTCGGTGCATAGTCTGCTTGCTTCGTCGCCTAGCTTGACGGCCGCCACTGGCTCCAGAGTACCGGATATCAATGCCACTACCCAGTCTGCATTGTCGTCACTTGCACTAGCCGAGGCTACGCTAATTGCCGTTCTTAAAGATGATTCTTACGTCACAGCATGTATCCAGGCACGTAACCCGAATGATAAGGAATGGATGGTTCGCGCGCCGGAAATTCCCAAAGTGCGTGCTCTTCTTTTTGCCAGATTGTGCGTCCGTGCTGCAGAGTATGCAGAACAGGCTGCTGCTGGGCTTGGAAGCGTTGGGTCCGGAACTGGATCTGGCCGGAATGGCGGCGTAGATGAGGAGGTCACTCGCTACGCTGCTGTTTTGGGTCGTGTGGCCCGAGCCCGTGCGTGCCGGTTCTTTGGCATTGATGCTGAGATAGCGGGTAAAGCTGGCGAGGCCATCGCGTGGCTGCAAGCTGCGCGGACATCTCTTGGTCTGCGTGGTAGCGCTGGCTTGTCATCTAACGGCTCTGATGAAAGTAGCGGGACGTCGAAGAGTGGCTTTTCGCGCTTGAAACGAGAGTGGTCGGATAGACGCGAGGAGCGGAAGATTGGCAAATATGCCGGTGGGGGTCGCGATAATGGGAGTGCGTTAGAAGCAGGAGATGATGTGGGTCGTGACGAAGAGGGTCGGGTGCTAGAGATGCTGGAGACGAAATGGGTGCGAATAAATGATACAGTGAGTTCAAGTTTTCTTATATCGGGGTTCTCCACTAATTGAATCTAGATTAACACCCAAATTATTCCCCCATCTGCCCCGTTGCTCTCTAATCTGCCCTCTGGTCGGGATATTCATACTCCCCCTGCACCATACACACCCCCTTCATTAGACGAGGAGCAATTAGTACGCATGCGTGCGCCACCTGATGAACGAGATGATCTGCAGTTTGTAAATGATCCTGATGATAGTGATGAGGAAGAAGAGTCTCTCCAAGCACCGCCGGGAACATTCCCATCCCGGGCACAGACTGCTTCTAACGTCTACTACTAATCAAATAACCATCGGGAGTAGTCAGTGTGAACATATGAATCTTACTGAAGACATTATAATAACAAATTATGTATATTCAACCAGTCTATATGGCTTTCGCCTTTTCATTCCTTGCCAGCCCTGAAGCGTTTCAGCCAACCAGGAACCTTCGACCCAAGTCCCTGAAGCCCACGCTGCTTCGTCTCGCGAGGCGTCGTACTATCGACAGCACCATCTTCGGTACCACGCTGGCGATCATCCAGCAAGCGGAGAAGAGTCTCCATCAAGGCTGCAGCAAGCATACTAGCAATTAGTATGCCAATCATGACCAAGTTACTCTTGTGGTACTTTTTCCGTCCAGGGGCATTATAGTCACTCGCCCAGCCTGAATAAAGCGCATATGTTGTCAGAATACTGCCAAGGTTGCCCCATCCTGAGACTACAGCGGCTGCAGCTGCCACACCGACTTCTCCGTGGCGCGGTTGGAAGACCTCCGTCGTCCATGCCATGACGATAGGAACAGTAGGACCAAGACCGAATCCGACGATCAAGAGACCGCCATATCGTGGCCACGGGTTAGAATCCGTACCCGCGTAACTGGTTAAGAGCAGGCCCAGGATCTGTAGCAAGACAGGGATAGAGAAGAAAATGGCTCTGTGGTGGTGGAAGCGATCTGAAAAGGGTACGACAATGACAATAGCGATGAGATCCATCTGTAGACAGATTAGAATATATCCCATTCAAGGAGGAAGCGATGATACTTACTATCCAAATCGGAGCAGTCAACAAGCTCACGTCGACACCACTCAAAGACGGATTAATAGCTTCAATGATCAAGTTCGCGTACAACTGCACACCGATACCAACACCGACAACACCGAAATACATAATCAGCAACGGCCACAGCCTCCAATCCAAGAACACATGAACCAAGTCTCGAAGAGACCACGGCGGACTGTGATACACGCGCTTCATATCCTGATAATGAACAAGCGCATCGCGACCTTTCAAAGCAGGCTTAGTATTCGGAACCCAGCGCATGAACCACCGACGCGTAGGAACCGGCTCGCCTGGTGGAGTGGGACGGTCAGGCAACCACCACAGCAAGACAATACCAATAGCAATGGTGATTACGCCGTAGACCAGGAACATCCACTGGAAGCCCACGTAGCCACGCTCGCCGTCCATTTCCTGGAACCCGGCCGAGACAAGGCCTACGACGGCGGCGGAGACTTGCGCGGCTGTAAAGTACTGGCCGACACGTTTGCCAATTCGAGATGGCGGGTAGAAGAGGGTTAGGTAGTAGGTCATACCGGGCCACAGTCCGGCCTCGACAATACCAAGCAAAAGACGGAGGAGACTACGAGAGATTAGTATAGACTTTCTGCAGGAGCTTGAATCTGACGTACTAGAAACTCCAGGCTGCCTTCATGGCTGTCATGCAGGTACCGATGAGCCCGACACTAATCACAATACGACTCATCCACACATGTGGACTCAAACGGGTCATTACCAGGTTTGAGGGTAGATCGAATACCACATAGCAAACGTAGAATAGAGCCAGAGCAGTAGAGATCTGGTGTGGAGTCATATGCAACACTTTGCCCAGATTGTGGTCTTCTTTTGTATTCATTGTCTGTGCTAGGCCTACATTCGACCGAATCGCAGAGCACATGAAGTATAGAACCCAGAATGCGGGGATGATGCGCCAATCCAGTTTACTAAACCTCATTAGTGGTGAAGGAGACATCTTCTTGGTAGAGCGATTTACCTATATACTCGTTCAATGTCGGCTGCGCTGAACTCGCCAGATTCTAGGTCATTGGCAGATACTGGCGACACGGCTGGCTGCTCGGAGGCATCACTGGATGTGGGCTCCTTGCCCGCACTGACGGCGGACTGAGAGGTATCGATTGCCATATTGGGTTCAAAATTCAAGAATTATTTTGGGAAGCCTTTATTCTGCGGCACAGATCACTGAGATAAGATCGAATAGATTATCCCTTGCATTCACAATATAGATGCACTCGTTTCTGGCTGTTGTTAGAGATGGCAAGCCTTGTATTGATATTTTGGAGTAAGACATACTATTATCATAAGCGGGGAGAAAAAGAAAAAACGACACTCAGGATCAAGAGGTTCACAGCACAGACCTGAAAACGGCTTGATAGCTGTGGTCCTATCGACTAGTGGATTTCTTATTTCCCGTAAGAAAAGAAGATTGTTGAACTGTTGAGGCTTGGGCGTGGGGAAAGAGTTGAATAAAACCCCTCAAGTGCTCCGAGACTCGGCGACCCCAGATCCTTTTCACCGAAATTATAGATTCAGACTTGGAAAGCTCTCAATTCAAAGTTGACTCATAGCTTCAACATTGACCGAAAACCCCAACGGTCAATCTTGATTAAATTTGAAATTTTCCAAGATAACCTTAAAAGTATGAATGCCCCAGGCATTAATGCTTATATCCACGCACACTTCTCTCTCACAATATCTCTATCAATATTGAAGTGGGAACAGCATCATCTGCAGCATTTTACCAGTATTTTCTATCTTGAGTTCTAGCAAGATTGTAAGTTTTTTTTGTGTCAGGCAGACATAGATGCGGTAATGCTCTAGTTATACGCTTCTCTCTTCTCATTTAAATATCTTGGAACCGTCGCCATGTCACACCTGCGTAGTTCTCTAGAAGCAATCGATTAATAACGTTCGCAAAGTCAAGTGAGAACCAAGTACCTGTATATATCATGGCCTACATGATTTATGGCTTCTACACTCATTTTGATACTTTCAAGGTTGCCCAGGTGGTGTATTCCACACTTTGTTTGATGCCTCCATAGCTTTGGAAATCTAACAGAAAACTCCAAAGTCGAATTGAAATATCGTTTGAAGTCTTGAAATTTAAGATCTATAAAATATCCTAGCTCTAATGGTAGTTTTTCTGTATACCTCCAGCTGCTTTAATATGTAGATATGTAGGTCCTCATATGTATACTTAGGTAGCCTTGAAATGACCTTCACAGCACGGTTTTTGCCTCTTGCTTAGTCTCATGAGCTACAACCGCTTCTGTCATCTCCTTCTGTGGCGCCTCAAGTCCAGTCCAGAGGTGGAATTGATCAAATGCCTGAGCAAGCAGAACTTCGAGACCAGTGACAGTGTGCCAGCCCTCATTCTTGCGAGCCATATTGAGCAAAGGTGTCTGACGAGGCTTGTAGGCCATTTCAATGCAAAGACCCCCGGTGGAGCTAAAAATCGAAGAGAACTGTTCCTCTACCGTCACATTTGCGGGGACGGTGCCAATGATGATATCAGGGAGGTTCGGTAGCTTCTCGAGACTCTCAAGAGGAAGTACCTCGACTTCGAACAAAGACCTGAAGCCCACTTTCACCTGCTCGGCGTTAGCCAATGTTCGGTTGGCAAGGTAGATCTTCTCCACCCCCTGTTTGTGAAGAGCATAGACTGCCGCTCGTGATGCACCTCCAGCACCAATCACGAGTCCTGTTTTGGGCTGGTGCTGCGTCTTGTCAACGTAGCTTTTGATAAGGCTTTGCAGTCCCGAGCAGTCTGTGTTTTCGCCAACAAGAATGCGATCTTTGCCACTTCCCTTAACAATGACTGTATTGATGGCTCCAATTAGTTTGGCTGACTCGGTTTGGTCCTGGAGAAACTTGTGAATCTCTAGCTTGTGAGGCATAGTCACGCTAGCGCCGCCGAAGTTTTCGGCTTTGATTAAATGCTCAACGCCATCAATGACTGATGACTCGCGGATATCGTATGTATAAGGGAGATGGAAGTGTTTGAATGCAGCATTGTGGATAATGGGTGAGATGCTGAAAGAGATACCCCAGCCGAAGATATGGAACTCCTTCTGCGTGGACGCGCTGGGCGAGGAGTCGGATTGAGCCATGGAGGGAATGAATTTGGATAATGTGACGTTATTAGATCTATTTCGACCTCTGTATGTTTGAATTAAACAGTGAAATGATAAATGACTAGCTGTGGAGTGAATATTCCAAGGTTGGAAGATGGTATCTAAATAGTCGAGAGGCTCCGGCTATGGACTTAGCCTGCGTCATCAAGGAAACAACTGTTGGATCAACTTCGACGGTCAGTGTATCATGTAAACATTAAATTTGACTTGGTAATCAACAAAACTGAGTTAAATTGCTTGCAAAAGACTCCTTGGAATGATATGAGATCATTTATCGATCATTTGCGTGCTGCCGTACTCTGAAGTAATGAAAATCGAAGCCTGTTAAATAAGGTGTCAATATATTGATGCTTGAAAATAGGGTAACTACAAGCCATCCCACAAATACGTGAAGATTCAGTAATTCGAAACCCGCTAGCAAGTGGACGAGGTTCGACAGGTATTAAAAATATCCAGCACATAGCTTCAATTTCTGTGCTGGTGAACAATTAATTGGCAACACTTTTTGCCAACCAACTTCTTTGACTTGAATGACCTTCAAATACTCTCGGAGCAGGTCAGCCAAGATAAGCTAGTTAAGAAGAAGAGATTTTCTGATTCCAATAAGCAAATGACCGAACCTTAGAAATAACATATCTTACTACCTATATAGCTTCTTCCTCATCCTAATGCTGTTAATGTTTTCATGAATTCTAAAACTACGTCGTTTTAATTCAATGTTCAGTAAACATTGGGTTTCATCAACAAGTTATTATTTTAGTGTCATATACCCAGACTTCGGGGTCAACAATCATATTATGATGATGCCCGAGGAGATTGATCCTATCAAAGGCTGATTTTTGGTACATTAAGGCGGGCAAAGTCCAAAAGGTATTATCAATCTACGAACATTTGAGATTCTTCAAAATATTGAGCCAAAACAGTGTGATACTTCAAGGTTCTCCTGCCTATTAAAAATTCTCCAGCCGAACTGAATGTTGAAAAGATCATGAAGCATATGAAGTAGCCTGAAGATTTGAAGCAGCCACAATACAAAGAGTTCATTTGTTGAATGTCGAGAATTTTGCGAGATCTTCACATTTACTATCAGTGCCAGTAAGTGGCCCTATTTACTAACTCACTTAAACCTCATTTTTACAATGAAAATCAGACAAAAATCATTGAGCACATCTTGTTTATCACACAGTCCACCTGAATACTAATAATGTCAAAGTGAGATGAATTCCAAATGTTCTGCTACCTAGGTAGGTCTATCCATGGACCTGTTAAAATTTGAAAGTACTACTATACATGATTCATCTGCGACAAGGTCGATCAGTATAGACTGGGACATATGAACCTTCTCTCCTTATTTTTTTTATAAATAGTATATGATTAATAGAATAGACCTGAAGATTCCAAGGTTGAATGAGTTTAGATTTAAAATGACCTGAGCATGGTTTACCAATCGATTCAAAGGCTTCATGATGGAGCCTAAGTAGAGATAGCCTGTTTTCAATATGTGCGTTTTCATACGTTGAACAGGCTTCAACGATGCAGTATCGTGTTGAAGTCGGTGTAATCACTGTGTACGCTCGCCCATGTATTTGTAGTGAAATCAAGTGCTTTCCCACTTACTTGACTGTCATCTCATTTTCTTCTCCCTTTTTATTTCTTCTTTCTTTCCCCCTCTCTCTCTCTCTTCGAATCATCAGAATTTTGATCTTAAACCTCTATCAAATATCTTCCATATTTGATCATCATCAAACTTCTTCCCTTTATACCCTCTTCGACAATCTCCTCAGTGACAATCCCCTCACCTATTATTCTTCAAAATCCACCCTTTACTCGCTTCCTCTCACGCTCGTGAGGTGGTGCTGGTTACAAGTGATCAAATCTTTCACGGTAGAATCGACGATTGCGTCGCTCCCCAAAATGGATTCGCCTAAAAAACCGGATAGTCCGCCTGTCAACATAATGCAGCGACTTGCAGGTTTGGCTAATCATTTTTTAACTATTCCCCCTCTGGGGTTCACTTAATAACCGATTTAATAGCAATTCGTGCGGCTAACGAGCTCAAGCTAGCCGACAACGCTGCCTTGCCCGCCAAGACTGGTCCTCCTGCGAAGACTTTCACGCACAGAACAGCCTCCCTGTCTACAAAGCCTTTCTCAACTGGAATGACCAGTGCTCCTGCGCAGTGCACACCTGGAAAGACTACCCCATCTGCAAAGCTTTCAATGGCTGGAAAAAATGTCCCGTGTGGAGGACCTGGAGGGCGAGGACGACGAGAAAAGGTTCCACCTGGCAACGCAGATAGCACTCCAACGCAAAATTCTCGAGCAGCTGAAGCGTCGCTCCGAGAATCGCCACGGACTCCAGTTACAGTGGCAGCCAGCGTAAGAGGCGGCTTGGATACTGAGCTTGATCCTACAGTAAAGGCTGAGGATGCACAGGATAGTCTGCATGAAGTAGCTGTTTTCCCGGGAAAGCTTCACTCTAGAGGAGTGATTAAATCGCATGGAAACACTCCTATACGTGGAAAGCTATCCTCTGCACCTAATGACGGAAAGCCTGCAAAATTGGACAACTTACATATGAGCGAACGAGGCCGTATCGTTGGGACTGGGGTGTCTCTCAGAAATCCACCAATTGTCATGATTGACCATAGTGGACGGACTGTTCCTGATCAAGCCCGACCCCGTCTATCTCAATCATCGCTGAATGACACTCCATCGCCTCTAGCTAAAGTTAAGATGCTGCCCCAGGAAACTTCATTGGCTACTTCGGTGGCTGGGGCCATCGCACGTATCAATGTGCTATCAGGGCATTCCACTCAGCACGGCTCAACTCCATCCGGAAACACTCTTGCTCGTGACTTGAATTCAGCAACTATTGCTGTTGATTCGAATGGACCATCTACTCCCGGTGCACCTGCTGATAGGGGCAACACCCCTGATCCTGAGAGCCCTCCTAAGTATCTAACATCAAGTGAAGCGATTGCAGGCTCGGCCTCATGTGTAGGAGGAAATGAATCGACAAAGGCGGGGAAGGCGAGTACGGCGGCAACTCAAGCAAAGGTCAAGGTTGGAACCAGAAAGACTCTCTATCATGCCACTGAGACTCTGCCTATTACTGATGCCGGGCATACATTTATCATCAATTTTCAGAAAATGATCGACAATCATAACACATCTATGGACATGTTCCAAGAACAAGCCGGCACTTTGCATCGCAACGTTCATTCGCAGATGGAATGGATTGTAGATCCAAAGTACAAGATTACCAACGCAGCTGAGAATCTGGCAAGCATCGAAACTATTATCGTGACTGTCACATCTATGATTCAACTCATCATGGCCGCGCAGGAGGGAATCCATCGTTTCATGATCGATCTGTCTGAATTTTTGGGAGACTCTCGTCCCCCTCCTAACTTTGAGCAAGTAGTGAAAAACTTCAACCATAGCTGCATGAAAGATGCCATGGTTTTGCAGACTTTGCGCATCCTTCAGACAAGTCTCCTCAATGCTCGCGGTCGTCTATCTGGTTATCTCGAGGGTGGCAAGAAGACCACCGTCGGTTAGTGCGCTTGATCAACTGGCTTATGATTTATTAGTTTCCGAATGTGCTGGTCCTCAAAAGTGTTTTTGTTGCTTTTCACTTGACGTTTATTATTATTGCTCTTAATGCCCCCCCGTTTCTTGGCCTTGGTGCCACAAAAATGGTTCATGCTTACGAATTCGTCTATTATAATCTTTTATTTGTTTTGGTGCTATTGGTCCTGCATTTGAGCGTGCGAGCAAGCGTTGTTTTAGAAAAACACAAAAAAAAAATGATTTTATCGCTGCGTTAAACAAGATCCTGGTTGAAGTTGGTTTACAGTTAGTAGTTTCCGACGTCGTCGGCTAAGTTGTATCCGACAGACTATTCCGTGGAATCGACCGGCCATGAATACATCCGACTATCAATAATTCAATCGGCTAGTTATATCAAGAGCATCTCACAGAATCTAGGAAGTGGGGAGAATTTAGTTTTTACAACAATCACTACCTCACCATGACTGAACAACAAGAAGGAAACACCCTCCATCTACTGGGAATTGGAGTCACCCACTCAATTGCTCCTCAAATGCACAATCACATTGCCAAGTCTCTCGGTCTATCATGGACCTTCTACTCAACTGAATGCGCAAGCACTGAAGACTTACTCGCTATAGGCAAGAGGTCCACCACTGCCGGACTGGTAATCACAATGCCATACAAAAATACAGTCATGCCGCTTCTGGATAGACTAGACGAGCTTGCGACTATCATCGGTGCTTGTAATAACGTCTACTACCGAGATGGAAACCCACGACGCCTCATCGGTACGAATACTGACTGGATAGGTGTTAAGGGCTGTCTTTTGGAAAAGGGCGATGAGAGTGAAAGACCTTCAGCTACATCGCTATCCAGCGCCTTGGTTATCGGTGCTGGCGGTGCCAGTCGCGCTGCAGTTTACGCACTTACGGTTCATCTGCACTGTCCTACTATCTACGTCCTTAACCGGGATGATGCCGAAGTTGTGGCTCTCATTCACGACTCGCAGCGATTGCCTAGTGTTCCCAAGATCATTCATGTCAAGTGTCTTGAGCAGGCGAAGGAACTGTCTACTCCTTACTATATTGTTGGCACGGTGCCTGATTTCGAGCCATCCACGGAATCAGAGAAGATCGTTCGCTCTGTATTGGAGCTTTTCCTTTCTCGACCGGAGAAGGGTGTCTTGCATGACATGTGCTTCAAGCCAAGGCGGACAAGAACTATTAAGTTGGCTGAGCAGCTTGGTTGGCCGACTGTGGAGGGAACGCATGTTATTGGCTACCAGATTGAGAAGCAATGGCGTCTTTGGGCTGGAGAGGAAGCTGTTAAGAAGTTGGATAAGGAAGGTGCTTGGAATGTTTTGTTGCAAGCTGCAGAAGAAAGCACAGCAATCAACTTCTAGATCACGGAGTCTGCCAATGAGAATCGACACAACTACGTAGGCCCACTGCCGTTCTGTATCCCTCGGGGCCTAATATCTAAATATCTAAATTAATACTACCATGTCTGAATTAATCGCAGCTTATCTGTCGTAGAGGGGGTTCCAGGTAGCAATCAAGTAGTTGTAAAATTAATTCAACAGTCTTCAAAGGCATCCACTTCACCTAAGACGTTGTAAAAAGTAAGATTTCGGTCGTGGGGCTCCGTAAGCGGGGACGCCGATTAAGGCATCTAGATCCAGCAGCGAAGCGAGGAAAGCCGGCTTCCGAAGATGAGGCTTAAAGGCTTAAATCTCTCGAACTCGATTCCCTTGTGGCTTGAATTAATCCGATCAAGTTGGAGAAAAAGTGAATCGATGGAATTTTTGTCCAATGAAAGAAACACGTGTTTGAGCTGGATAGCTGTAGCCACGCTAGCCTAATTCAGTCATTCTTGGCAATTCCCTCTAATCCGTCATCAGGCTCAGACTCGACGATTCACTTTCTACCTGTGCCACTGCTGATTTCAACATTGATTTCCTGAGACACCCTTGGCCAATCCTACATAATGTCCACTCAACCCCTTCTTCAGACCGCTCCAGGTGCGTACAGTCTCCCATCTCAATGCCGGGTCAAAAGCGCATTGGGCGCACAAGGATTCATCCAATTTTCAAGACTAACTCTCCTTGTTTGCAGGCAAACGGATTGCACTGCCCACGCGTGTCGAGCCAAAAGTATTCTTCGCAAATGAGCGTACATTCCTATCCTGGTTGAACTTCACTGTCATCCTAGGCGGCTTGGCTGTCGGCCTACTCAATTTCGGCGATCGCATCGGCCGTATCTCTGCCGCTCTGTTTACCATAATCGCCATGGCAGCTATGATATACGCTGTTGTGACATTCCATTGGCGCGCACAAAGCATCCGGCGGCGTGGACAGAGTGGTTTCGACGATCGGTTCGGTCCTACTGTTCTTGCCGTTGCTCTTCTCGCTGCTGTGATTGTCAACTTTATTCTCCGTATTAGTGATAACGGAGAAAAATGAGGTGGTTTGATAATCCCTCGTTGAACGTTTATTTTTGGGCTTGGTCTGGTCTATTTGGAACTTGGTGTACCGTTTCACTTGTTACGTTTTATTTCCATGGCGCCTTCGGCTTGTTCTTTTTTGCTCGTTTTCCCCCATGCTTCAAGGCATCTCTGTATCTATGCACTTCATTTGTCACTACGTTCAGTCCCTTCTATCATAAATGAAGCGTTTTTGACAATGAAATTGAAATATTTTGCATACACCGGGATAGTTGATACATCTAATACTCTATTCCTGAATCCTAGCTTAAAGCAGCGGAAACGCCATCCCATCGCCTCTCGGGTCACTGCCAGCACTATACACGAGCTGTCCCTCGTCATAATGCAGGCGAATGATCTGACCACGACCAAAAAAATGTCGTTCCCAATCGGTCAACACTTTGATCTTATGACCAAGGCGCTGGAGACCTTCAATGGCCTCTGCACTGATACCTTCTTCAACACATATTATACGGCCGCCACCCTCGGCGACCGGGGCCTCGATGCAGATACGCGGTGAATCAAGTGCAGCCTGGGGATGGTATCCGAAAGCAAGCATGTTAAGCAGCACCTGTACGTGACCTTGTGGCTGCATAAAGCCGCCCATGACACCATACACAGAGTGCAGAGACCCATCTGCCACGTTGGTGACAATCGCAGGGATAATAGTGTGGTATGGGCGCTTTCCTGGAGCAAGAGCATTCGGGTGTCCGGACTGAAGGGAGAAGTTCGCTCCCCGACTCTGCAAGGTAAACCCACAGCCGGCGGGAATGATGGCTGACCCGAAGCCGGCGTAGTTGCTGTTAATGAAGGACATCCCATTACCCTCTGGATCCGTCACAGCAAAGAACACAGTATCGCTATGGTTGTGGGCCGGGCTGCCGTGATCGATAATATCGGCTACTCCATCAGGTGAGAATAACTTGGCTCGCTCGGCTAGGTATTCTCGTGCGAGTAAGCCCTGGGATGGGACGTGTTCAACATCGGGATCTGTCACCCACCATCCAGCATCGGCGAAGGCAATCCGTAGACTTTCGATGACGGCATGCAGATAAGCTGCTGAATTGTGTTGAGATTCACTGAATTTAGGGATCTTCCCAGCTCTCTCTAGCTCCTCCATGATTCCGAGTGCTATAAGTGCTACAATTCCCTGCCCGTTTGGCGGGTGTTCCCAAATCCGAACACCCTGATTGGGCTCGCCATCCGTTCCTGGACTTTGCTTTGATATAATGTCCTGGCCAGTGAAAATGAGGGAGATAGCTTCTGTCTCTTGCGTGCCCACTTCGACATGGTGGGATAGATCCTCGAGAGACATATAGCCACCTAGATCCTGTACTACCTTCGCGATCTCCTGCGCAATCCGACCCTGGTAGAAGCCCTTCTTACCTTCCACCGCAAGTGTACGGAAAGTCCTGGCCAAAGTAGGATTTTTCATAATCTCACCCGGTCGTGGAGCTCGAACTCCGTCTTTCGCCGTGAGGTCGGTCTTAAGCATCTCACGGAAGCTCGGTGATGCCGAGCGAATATCCTCCTCGGCCTCTTGCCACTATACTCTGAATCAGGAACCGCCAGTAAGGTACTAAAGAGAGAGAGAGAGAGAGAGAGAGAGAGAGAGAGAGAGAGAGAGAGAAAAAGAATACTCACATCATGAGACGAATGCTCTGAAACAATGAAGCCTTCCTCTGCCATCTCAATAGCAGGTTGAAGGATCTGCTCCATAGACAGCTTCCCACTTCCAAACTTTTCAATCGTATCTACCCACCCAGCAGCAGCCCCGGGCACTGTTGGCGACAGAGCACTTAGCATTGGAATGCTACCCAGCGCACCAGGTGCGAGGTTCAGATCCCTGCGCACCTTTTCCAACGTCGCAGATCCAGGATAGCGTCCGGATCCATTGAGCGAATGTACCTTTTTCGTTTTGGACTCGTAGAATAGACAGAACATGTCGCCACCAATGCCAGTTGAGCCCGGCTCGGTCAGGTTAAGCGCCGCAGCTAGACATAGGGAGATTGATACAGTTAGTCTACGATGTTCCTAAATTATAGGATTGCAATACACCTAGGTATAAGCTTACCGACAGCAACGGCCGCATCCTAGAATTTTATTAGCTTACCCCCCAGGTACAATCGAGCCGTGAAACCAGAATTAAACTTACAGCCGCATTTCCTCCCTGACTGAGAATCCTATGACCTGCCGCTGCAGCTAGTGGCTGGGTACACGAGACGATTCCCTTTCGACTATGCACTGTACTCCGGCGACTGGGGAATGCGAAGAAGTCCGCATCGGACTTTGAATAGATAGCTTTCGCATTGAGTGGCATTTTGGCTTATTCTTCTTATTTTGGGATATAAAACGGGAATATATTGCGTCTATAAAGGCATTTTCCAGGTATACAGTAATTAAGTGGTGTTATTTGTGATCTTCAATGCGACATCAGAAGAGGGGTGAAATACCCCGCAATTGTAAATATCGAATCAGATGGGCTTGTAGCTTCCTAACTACGGTTCGTCAATCAGTGAGTGGCTTGGAAGTTTGTCTAGTGATGTAAGATTTTACTAGCAGTTCCGGAGTTTGAACTCATCCTCCCCGGCATTTAACCGTGAACACTGTATCCTTCTCCACAGCCTTGAATGTTACTTACATTTGGCTGGTAGGTATGGGATTTGAGTCGCATGACTCACTTCAATGAACCTGAATGATGTGATTGCGTTGTCCGCAATGGCCAACAGGAACCAGAGCAGGGAGACCAGAGCTGTGGACACGAAAGATGGCACATTGCCTACCAGAGTAGGACGCTGAGGAATCGAGAACAGTTAGATCGAAATTGAACCTTGACTTCCAAATGGGATCTGAGTGAAGGTAATTCAACTTCACCTGCCGGGCTTTTTTCAAAGTCTGCAGAAGGGATGTGTGTTGCCTTCCTGAGGGAAGCACTTCTCCAGTAAATATAAGCCACCTGGGAATCACCCCAGAGATTGATCTTGAGTATGTATTGCTTCATATTTATCAACCTTGAGCTGGAAATTAGCACCACGAGTACCTTGAAGCCTTTCAAGGTTGGAATGCCCAGGGCTGCATTTTGGTGTGACTGCAAGTCTATTCGGGCTCGTATCATCAATCATGATTGATGAATAGCTTGCAGGGCTTTCAAGGTTCGGAATTGAGTATCGATATCTGACTGTCCAGGTGCCCAGCTCTCGAGGCATGGCGTTGTGACATATAGGCGATTGAATTCCAAGGTTACAATGTGGGTAGACCCAAGATTTCCAACCTCGGAGGTTTTTCCCCTATCACAAGAATAAATAGCTGTATGGAGGCTTCTTCTGACTTCAAATCCATTTCAAAGGTATCCGGCGCAATATTCTTCCGAACTTCCAGTACGGAGTAAAGTAACCAAGTTTCAATCTATTTTTAACAATATTAGTCAATTTGATAATGACTTACCAAATATCCACAGTGTCACGGAACGGGAGGAGGCACAGGGAATGGACACGAGAGTAGAGTCCATCAATTTGTCTGCACCTGCCCGAAAAGTGGTCAGTTTGTGTGATGGCCATTTTCTGGCGTCATGCATTTTGGTCTCATTAATCGTCAGGGTCTTGTCTCCAGACTTCATTTAATCCAGCCATTCGAGTTGATCTGACATTAGATCTTAACGGCTGACTGTGTCAACAGTGGGTCTTTGGCCCCTGCCGATCTTACTCTTCATTGCGCCACCCAGTATCCCAGCATTGTCTCGAGGCAAGCGAGGGGCGTATCCATACCAATCACATCACTGGCTATTTGCAGTCCTGATTAATATGGCACGACGGGGCAGCATGCAGAATCTTCAGCCAATCTATCTGATCTAGGACCACAAGGGGGGAAGGTGAAGTCAGGTCCTCTCGGATGTGCCTCTCAGGGTCCACTATTATTAGTGCGACGAAGCAAGGTCAAGAAGAGGACTGATCGTCCTTGGGCAACTTGGGCAACGAGACTACCTAGTCACAGTGAAACAAGGATCAGGACCAAGATGTTTTCTGCTCTACACATTCCTCACCGTCCATTCCCCCGCCAATGCAACCAAAATAAATAAAACAATTAATACTGGTTAAACCCCCTCATTTGTTGCTCTTCCCGGGTCCCTTATTCCTTTTACTTTTCACGTACGCTTCCCGAGTCGCTCGTGGATCTGTAAGGAGCCTCTGTTCGCTCCTGGTAAAGCCCGATGCTCGCGTCTCTACTCAACCGCGGCGCGCTGTCGCTGGCGGCTCTGACGCTTTTGTCATCTCTTGCTTCGGCAGAAGTATTTGAGCGGCTTCGTGCTGTGCCACAGGGTATGCCTGCCTATCTGATCAAATGAAAGATAAGAACCGACCGACTGATATTGGCCTATAGAATGGCATTACTCTCACACTCCGCGTGCAAACCAGCCCATTCGATTGCAGGTTGCGTTGCAGCAAGGGGATGTCGCTGGATTTGAACAAGCCCTGATGGAAATGTCGACTCCTGGTCATGAAAACTACGGCAAACACTTCCGAACCCACGACGAGATGAAACGTATGCTGCAGCCAAGTACGGAATCGGTGGATGCAGTCCTAGACTGGCTGCATTATTATGGCATTACAGACATCAAGCAGAATGCAGACTGGGTGACTTTTAGAACTACAGTGGAGAATGCTAATGATATGTTGTCGGCCAACTTCCAATACTATATCAACAACGTAAAGCACGTCGAGCGTCTCCGCACCCTGGAATACTCCATTCCAGACTCATTGGTACCGCACATTAATCTGGTTACTCCGACTACTCGCTTCGGTCAGCTTAAGCCCAATCGTGCAACGCTTCACAGCAAGACAAAGGCTGTTGACGAAGTCTTCCGTAAGGCCGTCAACAGTGCTAGTGCCGATTGCAACAAGGCAATTACACCTCAGTGTCTCAAGGAACTTTACTCCATCGGTGACTACAACGCTAGCTCCAGCATTGGCAACAAGGTTGCTTTCTCCAGCTACTTAGAGCAGTATGCTCGATATGCAGATCTCGCTCTATTCGAACAGGATATTGCTCCTTATGCAACGGGCCAAAACTTCACAGTCATTGAATACCATGGCGGTCTGAACACTCAAAACTCCAAATCTGACAGTAGCGAGGCCAATCTAGACCTTCAGTACATCGTGGGCGTGAGCCACCCAGTTCCAGTCACTGAGTTCAGCACCGGTGGCCGCGGCGAGCTAGTCCCTGATTTGGACCAGCCTGACGCCAACAATAACAACAATGAACCTTACCTGGACTTCCTGCAGAACATTGTCACAATGGAGGATGATGACCTACCCCAGGTGCTCTCTACCTCTTATGGTGAGGACGAACAGGTAAAAAAATCTTCTGATAATATATTCCACATATGCGTATTAACAATCCTCTGTAGAGTGTTCCGGAAAAGTACGCTCGCAGTGTTTGCAATCTATATGCCCAGCTTGGCAGCCGCGGTGTTTCTGTCATCTTCTCTTCGGGCGACTCAGGTGTCGGCGCAGCCTGCATGACGAACGACGGAAAAAACACAACCCATTTTCCGCCACAGTTCCCCGCTGCCTGTCCCTGGGTGACCTCAGTCGGAGCAACCACCAAGACTTCCCCAGAGCAAGCAGTCTACTTCTCGTCCGGCGGCTTCTCAGATTTGTGGGCCCGTCCAAGTTATCAAGATTCAGCAGTTAGCGATTACCTCGAAAAACTAGGCGATAAGTGGTCTGGCTACTTCAATGCAAGCGGCCGCGCCTTCCCAGATGTTGCCGCACAGGGCGAAAACTATGCCATCTACGAGAAGGGCGTGCTTTCATCAGTAGACGGTACATCGTGCGCCTCTCCCGCTTTCGCAGGTGTTATCGCTCTATTGAACGATGCTCGTCTCAAGGCTAACAAGGCGCCATTGGGTTTCCTGAACCCTTGGCTCTACTCATCTGGTCGCTCTGCTCTTAATGATATCACTGTAGGTGGCAGCACTGGTTGCGACGGAAATAGCCGATTCAGCGGTCCTACAAACGGTGGCCCTGTTGTGCCGTACGCTAGCTGGAACGCTACTGAGGGCTGGGACCCTGTTACTGGTCTTGGTACTCCGGATTTTGCGAAGCTGTTAGTTTCCGCAAATGCGAAGGAATGAGAATGAATTTCTTTCCGAATGGATTGAATATAGATATTTTCAATAACTGTCTTCACATACGGATACATCATCCCAAATTTAATATGCTTTCTCGGAATTTTCTTTCATGTACAAATTGTGATTGAAAATGTGATTTATTTTCACTGGCAAGTTGTCAATTTAGACTTGGCTTATTGTTTGTTGACTGGGCCTTGCTGGTATTTTCTTTTCCGGTATCGCAGGGACTCGTTAGGTAAGTAGTAATACCTACCACACAATACTACCGATTTAGTCAAAGCTAGAACCCGTTATCATGTTGACATAAAACCTTTGAATTTTGAATTTAGCCGGGACTCACTGTGGTACAATGGCGCGGATATCATGACCAATTGGGATCAGACTAACTACTTACATGCTTACTTACACATCAAATTATCGTACGATTCATTGATATACCAGCATATATTGATCATTCCATTCATATCATGTATGAAGAGTGAAGAATTCGTAATCTCGTGGCGCATGGCATATTCACACCTTAGTATGACGTGCTATGGGATCATACAGACTAGCCCGAACCAACTCCGCTGATATGTTAATCAAAGCAATTAGGAGAGAATATAAGACTGTAGGCCACTTCCAGTAGTAGGAATTAAAGATACGAAATAATCATATAGATTTTTTTATCAATATGGTCGGCCGACCCCTTACTTCTATCGCTATCATTGGCGGAGGCCCGGGTGGATTAGGGACTGCCATTGCTCTTTCGGAACTACCATTCCTCAAAGTGACTCTTTATGAGAAACATCCTGAGCCCAGAGAGGCTGGGGCCGGCATTAGTCTCAGCGCCAATGCTTGGAAGGTTTTGGATTTGCTAGGTGCGGCCGATGGTGTTAAGGGAGGTTCTAAGGCGGATACACATCAAAGGTGAGATAGTAAGTATGTAAATAATATTCCGATACTGATATTTTCCCAGAAATGCCTATAATGGTAACATTGTGAGCATTACTAGCCACCCGGAAAATTCCGATGCAGATTCGCGTGGCTCGATTCGTGCTCGCAGAACTCGGCTTCAGTCTGCGCTCTTGGCCAAGGTGCCGGAGGGCTTGATCCAGTTCAATAAGAAGCTTGTGTCTCTGGAAGATGTCCCTGAAGGAGTGCGCTTATCATTCAACGACGGGACTGAGGTGGTTGCTGATCTAGTTGTTGGCGCTGAAGGAATACACTCCGTTTGTCATCGTTCTCCCTCGAGATTTAATCTGCATAACTAATGAAAAGACAGGTGACTCGAAAGGCTCTCTTCCCTGATCATAAGCTGTCTTTTACTGGAAATACCCAGTGGCGAACCATTATTCCCAAATCTCGTCTGGTCGATGTCCCTGATGTCGCATCCACGACAGGTTGGTGGTGGGGGAAATCGGGCCATGTGTATTTCTCAGACGTCGATGATAAGTCTGAGTTTGATGACCCGCTCTTTGAAATCACAGTACGCTCTTACATTGAGAAGGAGGTTCCGGGGGAGACGGTCGTCTGGGGTATTCCTGCAACGAACGAAAAGGTCGCAGACCGAGTGAAGGTATGTCAATGTCAAGAGATCTGACATTGCTTTATATATGGCTAACTCATAAAACAGGAATTTGATCAACGAATTAAAGACGCTGTCAGTAAGGTCAATGAAGGTGAATGGAGGGAGTTTGCCGCTTTCGCAGGAAATCGTCTGAATAGGATTACCGGCTGGGAGAAAGTCGCTCTCGTTGGAGATGCCAGTCATCCCCTCTCAGGTAATTTGATTTCTATCCCTCGGAAAACCATGAAGTTTATACTAACACAAATATGTAGGCGCATTTGGCTCCGGGGCCACATTTGCAATGGAAGACGGTTGGATCCTCGCACGAGCACTGGAACACACCCAGTCTGGACCTCGTCCCGTAAGGGATGCTCTTGAGATCTTCAATGCGATAAGATCTCCGTACTATGACAAGATGTAAGTCATGAATGAATTATGTTCTGAATCTGGGTATAAATATGGCGTCTAACGTTTGACTCAAGGTATCGGCATCTGGACGAAAGCCAGGAAAGGATTAATCAGATTCAGGCTAATAATCCTGACTTTGATGTATTTTTGAAGGCTAAAATCGACAACTTCATATACGGTGACAAGGACTTCATCTATAAGAATGATATTAAGAAGGTCTGGGAAGACTATCTTGCCACTGAGCAGGTGCCTGCTGTGCTGTAAAGCAGCCCTGGAAACACGAGGGTGATCAACTTTCTACTTGGCTATTGAGTTGAACCTAGAAGGAACCCCAGACCGCAGGAGCTCTGAATCACTGGTTGATAAGTAGTTAAATAAAACCGCCTTGGAATAATTTCTGAATTCGGTACAAAAGAATACCTGGGTACCTATAGCAGGTACATCTTTATAAGAATGACTGTCACAAAAATACTTAAACCAGCCAGAATAAGGAAATAAGAAAATAAGAAGATAGCGTCGTAGTTTCAACAACTTTAATAGGCATAATAAGCCTTGGAATGAATCTATTGTATTAGAGAGGACCTCGGGAGGATCAGGGTTCTGCTCAGGTTACAGACATCTGTCCCCCTCATGAAAAAACTTCCAAACTTCTACCATTGGACATGCCTTTCAATGTAACGAACTAGTATCCTTGGGTGTTCCAGTGGTATGTTTTCTCGAGGGCTCTTATGGTGCTGCACCTTCACCTGCTTGTTTTGCCTGCTTTGCTTGTGCTTCTTCACGTTCTCGCTGTTCACACCTGCGATATGCACAATTGATATCCCGCCGTATCGGCACTTCAGGATCTGCTATTTGTCGGGCCGATGGTGGGTAAGAGATGGCAGGCCCAAGTTTCCTCTCTTGTTTGCAACGTATAAACCCCCATCACTATCTGGGGCATATGCTACGTAAAGCATACGCTTCAAAAAGGGCCATCAAGTCTGAGATCATTTTGCTCAGCGGTACCTGGCTGGATACAGACACCTATGCGAGTCCATGGTGCCATTTGTGAACCCTGGTTACCAAGAACTGAAACCTCAAGCTCGAGCACCGGAGTTCTCGACACACTCCTATCGGCCATTGCTGACTCTTCACAGCCTATGAATCGGGGAGATATAGCTGAAATTGGATTATGTAGGCACAACATTCTTCTAACGTCAGGTTCATAGATGTGGCAAGTCGAGGATCTCGAAATGAGGAACTCGCAAACAAAGCGGGTGCTGAAAAATTTCGTGGATGTCAGCTCTCCAATTCTTCCTGGGTAATGTTTCAGGAATACTTACTACAACGAGGGAAGGCCGGTGGACATGTTCTTCAAGCTCTCGCATACTTTAATGGCATGTGGTCCCAAATTCATGATCATGTCCATCCCTTGTTCAACCAGTCAATTCCTAAGGTCCCGAATGTTCAAGAGACAAAGAACATGACATGAAGTGGCCGCTTTGATATCCGAAAATTGTAAAGATTATTGTACAAGTAGACTCACGAGTAACCTCACAAAGAATCAACATATCATTAAGCCCTGTTCTATTGAAGACGTGAGGTTGAAAGGCATTTTGAGAATATTAATTAAACATGAATGCAAAACTGTCGCCCTTTGCACTACCTGATTGCCGAAATAGCGTTTACGATACTGCTCAAAAAACTCAATGAGGTTTTCGTCATGTTCTTTCGGCTTCATGTAGTTGAAGATTTCTTTGCTCAGATTTTCAGCATCACCTGGCAGGTAATCGTCGCTTTTGGTGGAGATGGCCTCGATGAAGTATGGCACAAACCCCCGCATCATTGAGGCCAAATAGTATGTATCGTAATTCTGTGCAGGGTGATCAGTCCTTTCAGACACCAAGATTGCCCTGGAAATCAAATTAGCTTGACCTATATAGAGAAATGTCAGCAAGAGAGTTCATACATGTATAGATATTCATCGGGTAGGTTCAATAAGATGCCGGATTTGTGCCTGCTCGTACATGCAAATGTTAGACGAATTCTAGAAATCTCTTTTCTTTTCTTCATCATACGATGAAGTACAAAAGAATTGGGAAGAAAACAACCAAAACGTACGTTGGGATTTCCGCTACAACAAGAGTGGGTACGGAGACATTTTTCATCAATTTAGTGGTAAACTCGCTTGCTGGAATACATAATCTATCTTTCTCTTGAATGAAGACTCCATCTATGTAACCAAATTGCGAGGATATCTCCTTGTCTCCAAAAACACTACATATTTCATTAGATAACGAAGCTTTGCCATGGATATTGAGACTTGCATGTTGCGATGCCGATCAATTACCACAACAGTGGCAGTAACAAGCACCTCTCCAGAAGGGAAATCACACTTATAATTCCCATGAACAAAAAAGAATCGCTTGGATCCTTGTCCACCGGAGGCATATAACATCTGACCGAGATTGTGTCTTCAGCTCCAGACTCTAGGACTAAGGGGGAGAGCTAAAGATAAGGATGAGGGGCAATGATTTGGTGGCGTGATGAAGAACAGGAAGTACCAAATGTGGCTGCCTGAAGAGTGCTGATTACGGTAGTTTAAAGATATATGAAGGAAAATGATGTTATCCGAGTGTGCGGGACATAATTGGCGGTATGAAGCACATGATATGACTATTCGGCCCGAGCACCCGAAACTATTGCGGCACTTGTTTGCACTATTAGTACTAAGCGTCGGTACCATTTACCACTATTGAAATGGAAGCACAACGGGAATCACTAGTGATCTCCAATAGATCGACGTTCTAAACGTTATTAAGGAATAGGAGGGCCCAAAAATAGAAAGCCGACTGTCCGAAGTGATCCGAGGCAATCCGAGATAAATACACTGCGCTAAGCCATAAGAGATTTCCATCATTTTATATGGGATAGGTGTTTTATTCTTCATGCTCTTGGGGTTCTTTTATCCATCCATAAGGGGTACATAGGTTCACAACTCTTCAGCTTCTTATATTGTAACGCCAATATTAAAGCGGGGTCCGGGATAACGCAGTTCTATACATACTAATCAACATGGCTAGCTGCACTTCTTCTCCTGGCCAAAGACCGAGGTTGAAGCTCATACGCTTCACCTCTTTCCAGGTCATTGCCTTCAATGATAGGCCCTGAAGAAGATACATTACGAGCCCTTAAAACACCCTTATCCCCACTTGCACGGGAATCACTTAAAGCTACATTCACATCCTCCTCTACCAGCTCATGAGTCCCGCCAACGCTTTCCATAGTGAAAGGACTGGCAGTGGGTGCATCCAACGCACCCAGTTCCTCCCGAGTAAACCACCGCGGTAGAAGGAATGACCGAACAGGAACCAAAAGAAGAATAATTACCGGGAAACCAATAGCGGCAATGGTCTGCGTGATAGCAAACGTCGCACCAAATCCAACAAGTTCCAAGAGCACGAAGGCCCAGATCGCCACACGGCGCTTTATCCGCTTGAGAGGGTTAGACAAAGGAGTAAAATCTTTATCCTGGGCGAGAAATATCAATTTCTGCGTTATTCCGTTACCTTCTAGGGCCTGTACACCCATGATAAAAAATAGGCCTGCCAGGACGCCTTGTGGGATAAGATGAATGACTATGAGCAGTGGTCCGCTCATTGTACCGAGAGTCAAAAGCCCTTGAGCGAGATTGCTGACGCGCTGCTCTACAACGTGGTCTGTGACTCGAATGGCCTTGCCCTTGTTGGCGTCTTCTTCATCTGCCACTTGGCGCGTGACGCAGAGAGCGGCAGTGTGGAAAGGTGCTTGTGGGATGAGTCCGTTGGGAAATGGGACACCAAGGAGACCGCCGACAAAGGTTGTGAGACCAAGAAGCCAAAGATCCCAGTGAAAGCCTGCAGGTTTACGAAGAGGAAACTCCGTACCTTGTGCTATCAAGGACGATACTACATACCTATTACGTTAGTTTGATACATGGAGAATGGATTGACAGAGGCACTAACCATTATGATCGAAGTAGAAAAGAATTGTCAGTAGAACAGCAAAAGGGATAGCCAAGAAGATATCGCCCACATCGATATCCCAAAAATGCACTAGCCAAGGTCGGTCGAGAGTAGGGAAGAAAGCCTTACTAGTGGGCAAAGTTGCGACCTCTACACTTTTCATATGGCCAATGTGAATGAAGCCAGTGAAGAACACAACAGTCAAAGGGGTGCCATAGTCTTCCAAGAACTTGCGAATGAATCTGAGGAAGAGCTTGCTATTTCCCAGCTCTCCACAAACCCAACCACTCATTAGAACGAGGAGTGCCACCATGATGCTCAAATAAGCCGATGTTTCGCCGACGGCATCCCATTGTCGAGTCAAAACTTGGATACCTTTTTGAAGGTAGATAAATGCAACGTAAAATCCGAAGATATCGCAAGAGAAACGAGTAACATAAGTTAGCCCGTTGCAGGCATTTGTGAAGGCAAGAATCCAGTGCATTATTAGAGACCATCTTAAGAGCCAAATCATTAGTAACAGGGTAAGACACCCGTAAAGGAACAACTTACATTCCAATCCAGCACATGAAGGCAAGATATGGCGTTCCACGGGGCGTCACAATATCATAGACAGTGTAATTAAAGACAGTGATGGGACCTGGAAAGCTTCAATGTCAGCTTGTGCACCTATAGACGAGATGTATGCAACCCACCAGTGACACCAACAATGACCAAAGGTTGCGCTGCGAAGAGCGAGAAAACGATAGCACCAAGTACAGAAGCGAGCAAAACTTCATTGACTCCGTAGCTTTGATTCGTTTTTTCAAACATATCCAGCGAGAAAGCGAGAGCAGGCAAGATACTATAATCATTGTAAACATGTCATCGCTATTAAGAAGGTTATGACGTAAAGCAGTGATACAATGACAGATAAAAATGGAAATTCATACTTGGCAAAATACATATAGACGGTTGCAGGCACGATGCGATAGTCCCAGGCATCAGTCCAGTCGCTCAAATAATACGGAGCTCTGCGTTTAACGTCATTGATCATACCGCGAAACAAATATACATGCCACCATTTTGGCGATTGGGTAGATGCTGCCGCGCCATGGCCCTGAGTGTCGTTCTCAATTCGCTTATTTCTTGGGGAACTAGACCCACGCGATGTTGGAGCGTGAGCCGATTTCCCCGAATGTATGGCAGACATGCGATGAGCCTGCCAAGGGGAGATTCACGTGGCCGAGAGGTGGAGATTTCAAAATATCCCTGTGCAACAAACCTCGCAACGGCTTGCATGGAAAAGAAGGAAGGCAAATAATATGTAGGATTCCCCAGAGATAAGAAGAAGAGAAAGATTGTCGAAATTCAAGGAATAATCGAGTTTGCAGATTGAACAAACAATTGAAGTTTAAGAGGTTCAAGAGATGGACACCTTAGACGGTTAATTATCTTGGCCTTATAAATTAGGCGTCAATGTATGCTACATATGCTTCCAAGGTTGTTGGTGGACTATTTTGAAGCTTCAAAATCGGGATCAACAATAGGAATGTAAAATACCCTAGGTGGTCTGTATTATTGATAAAGTGATGGATCAAGTGGCCACTGTGCAATAAGTAAACAGAAGTGCATGGATATCTCTTATATCATCTAATCTTTTGACCACAGCAAGGATCATCGGATACGGAATGGTCGGGAATGAAGCTGGAGCTCCTAACCCAGTCAATCCGCTCGATTACGCAGGATCCCTTTTGGGCTGAAGAAGACATTGTTAAAAATGAAATATATTTAAAGAGAGGGTGCAGTCAGTGCAATAAGTAAGAGAAAATAAGGAACAAGCGCTGCAACTGATACAAAATATATTAATGGATGAAATAAATATCCAATAATCAATAGACCTGGACACCACAAGTAAAGGCCAGAGCCCAATTGTTTCTTCCACTCATTTGAATCCCCATGATTCATCACCGAAATCACCAGAGAAAGGGTCATCTTCCAAGTCATCCATCACCCGCTGGCAAGCCTCATCCGCAGTCTTGTTCTCTTTCCGAGGGATAAAGCTGTAGTTCAAATCCCCAAGAAGCCGCATCTGGGCATCAAGAATACTCGCTTTCTTGATCAAATCCTGATTTGAAACACCAAATCCACAAGAGTTGATCCAACCATTACTCGCCCATTTACGGAGCCATTCAGTCATGCAACGAATAGCATACCTAGATCATAGTCTATCAGCAAATTGTCCAAGGCTGGAGGCAAGTGAGAAGAAGTCTTTTTCTCACTGGGAATCAGAGAAGATTTTCACGTTTAGACGCGGCTTGGGGTGCAATTCTTGATGCTTGACGATGATTTGCTCAAGTGCCAGAATAATTGCCTCCAACTCAGCGCGCTGGCTAGTGACCCTCGGCTGATAGTAACTGACTCGAAACAAGTTTTTGGTCCAGGTTTTGTAGATGCCGTTTCGGTCTTGAAACGATGCAGCAGCTGCGCCGATAGCCCAGTCCAATCCGTTCCCTCGGCAGCGACCATCAACGTTGACTCTGATGATGTACGGCATTTTTTTCGGTCACATTTGGTCAAGGTCTGAAAGATGGCGCGCTTATGACAGAAATTTTAGTGCTGTAGGGCAAGATGCTTTCCTAGAACGAACTCAAGTAATGTATGCTCAATTAATGTATGCTCAAGTCATTGTTGAGGTAAAGAAAGGATCAAAGAAAAGAGAATGTTGGAAAAGTGGAAGTAAATATTGATGGAAGAAGGCGAGCGACTGATACGTCATAGGAAATAAAAAACGTAAGTAATAGAGATAAAAACAATTGAATTAAAAGAAAATAGTCAAATTGTAACGCGTCAAGGAACTAGAAACTGCAACTCATAACCACTATCTCGAAGGGCATCATTCATGTTATCATCTTCAATCAATGCATTTGTAATAGCAATTTTTCAAGGAAAGTACGCGCGAAGGAACATTCGAGCGTACTTCTTATATATCACTTCCAATAAAAGCAGGCTTTGCCTGCGTGACAGCAGGTCGAGTCTTGAAGCGTCGTTCTAGACGAAGATACCACCCTCGTTCAAGTGGAAGCTCGTTGAGGTCCTGACGTTCTTCATCCGATAACTCTCCGCACCACCAACCAAAAGCTTCGTCACAGAGGCACCCTACGATATTAGCCCAGATCACTGCTTCTCCTTTAAGTGGCTCTTGAGCGCGTAACACCGCGAGGAAGGCGTGCAAATTCAAAAAGTAGGTGATTTCGCGAATCGTTTTGATATGCTCAGTCGCACTAGGGTCTGGTGTGAAGTATCCAATCTCCTCAGTCTTCCATCGACTGCCGGTTCCAGGCCCTTCGCCAGGGGGTCCCTCTGGGCCTTGTTCGCCTTGCGGTCCTTGGCGCGGCTCGGGCTGCATCGCCAATACTCTGGTTACTGCATTGGCGATAGCGTAACACTTTCTGACACATGCATCTAACCTTGAAAGCTTTAGTGTTTCTAGTCTCCACTTGAGCCTCATAAAGCGTTGTTCTACCACGACATCTACCCCTCGCTTCTTCTACCGGTAAATTTTAAGCTGGCTTTTCTTAAGCAAATTCGTGTTTCAAAAAAAATGGGTTCGTCGGGGATCTCCATCCCTCGCAGATGAACGTCGAGAAGACGTACTCTCCTCAGCAGATCCTGATAAATGATATTATTTCCGGTGTAAGCACCTGAGTTAGGTAATCCAGCTTCGACAACCGAGCTTTCTCTTATCGAAAGCAGAAGGTGAGGCACCATAAGCCAAGACATATAGCTGCTTCGAAATAGGTTTTTGGTTCAGGTATAATTTCCTCAAGCTCAGCGCGCTGGTTTGCGACCTTGTGTTTGAATTGATTCAGAATAAGTTCTTGGTCCAGTTTGATAGCTGATGCAGCCTCGTTTAATGCACTAGTAGCTCAGGAAGATGCGTTATCTCGACAGCCACCGTCCACCTGGGCACGTATCCTCCCATGCTATAGGGCATTTCGTGAATAGAGGAAGGAGGACTCTCTGAGTCCAATAGTTCGGTTGAGGATTTTGCCAACGGTAATTTGCTCTAAGATTGTGTACGAAGAAGACTCGAGAGGAGATATGAAGAAAAGGAAGCAATAGTGAGAGTTGGAAACATTCCAAGGTCCCAAGGTTTGTTTTACTTGATTGAAGGCTTCCGTTTACTCCATATGCGTTTCAAATTCAATGTGTACTCTCACTTTCGCTTTCACTTTCACTTCTATTTCGAATGTGAGAAACTTGAATGGAATGATAGAATAGAATTGAAATTCCAAGTAGTTTACTTTCTTTTCCTTTACGCTTTTTGGTCGTTGCTAACTCATTGAAAGGTGAATGCAATGGCAACTATTAAAAGTTCCACGAACCTAGGTACATTATATGATATTCATGATTGAAAAAAATATCTACATGATATAAAGAATACTCAGTTTTGAAGCCGAAAGCAATACAAAAGCCAAGTGTTGACACTTGGCGACTCATAGGCAATAGAATTGAACCTGAATATCGCCAGCTGGTAAAGATATAGGCGTCATAGAAACTGGCTTACAGCCATTTCTTTTCATCCGAGCCTAATGGTTTTGGCATGATATCCCATCCAACTTCAACTCCCTCAATGGATGCCGAATGTCGAAGAGCAGTCATTTCACCGAATCCACTATCCCTTGTCTCCAGATACTGTGCAGGCACGTCTGCCATACAGTTATAATTGTCTGGGATTTGGAAGCCCGACTTCCCTTCAAATTGACCTAGCGACCTTAAATACTTCATGACACCCGCAAGGGACACGTCAATCTGCCAGGATCCGCCTTCCGTCGCTTGCTTGTACAAAGCAGCCTGGATACCAAACGCAAGGAAATAGCCAGCCGCATGATCTAAAGCCTGGCATGGCATGGGTCGTGCAGGCTCTCCAGCCCCGTAGTGCTCAGCTTCGGAAGCATTCATTCCGGAACATGTCTGGACAAGGGAGTCGTAGCCGCGTTTATCGGACCAAGGACCATCAGGCCCATATGCCGAAAGATTCGCGCATATGATGCCCCGATGAGAGAATCGGTGTGCAAGAGTCTCTGGGATCAACCCACGCGATGCAAGGCTACCAGGACGGTAACCTTGAATGACTACATCGGCATCCTCCAAAAGTCTTTGGTACTCCGATGAACCGTGAAGTTCGTTTAAATTAAATTGAATGGTTCTTTTGCCACGGCCAAGGTCACGATCGAGGGCTGGAATATCGGGTAGATGTGGGCTCGTCACCCAAAGAACATCCGCTCCGTGTACTGCCAGAGTCCTACCAGAAAGGGGAGCTGCAATCACTCGAGAAAATTCTAGAACTCGAAGACCTCTAAGAGCTTTGTCTGCATTGTTGCCTTTCATCCCTTTGGGAAATCCAACGGGGGCATCCCCGATCTTCCGGAGCGTGATTGGGAAGTCCGACACAGCTTGCGCCTGGGGTGTGACATCCCATTCTGAGTAGCTTCGCAGAGCCGAAATAACCACTTTAGCATCGAAAGCTGCTATTTCAAGGTCTACTGACTTCCATGAGGCAATCTTAGACCCAACTTCCGCACGATCTGCATCGAGAGAGCACCCGAGCAGCACTTTTGCACCATTGCAATGGTTTAGAAAGTTATCATGAACTCTCACGTATCCGTCGGCTGACTTATGCAGTCCGCCGATAGGACCCCAGCAGGAGGGTGCCGGCTGGCCATCTATTGTGTAAAGTCTTTCAGATTTGAATTCAATAACTGCATGTTCGCGAGACACTGTTACAGCAGGAGTCAGTGCCGAGTTGCGAAGGGCGTGTATTTGTGCTGCTAGGAGTGCAGTCAAGCTGATGGATGCCTGGGCGAGATCGGCGATCTTGAATGACGAAGGTAGAAGTGATTCATTCCCGGTAATATATAGAGAGCTCAGTGTTTCTTCTGGGAGCCCTAGGCCTTTCCAAATATGACACACGGTGTCTCTGGCGGAGAAGGCTGACCTATTGAGACCAAGTTTCGACATTTTGAAGGATGACCAGAGTCACTTTGGGGTTGCGTCTGTGTTTATGGTGTACGTAGTATGTCACTCGGCATCTCGGCCTCGGCATCAATGCAACTTTGCCGGCGTGACAGACGAACAAAGACTCCAGGAACTCACAATCTGTTGGAATATGGAACAAAGCAGTCATGTGATCAAATTGTTACTTTATAATAGATAGCAAACTAAGAATGAAAACCAGACTTTACAACCACTTCAAGAGGACACAAAGATATCATAGGGGCGTAAAGCGTTACCTGTGATAGGTGTCAGAAGTGGGCGTTAGCCTCATCACCTTTATCGAATAGCTATTCCACACTTGGTACAGGTGTACCGACACAATCGACGCTAATAAATTATCACGCTTGCTTTCAGAGATCTCAGTAAGCTTATAAGCTGCAGATGAATCTGATTTGAAATATCCTGACAGCAACTAGACTATACGCCTAAGTATAGTAATTGAAGCATTGGACACGAATTATATATAAATACATATATTAAATATGACCAGAAGGCGACATTTTTAGTCATCTTATACTGTCAATCTTATCACAAAGGTAGTAATAGTCAGACAAAACCCTGACAATAATATTCCCTTAATAAGCGAACAGATCAATGTGAAGCGCAACTAAGTATATGCACATCTCAAAACTAATGAAACGATGACAATTGCGGAGATCAGATTGGGCGGTGAGAAGTGGAGTGTGGGGCCGGGGAACAACCGACCAACTCCGATGCCAAGACCTCGATTTCTTCGGACCGAGTAATGCCTATTTCTCCTTCCGCCGCAGATTTCCTTTCTATAAGACCATTGTGTTGTGTAATCGGGTCGTATACATCCCAATCCACATCATGATGCTGCATCAAGCCCGGGCTCGAGCTCCTGCAGCTCTGCGGTGCTTGTCCCGCCCGACATCAGCGTGAGTATTCATTCCAAGCTCAATTGCCACTCTAGTTAGCCTATAGTTAGCTGACCTTTCGATCTCCCAGACGCGCTCTGTCTACTTCCCTCCCACGCTTCCAGAAGGAAAAGGACAATGGTCTCAACAAGTACTCCCGAACCATCACCCAGCCCATTGCCCAAGGTGCGGCCCAGGCCATGCTGTACGCCGTCGGACTCAAGGAGGAAGACATGAACAAGGCCCAGGTCGGCATCTCGTCCGTCTGGTTTAACGGAAACCCCTGCAACATGCACCTGATGGATCTCAGCAACAAGGTCCGCACCGGTGTGCAGGACTCCGGCCTGATTGGCTTCCAGTTCAACACCATCGGTGTCAGCGACGGCATGGGAATGGGCACACCCGGTATGCGCTTCTCTCTGCAGAGTCGTGATATCATTGCCGACTCCATCGAGACTGTCATGGGTGGTCAGTGGTACGATGCCAACATCAGTATTCCCGGCTGTGACAAGAACATGCCCGGTGTGTTGATCGCCATGGGCCGTGTCAACCGTCCCAGTATCATGGTTTACGGTGGTAGTATCAAGCCCGGCTGCGCCGCCACCCAGGGCAATGCCGATATCGACATCGTCTCTGCCTTCCAGGCTTATGGCCAATTCCTCACAAAGGAGATCACCGAGCCCCAGCGCTTCGACGTCATCCGTCACGCCTGCCCCGGTGAGGGTGCCTGCGGTGGAATGTACACCGCTAACACCATGGCCACCGCTATCGAGACCATGGGTATGACCCTCCCCGGATCCTCTTCCAACCCGGCCAACTCCCAGGCCAAGTACCTGGAGTGCTTGGCTGCCGGTGGTGCGATCAAGAAGCTGCTCGTCGAGGATATCCGTCCCCGCGACATCCTCACCCGCCAGGCCTTCGAGAATGCCATGACCGTCATCAACATCACCGGTGGATCCACCAACGCCGTGCTGCACCTGATTGCCATCGCCGACTCCGTCGGCATCAAGCTCACCGTCGATGACTTCCAGGCCGCCTCAGACCGCACTCCCTTCCTGGCCGACCTCAAGCCTTCCGGCAAGTACGTCATGGCCGACATGTTCAACATCGGCGGAACCCCCGCTCTGTTGAAGATGCTACTCCGAGAGGGTATGATCGATGGTTCTGGTATGACTGTTACCGGTGAGACCCTCGCCAAGAACTTGGAGAAGGTCGAGGACTTCCCCGCCAGCCAGAAGATCATTCGCCCTCTGTCCGACCCCATCAAGCCCACCGGCCACATTCAGATCCTGCGCGGCTCGCTCGCTCCCGGCGGCAGTGTCGGTAAGATCACCGGCAAGGAGGGCACACACTTCGTCGGCAAAGCCCGTGTCTTCGACTCAGAAGACCTCTTCATCGAAGCGCTCGAGCGTAACGAGATCAAGAAGGAGGATAAGACCGTCGTCGTGATTCGCTACTGCGGACCCAAGGGCGGCCCCGGCATGCCTGGTAAGTTCAATTCATCCATTCCATCCACTTGCTTCCTCTATCAAACTATACTAACAACCACGCAGAAATGCTCAAGCCCTCCGCCGCTCTAATGGGTGCCGGCCTCGGCTCATCATGCGCCCTAATCACCGATGGCCGCTTCTCAGGCGGTTCGCACGGATTCCTAATCGGCCACATCGTCCCCGAAGCCGCCGTCGGCGGACCTATCGGTCTCATCCAAGACGGCGACGTCGTCTCCATCGACGCCGACAACCTCCTCCTTGACATGGACGTTCCAGAATCAGAGCTTGTCACCCGCCGCAAGGACTGGGAGGCTCGCAAGGCTGCTGGCCAGCTGCCCAAGACCGGTCTTGATATGCGTGGTACTTTGGGTAAGTATGCCCGCATTGTTAAGGATGCTAGCCACGGCTGTATCACCGATGCTGTGGAATAAATTATGCAAAACGAAGGGCTATTGGTCCCCTGATATAAAAAGCGAGTTCAGAACATTTTCTGCTATATAATTGTTTGAATATAGTATTGTTTCTTCAATGTTTCTTCGTATTTCAAATCGTAGATATGTTCTAATTCATGATTGGTTGAAGCTTTGAAATTCCATTTTTCATTTTTAAAATTCTAGACAGCCCGAAATCTAAATTTCAATTCCATTTTAGAGGTGCAGTCTAGTTATATAGGACGAAACCTCACGTCTTATCAACCAAATTAGCAAAAACATAACGGAAGATCTCTCGACTCTTATACAGATTCTCCACGCGCATACGCTCATTATTCAAATGGGCATTATCACTAGCCTGTCCACAAGGCAGATTGGCAGCCGGAGCTGAAAACTCCTTCTCCAAGAAGCGGATAGTTGGGATGGACCCGCCCTCACGAATGAAGATAGGTTTCACAGCTGGACGGGTGGTGGAGGTGGTGGCAGTGCTCTGTGTGCCGCTCTTCTGTTCAGTGCTATCTGGAGCAGCGGCGTCAGTGCTGGTAGGTGATAGAGGAGGTAGCGGAGCTGTTTCATCGGTTGGTGTTGTGGCTTTGGTGAGGGTTGAAGAGGTTGGGACTGCAGCTGATGACTGGGCAGAGTGTTTTCTGGCCGCATTTTTTCCGGCTGAGCTGGTTGTTGTTGATGTTATCACGCGGTCGACGTGAGAGGCGAGACTATCTGAGGAATCCTTGCGAAAGATGGCGGCGGGGTTGCTGGGCGGCTTGCTTGTTGCTGCGTGGCCTTTGCTTACTACCAGTGGCTTGGGCACGGGGTAGTCGTGTTTTGAAGGTTGCTGGCTGGGAGCCCATGCGGCGGTGATTGCTTCGGATAGAGTGGCGAAGATCTCGTTGTCCGGGTCTCCGAGCCATGGGTCTGATTTGCCGGTGATTTCAACTGTTAGGTCGTTTTGTGATTCCAGTAGTGCGAATTGCTCTTCGGCGAATGCAGTTAGGTTCGCTGCTACGTCGTCGGCTTGCTGATCTGGCACTATGCGGATTGAAAGGCTGGCCTTGGCTCGTCGGGCGATGGTGGTTGCTCCGCTTTTTCCTGGGGCCTCCATCGAGTGAACAGTGAAAGAAGGTTCGCGCCATCGGTACATCAGCGATTTGATCAGCGCCTGGCTGTCTGGGATCTCGGGGTGTTGGGGTAGCAGGACGTCAGAAATGGCCTCGAACCGCTTCTGCTCGGCTCCCGTCAGCGGGCGGACCGGGTCGTGGAATCCTGGTAGGTTGATGCGGCCCTTTCGGCCAACTAATGTCGAGAGCAGAAGGGAAAGGTCCTTGACGGGTTCGTCTAGCAGTGCACTGCCGTCGATACCGCTGTGAAGATCGGGGTGGTCGCTTGTCACAACCAAGTTGGCGTGCACTACACCGCGCAGTCCATAGGTTAAGCAGGGGTTGAAGTCATCTAGCCAGTAACTGTTCGCCAAAAGAATCCAATCTACCGGGCCAATCTGGGCTTTGTGCTCCCTGACGGTCTCGTGAAAGCCCTGAGATCCAGATTCCTCTTCACCTTCAATCAAAAAGACGACGTTGCACCGTAGTGACTTTGTCCGAGCAAGATCGGCCGCAGCGTATAGAGAGGCAAGAATGGGACCCTTGTTATCGGATACGCCACGGCCGTATAGGAACCCATTGATTGATGTCAGTTGGTACGGGTCTGACTTCCACTTGAGGCGATTTGTATCGGCACCAACAATATCGTAGTGGCCGTAGAAGAGAATAGTCTTATTCACATTGTCGGTTGAGGTAGCGTTGAAACGCGCATACACAATGGGATTGGTATCTTGGCCTGTAGTCAGTAGTTTGGTCTTGGCACCAAGGTAGTTGCAGTGTCGGCGAAGGAAAGCAGCTCCTTGGTTGCACTCGCCAGAAAACTTCGGGCTTGCTGAGATGGTCTTGAAAGATACAAATTTGGCAAGTGTGTTGACCATTTCGTCTGTACAGTTGTTAGTCGGGATTTCATGACCAGTGAATAATTAGTCGCACCGTTGCTGATGGGAGGCAAGTCGTCCTGGGAGAGGAAGAACTCGGTTAAATCCCAGATCCCAACGGTATTGTCGTTTCCTCCAGAGGCATAGATGCGGCGGTCTTTCACGCGGCCAGCGGCTGATGCCAGCATGGTACCCTCATGAGCGACCCAGCTACCGACTTCCTCAAATCGGGAGTTGAATTTCTACGCGTGTCAGCATCACATGCTACTTGGACAACGGGTTTTGTCCTACCTTGACTGTTCCTGTTGAATCACCACAGATTGCAACTCCCTGGATCACATTGACCGCCCATAGATCGCCAGTATGGCGGACGATTCGCTTGACCAACTGCTGCGAATCGAGGTTCCAGATGTTCAAAGCCCCGCCTGCAAGGCCACAATAAAGCAAAGATCCTTCTACAGCGATTGACAGCACCGGGTCTCCGTTCTGTAGTTTCGATATCTGGTTCGGTGCAGCTCCCGGCTCCTGGCCGAGGCGCCACAGCTTCACTACACCATCTCCACCACCGGTTAACAAGGCTTCTTCAGAGGGAGCTGATTCAATCAACCCCTTGACCAGAAGCATGGAGTAGATGTATCCGTGGTGTGCAAACAGTTTGTGATGGTCACGCTTAAAAGTCAATACTCGGCCACCTTCTGTCACGGAGCGAACTCCATCCGATGGCCCGGGGGCTTTAGTTCCATCCGGACCTCGAGAGTCAAAGAAGCGATGAGTCCGTTGAGACAGATTCGCCACTGATGCTTGATTAATTGAGGAGCCCTCGTCTGACAATTCACACCACTTGTGGGAAGTTAGCGTCGTCACCTTACTAGAAGGGATGTATTTTCTACCTGAATACTGGTGTTCTGCGTTCCGCAGTAAATAGTTTGGTTGCTTGCGACATACGCAAGCGTGAAGATGTCACCCACATCATGATATGAGTGGATGGAGTACAGTCGAGCAAATGTCCTCGTTGACCAGACCTTTCATGTATTAGAGGGTTTGTCACCTTCCGAATTGGACCACAGAGACTCACATTGACTATGGAGTCGCCTCCACTTGAGAATAATAGATTGCCATCATCGGACAGATAGAGTCCGAGTACACTTTCCTTGTGAGCATGAACTGATAGAACGTGGTCATACGTCTCCAGGGACCAGGCCTGAATAATTGAGTCAGACCGAGAAGAACAAGAAAATCTCTGCATTCCATGTCAAGGAATACCCTTGCTGTTCACTTACCACAATGTCACCACCTTGCAAACCAGCAAAGACACAATCATCATCTATAACCAAGGCCAAGACAGAGCGGCTTGCCAATACACGGTGGGCAATACCGCAATCCGAGTCAGTATGGGCTTCTTCGGAAGCGACCGGAGTATGAATCGGCCGAGCGTCGGATCCCCATGTTTTGGACAGATCCTCTACGTCGGAGTTGTTTCCTGAATCATCTTCCATAGTTGGTAAATCAGCGGAAGCTCAATGGTAGTGTGAATGTTGAATGTGGTTTGTTCAGGGCTGAAGTAGTTGAAAAGTGAAGGTGGAGGATGGATGTTCCAGCCCGATGATTGGACGAAATGATAAATTCCGTTCTTTTTTTCGAGTCCACCTTCTCCTTCTTGTCAATCTTCAAATATGGGGGAAAATATGGTCTTGAACAATAATAGAATGTTGATCAAGAGAGGAGTGATGATAAAATTCATATCCAACATTGCACCATCGCTGGAATATTTGACTCACCCCTCGCTTGTCTCCTTTTATTCCAACAACATGTCGGTCTATTATGTCAGTTTAGATCCATAAAACAAATATCTCAGAATGCTGTTTCACTCGGGCGCATGCAGGATGTACTTTAGAAGAAATCAGTCCACTAACCTCGGCTCCCATAGCAGTCGAGCTACCGGTTGTGAAGGATATTGAAGAACTGCCATAGTTTCATGAATACAAAGGGTTCTTAGGGAGATAAAAGTATTGAAATTAGAAATATAGAAAGATTGAAAGATAGAAAGATAGAAAGATAGAAAGATAGAAAGATGGGACGATTGAAAGATAAGGAGAAACGCTCAATGCAGACGCCTAAAAGCCTCCTTGTCCTTCTATTTCTCCTTATTCGATGGAATATAAGGAAGGATGCAGGTGCCCTACGCCAAGTGGCTCTGTAGACGAGTCGCACAATGAAGATCGCGTCATAAGTAATCTTGTGACCTCATAGGTATCCTACCACTATTCATTAAGCTTGTGGCTATAATTTGAGAATTTGGGGTCCTTTTTCTGGGGAAGGAAACTAGCGTAGATCGTCTCTTGCCTATTTGACTAGGTAGAGATTAGGTTTCGTTCTTTTCTTCTTCTGTACTAGAAACCATTAGAAGAGAGGAGGAATCTTGGCAAAGAAGAGTATAGGAAAAAATAAAAAAGAAGAAAGGCCTTGGGATGCCTATCTAAGTAAATGAGAAAAGGAGTACAATTATCTACTCTACTCGGGCACGGAAGGATTTCATAGTCTGATCTAGTACGCCTTTTTCTTTTTCTTCTTCAGGACAACGAGAATGACACGTTATTAACTAGTTTATCACTCACTAGTTATATGGAGTAGATCCTTTCAGTTCAGTCGTTCCGAATGGCCTCACTATTATACTCTTGACACCACCCGTACACAACATCAGGGCAAGAAATGCCAACAGAGCAGACTAAATCCAAACTACTGCACCATAGTGTAAGGGGAAAGCCTATAGTTCCACTATCAAATGAAGTGTCATGTCGGTGAGTGAATGCCAAATCACTTGTTGACTAGGGTAATTTTGTACTTTCGCTGATGAGATGTGATAAACGGACTCCCGAGTAGGAAGTGATTATTGAAGCCCGAAGTTCGTATCAGTCTAAGTATGTCCACGGGTATAAAATTCCGACTCCTTACAGCAAAAAGTCCGAGATGAAGCGGAGCCCGCAGGATTCTCAGACTTTTATAAGAACATTCTTAAATTATGCATTCCAGTGGGTCTGAAGGTTTAGAGGCTCCATGTATTTAGGTATATATTTCATCATAATACATGTATACTATGTAGATTGCAAGCCATATTCTATAATCTCAGAATCTAGAAAGTTCTTGAGAAGTGATGAAAGTAGGGTTAGAAATAGCGGTGAATAAATAGTAACTCATCGGGTATCCACGTGTCCACAGTGAAACACGATCTGTCCCGTTCCTGAGTCGATCTTTGATAAGATCTAGCACTCGTTCCAACAGTTCTTTCTACGAAGTATATTCATAATTCTGACTTAATGTACTACTTGTACAATACTTACCGTAACCCAGATAACACAGAGGTAAGTATCATATCAATGGAATATTTCTAAGACACGGTAATGGACCATGGACCGTCATCATTATGTCTAGAACATTATATTGGGCCGAGTTACTTCCAAGATTGCGTCATGAGAGTTTACCCTCACGTATTTACTTAGGTATAGATTTGGAATCTTCATTTCCATCCAAGTCATCGGTGGGTGAATATGTATCTAGGTAGGTTCATGTCGAGATATCAGGATCAAGGCTGTTCTTATGTTCAGGTCTAGCTAGGATCTATATTGACTTTGAGCTTGTAAGAGTCCATACAAATTGATCTGTCATTCCATGTCTCACCCCACAGGCAAATCAACCCGTGGCCATAGGACCTCGGGAGAATGGCCTGGGAGTATATAGTACACAGATATATTGCATACCACGCCACCTGGAGATTGAATCAGATGATCTAGGAGGCAGGATCTAGACTCTAGGAGCAGTCAAAGTCTAAAGCCACATTATCATCTGTACATAGAAGTACAAACAGATACCAGCTGAATATGCACGACTGTGGCTGATTAACTCGCCACAATTGATAAAAACCAATTGGAATATAGATTTCACCGCTTGTTTTTTATTACTTTATATTATTATTAGTATCGTATCTTTTACTAGACGGAACTGGCGGATACTTATCATTTGCCCAAGTGGATATCTATATTTCCGTCTTTTGTCGCCCCTATTTTCCCTTTTCCCTATTTTCCAACCGGGGTAGCCGCCATGACAAGTAGATCTCAGTCTCCACAACGAAGTACAAGACCCAATAATTCGTGGCGCACAGGAAATGGTGCGTCTGTGCAAGTGTGATCGGTGTGATTGGGGTTACTTTTCAGTTTTTCCGTTTTCGAGTCATTTCTGCGTCTGATTCGATAATAAATGGTCATCAGCTACCCAACGACTTGTCTTTGACCCTATAAGCCTGCAGCTGCTGTTCGCTGCTCGCTACTCTACTTCTACTTCTACTTTGGCCTTGAACCTGCACGCTGATGCCATACTTCCCCCCTCCCAGCCTCACTTCGATACATAAAACTCTTCTCATACTCCCTGCAATCAACCTGGGAATTACCTACTCTGGACTTTTAAATTTCAAACTAACTTTCCTCACCTCTATTTCAAACCTTTATTATTCTTTAATCGAGGTTGTCACGATTCCCTTGTTTTGTTTGATATACATCTACACCGCTCCTCTACATTTTACACTTCTATGAGCGAGAATTTGACTGAACAAGATGGCGGGTCTTGGCCATACGATCGCCGTATTTGACAAATCAGGAAAAGTCGTCAGCACAGTAAGCACTGATCCTAGCTCCATCATCAACTACTAACAGTCTGCAGAGTAAACATTTATTCGGCGTTTTCAGTGAAGCTAAAGCTGCCTACCGCGAGCGCAAATCACAGCTCAATACAGAGCGCAATGCCAAGATTGCTGAGCAGCAAGCCCTCAGGGGTCCAGCCACACTACAGATCGACGATGCGCATTCCGTAGCAGGATCCCGTCGAAGTCACGGCGCGGTATCCCGACATCAATCAACCCGTCGTCTGCGCGGAGATGATGCACAGTCAACCATCTCTCGTTCCAGATCTCATGGAGGTTCCGAGGTTCATCGTCGTCATACACAGCGGGAAGTGGCTGTTCGCCCGAAACCGACGCACTCGCAGTCTGACGCTCATATTGATATGGACCTCGCGTACGGGGAAGCTCATCCAGATGCCTTATTGAAATACGAAGAAAATGGCGATAATCAAAAACAACTTGATGGCCTCGTCGGCCGCGCTCAGTGGCTGCTGCAAGAGGCGAAATGCGTTCAGCATGGTGCTACTGCGACTATTGCACATTTGCAGAAAAACCCTGAAGCCATGGCCGCTGTCGCTCTCACTCTTGCGGAGATTAGTAAAATTGCTAGTAAAATGGCGCCAAGTGCTTTGATGTCGTTCAAGACGGCTGCTCCGGCCATCTTTGCTTTGCTCTCTAGTCCCCAGTTCCTTATCGCTGCTGGTGTCGGGATCGGGGCTACGGTCGTCATGTTCGGTGGATACAAGATTATCAAGAAGATCAAGGGTGATAGTGGAGATGCCCCCGAAATACAAGCCCGTCAATTCGAACCCTCAGATATGGAAGAACTAATGGAGCTCAACGTGGGCTCGGGTTCTCTGAGTCGCGTCGAGATGTGGAGACGGGGTGTCGCGGACATTGAAGCTAACAGCATCGGCACATCTGTCGAAGGTGAATTCATCACGGAGAGGGCTGCTGCCTTGTCTGGAATCGATGTTACCACTGCTCGCTTGGAGAGGGATCCTAGATTCAAGTTTGATGACGACTCGGTTGCGTCTTCTCGTCGTTCTCGTCGCTCGAGGGCTCACGGAAACTCCCATGCCCCGTCGACTAAGGCTCCGTCAACCAAGGGCTCTAGATTTTTCAGCAAGTCAAAGGCTCCATCTGAGGCTCCGACAAAGTCTCACAGGGATACCACCAGATCTCGCGGTAGATCTCATAGTAGAGCACCCAGTGAAGCACCCAGTCGAGCCTCGAGCCGATCAAAGACAGACACTCATGTCACTGAGAAAGAAAGACGACCAAGGGACAGACCCAAGGAGAAGAAAAAGGGCCCAAGTCTTTTGCGACTTATGTTCACAGCTGCCTGAGCAGTGCATCTACCTCGGCATTGACTTCCCTCATTGATTTTACTTCACATCCAGGCTGCGATTACATACTTAGCGTTTAGATTCCCCTTCATTATTATCATTATTACCCTTGCATTCTCCCTATATAGCGTGGGTCTCTGATCGCGTCGTTGATTATTATTCGTGTCCAAACTCATTTGTCCTGTCGGATTTTTCACTTGCGAATTGCAGGCTCTTCTTAACCTGAGTATCTCATGTTTTTATTCTCGCTTTTTATTGGAAAAAAACATAGCGTTATGGTTCTTTCCTACATGGGCATTAGTATGCGATATACCGAAAAGACTTTTTTCCTGCTACGTCCATTCACTAGTTCAAAAATATCCTATTCTGTCGGAGTACAAAACATCTACAAGATGTGCTCAGCTCAATCTGAGAAAGTTAAGTAGTATTCTGTGTGGTGATCAAGGGCGTTGCTATTCAATCTGTCAAGGTCTCAAAATCTTCAACTATCAAATAATTTGACCTTTTCACCAAAACTCCATCCAAATAACGAGTCATCTCATAAACCTCCTCCAACTCGCCTACCCACCCAATATACTGATCCGGACGCACGATCACCATAACACCACGTGATCGATCAACACCCCACTGCTCATACCCTTTCCCATCACACTCCAGATCCCACATACAGAGATCATCAGTCCAGATCTTAGAATAATCCCACCCAGTCCGTGGGTCAAACGGACGTAGTACCTCCGGAAAGTCAAAGAACTCTGCCTTTCCCCATGGCGCACTGTGGATAGTGACAATATCAATAGCGCTTTCAAATCGAGCAACAGGCGTATACCGCTTCAAAAAGGAGAACTTAGAGTTATTCTGGCCAGACAGATAGTGCGAGAGGAACGCAACACGCTGTTTCTGCATTTCATCACGCACATCACCAGCCATGATGACAAGTCTGAATCGTCCGTCACTCTCAAATATCCGCGTTGTCCACTGCGGCGTACCATCAGCTTGATTGCGCAGTTTAGCCGCTATGAATCGTTCACCAGGGATGAGATTCGGCGCAGCACTAGATCCCTCAAGACTAGTCCTCCAAACCAACTCGCTAGCACTATAAAACGCCTTAAAGCCATCCGAAAACTCCGCGAAATCCTCCGCAATCTTCACCATTGTCTCCGCTTTTTTTGCATTAACTTCAGCCACTCTGTCACTTTCGAAATGCACTGACCAATGCCGGTCGAAATCAAGCAGCATAGCCGCAAGTCGGTGGCGCTCTGTGTCGTACGTGGCCAGAATAGAGGGGTTTGCAGCCCCAGTCACCACTAGAGCTACTTTCCACCCTATGTTGAATGCATCCTGCATGCTCACGTTCATGCCCAGCCCCATCTTGGGCGAGTGCGTGTGTACTGCATCTCCGGCTAAGAACATTCGATCGCCCTTAGCGAAGGTCGGTGCCATTCGCTGGCCGACCTGATACGCCGTCCACCATTCGCAGATCGAGTAGTCGAATGTGTAGGAGGATAGAATCTCTTGCACTCGCGCTTTGATTAGGTCAGGTGTTACAGTTGATCTGTCGAATCGGCCCTCTGTCGCTGTGTCGATCACTTGCACTGGCACATAGAGACGGACTAGGTTTCTCTCTCGGGGAATTACCAGAATCGTACCGAATGTGTTCGTCACCACGCATACTCGGCGGATATCAGCTGTGTCTACATTAGTAGAGCGTTCGGGTGTATACCGGATTTTGCCTCACGAAAGTTGGTTATGGGAATTATGTCGATAACACCCCTATTAAAGTTAAAATCAGAACATAGTCAAAGTGAGCAGCTAATCAAAACTGACCATATATGATCTGTGCTCGATCCTTCGAACGGAATCTCCAACTGCTTCCTCGTCCAGCTGTGCGCACCATCACAGCCAATTATGTATTTCGCCTTAATCCTCTCAGTCTTTACCTCACGCTGATATTGCCTCTCAGATTCCTTGGAATCATCCGCAAACATCGCACTATGCTCAAGCTCATTCATCACAGACGTGCTACCATTAGCACCGCCACCATTAGCACCAATACCGTTACTCGTGTCATCGTTGCTAGGAGTCCTTAAGCAAACAGTAATCGGGTATTCATCCCGACAACCAAGCAACTTCTCATCAAATTCCAAAGACTCAGCAATCACACCCCGCTCAACCTTGATATCAGAGTGTTGGCTAATACTATCAATAATAAACCGCTCAATCCTGCCCTGTGACAGGAGCATATGGTGGAACGGAGACCGACTGCTTGGCTGTGGCGTGGTTGATTTCTGACGAGTCAACAGTCCATTCTCATCTGGAGCCTGTGTATCACAATTTGTCAGTTTTCGCCACTCACTCGTGCAGGATTAGTGTTGACGAACCCAGAAGTTCGCCTCGACAGCTGAATACCCCTCCTGCATCACCCGGTGCTGAATACCCATGCTATCAAACAGCTCTAGCGTTCGCATTCGTAGTCCGTCCGCGTGGCCTGTGAAGACTTTTGTGCTTCGCTTGTCAATTATCCGGGCGTTCACTCCATACCGGGCCATCCAGTACGCGGCCATAAGGCCCGAAGGCCCAGCACCGATGATAAGACTGAAAGAGCTATTAGACGAGACTGTAAAATCAAGGTTGCGAAGCTAATAATTTGCGCTTACACATCTGTCTTTGAGTCCAAAGTACTCGAGCTCTGGTCGCCACCCATCATCCTATATGGTGCAATGTAATCAGTTTTGCTGACTGAGATTAGGTACTTGTCAATGTAGCAGGAGTATTTCTTAGGTTGGGATGCCGAGGTAAGAAACAGCTGCTCTTTATAACTATCTTTGGGCTTATGGAGCTCTGGAGCTTTGGCCGGACGGATTTCTGCTGCGGCTGGGCCTATATCGGGTTTTTTGAATGTTATCGCGCTCTGCATCCATGCTGACTACTACGTTACGAGGTCGCTGCTGGGCGGCAGTGGCCTCTTGGATCATCCATGGTCTTGCTGGGGGCTACCTAGAGTATTTGAGACCTGTGTATATATCTACTTTCAAGGGCTAAAGAAGTCATGAATACTTGTGTACCTTGATATATACTTCAAACTATTATTTGAAACCTTGGAAGTTGACGTTCCCAATATCTATCAAGACTGTCCTTTACACCGGAACATAGAATGCATGGCTGAACTAATGCAGGGTTGATTGATAAACATAGGAAGCTTGGTATGAATAGTGCGACGACTCCATCTAGGGCCATTCATTGGAAGAAAGTATGTAAATATGCTTTCATCTCGAGATGTCTTCTCAGGCAAGGCTCCGAGACTGAACATCTCACGATCAAGCCGGGAATATCCATCTGTACTGTGCAGATGAGAAAGGTTACATGTTACTCGAGGGATGAAGCACTTCAAGCAGCTGAGTCAAAAGCTGAGGTTTAATGTAGTACAACTATTAACTGCTTATTGGTTTAGCCTACTTATAGTGAGGAGAAAATTGGTGATACAAAACACATTCCTGCAGTGTGATATATTACTATCGCCCCTGTAATACAACCACCTGGGCACTATGACATTTGCTGCCCGTCTCATCTATGAATCTGTTACAGCTGCACTATGAAGGCAGCCCAACATCACAAACGGCAACTATGCCTTGATAGGCCTTATCAAGTGCGGCTCAACATTTACCATTCAATATGCCTGTAACTCTCACAGTAGATCAATTAAACATGTTCTTTACATAAGTTACTATAGCCTAAATGTCGTTCGTGAGTGGCCATGGGAAATTATTTCCGCGACTGTATTCTAGAAGGGTAAGGAACATGTATTCTCATACCTGGGTATTCCACCCTGGATGATGCCCTCTCATACACACTTGCGAAAAGACACACTCTTCATACTTGAATGGACTGATATGGCGGCGTCAAGGAAGACTTAGGAAGGTAGAAGTATATGCAAAACCACAACGACGCGAAGGATTCAGTTGAATTAGCAAAGATACTCTCCCATCCATTCGTAGTAGACCGAGTATCGAATAGAAACATCCAGGCTTTGAAAGCGCTCCAGCCTTTCGTTGACCTCTCACGACCGGGTAGCCATTTCTGCTTCAGTAACAGCACACATGGAAGCTAGCTCTCCCGGGACTTTTAGGCCTTGATCATTATCAACGGCGGTACGGGCGTCGTTCACGCGAATGGGCTCACGACGGAACATTGCGTCAACAATTTCTGACAAGTCAAGTACGAAAGAAAGATACTGACGATTCCCTGTGCGCAGCTTACGATACTCGGCGCGACTTACCACTTATTGAGCACGACTTAAAGCGACGGCTGACCTAGGCGGCATCGACACCGAGCGGCTCATACCAATCGAGGTGCTTCTTCAGCATAAGCCACTTCTGCGTGAAGCTGCCAAGTATAAAATGATTCATCTTGTAGCGAGGCAAATTGATAAGTGCCAAACACTCATCGTGTGTGGGGGTCGTGCTCGCGCGACCTCGAAAGCGCTGTGGCTTTCATTGTAGATGGGCGGCGCGTGGAGACGCGGGATCTCGCCATTTCTGGCACCAAGAGATGCTGTCTATTTCTTTGCTAACGATGCAAGTTCTATTCAGTCAGAACCTCATAAATAACGTGTCAATATAGGAGTGTTGGGGATGGATGTCTCTTGGACTGGCTTGAGCAGGCATGTTTTTGTCAGTCTGGTGCAGTTTTCAAATCAAGGTCTTGAATAACAGTATTGCGACATATTGTGATTCCTTGTGAAGTGAAGAAGCTGAAGTGAAGAGGGGTAAGTTTCAGTTACTGCACCGTTAAGTGGTGCTTCTAGAGTTATGTATTAATGCAGTAATTCTTCAGGATTTTACTCTAAATCGAGTAAAGACGATGATTTGGAACCAAGCCATTGTATTGGAGTAATTGAGATAAAGCAGAGTTCGATTTGATAATGACAAGGGTATAGAACATGAAGAGCACAAACATTTCGTTTTCTTTTGGGCTCGCTACGAATCACGTTTCACCTTACCTTCACTTGAGTATTATTGTTCGGACGATTATCTTATCTTATGAAGCGATTCAGTTCTATTCCTTCTGCCCTTTTACACATCCCATGAACGCATTTTCTCTTACCCATGATCCCATCATGGATCTAAAATTCCCCCACCCGATCTAATGAGCGGCGGCGAGCCGTATGAAGCTTCAGATAAAGTCTTTGGAGCGGAGCAACTCACAACTTCAAATTACTATTGATAACCTCAACGGAACGATCAGAGAGTCACAAACATCAATTGAGCCGTTAACTCACGAGATCGAAGCATTAAAGCAAAAGCGACTACAATCTTCGAGCTAGAATCAACAGCTTGCGGGCACGAAAGGCAAATGAAATTCAGGCCCTACAAGAAGGAAGCAAAAAACTTCGGGCCACAGTTAGCCAACTGCAAGGAACAATCGGTGAAGCAAATGAGGAGAGTGACCGACTGCGCACCACAATCACAGAGTTTGCAGGCGTCGGTTGAACGGTTAAACCAGAGGTAGCCACTATCAAGGCTCTTAAACGTTCAGTCAGTCATCTACAAAGGCAAGTGCAGGGACTGAAGCCCCTTGTTCCTCAAGCATTTCAAAACCCAACTTTACAGCCCAACGGATTCGGCCTCCTAGACTTCCGTAACTGGTCGCAAACGTTCAAGGGTAATCGGGGGACAGAGATTGAACTTAATGAGAATCCCAAAGCGATCCTCGAAGCCGGCAAAGCAGGAACATATGAGACGACTCCTGAAGAGGTCGACCATTTGACCCGAGTAAAATTGGCTGAGCGCAAACAATTTAACGTTCCCTTTATTCGAGACGGAAAAATAAGCCTGCAGTGGTTAATTGCCTATGAAACTGGAGCCTTTGGCTATGATGACCCGGTTCTCAAGACATGGTAGGTGTCTCTAGGAGTGATCAATTCAGGGGGAGGCTTAGGCCCTAGTTGCGGAATGGATCGGCCAAGATTCTGATCCTAAGGTCAGGAAGGATTATGCAAGCAGTGTAGCAAGCTAAGTTCTGTATTCGTCAACAATAAAAACCGAAAGATAAATGCTGTTTCATGGGTGAGAAGCCAAAGCTTCCAGACACTCCACACAAATCATAAACTCATGGGGTATCAATACAAAGAAAAGAAATAGAGCAAACCCTAACGTATAAACCCAACGGAGTCTCAACTCCGTGGTACGAGTCCCTGGGCAAGAATATACGCAGTTGATATAATGCGCAGTCGGTCCAAGTTCAATGGAAGCTGATCGGTCGGGTTTTGCCCCGGATGAACATACTGTCCAAATATCTCGCTGCGAAGGAGGAAAGGATCTGGCTTCGCTGCTTGGGGAGTGTTGGGGGCTGGCGCTGGAAAAATGTCCCATGTGTCGATGCAGAGAGCACGGCCAGCGCCATTTTTGCCCCACATCTCCAGTTCGCACTGGACCATATTACGGCCTTTTGTGAAATGCACTAGGATACATCGCTGAGCGATCGGTCCGCCGCCTTCCAGAAGCAGCACAGCATTATCCTGGAGACTTGCGTATGACTGTGCCCACCCAACCTCCATCGAAACTGTTGGAATAATATCGGGGAGCTGGGCGCGTGGCTGCATAGTGAAATCTGGCACTTTCCTATCGTCAGTGTAATTTCCATGGGTCATTGTGATTGTGGGGTTTCCGCCCCGGCAGAGGTCCTGGCTTTCAGCATCGGTGAGTTGGCTACTGAGTCTCCATTTGAAGGTTTGCTCGATGATCCATTCGATAACACCTCCGTGAAAAGTGGTAGGCATTTTCAGCTCGATGATACCATTCTTTCCACGGAAGGTGATACGAGCAGGATAGCTCCGGCTTTCAAAGAGATTCAACAACACGTTCCCAAGCTTTGGTGTCACGCCAGTCAACCTGACGAACGGATTTTGGTAGTTTGGTAGGCCGCTGTCCGGAATGATCGTGGCAAATTGGTTGGCGGAAACAACCTTGATTAAAGAGATTTCAGGATCGGCCGGGGCTGCCTCGCTGACTGCACGATTGTCTTTTGAAGTAAAGACTTCAGCGTCCAAGGCTTTAGAGCCGATGCCTTCAGGGGCGTGAGATTTTTCAAGTGATTGCATGGTTCGAGGAAGAAAGGGTTGAAGAAAGCAGATGTTTTGTTTACAGATCAACTGATCGATCAAGCCCCACTATTTACCCCGGGATTAGTTAGTTAGTGAGCAGATCAGGGAGCTTATGTAATGCTCAGACACGTGCTCAGTTCTATCCAGTGGGTAACGCCAAGAAGTGGCAGTACGTAGGCTTTTGATGGGACTGTTTGTCCTGCCTGCGCGATTAGATTCCAAGTTGGCTCCGTGGATACGACCTCGGAAGTAACATCTATTGAAGCTGTTGTGACACTACTGGAGAGGGATCCATCCACGGATGCCTGCGATGGGCAGTAGGATACAAAACCTTGGGCCTTGGAAGCTCTGACACTCTACTGTAAAAACCGGAATATATATACAAAAAGAGGTATTTGGCAATCGTCTTCTTGTAGTATGATTGCTCCTATTGGCTATCAAGGTCCTGGTCCTTGTCCTGATCGAGATGGTAAGTTAGTTAACGGATTGACGGATTTGTATCCGTTACCATCCCTACAGATTCAAGAACATTGAATTTGAATAAACCATCTGGGCATCTTGCCCAAGTGGGATAATATTGGACGACATTGGGTAATGCTGTATAGCTGCCAACGGCTTTGGAGAAAGAATTTGATATCTAGAAAAGGCGGTAGAGATTGGTAATACAGTACACATTCCTGCCGTGCAATCTCGTATTATAAACCCGGCAATACAACCATCTCGAAGCTCAATTCCGCGGCCTTTGAATGGCCGTTCCACGCGCATAGTATAATGACGACTAGGCTTATCCCCAAACGGATACCTCTCAAATCTGGAGCTGGAGTTGTTAAAGCTACCAGCTGCCGCTCTAGTCATGCTGCAGCGTATACCAGACCGCCACTCGCCTACACATGGCTCACGAAGTCGCCCGAAGCTATTGTAAGCATTCGTCTTCATGAATAAGCCCAAGTCACACACCTGCTAACACCGCAAAGACCCACCAAGATGTCCTGTCATCACTGAATCAGACCTCAACCGACTCCTTGAATCAATCCTCCTTCCCGCTTCTCCTTGTTACACCGCGCCTGGCCCATTGGCTCGATCCTTCGTCCCCGTTCCTGAGCGATCTGCTTGCCGAATTGTATCGGAATCACCCAGGGCCTCGAACAGTCTACGCAGCTGCAGCTGTTGTCGATAAAATCCCTGGCGCTACGACCGAGTCGCCCGTTTCTGACGCGCTAGAGTACGAGGGTCTGTCACTCCTAGTCGTGCAAGACGCAGGCGTACAATGGAAAGCTACACCACCCCGTCGTATCGGCCAGTCCGCGGGGGAGGAACCGAGCCTGACAGTATCCATCCACAATGAAGTAACTGGCCAAACACCCCACGAGATCGGCTTGCGACTTGCGCAAACAGTCTTCTTGAACGGGAAGGAGAGAACCTTTCTCGGCATGCGCTGGACTGCGGATGCCAATTCTACGTATAGACTCGACAAGTCACTAGACTTGGCAGCTTGCGCCGTTTCTTCTACGGGAAAGAATATCCGTGCTGGCCTGACTCTCCCGCTAGACGTCGTAACTCCACGACGGAGGGTTCTGGCCAGTATGGGTAATATTATACGGCAGGTAGCTAAATCTACAGACTTATCCTCCACAGAAGCAATGCCTGCGTCGACGGAATTGGAGAAGGAATTGCCGCGCTATATCACCGAACATAAAATCACTGATCGGAGGGTTTCGATCTGGGCTTTGGTTGAGAAGCCTAAGATCGAGCTCGTTGATGGTTCATCGCATGATCGGCTGATTCACTCGCTCAAACAGGGTGGTAAGCTGCACCGTGTGATGAGCGGTGGTGGTGGGTGGGGGAAGAAGCTGGGTCTTCTTTCATTAGATCCAGAAGCGAGCTTCCCTGATTTCATGGGCGATGATGTACCCGCTACACTAGATAAAGTTTTTGAGTCCGACGCAACCTACGTGGAAAAAACAGTCGCTTTTGAAAATCTCATGATTGGAGATGATCTTTCGCATTTGTCGCAGATCGCGACAGTTGGGGATCTCATTCAGTTTTTTGTTGCTGTGGAGCCCGTTCCATCGTCTGAAGAACCAGTTTTGATGAAAGAAGCCACTTTCACTTTCGGAATCGTGGCTGATGCTGAGAAAGCTGTTGTTGAAGACTTGGGGCAAGATAAGCATCTTGTTACGGTGGAAGATGCTTTTGGTGCATTGTCTGAAAAGGCAATCACCTATTCGCAGCCTTTACAGTTAGAGGGGGCTGTCAAGTCTACTACCAAGTTGGACATTCCCGGTTGTCGAGTGATATTGACTTCTGAGAAGTGATCCTCATTTAGACCTCGGATATAAATGCTGTACAATATAAAATCCATGACACAAATAGTACAAAAAGTGACGAGAACGAAATGGTAAATCTTGATGATGGGTATGATAATTGAATGTGATAATTAAATAGTTATGAAGTGTCAATCATGACTTATCGAGAAGCCATAGCTAGTGAGCGCAAGCCAGTCGGAACTGGAAAGTAGTTAGCATATGCTTCACACAGGGCATTAAGGGGAGCACTTATAAGAAAAAAGGGGTTCATAACCGTCACCATGACCAATATCTTTCGCCAACCCAGAATCTTCAGTTTCGAGCATTGCCCAACCGCTGCTTACGGCAGAGGTGTCAGTTGTTCTCACTTGTCAATTTCGACCCACCCTGGTCCAACCTTGCCGAGGCTTGACTGATCATAGCATATACCAGCAGGGAAGTGGCGCAGACAAGCCAAAGCTTTGATCCTCACTCGAGAGAGGTCCCACACTACACCCTGGAGGATAAATGAGTATCACCAGCTACCAAGGACAAGACTGGCTAGACAGTGAAGTCCGTGAATGAAAGCAATCAAGGATGGAGAGAACTATACACCCAAACCACAACAGTTGGGTTATTCGAAAACAAGAAGATAGATGAACAGACGAATGCGTAAGATCAGGACGACAGTAAATGAACCAGAACAAGAACATCCATTCTCCCGACATCTCCAAATGAATCGCCGATGAGCGGACCATAGTGCTGTGTGATTGATGGCACCCAATATCTTCAGTCTCCTTCATCTGTCTAGGTCAAATAAAAGCAATAAAAGCGTCCAGTCAAGAGCGTGGACCCAGTCTTGGGTGTGTGGTACATTGTCCTCTGGGATAGGTTTTTGTTTCCTCTTCCACGAGGGAAGGGCATGGTAAAGCGAACAAAGAACGTCCATAAAAATCGCTTTCATCTCCAGAGAGGAATGGTATGAATACCATTGGTGTCGTCAGAGCCCATCGATCGATTTACAAGATGAACTTGTAAAGAGATGGTTGACAGAGGCGGTCTGGATATTTCTGAAGAAAGTCGGGCTGGTAGCTGGTGCTGTAGCCCGAGGTCGCCAAGTTATTTGCAAACTAGGAATGATGAGGCCAAAGAGGTAGAAAGCAGGAGCTAGATATCCAGGTATCTCCGTCGGGGAAGCAAATACAGGAAGTCTGACCGAACCAAAACTTGCAACGAACAAGATGGAATAACAAAGAAGAGAATTGAAATAAAGCATTGCCGGCCGGAACGTGATAGCAATCCAGAGCCTTGAAGCATGACTTGACCAGAGATTCCAGAAAAGTTGCGGCGTCAAGGAACCATGAGGTGACAAAACAAAACGACCTCGCGACTATCCGATCCAGAAAACCTGCCTGGGCAGATTCAGAGATACGGACAGATTCCGACGAGTGGATCGTTCTGAGTTGCCAACATTATGGTTGTGCGTGATGGAGAAAGCTATGTTCTAGGCGCCGTATCACTTCAAAACTCGTCGATGCCCTAGGCTATTCAATACCGGAACGTTGCAGTGAGTCAAGGACTGTCGTTGATATCCTAAAGACAACCACTAGTACTGAATACTCAGGCGCCCGATAAGCTCCACCTGCTTTCTCTTTTTGGTATCCTCATATTCGTAACATAGGTCGACCATCCATTGACCCAGCTCGCGTCCAGCATAAGGAAACTGACGCGTAGTCCATAGGGACGCAGCATAGTTATCACTGTCTTTGATGCCGTGCGGCTCTGGAAACTTCAGATCATTTTCGAGATTTCTGCCCATCACAGGCATACCCTCTAGTCGTAAATCTGGCGGGCTTTTCCTCCGAGGCTGCTCCCGAAGGACTGACGCGCGAAGGGCTTAGGGTATTAAAATCCAACTGGTCCGCTTTAATGCCTTGCAGCAGCAGGTGACAGTCAGATCTAAAGAGGATATGGGCTGTACATGTGACTTTGAAAAGGCACAAGACCGGGTATCACGTTCGCGAGAGGCGTAATATTGAGCTCGGTTGATACATAAACAAATTCTGGATTCAACGAGGATATTGGGTAATCTCAAGTCCAGGACAATCTTTCAATATGGCCATCATGAAGATTCGGAGGAGGTGTGGAAAGGAGTGTGACGGTAGGTTGTTACTGTTCAGAAGAAACGACGCGACTGTAATGATAGATAGCTCGATTTCAAGGTCACGTGATGACGCGCCTTATCACCCGCACTAGAATTAATTGGGATTAGCGCAAGGGAAACTTTGTTGATGGAGCAGAGCTACTCCAACTCTTTCTTTCCTCGTCACTTCTCTCAATTCACTCATTATCTTCGCAATGTCGCTCCCTCCCGAAAAGCTCAGCATCAAGCGACGCCGCGATGAAGACCCTGTTGACAAACTATGTATGACCTTTCCAATTTTATTGCTTCTTACCACTCACAATTTCTCGTTACCCCACAATCTCTTTCTTTACATTTACTGTTTGATTTCCTGATGATTTGCTGGACTCTTTACACATTGATTAGTTACTGACAAATAAAATAGACATAGATGAAGCCCAACCTCTGACGAAGCGTCTGATTACCCGTCGGTTTACCGATTATTACTTCCAGCGTCTTCCCGCGGATACTCCCACGGATGGTGCCCCCAAAGAAGAAGCTGGTCCCCAGAACACTCAGAGAGTACTGCGTACCCCTAGATCTGTCAGCAGCTTGAACATTCCCAATCCCCGGGCATCACGCGCTTTCAAGGCGAGTGGTGTACCAATAGTTCGGGCAACTGCCCCTGGGGACGAATTTCGTGATGCTCAGCGCATTTTAAATGCCCGGAATGAGGCTGCTGAAAAACGGAAGAACGCTTTGAACTCCACCCCTGATCATGTTGTTCCAAAAATTGATAACTCTTCGGGAATTGAGTTTAATACAGCCGATGCTCAGCCTAATATTCCCGGAGGGTCTGTTGTGCGCCGCTTTAGAATTACCCCTTCCACCGGCGCAAACTCGCTGGGGTCGCTACGAGGTCCATCTGGGGGCATTCAGAAAAATAAGGCTCAAAATACCGGCTCTGGAATCGCTGTTCTTGTAGAACAGGAGCGCAGATCAAACTCGCGAAACGCACCGATGACTGCATACTTGAATCAGCAAGTGGATGAAGATGCAACCGCTAAGGAAGCTCTAAATTCTCTCAATTCTGTCAATGCTACGGTGGAGTCGGTCCTGCAGGGCTCGCTCAGGAAGCGACCTGTTGTCAACCAGGCAGAACTTAAATGGAGGCAGGAGCAGCAACGCACTGTGTCTGCTGCAAAGACTAATATTGCGTCAACCTTTGAAAAGACAGCGCGTGCGAAGAACACTACCTGGGATGAACATGCAGATCGTCTTGCAGAGGAGTTCGAGCAAGTTGCGCTCGATATTGAGCAACGGGACAAAGCCGCATTGAGCCCTCTCCGACAGGTTGCATCACCTCAAGCCCCCAAGTACTTTGCTTCGAAGCAGAAGCAACACAAATTCAAGCCACACCCACCAACAAAACCAAGGGTTGTCCCCCCAAAGTCGACTCTGCTGAGTCGCAGCCAATGGAATGCGAGGACGACTGGGTCTACGACGTGTACATCCGACGACCAATGACAGAGGGCGATGGGCTTAAGAACCCACTGGCAGAAGTTCCAGACCAAACGAGCAAGGCAGTTGACTCCGGTGTCGGTGTCATTATGATCACACCCGAAGACCAAGAGCTCTGGGACGATTTCGCCGAAGAAGACGAGGACGAAAAATGGGACAGTGAGGATGCAGACTCAAACGGTAAGTTCATTTCTTCTATCCTGAGTTATATGGTATCCTTAACAACCTATTCACAGCCGAGGACAACCCGGCAAACGACTACCCTGATGAGTCGTCTGAGGACGACGAGTGGACCGAGGACTCGACTGCAAAGGAATGGAGAAATCACTACAATAGGGGTCTTCAAGGCCGTTCAAACCCTCTGCGTGAGGAGTACGATTGCGAAGAGGAATATGATTTCGCATGTGACGATTATGATGATGGCGTTCAATTTTCAGGCTGGCGAGAAGATCCTGATTATGACTCCAATGTCGAGAGCCCCTAATCTTGAGGGCAAGGTTCTTTACAGAAGTAACTTGTTTATTCATTTTTAATCCACGACTATCGGCCGGCATTACTTGAGAGTGCAGTCTAGATAAAAAGGCTAAATAATCTTGGAATTGAGATACCTAAAAAACATAAGTGCGGTATTGTAGCTTAGAATCTCAAAGTAAATCTAGCAATTTGAGCTACCTCTTTGTTCTCAGGGCTCTCCCTTTGCGCATAATATTAGCCTGGCTATCACTCTCAACTCTATATTATGCTCGTATAATAATCTGCTTTACCCTTCGATCTCTCGCTATTGATCTTGAGCGGCATTACCTTCAAAAACGAAGCTCGAAGCTTGCTTATGGCGATTAGTTGCCAAAAGAACGATCATGAAGATGATGAATGAATCAACTAGGCACTAGCCAGGAACTGGGCGCTGCAGGGTTTATTGTGATCTGAAATGCACGAATTGCTCTAATTGCAAAAGCGCACGCGCAGTGCTTGACTTATCACTCGGAGAAATAGATCGAGGTGAGCTCAAATGTTAATGACAAACTCATGCGATTGTAAACCTAGGCTTCCACTGTAGAGAAATGCCAATCCCAGGTATCTTGTAGGACGTTTATTATATCAGAGACATGTAAATAACAAAATAAGTAAGCTAGTTGGAAACAATAAGAGTCTTAATACGCATGTCTTGATTCCTTGTTCATAGGGTTTCCATTTCATCAAAAGAGTCGTGGATATCAGGCTATTCCGCAGAATATTTACATGTTTTTGGAACTATCTTCGCCCGGTAGGACATTACTTCCATACAGCTGTAGTTGTTGCAGAAGGTCTTTCACTTGCCTGTCGAAATCGGCATTTGTTTAGTGTACCTCCTGAATCGTTGCTGCTGATGGGACATCCAACCCCGGATATCCAAAGATGTCATAAATCATTCCAGTCATTTGTCAAGTAAGATATTTGATGCATGGCTATGCATCTACCCGCCGATAAGAATCATGGGCCGGTTCTTCATATTTTCTAGCTGCCCCATTCCAGCATGTTTCTCCTTCTTGCGCTTCACAGCAGCTCCAATTATATCAAGGATGGCGCATTCTCGCTCGCTAACCAATCGGCCCTCGTCACTTAACCTGGCAGCACTTTCGACAGTCTCCAGCAACCGCAGCTCCCTCATTGCCTGCTTATCGATGGGATTTCCACCGTTTCCCCGCCGGATGACATCGCGAAGTGATACCTCCGTATTACCGAAAAGACAGACCTTCAGGTTCCCATCACTAGTTATACGCAGCCGATTGCATGTACCACAGAAATTATGCGTCATGCTAGTGATGAAGCCAACGCGGCCGACAAATCCAGGTACGTGATATGTTTTGCTAGTATCGCTCTTGTGATCGACGACCTTTTCCAGCGTCGGGTATTTTTCTCGTATAGTCGACAGCATTTCCTTGTACGAGAACATCTTGCCCTGATTCCACTTGTTGCCGTCGAAAGGCATATACTCGATGAATCGGACCTCGATAGCTTTTTCCCGGCCCAGCTCGACGAAAGGCACGATCTCACGGTCATTCATACCGCGCATGATGACACAGTTGATTTTCAGCTTGATGTTCGCTCCTACTTTGTTCATGTCAAGAACGCGGTTGATGCTCTTCATCACCGCTTCGAATCCGTTGCGCCGTGTCATTATCTGGAATTGGAATGGGTCTAGGGTGTCGAGACTAAGATTGACACCCGTTAAACCCGCTTCTGCCATTGCATCTAGCTTACGATGCAGGGAAATCCCGTTCGTGGTCAGACATAGCTCTCGCAGACCGTTCTGACGCAGCTTGCCGAGGTCTTGCATTAGAGGTACGATGTCCTTCCGAACAGTCGGTTCCCCGCCCGTCAAGCGGATTTTCGTTACGCCCTGAGCCACGAATAGGGATGAGAGATAGACGATTTCCGGTGAGGTCAATAGTCGTGCTGGAGGCGAAAGCTCTATCCCGTCTTCGGGCATGCAGTATACGCATCGGAGGTTGCACCGCTCCGTGACGCTTATGCGAAGGTAGTCATGTTGGCGATTAAAATTATCGGTGAGGAATTCTGAAAAGGGTTTCGCAGATCGGAGTGCGTCGAGTCTCGAAGGAATGTGCTTATTTGAGAGGGATTCGGTCGGTGTGGGGTTTGCAGTGGATGATGTGTTCCGCAACTGGGATTTTGGGTAGATGTTCCAGATTGGATTCCTTAGGATCCGTCTGTATATCATAGCTGCTATATTAAATAGTATAAAGGATGAAAAGGCATTTATTGTGGAGGATAACTAAGATAAAGTTGAAAGCTTATCTCAGCATAAACTTGCCCGCTGATAACAAAACACTTCAACTACAAAAGGACCAACGGCTTTAAAAAGCTAATCACCCTCCTTTTAGGCTGCTCTGCTACAAAATCTCTATTAATGCTTTTTAGTAGGTAACATCCATAACCTGGTCCGAGCAAATGTCAGTATAGCTCCTTCGCCATTCTTTCTAATACAGAGTACGGTTTACGCGAAGATGATTAGCTTTTGTTCAGAGCTATGTAGAAGGATATAAGATTGAATACACCAGATCTAAGGCAAACAGTGCAAACATGTACATATTTCGACAATTATCTTGAGTTGACAACTTCAACAATTTTCATATTGAGTTAATTGCATCTCGATCAGTTCAACTTCCATGCTAGTTATTCATAGCTCGGAAAATGACTATCAAATCCAAGTACATGTGATCGGGGAGTTTTGGCCGATCGTCTCCACATCGCAAGCCTTGCCACAGAAGGCATAGTTCATCCATCCCGGAACCGGGCCGTTGAAGGGACGATACAACCTATTTGAACTTGAGGAAAGGAGTCAACCCTAATGGCTTGAAATATATATACGAAGCGTCTCGCATTGTGGAGAGACCCATCACATGGAACCAACCTCATTAGCTGTTCATCAAAATGACCGAAGCTCGTCGCCCATCCGATAGCAGTCACAACATTGATCTAGCGAATAAAGAGGAACCACTACAATTTCCAACCCCCGATGATGCCACAATTGAAAAGCTTGAAAATGGACCCCAAGAACAAGATGCCTCTGAGTCCGAGGCTGCAGCTCATGCAAAATATAGCATACTTCCCGCTAGTGAGAAGATATTTGTGATAACAGCTGGGTCATTTGCCGCCCTCATATCCCCTCTGTCAAGCAGTATATACCTCCCAGCCCTCGATTCTCTTGCTCAAGATATGAATGTGTCGATTCCATTGATAAATTTGACTATCACGATGTACCTGGTATAGTTCACCCCCAAGCTTTCCATAATTCACAAAATACTAACTGAAGACAGATCTTTCAGGGATTGGCTCCATCTTTTATAGGCAGCTTCTCTGATGCCTATGGACGACGTCCAGCATACGTCATTTCCTTTGTAATCTACCTGGGAGCCAACATCGGTCTTGCCTTACAAAACAATTACGCTGCCCTGATGGTACTGCGTTGTCTACAGTCCTCAGGTAGCAGTAGTCCCATCGCATTGGGAAGCGCCGTCGTGTCAGATATCACAACACGAGCAGAACGTGGAAAATATATTGGATATGCTGGTCTGGGGATGGCATTGGGCCCAGCACTTGGTCCTGTGATTGGAGGACTTCTCGATCACTATCTCGGATGGAAATCCATCTTTTGGTTCTTGGTGATTCTCTCTGGTATATGTTTTATCGTTGTGCTGCTGGTTTTACCCGAGACCTGCCGAGTCATTGTTGGCAACGGCTCTGTTATTCCTCCATGGTGGAACCAGCCGCTCTGGGTCTTTTTTGCACCAAACTCTCGGTTTCGAAAGCCGAATGAAGAGCCTGATTATTCCTCCCTTCAGCCGTTGAAGCATCGTCCAAACCCAGTCACTTCACTGCGAATCGCAATGCAGAAAGAGGCTGGCCTTATTTTATTTTACGGTGGTCTGATTTTCTCAGGTTATATGGCCGTCCTGAGCACCCTCACCACGCAGCTGACCAGTAGGTATGGGTTTAATTCGATCCAAGTTGGATTATGCTATTTACCCATCGGGGTTGGCTCCATCTGCTCTCGCTGGACAGTAGGACGACTACTCGATTGGAACTTCCGACGCGAAGCACGACTGCAAGGAATGACGATCGAAAAGAATAAACAACAGGAAATCCTCAACTTCAATATCGAGCGAGCCCGGCTGGCTATCACGATACCATTGGTCTATGGTGGGGCTTTTTTTCTCCTTGCTTATGGGTGGGTTATGGAATATAAAACCTCTCTAGCAGGTCCTATTGCAATGTTGTTCTTCGTTGGTCTCGTCACCAGTGGCGCCTTCAACACTCTGAATACCCTCGTGGTGGATATAAACTACGAGAGCGCAGCCACTGCCGTTGCAGCTAGTAATCTTTGCCGGTGTTTAATGGGGGCTGGTACTACAGCCTTCATATCACCTTTGATTGATGCTATTGGTATCGGGTGGACTGGAACTTTGGTTGCGGCACTTTGGGTCGGGTTTAGTCCAGCCTTATGGCTAGTTCAATCTCGGGGTTATGGTTGGAGGAAAGAGCTCCATCAAAAAAGAGAAGAGAAAAAGGAGCAAGTCGAGAAGAAATAAATACAGATTAATAATGGAGTACGAAGTGGTGGTATGGAATCACGTGACTGGTTTTTCATAAAACCGAAGAGGAACCCATAGACGCCCCCGAATCTCTCACTGAATTCCTCCGCTTATCCACGGTGGCCCGATCGATAGCGCATACATCGCTAGCTCCTTTCGTTTAGCTCAGTCTAACTGGAGATACCGTTCACGCTTGGACGTTTCCATGGCCATGATCTCAACTACCCTGAAATATGGATACTTCTCCATCTGAATTCGCTAGGATTAGTTACACGGTCAACTCAACATATGCAGACCCTGATAACCGCATCTAAGATGACGTTAGTCGATCTGACGCAACAAGTACTGCAGATTCAAGCCAATGGCGGAGACTTCTCGTTTAAAATTAATAACTTTGTCTTCTTCTCTTTCATGTCTTCCAATGCCAATGTCAATCATCTACCTTAGCAACTGACTGCCAATACTTCCATGGCCATCCAAAAGCTTGATTCAGCTTGGCTAAACTCCACTTTCAATATCCACATTCCGGATATTAAGGCACAAAATGATCCACTTTCGACAATAAAAGTCGTCGACGCTAGCGCCGGGGATTACGCATGCACTTGCTCTAGCCCAGTTATTTTCAAAAAATCCCCCCTACGTGGAATGGGGCGTACACCCTGACTATGGTCCCTCTTTGACCCTTTTTGCTCCTCCCAGTTTTCTCCATCGACATATATCCGCCGATAATACGGAGTATATCCCTTCATTCCCTCATATACCGACGCTCACCGATCCCGACCCACAACTGCCACGATATAGAGGGCTCTTCTTGAAATGCATCTTCCCGGTCCCTGGTCCCTGCTTAAGGGCCTGCTGGTCACGCTACTTGTATCAGATCGTGTACATGCAATTGATCTCGATATCACAAGCGAAGGTGCGTTGACCGCCTCTCGACATTTTTCAGCACTTTCCATTTTTGTTCGCTTCTTCGATATAAAATGCTGACTCTGCAGTTTGAAAACAGATTCTATTAAGGATGCCGCCTCGACATCAGTATATGCCATGATGACCTACTACAAGGGAAACTTAACAGGTCACATCCCCGGAGCATTTGCCAGTAAATGGTGGGAGGGATCAGCGCTATTCTTGGCGCTACTTCAGTACTGGCATTTCACCGGCGATTCTACCTATAATGAGGAAATGCGTATCGGAATGCAGTGGCAGGCGGGTAGCGGCGATTATATGCCTAATAATTACAGTAGTTACCTGGTTCGTCGCACTTTCCCCATTTCGATCGAATGATCTTACTCGGATCTAGATTAATGCTAAATTATTTGTGGTTGAATAGGGAAATGATGATCAAATGTTTTGGGGCCTTGCGGCCATAATGGCGGCAGAGGTCAATTTCAACGACTCTTCATCTGGATACTCATGGTTGTCTTTGGCGCAGGGCGTCTTCAACACTCAGATCAACAGATGGGATAAGACTGCCTGCAGTGGAGGAATGCGTTGGCAAATCTGGCCCTACCAGTCCGGCTATACTATGAAAAACTCGATTGCGAATGGAGGCCTATTCCAACTGGCGGCACGACTTGCTCGCTATACTGGTTCAACCACCTACTCAAATTGGGCAATCAAGATCTGGGACTGGTCTTTATCCACGCCACTGCTTAGCAACACGACCTGGAACGTCGCCGATTCGACTAACATGGAAGACAGCTGTTCTACACAAGGAAATACACAGTGGAGTTATAATTACGGTACTTACTTGATGGGCGCTGCTTATATGTATAACTATGTGAGTTTTCCCATATCCAGCTAAGGCTATGTTACTTCCTTGCACATCCTTGCTTATCTTTATCTTCTATAGACTAACGGCAGCTCTACCTGGCTTACTGCGGTAAATGGACTATTGAACAAAACCCTCGACACCTTCATTGTGGATGGAGTTCTAAAGGAAGTCACTTGTGAACCGTCAGAAATGTGTAACGACAACGAGATTCTCTTCAAGGGACTCGTCTCGTCCTGGTTATCTTTCACTGCGATTTTAGTCCCATCAACATACTCCACTATTCTCCCATACCTCCAAAAATCCGCAAAAGCAGCCGCTCTATCCTGCACTGGTCACAACAATAACACCTGCGGAGTTCGTTGGTACCTATCCAAGTATGACGGCTGGATTGGTATGGAAGAGGAGATTTCCGCAACAAATATCTTCGTCGCGAACCTGATAGCCTTTCAAAAGTCGGGTCCTGTCTCATCCAGTACTGGAGGAACTAGTACCAGTGATCCTACCGCTGGTGAAAATGACACAACCTCTTCGACTGAGAAGCAGTCGACTATAACAACGGGTGACAGGGCTGGGGCTGGTATCTTGACCTTTGTCTTCGCCCTTGGCTGGATCGGCTTGATGGCTTGGACTGTCAAAGGGGCTTGATCTTGATTTTATCTTGCATGTGGGTTCTTTACGGAGTTTGTGGGTTAAGCATGGTACTTTCATTCAGATTCATGGCTCTTGTTTAGCTGAGCTTTTCGATTCTCTGCATATATAATATACAAAATACTTTATTGATTCAAATTAACGTTGAAATAGACACATACCATGGATATTTTTATTCTAAAAACTAGTGTGTTTGAGATGAGTGGAATGAGTGGACAGTATGGTCTTTTGGCAGTCTCCATGCTCGGCGCTTACAGGTGCGCTCTATCCTACCCCTCTTTCGCTCGTTGCTTATGAGCCATTCGAATCGTATACCTACCTAGTCTACTAGTTATTGGGCTAACTGCCACAGGTTGTCTGCTAGGCAGACAGTTGACACTCATATGGTTGCTGGTGGCAGTGCATCACTCTCTATAATTATCTCTACTTAGTCTTCTCACTCTCTCCTCTCCCTGTCTGAATTTAATCACCTCTCACTGTCTATAGACATGGCACCACTTAATCTCCTTCAAAATGTCCTCGTAGCCGAGAACAGGACACATGCCAGCAATTTCGATGGGGTCCACAAACTTATCCTTGATCGACCCATGGTCTTATCCATGATCCAAAATCTCATTACAATTTTGAAAGAATGGGGGGCGGTTATCGTATGGTGGTTCTCGAATACTGGTATGAAGAACGGCGGTTGATTATGCGAGGAATTTCGAATAGTCGTGCTACTAACGAGATGGTATCTCAAGATTTTCTGGCCTTTATACTACATTCGATCGCAGCCGTAAAAGAATGGTGGACAGATCTTTTTGAGTGGTTCTCAAGTCCTGGTACGTATGATCGTTTTCAAGCTACTTCGTAGATTTCTGAAGTTCTAACGACTAGCTATTCAGATGTCAGGGCTTTCATTGCAGTATTTTGGATAGCTTTTACTATCAGCATGATGGTCATCTACATAGGTCTCATGCTTATAGGATTCGGTCAGGCAGGAGTCATAACAGGTCTGTTTATCCTTTTGTCTTCTACGTGTTGGAATGAAGGATCTTGGGACTGCTCGTACTGACTTATTTGATCAAGGCTCTCTGGCGGCTTGGTTCCAGTCGACTATGTATGGGGCTTTTACACCCGCTGGTGGAATATTTGCTCTTTTGACTAGTACGGCTATGCTTGGTCCGAATGCTCCCCTCATGCTAGTTATTATTCCGGTTGCGGTTGTATTGTCAGCTGCTGCTGCAATTATCTGGAAGTTTTTGTGAGAGTTGCGTCCTCTAGGATTGCTCAATTGGATCAGTTGATAGATATCCTTCTATCTTGGATGTAAGACCACCATTGCGTGTGTTGTTGGTGGAAGACTAGCTTTTTCCATGTTCTATTTTATTTTTCACAAGGGTCATTCTCAAGTCTTTCTTCTTTCATATTATTTTATGCAAGGCATTTGTTTCTTATGGCCTTGATCTTTTATAAATAGCATTCTTTTTGTCTCTAGTCGATTCCTTTGTACTACATAGGTATATGGAAAGAATTACAGTCTTTTTTCGTCTAGATTCAATCTCACATTAATTTAGGTAGGCTTAGGCAAGCACTGAAGGTACATAGCCTAGGAAGCCTCGAGTTGGCCTTTTCTTTGCTCGATATTCATCTCAAACAAAAAAAAAAAAATGAAACATACAATACAAAGTTGAAATTTGGAAAAGTCCAAAACAGCCCGCCATGTCTCAGCCAAACTGTGACCAGAGGGCGAATTTCCAAAGCTGGCTAGAAGGCCCCAGCGCAGAATGTGACCAGGAAATCCGAGACTACGACACAAACCTCGACTAGCTGAAAGGAAAGAACGGATGGAGGGTCAAGCAGCGCACTGAAAAATTAAGCAGCATGTACTACGATCGACTCCACTCTTTGGGACTACGCGATAAATCAATAAAAGTGAGTCTCGCAAATTTCAAGATCTCCAAACTCATGTTTCAGCAAAAGCGACTTTAAGCTCAATCTACTGGAGTGAGCGTCACAAAGAGGGCGTGATGATCATCGAAGAGGTTAAGAGGCAAAACGGGCTGGCTGAAAGTGTTCCTTTTATTTCAGACATTGCAAGCTGCTTTTACAAATGCGATTATACGATGGACACGCTGAAGTTTGTCTTTGCCGAGAATGTTGTGAACGTTAAGACGAAAGCTCTCATCCAGGATGTCTTATACGAAGGTAGATGGAAGGACAGTTCCGGTGCTCCTATTAGTTCAGGAAACTATAACGGGAGCGGAAGTGGTTTTGAAAGAAGCAGCTCTGATTCCGACGTCATTCATATTAATGGATTGGGAAGTGTCACTGGCTCTGGCTCTGGAGAAGAAAGTGACTCTGACTCTGGAGGATGTGGCTCTGATCCCGGCGCTTATCCGTCAACTGAAACTGGAACCGAAACTGAGAGCCGCAGTGGCAGCAGCGATAGTTGCTCTGAGCCTCATACTTTCATTGAAAGTGTTGAGTTGAAGACTTGGCATCATGGCGCAAGGGGGTATCAGGCCTTGCTATGCTCACAAATTCGCACAATCGTGGCAAATATGGTACTCAACTCTTTCCAAGAAGTACACGACGCATCGCGAGGATTATCACTTGGCCGTGCAACAACAAGATCATGATGGAATTTAATATTGAAGAGGTCTAGCTAGTCTCTATCTTGCTGCGAGATGATATTATCCCAAAGCCCCAGGTACGTACCTCTGTTCAGCCCCCAGGACTTTAGAGACCTTGTAATCGTTTAACTGGTAAAGTCACTTATTGTCTATGATTAATTGCCCAGAGCTGCTACCAAGATAGTAATTGCGCCTTTGAAGCTCATAGAAATATATCATTCTTTCTTAACATCCGCTTTTATCGTAGACTTCTGTTCCAACTAAGAAATTCTGAAATTTAATCTCCACGTCTAAGCTAGTCTTGAAATCATAGGAACCACATGGTCATAATGGATCAAATATGAAAATAACATTGGAAGTATAACAACGTCGATTAATCAAAAACCAGCGGAGGTAAAGCTCCAAACCTGAAGTACGGAACGATTGTAGTATTTATAATGATTTTCAATTCGCTGGGCTATTCTGTGAGGAAGAATTGAGCATTATCTACTCAGATATCTAGTTAGCTGGTGATCATCCATTCACTTTGAGCCGCTTCGACTCCAACCAAAACCAAACATTAAGTAGTGGAGAGCGACATAATTGGCCCATCATCAAGGAAGACCCACCTAAATATCTTGAGGCAAAAGAGTTTGCCGAAATAAAAACCGCCAAATAAAAGCTATCCACGATATGACCGACAATTTGCATATAAAGGATCCCTCAAAACCGACACACATAGATATGGCCTTTCGAAGACAGCCTGATTGGATCCATCCGGACTTAATTGAGTCCAAAGACCCCATCAAGGGCCGACAGCTCCGCGTATCGGCTCTCATTCCGAAAAACACCTGCCTCCTCATTGATCGGGCGTATGCAATAATTCCGGTCGTTGATCACCCGGCGACAAACGATGATCTGATTTGCAGTAATCTAATTTGCAGTCGTCGGGCTTCGAGTTCTGCCGGACGGTGCTCTTGCCCTAATGGATGCATCGAGGATGTAGCGTGGTGCAGTGATGGTTGCAGAAATACCGATAAGGCTCGTCATGAGTTTGAATGTAAATGGCTGAAAAGATACGCGCCTGTCATTCGTGCTAAATGGGACGAATATACTTTTGGTATGCTTTGGTTGATTGTTCGTCTGCTTGCCACGCGATCTGCTTCGATCGCCATGGATGGTGATATTGCGCAAAAGACAACATCTTCAATATCACAGAAAGACTGGGCTGGTGTCCAGTCATTATGTGGCTCAACCGATACATGGCCCCATGAACAGGTCCGGTCGTGGACGATTCTTGTGAAAAAATATCTTCAAAACAGTCCACTCTTACCACATGGGATGAGTACCGATCGTATACTTCATCTTATCTGTCAAGAAGAGGCCAATTCATTCGGTCTCTATCCATGTGAAACGGGAGTGTTCCCGCCACCGAATCCATCGACGGATCGAGGAGAACAATTTGCCGCTGCTGTTTACACCACGGCGGCTTTAGCTAATCATAGCTGTTATCCAAATGTGAGTCGACCCGACCCGTCTGAAAGAACTAAATGTGTTGATCATATTGAAGATAATCCATAAGCCCGATGATCAAGGCCGTATGGTCTTGACTGCGGCCCGCGACATTCTTCTTGGTGAAGAATGTTGTATCACCTACTTTGACTTGACGGTACATATAGATCTTTGTTCACGTAGAGAGCATCTTAGAAAGTCGTTTCGATTTAAGTGCCAATGTGAAAGATGCATCTCTGAAGACTCAGTTGATATGACGTCGGAATGGGACCCAATGCCAGTATTTGATGAGTGAAGCATCTCGGCTTTTTTGGCACATCACGAAGCGTCACCAAAAGACAGGACTCGGTGAAAAAGACTGCATGTTAAAGGAATAGAAGGGGAAGAGAGAAGGAGGATGACCCACCACGGAATTTATGTCTATTATCCTTGATTTTCTTCGAGCATGGGAGTGAGTGAGATTTAGAAGCTAGAAATACATTTGACAGGAAATAATTTCGCAATTTTGACCGGGAACACCATCCTGGGATCTGAGTTCCGAGGATTGTGTAGAGCCGTGGATAGTTGAGGTTGAAGTTACGAAATTGACGATGAATTTTCACACTATTAGTAACATACAAAATTAGTCACAGAACTTGTAAGTCCTATTACAAGTACTTTTGCAGGCAGGTAATACCGCGATTATGACAATGCGTTCGATAGATACCTAAGAAAAACAAATCATAATTTTTTAAAAAAGCCTTATCAAATCATACATAGATCATTCAACAATGAATCTAGTCCAAGTTAATTCCTAGAAAAAACAAGCCAACCCATGAGAAACTCAAGGAAGAAAACCATCCAAGTTTCTACACAAAAACCCTAACCGCATAATTATCAATACAAGTCAAAAACTTGGACGGTGATATGTACAGGGAAGACGGCCCAGATACATGGCCACGGTCTAGCTCTAGCTCTAGCTCTAGCTCTAACGACGAGAAACGACGCAGAGAATGCCAGACTTGCCCAGGAAATAAAGAGCGCCGATAAAACGGAAGACCGACAAACCGGCTGTGGTCCACAAAATTGCCGAGAAGTAGTTGGCAGTTCGCGTAGTGGAGGTATTCTAAATCAGGTTGTTAGTAAGGGTGTACACGAAGATATGCAAGTTAAGACTTACCGTGATACAGAATCGATCCACGCCGGTAGCTGTGATGCAGAGCACTAGGATCAGGTTGCTGAAAATCCACAGCAAGACCAAGTTGGTACGGAAGGCCTTGTATGAGTCATCCATGCTCTTTTCGTCGTCCTCCACAGGAGGCACAAATGGCGCCAGCGCCCGTTTAACAGTAGACTCAAATTGGCTATCGATATCAGCCTGCGGTTTGTCGACTTCTTCAATAAAATTGGTTTTGCTGTCGTCTTTCTGTGTTTGAGCCACCGGCAGTGCTTCGGCTTTGTCGGAACCCTTGGTACCCCAAGAGACATCATGCCAGTTGCAGAAGGCATAAACCATCAAGATATTGATCGAGCAGGTCATTCCGCTGAAGTAGGCCCAGGAAGACGAGAACATGTGCCATGGATCCATGTACAAGAAACTAGCAAGGAAGTAGATACCGTAGGTAGTGACCAACGCAATCACAATGATACCAGCGCCACTGGAGCTGAAGAAAGACTTGAAAAACGCGCCAACACCGTCGGATGTTTTAAAATCCAGAGTACCTCCCATGAATGCATTAGCCACAAGGTAGAACGAGTCGACGAGAATGTAGCATTGCAAAATAGAGAAGTACAGGAACGAAAGCGTGTACGCAAGACGAGAGCTGATGATAGTTAGTATACAGTGCGGTCCGTGGCCAGGTATTTCTTTACTTACCCTTTAGGTCGGTTACCCAGTGCTAGGATGAACTGAAGCATCAAAAAGAAGACATATCCATATTTCAGGAAATTGTTGACGATCGGCGTTGCTTCATTACCAAAGGGCCATCCTTTATTCTTGTTCGATGGACTTGGAGTTCCCACGAGATCGAGAATAACCGATGTAGTCAGCCAGAATGAAGCTATTATAAGTCAGTGGCAGTTCAAGTAATAAGAGCTAAAAAAAAAAAAAAAAAAAAAAAAAACAATTAGCAAGAATGATGAACATACCTAGAGAAAACCATGTCATGATAAGACCCGCACAGTTGTAAACCATTTGCAGATGCAGGAAGGCCAAGCGGATGATATTGTGACCACTCTTATAGAGACGGCCAAAATGCATAACAGCATACAAACTGGCAGCAAAGGAGCCGTTCAACCAACGACGTCGCTGACTGATAAATTCAGCAGCACCCTCTGGGACGTCAGTCTCACCCTTAGAGGCCTTGACATAAGTGAGATGCCACTTGAAACCAGCCTTGGCCACTAACTCGAAGCACAGAATACGATCTTCAGCAAGGAACATGTTCTTTTTGAAGATGTTCATGCCTTCAATACCCTTCTTGCCTAGTTGTTTTGATAGTGTGTGATCACCGTGGAAGTACTGCTCAAGTGGTCGGCCCATGATAGCCCGGTAACGATAAGCCGAGAAGGCACCTGGCAACACACTGACATATCCAAAAGCACTCTCTAGGGGTTTGTCAAGAATATTCGAAATCTTATATTCGAAATTCTGGGCCGCAACTAGGGGATTCATCAAATTCTTCCAGCCTTTACCAAGCATGGCGTGAATTTCACCACAAGAGCCACCAAGATTCTTATCGTTATAGAATGACTCCCAGAGGGCAAGAAGTGATTTCTTTCCAGGCTTTGTGCCGGCATCGATGAGGATTACCACTTCAGGATTAAGGATACGGCAGAAACCATTGAACAGCCAGCGATGAGAGTTGATCTTCTTGCTGTTCTTTTGCTTCAGACAGAAGATCATTTGGACAGGAGGCAGGTTAGTCGATTCATTGCCCTGAGGACGAATCAATTGCTGACTCGAGGTGACAGACAACTGCGTAGTATACTCGAAAATATGAGCAACAGTTTCTCTCCCATCGACGGATCGCTTCATGATACCATCCTGGTAGATACCAACTGTGGCCAGCATATCGAGAGTGTTCTTGTCGCAAGGATCAATACCATCAAATACCAAGCTAACCACGATCTTTTGCCAGGCTGGACCTCCCTTGTTCCAGAATTCGGACTTTTTCAAGTTGACAATATCCCGAACATTTTGCATGATACCATGCAGTGTTCGTGCAGTCAGCACTTTGTCTTCGTTGTAATAGGTGATTGCGATGAGCAATTCGGTGTGTCTGTTGTACATCGCAGGCCGAAGATTATATCCGTTTCGAAGGGTGAATTCGTCAGGATCACACGTTGCGGCGGTATCTGAATATCAAATTAATATCTCAACTTCCACCGATCAGGGTGTTACGCACAGCGCAAGTGTGAAAATTCCTCCGGAAATCCCTCTTCAGATTCGCGATACTCTTTCTGGATCGCATTTTGAATGGCACTTGGAACTGGGTAATCCACACTGAGCACGGAACCCTGCACAAGTTTGATTTTACGGGTAGCATAGCGTCGCAGTCCTGATGGAGCCTGTCGATTTTGCCATGCTTCCGAAGTACTATCGGATACAGGGGTCGGAGCCACTGAGTTGCGATCGAAACCCGAACCAATTGCTGTATCCTGGTATGCGCCTTCGGGGAAAGCGGCCACTCCGGGATCTTGGAGGGTATAACGGCGAAGGGCATCGTTTGAGGAATAAGGATCATCAAAGCTGGGATTCAAGGGACTTTGCTGATTTCCACCGTGGAGAAGAGATTGGTGACTTTCGGCTTCGTTTTTTTCTTCGTATCCGTAACCGTAACCTTGCTGTTTGTTTACAAACCTTGTTAGCACGTTTCTCGTGTTTTTATGATTTTTTCGATATTACTGTTTGCTCTGGATTTTATACTCACATTCTGGGGATTCCCTTCATTAGTAGGATGAGCCGAATACAGGCTGCTCTCACTATGCACGGGCGAATGCGAGTGGAGGGAATGAGGAGATGTCGGCATGTTGCTACCCATTTTCCCAGACTGTGTGTTCTTGGGAACAGTGGGTAGTTAAGAGCTTTGAAAAGGTGATGTGAGTCTATTTAGCAAAAACAAAAGCTGGATATTGTGTTAACACGCTAGAACAACTAGAATAAATCAACCTTAGGTGGCCTGACGTAATGGACGAAGCCTTGTGTCGAAGGCGATCAGCTCAAGGGCTATATGATGTTCTAGGATGGTTGGAAATCTGATAGTGATTGCCAGCAGGGCTATTGACAAAGACGGTTCAAGATGTTCCAAAGATAGGTCCTCAAATTCATTTTTAAAAGGGCCGTCATTAGCCTGCAGGGTAAGATATTTTAGGAACAACAGATTTTGATTGGAGGCTATGGGACTTGAGGTGGAGGCGTCAGCATAGACCCATCGTCATTTGCAATTTTTGTTTGTCAACTCATCAACTGTGGGGTCCACAGGTACGGGATTCTGGCTGTTTTCCTTTTGTGCAAGGCTGTCCCAGGGACAGATATCCACAAGACTCAGCCAGGAGTGGCTCATTGCCCACTCACTACTTTGAGTTGGGTGTATTTTCACATGTTGGATTCCTTTCTGCCTTTTCCGCAATGTTACTCGTCCACGATGAGGATGCCGGCGGGTCAACGACGTAGCACATTCTCTTGTAAGGAGTAGATTGGCTCTATCTACCCTTGGGTCATTTGGGATCCATCCCAGACCGACCCTTTGTCCCACCCCCTTTTACTCTCTGTACCAAAACGTTCCTCCTGAAACATCTCATCACAAGGTGGTGGGTGATTTTTCCTCCGTGACCATGAAAAAGGAATGCCAAGCCGCCACGCGGCAGCCAAAGGGTGGCGCGAAAGCTTCCGGATTTTGGGCCTTTGGGGCTTTCTGATCATAAAAGCGATCATAACCGATTTCCTTGAGACCGTAACTTGATGTGATTTGATATTGCAGATTAAGCCCCACTGTGGCGTTGAGAATTGGGCACATCCTTTCTGCGTGAGATGGCCAAGGAAGCGGGTCGCTCGGGATGTAGTTATTAATTATTGGCCTCAGGCATAAAGCCTTGTCAGCAAGACGATCTTTTCTAATACTTCAGTTTGGTCAGGGCTATTTAGTTCGGCACCTAATTATGTCGTTTCTTGTCCAACCTGGTTGACTACAATCTTTCAACATTTTCACTATTTATATATTAGTTACAAAACAGTTTGTTTTCAATATTCTTACCCCGGATTTCGAAATTGATACTTCCTAATATTTCAACATTGGTCTCGGTAAGTACGGAATACGACAGAGCTGTCATTGATAGAGTCTACCAAGTCGCTTTTAAGATCATCATTTATCTCAAACTGCTTCTTTCACTTATTCAGTATCTACATAGGCGTATAAATATTGAATTAGTACTTCGTTTTGATAAGAGAAGCAGATAAGCAGCGCACGTGAGCTTTCAAGGCTTTAAGGCCGCCACAATTGAACTGAGTCAGACATCAAGACCATATCCCCCATTAACTAAGCCTTGTTACATCGATACAAAATCCCCGAATTATCAGAACTACAATCTCAGAGTTCCTTATTTATACCACTCTGATTTGTTGCTATTTGTGTCGACCCTTGAACATCGGAGCCAATTAGGTAACAGAAAAATCAGTGCGGTGAACTCCTCGTCATCTCCCCCACCACAGTTATACACATCACTGCACAGCTCTATGTCGGAATCATTGGTGCCTGACACACGGGTACTGGCCGTGGCTAGTCATGTAAGCCTTGCCACTGACTATTTTTATACTGCTCTAACTAGGATTAGGTCGTCTATGGGTATGTGATAAGCCTCAATGCTTTCCAAGCCTATCGCGTGACCTGTAATTTTGGAACTGATAGTCATCTAGACATGTGGGAAATAGCATGGCAACATTTGCCTTACAGTCGTTAGGATGCGAGGTAGCAGCATTGAACACTGTGAATTTCAGTATGTGTCTTTATATTAGATGTTCTGATACCTCAATCTAATTGTGGGCTAGGTAATCATCTCGGCTATCGACAAGCTAAGGGCACTCGCTTAACTGCGCCGGAGATAACAGACCTCTATGAAGGCCTATGTCAGAGTCATCTCACCGACTTTGATGTACTGCTATCTGGTTATGCGCCTAGTGCGGCAGCAGTTGAGGCTGTTGGTGCAATTGGAATTGACTTGCAGCAAAAGGCCCAGAAGAATCCTGGATCCTTTTTTTGGGGTGAGTGAAGGCGACTATAGAACGAAGTAATTCACCCTTTTAACACTTTTCTGCACAGTATTGGATCCAGTAATGGGTGATCAAGGTCGTCTATACGTGAATGACGATGTGGTTCCCGCTTATAAGAAGCTCATTCACCATGCAGACTTGATCCTTCCGAATCAATTCGAGGCCGAGTGAGTCTTTTTTGACAAGCTCTAGACCAAATTTAAAGGTTAACTAATGTTCCTCTAGGGTTCTGTCAGGCGTCGAGATCACCTCCTTGTCCACTTTGGCCAAGGCCATTACAGAGATTCACCGCATCTACTCCGTCCCGCATATCATTATCACCTCAGTCCAACTATCCAAACTGTCTCAGTCAAGCTCTACCCCTAGCCCACAGGACCTTCTGACTATCATTGGTTCCACTACACGATCAGATGGCTCACCTCGCCTCTTCCGTATCGATGTACCAGCTCTTGACTGCTTCTTCAGCGGCACAGGTGACATGTTCGCAGCACTGACAGTTGCCCGACTCCGCGAGGCTGTCGCAAATTCTGATGTCGATATTAGCATCACGCAGTCCTGGGTATCACCCGATGACGTTCCGGCTACTGATCTACCACTAGCAAAGGCCACTCTCAAGGTGCTCTCTAGCATGCACAGCGTTCTTGAGAAAACTATGCTGGCACGAGATGCAGAATTATCAGCTAACTCATCTGTAGAAAACGGCAAGTTGAATGCAGATGAGCAGCAAAAGCAGGAACATTTGCGTCGCACCAAAGCTGCCGAGATTAGGCTGGTCCGAAATGTTCGATTCTTGCGCGAGCCCCTCGAGCAGTTCACGGCGCAGGAGTGGGCCAAAGAAGACCTTCCCACGCAGAATATATAGACTATTCATAGAAAGCATTAGATTACAAGGAGCCTTGATTCAAGACGGAGATGGTTTCTTCAATCAGGCCAAAAACCAATCAATATGAAGTCGCATAGCGTTATGCATAAAATTACTTGAAGTGTCTTCAGTATATTCCTGCGAGCTTTCCACAAAAATGACCACCATGGTTATATTAAGTTCTGAATCGATTTCGCTGCGAATCCAATATATATATACAATAAGCTATATACACTCACTCTCCCAGTTCTTATATCAATCGAGTGGGTTCGACAGCATTCTACCCTACTATAACATTTCGCCAAAGAAAATTTCAAGACGAGCACAATATCAGTTGAATAGATGAAGAAGATACATAGAGCGTGTGCTCACCACCAAGACATCTATCCCAGAAAGCTCTACTTGTTCGTGGGAACCCTGATAGGTCGGTTTGGGCGGACTTTTATGTTTCAACAACATTTGAAGACATTGGACCTGAATATTTGGCCCAATGCGACTTGTAAAGGTAATTGGGGAACTATTTGGAAGAGCTCCGCTACTCTCAGTAAAGCTATTAGGGGTACTAACAGAATAAAGCAGAGAGACAACCAGGATGAGGGACTTTCTTGTAATACTTAATTCGCTAAGAGGTTCATGCATATGCCGCTAGGCTGCAAACCTTGCAACATTCTGACGGTTACCAAGCTTGAAAGGTTTTGATGCCAATCTGGGCAACAGGCGTTATGTAAATTTAAATTTCAATGTATCAAGACCCCAAAAGTTAGGTGGACGAAAAGAAAGGCCTCAATTTATATATGCTATAAACTTTATTCCCCAAGGCTGATACCAAACATTATATCTAAATGCGATGTACCTCAAGTACAGATAAGTCACTCCAGAGGCATGCATAAAAGTAGAGAGAAGCGGCGCCCCAAATCACAAGCTTGGCGGAACGCAAATTAACAAAAAAGAATACATAAGACAAGGCATTAGAAGGAGTCGCGTGTGTTCACGAGATCCAGATCATATGGGTTTCCTTCATAAGTAGGAACGCGATGTAATTCACCCGACGTGTGCTCGCGCCTTGAGTGCTTGGAATGCTTGGAATGCTTAGAAGTCTTAGATGAATGACTGTCATGAGTAATGGTCCGGTGTAGAGACCCGCCATCAATCTCGTTTGAATTTTCATTATCGTCAGTTTCGGAATATGCGCTTACGCTTCTCGCTTCTTCGGGTATCTCGGGGACGTTAGTGGTAGCTGTGGACATTACCAGTTTAGATTCAGCCGATTCTGGTGCTTTGGCCTTCGCCATACTTTGGAGAAGGCTTTGAACGAATGCTTCCGATTTTGCTGAATATTTGCAGTGTTTTCGGATGATGTGACCGTACTTGTATAAGACGAAGGGAAACGGTACGCAGGCCAGGGCTAGGAAGGCTGGGATGCTGGAGGCCCAGTGAATTCCCAAGTTGTTGAACATTTGCTCAGTGAAAAGAGGGAAGGCAAAGCCGAACAGAGATCGAAGGAGAGAGTTTGCAGCGAGTACAGATGCGGCAAAGATGGTGTAGGAGTCAATCAGATAACTAAATATGCTGAGGAAGCACAGAACCATTCCAAATCCAAATGGCACACCGGCGGCAATGCTGGCCATCCAGTGGATTTCGGGGGAATTAGTCCAAGCGAACCAGAATAGACCAACAGGGAGGGCAATAGATGCTATCATGCATGGAGGAAGACGGTCCTCGGGTGGCGCATATCCTCCTTTCTTATCTTCGCATTTGCTATAACGTTTATTATCTGGGATCGAGTAGGCGAGAGCCAATAACATGCCTATCATAACTCCAAGGAAGGCGAGACTCGAGACGCCTTGGTTCCAGCCTCTGTGCTCCATGAAAACAATCGGGAAAGCTCCAAAGAGCATATAAAGCGTACCATAAATGATGGCGAGATAGATACTGAGTAGGAGAACGATCGGCTCCATGAAAAGAAGGACAAAAGGCCGAGATAATGAAGCCTTGATGGAAGCTGACAGTTTGGGCCGACCTTGTTCAATATCAGGCTTACTAATATAGACCATGCCAGTTAAATTCGAGAGGGTTTTGGCACGCTGGCGGAGAAGGACGGGGCCATAGGTTTCTGGTTTTAACGCGGCTCCCAGGAACCAAAACACCCCACAGAGGATGGAGAGTAGACCCATAACCCATTTCCATCCTTCTGTCATACCTAAGAATCCACCAATAATAGGCCCGATTACAGGACCCAGGAAAGGGGCCAGAGCGAATGCTGCAGAGGCCAGCCCTCGTTGGCGTGCCGTGAACATATCAGCAATTACACCACCGGAGTTTGTGAGTGGGGATGAGCCGAAGGCACCGGCAAAAAAGCGAAGAATGAGAAGAGTCTGAATGTTTTTTGAGCCAGTCGAGCCAGCGCAGAAAGCCGTTAAACCACCATATGCAATGATAAAGACGATTTGTCGACCAAACAGCTCACTCATAGGTGCCCACAATAACGGACCTAATGCAAATCCAAGGACATAAAGTGAGACTCCCAAGGTTGCGATTTCTGTTGTGATCAGAAATTGTTCCTCGATTTCTACGAGACCACCTGTGAATGCACTTGATACCAACGCCACCTAGTTGAGCCTAGTTAGCATGAGATTGGAGACATTCATTTCATAAAGCTGTTTACATACCACAAGTGTCTCCAAAGCCGCTACTACTGTTATACCCCACTTCATAGATGGCTTGAACTGCATGGGGTTTCGAAAGTCCTGTGGCATCCATGTGACAGCGTATGGGTCCTCCTCAGTACCAGATCCTTCATAATGATGATCAAAAACTTCTTGGGTAACTACACCAGGACTGACTACCAATCGCCAGAAAGGAACGGAATTTGGCAGATGTATCGGTAATTTTCCATCGCTGGAAGGCGCTTCTGTGGCCTCAGTCACCATGGTTAGGTGGAGTTCTAGGATAAAGATACAGGGAGGATGGGATCCAATATTCAAGATCTGTAAGAGGCGGCGAGTATTAGATCTTTATTACTTGATAAAAGGGGAAAAGGGAGAAAAGATTGCATCAGCAGGCACGAGTGCTTTTGTTCTACCTAGGTACGCCTCATGCTAGTTTTCGTCCAAAGCTAAATGTCCAATTCAAGAAACAGCCTTGCTAGATTAGTCGGATGTATGACTTGTTTAGGACAAGGGAATTGTGAAATGGATCAGCTTCACAGTAAGTGACCAATAGTCTTAGAGCATGATCTGTTCAAGGGTCCACAAACAGCAATTCACCGTTGATTCATTTCTCGCCCCAATCAATCGGTCTTACGAATAATCATAGTAAGAGTCTAGTCTAGTCTAATAGATGGCTAGGTTCATCATGTTGTTTTTCCCGTTTTTAGTCTTGGTATTTACGATGTACCTACTTGGTACCCACTTACCGCGGCTCATATGCTAATCAGCCCATGACATCGCATAATTTAATGCTAGTGATTATTTATGCTGCGATAAACTACTAATAGTTCCCAGAGCTAAGAGCCGACGGGTCCGAAATTCAGCATTTAATCCGAATAATCGAAGATTAGACATTTCTTCTACGAGAGGCTAGGTGAAAATACTGATACTAAAACAATAATTCGCATATACCTCGTAAATTTGTTTTTTATACGCAGACTCCGTCGTAGATGCTTGCGTTATGCCATAGGGCATTATGAAAGTCGCTCAATAACTCAGAATAAGGCATGCCGAACACAGCCCCGGAGTGATATGGACTTGCAGATGAGATCAAAATACAGTTTTGGATTGGTCCGATAGCACTTGCGTTATTTGTCAATGATACCTATTAAAATCAGCTGAGATGTGGCCGATATCTCCCGATTATTCGCCTCGAGGTTTCATTTTGGACTGACAGATTACTTCTACTCCATTTCCTTCGCTGAACAAGCTCTCGAATGATCTCAATAGTCAGTATCGATGTGAGCTCCGAGCAGTCTGTCACCTCGATATGAATACTTATACTTATATACCTACGTAAGCTATGGAAAACTTTTGATTATCGACGTGGAATTCTTATACTTCTAAGTTTATCCGTATCTCGGCATCGGTTAAGTTAATCAGGCTGTACTCTGGAACCTTGGGAGGCTGCTATCTCTTATAGTCCCTTTTCGATCACTGAAATATCAGCCATCTTCTCCTGGATGGCGTTCTTGGATGCCTCGCTGACTGGCTCGTACGGGTGACGAGGCTGTAACAGTTCTTCGGCGTTGTCGATTCCAGCCGTGATAGCGCTGTAACGGGCAACAGCATGCTTCGTAGCAGCAATGCCACTCTTAATAGGGCTTTCCGCCAACGCAGCTTGTCTCTGGAGCTTGGTAGCTTCCTTGATGTGCCCTGCCTGATAAAGTGCATAGATTTTCGACGTAGTCTTGGGGAACACATTAGAAAATGCAGCAATGCATCCAGCACTACCGGCTGCAAGTCCTCCGATTAAAAAATCGGCCTGTCCGCCAAAAGTCGCGAATTCCTCGGGCACAAATGTCCCTGCTAACCGTGTGATTTTTCCCACTGATCCACACGTTAATTTGACACCAACTACGTTCGAGCGACCATTGTTGGCTGTGGCTGATTCGCGCGTGATAGCTGTTATGGTCTCCGAGTCCAGATCGACGCCGTTGCAAACTCCTGGAAAGTTGTATATCACTACCGGTAAGGTGGATTTGGCAGCAACCTCGGAGAAGAAGCGCTTAACGACGTTCATATTGGTCGCCTTGCCAAAGTATGCTGGCGGGAGAACCAGAACGTAATTGGCGCCTGCCTCAGCGGCATCTTGAATCAGCTCCAGGGTTTGTTTGGTGGAATGTGATCCCACTCCGGCCATTAGAGGGTAGTCAGGTCCCACTGCAGATCGGGCTGTTTCAATGAGCTGCCGACGTTCCTCGCGAGTGAGGAGGAAAGCTTCTGAGTTGGTGCCTAAGATCACTAACCCCGTAAGGCCAGATTGAGAGAGGTATCTGAAATATTTGGCTTGAGACTCAAGATCTAGGGTATCGGTGTCATGTTTGAAAAAAGTAACAGTGGGGCACCATACACCCGCTTGGGGCACATGTGGCTGGGTAGACCAGGACATGATTGAAGAGCAGATATAGAGGGATGAAGAGGAAAAGAAGAGGGGTTCAATCACTCTTATCTACTTGAATCCCTGTGGGGCAACATCGGGAGGGGTAATTGGGGTAATTTGAATAATTTTACCCCAAGTATTCAATGTCTATCGATCTAGCTCTTCTATATAAAATTGAAACATGGGTTGATCGGAAAGCTTTGGGACTCATAGCCAGGACCAAATACGGAGTGGAAGTAGCATCTATTCCAAGGGCTGTCAATAAGGCATATTTGCAGGGTATCGGACGAGTGGGTCTGAGAGAGCCCTATTCTTCTGACTCCAGCCACGCTCAAGGGACATGGCTGATTATCTCTGTGAGAATTGAGCTCAATAGAAAAAGGCATTGAAAGCCTTGGCCAAAATTAATCAATGACCGACGTCCTTGCTTGGCTGGTTGAAGCGCACTCTCTCCGCAACCTCAAATTTATATACTGTGCCATAATATTTTCGAAGCCCTTTCAATAAAACCCACAGTATTGCCAGAGCCATACTAAGACGAAGACCATGCTGCCCCAAGGAAGAGCGCGGTAGCCGTCAACTGCCAGATACGCCCTGGCGATGTCACGAAGATGGCGCAAGTTCAGGACGAGTTGGTCGTTGGCGTTCTGGCTTCCAACGATATGGGACCAAAGAGCTCGCCTCTCAGAATAAAGGGCTGGGCATTGCTCGATTGCGCAGTATTAAGAGAAGGCAGGTGAAAGACGTCCCAGTCGTCAAGGCAGTATGCATGACCGCCTACACTCTTTCCCCATATTTCAAGCACGGCCTCGATACCCTAGCGGTGGATGGTCTGCTTGACGAGGATGCAGTGGTTGGCGGCTGGGCCGCCGCCCTCAAGAAGAAGCACGGCGTCATCATGTAGGCTGCCATGAGTCGGGTGACTCCGCTAAGCTTGAAGAACAGATGGGAATTATCCAGGAGCCCGCTGTTTTAGATGATTGTCATAGCTTGGTTGGTAAAAGCGACTTTGGACAGACAAATTTTAGAGCCAGGACCTTCTACCTGGCCGAATTTAACAGTGTTCAAAATTTGAGCGCCGATGCCTCGATAGGCGTCGTCGTTGCCATCGTGAGATGGACCGAGATAATTCATGCTTTGAGTAAAGAAGTCTTGAAGAGGTTGGGTTATTGTTACGGAGTAGAACTGAACTTGTGGGGGAACATCGTCACTCATCAGACATAGCACACAGAATATATGAGATAGAATCAGAATCCTACTATTGTATAGTTTCTCCTAAGATCTTTTAATAGAACTAGCTATATTTTCCCCTCCATACTTGTTCCTTCTTCGTCTACCAACTAGCGTCCAATGGCTTTGAGTGAAGACCAACCACCTGGGCAAATAATTTCCAGGATTGAAGCCTGGCATTACCAGAGCCGAAAATGCAGCAGCAGGATCACATCTCGCAGACCTGGGATATGGAGGAGTGGTATTAGAAATGGTGTAGTGAGGCCTGCAGCCTCAGTTTCGACAGCAAGCAGGTCATGAATGCCTGGTGCGGCGAGAACTTTGGATGCATTTATAAGTGGAAAAGGCCAAAAATAAAACTAAAAACACATAACACATTCGCATGTCGCCCAACATACTTTTCGCCGGCCCATCAGTACCTCTTAATATAACAAGGGAACGGTTTGTCCATCATTCTTTTACTCTCCATCTGTCTTCCATTTGCATTAGTTAAGAATGGAAAATTTAATCATAACATAGTGGCACTTTTTAGGTTGTTACTTACAGGCGTACTTTTCCCTGTACATGATGGGTTGACAGGGCCCATCTACTTCACCGCGCTAGCTACCCCCAAATGTTTTCTCTTTTCAATTTGCTAGCCTCAATATTGTTCCACCTGTAATACAGAATCTCAGGCTCAAGTTTTTGGCACACCAAAGGGACTCAAACTCGGAATTTATCAAGACTCTTTTTCCCTTCTTGCCAGGAAGTACTTCAAGGGTGCAATAAATCCAATCAGGAAAAGCCAGAATACAAGACTTCCAATCAAAGCATTTTCAGCCATTCCTGATTCGATTGGAACATTTTGCCTTGGGGTCGTCATCGCTCAGCTAGACAAGTGGGACGTTTGGTAAGAAAATATTCCTCTATATAGAAAGTAATCAGTCTTCTAATACCTTTAGTGCTCAACAACAAAGATACCTTTTTGCTCAAACCCCTTTTTTGGCACTGGTGCCCCCGATTATATCTAATCAAAAATATATTCTTCTTTCCAAGATGGCGTATTTGAGTTCACCACCTAGAAACATGTAGTTGAATAATTCATAAGATAACGTGAACTTTCGGATAGTTTCCCGAGGCAATACCACGTCTATTTCAACAAGCTCAATATAGCTGTTTTCCAACCAGATAATAGCTTCCCACCCCACATATCAACTCTTAGAAAATGTATCCGGCATAACTTCACTTGCACATGTACAATATTTTGTCCGCAAGGTTAAGCCAGTTGCAGCTCTTCTTGTTCTCGAAACCTTCACTAAAGACAATTCGTGGTGAGAACCTGCATCATTCTTCCCCGTCCACATGTCAGCCGTCTGACAGAAGTCATACTGTACCGTTTTCTTTTGCATATCTAACACTCTGATTGCCACAAAAGACATAATACCTCTACAGGCTTCAAGAAGGAAAATGAGACCTTAATCTTCAATGATCGGCCATAGAAACACTGTGAATTAACTCAATATATCATATATTATGTTCTAGAGATACCTATGCTAGGTTTAAACTTCCTTTATCTAGTAATGTGTGACATCAGATGTGTGTTTGGTTCAGTTATTACCGGAAAGCATTAACCTGGTGTCGGCTAAACACGCTCTGCAGTGGCGGAATTGAATCTGAAGTGAGAAAAGCGTCATTCACGAGAGCTCTTAGCTTTAAAATCGCCACCATAGCTGCTACACAACCGAGTCTACATAGACTCTCTTACTTTCTGTCACTGTCAAGTGTACTTGGAATACAACCTGCGGTTGCAATCCCACTAGAGTGATTAGAGTGGTGATTTATATCGTCTCACTTGATCGACCAGAGGACGGGGGCCAGCTGCATTTTCTAGGGTATATTACTAATATAAGCTCAGACTTTAGAGATGTAGTAAGCAGTTCTGTATTTTGGCTTTGAAAACGACCTAGCCTCTGTCGTTGATTCTAGATATAGGCGAAACACTAGCTTTGATGTCGTGACATTCTCTCAATGAAACCTCATGTTGACAATTTGCTTTTTAGAGCAGGCCGTACTTAGCCTTTTAATTGGTTCTGATCTACGTAATGGTCAAGATCATTGGATATTGATCCCAAGACAGAAAGCACAGACATCCATTAGCCTTCGGAAGGTACACCGATTTTTCATCTGCTTTATTTGCCTGCTATCACGTGCTCGTATAATTATCATAAGATTAGAAAAATACAGCTAGCTTTTATATTATCCACCCAGCGATTACCGAATGGGGGAGTGCAAATAAATTACTACGCGTAGAATATCCCTGAACATAGTTGACAAAGTGGGTCCGAAAGCTCAAAATCTTAAATAAAGTTTCGGAGGTTTTCTTGGTCTATGGTTGGTTTATTGCGCTAAGATCTAGAGATGTCAAAGCAGTGTAGCAATTTTGAATTTGCCTCTAGGATGGCAATACGACTTTTTGGTGTCTCATAGACCCCAAGCCATGCGATAGACGCGCCTATGCCAATGTGATAAGATTAAAACGAACTCAATTATTCATAATTCCCTATATAAGGAACTCAAAAGAAAGATGAAAAGCATAGCTACAAAATATCTTATCTCCTTTCTTCATTTCTTTTTCTGTCCACTGAAACTAAGCAAACTTGATCGCGGCGTTTCTTCCCTTGTTTTTGGAAGATTTCCATATTTAATGTCGTTGTCAACTTGTTGAAGTGGTGATTTTAGTTTAGTTTGTATCTGGCGGCTCATTAATTCATTGCACAGTTCAAATAGCTGTCCGATTTCGGTAACTTGTATGTGTTGAATGTGTAATGGTTCAGGATGTCCTTTCTATTGTCCAGTTTTATGGAGTTATAGTAGCTACTCTGCCAAGAGTCATGTGGTCTTGGTAGGTCAGCTGCCATTGTTAACAACAGTATCATTTCTGTGGAAATATATGCGCCCGAAATCTATATTTGGAGCTAATTATGTCACTGTCTTTTGATTGATCGAACCACCCCTAGAAGTACCCCCAAGGGCCATGATATACGGCGTTGTCATTGTCGTTTTGGCCTTAGAAACAATCATAAATCTAGATTGGGGAATGATTCCTATGTACTACTCTAGATATAAGGTTTAAAGCCCTTCGCTGATCAGCTAGACCCACAACTGTCATGTTTTTTCTGAGTACGGAGTAATAACCAGGAAACAGGTGGCTCAGCCGGGTTTCCGTCTTCACATTGTAGAATAATTTGGTTCAACAGTGGGACAAAGGAGGTTATGATAAATATTGAAATCATATCGTCTGGCTAAATAATAATCCTACACCAGCGGTCTTCTATAATCAGATCATCCAAATGACTCGGTTGTGACCCTCCCTCTGACCGCTTGTACGCCCCTCGACGTATAGTGATTTCAAGTCTTTTTTTTTTACAAAACCATCCATCTTTCAGTTACAAAACTATTTAGCCAAGATATTGGTTAAAGACTCTTATTAATAATGACCGTTTAGCATAGCGATCTGTGGTACTACGCTGACTGATGACCAGCATCCCCGTCGGAACCCAGTTCGCTTTAAAACCATGTTCAATGACATAACTAAGCATGTATCAATTTAGTTAGTTATTCATAGCCACCTTTCAATTACAAATATCTATCAATCACATGGTGCTCAGATCATGGAAACTAGTAGCCAGTAACACTGGATCTAGACTCAACAGTGGTGGTTCTTGCTCTGCTCTAAATTCGTGAATCTCTCTATCAGGACCCCACCCGAGACTTGAACGCCCATCTGGTGAAGGTGGGAACTGGGAGGGCAGATTGAAACATGTCTCGTCATTCACATTTTGCTGCGGGATTGAAGAAACATCGCTAAGTCCCCATCCGTTGGTTGGGTCAAACCGATGAATAATCTTGGTGCAAATACTGAAGGCACGTTGAGCGCTGATATCTTTATTGGCTATCTCTGCGAGCCATTGAATAGCCTTTTTTATTCCAGCAAAAACTTCGATGACTTTCGGATCGAGTGAGTTGGCTGTTTCCTCTCCCGAGGAGTTAACACTGACTGCCGTCTTTTCCCAGAAGCCTCCCACGGTCGCATGAACAAGAAGCACAGCCATAGCCTGCATCATGAAATGCAGAATATTCAACCACGGCGTCACTTTGTACAGCCAGTTCAAGTCTGGCTTGTCAGTCATTGTTGACAAGATAGCCAAAGCAGCGTTTTTGCAAGAAATCACACCTTGCTTGTGGCAGGTTGACCGTGGATGTGAAATTCCCGCGTTGTCTACTCTTGAGTGAGGCAGGTAGGGTCGATTAATGATGATTTGTGAGCTCAGGTAGTTTAAGGCGAGAGATATTTGATCTATAGATAGATCCGTAACTTGCAGCGCACCCTCGGCATTCATAAACTTATATGGCTTTTGAAGGCTGCGTAGCCATGTTGCAAACTTCAGCTTGTATATAGCCATTCGAGCAGCGGTTTCATCCCATCCTTCACGATACACATCCGCGTTGTAGACGTTATTGACGACGGCATGTGTAATCAACTCCAAATCAAGCAGATGGAAGAACCAAAGGAATTTTGTTGGCTTGATACTTTCGAACCACTGGAGGCGCTGCTGTATCTGAAGTTGGGTTCCGTGGAGAGTCCAGTGAAGAGATTGACCATCATATGCTCCTTCAACGAGATTAGTGACAGCCATATTTTCTCTATGGCAATTATCTCTGCTTGATGATGGGGCGATTGGTGATGGAGGAGCTGTTCCAGAAGAGTAGTAGTCAATACAAGAAGCTCGGCCAGTGACCACGGAGAGTTGATGCTCTAAGGAAACAATTGACCACCAAATGCGACAACGAGTCTCCTTAGACGTTGGATCTATATTGTCACCAATGGCTTGTTGATTGATCCCCAGTCCGATAGCTGAACGGGCTGCAATACCAACCATCTTCCAAGATCTGTGTGTATCAGTAAATGTAGGATACTCATCCATGGGGACTCAGCTGATGTGAGTCTCACCATAGGCAGCTTATGAAGCGCGTAGGCTTACCTATTGATTTGTGATGATGCAAGATAATATATAGATGCTAACAGTTCAATTTGCACCTGCTGAATATCGGCGTGTCCGCATTTTACGCTTCCACTAATAGAGCTCAGTGTTGTCGCTCTGTCGAAAAACACATGGTCATCCGTATAATTGTTAGGACCTGGCTGAGACAACTGATAGTATCTAGAACCAATGGCAAATAGAATGTTTAAAACTGCCAGCCAATTTTTCGTTGGTCTCGATTTGTTCTGCTCAAACACATGCTCATACTGGGAAGCAAATAAATCTCTATCAAGCAGAGGAAAAGACGGATCGACTGTCTGAAAGTAAGTCTGAATGAGATAATTTCCCCATGGCCTCGTTGGCAATGTAAACGGATCAGCTACTTCGGCTTCCAGGTTGCGTTCTTCATTCAAAAAGTAACTCAGGTGCGTGATGGAATTTTGAGGCGGTAGCGACCGTCTGTTTTCAGACCAGCGTTTTCTCACTGAATCGAGTGATTCACAATCTAACTTATGCATCCAAGCCAATTCTGAGTTGTTGCCGATATAGCCCAGAGCCCTAGACTGGTGGTTTCGATTCACATCTTCACCCATCGAATCAATTTCATCCAAGGATCCTACGGATGAGGAAGATGAGGAATTTAAGAGGTTTGTATTGCTTTTATTAGTCACAGCTGGCCCGTACTAATGATAATGTGAAAACATATTAGCGGACTGCTGCAGAGTAGTCTTTTAGAATGATTAGGGAATGTTACCTCTTGAAATACATCTGGTTCCTCCCGCTCAGATTTGCGAATTTTCTGTACCGTCCTCGGATGTAGGTTTTCAAGATGGTCCTTCAAAAGAAAAGTCAACATTTTCATATTGATGACAAGACAAGAATTTATTGGTGATACCTTATGATTTCCGAACTCCATTTTCGAGAGCTTTTGGGCTGGCAATCTTGATAAGAGAAGCTGCTCTAATTTTTCATTTTGTCCAAGATTAAATGCTTGAGCCACATTATCAAGCAGTTCTTTAGAAGCATGGAGCTCTTCTGTGATCTTTCGAAGAGCAAGCTTTCTCCTCCGGTCTTGACTTTGGTCGAATATGCATTCACTATTTGCTTCAACGCACTTAAGACATGGCTGATTCCCTTGGCACTAAATAAATATTGTCATTGAATAATCGCACAATTCTTCTAGTATGGTCATTCTACCTTTGTTCTCCGCTTCTTACAAGACTGACATGCGATGGATCGTCTATGTATTTCCGTTGGCGGAGCGTAAATTGGCTGTTGGGAGTGCTGGTCAGCCAAAATCGGGGCATAAAGCTGTCTATGGCGTGCCGGATCCATGGTTGTATGGTGGAAAACACAAATTTTTTTAAAAGTGCTTTTCTTTGTCAATGCCACTAAAAATTCTTGCGGGTGAAAATACTTGATAAAGAGCATTTGTAGTGATGCGGTCATCGCTCAAAAAAGACATACTCCTGTGTAATGGGTTGACGTGACCCAAGGTACTGAAGCTTTTCATGTACTTAGCGTCCCACAACTACAAACCTTGGAAGTCTGGGTCACGACGAAATGGAACTATGTACCTTAGAAGTCGCTGCAAAATTCTGTCCACGGCTGTCAAGTAGTTAGTTACGTCCTAGAACAGCTTTATGTAATCGATAGGCTCATTGGAACCGATTAATAATTTGATGTGGTGCGAGTCCTTTTCCAATAGTGCTATTTAGGATATACTTAGGTTCATTTGGTGTATAAGAGTAGAAAAAAGATTCGTACCTTTAAAGAAGGAATTGCAATTATAGAATCTGGACAATTCCAATGTATGTAAGATGAAGACAGAAATCCAAGTAGCCACTACTATAGAGGTGGCTTAATTTTCTTCTGGATTAGAAAGATTCAGACCCTTCGAGTTCTGCTTGATTTTGGATATAATTTCCTAATTTGATCTCGCTAGATGTACTTCGCATGAATACTGACATCTGTCCAAGTATGTTTGAGCACTGTACGTATTTAAGCTTATAATATTCCGCCAAGGCCATCCAATATTGAATATCCTGCTGATGAGAATAAGACGTTGCTTAAGTGTCTGTTATGAAAGATTTACGATCATCAATATCCATTTCGGATTTTTTCGTGCGGTAAAAGAGAATTTTGTCAACGCCAGCCTCACGCATGTGAAATATGTTCTTCCAGAAAATGCGTATTGTCACTGGTTTTCTGTACCCCCCTCCTCCTTCAGAGATGAATTGAGAGTAGAGACTTTCAAGACGGGACATGGGTAGTTTGTAAATGCTTGATTCCCTCCCGCTTGAGAACTGGCTTGAGAATATAAAGACTGACAGAGGTGGGATATGGATAGATTGTATGTGCTTAACACTCTCGTACTTGAGAAACGACTTGGATACCTTTATACTAATCAAACCTAGTAAAAATTTCCTTTTGTGGAATATGCATGGTCCTGCAGTATCAGAAAACTGTGTCAATGTAAGAAGTGAGAACCACGCTATGTTTGACGTCCACCGTCCACTGATATCTATATATGTTAGCCCTCGGAATTACACACACCGTTTCTGGGGAATGTGTCCTGAAAAACTGGGCTTTGGATTGAATAGGGTTCTTCACATTCTTTAGCTAGGTTTTCCCTATTTTGTTAGGTTTCCCTACACTGTCATGATAATGCAAAGGCTTCTTCTATACACAATGGTTATAAATTTGCTGTCTGTCTCCGTAGACCAAGTCATGAAAACTTTTCATGTGCCATCCAACTACACATTTTGTCCACGACAAAATTTTTGCACGACGCTCAACAGCTTCTTAATTGGGGCTAAGGGTCAGTAGGTATAATTGTTAAGCTGACAAAGTAACATTAAAGAGATCGGGAATATGGCAGAAAAGTGGACATGCTACGGACCATCTATCGAACTTGGGGTGAACAGGGTGAATTACATCCTTGCAGTTGACTTGGGGTATTAGAAGATACGTGTGATTTGGAATGGGAAATATTGACTGACCAGTTTAATAAACACCCTACTTCTTGTAATGAACGAATGGAGGAATCGTTTAATATTCTTTCGGCCATAGACCTAGAATAATCACCGGCCGTAAGTTTACCTGACCGTTGGCCCTTATTTTTTCCTACCAAGTATCGTTGTTGAGTCAATTCCCAAATAGCTGTTGTGTTTTGTCATCAACATCATTTCTCTCTTGAGTGTCTTTATACACATGGACTATAAGAAACTCTTTTTGCAGGCTAAAGAGGAAAAGAAGCAAGCTCAAGAGGAAAATAAGTAAGCCCAAGAGCGAGAGAAGCAAGCTCAAGGCTTGTATTCAACTAGGAGGGAGTTAGTGTTGCTATTGTCTATTCACAGGGATCTCGATGCACTATTACTACGTTGTACATGTAACAAGTTATGCGGTAAGATGTGTGTTCATTCTAAGTTCCCGCGACGGAATCAGATATGCTCCGATTCTACTAGTTTCATTCACTTCCCGAGTCCATTCACTTCCCGAGTCCATTCACTTCCCGAGTCCATTCACTTCCCGAGTCCATTCACTTCCCGAGTCCATTCACTTCCCGAGTCCATTCACTTCCCGAGTCCATTCACTTCCCGAGTCCATTCACTTCCCGAGTCCATTCACTTCCCGAGTCCATTCACTGCAGTAAACCAGATTCCATTGGTTCCAACAGCTGTCGACTCAGTGGATACAGAACTGGTCGGGTCGGGGGTGATGTACACTTGATGGTTGAATTGCATTTGCTTCGTTACCGCCAGGTGGATTGAAAGCGTTGGTGTGATTGGCAAACAAAATTCCGTCTCCGAGTTCGAACTCATCTCGGGCAGCGTCTATTTTGCATAACTCTGCAATTATATCACGGAAATGACTTTCCACGGCGATTCGCTCGCAATTTTCAAGACCTCGTTCGCTACTAATTGGTTGGAGATCGAATCTTCTAGCATCCTCTTGGGTGCATACCGCCCATCGGAAAATACTGTCCCACACGGCTAGCACTATAGACCGATTTTTCAGCTCAACAGCAGAAAATATACTGCTCTGTGTGCAACTACCTTCATTCAACCGAGGAAGCCCAAGTAGGATTGTTTACCCTCTTGAATGTGCTTGAAGATGATGCTAGAAGATTCGATCTCCGACCAATTAGTAGCGAACAATGTCTTGAAAATTACGAGCGAATCGCCGTGGAAAGTCATGTCTGTGATATAAGAGCTATGCAAAATAGACGCTGCTCGAGACGAGTTCGAACTCCGAGACGGAATTTTGTTTGCCAATCACACCAACGCTCTAATCCACTGGCGGTAACGAAGCAAATGCAATTCAACCATCAATACATCACCCCCGACCCGATCAGTTCTGTATCCACCGAGTCGACAGCAACACTAACACCCTCCTGACTACGGTTGAATACAAGCAGCCCCACAAGCTTTCTGTCAAAGCCCTTCGCATGGGGCTCAGGGAAACGGACTTATGGAAATGCATGGTCAGATCAAACAAAATCCCGACGAATCACTCAGAGAAATTAATACAATGCAGAGCGACTCGTATGGTCCGCCATTGCCCATGAATACCATGTGATGATCCAGGAGGGACTCAAGTACTCTTATGTCACTAATGGGGTCGCTCGTGTCCTTCTCTGCGTTCCATACAACGATCCTGGCATATTGTACTACTTTTTCTGTGATCCTAACGGCAAACAAAGTCTTCAAGAGCCGACGACCTCCATCGCGAGGGCTCTGTATCCGTGTTTTATGGCGTTCCATTCGCCAGCTCGTGAACAGGAATGGAGAAATACTGCACAGTCGCAGCTTCCTTTGTGAACAACTAGCTTCGACCACGCTCGTTCTCAGGCCCCTAAGGAGGTCTTACAGCAAATCGATGCGCACTCCGACAGTACCAACTCTGAATATGTAAGTTCAGAACCAAATTCAGAGTACCAACCATCATCGCCTCCACTGGAATCTCCAACAGCGGGTCGCCGAGTGACCACGAGATCTCAAGCCAACTGTGCACTCTCAGATATCTGACATTGGACGCAGTCTCGAGAAACTTCAGGCTCCGACTTGAATCAAGCGACCGGGCGCAAACGGGGCTTCAGCCAGGTCACATCTTCCCCTTCCGCCCAACGAGTGACTCGTCAACGCAAAACTGGGAAAGATTAAGGCAGCCATTCTAAACGCAATAATACACAATTTTGCACCCAGTGATGTCTATGAGGGCTACAGACGGGTGGTATCCTAGACTACTGTTGTCCAAACGTGAAGCTCCATCGTCGGGGTCAAGATTTCATCAATTACCCCATCAACTCGGAGGACTTGATACCTTTACTAAAAGCACAACTGGATGAGAACATTGACCGATGCATCCCCTTTGGAAACTGCGGGGCATACGGTGCGTCGTTTAAACTTATTTGTGCTGAATACGGCTATGTTTTCGTTGGGAAAGGGACCACATCGGTCCTCTGGAAAGAAGTCTCTCGTGAAGCGCAGGTGTATCACATCCTACAAAAGGCTCAAGCATCTGCTGTTCCTGTTTTTCTCGATCAAATTGACTTGGCAAAGGTATGTTTTCTTCATGGGGCTGGGGAGATTCGTCACATGCTCATCATAGGCTGGGGAGGCAATAGCACCGCAACGATGGAGCTCACACCGGAACTTCTCAAACATATTCACAAATCCACTAAGGAAATCAAAGCCTTAGGAACCGTCCATGAAGACCTTCGGCCTGACAATGTCCTTTGGAATGAAGAGCTCGGGCGGGCGTTAATCATTGACTTTCACCGATCTACCTTGAGACGTCGGTCAGTCCCAAAGCAACCACGAGCAAAGCCACAATTTTTGTGAACCGAGTCAGGAGATGCAAAGCGTTTACGTGTTCCTGAGGCAGTCTCTGAGGTATTTTAACAGCGATTGCATACTATACTACTTTCTCGTGTATTCCGAATCAAGACGTGCAGGTGTACGATGAGTGGTGCGGCACCTGACAAGTAATGGCCTAAGACTACTTTACAATCCTCGTTAACCCATATAATATCTGCATTATTATTGATAGGACAATTAATTTTCTATCACTTTCCTTATATCTTCCTTTGCAATTCGACTGATAATTCCTTAGCTATCGTGCATGTTTAATTAACTAAATATGCAGGAGTACCACAATGCTTCGTTTGCTTCATATATGATCATGAGCTTGGCCAGTCTCAGCTTCATCCATACCCAAATTATTTGAGCCTTGGTCATTTGCTTGAAGCTATGGCATATGCAAACAAGTATTTTCAAATTGTTTTGGCTAAGTCCGGACCTCAAAACTGCCACCAACGAGCCTCGTGGTGAGCTTCCATTGGTTCAATGGGGCTACTTCTTGTTTTATTAGGCTTGGTAATCCTTGCCTGTATAAAAACGAACCTGCAGACTCATATTGCGACGGTACGTGCCTTGACTAGTCCATCATCATACGCTATTTACATGCTGCGTAGCTCCAGGTTGCTACAATAAGCCTAAGAAAGGTGGCAGTTTTATCCTACCTTTTCCGAGCCCCTGAACGCAGTGTAGACGTCTTATTTTCGCATGGACACGTTCAACAACAAGCACAGAACATAGAGTAGTATAGGAAAGTCTACAGCAAAGGATACATCTATGTCACATACGAGATATTCAAGACTATCATCACTTATTAGAATGTAGTGAAGAGATATGACAGTCAATTGCTCACATTTGATACTTTGAGGCTGCCTCTGAATCTTGGTAAAATACCTAAGACATAGGTCTCGTATGCTGTCTTCATGGTGCGGCCGTCCGGGTCGTATGCTACTCCATCTATCAGACGCACGCCACGTACCCCGTTAAACTTGTGACACTGATCAGGACTACTGATTGCATAGAATGTTCTGGGTTTGGACCTCCATTCCTAAATCCCCTACATGATATAATATTCCTCCCTGGGAGGCTAACAGATTATTATTCTTAGCTTCCCGGGGAGATGAACATACAATGGGAAGTTGATAAAAGGACGCAGAAATCTAATCATTGAGATAGTTACCCGATAAGGATTACTAACGTCCTTTTATCCTCCATCTTTATCAACCCCCCATGATAGACACATACTACATCCTCACTGTTATAACGTAGAACAAACACCTTAGAGTTAAACCCCTTGGAACTAGAGGTCGGCACGGATACATATCCGTAAGATTTTGGATTATTCGTATCCGTAACCGTAGTCGAGAGCTTCTATCCGTAACCGTAACCGTAGAAATTCTACGGTTACGGATACGGATTACGGATATCCGTGATATTATGCCACCGCCTAAATAAATCATATGATACTACGATAGAAACTTATCATCCGAAGTCCCTAATTTGATATCTAAATAGTTATCCATTCATTGATAGAATGAGTCTCCTACCACGCCCTAAACGCGCTCCACGATAGGATTACCTTGTTCTAAATGATGGTAGTGATGAGGAAGCTGATCCTAGTGATCGTATCAAAAAGCAACCACGTTATCACTCCCCATTAGATGAAGATAAAGATGAAGATGAATCTATCTCTCCGAATGATTCAGCGAGTCAAATCCCTGAAACAACCTCTTCTATAGTGTCTACTCCTTTAGACTCTTCTTTGCCCAAGACACCAAAATCCAAAAACCAAGCCCTTTGGAGTCAATTTACAATCCGCAATCTTCCAGGGAAGTTCTGGCATCCTAAACGGGGTAAAGGGCCGTTACAGGACCGAGAGATTGTATGTATTCATTGTGGAGAATGGAAGATCTTGGATTCCCAGAGAGATACATCAACTTCTAATATGAAAACGCATCTGATGAAAAAACATGGATCAATGATATCATCAGTAACTCAGCAAGCATCTATTGTTTCTATGTTTCGGACAAAAACTAGTCAATCTATGTTAGAGGCATTAGAGGAGAATTTGATTCGATGGATAGTCTTGGAGAATATCCCTTTCACTGCTCTTTAGTCTATAGCATTCCAGCAAATCTTTAGGGTAAGCTCTCTCTCTCTCTCTCTCTCTCTCTCTCTCTCTCTCTCTCTCTCTCTCTCTCTCTCTCTCTCTCTCTCTCTCTCTCTTACTAACTTTAATTATTCTAGGAATTACTAAATACCCCTCTACCTTTTACGTCTGCTCGCATAGTCTCTCGACGAATCAATATGGAGTTTACTCAGTATCGTGCCTATTTGGTCAGTGAGCTCGCGGAAACATGTTCAACAATTGCTTTTTCTTTATATATATGGACATCCAAGAATCAAAAAGCTATTTTAGGGGTTATTGGACATTGGATAACCCCTGATTTTGAGTACCGTGAGAGGATTCTTGATTTTATAGAGCTTATTGGAGCACATACTGGAGAGAATATGGCAAGCCAGCTTCAAATATCTCTTCAGGAGCTACAACTTGAGTCTAAGCTACTTACTATTACTGCTGATAATGCAACAAATAATAGTGCCCTAATTAAAGAGCTCTACTTCAATCTTCAAGGGTTAAATCTAGCTACACTACAGTTTCAAGGTAAGATTCTCTTCATCTCTCTCTCTCTCTCTCTCTCTCTCTCTCTCTCTCTCTCTCTTTAATTATCTAAACTCACTTAAGATAGGTCTTGATAGCTATATTAGATGCCTGGCGCATATTCTGAATCTCATTGTCCAAAAGATTCTATCAGAGTTGAAATCTGGCGATTATCAATCTTCTTTAGATGCCTGTGGTATCCTAAAGGACCATAAGAGCCTACCAGCTGGGCATTCTGCGCTAGCTGTGAAGGGCTAAAGCTAATCTTAAATTCAGAACTAGCTAGGCACATGCTATTTACAAAATCCTTGAAGAACGTGAACAATTCGGGGTGGAATCGTGAGGTATGCGGTTGGTGGGTCACGTGGTACAACCACGTGATAGTTCACCAGGATTCAACCTGTTACAATACCCCCCTCCTATTCTCCTGTTTTCCGGGGTCCATTCGAAGTCGTAATTGGTCCGTATCGTAGTTCAAAGGTGTCGAGAGCTGTGCAGTTTTCCATTGCGTCGATAGGTTCCCATGTCAGTTCTGCGTATCCTCGCCATTTCACTAATGCTTCCCTCCGCGATCCACGTCCAATTTTTCGTGTCCTTGCTTGTAGGATCTCTTTAATTTCGTATTCCAGATCTCCTTCGACTAACAGCGGAGGCGGTTGCGAATCGTCCACGATTTGTGACGGTAACGGGTACGTTGCCGCGGGTCTTATTAACTTAACATGGAAGACAGGATGTATGCCGCTTGGCACATCCAGCTTCACTGTATGAGAGGATGGCACTTCTAGAACTATGTATTTGGCGTGGAGCCAGTCTAGTTTCTTTGAAGGCCGTATCGTGCGTACATTCCGTAGGTTTAGCCATACTTTATCGTTGATATTATAGACTGGAGCGGCTCGTCTTGAACGATTCGCTTATTCCTGTTGGCGTTCTTGGGCGATAGCCATCGCTGCATTTGCCCAATCGGTGGCGTCTCGTAGCCGGTTCGTGAACGTTTCCGCTGCGATCTCTGGTCCTCTCTCTGCTTGGACTTCTATCACTTCGACTGGATCGACATGGTATCCGTGTGTGAAGAAGAATAGAGATAGTCCAGTAGAGGTTGCGTCTCGGTTATTGATCGCTATGGCTACGATAGGTAGTAAACTTGCCCAGTCGTCCTGTGCGTACGTAGTAAAGGCGTGTAGAATTCGTTCGACTTCTTGATTTGCGCGTTCCGTAGCTCCATCAGTTTGGGGGTGGAATGCGGTAGATAATCGGCGTCGAATCTTTAGCTTTTCGCACACGATTCGCCAGAACCCCCCTACGAACTATAGGCCGCGGTCACTAGTGATCGCTATCGGTAAACCATGATGCATATAAATATGCTTCATAAAGACATCTGCGACGCTTTCCGCAGTAATACTATGCATATCTATTAGGATCACTCCTTTAGATAGCCGATCAGTAATTACTAGACAATTCGTCGCTCTTTCTTTCCCAGTAGGTGGAAGTTCTGTGATGAAATCCATGGATAGTTCGGCCCAGATTCGTTATGGAATCGGTAACGGTTTAAGTAGGCCTTGCTTCGAATCTCTCCAAATCGTGTTTCGTCCGCAAATGGTGCAATTCCTTAAGAATCTCCGTACATCGTTCGTCATTCCTGGCCAAAAGAATCTACGGGCTAGTATCGTATAGGTTGCGTCCCGTCCTGGATGTCTAGTTATGTAGGAATCGTGGACCTTCTGGATCAAGGTTGTGCGTAGTAGTTCGTTGTCTAGAATCCATGTCCTTTTCCTAAAGCGTAGAAGATTTTGTTCATCTAAGTCACACTCGGATAGGCTTATTTTCAGGTTCGATTCGGCAGGGATTCGTCGGTCTCCCTTTTCAAGTGCGAGTGCGAACTGCTGGTATATTTGATCTTCCTTCCGCGCGTTATTCCATGCTTCCTGCGTTTCTGCTTCTTCAAACATCGCCACTGGTATATCAAAGTCTAAAGGTGGACTTGGTTCAGTGCTATTGTTACGGATCGTTACTGATTCGAAGAGTTTCCGGAAACAATTCGTGAGCCTCTCATCAGAGATTCCTTTAGGTTCGTCTTGTCCTCGCCGGGATAGAGCATCTGGTTAGATCGCCTGTTTCCCGGGTCGATATCGTAGCTCAAAGTCGAATTCGGCCAGGATGTCTGCCCATCTCATTTGTCGTTCGCTTAGATCCTGCGCCTTATGAAAATATCGTAGATTTTTGTGGTCCGTTAAGACCACAAATCGCGGGACCATCTTCAGCTCTGGCTTCCATTCCCGTAGCGCATGGATGATAGCGAGTAATTCCTTATCATGTATCATATAATTGGTCTCTGCAGGTGAGAACTTACGCGAGAGATAGGCGCATGGTCTTAGCGTCCCATCTTCTTGTCTTTGGGATAAGACTGCTCCTGTCGCCCATCCAGATGCGTCTGTTTCCACTATTGTTTCGGTGTCTTCTCGGAAATGAGCCAATATTGGTGCAGAGATAAAGAGGTCCTTTAGGGTCTCGAATGATTCTTGTTTCTCCTTGTCCCATTTGAATATCGTATCTTTCTTTGTCAACTGCACCAATGGTGCAGAGACGTCTGCGAATCGTGGTATAAACGTCTAGTAGAAGTTAGCGAATCCAACAAAACCACGTACTTCTCGGACATTAGTAGGTGCTTCCCATAGCTTAATGGCTTCAACTTTCTTTAGGTCTACACATAGACCTTCTCCAGCTTATATGATGAACCCTAGGTATTTCACAGAGCTCTGTTCAAATTCAGATTTCTCGATATCGCATTGAAGTCCAGCATCTCTTAGCTTTTGGAGCACCTCGCGTACTTTTCGTCTATGATCCGTGATCGATCCGTCGGAGTAAATAATGATATCGTCCACATATGCTGACACAAAATCGTCGAGAAATTCGCGTAGAACTTCATTGATATACCGTTGGAAGGTTGCGGGAGCGCCAGTCAGGCCAAAAGGTGTAACTAGCCACTCATAGAGCCCGTATCGTGTTCGAAACGCTGTCTTCCATTCTTCGCCTTCCTGCATTCTGATCTTATGGAAAGCCGCTATGATATCGAGTTTGGTAAACCAGCGAGCCTTCGACATGTTTCGTAGTGTTTCTTGAATCAGAGGTAGGGGGTAACGGTCCTTGATGGTTATGGAGTTTAACCCTCTATAATCGACACAGAATCGGATGCCTCCACCAGGTTTTCGTACTAATAACACCGGTGAAGCTGCTGGCGATTTACTGACTTGTATGAATCCTTTTCCCAGTAGATCGGTAAGAGTTTTTCGTAGAACTAATAGCTCTTCTCTATTTATTCCATATAATGGCCTATGAGGTGGTGTCGATTCGTTACCATTTCCATCGCGTGTCAAGGGTATCTTATGATCGATCCCTGGGCGATGGCTCGGAAGCTTGTCTGCTTTCTCCTGGCTAAAAACATCTAACCAAGGGAGATATTATGGGGGAAGTTTAGCTCTCGGATCGGTGAATTTCTTAGGTTGCAGCGCCTTGTCGATATCGTCTATAGTCACTTTGGCTATTCGGAGGTGGTCCGGCGACGAAACGCTATCGAATAGTTCTTTGATTTCTCCCGCAGATGATTGCTGTACTTTCAATCTCTTTACTTTTGTTGGACCGATTGACAGGTCGATACGGTTCTAACAACGAATGCGCTCTCCATTTCTCGAATGGATATCTAAATACCCTCGTTTCGCAGCGTAAACTCCGTCGACATCTTTTAACCAAGGCGTCCTAAGTATCATTTCGTCTGACTATCTTGGAATGATGTAGGCAAAGACTTTCTGCTGTTGTAGTCCATTAACATCAAGATCGAAGTATGTGGCCTAAGTGATCCGTCCTTGATTCTTGATGACTCTGTTCAGGATTCGCGGTAGAATCGGGATACGCGGAAGGTTAAGAGATTGCGCTAGGTGTCCGTTGATAGATGCATAGCTATCGCTTCCGTTGTCTACTAAAGTCTTCGCGAATTGAATTCCATTAACTCTAGCATCGACATAGAATGACGCCTCTTTCTTTAGCAGCTTCTCAACCCCCTTCTGCTCCTGCTCGCGGTTTAGTGTAGGAGCTAATCTTTTCCCGAATCATTCTCCGCTTCATCTTCTTCGATCGCTAGCGAATACTCCCTTCTTCGGGGGTGGCTCGATCTTGGTTCTTCGACTACTGCATTCCGTACCACTACTTGGTTCGGATTCCGTGCGAGGCAGTAAAGGGCATATACTTTGCCAACAGTTATCTCGACCATATCGTAGACATCTCTTTTCTATACGGCGACGTTGGAGTTCTTCTTTCTCGACCCATTTTGCACGTTTTCCCACGAGATGTTGATCCTCTTTACGAACCTGTCCCTTTTCGTTCACGAATCGGGACGAATTCGTCTATATAGTGTTCGTGTTTATTGTTGGAGTCTAGTCCATCCTATCCTCTATGGCTGTGGTTGATTGATCTCTTTGGATTCGCTGGCGAGTGGATAACTGGCGTCTGCCTAATGCGATATTCAGTGTCTCGCTATCAGTGTCGATTTCGTGGAGCCGTGTGATAAGACCTATAAAATCATAGGGAACACCACGATTCATAAGCGAATTCGTCATATCTTCGTTAAGAGCATTTAGTAAGAGTTGTCGTTTTACTTCGTCGTGCCATTCGGTTGCACCAGCATCTGCGAGCTCTCTTTCTAACTGGGGAAGGAATCGTGAAAAAGGCTGGTCGGGCTTCTGTTTAAGCTGATGTAGACGCTGAGCTGCTCGTGATCGAGCGTTAGGGTCCCCATACATCCTCTCAAGATATTCCAGAAGCATATACGGGTTGCCTTCGCTTCGTTGTGTCTTCATAAACGTTCCGGTGTTCTTGGCGGCCATTTTCTCTAGGCGGGAAAATGTATAGAGGAATTACTCTTGTGGGGTACCGATGGCAGCTCCGTCTACTAGCAATTTGTTCTCTATCGAGATTCTCCAGGTTGGCCAATCAGAGATGTTTCCTACATACATCGCGGGGTCGGGGAGACGAGGGCGAGGTCGTCGAATCTGGTTATTATCGCTGGTTGATTCGATTGGTATCCCTTGTGGTTCCGTGGGTGGTTCGGGAGCGGCTCGCTCCTGGGACCGAACCACTAATTCTTCGAGTCTTCTAATTCTCTCATCGGTACTAATACTTGTCTGACTGATGTGCTGCATCAACGTCCTGGCCCACTCGGGTGGGCTCGACGGTTCGCTTGCAGTCATGATGATGAAGATATTCGTTTTCTTCTCGTGTTTGAATCGGATGCTTTCCGTCTTCAATTCGTTTGTCGGATGCTCAACTAGATACTTTCTAAGAGCGATTTCGTATTCGTAGGACGCTCAATTAGATTCTTTCTAAGAGCTTTTCGTATTCGTTGGTATGCTCGATCGGATTCTTTCCGAGAGCGATTCGTTCGTCTGTCGTATGTGGCTCGATCAGATACTTTCTGAGAGCGCTTTTCTTATCGTCGGTCGTGGGTTTTACTCTCGTTAGAGGAAGGATTTTGTATGTGAAGGGCTAAAGCTAATCTTAAATTCAGAACTAGCTAGGCACATGCTATTTACAAAATCCTTGAAGAACGTGAACAATTCGGGGTGGAATCGTGAGGTATGCGGTTGGTGGGTCACGTGGTACAACCACGTGATAGTTCACCAGGATTCAACCTGTTACACTAGCTCGTGTACGAATCTTAGCCCTTTGGGTATCTGGAAGTCCTCAAAGACAGCAGCAGTGGCAAATCATTTGTCAGACGCATGGATTACCTGATAAGCTCGTTCGGTAAGCAAGATTCCTTTCTCTCTTTCTTATATATACTTATAGTTCTAGGTATGATATCGAGACACGTTGGAACTCGACATATCTTATGATTCAAGATGCTATCCTTGCTTAAGAGCAGATTAAACATTGGAATAATGTTCAGAATCAGCTGATACCATTTTCAAATGATGATTGGTCTAATCTTCGTGATCTTGCCATGGTTCTTTCAAGATTCTATGAGTTTACCCAACTTATCTCTCAGCGGCAACCTCATATAAGTCTAGTAATTCCTATTTACTATGAATTGCATGACCTCCTTATAGAAGCAGCTTCTTTTGAAGGCGACTTTATAGGGCTTAGTCCTGATATCTCTTCTGCTGTCTTGGTTGGAATGCAAAAGTATAGGAAATACTATGATCTTATGGATATGCAAGATATCTATTATATAGCTCTTGCTCTTGATCCACGTGTCAAATTTGCTCTTTTAGAACAAGAGCTTGAAGATGGGGTTATCCAAGGAATCATTCAGAGCATTAAGGTCTTACTTCATAAGAAATATCCCCCTTTGGCTACCTCCATCTCTAGTTCTACTTCTAGAACTATGGATCCTCCTGCTCGACCAGGTATGAGAGCTCGTCTTCTACAAAAAGTACATTCTCAAGAAGTATCTCGGGCTTCTGATATTGATCGCTATTTTGATGAGCCTCCTATTCAAGTAGAAGGATTAATAGAAGACCAAGATGACTCTAAGTGGCTGCTTTCATGGTGGAACGCTCATAAGGATCAATACCCCAGGATGGCAGCAGTTGCAAGGGACTACCTTGGTATTCCAGCAGCTGAGGTTTCAGTTGAAAGACTTTTCAGTTCTGTAAGGGATATCCTGGGTGTTCGTCGACAATCTCTGAACAGTAAGACCATAAGAGAGTTAGTTTTGTTAAGAGATGTATATAATATTGATTCCTAATTGAAATTTCTTTTACTTGAGAATTACATGAGATTTATAACTCTATAGACTTAGAAATATATATTAGAACTGCATGTGGTTCTAGACACGTGATATAAGCTACGGATATTACGGATATCCGTACGGATAGAGGGCATTTATTCGTAACCGTAACCGTAGAGATTTTATTCGTATCCGTAACCGTAGAAATTCTACGGTTACGGTTACGGATACGGATATCCGTAAAACCGTGCCGACCTCTACTTGGAACGAATCCAATATCTCACTACCCACCCAAACGAAATGCATCAGTATAACGAACAATGAAATCTGGTAGGCCAATCACAATCCTTTGGCTCTATCCATCCATACTCCATTGCCTGAGAAATTAAAGACGCCATTTCTGGAGATATTAATCGGCAGATAACATACAAAGTTGCATCTATACCAGCGCTCACCCCGCCAGAGGATATGACCCTAACATTTGCCCCCTTCAAAAGTCCTCCATCAACAAATCGGCGAGACAATATATTTGATTCTTCATAATTAAGAGTCTGAGAGCAGGTTTCTCGTAGAAGGTCAAGGGCTCGGCGGTGAGTAGTCACGGTGATTCCAGATAGAATTCCTGCAGCACCTAGAAGAGAGGCACCGGTGCAGACAGAAAGTATGATTCGGGGTCGTTTTGACTCTCCTGATGCGTATCGGCGAATCAAGTCTAATTCCGGAGTGTTGATGTCAACAAGCTTCTTGATAGTGGTTTGGGAAGCACCTGGAACAAGCAGCATATCGTATTTTGTGATCGTTTCCCTAGCATCAGCTAGCAGAAAATCCGCTTCTATCTTCAGCGATGCGGTTGTTATAAAATTGTGTTGAGCAATCGTCTGAATTTCAAATATTGGATTGATATCATCCAGGTTTTGATGATGCAATGCACGCGAAAGAACCTCTATCGGACCAGTGAAGTCGAGAATATCTGCTCCATCGTAGACAAGTACTGCGACTTTGTAGTACTTCGTCGAGGTTGTATTGGACATATTTCATACTCGTTGGCTTTAACGCTGTCTTGACAAGGGGTTGACTTGCAACGTAGTAAAGAATACTTGAAAAATGAGTTGGTGTAAATGCAGCAGAGCTTTGTAGTTTAATATCCATGAATCCATGGATGGCTTACCAGCGATCACTCCTCTTAGGTCCGGTGAGCAGTATAAATGGTTGTGCCACCTCCACTCACAAGCGCATAAATATATCTCCCGACAAGAACCTTGGAAAGTACAATTTCTACTCACCTGATATGACATTTGTATTCATGGTACCTAGGTATTAAGTAGCACGCATTCTGAAGTGCCGAGATAAGTTAGTGGATGATGATGAAATCCGCGTTCTTTATGCTCATAAATAGAACGACTTCGTCGGATCTCGGACGAATCATGCATCCCCCGTAGTCATTTTTTCCTCGTATCATCTATCAATTGTTTCCAAGCTCAATTAGTCCAATCTGTGAATATATTAGGATCAAGTGTTGCTGTTTTTTCAACCAATCACAGAATCGTTTTCCATTAGTACTGCTCTCCGCAAGTTACCAATAAGTAATTTTACAAATCACTATTTTTTAGTCTGAAACGCCTGTCTACAGTGTTTTGCCGGCAAATAGGTTTCAAAATTATTCATGAACAGTAGCCTTAGTAAGCGAGAGCTCCATAGAATCAAGATTAAAGTTGAGCTATTTCATCAATGAGATACCCTATACACACTCTCAAGGCTGTAAATTTTGTGCAAACTCATGGTTGCTGAGAATTTATATTCGGAATTTACGGAGTCATAAGGCTTGAATCTGATGTCTATTGCTCACTTAGCCATCAATCGTTTAGTGAAGAACAGAATAAAATATCGTACCATTTAGATACCAATGGCGACATAGGGAAAATATCACAAGCGAGAAGAACATCGAAACTAAAATGACACGAGAAGCAACCTTGGAAACCTTGAGAGGCTAAGTTACATAAGCCTCACTTTACAGAGCAGGCTCAACCACACTCTGTACAACCCAAGACATGTTGTCAGATCGAAGACAAAAACCACCAATCTAGACTAAGAAGATATAGCCTGTGCATTTTATTCCTCACACATATTCTCACATATGCTGGTAGGTTGTACGATCACCCGGAGCATCAAGGGAGCAAGGATTCCACCCTAATTCTTATTAGAAATTGCAATTGTTCTCGTAGCTGGCAGTCAGAGGAAAAGACTCACCGATGTCAACTTCAATTGATATGACGGGTCAACTGTCCATTCCATCCGTCGCGTCATCTCAAATAATAAAAGTTTCATCTGTAGTACCGCAAACCCTTGTCCTAAGCATTTTCTAGAGTGTGCGTTGAAGGCAATGAACTGACACTGCGTCGTCTTGAGGCGAAGCTGGCTCTGAATTATCTTCACATCGTTTCCCCATCGTTCTGGAATGAATTCACGAGCATTAGGTCCCCAGATGTTTGTGTCTGTATGAACACCAAATGCGTTCCATCCTACCCAGGTATGATTCGGGATTGGAACCTTTCCTCCTAATATTGACTTTTGAGTTGTTACACGGTTGATGAGCTGTGAAACCGGAGGATATAGGCGTAGAAGCTCCAAAACAACGGTTAAAAGGTAGGGCATAGAGTTTACTTCATCGGTAGATGGGTTTGCTGTTTTCATTGCAAGGATTTCAGCACGGAGTTTCTGTTGCACAGCTTGATTTTTACCAAGTTCCCAAAGTGCAGAATTTAGAAGTTGCTGTGCATTTTCGTGAGCCGTGAGAAAAGTCACTTTCAAGTTGTTGCAGTATTGGACTTCTGTGATTTTCCCTTCTTTCAAAGCACGATCTAGGCCGTCAACTACCTGTTCTGTGCTATCGGGACTTTGAAGGGCTTGGGGTCTTTTCCGAACAGTTTCCACGAGCAGGTCCCCAAACTCCTGCATGATCCCAAAGGCAACCTTTCGCTGCGTGAATATCTTCGGAAATCGGTCGAGGTCCGGAAAGTTAAAGAACAAGGGGCTGAACAATGTCTTCTTTATGATGGTTTGCAGCTCTTCGATACGCTGACCAGGTTTCTCTAATGTCTTTTTCACGATGATTAGTAAACCTTGTCACTGGAAAATGTGATTTTGCATGAATTACCTCAAGGTCAACACCCATAAAGCTGACCCCCATACAGCTGAGTGCCCATCTTTGAATAATTGGATTGACTGTTATTCCTTTCTCAGGCCCCAACTTAATCTGTTCACCCAGGATGATATCCACAAACAAACGAGATTTTTGAATAAGGAGTGATGAGTCCGTGATGCGCCTCTGTAATCCTGGCTTCATAATAGACGTAAAGAGCCGCCAGTTGTGACCGTGTGCATTGATGATATTATCCCCAACTAGAGCAGCAATGACACTCCAGGGAATCTTCTTCTGGCTACCAGCTTTGGCGTAGATATCTTCGTGACGGAACATATCTACTAGAAGCTGCGGTCGTGTAGCGAGTATGTTCCATCGACCCGCAAACCAGATCTTAACGGCGCCGTATTTTTCTAGTGGCTCACGGAGCCACCGGTCAAAAATGGCATCTTGTCCCATATCACTCCACAGGCCGATGAGTGAGATGTATATTGGCACAGTTGGGATGTTTTTGGGCATATCGCCTGGAATCCGGAGATACCAATATAATATCGAAATTATCGTGATGATGAAAGCAGGAACACACCGGCCCCAGGTGATGGCTTCAAGTAGATCAAGCATCTTCATATTAATGTTCATTTTCCAGTTCTGAAAGTTGAAATGCTATACCTCTGGCGAAATTTGAGAGCGCCTGCCGATTTTATATCGACGTATGTGTCGCGTATTTGAAGGGAAGCATCTAACTAAGAGGCAATGTTTCTTCAACAGGAATATTCAAGAGATTTTCATGCTAATTTCAATACTATCCTGATGTTTTCAAAGATGATATATGCCGGGATTTCCGGCTCAGAGTAGATAATGGTATGCTGACTCCCACTACTTAACTGGGTGAATCATAAAGCTTTCTGCCCGACTCTGGGAACACAAATTGTTTCAATATGGAATTGATGAGACATGCTGACATGAGACACACTCCTAGGATGATATTTGCTGTCAATCTGCCTTTTAGGTGGTACATGATGAGCTGATATCACTGTCTGACGAGAATAGCTGGTGGGGCGATGAGAGCCAGAGAACAAGGCTCCCAAGGATATCAGTATAGGAATCCATGCAAAATTTTACCATACTATCCTTTGAAAACAATGGTACTTAATTACATTCAAACAATTATTAGATCAATTGATACGATTACGATGACCGAGCCGGTCACCTGACATGGGCCGAGGTTGTCACCGTCCGGGAAACGACACCGAAGCTGGAGAGTAGCATTTATTGTTCGTGGAGAAGGATTCACAATTCCGTCGGAATATTTTTGCTAGATCTGTCCTATATTGACTGAAATACTGGCATCGCTCGAAAACAAAAAAAAAAAAAATGGCTGATGAGGATCCTCAACTCTCACTCTCAACGTCCAACACCACTCTCAGCTCACCGACCTCCCATTTCTATCCTTTCGCGACCTCTCCAGACATAATCCGCTCCCATGAAAAGGATTTATATACTACTGGTAGCCTTATAAATCAAGCCCAGAATATTATACGATCTCTACGTGGCGCCCGGTATGCCCATGCACACTCCGACACCATCAAACACCTCACCTCACTACTCTACCTTTCCCTGACCACAGCCATTGGCAACCGTACTCTCGGCGAAGAATACTGCGACATTGTCCAATTAGAAGATGACACACTACGTCTTCCAGAAATTACACGGCGCGTCGGTTACATCCTGAGCAGTATTCTCGTCCCATGGGGACTACAACGGCTCTTACCCGCACTACGGCAGCGTGTGCGGAACAAGCTCGAGCGTAACATTGCTCGCCAGCAGCTCCGAGAGACACAACAAGCCGGCCTATTAAATAAATCAATTCCTACCCTCATCAAGCCAAAGCCTTTCTTTACCAAACTGCGAATTCAGCAATATCTCCTCGAACACCTGGGCTCCATCACCTCTCTCTCCCCTATCTACGCCCTCAGTATTGCAACGTTTTATTTTACAGGCTCTTATTACCACCTCTCTAAAAGAATATGGCGTCTTCGCTATGTCTTCACAAAAAAGATTGATGATAGTAACCAGCGTATCGGGTACGAGGTGCTCGGCGTGCTGATGGTGCTCCAGATTGCTGTGCAGGGGTTCCTGCATATACGCAAGATAGGGCAAAGTATGAACAGTGACGAGGATCAAGTTAAAAATACTGGAGACAGTTCTGAGGGTGAGGCGCTTATAAATTCGATCCAGAACCCGGCTGCTGTGCCGTTGCTGCCTGGTTCGGCGGTGCGATATGATCTTGAAGAGGATCCAGGTGCGGTTGCGTGGATCCCTGATGGACAGCAGCGGAAGTGTATTTTGTGCTTGGATGCATTCAAGGATCCCTGTGTGACTACATGTGGACATGTATGTTGCTGGGTCTGCATTAGGGATTGGGTTCGCGAAAAGCCCGAATGCCCACTTTGTCGGCAGGAGGTGCTGCTTTCTAAAGTTCTTCCCCTAAGAGGATAGCGACAGCCAGCCTTTTTCATCGTGATGCGATATTTAATCACCTAAATACTTTTCTAAAATAAAATACCCCCATTTTTCGTTCGTTCTTCGATGTTTCAGCTCTTTAGCTCCTGTTGTATAGCCAGGATTTGCTGAATTGGTTGTCGTGGAAATATTGGAGATTGGTATGACAGATATGCTATTAAATGTGAAAAAAGCATTGATGTTTGATGGCACCGTGGTAGAGAAGTTGAAAATGGAAAGGAATGAGGCGCCTTATTTCTCCGTGGCATCTTTCATTAGACCAGGCAAAAGTCATTCTTTGTCCCCAGTAACAGTAGCCTCGCTTTGAGGAAGAATAATGGGCAGATTGAGATCAGCATGGGCAGGACGAGGAGGAACAGGGTTCATGGCCAGCCTTTTCTGCTCCATGATGTTGAACAAACACAGACCAGCGTAGGGATCGGTAGCAGCATCTGGTTACAAATTTTAGTTTTCATGATTTTCAAAAGGGTGTTAGGCGGAGACTTACATTGGACTTGGCGATAACTCAATGGTCGGTTCCAGTCGCCGCACCTCACATCTTCACCCTTGTCGAGGGGCAAGCCAAAATGCTCTTTCATCTGGTCGCTGAGATTGACATATCTCTTGTTGACGAGTTTGGGATTGCTCTGGCCGTATTTCACTAACTTGAAGAGGTGGCTCAGTTCAAAAATCGATCGGGCGTTGATACCAAGGTATTTGCGTAAGCGAGTCGAATCTCCTTTTATGGCGACGCCAACCTTGGTAATGTGAGGTGCCTCAAGGATGTGCTGCAAAGACGGCGCGACGAGGTCTTGAAGATTGCGTGCAGGCTTGAAAAGAGCGATCTGGAATAAAGCAATGCGCTCTTCATTCGCGAGCTGGATCACTGATAGGTTCTCTTGGATACTGTGTGATGCTGAGGCCTGCGCCTTCCACTCCATATCAAATCCGATCACCTTGCTGTCAAGAAAGTATTTTGCGACTTCTTCTGTACTCTGCAATGTACGGCAGTAATGTACAACCAGCTTCTGACCGTCTGGTCCACGCTGCGAATTGTGACTCCAGAACAGCGATTCGGCCAATTCGTCAACTGTACTTGTGGATATAACCTGTGATGTCCTTGGGGAGGCATCGGGATCTTCAGTACAGTGCGATCCGTCCAGAGCTATCGGTGGCATGTGGAGCAGTTCTCGACTGGAGACACCAGAGGTACTGAAGGATCTTCTGCCAAGTGTCTTGCCATTCCTTCTTCCAACCAATAGTCTAACCCAACGAGCCAAACCAACCTTGGTAGAGGGCTTTGTTGTCCTTCCAAATTCTGCTGTCATCTTATGACGAGGCTCCACGGAAGCTTTCTTCTCGCCGACAAGCTTTTGAGGAGAAGCTAGAAAAGGAACAATCGAGTTCCCTGATCTCCTAAATCTTGGTTTTTCTCCTTTAGTCCTCCATGAACTTTGGGTTATGGAAGCAAGGCGTTTAGCCTTGAGTTTCTGCCGTCGACTGAGCTTCGTAGAGCCAAATTCTGGTATAGCCAAGGGCGCCCGACGCGAATTCTGTAATTCATGGAACTGGATTGACAACCGCAAATGGAAATTTTCCCACTTTTTGTCCTCATCCATGCCTGATTTCACTGCCATTCCCAAGAAGGTGTGTACATACCAAGATTGAATACAAAGGCCAGCAACTTTGGTAGCCCAAGCTTGAAATAGCGCCTTATTTTGACTCAGGGGATTCGGCGGCACAAAAAGTCCCTCTTCTTGAAAAATGCTTGGTAGGCCTAGTTTGAGTAGTTTTTCCTCAACAAGAAGACGAGTCCAGTTGGCATCTCGGTATTGGAGACATATAAACCGATAGCTTGACAGATAATCTTGCATTTTAATGACGCAACTTTCTATGTCATAGGCGAGTTTCCATCGACTGGGGGAAGGAACTGAATTCCAGAGAGGCCCGTGTCTTCCTCTCAGGGTACTGATCAAATACCACAACTCTTTGTTCAAATTGAAGTTATACATCTCGTTCAGGAAGATTGGCGCCATAACATCGAGCTGCCGCCAGGCTATATTCAGTTTGGCGCTTTTTGCTTGTTCTGACCCATTCCATTTCCTGATGTATACTCTCTGAAAGTACTGAAGAGCAAAGGCTTCGCGTTCAACAAGGTACTTTCTGGCTATTCGGTGCGGTTCATCGTCCAGAATGAGAGATCCCATGACCACATGAGGCTGAAAGCCTTGTTGCATAGAAGGAAGAAGTGTAAAAATATCATTGTAATTCCATACAATAGAATCACGAAGCGGATTTCGATCTTCCATCCTTAGCCGCAGTGCAGCACGATGATCATGAGCCGCATTAAGGAAGTCACTCTTCGCATTCTTTCCAAGTTTGTCCAAGCTCTTGTATCTCAGGTTGAGGAGGTTTAGGTGATGACATAATTCCTGAATTTCGGACAGGCCTTCTGCCACGGCACTAGTCATCGACTTGTGTATCATATACTTCGCATTGAATACTGTTCGATACTCCAAAAGAGTATTGATTTTGGCTCTTGCAGATTTTCGGGGAGCAATGTACTCTCGGTGCAATGTTCGTCTGAACTCGGCTATGAAATTCTGCGAATATTCAAGTTTTCTTTGAATTCTTCCGACATTAATGTTCACCAAGCCTAAACGCAATAATTTGATTTCATTATTCATTTGCTCAAGATGCTTCACCATCAATGGAGTATGGGGGAATTCAATGTTGCAATACTCCTTGACAAAAAGTTCGTATTTGGCTTTGCTTCGCAGGACATGGCATTCTAGGCTCGCGACTCTGTCGATGACCATGACTTTGTATCGAAATGCGGAAATTTGCTTCTCAAATTCAGTCAATTCGGAGGATATTTGACTTCGTTCTTCAATCAATCGCGAAAAAGCACTGTGAACGGAGTGGCATTCCCTCATGAAATACTCATGACGCTCACGGATTCTCCGTTCGTGCTCACTGAGAATAGCATTGTGCAGCCAAATATACTCATCGCGCAAGTTTGTGAGCCCACTGAACCGGTCCCACAATCGTTGTACCCTCTTAGGGTCAATCCATTTTAGTTTGGGAGTCTTCTGTCGAGACGCAATCAAATTTCTCATATCCTTCGGGGGCATTGCGCATAAGGACCTGAAAGGTCTCATTCCAGGTCTCAAAACAGATTTTTTTGGTACCTCGACCTCGGCAATATCATCGTCGTCGTCTTCTAATATAATTCGTGCCGAGGTTGTGTTGGAGAAAGTTCGAAGATATCGCGAAGTAATCTGTTGATCAGAAGATATTCGCTCGGGAGTGAATCCATGATAGAGTATCTTTTGAGGCACCGTCGAATTTATAAACCGGCAACAGAGGAGCTGCCTACGGCACGAGACCAAGGACGAGTACCTTGGCCTTGCTCGTCGGTTTGTCCACGTTCGCATACTGCGGGGTGAGCATAGTGGTGCTCATACGAAAATAGGACTTCAATGAGCTCTTGGAAGCTTAAGCTGTTGAGAGAGAATTTGAAATGATGAAATAGATAATGGTTGATAGTCCACTCGAAGTACGGGCAGAGAATAGGCGGTGAATCCGGCGGACTTAAGTCTGCTTACATAAAGGTTTGGAGTAAATAACTAGTTAGTTAAATAGTTCTTTATTTAAATATGTAGTAAATAACTTATTTATTTACTTTGGAGGTTATTTAGTTAGTTGTTAAGCCAGCAATACGGAGTAGCATCATTATCATTCCGTTTCTTGTTTAATTTCAACACAAGTCCAAACTCATTAGAGTCATTACAGTGCCCATTCCGAGACACTTGTCGGCTCACTGCACAGTGAAAGGACTGGATAAGCTCCAGCATTATAGTGATTGAGCGCGCGCTGTCTTAGTTCCAAGTAGATATTCCGGAAGGGTTGATCTAAGCTATCTCGCCGCATATCAAGAGGATCAAAGCCCATCTCTTGGAAATGGCCAAGACACCATACCATTGTCTCTGATGGAAGGTATTTATCGACATCCCAGCTCTCAACGTGTTGCTGTAACCCACGCAAATGGGTCTTATCAACAGTGAGCTTATAATCTTCAATACCATCAGCTGGACACGTATAATTATAAAAGGGTTTCCCCGCAATGGCGTTCTCAGTCCTAGGCCGGCTATGGTGCTGGTTGGTTGTGCCCACGAAGCATTTGATACTTGACCGGATCGATGGCATGTAGACTGCCAAGAGGGCTACCTGTTCAGGTATTGATTCTGAGAAAAGACCTTCGGATTGAAGCCTCTGAAAGTAGCGATACCACACGAAAGTTGATGACTTCGATAACTGGGTCCACCAGTATTTTATTTTTTTGTTGTCCGCATCCTGGATATAGCGAAAGCATTCATCTGGGGAAATATTAGGTTCAGAGGCCTTTCGTATAGTGACATGCGCATTAATCAGGGCAGTTGTCTCCGACTCTTGACGAGCACAAATTATTCGCGGCTGAAAATTTATTTGTGCTACAGTATTAGCATGCTGGCATAGTATGCTTCCTTCCGTGCGATTTTTAACCCCGATATAAACCCACGTTATGCAACGCGAGTATGCATCCATGGCAACATACACCTGACAGATTTAGCTTTGAGACTTTCGAGATCAAGCTCCCGCATCACATACCTCGATTCCGAATGGGTGTAGTCTTGTATATCCATCAACATACCAGATTAAATTAGGTCCAGGTGAGATAATGGTTGGGCGGGGGCGCTGAGGAAGAGTATTACATCGACGTTGAGCAACTAGATCAGGACGAAGATTGCGATATACAGAATGTATTTGCTGTCTGATAAGGCTAAAGTAAGCAACTACTATCCCTTTTCCTTGAATTTACGCGAACAACTTACTCCGGGAATCGAAACCCATTGCGTTGAAGATGGGAATGCAAAAGACGACGTCCTTGGCCCTCAATCCGTCCAGTCTCAAGTTCATTTAACAAGACAGTTTCAATTTCTCGTTCGCGTTGTTGTCGAAGTTCAGGATCATCAATTCGAAGCTGAATTCCAAGCTGTCTTCGAAGTCTTCCAAGCGACCTGTCAGAGATGTGCAATCCTTCGTCGGCAAGGACTCGGAGAATTTGTTTCGTTGAAAGTGTGGTGGTCGAATAGAGTGCACGAACGCGCTCATGTAAATTAACATCATCAATCCGAGTTACCGTTCGCTGTCGAATTCCCCACACTTGTAGTCGGTTTCGAAGAGTTCGGGTAGATGTATTTAATCCATATTTTTGCTTCAAGTCAGTGCGAATATCTGGGGCACTCTTTCCACCCTGGAAGGCGGTAATGATCTCCTCTTTATGAGGCTCCAGATCGATTCTGGGTGGCATACTAAATACAGGAAAGCTCAAATTGACATTTTGATAATAGATCATGAGCATGATTGTCGAGCAATAATGAGCGGTGGGTTGGGCGGTGAAATAGAGCTCCATAATACTGCCCCACCTGGAAGCAGTTGTCGCCTTGAATTACAGGCACAAAAAACGCATATTGAATGTGGTAAATCGAAAGGGTCCATAGTTTCTCAACGCGGCGCCGACGTGCTGCGACAGTTCGAACGCGTTTCCTGCCATAATGACCGGCAGGTCGGATGTTATTATAATATCTTCATCTCCACCTTCACTACCAGCTGAACCGCGGGCTACGTACGATATAGCGGGCGCGTTTATTGTTCCACCACAACCTCCATCTCCGTCGACCTTGCCACCCTCAATATCTAAAGCCTCTTCGCGTTCTCACTACTTTTCAGCAACAGCAAGTGAAAATCCAATAGGGAAACGCCAGATTTCAAAGAAGTCCTCTGCAGAAGAGCCAATTTCGAATGAAGCGCCGACCAAGCCACGTAAGAGAGCGCAGAAGACAGTCAAGGAGTCAACAACGACTCCAAAGAGCCTAGAAACGGGATCTCTCGCTTCCCGAGACAATGCCGCTGAGAAGAAGACTACTAAGCCTCGGAAACCTCGTCCTACCAAGAAAAAGGAAGCAAATAGTGGGACACAGGATGGCAACGTTTCCAACAATGACCAGCCAGCAAAAAAGTCGAAGAAAGCGGTAAAGAGAGACGAACCTGAAAACGCTGGAAAAAAAGACAGCAAACAATCGAGTGCATTGAGAAAGAACGAGGATTTACAACTAGACAAATCAACAACACGAAGGCTGGACTGGACACCACCGAAAGATCCTACCTCCAATGGCGTGGTCATGATGAATGATCAACCAGACGCAGAAGGCGAAACACTCGGTAGATTTGGAAAGCTGATGTCGGGTTATAACTTCTCTGGGCTGGCATCAGATCCACACCAGATTTCCTTGAATATTGAGAGTACTGGTCCAACTCAACGGAGGAGGATCGAGCTGGTGGACCACCCAGTTCAGCCCCAACTCAAAGAGACATCTGAGACGAATGACGCAGTTGGCCCTTCAACATCAATAGCCCAAATCCAACCGACTATAAAACTGAAAAGATTCTCAACTCTAACGGCCCGCATGACTGCAATGTATGCTTCAACGGATATAAAAGACGATGACCCATCAGGAGATTCGCAGAGTGCTACAGATGACAAGACTAAACGCAAAATAAAGTCGAGGAAACGCGAACTTGTATCAACCGTTCTTGCTCCAGAAGATGTCTTCAAGACTTTGGATGAGCAAGATCTCGTTTTCGGTACATGTAGCCAACTGGAGATGAACGATTCGCTGGAAACATTGAGAGAAACACAACAAGCCATTCGTTCATCGGAAAGCCTTGCCCTGCAAGAAAGAGAACGAAATGTTTCGTCCGAGCCAACGAGATCACACGAGTCAATATCTGCTCGTATAGAATCGTATGCAAACGGTACAAGAAATTTATGGAATGTTGCCGCTCGTGACACGGATGGATCTTTACGTCAAACAGAAGAACTGGAAATTGTGGACCTTACAAAGACACCCCCACCCGCCAAACAGAAAGTTGGCACCACCACTATACTAACCACATCCAATACATTTATCGCCCCTAGGAATGTTGACCTATTTGACGCAGAAGTCGAAAAGCCAACATATCCTACCAAGAAAAACCCAGCTCCTACTGCGGATGAACAACAAATCCCAAATTCAGAACCTGCAATATCGACTGAAACCTCGGAAAAAACACTTGTACCAGTGACAATCAGCCAAGAAGTAGACTTTGAATGTTCTTCTAGGCATCCTTATAATGGATTATCCGACGCAGATCTCCTGAAGCATATATCTGCGTATGGATTCAAGCCAGTCAAAGGTCGCAAGAAAATGATAGAGCTGCTTGAAATGTGCTGGGAATCTATTCAACAATCGAAGAAAAACACCCCTGTACCCGAATCGCAGCCTCAAGCTGAAAATGTCCAAACGGAAACCTCCGCCAGAGTACCAGCCCCTCGTGCTAAGTCAACTGCAACGACCAAGAAAGACAAGAAGGGACAGGGAAGCTCCCAAACATCCAACTGGCATAAAGCATTGAAGCCGCCTTACGTAGGTTATACGGATGCAGAACTGTCTAGGCAGGTAGTTGAATTTGGATTCAAACCTGTTAGAAGCCGGAAAAAAATGATAGCGCTGCTCGAAACGTGTTGGGAATCCATTCAGCAAAAGAACGATGATACTCCTGTTGCTTCTTCCCCAAAAACAGCCACCAATATCTACAGATTTAGACATTGACATTGAGATTCAAGATTCCGAAGAAGATGTTATACCATCGCGAGTTCAGCATCTCGACAATGAGTCACTTTCCAACAAATCTAACTCTGGTCGCCAACCCTCTTTGGACATTTTGCCAAAACCAATTCCCTCTATCCCTACTAAGCGCAAAAACGCTCCCTCCAAAACGTTGCGCAGCAAGAAGGATGCAAAGCTCGCGTCATCCAACTCCACTGTCAAATCTTCAAACCCAAGTTCTACCAAGAAAATTAACCTGCCAGACATTTTGGTCCAAATCAGCAAAGCTGTACTGCCATCGTCTGGTATTTCTGCCCCATCGGTCTCATCTGGCGGTCGAGGCAATCCAACATGGCATGAAAAGATACTCATGTACGACGCTATTGTCTTGGAGGACCTGACAACTTGGCTGAATGTCGAAGGCCTCGGCCTAGTTGGGGAAGACCGCGAAGTTTCTACCGCTATAGTCAGGGAGTGGTGCGAGAGCAAGGGGATTTGTTGCTGCTGGAAGAACTCCAATTGGTAATATGGCCATATCCGAATTACTTCGATATCTATTTGTACTGAAACATTCGTGAATAACGCTATAGGACTGACTATACCCAGCCGATGACACATTGATAGACCTATATTTAGTTCTTACTATAATAAACAGTTCGTGGATGCTATTTCCTGCATATTGTGTGGTAAAGGTATGGCAGAAATGGGCCTCACCGCCCGATTGCATCTAGACCCCTAGAGATCGGCTATTCGTATCTTGAACCGCATTGGACAGGTTGTTATTTCCTTCATTTCTGAAGCGGGATTCACAAGAGGTCCGTGTGTTACGTGCGATAGCCACAAGGGGATGTTCAATCTCCTTTGTTATAACAACCACAGAATCAAAATCAGACCAAGAGGTTTGGAAATGACCTTTCCTATTCTCGGTCTATATTGGCTCTTTTCTTTCACCTGCCTTCTAAGTAGTACACTGCTCTAGTCTCACCATTCTATTCCGTTAAGCTCAAGTTAGCCAGTGAGGGTCTAGTCCTCTCTCAACCTTTAAACAGCCTCATCCACTTCCATCCAACCCAGCGCAGATCTTGCAATGTCACTGAGCCAATATCCGCCCCAAGCGCCCTTTGATAGCGCCCATGTCCCCACACGACAGTCGCAATCCGAATTACTCGACGCGTATCCGATCGACGCTTATCCGATCGAGCAGCCGCCCAATATGACATATAGCCAGGCTGCACCTGATCAGGGGTGGACGCAACTTGTATTGGAAGAAATGAAAAATTTGCTACTTCTTTTAAACGCCGAGGGTCGAATCATATATGCGTCGCCGTCGTCAAAGCTGATCACTGGCCGCTCACCGAAGCAGCTCGAAGGTAGCCTTTTCAACGAGTACATTCACGATGACGACAAGTCTGTTTTCCTGCGCGATATGGACGAATCGGTCGCTTCAGACGAACAATTTCACACTCATGTACGATTTCAAAAATTCAATGGCACGTACTGTATACTGGCGATCAATGGACACCCTCACATTGGTAACGACGATAATTCCAAAAAACGCAAAAGAGCAAGCCAGGAGCGTTGCGTTGGTTTCTTTCTTATGTGTCACCCTTGTCCTACGAAAAGCTCCTTACTCCTTGACTCTTATCTCGAGCACAAGATAGCAAATGCGCGTCTTGTGCAGCAGATCGCTAAATTGAAAAAGGAAGAGGATGAAGAGGCAAATTTAGCCCGGGGGTCTTTCATCAAAACAGATACGGACTCTGTTGACAACAGCACTGCACGGGGGTCATCTAGTGATCATGAATCAACCGACACTGTTGGGACCAATTCGTCCGATTCCGACACCAATATTTCTTCAAATAATACATCGGAGAGGGGAGCTACTGTCAATCGCCCGTCTCATGTCGATGGCATTGAGGTAATTACTGGTCTTCAATATGGTCTTGGCGAGCGGTCGGAAGGACTCAGTACTGGCCGCGGCCGGCTGGTTAATTGCGATATCGATATAACCACAGCAGCGGACCAAGCCCGCACTGCTCAAGAAGGAGACAGGCGCAAGAGGCTCAGAGGTCAATATGTCTGCACTGACTGTACAAAGACTGATTCACCAGAGTGGCGGAAAGGTCCCGAGGGACCGAAGACCCTGTGCAATGCCTGTGGCTGTAAGTATTTGGCCCGAGCGTATTAACTATTTCTTCCGCTGACATCATATGTTTAGTGCGTCATGCTAAAAACAAGAAAAAAGAGAGAGAACGCCAGGAGAAAGAACTCCGCAAGAAAGGACTCCAACACCAAGAGTCCTAGTACTGTGACTGTTCATATTATATTGATTTAGCTACAATACCCTTTTGCCTTTTTTCTCTGCCTTGCAAATTCAAACTCAATGGCTAATGCATGGACTTCTTCAAAGAAGTTATCACGGGTCCTGAATGCTTCATATAACGGCGTTCTTGTCACTCCTCTTCAACAGGTGCTACTAGTTACGAAGGTGCAGGTCATCTACTGTTCACCCAACGCCATTTATGAAGGCGAGATCCTGGCCAAGGGTCCTCGGTTTCTTTGCTTTTCCAATCATATTACTTCTTCTGAATCTGTAACCTAATTTGCAACCTTGGATATAGCTTACAGTGTATTTCAAGCCTTATATACGGTTAGTCTTGTTTTTGAAACCAGTTTACATTGTTCAACGGCAGATAAATGCTTTCCTTTTTTGAACATTTCATTTAACATAATAAAGGCTTTCCTTGCTTTTTTTCGTTTATATTTTCTACTACCAACTTCGCGAAATATCAATAAAAGCACAGGAAAAGATGGCGCACAAGAACAGTAGCAAAGGCGCTCAGAAACTTCTGCAGCAAAATCATCAGTCTTAGGCTTCAACCACAAGCAAAGTAGTCAAACTCGCAATATCACGATATGAGAACCAAACTTTCCGTACTCACATACCCTGTGGGAAATGCCCAGCTGTCCAACAAGCCCTCCAAATCCCAATCCTCATCTTGCTCATTTGCTCATTCATACACCCAGTGGCAGGTCTCTCTGGAGTGTATTGACTGTCCCGGTCTTCCAAGTCATCTTCACGCTCAGACCCAGTACTCTCAAGCTCTAACTCATTAATCAACGGTGGTTGTGACAGAATATTCTGGACGCCAACACAGCGTAGAAACACAGCAAAACTTGTCAGACACGCCTTGAAAATCATTAGTCTTGGATTTCAATCATAGTAAATCTGGAAGGTGACGAACCTCGCAATATAAACAATACAATGAAACTTGCTCTACTCACTTACCTTGCTCAACTCCTCAATCTCATGTTCATTATCTGTCCAGTCTCCAATGGAAGCATTTGACTGTCTTCTCAGTTGTTCTAGATACTCCTCAACTTCAGGGTTAACAGATTCTGTCTCGTCGTTTTGCCCATCTTGATTGCCGGCTCGGCTTGTCTCGAGCGTTCTCAAGGGTACAGGAACTAATTCGTCTTGAGAGTAGGAAGAAGAAGGTATGTCGTACTCAAGATCTTGGAAGAATCTATACATATGACGCATCTGCTCTTCGAGCGTTCCTTGCCTCAGTGATTCGTACACTTCTTTTCCCCCACCTCTCTGCTCAAGCCCTTTGAAGAATTTATGCACCACACTCATTTGCTCTTTGAGTGTTGGTCGCTGAAGTCCTTCAAAGACCTTTTCCATCTCGGCTCTTTGCTGTTCGAGTGAAAGTCGCTTAAATACTTGGTATAAGTTTTGCGTGCTGGTTCTCTGCTCTTCGGTGGTTAGTGTACCAATTGAGCGCGTGGTAGACGGACCTAGTCTGCGAGATTTCCTGCTCTCATGCTCTCGAGAAGCCTTTGGTTCCCGCGAGTTAGAAGGACTTTTTCTGGGATCATTGCGGGATGTTCTGTACTCACGCTCTTGCGATACCCTCTGTTCACGCGAACTAGAAGGATTATCTTCGGGGCGAGTGGCAGGCGCGTTGGAGCTACGCGGCTTATACTTGTGCCTATGTGGCCGGCTTGGATCCAGCCTCCAAGCAATAACACACTTCTTGCGCGTTTCCTTCATATGCTCAGCCATAATCGCACCTGTCAGCAGCAGTTCTTCGGCGACTGGATCACCAAATTGATAAATACACTCATTCAGGAAAGGGGTCAGCCTTGCTGTACGAGAATATTGACGGTCTCTCACACCGGGGTTAATATGGGTCCTCCCCCGACTCAGTACCACCGTCCTTAAATCTCGGAGGAGATCTTTGTTCGAGGCTATGCGAGCTAGCTGACATCCCCCACATAGATTAATCTGATATTCCCAAGCTCCAGGAGAAAGATCGCTTGAACCAGGTTTGAGCCACATGCCCCTTATCGCACGAACATCTTTCAAGACTTCAGCCTCAACTGCGCTGACTATATCGGGAAATGCATCCATATGCTTCAATTTAGTCGTGACTTCGCTCTGTATAAGCCCAGTATACTGATCCACTAGATAGGGGTTGATGGTCTTATGCAGTTGACATAGAGGAGATTTGAGTCTCGTTGTTAGTCTGCGAATTCGTCCACATCGTAGCCGGTTTGGCAGGGCTTCGACTAGCCGTCGGATTCGTGGTATGTTCCTTCCTTGGCAGATTGTGTTATCTAGATGAAATACTCCGGCTAGTCTCTGTAATTCACGGCTGCTCAACTCGAGAACTAACTTGGGATATGGCTTACTCCATTCAGATTCCCGTCTTCGGGCGAGATTTGGGTTCACGATGAACTGGCTAGGTAGCAACCCTTGGTTGTTCGCCATTTTTTCCTTGCCAATTGTTGTTTTTTAGGCTTTATTGAGGGTTAACTAGGGATCAGTTTTTGAAGCCAAATGAGGTTGTAGGTTGTGGTGATTTGTGAATGTCTGTGATCAGACGAAGTTCTGGGCTACTGCCCCTTTATACATGACTCCATTGCGATGTCGACTACCTTAATAACTCGAACAATACAACCTGAGACAGTATAAAGGCTTGGAACAATGAGCCTTAGAATGAATAAGGTATAATGGCTTTGTTGTCATTACTCAAAGGGGTACAGGGATCCATCTTCTATGTCGCCATCCACAATAGATGGGCATAAATCTTTGAAAGAGGCATGAGTTGAATCATTTCAAAGGTGTTTGACGATGACTGGAACAGCAATTCCATACAGGTATGTATATATAACCTTGGAGATGATTAGGTAGTTTCCAATCTTGAAATGGAGGTTATCCGTATCAATTGATGTTTCTATGGATATTTCTCAGGTACGAGAGGTACCTGTAAATAAACAAAGCTCAGTATAACAGCACTGCGATCATTACAGGACATCCCCAAGCCACATTCAAGATGAACCTGTGGTAGAAATCCCAACCATGAAACCAACGACGCCTAGAAGAAAGCTTCAACTCCACAGGGTACTCCGTATAGTGCGGGTGGCCTGTGGAGAAGTCCCGATCGGCCCGAATTGAGGAGAAAGAGAAAGGCGTCGACACACTACACAGGTTAGTACGGAGTAGAAAATCGTAAGATGGACATTAAGTTGGGAGGCCAGGATTGAATTCAATAGTGTAGTTTGCAAAGGTACTGAAAAAAGTACGAGATTCTTTAAAGGATTGAAAGTCGGGAGAAGAACACGGGAGCGGGGTGCTTCTTCTTCTTCCTCTTTGCTTCTCCTCTTTCTTCCCTTCACCCTCCACACTATAGAATACTCCTTCTCTGTTCTTTCATATCTGTTTTGTTTCTCTGCTTTCAAGTCATTGTGATTGATGTTGTTTAATCAGACCACATCTAAACTTCAATAATGTTTGGCTGGGGCGCTGGGCTCACAGTGGCAACAACAACTGCAGAACCGGAGAAAGAGCGAAAGCCACCTGCTCAACCAACACCACTTGACTTCCCTATATACAAACTCCCCGATGCGGTCCAGAATGAGGCTGACTCAACCCTTCATGATTTCCAAAACAACCTGGCTGGCATTAAAAGCCCCCAGGATATCTCCCACGATCGCTTCAAGCCGTTAAACCTCCAAGTCGAAAGCGATGTCGACGTGAGCCGTATGTTCCCAGATGATCAGGCGCGCTCTCTCCCACCAGTACCTTGGCAGTTGGATGAGACCCAGTCTGGGGATGCCCCTAGACCTCAGATGAGCAATGGCCTCCCTTACCCCGCGAAAGAACGTTTCGACATCCTGCAGCGTGAATTGGTGTTAGACGATGACGATGTGTTTCGTGAAGTGGCCCGTTTGCCCCAACGGGAGGGACGGGAAAGGGTGAGGGTCACGCAAACCAGGAAGTTTTGGGCCGGCTTGGAGCATATGGCTCAGTATTGGGATAAGAGACTGGACCACTACTACGAGAAACCGGCATCTCCAAAGCAAACCCCGACAGACGGTGAGTCCAAGGGGGTTCAGGATCAGGATCAGAATGGAATGGATACAGATGAACAACCAGACACAATAGAATCCAAGATGGAAGTGGATGGCCCGACAGAATCTGTGTACACAGGTCGTCGCGTCGACGCTGGGTCTGAAATGCCGGACGATATGCGCGATGAGACGATCAGAGCATTCATCGAGATGGCAGCTTGGCCATTTGGATGCCAGGTGACCATCCCACCCCTTGCGCCGCGATTGATGGTCAAGAGTCTGCTCTTCCCAGTGCGACAAACATTCCAAGCTGCACGGTCTCCGCGAGACCGCCAAGTCGCCCGCAGCGGGATCCTAGAGGGACCTGTCCTAATCGCGCAATGCCGACCGGAGACTAGTTTCCGCTCTGAGAACGATACGCCCGGTGAAGCCCTAGGCGACATGTGTGATGTTTTCCGCGAGGTCGGCGGTATGCTGCTAGCCGCACAGGAACGTGCTCGCGAGGGCTTGTCCGAGCAGCGCCCCGGAGAAGGCAAGTGGTGGACGACCACAGCGCGATTCGGAGGCGCCCCTCACGATGAAATTCTAGACGATCTCGTTACAGGGCCAGGCATGCATGGGATGCCTCTACCTGATTCAATGGTCGGCGAAGATGACGCGTCGACGCTGACCGGGACGTCCGAGAGCGCGCCTAAACGGCATAAATATGAACATCCCTTCGTCACCTCTCTAAACCGTCGACCGAGCGCCATGCGCAAAATGACTAGTAGCGAGAAATGGAAGATCTTACAACCTGGTCCGGGTCTCTGGGACAAGCGTATGAAATACATGCAGATCGGTAAAGCTAAGGACAGTCCATTCGACGATATCTACATGGTCTCGTCGATCAACCATCACATCTCTATACTGCATCTGCGGGTCCACAAGCGGTATATCGATGTGCTCAGCTCAGGAAAGCCATCTACCCAGGAGCAGTCAAATGATGGCCAACCGTGGCATGTATTGAAACTTCAGCGCACGAGGTGGTACGACTTGTTTGATGCAAATGACCGCGTCGAGGCCCTGAAGGGTGTGTGGAGTCTATTCCATTACCAACTGAGAACTATCCCAGATGTCCAGACGGTATAGACGGCGTTGGGTGCATCAAATTGTTGGTTTTTGAAAGACTGTTGGGAATTCATTTCAGATTCATGCATCTTGTACATACAGGCGGACTGTCTTGGATTGATTTCTATTCATTGCTTGCGTTGTTTTGACTGGATTCGTCCTCTCAAATTGCATATAGACTGGATACTGTCTGGAACATATTACTCTTCCGTTTTTGTCTTTTTATCTGATAAGCCTCTTCCACTCTTTTTTTTGCAATGTTTCCGTTAGTCAAATGCATCTATATCAATCGTTCTGATTTTCCATTCCAGTGATCGAATCTTGAAGTTTCAAAAGAGTTTGGATCATGGTACTCGTATCCAGATGATTTCGGGATTTCCATGATAGCTCAGCGAGTACCTAGGTAGTTTGAATGTGGGTACGAACGAGCAAGGCGGGCTTCAATACATACAGTTGAGGCCACATTGGAGCCCTAGGTAAGAGCTTTGGAAACCCGTGGACTTTTACAAGAGGATTTGAATCTTTTATATGAGCATTGCAAGGCTCGACATAAGTGTCGGCAGCGTCAAGATCGTTGGAAGAATTGATATATGCATCGACGTATTCTATGGAAACTGCAATTGGAATCGGCATCGGCATCAGTGTTCCAGGGTTAATTATTGGCAATACAAGCATCGACATAAGTAATGAAGGCTTTAATATAAGCGTCCACAACTTTGAGAAAATTATTGAAAGCTAGTATATCAGCCTAAGAAGCTTCATCTTTATGGGCCACGTCATAAACAGCGACTTTGTCGATTAATGGCAGCGGTAATAACAGCCAGTACCGAGGCAGTAATGCTCAAAGAATCTGCCATCGATCCTCATTGTAGAGAAATATATTTTGAGGTTGAAGTAAAAGGTACGAAAAAGGAATACTCATCACAGTTGAGGAGGGGTTTCTGGTTCAAATAACAGCTCATATGCTAAAGATCCGCCAGAAATGCCCTTCAGTGCCGTGAGCCCTACGGCCTTGATGAGAACAGCCGTGCCCTCCAGGGCTGAATTTCCATTCGCTAATTCTGCAATTTGAGCTTTCATTTATGGTCCTCGGTATAACGAGCTTGAATTATCAAGGACATAAATTCAGAACGACAGCACAAAACAGCTAGGAATATATCTATGGTACGTGTATAAACTATTCATTTTTAGTATCCTTATGTCATAAAGTCATAGATTCGTAAACTGTTGATTTTACAATAGTAAGTCGCCCTTATATCAGTCGGTCGACGGTCGCATGAAGGTGCCCAGGTCACAGGTTAGGTGCATGATTTTAAAGATTCCTTTTTGCCCTCCACGGGGTTACTGATGTTCCGTATTAGATCATGGATGACAGGAATGTCGACGGATTTGATTCGTTTAGGCCGATCTTTCAGGCCACTGATAGAAAATGGACTTGGGCTTGAGATCGTCAATCAAGATTTATCATTATATTTATCATTTACAGATGATTGGAGACGTCTTGCAGAAGAACTGATATCATTGAAAGCCCAATATCATTATGTACCTCGAAACTGACCAATCAGATCGCTTTAGACACCTTATAATCAAGGTAGCGAAGGCACATCCTACGACCTTAGAAGCAATCTTGGTCCAAGGTTGATAGGTTAAAGATACTGTCGGTACACCTGTATCAAGTGTGGAATAGCTATTCGATAGGCTAACGCCCACTTCTAATACCTATTACAGGTTACGCTTTACGCCTTACGCCCCTATAATATCTTGTGTCTCTAAAGTGGTTCTAAAGTGGTTGTAAAGTCTGCCTTTCATTCATGGTAAGGATTAACTATTTATCTTACAAGTTGCTCTTCTGTCTGAGACGAATGTGTTCCATCGTCTAAGATAGGAGAGCCGGTGAAGACGGGACATCGTATTTGTATGCATATTGATCAAGGTTGTTGCTTGATGCACTACGAACAGGGGTTCGTGATGTGGTCTAAACCGGGGTGTCGTTGTTCGATATCTCAACAGATACCTAGGTACCTAGGTGTCAGATAATAATCCGATTCAGAATCTGTGAAAAACAACGGATTTGGGGCATTAGGTATGTAGTATGAAATATATGTACCTACACTTGTACGGTACACCTAGATATATAAAAACATTATAACTATGACCTAGGTAAATAGCTCTTAAAATTCTAAGTTTATCAAAAAGCCGTCAAGTACCCTACATCTTATCTAAATGCTTGTATCTTGCATATTCCATAACCTCTAGCATTCTAAGCAAATGTCAAACGCTATCGCGCCACTGCACCTTGGTAACCGGCATGTGTGGTGAGAAAGGCAGCTGCACAAGACAGAGTATCGGGTAAAAGGGGATGAGTTTTGAAGGGGCTAAGGAAAGGTACTGTCTTGGCCAAACACCCAATCTCGGAAGCTGCCTACGCGGCCCAATTGTGGTATATTCCTGCCAGGACCTGTTCATCGGTAGTGCACCACGAGGCCCGTTGCATCTTGCTAGAAGTGGCTGCACGACTGCAGCTGCAAGTCTGATTCTTGTCAGACTTTGAAATAACGACGCCATCGGCTGAGATATCAACTCCATTTAGCTTTACATCGCTATACAAAGCTTCGTGGTTCCAGAGTAGATTCTTCTTGTCATGGCAGTCATTATCTACTGGCAGATACAGATAAGCCAGACAATTCTGGCCACCTTTGTATCTCTCAAGTTCCTTCAGTCAAGAAATTCACTGGACATATCTGCTCATAAGATCTCCGAAACCCTAGAACTTAACTACATCCCTTGAGTTATCAAGATTTGGTAGACTAACGGTTGAAATACATCTTTCTGTCAATAATCATTCAATAGGAAGCGTGTAGACTATTTCTTTAAGAGACCAAAAGAGAGATACATGAGTGTGAGGTAATATAGACTAATTGAAGGTTAGTGATGGGACTACTGCACTAGTGACCGAGAGAAATATAACATAAATTGATGAATAGCTGATTGCCATATTTGTCGCTGATATAGCAAATGTAGAATTATCGACTGGTTCTATACTCGATAGGTAACCATAGGAGGTTGGCCCCACTATAAGTTATCTAGGAAAAGTCTTCGCTTAAACCATATTTATATTGCTAAGGCGATGAGATCAAGTCATGAGGTATAGGTGGGATAGAACAAATGGAACCCTATATCAAATGTACCAACAGCTGTGTACAAAAGATTTAAATCAACCTTGTCGAGCCGAACGAAGCTGGTGAAGCCGGTATCGAGCGTTGACACACTCTGGCATATGGCTGGATCTCATATCCTGAATGTCTTATCATCGGACGCTGATACGAGTTTATTCCATCTGGCGACCAGGAAATCAAGATGACCTCATCCACATACCCCTTAAGAGTGGAAACGCTCTGGTCCATGGATGAATCACAGATTCGGACTGTCCTATCAACAAATGCTGATGCGAGTAGGGTTCCATCTGACGACCAGTAGACACAGACGTATTCTGCGGCTGCCAGTGGATTTGGACTGGCTTGTCTCACATCTTTAATAGAGACTCTAGGTGATTTGATATTGAAAATATCAAATCGAAGCGTCTTACACATGACTTCGAGGGAACGCTCGAAAATCGTATAGTGTTTAGTTCCTGTACCTCTGGGAAGTAGCTCATTTTGTGCTTCCTGGAGTAGGAAGGTCTTTACAGATTGATGAATGGATAGAATAGTATCGTCTTGCAATGTTAATAGCGAGCCACAAATCTCAATAAAATTTGAGAGGACTTCATAGTCATTATAATCATCGTCCCACACTTCTATAAGTAAGGGTGGTTCGCTAAGCGTGATAGGTCGATCACTGGGTGGCTCCTACCTATGCTCCATCCCAAGACATGTCACTTTAGGGGTTTGATTACAAGTACTAGAACGAGAACTTCCATCCCTTCAACTAGGACAGTAAGCGGAGATGAGATATTCAATCGAAATTCTGAAGAATATGGCAGAGAAGAACAGCCAGACTAAATCTCACTTGATGAACTAAAGACGAAGATTCCGCTACATTGGCTGGTCTGGTGTCGTGAATGAACTTACATCCGAAATTGAGGACGACCGCTGCAAGAGCGAATAGCTAGAATATTGGTCAAAATGGGTTCGATTCAGTAGAATTCCAGACACGAAGATTGTATTTCAAACAAATAGGCATTCTAAAGTTCAGCATACGATAATATTTTTTTTTAGATATCCGTGCTCGTCGAAAAAAAGAGCTAAGGCGCGCTTTTAAAATTGCTTACGCCGCATTTGCTGAGTGATCATTCGTAATTCCAGTTGCAATGGATGATAAGTAGACACGGACTCATACAATAGCCAGATCAAGACGAGATATATTCAATTACATCTGCTCTTCCTCTCGTCGTCGTGGCTCTTTGTTGAACATACTCTCTGTGTCTCCGACCTGCTTACGTTCGGAGACTTCGCGGCTACGCATTCTGGAGCGCATGCTTTGGGCATTCATTAGCGTCAGTCCTCGAGATGGCGCGGGTTGATGATCCGGTTCAAAGTACAAGGGGTGCAGGCGGTGCGAGGTTGTGAACCGGGCCCGGCCGTCTCTCGTGACGGGTAATTGTCATTGTAGAGGTTCCGAGCTTGATGAGAGGCGGTTCAGATGGAGATAGACATCTGTTCCGTATCTATAGTTGCGTTAGTCAGTTTTCTGTTGTTAAAGAAGGAATGAGACCTACCCCTCCATGCTGATTAGTTTGAGGTCGCCTCCAAAGTAGCGCGAGTAGAGCCGACTGATGGGCAATCCGTAGCCGAAACCGGCCATTGGCGCTTTGAAGTCACTCTGATCAAAGTCTGGTTCCAGGTTCGGGGTTTGCTCCACCGTCGTGTACATGTAGGTCCACACGAGAGGGATCGCAGATCGGGGGATACCGCCACCTTCATCAGAGATCTTGATGGTGATGTCCTCTTTACCCTCAGCTACGATCACTTTGGTTACTGGATAAGAGTCTCGATCGGTTCCGTGGTGTTCAACGACCGCACGTAGCGAGTTTTTAAGGGTCTCGAAGAGCATGTGCGACAGGTGGCCGGGGACATACATGAAGTTCAAGTCGTCCCTGCAGACCAGCTGCACCTTGGGCGCCTCAAACAGACCGAAGTAATCCTCACAGACGAACCGAGCATTATCGATAGCTTCCAGTGCGATATCCTTAACGTTGGTCTTGGTACAAATTATGCCGACATAATGAGGATGTTTGACGTTTGATTGTTGAGTGAGTGCGATGTGTTGGCCAATTAACATTCGTATACCGATTCGTGACATGTAGAAGCGATCCAAAAACGACTGGATCGTCGAGTCGATCTGCATGCGCTGCCGCACCCGCTTCCATTCAAGGATACCTTGTGCGACAGTGGTCACAACACCGTCATGTCGTCGCTTGATACCTTCTAGAGTCTTGGCAAATCTTTTATTGTAATCGTTCAGCTCCGGAGGCCAATCCGCGTAGTCATCTGAAGGGTAAAAGTATCGCCGTCCTGCAGCCGCAGCGGCTTTTCCGCTGCTGGGCTGGATAATCGAAGAAGGCAAGGACCGGTACTGACCTTCGCGGATACTGGGGTTCGGAATTGTTTCCGAGAGGATTTTGGAGAAGTTTGGATTATTACGACTCGGTCGCAGCAGACGGGCTTTGACTTCTTGTGTCAGGGAGGGACGGGGGAGATTTATTATTTCCTGGAGAGTGGAGAGTTCGTGAGTCATAAGAAGTCGTCACTGAAGCAGGTGAATGAGTGGAAGTGAAGAGCATGAGGGAGCCGAGCAGAGAAATCAAAGTCGTGCTAGGTCATACATACCTCGATTGACTGCGCGTACCAGTCCTGGACTTTCTTAATGGAGGGCATCTCGCTGAGTCCATCAGGCAACTCACCCAGGTCTTGGACCCGGTGCGACAGGCGGATAGGAAGCTCCTCAGATAGGAACTGTGAAGCACGGAAAAGAGTTCCTGATTGAATGAGTAGACGTTCTAATTTTATTTCACGACAATGCATACCAGTAGAGGGTAGGTCACCAAACTGGACCATCTGCCTCAACGAGACACCGGTTGCGGGGAAGCTGGCATAATGCGTGATGATTTCCATCAAGCGCTCCGACGGCTTCCACATATTGTATTCAGGCCAAATGGCCGAAAGAAATCTGGAATACAATGGAGTGTGTTCAGGTGAAGGCAGGAGAGGAAGATGTCGCGTGCAAGGGGAGTAGTTGCGGGACTGCCGAGGTTGTCCGATCGGACGGAAAGAGGAAATCTTTAAGGCACCGATGTTCATGTCATCTGACTTGAAGTATGGAAAATAAATAACGGTCAAAATAAATAACAAAATAAAATGCAGAAACATTAAAATGTACATAGGAGGATCATTCATCCCCGGAATTAAGCCCCAGGTCTTAGATTATTAGGTCTATAGCCTTTACCCCAGAGGGAAATGAACTCGTCCGAGCCTCCGAGGGGATATGGGTATTTCCGGCAAGCAACCACGGTATTTGGCCATATACCTAAATATAACATTTATTTTAACAAGCCCTACTATACAATTTACCTAGGTAATGTGAAGTGCTCAGGCTTCTTTGGTAGTTCAAAATTGTTCATACCTAGGTATTCGTCCATACTCCGCATCCTCTGTGCTCCGTATTTATCAATAGCTTAGGGTTTGCACTCCCCGGATCTACTCCTTTCATCCGAATCAGTGGGGCGAACACCTTCATTAGTACTTTTGTTCTGTGCCTAGGTACTTCGGCGAATGAGCCTTAATCCTTATGGCCTCGCTCTTTTTGTGCTTTAAGACGAGGTCAGCGCGTAGACCTGGAACATATCAACCAAGGCACTATCTCCCCTTAATATCCTTGGATCATGACTTCTGCAGGTACTTCATCGAAAGTCCGTACTTTATACCTACCTATCTCAACCGGAGTAAATCACATTCGCCAATTGTGGGCCCAAACGGTCAGTGGATCCGCTTTGGAAACTCAAGATTCCCTATTCGAGCTCTTGCTGCTTCTCTTGCTCCTTCGGGGACTGTGGGACCCTGTTAGGACTCGCTTCACTTTTGTGCGCAGAATTCCCTCTTTTTTTTTCTTCCTCTGAAACCCCTAATCCCCTCCAAGAGCTCATCATTCAAAGCTCTGACCTCCAGATTCCTTGAGCCATGTCTCGTCGCAGAAACTCTGAACCAATGAACGAGGCCTTTGCATACCCCTCTCCTCGCCGTGGGCCCATTGAGGGCCCCAATGGCCGAAGACTCATTCGCCGTGTCACTTGGCGGTCTTCCACGTACAAACTCATGGCTTCATTGTGGGTGATAGGAGTCTTGTACATTCTTTGGCTCACCCGAGATTTATATCTTCCCTCAAGCTTATTCACCAATGAATGACTTCTGGGTGACTCAACACTATATCCTGTCTTGGGAAAGATAGACTCTGACAGAGAGAAATGAGTTCCCGCGCCGAGCTTCTTGCCCGCCATCCACCATAATTGAACCTTCCGGATTGGCTGAACTAGTGCATCTTCGCAGAGAAGATTTCACATGCTGCATATTGTGATGATCTGTTCGCAAATATCGACAATCGATGTATTGCTACATTCGTTAGAGGTGCTGAACATTGCATGCACCCAATTGAACAGATGCACCGAACTCGCACACATTTTACTGCTGCCTCATCATTCCAGAAAGGAGGAACTAAGCAGGAGTTCCCGACTATAAATACGTATTCGATTCACCTGCGGGTGGAACCGGTGAAGTTGCCACGGTCTTATTTCTTTTTTTCTACAGGGAAATACCCAGACCAGACTTCAGATATTCAGGATGATTGATTTTAACACTCGAAAAATTGTGATTTTCTCTTATGACCGCATAAAGCAGCTGACAATGTCAATTTCTATTGTTGCAAAGTTGGAACCTTCCATCTACTAGATGAATAGCTGTCATATCATTCCATAGTTTTTCTTTGCTATACCTTGATACCTAGGTATAGGTTAGCTAATTTTGGAGCTCTCACTTTGGAAATGCGACATTTCAAACACCTGGGTACCTAGTACCGTAATTGAAAGGTATATAAGATGGATTTCACTGGAGTTCAATGTTCTAAGCTTTTCCAATGTTGTTCACTCTGGGGACTAGAGCTATATCAGCCACCAAGGTACCAGGACACGGGCCACATAATGATGAATACAGACTTCAAAGGATGCGCTAATAAATGTACGTCCTTTTTCAAGGTGGGGCGTGCCTAAATTAACTACAGTTCAAACGAGGCCAGACTTACCAAAGCCCAAAACTCGGTCTGAATACTCCACTATGCCTGAACCCCCAGCTCCAAAATCACAAATTCATCAGCCTCAGAATTCAACCTAACAAGTGTATCAATGGGTAAAGTCAAAATAGAACTAATATAGCCAAATTCAATATTAATAACGATCGGCAGCTCGCGCTGAACGATAGTCTCAAAAACCTTACAAATAACCATGGTGAGCTCATCACGCAATCTGGAATCATACTTACACACTCCCCCAACAGACAGACCACTAGTATCGCCCATCGCTTATAAAAGTACGAGATCGACTGTACTGCTGCGGAAACTCGTGATGGAATACGGAGACAGCTCAACACCGCCAATCGAGGACTCTAGAAACATGATCTTTTCTTTCCAGGTCTCTAGAGCATACTTAGCTCCTTGCAGTCGCACGACAGGGCCTACAAAGCCACTAAAGAGATGGCCGGTGGCCTGAACTACAAGCCATCGCCACAATGGCGTTTCGGCTAGTTCATGTGCGTTCTCTGGGATATTTTTTTACCAATGCAACTGTTGTATTGCACGGGTATGGATTGGGGCGAGGCAGTGGGCCAACTGCATCACTGAAATGATTCAGGACTTTCAGGAAATGATTGATGGTGAGCTACATTGGCGACTGAAAGTTGGGAAAATCAGACAATAAGCTTGGTCCTTAGAATGTGCGCAGGTGCGAGGTGCGATTATCCAATGAAGCCAAGTGATGCCGCTATATTCGATGAGGATCTTAGGTGACGATTTTATGAGTGCATAGTCGAGGAAGGAGAGCATCTCATTTGCATGGTCACCACCCATCGTGTAGATTATGGCATTGATCGAGTCGTTACTGATCGCTGCATGGGGTTCTGCGCGGCGGATTTTGACCAACTAGGTTATACTCGCATCACCTGCAAGTTTTGTGTAGAATGTCTGCACTTTGAAACCAAGAGACTTACGTGTTCTCCTCCACGTCGGAGGGGGCCTGCTAGGACATGGTTCAGACGTGGGGATTATGAGACAAAGGCGATTGTATCACCCTCCTTCAGAGCTTCAGGGATGGCCAGTCCACTATATTTGGATAGAGGGCATTTCAGATATGACAATCAAAGATGAAGAATGTCAAGTGAATGTTTTGTGGTTTGGAATTAAAAGATTACAAGTTGACCGGCGACAGCTCAAACCCCGCGTATGATCAATCCTGATTACTTAACAGGATAGCATGATCATTAAGCAAAGGAACAAGTACATACTACCTCGTTTGGTGTATTTTTACAAGGTCGAATGCCTTTTTCTTTGACGTTTCAATAGTGGGAAAGTGCCGCTCGACACCATGGATCCAGTTAGCATTCAACAATACCGAGGTACACTCAATAAAGTGGTAGATTTGAATCAAAAGAACATTCATTGATGTGAGATTTATTCCGGGACAAGGGAAGTGATTCGCACTAGATTGTGTCATACGGTGTATGGTATGTCGTACATAGATATATATGTCAGTGGTAGTCAACCGAAGTGCACCAGGGTAGACAAAGGACAGCTTTCGCTGCTATAATATATTTACTGTTTGTCTCTTACAAAAATGGGGCACTGCTGGGAATTCTAACGTAGTTTTCCCGAGATTGCCCGGCTCCAGTAGTTGACTCAATATCGGGAGTTTCAACCCTCCCGGGTTCAGATTCGTAGCTTTGTTCTTTCAATCTCTGGATGTAATAGAATGCATTTGCATGAAAAAGGTAAACATTTACCCAGTTAACATTTATCCAGGTGGCCGTGGAAAGCATTCTGTTCAATTCGAAAACAGTTTACCATGAGGTCTGATAAATATCCTATGTAGTAGCAAAAGCTTGGGATTGTGGAAAGATCGAATCATTTTAGTTACCAATTCAGATTTTATGGCTCAAGTCTTATTCAATTTCAAGGTTTACCACTCCCTGGACAATCAGATGACTCTATCAAAGTGAAAGTGAAGGTGGGAGTTGATTCTCGATCATACCTCTAGGTCAAAGAAATCGCCCAAACCCCAAACCATAGGTCCTTTTCAAAATTCCTTTCAAATGAAAGGAAGCTTATTTGAATTTCATTGAACGTCGTCCTCAAACTCGAGTTCCTTTCTTTGACCCAAATATCAACTTGCGAATCCAGATCCCCAGTCGTCCCTTCTTTCCCACCCACTTTAAAGCAGCTCATAGACTCCATCCCTCGAAAAATATATTTTCCCTCGAATAAATTGGAGAAATGTCCGGTCGACTCCCCCAGAACTAATTCACAAAATCTTCCGGTACATTATCGGCCCTGAAGATGAGTTTGGAGACAAATTCAGGATCCAAGAGTATACTTCTCTAGCCCGATATGCGACGGTGAATCGCCAGTGGCAGTTGGTGGTAGAGCAATACACGTTCAAGACCATTTCCATCAAAACACGACAGCGCCTGCTTGAATTCTTCTATATGACAGCTGACGAACGACAAAGATCATATATACAGAACATTGACCTAGTCGTCGAGCTGGACGCGTATAGTAGTGAGAACTGCACGAAGGTCGAGACAAAGATTGACCAGTTGCGCAATAACCATACATTCAGCTTGACCTTGCAGGTCCTCTTCAACAATGTGGCTTCGTGGCCCCCACGGCGAATCGGAATTGCTCTTCGTATCCAGGCGCAGTCTCCAACTGATTGGGGATCGCATCTCGAACAGGGAAGACGACTTGAAGTTGAGCGTTATGGAGTTGATCTCCAGGCTGGTAGGTATAATAGATCGTTCCTTGAGATAATTGATGATTTCAATACGAATTGCATGGAAGTACCTGCCATAGGCACGCTTATTGTCGAAGAATTGTCGAGCGACACTTATCGCCTTATTGAACCTCGTGCTACTATGATTATTGCATCGAAAGTTCCCTATTTAAAGAATATGAAGCTCTATCTTGATGACATGGAGAGATGGGATCATCCTATGGCTCCGTTCAGTGGATCGAATATTGAAAAACGACTGAAAAATAGATACAGTAAGTACTCACTGAGCATTCGAACTTCGATGCACAGTTTTCACCAACAAGATTTCTAGGTTTTGCCAAGTCATTTGCCTTGTGGCCCCACCGTTCTCTCCGGAGCCTCTATCTCCGTTTCAAAAGCGAAGCTCCCGAAGACGACTCGGCAACGCCGCGAGATCTAAGGATCGACGGCAAAGATACCTTCAGCGATTATCTGCGGCTCTACTCTCAAAATCTTACTAGGCTCGACCTAGTTGACGTCGTCATCGGACCTGCAATCTTCAGAGCTCCACCTCCGCCTACTGCCTATACCCATCCTGAGATTCCCGAATGGGTCAACATGACGCATTTCCGTGTAGACTACACATCAGTCACATCAGATGGCCGGTGGTGGTACACTATAGACCCAAATGACACTTTCTTGCGAGAGCAAGGTCCAATTACTGAATACCGTCCCAATAACGCTTTCCGGTCCAAGGTGGATGAATACCTCCTTAATGACCTGTACTTAGCTGCTGGTAAGGCTGCGATGTGTATGCCAGATCTTCAGGTCTTGCATCTCGAATCTCAGTCGAGGCTGGGTTGGCATAGCTTCCGCTTTGAAGTGAGTGAGTGGCAGGCCAGGGCTACCTGGTCTGATATGCTGGGTTTTATACCTAGTGCTGAAGTGCAGAAGCTTTGGAAGGAGGTTGGTAAAGCATTTATGGTTCCTTATACAATGACTCTTACGAAGGAACGTTGGGGAGATGATATTCAGGAATTACCTGGGTAGAATGTGAAGATATTCCATCGCTGTTAGGGCTTCAAGGGTTTCTGAGCTCGGGTAGATTTGTATTGTTTGGAAACGAGTGAAATTGAAGTTTCCCCGGAACTCGAAGCGAGAGTGGAGAAATTGCTGATTGATTACTGACTAAGTTTTGAATGTTAAATGAAATAACTTGCACGAATTGTTTGTATTTATCGAGTTTTCAAGTCCAAAGAAGAATTAAGCTTGGAATTGAGTTCAATAGGTGGAAATGCCACGTCCGATACTCGGCGACGACATGCCATCGGGGCCAGAATAATTACTCACACGCACACACACACACATTCCACACACACACACACACACACACACACACACACACACACCTACTCACGGGACCGAGACGCTTTAGATTATTCTCCGGGACAAATTCGCTAGACAAAAACGGCAGGTGATCAACAGGAGAGCAGACCACCTGGAAGAAAATCAACAAGCCCCGTAGTTAGTAATTATTAGGTGTGCCTAGACGTACCACTCACTTGGAACTTGTATCAAATATCCAATTGCAGTTCGAGCCGAGTCCGGAGCCTGAAGGATTTGATCAGATAAAATTTAGTCGGGTTTTATCTGATGCGCCACACGCTTGACCCACTTGAATTGAAACTGATTTATTCCTTGGCATGGATCTTACACAGTATATTACTGGTCTTACCGCTCTTTATTACTACATTTTGGGTAATGATCAGCGTTGTTATGGCACGGGTATGGGCTGTTTTTTTTTTTTTTTTTCTGTCGGATTGGTTTTCGCGTATATTCCAAAGCTAAGAGCTAGAACCTTGGTTTACTTTTCAGCCAAAAATACGTGGAAAAACACATGGAACTCAAGGAAAAGGGGGAAAATAGAAATCCACTACCCTACATCTTCAAAAATTTGTAACTTCTGCCAAAATGATAGAATTAATGCTTCTTACCTAAAAAATGTCATCTGTGAACTATAATATTTTGCCTCCATTCCAAGGGTTTGATCATCTATGTAAAGCCGTAACCTCACAGCATAGCACGGACTCTGGTGTCCTGCACCTCCGTTCCAGACAACTGTTCCCCAAAGATAGAACTAACCATTTCGCCGCCACGCACGGCCAATACCGAAAGCAGACTATCACTCAAACCATGGGTCTTCTCATTACACCCTTGCAGCCAAATCCCAGCATGAGAGCTGACTTTGCTAGCATCCAGCGAAACCCGGTAGTCTCGACCGGGGCTCCAAGAGCCTTGACCGGCAGGACGAAGGCCGCGCACCGGCTCCAGCATCTGCTCATGCGTATCACGCACGTAGCCAGTGCAGACCATCACTGCGTCCACGTCTAACACCTCGCGGTCCTCAGGCTGGTCTTCTTTGATTGATTTCACGTGCACGCGCATGCGGCTAGCAGAGTCGTTGTGTTCGATTCGTCCGATCACTCGCTCCGGGAGGATCCGGTGTTGCCATTGCTTTTCGTTAGGGCTCTGCACGCGCTGGAGGTACATTGTATTGTAGATATCTTCGATCAGAGAGAGGCAGACAACGGAGTAGTTGGTGGATTTTTCGATAACGATTTGCTTGCGGCGTTCCTCGGCGGGGAGTTTGAAGAACTTGTCCACGCGCTCTGGGTTGAAGATCTCGTTCACGCTGAGCCGAGTTAGTGTTGTTTCTGGATATTTGAAGTTAAATGACTTACAAGGGCGAATCGTCACTGGGACGCAGGGCTGTATCACGAAGAATTAGAGACGTCCGCGACTTCGGATACCGCCGTTGCAGGTCGTGGAAAATCTCGGCGGCACTCTGCCCACTTCCGACGACGGCGATATTGTAAGCCTTGTTCTCATCAGTCAGAACGGTAGGCAGGGTAGTGCAGTACTGAGACGAGTGCATGATGCGCTGGTCAGCCGGGAAACCGGGAGGCATCCTAGCCTTACCGCCGAGAGCAACAACGACCTTCTTCGCTCTCCGCGAAGAGACCTTGCCCGTTAGAACATTTCGAGAGCGGACGACGAACTCTTCGACGACGCTATTAATTGTCTTTCCGGGACGAACGTCCACAACCTCCTCGCCGTATGAAACGACGTTGTTGAACCGCTGCGCACACCAGCGCATGTAGTCCTCGAACTCTATCCGCGCTGGCAGGAAAGTGCTCAGATTAGTGAAGTGGATCAGGCGATTATTGTTATGAAGATAATTAAGGAAGGTGAAGCTGCTGCGTGGGTCACGGAGCGTGGCTAGGTCCTTGATGAAGGAGATCTGCATGCGCGAGCCGGGAACCAGCATTCCAGAGTGCCAGGAAAACTTCTTCTGGCGCTCAAGGAAGCATACCTTTGGAGTGAAGCTGGTGTTGGCATTGGGATTCAGTGCTGGGTCTAGGGCATCGTGTAGAGCAATGCTTATGGCGAGGGAAGCCGGACCAAAGCCTACACAGAGCAGATCATGCAATTCATCGGCGGGAGTCGAAGGGAACGCCTCGAAAGATGAGAGGGACTGAGTGTGTGCTCTCTTTTGCAGAGGGGCCTGCTCAAGCTTTCTGGAAATATGCTCCATCTCGACCTAGAACGATGTAGGGTGTTTGAGGCAGCTCGGCTCTACTGAGGGGATGAGAAGAAAAAGAGAACAGATGGAGTAGTGGAGTGGCAGGGGGTAGATTAAATACCTAGGTATATTCGAACAAGTGAGCTGATCAGGAATTTCCCCACTGGAATCAGGTCGGATGAAATGGGAAATGAGTATAGATAGTCTCCACTTTCGAATTTTACCACGGATCAAAAACGGATCTGATAAAATATTTATCAAAGTGGATACTGTATTGGCAGCGATGTATTCTGTATTTAAAATGCAATTTCCTTTTATCAATCAGTCTCCACCAGAAGGAAGAGGGATGTCGCTTGATTAACATGTTCATGGATTGAAACGTGGGTAGATTAAATTAGATTTCGTACATAGGTAGAATACAGGTAAATATAAAAAAATTATCCGTGATGAACAGTCGATGAACAATCGATGCCCGATCTCGGGAATTTAAGACATAAACCGGAGACGAAGCAAGGTATTTCACCTCATAGGTTTCCCCTAAACTGCCGAGATACTAGAATGGGAAGGTGGGGTTGTTTTTATTTCATGCGCCATTTTATTTTTTATTTTTTATTCCTTTTATTTTGAGTCGTTTATAATTCTCAAATTGTGAGGCTGCAGTAGTGCAGCCCTATGTCGACATTGTATAGATACCTACATGTGGTCAGCCCATACTTATACTTCCCGAAATCGTCTTATATAGAGTGTAGTCCATCCGATTTCCCCGTCTCCTGAGAATCTTGGCTGGTAGGGAAATTATATCCGAGAGAATTGCGCGAGAGAGTTGAAAGCCTGAAAATCAAGGTGTACATGTGTAAGTATCTTGGTTTAAAATAATCATTTAATTTTGATAGTAATAGGTGTGCTTAAATTCATCTCACAAATCAGAGATCTATCAATGGGAATATTTGGATAAATCAAGTAAGCAAGAAAATGGGGGTTTCAATCTGATTATCCTTATACTTTGAAAATTGATAATGATGCAGTGGTTCCTTCTTGAACATGTGATAATTTGTATGGGTTCCTGAAAGTCTTGGCATTAACCCCAACACTGCCTCACTACGGAACCTCTTTCATCTACATCCCCTATCCAATATCTACTCTTCAATCCAAGTCCACATACACATCACAGATCTCTCTAATATGGCGAGCGAATTCTCTTCTGCCATGACCACCCGATCGCTCCGCGTAGTTCGAGCTGTACGTACCATCCACCGCAGTTGACAACTCGCATGCGGAGTACTGACTTCAAAACTAGGAACTTGAATTCCTAGCCGATGCCAACGTGATTACCTCCGAGCAGCTATCTTCCATAATATCTCAGCTACCCTCGCCAGCCCAGGCTCGCTCCCAGGCGGCTCAACGCCAGTCAACGCCAGTGCAACCCGCACCTATCAACACTCTCCCCCTCCGACATCTTACTCGCCCCCAGTCACACAGATGGCCAATACGTCATTGAACGAGAAGACGCAGCATCACTATCAAGCCCCATCGCCTGCACCTGCGCCCCCACCCGCCTACCCCCATGTCCCTCAGATCCTCTCTCTCGCCACCGCCTTGTACGCATACGCACCAACCGATGCGGGCGATCTGGCTCTCCAGCCAAATGACCGTGTGCAAGTGATCGAGCACATGAACGACGACTGTATGTTTGATCCTCTGAGCTTCCCCTTTGTACTTCTCTAATATTGTCTAGGGTGGCGTGGTCGCAATGAACGCACTGGCCAGGAGGGTATTTTCCCTCGCAGTTATGTCAATATATTGAATGATAAGGCTGTTGCTCCGCCCCCACCGTCTAATTATGGTAATATGCCATTGGAAGTCAGTCAGGGTGAACAATCTGCGCCGAGTGATGGTAAAAATAAGTTTAATGAGGGCGGCAAGAAGTTTGGAAAGAAGCTTGGCAATGCTGGTATGTTCTTCCCGAATATGAGGTTTTATACATGCTAACTTTGTTTTTTATAGCTGTCTTTGGTGCTGGTGCTACCATTGGCTCTAATATCGTCAACAGTATCTTCTAGATTTCTGGGTGTGGTCGTTTTGTTAAGGGACTAACTAGCAGATTCCCTTTTTAATACTTATCGGAACGGCGTTAGGGTCTTTTTTTTATTATTGCTGCCTTGTCGAATCCAAATATAATGCGCTTTCCTCTTTTCTTTCATTGCTTCTATTGCTAACGCCCTGTGAATAAGACTCCCCTTGTCCTATCTCCCGGAATCAAGCTATTTTTCCAGGGCGTTGAATTGAAGCACGATGGTTGTACCGTATATCAATACATATTATAAATAATTCAGACAGGTCTTTTGAACATCTAAGCAATATCATAAACGAGTTTGAAGATTCCATGAGCAAAAACATCCCACTTCACAATATTAAATCCCCTTCTACCACCGATACCAAGACTTTAACACCCCATCCATCAGGACCACCAACCCAATGCTTGCGTTTTCCAACATTCTCAATCTTCCGAACGGCATGCTCCAACTCCTGCTTCAAATGCGTCGGGTCATAAGGAACCTTTTGAATATTAATCGTCAGCTGGATACCATCCTTTTTCCCTTTCTTTCCCAATCCACTCGTCCACTCCGCAGTGGGCACAATACGAGGTTTAGACAAGTCAATGCGTCCGATAGGATAAAGCTGGCCAATAAGTAGACCCAACTTCCCAAGATAGCGCGTCCACCACACCTCCTCTGCCGTGAGAATACCCTGCAAATGCTGCTTTAGATCCATGTCACGCGGTGGAATCTCTCCGCCGTACCGCTCTTGTAGCAGTAGGGCGAGGAGTGCTCGCTGGTTGTGCGGGATGCCGTGTGTTGAGGCGAGAAGACCTGTGCTGGTGCTGTACAGGGCTGCGCTGGAGGAAAGTTCTTTCGCCATGCTTGCGTGCACGTAGAGTGCGTTGGCAAATGCTTGGATGAGATGGAGACTTATCGATGAGGGGACTGAGCGTTTGGCTGTTGGGCGGGGAAGACAGGATAGCATCAACCCGGCGATGGCCTGCGCTGATGGAGGCGCGTATAGAGCCGTGGCTACCTCTAGGGGATCCTGTTGACGGATTACTGGGAGCATCTCGCGGAATAACACGCCCTCGCGAACGCCACCCTGACAGAAATGCGCCTCTTTGATACCGTGTGGCAGTGAATCAGCCAGCGTCTTTACTAAGAACGCAACGGAGGGTACCTGTTTCCGTCGTCGATCAGACACGCGGAAGATCTCATCAGCTGTACGGGCAACCTTCTTAAGGGCTTCTGTGTTCTCGAAATCCTTCTTGAGCGCAGAGTACCCGTTAATGATCGAAATCGGATAGTTCTTTCCCTTGACCTGGTGCATGTATAGCAAGATGTATCCCCAGCCTCGGAATCCTCCTCCGGACAGATAGAGGGGGAAACCGCCTTGTTCTTTGGCCTTCTTCACCATAGCCTTCGGAACCTGAAGCATCTTAAAGGCATCACGAAAGCTAGCCGCCATAACCACCCGGAACTCTTCCTTAGCCTTATTCGCCTCATCTTCATTCTTGCCGCGGCTGAGATCCGCCAGCTTCTGTGTCAACGCTGCCGCACCGTAGGGGAAGCTCACAGCGCCATGCGGGCTGATCTGCACATTACCCGTATGCGACTCAATCCAAGTCATCTGCATACTCCCACCACCAAGATCTAGCGCCAGACCCTCGACATCAGAAAAGCTACTCGCAATCCCCCAAGCACCAACTATGCCTTCTTCTTCCTTAGGAAGCATCTGCACCGTGAAGCCCGTTTTGTGGCGGATTGCCTCCGTGAATTCTTCAGAGTTTACAGCTGTCCGAGTCGCCTCGGTAGCAATGAGACGCACATTACTTGTCGGGACTCCGACCTCGACGCATATTATCTGGAATCGAACAATTGCGCTGACGACGCGGTCTATCACGTGTTGTGGGATTGGGATTCGCTTCCCGGTTTCTGAGTCGATCTGCGCTTCGTAGAGCGATATGTTCACACGATGAAAGTGAATGTTTGGTATCACTCGTGTCGTTGGTGGCGTTAGGTCGGATATGGAGCATCGGATGCCATTGCTGGTGTTTTGTTAAAATTCCTCCTTTCCCTTTGTGGGGGGTATGGTGACCTACCTGCCTAGATCTACTAGTGCATGGTAATGGCTATTTTGGCCAGGAGAATCGCTCATCTGAGTTGTCTCGTTTTTAACGCGAGGGTAAAAAGCTCCTCCGCCCATTAGAAAATTTTCTAGGTTTGATGCTGGTGGTGTTGAATGTGGAAGATCATGACGTATCCGTATTTATGTTCCGGGGTTATCTTAGCTTATCTAAACAACTGGCTAGTTGATTATGTTCGCTAAATAATGTGATCAGTTTTTGATCGCAGATTCGCAGATTCGATCGTCTGATCCATGTCCCGGCGGATTTCTAAGTTTGCTAGTTCAATTTATGATATGAAGTCGTCTGATAAACGTGGTAAGAAGACTATATTAGAATGAAATAGGTATATGAAAGTTGACAAAGTCTTAAACGCCTCCAACAAGTAAAATGGTATAGATGACATATAACAACGCAAGCCGAAAACAAGACAAACCTCCCGGAGCAAGAATACAAGACTTCTCTCATTCCTTCAAACGCTTCGCAGGTCTCATTATTGAACCATTAGGCATACCACTGCGTTTAGTGCCAGGCATGCTACCGGAGCGGATATCATTGTCTTCCTGCGTGATTCGGCGATGCGGGTATTTGTCCGCGATGCCTTCGAAACAATTGGCGCTAACAGCACCTCCGTTCGTGAAGTATGGGTGCTCGAGCGCTTCCTGGGCTGTGATGCGCTTTGTTGGATCAAACTCTAGCATGCGCGAAAGCAAGTCGAATCCGTCGGGGCCTGGAGTGCCGACTTTTGAGTTGGTAGAGTAATCACCATTCTTCAAACAGGTCTGGAACCAGCTTTCTAGATTGGGTCCGCGGTGGTAGTGGGATGCTTGCCGGTGTGATACGAGAGCCTGGAGCTGTGAGTATTCAGGCATGGAGACAAGACCTGGCCATGTCTCTTTGCGGGGAGGGCCGAGAATCTCAACTATTTTCTGCATCTGGTTACGCTGGAAAGGGACGGTCTTTTTACTGTCCATCTTGGCCTCCTCGCCCTTGAATATTGGACGTAGGGAGAGAAGCTCGGCGAAGATGCAGCCTACTGCCCACATATCCACGGCCGGAGTATAGTGTCGGCTTCCAAGGAGCAGCTCTGGGGCGCGGTACCATATTGTGACGACGACCTTGTCGCCGGAGAAGAGTGAATTGAGCGGTTTGTAAAATAACCGGGCTAGACCAAGGTCACCGATTCGGATGGCCCCGCTTGAGGTAACAAGAATATTGGCTGGTTTGAGATCGCGATGTAGGACCCAGTTGGTATGCAGGTAAAGCAAGCCGTTCAGTAGCTGGAATAAGATGGATCGAACCATGGTCGCCGGAATTGCATGTCGTTGGGGCTGTGTATGGTGGTGAATGATCTGGAGCAGATCATGCTCTGTGTATTCGAACACCATGAAAATACATTTGTCCTCGAGAATGATCTCTTCCAGTTGAACGACGTTGGCATGCGACAATTCCGTACAAAGGGCCATTTCTCGGATTGCAGACTGCGACAATCCAGTGTATTGGATTGATTCGCCTTCCTTATCGGGCTTGAATCTGTGGAAGGAAAGCGTTAGAGCGAATGCGACTCAAAATCGGTGAATTAGTACATACTTCTTGATCGCAAATTCTCCCTTGTGCCCATTTTTGCCGATCGCCTTATATACCCGGCCATAGGTTCCACTACTGATGAAGCCTACAATGTGATATCGGTCTTGAACTCGCACTTTACTCGTGTATCCACTCACCGCAGGTCTCCCCGAGTCAATGCCTTCTGTCGAACAATCCGTATTAGCGCCAATCGTATCAATATTGCAGCGAGAGAAAAAGAGAGGATTAGTTGAATCAGAGAGTTGTCCAGTAAAACACTAAGCGAAAACGGAGATGATTGCGCGCAAGCCGAAAACATACACTCTCGTCCAAGGATCTCGAAGGAAAAACAACGCGAAAGAGGTATGATTTACCACGGGAATAGAAACCTCCGGAATTCAAGAAGGGAAACCCTTTCCCAAACATGATGATATGGGGGAAGAAAGAGTTCGGAGTAACAGGTCACGTTGAAGAGAGACAAGCGGAGTAACCGAAGGATCACAAGCAATAACCGAAGAATTTGTAGTAATTACCATCAACAGTGGCCTGCAACCCTCGCTTTGAATTTCGGCCAACAGTCCTGGTTCGGGCAGAGATCGAACCGGAGGAGGGCGGGTCTGTCAGACTCATTGGATCGTTACTCATCCATAGAAGCAAGCAACATGGGTTACTGCCGTGGCGATTGAAGGGTATCTTAGTAAGCAGAGGCGGTGCGCCAGGATGTTTGTGAGATGGAATAGGAGGTGGCGGAATCTGAGGGATCGGATCGGCAATATCAAGGCGAATTGTTGGAGAATGACGGAGTCCGATGTTCTGCACAGCACATGCCCAGGTGAGTTCGATCGTTCCTTCGGAATAAATATCTTAATATAGATAGTCCGAAGATTGATTCGGGTCTCCACGTTAGAGACAGCTAGATATGATTGGTTCAAATCTAGGTTCTGGGCCCCCGCAACTTTATCAGAATGCAAACCGAGCAAACAATATTATTTTAACGCTGCGAAAATCCTCAATGTATGCCTGAACATCTCTCAATGTCTCTCTACTTTGATGCGGTCAATATCCTGACCGAGCCATCATCTGGGGGCTCTTTCAAATCCCGCATCTACAGTTCACGGAATCTTCGTGCACCTCCGGCCCAGATCTATGCCTTGATCATTGAAACGTCTAAATGGGACCGCGTTCTCGCTGAAATAATCGAGAAGACCGATCTTCTTCGTTTGGAGCGCAAGGTAATGAATTAGAGATCTCATTAAATCTATCATACTCAAAATAGCCCACTGACCGTTTGAGTTATATCGATATAGTTGAATCCCCTGCTCGCTTTACTTTTGGTCCATGACCATCTCATCGCTAAGAAGGGCATCGCAGCTCCTACAGCGCATGTGCTCCGCCAAGCTGTTGAGCGACACAAAGTCCGACTGAGAGCCGAGTTTGTAAAGGCGCGGGTTCGCCGAGGGTGCGCTTCAGTGGAACAATTGAAGACGGCAGTCATGCGGGAGAAGCGGGAAGCAAGCGGCACCGACGATTTTATTTACCCACGCTGGGTGCGGATCAATAATATTCTTACTACCTTCGACGACCAGATGCGCACTACGTTCTCATCCTATCGAAAAGTCGAGTCGCTAGCGGACCTAGCTCCAGAGGAGGATAACCGAGACGCGCGAAAACTGCTGTATATCGACCCTCACATCCCGGACTTGGTGGCAGTCCCTTATGGAGCTGATTTTACAACATCTTCCGCGTATAAGAACGGAGAGATTATTCTGCAGGACAAAGCTTCATGTTTTCCGGCTTACTTGCTTCTGGGCGATCGTGGACTTGAGAATCCTTGGGATGGCGATCTTGTGGACGGATGCGCTGCACCAGGCAACAAGACCACACATATGGCGTCGCTTTTAGCAAAACAACGACAAAAGAACGAAGCTCGGAAACAGGTCTTTTGTATGGATGCATCTAGGGTGCGTTCAAAAACGCTGCAGAAGATGGTCTCGTTGGCAGGTGCCGATCCTATCGTCACAGTTCTACAGGGCCAGGATTTCCTAGCTCTCGATCCAACAGAAGACCGCTTTGAGAATGTTTCAGGTCTCTTGCTTGATCCGAGTTGTTCAGGAAGCGGAATTATTGGTCGAGACGATGTTCCTCAGCTGATTTTACCCAAATCTACCACACTTCCGCCCTCCAAGCATGGGAAGAAGCGTAAGCGTCAAGAGAAGGAGGATGATCAAGATGAGCAAGAGACAAAATCGACGGTAGTAGCTTCGAGTATTTCGCCCTCAGACGAGAACGACATTCCCGCCGATGCGGTTGACCAGGAGCGGCTCACAAAGCTATCAAATGTGCAGGCAAGGATTGTGGAACACGCTCTTAGTTTTCCCCGCGCAACCCACGTCACTTACAGCACATGTTCCATTCATTTGATCGAGAACGAGGCTGTCGTAGAGCGGGTCCTGAAGACCAAAGTCGCTAGAGAAGGCGGATGGCGTCTGTTGCGACGGGAAGAACAGGCCGAGGGATTGCGCAAGTGGGAGCATCGCGGTGTCCGCGTTGACCGAGTCACAGAGGGAGCGGTCGAATCAGATCTTACAGTTGATCTCTCAGATGAGGCCTTGGAAGCCTGTGTGCGATGCTGGCCCGGTGATGCAGAAGGCCTGGGTGGATTTTTCGTCGCTGGTTTCGTTCGCGATCTGGGTAACGCTACTCCGGCCGTTAAAATAAAAGAGTCCGAGGACAGCAGTGAGGGTGGTAGCGAAGATCCAGAAGAATGGGATGGTTTCTCTGATTAACATTGTATACTCCGAAACATACCAGTACCAGACGTCATTAAAATATTTGAATAATATTCATGTCCACATAAAGTTCGTATAATCTAGATGAAATCCCGAGCTTGCACTCGAGTTCTTTGAGAAGTGTAGATATCCAACTTCACGGCGCATAGGATCACTTCATATGTATCGTTAGCCTGAGCCAGTAGGTGCAGCCGCCACTGACCCGTCCGAACAACCCAAGGCCCATCCTCGGTAGCTTCTACTCGTTGGCGTTTGACCGGAGGCAGGTTCTCATTCGTTCCGGGTCCTGCTCGTAGAGTGGATTCAAGTGGATGATCTCCTTTCCCGTCGATGGTGAGATCTGTTTCTAGACCCAAACGGAACCTGAGTGGTAATCCTCGAATTTGCGATTCGGGGATATCCATCTTCTTTCCCATAAAATTTATAAGGCTGGCCATGCGGGTTTTAGTTTGCCCGATGAAATTTGCAGTCAAATCTTTGGGATCTATGAGTGTGGACTCGCCAGAAATCTGCAGAATTAAGTGGGAGGCGTTGTCATCCGTGAAAGGACGAGCATACATGACAGTCCCGCCCACCACTGAACCAGATGCGACGATTTTGGGTGTAACCAGAATTCCTGATGGCTTGACATCTTCGAGACGGATGGTAATCTCTGACTGCTGATTGAAGGGGTTGACGACAATTTTGTACGGAATCAGCTTCTGTTCCAAGCCCCGTAAGTGAAAATATCGACAATCACGCAAGAGCTCGCCTCGATGGAATTCATTTCGAATATCCAGTGGGTAGCCTCGCAGAATATGTAGCAGCTCCGCGAAAGTATCTGCTGATCGACTGGGAACACTTGCAGGTACAATGGCTGGAGGTCGCAGGAGTCCTTTTCGTTCTAGACCCGGGAAGACTTCGTCCGGGGATGCAAAGAAGGCGCCAAAGCCCAGACTGAAGAAATTAGGCGAGTCACCGGGACCTGAGAAAATGTCGCGTGCAATACGGAAGTGGCGGTCGCCGATTTCAATAAAGATCTCAGACTCAAAAAGCTGTGACATTAAACGGGGCACTGATTGTGGTTAGTATAAGCACATGCTGCGACAAATAGCAACGTACAGGTATAGAACTGAGAGTCTGCAAACAGCTTGACGAACTGTGCACCGTCACGAGGCCGGACATGGTACCCTGTAGATGTTAGAACGTGATGTGTTCCTGCCTGTCCTGCCAGGTTATACCTTGTAGATGTCTGGCGATCTCTCTGAAGGTCTCGGGATCGCGATCGATATAGAGCGTGCGCACATTAGCCGCTTTAGTGCAGCGCAGTTGCTCCTCGAAAAAACGCGAGAAATAAGAGGGAGCTGTTGAAGAGAGTTAGCTTGCGCTTGCGCTATGATGACATTCGCGAGACCCACCGTCAGATGCAATTGAAGCTCCTGACAGGCGAAAAACCTCCGATCCTAGCTGGATGGAGAAGACTTTCTCCGGAGGCAAGGTACAAGACGCCTTGTGTGGGTTAGAGTGACCTGAATCTTCCATGATAAAGTGAAGACGTGGACTCCGCAAAGAAGGGCATGTTGTAACACCTTGAACACGAGCGACACTGGGCGGTGAGAGATAAGCAATGAAACTGCCTTCAGGAACGGGTGCATAGCTTAAATCAACCACGGTACTTTGGCTTCTTGCCAGTTTTGAGTTGAATTCGGATCGATATATGATGTGACATCACTCAGATTGCGGTAATTCAGAATTCCAAGGTTTGAGGCTTGAAATTTCCAGCATTGTGATGAGTGCACGACATAATCAGCAGAGAGTTGAGACTGCCACAGCACAGTTGGTACTTTTGTGTGTAACAATCCTGAAAATCTTACTCTCTCATCTTAGAAGATCGTCGTCTATCATTGCATGCCAAAGCAGTAAGAACCCGCCGGTCTGAATCACAACGATATTCAAGTTAGGCTCATTTGGGGCAGGGCTGCATTGACCTGCTTCAACGCCCAAATCGAGGTCATTGCTCATGTGCTTCAAGCATTATTCATACTTTATCGACTTCCAATCGCTAGATCTTAGTGAGATATCCCCTTACTATACATACCGCAGGGTGATTGGTGTAAAATTTCAAGACTGAAGGACTGGATATCACATAGTCGATTCGTGTGTTCATGTGTAAAAAATCCAATGTCTTGCCCCTCAATTCAAGTTGTTTCAAATTTATGGCCCATGCACGATGACCTCTATGACCGTAGTCCGCACGGATGACCTTGAAAATCTGGGCATGGCGACGCGTTGCGGCATCAGTTCCTAGTGAGGAGATAGCTCCGAGATACAACAGATCAATGATCTGCTTCAACTCTCCAGAGCACTGGGTATAAAATGGCGGAGGTAAAGTTCCCAAGCTTATCCCCCGGTAAAAGTGAGCAGGGGAAGGAAGAAGCTAGTTCAGAGGGTTGTAGCAAACTCGGATGTTCAAATAACATCTACACGTGCTTGGTCTACTTCCACACCCACTGATCCTCATCCGTTCTTCACTTCTAATTCTTCAATTCTGATTGTTCAATTCTAATTTCTCACAAAATGGGCATCATCATGGGTGCTGAGTATGTCTTGTCAACTTCAGATTACACACCTAAAGAGACTCCAATCCCTCCCCTACCTGATGCTTCATTCTTTAGTGATGCTCAATGGGAGACTCTTTTTTCTCTCACTGATACAATTATACCCTCAATCCGAACTTCTGCCAAGTGGAGTAATAACGACAAAATAATATCTCCCTCGAAATGGGACTCTGCCATCTCACGACTGACCTCGTTGATGCCAGGTCCTAATGCTGCTGAGACTGCGAAACAGTACTTGCAAGAGAATGTTTCCTTCAATCCCGTTTTCCGCGCTCATGTTCAGCGAATATTGGGAGATAATGTTCACGAAGAAGGAAGGAAAGGGCTTGGGTTTATTCTGAATGCACTCAAGTATGGCCTTCGTCTCTATTTATAACACTTTACGCTAAATTTAAAATAGTTCCCGAGCTGGATCGTTCCTTGCTACCGGCTCCATCACCCCAATCCACCTACAATCTCTAGAATTTCGGGAAAAGGTGTTTCAGGGGTGGGACACTTCTCGATGGTCCGCTCTTCGTGCAGTTTACCGAGCGTTGACTGGCATTGCGAAGAAATCATGGGTTATGTCAAGTCCAACCATCAATCAGGTTCTCGGCTTCCCACACATCCCTATCCATGGAAAGCCTGCCGATAGTTTCCCGTACAAGTTCCTTCAGATTCCGCCTGGTAACGACGTGGACATTATCCTTGCTGATATTGTTATAGTGGGAAGCGGGTGTGGTGCTGGTATCACTGCAAAGAATCTCGCCGAAGCCGGTCTTCGGGTAATTGTGGTTGAGAAATCCTACTCATACACATCCGCTCATTTTCCAATGCGAGCTAATGAAGCTGGGATTAATATGTTTGAGAACGGAGGTGCCATTAACAGCGATGACGGGTCTATGATGGTCATTGCAGGTTCCACGTTCGGTGGCGGTGGCACTGTGAACTGGTCGGCTTCCCTTCAGACACAGGCATATGTTCGCCAGGAATGGGCCGATACGGGTTTGCCATTTTTCACCTCATCTGAGTTCCAAAGAAGTCTTGATCGAGTATGCAATCGTATGGGCGTCAATACTGGAAAGATCAAGCATAGTCGTGGTAATAATGTTATTCGGCAGGGCGCACATAAATTAGGTTATGCTGCTAGAGCTGTCCCACAGAACACTGGGAATGCTGGTCATTATTGTGGACACTGCACTTATGGGTGCGCATCATGCGGCAAGAAAGGTCCTGCTGAGTCATTCCTAGCGGATGCTGCTAAGGCTGGAACAGTCTTTATAGAAGGATATCAAGCAGACAAGATCCTCTTCGATAAGTCTATGGTGCCAATAGGCGTTGAAGGTACTTGGAAATCGCGTGACTCGTATCTAGGAAATACGGGTAGCGGATGTACGCAGCGCAAAGTGATCATCAAGGCTCCAAGGGTTGTTGTCTCTTGTGGAGCATTACAAAGCCCTCTACTGCTGTTGCGCAGTGGCCTTAAGAACGATCAAATTGGGAAAAACCTGCACCTTCATCCGTGCATGGTCAGCAGCGCAGTGTTTGAGGAAACAATTCGACCATGGGAAGGAGCGGCATTGACAGCAATAGTCAACGAATTCGAGAACCTGGATGGACATGGTCACGGAGTGAAGATCGAGGCCCTATCAATGATGCCTTCCTTTTTCCTCCCCTTATTCCCATGGCGAGACGGGCTGGATTACAAGCTTTGGGCAGCTGCCATGAGCCACAGTACCAGCTTCATTACTCTGACAAGAGACCGGGACGGCGGAAGAGTATATCCAGATCCAACTGATGGACGCTGCCGCATCGAATACACCGTGTCCCCCTTTGACCGTCGACACATCGTGACGGCAATGATTGCTTGCGCCAAGATTGCGTATATCACAGGTGCCAAGGAGTTCCACACAGGATATCGTGATATACCTCCATACATCCGACCGGACAATTTCGATCCTTTAAAAGGAATCAATGAGCCTTCATTACAAGATTGGATTTCTGATCTGCGCCGCAAATCACCTCTTAACCCGGAGCGAGCCGTCTTTGCCAGTGCTCACCAAATGGGAACTTGTCGTATGGGCACGTCACCTAAGACGAGTGTGGTTGACCCTAGCTGTCAGGTGTGGGGAACAGAAGGGCTGTACGTCTTGGATACATCTGTGTTCCCAAGCTCCAGTGGCGTCAATCCGATGGTTACTACTATGGCCATCGCTGACTGGGCTAGTCGAAATATTGCTCACAGTCTGGGCAAGAGCTGTAGTGAAGGAAAGGGGTTCTCACGACTGTAGGAAAGCATCCAACCCTACCTAGGTAAGCAATTAAGCTTACAATTATATCCACAGAAGGACTGCAGGATCAAAGCCATTAACCCGCTTCTACGCATAAATAGCTTTATTGGTACATACTTTTGGACCAGATATCAACAGATACAACCCATTACTGAGATATTTCGTTCATTTGGTGTCTAGGTATTTTGTGGTAGGTAAAGACTTATTTCTGTCCTCCGACAGAGCGCTTCTCAATAAAGTCCTTCTTGCCAAAGGCCTGCTTGACGCCATCCACCTCAATAACACGCTCATACCAAGCGACAGTAGTCGGGTACTTAGCACGAATCTCAGCGTCAATAACGTGAGAGAATCCCCAAATAAGAGCAGATGCAACAGTAATATCGCCCAAGTCAATCTTGTCACTAGAGAGCCAAGTGCGGCCATTAAGATGGGTCTCAAGAGTACGCAAGCTGCGCTCCAAACGCTCAAGACTGGTTTTCTCGACAGTTTCATCAAAGGTACCCATACCCAGGCGCCACAAGATCAACTTGGTGGCATGGTCTATAATCTCGCCCTGGGCAAAGCAGATCCATTGACGGATCTCAGCCCGTTTGGCTGGTGTAGCTCCAACGAGCTGGTCTGCGGCAGGACCGCTCTCAGCGATGTACTGGGTGATAGCGTCGGATTCAAAGAGGTTGGTACCATCTGCACCAGCGAAGGCGGGCACCTTCCCTAGAGGGAATTTGGACAGGAAGTCTTCTGTGCGATTAGTCTTCCCGAATTCGAAGTCGGGGAAGACTTCCACTTCGAGGCCGTTGATGTTAGCTACAGCCTGGGCCTGGAAAACAAGCTAAGTCAGTACTTTTGTCGAGAGATTTAAGGTTATCTTGGATCGTACCTTAGCCACACGGGGGCTAGGCATGTAAGAGTAGATAGTGCCAAATGGTGCCATTGTGGATTTGTATGAGGTGATATAGATCTTGGATTCTTAGATATAGGAAGATGAAATCCTTCCAAAGATGTTGTGGAGATTTAAGGGATCATTAAGCTCAATTAAATGATTCAGCTACAAAAGCAGCAGGGGGCTGGTGGAAGCAAGTGGAAGCGTATTTATAAGCTTGACCGCTTCTGATGTACAGAACTCTAACTATCTCGTTGATTATGATGAGTCAATTCGTAGAAACAATTGGAAACCTTGGAATGACGAGTCGGATGCGGTGAGTGGGTGTATACTCCACTTCGTATTTGTGGACACGTTTACTACATGGGGTATCGTGGAGGATCAGATGAGATTGAGAATTAATTGGCATGGATTTGTAAGATATAAGCATAGGGTAGTTATTCAAAGTCGATTACCAATTGCCATTTAACAATTACGCAGTTGTAAGGATTATTAACCAGAAGGAGTTGCAAAAAATTTGCAAAGAGAGGCTTACGCTTACAGATCAACCTTGCAAGTTATGCAATGCACATTCCGAATCGAGAACCCTGAAGATTTCAAAGTCGGCTGCGAATATTAGTAATAGGGGCAACCTTGGAAAGAAGCAGAATCTGGGCTCAGGTACTACGATTTGTCAATAAATAAGCTCAAGAATTTCCATGGAATCGCCAATTGAGCTCAAGGAGTTCACGTGAACCTATCTCGGTACAAGTGGATAAATGCATTATTCTGGAGCTGCAAAGTTGATATTAGAGTGCAAAATTCTTTCGTTCAAAAGAGGACATTATCTTGCCCAGGCTGCAATCGTCCAGCTTAGTAGCAAAGTTGTGCATCAAGCTTGAATTTGAGATTCCAGTCAACGAAAATCTACTCATTGCGCATTAGGTCTTGGGGAAAAGATTTTTATTGCAGAAATTTAGAGTGTTTTCAGGATAGGTCAATAGAGTGTTTCTTCGTTGTACTGTGTTACGAGGTAGTCCTTCGCACACCGCAGGCTGTAGTGCTTTAGGGTTGAGCCACTACCGTGGAGGCGGTCAATATAGAATCATGCTCAATTCCATGCTCAATTTCATGCTTAGTTCCATGCTCGGTTCCATGCTCATTTTCACGCTGATTTCCATGCTCATTTCCATGCTCAATTCCTTACTTAGCCCTATACTCAATCCTATGCTCTATTCTATATTCATCTATTTCTGGTAGGGAGCCTACAATCGCAGCAAAAGACTTCAAACCTATACCCAAATTACGATCAATTGGCAGCATGTATAGATAACTTTTTTTATCTAGAACTGTTAAATATTTTAGACGAATCTGACCATAAATAGTGATGTGGTGGAGGGAGTTAAAGGAAGTGGTAGAATTGGCATTTCTGGTGAGTTAAGCCATCTTATTTATTGAACGTCGAGGTTTTTAAGGAACTGTGGAATCAATTAATTGTCTCGTTTCTCTCAACAATTACGTCTGATGCTTATCTGTTATCTAGATCCAAACTTTTGTTAGCAATCTTATCTTATCTTTGGAGGACGCCGATATCCCCACTTCTCCATCTCCGTATACCCTCACTTCTTCTCATTTATTTTTAACGATTTCAATCTTTCCTCTACAACTTCATCACCATGGCACCAATTCTGACCTCTCATCCGTCTCTCAATATCATACCGGAACCACTCACCTCAGAAAGCTTCGCACCCTTTGGCACAGCAATTTGCTCGCCTCTTCCCCGCGATCTCAACCGCGCTCCTCAGATTTCATCTTTACCAGCCCATGATCCGGCCCCAGTCCTAGCGAACCAAAACTCCGCATTGAAATATAGCCCTATCTCTCCACTTCTCGACCACTACATCAATGGCTGCCCCAGTGGGAAGGCAGCCTCCGCGCGAATAAGCATGTTCTGCTGTTTCCCCCGTCAATTGCGCACTATCTACCCGAAACAGCAAATAGAGCAGGAAGTCTTCGATGTACGAATTGTGGAACGTCACCCATTCACGAGCCAAACATTCATTCCGATCGACCTCTCGCGCTATTCAAAGGTCGGTGACGGCCAAGAAGAGCCTGTTTTCTTGGTTGTTGTTGCGCCGACTCTCAAGGGTGAAGTCGCAACTGCTACAAACGACCAAGGTAAAAATATTACTATTCGGGACCCACCTGATTTGCAGAACCTGAAGGCATTCATTGCGCGCGGTGGCCAGGCTGTTACGTACGGTGTTGGAACATGGCATGCGCCTATGGTTGTACTTGGTCGGCGACGGGTTGACTTTGTTGTGGTGCAGCATGTGAATGGTGTGGATGACGAGGATTGTCAAGAGGCTGCATTTGGCGAGGGAATTGTGGTTGATCTAGGCCAAAAAGGTCATTATGGACGGGAGGAGGAGGGTATTGTGAAACTATGGACGGCGAAGCTTTAATCGTGATCAATGCCTAAGTATTACTAAAAATGTTTACTTTACGCGCATTAGCTGTAAGCAGTTGCAGCAAACTGATAGTTTTCGATATTTTGTTGGACTTTTAGACTCTAAATCTCTCCCAGGTTCAACCGTTGTGCCAGATCCTCGACCTTAGGTTGTGTAGACTCATTGACTCGTAATATATGTCATCATTATACCTATTGAAGTATTCAACTCCTCGCTCGTAAAATAGACAAAAATTCAAAAAAAGTTCGACTCAAAGCATGTCCTACATCAGAGTCTCTTGGTGCGCTCCGAGCGTCCACTCTCCATCAGATCCTTGGCTCCAGGTAGTGGAGCATGTCGCACGGTATTCTTTCTTTCCACGAACAGCATGGATTCTATATGTAATAATACCAGCCATGAGATCAAGGATGATTATCCGAACATCATCAAACTGATAACCGTCAAATCGATGGAATGGAGGCTTCAGAGCATTCCTGAACTCCTCCTCGTCCTCCAGAGTCAATATATCCTTCTTTGGAAACATGAAACAGGCCTCGGGATTCGATAGCTTTTGAAGAGCAGCTACAGGTTCGGCAGAAGTCAAGGCAGTCCATAAAGAACGCTCTTTTTGGGCAAGATCCTCACGGATCCGATCGTACATAGATGGCATCCCGGGCATATAGATCTGATCTCCAGGTGTCAGTTGGGATTCAGAAATATCACAACGCTAGAAAGCTTGGAAACTGGGCATCAAACATACCAAAGAAGACCGTTTAACAAATTTTTATAATTGGGCGGTGGGGGTGAAAACAAAAAGAGCAGAACTGCGCTTTTATCTGCTTTTGCCTGATTCTATAAAATAGATTAAAAATGACGTCAGTGGGATGACGTCCAGTTTAATATAATATTCTGACGATTCAGCTCTCGTTTTAGTATTCTAAGCCTATGCGTCATGTCCTACTGCATACTGGCTTTAGCCTCGCGCGTCATATGGCTGTTCATTGGATTTTAATTTGGTCTACAGCCGGATACGGTAGGTAGATGTTTCTATTTGCAGATCCCCGCTTTTACCAACACATATCCAGATCTCCTCAACATTTGAATTGACTCTCGAATATGAATAAAATAGGTTAGAGATTTAATTATGTACAGGCTGCGATTTAAAGATCTCCATCTTTGGATAGACGGATAGAGACGTCCAGTGATAGATCATACTTCCCGGTGGTTTATACCTAAGTACTAGACGTTAATTCCTGGGTAACTGCTACGTCAATACCAGCTTGCATAACCCATAGATCTCAAGTACACGTCAACTGGTTCCAGAAACTTTCATAAAAGTGAACTGCCCAGGTGGTCTCCAACAGGTACTTGGAGCGTAAGTACCCTAACCACCTGCAGTAGTACCTAGTCTGAACACCACTCATTGTCATTATCAGTCAATGCTATTACCGAGCAGACGGTCTTAATTCTACTATAGTATAGGTATACAAATAGTAAAGGATATGTTATATTCTAAATGATAGCTACTCGGTCTATATCATCTTTTGCTTCAGTGGTCACATGATGTCAACTTTTAGAAGATAGTGGAACTAAATCTCATAGGAATTAACGAATGAAAATGCAGACTATCCCTTGGCACATGGAAAGACCCCGGTGGCTTCATTATGGGAGATTCCACCGACCCAACCAAGCATCAGCAACTGCAAGTATTCCTGGTAGGAACCAGCGTTTCGAAGAATCACTTGATTCACTTTCGTCATTTTTCTTTGCCTGATCTATAGCCACTGTTTAAAAATCTGTGGTGTTCGATGGTATCCTGCATTAGTTGATTAGAGGTGCCTTATATCGCCCTAGTGCCGAAACATGGGTCAGCGCCACCGAAATTTGTCCGAGCATGCTCGAAACATCCATTCTGTATCTCGGTGACAAGGAATATAGCGCCAATTTCCAAATAATTTCCGTAACGCAGACCATGGACCAGATGGAACCCATTAGAGAAGGCGGGGAGGGGAGGTTACAATCATCGCGCTCGACTAGAAGAAAGTCATACTTGGGACGGTAAGAACTGAAGAATACAATAATGATCTGGTGCTTGTTGCCGATGGTGAAGCCGAGACAAATACCGAGGTAGAGCCCCTGCGTCTGATGGTGAGGTACCTGGCTTCACCCGAGCCTGAGGATGGGAGTGAGTGATTGGCGACTGGCCGGTCAAGATGTCGGTATCTCATAAATGTAGAAAATAACATCCGCTCCTAAATGGCTCTTGGGTTGTACAACTCGAGCCGTTCTTGATGTACGATCTGGAAGTACCTTGAAAGATGTAAAAGAGTGTAGAGATCATCGTGTACTCCAAATAAGCTAGACATCGAGTGAAAAATAATTCTAGTATCCCGGCGTTTGGGTACGAGCTCCGATATCAACTATAGAAATCAAGGTCTATGTGTTGCAACTCCTATCATGAGTTATGTGTCCACTGGCAATAACCTAGATGTAGCACCTATAGACTTTTTACTACTTATTCACGGGTTGCTATTCAGTATAATCTCATCAACCACAACTTTCTGCTGTCCAACTACCTTTAGGTCTAAGATCCCGCCAAAACCAGCCTGCGCCGGCTCATTCCCCGAATTTCCGTGATTAAAATTCACCAACAAAAGACACCTTATCCCTAACACGCCAGCTTTCATATTGACATGATGCATTGGAAGCAGCCACGCGGAGGAGAGGAGTTCGTCTTCGTCGAAAGCAACGTCGTTAGCAGAAACAATCTTAAGACCATCTTTATCCTGGCGATAATGGCGGAACCAAGCCTTTCCGTCTTCTGAGGCAGAATAAAGGGTGATTCTCTCACACCCATTGCGTTTGATGCGGAGATCGTGGGTGTAGCTCAGAGTAGGCAAGGTTTGCACAAAAGACTCTGGTTGGGGCTGTTGCTCCACAGCAAATATAGAAATGGGCAGCATGACTCCATCTGCAACATCAGTCCATCTGAAACCCCTTTCAATGGTATTTGGCCCATCTTTGTCTTGTAAGCGGAACTCCGGATAGGGCAACGACAGCATCTTCCATGAGTATTTGTCAATCAGTGCCACCAGTAGTCTCCTTTTGACTTCTTCCATGGGAACTTTATCATCGTAGGTGATATCTATGTCGTCAATTCCCAATGCACCCACTAAAGCCCAGCAGGAATCCTTTTCATAGCGGAAATATCTGCCTCGCTTGCCTGAAAGTATATAAAGAGGGTTTTGCCTCCAGAAGCCAACAAATCCCGATGACATGAAGAATTGCAATGATTGACGTAACCAAGTTGCGGGCATTTCAGACAGCATGTAAGCGGTGGGAGAACTTGGTATACCTATATCAGGCTCGTAACCTTGTGTTCTGATAAAGTATCCGAAGGCCAAATCATGGGCTAGCTTCGTGATGGGAACAGTGAGATCTGAGACAGTAGCTTGGTCGCTCATCCAGAAATTAGCACCAGGAAGCGTGCTGCCACTGCCATCAATAAGGTCGGTCTCATTCAGTAAAACGCCTTCTTGTAATGTCCATCCTGAGCATAACCAATATTCCTCTTTATGAGCGGCGTCCAGATGAAGTTTTACTTGCTCAACATGGTTTTCCATCTCTGCTGGATCGCTGTCTTTGCCATCTGGTGATTTCAAATTAACCAGAACCTTGAGGGGCGACTCTTCTGTCCATGATGTCGAATGTAGCCAAACTATGCTTTTTCTGGCTTTGCCATATATATGCCTGGATCCAAAAAGTCGATTAGCATAAAATAACTTCTTTGTGAGTAGGTAGACCAACATCTGCTTCCCAATTTCTTCAGCTTGAACTTGGAGAAGTTTAGCACTTAGTGTTCTCAGGCCACGGCCTTTTTGAGGAACACACATCCAGTCCCACCAAATGTATCGACAACCTATTGTCTCCATTACCCGCTTTGCCGTTGATAGGGACCATGTTTTGACGCCAGGAACATCCCAAAAAAGGCCTCGAGGAGGGTCTGAGGCAGGCTCATCCTTTTGGATATAACCCCAGGTATAAGACACAATCCCATAGCCTTCGATGTCTAGCTGCTCTTGTGGAATTTCGGTGAAGGGAAAAATCTTCCATTCCTGTAGGTCTAGAAGCCATCGCGGACTTTTCGGGTCATTCGGCGGGATGATTGGAGTATCCATATTCAGTTTTTTTTGAATCAATAGTCAACCGCTGTATTATAGAGGTAAAAAGAGGTTAAGAGGTCGAGAAAACAAAGATGCCGAAGAAAGAAAGTGGGGTTTCAACTATTCTTGTAAAATTCCAAGGTTCGAACAATCGGCACCTGCAACTACACGTCACCATGTTATATCGTCTGCACTCATTCAAGAGCATAGAAGAGGACAAAGCTACGATAGATGCACACTAGCTGATTGCAGTATCGTGACGTGTACATCAATGCTATTCAATTGAATTGCCAGCTCGAGGGAGCATTCAAAGGATGTACATATAAAATTTCCTCCTAGGAGGCATTACTTCAAAGTACCCCCACTCAATGTTGTTTTTTGTGGGCTGGGAAGGCTGGCTGAACTGAAGACTGAGAACCGAACATGTCTCGACCAGGATAACGTATCCATTAATGAAGCTTTTCCAAACCGTTTATCCAATACATCGTGAGGTTTGTTGAGTTCTCCCGGCACACCGCATAACCGTTGCGGTAAAATTTGAAGTCGAAAACATTAGCCAGGTTCCAAGGTTATGTATCACTTGCAGTTCCTAATTCCCCACATCCTCCATACATTCTTTTTATCTGTTGGAGGTAGTAAAATATATTGATTTCATCCAGTACCCAATTCCCCACGCCTTCTAAGGACTCTTTCGTTGTCAGGATCACAAAAAAGTAGTACGACTTGCTAAGGTCGTCGTATGGAACTTGTAGAAGGATAAGAACCACCCCACTAGTGATATAAGAGTACTTGAGTCCCTCCTAAGTCGTGACATAGTTCCAAGGTTCCTAATAGCGGAGCACACAGGCCGCTCTACATTATATTATAATTTGTCTATATGATCCGTAGTGATTTTTTTTTATCCTGGACATGCATTCCCATAGGTCTATAGTTGCCCTAGCCCATATAAAGAGCTTCCACAGAAAGCTTGTAGGGCGGCTTATATTCGACCGTCGTGGGGAGGGTGTTAGTATTGCCGTCGACTCGATGGATATAAAGCCGATCAGGTCGGGATGATATATACCTACTAGTTGTTTTGCATTTACCTCGCTATCACTACGTGGATTAAACCTATGGAATAGTTAGTGGGATTGTCGAACAAGATTCCATCTCCAAGTCCGAGCTCGTCTTGGACAGCATCGATTTTACATAGCTCAATGATAACTTTGCGGACATGATTGTCTATAGCGATTAGCACGTAGTTCTCGAGGCCTTGCTCACTACCAATCAGGTGGAGACGGAATCTTCTAGCATCCTCAAGCGCCATCAAGGGAGTGAACAATTGTGCTTAGGCTTCCTTAGTTAGCTAGAGGTGATTACGCACAAAGCTATTTATCTTTTTGCTATCCAGCTGAAAAATCAATCTATAGTACTATTCATGTAGAACAGTATTTGGAAAGTGAGATAGGAAACAGAAACAGCTATCTTGAAAGCTTGGAGCAGAAATATAGTTCCATTTTATACTTTGGTAAGTAGAGATGACGGGAGACTTTTCTCCTGCACCGCCCGTGATAGATAGATTCCATGCCTTCCAATGAAGTCATCGTACTCTAGTGCGGTATAATTTGAGAGGGGAACGAGACTGGAAGACTCAACCTCTCAGAAAGTAGGTGTACGGTGAGAAATGATGGCCATCAAAAAGTAGTTCGCATAATAAACGGTATGGGCAAAGAGCTTTATGGGTATGGACTGAGTTTGGACTGAGTGCTCAATTATTGTCTGAGTAATCATTGAGTGATTAGAAGCAGCACTTACTGAGCGCCCTTACAAAAGCGGCGGCAGCTGAGATAGGAAAGCCCCACCAAAAAGAGGAAATCTGTGATGTAGACCTACCCCTCACATGGATTGATGTGGGGTAAGTACAATATCTCATGACTCCTCGGCGAATTTACGTTACTTAGGTATACTAGTTAATGCTAAATATCTATGTCTAAGAATGAAGTCAAAAATCGAAAGAAAGCTTACTTCAAGATATGGAGCCGTGGGGTATTCTGTTTAGGATGTGACTTGTGGAAAACAATACAATCTTCTGACGGGTCGATCGTCTTCTATTCGATTTTTCGTCGAGCTGCAGAAATGGTACAGGCCACCGCCTGGGCACTCAACAAGACCTATGAGTCGGTAAGACCGATTTACGGGCACTCACTTGATCATAAGCACTGTACCTCTTCAACAGCTCGTGAGTCCTAGCCACTTTTAACACTAATTGGCCTGCTGCATACAAACCACATTTAAGGGCTCGTGTTCAAATTTATCCGTGAGAAGTTATACGAGGCTTTAGGCTGATATTCATAACATAAGCTATTGAAAATGACTTCAACAGCTCTGTATTATGCTGCCGTTCGATTTTGGCCAATAATCTATTCTGTTCTAGTAAATTTAACCGTGTGTGGACGTGATATCAGAGCAGCCGTTTCTACCTGCAAAGTAGAAGATAATACGAAGAAAATGGCGGGCAGAAAGCGGGGTTTCAACTAAAAAGGAAACGGGTCGCCGAAAATGGCTCCGATTGTCTGACTTCTTGATGATTTGATATCCATTCATTGCAGCGAACCATGCTTATTACATGCAGAAACCAGGATGGAGGTGAGAACAATGGGTGGCTGATTCAAGAAATCGGTCTCACCGATAGCTTGGAAGCGTCAAAGTGTGGTAGTTTATTGGATATAAACCCTGTAGACTTTTTATCACTACATATTAGTGATAACACACCAACGGACCAACCATCGTAGCCCAATACGCGCCCATTCCCGAACCCATCACTCACCCACACTCCACGGACCATCTGAGTAACATTCTGTGCTGATCGAAGTAATTCCCTTTAAAGATGCCTATAGCCGCCCAGGCGGATTCTTTCTTCTTTCTCTTTCTTCAGCGAGTTGTTTGTTGTTTGAGTTGCCCATTCGAGTAAGATTCTGGCACTGGTTGTCCGTTTCTTTTTTTTTCTATTCTTCTTATATTATTCTTAATACTATTTTCCAACCAAAAACCAACTAAACCAACACAAAACGAGCTGTGCTCTTTTGTGTCATATTACGCCTTGCAGTGCCATCTTTCTCGAATATCACTACTATTTTACCACAAGTTCTATCATCGTTGCCGGTCAACGTTGTGCCTTGTCTCAACTCTATCAACAAATCAAGTTAATTTAATCTCGCTCATATTCTTGTCGTGGACCGGTTCCATTCAAAGAGTACATAGCTACAATCAAGAACTCCGGCAGTTTTTGATTCTATATCTTGTCTACTCCGAAAACTCTACGACATCTCTGTTATCAACGTCCTTTCTGATCGATTGCTACTATATCTTTCATAATGGCCTCCATTCAATTGAAGTTTTCTCTTCGCACCTCGTCCAATGTCAAGACCGTCCACCTCGTCGGTTCTTGGGACAACTATGCCCGCCAGCTACCCCTCTCTACAGAGGAGAAGCCCGGTGCCTGGGTTGGAAAGTTCCGCTTCCAGTCCTCAATGCTGCAACTGGGAACCCGTTACTGGTACTACTATATCATGGATGGATACCACGTTTCCCACGACCCAGCGGTTGAGTACACCGTCGAGCCCACCACAGGCCGCAAGCTCAACATTCTCGATGTTCCTGGAGGCAAGAGCAGCCGAGACCGTGCCCCCAAGCGCCGCACCTCGACCAACATTGCCACCGGCCGTGCTCTCTCGCCGTCCAAGATCCAGCACCCAAAGCCATCAAAGCCCTACGCCTCGCGCCAGCTCCGCGAAGCCGAATTCGGCGCCCCAACAGTCGACGACCTCACCCGCCGCTTTGCAGGTTCCCGTCTCTCAGACGAGTACTCCTACTCAAACAGCCCGCCCAGCTCGGCCGGTTCGTCACTTTCGTCCCGCTCCGGATCCTCGGGCTCGACGTCCCCCTCCTCTCTGTCTTCTATGAGCGACCACCACTCTCAGTGCCACTGTGAACGTTACGGTATCACCCGCAAGGGGGATCGTGTCAAGCTTGACTGCGGTGGTAGCCGCTGTGGCTATATCACTGAGTCATCTGATGCCTCTTGTTCTGAGTCCGAGGATAGTGATGAGGAGTACCGTCGTGCTCGCAGCGGTGTCCGTCGCCAAGGGATTGTCGTTCGTCGTTAAATATAGAGACTGATTCTGATGATCAATCTTTTACTCTACTTCTTACATGGAAACATGATCAGGCGGACTCTCTATGCTCAAATTCCCGTCCTGTATTTGGTCAAGTAGTTTATACTCATTCATGAATTATGATTCTCTATGCCTAAAATATTTGACTAAGTCGTAGATCAAGCTTTCCAATTTATAGACTAGACTGTATGCTCCAGAGTCCAGATTCAAGTAATCCCTATTATGATGATATCTTACATCCACGGTTACAGGGGTTACCATAACTCTGGAAGGCTATACCAAATTGACTTCATACCTCTCGCGCAACGGCGTGTCCATTAAAATCGACAAGGTCGTCGAGCTGACAAATTTGGCCCGAAGCTTATTGCACTTCGTGGTCAGAATATTCAGAGTATTTGCCTGGAAATATCTTGCCAGCAGCGAGAATAATGCTGCCCGAACTTTCTCACATCCAAGCAACTTGGATATGGTTTCTCTCTTCTTTCTTAAACTATAATATTAAATACGCCAGTCCATCTTAGACTTAGCCTGTCACATGATCTCGAAATGTTTTGTAACAATAAATAACAGCACTGGTGTGATTGCAACTTTCCAGAACATGGATACGATTGTTACTTCACAGTGAACAGTTAACATCAAGGTTCATCACTCTGATGAGAGCTTTCTAGCCACGGGAGCTAAAGAAATTCATCTTTGATATAAATTTGCGCATCTACTCCTGGCTACGGTAAATGAAAAGAAGCCCTGTTTGGCGAAGATGGATTATGAAATCAAGACGGTTTGTTCCTAGCTCGTCTAGATAGATCACCTGATAGCGGGGTGGGCTGGAAACCGGGCTTCAGCAGTGGGCTTACTGTCTCGCTCAAAACCATCGGGCTACAATCATGGCAACCACTATCTCCTACGATAGTATAAATTCTGGATTCCAGGCAGGAGTGATACACGGCAATGTCGAGAATATCACTGTTGGTTAGTGGAAGACACAACCTTAATAGAACATGACTAAATAGTCAACGGCCTTAGTACAATCGGAAACGCTAAACCGAGCTTGCCTTCGGGATCTGCGTACGACCAATCCTCTCGATGATAAAGAACGGATAAAAAACACTAAAGGTGGACTGCTTAAAGACTCGTATGGCTGGATTCTTGACAACGAGGACTTTAAAAGATGGGAAGACAACCAGAGCAATCGTCTCCTCTGGATCAAAGGTGATCCCGGCAAAGGCAAGACCATGCTACTTTGTGGTATCATCGAAGAGTTGACACGACTATATGGGGACAATGCGAACATCTCGTTTTTTTTCTGTCAGGCTACTGACATGCGAATCAACAGCGCCACATCCGTCTTACGGGGGTTAATATATCTACTTGTCGAAAAGCATCCATTCCTCCTTCCTCATGTGCGAGCTCGGTACGACCATGCTGGAAAGGCTTTATTTGAGGATGTTAATGCATGGAATGCACTTTCGACGATCTTCAAAGATATTCTGAAAGACCCGGCTTTACAGATGACGTATTTGGTAATTGATGCTCTAGACGAGTGCACAAGTGGGCTCTATTCCCTTCTTGACTTGATTATCCAAGAATCATCAGTCAATCTACCGATAAAGTGGGTCTTGTCTAGCCGTAACTGGCCTGACATCACCGAGCGACTTAACACTGCAACCCAGCTATCTCCGGTCTCATTAGAGCTGAACGAAGCGTCTGTATCTGACGCAGTGAATCATTTTATTCAACATAAAGTTCGTGGATTAGCGAAAACCAAAAGTTATACCGATAAAACTCGGAATGCTGTTCAAAGCTACTTGTTGTCAAACTCGCAAGGCACCTTCCTATGGGTGGCCTTGGTGTGTCAGAATCTTAAAAAGATACGAACAAGCGTGCTTAAGAAGTTAGAGTTATTTCCTCCTGGGTTAGATGCTCTATATGGTCGAATGATTGACCAGGTTTGCGAATCGCAAGATGCCGAGATCTGTAAGAAAATACTAGCAATCATGTCAACAGTTTTTCGGCCTATCACGCTAAACGAACTTGCTTCACTTATTGAACCTCCTGATGATGACTCCGATGACTTTTCTTTGCTTAAGGAAATTATTGCACTTTGTGGTTCATTCCTGACGTTACGACAAGATACTATTACTTTCGTTCATCAGTCCGCAAAGGATTTTCTTCTCCGGGAAGCTGTAAATGAGATACTTCCTAGAGGTATAGGAGCTGAGCACCGCATGATTTTCTCACGATCTCTCAACGTGATGTTCAAAACACTTCGGCGTGATATCTTTGATATCAAGTTACCTGGATTTCCGATTAAGGATGTCAAAAAACCCAACCCAAATCCACTAGCAGCGGCTGAGTACGCATGCGTTCATTGGGTGGACCATCTACAAGGTAGCGAGTGCAATGAAACCTATAAGCTGAGCCTTATTGAGATGGAATGCATGGGTCTGTTTCTACAGCAGAAATTTCTTTACTGGCTCGAAGCTCTTAGCATTTTGGGAAGTGTTACAAACGGTATCCAAGCGATGCAAAATTTTGAGACCCTACTTCAGGTATGTCGTTACTTATGTATGGACAATTATATTTTCTAGCTATATATCTAATTTTTTAGGAGAAAACTGAGTCAGAAGCTCTATTTCGTCGGGCTCAAGATGCCTCTAGGTTCATTCGATATTTCAGAACAGCAATTGAAAGCAGCCCTCTACAAGTATATTATTCAGCTCTTCTCTTTAGCCCAACAAGAAGCCTCACAAGAAGTTCTTTTTATAGAGAGAGACCAGACTGGGTCTTAAATGATCCACAGGTAGAAGAAACTTGGAGTCTTTGTTTACACACTCTGGAGGTGCATAATTCTCTGTTTAATTCGATTGCCTGGTCTTCAGATGGAAGCCGACTCGCATCAGCGTCCGTTGATGCGACAGTCAGGATCTGGGATCCAACTACTGGCCAGAACTTGTCAACTCTCAAGGGGCATAGTGATAGGGTCACCTCGGTTGCCTGGTCGCCAGATGGAAGCCGACTCGCATCAGCGTCCTGGGATTACACAGTCAGGATCTGGGATCCGGCCACTGGCCAGACCGTTTTCACTCTCGAGGGGCATAGTGGTTGGGTCAGATCGGTTGTCTGGTCGCCAGATGGAAGCCGACTCGCATCAGCGTCCAGTGATAAGACAGTCAGGATCTGGGATCCTACTACTGGCCATGGCTTATCTACTCTTGAGAGGCATAGTGATAGGGTCACCTCGGCTGCCTGGTCGTCAGATGGAAGCCGACTCGCATCAGCGTCCTGGGATTACACAGTCAAGATCTGGGATCCAGCTACCGGCCAGACCGTGTCCACTATTGAGGGGCATAGTGTTGGGATCAACTCAATTGCCTGGTCGCCAGATGGAAGCCGACTCGCATCAGCGTCCAATGATGGGACAGTCAGGATCTGGGATCCGGCCACTGGCCAGACCGTTTCCACTCTCGAGGGGCATAGTGATGGGGTCAGATCGGTTGCCTGGTCGCCAGATGGAAGCCGACTCGCATCAGCGTCCGTTGATGCGACAGTCAGGATCTGGGATCCAGCTACCGGCCAGAGCGTATCCAACCTCAAAGGGCATAATACTGAAATCATCTCAGTTGCCTGGTCACCAGATGGAAGCCGACTCGCATCAGCGTCCTGGGATTACACAGTCAGGATCTGGGATCTAAATACCAGCCAGGGCTTATACACTCCCAAATGGCATGGTGGTAGGGTCGCCTCGATTACCTGGTCGCCAGATGGAAGCCGACTCGCATCAGCGTCCAGTGATGCGACAGTCAGGATCTGGGATCCAGCTACCGGCCAGACCGTTTCCACTCTCGAGGGGCATAGTGATTCGGTCAGCTCGGTTGCCTGGTCGCCAGATGGAAGCCGACTCGCATCAGCGTCCGTTGATGCGACAGTCAGGATCTGGGATCTAACTACTGGCCAAAGCTTATCCACTCTTGAGGGGCATAGTGATTGGGTCAGATCGGTTGCCTGGTCGCCAGATGGAAGCCGACTCGCATCAGCGTCCAGTGATGCGACAGTCAGGATCTGGGATCCAGCTACCGGCCAGACCGTTTCCACTCTCGAGGGGCATAGTGATTCGGTCAGCTCGGTTGCCTGGTCGCCAGATGGAAGCCGACTCGCATCAGCGTCCGATGATGAGACAGTCAGGATCTGGGATCTAATTACCAGCCATAGCTTATCCACTCTTGAGGGGCATAGTGATAGGGTCACCTCGGTTGTCTGGTCGCCAGATGGAAGCCGACTCGCATCAGCGTCCAGTGATAAGACAGTCAGGATCTGGGATCCTACTACTGGCCAGAGCGTGTCAACTCTCAGTGTCACTTTCCGTTATCTTCTCCAGTTCGATAAATCAAATTTCAACCACTTGCACACGAATATGGGGACGTTTGATATAGCTTCTGTCACACTTGTAGGACATAACTCGATTCCATCGCCCGAGCAATATGGATATGGCTTAAGTCAAGACTGCTCGTGGATAACCTATAGCGGAGTCAACCTCTTATGGCTGCCTGCTGATTATAGACCCAATGATTTATTTCAAGTTTTTTCTTTATCAGCAAAATACATCGCGATCGGCTGTTCATCAGGTCACGTCATATTTCTCGCACTTACTGAAAGGAGTCCCGTCAGTAGTCTTTGATTTACGTTCATATTACCTCAAATTCTACCTCTCTTTTTGGTTTCGTTGAAAATAGCCCATAAAATTCCACATGCATCATATTTAACAGATGTAGCTTGGTCTTTGGAGTTTGGTCGAGGGGATCGGATCTGGCATCGGACTAGATACTCAAGCGCCCCACAACCTTAATTTGCTAACGGCCCGTACCACTATTTTTTATATTCTTGAAATATAAATGGCCTGGGCTAATCTATTGATTTATATCTTCTTCCATACAGCTTTGCTTTTGAGCAACATCCAGGAGTCGGTCAAACGAGCTGCAAGGATCTATGCAATATATCTCTCTTCATTGAATACGCAACGTCCATTTAGCACAAACAACAACATCAGCCACCATATGTTCTTCCAACACATGTTAAAAAATATCATGTTGAAAAATATCATCATGGAAACGATGAGACCATGCGATCAAGTGTCTCACTACACCTGGTCGCAGTCTTGATAGGAATAGCCTGGTCATTTTACTGGGCGCTCTGGACATGAAAATCGTGGCTACAGCGGTCCCCTCAATCACGAATGACTTTCAATCATCTAGCAACTCTGAGTGGTATGGATAGGCGTAGTAGGTATTACCATCACTAGCCATATTTCGCCATGACTAACGTCTATCACTAGTCTCTTGACATTATCTAGCTTACAGCTATCCTGGGGCCGTCTATATAAGTAAGCCCTTCCTAAGTGGACTTTCCAGACTGGAATTGACAAGTCGAGTGGAGAAGGTTATTTGGATCATTATTACTTTCTATTCAGCTGATTTCAATGCTATTCATGTTTCATTTTGGTATTCATGTGTCATTCCAGATCCTGGCTGTTTCCATGGTATATCTGTTTTATATGGCTGAACGTGACTTGATATGACTTGTTATGGCGTATCAAGGGCTCATGCACCCACATACCACACCTCAACGCCAATTATATCGAATTTAATACCCTCGTCGGAGAGAGGCTCATTACCAAATGTTTGACAGGATGCACTGACGCCCTTTTCAAGGCTCGTATCAACCCATAGTCCATAGTGGCCGTCACTACAATAGGTTAGTTAGCACGTTCAAGAATAGAACAGAAAGGAAAGTAGTATCAACGAACCCGCCACCGAGACTCAAAAAGCTAGTCTCACAAAATATCATGTAATCATTCACTCCACTATATGGAAATGCCTTGAAGCGAATGCGCTCGGGTGTTCTTGTCCCGGTGCTAGAAGTTCCCGGGCTGTTGATAGACGATGGCGACGGAGGAGACAGAACACCACCACTCGCCGCCGCAAGATGGTTCTTGATATTCGTGTTCAAGTTATGAGAGGGCGATCCAGATTTCGATTTCGGCGTGTCATTGCGCAGAGTACTCCATCGTCCAGCGTGGGTGGTATCAGCGGATGGTGGTGGTGGGAGGCCGGCACGTTCAAGAGCTTCTTCTGTCTGGGGACCGTCACTTTGGAATGCAAGACCAAGATTCACAGGAGGGGGAGCACGCTCGCCCGCCAGAGGAAGCACTCGCCCGTACCAAAGAATTGAGTGTTTGGATGGGGCGCATCGGTCATATATGCACCAAAGACAGCGCCAGAGGGGGAGGAGTCGCGGACGACAAGGACATAGCCCGCCCGCGGGCTGCGATGAGAATATTCGTCACAGTTGTCGTAAAGTGTGGACAGAGAGGCTCCGTCGCGATCAAGACTATAGGCAAGACGCCAGTTCTCGACGAGTTGTAGGCGTGGAGGAACAAGTAATCGTATTTCCTCCGCTAAAGCAGTTGTCAGGAGCTGTTGCTGGAGCAAGTCGCCTTTTGGTATTGTTAGGTTGAGAGGTGTGAGGGGTGGGGGCTGGAATGGAGAGGCTGTTCGATGCGGGGTATAAACTTCGGGAGACGTCAAATATGGTGTCGCTGATGGCATGGTGGCTATGCTGGTGTCCGTGAGGCGTCGATAAATACCAGAAACAACGTGGCTGACAGGGTATGAAAAGAAGGATGCAGTGGTTTGGCTATAGGGTGGATTTTGCTGGGGCGTGTGAGAGCCAGATCTGGAGGAGCTGGTGGGGGTATTCCCCTGCGACGAGGACGACATACGGGGCAATTTATGCTCAATTGTGGTAAAATTCGAACTCAAGAGTGAGGAGTCAATCTTCAAAGGTTTGTTGCATGACGAAGCGCAACGAAGTTGAAACCCGGTTATCGCTTATCTGTTGGCGTCGAAGCCAACCTTGAAGGTGTCTCCATCTGCATCAATGCCTGATTCCCCACAAATTACGAACTAACTGGTCAAATTTAGTTAAGAAGAATTGAGTCTAGCCCTCAAGTCACTTCATAGCTCAGAGCTAGATGTTGAGTGATGTATGTGATCATGAACGAAGAAAACAGGCTCAACCCAATGCACGGCGTACACTATACTCCTTTCGAGCTTGGAAATGAGCATTCAGACGTCAATATATGACCCACATGACAAGTATGAAGACTATGAAATTGTATGCACTTCACTACAACTTCCTGTTGCTGAAAGCATGGAGTATGGAAAGTCCGAATCTCCACTTTCCACCAATTCCCCGGATATCGGATCAACCTCTGACCGGTCATCAACTTGCCATTTTCACATCTCGCAGGGAACTTCACCAGCGTCGGGATTATGAGCAATGCGGTCTGGCTCGCATGGCGGATTCCGTGCTCGGGGCCTCGAGCTTCGAGCATGCTGCCCACGATCTTCCGCCCTGCTTGTCGCGATCTACACATCACGCCATGCCGTCAATACAGCGTATCGACCCGGCAAGTGAATCCTCTAAACGCTCACTCTCGAACCGATCGACCGACTTTATATCAGCTTTTTCCTCAGTGCTTCCAGAATTCTGCTCCAATTCAGCGAAGATATAAACGCACCACAGCCGCGCCTGCGCCAAAATCATCAGATGTCTTGCCGGGCAATAAGCGTCTTTCCAATGCGGAGATCCAAGCTATCTTTGGCCAGATCAAGTTCTCTCCAAAGCTGGCTAATAGAACCATAGCGATTTTGCATGCCCGTCGACTTCAAGGCACTCTGGATCTAGACCTTCCCGTCGACATTAGCCGTACCGTTTCCCAGCCACACATCGACCTTGCTCTAGACTGGCTCCGCGAGAAGTACCCGATCGATGAAGATGCTGCAATTATGGAGCGCATTGAAAGGGAGGAGCGGGAAGTCGAGGAGAAGCTAGTGCGACGCGCTGAACAGCTCGGTCTCTATAAACCACAGAGCGGATCCTATGACGCAGAGCTTGGCGAGAATAATTCTATCTACGGAAAGAGTGTCCTCAAAGAAGCTCGAGAACACAATGAAAAACGACTTCTTGCGCAGGAAGAGCAGAAGCGCCGTAAGTGGTTGGAAGGCGAGAATGAAGAGCGGGAACAACTACAGCGCCAGATTCAAGGAAACACGGCCCTGCAGCAGTACCAGGAGTCGGCCTTGACAGAAGGTATTTACTGCCGGAAGATGTTGATGATACCTGCTGACATTTGTAGCTCGTCCGCGGGCGGACCCCAGTGAGCGACCCCTTCTGGCCTGGGTCCAGAAGCATCATATTGCTGGGACTCACAATCAGCCCGAGGCCCTGACCATCACCACCGTATGAATTACCCGAACACAGGTCTTGCCATTGAATCTGACATATTTTCTCAGTCCCAACGTCTTGTTTCCTCTATCCTCTTCACTATTATTACTCTCGGTCTTTGCTATTTGTTCGCCAAGAACTATGAGCCTCCAGTGAAGGGCAGTCGTCTTTGGCCCGATATTCCTCCGGCCGCCGCAACCATCGCAGCAATTATCGGAACCAACGTGGCGGTCACTTTACTATGGAAGTACATCCCACCCTCATGGAGACTGCTCAATCGTTACTTTGTCATCGTGCCATTCTACCCCAGTGCACTTAGCATGATTGGAAGTGTATTCAGCCACCAGACCTGGAGACATCTTGCCACGAATATGTTTGTGCTAGGTCTTCTTGGAACAAAAGGTAAGCAATTATTACCTGGCCCTACCTCTACAGAAGCAATCCACTCATAACGGATAGTTCACGATGAAATCGGCCGTGGAAACTTCCTGGCAATCTATTTCGCGTCTGGCGCCGTTGGCGCTCTGTTTTCATTATCTCGCAGCGTCCTAATCGGAGCTCTCGGCATGAGCTCTCTTGGCGCCAGTGGCGCCACTGGTGGCATTGTTGCTGCATGGTGCATGTACTACTCTAAGTAAGTCTTTCCCACACTCAGTATTCTTCATACCCGCATCTAAATTTTACATTAGCCAAAAAATCACGACATGGATCATTCCGCGTGAATGGCAAGAGGCCGTCTGGGTGCAGGGCTGGGTCTTCCTGGCATGTCTAGTCGCTACAGAGGTGTTTGGAATGTTCACCCCTGCTCGATTTTTGACGACCTTCCCGTTGTCCCGACTGACTAAGATGGATCACGCTGCCCACCTTGGTGGATACATCACTGGTGGTGGGTGTGGGTACTATCTCGCGCAGCAGCGGAGAAAGGCAGAGCGAGAGCGGCGAGCCAGTTCGGGTTTCGCAAGAAGCCTCGGCTTTTAAGGGTTTCCTACACTCTTCGAGACTCCTTTGTAACATAGATTAAATTTTTCTCAATTCTTACCCTTTTTTTTCGCTAGGTAGCAATAACCATGCATGGAAATCAGAACCTACATCCATATGTGAGTAACAGGGTATATACACCTGGGCGTGTCTTAATCCACCACTAAGAATGTTCATTCATTACAATGGCCTCGGAATCCAATTGAGACGCCGAACCACTGGAATTAAATCGTGTATTGTTGAGAACATTACTTATTTCATTTGTTTTGATGCTGAGGCCAACCAGTAAATCAAGTCAAGTGCACAGTTATAGAGTATCAACGCCAATCGGTAGAAGCCCGTCAAAAAAAGGAGCGTAGTGGATATAATCAGCAAAAGATGGTATCATGAAAAATCGGCTAAATAAGCAAATCGCTACCTAGGTCTTAAACTCGCGCATTATTCAGTTCTTCCCGCTGCTCTTTGGCGGCGGCGGGAAGTAAAGCCCTCCAGAATTTGCTGTCGGAGTCTGCTGAGACTGTATGTGGGGCGTTGAGGTAGCGGAATTATCGCGGAGCGGAAGATCCGACGACTGACTTCCAAGTCGGTTGAAGGCTAGCGTGCGAGGAGTAAACGATGAAGGAGGAGTACCGCTCATGGAACCACCGACTACTGTTGGCGGGAAGCCTGGTGTACGAGGAGCCATACCTCCGTGGCCGAATTTAGGCGTCATGGGGATGCCGCCGGGTGATTTGAGGACTACTTCCTCAAAGTGTTTCTCGATGCGCTTTTCCTCTCTCTCGGCCAATATCTCGGCTTTTTCTTTCTTGGTGATGAAACAAGAATGGATGCTGACGCAGAGCTCTGCGAAGTAAATCAAACTGTGACTATGTTAGGTTTCTGCGTTTTCCGGGCTGTCAGGAGCAGGTAGATTTACATTAGGACGATGTTAACGCCGAACAGTGATTTGGATTGCTTGCAGTATCCGATGTTGGATGAGTAGTGGGCGACACTGCATGGCTTGGTAATATACCACGGCGCTCCTGGTTGTGGGTGTGCCGAATCTGACATATCGCTTCCTGCCTGGTATCTTACGGAGATGATAAAGAGGATAAAGCAGCCCAGGTGAATTATAGCGGCCAGGGGCGGGTGAAACAAGTGCATGGAATGGACGGGGAATTTAGCGATGAAGAAGAAGAGAGCCAGCACGCCGAGGACGAGATTGTACTCGGTGAGGCTTATTCTGAAGTCAGCAAGAGTGTGGTGTTTCTCGAGAGATGTCACGACTTACAACGAAGACCACACCATGGGAGTTTTGTATGCTTTATAGTTGGCAGCAGCGTATAGTGCCTCATCTGGGGCACTGTTGAACCCATTATCTGCGCCATCCTGCCATAGCAAAGTGCTATAGAGGTTATGGGAAGCAACACCACTCAAAGTCAAGGTGACAACTACAAATGGGAACTCGACAAACATCAAATAAAACACGAGCCGGTGGTTTCGATACCGCTTTGGAAAAAAGAACTGCATGGTGGTGGTTGGGAGTTGCCCTAAAAAGCCGAACCCTTTACAAGTATGCGAGAGGGCGGCAAGCGACCGAGAGAGGAACCTCAGATGTAAGAAACAATACGGCCAGAACCAGCTGGTTACGACATTCAATCTCTGGAGAAATTCCAAAGAGCCAAGAACGGGCTGCTTGCTTATGGAAGAAGTTCTGAAAAGTCAAAATCAGCATGAGGATTAACGGCGATAGATATGAGCCGGTCTGTATCTGGGCCACTGGGCCTCCTCCCAATCACACATCGCTCGCGTGCAGAAGGCCGAATCAATGGAGAGTGCGCAGAGAGAACTTGTGTTGCATTTGGCCAATGCTTGTCGGCGGCAAAGCGCCAGAGGTCAAGTCCCCAGGCCTGTTGCGCCAATGAGCGGATGTGGACTGGGGATGGGCTGTCGGCTGTCACACACTAGTCTGTGTGATAGGACGATTGACCTGCATCACAGTCACAGCACAGCTAAGGGTAAAGCGAGACGCCCGTGTTCACGAGGTGGGGTAGTAGAAAAGTCCCAACATGCCATTGAGAATATTGAAATAAGGTGGTTTGTTTATTAGTGAAGGGAGATGATAGTCACGTACGACTTCCAAGCTTGGTTATTAGTGCTTTCATATGCTCAAAAATTTCAACAGTTTATTCCAAGTCTTGGAATAGAGACCCTGGATTCATTAAAGAGGGAAATGTCAGAAATCAGGAAGGCTGGTTAAGGATGAGACCGTCGTTCAGTTAGCCTTCATAGTATAGAGTACGAGCACAATACCAACGTTGAACTTCTACCTATCTTTAGGGAAAGGGATAATTTCAAATATCAAACACAGGGCATTGGAAACGAAAACTCAGATATTAATTTTCATCCTATGATTTTTTTTTTTTATGTCCTCCCATTCCTCACATATTCCGGTGACTTCTGGTCTTCAAAGTTGACAACACAATACAGCTTTTCCAATCAAAATTGGAGGTTGTCCCAATTGACAAACTGCTTTGATACAATGGTATTCCTCTAGCGTCGTTCATTTTCAAATTCCCTGGGATATTCGGAATTCTTAAACGTCGTTCCCACTCGGCTCAAGATCACCAGCCCCAGAGCCAAGATCTTCATTCATTTCCTTTCCATTGACAGTCAAAAGAGCGCAATCCTGCAACACAAAAAGCATACGACACCACTCAGTCTGACTCGGGTTGCGCCATCCGTGCATTGTGGCACGCTGAACAGCGACATCACCTCGCTTCATGAGTACGGGTTCCCCCTCTTCCACAACCATCTCAACCTCCCCCTCTAGCACAACCCCGTAATCGAGACTCTTTGTGCGATGTATAAGTGGTTCGTTGGCGGGAGGGAAGTCCACAATACGGCAGACTGTCCCACGAGGATTGACCAAACCCAGTTTGTCAGCTTTGACGATATTTTCGTGGGCGGTGATGTCGGCATCAGCGTTCAGATCGACTGGAAACCCAGAGGTTGTGTAGATGAGATCAAAGGCCACCTGGCTCTTTTCGTATGTCTTCCAATGGCAGGGAGTGGATGACTGAATGATTGCATTGCCCTCTGCATCGTGGCCGGTGATGTGCCGAGTGACCGGGCGAAGTGGTGAGATCTGACCTGTGTTGGACATTTTCAATGAAGTTGAGAATACGGTAGGAGCTTGTCTGCTGGTAATGGATTCCAATCTCTTTTAAATACCCCTAATCTCGGGGCCCCCTCTTTCTAGCAGCTGCAGCTGAATTTCCCTTGTCCACAACTGCGCCTTTGTCCCACTTTGATGCATATTCGACCAGCAGTGAAATAGGGAGACTTTGAGGAAAGTTCTGTAGCTTTTGAGATACATCCATTCCTCTACGGGACATTATGACGACATATGTGTCCGGTGAGTGCATCTCTGCACAATATCCACTAAGATCGACTATGATCGGCGACTTTTCTTACGTCGCATGTATAAGATCTGGTGGGATCTTACACCGTAATAGGTCTCCACATTTCGATCTGTCCACTTCATCCAATCTACAGCTTTGAAGGTCAAATGTCTTCGCCAGAGCAGGCTTTCTCGGCCCCAATCTAAACACCTGTATGGTAAGATTCGAAGATGCAGTTTATCCATCGCAACCGAACGCCACGATCTACGACGTATGGAGAACTCAGCTCAGTCGGGGAGGTATATACCCTTGAACTACCAAGGTGCTTAAACATTCGAAGATCTGGACTTGGATTATTTTTGTCTCTATATTTAACGGTCATTCATAGGAACCACCGGAACTCTGGAGATGAAGGTCCATCTTTCATGTTTTCTGTCGGAATATCTCGAGCATGAATCGTGACTCCGTCACGTCGGTCGCGCCGCTTATTGTCCAGCCACATGTACAGTCCCAGAAAACCAGCGAGACAGGCTCCAGTAGCCCCGAACACAGCGACTGTTATCAAAGCCGGCATATATTTCGGTGCATCCTGATCACGGAACACGTTGCTGCTCACTAGACCCATCAGATTGGCTAGCGGCACACCAATACTCGTCAGCAGCACACGACGACCCTCGTGAGCGATATTGTTATTGTACCAGGTACTGAGCAGAACAGAGGGGGCTGATGTGCCCCAGGTCATCATGAAGGTTGCGAAATATGCCAATTGCACTTCTTTGTGAACGTCACTGATCGATGCGTAGATTATGAACCCAATAAATGTAAACAAAAAGCCCAGCACAATGAAGGGTGAGCGTAATCGGGTGAAATCAGACGTGAAGGCAAGGACTAGTAGCATCACTGCACCGGTCACATTAGGTGCAACGGTGTATAAGTTGGTCTTAACAGTTGAATAGCCCAATCGAGCCACGATCTGAGGCATGAAGAGAGACACACCTTGCAGCGGTACTCCGAGGCATATTTCAATGCATAGGAAGAAGTATGTAGTCGGATGTTTAAAAATGGCCAAGGCCTCGCGGAAGCGGAACTCTTCATTTACCACTGCACTGGAATCGACCTGAATACGATGATGTGCGAGTGCCTTCTGTTCCGGTGATAGAAAGCTTGCTTCCGCAGCACTTTTCGGAAGGTAAAAGAAGGCGAAAACTGAGAAGATGACCGTCACTCCACCTTCAATAATGAACAGATATCGCCAATTTGGGATTTTCGATCCTTTGATCTGAAATACACCGAACGCAATGAGTCCAGCGAAGGCATTGGCAATATTTGATGCAGCATAGAAAACGGCAAGTCGACGGGCAAGTTCACCACGACGATAGAAGGTGGTCAGGTAGTATATGACCAGCGGGAAGAATGCCGCCTCCGACATGCCCAGGAACCAACGCAAGGCGAACATGCCACCGAAATTATTCGTTGCAGATGACAGCAAGGTGAATGAGCCAAAGAAAAACATCAGGATTGGTAGAACGCGAGCTGGACTGAATTTCTTTCCAAGCATGGCGAATGGGGGCGCAAAAATGACATACGGGACGAAGAATATCGATAGCAAAAGATTGTATTGATTTGGCTTGAAGTGCAGATCTTTCCAATCGCCAGAATTTATCAGCATAAATCCACATGAATCTATTTATTGGGGGTTTTAGGCTTACCGTCGGTCATTCCATCTGTCTTTGCATTACCCAGATTCCCTTTGTCCAGCGCATTGAAGAGATCTAACCCAGGTTAGTTGGTTTGACCCGCAAGTCTCATGGCAACACCTACACATGATGGCTAGAATTGGAAGTAATCGCATATCAAAACATCGGCAGAGTCGTCGCTCGGCCTTGTGGTCAACCACGCGGGTAATCTCATCCACGACACCCTGAGCAGAGGCATAGCCCTGAAGCTTATTGTCCTCAGCCTCCAAGGGGGACTTGGTACTATCTTTCACCGACGGTGAGAGTACATGACCCGACATGATGGTTCACTAGCGCAGAGTTGGAGTACAGAGCTTCCAGAAGCGCTCTGTTGTCATAACTGTGCAGGGCATCCCTTGCTCATTAAGAATGTTGAGAACATGCCGGTCACACCCCTACGCTTCTCCGCATCAATGACCCTGATAACTGTCGATCACACTGTCATTGTACCGGATGGTTGCATCCTGTTCTATGGTGGAACACCCTTATCTGCGGAGAAATCGACGGATCGGGTGTACTTGATATCAGAGCGTTACATGACAAACTATCAAGATAGATTGTTTTGACTATTGGATCTTGATTTGTTCTCTTATATCCTGGGTCTGTTCTTCATATTTACATTTTACTCCTGCAGTAATGTATACTTCAGATTCCTGGCAGTACCAGCTATGCCCTAAACTAATCATACGGCACTTGGTATCCATCGACCTTTGTCTTCTTATCACCGGAACCTTTGGAACGAATTATTTTACAGATATTTTGGCGATTGCAAAGGATTAAATGTTAAGATTGATAAGCAGTTATGGACCGATCAAGTGATTTTTTCAGTAACAAATTGAGACGTCAAATTTCGCAAAATCGCTGCGTAAAATATGGCCGTTCATCTGGACATGCCAAGTGTTTACACGAAGTTGAGAGCACACAATGGAGGCTCCATATACTCGCAGACCATTTTTATCTTATGTGTGGCATTCAGTAGCATAATATTCAAGGTTCTCTCCCAAATGTAGTGAAATCTTTCTATTCAGCGCAAGTGTGTCCTCGAAACCTCCAGGCCTTCCTCAATGACCAGGTACGGTACCTTACCCCGCCAACACCCGCGCCCAAAATGGTAATGTGGGATATTCTCTTCAGTCTGAGCTTAGATTTGTGTTGAATAAGACAAAAAGACAAGATAAGATGCAAGTTTAATACTATCTTGATTTGCCCGATTCAAATGCTGCATAGTATATCATTTGCTGGAAACATGCGACAGCCCAGCCGCGTTTCTTGGTCACACATGGGCAGTCTATCCCAGTAGTTCTCATATGTGAGAGCCATCGTCTTTAAGATATGAGTGAGGGCGAAATGTATCTATCATGTAGGTAAGGGGATTCCGGATTTTCAGAAAAGTAAGCAGTCGACGGGTCTTGCTCCTCGGATGGCCCACACTCACGACCCGTCTGTACTCTCCGAAGCGATGAGGACCAAAACCCCTGCGTGAAGGGCCTGGAGCATAACCACCAGTACAACCTTACCTTCTTCTCGCTTGGCAATGACAGTGAATCAAATGATTGTTCAATCTTTCTATTCACGACCTCCGTTACGGCAAGGCAAGCCTTTAGAAACCTTGATGGAGATCACGGCAAAGTCCGCATCACTCCTTCAAATGCAACCAGTGCAATCGCATTCGCGGGGAAGGCCCGCAAAAAGCATGGCACGAATCCCCGCCAATATCCTTTCCATCCACGCTCTCGCCAGACCGCCAAAGCGGCATCCTTCCAGCCTCGGAATTGTCGTTGTCCATCATTCAATGTTCCACCCATCGGGTCTGTCATCAAACGCTGCTTCACCACATCAGATGGATAAGACGTGAGCCAGAAAGCCTGGGCAGAGATGCCACCGGCCCAAAAGTTAATTGCGGGCGTTGACATGCTGGTGTTTTGCTTCATGAACCGGGTAAGGATGTCATAAGAGCTCCACCAGAAGAAGAAGAAAGAACGGAATAAAATAGTGGCCCCAAGACCACGATATATGCCACGAATACCATGAGCACGATACTACGTTGGCATGTTTAGTTAGCTGCCCCTAAAATGGGATAGTTGCCAACTTACAATTTTTTCGACACAGTCAATTGGTCCACTATACATTCGTTGGCTTTTGGTGGCCGCATATTGCACTTGAAGACGGGCCTTGATGTGTTCGACTGGTGCGGCAATGAAACTGACGGTTGTACCAGCCATGATACCCGCAATACCGTGGCCGAAAGATGGGAGCGTTTGGAGATCGGGAGTTTTATTTGAGAACAGAGACCAGGCGCGAATATTCGGTTTGGAGAAAACATTTTCCAGAAGTAGTCGGCGATATAGCGTTAAGGATCCCAGCATACTATAAATCAAGTTAGGGTTAGTTTGATTCCGCATCGCTAAAATCGAAGCCCGCGCCTGAAGTCACTTACACTGAGTCCATTACCATCCATCCGACCAGCGGTGGCGTGGCGCCCTTATAAAACCCTCGGACTCCTTCCTTTCGTACAGTCTGCAATGTACAGTCCAGCGGACCACTGAAATGTGCATCTTTGCTGGTTTGAAGGCGGACCTTGATGGTATCGAACGGATGGCCAACTAGAGAAACATTTAATTAGAGCTCATGATACAAAAAGCCAACGGGAAGAATGTAACACAGGAACTCACCACTTAGCTTCGCAACTCCAGAGAACATGCCCGCCACGAATCCCTTATAATTCTGTTTATTTGTCGCATCTGACTGTTTAGAGTCTATCTCTAATGCCGGTTGGTCTTTGCGATGGAGCGCGTCCGAGATCGGAACTGGACTTTGCGCCGGTGTCATGGTCTCGTCGGACGATTGGCAATATGAATTGTGTTTATCAAGGAGAAAAGTGCCGTGCAATCGAAAGCTGAGTAGATTGTACAATGAAGTGAAGATTTTTTTTTTTTCCAAAAAGGATCCACGAGTTGTCAATGACGAGCTTCTCCGCACCGCATCAATAGTTCTCCTTCCGGGGAGAAACGGCGTCGCTCCGAGATAAGGTTCGACACCTCAGGCTTGACAAATGTATTACGTATCCACATCTTTAAAGCTTATTATTGGTCAAACTTTCCACTACGAGAGTGAAAGGTCATAAATACGACAAAGTGTGATAAATAGCATGACTTCCTATATCAATAGCAAAGGAAATTGGACGTCTATATCTCAAATCAATATCGGTTCGCTCAAAGAAAGATTCATAAATATCAAGGCTGAGACTTGGCCAAAATAATCTCAGCCAGTGCCATCAGAGATCCACTTGATAACAGTTCCAGCACTTGCACATTGGCATTAGCCTCTCGAGCAATCCAGTTGCGAATCTCAATAGCAACAAGAGAGTCAAGGCCAAGAGACGCAACTGCGATGGATGGGTCCATGTCGTCCATAGAGATGACCAGAACCTGTGCTAGTTTTGCTGCCAGAGCCTCGTAGCAGGTTTGCAGTGCTGCCTCCTTTGACGGAGAGTTCTGTAGCATGGTGTTCAAAGCCACAGCAGGGCCACCTTCCCGATGACTTCCAGTACCAAGTCGCGCCTGGGCCGCCTCGTAGAGGACGCTGAACTTGGCATCTTGGGCCCAGAAGTGTTCCAGTGAGCCTCCAAGTCCTAGCCCGGTAATTGTCTGCCCTGCGCATGATTTTGCTAAGTCACCTGTGATAGCTGCTGCAAGCAGTGCCAACACCTCTCCCTCATCCATTGTGTCGCTTCCAATGTTCTTCAGTACCTCTTGCAGGCGTTTTGCGTCAGTCTCGGCAAGATAGCCAGCATTACTCACGGCTGTGAGATCTATAGAAGTTCCAGGGAGACCTTGAGAGCGCCTGTATTCCATGAACTCGTCCAGGAACACATTTGCTGCAGCATATGCTGCCTGTCCTCTGTTGCCGATCACGCCCGCAACAGATGATAGTGTGACGAAAAAGTCCAGTGGTGAATCGGAGAGCGACTCATGCAAATTCCAAGCACCTTCAACTTTGCTTACCACCACTGCCTGGAAGTCATCCAGCGTCATATTTTCAAACAGCATATCCTGCGCTCAAAATGTCAGTTTAGTTGGTAGAGAAATGTGATGCAGGGTGTCTCATTACCCGAAGAACCATAGCGCCATGAACGACACCTCGAACTGGGGGCAGATCTTTCATGTCCTCCTTGATGAGTGTTTCAACCGAATATTTGCTGCTCACGTCACAGGCCTTGACAGTGATAATTGTTCCATCCAGGGCCATCTCATCGATGAGGAGTTGCACCTTGTCATTAACTGGTGAGGCCCGACGGGAAACAAGCACGATGTTTCTCGCACCCTTCGCAGACATCCACTTCGCCATACTTCTTCCCAGACCACCTGTACCACCGATGAGTATATACGAGGCATCAGCTCTCAAAAGAGAGGAGCTGGTCCTTTTTGCAACAGCCTAAAATCTCAATGTTAGATAATATGCACCTCATGACCTCGGACACTTAAAACTCACCTTGACTTGGTCTTCTTCATGGGGAATAACCACTATTTTCCCTATTGCTTTTCCCGTTTGCAACGTACGGAATGCAATTTCTAGCTCAGAGATCCGGAATATTGTCAGAGGAGAGATGGGATTGACTGACCCCTGGTTCAGAAGCTTGCTGACATCACTCAAGAGTCGCTTCATCAATTGTGGCCGGTATAGCGCGACTTTGCTAAGGTCAACGGATGCGAATGTGACATTATTTTCAAATGGTAGCATGTCCAAGCGTGTATTCTTGGTGATATCAGCCTTGCCAATTTCGATAAATCGACCAAATGGAGCAAGACACTCCCATGTCTCTCGCAGGAGATCCCCTGCCAGCGAGTTGAGCACCACATCGACTCCTTTACCACCGGTTAGTCTGCGAATTCCACGGCCAAAGGATGTATCACGACTGTAGAAGATGCGATCCTCGGGGATATTGTAGTGACCCATTAGGAACATCTTTTTCTCTAAACTGCCGACCGTGACAAATATATCGGTGCCGATCATCTGAGCCAGCATGATGGCAGATTGTCCGACACCGCCAGCGCCGGCATGAATGAGAACACTTTCCCCAGCTTGAAGCTGACCAAGATCGAAGAGTGCATAATATGAGGTGCAGAACACAACTGGTACGGTAGCTGCCACCTCGAACGAAATATTCTCGGGTATTGTCGTCGCACTGGTCGCTTTGCATCGGGCAAATGTCGAATAGGCACCCTCTGGCAAGGCCATGACTCGCTGGCCAATTTGGATGTCGTGAACATCTTTGCCGACCGCAGAAACCACACCGCTGCATTCAATTCCAATGTATGGTTGCGCAAGCTGACCCATTGTCACAACAATATCTTTAAAGTTAAGACCAGTCGCCTTGACTGCGATCTCAATATCGCTGTCACTCAGCGAATCAAGAGCATCATCCACAAAGTACATAGTATCCAGAGCACCAGGGCTGGCAATCTGTAACTTGAAGCGCCGGTCAGGCTGGAAAAATGGCTGAGATGAGACTGTCATGTCATGAGTCTCATTGTGCACGAATGAATTCGCTGCATCATCGTCAAGAATGCGCGGAACAAGAATTTCGGTTCCCTTCGCCTTGAGTTCAAGATCCTTGCAGGGCTTCTCGTTTTGTGCTGGCCATAGTATCTCCATCGCTGCAAGGACTGAACTTGCTGGATTTGCTAGATCGTCAGCGTCTAGTCCAAGCGTGGCAACCTTTGCCAAAGTCTCGGACCGCAGACTGCGCGTCAGGCCGACAATCATATGGGCGTCTGGATTACCTGCCCCGAAGACCCAAATTACGTGGGAAGCATTGAGGAGAGTAGCTTTGAGATTGTTGAAAGAATCGGTAGTGAGGTCACGAAGTGAATATGCGCCGGTTTGTAGAACAATGACGTGCTTCATTGAGGCTTCGACTGCTTCAAACTCTGAAATTGACGGTTGCCATCTATTGGTTTTGTTCGAGATGGCGCTGCTCAGGTTTTCGGCAACTTCCCCAACGGCGCCCCAAGATGTGATGATAACATCACTACGATCATATATACCGTTTTCATTTATACTAGGCTTGTTCTTGGGGATGAGATGGCCATTGGTAATGGGTACTCCATTTGTGGCCGTCTTTTTGGACTCATCAATCTCACTATCGACTTGGCTTTCAGCATCAGACAAGGGTAGCCACTGGAACTTGTAGCATAAGTCGCGAATATTATTACCACGAAGCAGGCCTGGGTCTTTGAGTGGAGTCATGATGAGACCCTCCATAGCGATCAAAACATCGGCAGAATTTTCCGGCGTCATCCACATATCAAAACTGGTTGGCTCTGGGATCGCTTTGCTGGGACCTCCATTACACCAGGCCTTCACAAATTGACCGGGAATTGATGGGATATGATCGGTGATTATCAAATTTTTGATCATTGTGGGCATATAAAGAGTCTCCAATTCCATTCGACCCCGTCCAAGAATCGGCCAGACAAGATGCAGAAGACCGTCGAGGAAGGATGGATGGATAGTTAAGGGGGCTTCAAATTTCTTTGGCATCATACTCTTTGTATCCTTAACCACAAGATCGGCGCGACTATGGCGAGCGTCTGAAAAGCAATTTTCCAGGCCCTGAAAAGTTTGGCCATAAGAAGCACCAATATCAGAAAGAACTTGATACATCTCCTTGGTGTCGATCTTATACGTGGCTTTTGCCTTTACATTAGCGATTTGAGCCTGGAAATGCTCCACGTCAGTCTCAGCGATATTGGAGACCGATGACTGCTGCATTTTGTTGGCCCTAGTCCCGATAAGACCGGAACAATGCTGCGTCCAGCCTCTCTTAAACGACCATGAAGAGATGTGGAACTCATCCCAAACATCCGAGTTACCGCGAGTTCCTTCAGCATATGGGCGGAGAGAGATAGTTGTCTCTGCATCGAAATCGTCGATTAATACAAGTGCTGAGCCCACCTTCACCTCGCGAAGCTCAAATTGAGTGAATGAGGCATCATTTTGCTTTGCTCGACGGCGAGCTGCCTCAACAGCCATAGAGAGCTGATTGCAAGTTAGTTTACACTTTTAAATAGGAGTTGGGTAAGCTCACATAGCCGGCCATAGGATATACGTTCATTCCCTGCATTTTGTGCTCTCGAAGCCATGGTATGTCATCAAGCCGAACAATGTTGCGCCATGTTGGCTCAAGATCGTTTGAGTATATGGCCAGTGCGCCTAACATATCATTTCGAATACCATCTCTGGAACTATGCTTTTGTACAATGCGAGACTCATGCCAATAGCGAGTATTATGTTGCCAGGGGTATCGAGGCAAGTCTGTCAAAAAAGACCGAGTGCGCCCGCCACTTCGAGAAAAGTTCACCTCATTCATCTTCAGGGCGACTCCTCGTACGAATGCGGCACCGGCTGCATCAAGAACAGACTGGGAGGGCTCAATATTCCGCACGATAGTGGGAAAATAGGCAATTTTCGAGCTTGCTGAACCCAGACTTTTCAGTATATCCAGAATTGGGCCCTTCAGCGCAGAGTGTGGGCCAATCTCGATAAGCAAGCTAGGTCGAGTGTCTTCATCTGCACATATTTTACTCAGAGCGTCGGAGAAAAGCACTGAGGATGTGAGGTTCTTCACCCAGTATGAAGGGTTCAGCTCAGATGCCTGAGCATATTCACCAGTGACAGAAGAAAAAAACTTGGCCTTTGCCACTGGGGATGGCTGAATATCTTCGATTGAGGCGAGATATGCCTCGGCCACATTTTTCATATGATTGGAGTGGTAGGCAACGTCAATCTTGAGCTTTCGATTGAAGAAGTGTTTCTCTTGCAAGATCGCCTCCAACTCATCGATGGCTAGAACATCTCCCGAAACGGTGACACTGGAGGGACTGTTGACACATGCGATTGTCAAGTATCCTTTGAGCGTCTTGAGTATAGGTCTGATGGTCTCAGGGCCACAACCAACAGCAATCATACCCCCTTGCAAGAATGGGAATGATTTTTTGAGTAGTTGCGTCATTTGACCACGACGGTAAGCCAGTGACATGGCGGCTTCCAGGTCGTATAAGCCAGCTGCGTATGCTGCTCCGATCTCGCCAGAGCTGTGTCCAATGACGGAGGTAGGTTTGATACCCCATGATTGAAGCAAATCTGTAAGTGCGATTTGAAGAGCAGTGCAGGCAGGCTGACTGAGATGCGGCGAGTTGATTTCAGACGATTGACTATCCTTCTGGAGAACTTCAAGAAGGGAAAACTCGGCACCGAGGTTGCGGAGGCACAGATCCGCCTCTACAAGGGCCGAGGAGAACACTGGGTATTCATCCATAAGTTGAGTTCCCATTTGTGCCCATTGAGCTCCCTGTCCCGTAAAGACAAATGCAATGTTTGGAGTTCCAAGCACTCGAGTTGGATTAGACTTCAACTGCGCCAGGCGGATACTGAGCTCATCCAGTGATGTTGCGGATACAGCGATCCGATATGAGAGGTTTGACATTTTGCTCCCAAGAGTGTAGGCAAAGTTACCGAACAAAGACTTCTCAAACACTTCCGGTCGTTGTTCAAAATATACACCAAAATCGTTGATTCTGATTTTCAAGGAATCTTTATCGTTGGCCGAGATCAAAAAGAGTTTGCGTAAGGGATCATTATCTGCATCAGGATTGTCCTGATTTTCGGCCAGTGGCGGTGGCTTTTCAAGAACAGCATGTGCATTTGTGCCTCCGAACCCATAGTTTGAGACGCTGACATATTTCTTACCTCTAGGCCAAGGGCGGGTGGATGTGATCACTTTCATATGCCATTCATTCAAAGGAATATTGGGGTTGGGTTTTTTGAAATCAGCGTTTGGTAGCAGAAGGCCCCTGTCAAGCATCATAGCGGCCTTAATGAGGGAGGCCATTCCGCTTGCCCCTTCAAGATGGCCCACATTCGATTTCACAGACCCAATATAAAGTGGATTCCTCGCTGTTCGATTGTTTCCCAAAGCTCCGTGAACTGCTTTAGCCTCAATTGGATCTCCAGCTTTGGTGCCAGTACCATGCATTTCTGCAAACCCGCATTCATCTGGATTTAGCTGTGCATTGCTATATACTTGCCGGATCAGGTCTTCCTGGGCTTCGCCATTAGGTAACGTAATTCCCTTAGTTCTGCCGTCTTGATTGACTCCAGTATTAGCGATAATGGCCCGAATGGGATCTTGGTCGCGAATTGCAGCGTCAAGTGGTTTGAGAAGCACAACCCCTGCGCCCTCTCCACGTGCAAATCCGGATTTAGCTCTTTCGTCAAAGGCATACGTTTTTCCATCGTCATTGAACAATCTGGATTACCTCGTGTCAAAATACTGAAGACCTTGGTATGACGATGCTGCAATATCAAGGTAAACTTACTGTGACATAGACATGGAAACAAAGTAATCGGGGAGTATGTTTAGTCTACATCCAGCGACAAGGGCTTCACTCGATTCACCAGTTCGCAAACTCTGCACTGCATAATGCAGAGCGACAAGAGACGAAGAGCAAGCAGTATCGAGGGTGATACTGGGCCCTTGTAAGTTGAAGAAGTATGATATGCGATTAGACTGGAGAGAAGGGGCGTTTCCGGTGGCCTGGTACATCGGACAGGTATCGATATCCCGAAGATTTCGTAACTCGTAGTCCGCAAAATTTCCACCAACAAACACACCAACCTTACGTCCTGAAAGAGACTCTTTAGGAATACCGGCACTCTCCAATGCCTCATAGGAACACTCTAACAGAAGTCGTTGCTGTGGGTCCATGGAAATGGCCTCTTGAACTGTCACATTGAAGAATGGAGCATCAAATCGAGAAAGATTCTCCTCGTTTAGGAAGTAACCACCCTCGGGATTGATTGTACCCGGCTTGGATGAATTCGGATGGTGATAAGCGCCTGCAGAGAATCGATCTTTGGGTATGAGTGACCAGCCACTCCGACCTCGAGTGCAGAGCTCCCATAAGTCGCCGGGGGAGGCAACCTGACCCGATAGTCGACAGGCATAACCGATGATAGCAATAGGCTGCAGCACCCTCCCCTCTCCTTGAACCTGCGCCTCATTATGGTCGATCGAATTTGCCATAGTGAGGAATCAGCGAAATGAAAAAGGGTGAAGAGCGTGCATCTCATATGAGCCTGTGGGTATTGAGATTAAATAGGCCTCAAGACGTTCTAATTGTCCGTATCAATCATTATTATAAGTGTTTGTAGCTGACTAAATGCCATTTACTATGTTTGTTACACCCCGAGACTCGGCCGTGATCAGGGTGCATTCTTGACATTGGACGATGTCGGCGTAACTTTGACGGGCTGTTGTACAGCACACTTAGATTAAACACAAAATCAGGAACCGTCTAGGTTCATGCAACCCACTCAATCTTTGATATGCCTTGGTTCATAATTACCTAGGTAATTATGCTAATTGCATGTGCCTCGGTGAGAATCGCCACTTCTCAGCTCTATTTCTTCCCTTCGGTCTGCTATCCTCCTTCCTTCTCCACTTCTTTGCTCCATTTTCTCCGTCCAAATATAGGAACTGTGCGACTTTGATCACAAGAAGAGCGTAAGGCGCTTGGTCTAGATCTAAACATGCGGTTCCTGTGTCTTCATGGTGCCATTGGCAACATAGATGTAAGTCAAATGTGAAGTGCCACTGGAATAACCAGACTGATAGTCGTAGAACATCGGCATACAGCTAGGTAGCTACCAACTTCAAGCGATTTGCACTTTGTTCTTAGTAACAGGAAGTGATCAGCTCCGTTACAGAAAAATCTGGAAGGCGACAGTTCTGCGTCTTTCCATTATATCAATGCCCCCGTGCGGATCACTCCCCCATCAGGTATACACTGTTATCTTTCTCATGAGATATACACGTCTGGATCTAACTGCCATTAGGATTTGAGGAGTATTTTGGAGTTGGGCCGCATTATCGCTGGGCAGATGATGGTGGCGCCGCGGAGGACTCTATGATTAGTCGCGTTCGCACAATTCCCGATGGGCAGAACCCTGAAGATGTAATGAGAGATTTAGTCGGAGATCGAGCAGTGATGTGGCTCAATTACAAAGATGTGATGGACTATCTCTACGACACACTGGAGAAAAATCCAGCTATTGAAGGTGTTATCGGATACAGTGAAGGGGCCTCCATTGCTGCAACTCTTATCCTGGATGAAGAGATACGATTCCAGGAGACTGGACGTCCCCGTCGGCTGAAATGTGCTATGTTTTTCACTGGCTGGCCTCCGATGAATCCTGAAAAGGGTGTTATCCTTGCCGATGAAAGTGATCTAGTCATTGATATTCCGACCCTCCATGTCGTCGGTGCAAACGGTACATACTTCCTGTAGTCAATGAGGTTAGTTTTACTGACAATTGATCATTTAGATCCTTTCCGACATGGTGCCTTCGCATTATACAATGTCTGCGACACCGATACTGCTACATTCTTCGATACTGGTAAAGGACATACTATTCCGCGCTCAGGCTTGGTGATCAATGAACTAGGTGATGCAGTTCGAGGACTGATTGAAAAGGCACGTTCCTCTTGAGATGCCTAAGCGGTACAGGGCAGCACTGAAGATAGCTTAAGGCCAATGGGCTTATTAGCAGAAGGTCTCCTTGAGGATCAAAATTATGAATATTTGTTTTAAAGAAAATGCCACCCTTGCACACCAGAGAAGCTACTCTCCCGTCTGTCGTGCGGTGGAGATCCGACATAGGTGTAACATTTCTTGAGCCATTTTCGATCAGAGCTTACATAGCTCTTTCAATCATATCTTACGCTTGATATCTAGATAATCGCGCCATCGGTCTATTGCAATAGGTCTCAAAGTAAATGCCATTCCAATCCATAATGGGCTCTTCACATGCTCGTCCGCTTCCTGTCCTTGGAATTTTCCATCTCGCCTAAAGTTTCATCTTCCGGTGAGACGAAACAAGCTGCTGCAGAAGTTGCCCGAGCCTACTTTTGAGGGCATTCAATTTAGTCTTCGGGAGCTTGCTGATACTCACATCTGTGTTCTGGCCCGGGCTGTCGTACACCACGGCTGATATGATATCTATTCCCACCCTCTCTAGGATCTTTTCCTTTTCTATTTTATTAATTCCTTCCTTATCTGAGCCCCCAGTGTTTCCTGAGAAGCAACGTTAGAACATCACATTACACCATCGCACTTAAAAAGCTCTCGCTTATCAACTTGAACTTAAATAAGTCACGCTGAATTGCCCATTAAAGCGATATCCAAGCAAGATACCTCTCAGTTATATTATATCATCGATATTTTCACCAGCTGCAGACATTATGTTTGTCCAGAAGTTTGTATGGCTTCTCAGCTGTATCGTGATTCAGTCCCATGCCCAAATGACTGCAGCCGATCGGTGCGCCACGAGCGTTCATGCCATTCTTATCCGAGGACAGGGTCCTGGGGATCATCTAAATGTGATGGTTTCTATGCAAAACCTAGTTCTACAACTGATTCCAGGGTCAACTAGTGTGGCACTCCCGTACGATCATGGTGGCGATGATCACCGTATTGTTGCCGCAGAAGGAGCTCTCTTGATGCAAAAGTATATCAGAGAGTATTCAATTAGCTGCCCTCAGGCAAAGATCTTTCTCCTTGGCTATTCACTGGTAGGTGCTCTATGAAGCTATCAAAGTTGCAGGGTTGTTTCCAGGGTTTCCACCTGGGCAATCTATCGATGTCAACTTCACAAACATTTCACACTGTTTAATCAAAAAATTGAAATCTAACTCCGTCAAATATTCAGGGTGGGATTGTTATGATGGATGGTCTTTGCGGGACTAGTTCACTCTGGCTTCTTCCAGTTAATGGTATTGAGCCCTTATACAACACCACTGGTATGTTCATTTCCTGTTGATGTTTTTTTTATCAACCTTGGAACTCTTAAATTGATACCAGCTGAAAAATCATCTTAGTCGTCGCAGCTGCCGCTTATGGAGATGAAACATACACTCCAATGATGCCTTGGAATGTCGGTACCTGCGATGACGGGACTGGCGTATGTGTCCCCGATCTCCATAGTTGAACGGCCATCTAATTCGAGATTCCTTCCTTAGCTATATCCTCGTCTCCATCCAGAATGGTGTGACCCTTATGCAGAATCTCTCCAAAGCTACTGTGATGACGGGGATAGCTCCTGCTGCCTCAAGTTCCCACCAACCGATGACGGGGCCCACTTCACGTATATATTCAAGTATAATATTGACCTATTGCACTTTCTCCAGAAGCGACTCCACCTGAAACCCACAGTCTTCTGATCAACTTGGCATGCAAAGGGGAAACCTTAGAGGCAATTAGAGAAAAATTCCACAATAATGGCGCAATCTGATGAAAGGTTGCAAGAAGTAGCAAGTTCCATTTGAGATATTGCAACGTTATATGGAGATTAAGTTTAAGGGTGAGATCCTACTCTTAAGTTTTCTATCTCAAGTTAGCATTAACACCTGCACATGTGGTTTATATGGAATTTGTAGAACGGTGGCTTTTGGTATTGTTACACGTTCCAATGGACCCTGGATTCCATCTGAGCATCCATAGACATTTGACTAGCCTTTTTTGCAGGCGAGAGTAAATATTGAATTGACGGACTAGCTATCTATTTAAAAAAATATATTTCACGCAGCAAGCATTGGCCTTGACGCAAAATGAGTTTGATCCTTTTCATTTGTCCTAGTCCGTCGAGCTGAATTTCTTAATCTTTAAATGACATGAATGAGCTAAGATTACCACTAATTCGAACGCCCTCTTCCTCTACTTCACCCACAGATGGAGTTAATTCCATTTCTTCAGCTTCACTCACCTCCTGAGGGAAGCTCGGGTCATAGCCAAGAATATCCATCAAAGCTAAAGCCTGATCAAGGCCCATAGTGTTACCAATGATAAGCAGGCTCCGAATCACCCAAGTATGAAGAGCATGACCATTCTTTTCAACTGCGCCCGCCAAAAATAATGGCCAAAGAAGCAAAAGACCCCCAAGGTAGCCTTCTGGGGGTGGGAGTGTGGTATTATGTGAGCCATCGGAGCCATCGTCGTGAGCTCTAAAATGGAAAGGTAAGCTGCGACAAATATCAACCGCCAGCCGTCGAACTGTGGAATGAAGACTATTGCAGTACAGGCGTAGCTCTGGCGATAGTGACTTCGAGCTGGAAGACTTGGCTTGTTCCAAAGTACGAGTCAGGATAAGCTCGCTGAGAATGATCCGAGCACAACGATATTGGCTCCATGAGTTGGAAACCCAAAGATTAGGATAGACGTGATACTTGTCATCATACAACGCTATCCCGTGGCAACGCTGTTGAAACTTGAAGTCATAAGCTGACTTGGTTCGAGTTTCGTAGTCATATGTAGGTGGAAGCAATCTGAGCCAAGAAATCAGGTCCATCTCAATGGCCGAGGCAACCGAGAGTATATCGTTATTGCTAGTGAGTATATTGGATTTGATATCTGCGCGAAGGTTGGAAATTTTGCCAATGATTATGATAAGGCTGTTAGCATGGGCTTCGTCTGGTCGAAGATACATAGAGACCTTAGCACATTCAAGTACTGATTCCGGCACTCGAGCATCTCTTTGAATGCAGCTGATGACCTACAGCGACGATTAGAATGTCAATTTCTACAGACGAGTGGATGTACGCACAATCTGATATCTCAAGTGCAGGAATAGACGGAGTCCAGTTTCTGTACTTAATTGATCTGTACCACGAAGGTCAAGCAAAGCAGTTGCTCCCAGTATATGGTTTGTCCATTGATCAATATCCTTTGGGGTTCTTGAGGTAACTAGCTAATTTTAGGTTAGATCAGATTGTTTCAGTTCAAAATGGAAATATATGGGAGCTCACTTCGTATATAGCGAGAATCACAACGGCGCCCAGCACCTGGTTAGATTTGGCCTCTTCTATATCGGTCAAGGCGGTGTTCAAAAGGGACAGTGCTGATATATACGCCTTCTGTGACACCGCATTCAATGCAGAGACATTTTTTACACGGCAGAGCATGGCTGATCCAACGGCGGTTAGCCCTGACTTCAAGGCTCTCTGGCTTAGAGAACCAAAACCATCGTTGCTCAGCGCGAGCTTAGTCATGAAATCGGTGACCCAGATGGTGCCCGGGATGGCATTAGATTGCATGAAATATGAAATCGCTTCATGATCGGAAGGGTCAAAGGGTGTCTGAACTTCCAGGGGGAGTTGGGATAATTGCTGCATCAAATAAACATGCAGTGGATCTGAGTCGAAATCAAAAATAGGCGAATCGGCTGAAACGCTAAGCTCAGACGGTGTGCTCCCATCTGAGTATGCAGTGCGAGGGGATCCTCTAGGGGACCAGGATTTCGACAACAAACTAGATGACTTGGCGGCTTTTTCGACCTTCTGAGCCACTGATCTACTTTCATCACGGAACATAAGGGACAATTGATCCCGGTAGCCGGGGCAACTCCGCTTGGCTCTGATGCATTGGCTACAAGATGGTCGCGCACCATCGCAACGAACTTTTTTGCTTCTGCAATGGCCACAGCCTTTGCTGGGCTTTCCACAGTACACCATGATGAGATGCAAATTCTTAACAGTTGATGCGACCGTAAGCCTCCTTTTGAGATGACAACATCAAGATCCACTAGCCAACACCGCCGCCTGACTAATGTAGCTAAACGCATTGACCCCAACGTGGGGGCCTAATTCTCTGTATCGCTCAACATACGCAGTAACGATTATTATTTCTCATGAATCTCTGGGGAAGCGGTACTAGATAACAAGATAGCAGATGATTTGACCCCCGCATGAGGTAGATATGCATTTTGACCAAAGGAGCTCGATACTTATTCAGCTAACGTTCGCACTGCTTGCCTAATATGGACTAGCGTGGAGTGAAGTATTAGCCCCTGGAACAGCAAAGCTTATGTGGTCGATCAACGCTGAAATCCTTACGCTATTAGATTTTAATCTAAGCCACGCTTTTATTCGGCTTTAATGGTGGCTCCTGATCTAACCCAAAGTGGTATACAGGATGTCGTGAAAAATGATATATAACGACCCTATATCTTATGGACATGATGACTTGTATCATCGACTTCACTAATCTTGGAACTTCCAGCTTGACAAAGTTTCTAAAAGATACTGCTACATTATATTATATTGGCGCCTTTCCAGTACAGCTTAAACAATTATGGCTCTCGCATACATCCACGTCATATCCATTCTTCAACTCATTATATTCCTTCCATCGTTCTTTATTTCATTATTTCTCGTCATTCGCCATGGACTTCGAACAAACAGCGGTTTTCTATTTCTCACCACATTTGCTCTGGCTCGCATCATTGGGGCATGCTGTGAACTCGCAACAATCAACAATTCCTCAACCGGATTATGGACAGCGGCAGCGATATGTAGTGCCATTGGTCTCTCACCGTTGATGCTGGCATGCTCTGGAATGTTGTCTCGGGTGTAAGTCAAACTAAACTCACATGTGCACAGCCAAGATCTTATTCGCTTACCATTTTTCCCGCTCATAGTAACGAATCTATTCGAGAGAATGTTGGTCGGTTTGCTCTCCCAGACCAGACTTTTATCTTCTACCGAATTTTCAATATTGCCGCGTTGTCTGTGACAATTGCCGGTATCTCAGCCAGTATGAGCGTTGAGGGTCTTCAGAACCCTGATACCAAGGCCAAAGTTGGCATGATTCTTTACATTGTTGCATTTGCACTGCTGTGTCTCCTATTGGCAATTATACTTCTACGCTGCAGTTCCATTCCGAAGGGCGAGCACCGCGCTGTACTAGCCGTTGCCATTAGCATGCCGTTCATTTTCGTGCGCCTAATCTACGTTGTGCTCATTTGGTTCTTGCATGATCATACTTTCAACATGATTGATGGTAACAACACTGTGAAACTTGTGATGTCTGTGCTGGAGGAATTTGCTGTCATTATTGCTTTCCTGGGTATTGGGTTGACGTTGCAAGTCCGCAGACAGAGTTCAATTATTCCAAAAGACGATGTTTCAGATCAGACAGGAGTTGAGGAGCTGCCGTTGCCCCATCATCAGGCTTAGCCTGCTCAGATTTCAAAATCCAGATTATGATTCACTTGAAACTTGAAAATTGTTTACTTATGCTTCTTTAATGTTAGAGCCTGAAAGTTGATTGCTATTATATAGAACAAGTCTATGCTATTTTAAGCTACAATTTTCAAATCTCCACCATTCTCACTATTAGTACAAATCCTGGACGTCGGCTCAACAATACCTTATATTGTGGAAACTCTAGTTTTTAGCGCAAAAGCTCTTGATTTTATTACCTGGTAGGGCTGACATCGTAATGTCCTTTCTGTTTCCGGTCGTGATGCTGAGTCATCACCGGGATCGGCAGTTGAAGTGGGATATATCCCTTCAAGCTTAATTCATTAATTTCTTATCTTTACTTTATTCAATTGCTTGAAACTCTCCTCTTTATACGTTCAACACTGTCCCTATACAATTTCAACATGGCATCAAGCTTCATTCTCACTCTTTCTGCACCTGAGCGCCCCGGAATTGTCCACGCTGTGACTGCTTTCCTCGTCCAGCACAACCTGAACATCATTGATTCATCTCAATTCGGTGATGCTTCTTCCCAGCGATTCTTCTTGCGCATGCACTTTGCGCCTGCCAGTAAAGATGCCGAAGTTGCTGATCTCGAGAGTCTGCGGTCCGCGTTCCAGTCCACTGCCGAGTCATTCTCCTTGGACTACGAGATCCACCCCACTACTCAAAAGCCCAGAGTGATGATCATGGTATCCAAGATCGGTCACTGCCTGAACGACATTCTATTCCGACAGTCTACCGGCCAGCTCAACATTGAAATCCCCCTGATAATCTCCAACCACCCCGACTTCGCTGCCCTCGCCGCCACCTACAACATCCCCTTCCACCACCTCCCCGTCAAGGCCGATACCAAGGCGGAGCAAGAGGCCCAGATCCTCGAGCTAGTCAGCCGACACAATATTGACTTGATTGTTCTCGCCCGCTACATGCAGGTTCTCTCACCAAAGCTGTGTGAGGCTATGTCCGGCAAAATCATCAACATCCACCACAGCTTCTTGCCCTCTTTCAAGGGCGCTAAGCCTTACCACCAAGCGTATGACCGTGGTGTGAAGATCATTGGTGCTACAGCCCACTTCGTCACCAGTGACCTTGATGAAGGCCCGATTATTGAGCAGAACGTTGTTCGCGTTAACCACGGCATGAGCCCTAAGGAGCTTACTCATGCTGGGAGCAACGTTGAGAGCAATGTCCTCGCCGCAGCTGTCAAGTACGTTACTGAGCGGCGTGTACTGCTGAACAAAAACAAGACTGTTGTGTTTAACTGAAGACGTACATTGACTTTTTCATTTGTATTAACACGAGACCATGTATACGACTGGGAGAGAAAATTGTTTACAATATAGACCCGAGAAATATTTGATAATGGAGGCCATATTATGTCATATAATCAATGTTTATACCTGTACATACGAGTTTGAAGATTCACTCCTGCGTTTCAAGGTTCTGAAAATTGCCATTAATGTCAAATTTCCTATACTCACTGTCCAAAGCCTTCTGGAAGCAGCTTACCCGGCCGAGTAGGCAAATCAAATGGCTTTCAAGTTTAAAGAGTCCGAATTGCTTTGTGTTCGACATCTGTAAGATTCCAGTGATGTAGTTTTGAACCTAGATATTCCATGTAGTGAAGAATTTTAGAGCTGACTCCAAATATTCATAAGCATAGAGTCCGGGCTGTAAATTTGATGTGCTATGGAGAACTAATTCAATTTGTTAACCTGAGTAAATAATAACCAACGCTATACCAATCATTTTCGAAGAAATTAGATAGTGAGCAGTTTAGTGGCCGCTGAGATCAGCTCCTCGATGATCTTGTTCCATTTCTGTAAAAGACCCAAGTCAGCAAGGTTAGGCAAAAGAATCAGATGAGAGGGTAGAACATACCTTAGCATTCGCCAAATCTCCAGCGTCAAGGCTTTCCACGAGTCCGGGGAATGTTGTACCGGAATACCCGGTCCAGATACCAGGGGCGAAGACAACGTGCTTGAACCACTCACGGCCATCCAGACCAGGTTCGTACAAGAATGTGCGCTCAAGATACTTGTATTTCTCATTGGCGATGCGGACTTGCGCCAACAGCTTGGCCTTTAGCCACCACTTATACCATGGGATGTGCTCCTTGAGTTTCTCCGATAGAGTAGCGGCATGCTCATCGAATTGCTGCGCGTACTCATAGAAATCGATGATGGCAAGGTTTAGCTTTGTGAGGTCAAAGTGGGTTCCCGCAGGAAGAGCATCGACAGAGGATTGGAGTTTGTCTAGATAAGAGGCCAGTCCCTTTGCATAGTCGGAGGCGCTGAAGGCGATCACGGGAGACTCTACTAGCCGTGCAGCTGCCAATGCCCAAAGCTTAGTTGAAGTAAGATGGTAGCTCCAGCTAGGGTCACCGTATTTTTCCATCCACGAGAAGCTGTCATAGTTGGAGTGATAGTGATAGACGGGGTCACCTTCGCCGCCGGAAAATCCGAAGTCTAGACTGGCAATACCTGCGAAGTCCTGGAACGCGGTGAAGTCACTGCCACTGCCTATGGTTGAGATTTTACCACCCCATACATCACGAACGGTTTGGCCAGGAACAGTCTGGTTTGGAGACTGCACAAGACCGGTCACCTCGTAGATCACCTTGTTGAGCAGGGGCGCGGCGGAAGGGCGAAAGTTGGTACCAGATGCAGCTCCGTCAACGTTGAGGTATGCAACATTGGCCTTTGAGAGCCAGGGCAGGTTATCTTCAACCCACTCGGTGGATCCAAGTAGACCATACTCTTCTCCATCCCAGCTAGCAAAGACGATGGTGCGAAGGGGTTTCCATCCAGCCTTCAAGGCCATGCCAAAGCTACGCACAACTTCGTTGAGCGCTGCGGATCCACTGTTAGGGTCGCCTGCACCTCCAGCAATCCATGCATCACGATGGTTGCCGAGGATGATGACCTCGTCGGGAATATGTCCTTTAATGACACCGATGACATTCCACAATGGAGTGGTCACATACTCCTGCTGGTTGTCAAGGTTGATGACCAGGTCTTTTGGAGAAGGGCCGATGTTATACTTGACACCCTTATAACCAAGAGCACCACCTTGCCAGTACTTATTGAAGTCGGATGACTTAGGTCCATGGTCATTCAGAGCCTTTAAGAAGGGCAATGCCTCTTTGTAAGAAACTGGAAGAGAAGGAATAGATGGGATTGAGCCATGTGGGTCTTGTCGTTCGACCCCGGGTTTGGAGGCATACCCAGGTGTAGTTGGGTCGCCAGGAAGAATGCCTAAAATCCACTTGTCAGTGATGCAAGTCATCGCGGGTCGGTATTGTGTACATACTTAGAAACTGGGTACTACCCCGCTGGATAGCACTAGGATTGCGTGCAGGTCCCTTAGGGTAGGCTTCATAACCATTTTCCTCGGTGATTTCACCGTCCTCTTGTGGGTCGCTATAGATGACTACACCGACCATACCGAGCTCCTGGGCTCTTTTCACCTTAAGCCCACGGAAAATGCGGCCATATTTGACTAGGGCGATTTTGCCTTTCAATTCAATGCCGGCATTCACTAGGTCTTCAAAATCCCCGTATGTGCCAAAGTTGACATACACATACTGGGCCGTGACATTGCCAGTGGCGGAATACCCATGGAAAGAGGGTACTCGGTCAGGGAGGCCCGAGGTAGAATCTTCCTCAAGAACGTCTTCCTCCAAGGTAGCCTCGAAAACAACCTCGGTGTCATCATCGGATTTTTTGAGTAAAGCAAGACGGTGATCTACTGGATAATTGAGGTAGATGTCATAAGTGGCAAGAGTTGTATCCTCCACGCCAAATTCCTTCCATTTGTCTAAAGTCCAGAGAGCTTGGCTTAGGTTCTTACCAGCCAGGTGGGGTCCTGCAGTATAGTATGAGCTCCACTCCTTGATCTTGGCAGCGGATGGCGTTTCCTGAAGGAGCTGCTGCAGTGAATCATAAGGCAGTCCATAGCTTTCCGGCCAAGATAAATGAGGAAGTGGATGGGACCAAGGGAGAATGGACCAAATTGAAGGGATCAAGAAGAGTATGACACCAGCAAGAAGGAATCCACTGAGGAAGAATGTACATGTACGACGTAGTAAACTGTGCGGATATCGATGTCGCAGAGGTGCGACAGCGACTACCAACAGTGGAGTCGATTCAGAGTGCGGCATGACTTTCTCCCTCATTTTTGCAGCTGTTGAGAGAGACGAAGAGGGGAAGAGGTTGCTCTTCTCCGCATTTTATCGCGTTATCACGCTGACTAAAATGGCGACAGTCAAATCGACCAAAAGTGATGTAATATTGGAAATGGGGTGATATCACGTGATTTACCTATTTATATGACGATTGTTGCTACAGCAACAACCTCGAAATCCTAGTCTATTTTCTACTATCTTCCAAACGTATTCACCCTTGTTGGAGTCATTTCAGTCAATTTTCAAAGAAAATCAATACCATCAACATTATACTGGGTGCAATCATCCATATGAAACGCTTTAAGAGGAAAGAATGTCGCGAAGCCAGCTCAACGAACTTATTACTCATTTTTGCTGAACATAAAACCTAGAGTCAATCAGAAAGCAATAAGTGCCATGATGAAAGGGTATCACCATTAAAAACAATCCTAGGCTCGGAATCAGCCGAAATTGTTGAGCTTTTGATAGAAAACTTTCTCTTAAGCCCCTTCTTTACCAATTGATATTAACATGAATGCATTCAAGTATGGAGTAGTATCTTGAACGACCCAGGAAGATTGAGTGTAAGATAATGTGCTACATAGATGTTCCCTTGCAGGTTCATAGTAGATATCCATAGATCTCTCCCTTGAATGGACCTGGTGTGTTCCTACGATTGATGCCCATGATATAATTGAGGACTGTTTTTTGCAAGAACGAGTCACAATAGATTATTGGTAGTCTGCGAAAGGTCTTTACCTAGATAAATCTTACTCAAAGCAATACCAATCACTGCCTAGAGTTTCCCTTACTTATAACAATGGATTCGTTGTATTGTGATTGCGTTACAATGTAATTACCGTAATTAACCAAAAGCTCACTCCAACTCTTCCATAATACCATAATACCAATACAACAGATTCCAGACCGACCAGCCGCCGCTCCCGTTTATTAAAACGGCTTTTCCTTACTCGAGCCTACAAGTCAACATCATGGCTCCCATCAGCATTATATCTCGTCTTAGGAGTCTTTACTCCAAACAACAAGGTAATTCCTTCAAATCCACTCCTGTATATTCGTAACTAATCCAGTAACGACCAGACGAGCCTTCTTTGTCGGAGTTCACTGTCGTCATCTTCTCTGTAAATCACACTCCTCCCTAGTAACATAGCAAAGCATAATCCTAACCAAACCCCCTATCTAACCATATCAAGATTATTCTTACATCTCTTTACGTGGTGCCACTCTATCTGTCGCCGACGTCGCGACCATCTCCAAGTCTGAGCCGCGATGCCCCGTCTGTTATTCGCACGCGCATCCGCGTCGTTACTAGCGCTTGCATCCTGGCTTCGATCGCCGTTCTCTGGCTTGTTGTCGTCCAGGGAAACTCTTCGGTCACAGTGGCCTTAACCTTGTTGGGCTGGTGGCCTATTAACATTGCAGATATCGCGCGCAGCTTGTTACTGACAGCTATCCTCTTTACGGGCCCGCTCTTTGAGCGCGGTATCGTCGAGGGTGAATGGCGCTCATGGTTTCGGCGAAGTAAACTTTCTGAAAGCCTGAGTGGCTGGATCGGATGGAGGAATTATGTCGCTGTAGGTCTTTATCATTTTGTATCTTCTATGTGATATGATTTCTGATTTTCTAAATAGGGTCCAGTCACTGAGGAAGTCATCTTCCGCTCTACCGTCATCCCGCTGCATCTGCTAGCTCAAATCTCTCCTAGTCGTATTGTGTTCATTACACCATTTTACTTTGGTATTGCGCACTTGCATCACTTCTACGAGTTCCGCCTCACTCACCCAGACACGCCTACTTTAGCTGCCCTGGCACGCTCCATCTTCCAGTTCGGGTATACCACCATCTTCGGCTGGTATGCTGCGTTCGTCTACCTCCGAACAGGATCCCTATTCGCTGTCATTCTGATTCATAGTTTCTGCAACTGGTGCGGCTTGCCTCGATTCTGGGGCCGGGTCGAGCCTTGCGACTCTCTGGTACCAGTTTTGGTCCGGGGTAAAGAGGACCAGGATCCAGTTTTCGCTCATGTGCAATCTACCCAGGACTTGAGTATCGGCTGGACTGTTGCGTACTACGTGCTCCTTGTGTCTGGGGCCGTAGCTTTTGCGTGGCTTTTGTGGCCGTTGACTGAATCTTACAGCGCCTTGGTCCCATTCTTTACTCCCTCTTCTTCCTAAGTGATTGGAGTCTTTGCAAAATCTCGAAATTTGCTTTTTTTGTCACTAAGAAGCCCTGGAGTACAACGCCTGGAGTCCATTTGGAATAGCATTGAATGGCGAGTGTTCAGATGGTGTTGTTTTCATTTCTACCTAGGCTTCTACCTACGTATACATAGATCTTTGAAAACGATACTTTGCCTTTTCGGGAAGTTTGGCGTTTGTTGCGAATGTTACTTCGCTGTTCTTCCAAGATTGTTTCCTACTTCTGGACGTGTATAAAATGTTTTATTCTCATTGCATTTATACGTCTTAATCCATTTAACTATCACGGTTATCTCATTAATCCGTCAATATGTCCCAACCTTTTCAGACAGGAACCTGGATAGAGGAACCCTTTCTTTTTCTTCCAAGGGGGTATATAACATCAACCCTGTAAAACCCTCCCAATATCCCATTATAAACAGCAAACAAATTAGGAAATCAAAAACCACGCCAAATATGGCGTGATATCAGATAAGGGTATAAGCGGGCAAGGGAAACAAAAAAATCAAAAAATCAAAAAATCAAAAAATCAAAACATTAAAACATTAAAACATCAAAAGATGGTATTCGGCAAATCAGCGACTCAAGGGAAGCGGTAGATCAGCTGCGAGCGCTGTTCGCGCTTGACAGCCCATGCCTTGAGCGCAATGACTAGCACCTCCATTGACATGATGAAGGCTGTGAAGCCTAGACCCACAGTGAAGGTGACCATTGCGTCAGCCTTGTAGTATTCCATGGCATTGACGACAGATCGGGTCTATTTCTCGATTAGAATTCAGGCTTCACTTAGAGAAGTACCAAGAATACATACGCTTATCATGAAGATCAGTCCTCCAGCCATCAGACAGAATGAGGCGACGATCTCAGTGGGTGGGCGAGAGGGGAAGTATGAGGCTGGAGGACGTAGGAACAGCAGGAGATAAGTCGCGCCGCGAGCCAGAGCGAATCCAACCAACATATTACCCCATTGCTTGTGCACCATACTTGAAAGCATGCTAGACTGGGTGTGCGCTCCCATCATTGAGCCTAGTAGCATAATGACTAATGCAGGCATCGGGTTAAGCGACGCTCCCTGCGACTTCGGGATTTGGTACTTTTCATCGCGGGTTCCGGCCGGGGGAGGGCGGATGACGGTGTTGTTGAGCATCTCGCGGATCTTAGTGGATTCAAAGAGCATACCGGCCTAAGAAGGGGGAAAGAGTTAGCCGGAGATATCCATGGAAGGATTGACTGCTCGGGTCAATATCTTACCAGGCCACCACCAAAGAACAAGATCGTGATGGAAACGTGCTCCAGATCAGTCGCAGTCCATGCCTTACCCCAGCTGTTGAGATGCTCTAGGAAAACATTGGATGCGCCATACAACCAGATGACAAATGATTCGGTAAACTCGGCTGAGGGAGCCTTGGACTTCCATCCTTCAACAACGCTTGCAGAAGGCTTCTTGTTCCAGGCCCAGCCGAGGTCTGCCCAGCAACCAAGATAGCGGCCCAGGGTCAAAACACCGTACCAAAAGAAGATTCCACCCTTGATAAAATGCGCTAGGCCGTTGAAAATCTCACGTCCTCGCATGAGACCGCCATAGGTCACCACACCAGTCGTGAGTGCAAGAAATCCGAAGGGAAGGATAATTCGATCAATCACCTTATATAAAATGTATAGTCCCCGGAGCATCCGATGCGAGACCAAACCAGAGATGCGGTTTGCAAGGAAACGATCGGCCAGGGTACTGTGGAACCATCCACGGCGGGCGGTGGTCGGCAGGGGCTCTTCAGGTTCTTCAGGCTCAGGCTTCTCAAATCCGTCGTATCCGCTAGACTCATTGATCGGGCTGTGCATCGAAGAGCATGACTCACTTCCCTGGCCACTATCACGCGACCAGCGGTATTCGTGCGTTGGGTGCGAGGGATAGTGTTCAAATGATTCTTCTGTAGCGACGGGCAAGAAGGCCTCGTGTTCATGAGAGCCCAAGTTGGACTTGGACTTGGACTCTCCACGTCCGGCGTAAGCAAAGATCAAGGCGAGAGCAACCTGAACACTGAAGACGATAGTCGCAATCCAGCCGATCTTGTGGTGCGCATTGTTTTCGTATAGATCGGGAGTCTGGCCGTTGTAAATGATGCCAAGAAGCAGTCCAAAAGCATTGCAGACCAAGAAGAGGAATTGAGATGGAAGGGCGAGACCAGAGCGAGCCACACTCAGCATAACCGCTGGCATCGGTTAGATTTGTAAGTTTCTCTTTGTTTGAGGTCTCGCTTACCTGCAGGAAGGACAAAGCACCAGCCGATAACCATAAATGCAATATGCGCCAAGATGGTGTTGGAGTGTTTTCCATAGGCAAAATAACTCATGGGCCCGTCATCCTCTGGCGGGGTAGTCGAAGGCTCTGGAGTACTATTGCTCATACTCATATCCATATTCATGTTGTGTTCTTCGCCGTGAGCGAGCGCGGAGGCAACGGACGCGAGTAAGACAGCTGCAAAAGCAGCTCGCATAACTATTTGACCCATCGTAGCTTATTGACAAGGCATATAGGTATATACAAAATGAAAAGCCGAAAAAATTGTCGTCAATACGCCGCAAAACGGGAGCTCCTGAATCGTGACGTAAGTTTCGACCAGTGGACTCCAACTACCTCGGATTTAGCGGCTTTAATTCTTTCCACTGAAGAATTTTAGCTAGAGGTGTCGGAAATTTAAAATCCACACGACAGCTCTAGTTTGGTGAACTTTGGAGCTAGGGTAGATAGGGTGATGGGGTGATAGGTATGGCTGACTTCGAAGTATAGAGAGTGGGAAATGGACCGGTTATAAAGAGCCCCGGACTGGACACGGCTGCAACGTTTTATTTTGGGGACTGGAAGCACCGGCAACTACGTAATTTTGTTCACCAAATCCATGGACGACCTAACGGTTGAAAAAAAAAAAAAAAAGGACGGCCCTAGTTGATTTCTAATTCGGAGAGAGCGGGGATAAGAAAGGGAAGTTTCCGAGTGCGTGGAATTAGGGATACCAGTGTCTCCGTGATCCGTTGATAGATCATGGTTCCTTAATATCTATTCAACCTATCCCACACTGTCTTAGTGTGCATCGAATAAATGACTTCAAGACTCCTTCATTATCTTCCCCTCATTTAGAGTCATTCAACCAAGCCAACAAAAGCACATATTGTCATCAGCTACATGCATTTCATATGTACAGTTTCTCTGCAGTAGGTAGTAAGCCCTAGAGCACTAAGAAAGTTCCCAGCGGCAACGTCCGGGCTAGTTCTTATTGAGTAACAGAGAAAAAGCATTTTTCATTAGTCCGGATATGTCGGGGAGCTCCACAGCCCTATAAACCTTGGTTATCGGAGTATAAACGCAGGAAAGAGGGAATAGTGGGCCTTGGTAAGGAATTAGGCTTGGGTAATATACTCCGTTAGGGATGCCAAGTATGGGCGCGATTGAGTCGGCGGGATTCACACGCTAATATGAAGTGCGTGGGCCTAGTCAATTATGCATGATGTGCAATTTAGTGCTCACTAAATTCGGCCCTTCACACTCTATGACGGACGGAACACTTAGTGTTGCGAAACAAGGAAAAATAGCATGATGGAGCTGTTCATATTCCTGCATTTTGCAGATCCCTTCGTATTTCTTTGCTAATATGCAAGTTTGGATTCTCGGAATCGATCCAGGTCTAGCCTGTTCGGTCAGCTGGCCTCGGAGCTCGGCTTCACACTATAGCGAAATCCTAGTCTCGGCATATCACTTTTTGTGCTCCGAGAGTCCGAGCTGCATTGAGGTATCAGGTACATCTTCAAGCTTAGATTGAGGACTAACATAGTGCTCTCAAAATACACTCCAGAAAATGAGTGCCTTGTGAGGAGAAGTCTTTAATACTCTAACTGGTGGGGTTGACACAAGGTTCTTCATAGATATGGGCCCTAGCTTTGATCCTTTAATGCCCTATGCGGAATATGAATTTCTACGGATGTAGTTAATTCCGAGTTCCAGCCCGAAAGTAAGCCCACAAAAGCCTGATCATTTCCACTAGCGATGCAAAAACCTTGGAAGTGTCATGACTACGGTAATGCTACCTATTGGGCGACTATTGATTTTAGCTTCGTAATCACGGGGTACTGTGTTTTACGGTGTACATCATACTCAGCATCTCGCTTCTCTTCGCGTAGCTATGAGTCTTGCAGAACAGACGTCACAACAAGTATGGCATCACGGGCCTCCATGGCACCAAACAGATAATGATCATCTTAATTTAGCGCAAAAAGCGGATAAAGCTTCCTCTCCATAGTTATTCAGTTATCACCTCACTAAGGTTCTTATTGTTCAGCTTAGAGGGCCATGAGCCTGGAAGATCTGTTGATCTATTGATCTCCCATTCTTGAAATGCACATCCAGTTTCGACCTTGAATAGTGGATACACGTCCATGCAGTCTGTATCGAAGCAAAAATCATGCCATGTGTTTCCGAGCTTTGTACTCCTTACAGGAAAACGGACTCAACGAGACAGGATCCCTGGCGGACCGGCGGGTATTGTTCGTTCTAGACGCGATAGCCCGCTCTATTTGCTATTTGTACGTCTTTGTATTGGATGAATAGCGTTCCTGGCCAGCTGGACAAGAGCCACTGATGTAGAGGCTTTAGGAGCTACCGTAACTCCCGTACCGTACCATCTTGGATATTTTTGCATTCCGCTTATTCAGTGTTGAAGATATTCCCGGCCGGGTACAATAGAAGTATTTCGAGATCTTGGCAAAGAACGGGGTGTTCATAGTTCGATAAAGTGGGATTATTGTAGTTAGGTTGTTCTACTCCGTGCCAGTCTACCTATCAAATAGTAACAATTATTTCATTCACCTTTCGTTCTTCCTTTGATTCTTAATCACACGACAAATCAAAATGCCAAGACTGACTGGTAGTCAATGTTCTTTGATTGGTCATGATTCGATCTGCATCCGTGAGCTTCCGCTAGAATGTACACGCACTTGAACACGCACTGATGATTAATCATGCTTATTCTCACTGTCATATGACAATGCTCTTGCATAATTCTTGAATCCATCCGTGGTAGTTCTTGATTTGATTGAGTTGATCTGCTGAAGCTTTATAGAGATATGGCGATTATAAACCATATGATTTGCAGCCTTTCAACCTTAAGTTATGACCTTCGTGTTCCAAGTTGATTTGTTCTTTTCCATCTACATGTGCTGTTAGACACAGCTCATCTCATTTGGCTGCTCACATGGGCACATGTGCATATGCATAGAGCTCCTCCCTACTTGGATAGTGAGGTATTTCGAAACTATACAATATGTCAACCACATCCATGAATACAACCCAAGGATGATCTGTATGCTTTGACTCACCTCCCTTAGAACATTCAAATGTCGGTTTAAATCCGCGGATTATGGCAGCATCCAGATGCCCAGCTGGCCAAGCTCCCTGGCATTAGCGCTATAGCCTCTTTGATCACCTACTATTCAATTATATTGTTACCTAAAATACGTAGGTATATTAATACCAGCGTGTCGGTTCTATGACCAACCTTGGAAGTACTTGCGGCCGACCTACAGAGCCTGAAACACGCCAGGTGTAGCTGTTTCCGAAGTGTCAAGGTTCCAAGGTTAAAGTATTGGAATATGGTCTCATCTAATCCAAGGTTCCAAGTTTCCAAGGTTCTTTAGGTCCTTCCAGTCCTGGAAGGTTCCAACCCCGACTCCAGATTATGCATATTGGAAAGTGTGTATTTTGGAAAAGTTACTCACTCGTAATATTTTAAAAATTTTTATTGGAGATGCTAAATGTGTCCAAAGCAAAGAAGTCGGGATATTCAACGCTGGAGAAAATATCTATTCAAAGCCGACAATTAAAAAGACCTTCTAACCCTTTTTGGGAGCTTTATAGATTGACTAATCAGTCTGGTGCCCTAGGGTACTGAAGGACACCACTAGCTCCACTGATGATGCGCGACAGGCCCACTCGGAACTAGGAGTGCAGATTGCAGACCCAGGGAGGAGATACAAGGGAAACTGCCTACTGAAATAGGCAGGCTGGCTTAGACAGAGGAAAACTGAACTAGAAACAAATGAACTTTGATGCTATGGGAAACCTTTTTTCTTGGGACATGGGGATTGTATTTTTTTAAGAGGAAGCTGCTATCTAATACTGAAGACTTATCACCTGACCCCAGGCGGTGGGTGGTTATGAGGCAGGAATCCTGAGGCCGCTCACAGTTCCTATTCTGCCACACGGAGACGGTTTCCAATTATCGGTGATGCTAGCGATTCTAAGGCTATGTACTGGCGCCCGTTACCAGCTTTTCTGAGCATACATCTAAACATTAGAAGTGAGCTATTTGTTTCTCTGGTTTCTTAAAAATAACCTTGGAATAAGGCTGAAGATAGACCCACATCCCGATATGTCTAAATGTTAAGCCCAGAGTTGAGCCTCCAAAATGCTTATAGGATTGAATCTCGTGTGACACTATTAGAACTTTATATAAACCTGGGATAGACTACATATTCCTGATCAACTACTTCCTTACATATATTTGATATTGAAGTTTAATCGATTTGAGGTTGAATATTGATTTAATATGATTTGTGCGGGGATGTGGGGGTGAAAGTGGATACGTGGAAAATAGGAAGACAAACAATGTTGATGGCAAGCGTAGCTCTATGGATAAGTTTGTTGGTTAGAGATGTTCACGGTCGAACTGAAAGAAATGGTTTGTCGCTTAACCTGTACTTACTTTTTGAACACACGCCTAAAAAGATTTATTGCCATGAAAATTCAGTGAGAGTTTTCATCACTTCCTGCCTTCTTCCAACCTTCCCTCCTCAACAGTCCACCAGCCATGGACCAAACCACTTTACTCAACTGGTAGGCCTTGATTTTTCTTGTTCTATCTGTGATGCCCATATGCTGACGTTGAGATGTACAAAGGTATCAATCACTTTCTACGAAAGTGGTTGACCTCGTTGGTGACCTTGTCGGCGATGAACTTTTCATCATTGACGGAGATTCACTGTTACTGCACTGTTTCTCCAATAAGAAGCTAGATTTTGCCCCAGGATTTCAGCTGCTACATGCAACTTATCTTGTTGAAAAGTTCTTGAGTCAGCTTTACCAGCGAAACTGCCTCTTCGAAATAGTGTTCTTCTCTCAAAATTCTCAACTCTGCCTCCCCTTGGCCACCAAAGCTAATCAATACGACCGGTATTTGCTTGCCAGAGAAGCGATTATACAGCATCTCGAATCGATCTCTTCCCGATCAGCATCAACTCTCACAGTGCGAAGATTCAATACTTTCCAGTCAAAGGCTTTTGATGAACACTTTGTGAGCTCCGGAGCTTCTCTATTCGTGTGTCACGACGGTTCATTCGCGATTGAAAATCATGACAAAAAGTACGAAGAGGATGAAAACACAGATCTTGAAGATGAGAGCAGTGATGAGAGCAATGATGATGAGGACAGCCAAAGTCCGCCCAAGGTTCAGGTGCAGGATAAGACTACGCACGGAACAAGCTTGAGAATCAACAATAGGTTGATGATTCACCATCTATTTACTCATGGATGCAACGTTGCTCTTATCCACAGTGTTGAATTTCGAGATACCAAGGTAAGCCGCTTCCTCGAGGTTGGGTTATCGGACAAGAACTGACAATATGGAGGTTATGGCCATGATCATCCAGGACCATCACAAGAAAAACTTAAGGCTACCCATATCACAGAGTGACGGGAACAATTGCGACTTCGAAAAGTCAAAGTTTGTATCAGTTCAAGATAATAAACTTCTCGAGATGGCGATTTTTTCACAGCCTGATCTGACACAACGTCAATGTCTTACAGCCGTTGCGCTAGCCATGATTCTGAAAACTGCTACCGGAAACCCTGAAAATAAGATCGGTGCTATATCGGTCATTCTACACCTTGGGATCTTGCAAGATGCCAAACTTAAAGAACGAGTCTCAAAACCTGCCACGCCCGTGAACTCTGCATTTTTTGACCTTTTCTTGAAGACTGCTGGAGCGATACTCACATCAACACATTGGAAGAAGACAGTTAATATCCACAACTTACCATGTGACCTGTTTGACCTCGTAGATGGAAGACTTTTCTTCCAAGTGCAGGAGTTGATAACGAGTCTCGGCATCGAAAACACAATTTCACCTGTGACTCTTGTGCCGTTCAACAACCTTGCAAGTGTTGTGGATCACCTGTGTGGTTCTAACCTTCAATATAAACCGAATGAAGAAAATGGGTTCTTCCCGATGAAAAAACCATCTCCCGGAAATATGGTCTCTAATTCTGCAAGCTTCACGACAGTGCTTCCATTCACAAATGAAGTCTTTGAACACCATCTCAAGCCAATTCATCTGGATTTGGATGGGTCTAGTGATCCAGATGAAGATACTAAATTCTCCAACGTCTTCATAGATCAAACCCATTGGCATAATACTAAGCCCCTTGACCAGAAGAAGGCAATTGCTTCGTCGGCATGGGAAAAGAGAAGAGAGTTAAAACGTTTCCAAAGATACATGACCGAGATAAGAAAGTATGCGGAAAGTTTGGTAGGTTCTGCAGGCATGTTCCAAAAGGATACGATCATTGTTGGTTCCTCTTCTTCTGTTGCCAAGGAGAAAAAGCAGTTGGCGCCCAAAAAGAAATCCAAACAGCCCGCGGGGAAACAATCCGTCAAGGACAAAGTCGCAGCCCAAATGGATCTGAAAGCAATGGAGGAAGCAAAAAAACAGATAGGAAAGTGGGTGATGAAACAAAAGGACTTTTCAAAGATTACGGATCTAGTCCCTCGTTTTGTTGCCGTCGATGAGTACTTATCTAGCTTACCCAAAGTCAGTCGCCTCATTTTGGAAGCCGAAATTCTCACATACCTCCTCGATACAATGCTACAAGTCCTCTTGCTCGCGCAAAAGACTGGGAAGCATGCAGAAATTCTTGCTGCAACACATGTCTGGGCCGTTCTATCTCGTCTCCTGAAAGTCAAGCAAGGCATCTGTGCCGATATTGCTAATTTTGTAGAGAATTCATGTCGAGGATTCGGACTGCCAATTGTTCAGCTCAAAATCGATAGCGAGCAGCCGCTATCGTTCAAATTTTCAAAAACACCCTCAGCACAAATGAAGCCTCTAGGACTGGATGCTGTGGAGTTCCAATTCCTGCATGGAGGTCCCTTTATGGAGCGTAGAATGGATTCCATGCCCGACTCTCGAACACCTGATTTTGAACCCGATCTTTGGCAGCGGGAAGTCCTTGATCAGATTGATGCCAAGGAGAGCGCCCTCATCATCGCTCCTACCAGTGCGGGAAAGACGTTCATCTCGTAAGTCTTTTACTCCTCAAGAAATGGTAAGTTAGTATACTAAGTGGCTGCAGATTCTACGCAATGAAACAAGTGCTGAAAGAGGACAATGATGGAATTATTGTGTATGTTGCTCCTACAAAGGCACTTGTCAATCAGATCGCCGCCGAGGTACAAGCTCGATTTTCAAAATCATATCCTGAAAAGATAGTGAAGGCAATGTGGTCCATCCACACCCGGGACCACAGAATAAATGATCCCAGTGGCTGTCAAATTCTCATCACAGTTCCGCACATTCTTCAAATCATGCTACTTGCCCCATCGAATGCCAACTCATGGACTCCTCGAATCAAGCGCATCATCTTTGACGAGGTTCACTGCATTGGCCAGGCTGAAGATGGTGTCGTCTGGGAGCAACTGCTTCTCTTATCGCCATGTCCGATTATTGCTCTTTCAGCTACCATTGGCAATCCAGAAGAGTTTTTTGAGTGGCTGAAACATACTCAAGGCACTAATGGGCATAACTTAAAGATGATTCAGCATCAGCACAGGTACTCCGATTTGCGAAAATATGTTTACCGTCCTCTACAAAGTTTCTCATTCAAAGGGCTTCTCAACACGAGTGGTCTGTCTTGCCTGGGCCTCGATGATGCGAAAGGTATCGAATTCTTGCATCCTGTGCTTACCTTGGTCGATCGCGTGAGAGGAGTGCCAGATGACTTCAGCCTCGAGCCACGCGACTGCTGGACTCTGTGGAAGGCAATGAATAATCTCCAAACGGACGAATTTCCAGTTCCCGACTCCCTAAATCCATCGGTTCTTTTCTCCGGTGTCATTATCCAAAAGACAGATGTTATCGAATGGCAGAAGCCGTTAAAAAATCTGCTCGCGATCTGGATGACCGACATACGATCTCCTTTTGAGAAACTTCTATTCCACCTCAGCCATACTGATCTAGCAAGGCTAGTCGAAAGTAACAATGATCCAAGTGATCCATCCAGGGATTTATCAAGTGATGCATCAAGTGATACACTCCAGTCTGATGAGCCAGAGTATTCCACTCTTCAATTAATTTGCTCTCTTCACGCCCAACGCGCTCTCCCCGCGTTGTTCTTCAATTTCGATCGGAAGAGGTGCGAAGATATTGGCCAACAACTGTTGAGTCAGCTTCAAAAAGCAGAAGACGATTGGAAGGCAACAAGCCCTATCTGGAAGTCCCAACTTTTCAAGTTCGATCATTTTAAGAAAATAGACGAGGCCGCGAAAAAGAGGTCCAGCAAGGCTACCAAGAAAAAAGGAGCCAATGATCAAGAAATGACTCGCGAAGACCAAATTAGGGATTCGGCGTCTGCGGATAGCAATCCTCTTGCGGGCTTTGATCCAAATAGACCACTGGAAAAATACAGTTTCGCCGATCCCAAAAAACTCTCCAAGTCTGAGTTTGCCGAGTACGCTTCGCAGCTGAAACATCGACAAATCAACCAATGGCTCATAGATGCTCTCGAGCGGGGTATCGGTATTCATCATGCAGGTATGAATCGAGGCTATCGTCAAGTTTGCGAAATTCTGTTCCGAAAGGGCTTTCTTCGTGTGGTTATTGCGACAGGCACTTTAGCCCTGGGTATCAATATGCCCTGCAAGACTGTCGTTTTCTCGGGAGACTCGATATATTTGACAGCCCTCAACTTCCGGCAAGCCGCAGGACGAGCAGGTCGTCGTGGATTCGATATGTTGGGAAACGTAATCTTTCAAAATATCCCAATCGTCAAGGTTGAGCGGCTCATTAGCTCGAGACTACCAGATATCAACGGACATTTCCCGATTACCACGAGTCTAGTTCTGAGATTGTTCATTCTACTGCATGGGTCTAAGCAGGCTCCATCAGCTGTCAAGTCTATCAACTCAATCCTCTCGAGTCCTCGTATTTGTCTTGGTGGCGAAGCGACAAAGCACACTGTTTTGCACTATCTCCGCTTTTCAATTGAGTATCTTCGACGAAATAATCTCATTACCATCACAGGTTCTCCGTTGAATTTCTCCGGTTGCGTCTCCCATTTGTACTACACAGAAAGTTCGAGTTTTGCTTTCCACGCCCTTCTGAATTCTGGCTACTTGTACGAGCTTTGCAAAGGCATCGACCGCACGCCGAAACGCACTCTCCGTACGCTTATGCTTGTCATGTCACATGTTTTTGGACGCTATGCCTTGCGTCGTTCCACTTTGGAATCATATCTCGCAGCCAAGAAAAGAGCTTCCTCGGTCGTGTTGCTTCCGCCGTTGCCGAAAAAGGCAGCCAAGGTACTCATTAGCCATAACAACCAGGTCCTTGACATCTACTCGGGATATGTATCTACTTTTATAGAGAAGCATGTGGAAGGTCCTGACCGCTCTCTGCCATTCAGTGGGGCCGAATGTGGCGGAGAGAAATCCGTAATCGAGCTTGGGCTTCCTCAGCAAAAGGAGGCTCTTCCCAGAGTGATTTCTCCTTTCTACGCCCTTTCTGGGCATGTTGATAAGTGGGATACTGTTACTGATCTGTGTGAGACGGTCCGCAGTCAAGTGTGGCTTGAGAAGTCTGCCGTGCCGTATGTGCCTATCACCTCAGAAAGCGATCCGTTGAACGCCTATCTGTATGACTTTTTCAAACACGGGAATGTCCAACAGCTGGAGACGGCCAACGACGTCCGCCGAGGTGATGTCTGGTACCTCCTTAATGACTTCTCAATGATTCTCGCAACCATCGTCACCAGTATGGCAAACATTCTGAATCAACGTGGCAACACAGGAATGGAAATGATCAATGTCAGCGGCGGCGGTGATAACTTTGAGTGTGAAATCGACGACGCAATCTTAGACGACGAAGAAGACAAGGCTAAGACGGCGTCTGCCAAGGCTCGCGATAAGGCCATGGCCCCAGTCCCTGAAAGGAAAACGAAATCAAAGACGATGGAGAACTGGGACGACGAGCTTCTCGAGGACATGGCAAAGGTCTCTCTTAAGGAAAAGGCTAAACGCCTGGAGGAAAGTGAAAAGAAGCAGGAGGAATTCCGCAAGGCTTTGATCGTGGTTTACCGGGCTTTCATGAAACTTAAGGAGGATTTCGATGGCAAGTTCAGAGAGATGTGGGCTTAAGTATGAACTGCCTATTTGCATCCTTTGTGAGCATGTATTTTTAAAGAGAAAAAAAAATTGAAAAAAATTGATATTCTGCGGTGAGCTTTCGAAATGTGTATCTCGGCTATAAAAATCCCTTTTTCAATGATAGAGTATAGCTACGAGCATGTCTGTCATGGATATATCATGACGTGCCGTGTAGTTAGTATTCTACCACATACAACACGCCTGGGCGTGGATGAGCTCGGAATTTGCTACATCAGCCAGGGCTTAACTAAATAATATCTAAATTGTATGTATCTATGGATGTTAAACTTGGATCGCTCTTTTCATATTCAAGGGATACACAGATATAACCTCCACCAGCCTTCCAGCGTTCGACATTTTAACGATGGCGTTGAGGTTTGAGACTCTATAAGCAACCCATTCCAAGTAGTCATATTGTAACGACAGGTGTGGGCACCAAAAGTTCCAAGGCTAGCAAGTTAGGTGATGAATCTGATGATGCAAGCCTCCTTGTTCAGCTGAGATTCAGAAACTGTCTAGGCGCCCTTTCACATCGTATTTGCTGCCTAATATTCCGAAAAAAATATGGCATCAGTCTTCCATGGTGTTAATAATGTACTTCAGATTGAAAGAAGTCATAACCCTTTTGAGTTGAGGTCACTGTTTTCCCCAGTCTTGACTCGACTTCCGGATGGAAAAGCGACCGTCTCTGACATCATTTTCACAGGTTCTCATATTCTATACCCAAGCCTGACCCCAAGCACCCTCATAGAAGATGAAATAGGAAAGCCCCCCTTATTAGAAAAAATGTAAAGCTATCTATGTAACAACAGGGAACAGACTGAAGAGTGAATACCAAGTTTCAAATTCGTGCACATATGGTCGAATGATAAAGCCCATAGTCCAAATGGTCAAGGTTGTCTTGCGGTCTAATATCTCTATCGTGCAATGTACGTAATTTCCAAGGTTCTAATCAAATACCAGGAGACCTTGGGACCGAGCTTGAGAGGACTGCCCAAGGGAAACAAAAATTCTTCAATTTTAGTAACTGGAAAAGTACTATACTATACTAAATCTTACAGCACCATAAACTCTAAGGTATGAGGAGAACCCTTTATAATAGAGTCTACTGGATTCTCTCACTCTCCTCCAACAGCTCCTCAACCTTGAAGTTCTCCGTATCGCCCCGGGTAAACATACGGACGAGCTCACTCTTCCGGCCAGTAGCCTGACCATCAAAGTCATAGAATCTTTGCACACAGCTAACCAGCCACGTAGCCTCCGTGGTAGACACACCGCGGTCTGGCATGACCTGACCATGCATCAAAACCAAGCCCTTCTCATCTGCAAGGTCTAGATAATGTGTGATTGTAGTATGCGGTTGAGCGAAGGAACCGTGCATCTTGAATGCGCCGAGATTTGTGAAGATTATGGTGGAGGTGTGGTTGTTGACTGTTGCACCAGAGGTTGGAGCTGAACCCTCAGCGGCTGGGTGGAAGGCCCACTGCAGGAAGTGGATTTCGGCAGCAGCCTGTCCTGCTAGAGACTCGGCGCTCTGGTCTTCGATGGGCAGTTGGTTCTCGTCTAGCTGCCGGGGGAGCGGGAGGACAAACTGTGGGTTTTGGCGCGCTGCGGACAGGATCCGTTGGTATGTGTCTAGCGGGATTACTGCGGAGATTGACGTCGGGTTGTTTGCGTGTCGGAGACGCCAGAGGGCCTCGATTTCTTTGGCTGGGAGGTCGCGGAACTTGTCGACGTCTATGTATGAGCTTAACGGCTTGATGGGGCTGGAGCTACCGGAAACTTCGCGGGCAGCCTTGGCGACGGGAGATGGTGTCGGTGGTTGCGGAGGATGGAATGCAGGAGCTGTTCCTTTAATGCTCGATTCGATTACAGGAGCACTTGTAGGAGCACTTGGCTCGGGCGTGGCTATGGTGGATGCTTTGCGACGGAGGTCTTCGATCTTGTCGCTGTAGGCTTCCTTGAGTGATTCGACTGAATCATGACCCTCTCTAAAGAAGACGAGGAACTCGTCAGCTAAGTTTCATCTAGAACTTTTCTAATTACAGGTAAAGCTCACTGTTTTGCCTTTTGATCAAGTTTCGCCCGGTACTTGTCCATGATATACTTGGGGTCATGGTGAGAAGCAAGAAAGCGAACATCGTGCACCTGCGCCCAGCGCCGTTGCTGGTGTCGCAAGAGGTGTGACTGGCCCCGTAAGAGAGATTGGATTCCCTGGAGTCGGATTGAAGCCATATTGACAATGTGGCAGAAGTGTTAAAGGTAGTTATCCGAGAAGTCGGAGTCGCAAATAATATGGATTATATAATCGCGGGCCGACCTCGGGATGTTCCGAGAGCCAGTTGAGTTACATAACCGGCCCTTTTCATAAATTACCATTTTATTACGGACCCGCGCTAACGCGGGTCCCGCACCCAAATGAAAATATTTCAACTTTCCGACCTTCCATTACTAAATCAGTAACCACCATGCCTCTCAATAATAAGGACCACGAAACCCAAATTCTTGAAGCTGTCAGCGCGTTTAGCAGTGGAGTTTACCCTACAATCTCTGCAACCGCGCGAGCTTTTGGCGTTGATTATCAACGCCTTCGAAGACGCATCCAGGGGGGAAAATCATTATTTGAGAGACCACCAAATGGGCGTAGGCTTGATGAAGACCAGGAGAATGGTCTGAAGAACTGGATTGATTATCGTGATTCAATTGGGATGCCTCCAACGATTAAGCAACTTTATACTGCTGCTCAGAATATCTTGTTGGCTCTAAATCCTGATGCGAAGCCTTTAAGCCAATATTGGGTTCAACGGTTTCTAAAACGAAACCCTGCCTATAGAAAGAGACTCCAAAAAGCTCTTGATAGTGAACGCCAACAAACCTTTGATAAATCAACGATTCAAGGCTAGTTTACAAGCTATGAAAAGCTGATTGAAGATACTGGTATTAAAGCCTCTGATATTTATAACTTTGAGGAGACTAGATTCCAAATTGGGGTTGGAAAAGACCAATGGATCATTACGCAAGAGCCCCGGAAAAAGATTATCTCAGGGACGAACACAAATCGAGAATCTATTATTGTGGTTGAAGCTATCTTAACTGATGGTTTTAGTATTCCACCAATGGTTATCCTTACCGCAAAACAACTTCTCTTACGCTAGTTTAATAACCTAAATGATGATGATATATTTAAGCTATCTACTTCAGCCTTTAGATGGTAGTGTATTCAATATCTATAGACATTAGCATTTGGAAGTAATCGAAGACGTAACAGAATCTAGAATAACCAACATACTAAAGATGATTTCTTGGCTGCACTTTATTTTATTCAGAGTTAGTATCAATTGACACACCTACTACTATGCAACAAGAGGTTCTGATCTCTATCAAACAAGTATTGAAGGGATGTCATAATTGATACCAGCCATCAATGGATGAGACCAGAACCTGAGCCCTTAGCTTTCAAATATATGGATCAGTCGTAAGGTCTTTGGCTTTAGCTTTCGTTTACGTACTAAATCTTTCTATAGAAACCCATCTTCTTCCCAAAATTGTTTCGAGAGGACTACTTTGAAGGATAGAAGTCTGAATATCATCAAAAACTCTTACTTTCAGATGTTGCATTTTTGAATGACGCCTGGAAAATATATTCATTGAATGGGAAAGACCAGTGGGCATGAACTCGCAGTGGATAGTGGGCTAATATGAACACGTCAGTACCTATCTAGGTAATAGCAAAACAACTTAACGGCCGAAGAAGAGCTTTACCCTGGCCTTCATTTTAGACCAAACCCTCCGGAACAGAGAGATAATACCCATCACTGGAGCTGGCTTATACTCGGGCAATGGCCATGGAAAAGAGAAGTAAACGTTATGATTGCGATCAGGGTCTATGTTTCTTATATCCTCTGTTGTTCGGATGTCCGAATATGAAACCCGAAATGGAATCGGTGTCCGGGTATCGGGTGTTGTATGTGATGGAGTCCGCGGCCTTTGTGGGAGGGGTTTTCTCTTTGGAAATTTCTTGTAAGCTTTTCTGACCATTTTAATCAAGTTATGGTGAGCAATCCTTGGAGTATATGAAAGATTGACTTAGAGGTTCGCCATTGGTTTTATATAACAGAAAACACGCATTCGATATATGTTAAATTCTTTGTTCTAATGTTCTAAATACGGCTTCATTGTCTGTGTGGGTAGCGTTAAGGTCTCAATGCCCGAGAAGAAGAGGAGGATTCAACACGTCCTTGACAGGTTAAGATGGGATGAAAATAGAATGCCCATAATAGGTCAGCTTTGAAGGGCATTCATAATTCTTTGCGACTAAATAAGGATTTGGAAAGACATGAACAAAGGCTGCTTTTTTTCTTTCATCTAATCAGCTTTCCTACTTTGATTCGAAAAATTGGTATGGAGAAAGCATATGCTAGAGGTTGCCTTAGAACTGGCCAGCCTTACCAGCATTTGAATATCAAGGTTTCATAGTAGTATAAAAGTACTATTCCTTGTCCATTCAACTATATAAGTTGTGATATACGCGAATAGTAAGAATTATAGTGCATACATAAAATCAGGATTCTCACGATCAGTGAGGTCGAGAAATCTGTAAAACGGATCAGCAAATACTAAAGAATTAACTAGAAGTTGGAATTTTACAAACTTACTCTTGATTCTCCAGTCTCATGTATTCAGGTTGCGCTTGAAGGAGCAACTTGCGCTTATTCTCCTTCTGGTACCACCAGAAGATAAAGATCAGAATGCAAATACTGGCCGCCAGGCAAACAATAATGACAATCTCGGCAGGGATGTAACGGGGAGCATCCTTTGGACGAAAGGTTTGTGGGCCTGAGAACTCAGTTAGCTATATGGCACATGTCATACTTTTGTGTTCAGCATCAAGTTTCGACGTAACTCACCAATGATGTTTCCAACACAATACCCGATCAAGTAAATTGCAGCCACGGTCGTCTTCTTCGTATATCCAGCAACATTGGACGAGATCATAGCCAAAAGGGCGACAAAGCCAGTTGCATTAGCCCCGGTCATATAGAAGCCGATAAGTCGACCGACATTGTTCGATTGAGGCAAAGCCACAATCAAGATCATTCCCACAAGACCAGATACCAGACCTCCCAAACTGCTGAGGATACGATGGCCTGTGATGTGGCCTACATATCCATTCAACAAGAGTGAGATCACTTCCACTGCACCACTGGGCACACCCAAAATCAAGCTCTTCTGATTACTAAATCCAAAGCTAGTAATCTGAAGGAAACTTGTCAACAAATGATCAGTGAAAAAAATGTAGAAATACATACCAATTGACTAAAGAAGTTGCTAATACCACCATTGGGAATATCCGCAATAATAGCATAGAAGAAGAAAGCCCAAGTCATCGGGTCCAGAAGAGCCTCTTTGACCTGATAAATTTTGAAGTGCTTATTTCCGATTCCCTGCTGGTTGCTGCGTACGCGAACAACAGCCAATACACGATCTTCTTTGTTCAGCCATCGTGCATTCAGTTGGCTATCTGGCACAATCCATAAAAAGGTAAATCCTAACACAATGGTCAGCAGCCCTGTTACAAGGAATACAATCTTCCATGGCTCGATCGTCGTTCCGTATCTTGTGGTTCCGACGGCGATTCCGTAGGCGACGAAGCCGCCGAAAATCTGGCCTACGCCATTGAAGCTGAACCAAATATTGACGCGGCTGCCCTGTTCTTTCTTTGTGTACCACTGCATTGTCTTGTTAGTTCATATGCTAGAGTCAGATTGTCACTGATAAAATACCTGCGAAGTCATCAAGGCAAAGCCTGGTGTCACAGCAGATTCTAATACACCGAGGAAAAAGCGAATGGCAATTGCGCCAGAGTAGTTATTCACAGCTGCAAAGCAACTGAGGACAATACCCCACATTACAATACAGAAACCTGAGTACTTTCCGAGTGGCAACCTCTGTAGTAGGCGGTTGGTTGGGTATTCCCATGCAAGATATCCTATAAAGTAATCAGTCGAAAGTCAAGCATCATTACAGAACAGATAGAGATACCAAAGTAAAATAAGCTTCCTAGCCATTGATAATCGTCTTTGACCAGGTTAAGATCCTTTTTAATGCCCATAACACTTGCGTATGACAGGGTTGTTTCTGGAATGAGGTCAGTAGCACGAAACAAGATGAAAGAACCGTTTGAGGCTGGTTTCATACTATCGAGAAAATTCATGCCGTAGACGCAGCACATGATCGGCATCATATGCCAGTCGATTGTCCTTAGAAGGCGGCGATTTGTCGACTCGTCAAGCTCGATTGTTTCGCCATTGATGTTCTCAAAGGCGTTCATGGCCTCGTCGACATCATGCGCATGTTTCTCGATATTTGGATCGGCGCTCATTACTTTATAATCTATATCCACGGCTGAAGAGGCACCAACGGTCTTCTCTTCGTCTGCCATGATATGCTATAATATCCCGTTGTAACAAGGGGTGACCAGAATGTGGCGGATTGAAAGTGGCTTGTACAAAGTAGGCCAAAATTAATGAGAAACTATTTGTCAACTGGGGTGACACAACCGTAAATAGTGAAATATCGGCTTTCTACTCCGCATTTGCTTAGTGGGTTCAGGTGTTATCTCAACTGACAGTACAATTCCCTCCGACCACGCTGTGGGTCATAACATGATAAGCCCATGATGATCTACTGTTGATGATGTTGTTCGGAGGTTATTGCACGTTCATTGGTCGTTATGAGAGGGGTAGGGTTTGGAGAAGGTACTTTGGTGAGAATCTAGATATCGGAACTGCAGATCAATTTTCGATACCAAACTACATCTGACTCTTCCTCTTATCAGCCCCTCCTGATACTTCTGGGAGAATCGCTCCGAGATATCGGATGCGGTAGTTCATGTATGTCGCCATTCTTGTCTTATCTATCTCGTATGATGAGGTTTGATCTTATCAAATACTTACTTAAAACTAGTCATTACGGAATGAAGAATTCCAAAAGAAGTATATCTGCGGTGATAGCAATTTATACTCGCTTAGGCATAGTATTTACACGGGAACTGTCGGAGCCTGTCCGACATGTCTGATGCATGCAATGTGAATTTTGGATATATCTTCATTCTATACTTATTGACTGGCGCCTACACGTGCCAGATACGCTTCCCAGCCTTGCTGCTGGTATTGCTTGGCAGCCTCGACGGGGTCAGCACAGGCATAAATACCACGTCCAGCAATGATAAAGTCGGCACCGCGGCCGATAGCGGACTGCGGAGTCTGATACTGCTGTCCGAGCTTGTCGCCCTTGGAAGAAAGGTTCACACCAGTGGTGAAGACAACGAAGTCCTCGTTCTCAGCCGCGCTGACTGATGAGGGGACTTCGTTTAGTGACCGGGTCGACACAAAACCAAGCACAAAGTTCGGATATTTCCGCGCGTAGTCGACCGATGCGGAAGTGTAGGGACCCGTAGCCAATGAGCCCTTAGAGGTCATCTCGGCCAGAATCAACATACCTCGATCGCCGTGGGGGAAGTCACTGGCCTTGGTTGTTTCGGCAAGGGCCTGAACGATGCCCTCGCCTGGAAGAACGGCACAGTTGATGATATCAGCCCACTCTGAGATACGAAGAGCACCGCCGTGGTACTGCTTCTGGACCGTGTTGCCAATGTCGACGAACTTGCGGTCTTCGAATATGAGGAAGTTGTGCTTCTCAGCCAGCGCAGTCAAGCCATTGATGGTCTCGGGGCCGAAGTCAGGCAGGATATCGATGTGGGTCTTGATCACGGCGATGTAGGGACCGAGTCCTAAGATAATTAGGCGGCATGAGTCTCTTATTTGTGCTGGATGTCGGAGTAGCGTGTAGTCACTCACGATCGGCCAGTTCGAGAAGTTCCTTAGTAGTGGTGACATCGGCGGAAACAGTCACATTGCTCTTCTTGGCCTCGGCGACCTGGAAAAGTTTGCGGGCCAGAGGGTTAGGGTGGCTGCTGGCGCGAGCACCGTAAGTCAGTTTGGACTTGGACGACATCGTAGATTATGGTTGAATAAATTAAAGAAATCGATCTGTTTTACTTTCGTGGAACTTTTTTGGTGCGCCACAGTTTGGCACCAGCCACAATCCCCGCGGTGGCTGGTGTTGAAATTACCTCTCCTCTCCGACTCCCCGCGCAGCACTCGAGACCAACAAAGCGCGGGTTGGAACCAATTTTACCGCTTTCACCGTTATTTTCCACTCGGAATAATATGGCTGAAGTAGCGGATCAAGGCCCGATCGAGCCCCAGGCTCGGCATGTCGTGTATTGTGGTGGTAAGTTTTCATGTTCCATTTTAATAGGCTCTTCGAAGAGCTCTTTTGAGTGTATGCAATTGTTGCTGACAGCTTCTTTATAATATAGTGTGCACCTTGCCTCCAGAAGTATGTATCTCAGAAGAACCAAATCTCGATGCCCGCACTCAGGCGAAAGATCTATGCCTTTGACTAACACGGAGCAGTACTGCGAGTTTGGCGGAACCGCAAAGAAATGCGAGGAATGGTTGAAGGATGAATACGATGAGATTTGGGACCGTCTCTACTCTGACGGTAAGTTAGCAACCTCCCTTTAAAAAACTACAAAAGCTAATCACTTCTTACACAGATGTGTTGAACGCAAACATGGCCAGTCTCTCAGTATCTGCCCAGGAACGCGCAGCCAAGGACGCAGCAAAGAAGGAGGCTAAAGCAGCTCAGAACGAGGCTCGGGATGCCGAGCGCAAGGCCGCTTCGAAGATCATCATCAAGCGAGTTGAGCGCAACAAGCGCAAGCACGTTACCGTCATCAGCGGCCTGGAAGTATTTGGGCTCGAGAATAAGAAGCTCGCTAAAGAATTGGGCAAGAAGTTTGCGACTGGATCTTCGATGACCCGGTCACCGGCTGGTACCGAAGAAATCACTGTGCAAGGTGATGTCAGCGAGGAAGTTGAAGATTGGTTGTTGGAGGTGTATGGCAAGCAAGTGCCTGCTGCCAATATCGAGTTGGTGGAGGACAAGAAGAAGAAGGCAGCACCAACTGCCTAGGGATCTCTAACTTTGAACGAAGAAAATGAACCATTAAAGGAGAGGATTTTATCCCATGAACAATAATAAACTCTCTGAGTATTGAATGAAGCATATGTGAGACTGAGAGAAATTACAAATACCAGATTTCATAGATCGTTCAAGTATCAGAATCGGTCTCCTGATATCACATCTTCCAATTTTGGGGAGCGTTCCTCAAGTATCCAAGTGGTATATAGACCATGTCATATGTTGAAAGCCGAAATGTAATATTCATGAATATAGGTATCAAGTAAAAGATCTAATGACGCTAAAGAAAACAATGGTTTTGGAATCCCGAAAGGGATCTTTCTAATTAACTCCCTCTGTCTTTCCAGATGGAGTAGGCAAAGTAGCAGTCTGCTGAACCCTCTCAATATCACCTGCCTCACTCCCCTCGTAAATATCGGGAAGCTCATCCAACTCATCAGGAATAATAAGATTAAGAACAACACCCAGCAGTGCACAGACAGCGAATCCATTAGTCATGACCAGGTCAACAGCATCCAGCAATCCAATAAGCGAATGGTTGTTGCCGTCATATGTGAAGAAATTACTCCACCAAGAAGGCAAAAGGGTAATACCCATTCCAAGCGAGAAGCTAGCAGTAAGAACAAAGCGGTTGCGACGAGTGAAGTCGATTGTAGAGATGATGCGGATACCAGAGATGGCGACGCTGCTGAAGAGGAAGCTGGTCATACCGCCTAGCACGGCGCTGGGGATTGCGATGATGGCAGCGGCGAACTTGGAAAAAACACCCATAACGACAAGGAAAAAACAGCAACAGTAGCCTGCGTTGCGGTTTGCGCAGCGTGTCAGGGCGATGACGCCGTTGTTTTGCGCGAAGACGGACATCGGGCTGATTGTCATTAGGCCGGCTATGACGCCGATGAGACCGTTGCCGAGAATACCGCCTTGAATTCTGGAGTCGAATGTCGCTCCCTCGACCTGCAGTCTTGAGACATCGCATGTGGCGGTGATGTCACCCATGGACTCCATCATGATAACGATGTACAGGGCCATTAGCGGCAGGATGAGCGGTGGGTAGACATGCAATGGGAAAGTGTGGACCCAGGCGAAAGAAGCAACGGGTGCTGATTCGACACCTGATGATTCGAAGTAGTTGCATGCCGCAGCGACAATTGATCCAACCAGCAGTCCCACGATAACGGCGCAGCTCTTCAGGATTGGCGGGCCAAATCGCTCACATAGGATGATTGTCACGAAGACAAGGAAACCTAAGCCGATAAACTGGGGACTACCCCATGGCAAAGCGTGCGGTGCAGACGAATCGGGACACAATGCTCCTGAGCTCATACAGCCTGAGCCACCGGCCCAGTCCTCCATAGCAGATTGAGTGAGCGAAGCACCGATCAAAAGCACAGTAGGACCAGTGACGAGCGGAGGGAAGATGCGACGGAGAGCTTTACTGCTCATAAAGGAGAGACCGATCTCAAGCAGAGCACAAAGACACGAAGTTCCGAGGAGAGCTCCGTAGCCCTTTGGGCAGGGAAGTCTGTTTCCACTAGCGTCGAGGGGGCAATAGCCCGATTTATACATCTGACTAAAAGCAGAGGTTGCAACGGTGATTGTGGAGAAAGATGTGCCAACGACGGAAAGCAGACCGGTTCCAATATAATACTTTGTTCCTTTGATGTGGAATCTGTACATTTGGACCGCGCTCAGCAGGCCAGATACTATCAGGGAAGTCGATACAAGGTATTGATGGAGGTCTTCTGAGAGGTTAACACCTTCAGATCCACCTAGAATGAGTGGTGGTGAAATCACTTGTTCAAGTCAGCATTTATATTCGTATACCTAGGTACAGTATCCATGACTTACCGCCAGCCAACATTGCAAGTGCATGTTGCAAGCCCAGGATAAATGCTAATAGGATTGGCATGCTATCATTCAAGCCGAAGAAAGGTGCCACTTTGCGGGCTTGCTTGGTGAAAGGTAGCCTCGGAGTGAAAAGGTATGCATAGTCATAGTCGCCGATGAGACCTTCTTTGGTCGTCCATTTATTCTTGATGCGTCGAAGTTGATCTGTGAGAGTACGTTTCGGCCTATAATCAGGGCCAATTTGATCAGGACCGTCCATGGTTGAGTTCCAAGGTTGTGATGCTGTAAGGAAGTCCGAACTACACTAATGACAGAGTAGGAGGTTGACGACCATATATAGTTAAAGAATCTTTTAAAAAAGCAAGGAAGAGATACGAAGAAGGATCAAGCTAAAAAGGCAGGCTAACAAGATAAGATCAATTAGATGGTGATTTGGTTAAGTTCCAGAGCTTCGCCACTAATATTCACATTACCATAGCAGATCGAGTAAGTCCCGTAACAAAATGAATCATGTTGCATCCCATTAGCTATCTTATCTCAGTGGGCCTCGGCCAGTCAACCAATAAGCATCTAACTATTCACATAAGAGCCGAAAGAAGGAGATAAGCGTACCAGAAACATTTAGCCGAACTTTTCTACGACATTTATACTTTCTGATTGGTTGAATTGGGTGTTTGTGTAGGAGAGCTCGGGTTGACTATCGCCACAGGATTGTGACTTTGGCGGAGATGCCCGTCAAACGTGGAAGGCGCCGATGCCTTCTTCGGATGTGGAGTCCTCCATGCCGGGGAACGGAGTATGGAGTATAGGTGGACACAAGTATAGAATCCTTGAACCCCATATGAGGGGACCAAAGGACCTATATTCTCATAGATATCGAGATCTGAAGACTGAATCTTGACTAGTGAGTGGTACGATGTCCAATGGCAACACTAGCAGTTTTGATATTTACAGAGCAGTCAGTTTTTCCAAGCGCCTCCGATTTCGGTGATGTTCTGTCAACGACAATATATAAGTATTCCACCCAAAATCGGGGAGATCGATAATTAGGTAATGGTTATCCATCACGTGATATAATGCGGGGTAATACAGAAGAAGAATAGATTTAGTAATGTGTTTCTTAAAGAGCTGAAGGGTTTTGAATTCAATCTCAGCTTCATTGCAACCAATGAAGATCCAGCAGATCTCGGAGTAGTTTAATCAGTCTGGCCAGTGGCCAAGCATCAGCTTCGTTACTAGCACGCAAAGTGCGCTATTAGCATGAAGTTGAAGGACTCTACTAAGACGGCAACACTTAATCAGTATGATCCACACTGTAGCGAATGTCTTCTGGAAGGATCATCTTGAGTTTTGCAGGAGGTCAATTCCACATAAACGACCAAAAGAGCATATATTCTTTGGTATATACTTTAGCCCATTGTCCTTTCCATGTTTGATTTTGGGACAAGTTTGTCTATCTTCATGGATATTAAATGACTCGGGTGTGGCAGGCAAGAGTATCTTTGGCATTGAAAAAGCCCATGTGTATTTGAAGTGGTATTGAAGAAGGGTATCAGGATCTATTTTGAAAATTACAACCCATCCGCTAAGGATAGTACATGACACAGAGTGAGAATGAGGTGTGAGATAGAGAATGAAGTTAGATGAGATCAACATCAGCCAAGACTTTCACCAAGATGAGCATGTTCTTCGTGTAAATGTGGCCTGGTATCTTGGATCCCAGGCCCAGGATGGTGAACAACCCGAGTTTCAGTGACGAGTTCTTTAACAGCGGGCATTTTAAGATCTTCCTTGGCGGTCTTGGGAGATGGTTTCTCTTTGTGAGTGGATGCGACCTTGAGGAATACGATGATCATAACTTTGAAATCGTTAGTGGAATCAACGAACAGGGTCGGAAATATAATACTTACATGCACAACTTGCAATGGCTAGCGCAGCTCGCCTTGTGAGGATCCATCGTAGTCCTTCGATCTCGCTCTTGCTGTCACTGTTGAGGGATACAGTGATCTTGTAGTTCAATTCCTGCACTGATGTGTCTATAATGCGCTGTTGTTCGCGCGTGGACATCTTGTGGTCATTGAACATGGCCTTTATGTCATCCTTCATGGCAGCAGAATCCTGATTGAGGCGCTGCGAGAGAATATCCGTCTCATGTTCTAATTGGCCCCGTGAAGCACGCTGTCTTTGAATCTCCGAGTCACGGGCCGTCCGTAGCGACTGTTGGAGTTCTGAACATGCCGCTTTAAACAGATAAGACTCGTTCTCGTGATCAGACTTAGAAGTCAAGCTTTGCTTGGCAAAGTTGAGATTATCATATAGGATGCCCCGAACAGCTTTCATGATTGTGATAGATTGTTCTTCGGTAAAACCACCCTTTTCTAGATCGAGGACAAGAGAGTACGTATCAAAATGGTGCACATATGGAGTAGGTGACATTTGTGATAGTTTAGGATTTGGTGAATCACTTGAGGCCAGGCCGGTCGAAGGGGAAGGCATATGGTAAACTTGTTCGAAATCTTTTGAGCTGGTGTGTTGAGAGGTTCTGGCAATGCCCTCTCCCGGTTCTCTGGGCGTGGATGGACGGTTATTTTCGGTACTATCGCTCTCCGCAGTTTGCTCCGTAGACTCTTCCGGCTTAGTCGAGGAATTGTTCACCGAATTGGCAGCTGCTTGTTCCGATAGAGATGCAGCAGCAGCATCATCAATTTGATGATCCTGATCTAATTCAGACTTTGACTCAGGCGATTTCGGTTGTGTTTCCGCTTGAGCTTCCAGTTGGGGTTCCGACTGCGATTCCTCCGATGGGGAAGTTTCCCAAGTTATATTTTCTACCTCTTCATCTGTTGGAGCCCCATCTGGTATTTCGTTGGACGTGTTTTTTGTTGAGTTCTTGTGCGAAGTTACGTTTCGTTCGACAGCTGGCCCATAACGGCGGTGGTATGCTTGTTGCCCAAGTTGTCGGCTTGTATGTAGGTAAAAGCGATTGCGCGGGCTCGTTGGAGAAATATGACGACGATGTATTAGCCTATATGCCCTTAACACACGTGAGAGATTCGGATAGAGGAGTTGGAGCCTAGGTGCAGTCATGCTTGGGAGTTGGAGGGGAAAAAGACATTTCCCGCCGGTGAACTTGCCAGTGACGTTTACGGATCGATCCCCGCGGAAAGGGCGATTTGATTATGTCAGCGAACCCTCCATGACTTTACTAGCTCTCTGATTGGCAGACTGTCAAGCATAAATTAAAGGAAATTGGTTAGAGAATTTCATAGCGGAAGTGCGAGTTTAGTTGGTTTCTCATGGCTGGATACTTGGGCACGGCTCTAGAACTACAGTGCATATTTTGTGTGAATTCTGTCGCGCACAGGTTTGGGGATCAGCCTTATGGAATCGGGAAATCTGACCGAGTGTGATTCTGCTTATTCACCAAGAACTAACTAATACAAGCCAAACTAAAATAGGATCGGGCCCTTGACATCTTCTCCCAGTCACGGGGTTTCACGGGGTTATCACCAAATTCGTTATCAGAATGCAGCTGGCAGTAAGTTGCTCATCTGAAGGATCTGGCAGCTCTAGGTAGATCCCACGCTTTCTCAGCTCTGGAATAACAAATTCAATCAGGTCTTCAAAGATACCAGTAGACATGTGCATGGGTTGGGTATGGGTATGAATTTCGACCCATACCCACACCATGCACATGTCTAGATGGTTCAGGTATACAACGATGAAGGGGAAGCTGAAATTTCGACGTAATCACCCTATCTAGGTTCCTAGGTATCATAAAGGCTTATTATATCTATGACGAATCCTCAGGACTCTATATTAGTGGAATATTGTTTAAGCTGACGTATTTGTGACTTAGTTATCTGGTATGGGAAGTGTAAAGTGCCGACTTTTCATTCTTCAACTGATTTACTAGCGACTCCATTCTCAATATCCTCACTAGAAATCATCCCTTGCTTTAATATGGCTTTGAGTTTTCGACCCTGTATGAAGTCTCTAATAAGAGAAACTATCAAGAGACTCTCGAAGGTATAAAAGCGGTAGTCCGGACATTTATCTGCATTACAGAATAAAGGGCAGCCGTATTCGAAAAACAGAAAGAAAAGAACCAAATAAGGGATCGTTTTAACGAAGTATCTGTAAGCCAGTATATATTAGCTAGGCTGACATTCAAAAATAAACGAAGATTAATGGCCATACATTATACAAGTTTTCAAGAGCCAAATAGTTGTAGGAGTATCCGACTCATTGGCTGATGTATGTAGCGGAGCGGCAGCATAAGATGGGAATTTTGAGTCCGTATCGATCCAGAGTATTTCAGAAATGGACGGGAGAACTAATTCCAAGGTTCCAAGTAGATATACAAAGTAATTCGACTGAAATTCCCAGCGAATAAGGGCCTGAGATCATGAAGCGGCTTATGCTTAATTTAAAGGGTGGTGGTCAAGAAGATAAACAAAATTTTATAAGCAACTTATCTATGCCGTGCGTCTTCTACCACTAGTACATCTACGTTGGTCACTATTGGTTGAGTAGTGGTTAGCTGAAATCCACCTTAGTGACAGCTATTGCCGTTTGAGGGGCACTAAGGCAAGAACTCTAGCTTTAGATGGTTATTTATGGGGCTGTCTACTATTTAGGGGTTAGCGTAAGAGTTAGTGCTAATATAGGGCATATCTGCGCCATGATAGCTTCACAAAGTACTTGTAAGGTCAACAGGTAGTTGGAACCCCCAAATCATATACCTTAGCTTCAAGTTCCTTGGGTCATTTCGTACAACGAAGTGGTATGAGTAGCAGCAGCATAGGCTATCGATTGATACATATGGCCGAAGGTAACTATCAATATAACTGTTACTGGATGAATGCAGGAATTTGTACGCTGTAAAGATCCGATTGGTAAACAAGAAAACTTAACTAAGGGAGGGAAAACTGGGGACCGGGTGTTCTTATAGCTCGTTCGGCTCCGCACAGATGCCAGGAGCGCAGTCTCTCCAGAGACTGAGCATTTCATCGGGTATCAACCCGTTACAATAACTTCTTATGTTATAAAGGTCAATTTTATCCTACATATGGAGTCTCTCTTTCTTTCTCTCTCTCTCTCTCTCTCTCTCTCTCTCTGTCGGAACGTAGATATTGCAATCCTGCAACACCACAACCCGGAACGGAACAAACAGACCCCCGAGTCACGGAGGAATGACTATATTAGGAACTCGAGTAGCTAGATGAATCGAACACATTTCACACCACCTTGCATACCATATATACTAAGAATCTAGGACGAACCATACACTTTTCCAGTGTATATAGTGCAACGTGTGAACCCTGCCCTTTCAACGTAATTGATCGACAGTAGGTTTACTCAGTACACCTCCTCGTCCATAGTCACATCTACAAGAGTCAATTCTACCAATTACACATTATCAACTCCATATGCGGCTTTATATTTAGGAAGGGGAGAAAAATGTCAGACGTCTTAATATATCTGCTTCTCCAACTTTTCCTCTATCAATGATTATCTCTGATATTCCCTACTTCATCAATCATGAGCTACTTGGAAGAGTATGCTTCCTTTATAATATATTAAAGCATGTTGGATGTCAAAGGCGACCTCGGAATAAAGCTCTACTCGCTAAAAGCGTCAACCAATTTGGGCGAGGAAGTGGGAGAAACCTTACTCCTGATCTTCTTGTTGGGATGGATCGCTTCATGCACCAGCCCATTAAAGACCTCTGTCAACAGCTAAAAATGGATAAGAATATATATCAATTACATGTTCTCATCTCACATTTTAGTAGCCTAACACCATCCAGTCCATCTCCAAGGGTATCTCCAGTAGGGCTTTGATGACGGAGGCTCTATTTTTAGGCAACTTGATCGTACCAGCACTTCAAGATTCCAGAGCTTTCCAGAGCTCCAAGTCCAAACTGAAACCAAATCTTGTCAGGTGCTTGAGATTTTTATTATATTCTCAGTCTCAAAATTCCCTTCCAAGGTTTGAACCTCAGGAGATTGGAAAGTTCCAAGGTTGATATTTTGATGCCTGCGTACAGTTCATCAGCCCGGGAGTGGACCTTGGTGGAAACTTTGGAAGGTTATTTTCTTCAGGGCTGCCAACATTGGAAAGATCCCAGTTAACAATAGTTTTGATGTTCAGAGGTGATAACAAAATTGGGAATTTTTCAACATATGAGATTAGCATATACAGAGTAAAAGAAAGCTGAGATAGGTATATATGTATCCACGAAAAAAAAACATGCAATATATAGGTTAAAGTGACGCTAGTAAATACAGATCATCTCAATCGTTCCAACCTTCCAAAGCCGGAAATATGTGCGCTCAATATATGTCCAATATTATAAACTAATATTCTGAAACAGGTCGTGATCAGGTAGTATCCTCAGGAGTAGAAGGTTGGGTGTCAATCGATCGAGTGGGGAGATCACTGCTTCGGAAGCCTCGTCGAAGAAAACGTCGGACTTTGCGGCTGTGAAGGATTCAGCAAGGGAATTGAGTATATCGTTTATTCGTGGATACTCACGTCACGCGCTCCCAGACATTGGTCTCATCGTTGAAATGATGCCTAATAAGACCTTGTCAGTACATAATCTAAAAATCAAAAGTAACCTAGACAAATATAGACATACCCTGAGAAATCCTTATTGGTCAGTGCGGTGGGACCATACTCTTCCACAAGAAGGTCTGTATAGGCATAAGGAATTTTAACGGGCACCCCAACGAAACGACTCTCTCGAAGGGGGAAAATTTGGCTCTCCTGTGCGAAATTTAGAAACGAGAAACAAAAAAAAAAAGTCAGATACAATGGACCGCGCAGACATACAGTATAGTGGTGTTTGTCCTTGCATATCAGAGCCTGGGAGAACCCGTGCTCTCGCTTATAGTCATCTTTGCGCACGGCAGTGATATCGATGAAGAGCCCAGACGACGTATCGATCCACCTTCCATCAATGACATTCATACGATCTCTGATACTCTTCACGACGTAGTTGGGGTTGATTTCGAGGATATAGGTGCGGCTGCCTTCTTCGCCGATGTCGAATTTGTGTTCGGTCATGTTGTAGTAATCTGCTAGGAAGTGTATCGTTGTTTCTGAGATTTGTACATCGAGATCGCTGTCCCACGGAAAGATCTAGGGCTTGTTAGTTTGAGGTACTGGGTTGACTGGTAGTGTTAAGGGTACACACATCTTGGTTCCACCACCAGGAGAGGAGAGTTCCATGAATAATCCATGTTTCGGCGCCGATGGCAGACATTGTTTGTAGATATGTTCGGATCAAGGCTGTTAGGTGGGGCGGGACCTGTTCGACGGGCAGGGTCTCATTGGCAAATCTATGATTATTGGCGTTAGAAGGTTGAAATTTGGGAATAAGGGAGGGTCGCAAGATCATACCGGCCGTCATAATGATAATTGAAGCTGAGAATAGTGATGTTAGTTTGGTTTCTATATCTTTCGCAATGATATGACATACGATGATTCCCCTGAAAAAGAAGGTATACCAGTTAGCCTAGGATTAGCGACAGATGAAGTATATCTCACTCACTGAAGTATTTCTTGCTCGGTATCACGGCCTCACTTTCATATTCTGTTGGAAAAGTGGGTCGGATGTCCAGGAAATTAGTATGTTCCGATCGCTCTACAGGATTAATGATGTGGGCGGATAGAAGCCCGGAGAATCCCAACAGGCTCGCAATAGTGAAGCGCATCGCTGATTAATGATGCTATTTTATGTTGGACAACCAATATATAAGAACACCCGTTGGTGGTACGGGGGCCTCGGGGCCTTTTCGGGTAGAGATTGGATGGCGCGTATTAGGGGCAGTGAGAAATTTGGGATAGAATAGCGTAAGGAAGAGTATATACGCCTTGGCAGAACAAAGCTAGATGAGGGTATATAGGGGGAGAAGAGGGAGGAAGAAAAAGAGAAAAAGAGAAAAAGAGAAAAAGGATTTCATGCAAGTTGGATAATTCAATAGAGGGAGAAAAAAGCGAGGAAAAGTGTTTCAGACTTCTCGTGACCAGCTGCCAATTCCAGTATAAACTTGGGCTAATTTTCAAGGTACCGAGAACACAGCCTGAGCTCCTAAAAGGATACGTATGCGCCCATGCTAAACGCGTATGCCAATCTCCACTTCGATACCATCAAGAAAGATTACGAATTTCGTATTCTCAGTGGGGATTTCCGATTCTGCATAAACCTTGTCACACCGCCCCTGTGACCCACATCGTCATCTACTATTAGACTTATTATTGTACATAGTAAGGCTAGAAGAGTAATAGCACTATTTATATACTTTGTAGTATGTGCATTAAATATGTAAACAACTAACTAGTAACCACTTGGCCTAGAAGATGTCGCCTGTATAAAATTCCGAAGTTGGAACAGCTCAGAAAAAGGATTATCAATAAATAGTTCAGTAAATCAATTCACTTAGCAGTGACTAAGCAATTAGATACGTCATCTCAAACTCCCTTACCTTGACATTACAGTCAACCAAGGTTGAACATCATGGAAGCTGCATAGCGGACTACCCGAGTCATTCTGCAAGCCAAGCCTAACGCCCCGTGTCTCCACTAAATTTGAATGGAAGGGCTTACATGCAGATACTAAGTACATAGTACGTACTTTTTGAATCCTACGTATCAACACTTGGAACTTTCAGATTTCGACCCCGGAATTATGTCCATTTATATTATTTCATGTGATTATGATATTATCAAACTGGATTCAATCAATTGGTCCACTAGGTTGCGCTTATTCTATTATAGTTCATTCTACTTCCTTCAACTGCACGGCAATGACCTAATCTACGGCTCTATTGGGGGCTCAGAAGCAGCTAGATTGCACTGACGGAACAGTCTCACCTCATCAGGCTTAAACGCCCCGACGACAGAGTGCAAAACTCCCCTGTTATGGAACAGGACTAGGTCACCCTCCTGCCAGTCATGCGCATACACATACTCAGGGCTGATCGCTGGTCTTTGCAATTTGTAGACGATATCTCGCACTTTCTCCAGGTCGTCGATCACTGTACCGTCTTCTAGATGGATCTTGCGGATAGCAGATGGGTGAACTTGTAATGCCAAATTTCCAGTCAACGGGTTTTTCCAAAGCATTGGGAGGATCATAATCTTCTTCTCGTCGATGGGTGGTAAGTCTGACTCTGCCAGTTCAAGGCCTTCTGAATGGAGGCCAAGGCCGGTTGATCGGGAGTGTGCCGTACTCATCCAGATATACCTGCCCTAGTTGTGAGCACGCTATACATTCAGGTCAAGGGATTTCTGATATCTTACGGATGAGGCGCATATTCAACTTTGCTCGTTCGAACAAACTGCTGTTCTTCAGGGGATAGACGCTGGTACATTCGTTCGCCGCTCACAAAAGCCGTAGTGCCGAGTGGGACATCCATCGTCTCTCCAGTACCGTCATCATACAGCAACGTCTGACGACGGCCCTTGGGCACACTAACAGCCAAAAGGGTCGTAACCTTTGGCGGGTTAAGGTCATATAGAGCAGCATCAATATGCCAGCGATAGAAACGAGTGAAGTCATAGTCTTTGTCGTCAGGGATGTGGTCCTTGTGAAAAGTCCGGTGATGAGGATGTCTCAGTTGGATATTCTCTAGTCCTTCATATGAAGGCACGAATCCGTTTCCAATCACTTGTACTTGCTGTTGGTGAGGGATGGTCTTCAGGTCAGGATGCAGAATGCTGCGTTTTGCATCGATTGTCTTGCCGTGGCCATAGCTTTCTGATGCAGGGTCGAAACGCTTTGTAAGTTCATACTGTGCTTTAGGAGACAGCTTGTGTTGGTTCTTGAATACCACGACGTGGTGGCGGTATAGCGCATCGCTAATAGTGGAGAATTGCTCGTCTTAACGTCTATTAGTATTGTTTATAGGAGGGTGGTCTGTCTTTTACGAACCGTTTAGAGTCTCAAGATCCACACCTTCGATTTCTGCGCCGAAATCTATGGTGGAGCCTGGAGGAGGCTGGAGAGGACGGACAGTAGGAGTAAGTATAGCCATGTTTGTTCCGAGTGTTTAGGTTTATAAGGACTGCGGGTTATTTTTTGGTTTTGAGCTCGTTCGACGATCGAGGAGCTCTGGGAAATGATTATGGTTCACGGCGTATACCGAGAGAAAGAATATTTATTCTTGAGAAAGTTGTGCTTTAAGAGCAACGGTAGAACAAAGTTAACTAACTATCAAGCTTAGAAGTGCGGGCGAGTGCGGGCGAGTGCGGGTTAGTGCGGACGAGTGCGGGTGAGGGTGATTTATCAATTCTGATCACGTGCCTAGAATAATGAGGTATTAATCGACGAAATAGATGATTGATGTCTAGTAACTGAGTATTTACTCAACTGCATCACTATTGAAACGATATACGAATTGGAAGTCCCATGGAATAGGTCCACTCTGAGGATCTACGATTATATATCGTAGTGGATCATAGCGACCAGAGTTAAGAGGAACTTTACGGCAATAGGCTTCACTGGTTTATAACGGTGCCTAGTATGCTCAGTAAAGGGTGTATCACAGAATCAAAAGCAGTGGCGCTTAAATCAAGAGAAGAAAGGCTAGCAAGTTTCGGACTGGGGGCTAAAGAGACACCTGATAGCAGTACGATGGAGACGTATAAGAAGAAGCTCGGCCCGGACTATCCAGGCAAGTTCACCAGTATGGCCAACTTAGTGTTTACTCAAATAATTAGGCTGATATACCGACAAAATCAAACCATACGCCCTATTCTATTATTCCATGCTAATGTTCGAGCAAAGGCCTGCTTTGAAAACTTGCATTTTTCATAGTAAATGTACAAATCTCTAGGCCGATATACCGACTCTATGGATTTACTTAGACCTTGTCTAGTGAAACAGCAACAAATCTTAGGTCTCTCTCATCCTCGTACCAAGTCAAGTTCTACAATCAGCCCACTCAGATAGACATTCCACTCGACCTAGATATTCGAAGTCAACTCTGGAGTTCCAAGGTTGCTTCACATTCTTTACGTCTCACTTCTTTCTAAGACCTCGCCAACTTTTGTACCTAGGTACCATGTCTTTCTTTGCCTTATCGTGGTCTGTTCGGGTGTACGATGTGTTTCTCGACCCATACGTTCTTTCACTCTTGTTTTCGCGAATCCATCTACTTGTTAAGGTACAATAAGATACGACTTATTCCGAACGAAGCCCTTGTTTGGAAGGGTGCTGCAGAAGTAAATACCATGTTTAATTTCGAATATAGTCATATTGATGTCTCTACTTCTCTGGTCAATCATCGATAGCTCTCTACATACAAACTCCACTAGTGTGGTGGGGTAACTCTCATTTTAAGGTCACTCACAGTGTTTCCTTCTAATACAGAAACCTTAACTTGGAACCGACAAGTCACTGCGTCCTTCACCTTTCCATATTTCATCCATTTCGAAATTAGTCTTCCTGCACCAGTATGCAGCTCACAAATTTACCCAACGAGATTCTAGCAGAGATCGCCCATCACACTCTTCCACAGGGCTTTGAAAATTTCAAAGCTACATGCAAGCATACTCATGAAATATGTGCTCCACTTACGAAGCGGCATAACTATATGTGTGAACACGCCTATTTTTCCAGTAAGGGTCAGTCAGCTTTTACGTTGATAGATCGGATTACTGCTACGCCGATTTTGGGTCGTTATATTGAATACGCATACTTGCGGAAAGTTAGTCTACTTCGAGTTGGCCACGACGGGACTAGATTACCGGAAGACTACACAGAATCAGAGCAAGTGCTGATTAAAACACTTTTTGCTAAATCTTCCTTCTTGAAAGAAGTTGGTCTTGACTGGGAGAAATACTATGCCCAGATTTCATCGGAAATGTGCCATCATAGACTTGCCGTTCCAGAACGTAGATCATATGGCTATTCACAACATGCATTTATGTTTTTGTTGACTCTCCTACCAAATCTCAAAGTGCTGGAACTGCCCACGTTTTGGCACCCGACGACCTCCGATCAAAAACCCATCGAGACCATGGTTGATAGAGCTAGGCAGATTCATCCCCATCGTCAGCCTATTCTGTCCAATCTCTCTGATATCATATTCGAAGGGCTATCCGAATACATGAGCACCGCGCCATATAGCCTTCCAGATGATAAATTGGTTGATTTAGTATTGGTAACACCTTTTCTAGCTCTTCCGAATTTAAGACATTTCCGGTATTCCGACTGTATAGCTTATGACTATAGCCAATCAATATCGAAATATCTACCTGATGGCTTTGAATCCTCTCTTGAGTCGTTGCATTTGACAAACGCAAATGTCAGTGCCACGTCTATTTCACAAATTCTTAAACACACACCACACCTCAAGATCATGCATTATAATCATCGATATCACTCTTCTGATAGGCCTGAGTTTGGTCTCTGGCCGTTCATCCAGGCAGTTGAATCTGAGGTTGGAGCTCATTTGGAGGAGCTATCTTTATCTGTGGTAACTCTCGCTCTCCCTCTTCCCACCCCCAGATTTGGTGAGTGGAAGCAGCCAGCGAGATCACTATGCAATCTACATGGCTTCAAGAAACTGCAAAGGCTCGAATTGCCGCAGCAAATGCCCATCTACAAGAGTTACAATGAGTACGAATCTCGGATCATTGAAGAATCGATTCTTAGTGATATGGTTCCCCCTTCAGTATCCCGGCTATCTGTGCGAGGCAATCTGATGTTCGAAGAAGACGAAAAATTCTACAGAGCGAAAGTTGATATCATATTCGGTGATTTTGCGTCCCAAAAAGATCTCCATTTCTCTGCTCTTGAGGGGATAGCCCTTGTAGAAACTGTAAACAATCCGCGGACAATTCTCGATCTGGAGAAATTAGGGGTGAAGGTGTGGAAATTTCTTGATCATTTGTCCCCGATAAATTGGACTGAAGAAGAGCATTTTCGTGATGAGAACTGGTAGCCACTAAATCAAATGGTTTGCCAGGCTTAGGCTTTCATAGGTAAGCCTTGCCTAAAAGCTCCATATTAAGCTTTACATATGTTCATAGATTTATAAAGTGCATTCTTTCATCAAAGCTACTCAATCTCTTCCTCATGAAGTTTTAAGGAAATTTTCCCAGGTTTAGATGAAAACTATTCCTAGTAGTGAGGTTGAAGCTGAATTTATGGTCTTTGGCAAAGTGTTCGGTGCGAGACAAAATAAAGAGAAATACAAAGGATAATTGGTCAGTTAGGAATTCCAAGAGCCAGTCTCAAGTACTCACTAACGTCGATTTTAGGAGCGAGCGATAGTACTCAATTTTCCCAGTCGGCAGAAGGGGTCCTGGAAGTACGCCCTTAATCTTCCTACATTGTCGTCTCCACTCAAGAAGCTGATACTATTATATGTATATTGGAGCCTTAATCGTGAAGTAACACATGCAATGCTTCTATGATAAATACGGTGACCACGATCAGAGAGGTTGCTGCCATGATGATGTGAAGTCGCGTAAAGACTTTTAAATGGACGATATCTAGGTAATGAGAAAGATAGCCCTAATCTATTGATTAATTTATGGCGCTCCGATGTGGGAGTTTCGTCCTATTTTGCAAATTTCAAGGCCGCATAAATTGAAGTTTTATTGGGCTGCTGTGTTTTGAAATGATTTGCAAAATGAGTACTTGTGGTATAAATTGCAAGTAAAAACCAAGGAATTGATTATAGAAATCCGAGAAAACTAGAAATGATTCTGAGGCTGAGCTGTAACAATAAGTTAGCGGTAAGGAAATCAAAGACGTTGAGCGGATGTTGTCAACTGGCGAAGATGATTAATCCACACGTGACTCGAATTATCGGAGCTTCGGGAATGAGCATCTCTAACAACCTTGGAAACCGCCTTTTCTAGATCTGACTTGACGGCATTCAACCCGGTCATTCTCAATAATGGGTGCTGGCAATTCAAAGCCCCAGGCTACGGGCGACGCTAAACATGTGTTTTCCAGGTAATATACCCGCGATGTATCTACAACTACAAGGCAGGAACCGAGCCACCAGCCCGATCAATAGCAGGCAATTGACTGGTATATCCAGCGTGCCACATCTCAACAGGGCTCTCACTGTCATTGTTACAAAATATCTCTACTAACCCCAGTTTTCGCACAGTAACTCTCCGGTTCAGTTCTCTTCGAACCTAGTTGATGCCCTTCAATCCTCCGAGGTCCGTCCAGCAAAATCTTACCCCAACGAGTATCGAAATTGACCCAACCCTACAGACCGACTCCTCTCGTAGCAAGTCCATCGAGATCGAGATCCAAAAGCGCGTCACACAAGAGCTAGAGCGTCTCCGTGAGCGCGAGCAGCAAACCCTCGCTGAGATCGAGAAGCGTCTAGCCGATGCCAAAGATGTCAGCTCCCTGCCCATCACGGCCGCAACAGCCCCCGTCGCCACCTCTTCATCCGGCTACCTAGTCGGCTCCTTGAACCTCGATGCCCCTCGAATCCCCTTTGCCGGACGCGAACACGATGCGCCGCTGTTCGCTGAGCCCCAGGATGCGTCGGCCCAGCAGGTTGCTTTGAACCGCGAGGTCTCATCCGGCTCGGTCGTCAGCGAGATTGAGCAGCTGCGCGCTCGGCTGGACGGACGGAGAAAGTTGGTCGTTTTGGACGAGGATGTTGAGCGCGCGAAAGCGGACGTTACTGGTTGCCTGCGCTTGCATGATCGCCGGCCATTGAATTGCTGGAAGGAGGTTGAGGCTTTCAAGGCCGAGGTTGCTAAGTTGGAAGCTGCTTTTGTGGACCGCATTGTGGGTTAGATTTGTTGGAGATGAGTATGCGGTTGTGATATCAATTTATTTACCCTTTTCCACTCTGCTCCCGCTTGTTCCGTGCTGTACTGTATGTATAGATTGCGCTTTTTGTTCATGATTTTACTAAGGGTGGAATATACGCTCAGAGTACGCCTACTTAGTGAGCAGATTCATCATTGAACCTTACTTCCGAGCCCTGAAGGTCGTCTCACTCATATCTCAATAGATAATCTTTCGTTTGTGCAAAAGAAGACCTACTCTACGTATTTATACAAATAGGGTAAGTGATATGAATGAATAAGATAAGAGTAAGTAATGAAAACACCCATTCCTTCCAGATATTTTTCAAAGGTATTCATTCAGACAGATCGCCGACTGAAATGAAAATGAAACACGAAACGCCAGGGAAAATGCATGGAGGCCATCATGTCATAAGGCATACTCCTATGTTTTGCAAGGTTGGAGAACCTCTTTTTTCTTTTTCTTTTGCACTCTAGTTGGCGTTGCTAGGGTAGAGAACGCTGTAGGTGGGGATGAACTCCTCCTTTATAGAGCGCAGGCTCACGAAGCGAGACAATAAGTTGGCACTTCCAGCCTTGTCATTCGTGCCACTGGCGCGAGCACCACCGAAAGGCTGCTGGCCAACAACGGCACCGGTACTCTTGCAGTTGATGTAGAAGTTACCAGCAGCGTTGCGAAGAGCTTCATCGGCAACCTGAACGGCCTCACGATCCTGGGCGAACACAGATCCAGTTAAGGCGTAGGTGCTTGTGCTGTCGATCTTCTCACAGATCTTGGAAAAGTCGGCCTCGGTTGCATCGTTGTAAGAGTGGATGACGAGAATGGGTCCGAACAGCTCACGGGACAGAAGAGGGTGGTCGGGGTTCGAGGTGCGGTACACGGTAGGGTGGATGTACCAACCCTTACTTGAGTCGTACTTGCCTCCGACAAGCAGCTCCAGCTCAGGGTCGTTCTTAGCTGCGTCAATCACACCAGCCAACTTGTCGAAGGAGCCCTTGTGAATGACTGGGCCGCAAAAGTTGGTGAATTCTGATGGTTCACCGGTCTTGATTTCCTTGACCTCGGCAGCCAGTTGGGTTGCGAATTCATCCGCGATGGAAGATGCCACATAGACACGGGAAGTGGCACTGCATTTCTGACCTTGGAACTCAAAGGCACCACGAACAGTCTGTACCACCGCATTGCGAATATCCGCCGATTTGTGAATCAAGTGGAAGTTCTTGCCACCGGTCTCGCCGACAATGCGAGGGTAGCTGCGGTATTTACCAGCTGCCACACCTTCGGAAATCTTGCCGTAGAGCATGCGGAACACATCTGTGCTACCAGTGAAGTGGAGAGCGGCAAATTCACGGTGAGCCAGGACGGTGCTGGTAACCTCCTCTGCATCACCGGGAACAAATTGAATGACATTCTTTGGGAGGCCAGCCTCGAGGAGAATCTGGTGAATAAGCCAGTTGGAGGCGACTGCAGCCTCCGAAGGCTTCCACAGTACCACGTTACCCATCAGAGCAGGTGCACCGGCCAAGTTACCACCAATGGCAGTAAAGTTGAAAGGACTGATAGCGTACACAAAGCCCTCGAGAGGACGGTATTCAAGACGGCTGCAAAATTAATAGTCAGTACAACAGGTTACAAAAGGCAGTAAAATCAGCACCACATACTTCCAGACACCAGGAGAATGGTGAACAGGCTGCTGAGCATAAAGCTCTTCAGCATACTTGACACCGAAGCGGAAGAAATCAGCCAACTCCGCAGCGGAGTCGATCTCGGCCTGCCAGGCGTTTTTACCCTGACCATCCATAGTCAATGCCATGATGTCATAACGATACTTGGTAGCAATCAAGTCAGCAGCCTTGAGAAAGATGCTCGCACGCTCAGAAAAAGGAGTTGCAGCCCATGACTTTCGTGCGGCGAGAGCAGAGTCAATGGCATCGGAAACATCAGCCTTGGATGCGTGGGAGTAGGTGGCAACGGGAGCGTGGGACGCAGGATTGCTCTGAGTGAGGATTTTAGAGCTTTTGATCTAGTCATGGGAATTCATATCAGTAATCGATCCGAAGACTCGACCAGGAATAAGTAATACCTGGTTTCCAGCAATGACCAGCGGGACAGACAAAGGCCCATTCTGTTTAAGCTTGGCCAAAGCTTCTTCCAGAGCCTTACGGTCTGGAGAACCGGGGACGTAATGTTTCTAGTAATTTTGTTTAGCTCTAATTGGTAAAAAGAAAGCAAAAGACATATTCTGTGACCTCGTACATTTGGTTCGTTGTTAATCTGAGGCACTTTAAAGGTCGCATATGTGCCGATGGAGCGTGCGGGGATGCGACAGGCCAACGCCCGCGATACAGACTGTCTAGCGCGAATAGACTGCATTTTGAGCATATGAGCTGGGTCTAGTATGGTGAATTGAAAGATAGCTCAACCTTGGAGCAATGTAATTGGAACTAAGAAATAATTCAAGAAGGTGAGTGAAGGTAATAAATGGAGAGCTGAAGCTTATCGATAAGCCGGCCCGGGACAGTTCCCGGGGATGATAAGAGATATTACTCCACAACCTCGGGGTTTTTACACAATCAGCAATTGAAAGATAAGTATAGAATTAAGTATAGAATAGAGCATATAATTAAGCATGGAACGGAACATAGAATACAGCGAGGAAATGAGCATGAAACTAAACACAGGATAGAGAATAGAACTCAGCATGGAATTAAGTATAGAGTTATGATTCTATTGGCCGCCTCCACAGTGGCCCCCGGAGGAGCGGCATTTTAAAAATGCTAGAGGGCTCAACAACCTAAAGCACTATAGCCTGATATGTGCAAATGACTGGTATTCTATGTAAACATTGAATGATATGACATCGACTCAATTCTTTATGATAGTTGATTTTCAGCACTAGATGCAGCCGCTTCTTGGGCTTCAAGATCCCGTTTCCGGAAATAAGCATCCCTAGCCTCTTTCTTCGCTCTAGACTTAAGAACCCCCTTATGTTTGTACCCATTTATATGGGTATTCCACGTATCCTCACCAACCATAGTCTTTCTGCAAATATCACACGTAAAAGTCTCAAGCTGCGACACCGGTTTCTCGCGCGTCTGCTCTTCTTTGGCACCAAGGATAGTACTCGCAAGATCCGAGATAGTTTTTGGATGAGGTATTGACTCGCCCTGAAGAAATGACTCAACCAACCTTTCAGATGGCTCGCCAACACGTTTAGTCCATTCATCCACATCGCTGCTATCGAGGAGATAGAGACGATGTGTCATGTCTGCTTCAGAGAGAGCTCGCCATAGTTTATTTTTAATCCACTTGACCTGCGATACGCCGTACTGGTGGTTCGCAATCCGAATCAGGTCGAAGCAATTGAGTTGGATTTTCGTCAGCTCCTGACTCGATTCACCTTTTTCCAGCGCTGTGAAGTACGGTGCCATTTCTTTGAACCCGATCGAGACCCATACGCCACGGGTCTGATCAACTTCAACTCCCTGTGCCGCTCGAGTCTGGATGTAGTCGGACATCTTCTGCGCCTCGGACATCAACCCTTGCTGGACCATAGCGTCGACACGCGTATCAAGTCGTTTATCGAGAACTTCCTTTTCGGTATGGACCCAAAAGAGCAAAGTGTTACTGAACCGCAAAAGTCCTCGATCCTGCAAAAGAGACACTTTTTTCAACGCCTTCTGCTCAGCGTAGATGTCAGAGGCTCGCTGTCCCGTTTGGAAGTAGATCTCTAATGACCGGCGGATTTTCCGCACATCCTTAGGATGCCACCGCGCCGCCATGACAGGATCAACTTCCCGTAGCTTTTCCATCAATACTTCCGGTGGCGCATCTAGAATCGGCCATTTCTCCGCTGTTACCGATACCTCTTCATACAGCTCTGATCCATCCTCGTCGCCCACCTTTTCATTCACGAGTTGGTCGCGGAACAGAACAGCCTGTGTATAGTAATGTGTGCCGCCGACAAGAATAGGCAGTTTCCCGCGAGAACGAATCTCGTCAATGAGCCGTAGGGCTTCATTTTTGAATTTGCTGATGCGCCACGGCTCTGAGTCTAGTTCGATGAAGCTTAGTAGGTGGTGCGGGATGCCTTTGCGTTCTTCAATGGGGATTTGGTTCGTGATTACTGGGAGGCCGCGGTACATTTGCATTGCGTCTCCGTTGATTATTTCGCCGTTGAATCGGGAGGCTATATCTACTGCGAGCTATCTGGAGCTATTAGCTTTCGTTCGCATGGTCGGGGGATAGGGCGATCAACCTTCGACTTGCCGGTGCCTGTGGCACCGAGGACTACTATCAGGGGATCCATGGCTCTTTTTCTTTGGTAGAATATGGATCGGAGGGTTTGGAGCATGACAAGTGTATTGCTCGTTGGTGGGGGAATCAAGGAAAAAGTTGTGATCGTTATCGTGTAGCTTATCGAGATCGGACTTACGCCGAAAGTATGGAGTAAAAGAAAGCAGAACTACAGAAGCATTGAATCGTGAAATTATCTTATTTTTAATTTATATCGTCATTGAACCTGTATGGATGTATCTAGTTTATCTAGACCATTTTTTGAAAAATAAAAAACATCCCTCATAGTAACCCGAAAAAGACAAAACCCGCTCATTAAACTCGATCAAATACAAATGTCAGAAAAACTGCCTGGACTTAAAGGTTGATAATCTTCTCGAGGCTCTCGAGCAGGATATCGGCGTGGTGCTTCTGGAAGACCAGCATGGGGCGCAGGCGCACAGCGCTGGCACCGCTACCACCGATGTTGAGACCGACGGACTTCGCCTTCACGACGAACTCGTCACGCTTGGGGGTGTCCCAGGCAATGAATGTACCTTGGCCCTTACCACGCAGGTTCTGGAAGTGTGTAGGGTACTTCTGGGCGAGGCGCTCAAGACCGGCGTACAGGTAGGCACCGGTGGTGGCAGTGTGCTCAACAAGATTAAGACGCTCAACCTCCTCGATGATACCGCGGAAGATCAGAGCACGGGACGGGTCACCCATCCAGGTGTTGAACTGGCGGTAAGGCTTGTTGGGGCGCAGGGCAGAGTTACCGTAGTAGTAACCGGCAGTCTGGGCCTTCTTGGAGAAGGTGACCATATCGGGGGGAGAGGTGAGGTTCCAGTGGTCGTGGGCCCAGAACTTTCCGGTCGCACCGACACCAGTCTGCACCTCGTCAACGATGAAGAGTACATTGGTGCGCTTGGTGATATCACGCAGGCCCTGGAAGAATGCGGGGGAGGCGTGGTTGTCACCACCCTCAGACTGGATGGGCTCGACAATGACGGCGGCAACGGGGTTGTGGAACTCCTTGATGAGCCTCTCGACCTCCTCCAAGCAGCGCTTTTCCTCGGCGGCGTTCTCCTGGACGTGCTCCTCCAGAGGGTACTTCAGCTGGGGGAAGGTGGCCTGGGGCCAATCAAAAGAGGGGATGTCCAGCTTGTGAATAGGCTTGCTGCGAGTGGTAGAAAGGGAGCCGAACAGGCGGCCGTGGAAGGCAGATTTGAAGGACAGGATAGAGAGCTGGGGAGATCCGGGGGACTTGTTCTCCATGGTGGACTTAAGCTCCTCCTCGGTGAACTCGACATCGGGACCACCACGCTGCTGCTGGCGGTAGTACATGAAAGCAGCCTTGTAGGCGGTCTCGTTGGCGTCAGAACCGGCCATGGCGGTGAATACCTGGTTCAGGCCCTTGGGCGCGGCCTTTAAAATACCGGTCTTCAGGATATGCGACCAGTCAGCAGAGGGGAAGTTACCCAGAGCAGGGCGGTTGATCAAGCTGGTGACCATCTCCGGGGAGGCCGCGACCTCCTTGAGGTGGGGGTTGTTGTAGCCAACGGGGATGGAGGCGATCTGAGCATACACATCGAGTAATTGGTTACCATCAAGATCAACAATGTAGTTACCAATGGAATTGGTGTAGTCGGCCAGCAAATTTAAACTGCGGACATCGAATACTTCATTGAGCTCAGCAGCAGCGGCCTTGTTCTTGGGACCAGGGATGGCGGTCAAGAGTGAGGGGGCAGATGGCTCATTGGGGAAGAAAGGCTTCTCAGCTGCTCGGAGACGAGCGGTGGTGGAGAGAGCACGGAAAGCAGGCACACGAGTAGCAGTGCGCAGCTTGGTGCTGCAACGAAGAGCGGAGGCCATTGAAATATCTTATGTGTAGATACGTCAAGGACAAGTTGGGGTCAATCGAGATAAGGTCAATCGAGATAAGGTGCGGGGAAGGATGGGAGCAAAAGTTCAATCCGGTTCAGAGGCCGAATCCTTCCAATACAAGAATAGTAGGAATCGAAGAGATGAAGGATAAAGAAAAGTAGCACGAATAGTGGTGGGACAGTAGAATTTATATCAATTGTGTACTTATCTTTAGTTGCAATGAAGAGCCTCTGTAGATTGGACTTCGGCAGTTTGAGCCAATCAAGTGTCTCAGAGAGAATCAAAACGCCGAACTTAAGTCATTGACGAATGAAGAAAGTCCATCCCCGCGAGTCGGCTTCTGTTAACTATTTCAATTCTGACCAACAAGATCGATCTTGCTTTCCTGAACTAGAGATCTCATTACGAAATGCAATTTCAGCATATTTTCCAGTGCGCAACTCCGTAAACACATGATGATCCGACGATAGGCGGCGAAATGACCGAAATCTACCGCAATTAGAACATACGATCCTACTCACATCCACAATTGAACTGCCTCATGCGTACACCTTAGAACCATGATAACCATCAGATTTCAGTGGAATATAAGGTTGTCAGTCTCAATTTTACATTGTAGCGTTATGTGAATAGAAATGATGTCTGGAGCTCTTGGTATAAATGACAAGCTTAATTCCCTATACTTGGAGTTCTGCATAAGACCTTGGAATATTAAATCCTGAGCTGAGAAGTGCCCTCCAGAATTCTGACGTTCATCAGCGTAGCTTATTCAACAGAAGATTATTGACCATAAATGAAACTTGCAAGGTTTGGAGCCTTGGAAGTGGATTTGTTTGATTCTGGGTCCGGGAGTATACATTTATAGTTGTGCTTGGGCACCATCAGCCGTCGACTGACATATAAAGGTTTTTGATTTTAATTTAATAGCTATGTATTTGGTTATCGGCGGAGATTTGAGGTTAGAAGAAGGTTTCCCATACTTGATGAGCATCTTCGTCGATAATTAGCTATCTCCGTTAGCTGAATTGGGATTCAGAATGATATCTAATAACTTAGAATTTTAATAGCTTATGAAGAACATCGCTCAGACTTGGATCTGAGGCTACTTCTCACCAAGCACGAGTGTCTATCACCGAATGGAAGTCTCATCTTCTTCTCTTCTTCGGCGAACAAGATCAAGGACGAGCTCCATGTGTCCTAAGTACATTTTTCATAGGCGAAAGTAACACTGATGAAGGCATTTTGGCCCTCCTCTGTTTTCCTTTCAGTTAAAACCGAAGTTCGGTGTATTCTTATTAACCGGAATCGACAATCCCTCAGGATCTGGGTTGATAGCGTATATCCGAAGATTCAACGCAGTACTAAGTTAGTGCTTCAGGCTCCAATATCGGTATAGAGATCGATCCACAGGACAGGCTGAGATTGTACAAGATACACCGAACGGTGAGGTCAGAATTGTCTATGAGAAAGTTCTCCGTGACACGAATGGCGATGAAAGAAGCCCCAATGTTAGCCCCCAATGTTAGCTTTCAGGTGGTCCATATGTCAGTCTACAGAGCTGTAGGGGGCAGTAAGATAGACAAGGTGATAAGAAAAAGAAAGACTGTTACTCATAAATATGAATAGCGATGAGGGGGATGGCGAGAAACGGGTCGTGAGACAGTACGTGACGGCAAGGCGAGTGACCAGGTTACAACTTACAAGATTGCATATGTCCAACATCGAGAGGACAAACACTCCACATTCAAGAGTTCTAGGTTGGACCCAATATATAGATACGTCCATGCCTGGGTCTTACTGAGTTATTATACTACTACGTAGTTACCTAGGTATTTACACTTCATTATTTATGCGAATTCTTGTTAGTGGGCTCCCGGGGTTGCATAAGAGCACAGTGGACCATTAAGCATAGACTAGAAAGTAGATTTATTAGTCAAAATATCTTTGGTCTTTCACACATCAACTTCGTTGAACCCTTACTTTATTTCCAGTTTCAAATCTTCACTTACATGTATGCTCACATGATCGTGGTCTATTTTCAACTTGCACGAAGAGGGTGGAATCGAACGAACAAATTAGATAATTTATATTCAGATATGTGTGTGTGTCATCATGTAATACCTTTACTGCAGTAACTACTGCAGTAAAGGAGAGTTAGTTAACGTGAATCCTGCTTGTTCGGAACGCCCTTTCAAAAAACGTACAAGTTCAAAGTCATATTTGAGATCAAAACACAATAAAACTGACCAAATAACACGATATTGATCTTATACCATACTTTATCACACTTAGAGCAGGTTGGCTGGCGCCTAATTTTAGGAATTTTAGGTAAATCAGTTTCAGTGGACACATTCTGAGCAGCTTCACCATCAGAAATATATATCACTTCACCAGCATTCTCACTACCAATATTGTTCTGAATCTTTTCTAAACTCCCTAGACTACACTTGTGAATTACTGCGGCACCATAAAACTTCTTCAAAGGAGAAAAACAGCCTATATCCAAAGGCTATCAAAGATATGAATCATGCGGTAGCATATGAAGTGCGATAATATCGTTTTCTCCATAAAGTTGATCGAATTCAGAGGTATAGTGGCGACCATGACCATCTAATATCAAAAGACAAAAATTACCTCTTCGATTCATAATATTAGGAATAAAGTATATCTTTGGCCAACCGACACCAACCTCATCGCTAGTCCATCCATTTAAGCTAAAATTGATTCGCCATTTACCCTCCTTAGGGAGCTTATGAAACTACCGTTCCAAAAAACTCCTTCCCTTCAAAGATGATGTAGGGTGGAAGAGCTTCTCCAGAAGACCTTATAGCTTCAATAACAGGACCCATTCGCGATCCCCAGGCTGTAAAACAGCTCTCCAACCATGATATTCAGAAGATGTAATGACTTTTTGGTCGTACTTACTCCCATCGCGAAGCCAGATTCGTTAAAGTTGAAGATGTCGTACAAATCTATACCATATTCTTGGATAGTGTTTTGAACTAGTTTAAACCATGTTACAATGATTCTAGGGTCTTGAGCTTCAGCTCTCCTAGAATCATGTTTTTAAGAGAGCCGTAAAGACAGGTTTTCGCGACACTCAAGAAAGCCTGTTAGTTTTTGCTGATAGAAGGGGGTATCGGAGGTGGTTGAAAAACGCGACCGGAGTAAGAAATTGGCCATATCTCTGAACATAGCGGGGCAAGAGCTGCACCTCTCTTCTCTATAGAGACTAGCCAATTCTCTCCATGAATTCTTTTTCAATCTCATCAAACTTAAGGCGAGAATGACGTTTTTCAGCCCAACTTTCAATACCATTCATTCGCGAATGCAGAGTTGTCTTTGGTACATCAAATGATCGCGCAGCGGCTGATAGAGAAGAATATTGCCCATCTTCTATAGCTTGAATGGCTAAGAAGATACGCCCCTCCTGCTCTATTAATTTCTGTCGTTTTTTAGAGCGAACAAGCGGGATTCACGTTACGGCAGATGACGAAGAAATATTACTAATACAGACTAACTAAAACAGGAATTGGCCCTTTGACATGTATTGATAGGGCTATGAAATGTAATTCCCTATATCCGATTATTTTCTCCTGAGGGGCTCCATTAGCTAATTATAAGGGCAAATCTCTGATTTTTGAAATGTGTGCAAAGTTATCCTCCTTGTCTGGCCTGACATTACATCGCCAACCATGGAGGGCTTATCCGAAAAACCCAACTATCCTGGGCTGAATGGAAGTGCCGAAACTATCGTCGAAACATTTCAATGTGGCCCTCGGACTCCTGAGACCCCCAATGAAAAGACTCCCAATGACAAGCTTAATGGAGACGACCCGGAACTTGGAGATTGGGCGTTCGGCTCAAGAGTGAAGCAACTGAAAGAGAGAGAGCTTTCCGCTGGACTGACAAATCGTGAACTTGGTGTAAGCTGGAGGAACCTCAATGTCTCGGTTCCCGAAGCCGACTCGGCCATTAATCACAATGCCATCTCCCAATTTGATCTCTTGCACCATTTTCAAGCTTTCCGCCATAAGCCTGCTCAGAAGAAAATTCTTGTTAACAGTCATGGTTGTGTGAAGCCTGGTGAGATGCTTTTGGTTCTGGGACGTCCCGGCTCAGGATGTACCACTTTGTTGAAGCTTCTTGCGAACCGTCGCGGTGCCTATAACATAGAAGCAGATATTCGCTTTGGGACAATGGATCATAAAGAAGCAGAAGCATACAAAGGCCAGATCGTGATGAATACCGAGGAAGAAATCTTCTTCCCTACCCTCACGGTTGGCAACACCATGGATTTCGCGACAAAGAATAAAGTTCCGCTTCACAGGCCAACAGATCTACCCTCTGCCAAAGAATATCGTGAAGATTTCAAGGACTTTCTCCTTGAGTCTCTGGGCATTTCTCACACAGCCAACACGAAGATTGGTAACGAGTACGTCCGCGGTGTCTCTGGCGGCGAGCGGAAGCGCGTTTCAATCATCGAATGTATGACAACTCGCGGTTCGGTTTTCTGTTGGGATAACAGTACGCGTGGTTTAGACGCAAGCTCGGCACTCGATTGGGCCAAATTTATTCGAACCCTTACCGATGTTCTGGGATTGGCCAGTATCGTCACCCTTTACCAGGCCGGAAATGGAATTTATGACTTGTTTGATAAGGTGAGCTTTTCCCAGACTTCTTCAGCTGGAATTATGAAATCAAACTGACTCGAAAAACTTGAAAGGTCTTGGTCCTGGATGAAGGTGAAGAGATTTACTATGGTCTTATGTCTGAAGCAAGACCGTTTCTCGAAGCGAATGGCTTTGTTTGCCGTGAAGGAGCAAATGTGGCAGACTACCTCACTGGTGTTACAGTGCCTACTGAACGCGAGATCAAACCCGGCTATGAAAACTCCTTCCCTCGCACAGCCCGTGATATTCGCTCATCTTATGAAGCCACTCCTATCTTTCAACAAATGATTCGCGAAGAGGAGGAGTATCCGAAGACAGCTGCAGAACGCACTCAAGCATTCAAAGAAACTGTCACTATGGAGAAACAGAAAATCTTTGGCAGAGAAAGCGTCTTTACTATCAGTCTTTACCAGCAGATTCTGGCATGCATAGTTCGTCAGTATCAGATCCTTAAGGGTGACAAAGCTACGTTTGCCATTCAACGCTCATTCAATCGCTTTGTGTTGGTTCTCTATTCTACAATGCTTCGGAGGAAAGCTCTGGTATCTTCCTCAAGTCTGGTTCCCTTTTCTTTACTATTCTCTACAACGGTATCTTAACACCTCTTGCCGAAGTTGTCGCATCCTTTACTGGTCGCCCAGTGCTTGTGAAACATAAGCACTTTGCATTTTTTCACCCTGTCGCCTTCTGCATCTCACAGATCGTTCTTGATATCCCCGTTTATCTCTTTCAGATCTCTTATTTCTCGTTGGTTCTGTGTTTCATGACAGGACTTCAGATGACTGCTTCAGCTTTCTTTACTTATTGGATCCATCTTTTCGGCGTTACTCTCTGCTTGGTGGAGATGTTTCGTGGAATTGGAGCTGTCTTTTCGACCTTTGATGGCGCCTCTAAAATTTCCGGTTTCCTTATCACAGCCCTCGTCGTGTATGCAGGCTACATGATTGAGCGACCATCAATGCATATATGGTTTGGCTGGATCTTCTATGTTAACCCAATTGCCTATGCCTTCGAAGCACTTGCTACCAACGAATTCCATGGCAAAATAATTAATTGTGCCGGCGCAAATTTGGTTCCGTCAGGTAGTAGTTACATCAACATCAATTCTACTTACCAGGCGTGTACTGGCGTTCCTAGCGCTGTTACAGGTGCTACCTTTGTTACTGGTGATCAGTATCTCGCTGCTATGAATTATTCGCATACTCATATCTGGAGAAACTTCGGATTCTACTGGGTATTCTGGGCTTTCAATGTTTTCGTCACTGTTATGGCTACTATGATGTGGAGCGATAGCTCGGAATCCGGACCCTCGATGCTTATCCCTTACAAGAAGCGACACTATCACGCGAAAGTCAACGATGAAGAGTCACAAAATACCGATCAGGGCGCGACTAAATCCACTTCATCTGATGAAAATGACGAAGAGACTGGGAATTTGGCACGTAACTCATCGGTTTTCATATAGAAAGATTTGACTTACACTATGAAAACTCCTACTGGAGATCGAGTCCTACTTGACAAGGTTTATGGCTGGGTTGAACCAGGCTCACTCACTGCTTTGATGGGTTCTAGTGGTGCAGGAAAAACTACCTTGCTCGATATTCTTGCTCAACGAAAAACTGAAGGCACGATCAATGGAAGTATCATGGTCGACGGTCGTCCGCTTCCTATCTCGTTCCAAAGGTCCTCTGGGTACTGTGAACAACTCAATGTACATGAACCGTTTGCTACTGTCAGGGAGGCTCTTGAGTTTTCGGCTCTACTCAGACAGCCAAAAGAGCTTTCTAGAGAAGAGAAGCTTGCCTACGTCGACGTCATTATCAATCTCCTGGAGCTACATGACATCAAGGACACACTGATTGGTCAAGTTGGTGCAGGACTTAGCATTGAACAGAGAAAACGAGTCACCATTGGTGTGGAATTAGTGTCAAAGCCCAAGATCCTGATCTTCCTCGACGAGCCCACCTCTGGTCTAGATAGCCAGGCTGCATTCAATACCGTTCGATTCCTACGCAAGCTTGCTGATCATGGACAAGCGGTGTTGGTTACTATTCACCAGCCCTCTGCGCAGCTCTTTTCGCAATTCGATAACCTCCTACTTCTCGCGAAGGGTGGTAAAATGGTGTATCTTGGAGAGATCGGCGAGGACGGCTCTCGCATCAAAGAGTATTTTGGAAACCTTGGAGCGCCGTGCCCTCCAGGAACTAACCCCGCTGAGTATATGATTGATGTTGTTTCTGGCAATATCGTACCTGGCGTCGAATGGCATCAGAAGTGGTTGGAATCATCACAGCATCAATATATGGTTTCTCATCTCGATCAGATCATATCTGATGCAGCTTCTAAGCCCCCAGGCTTTGATGACGATCAAAACGAATTTGCAACGCCTCTTATGATGCAGATCAAAATCGTGACCCAACGCATGAGTTTGTCTATGTACAGAAATACTGGCTATGTGAACAATAATTTATTCTTCACATCATTCTGGGTATATTCAACGGCTTTACCTTTTGGAACATCGGAGAGACGGTTAGCGATTTGCAGCTCCGTCTTTTCGCTATATACAATGTCATTTTCATCTCGCCCGGTGTTATCAGTCAGCTGCAACCTCTTTTCATTTCCCGTCGTGAAATTTACGACGCTCGCGAGAAGAAAAGTCGTATATACTCATGGATCGCATTTGTGACCGGTCTCATCGTCTCGGAATTCCCATATCTATGCATCTGTGCAGTTCTCTATTACGTGTGTTGCTACTGGACTGTTGGTTTCCCGAGTTCCTCGGCCCGCGCCGGTGCGGACTTTTTCACCATTTGGATATACGAGTTCATCTATACAGGCTTGGGTCAATGCATCGCTGCTTACGCGCCCAACGCGACGTTCGCTGCCTTAGCCAATCCCCTATTCCTTGGTCTCCTCGTCGCTTTCTGTGGCATGCTTGTCCCCTATAGTGAGATCACAGCCTTCTGGCGATACTGGCTCTACTACCTCAACCCATTTACCTATGTCAGTGGATCTCTTCTTACCTTCGCCATTTGGGATGTGGACGTCAAATGCGCCGAAAGCGAGTTTGCTGTGTTTGACCCACCTAGTGGCCAGACCTGCAAATCATATCTTGCCGACTATCTGGAAAGCAGTCTGGGTGCTGCAGCCAATCTTGTTAACCCATCCGCCACTTCGGGATGCAAGGTTTGTGAATATACCAGTGGAAACGATTACCTGACTTCTTTAAACATCAAACACTACTACTATGGCTGGCGCGATATTGGAATCTGCTTCATCTTCGTCCTAAGTTCTTACACTGGTGTGTACTTGATGATGAAGCTTAGAACAAAGGCCTCCAAAAAGGCAGAATAATTTGTTCGGGTCTTTCAGTGATTGGCTCTTTTTTTGCATCTTCTTGTTATTTCTTTTGCAGTTTTGATCATGTCCCCGGGAGAGTTTGCATTTCATACGAATGATAGATATTAGAAATATCGGTTTAATTTAGAATAATTTCAATTATAAATTCATAAAGCGAGACAATATTACAATTTTGTCTTGCATTGGCTTTTTCTCATGCAAAGTTTACGGATCTTCAAACATTTCAATGTCCTTGCATATGTTCCCTCTCTTGGGCTAACTATTATTCCACAGTACTTGAGTTGAGCCAATTAGGTACCTAGGTACTCATTCCGAGATCCCCAGATCTGCATCCGTCCTACTATTTTGCGGTATGATACGAGAAGCATTATCCTTGGGGAGATTTTTTGGCTTCAGGGGAAGCTTGTACTTCAGATAGTGACTGCTGTCTCTAATTATTGTGGTAATGGGTCCTTACCGTAAGTATCGATCATAAGCGGTAAATTAAAGGTAGACTCATAGGGAGATTGTATAGGCCTGTTGTACTAGTACTTGCGACTTGAGTACTTCCTGTGTGACACATCATCGGGCACTTGCCAATGTTAAAAGGGTGCTAACTATGAGGGAGAGAAGCCCACAGAGGATGATCAGAGTAGGCAAATAAATTGAGCAGTAATATAAAATACCTAAATAAGAACTTTGATGTAAGCTAAGTCTTGAGGACAGGTTTGAATATCTTCACAAAAAGCGGTGTGGCACGTGGTGAAATCCAAGGTTTGAAGATTAATGTTGGAACTTTTCATCGATTTGAATATTTGAAGTAAGCTTATTATCACGAAGGCGATAGCACTGTAAGAACAAGAAAATATAAGAATGAGCAAGAAGGAGTTATATGTTATAGAACCTGCTCACTAATAGGTTGATATAGTTTGCATTCACTGGACTCAAATCCAGGGCTTCAACTACGTTTGCCTGCCTCATATCAAGAACATATTCAGCGGAGTCATCAATAATCTTGAGAATGTAAGAACTTGGCCTACAATTGAAAACAAAGTCACGAACAACACTGAACTCAGCGCGGGCTGTTTCTCGCAATACTCGATAAGCCACTAAACCAATCCTCAAAGATGAGATCGGAAGCATCAGTCGAGTATTAGAGCCTAATTTTATATTTTGAGAAAAAATTATTCGTTATTGGACGACGATATTTTCCCTCCTACACTTGTAATGGCACACGCCGCAACGTCGATCATTTGCTTGACAAATGCCTCTAACTGGTCTCTTTGAAGAAGATCCTCGGCCTCAAGATCATATGTCGACATGTCACGCATCAATCTGGGGAAATTTCGTAGGAGCTCATAATCATTAATGGCCGATGGAAGAGCAGGGTCTTCAAGGATGTTGCACAATATAGTGACTGACGCGACGAAGGGGTAAAACAGAACGATCCTAAAGCATCATATTCGATGTTACTCTAAACACTTGGCTTGGTTGGGTTGAAGCAGTAACGAGGAGTACTCACCAGAAACTCCCTTTATTGAGGATATGGTATGCAGTTTCCAAATACTTCAACGAAGAGCGACTAGCCTCTACCGCTAGGGCGATGCCGGTAGCGATCACGGTTCTTGTGCCGTCTGAATTCATACTACCTCTAAGACAGCGGTTGCTAGCCTGATGAACAACAGTCATGCAATGTAGATAGTCTAGTCGAAGGACCAATGAACGTATGTTGATACCTCCGACTTCCATTCGCTCGTCGCGGGAAAATAGAAGACTCGGGCGCAGGATTTTGGGAATTCCCAATCGCCACTTCTCCAGAGAATCATCTAGTGTCCGAATATCAATGAGAAGCTCCATGTTTGACTTCCGGAAAGCAGATACTGAGTAAAGGGATTCATATGCTCGTGATTTGATCTGGTTTAGTTTGACATCAGTGGGAAACATGAGAGAGGGATGCATTTTATCAATTGGAAGACCACTTGCGAAGCTTGTCGAAATATTCTCTATATATCTTGGAGATTGGGTAACATCACAATGGTTATCGCTGAGAGCAGGCTGCTGACGAACTCGAAAACAGAGATCTTTATCGAATGTATAGCAAATCCAAAAAAGGTTTCGCAAGTGGGTTCCCGTGACATCTGAATTATTATTGGAGGAGGGCTGTGAGGAGTATTCGGGTTCGATATGAGCTTTCAGGTGAAAGACAAAATGCGCCGCTATTGAGTTTATGAGTGCAGCTGATTTGAACTTGCCAGTACAAAAGTAGGCTATCAACTAGATATCCATAATTATGTTAGTTTGTCATCCAAGAGAAGAGAGGTTTATCAAAACCAGATGCAAAGGGATGATTTCGCAGGCATACCAAAAATACGCAGGCTTGAAAGCCATCGAGTGTCGCTGACTCAGTTATATCAGGTAATATTTGATGAAGAAGGCCAGAGTAGTAAAGATATTTTGGCGTGGAGCATACTCGGATACCCACGGGAACGAGATGTGCAAAAATGCAGAATCCAATAACGCATGCTTGAGCACTGACGATATGAAATGGGTTATCGTGAGTTGACTCGTAGGCGAGCCTTAATGTTTCATCGAATAAGATTGGATCCAGCACGGGAAAAGCTGCCCGTACTCCTGATCTCTTGTACAGGCGCATGCATTTTTCCATTAGTGCTCGGTCTGGCAAGATCGAGGGGTCAATCTTTTGCGATTCGGTATAGTTCCTTGAAGACGGGAAGAGGGGCATTGGTGGTAGGCTTTCCTGGCTAAACCGATCTTTACACAATCTTTCCGTTGAAACTAGGTCTCCGGCCTTGAAATGAGCCCATATAACGTCCACTGATGAATAATCAGGAAGTCGTATCAATGAATGGAGAGCCCAGTTGGGCTGCAAGGAACGAGGCGTTACACCGCCTCTGTCCAGGCTCATCGAAGTGCTCTCACTAAGAGGACTATCATTGGGGGAGCAATCATTGACTTACAGCACGGTTAGTGACGAGTCCAAAGACAAAGATATTAAAGACCTCACATGGTTGACAAGGCTGTACACCAGCCCTTTCATAGACGCATGGTTTTTTATAATGTTTACACCATGAGCATTGCGGTTGAGCCGCATCACATTTGATCTAGAACAAGTCAATTTTCAATATCTGATAACCAGGAAGCTTGGTTTTGGGCATTTTATACCTTCCTTCTCCAGCAGGAATCACATGCAGAAATCTTTTGGCCTCGTCTCCCTCTCATACTTGGTATAGGTTGCTCTGATTTATTGAATGACGGAATCTCGGTAACTTGAATATTCTTATCTGTATTTGTCATCATACCGTATCGGCAAAGATGACGTACTCAATCACAGAGATATTTGCCAATATTGTTCGATTCTTATGGATTTCCTATCCATCTTGTCCCTGAGGCATGGACCCTGGCTCTATACAGAGCTAGATAATTTATGGACCACGAAGTATCTTTCTTACTACATTTTCCCTGGAATCCTGATACCACCCACACCTAATATGGCCGAGACAAGCGACAGTGAAGGATATTGAAGCATTCGTTGCTGGCTAATACAACAACGTAGCCAGTTGGGGGCGAAATATAGTTTTTAAGGGTTTGTAAAGATTTTTCGTATATTTTAAGGAAACTCAGGCTTCTGTTTACGTTTTCGTCTTTACAACGGCTAGATTATTCCAGGCCAAAATGAGGGTAGTGTCGCCGTTAAATTTGAGTTGTTGTGAGCTTCTCTTATTATTTCTGGCGAAATAATTCTTCTTGGCAGCTCTTTTTCTTCCTCTTCGACGACTTTGTCGTTTGCAAGGAAAAAGAGAAACCGGACTCTTTTCCAGAGTCGTTGATATGGACGACTCATCGCGACTTTTCTAAAGCTTTGGCTGAAAGACTCCTTTTGAAATTAATGTTAAGACAGGTCAATGAAATTGCAAAAAACGAGATCCAAAGGGGATTAGAAGGGCATAATAGTTGGAATCCTAAGTCATCAGAAACTAGTACTGCAATTATCACTGAGGCTACGGCGAGGTGCGCAGCAGTTCTTCATTCCAAGATTCAATTTAATGTCATCACTACCCTATTCCAGAATAATATGATAATCTTCCAGCCACTCCATGAGCAAGTATTCAAGTCCGCCTCCGTTCAGAGTTAACAAGCGAAAGATATTAGGTAGATCTGAGCGCAGAATAACCCCGATCACCTCGAAAATTGATTAAGGATGTAGTGTTCAGAGTCGGAGACAACAAATGTCATATGATCGAGTTAGTGTAGGATCATTTTTAAGCCATATTTCTTGATGGCATCATGAGACGGATAAAACCCAGGTTCCTTGTCCAATTCCCTATTGAAACCACTAGGTATCTTGAGGAGTTCCTCAATGTGGGAGAATGCGGCACTAAAGCCATTCTTTTGTAAGCTGCCCAGGTGACTTGAGTTAGAGAGAGATAAAATTTCTTACCATAACAAAAGGAAATTTCTTGGAGTCTTAGCAGGTGACTGATGCGGTGAAGTAGTGCTCGCGGTCATAGACTTGAATAATCAGATATAGAGCTCATGATAGTGATAGACATCAGGCAACTCACCGTCTCCATGGTATTACTCAACTTAAGATGAAATATTCTGCAGATGTAGGAAAGAAATGTATTGGGATGTATGCCGTCATGATAACTCCAGGGTTTTCCAAGGCTGTAATCTTTGACCGCTATACATTACATGTTCTCGACTCAATTATTGCAATATCGGTCCCAGAATATTCAAAAGAGCTTCCGTACTTAATTGATTGAGATTCTCTTCCAAAAGGTTTTGATCTTGGGCGAACTTCTGTCGCATTGCAGTCGAGTTGATATCTTCCGATGGAGGAGTTGTGTATTGCAAGTAGTAAGCCCGCTTGCCGGAGAGACTACCATGACCTGTGCACGTCCACAACACGACCCCCTCTGGGCCAGTAACTGTTTTATCTGATTCAGAAGCTAACACCAGTTATCAACCGAATTAAAATGAAGAGACTCACCATCTTTAGCACTACTCGGGCTACGAGACCATTCCCCAAACCCATTCCACACAGCTGGCTTCCCATCAGGTAGAAAGTGTGCCACAATATGCCTGGCCCTATTTGAGATCAGAACACCAGGGAGTTCATATGGTGTGACCATAGTGGGATTCGTTGAGTTCAGTAGATCTGGTCCAATTAACCACAAGAACGTCGTTTTGAACCCATCTGCCTCTGTCAATCGAACCAAAGCCTCCATAAATACTTTGAATGGATACCAAGTACTTGGCCATACCCATACCTTCGCTTTCGGAACTGGAAGAAGAGCTTCCAGGATGTCTGCTCTACGTTTCTGCTCAAGGAAAAACTCTGGATGCTTGTCGCGAATCTTGTTCCTGAGGAAGTGATCTTCACTAGGCACAACGATGATTGCGGCCGCCGCTATCTCGGGCCTGAGACCTGATAGCAGCACATCTATGTGGCCTTTGTGTGGAGGATTGAATGAGCCTGCATATGCCAGAATCAAATTTTCACGGTCAGATTGTAAGATCCCTTCTAGAGATTGGACTTTGCTGAGTTCGGCTTCTGAGGTGAGACGAGCCTCCTTCAAGGCCAATTGTGAGTAATGTCTGAGGGACATTGTTTCACCGGTCTGGGAATGCACAATCATAGGTAGATATTTGAAGGTTCGGAGGAAGATCAATCTATTTAATGAAATCTATACTACCCTGATAGATAGTATATTTACAAGGATGTTCTAAAGAGAAAATTTCATCACCCCTCTACATGCACATATGATCACGCGACTTGTTTCCACGTCACACCGCCGTGGATCTTGCATATGCATGCAGATGTCGAATTGGATCTTAAGGGTTCGTGTCGCGGGGATCAATCGAAAAGAAAGTTTTCCTGGAGGATGCCCAGGCGAGATTTCAACAAAGGGAATCAAAGTTGACATGGCCAAGCTCTCATCAATTCCGCTTGGAAAACTTCTTGCTCCCCTTTCATCACAAAGTCCCAAAATTCCCTCAATATGTCCCTTTTCCGGTAAAGGCATTCACGAGGGAGTCTATCTCCGTCAAATGCTCACCTAAGAAAGAAAGTCTGGCTAACTGCTGGATGAAAAAGTCGTCTTCTGAAGCTTTCACCACTCGAGTCACTCGATCTTTGTCATATCGAACAACAGTGTCTGGATTGAAACTCTGTCCACCGTCGCTGACAATGAAATCAATCCAGTCACTTTGCATACGCTGTCGAAGAAGGTCGTTCGTCACTTCTGAGGGCTTGAGCAGAGTATCGGCATGATTCATCTCGCTGGGAAAGGCATTGAAAATGTATATCAGATCAACACAGTGGTGTGACATGCCGTATAAGTGTTTCTTGGGTCCATTACTGAAGGGATTACCAAAGTTCACTTTGTATCGCCGTGCTGTTGTTTCATAAAATGACTTCAATTTGAAGTCTGCGCCAGCGAAGGATTTCCATGCCTTGTATAGCGGAAGACTGAACTGAAATTCAGATATGAGTCGATATATTCCGGATTTTATATCTTCAAGGGAAGCTTCTGGACTGAGCCTGTAATGACCCAGCGTCTTTTCAACAATCTGCGGATCGACGGTGCTTGAAGAGAACCTTTCTTGAATAGTGTCAAAGCTTGTGAGGGTTTCAACTACATGCTGCCAAATTGTTGCCTATGAAACCGGCTTAGTATTATTACTAGGCAGGAGCGAAGATGATATCCGTACCTCGTTGTCGACTTCTCCAAGTAATATTTCGATTGACGAGCCACTTTGTGAGACATCCTGCACGCTTGAAGTGTCTCCTAGGTTGACTAGGATAGGATCAAGTTTCACAGAGAAGTCGAGTGTCAATTGATCATTCACCAATGGGAACAGAAGCCAGAATATTTCCCTTGTTCCTTGGATTAGTTCTGCAGCTGTGAATTTTTCCATTGCATTGAGTGCTGCATTCTTGTTGTCAGTCGAAATACCCAGCACCTTGCACAGTCCATCCCACTGGACCTGTGCATTGGCCAGTAAAATGGGCCCACAAGTGCCCATGGCCCCAGATTGGACTATGGCCTTTTGAAACAAAGGCAGAGACTGGTTGGTTTTTGCTTCCAAAGCATGAAGATGAATTGAATTGCCACCGGCCGACTGACCACCAATCGTGACTCGCTGTGGATCTCCTCCAAATGCTGAGATATTGTTGGATATCCATTGGAGTCCAACTTTCTGATCTCTCAATCCGAAATTGACGCCTTTGATCTTTTCATCCGTTTGGGTTTCAATCATAGCAGAGGTTGCTCCAAAGCCAAATATTCCCACGCGATAGTTGAGGAACACGGCAATGAATGGTTTGCCCAAATTCAAAGCCTCCAATACTAGGTTAGATGGATCTAGAAGTGGGGATTAGCAACGCCATTCTTTACATTCATGAAAAGCAGCATACCCCACATTGGATCTGTGCCGGCCCCAAATCCAAAAGCACCGCCATGAATCCAAGCGAAGACCGGGAGTGGTATGTTAGTGTCATATCCTCTTTTAACGAGAGCATCTTTTGAAGGTCTGACAATGAACAAATTCAAGCAATCCAATTCTGACTCAGTGACATCTGAGGGAAAGGGAATGGTAGCATTGAACCCTCCTTCTGAATTATTTACCTCCCAGAGCTGGGGACACTTTGGACTGGAATAGTTCAATCAGCTCGTCTATTATCTACAGCAACATGAAATTGTGCAAATACCCATTCTTATCCGCATAGAATATATCATTTGGCAAACATGTTCGTACATGAGAGTGTATCCAACGACCCGGAATAGAACCGAAAGGAATGCCCCTAAAGTCCTCCAACTCACCAGACGCATGTGAGCGCTTACCTATGACCCGCTGATCATAGCCTGGTTTGGTCCATGTTGGGACAGTCACGCATGGTGAAGATGACTCCATGATTAATGAGAGGATTAATTCGACTAAGTATCATAAGAGGGGTATTTAACAGTCAATAAAGCGGTATATTTTCTGCCAGTGAATGTGAATTCACCGCCTCATGGTCCCACCAATCGAAATTTCTTGTATTTCGATGGCGCGAAAGACCAAAGATATTTCATTTTCACCTTTCTCCTATAATTCTAATTTTTTTTGGAGTATCTGGGATATCAGATATTAGGAATCTCAAATGGCGTCCACTGAAGAGCAATCCCCGTCAATCGAGGTGCAGAACCTTTCCTATAAATTCCAAGACGGTTCAGCGGGGTTGAAAGACGTGGTTTTAAGTCTACCACCTGGCAGTCGAACTCTCTTGATCGGCGGTAATTCATCACTATTTGTATATGGTCTTTCATTTGTATAATCTGTTAATTTTTCAACTCTAGCCAATGGAGCGGGAAAGACTACACTACTGCGCTTGCTCTCAGGAAAACGTCTCGCCCCCAGCGATACTATCTCGGTGGGCGGTATGGACCCCTTTAAAGATGGACTGGAAGGTGTCACCTATCTGGGTGTAGAATGGGTACTAAATCCCATAGTCCGCACCGATATTGATGTTCCCACATTGCTTGCCTCTGTTGGTGGAAATGCTTACCCGGATCGACGGGATGAGCTGATTGATATCCTCGATATTGATCTTCGTTGGCGTATGCATGCTGTTTCAGATGGTGAACGACGCCGAGTCCAACTCGCTATGGGTTTGCTGCGGCCCTGGACAGTATTGCTCCTTGATGAGATCACCGTGGACCTGGATCTGCTTTCCAGAAGTAACTTCCTCGCTTTCCTCAAGCGAGAGACGGAGAATCGTGCCTGTACTATTGTCTATGCCACACATATCTTGGATAATCTTGCCCAGTGGCCAACTCATCTTGTGCACATGCATCTTGGTAAGGTTAAGACGTGGGGACCTGTGGAGAAGTTTAACGATCAAGTGTCGGAATGGACATCTGAAAACAGTCGCCTTGGTGAGCTAGTTCTCAAATGGCTCAAAGAGGACCTCCAGGCCCGTGGCCCACGCGGTGCTGAGGACAAGACCTATGCGTCTCTTCAAGGTATTGGTGGATACGGATATGAAAAGAAAGTTTAGCAGATCAGTCGGAGTATTATCATCTGTCAGTATTCTGAGCTTAGCTCTTTTCTTATCCCGTGTGACCGTGTAAGTTGGATGCAAGGTTCCAATATTTCCATTGCAGTATGAAAAAGCAAAGTGTACAGCATGTACGGTCTTTTTCGAAACATCGGCAAAGCCATTCCAGTTACTCTTTGAGGATATTCCGCTTCTTTCAAGGTTTCATGTTTTCATCTTCCTGGTAATCATATGGACTACAACCATGTCCACCACCCGATCAGTAAATCTGTCACGGCTTGTCTCAGTTCCGTGGTGGCCAGCCCTAGAGCTTTTTCCTCGCCAAGTTGTAAATAGCCAGGAAATACCTAGGTAGCATTTTTCCTTTCCCAATTCTTGGCTTTCCCCTTCTGTTTTAGTGTTCAGTGCTTGCCGCTTTTTGCTCACTGAATAGAGCTGAGCACGACATGAGCGCCAAGAGCAGGTCAGTAACCGTTATGTAATCGTGCGACCGATATAATAGGCGGTGGGATAGCCCTGGCAGAAAAAGGAATGAGTCTGAAATATACGTCTGTCAGCTGTAGCTTGAGGCATAGTAGCGAGGAATCCACGAACAATATCGGTTCTCCTCCAGTTCGGTTTCTTAACTTATAATGGATTCAAAAGCCATTGACGTTACAGGCTTCTTAGTTCTCATCCTCAGATTTAACGCCTTGACATGTTGAAGCAAGTACCAGGACTATTATTGCTCCATATCTGTGGAGGACAAAAAGATATCTCGCTATATTCGAGGATACTTCCGATTAGTCCAAAGATTTTATTGTAGCAACTACAAGAAAGCTAACTTTGAAGCGAAGTATGATCTTTAGATTTTGCTTTTACGACTTAACATAGTCAACCAAGGCTATCCTCGTCGGTTAGCCCTCAAGTTTGAAGGAAGAGAAGCGAGCAAAATGGAATTAGCTGAACAAATTCAGTGGACTTCGAAAATACAGCTTGTTGAAATAATAAGCTCCGTGTCAATCCTCACAGTATGATTAATTCAGGGGCACCCTGTGCTGCAGGCTCAGAAAATTTGGTCTGTATAAAAACTTTCTGCAGCCCTTCCTTTCGCTGGTCGAACATTTCATAAACCTTGGCCATATCCTCTAAACGATACCTATGAGTAACCATATCGAGTGGATTTATCTCATTTATCAGGATTAGGTGCATGAGATGATCCCAATATTTATGCACCGGAGCTTGACCATTACCCATAAGATGAACACCTGTCTGCATCAAAGCTCCAATGTTGAAATGGTTAGTCTGTGTAGAGTATAGCCCGTCAGCGAATCATCATAAAACGAGATCCAGAGGACTGGTCTGACTTACATATCCAGCGTAAACACCTGTCACACCTACTCGCCCAAAAGGCCGAACAGCGGTGATCATCTCGTTCAGCAATTCAGACGTGTCTGTTTCCAGACCAAGTAGTTGTTCAAAGTAATGTGCCCAACCTTTGGCATATTCACCAGCAGCACACTCTAGGGCAACATCCGGACCTCCAGGGACCAGATTTTTCAATATTGACGTCACCGACTCACCTTTAGGCAGATGAGTGAAGTCGATCGTTTCGAGCTTTGGCAGTTTTCTTTTCAAGAAATCTAACCGCCACGCACCAGCTCCTCCATCTATGACAATAACGCGTTTAGCCCCATGGTAAAAGCTGAACTGTGCACACATCTGTCCGATAGGACCACCGCCCCATATGGCAACCACATCACCATTCTGTACTCCACTATCTACCACACAATGCCAAGATGTCGCTATAACATCCGAGAGGTAGAGGGCTTTCTCATCTGGAATATCCTTCGGAATGGCAAGCAGATTGACATCCCCATAAGGAACTCTGACATATTCTGCCTGGCCACCGGCAAAGCCACCGGTAAAGTGGGAATATCCAAACATGCCTATCTCAGTTAAACATTTTTCGCCCGTGATTTGATATTGATCACTTACCGGCAGTTCTATTACCATACATGGCATTAGCAATTGTGTTTTGGTTGGTTTCACTGCACTGGGAGAAGAACTCTCTTTGGCAATTCATACATTTTCCACAGGCAATTGGAAATGAAACGACTACTCTTTCACCGGGACGAAATTTCTTGGTTGCTGGACCGACACTTTCGATCACTCCGCAACATTCATGGCCAAGTACATCCCCTTTTTCCATTTGTGGGATAACACCTAAGGATGAATCCGATTATTATATGCCTCGACAAAATCTGAAGCTTTATCGTACCATGGTATAAATGGAGGTCGCTGCCGCAGATGGTGCTTCCAGTGATCCTCACAATCACATCACCAGAGTCAATTACTTTTGGCTTAGCAATTTCCACTGGGGAAATGGTTAATTTAAAATAACAGGCCATGAATTGAATTTACATCTTACCAACTTTGATTTGATTTTTGCCTTGCCAAGTAGTTGCGAGGATTCTCGTTCCTTCTATTCCATGCCCATCGTAATTGCTGATATCCGTGGTGATTGTCGCATTGTCTCCATGGCCAATTGTTTTCTCTATCAAATTAGCTGCTTGTGCGAGTGCCATTCCGATTTTTGGTAGGGTTTGATGCTGGCTCGTCCGTGTTAACGTTTCTGGATGACTATTTAAGACCACCTGGGCAGATGAATATAAATATGATGTTATAATAGTAATGATTGATTCCAGTTTTTAGCTCAACTAGATTCAATACGTCATTTTTTGCCACTTTGACCAACAGAATATCCCTTTTGATATACTTGGAAGCATTCAACTAACGGTTGGGCCACGGGAAAATGCTGACAGGTCATGAACTCGGAAGTCATAGGCATCGTCATCATCAACATCATTTCCAAAGACGAGATGCTCTATTGGAAAGGCAGACTTCAGGTGTGTTAGCTCTTTCAATTTTTACATCGAATTTGGCCCTAGGAATAAATAATTAAACAGCCTTTGGAAGTTTAAGAGAAAGATTTAAATCTCAGATATTTGATGAATAAAGAGAGTTCCTCTAATCGGAAACTGTTTGTAGTAAAGGTAAACGTTTTTTTTTAAATGTAAACTTACGATTTTTCAAATACCAGGAAAACCAGAAATAGATTTCCATCTTTTCTGCCGTTAATATTTTACCTATGTGGTATCAAGAAAGCGGTCTAGAAGTGGAGTGGATATCCTATCGCTATATTGGGAATAGCGCACTTCGGATTCTTTTCCGGGAAGCAAGTCATAAGAGTGTACTGGTATAACTGTTTTAGGAAAGCCCCACCATGGAAAGGAAATCTGCTACATACAGCCACCTAGGTAGTACACCTGTGAGTATCCGGGCCAGTTATGGACTAGATAGCGGAACGTTATCCTTAATATGCTCTCTACCGATCAGTCAGTCAACCAATTTGGTCTAGCAGAACTAACGACTGGGCCACATTTGGATTTGTACATCAAGAACGGGGTGAGAATAACAGTAATTATAATTCCGGCTCTTGTAATGTACCTGGGCAGCTCCATTCATAAATTTCTAATTTTGAGCTCTACCCAGGTATTCCCCTGTGATGCTCATAGAAATTACCTCGCCCTGGGCAGCTGGTCTCCAAATATTTACAGAATTCACTTTGCCGTAGCTTCTGTCCTCTTGATTTCGTCTCTCCTTTCGTAAAATCCGTGGACTCAGTCTTACAGCGGTAGGCAAGTGATTGCATAGGTGACAGTCACTCTTGAACATCTTCAATCTTCATGACCATTCCTACCACCCATCTCTTAAAATCCTCTCTTTCTAACCTTTGACCAAAAATTGAAATGGTAGTGATATTCTTTGACCCAAGCTGAGGCTTATGTTGGATAGATAACCAGGCTGCTACTGAGCCATTAGTAGTGCCTAGAATAGTATTAGATGCCTTGACGAGGGTTTTACTGTTAGCACACAGATGCTGCCGTTCTAAGAAGGTAGCATCAAACCACGTATCCAGCGAAATCAGATTATTGACTCTATTTTATACCGGTGTCTTCGAGGTACGCCATAAATAGAGGGCTTTCACCTTGGCCTGCTGCTATAGACCCTCCAGGAATGTTGTGACATTGTTGTATTTTCCCTCAGTTTTCTATTATACGGTTAAAATTGAACGCACTATAGCGAAGAAAATCTCCTTTCAGGAGTGATTTTACCTCATAAGTGACGCGACCTACATTCACAGTATTTAGACATGTCCAATTGACAAATATCGACTTTCCAGGAGAAATACCGAGAGGTTTTTTGACGGTAACAAGAGACTCCGGACTCGCGGAGGCCTTACCGATGTTCACCAACCCGACCCCATTTCTTCAACCTAGTATAATCTAGCCATTTGCATTTTGATATACTTGGGACGATTGGTCTGTGGAAAAAAATCGAGCCCCGTTCTTCACTACGTTCAATAGCACACTTTAATCAGTGGCCCTTTCGCAGCGTATTAGCCTAGGTAGAATCTTGACCGAAACCACAACCTTGAAGTAGTTCATTTTCCTCAAATGTTTTATACGGAGAGAGTTTTTACAAAAACTACATGATCGAAGTAATACAGATAAATAGTAATGTCTTTATAGATCAATAAGCGGCTAAGCAATCAAGCCAATTCATGCAAGTGGTTAATTGGATCATATCTAGGTTTATACAGGTGTATAGGATAAGTAGTCTGAATGAATGAATGAACCTTCGAACGTTTTTGCACTCGATGGAATCAACTTATTAAATTGATATATTACAACTTTGGTCTTATTTAAATTTGGTTGAATAGTCGGTGAAGAAAGAAAAGATATGCTCATGATGGGGCCAGACACTCGGCCCCAAGCCTTGCCTCAAATTTCACGATAAAAAACTTAATTAGACTAAGGGCAAAAGAATCTAGGGCTTTTTGAATGATTTGGCCCGCGTATCGCTTTCACATACCTAGGCTGCGACTTGTACCCAGTGAGTGTAGCGATAAATACAAGTATGAAGGTGCACTTTTTGAATGAGTAGAAGAGCTTCCAGGCTTCCAAATAGTATTTTGAAATCCTTGAAAATCTCTCTAGGGTCCCAGGTCCACAAAATGGGGAAATCAAAAGCGAAGGATTTGAAACCCGTCTTTGAAGCCTTGTCGAGTTCTTTTTTTCTTCCAGAAAGGGACAATATTGGACTCGAAGTTTCCGTACCGCGGTTGGAGATATGATGAGGCCTTCGAAAATGAGAATAGTAGCGATTATAGCATCAGTAATATGTTAAGCTGACAGATCTCATTCTTCCAATATTGCTCTCGACGCTTCTCAACCTAGCAACTAAAGCAGAATGAGTTACTGCCAACGATCACTAGTGCCATCACATTTTGACTCAACGTGCATGCATTCTACGTACAAAAAGCGTGTTTACAGCCTAAATTCAAAGCGGTTTAGTCCGCTATTTCTCCCACGTGATTCGATATCATGTGACTAAATATGGGCGTGTATTTATCTTCGCTAAAACATTCTATTACGACAAGGGTCCAGGCACCTGGGGCCGTACAAACCATGCATACATACATTATGGCAAGACAGTGGATAATTCGCCGCTTTTAATAACAATGATACCTTCCTACCACACTGTTTAATATGTACTCCGCCGTCTGTTTCCTGTAACTATCCCCTTAAGGTAGGTAACTTCAAGTGGGACCCTGCGCGCTACAAACTTCTCCCGCCACATTCTTGTTTGGCTAGATTAAGTGACAAAAGTACATAGAAGAAGAGCTCGGCATTTCAGCAATCCAGAAAGCCAAAGCCATCATGAATCTGACTTACTTATACAGCCTGACATGGATACCGTATGTCAAGATAAAACAGACCCTAGATACTTTGTACTCCGTACTACCCAGGTAATAGCACTTGCATCAGGCTAGCTGTATGCCAAGCACCGATGTACAAGGGGTGGCCCTTGGAAGTTTTATGCCAATCTAAATTCCAAACGGCATTGTAACGAATAGGATGATATCCGAGACCACCTTTTCCTTTTCTTTCTTTTGCTGAAAATTTTATGCACCACGGAGTAAAGCTAGCCCTAACTGGTATTGTCCGTCCGCTCAGCCGTTCATTTCCCTGGTTAATTTACTCTGTCCCGCTTCTGTAATTCGCTCTTTATTCCAACTTCCGCCCCTTTCATACGCTAGGTGATGTGCATTCTTCCTGTACAAAGTACGGAGTATTTCACTCGGAAAATCACTTCTATCGTCCTTTAGAGCTTTCCGGTAGCTTTTCTTTGTTTGCTATCTTTCTTGAGACGCGACGGATCTGGAATCGCTTTCTCTCTTTCTTCAAAAGGCCAAAGTTTACCCTGACTCAAGATGGAGAGTGTGGATCTAGTCGTGGTTGGCGCAGGTAGGTTTTACATCGCTTCTATCACAGTCACGTACATTATTTTGTCTCTGATGAAAGTGAATCACTTTATTCAGGTTGGAGCGGGCTCGCCGCGATTAAAACCTACCTAGAGGTCAACCCAGATAGCAACGTTCTTCTGTTGGATGCTGCTAGCTCCGTGGGTGGAGTATGGGCTAAGGACCGCCTGTATAAGGGCCTGAAGTCAAATAACATGCTAGGAACTTACGAGTTCAGCGACTTTCCCATGGACGAGGCTAAATTTGGTGTTCATACCGGTCAGCATATTCCTGGTGCGACTCTTCAGCGATACCTAGAGGCATATACCGAGCGATTCAACTTGATTGACCGCATCAGATTGAATCATCGCGTCGAAAGTGCCAAACATAATCTGGATGGAACATGGCAGCTGACTGTATCGCATGCGAATACTTTACTGGTCATCGACACGAAAAAATTGATTGTGGCAACGGGTGTCACCTCCCAGGCATACTTGCCGAATTTTAAGGGACAGGAATCCTTTGGTGCACCGCTGTTCCATTGCCGCAGCCTGCATCAGTTCGAGGGTGAGGTACTGCGGGCTGGAGAGCGGGTGACTATATTTGGCGGCACAAAGTCGGCATGGGATGCAGCATACGCCTGTGCGACTTCGGGGATGAAGGTGGATTGGGTCATTCGAGAATCTGGACATGGTCCAATTTGGATGGCACCACCGTATGTGACACCGCTGAAGAAGTGGTTAGAGAAGCTAGTAACCACACGGTTTTTGACCTGGTTCAGCCCCTGCATCTGGGGAGATGCCGATGGGTTTACGCGTATGCGGAACTTCCTGCACGGATCATGGCTTGGCCGCAAAATTGTCGATGCTTTCTGGTCGGTCTTGGCTGACGACATGGTACAGCTGAATGGATATGATAAGAATCCTGAGATGCAGAAGTTAAAGCCATGGGTGAGCCCGTTCTGGATTGGCTCATCACTTAGCATTCTTAATTACCCTACCGACTTTTTCGATCTTGTCAAGGATGGTACCATAAAAGTACATATCGCCGATTTAGATCGATTATCAGACCATACAGTTCACCTATCGACGGGGGAGGAGTTGCAGAGTTCTGCTTTGATCTGCGCCACTGGCTGGCGTTCCACGCCTAATCTGAAATTTCTTCCGGAGGGTATCGACTCTGAGCTGGGGTTTCCATGGAGCACAGACCCTCTTAGCAATGCCATGATAAATGAAGCAGACGAGGCGATTTTGCGCCGATTTCCTCGCCTGCAAGACCAACCAAACCCTAATCCAAAGTTTCAGCCACTTAATGCGGAATCAGAAGCCGCAGTGCCGCATCCATTCCGACTTGCACGATTTATGGTGCCACTTTCAGTCTTCAACGATCGATCTCTTGCCTTTATGGGTATCACAATGACTATAAACACTGCATTAGTCGCGCAGACGCAAGCACTATGGATTTCTGCCTATTTTGGAGACCAATTGACATTAAAAACTAATGAGCGCTGCCCACTTGCAGTGCGTGCCGCTTCAGATGTCAAATTGGAAGATGACGACTCAGCTCTTGACCTAGCGTGGGAGACAACTCTACACTCGCAGTTTGGCAAATATCGCTATCCAGCAGGTTTTGGTCACAGAAATCCAGATTTCGTCTTCGATGCCATTCCGTACCTTGATCTGATGATGCGTGATTTGGGTCTACCAATTGAACGGAAGAAAGGTCTGCTGGCACAGTGTTTCCATCCGTATGGCCCTGGGGATTATCGAGGGCTAGTTACGGAGTGGAAGGCAAAGCGGCCATTCCAACAGCGATGTGTTGATTAATTATTATCGGTCTGGTTATTATGATTGAGAGATAAATTAATGGTATTTTTCTAATTTGGGAGCTCAAACTTGGAATCACATAGGTACCTAGGTAGCATGTTCTGGAGATAGTTACGTATGACTTGAGGGCTACATGGACTACGATTCCGATGCCGAGCTTACAGTGGTCTGCCTGGACTACACTACAGGCAAGTGGGGAAATTCTTATCATTACTACCTAGATCGCTTAGTTGAGGGACTGGGTGAAGGATACTAACGAGGCATCCTTCACTCGGTCTAATCCCCCCTGTACTCAGTAGGACCACAACAGCCAAGATGGTGTCTGCACGCTTGGCTCGGGGTTGGGGGATGTTTGTTTACGTGTAGTTGGTGGCGTCTTTATGGGTAGTGATCAAGAAGTAGCCTATCTAGGTTATCATATTTCCTTCTGCTCTGATCTCAAAATCTCCATCTTGCACTTTTCTACAGGCCTTCCGTTGGAACCAATGGAATCTGGTTTACTGCAGTGAATGGACTTGGGAAGAGAATGGAACAAGCGAATGGACTTGGGAAGTGAATAGAACTAGTGGAATCGGGGCATATCCGATTCCATCGTGGGAACTTAGAATGAACCTACATATCATATCTTTGATTCGTCGACTTCAGTTACAATTAGTCTTTGAGGAAGACATTAAAATTTGGAGTTACCTAAAATTGGGCGCTTCTAACGAGCCTTTTCGGCCAATTTCCGTATCCCTTGATTCATGGCTTTTGTACGGAGGTAATAAAACTTTCCGCAGTAAAATATGGGTTCTGTTTTCTACGGGGCCGCCTTTCCGTCACTACTACTTCGATTTCTTATTTCTTTTTGTCAGTTTCCATCGACGAGCTCAACCTGGCCGGGAATTATTCTACTCGCTATGGCTTCTCACGAGTCTGGTATTTTCTCTCGTCTACCGGGGTCCATTTTAGAGGCCATTCTAATTCAGTTAGACCTCTCATCTCTCCATAATCTTTACCGCTCGTCGTCAACGATATTTCCCCTATTACATGACAGAGGAATAGCTCGCAGAAATATTGAGATAATCCTACAGCTGAGGGTTCCTAATGAAGCCCAGATCGCCATTCGCAAGTTCGATTTCCTACGATGGGCATTCCTGCAATGGGATACACGCTCTTTTCCGGACGTCAATTGTTTTATTCAAGAATTCATTGAGCAAGACAAAGATATTAGATATAAATCTATACCCTATGAGATGCCTTTATCAGTCTTATTTGATGTTCTTTCTACTGCGGCAACTATTTTCTATCTAGCCCATGATAGCCTTCATAAGATGATCGATCGATGCTCTAGTCTTGAGCTATCTCGGATGAAAGATTTTCGCAAAAGATATATTCCTAAACGTCGCGACTGGAAGGTAAAAAAGGAAACAAAATGGGCTAAATACTTTCCTAATCCAAAGACGACCGGAGAACAATACTATCAAGCAGAAATGGGCCCGATATCTCTTCTTGAGGAACAAAGGGCTATTCGTGCCCTTTGGAGACTATTTTTGATATGGGAACTCCACAACGGTGTTATAGATAGTCGTCAACCTCAACCTCGCTGGGCGCCTACTGAAATAGATAGGCTTCAAACCCTATCATTTGATATCACCTGGGCCCATGCTAAGGCTCGCCTTGGTCATTCACTTTGGTCTAATGGGATTCTTGAGGAGATACGGACTATGGCTGACTGTTTATCTCCGTCCTTATCTACTCCTATTCAGAGATATCGCGCCGTCAAATCATTAGCTTATTCAGCAGGATGGCATAGCCAATGCGAATGCCTTCCCACTATATGGCCACTACAAGAGAACAAAGACGATCAACTCGATTTGCGTTTCATGTTTCCACCATGGGCTTGGGGCTTCGTCACAATCACATTATCTCACTTGTTTACATCTCCATGCAAATATGTGAAATTCGCTTCATATCGTCGTTATGGCTTTGCTATCTGGGATTCAAGGCGTTTCTGGGATCTCGGTCTCCTATACAAGCACGAAGAAGAGAGATCTGAATCTCCTAGAGGTGGTATAAAGGACCGCGAGGATCCGAATTTTCAAGGCCCGAGATCCGATGACGATCAATATTTTAGATGGGAAAGTATGCTGAGCGCAGACGATTTAGAAGGCATAGAGCGCATGAGAAAGAAGTTCTGGGGTCGTGAGATACATATGGATACGGATGAAGATTATGAGATACATGTGGTGCATATGGATACACGTAATACTGAAGAATATCTAGCCCTTGTAAATGCTACTCATAGCGTGGAGTAACGATAGACTAATCTTTTCAAATTTGCGTTAATCTGGGAATCATGACAGATTGGTAGAGTTTATATAGGTTCTTTGCGCAGTCATGGAACAATAGCCAGCAGCTAGATTCAGATGAAACAGCTACTCTGCTTACAAAATTTCAATCGAATTTCAATCTTCCTACTGAATATCTTCCGCCTCGTTTTGAAGCAAACTTTTTATTCCTTCCATATTTATTTGGAACATCACCCACCTAATAAACACAATATTCATCTGTCTGGAAGTTATTTGTACTTTATAATATTGGGAAGAGTCTACACCTAATGTGAATATCAAATAAGGTGAAATGGAGGGAAATATACGCACAGGCAACCCGTTTGAGCTCGTGTCTTGCTGTGCTATACAGACCATCCACTTTGAGAAATGATGGTATATATTCACAATGTTTTCGTATATTCATACTAATCTTTCTGAAGTTCCTTCCTTCTATCCACACTCACATATTTCTCCCTTACGCCAGAGATTCCTCCCCTGAGACTCCAGGGCTTTCACCTTTTCCCTTCTAGGATTTGACTTCTTTTCGTTTTCTTATTCCTGTTGGCTTCAACAATGCCATATATCTCCCAAACAAACCAGGCAGCGGGCCTACCAAGCATTTTTTGGACCGATACCATCAAGCCTTTATTCCTACGCTATTAATGGGCAAATAATTTCTTCTTCAACATTGATATACAAGTTTTTGTCTTACTACTGCAATGATGCACGTCACTCTCACCTTGAATTTACATCAGATTATCATCATTTCTAAACCTGATTATACTTGAACGCTTCATCTTAGATTCCTGTCATTTCTCAGCCAAAAACCGAGAACCCTGGCCAGCTGATCAGATAGAGAAGCTAGTTCGCCTTCTCTAGCGGCAGCAAGTCCACGGCCTTTTCTTGACGGTATTTCAACTGCAACACCCAAAGAACTCTGATCTGCTCATAAATTTGACTTTGCTCTCAAGTGTATTCCTATATTCAACGCCCTTTTTCAGATATAATACTAACATCATAATAGTTCCATGTACGTTGCTGTTGGCTTCGACAATGCGATATATAACAACAAGTTTACCAAACTACTAATCGAACTATTCAAACCAAGAGACTTTCATGAAATTGACACAACACCTTGGAAGTCTTTGCTCATTACTCCAGGATGCTAGTATACAATGCTGCCGGAAATCGGAGAAATCATCATAGCAACGCTGAAGACTTCTGATTTCTTTACCATTTGTCTTGAATTCTCAGTGGGTTCTGCACTCATCTATGTGTACGTCACTTTAATTCTGAACTCCACTTTACTTAAGCGCACGTTTTAACTTAGTTTTAGCTTAGTCTCTCCTCAGCTTCAACTTTGGAGCCCACATTGCGTTAAGACTCTGGAACTGAAGGCCAGCATCGCTGGCCTACTTATTTTCATTCCTAATGACAGTGTTACCTCAATTTCTATGGCATTGGCTGGGTCAGTTGAGCAACCCTGGAGAACCTTCATTTATTTGTCATTTCTGCCAAGGATAATCCCTACATTCAACACCCCTTGTCAGATGTATTACAACATCATGATAGTTCAATAGCAACCAGTTGCTGTTGGCTTCAGCAATACCAGCCATATGATTGAGAACGTGCTTGCAGAGCATTGGTTCTTGCACACCTGCACAGCCCAAACGGTGCCAACTATTGCGAACAACGCAGATGTAAGGTCCAGAAAGTACCGAAGACGTCGGTACCCATAACAGAACAGACCTAAGAAACACAGTGCATACATCGAGAACTCTCCTCCCCATTCCATCAGTGGACAGCGGCCTCACGTAGAAAAAAGATCGTCATCTATCCTTGGGTATTCATGGGGAGATTGGCATGCGCTGTCTTGACCATTGTCAGAAATTTGCCAAGTATAAAAGTAAACAATTCCCTCGACAACATTTTGACCCTTGCTGCACGCCTAATGGTGCTTCGCCTTTCCAAACTTACGACTAGACGATCATTTCGCGAACATAGAATGAATAATCAGTGACCGGGCCGGTATCTTATCAGGTGGTACGTGCTCAGATCAAACCGGGCCGTGGGAATCCACTATCAAACTGCGATAAGAGGCTTATCTTCAATTTTGAATGGACGATTATCCGCGCTTTCACGCTTATTTACTTAGATTACCTTTTGATAAGTTCTAATTTACTTGAGATTGGCTGATTCAATGTCAGGCCCCTGGTGGAGATCTATGTATATTCTCGGCAACCTGACCACTTAAGTAGTTATGCAACGTAGATCGATCCCTCCCGGTTGTCTCTTCGAACCGGAAACTCAAGACCGCTTGCCACCGGCATAGTGTTCGTCCAGCTGACCTTAATTCGATATAAATAAATTCTTATCCCTTTTATCTTCTCTTTTATTTGTTCTCTCATTCTCTGCACTAAAATAATCTCTTTGATCGACTTATACATCTCGATCATATCTGGCATAGCAACTTGCCTCGACTTACTTATTATACACTGACTACTTCAACCACACCAAATATTTAAATGAAATCCGTTCGCTCTGTACGCGTGCCCGCCGCCACTAGACTGGTGAGTGGCACCAGCAGTGCCAGATCCTCGGTCGCAGCAGGAGCCCCAGGTACTCTGTGGCAACAACAGCAACAATCATCCTCTCCACGCCCAACAACACCCCGCAAGTCCCCTCTTGCAAAGCTACCTTTATCCTCAGTACTTCGATCACTGATGATCCTCTCTGTTTCATCCTCACCTATTCTCCTCAAACCATGCATTTACACTCTTTCGCTCTTGGCGAACCCGCGTTCTGCTCTATGGGACGTCTCCAAGAACCCGCTTCTGAATATCCTTATTAAAAACACTATTTACAAGCAGTTCAACGCGGGCGAGAACAAGACTGAGGTCCAGCAGTCTATTCAGGGAATTAAGGATCTGGGATGCAAGGGTGTGTTGCTGGGTTATGCGCGTGAGGTTTTAGCTGGTGAGGATGATGGAAAGCCTTACGATGCTAAGGCTTGTGCGGCTGAGATCCAGACATGGTTGGATGGTACTCTGCGCACTGTTGATATGGCGCAAGAAGGAGACTTTGTTGCCCTCAAGTGAGTATTTCTCCATTTCAAGCTCTCGACGTATGTATACTAATTATAAAATCAGATTCACTGGAATGGGTACCGATGCTCACCACCTGCTCAAGAGCCAGTCACCACCATCTGAATTCATCGACACTGGCATCTTGAAGATCTGCGACCTCGCTATTTCTCGCGGTGTGCGTCTGCTCGTCGACGCCGAGGAACAGGCCGTGCAGCACGGCATCGAGGAGTGGATCATGAAGTACCAGAAATACTGCAACTCAAAGGGTAAGGGCGCCACCTTCTACGGCACATACCAAGCATACCTTCGCTCGACCCCGGCAACACTAGCCAAACACCTCGAGATGTCCCGTCGCGACGGCTATACTCTCGGCGTTAAGCTGGTCCGTGGCGCATACATGAAGACCGAGCCGCGCCAGCTGATCTGGGCCGAGAAGGAGGATACAGACAAGTGCTACGATGAGGTTGTCGAGGCTCTCTTGACCCGCAAGTACAACACTATGCTGCAGCCTGTCACCAAGGGGGAGACCGAACTCCCTCCCGTTAATGTTATCATCGCTACTCACAATCGCGAGTCTGTGCAGAAGGCTCATGTCATCCGTGTGCAGCAGGCTGCGCGGGGTGAGGACTTCGGTGTTGACCTTAGCTATGCTCAGCTGCAGGGTATGGCTGATGAAGTCAGCCTTGAGTTGCTTGAGGGTTTCGATGATGCTGAGGCTAGCGTTGGCGTTGCTGCTTCGCCCCAGTCAGCTGCTAATGTTTACAAGCTCCTTACTTGGGGCTCTGTTAAGGAGTGCATGGGCTTCTTGCTCCGTCGTGCTGTTGAGAACACTGAGGCTGTGGGCCGGACTAAGGACTCGCAGATTGCTATGTTTGGTGAGCTGAAGCGTCGCTGCCGCAGCGCCTTTGGTGGTAACTAAGGTTGGGAGTTGAAGATAAAGTGAAGAGATGATCGCATTGAGCATGGGAACGGGCGCTTTCGCTATTTAAAATTAAGATACCGTCATTAGCGAGTCGATTAGAGGAAAATTATATCCTTATTCACAATTCAGTTCATTATTAGAAGCTTAATTTTTAATCAAGGTACGTAGAAACCAAGGACTATTTAAAAATCTGACGAACTCCTAAGGAAACTATAGTAAAGATGTCCATCCGCCCTTAAACCAACGCCGCCATATGAAAAGCATATAATCTTTTCGATGATCGATGCACAAAAACTCATCGCTAGAAATGAATGCACTCTTGACAATCTAATCCATCAGCTCAACAGGAGGCCGAGAAGTCTTTGGCGGTGTCTTGCTGACCGACATTTCAATCGGGCTCATCTCAGCATCCATATCGACGTCCTCGTCATTCAGCGTCATATCCTCCACCATAACAGCGGGCAAATTGGGGCTGTGACCGTGATCTTCAGGGTTATAGATAATAGTGCTGCTGCGACTACGCGAGTGCGACGCAGAAAGCGGCCAGCTAGGCGTCCGCTTACCGTCTGTAATAGAGACAGGTGTAGCAGGGTCTACAGCATAGGACTCAGAACGGTCCGTCTTCAGCTGGGCAAGTGCTTGGGCGAGGTCACTAGCGTGAACATCCTTGTTGGGTGGGTCCTCATTGCGCAGTACCCAACCGTGCGGTGGGCTAGGAGGTGGGGAGATGAAGAACAACTTTCCGACCTGCGGCGCCTCGAGATGCTGTTTAGGACGATTGGCTTCGTCTTCGCTGAGGATAGGAGTTGGTTCGCCGAAGTAGATCCTGGGACGGACGTCCCGGTTCAGGAGGCGCTGGCCTTCTAGCATTTTGCGGATAGTGATTGCGTCTTTGTCGGAGTTGAAAGAGCAGATTATACGGCGCAGAGATGGGAGGGGGGAGAAGGAGTTCAAGGGAACTACTGCTGTGATCTTTTGGCGGATTTCATCTAGTGATGAGGGCTGGAAGAGGACCAGGTCACGGAGATCTGTTATCAAGAGTGTGTTTGAGGGTGGTGAGGGTTGGATGAGAGGTGGGAGCTTTGAGAGGTCGAGTGAAAGGGACGGGCGCGATCGTGATGAGTGACCGGCTTTAGAGGGAGATGATGGGTATGATTGAGGAGACATTGATTCGGCCATGATAGTTCAAGTTTGTAGCGGAATTTTATTTGTTAAGGGTCGAAAAGAAAGATAGGACCGGATAAGGAAGTTGATGATTTAAATGAATTTCCAATGCTGAAAGAGAATGGAGGTTGGTCTTATTTAATGAATTCGGGTTTGTTTTCAGTCAAAGCGTCGAGGCGCAGTAGGCCGCGTTCGACCCTATTCTGCATAGCCTACTCCCCCGCCACTTCGCCACTTATCCACGAGTAATACTCCGTACACAGTAGTAGTACAATAGCAGAATAGTAGAATAGGCCGTCGAATTTTGACATTATTTCTTAATTTAATTTAATTTAATTCAATTTAATTTACTTCGATTTGTTGAATTAGGCTTCTTATATATTCCGTTTATCGTACACTATATACAAACAAATTCCTATGAGCGATTACCACTCAGCCTCTATCTCTGCAAGCTTTAGGTCTTTAGTTAGGAATCGTTGCAATTTCCACAATACCAACATAGCCTCATGACCAACTGGATCAACCGGCCTGAAAAATAAAGACTCATTTTCGAAATGTAGAGGTTCTGTTTCACGAAGCCGTGTCAAGTCAGCCTCCCCTAGCATTGCAGACAGATCAAACACTGGAACTTGAGTCTGAGTCTGTGGATGTGTAATTGTTTCATCGGTGATACTGCTAGGTTGAGATCGACCAAGGAGAAGCACGGCCCCACACGCCATATCATCAATCGACCGCATATCTTTTAAAAACTTCGCAGGCATTACACCTGGGTTTCGCTGCGCTTCAAGAATGGTCCATACTCCGTTCCATGAACCGGGCTCGTGGGACTTTTTCCAAGCCTCTGCCAGCTTGTTATCGAAATCGATCCTGTCGGTCCGTGCACTGGGGTCGTAGGTTGGTTGGCAGGCTTGTTTCAGCTTTTTCACAAGATCATTCCTCATTTTCTGGAGCAGGTATTCGGGCATATCCTCGATCCATACCATCTCCTTCTCCTCTCTTGCTGTGATGGGCCCTTGTGGATGCTTCCATCGGAAAGGTATGAGTCGGGAAACAGCAGGCTTCCTGCTAGTATTAAACGCAAGAGGTTCAGATAGCAGTTGAAATGTTGGGAGTAAATTGACCATTCGAAAAACAACATGGCGGCCCACAGTACGATTGGATGGAGTAGATTCTTGAGTCTGCTCAAGTATAGCTGCATTTGGTATGGCTGCGCCCTGTTCCGGCGATTCTTTGAGCAAGTCCATGATATCATCAGATGGGACATCATTTAAAGATGAAGATTCATTGTCCTGTCTATCCGTAGCATCCGGTGTTTCGGCTGCAGCCTCTCTCGTGACCTTGGTCTGTTGGAGCGCCTCTTTGAGCAGGTCCACGGGCAAGACATAATTCTGCTCTGTATCGGGTTTGCGCACGAGGCCCCATTCTCCTAGTAGAGCGCGCGGCATTCGTGTACCTGTCAAGGCACACATACGTACAGGTGTTGCGAGAGCCAATGCCCATGGATTGTCGGATAGAGGTTCGAGGTACGTGGCATCTGGCCGATTTTTGCGCTGCTTGGGCTCGACATACTTTTTTTCAAAAAGAGGTGATCGCGGTAGGTACTCCGATGGGCGAGCTGGGCGTGGTCTCGATGGGATTGAGTGTACTTCGTCGGCGCCATTTATCTCTGGAGCTTTATCTGGGCCACGCTTGGAATTGGATGTTGATGGGAGTGTGCGTATTTGATTGAGGCTATTTAACTCTGGAGCTTCGTCCACAAGTTTGGGATTGATTGCTGATATTGACCGTCTAGGGTATTGTAGTTGGGAAGCTATAGCTGACCGGGGATTTATATTGAAGCGGCATCTTGTTAAGGCCCGGGAGCTTGCATACTCCATGGCTGAGTTAGTATGTGATGATGGATATGGTGATCATGAAGTTGCAAATTACAAGAATCTACACCGCCTAACAATCCGCACCAATCAAAAGTGGCCATTTGCGGGGGGTTTAGATCCCTTGTCTTTCAGATAATTAAGGTGTCCCTCGTATTCTCAGTCGAAACACACTCTTTGCCCTGGCTAGGGAGATGTGAAGCTGAAATTTCAAACGTCTAATTTGGTGATCTGCTAACCTAGTTCGGATAGTAGATATCACAGATTGTACCTGCATGCGCCACAACATGCGCCATATCCTGGAGCGGGGACTCGGCACAAGCGGAGCTCAGCCCCTGATACGGAGTATTCCGCCTTTTCGTTGCTCAGGGCAGTGCTTTAAAGTTTCTTGGGGAATACGGTATGACTGCTCTATCTCTCAGATGATGCATTGAGCCTTGGCTTCTCAACCCTTGTTCAGCTGCCGAAAGGACAAAGGCGCAATACTCTTTCCTACACATCTTGCCCCATACTCTACCATAGCCCAGTGCCCAGTGCCCAGTGCCCAGCTCAGTGCTCAGTGTCCACTTTGTCTGTATAGTGTACGTAATCTTCATGGGCTGTGACAGCCCTCTGGACGATGATGAATGTCTAGGAAATACCGGATAGATCGTCTTTTACCGCTCTCATTCACCGGGCTAGTGGCATGCGATTTCGCCTTATACTCAATTTCCGCTCTTGGGACTTTCCCTGCTCAGTATGCTGACGTGATATTTGACAAGACATATGGATGGAGCTAATAAAGATCTGAAGCAGAATGGCTCTTGCATTGCTCAAGCCCTGTTGCTTCGTCCGTCCCGTAGGTTGTTGGTTTCTTGTCACAGGTTTCATATATTGATATCATTACCTAGATAGAGCTGTGAACTATGCCATTTTTTTCTTCCAGAAATCACAGTAGATAGATACCAGTTATGAGATCAAGAGTTCTATCTTCTACCAACAAATAGTTCTAGATATCCAAGGATCGTTCAAACCATGTGATCCATATAATAGGATGAAAACCTCAGGACTGTTTCTCTCCATTTTTATTTTGTCGGTCCATACTAGTTTCGTCGATTAATATAAGTCGATTTTCTGCGTCCTCAGTTCCGACTTTTAAAATTTAGTATAATGACCTCGGAAGTGACAGCAATTTGAGGTCTTATCGCGGAGTTTTACTGACCCCGCTAAATACCGATGTCGGGATGCATTGCAATCAACCTCTTTCTTCAAACATCACTTAATATATTTTTGCACCTTTACTGATTCAAAATTGATTTCATATTGTTCTTTCTTTCAGAAACAACAAAGAACGGTGAACCTCCAAGTCACCTATTCATCATTCGACAATGCATATTCTCTCAGAACCCGATGTGGCTCATATTTTCCGCAGCTTGACACGGGAAAAGTGCCATGATTTCATCAACGTACTCGAAGATGCACTTGTAGCTTTTTCAGAAGAGTCAAAACCAACTGTATCAGCTTCTGAAAAGCTTATCCACCAACCACTGCGTACCGTATTTACCACAAAAGCAGACAACTCGTGCATTTTCATGCCTGTTTCTGACACCGTCAGCACTGGTATCAAGGTAGTCACCGTCAGCCAGAGTGGTCTTCGGGGTGTCATCAATGTTTTCTCTCCCGAGGGACGCTTACATGGTCTGCTTGCTGCAGCGGAGGTAACAGCGTTCCGCACAGCCCTTGCCACTATAACTCTGTTTGTACGCTGCACCACCATTAGGAAGCAGAATGTGCTTGTTTTCGGATCCGGTCGCCAGGCTGAATGGCATGCACGACTGGCTCTCTTGCTTTACCCTGACCAGATTCGTCGGGTGACGTTTATCAACCGAGGAAGCAAGAGACTTGAAGAGATGGAGTCGGACGTTTTTAAAGACTTGCGTCAACGTTACTCGAATGTTGCCGTCACGGCATTTTCTAAAGAGGATGCATCTGATTACGATGACAGACTTCTCAAGGAATTGCAAGAGTGTGATGTTATATTCAGCTGCACGCCTTCTACGGAGCCAAACTTCCCATATTCGGCTCTCAAATCGGCGCCTAAGCAGCGCTTCATCTCTCTTATTGGTTCATACAAGCCACCTATGCATGAGATTGACACAGAGACTCTACTTTCTGGCGGGGGTAAGATCTACGTTGATTCTAAATCAGCGTGTCTGGAGGAGGCTGGTGAACTTATCACGGCCAAGATCACTGAAAATCAGCTAATAGAGATGGGTGACCTTCTAGGGTCACTTGGTCCAGCGGACCCTGTTGTGGTACCAAAAGGCTGCAATGTCATTTACAAGTGCGTGGGCATGGGTTTGATGGATCTTGTCATTGGGAAAAAGGTGCTTGAAGTTGGAAATGAGCAACAGTTAGGAACTCATGTTGATGGATTCTAAGTGATGAAAGCGGCTGTTCTGTTTCACCATCACCTACAATTCCGACATCCCTTGGTCTTTTATAAGTTTTATTTTGATTTTCTTCCACTAGTGAACTATGAAAATCAATGAAATATGACCCTAACTTTTTAGTGCTTCCATATTGACAGTTGTAGACAGTGGCAAAGACACACGTGATGGCATTACGTCATGTATATATGTTGCCTGAGGTTTTCCCAACAAGTGCATCCCACGTTGAGCTGATGGGCCGATTGGACAGAACATCTACCATCAGCAGTTTTCCAGATTGAAACTCGGTCTAATTAAGCTGGAAGTCTTCAGGCTTTAGGCTCAAAGTGATAGTGAGACCTTGTAGTGATACAGGCTTATTGAACAATCTCAACCATCATTTTTAAACAAACCCCAATTTCCGCCAACATGGATATGCTTTCACAACTGACCTTGTCATCATGGCGCAACTTCAGTCTCTTTTCTACAGAAGAGAAGAAACCCATTGACATACCCTCCGTCAAAATTCATGACCTGGAATCAGTCGAGGAGAAACCCGCTAAGCGCTTAAAGTATTTGCTGAAGCTAAACCATGCAAATTACGCTATTCTATACAACGACCGCAAATTCCACAATCATGCGCCCCATGTGAGTTGACAGAGCCCGCCTCGGTTGGCGTTTTTGCTAATTCGTCTGGCAGCTCATTAGTGCCGCGTTCTTACAGGGCGCGAGCGCAGATGATCTAACTCGGATCTTTGACAATGAGTCTCAGATCTTGAGTGAATGGGAAGATCCACCTGCTGAAGTAGCTGATGATTGGAGAGACTTTCTGGGACGTCGCGAGTATGTATAAGCACACTCCTTTGGCAACTCTCCGCTTACCAGTCATAGGTATCAAAAGTCATTCGTCGAGTATTTTGACGATGAGATAGCTCGAGATAACTATGACTGGAAACAAGTCGTCGCAGAAAGTCTCTTCGAGGGCGAGCAGCCTGTTTTTAATGGCCTTATTGCTGACTGTATGTGATTTTGAATGAGAGCATAATCTCCAGCAGTCCTTGAAATACGAATACTAACGATTGGTTGCAAGTGGGACATCCCCTCATTCACCTGGCCTATGCATATGAAGTATCCAGCAAGGAAGTGGCCATGGAGGCCCTCGGGCTAGCAGCAACCTGCTACAATAACCTGCACACATACCTGGATGACCCCGTCCATTCACAAAGCGAGCCGTCATATCGCTCAACATCATTATTTGAGATTATCGAGAAAGTCCGTTCGGACCCAGAACTCGATGGATTGTTCGACTCCTTCGGTGATAATAACCGAGAAACTCTCTTCCAAACTCGTGAAGCTTTACTTCTGAACCACTGGAATGCATTGACAATCGAAAACCCGATCGAACAGATTCGTGAAAGCCAAGAACTTGCCACTGCACTCTTCATTTCGACATCAGCGTCAGAAGATAAATACGACTTTTACCTCGTACATCTTCTCACTACCAGTCACGCAGTTCGCGTTCTGTTGCCTCTTATCCCGGCTAAATTCCAGATTCCCCTTTTCCGTCAATGGTGGCTCCTTACCCTGTCAGTCTTCATTGGACAACTTCGTCCTCAAATCCTGATGAATCGCATTTGTGATTTTGATCTCAAGGGTCGGGACTGGCAGTGGACCGCTAGGCAGGCTGTGAAGGGGGATTATTCGACTGATTCTCACTATGTTAAGACTCTTCACTCCTTGAAGGTAATGTCTTCAACCTGGGGCGATCACGATAATTTCTATCTCAAGGCCGCTGTGAAATTTGCTGAAGGCTTCAATGGGTGGGGTGGTTTTGTCTGATTATGAAATTGCTTCATTGAAATCTGATTGATCTTTGTACATTTATAGAGGGTAATAATAGGAAATAAATGAGACATTTGAATACGGCGGCGAAGCGGCCAAGAATGATTCTGAAGGATAATACCCTCGAAAATTATGGAAGTAGAAACTAAATTGAAAATCACTTATCAACTCGTTGCAAATTGTAAAATCTAACAAATTGATTGACGCCTCGATTCTGCCGGGGCATCATTGTAAGGCGGTAAGTAAAACGCGGTGCAGAGCTCTTTGCAATGTTTGCTGTTGTCGTGTCCAACTTCCGTCTTAAATATGTCAGATTTGCCTCACCAAGATTCAAAGGACGCTATTTATCTACATGCTGAGCTGCTTCCTAATATCCGCCAAATCACCCTATACGTTTCACTCCCTCACTACCCAAAGCTTCATGGAATCCACCCAGAGATTCGGCTTTCGGACTCCCGCACGGAGGTAACAGTCTCCCTGCCAGAGCCATTTCATAATGTCACAGGAACAATAATATTGCCGGCACGTGTCGGCAGTGAAAGTGGTCGGATACAGAATATCAGTCCAGTATCAGCCAGCAAAATTAACCATGACTATTCTGTCAGAATGCAGATCGATGCGAATTTGCAGACATTAACATCACAGGATGAACTGGTTGACGATTATGTACCATGGACCGCGGCAGATATGTCTACACGGACTCGTATTCAATGCCGCATGTGTGGAAACCGTTTTTTGAAACCACAACCAGAACACACGTCTGAGAACGACCAATCTCCCGCGGCTGGGTGGATCTGGAAGGACCTTCCAAGTGGGAATTGGGCAGAGATGATGGACTTTTGGCATTGCCATAAACCTGATCCTCACGAAGAAGATTCCAAATCTGATGCTACTGCTGCGCTCGGTATTGAAGGTCAGAATGCTCAGATTAAGGGCTACGGAGCTTCAAGTCGCCTTGAGGCAATCGCGGGTACTGTTCTCATCGATGTCGCCACTTTCCTGATTGCGTATTCGGACTGCGTGGGACTGAAAAAGGTAAGAAAGCTCTTTATTTTCCTGTTTCCTGTTCATACATTGCCAATCGAATTATCTTTGTCACTTTATCTTCTTTCTTTTCTTGGGCAATTTAGAAGGAGACCATTTTTTTTCAATGGGGTGGCCTCCGATACTATTGCCCTAAATCAATATCCCGTCTCTTGGGTTGGTCCTGGTGGTAAGCGGTTCACTCTTCGATTCAAAAGTCCCGGGATGTAGTTATCCTCCCTTGTGTGATGGATTTCAATTTCCGTGGTTGGCTGTTTTGGGTGTTATTCCGGCTGCCATCTTGATTACTCGTGATTTTCGGCAGCCTCTAATTGTAACTTGTCAGTTTTTCGTGTTTTAAGGCCGACATGATACAATGAAGGTACATACAACCAGCTGCAGTCTTCCACTACTGGCCTTTAGAAATATGAATACATTCCTTTGCTTATGTTTACACTTCCAATTTGCGATCACCCGTATTCTACCTCTATATGCTAACATACTCTTTTAGGACAGTCAATTAGCTACCAAGTCCGTGTCTAAGCCCTCTGAACAACTAGCTTTACATTGCGACAAGTGTGATGCTATTGTCGGGATGGACGACTCGTCTATGAACGGGTATCGCCTTCTAAAAGCAAACCTAAGCCTGAACGCGGATAAAGCGACAACCCACGAAACACAGTGGGAAAGCCACCCAACAGAAATCATAGTTGCAGCCCAATTGCTGGAATTAATAGAGCGAGAAAGCGCCCGAAGATTCGTGGTTCATTGCGGACAAAAATCGGGATTGTTAGTACGTACAATATCTGAATTCAATGGATTGCTATACAGCGACTGATCCATATTTCTAGCTCTGGGTTTTCAACCCGGATATGCGCTACTCGCACTACAGTTCCAGCACGACCCGCCGAGTGAACGCCAGACAGGCTATGAAGGTTTTCTTCCAGCAAGCAACAGATGTCGAGTCGATTCTGAATCGTGATATTGGCAAGCCGTCTCCTCTTTCGGTCGAGGAACTGGAATTGCCTCGTATGATCTATGAGGCTTTGTCTAGGGCTCTTTTGAATAGCCATATGTTGCTCCCTCTCTCGGTGAGGAGATTCAATGAATGGCAGGTTGGATTGCTGAGTCGGTTTAGTCGTGAAGAGCTTGGTCTGAATAAGGATGTGTAAGAATATTATGGTTACGGAATCATAGAGAATCGGATCCTCAATTCATTAAAGTCTTTCTCGTCCTAAACAAGATCATCTCAGGTCAATACACAGTTGGTGCCCAGGTGCTTACAATCTTGGAATGTTGAGATATGCTCCCAAGGTCTTCACTTTCACTGCCTTTGGGTATTCTACCTAATTACCAAAGAAATTCGTAGGGAAAATTCCAGGGCTTGGAATATCTAGGTATGATAAAATTTGAATTTAGGCTGTTCCAAGGTTCTATCTTAATTATATAAGCAGCTCATATAACTAGCAATTATAGATCACTTTTGATGATATTGTTGACTTAAACTACGCAGCAAGACTAATATGGCTAGAAGAACAACTTTGATATCTCTTTTCAGAGAAATAAGTATGATTGATTGATTACTCACACTCATTAGCAAACTCACATCTAGATATTGACTCACGACCATCTACTAGATGCGTGCTTTCTCTATGCTTTTCCCATAGATTCGCAGAATGCGCCTCTTATTCAAAATATCCACTTGAGACTTACATGCCCTCATACTCAATGGTCCACCGACTTGCTTCAACCAATAAGACCGACCACAGTCAAACAGCCAATTGCGCGAGGCGACACGAACCAATTCAGCCAAAGAGCACTGTTCCTCATCCCGGTCCTCGGTGAAGACAATGCGTGGAAGCTCACGCAGGATCGGAGATGGTGCGTTAGAGTGTACTATATCGATATAGTCGTCAAATGTGAAGGACTCGTATAGCTCTGATGCTATCTGAACGAGACCGGTTGTGCGGGCGGCTGCATGAAGCAGACATGCGTTGGCCACGAAATCAACAGGGATCTCGTCAATGATATTTCTCCCAGTCTTGTAGCCATCTGCCGAATGCCAAACTTGCGTACCATTGCGATCACCCATAAATAGTTGGAAAAATTTATTGAGTGGCGTTGAGTTTTCCAGTCCGTACAGCGGGTACGGGTCTCGTAAGGACTGACCGAAGATCGTTGGGCGGAGAAGTAAAATGGGTAGCTTTGGGAACCGATGTGGCAGCAGTCTTTCCATCACATATTTGGCATGAGCATATGTGGACGAGAACTTCGTTGCGTGTGGTGTCTCTTCCCGAGCTAAGATAGAGGCAAGTTCCTCTTCTGGACTTACATCCGTCAAATTATAAAGTCGCTCCAGGACTGGGCCGTCGGGGAGAAAACTATTGACATATGCAGTTGATATCTGAACGAGGAGTCGGAGATGCCGAAATTTTGAGACCATGCTTGCCATCTCCAGTGCCGGCAGGCAGTTGTTCTCAAAAGCATCATATAAGTTTGCATCCAGTGTAATCTTGGCTGCTGAATGGATAACCAGCGTGACCTCGTTTTGAAGCTGTTCTAGCAGTGCAGGCTCTATTCCGAAACTGGGCAACCTCATATTGCCGATCACAAACTTTATCTTTTTGCTTGCGAGGATTGCATCTGCTTGGTCTGGCATAGCCCTCCGAAGCTTTTTGATTGCCTGCTGAGGCTGACTGCGGATCAACGCGTAGATCTTGCGTGTGGGAAGCTGGAGTGCTAATTTGTATAATAGGACTCCGCCTAGGGACCCCGTACATCCTGTCAGCAACACTGTATGATTTTCAAATATCTTTGCATAGCCTCCCCGAAGCACGTTGTCCGCATGTGATGGCGGTGGTGCTGGAAACAACGACATCAATATATATCGGGAGCTTCTCGAGATTTGTAATGAAATATTGATTCTTGGATGCTAAGTACCTAGGTAGAACTTTCAAAATACTCACTTAATCAGAACTCACTTGAGGTTATATAACTATCTTTAACCGGCAATTGCCTAATGCTGGGTAACCTACTTTGACCATCTGGTATGACAAACTTATGTTCAATGTCACGCTACTCAAGACAGCTCTTTTGCATCATAACGAAGTGCAGCTCTAGACTCGGATTCACATGATATACCGAGGTCCATCGTGAGTATGAAGACCCTCTGTGACTTAGCTTTATCGGGGGAATACAGTTTATCTAAATGCCCCGCCAGTACAGAACAAATTTACCAACCTCGTTTATTGTGCCAGCTCATCCAATTATGGGAGATCTCAATCTTACCCCTATACACCGTTCAATATCTCTATTGGAAGGGGAGGAACAGGCGATACGACCTCGGGAGGTGCCCCATTGCCCGATATTTTGATTCCGATAGGCCTCATGTGATATCAACCAAGATTACACGCCAAGAATGAAGGATCGTATGTGAAGGGTCCGAAAATGGTGGTATCTCTTACTGAGTCTCCTTCGTACTGTTAGTTTCCCTCTTCAATCTTATATTCGGGACTCGGTGATTCCGATATAAAGTAGTAAGCACAATATATACCTACATTAGCCATCAATAAGGTCGGGTCTCTTGACTTTTATTCCTTCTATACTTCAGTCATTTAAAGATCAAAAATGATAGACTATAGCTTTTTAGTTGGATCATCATCTAATGGAACTTCTGTTCTTTTCTCACCATCTATCATTGAAAGTCTCTGGATTTCCATTAAGTTCTACTCCATAAGCCATAACTCTCAGAAATTTCAGCAAACCTCATTCAGAGTTCAGTCAACTGCTGCAGGACACCGATTTCGATTGAAGATTTTGCTTATTCTTAAAATAGAGCCTCGATAGCTTCCTCTACCTTCTTACCGACCCCATTTCCCCCTTCAAGCCAAACTCGACAACTTCGGCGCCCAGCACGGAAAATCACTTCGCTACTGTATTCATATCGAGATGCATAGCACTTGCCCTACCCTGTCTCTTATTGTATTCACCTGAAAGCACAAACTCCAAGTTCTTGGCATCGAGGGCCTGAAATGAAAGTGTAATGTAAGTAAGACCCGGTTAGTTAGCTAAGGTTGATTTATACTTTTTTGTGGGCCGTTCACTTACGGATCAACAATTCTCCGAGATTGAGATCGATTCAAGAAAAAGAACTGCGCCGATTCAATATCATTATCATCACGGTTATCCACTCTCAATTAAGATGGCCCTCACCGCTCGGACAGCGTCCATTTCACGGACTACCAATGAGACCAAGATTCAAGTCTCTCTCTCCCTTGACGGAGGCATTCTCCCAGCCTACGAACCAACCACCTTCTTCCCATCGCCAACAGACCCTCAAGAAGCTGAGGCAGCCAAGAAAGGCATTGTCCGCCCCACTGATGCCGACCATGCGACTCAATTCACTCCCACCCAGCAAATCACCGTAAGCACTGGCATTGGGTTCCTGGACCACATGCTCCACGCCCTGGCAAAGCACTCCGGATGGAGTCTAGCAGTGCGGGCCAAGGGCGATCTGTACAGTAAGTTACAAGCCAGATAGAAACCACGATCTGTCAAAGTTTCAAATTAACCCGCGACTCCAGTCGACGACCACCACACAACAGAGGATGTATTCCTCGCCCTCGGCACAGCATTCACAAAGGCTCTCGGCGCCCGCCAATCACTAGCCCGTTTTGGTCGCGGAGATGCCCCGCTTGACGAAGCTCTCTCCTGGGCTGTCATCGATCTCTCCAGCCGGCCATGGGCTGTTATCAACCTCGGCTTTAAGCGCGAGAAGATCGGTGAATTGAGCACTGAGATGATCACCCATGGTCTGCAGAGCTTCGCGCAAGCTGCAGACGTCACCCTGCATGTTGGCTGCACTTACGGTGATAACGACCACCACCGTGCGGAGAGTGCCTTCAAGGCTTTGGCTGTTGCTCTTCGCACGGCTTGTGCGCGTAGGGTGGCTGGTGAGGTTGGCGCCGGCGACGTCGTTAGCACTAAAGGCGTGTTGTAAGCTTCAATTTGTTCAAAATTGGATGAGAATATGGTTAGACGAGAGCATAAAGTAAAAAATTTACTTATTATATAGAACACTCCTGACGTCTTTCCCTGGATACAGATCTAGCTGAAGTGTGAGAAGAGCCGGTGATGAAACAAAAGTTTGGTGAAATGTCACGACAAATGGATATGAAATAAAACCAAATCATGAAAAGACTTTATCCAAAATACTATAAACTCCTACCGAGTATGCAAAGAACCAATTTCGACTCATTGTCCACAAATATCACCTGTCTGTTCATATTGGTAAAACCCCGAGCCCGATCAGGAACTTTGGACGCCAAGTGTCGATATAGCCCGATTCCAATAAGCCTTCCGATCATCGGTAACAAAAGTACCAATGCATTGAGTAATATACTTCTCCCACCCAGCCTCTGAACCAGTTTGAAGTGACTGGCGCACATCACTGGAGCATTGAGTTGTCAAGAACCAGGCACCAGAGCCAAAGTCATATGTTTCATCATCGCGAAGCAGATCTAGTAGATCGGCCGGGCTATCAGAAACAGCAGCTAGTTTGTCTTTCAATGCTGGGATGGAAGAGGCATAGATCTTATTAAAGGATGGTGATTGCATGTTGCGAGCTATGTTATTAGTTAGAAAGGGGAATTAAGAGAAGCCCGGTATGGTGCACAAGCTGGGCGAAGAGAAGTTTAAACTTACTGCCTTGTCCTGCAACGCCAGGGAAATGGTTTTTGTTGTACTTAAAATCGCCACTTTCAAACGCTATCAAGCTGATGATAGCGGCTTGTTCCGCCTTCGAAGTGACCTGGTATGTGTTGAATGACGAAGATGTGAACTGAGCAGCTGTTTTGGCTGTGGCGCACTCGCCCTCGGCTGGGGCATCGTCACATGTATTTGCCTTCGGTGAGATATCCAGCACTTGAGATTCTGTCAGGGTTATATTGTGTTTGTGGTGGCGGCCTGGGATGGGTGTTGCCGTGGAAAAGAGAGCCAGCGCGAAGAGCAGGGTTACTGTTAGGGTGATGTGCATCATCTTGATAAAGTTGGACTGGCGAGAAGACAGTTATTACGTAGATATGGCGAAAAAGAAGATGTTGTCGTTGATAATCTACAGTACATGCTGATACCTGGTCCTTATATCCTAGACCCCTTATATCCTAGACCTATTATACGTCACATTTTTCCTAGTGGGAGACGAACATAGCAGTAACCTGCTGGCTGTTTCAGCCATAAAGGGCGACGTGGCGGAATGCCATAGGATACTGACTGAGTATGTAGCACACCAGGGCGAATTTTAGCCCAACCACATTCATACTTCGACCCTTCATCATGCCAGATCTTTGTAAAGGGAGCCTTGTAGAGGTTTCAGAGCTAAGAGTTAATAGATACGGCGCCACATGAAACAAATTGAAGGAACGATTCAGCGGCAGCAGTATGGAACATCTACATATTAAACAGCCATTGGTTGAAGAAGGAGTTTCAAGGATGCGAGTGCTGTCGAATGGAACTGAATAGTGGATTCGTGCGAGCAAATAGTAACAGAGTAGTGTGTTCAACTAAGCAATGATCTGGCGGTAATGCCAGTTACGGAATCTGACTAATAATGCACTAAACTAAACTTGGAATCGGTCCTTTGAAAAGTACATACCACGGAGTGCGGAGTATCAATATTCCGAGTACCCCACTGTAGGTCATGTGACCTTTAATATCAACCTTGTAAACACTTGATGGCCAAATTATATATGCAGCATATCATACTTCATCATGGAATTCCTCGCTCAGTGCGTTGATAGCGCGCTAGAAGCTGTCTCAATGGATTCCATAGATGCCCTTCGCACATTCTTCATCCTCGGTGGTGCCACAGTAAGCGCCATCTGCGTGCCCTGCCTTGCACGAAGCTAATTTCAGCTTGACAGACAATCTTTGTTAGCATTCCAACCTCGCTTCGGTCGCACTTTCTCCTATATGGACCTCGCTCTACTCCAATCAAGGACTCTGAGCCCCAGGCCGGCCACGATGCTTCGTCATCCGGTCTCCTAGGTTATCTTGCATCCTACCAAGTGCCTCATAGCTATTTCAAGCACTTTTATATCTTCTCCGTCTTATCATCGCTATTCTGGGCCTTTCAGCTGATCCGACGCGGATCTTTTTTCGAGGCCATTGCGTCGCGGGTTAGCGAGGAGCACCAGCAACAGTCAATCTCTCTGACCCAGGTATTGATCTGCTGGATATTACTGTTTATGCAGGGATCGCGACGAGTGTGGGAGAGCTACGAGTTTGCAAAGCCATCGTCATCACAGATGTGGGTTGTCCACTGGCTGCTTGGATTTGCATTTTATCTTGCAGCTGGAGTTGCGATCTGGATTGATGGATCAGGTATGAATAGTCCATGTATTGCCCCCGAACAATCTGAAATAACTGACTCTGCTTGTCTCATTTACAGGAGCTCTCACCACCCAGAATCTCACACTAAGTGATCTTCAGCTGACGAATGCCCCGAGTCTGCGTACTTTGATCTTCGTCCCGCTTTTCCTGATCGCCTCCGGTTTGCAACACGACTGCCACCATTTCCTGTTCTCCCTGAAGAAATACCAAATTCCAGATCACCCGCTCTTCCGCGGCGCTGTGTGTCCCCACTACGGAGCCGAATGCGTAATCTACTTATCCCTGGCATTCATCGCTGCGCCACCAGGCCAAGCTGCCAATAAAACGCTACTGGCGTGCGTTGGCTTCATTGCTGCTAATCTTGGGGCTACTGCCTTGACAACAAAACAGTGGTATATACAGAAATTTGGTAAGGATTCTGTGCAGGGTAGGTGGCTTATGATTCCAGGAATTTATTAGACGTATTGAGCATGGGCGACAATTGAATCCACTGTTTTGACGTCCATCCCAGTGACTTCCAAAAAAGCTCTCATGCAGATTTCCCTATCTCCATAGGACCAAGCTATACGAGAATGCTGTCAAACAGATGAGGTATTGAAAAAAATACATGGCTGTTTTTTTCAAAGAAGTCAAAATCATCATCAACGCGAAAAGATTCTCAAAGGATGAAGCTTCAAAATCAATCGATATGGGGAGCCGAAACTGATGCTGAACTTTTTACTAGGCTGATCCTGAATGCCCATGATATGGGAGATGATGAACATTTTGAAATAGGAACAAAAATTAAGATGCATGCATCCGAAAGAAGTTTCGTTAGGAATTTTCAATCAGCCTTGCTTTCCCAGTAAGAAACAGCCCCCAGCTCCATCCAGGTCCACATATTTAAAAGCGCCACTTTAAATAGTTGTGCTCTTCCCATATACACTGAAGCCAACTGAGATTAGAAAATTAGATCTTAGAATTTTCTGTCTGGATGCCTATTCAATTGAGAAAATTTCCTAGGTCTACGAATTGTCACTCCACCACTTGGCTAGCTGATTGAACTGATCTGCGGTTGAACTGGTCTGCGGTAACTTGAAGTTATTTTGAATTGTTTTAATGCTTTTATTCCGGTGTTGGAAGCTTGTTCCTTTGCACCAACACTTAGCAAACTGCCGCTATGTGTAAAGATGAGAAGCTTCAAATTTTGGAATTCAATAGACGCTGAATTTTCAGCTTGCTTTGCAAAAGCAGAGATTGGTTTCGTCTTGAAATTGAAGCTTCTCAAGATATTCATTTTCAATCAATTGTAGATATTCCCTTCCAGCGACTATACCACTACCAAAGAGTCAACCGCCTAATGGCCGAATCTTCAACTAAGGTCCTTTCTGAGCGCATAAAACTTCAAAAAGGGCACCGACACATCAAGGATGGTCACATTATGATACCATGCCCTCTGAATACACCCGATCTCCAGGCAGGCCAAGATATTGTCACCGTGCTCTATAACCACATGGGAAGTCTCGTACTCGAATATGATTCCTCCTGGGTGGAGAAGTCCGGGTTTAGAGTGCGATCTACCGAAGTCGAAGCAATGCGACTTGTCTTTAAGTATACCGATGTTCTAGTTAGTCCCTGAGGTACTTTTTACTGGTTTCCGATCAGAGGAAAAGCGAAAAAAAAACGCTAAGAGACTTTTCTAATCCCAATTCTCCTCTGAGTCCAACTGCTGGACTTATTGGAGTGACTATTATTTTCGGCACAGTTCTGGAGCAGAAATGAAATAAACTAGAAGATAAGTCTAAAGAGTCAATCTGTCTTCAACTATGAGACATGTTATCAAAAATCCGAACTATTCCTTGTCCATCAGAGCTTAAAGGTCTCTATCAGTGTTCCGCGGACGGCTCCCCATCAGTGGACCCGGCGCGACGTCTCCATGCGTCAACACAGATCGATCCGACTGGGGCAGCATACTTGGTGAGTCTTGCTGATATAAGGTCCCCCCATAGTGTATTTACCTTTCATAGATTCTTGCACGTAGGTGGGAGTCACTTAGAAGGGGTCGAGCAGGGTATTGTAGATCCTCGAACATTGCGTAATATCATTATTGACGAGCAGAATAATGCTAGCGGCATTCTAGACTGGGAATTCGCGGGATGGTATCCTGAGTACTGGGAGTATGTGCAAGTCATGCGTCCGGTATTCTGAGGGGACTGGTCGATCTGGATGGAAAAGACCGCGCCAGAGCGGTGGGATCTCTCAGGAATTAATGCTGCCAGGAAGGGTTTATTCTGAGTGCAGAGGATTTTACTTCTAGTCCCAAAAAGCTTAAAAGCCGCAAAATATGTTGATTACTCTTGAATCTTGATAGTTCATGCTTCCTTGTTCGCCTCCCAAGTCAGATACGGAATAAATTATTCTCTCGAGTCGCCAGCTAAGAAGCCCAGCAATAGAAACTCTCCTATCCTGATAAGAAAGCTTATACCTCTTTAAATCAAGTGAATTTAGTAATAATAAGCTTTAGGAAATCGTTCCCCCATATTATTTTTCTCCCGAGGATGCCTCTCACTCCTATTTAAATCGTGATTCGTGAATGAGAGGGCCCTGATGCCGTACAAGACGAGCTTATTCGGGAAGACTTTGATCTTCCGCCAGGAAAACCAATCTTATACAATACAAAGTTTGACCTACAATTTTTTTCTTCTGCTCTAAATACTATATATTGGGTGAACTAGCAGATTCTGTTGGGGAAATTCACTGATTCAGTATTCAGATATTCAAGAGATTTACCAACTGTTGGTTCTGTATGCAGGAGAAATTCGGTTCTTGCCCATCAAGTAGCTAGAATCAAGTCACTGATCACCATCCCTACATAATTTGACTCTTGTAACTTTCTCTGATTTTGCACATTCATCACCACTGCTGCGATTCTCTTCATACAAAAAGAGCAGTGGATAGGGGTCGTTTTTCCATTTCGGGATATCGCACCTTTGACTCTTCCACATGGTTCCAAATAAACTGACGAGTCCCAAAATACAAACTAGCACTGGGGAGATGATCCATGGCCAGTGCACCGCAACGTAAGAAATATTTGTGAATGCTTGTCCAGAAGTTTCGCCAGCAGGATAAAGTTCAGACCACTGAGTGTATGTAGAATCTCGAATACTTGTGGATATAGATTTGGCGATATTGGTCAACACACATTCCAATTGAGATGCATCGGTTTTTCCACATCCGTTATTAGCTCCCAGTGCAACAGTATTTATAATTTCGTTGGTAAAGCTATATGCCCCGTCATCGACCTCAAAAACATTTCCTGTAAGGAGACTCCAAAGGAATCTATTAATGCCCGAAGCTCCAAGAGGTCCGATTCCAAAGGTTTGATTGTATTCCATTCCTTTTTCGAGACCCCATGGAGGACGTAGAAGCATTATGTAATTGCCGTCAAGAGACTGCTCGTCTGTTAAGGGATTTTCCTCAGCCTTGACAGGAGTGCAATCTGTCCATTCATCGAGGATTCTTTCAGAATAGATGCCTTTTAATACTTGCGCCTGAACACTGCGGACAACAGGAAAGAAAGCGCACTGCATTGCCTGGTATTGAGGTTTTAAAGGTGATATCTTTGAATTTAATATCCCATTTTTAGCGATTATCTGCCACCCGCTTGTATAATTGCCTGCGCATTTGACTGAAGGTTGATAGCTTGGAAGAAGTTGAGATCCCTATAGTCCAATTGCAAGTGGAACGCTACTCACAGTTATCGGTCCACCTGAGATTGGAAGGATGTCAGGTGAAAAATATGCTTCAGGACCAGATAGGGAACCCATAATGGTAATTGTGCAGTTTTTATAGTCCTTGCCATCGGCAAAGAAACTATTCAAGCCAGGAACAGAGCGACAAGTTATGTTAAGCTGGTCAGTTATATTAACACAGCTTAAGCCCATTTCCAGTGTGGCAACTGGACTCCAGGTGCAATTACCAGAAGTGCAAGTGTAATCTGGAGTAGACCATATTGTTGAGTTATCACCAAAAATTGCGTTATATATACTTGCTTTTAACGCTGGTTCCGGCTCATATGAATTGATATTGGAATTCTGACCTAGATAATATCTAGTTAGAAAATGTAGCTTTTAAAGTTAAGTTGATGTTATCCATTCCATACCGAACATTTGTGTATTTGCAGAATTATAGTAAGAGTTATTTCCAAGGGTTGCTTCTTGTGACGGATCAGCGACAAGTTTTGGATAATAATGTATCAAGTTTTGCATGAAAGGATCGAAAGATATAGCGATAATGACAGCTGAACTGGCACACACAATAAAATGTCTGTTTCATAGATAGATTTTATCAGTATATGCCTATGGAGATAGGGCAGTAGAGGAAACGTATTACCTTGCGTTCAGACCCCAAATCAATCTTGCACTACCATATATTCCTCGACTTGCCGAATCAAAAAGACCAAGATCAGAAATTGGCCTCTTTTGTTGAGAGAACCACACCCATTTTAATTGCCCTATGACCTCACTGAGACAGAACAAAATAAGTGCTTTAGAAATCGTGCTTAGCCAAGACACAGCTGAGTTCAGTGAGATGTATTGCCAAGAGGGCTGAGCACGATTATTTAAATAGGCAAGAACAACAACGATGGCGACAACTAGGCAAATGGATAGAATAAGAGCCAGTATTTCTAAACTCCAACCTGACCATAGTGACTCCGCCATTGTAGATTGCTCGTTATAGGTTTCCACCTCGATTGTAGGAGAAATGAGGCGTTGTTCCTCGACATATAACTTCTGATCGGAATTTGACTCTCGATTGATGTGATAGTCATTTCCACTATCAAGACGGTCGTTAGAATGAGGACTCAGAGCAGGCAAGCTCGAACATGATATATCTGCTGCCATTTGGTTGAATTCTATTGAGAACAATAGGTTCAATTAATAGTAAAGTCCTAAATTTGAGGCAACTCTGTGTATTCTAGCTGGGGGCTTATTACTCATTTAATAGCGAGGGAATTGAGAAAAGGACATCAACTTTTACTGGACCAATCAAAGTGCCTCTAATATCCCCACAGAGCCTTTATTTAGATCTATGATCAAAGTTAGCGCTAGAAGATAAACGTGACTGGAACAGCTAATGCAAATTACTGGGATGCAGGGCGTTAAGAGCGAGGCCCGAGCGTTGCAGTCACGTAAGGAGGTCAAGTAGCCCGCCTCAACTCTCCCAAATGAATTCTTATTTATATCAGCTGAACATCAACATTTGTAATGGAGCGGCCTCAAGAATCCAAATGTATAGAATTGCAGAACCTGATCGATGAGTAAGACGAAGGCTCTTTGGTTTCCCAAAAATTCTACGGAGTACTCCCCATGCTTTATTGTAACCAAGGGGAATCAACTGAAAAGATAACTGAAAATGCCAAGCCTTGTTAATCTAACTTAGGCCTAGCGTCTTGGTATTGGAAATGTTTACAATCGCGTCGTCCATCCTTACTGTAACGGACCTAAACTCTACGGATTGTTACCAGGTTACAGTTGAGCTGACAGGAGAAAAAAAGTTCCACTACAGAGGTGGGGTAATTAATTACTCTAATTTTGAACATAAGTATTAACCGATTTTGATCTCGACTCCACCAGAACTGCAGTCACATGACTCATATGTCAGCTTCCATCAAATTGAGGCCTTCGTTACGATTTAAAGCCATTGCCTAGATACAGAAGTCGGAATAGTACTTTACTATTGTCTATGGTCTGTAGAGTATACTTAAGACTTCAACGTAAGTTTGATCGATATATTATCTTGTCGGGATATTTTACAACCGATGACTCGACGACTGCCTGCTTGGACGGATTGCTTACCTAGGTATCAGACGTCTATATCAGGACCATATAGCATGCCGTTCTCCCATCATAGCCATTCAGGTCAATTTTGCCCTGGCCATGCCAAAGACTCTTTGGAAGAAGTCATCCAGACGGCCATTAGCAAGAAGATGGAAGTCTTCTGTCTAACAGAGCATATGCCCCGACATAAAGAGGACTTTTACCCAGAAGAGGTGAGAAAATACCCGAAAAGTCCTCAGGATATCAATCAGTATGAATCAAAGTTCTGAAAATACTCTTAGATCGAAGCTGGCCAAACAGAAGCCTGGCACGAAAGCAATGAAGCTGATTACTGGGAAGAAGCCCAGCGCCTGCGCAAGAAATACGCTTCGCAGATCAAAATCATCATCGGATTTGAAATTGACTGGATTCGGCCCGAATCAAAAATCCTCATCGATCGCTCTCTGGCGCGATTTCCTTTTGAGTTCTTTGTGGGCTCTATCCATCATATGCACACTGTGCCAATAGACTTTGACCGGCCTATGTATGAGCGTGCACGCGAGCTAGCCGGTGGTACGGACGAGCGTCTGTTCGAAGACTACTTTGATTACCAGCTTGATATGCTGCAGCATCTGAAGCCTCTCGTTGTTGGTCACTTTGACCTTATTCGTCTCAAGAGCGATGATATGGAGGCCACTTTCACTCAGTGGCCTGATGTTTGGAGTAAGATTTTGAGAAATCTGGACTTCATCACCTCTTATGGAGGCATGTTGGAGATAAATGGTGCGGCATTGCGGAAGGGGATGAGAGAGCCGTATCCCAAGGCTGAGATTTGCAAGGTAAGTGCAGAATCGAGATTTGGCTTTGGGATCAAAGGCTGATGTTCCTATAGGAGTTCTTGGCACGTGGCGGTCGATTCTGTCTTTCAGATGATAGCCATGGAGTTGAACAGGTCAGTTTGAACTTTCATCTTGTACTGAACTTCTTGGATACTGTTGGTATCTCGTCTGTGCATTATCTCCAGCTGGCAGAGTCACTGGAGCTGTCCACAGCACCCGATTCTCGTTTTCCGCTCACGCAAATCGCTTCTGTTTCAACGGAAGATTTGAAGCAGATGGCCTTCTGGAGAGCGAAGTGATTGAAAGAAGGTCCCAACCCTGGGATTTTTAACTTGATGTCCAAACATGGCCATGGCGGTATATAAGAGCTCTAAAGCTTGTAGACGGGATACCAATAATCCATAGATATCCATGGATTTATTTGCTGCCTTAATATACCATATAAGATGATAGATCACATATGTAGGTACGGATTGGTCTTCATGACGCTCAAAGTTCCCATCAACCTTGGAATGTTCCTGGCTGTGACATTTAAGTTTCTATTGCTATCTATGTGCAAAATCTTGTAATATAACTAGACTTGGGTATTGCGCATGAATAGGCCAAGCATCCATGACGGAATACAAAAAAATGACTTTTTGGGAATGCCTATAACTCCAGCCCATGTAATTCAGAATGCAAATCGTTCAGACCATTCAACGCTTCCGCGAGTTGATGTTCCGGCCGGCGCCAACCTTCACGCGGCCACCTAGCTTGTTACGCTCACCAGTCAAGATGCCTGGCAAGTAGTCCTGATCCATAAGATCACGCTCCCGACGCTGACGGCGCTCCTCTTCCGTTGTGGATCGGACATATTCCTTCTGATCTTCGGCCAGAATGAGCTCTGTGCCCCAGCCGTTCTTTCCACCGCCACCCTTCCACTTTCCGTTAGCACTTCCGTGGATAGGCTTGGGAACGCTGTAGCGGTTTCCACGGTTGTTCCATTGCATGTTCTTCTTCAAGTGCATGGTGAAAGTGCCGTTGGCGGTGGTGGTGCATGCCACCCGAGTGAGAGTATCTCCACCGCAGCGAGGGCAGAACTGCTTTGACATTTCCTTGGTAGTGAGGAAACAGGCATGGCAGCGCTTAATGAAGGACTTGAGATGCTGGATTCTTTGCAGGGTGGAAGTCGATAGCAAGTTAAGGTTCATCTGCAAAAGGACGTTTTGACACTAAATGCAAGTTAGAGACTATATTTTTCCTGTGCATTGGATATCGGCTTACCGCGAAATCGGTGGTCATGGCTGCGACCTGCATCGTCTTGAGCTCGGTGGCTCCAGCACCATCTGCCTCATCACGGGCCAGCCGCTTCTTGTAGTTGGTTGGTGTGATCCATTCACCGCCATCAGAGTCAGATTCGGCGGCTGCGTCATCCAAATCCACGTCCTCCTCCTCTTCCTCTTCCTTCTCTTCGAGGTTCTCTTCGGGGGCATCCTCAGTCACCGCCTCTTCAGTGGGAAGTTCAGTGACTGGTTCTTCTTGCACAGGCTTTTCTTCAATCTCTGATAGAGTAGCCGTCTCAAGACCCTCAGTAACAGCGTCCACTCCACTAGACTCGGTCTCCTGAGCTTTCTGCTCCTCAGCCACGGGCGGCTTTCCATTGATACGCTTCTGTCCAGGAACACTACGCAAGCGCCAGTCACCTCCATTTCGCTCGCATTCAATCTCATAGGCAAGAGCCAGCACTTCAATATCAGTGCGACTGAGGACAGACCGGTCACCAGTCTTGCGGGCGAATTCGCTGATGATATTGAAGCTAGCAGGTGTGGGCGATCGCTGCTTCAAAAAAGGCAGGTACAGAGTTTCGACTCGGAGACGAGCATCGGGATCACGAATCTCACTCACCACGGACGGGGTGGTGATGATCTCGTCGCACTGGTTGAGTAGGGTAGAAAGCGGCGGGGTATTTTTGAGGATTGGGCCGGCATCCAACACAATTGTGTGGACGGGCTTTGCTGGGGAAGACACAGAGTCTGCCATTTTAGCTTGCAATGTAAAATATAATTGCAGCGGCTCAAATATAAGCAAAGGTCGTGAACTCGTTGTGAAAAGGAATTATATGTTGGCGATGCGGAAGGAAATTTCTCATGGAATTGGTCTGTGCGCGCTTATCGTCTATCTTATCTTATCGGCTCGATTATCACGAGGAATCTTAATGTCCTATATCTCCTTTCGATTATCCCAATGTTCTATTATGCTACCCTCTGCTGTCCTTTGTTGTCTTCTTCATTACTCCCCTTGTCCCTTTGTTCATCTTCAAGTATTAAACAAGGCTGAAGTCTCAAGAAGAAGACCCGTGGACGACATTTGGACTTCTGGACTTCTGAATGTTGCGTCACAGTATGATATCAATATATCTCTCAAACCAGCGACTCCAAAGACCTTCCTTGAAGTGGTGGACTTCCTGGACATTTCCAAGTTTTGAGATTGACTTCGAGACATACAGCACCATCACAATAGAGCTCTGTATTGAACCTAGGTATTATCACTATATATGAGCTCCCAACTCCCGAGGTCGTGAATATCGCCATATCGGCTATAGATCAGCAACTATTCAAATGCCGACCGGGGCAATTCCGTCTCCACACCGTCATATGTTTCACCCCGCTTGGAGTATGAGGTGTTCAAAGCCGACTCAATCGCCGTTTTTCAATTCAAGATTGTTCCTGAATCTTGTTCTTTGATTCAATCAATCTACTTAGCTATTCAATATGTCAGAATCTGCCACAGCACTTGTCCTCCACGGCGCAAAGGACCTCCGTCTGGTTAGTTACGCAAGATCAATACCACGGCCATTCTAAGGGCTGTTCTAACATGACTGAACTCCCAGGAGAAACGCGATGTCACCCCTCCAACAGGTTCAGAAGTCCAAGTTGCAATCCAAGCAACAGGAATCTGCGGCTCAGACCTACACTACTACTCACACGGCCGAAATGGCGACTTCGTTGTACGAGCACCAATGTGCCTAGGCCACGAATCAGCTGGCACAATCACAGCCATAGGACCAGAAGTAACAACGCTGAAAGTGGGCGATCGCGTAGCCCTAGAAGTCGGACTGCCATGTCGGAAATGCGCCCTTTGCCAAACAGGTCGCTACAACATCTGCTCTTCAATGCAATTCCGCAGCAGTGCAAAGGCCTTCCCTCATTTGGACGGTACTCTCATGGAGCGCACAAATCACCCGGCTGGTATGTGTCATCTCTTGCCCACTCATGTATCAGACGCAGGAGGTGCGCTTGTCGAGCCTCTAGCCGTGTGTTTACATGCTATTCGGCGCTCACGCCCACCAACAAAGGAGCAGGTTGAACTTGCGCGCGCCACAGGAGAGGGCACTGCTGCGCTAGTCTTTGGCGCAGGTGCTATCGGTCTGCTCCTCGCTTCGGCATTGGCTGCATCGGAAAATTTCTCTACAATTGTCGTTGCCGATATCGATGCTGCGCGTCTGAAGATCGCTGCCGGGCTCGGACTCGGGCTGAAAACTGCTCTTATTCCGCGCAGTGACCCTGCAAATCCACCTCCTGCCAAGGATGCCCCTCATGCGGATCAGACCGCGTATGCGCTACAGAGTGCCCAGCGTCTCGCTAGCACGCTAGTCAAGACTGCTACAGAGGGCGATACTAGTCTGCTGGGATTTAGTCGTGTGTACGACTGCACTGGTGTTCCGGCCTGTGTACAAGCGGGAATTTATGCTTCGGCGCCTGGTGGTGTGCTGGTTCAGATCGGTATGGGTAACCCTATACAGACACTTCCTGTTGGTGCAGCTGCGCTGCGTGAGGTCGATATCATTGGCGTGTTCCGGTATGATGGGTATGCTTATCCAGCTGCTATTTCCTTGTTGGCTAGTGGGAAATTGAAGACGACTGAAGAGAAGGTTGTTACTCATCGGCTGACGCTGGAGGAGGGTGAGCGAGCTTTTACGCTCGCTGGAAAGGGCGTGGATGAGAGCGGTAACCCGGTTGTCAAGGTTATCATCGAAGGGCCTCGGGCGAGTCTGTGATCAGTTTCAAAGCCCAAGGCTATTATTTGATGTTGATAATTTGTATCAAAAAATATATATGAGAGTGATATCCAGGAGGCAAAGATTTGAGCAAAACAGTCTAAGTGATACACCAACCGGTTACTGATTTCTTCCGCGCAAAAGGGCTATCTCTTCTGAGTGAACCTAGTGGAGCGAACACAGCACCAATTGACGGTGAAAAGATCATTTTCCAAGGCCAGGCAAATCTCTACCGATCATGTTTGGTATGTCTCGTTACAGCAAAGATGAAACAGACATTTTTGAGTACTTAAAGGTTATAAAAAGAGGAGTTGAATCATATTTCACCATTCTTTGCCTATGCGACTATCAATTTTTTTGTCCATGCGCATAAGAAATGCGACTCTGATCAGCTAAGCATTCGTAATGTTTCAACGAAAAAAAGCTGGGCTACCAACAACATAGCAGCAGCGAAGTCAACTTCAGCTACAGGTGTGCTTTCTGGCTTGAAACCTGCAGCATATCCCTGGTTATTTGACATTATCATGTTTTTGTTCGCAAATATTTTATCCCAACCTATCATAATATTCATTTTTGTCTGCGACTTTGTTAGTAATCGAAATAGCAGTTTGGTTCATGGATTAGAAGCTCCTAGAGTTAGAGCTCACTATAAATCTAGATTGTTTTCCAAGTAATTTTGAGAATGGCGATATATATTGACCTCTGTCATAAGAGTGTTATCTACATTGTCTCTGCACAATAGATCAGACTTATTTCAACCCTCCGGCTAACAAGAGGCTTTGACCAGTCATATAGCCAGTCTTAACAAGCATCGTAACGACATTAGCAGTTTCCCCCGGCGTACCCAGCCTCTTGAGTGGGATCCCAGTAACAACCTCAGGAATAGCAGCCGCATTAGGGATTAGACCAGTATCACCAATCATAGCTGGCGCAACATCGTTAACACTGATATTGAACTCGGCCAGACGAGTAGACAGGTTTTTCATCATTCCTGTCAAGCCACCTTTCGAAGCAGCGTAGTCTACGCAGCAATTAGTTAGATGCTCAAACTTAGTTACTAAATTCTGAGGAAGGAATCACACACGGCATCCGTTAATACCACCCCCGTGCGCTGCGATGGACGACATGAATATAATGCGTCCCCAATTCTGAGCTTTCATATGATCCACAACGCCCTTGACTAGAATGAACGATGCGCGCAGGTTGACGTTCAATGTAAGGTCGAACTCTTCCAGCGAGATGTCCCACACATTCTGTATGCGCTTTCCGTATCCAGCGTTTGAGATAAGGATATCTGGTCGTTGGCCGTGTTCCTTTTCAATTCCCTGGAACATGGCTTCGATTTGATCGGCGGATCCGACATCGACCTGGTGGACTGAGATGCGGAGTTTCAGCTCGGCGTATTTGGATTGTAGATCTGTTACTATCTGCTTCATTGCTGTTAAATTGGTCGAGTAGGTTAAGGCTAGGTGGACTCCATTCTGTGCGAGCTGATATGCACATGCTCCGCCGATGCTGGAATTAAGGTGCAATTGTTAGTTTTCTATTCATGCAACTACTATGAGACGGATGAGATCAAGCTTACCCTCCTGATGCGCCGGTGATTAGCGCTAGCCGACCGCGGATCTCGTTCGAAGACATTATATTATGCAAGGAAACTTTGCGTATATGGTTTAAAGAAAGCAAGGAAATCCAAACAAGCAAAAGCTGGGGTTCAGAAAGTCAATAATGCATTTACCTCGGCGGTTGAAGCTTGGAATTTCCGGGCGGGGATATCGGCCCCACAACCAATAGCCGTGACAAAATCGGCATTTGAAGAGCACCTAAAAGAGAAGGTTGGTGCTGATATCTCCTAGCCATGAGGATGGTTGCCAATTTTGCGCCCCAGGTTGAAAGGAATCAGCCATGTTTTGGAATGCGTCCAATCCTAGCAGGCCGCCCGATATTGGATCTCCGGACACATAGTCGCCCACTGCTTCTAAATCCAGCCATGAGAAGTCGTTCGCAGGACTGAAATCCATGTACGCGTCGACTGGGTCTGTGATTGGGTCTGTGACTGGGTTTGTGAGGGCTGTTCGCAAGGCGAAGCCATTTGTCGGTGGCGTTTCTGCAGCCGAGGGTACCGCCGTGGATGTCTTTGGCTTCCACAGAAGTTCTAATAGACGGGAGTAGCGTGATCCGATATCATCTGGGCCGGCGCTTGATTGTCTGAGGACTTCTGTGGTTCGAGCAACTAAGCCTTGGACCTTTGCCTCTTCTGAAGGAACCATCATGCCGAAAGAACGGGCCTGAGGGTGGTGTTAGTGAAGGTGAAGATATCTAACAGGACAAGGACTTACCTTATAAAGGAAAACTGCTGAATAGATTCCGTATCTGTCCCGAAGTGGTGTCAGAAATGAGCTGAATGAGGGGCTTGGGGAAAGCTTACAGATAGAAGCGCAGTGGCATGAAATGCAAATGCTTCTCTGGATCTACATTGTCAACGAGAATAGTCAGATACGCCTTCGCCGCATCGACAGATTCATAAATAAATCTAGAATCTGGCATTGAAGCCACGTTCTTGAAGGTGCTGATGAGTTGATCTCTGTGGGAAATCCCGTCAGCTTTCGGCTTCGCCAGAGACTGAGAGATCGCAGCCTGGAACGCGAAAGCAGTTGTGTAAAGGCGCAGGTATTCGTAGGATAATTGGAGAGTTGCACGCATTGGTGCCGAGCCTGCTCCATGTTAGATCAAAGAAAGGAACAGTGAATGGTCCGCCTTACAATCCAGAGGTCCCCAAAGAGATTTCCATCGCAAGATGGCCAGGCGAAAGTCATCGACATATTTCACATAATCTCCCATCAGCATCATCTGACTACTCGCGCGCATGCCAGAGTACAAAACCTCATGGACATTGCCATAAAGCTGGGTTAGATCTAACTGGGCCTGAAGAATCTTAGAGTAATCCTCATCTCCCTCCTTGATGGGCTGTAGCGATGGGAAATCATGGCTAACAAGGCCAGTCATAGGACCCGGACCGCGCGACCAGAATGCGCGACCGATCCTTACTGAAATGAGTCGATCAGAAACATAGCAGTTAGCCCAAGCCAGTCTCCGACGAGCTTCAGTAGCCTGATCACCATATTGATCTCCACGGAAAGATGTCCGATCTAGACCCATAAAATAGCCAGACCTTAAAGCTAGCCCAACATGCATCCAAGCAGCTCGATCTTCTTCCCCGCGTCCAACCCGCTCGATACTTGATCGTAGACCCTGCGGCTCCCATTCTGCCAGCAAAAGGAGAGCTTCAACAGCATCCACATCACAGTCGGCCCCGGCAGATATGGCCGAGATCAGTTCTAGCATATACTTTGAACAGAATTCGTGGATCTCTGGCCGTTCAACGACATCCTTCGATGCGACTGTTAAGACTGCAGTGAGTAAGTACTTGTCATTATTGGCAAATTCATTGAGAGTAGCGCGGTCGAAGTACTTGCGCGGAACCAATGGGAGATATGGATGGAAATTCTCCGCGTAGCGGGTGATCAGCAGCCACACCGTATCAGAATCAAGAGATCGGGATTGAACCAGCCGATAAGCTCTGATGCCAGTGCTAGGGACGTTGAAATCCGACAGGGAAATGGAATTACGTAGGCCGTTATAAGCCGAGAAGCCGTCAGATCCCGACTGCGCACGATCAGCTCGCCCGTCGGCGATACCTGTCAAGCACTGCCAAGCATCGGAAGGGTTTCGCGGGACCGATCCAATTGAAGCGTCATCTTCTTCCACAGCTGCAGCAGAAGCCGAGGGATGGTTCGGCGAGACAAAGACCACCGGCCCGGGATACGACGCAGAAGGACGGCGAACGGGTTCTAAGTCTGTCGGGCTAGATGTGTCTGAATTCCTATTCTTATTTGGTGAGGGGATGGTTGGAGTAAAGTTCTTTATCTTGTTCTTGCGGATTCGGCGTCCGCCACGATTAGAGCCTCCAAGCACACATTCGCGGTGTTCGCGAACACATCGCTGGCAAGGCGGCTTACCCGGATTGCCGTTACTGTCACTGAGGGCCGTTAGATGGGTCAAAAGCTGCGGACTTGTGAACTTCAGACTTACAGGTCGCACCGTGATTTGCGCTGTCGACAGTGCAAACAAGCTCGGGATACGCGCTTAAGGATGTGCTCATGAGAGGTTTGCGGTGACTCTATCTCCATTTTTGTATGGGAAGTCAGAGATAATGGCACTCATGGCATGACAGTCATGTTTTCAAGGAGAGAAGGTTCCTCTTGACCCCACATAAAGAAGCTCGAGCCCATTACTCATCGTTTTTCTGGGGAAATCCAATCTAATTTTATGTTTCTTGGCTTTTTCCTTTCCTTTTCAGGAGTAAATGGCTGCCGCTTTTACTTATATAGTTCTAGGTCTAGTTCAAGTTTGAAGTTGATCAGTGAGCCAGGAGAATGAACCTATAGTCAAAGAACACTACTTCTCTTGTTGTTCTCTTCTTAATTGGTCTATCAATAAATTGGAACATAGATGTGCATTGTGTAGTAGAAATGGCTCATTGATAAATCGACATAGCAACTTTTTAAAGCGGCGACTTATATACCCCAAGCTCATCAAGTATACAAAGCTGCATGTGGGGTTGGATCACGAGGACTAAAGCTCTCATCATGTGATTTCATGTATAGTCTGTAGTTACTGTATGCAGCTCTACGGAGTAATTACTCCGTCAATTTTAATGATGAATTCAATTGCCGACGGTTATTCAACCGGATAGACACTTACCCGATCGGTCCATCGTTAATCATTCCACCCCGCGTGTGGGGAAACAATACATTATGTCCGGACATTGGGTTTTCTTCTTCTCCTTTCCCTTTCCTTTAAAATTCCCTCGATTCAACTATACACACCAATGTCAACATCCGTAGAGTCTTTGTTCTCCCTGAGCGGGAAAACAGCCCTCGTCACTGGCGGAACTCGAGGCATTGGCCAAGCTATGGCCCTTGCTTTAGCTGAAGCTGGTGCCGATATCATTCTCGTTCAGGTTCGAGAAAACTCTGTAGATGAAGACAAAACGAAAATACTAACATCTATCAGAGAGACTCCGTCAATACCGAGACCAAGGACAAGATCGTCCAACTAGGTCGCAAAGTCTGGATTCACGTCGCAGAGCTATCAGATCGCAAGGCAGTCAAGGCTATTGTTCCTACATTGACAAGCCAAGGTCTTAAGCCTAACATTCTTCTGAATTGCGCCGGTATTCAACGACGACATCCGTCTGAGGAGTTTCCCGATGAAGACTGGGATGAGGTAAGTACAATAACTGTTTTCTGCATGCATCAGAGCAGCTCTAAAATTGTTTTTTTTTGAAGGTTCTGGAGGTTAATCTCTCCTCCGTTTTTGTTCTTTGCCGGGAATTCGCCTCTGTCCTTCTTGCCCGGGATGCCTCTGAATTCCCATCCGGCCACCGCGGCTCCATCATCAACATTGCCTCCCTCCTCACCTTCCAGGGAGGACTTACTGTACCAGCATATGCAGCCTCCAAGGGTGGAGTTGGCCAGCTGACCAAAGCACTTTCCAACGAATGGACGAGCAAAGGTATCAACGTCAATGCCATTGCACCTGGTTATATTGCTACGGATATGAACACTGCTCTTATTAACGATGCCACCCGTAACCCTCAGATTATGGCTCGCATTCCGGCCGGTCGATGGGGCAAGCCAGAAGATTTCAAGGGACCAGTCGTCTTCTTGGCTAGTGCTGCCAGCGGGTATATCTCTGGCGAGATACTTACCGTGGATGGTGGCTGGATGGGTCGGTGATCTTGTGTGGATACCAGGAGTTTCTTGTAAATAATACATGTTCTATTTACTATCTGAAATCGAATAGACTGCTTTCATGTTCTGTTTTATCATCATGCGTGATTGTATGATTCATCATTGTTGAAAATTCATAGAGTAGCCACCGGTCTTGGGGTCTTGAACAAAGTTGAAGTTATCTGTAGACAATCCAAAGGGCTTTAAGATGCCATTGCCCAGCTGAAGTAGATATCGAATTAGCAGTCATCCAAATTCAAGATACTCATATCAAAACTCACATCCTTCATCTTCGACATCATCTCCCCCATCTCGTTTTCTCGTGCCTTTTCGATCCGACTGGGCAGGTCCTGGAGGGCTCGCTGCACAATCCGTCTATCATCTTTGGGTAGATTTTCCATTTTAGAAAGAGCTTGGTAGTCTTCCGCCGCACCTGATAAGCTAGCCCATCCTCCCAACTGTGATTTTGCCTTGGCACGACGCATAAGAGCCTTGGCCCGGATTCGCATGACATTGCTGCGTTGTTCATCTTGTTCCTTTAGACGTTTGAGTTGGATCTCTTCTGCCTCTTCGTCATCCCCAGAGATCTCGACCACAGCATCCTTTTCTTTGTTCGGGCTCGCGTCGCTCTCGTCTTTATTTTTGTGAGTGGTTGGGGGTATAATTTTATCAAGTCGGTCAAGGGAAAGAGTGGCAGAATCAACTGCGGCTTTCCAATCCTCCAATTTCAGATAGCAAGCAGAGATGTTGCTTCGGAGAACAGCGACATCGTAATCGAGGTAATTTGGGCACGAAGCAAGAGCCCGGTCATAGCAAGAGATTGCCTGATCGTAGCATGCAGAGCTGAATAGTTGGTTCGCTTCCAATTTAATTTCCTTCGACTGTTTCAGAAGCTCCTGCATTCATTCCAGTAGAGGTTAGCCCGTGATACTCGTGCTTTGAGGTCGTTGACTTACTGCTTCTTCCTCTGCCGGGAAGCGCGCGTCGTGAAATTCCTCCTCGCTGTCTGAATCATCTCCCTCAGATTCTTTCGATCGCTTTTCAGCAGGTGCTGAATGCTTAGAGCTACTCATTTTCGGTGAGATGTAGCGTTGGAACAAGAATGGTTGTGTCAACTAATCACGGGACTGATAAGCTTTCCCCACGCTCTTATCGCCATCAATCTTCGTCTACTCTCATGAGAACTTCCTGAACTTCCTGCAAATATAGATTAAGCCCAGCTCGAGTCCCTTGTATCACTAAAAATGAGAGTGAAACCTTGGAAGTCAGAGTGAATGCTCAAGTGATTGATTTTCACTACATCTTTCATTTACAATCCTCATATTATAAAATCGATTTCTTAGTGCTTCTTACCCAGTCGAGGTCATCATCTATCATTGATTCTTCTTCATCTGAGAATCTTGAATATTTGGGCTCTGTCGGCGTATAAATGAGATGCTGACACCATGCTGTAAGTTTAAGCTACCCACTTCGCCCTAATAGCCCTAATATGACCAAGAGCTACGGCTCCTGTGTTCAGAGTACTCAGCTAGGCACAAGGGAACAGTTGATTTTGGGACTACAATGAATTGTACCATTGTGCGAAGAATGTTTTTGTCCCTGGTGAAAGACATTCTGGCTAAAATTGGCGACACAAACAAAGTGCTTTCCGGGTTAGAAACAATGGCGAGAAAAGAGAGTCTTGGTCCTCATTGTCTATTCCAAGACTAATAATGGCTATGAGAAACACAATATAAGGAATCTTCGTTCATTTCTTCATCAAGAATAAGACTAATTTGTCTAGTATTATTGAGTACAACAAAGGACTTGAAATTCCCCCCTCCTCGGACTTGGTATAAAGTCCTCTACATATCCGACTTCAAACCGTTCAAACCAAGCACAATTTACCACTAACAAACCATAGCAATCTTTAAATCTTCTTCATTTCATCTTTACAACAAATAACATATCTAACATTCAAAATGACTAGCGCCAGAGACAACAAGAAAAAGACACAGTACCGCCGGCACCACGCACCACAAAAATCAATGCTCCAATCAATTGAAGACTTGCGACGACCGAGCTCGTCCTCGTCCATCTCAACCAAAGCTGATAATTACGACTTAGACTTTAAGAAAACATCAGAGTATCAAACGATGCGCGGTCAAATGAGCGAATACGAGGTTAGACTGCGGGAACAAACATACAAAGCTAACGATCTAGAGAAAGAGGCTCTTGGACTACGAACAAGACTTAACAGAGAGTTAAAACGCATTGACGAAAATGAAAAGCACATTGATCGTGTGGAAAAGACTTGTCAGAGACTCCAAGATATTAAAGTCAACCATGGAAATACCAACAAGAGCTCAGAAAATCACTTGAAAAGACAAATTTCCTCTACCGAAAAGAATGCAAAGCTTGTAAGGAATGGCCTCAAAGCCGTTTTTCATAATGTTTGTGACTTGAAGGAGAGTATCAAACGCGCTGTGGACAAGGGACAGTTTATGAAAGAGGCTGCTCAAAATGTACGATCGGACTTGCAAGAATCAACCAAAAATTTGCAAGATGTCTTGGATTACTGTCAGAGACTCACATGTACTTCTGAAGAAACCATCAAGGCGATGGTCGATACGGCGGAGATTCAGGCTGCAAAACTGGGCGTCTACCGTGCTAACTATGAACGAAACTTTAGAAGAAAGGAAGGGAAAGGAATCAAAGATAAATCAGATGTATATCCTTTGAATCAATCTCTGGATATTCTAGCTTCTACACCATCCGATTCTGTCTGGTGGAGAGAGTGGTTGTCAGAGGAGTTCAGCAAGAGGAACAATGTCGACGGCTTTTTGCTACGGGATCCCCCAGATGTCATAATGGGGGATTCAGATGAAGAGATGGAAATCGTAAAGAAATTGAGACCATCTCATGGTCCAATGGAAGGAGTCGAGTTTTATGACTGTGTTCGATATGCGCCTACTACAACTCCTCCCCCTCGGGCACCGAGTCCAGAACAGAAGTACTATAATCAATACCGCTCACGATTCCCAGTGTCAAAAAGTGGCAATAAAGATACAATGGATTGGATCTCAACTGATGAATTCAATCCTCCATGCTCCATTCGTCGCAAGCTGCAAAAAAACTCGGACTGCTGGAACTGTGGGCAATGCGATATCTGTCAAGTTTCTCAGAAAATGGAACAGTTCGGCTTTCACAGACATATCGATCCCGAAGCTGCGTACCAACAAGCTGCAGCAGAGAAGGCGGAGAAGATCGAATTCCGTCAAGAAATCCAACAAGTGATTCGTGAGTCTTTGCCGGTCAAAGATGCTTGTTCAGGCACTAACACATCCACACAGCCAATGATTGCTATTGGAGTTCCTGGAAAGTGGAGTAATGAAGCTGAGGCCGTTGATACAGTGCTACGTGCTTTCTGTGAGTGGGTGTGGAAAATGGTCCAATATTATGGACTTACATGGTACACCGCTATTGGAGGCCTGGTTGCTTTGTCGGCGATGTGGCCTCGAGATGATAGCTGGCTCAGAGCTAATGAAGTCCCTGCTAGTGTTTTCGCTAAGCTACAAGAACCTACTATCTGGGAATCTAAGCCTATCATCTACTTGAAGTATAAGTTCAACGAAATGATCGATGACCGAGCGGTCTTTGGATAAATAAAATCAATAAAATAAAAAAGTCTAAAAAACAGAAAATTCCTCTCGCTGGAGATTCGTAGACTTGTAAAGGGAAATAAAAAAGTCGTACAATCAGACTTGGGTACCTAGTGCAGTGGGGAGCCCTATATCGTATTAAGGAGGCCTGCGGCGGCAGAACCGAGTAATACCATTTATCTAGAAGTTATAATAGTTACAGAATGAACACCTTTACACACCTCTTTACTTTTGACTCTCTACTATCACTGAGCTTTCCCTCGTGGTTATGGACCTTATGGTTGGTTTATCTTGGCTGAATTGACTTGCGCGTTCCGACCATGCTGCCTAAAGCTTTCCCCATTTCACTAGGTAAAGACAGCGTTAGAAATTTAGAAGATACGAGAGGAAAGTACATATTCTTGAAGCAAGGCCTCCCCATGTCAAAATATTCGGCAGAATTTTTTATCATAGAGAGCATGCGGTAACTGTATCTCGACAACTTCACCTCTGGATATGATAATATTTCAAAATGGAAGGAAAATTCAGACACGTGTATCCTACAAATCCTATGAAGAGGTAGATTATTAGGTGCAGCCTGACTTCCCCGGCAAGAAACGGCCCCTGACTACAAACTCCAAGCTCATATATTTCAAAGCACTACTCTAAATAACCTGCCTGGAGGGTCCTTATCCGACAGTAGCCTAACATAGTCATTGGTAGATGGTGCTCTATCCATATACACCAAAGTCACTTGGGATTAGATGATTGGAACTTGTGAGTTGGTGACATGCCTATAGGTATTAAATATCTATTACAGAATTAGCTGACCCCAATCAACTCTTTGCAGACTACTAATTCAGCACCTAGAAAAAACAACAGCATCACAACACTGGAAATGTCAGATGATTTGAAGTGGGCATCTTCCATACCCTAAAATGAGTTCACATGAAGTAGCTGTTGCCTAACTTTCTCATCTTCTTAGCCTTAAAGGTAGAGTTGCCGTCATTACTGGCTCATAATTTGATCTGGACTAAGCAATCGCTTTGGCACTATCTCTAGAGGGCGCGAGTGTTGTATGCAGCTACATCACACCCGCTGGTGGATATGAGAATGTCAATCTGCTAACGAACGCGGTAATTTCTCAGACGGCCCAAGATAGGAAGGTGTGGACATTATTTCAGCTCTTCAAAGCATTTGAACCCTACTTGGGTAACTTGAATGTGCCCAATCAGCAGTCAATGCTTCAAAGATTACGATATACCGTAAAGCGATGGGCCTTCTTCAAAACGCCAAAAAAGAAAGAGATAACGCAATAAAACACCGAAGACCATTTTGCGTGTGGAATAATGTAAGAAATACTGTGTCCCAAAGCGCTGACAGTATTTGAACAAAGAATACATCTTCGACTTTCATTGTCGTTGTTCTTCTGTCAATGAGCGCTCCCAGCCATAAAAAACTATATTCCGAGGATATCCGAATGTAGAGTCAAGCCGAGAAACAATCAGAAAAATGTGATAAGTCCATGAATGCATGTATCTGTTACAGAACACGGGGAAAATGTCGCCCGATGTAAATATAGCCAGCTTGACAAGTACGGACTAGATTAGCGAGATTTGAGTTGGTTGTACTGGAATAAAAAACACAGACGAATAAGAAATTTGGCCCAGGGACTAAACCACCACCATAGCTGAAGTTTCTGAGTCTGTTCAATATACCCGAAGAGAGTTGAAGGTGCTCTTGGGACCATGAGAATCGCGCATCGAGTCTAGACGTCGTCTCATCGTACGATGTGGGACAAAAATCCGACGCAGGAGATTGCGTATAACATGTGAAAACGTAGAGAGCTGCACAACGCCTCAGAAGCATGTGTCAAATAGTCTCGGCGAGGCCGAACCTGAATATTTGAGGCATCAAGGGGTTTCACCGCCTTGGCGTAGAGGTCATCAAATGATGGATGCGCAATATGCAATAATTTTAATTCATGCGGCCGCTGGCTTCGGAAAAATTACACCGATAGAGTTCCAAGCAGACGCCTTCACGTTTTTCAGCTGCGCCTTATCTGCAGGAACGAGGGTGATTAACTTAAAACTGGTGAATGGAGCCGACCACATGGGGCGGCCCGTGCCGAAGTACGTACTCACCATGCACTGAAAGTATACCTCAGCAACGTGCATTACGATCAAAATGAACTGAACGTGACAGGCTGACAGTTTGAGCAATTTTTGTCGAGGTAAGAGATTCTACAGAAGCGACATTGTATTTAAAGAGGGTGGTTTCCTATCTTAAAATTGTTCAGACAGCAATAACAATCGCCAACATTCAAAATCCATTTAAAATTTTCAACTTTAATATCGCAATGGCTCCTTCTAAGGTTACCACAATGTCAGCTTCCTCCCCTCCTCTAAGCAGGAAGCGAAAGAGTCGTACTGATTCTCCTAGCATCCCAAATGACACTGCCGGTGTCCCGACGTCGCCCAAGACCGTTGCCAATGGTATTAATGGAAATGGCGTCTCGGAGTTGAAGCATGTCCCAAAGGAGATTATCACCAACAAGACCATAATTGCCAAACTGCCAGACTTTGAAAAGCCTGTGATTCGCACCTTCAACTGCGTCAAGCACGTCCGGGCATCTCAATACCCCGAGGTTCTCGGTGCCCTACCATTTCCCAACGATCTGAGGGGATTGGTTGCCTGGACCGATGCTTTTGTCGAGCGATTGGGCTGGAAGGCCTTGCAGGAGCAAGAGGTAGGGTCTCTTCAGTATATATCCACTAGATACCTATGCTGACCTGCTGGAACATCACAGAAAACCGCTAGCCAAGAGCTGCGCCTTCGCCGCGCAGAAAAGGAGAAAGAGGAACTTAACGCGCGTATTGTTGGGCTTCAGACAAAACTGTTTGTCGCAGTTGATGAACGCCACAAGTTGAAGGCCGAAGTTGGTCATCTCACTACTCGCAACACTTTCCTTGAGAGTCAGAGAAAGCGGGACCAGGACCAGATCGCGTCCATGACTGTGACAGTCGCAGAGAAGCAGACCGAGATCTGGAATTTGACCCAAGACAATGAGAAGCTGAAAGCTAGTATCAGAAGCCTTGAGGAGAAGGTCCAGCAGCTGATTGCTGAGCATACTGGAGACGAGAAAGAGAAGCAAGCCATTATTGATGCATTTGAAACCTGGAAGGCAGTCGATAAGAAGCACGATGACGAGGTCGACGCTCTTGTCGATAATCTGAAGAAGGAGGTCACAGCTCACTCGGATGCCAAATCCAAGGCCGATGCAGCACTAGCGGAATCCTTGGCACGACGGGCAGACCTTGAGGCCGAAAACACCAAGCTTAGCACACTGCGCACACAGCTCGAAGCACTTGTCAATTCCATTCGTGACCAGCTACAGAAGCTTGAGGCTGAATTTGGAGTCTCGCAAGGAACGAATGCGACACTTGAGGCGCTGCTCCGTGAGCTGACAAAGAAGGAGGAGAGTGCTCAGATTGAGATCCAGGACCTTCACGGCAAGTTGCACGATGCTAAGATCAGTGTTGAGGAGGCCAAGAAGCAGGTTCACGCTGAAATCGAGCACGCAAATCTTCACTGGAACGTTCTCGACACCATCCGTGCTGACGGTGGCTGGTTGCAAACCGGTGAGAAGCATGCTTGCGATTGCCCCCCTTTGGCCTTTACCCCTCCTGTCAGCCAGGTCGGTCCCATTCCTACTCAGAATCTAGCTATCTGATGCCGAGTATCGATCGGGGGACCATTATCCTTGCTGGAGTGGCTGAGAGGCCGCTGCTCTTTATTTCGCTTTTGTTCCATTTCTTGTCGTATTCCTGATTTTATTTTCACTCTTCATATGTTTGATATTAATTAATTTTGTTTTCCTTTGCAAGTTGCCATTGTCCATAGTAGGTAAACGATATCGATTTTGGCTGCCTTCTCGGTGAACTCCGGAATTATGATGCATCTTAGTAGAATATTTGTGATTCCTTGGTAATGATTCTCTGATTCTTGAAACGGTAAAAAGTGAGACCAGGAGGAACACAGTGACAAGACGAGCGAGAAAAAAAAAGCCAAAAATCAGTAGGAGGTGAATAGAGAGTCTGTGCAAATTTACGAATTAGGTGAGGCTCTATGAGGCTTAAACCTAATCAACAATACCAAGAAGAGGTGGTTGGAAAGTGGTTGACTATAGACAAAAGGCTTCAACTTTTATAGTGTACTTCTTTGCCACGAATCCAAGTTCTATCGCGTTTCCATCAAATCATGAATTTTCAATTAGCACACATACCCGCGACTTTTTGACCTTCATGCGCTTAAAGGCGCAAAGACACAGGCAAAGTGTCAACCTTCTCGTTGAACAGTTGCTCAGCCTGAGTCCAGACACGAGCAGTCTTGCGGTTCTTCAGCTCGAGGAGGCTGGGAATGAGAGCCTCGCTGAACATCTCGGAGCTCTCACGCGGGAGCAGAGAAGGCAAGTGGTCAATGCTGATCACGCTCAGGGGAGGCCCTTGTGTGCCAGCGGGCAGTGTTACGGGCACAGTAGGCTTATCGAAGGTGGTGGTGATGTCGTAGATGGGGATAGGGTTGTTGGGGTTGGTACTAGAGATGTTAATTGTTAAGTCACTTCTAGACGGTTAGGTAGAGACAGCTTACGTATCAGCGCTCACGTCGCAAACAACGGACAGAGTGCGCTTGGGGGAGGGAAGAGCCGCAACGTCAATGAAGGGGGGAATCTTAGCCGAGAGGTAGATGCAGTTGACAAAGATGTCAGCATCCTCAACGATCTCCTTGAAGGGCCCACCTGCGCTATAGATTAGTATATTTGGAGCGAGAGAGTTTCAGATGAGATTACTGACCCTTCTTGGTCTCGGCGATATCCCACTCAATGATGTTGGATTCGGGAATGCCAACATCCTTGGCGAGCTGCACAGCACCATTTCCGCAGCGTCCCAGCTATCAACGTATCAGTATTATTTTTCAATAACTGGTAATCCAACACTCACAGCACCAATGACAAGAAGCTTGGGGTATCGGCCGGCAACCTTCTTGCCGCTCTCAACAGCCTCCTTCACAGACTCGATCAGAAGTTGCTGGTTGGCGTAGGGCACCTCACCGGGCAGAACCTCACCGTTAGGGTGAGTTAGTTGCCAAGCCCAGTTCTTCACAGCTAAGGCAGAACCAGCATAGCCAGCAGAGAAGCCGAAAGCTACAAAGACAATAAATTAGTCAACTAATAACATTGGTGAAAAAGATTGAGTATGAAATCTGGGCATTCTCACCAGCAACTCGGCGACCAGTTTCATCAGTAAGGAACTCCAAATCAAGCAGGAGACCATTGCCACGGTGCCAGCGGCTCAGGACTCGGTCCCAGCCACCCTGCTGCTTGTAGCAATGAGCGAAAGTAACGTGGACGTGCTCAAGTGGGAAATCATCCTCGGGAAGCTCCTTGAGACCCAAAATGACATAGTCCTTGGGGGCATCCTTGACCCAGGATCCCTCCTCAACAAGGGGAGCTCCGATCTATGTCAATTGATGTTTAGACCTTGTGTTATTTTATGATATGGATTGGAAGTATGATCGAACCTTGGCGAATTCCTCGTCTGAAATTATAGATTAGCCTTGAGTCATACTTGGTAAAGTGCGGGGCGAAGGATGCAAGAAGCAAAAATAAAGGATGCATACCATCAAAAATGCGCTGTGTGGACCGCTCAACGACCACCTTGTAGCCTGCATCCATCAATGCCTTACATGTTGTCGGGGTCACTAAGAAAAAGCTGTTAGCTGTAGTTCTTTCGCCATTGACCGGCTGGTGAAGCAGCAAGTAGGTGGGGAAGACAAACAGGCAGATCGAGCCTCTTGGGGCTTAGTCTCAGCACGCAGCCAGATATTTTGCGAAGACATTGTGATACGGGAATAGTTCAATGGTATGGAAGAGTGTGAGAAATGCAGCTAAATAATTAATGCTTTATCGGCCATGACCACATGATTAGCGGGGTAGGTTGTTCCGTTCCGGAGTGAGTCAGCCCTCGCTTGTTTTTATCTAACTACTCTGTACGGAGTGCACCTACATCTACTTCCACCTACGAAATGCACAAGGAAATGGTCTCAAATTTTTCAATTTGCGGTCAGAGACCTCAAATCGCCAACAGGGGGGATAAATGAGTCGATCACTCGAGGTGATACTTGATGATCATGCTACATTGTGAGGCTTAAGCAGGCTTATCGTGGCTACGAGTGCCGCCAGCTGGCCCGTCATGATAAAGTTCCTTCTTGGGGGCTCCATAGATCGCCCGGTAGAGTCCAAGAACGGGAGTGTAAACACCCTCGACGGGACTGGGAATACCATCGACTTTGCGAAACCGCGCGGGGTTGCGGGGAACCCAATTCTCGAGAAAATCATATTCTTCATCGCTTTCTTCATACTCGATACGGCGGCCACGCTTTTCACGGCTTGCACGGAGGTTCTCACGGCTTCCAGAGGGTTGCACCGCGTTGTGCCTGGGCCGGCAGAGAGCAGTCAAAGGGGAATAAGCATTGTTGTGACCTTTATTCTCGACCTTGTCGATGGAATCATTTTTGTCAACGTATGGGTCATCGGTACTGGGGCAAGCCTCGTTGCGCTTACCGACTCCGGCTTCCTTATCGCGGAATTCATTCAAAATAGCTTCGACGAGGCTTTTGGTTTCAAGGTCAACGCCATATGGAGCATCAATTGTGTAAGGAATACCACGGCGCTTCTTGCGTTTGGCTTCGTTGATGATTTCGCGTGCCATGACACTTGCGATGCAGGATCTGAAATCCTGGTCTTCATCGTAGGGCTGCCTGACTTCGGGTGCCTCCTTGGTGAGTTCGGTCGAAGCTGAAACGGAGCTTTTGATTTCCGGATTATTATCAGCATCGGTACTGAGTGAATTATCGCTGCGCTTACTGACTTCGGCTGCCTTCAAGTCTGCGACGCAGCTCTTGATTTCCGGGTCACCACAGGTAGGAACAGGGCTGTAGAGGGTATCGAAAGAAGTATTGCTCGCCTTGCGCTTGTGACCAACCTCGGGGTATTCCTTGGGAACATACTCCTCATCGTCATCGAGCTGAGCTGTGCCGGCCTTAGTGGAGGGCCACGCATTGTTCCACTCGCTCTCTCTCTTGTCTATCTTATCCAGGATGAGGTAGCCTAAAGGCCGCACTATATGTGATGGTTAGCATATGCAAATAGCGGAAGGGGAGTTCGATGAGTGACAGCCACCGCGACATTCTAACCAATTGTGAAATCTTCCCGAGAAATACACTGGAAAAAATATCATGATGATCATCAATAACGTACCATGATTCCAACCACTATAGCCGCCCTCCTTGGGAGGGTCATCCACAGGGTCATCCATAGCGGGCGAAGATACAGAAGTGTCAGATCGATGTGGGGAAATTGGTGAGAAGGTGAAAGGAAGAAGTGAACGGTTTGAGAATAAACACGTGAATTGGGAGGATTGCCAAGAAATCATTTGACGCGATAACACCGTGCTCTTAGATTGCACGATGACGTATACTGCAATCTCTACACGACGCTCTATTAACCCATAGCATTTCTCAACCCGAGTCCTGATTCTCTCTTTTGATATTTCACCAAACGAGGAACTTGATTTTTCCGAATCACGGTACTAGATCTCCTTAGTACTTATCAATGTGAAAATAGCGAAGATTATCCATCCATCACATCCTATGTCGGAGCATTAACCCTACTTTCCTTGCATTTCTCGCAATGAAATACAAAATGAACCTAAGTCTAAGTTGGATCACTTGAGTAGGCGGTATATAGGGATCAGACCCGTCAAAACTCCTGATTGATTGGCTAATCTTTTCCGAAGGCTCTATGGGCAGAAAAAAGCACCTCGGATCTAATAATGTATCCAACGCGCAGAATGAAGATATACGGGTCTCCACTCACGCCAAAGTTCGGCCTTCGGGCCTTTCAGTATCCTCAAATTCGCGACGTATGGACCGGGTCCCCGATGATACTGATATTCTGGTGGTGCATGGTCGTCCAGCTCTATATGGGGATTGTGATGGCGAGAAGGGACCAAACGGAAAAACAATGTGAAAGGGGACGGGTATCTTTTATAGGAGATCCAAAGGGCTAAACCTACTATGGTTATCTGTGGGCATATATCCATGGAGCATTAGGCCTCGTTGTCATACAACACGATGGATTACAGGACATTATGAATAGACTACAGATGCGATGGCAGGGATACGATTTACTTAAAGCTCTCAAACAGACTCTTTGGAACAAATTCATGATGAGAAGAAATACTGATCTCCCGAAAGAGACCCTTGTCGTTAATGCCGCGGTTGCTCCAGGTGGCTTGAGAAGCGAGGAAATGGCCCAATTATTATTGACCTCTAAGCCCAAACCTATATAAGAGCAAATAAGCATCACATCATGACTTATAAGAGAAAGCCCAACAGATCCAGCCTTTAAATAAAATGAACATGCGGTTACTAATACAAAATGTTTTTCGCTGCTAGCTGAGGGCTAGACCTTTCGTCCTCCAACGACCCGAGAAACTCATCGTTCTCGTGTGGAATCACTAGCGTTTCTTCTAGTCGCGCAACCCGATACGTCCACCCTGGGACCGACTCGAATATTTTGTCCTCCTGATATTGCGCTAGTTCTTCGCGCGAGATGACAGCGTCGGCTTTCCGTGGTAGACCTAACTGAATGCGCTGATTGAATGACTCAACTAACAACACAGGGATGGCAGAAAGGACCGCGTAGCGAGATTTTGAGAGATCTTGTAGGTCAAGAATGAAGCAAACCGGCCACTTCACGTACCAAAGATATTCGATTTCGTTTCGTAGGCCGATGTTGTCATTCAGGACTAAGCGCTTGTAGAATAGGTAAATTGAAAGCAGAAGTGCATCCTCTGTTTTGGCTTTAGGGGTTCGATAGGTGCATTGGAAGAGACGTTCGCGGTAGAAATCAGGGCGAGCGAGGAGTTTTTCGGGAGTTGGCAGAGAAGAATGGAAATTACGTCGCTTGAGAACCTGAGTCTCGGAAATTCTAGGCTTGAGCGTATTAGCCGCATTCTGGCGAGTTATCTTTGCTTCAAATGAGGATTTAAGTGAATTTGAAGCTATTGCAATTATCCCCAGATGAAGAAGATTACAGGGTTACTTTTGTACCATTTATTCTCAGCCGTCAAGGTGAGCAAAGCCAAGGTCAAAGAGCGATAGAAGCCCCGCCAGTATGATCAAATTTATCAGGTGTAGGATCCGTCATTCGTACTGTACTAATATGAGTTTTGAGAGGCCATCTACCTGTACAGAGCCGCGAGCTTCGTTTTTACAGCCTCACAAGATCCGTATATCAGAAAATTGTTGAGACCGCTAAGCAAGATAAAATATGATCACGACCACTTGGGTCTTGTTACTTTGTTCAATGAAATAGCATTGCATAAATCTAGATATCGCGAAATAAATTCCTGAGGGGTATCAAGCTAGACTCAAGTCTAGGCGGTTAAAGAATTGCTCCTCCTCGCGCGAAGCGACATCAGAGGATTCTTCATCTGCAGTTTGAACGGCTGTCTCCGGAAGTAAAGTCTGCATACGCAGTGCTAAGTTACTTGCCTCCTGTAACTTCTTCCGATCAATCAGAAGGCGAAGTGCATCACTGCCAATTCTCAAAAATGCATCTCGCTTGCCTTCTGTCCAAGGTCGAACCTTTTGTGGTGAAAGACGTTCGGCAAGTTGTATAAAAGGTTTTGGATCTGGATGGGTTGGATGGCTTTGTAACACGCAGGCAAAAAGTAAAGATTCATGGGACGTCATGCCAGAGATGGCGTTGATATAATCGTCATAAATGTTCGCTGATACCTGCTCAGCAGAAGGTTTCAGATCCGAAGCCACTCGACTCAGGTGGGCGCCGGCGGACAGGAACATTGATTTGTCGCCTTTAACGCCGACCTTCAAATTATAATGTGTATTACAAGCACGCACATAGTATTTTAATGCAGTGTTAAGTCCGCCACCATATTGGATCTCAGCCTCCATAAATGACAAAAGCAGGTGGCTGAATGTCTTCTGGGCGAATCTGTCTGTGATACGACCATTTGTTCCACCAATGTCTCGAGTCTGGATCATGTTGAGCCAGTTCATGATAGTGATTTGAAGACCCTCGGTAACCATAAACTTCGTCAATGCAGATGTTGCGGTTCTTGATTTCAGAAGCATAAGCCTGGATGTGCTATCAGAGGCCCAGAACCAGTCTGCAACTCGAGAGGCAGCTCGAGATGCCTTCATAGCATCGTTCACTCCATTCCCACCGGGATGTCCAGCCAAAAGAAGTTGAGACTTCAAACATTGGATGATAGACCATAATGTCACTGAGCCTGAAGCAGCCAGCTCGTCAAATACGACCATGGGATTCTCGGCTAGACGCTTCGATTCTTCGAGGCTTCGGGGATTATGGTGATCTTGCGAGATTGTCTTCGGAGGTACTATACGGAAAAGAGGGTTGTCCAAGATATTATGCATGTGCTGGTCAGTTGCATGAACTGATGAGTCGGTATTGAGGGCATGTGGCTCGCCATCTTGCGTCGATGGGTGAGATGCTGGGTATGCGTGATCCAACTGCCGACGAAACGATGATGTCAGGGCATTAAGAAGTTGCTGAGACTCTCGTGGTGTCCTTGGCAATGGCTGGTGAATCTTAGGCCAGTTGTTGAACTGGAAGTTGAATGTTCTCTTCATGGTTGCGGCGTCTATGAATTGTGAGTCTGAATCAGGTGCCTACGGGAAGTCTGCATTCATGAGTCTCGACCTGCAGAGTCACGTGAGTATCAAGTACTCCACATTTCCAATTATGGATAACTTACGATGATTCACGGTGTCATTGACAAGTGCTCTGCTAAATGAATTTATTTTGGGTATCGAGTAAATTTTAGATCAACCAAGCTCAACGCTACCTTCAGGTACACCCTTCTGACTACGCAGCCTCCGCGCAAAAAATCGCATAACAGGCGCCATCTCTTCATAATTAGAAGGCATTGTATCACCTTTGCGCGCATAGCGACTTAATTCGACAAATTCAAAAACTTCTTTTGTCCGAAGCACAGCGGCATCAGAAACAATAGTTGAGTCCCGTCCACCAACTAGCAGCACTGGTGACCGGTTCTTAGAACCAGACCTTAACCCGGCGAGTGGGTATGGCGCACCAATGGAGATTACTCCGGACAATGGTTCTCTGTCCACGTCCTCGCCAGCCGACTGTTCCAACTCTCGTGCTGTGACTAGTGCAGCCATACCACCTTGACCAAAACCAAGTATCATTATTTCGCGCGGGCGGTAGCCGCATTTCTTAATTAGTGTGTCGCGGATAACATTATTGACTAGCATTTTCGTGCTACTGGTCAGGCTGACATCCATGTCCAGTCCGCCTGTGGATGTGTCGAAGGCGATATCATCGCCCCAGTGGAACCCGCCTAAGTCGAATGGTAGTGGCGTGGGGGCTTGGACGGTGACAATTGTTGTCTCCGCGAGGCGTAGGGCGCGTGCAAAGCCTGAGAAATTTTCCGAGCTATCACCTATCCCATGAAGAAGAATGAGAATGTTTGGGGCTGGGTTTGAGGTAGGGGGCGGTGGGAGAGTGACGGTGACGGTAAGTCTGGAAGGAAAATCTGACAGAGTGGGGGTTTTGTTGGGCATTTTGGGTGGGCTCAGCTGGACAGAGCTTATTACCAAAAGCTAGCAATATGACGCTTTTCTTTGCGTTCAATTCCGTCCATTCGAACCCCGCGTTGAGGTGAAGTATTTTATTCTGTCAATTCAATTCGGGATTAGCGCGCTTTTCGTGTGACGTAGTCACATGATCGAGATTGATCTGCAAATCTAGGCCTACGAAACTTGAAGACCAATCCAAAAGCTCGTGAAACACCAAGACTCATACAAAATACCAAACGAAGCCTACGAATCAGTAAAGGAACAATACCGACATCAACCTGAATCGCACTTGCTGAATGATAAACCCTATGAGACTGGATAGAACGACAAGACAGCCTCTGCTAAGAAGACAGTTGGTTAGTTAAACTTGGAATTTTAATCACTAATAACTATGGTCTTCCATTCATCGTCCATAAATACAAGTGAAAACAGGTATCATCAACTCAAACAAATTCTATATTCATAAAGCCCCGCAAACACCAAGTGACATATTTAATCACTGTTTTTAATTATGCCTTGTATGAAGCCTCGGCAATCTTCGCAGCAACAGCATCGAATACTTGCTGCTTCACGTGTTCCTGTGAGTTCTCCACATTGATAGTGATAGCATCCCACTCGCTCTGAGGCTCCTCCAGCGCCGTAATCTGAGAGCGAACCATATCGCTTTTCATATAGTGTGATTGGCGCTGGCTGACACGCCGTAGGAGCTCAGCTTCGGTGAGCTTGAGGTATATAAAATGGATCTGAACGGATGGAGAACCGTAGGCAGCAACACGTATAACATCACGGTACTTGCGCTTTAGAGCCGAGCAAGATACAACCACACCGGCAGGTGGGTGAAAGTTATTAGATTCAGAGGGTGACAACGCCTCAATAGCGGCGTTGCGTAGAGATATAAGCCAATCCCATCGATCTTCGTCAGTAAGGGGGTTGCCATTGCTCATTTTTTCCTTATTAGATATGGGATGGAACTACGTAAACATTATAATTAGTCATCATATTCGCGATAGGTAAATGTCTCTGTGCAGGGTCTCGAGGCGTGTTCCAACGTACATCATCGCCTTCTAAGAATGGTACTCCGAGCTTTTGGTGTAGGGCTTGGCCCACTGTGCTTTTTCCGCATCCCGCAGGTCCAGTCACTACCCATATATGTTGTGTTGCCACAACAGGGTTCTGTGTAGTTGTTGTAAATGTGGCATTGGACTGGAGGTTGGACTTGATGTGCGCCTGTTCTCTGGATAGAATAGTAGAGTCGACAACGGATGGTATCATCGGTAACTGAGGACGTTCACCGGTGGAAAGCATGACTCTGAAGAGCGGTATAAAAAGGGGCTATAATTTGGAGATAATATGTGATCTAGAGTCGATCGATCCAATAGTAATTGTCCGTACGTGATGATATGAAGATGTTTTGACGGGCGGGACTTGATGCGGTAAATGACTGCGAGCCTTAACAATGTAGTGATATATGAGACTAGAATATATTTGAAGAGAGAAAGAGACAAGGAGACAGGTTTAAGTATCGGCAAATGAAGAAGAGGGTGGGGGTTGCCGTATGCCGAAGTCTGCCGTGATTGGTCCGAATAGATAAATTTCAGTTCCCGAAGGGAAAAGCGTGGGATGTTTCAAGCCGATCTTGAGCCGATCGATCGGAGGGATTTCATCATATCTTTCATTATACCATGGAGGCGGATTCAATACACTTCTTAGTTCGTTCATAGTAATCACAGGTTGCACAAACATCTTTCATATCTGCGGGCTTCTCAATATAAGCAGGTACTCAACCTTGAATACCATGGAGTGATGTCACTATCCGGTGTGGAGTAAATCACCCCCACGCTAGTAGTTGTGGAGTAATTCCATCTTGCCTCATTCAAGCTTAGGTAATGCTTGACCCTTTGCGATTTGAAGATTGCCCTTTACTGAAGAGAGAGTGCGCTGTGCTCTAATAAACATATCGTGCTATTATTACCCGAGTCCCCAATTATTCCTTCCATGTCTCTGTGTAGGTCAACACGCTATATACCTAAGGGTCACGAGGTTTTAGTACACCTCTAGGTCTCTACCCACTTTTTGAATTCTCTTTTCCGTGTCAACCATGGCTCCTTTCAGTGCGGAAATTAGTGGAAACCATGGTAAAAATCGAGAACTTTCTACTGTGAGCGTGCTAGAATGATTTCTACCCTTAAAATTGGTGCATCGCCAATGAAACTCGCTGCTATCTATGGCTATTCCCGCAATACAATTTACTATATTCACAACCGCTATGAAGCCACCAAAATCATTGAATCTCTCCCTAGACGCGGAAATCCCCTGTTTATAGCGAAGCCGCTACATGCCGGATTTATTTAAAAGCGCGCCGTCATCCACTCTAGAGCTATAGACAACTTACTGCGAGTATCACTTCGAACCCCTCTCAATCTACTATACGGAAAACTCTTCGATGTCACGGCCTTCCCAAATGACATCGAAAGAATATAATCCCTCTTGGCCCTCATCTTGGGAAAGACTGTTTCGAATTCGCTCAAAAATGGCGTTAGGATGTAGATTGGAAGATATGGATCTTTACGGGTGAATACTCCGCCCAAAGAACATCAAATTTTAGTATTGAATAGGCATAGATGCTTAAATTAGAAACATATCTAAGTCAATTCAGTAATACTAAAGCCTATGTGAAGGATATATTATACCTAGGTAGATGGATTGATGGTCATTCAAAGTGAATGGTTATGAAGCGCAATTCTGAGTTTAAAGGTAAAGAATTTATTGGTAAATATTGTATTAAAGCGCTAGAAAATGGCTTTATACCGCGTTATGAGGATGATTATATATTTCAGCAGGATGATGCTAAAATTCATAAATCGAAGGAAGCGGGAAGGTGATCTAGGCGTTGGAGGATTCGTCTTGCAAAATGGTCTACACGACCGCCTGATATGAGCTCAATCGAACCATGCTGGCATCTTATAAAATGTAAATTAAGAAAGCTATGCCCCAATTTGACAAAATGGGCCAAACCGTAGTTAATTAGGCCCAATTTAGAGCCTGTATCTGCAAAGCTTGGGATGCCATTCCACCGGCTACAATCGATCGACAGATTAATTAGGGCTATGTCGGGCAGATTAACTGCTGTATATAAAGGTACATAGGAAATATTATACTATATACTGAATGAAATTCTTTTCTCCTACTACTTACCTATCGAAGTAAACATAAATCATATATTTAGCGATATCCATAATAATTGTGGAGATATCCGTTGTTATATATTTAGAGTGGCTGGGTCTAAACCTTGATACCTGTAGTTACCTACCTACATATAGCTAGCTCAGCACAGACGCTACAACTTTGGAGTGTTAGAAAGAAGATTGACGTCGGGAGAGCGTTTACTTGCTGCATAGATGGAACTGGAACAGTGAAAATTTTTGATCCCAACTTCCAACGTAACTACCTTCTAGTGATAGTGCCATCCTCATCAACTAGGATCACTTCGTTCATAATGAGCCATCCGTAGTGGGAGTCCTTTCAGCTGTTCGAGATTATCAGAAAAACCTTGAAACTGATTCCTGTATGGATTGATTTCCTCAAGTGGTAATACTAAAAAGGCCGTAAGGTGGAATAGAACGCGGCCATTAACAGCCGCATCGCTGTTGTTGTCAAACTGACCCTTAGACAGAACACAACTAAAAGATTTATTAATAGCACTCAGTCCCTTAACCCTTTCCTGCAATTCCATGAACTCCTGTCTTGCCATACAGACAAATACATGGATAAGCCCAAACTCCCTCGTTGAGGTCTAAAACTATAATGTCAGGTACGGTAGGGCCTATGGCTTCTTTTGCAATCAGCGTCTAGATCAGGTGACTCAGTGTGAAATTGTTGCACCACCAGATGGCCATCCGCCAATTTACATAATAACATTGGAAGGTCCGGCTGGACATTTCTTGCATATGAGGCCAAATTATGTTTGACAGAACTACCCACATGGTTAAAGATCAACTTCTTTACGTATTTGACTTACTTTCTGGATCATTCGAGAAATTTGGGAGGGTTTTTGTCAAAATTGATTTGTGGCATTGTAGAAGGATCAATCATGGAAGAGGTACAGGGAATAACTCAAAAGTTCATACCTATTTGATGAATGTTAACAGGGGTCTGCGCCGCACTGAAGTCTGATGGAAGGAAAGTACACCCATGGTCTTCGATAAAAACCCTGTAACTTCTTCGGATTTTTGGGGCTGTGAGGGGTGTGTGCGCCAATTATATAGCGAAGACTGTGACTGTTGACTCATGGAGCCCACCTTCACCACGACGACAAATGAAGACTAACTAAACTGGGCATAATCATGAATGAAAACTCAGACAGATCATTTTGGACTGGGAGAGTAACAAGTGATAGGCAGAGGCGTTGACCATATATAGTTAGGGCTGATATGCCAAGACCTAACACAAACATTGCTCTTAATTTGTCTGTAGTCTACTGTTGATATTGATACCTGCTGTCGGACCTACCACTGGGCTGGGAGTTGAGTGAAAATACAGCGGATATCGTGTGCTTGTATCTGATGATATATCAAATGTGAGATATCTTCGCCTAACCTTCAAATTATGTCACAGCATGTTAGTCGCATCCCGATTCCTATCAATCTAAATTTTGATCTCTATTTCTGCGGACTTGAATTCAAGGTACTTCTATATTACAATATAATTAATCAAACCAAGAATAAGAAAGACATGATAACGGGAGCCCAAAGTAGCTTCCAATATGACAAAGAACGAGTGGGGTATATTTAGTCGAACCAGGGCCAAAGCGCAAAAGTGAAGAAATGAAAATCGAGACCAGAATGTTTCCCGGCTTAGCCCCATTTTCTTTCTTCTTGGGATATCAAACATACAACCCTCGTATACCAATCGTATCACAGCCCGTTACTAGAAGAACGAGATTTTTTCCAGGTCCAAGCTCTTTCGCAATTTCAATTGCCCTGTTCACCGCGTGACTCGAGTCCAGTCCAGGCAGAAACCCCTCGTGGTGTTGCAAACTTTTGAACCCGTCCAGGGCATCCGCATCTGTGGCGGTCCGTATTTCAACGCGACCACTCTCCTTCCAATGAGCGACTTCAGGCCCCACAGTTGAAAGGTTCATGTCTGGAGAAATCGATTGCGAATCAATGATCTGGCCGTCATGGTTTTGGAGCATTAACGTTCGTGCCCCTTGAAGGACACCAATGCTGCCTTTAGTCAAGGCGGCCGCATTCGCAGCCTCAACACCAATTAGTCGAACACCAGGACTCTCAAGAAAGGGCCTGAATATACCAACAGCACCACTGCCGCTTCCCACAGCAGTTACGATCGCGTCCGGCTGGCAGCCGGTCGCCTTGTGCATCTGAGCTGCAACTTCCTCGCCTAATAATGCCTGAAATGTACGAGTTATGGTTGGAAGAGGGCTAGGGCCCACAGGACCACCCATGAGATAGTAGGTGGTTTCATAGTTGCGAACTGAATAGCTGAATGCTTCTGTGATTGCAGCACGCAGGGAACCCATACCAGATGGGGTTCGTGCGGTCAAGACCTTGGCTCCCAGCATCTTCATTTCCAGAACATCCTCTGGCTGAGCCTGTGCGTCATCTGCGCCCATGACAATGACACAGCGTAGCCCAAGTCGTGCGCACATTGCCGCTGTAAAATTTCCATGTTTGGCAGAGGCGCAGTCGGTGACTATCTCGGCGACGCCCATTCGTCGAGCTAATAGGAGCTGACCGATAATATTGCGAGTTTTATGGCTGCCATAATCATTTTGATCTTCCCTTTTAAGCCATATAGTTGCACCTCCAGCCAAGGCTGTCAGCTTCCTTGCCATTTGGAGAGGAGTATGTTGCGGTCGTTGGTATGTGGCATACTCGTTCCAAAAGGACGGATCCGAGACTGTAGCTTCAAAGAAGCCTGTCAGCTCGATGAGAAACCCCATTATGGATTCTGGTGCGAACCAGCCCCCAAATAGACCGTATCCATCGAATGAAATCTGTGGCGGCTTTAGCGTCCCATCTGCCTGTAGGATGGGAACGTATGGTGGACCTCCTTCATGACGCGGGAAAGTCGGCAGCTTGGTAAGCGCCCCGGAAGTCGTGGAAAAGCCCTCACCGGTTGCAGAAGTAGCGGTGACTCTTGTCTCTGTGTCTGATGCATGAGAGCACGTCCACGTACATGTGCTAGCGGTATCTGACTCCGAGGGAGGGGAAGGAGACAAGGATCTGGGAGCGGACAGTTCTTTCAGCCGAGGACTAGGAACGCAAGCCCTGGTGGCAGTCCTGCGGATTGATCTCAAACGAATGGCATTGTTTCCATTGTTTGGAGTTTTTTCAATGCTGTCAAAACTTCGGGAAAAGGAAAAACAAAAAAGAGCACGCAGTGACAGAGGCATAGCCTGTTACTGTTACTTGTAGCAATGTGAAGGTTGGCCAGGTCGATGAACAGTTGAATAGGTTGTATTGGTACTATTAGGATGTTGATGATGCATGAATGAAAAGACCAGTATTAGGAAGAGGGCCAATTTTGTATCCTGTCTACTTAATCAGTTCAGTGCGAGATTTCCAGGAAATATACAAGATAAGATGACTACCTCGCCACGTGCAGTGGGCGAGTAACCGAAGATAAGGCTGGAATGGTCATTTTTAGCATAAATACGGTGTGATAGCGGGCATGAGTACGATTTTGGCTACAGTCCGTGAGATGCTCGGGGATTCTAGTGGAGTTCCATACAGCTGGGCACTCTCTTGGTTCGTATTTCGTCACCGTCTCCGCTACTTGTCTCCTCTACTGACCTGCTGACTGGTCAGGGAATTTCAAATGAAAGAAGATTGGCTCCCTTTTGAAGTAATTTAATTTCGGTCATCGATGCTAACGTATTTTCTGAGTTGAACTGGTGGCTTACCCGAGTTCTATACGACTACTAACGACTACTGACGTGAGAGATGATTGGATGATCAGCCCCATTGATATAAACTATTGAAAGGGACCAAGCTCATATACTCTAACATTGAAGAAATTAAGATAAAGTATGAGATATTTAACTAATTGGGATGAAGTGAAAATGAACACCCAAATGAATATGTTTCCACCTATCATCATCTGCCATTACCCACCACCATGGCTTCAGACAAGAAGAATTAGGAGAAACTTATTCTGGAGGTTTAGGTTTTGAGCGCGTTCAAAGTGGCAAGTATCATTCAATTTATTAACTGTGCGAGCTTTTGGCATAGATTACCAACGGTTTCGACAAAACGTCTAAGGCTGCAAATCCCTATTTAAAAGGCCCCAAATGGAAGTAGGCCTGATGAAACCTAAGATAGCTCTCTAAAGAACTGGATTGATTATTATAATAAGATTGGGATGCATTTCAAAAATTCAAATAGCTCTATATACCTGCTCAAGATATCTTCAAGGCTTTTGATAAATTGATGATTGAAGTTCAGAAGGTATCAGAAAGTCGAAGATAATACTATCAACTTCGAAAAGCATTAGATATCTACAATCTCCATGAGACTAGTTTCTAAATTGGGGATGGAAAAGACAAAATAATTATTATATGAGAGCTATGGAATAATATAATACCTGGAACGAATATAAATCGAGTGTCTATTACTATGGTTGAAGTTATCTTCACTAATGGTTTTAGTGTCCCGCCAACAGTCATCTTCTCACTGAACAGCTACTTTTAAGCTGATTTAAAAACATAGATAATTGTGATATCGGCCCTACTTCCTATGAAAGTGGCTAAACAATTGTAAGGGTTGACTTGGAGACTCACTGAAGTCGAGGTATTTAGAGAGGAGTACTTACGATACTACATGGAGAGTTGAATTGCCGAGGAAGTGTACAGGGCGCAGATAAATCAGTCCTTGAAAATTCTTTCAAGGTTGGCGGACCTTAAGGGGTATCTATATCTACGGTTCGCCGCGCATCTCTACACATCCAAGGTTATGAATCCTTAGTGTGCTGTTCCTCAATAAGGGACGCTCCTAGTCCCCTCTCCAGTGTAGGGGGGTTTTCAAGATAAATCTGAGTCAGGAGGCGTACAAACTCGTACCGGTACTGCATCTATGTACTTCCTGGGCTGTAAGACGTTATAATGACCGTGTGAGAGATGTGAGCCGTAATGAAAACCAGACATCCGACAATACAGTGAGCTACCTTTAATATTTGGTATATAAGTGATTATAGAGATGTATCTTCCCATTAGAAGATTACAGTAGTCTTGTGGCTCAGTGGCCGGCTATATCCTCTAGTATGAATCGTTATAATCTGATTAGAGTAATTCAACTGCAGTCAGTACCCTAACGACTGATAAGTTATGTCGTCAACCTAGAATCGTTACGTATTCAGAAATAAAAAGAATGAATTGATTCCAACAGAAATTAGATGATAGAGAAGCTTTAGAGAAGTTGAGACCATATTGGAAAAAAGTGATACGCGAGCTTAATATAGTATCTAGGCAGCAGAATAGGATATTACGACGCTAAATCTAGTTTTAAATTATATCTCAATCATTAAATTTGACCTTTTCACTAATATTAATGTAATTTCTATGGGTTATGGGTAATAAATTTAGATATGAAGTTAGAAAATATCCATTTGGGTGTTTCCTATCCTGTTAGCGTAGTAAATTGTTAATGTATGGAAGAGTCCGGTTACGCTTCGAACAAGAAGCCCAACAAGGAAACGTAAGACATGGGGTTGTTGCAATAGGATCTGACAAAGTATTTCCAAGAAACTTTTATCAGTTGACTTTCCAAACACTAAGTCTCCAAAATTCACATTATGATCAATTGTACGGAGAAGATTCATCGAATGTATCAACTTAGCGAAACGAGAATTGGGCAACACGATTGATCCTTGAAAGTGGTATCTTCAGGAACCAAAAATTGCGTTATACAAGCTGGGGGTCAAATTGGAAACGATAAAGCGATGCACCCCTGGCTCAGATTCTGCACCCTATTTTATCAGAGTTGCAGGATCTTTGTGTAGCTCAGTAATGCGGGAACCCTTTATATTGGATTCATAGTTTCAAGGTTGCGCAAGATATCGAGAAGTTCCACTATCAGCAGTATGAACCATCTTTCCACAGCCTTCTTAGGTTTCCATTGGACCCACGGTCCTGAGGCCAATTGCTGCTTGCGCATCTACTCACTTCATTGCGGTAAGGAGATCTCCATGTTTCACCATCATCACTTAGGTACTAGTGTAAGTAAAGCTCATCAATTGGGCTGATAAATTTGCCACTGATCTACCACTTTAAGAAACTAGTTTCATATTCAGAGCGTTCATGTCCAGCGACTTCTGGACTAGTTTCTAGGGCGTACCATGTCATGTGACAGGTCAAGAAACCACACCGTGATTTGTCCACGGTAAATTACGTAGAAATATATTTCGCTTTTTGGTCCATCTGATCGTCCAAAAAAACTTTGGATATCTTCAATCTTGATTTTTGGTCATAGATATCTTATCCACATAGCTAGTAGAGGGGCAATGTGGAAAAAAAACAAGCGAGGTGTAGCCGTATGGTCATATTATACGCCGAGTATAATTGAGACCAGCACGAATTGAAATACACCCATAGATCCTTGCAAATGTATAAAGACTACTAAATTTAACCAGCGCTTCAATGGATCTATCTCAAAACCATTGGACTATGCAGTCTTAGATGTCCATCTGGAAGTGTCTGGAGTATGTCTTGAACACTCAAATCACCTAAAATCTTAAGAATATTTCATTTCTGGTGAAAACTTTGAGCAATAGAAACGAACTATCCAGGAATATAAGATGACCTCATATGACACCCTTGAAACCTTGCAAAGTCCACTGCATGTATTGCATATGTACCCATAACCTTGGACTACACCTATGAACGAACCCTGGCAAAAGAGGCGGAGAATTTCCACCAGTCCACTGCCAGACCCCAAAATAGTATGAAATGAAATAAGACCCCCAGGAACATTGAAATGAAGGTCGTCATGTCAGATCCGACTCCAACTTAAAACCCCCCATAAACCCCCAAAGTTCGCTTTTTCCAGAAGGCAGTACAAGGCACCACGTTTCTTCCACGTGGTCGTGGACGGTTTTATTCAAAATGTGTGTCTCCATGTACGACCGTCTTTGTTCCTTCAATATCTCAGATCTTATACGCGCTCTGTCAGCTGAGCTTAAGTTCGCCGCTTGGCTCACGTATCAGATTACTCGGAGACTCGTTAAGGGCGTGCTCCAAATCCCGAGATTATTGTCATGGTAAGTTGGTACATGATGGTATTAATATTGACTTTATATTAACAGTGGAACTATCTAGACCTTGATCTCATTTCATCAGCGGGCAATTGCCAGCGATTACAATGGCTTTTCGCATTTGATTCCATCTCAAGCAGATCTGATGAAGATTCTCTGCTGTCTTCTTTGGAATGGATAGATTTCCAGCAGTATATCATTGGTTGGAAGCTTAATGAAGAATTTGTATATGAACAAAGATACTATATGTATGGACAAGAGAAAAGGGAAAGGAAGAACGGGGGTGAGTCCTGGAGTCAGAGGAATGAAAGTCCCTCAAATAAATTGGGAAAGCTTAGAAAGTTAATGAATACCCTCAAAGTCTTGGGTCTCGATTGTCATGCCCGTCCTAAATCGTCACAGTCAGATCACGTAAATATATACAAAGAAGATAGTAGCACTAGGCCGTGTAACTTTTTCATCCAGCCACCCCTTGTGTTGGAAGGTGGTGATCAGAGTTGATTGCAGACGGTGCAGCAGAGTTCGACCCACTACCACTCGAAGGCTTAACAATACGTTCACGTAGCCGACGGCCCTCCATCAGTCCACGGAGACCGCGTTTCTGAAGACCGATCACGCTGCTCAAGTCACCAGTCCAAATCTCATGAGCCGGCTGACTTGCATTGGTACCACGGCGCTGATGATGCGCTTGTGAGCGGCTATCGCTGTCGCTGACGAAGTCCGAGTCAGACTGATCGTGGCTGGCGCTGGATACGGATGTTGCAGTGCTATTAGCGCTGGCCGAGTTTGTGCGCTCATGGCTGATACTACTGGCTTGGCGGCCACGTTGTGATATGTTGGTGTCGATTCGGAGAGAAGGTAGGCCACGCGTAGAGTTTGTTAGGTCGTCAGCACTGCTGAGGGCTGAGGGCGGAATACCACCATGTTCGGTGTCAGATGAGTCGGATGCTAGTACACTTTGCTGGGATGTGGTGGCTTCGGAGATACCCAGTGCATTGCCATTTCGACCGCCATTTGTGCCGTTCAACGCCTCGAGTGTACCGCCTAGCCCACCAGTAAATCCAGTACCGCGACCACCACCTGCTGCCATAGCTGCTGCGTTGAAGACTGCAGCTGCGTTACGCCCATCAAGCACCTGGTGGAGCCTTTCCACGATCGCCTCTAGTAGGCCATCTACCTGGTAGGGTCGTGCAAGTTGGAGGAGCGAACAAAGGATTTGTGGCGTACATAGAGATGAGCCGAGTGGGGGAAGTGCCGAGGTGTAGAGATATTGCATGAGCACCTGAAGTGTGAGGATCGTATGAGGGAGATAGAGGACTCGTGGTCGAGAGGTCGGGGCAAGGCCATGGGCGGATGGCGCCTCCAAGTTCTCCAAGAGGGCCTTTGACGGGATAGAGGCGTTTATCAATGTCGGTGAGTTAGAATGGATGATATTATGTCCAAGTGGAGCAGTAATGGTCATGCTCGAGTTGCGGCTCGGATGGCTTGAGTTCGAGCGAAGAGTGGCTCCATCTGCAGCGCCCTCATCTGTCGATTCGCGCAGCAGCTGAATGAAGAATGGTCCCCATCGTCGAGCCAGAATGCGAGAGTTCACAGATATCCGCTCTCCACCTACAGCCTGCAGTTCCATGTCGGCCATTCCGTTCATTGAAAGTGCTATCTCGCCTAGCTCATCAGATACTTTAGATAAAGGACGTCCACCGGTTGTCAATTGAGCCAGTTTCAGTTGCAGGAATGCAGGGACCGATGGTGAGCTATAGGATTTGTATCCTGATGTTGAAGACGTTCTTGCTGGGTTGTCGTAAAGTCCAAAGGCTTCGAGCTCGACTAAACAGATATGCGAGAAATTGATTCGGCGGTGATTGTAATCGTCCACGAGGCTTCGCTTACGATGACCCAGTATCACAAAAGCGCTTCGGCGTGGCCAGAGCACACCACGATTCCAGCTGCCTTGGCCAAAGACCGAGCCACCAGCGTCAATGCGCCCCCATGTCAAGGTCTTCAGGTCAAGAGCCCAAAGAGCGTACTCCTGTTTTGATGAAGTTAAATAAGTACCACTCACGACAAAGTGACCATTTATAATGCCACCATTGGGAAATCGTAGTCCAGGCGGGGAAGCCTGGCTCTGCATTGGTCGCTCAACAAGGCGTCCGTCCGGCAGGCGTACTTGGAGCTCCAGCTTGACATCCAGAAAGTTATAGTTAGAGTATATCAGCATAGGACATCCCGGTAACTCAGACTTTTCGATAGGTTTATTGGCTTCTCGGTCAGGTACAGACGAGCCGATATCCGAAACTTCCATGCCTATTAAGGGAGCAACAACACTACGGTATGCGCCACAGCTGCGTCCTAGGGGGCTGGTGTTGGTCCACTTAAGACTCCGAAGATTGAATACACTAATCTGCTCGATATAGTGGTTTGAACTGTCCTGACCACCAACGACCACCATTTCAGCACCACCAAAACCATCAATATCCACGCCAATCGAACCACGATGAGGGTCAGTTGACTCAGGATTGTGGTGGATAGCTGATAGCGGAGCACTAGCAGAGGTGAAGCAAGCACTAGATGGCAATATCGTGGCGCAATGAGCATATCGGCCTTGCGGGGATTCGTGCGCCGAGACTCGAGTCCACGTGCGTGTAGGGACATCAAATATGTGAATATCTGACATGACCACTACCTCCGATTGAGCCTCAGCCCCAGCACTAGGGGGTTCAATGAGTGACCCATGTACCGGTGACATTCCACCATATGCCACCAGCTTATTATCGCCAAGGGGGCAAACACTATGGAAATAGCGCGGTGGTGGAATGTCACCTGTTGGCTCGAGCTTTGTCCAGTGGCGGCGGATTAAGTCCAGTTCGTATAGATCGGCAGTCAGTTTAGGGGCAGTGCGTGAGAGGATCCGGCCTCCAAAGACATATAGTTTGTCCCCCAGAATAGTCGTAGTCGCCCCAACTAAAGGGTGAGGCTCCTTGCCCGTAGTTCGACGTACATTGCACACTAGGCCGGACAGATTAATCGGCCCAGATGAGCTCGGTTGGCTAAAAGAGGGCGAATGGCCTGTAGCTGGAGGTTCGTGGCCCACATCCAAGCCCAGGCTGGACTGACTCCTGGACATCATGATGGCGATTTGGCTGCTAAGCCTGCAGAACCGCAATTGAAGCGATTTTTCCCTCTATGGTTGGTCTTGAAGGAAACAATAAAGTATCAGCCAGTAATATGCGAATATAGTTCAGAACTGCTAGAATGAACTGATTGATTATATGCAGGTGTATGCGAGTCGAACTAAGCGTACGAGCTCGCAGGAGGGTGGCCTGGTGGAATCCAGGGGGAGGGGTGTCTTCCCCACGTCGAGATCTTGGGGGATTTGGACTGTAGACCGATATACCAGAACTGAGGAACCAAGCTCGTAGGGCACTAACAGTCAAGACTTGACGTTGAAAGATAAGGTTGTAAAGTCGAGAACGTGGGATGGGCATAAAAAGGCGGTCTCAACGTTTTGCGGGAATATTCCCCCGCCCGTCCTACTTTAGCCTAGATAGCAGTCTTAAGGATATCTGATCCCTTAGTGGAAGATATAGCGATGACAAATCGATAATTTTCATTCGTAAAAAGGAATGAAACTCAATAGAGCTTCCACGTAATTTGTAATTTGAGGCTATTTGATCTGATGTGTCCCTAGGTAGTTTAATATACTTCACAGTACCCCGCGTGCTCCGTACTGTGGAGCATATTGGAGTGTTATCTGTGAACCCGGTCCATAATGAATGCTTCATGATATTGATAGATTACTAGGATTTTCACCGATCAAGAGTCGTTGGTATAATAATATTATGAGCAGGTATTCCAGAACGCCATGATGCTAATCAGCGCAAATCAGACAAGATCCAACAACATACTCCATCTCAAGTTTACCGCATCACCGGTGGCCGGCTCTCTTTATTCCACTTTACACGACTCTGTACCCACTCCACCGCTGCTTGTACACCAGATCCCATCAATGCGCTGACCGGCAGCACGCGACTGTCTCGGACGCCGCTTCCTGTCTCCCCTTCAAAGACCTTGCGAACGAAACCCTCTTTGATTCGAACGACCTCGACACAGTCTTCACGATCCTGTTTATTGGCCAGCACGAGGATCGGTACCCCTGCTACGTCGGCACTCTGCAAGACTGATTCAAGAACCTGTCGACACTCATCTAGTCGTCCAAACTCGATTCCACCAGCATTGATACCGACTGATTGTTCTGTGAAGTGCTCGCTTGTACTATCACGCTTCAAACCTGGTACGGAGCTAGTGCGGCGCCCGGGTGCTGAGGGAAGTCGTGTGATGTCGGAATCTTGGCCCACATCTGCACTGTCCACGACGAATATTATGGCGTGACAACTAGTGTAATAGCTCTGCCATAGACCCCGCATAGATATTTGACCACCTACATCCCAAATCTTGAGATTCATATCTGACAGGGGAATTGTTGAGACATTCTGACCAACGGTGGGGACGGTCTTTCCGGGGTTAGGTGCGGGGACACCATCAGCGCGGGGAATATAGAGCGATTTGATTTGAGAGAGAAGGGTAGTCTTTCCGGCATTATCCAGGCCTAAGAGGAGGACAGAGTACTCTATGGTGAACAGGACCGGCGATAAGCATTATGCGGCGATGACGGGGAATCGCGGGGAGTCGCGGGAAGTGGCTTACCCTCTTTGCTGGTCGCAAATGTATATAGTGACTTGGCCAGATGATACATGATCGCGCGGAAGCGTCACAGGCCAGCGCGATCAAGTCAGCGAATTTCTGGGGAAATCCTGCATTGATGACGTTGGAGCTTAGTTGCGCCGCTATCCATTGCGCCAGGAGGCTGCCCGATTAGGAAGCTAGGGCTTAGGGCATCTACAGCAGATGATATCTTCTATTTTTAGAACTATAAGCTCGACTCAACACTGCGTATTTAAGATGCGGATTTTAACTCTAATCAAGACACTACAAATAGGAGTGAATAATTACAACTTCATTGCTTTCAACCCCGTAGTATGTGGCGACTTGGGTTAGAAATGGTATCGCTGCAAGTGGGACGAGCAAGGTAATAATGCATCATGAAGTTATGCGGTTCATTAATCATGAATCCTAGATGGGTAAATTCAATGAGATAGTTAGATGGCTATCGATTCAGAAACATCAAGGCCTTAAAGAAAATGTCCCAAGATCCGATAGGTTTCTCAAAATACCCCGAGAGACAAACCAACAGCAGAATTTTGACTAGCCCGAGCATAGAGGAAATTATAATTGACACAAATTATGGAAATGGTGTTTAATATGTTTTACTCGGTAAAGTAGCGCAAATCAGTAACTTCATAGCTTCTTCTGCAACTGTACGTGGAAACACTGGGCAGAAGGAATCCCATGCAATTGTGGTCAACAGGGTATGATCGAGATGTCGCGTTTGCATGTCATCAAAATATTTCAGCCGCTGGAGCCATGAATCGAGAACTTAGATGGGATCAGATGTAACGTATAAGCCGAAATGAAGGAAGCTGAGTAAAAGCTGAGAGAATTGAAACTTGGGGTTGTATGGGATTCAATTATGGGGACTTATTGTGGGAAACAGAATCAGGGGACAAACGATGCATTGTTGCCCATATCGGGGGCAGAAAGTATGGGAAACAGAATCAGGGGACAAACGATGCATTGTTGCCCATATCGGGGGCAGAAAGTATGGGGAAAAGTTGAAAATAGGAACGCCTGAAACTCCATGCTATGGCCTTCTAGTCAAGGCTCTCATGAAAATCCCTCAATTCAATGAGGGCGAATGCGGTTGAGAGGATACATGGGTGAATTTATTCGGAAAAGTTGCGCAACTTGGTGATTTCATCAAGCATCTCCTGCAGATCGGCGTCGGCAATTTTGTTTTGCAAGCTAGGGATAAGAGATTTGGCTTCTTCAGCGTTGTCGCAGCACAGACTTCCTGAAGCACGGGCTGTGTCAATAACTTTCAAGCAAGTATGAAAAAGGCGCAATCAATCTTACCTAGCTGCGCCTTTTCAAATTTCAGCAACTCAGGGTAGGCATTCAGAACGCGCTCGACTGCCTTGATGCTCTCCTCGTCCTTGAAGCGGGCAAAAACCTCAAGATATTCCATGGTTTGAGTGAGATTCCTGATATGGCCAGGAAATCAGTAACATGCAACCATTTATCGTTCTCCTCTTTTTTCCAAGATCACTTTCTTTTCCTCGTTCATCTCGGTTTCAGGGTCGTGTTGAGAAGGGACTTTAGGTGGGCTACTAACTCAGGTTCTTCACGGTTTTGACCGGATTTCTTTTTATTCTCCTGTAGCTTGCGAATAATGAGGCGGGCCTCAGACAAGCTCAGGGTGGGGGTGTCTTGATCCTCGCCGAGCTTGAGAATCGACGCGGCTTCCAGCTCACCCTGGGGCAAGACGCGCTTGCGATGAGTGGGCGGGGGAAGTTTAGCACTCATGATGATTGATTGTAAAAATTGCAGATAGAATTGGGAAAAAAATGGTTGAAACAGCAATAGAGAAGTACTGCATATTCCGAGGGCGGTGTATGAGGCGGCAAGATAGCTACCCCCACTACCTTGATCACGTGTACTGATTTGTATGCCATGGTTATATCTTCTGGTATTCCCTATATTTTGATGAGCAAGGCGCCAGGATAGCCTGTTCAAGAGATCTGGACAACTAATCTTTCAATTGGCCGTCTAGATCTAGCAGACAAAATGAAACCTTGGGAGTATTGTCACAATTGATTTAAATCATGTGGAAACTTGTATCAAGTTCGTTTTGACCGCATTGGCTTACTTTTCGAAGGAAATCCAATTTAGGGTTGGGGGAATGTATGTCTTGGGATCATATTCTTTCACCAACGTTATTCTCTAGAGGATTTTTCTCGTGGGCCTTTTGCAACAGAACCTGAAGTCTCGGCGGAGAATCGGTTGGACTGCACCCTTGTGGTAGATGCTCTCCAAGATCTCAACATTCAGCGCATGAATGGCTATCCAACTTCACCTGATCCATCTCCTGTCTATTACCCAGATTGAAGCGTGAACGGTATTTGTGTTGACAATGACTTTAGCACTATATCAACAATCGATTGGGTGTTTTGTCCTTCCGTCCCTCTTGCGAGCTTATTGGCTAGTCCTGGTTTCCCAGAGTCGCGAAGAAACTGCGGTTGGAGTCTAAGCTTGGAAGTTTTCACCTCGGAACCCAATAATCTCCTGGGGAGAATTTGATACGACAAATGAATACACAAGATGAAGAATGAGGAGAAGGGTATTACTATTGCTTTTGTTTATACCATAAGAACGTCTCAATAATTTCTATACTCTGCGTGTATTACTCCTTGCGGAACGCGACGTCGGGTGGTAGACGGAAACTAGCGCAGAACATCTGCTTATTAGGGCTGACAAGACGGACATTGTGGATTGCCAATTCAATAGCAGCATCACCACTGCCACCAACACGGTCTTCCGGAGTAATAGTATAACCAATGCGCTCAGATACTCGCTCACAGATATCCGCATGATCATCCACTTCGTTCTCAGAGTGGCCTGAGAAGCAGTAGACATGGATCATGGGTAGGAGTTGAGAGGTTTGAGGTGCAAAGAGAGCTTCTTTGCCGGTGTAGAGGCCACGGAAAGCATCAAGGAATTCAATAGCAGTAGCAGGCAGGTTCATCACGTAATGGTCGACAATAGACGGACGGTTATACACTTTCGGTGGGGGACCATCTGTCTTTTGCTTTTCACTTCTGCGCTGCTTGGGCTTGATGGTGACAGTCAAAGGATCAGCTTCCAAGAGAGACTGCGCTGTAAAGCGGATGAACTCCCGGCCATCCTTGTTAAATGGGGTGACAAAGTCTTGGACTTTGTTACGCTTGATCGCATCCTGCATCACCTCATACCCGTGTGGGTTCAGATCATTAGCCCAGACGAAGATGCGCTTCCGGCCTGCGGGTACAGCAAACGGTCCTACACCGGCCATCACATCGCAGACCATCTGGCCTGGCTGGAACTTTTGCACAAGTCGGCGATGCTCCGTCTCCAGGCGACTGTTCCAATAAACGCGCGCATAGTCGAAGTGAAACTCGCAATCCTGCTCGTGTTGAACAACGTTCAAGTCGTTCTCGCCTGCGAGCAGTTCGAAGGAAATGTGCGGAATTGGCTGTGTGAGCCAACATCTTCGGTCTTGTTAATGACTGTTCGAATAGGAGGGTTTTTGTCTTTGAGAATCTCGGCTATGATATATTTGTACGGTAGCCACTTGTCTCGGAGGTTTAAATGCACTATTCATCTGTCAGTATAATTGAAACTTTCATATGTCATCGGGCATAAACCTACAAACGTGCCCCACTTGGGTAAACCCTTGGGGAACCTCATCGATATCCTCTGGCAAGATTGAGGAGGCGATTTCAGCTGGATAGCAGTTAGAAACTTCGTCATTCAACCTTCCACCCGAATCTTGATCCCATACCATATCCCCAATAGTCGTAATCCAATACAAGATCATAAGGCGCTACAGAAACAGTTCCTTTCTCAACGAGCGCATTGATCGTAGGCGACCACGTTGTCTTATCTAATCCAATAATCAGAGTTATATTCTCCTTTCTTTAAATAGCAGCAGTATTTTCATAGGTACTTACCATCAGCTTTCAAGTCGTGACGCAGCAACAGTGCTTTCCGGGGTCCATCTTGATCTGCAATCTCGCGAATTCCACTCAATCTAGGCAAAGCTAGCAAGTCAGAACTGTTTCCCAGCTCTTTGCGCACTTTAGTGATCTCAGAATTATTGAAGATCTTGGCTGCGGCGATCGGTACGGTTTTGCGGAAGAAGGTCCGGTCGAGGGTGCGCATTGCGCGGTTGATGGGTGGGCGAAACATGGTAGGGAGTTCGCGGGGAACCTGCTGGCGTACTTCGGGTGTAGCCTCCATCGAAAGGAGAGTTGATGCCTTTAGACTGGGGAGCAAATTGAGGTTGGCTAATTGATAGAGTTGTTATTTGGCTCAGTCAATTTATTTCTTATCGACCACGTGACGTTATCAGCGCCGATCTATGAGTGCCTGAAGTTTTAAGGTTGCTGCTTTATAGCAATAAAAGAGGAATGAGAAGAGTAAATGATATTTTCATTTTGAGACTTCATCTGAGGATTATGTGCTTTGTTCAAAGGGGAAGATAAGATGAAAAAGTCCGAGATTGCAATGGCCACAAGTATAACGCTAAAATATGTCGAAAGATGAAACCGAGCCTTCATCTGGATTGCGCTTTTAAACTTTGAAAATAAAAGAAATAAGAACTAGCCAGGGATTCACTGATCAGTGCTTAAAGGCTCATGAGTCATGGTAAATGGTAAGAGAAAATATCTGGAAGATATGTGGAACCAGTCCAAGCTTGCAATGACCAAGAGTGTAATTGGTAAATGATGAGAGGTATAGATGGGAATATCGCAAATCAATTTAATACCATCGTGCCGTCATATAAGAGTCGAAACATACTATGTTAAGAGTTTTATCTGGGTTATTATAATGAAGGTATTGGAGTTAAGTACCCCGCGAATCAATCAAGGTCTGATCCATTGCATGCTGTGCCTGAAGATTGACAACAGTCTCTTTGAGGCTGGTAATCTCAAGCTCCAGCTTCTTGGATTTTTCGCGAAGAAGATCCCGCCCGCGTGAAATGCCAGACGCTTTGAGCTTTTCTTTGTTGAGACGAGCAACAAGGTCTTTCCGCGCATCATTCGGCAGAACAACATTGTGCTTTTCTAGGATGGCAATAGCATCTTCCGCCAAATCTGAAGTGTCTGTGTGAGAGTCACAGCTCAGTACATCGCGGTACTTGCTCGGTGTGGGAGTTTGACACATCTCGATTGAAGAAGGGGGAAAGGTTGATGAGAAAAGACTGCGGGCGGGTGAACCCTTCACAGCAGAGGAATTCGCAAAGCTTCCGGGCTCAGTGAATTCCGATAGCTTGCGCTTTCCAGGTGACGTAGTTTGAGGAGTGCGCGCTGCTTTTGAGGGGGTTTCCGGGAGACAGGAGGGAGTTTTTGGAGAAAAGAGCGGCCCATTTTCTTTAAGCTCAACTTGGCTTTTGAACAGAAAATTGGTCAGTTCATCATTCTCATCCGAGTCATCATTCCAGCCAAAGTCATCGGTGTCTTCGGCCATCATGCGGGCTTTGGCACTCAGCAGCGGTTTTTTGAACTCGTTGTTGGCAGGGGTAGATGGCGCTTTACGCTCAGTTTGTGGCGTAAGGAGGCCAGTTATCTTTGGTTGAATATACTTGGTGGGAGTAGAGGGGAGCCAGCCCGCACATGCTCGGCCATTCTGGGATCCATTGTCGGCATCGTTTGTAGTATTGGCGGTGTTCATATTGCTCTCGCGGGGTATAGCCTCATCAGCCCAAAGCCAGAACGTGCAACCTTTCTTCTGGCAGGTATAGACTGTGATAGAATCAACTAAAGCCTGGAGGAATGAGATAAGTCCACACTCGACTTACAGAATCTACCTTTATTGCGACCTTCTTTCTTCACCTCGTACTTCGCTGCGATAGGTCGATCATTACAGTTGCAGCGCCAGCTGCCATCTTTGAACAGCCCATTTAAGGGCGCTACCGTTCGTGGCGAGTTTGGAATGGCTTTTCTTGGAGAGAACATAGTGATAACTGGGTGATCCACATGGGTTTGTGGAAGCTGAGATGAAAGAAGCGAATGAATTTAGTGTACAATACTTTGTCACCTAGGAAACTCTTATCGGATTGCTTATCGCGAATGATCAACAGACGTCAGTGTCCTTCCGGAAGCTTAAGAAATGGATCCAACCATAGTCCATATGGAGTACCACGAGGGAGATTCCACAATGAGCTTTCCTACACTGAAAGTGAAAATACTTAGGTAAGCCCCTGCCGCCTGGCAGGTTGTGGCAGCCATGGAGATTGAATAACATCAGTCGAGTCAATTAATCATGAAATCTAAAAGGAAACCAAGTTGAGAGTTATTACACTTCATACGGGTACATTCCAATGTTTCTCGAAGTCGTTTTGCTTCTATAACTATTTAATCATCCTCATTCTTGAGGTCAAAGACTGTCCCAGACTGTGACTTTTCCAATTGCACAGCATCTCCAGTAAAATCTCCTTTCTAGAAACAGAACATCAAAAATCTTAGCAGACTCTGTTCCGCAGTTGACGAACTCGTGGTTGGTTCCTCGACAGAAAACTACATCATGGAGTTGAAAGTCTTCTCTTAACCACTATCTATGATCAGAACAACAGTGTTGGCAAGGATGACGAAATAATCCAAGCTCAGTGTGCGGTGCATCCATCCCTGCTCGGCAGGAGGCATAACCAAATGCGGCAAGAGGGTACCTTGGTATCAGTCAAGGATTTCAGTCAGGGGAACAAGGGTCTTGTGGGCTCGACAAGGGGACGCATGTTGTCCACGGGAAATCCACGGGAACGGTGGATCTATACTAAATCGAAGGCAGAGTAAGGGCTAGAGGCAGTGAATGCAGGCGCTGTTGTAGCATCGTTGGGAGTGAGGAAGTCATCTGAGGCGAAAAGGCCTTGCCCTTCGAGTCGTGAGCTGTGATGATATGACGAACGGGAGTATCCATTTTGTAAGGAATTGAGAGGCTAGAATTGAAGTAGAGTGGAATTGGAATGGGAGTTGATTGGTGATTTTCTATCATAGGGATTTGAAACTTTACATAAGAGAGTCCAGAGACTTTGCCTATATCTACGGAGTGTTATTTAAGGTCAGTTCTCAATGCCAAATTTCAGCTGAGAGACATCTAGAGATTTCAAGGTCGAAATTAGATCCTGATGGGTCCATCCAGATTCGACGACTCTAATTGTCAGGAATGATTGGCCAGAAAGTATGGAATGTGGGAGAGATTCGGGGATTACAAAGCTCGCATTTGGTAACTAACTACTTATAGTACCCTGTATACGAAGAAAAGGCAATATTCTACCTGTAACCTTCCCAGAGATATATTTGGTTAGCCTAAACTGGTCGTTGGAAACAATTCGAACCACCAATTAATTTCTAACCAAGATTTAGTCACCCAATTAGAAGATCCCTTAAGCTGTAGGTAGGAATTGAGGACATGCTTAAATGGATAGGAGGATAAAACCCCAAATACTGCTATCCGTAGAGGTCCACAGAATGCTGACTGAGATTAGGACGAAGCAAGAGATGGAAGCATGCAATTTGCTTTGTGCAAATTCCATCTATCGCCGACAATATCTATATCGAGGAAGTATAGCTTAATAACAGCACGGAAGTCATATTGGTCGTTACTTTTGAGCATTACATTTCATTTGTTCAATCAGTGCGCTGCCATTTGGTCTCCTCGTCGTTGGTTCCATTCTCATCCGTCTCACGGCCTCTAACAGATCCAGCTCCAGGGCCGAGACGGAAAGCGGACGGCTCTCCATTACCGATCCAATTGCCATGCTCATCGAAAAATTGGCTCATGTTCTCTGATGTAATCCATCCTGAGCTGCCGCTGACCGGAGGTGGCAGATCACCATTCAAGGATATGAATGGCTCATCAGAGAAAATAGAATCATCATGATCCTCATCGCCGGGCTCGACTGGGTCAGGGTGGAGATACGAGCAAGCAGAGATAGCGTCGAATAGCTGTTGAATGGTCGACTCAACAGAGTCGTTTACTAGGTCATCAGCTGTGGCTTCTGTGGCTGTCTCGGTAGGGGTCACAATTGTAATGGTGAGACTTTCTTCATAGTCGTCCTCAGATGACGAAGTGGGTACAGCGATTTGCATATATACACCCGTTTCTTCAGTGGACGACCCTGGGACCTGTAGGCGCTGGAGGGCGTGCAGTGAAATAGACGGATAAGGGATTGATACGCCAGCTGCTTCGGAATTGAACAAGAAGAGTTTACTGCAGAAAAGGTGAAAATTAGCTCATGATCTTCAAATCGTCAAGAGTTTGGATAGGTCGCCGCCATCTGTTGGCGTGCACGCTAGACCTACTCAGATGTAACCCAGATCTCTACGCCGTCAATGATAATTTGCTTCTCCCTGTCCTCAGCTATATCAACGGTTCCATTTGTGGCATCTGCACTTCGCAGTGACTTCAAAGCTGGGGCTGCCGCAATTTCACTCTCGATAGCAATAACCTTGCATTGCTTGCTGTGGAAATGGAGGACTGGGGGACCGGAGTGGAAGGAGCTTGGGGTGCGCGACTGGTGGTCGGCGAGTGTAACAAATGTGGAGATATCAGGGCTGCTCAATAGGGCCTCCATTTTGAAAGGATCAGGTTTTCTAGCGATTTGAACTTAAGATTCAAAGTTAATTGAAATACGTTGGCGGGGCTTGGAAAAAAGCTGCGGGAGCTCAAGAAAAGCTTATCGGATAAGAAGTCACGTGTCTCAAGCTAACCTCCAGCCTGATCCCCATGCCGGATTCAGTTTAGTTTCAACACAGTAGACTAGGATTCACCAATAACTAATTCATTCATATTCTAATTGGTCACCCAAGCCATAAAAGTCGGCAATGCTTACGGTAAATCGATACGCAGTACAGCAATGACTGTGAGAAGCATTGGAAGGTACATGAAGTGGCATTTCTCAGCCCTAAGCATGAGTTCACCTCAAGCTTCATCATTGCCTTGGAAGGTAAGTCAGATGATCTCATATTGTTGGAATAGAGCCTTTTCTGGCGGAATTTTTCCAAGTTTGTTGAAACCCAATTATTGATCAGGATATTTTAGGGTTATTTTCGTCGATATGCAGGTCTATGACCCAGATCAATCCTCATGTGTCACTGACATATCTAGAACCTCTACTCTTCCCTTGCCCTTGGTCTCATTGCCAATGAAGTCATTCAATCCTTTAAAGGCTCCAGGCTCGGCAAATCCAACGACTTCCCATTCATCGCCACCAATCACTTCCTGAGACTCCACTGATTCAAAGTAGCTGATAATCTTTTCCTTCACAGTTCCAGGTGCCTTTTGTGTAGACTCTGTACTGGATGCTTCAGCTTCAACATCAGAATCATCACGATTAGATTTCTTGTTTCCTTTGTTTCCCTTCTTGTTGGATTTGCCGCCACCTTGGGCGGCTTCCTTCTCCTTAGCAGCCGCTACACCTCCAGCAACCTTAACTGATTGTTTGAGGATTGACACAGGGCAGGTAACACGAAGACGCATACGCGCTCGCATCACTGGAATCGGCTGCCATGCAATCAGTGCCTTCATAGCATCGAGCGCTTGACTTTTTGAGGATCGGTTGGCAGAAACACCAGTCCACACTGGTTTCTTAGATTGTTCATCACCAGTTCCGTTGGCATCAGATCCACTCTGTTGTTGACCACTGGCTGAACTCAATTGGTCCAACGCCTTAGAGATCATACCAGACGTATACACGCGCTTTGTCGTCGGATCCACTAGTCTCCCAGATACGATATCTAGTACCTCCTTCTCAACTCGTTCCAGAACATCCTTGCGCTCACGCTCACCAACTTGCACCTCACCTTTACGCAAGATTTCTTGGAGAATTTCGTCGCGGGGTGTATTGGCACCAAATGACTTGGCTAGTTCTGCTGATGGGGCAGTTTGCGCCTTGGATACTGATAAAAAGACTGTGGGGACTTGGAGGACGTTGTCGAGGTCTTTCTCAGCACCAGATCTGTATTCTAGCAACTTGTTCTTGTAGCATGCGAGCTCAAACTTCTTTTTGCCTAAGAGGACGGGATAGCTTAGAAATTGCCTTCACCTCAAATTAGTATGAGGATCCGATACGCACCTTTCTTGAGGCGAACAATAGACACATTAGTGAATTTGATCTGGTTGGAGGGCTGGTTGATCGGCATAGTGGGGAAGCCTCGTGAGGGCTGCGAGAAATGTTGAAAAATATTAGATATGGCAGATAAGTGGGTGCCTTGGATGTAGAGGATAACTTGAGTGCGAAAATATATAGGTGAAAAAATATGACGTGTGTTAAAGAGGGTGGGAAGTTTGTCAGTGGAAAAAAGTTGACCGTATGTTTTCTATTCAAGATCTAGAATTATCAGTTCACCGCCTTCAGATGGCAGAAAGTACCCTGTTGCCCATGTGACCCCGCATGACTCAGCCACAACAAGGTTTAAGATTATGATTGGTTCCCGCTTATCACGGTATCACCCGGACCGGCGTCATCGTTCTGCAGGGTTGCCTCCATTCCCCAACCTCTTCTCCTCTACCTCTCTCCTCCTCTTCCTCTCTCCTCTTTCCTCGATCATAAGCCCTGCCTTATCATCAACATATATCAACTATTTTCAAAGCGGGGTATTCTGATAGCGTAAGTCTTCCAGGATATCTTCTCTCTACTTCAACAGTTTGGATGGAATGATCGCTGATAAGAGTCGTTGCCTGAAGTCATTGCCTAAACAGAAACCCTCATCAACAAGTTACCTATACCCATCATTGTTCATCGATTCTCGTGAACTATTATCATAATGAGGGTTCTTTCTACTACTCTGCTGGTCGGAGCTGCCTCTGCTGCGGTCTCACCCATGCAACAGGTCATGGGTGGTCACCGTGAGCAAGTCGAATCCTTAGCCAAGCAAGGTGCAGATGTCCTGTCCAAGCCGCTCCAGAAGATTCAGGATGCTTATAAGACTCTCACCGATGAGGGCCGTGAGCTTTGGAGGGAGGTTTCAAACCTCTACCCAGAAGGCTTGGACCACTCTCCGATGCTCTCGCTGCCCAAGAAGCACACTCGCCGCCCTGACTCCCATTGGGACCACGTTGTTCGTGGTGCAGATGTCCAGAACATCTGGGTTGAGGGTGCTAGTGGTACTAAAGAGCGTGATATTGATGGCAAGTTGGAGTCCTATGATCTCCGTGTGAAGAAGGTGGACCCAAAGGCTCTGGGTGTTGACCCTGACGTCAAGCAGTACAGTGGTTACCTCGACGACAATGAGAACGACAAGCATCTTTTCTATTGTAAGATCCCCAGTCACTTCTTTCTACCCTCCTATTTGGATTCTAACATTTACAAGGGTTCTTCGAGTCCCGCAATGACCCTGAGAACGACCCCGTCGTCCTGTGGTTGAATGGTGGCCCTGGCTGCTCTTCCCTCACTGGATTGTTCATGGAACTTGGACCCAGCTCCATCAACGCTAAGATCAAGACTGTCTATAACGAATTCTCCTGGAATGCCAATGCCTCTGTCATTTTCCTTGACCAGCCCGTCAACGTTGGTTACTCTTACAGTGGCTCCAGTGTCAGCGACACTGTTGCCGCTGGCAAGGACATTTATGCTCTTCTGTCCCTGTTCTTCAAGCAGTTCCCCCAGTATGCCAAGCAGGACTTCCACATCGCTGGTGAATCCTATGCTGGTCACTACATTCCCGTCTTCGCGTCGGAGATTCTCTCCCACAAGAAACGCAACATTAACCTGAAGTCTGTGCTCATTGGAAACGGTCTGACCGACGGCTTGACCCAGTATGAGTACTACCGCCCCATGGCTTGCGGTGAGGGTGGTTACCCCGCTGTCCTTGATGAGGGTACCTGCCAGTCCATGGACAACGCTCTGGGCCGCTGCCAGTCGATGATCGAGGCCTGCTACAATAGCGAGAGTGCTTGGTCTTGTGTCCCCGCCTCCATCTACTGCAACAATGCCTTCATGGGCCCCTATCAGCGCAGTGGCATGAACCCCTACGATGTCCGCACCAAGTGTGACGGTGAATCCAGCCTATGCTACAAGGGCATGAACTACGTCACCGACTACCTTAATCAAGCCGATGTTCGTGAGGCTCTTGGTGCCGAGGTTGATAGCTATGATTCTTGCAACTTCGACATCAACCGTAACTTCCTGTTCCACGGAGATTGGATGAAGCCCTACCACCGCCTAGTCCCTGGTATACTCGAGCAGATCCCCGTCCTCATCTACGCTGGTGATGCCGATTTCATTTGCAACTGGCTTGGTAACAAGGCCTGGACTGAGGCTCTTGAGTGGCCCGGCAAGGCTAAGTACGCTGCTGCCAAGTTGGAGGATCTCAACATCGAGCAGAACGAGAACAAGGGCAAGAAGATCGGTGAGGTCAAGTCTCATGGCAACTTCACCTTCATGCGTATCTTCGGTGGTGGTCACATGGTTCCCATGGACCAGCCGGAGTCCAGCCTTGAGTTCTTCAACCGCTGGTTGGGTGGCGAGTGGTTCTGAGAACCCTGCCATTATTGTTTACCCATTACAGAAACTGCTATTATGATCATTGACTGTAAGGAGTTAATCTGTGTATCAGGGTTTGTCATTAATCTTGTCCCAGCTTCTCCCTTATACTTTGGCTTTTGCTTAGGTCATCTAGGCTTTGTGAATTAGACATTATAAATATTATCAAGATCAATTTCTGCTATAGAATGCCTTCTATTTTTGTACTCCTTCATCAGATCAAAAGGCTCATCAGTGGTTTGAGCCACAGCCCTTTATAGTTAATAATAATTGTCCACGGGTAATTCAAGACAACGTAGTAGGGTGCCACGAGAGTAGCGAGCCTTGTTCATTTTACATCCAGTCCACCGAATGCCCGGTCCAACTCCTCCCCCTCATCCCTCAGCATAGAAGGTATAGTCGTTGAGCTCTGTTCAGCTGAGTTGCTATCTAGCAGACTCTCCATAACCCTATCGGGAGAAGATGCAGCTCGCATTGGTTGTAGCAATTTCTCGTCACTGTCCAGCCATCCGGGTGCAAGTCGGCGTTTCTCAGCCATATCTCGCTGCTGAATAGATTCTTCCCACGCCTTGATTGCAGCAGCGGTATCTGCCCTATTCTTCTTTAGGTGCTGGTCAAGGGATTGACACGCTGCCAATATATCGTCTGGGTAGGCGGAATGTTCACCATTAGGAGAGACGACGTAGCGGGTCTTTGCATTAGGATTGGTTGGATCGACTGTGACGGAGGGAGGAAGGGCTGAAGGTACTGATTTATAGGTGTATGGGAGCGTGACGGAGGTGGGGAGGTTGATGAAGGGGGATACGGTTAGAGGCACTTGGGCCAAAAGTAGATGAGGTCCTGGATGAGTTCATCAGCTATGATGTAGCAGTTAAGATAACTCGAGCTGGCGACTCACTGTAAGATTCATACATGGTTGGATGAGATGAGGAGATAAGAATGTGGAGATGAGGGCGGGGTTTTACTGCCTTCCCTTCGTTAGCCCCCACTTTTTACCCTCTTTGACCAATAAGTTGAATTATTCAATTGCTTATTTACTATTTGTAGAACCAGCCAAACTCAACCTACTTTGTACTTACATGATCCTAGTCCGATGCAAGTGAGATATATCACACCGCACGCCTGAAGTGAGAGCCCAAACTCGGAAGTCCCAATCCCTTTACCCCTCCACTTGTCATATGACAGTTTTTATGCTACATATTTCCAACATTGAGGCTTGCGAGACCAATTTCCTACACAACTGCTTTTGAAAGAGGATAACGGAACGCCTGTTTTTCTCCGATTCTCAAGACTCAATTGCCAAAGTCTAGACTAAAGATCACTCTTGGCGCTGATCATCTTCGCCTTTTTCAAAATTACCCCTCCTCACAGCACCTGAGGCTCACACTGACTCTCAACAAAATTAAACATTTACAATGAAGATCCTCTGTCTTCATGGAAAAGGCACCAGCGGTGCGATATTTCGATCCCAGACCTGTAAGGCAGCCTTTATCCTCGATAACCCTCCCCACAACTGAATAATGTCGGTATAAAGCATCATTTCGGGCGCAGCTCGCCGACAAAAACATCGAGTTCGATTTCCTCGACGGCCATGTCGATGATGGACCCGCAGCCGGCATCGATTTGTTTTACGAACCCCCATACTACTCATGGTGGAGCGGCGACGGAGTTGAAGCCACACGGCAAGCCTGCAGCCAGATAAACGAATACATCACAAAAAACGGCCCCTACGACGCCGCAATGATGTTTTCGCAGGGCTGCGTCCTGGGCTCGAGCCTCCTCCTCTTCCACCAGGAAGAAACCCCCCACCTACCCCCTCCATTCAAGACGGCCATCTTCATCTGCGGCGGTGCCTCGCTAAACGTCCTCGAAGAGCTGGGCTTCCACGTCTCAGCCGAGGCACGTGAGCGCGATCTCAACTCGCGGGCTGCGTTGGCGCTGCAGGCTGGCTCGTCAGCTGTTTTGGCTCAGGGTGCTAATCGATGGACTGGGCTTAAATCTCTTGATGGAGGGCTTTCTGAAGAGCAATTGCAGGCTGAGATTGCTAGTCCTTTCCGTATTGATATCCCTACTGTTCATGTTTATGGCACGAAGGATCCGCGGTATGCGGCTGGTGTGCACTTGTCTGGTATTTGTGAGGCTGAGAAGCGCAGGTGCTATAACCATGATGGTGGGCATGAGATCCCGCGCCGTGGAGAGGTTAATAGGTCTTTGGCGGAGTTGGTAGAGTGGGCTTTGGATCAGGCTACGAGATAGAGATAGACTTGGAGGGATTGCGGGTTTGTATCACTCGCTCTGGACGTTACACTACATTGTTGATTTATGTTCGAGATTTATAGACAAGCTTGGGGCCAGTAGAATAAATTACCAGGAAACGCAACTCAATCTCAATCATACATAGTTTCCTAGGCTACCTAGGTATGTTCTGGGCACTCAGGTAACTCCAATACTCGGTTGTTGTTGTGGATGGTGCCAAGGTGAAAACCCCACGTGCTTGGGAGAATATATATTGAATTCTGCTCATTCTCAAGGTTGAAAAGATGCAACCTCTAGAGCCATACTGACCTCGTAAATAACTACTTGCATATCACTATTAACCTTGTTCAACATATTCGGAAATAAGAATGATAAAATAAATTTGTAGAACTGTGAGACAGCTACCGAATAAAGACCCTAACCTCTAAGCCTTGTTTACGTTATGGCTACATACCTGGGCATCCGGCAGAGTATGATCGACTAATAATATTATGATAGTGATACTATGCTATATTGAAACTCATTCAAATATCAACCACAGAATGTATGTAGGCCATTAGGGCCGTCCTCACTCCACGGGCTATTTCATAGTCACTTAGCTGCTGATGACTAACCGCCATTTCCACCACGTCTGTAACAACGACCTTACCCGCTTCAGTCATATCCTGACCACCAATGCCTTTGGCGAGGTAAATGATGGAATGATTAGGGGTTCGGTGTTAGAGTCGGGTAAGTCATAGAATAGACATTCAAGGATATCTCTAGGAAGACACGTCTACAACAACAACCTTGCCCACCTCAGCCATATCTTGACCACCCATAGATCCAGCCAGGTCCATGGGTGTTGCTGGCACCAAGGCCGAATGGCTGGGGGATTGGTGTTGGAGTCATGCCAACCTTGTGATTTGGTTACCAAAATCTGGATTCAAGTATCACATTACTTAAGTGCTATCATGATCAGCCATGCAAATCCCGTGGAAGATGTCCAGGATGCAGGGGCCATCTGATATGTTTTTGGCAGCTGTAGCTACCGCGTCTCCAACAGCGACCTCACCCACCTCAGTCCCACCAATGGCACCAGCGTTGTCCATGGTTGGATAGGCGGCCATGACCACTTAGACCATGGATGGCTTCTTCTTATTGCCCCTTTGCGACATCTGAAGGTTTGCTTTATTCACCTGTACAAATCGGTGCCCGCTGCAAGAACGCAGAACCTCCTCCCTCGACATTGGGGTATGCCGGAAGGGGGTTATTGGCGCTGAGGGTGAATAAGGAACAGGGGGCCCTCCAGCGGCCTGCATATTCAGAAATTCTGCGGGCGTTGGAGCACGATCATCGATGCGATAGCAGTGTGATACAGTCCCAGAAGGACCTTGTGGACTTCCAAAGCCAGCAAACGATGGTGATGGCGGTGCACGCTTGTTACTGCGACGGGGTGTCTGGTTAGGAGGACCTTGTGGACCCCCGAAGCCAGCAGATGACTGTGTCGGCTTAGGTTTTGGCTCTGGTGCCTTTGGCGGCCCGGGCGGATACATGCCAGGGTAGGGCTTTGGTGGCTCAGGCGGGTACATACCAGGGTACGGGCGAGGTGCCGAAGCTTCAAGACGAACTCGTCGCCCCCCAACGCTAGCAAATGAAGGTGTCGGCTTCGGTTCCTTCGGCGGCTCGGGCGGGAACATGCCAGGGTGCTGACTCCGGTCAATTCCTTTGCCCTTGTCGATCGAGTGACTAAAAACATAGGGTAAGCATTTGTGATGCATAACAAAGAAACTTAGAGTCTGCAACATACCTGGGCTTGTCCGCCCTCGGACGCAGATAAGGTGCAGCTCGGGCTTCTCCATCATCGTTCCCATCATGGGTACGCTTCAATGACAGTATTGAAGTCTGAGGTAACCCGCCATCAAAGAGCTCCTCACTCACCTCAACCATAGCTTGACCACCAGTAGGTCCACTGGTGTCGCATGGCTGGGGGTCTAGAGCCGGACTTGGGTCAGCCAAAGGGATATGACTAAAATTATATGGTTAAAATTTGATACATAACAAAGAAACTTAGAGTCTGCAACATACCTGGGCTTGTCCACCCCAGGACGCAGATAGGGTGCGGCCCGGGTCTCTCTATCATCGTTCCCATCATGAGGACGCTTCAATGACAGTATTGAAGTCTGAGGTAACCCGCCATCAACGAGCTCCTCACCCACCTCAACCATAGCTTGACCACTAGTAGGTTCATTGGTGTCGCATAGCTGGGGGTTTGGGGCCTGACTGGGGTCAGCCAAAGGGATGTGACTAATAATATATGGTTAGCATTTGTGATACATAAAAAGAACCTCAGAGTTGCGACATACCTGGGCTTGTCCGCCCCAGGACGCAGATAAGGTGCGGCCCGGGCCTCTCCATCATCGTTCCCATCATGAGGACGCTTCAATGACAGTATTGAAGTCTGAGGTAACCCGCCATCAAAGAGCTCCTCATCCGCCTCAACCATAGCTTGATCACCAATAGGTCCATTGGTGTCGCATAGCTGGGGGTTTGGAGTTGGACTGGGGTCACTAAAAATATATGGTTAACATTTGATACATAGCAAAGAATCTTAGAATGGTACCTGGATTGCTCTGCGGAAGCGCAAAGAGGAGAGGGCACGATTTGAGTCCTTTCATCACCGCCCCAATTGTGTTGAGGCTTCTCGGCCATAGTAAGCACCTGAGGTGACACGACTTCGACGGCTACCTCATCTGTCTCAGCCGTATATGGACCACCCCTACAACCGGTAAAGTCCACATGTGTCATTCCTGCACTAAAACAGGATAGCTGGAGGTCTATCAACAGAGTTGGGTCGGTAAAAGGTGTTTGGATAGATGGGAATGGCTGGACCACAGGGCCCTGAGGAGCCACTTCATCAACAACCACCTCGCTTGCCTCAGCAATGTATTGACCACTCATGGAACTGGTGAAGTTCACAGGTGTAATTCCTGCATCAAAGTAGGATACCATGGGGTTCATCAACGGAGTTAGGTCGGTAAAAGGCGGCTGGATAGATGGGAATGGCTGGACTACAGGGCCCCGAGGAGCCACTTCGTCAACAATCACCTTAACCTTTGCCTCAGCCATGTGGTTATCATTCATGTCTCTAGTGAAGTCTATAGGTGTCATATTAAAATAGTATGACTGGGGGGTTGGCGGTGGAGTCAGGTTAATCAGAGGGGCCTGGGTATAGGAAGGCTGCCGGCCCTTAGGACCCGGAGGAAGCACCTCATCAACAACCAAATCACCCGCCTTAGCCATATATTCTTCACGTATGTCTCCAGAAAGGTCCATGTGTGACGTATCTACATCAAAGCAGTAGGATGGCTGGGGGTTCGGTGGCGGACTCGGAGGGGTCCAAGGACCGGATTGGGCATCTTGGAGCAGGCAAGGTGCATCTGTAGAGAAGTTTTCACTAAAGAGGCTATCTGGGTCGTAAACTAGGAAAGGTAGGACATCTGCCAAACGTCCAGTCCCTAAGCCATCGAATTTCTGGTCGAAGAATCCCCGAATTTTATCCCAGTCAGGCCGGTTGACTGGTTGAAGGCGATTGAGCAAAGGTGGTGGTACCAGCTGAGCTGTGGACTCAGGACACTTTCCACGGATTTGCTCAAATTGTTCGGCGAAAAAGCTCAACGTGTGAGACTCGCACTGTTCGTAAAGGTGCAGCCAGAGAGAATTCCGATAAACCATCACGCGCATGATTCGCGGGTGATTCTCCTCTGGGTCCATCAAAAGAACCATCTCTGTACAGAACAGAGTGTGATCGTGCCATAGGATCACACACTGAGGTTGCACGCTTGGCCCCTGTTGGGGCTCAAACAATGGCTTCAACAGCCCAGGTCCTTGCTGGAAATGACCTCCTCCCTTGAGGTAGATATCCGCCAGGAAGCGGATCTCTTCAAGGGGAATGGTGAGTTGTTGAATGCCAGGATAGTAGCTGATATCCATGGTACTAGTTTTCCGAAATCGAGTTGAGGTGTTGAGTTCGAAGAAAACGTGGAATGGAAACGGAAGAAGAATTGATCGGAGGAAAAATATAGCTTTCAACACGAAGGTGCCTGGCTAGAATGGGCGACCAAAGGAAAGTGGAAGTTGAAATGGAAGTAGGCGTGGAAACCAGGGAACGTCAACAAGTCAGTCCTTCTGAAAGTTTTTATGTCAATACAGACAATCTATCGTACCTAGGTATTTAATTGTCCCTGACTCCTACGCCAAACTAAATACTCTGGAAGATAGAATTCAGATATATCGATTCTATATCAGCACGCTGAAAGTCTACGGCGATTGATCGCCTCGTTTCGATTGATTTGGCTGAAGAAAATGGCTGAAACATCTACATAGTGCCCATTGCTTCTGTGTTCAACTGTAATCCTAACATTCTTCCTGTTATATTATGATCTTGTTTATACAAGCACGACATTTTTGACTACTTCATTGGTTATTTTGTAGTCTTTGTATATCAATGGTCTTATTTTTTTCTCATCAGACAGGCAGGAATCCCCAGTCATCTCGGGTTATGTCCGATGAAATAACGTCCCTGTATGCTTAACTCCTAAGGTGAAATATCTTCTCGTCTTCACCGGCTCTAACTGCGAGGTGTCTTTCGGCTCGACCGGCTTTTGTTTTTTGTAAGCTTAGTGGTGCTCATGATGCCTGAGCTCCAGCAGGACCATTATCTACGACAACCACTTGGCAAAATCACGGAGACACGCATAAAGTGATGTTTTACTCCCATAATTTGTCGAACTCCATATCTCCTTCGTCCTAACGATGTCTCGTTATCTAGTAAAATAGAGACGTCCACTTGCCGTCCCGTCATCCCTTCAGCTCGCCAGGTAGAGTCCGCGCGGCAGAATAAGGCCCCAGCAAAGCTCTGAAAAACCGTAAGCCCCTCGCCTAATCTACACTAATCGTCAGAAGGACCACCAAAATCCGCTCTAAGTGCACTCGCGTCAACCCCAAAAGGCTTACCTATCTTTGGCAATGAGCGGCTAACTACCATGATTATTGCCGGAAAAAGTCGTGAAGATCATAAAAATTGTGTATGGAATTGCATGGAAAAAGGAAGAAAATAATTGCCAAGGATACAAGTATTGAAAAGACGGGCTACGTACCTGGAATTCCGGAACTGCGCAAATAGTGTAGTTGGCGGAAACGGCATTCCCTTTTTTTCTGTCGGGACATGCAACATTTACCTATATACCGGATTTCGATTTCCTTTGACGATTTTTGGCTTCCTTTTCCGGATTAGTGCTCACCCCCTCGCCGCTTTTACTCACTGAGCAGATCTGAGCACGGCCTCCGGCTCAGTGATCGGATCAGTGAGTCTTACATAAGCCTTGCTCATGCTCAGTGAGCCGATCAGTCTGCTCAGGCCCGGCTCACTGAGCCTGCGCAGTAATGGGATTCGCTCACTGAGCGCACTCCACAGGAGGCCAATCACATGCGTGGGCTACCTCAATAAAACGAATTTCACTACGCTGCCTCAAGGCCCCACTCGCTCAAAACAAGAATTTCATCATCCCAATTAAAAGCATATGGCCATGCCCACTTGACTAATTACTATGCTCATTTGACAATGAACGACGTGATCAAACGGACCGGGTAGCAAATTTTGACCTATCAGCTTCTATGTAGCACTCTGCTCCCAGGAACACTCAGCTCTGCTCATTTGTTCTCGGCTACCCCTCAAGTATCACCTGTCTGATCTTTTGTTCCTAGGAAGTATCATAGTTCGCTTAAGCGTGTTTGGCTTTTCCCAGTTCCTGGGAACAAAGTATCGACCGCAATTATTGAAATTTGCCACATACCCGTCCCAGGAGACCCAGTATGTGCCACACCAAACAGCCATGCATTGGGGCGCCTCAACTCCTTCTTGCTTCTTGACCATCAATTGAAGACCCTGCTGGATGGGAGAACCAAAAAAATTATTTAAGAAGGATCGTCTTCCTCGGTATGGAGGCCAAAAAATACTTCTGTTTCCGGGCGTCCGAATCTTCCTTGGATTTTGAAGTACCATGGATTCAGACCGATGCACCCAGTCGACTCTTACGAGGAAACCCACGACCTTTGATTTCTACCCTCTGAATAACAAAGCTCGTGATGGTGGGTTAATTACCTCTTTATCTTGTCACCCGACTGTCGTTGCTTTGATCTAATTCACTACTAGAAGAACTCAAACCTTCCCAACGTACGCGTTTGCACCTTGATGAGCTCGATGCCGTGGCTCTCAAAGATCACCGCCAATACAAAACCAACCATCTGTCATACATTCCGTGCGCCCCTGGGCCTGCTGCAGCTACTTCGCCTGTAGCCACGGAAGTGGCGACTTCTAGGGAGTCGACGTCACCAAATGACCATCGCGCAAAACGAAGTCTTCTTGATATCAGCATTGAAGATGCCCTGAAAAAACCAAACAAGCCGTATCGCTGCTCCAAGCTTGAATTAGACACCTGGACTCAAGCGGGGCGAAAGAGAAATCGAAAAGACCATGTTATGGTTAACGTGGAGGTTATTAACGACATGATAATATTTTTGCAGCAACTTTCCGATTATTTCAATGCGCCCCATAATGATTCTGAGAGTTTGCGAGTCGCAATACAGTTCGGAGCTAAACTTATGCAACGCAGTTGTGAGGATATTGTCGCAGAAGTCCTCGCAAGCAGTGATCTGGCTCAATGCGGCACGTTGGCTTCTACTCAGCGGAAAGGGAAGTGCATGGCAGAGGAAGAACAGTTCTATGACTAAAGTCTGCAATTGTAAGAAAGACATTTTCTTCTGGCGCCGTTGTCTGTTCATCAAAGGAGCTACAACATGCTGATCTCATTTGACCGGGTCTTTGATTTTGACTGTGAGTATTCCTTTCGTCCTTTTTTGTATACGATAAACTGAAATCTCCGAGCTGGTGTATCTTGAAGAGCCTCTATCTTCATCTACTACGAAAGACCTGGGAAGTTCGTGAGACAAAGGCGGAGCTTTTGTGCCCGGAAAGAGGCATTTTCAATCGAAAATCTTTCTCCTGTGTACAAAGAATATATCGTTCGTGGAACAGCATTGGAATCTCAGTCTTGACGCACTATTCCTTTTTCATCTACCATGCAATAACAGTTTGAGGCGCATGTCTAATGATTGATCTCTTCCTATGGCACCGAAAGCTACGTATTGCAATTATACACAGCCACAATACATTATAAACCAGCCACAAATTTGATCGCGATGTTTTTTTTAATGAATCGAATAAACATGTATGGTACTGTCATGTAATTCTTTTCGTGTATGGTTGTCTTAATAAATTATCTGCTCAGGCATGAAATTTAGAATCTGGCCAAGATTCTGGATTTGGGAAATGAGCATTAAAATTAGATCCTGGATTTTGGAAATGAGCATTCAAATTTCTATGGCTCCTCAGGTATCAGAACTTGAGCATCCTTCTTGACAACTTTGTTTGGCCGATTAATTAAGATGGCAAAATGACTCTTTAAGCTGTTTAACTTTTTGATGAATTTATGTTATTGAGCTCTTTATCCAATCAATTTCGAGGAAGGACATTTTATGCTCGGTAAGCTGGCTTGGCGTGGCTAGAGAGTCAAAGATCTAAAAAACCTATGGCTTTGTATTCTGGCTATGATTGCTTCGGAAAGCGCGCTTTCAGACTAACAATGATTTAAAAAAGCAGAGAGCAAGTGTGATTGTTTCTTTCCTTGGGCCATTGAGTTGTTTCAGGGATATACATTTCCGCCTTACTGTCATGGCAATTTGCTTAGAAGTCAGATGGAACGATTTTAGCGATCAAATTCAATTTCATCACTGGAACCCTGGATTCCATCACTCTATCTCTCAATTAACCGAACCAGTGCAATTCTATCAGCGATCTAGGGCTTGCGAAGAACCAAGATACTCATTCGCATTATATGAGACCGAGGCTATGTATGGTAAAGGACATCTGCTGGCAACTCTCATTACATACCATGTATATATCAATCAATTGTGGAGTCGTGAAATACTTTTTGGTGTAGGAGTGTGACCGTTTGTCCGTGGCTGATTTCTCACTGAGATAAATGATCAATTCATGTGGGACACCTGGAATTAATGACTCTCCGAGCACTTGCCTTTCATCGCGGTGGAAAGTTACTACGCTTGTCGACTTAAATATGGAGTGACAGGTAGTTGTAAGGCCACCTATAGCTCAGAGTCTCGGACATCTATAGAAACTCATTTGCGAAAATCCTCTTTGATTAAGCATCAAGCGTTAAATGCTATTTACCTGGCCAAGCAGAAACTATATGGAAACCTCGAACTTTCCAAACATGTTGCCAGTCAATCCCATGAGCATCAGTGCCATTTTGAACAAGCCTTGTAAGCATACGTGCCGAGCATGCAGTCTTATTGAAGACATTTTAACAATATACCAGCCGAACTTCAAAAACATGGCACACAACCTCCCGAAGTAAGCCAACCACTATAACTATGCCACAATCCAAATGAAGAAATGAAGAGAGGACCGTCAAATCTTGCCGCTGACTATTGAGTCGGCAGGAAGAAAAGAAAATTTCTGCGAAGAATAGAAAGATGAAACGGAGGGAAAAGAGAAAGGAGAATACAGCAAGTGTCGAGGTCGCGCATGCGCCTTCTGCTCAAATCTTATATCAAGTCATTGGGGATGGCGCCGCACAGCTCCGGCCGATCCCGTTGGATAGAGCTGCTGCATGGAAAAGCCTCTCTGTTGTTTCCTCAGCACGCCTTCCACGGTGGACAGTCCACCGCGGCGATATTGCGATCGTGGACATTGGTCCAAAAGGTATAGATTACGCTAAGGTGTCCGATCTTCGTCACTTATCGGACGGACGCTATGTTGTCGTCTATGCTTGGTTATATACAAGGAACGAAATTGCTCGAGAACTTGAAGTGGACGCCAGATTACCCGCTCATGCTCTAGTTCACTTTGATAGTATGTGGCCACCGAACACTGAGCACAAGCTGATGCTCAGTACGAATCGAACCATCACTATTTGGGACACTGCGATCGCAAAAGCTCCCAAGAAGATTGCAACGAGTATTTGCCAGTACGCGATATATAACACGACGCCACTATCGCGAAGAATAGTTCGTGTGGACCATCCTAACTTCCAGTGGATGAGAGAAGTCTTAACGATGAAACCTGAGACCAAATGACATCGTGAAGACCGAAAGAACCAGAGGCAGCCGGTTCACTTAGAACATGCTATCTGGAAGAGATACAGTCAAAAGCACCTGTGTCCACTCGGAGCTTACTGAATGAGAAAATTTGAGCCTTTGACTGCGGGCGCTCGATTGGGAAGCTAGAACAATACACCTTTGTTTGATCTTGAGGATATCAAAGATCAGGAACTTGAAGATCGTATTGCCCGTTTACATGTCTCCGTAATTTGTTTTTCAAAAGTAAACCAGCCTCAAGTCCGCATTCTGGATTCACGCAAGTACAAAGAGAAGTGTGTTCTTCAATGACACCATGTTTGTTGGCGAGTAATAGTAACCTTACATCTTATTGGAGAGCTTTTGCACTCGAAGGAGCGGCTAGTTTGAATTTCAAAAGTGAAATTCCTTTATAATTCTTGTACTGGCTATTACTCGCAAAGGCTAGACGTTTTTGCAGTCTTTTAAGATTCATTGCTTGATCAATGTAGCACCCCTATAGCGTTTTATGAAACGAAAGCCACAAGATCCAATTTCAGTGATTAGAGCAAAATAAAAGTGCTCTTTTAGAGCCCACGTGTATTGTCTCGGTGATTTGACTGGCTTCAAGCTTGCTGCTTAGGCGAAGACTGTTGCCTAATTTCGATTTGATATATTGTGCTATGGTAGGTCACGGAGGCCGTGTTCATAGTTGAAAGACAGTTAACATAGCTCTGGGGCCGAGTTGAATAGCTGACTGATGTGTCAACATTGCGGCTAGCGAGATGGCGCACTGCCTAATAGAAACATATTAACATTTAAGACTATTCAGTCAGTCAAGTAGCACACTGAGAGTCAAAAGAATTCTTGAAGACTGCACCTACCTCGAATGATAAACGCCAGCTTTTAGAGACAATACCGGGAACAGCGACATATACTAGACCAGCAGCGATCGCAAGGGTGCGTAGTATACCCCTACGCAATTTCTTCCGCCCATGATAGTTTGGTATTGTCTTCCGAAAAAGTGCAAAGTACACAGCTGCAATGCAAATGTACTCAATCACAACAACAATGCATATGCCATATTGAAGAGATGATGCGTTCTGGACACCTAGGAGATAAGACAGCAATTGAGTCGAACTCGAGACTACTGCTACCACTATACATGAATATTGAGGTACGTGACATGGCGGTTTAACAAGCACTTTCATCTGTAAACACTAGTGACTTAGTAAGCTAGCTGCAATCAAAGCTACCTTGAGAGCCGCACCTCGAATAAGAATGGAAATATACCAACAATGGGGAGTAAAATAGGCTGGTCTTTGCGTTGATGTATTGTTAGCTTTCACAATGAATTCTGAATTAGACAAATCTTCCATCATTTGTCATCTTTTCTATAACCGCCAAGATGATAAGTAGGCAAATATTGGTGATAGAAAGAGCAGCGTCCAAATACTGCTCCCACTTCATGTCTTTTAATATAGCTTAGGAGTCGTGCTAGTAAAGCTGGAAGCAACATGACCTCCATTATTTGATTGAAAACGACAGGAATAAACATGGTGAAAAAGATGAAGAAGAGTCATGAAACTCAGAATTCACAGAACATCAATAAATATTTGGTATTACTTTGGGGCTCCCAGGAAGTTTCGGATTCGAAGGTGGAGGATACCGCGCTATCAGTAAAGTCAGAAAAACCAGAGGGGGTGAGAAGCCCCATGCGCGAGTCAGATACCATGACATCATTTGCCTTTTGCTCTCCGAGCGTCCAGTCAAAAGCAGTACTGTAATTTACGGGGACTTACCGAAAATTACATAGAGGAATGTAAGGCCAGCGGAAAGATATCCTAATAAGAATTAGTGCGCTTGAGGTGGGGCCTTGGGAAATAAAGAGAGAGATTGGAGGTAAAACTGATGAATATCAGTGTAAAAGCTTGTTCTTGGGTAGATCGTCTCAGAAAATTTGGGCAACTGATGCGCCATGTGGGTCTGTATCCTCCGCTTATCGCGTATACCTTATGCCGATTGTTGACACTGACAAGATCGCCTTTGGGGTCGTAGATTTACGCTTCTAGTCAAGACCAACACTCATTTGGCACAAGAGTAACGTAATTTGCCGGAAGAATATATCTGCCGGATCCGTGTGGCGGCGATGACCTAAGCATTCTGAATAACTAACTAACTTATACCGAGACCGGTTATCTTCTTGCCCCTGAGCTGAATTCCTTTTTCTTTGCTTCCTCTTGCTGCACCCGCGACACCGTTCAAAATTTTATTATCATGTTTGAGATGCTACATATCTTTCACTATGTCTGACGCTCACACGCAAGCTCAAACGCTGGACGAAAGCCTTGTCGCAACGATCTCTAGTATATTTACCTCTGCTGGTGTTCCGAACATCCTTTGGGGCAACTATTTACTGACTGTATATGGCGTTCCCACTATTGTTGACGTACGTGATTTTTTTATTTCGTCCAAATGAAATGTTTTTGACCTAATTATAGGGTGTGGCATTTGTTGTACCCGACGAATCGACGAAGATTGCCCTGACCTCGATTCGGAAAGCTGGTTTTGCCGCTTGTCCACAAGGCCTATGTTGCCCTGTTTTAGATGGATGTCGGGGAAACCTCCCCTTTGAACATTTGCACATTGATGACGAACTTGTAATCTCAGTATACCGGAAGTCCGATGTGCTGTGGGAACTATCTTTTTCCGAAGGGAGCCTCGACATTTTGAATGCATCAGACAAACGGCTTCCATCAGCGGTACCCGGCCGTGGCCGAGGACGCTTCCCACCTGAATTTGGCTCTGTACAGATTCCTCACCCTGTTCGATACTGTGAGGCTGTAATCATGTTGCTCTGTCGAGATAATGGCACCAGATCTGCAAATTACTGGATGGCAATTCTGACATATATTCTGGAATATGTGGACGAAACAGTTTTGTTTGATGAGAACAGCCTGGGCGAAGCCTATAAATTATTCTATCGTGCACTCAAAGAAGGAGATTTCTCAAGGATGTATCTCCTTCTAGATGATCTCCGCAGTGAATTGACTGTAGAGCGCCTTCAGGTGCACAGAATCGAGAATTACTAATCTTTCCTTTAAAGTCATGCTTTTTTCATAGTATCCTCTCTCGGCGGCTCATATTTCAACGATTTTGGCAGTGTCGAACCCCTCTGTCTGAGAAAAATAGTATCCTCTTTGGTTTGAAACCACCCTTTTCCCGGTCTCTGCGTCTCGGAAGTCACAGTTGAAATGGGTATGACCAAAAGCCCATATCTTGACAACCTCCTGTTTCCAGCAGGATTCGCCTGACAGATCAGACATAAAACCAGAGGAGATTTTGCTATGTCTATGCTTCGGATCGACGACGTTTTCGCTGATTAGGGGACAATAATGGGTGAGCACAACGATTTTGCGACTAGGTTCCAAGCGCGAAATAGACTTTACTTCACGATTGAGCCATTCAAGGTCAGTTTGGTGTGCTTCTTGGTGTGCTTCAACTGACCAATCACTAATATGATAGAAGTCGTTCAAGCCATAACTGACGCCTTCCATCTGCGTTTGGGCTATTTGGGAAAATAGGGTGCAGCCGAGGATGCTCAGTGTCGGTGAAAGGTCATAGCGTGTCTGATCGAGGAAAACAAACTGGCCCGACGTTTCGCCTCGTTTGAAAGACTCGTTGAGTTGGGACTCAAATATTTTCACACGTAACTTTGTTTGAGCCCAATTGCTGTGATATGGTTCGTGATTGCCAAGAACAAGGAATACGATGCGGAAGGCTTCTATTTGCTTGCGAATAAAATGAAAGAAGCCCTCGTCCTTGACGTAGCCAATGTCGCCGATCAATGCCAGATATGGCGCTCGGGGTTTGACTTGGAAAATATCGTATGCAGCTGGGGATTCCAGGTGGAGGTCAGAAATCATTTGGAATTGCGTCTCAGCCATCAGCGGTTACATGCAACACCGATTGTTTCGAAGTTTGTGAGGTTACCTAAAGATGCGGGGTCTCCAGCGCTAAATATGTCTTGGTTGGCGCCCTAGTCATGTGACATTCAATGAGACGGATTTACAAAAACCAGGCAAACAACAGCATTCAGAAAGATAACCAAGAACATTCTCTCTAGGCACAAATCATTTCCAAAAAATAGTTCTTTCTTTCATTTAGAGTTCCAATAACTACAATGTCTAGCGGGCTGTCCTTTGCTGAGTTGGAGGCAGCTGCCGGGGCTGTCATTGAAATCCTCAAAACTATACCGGAATTCTCGAACTCCCGAATCGTTGTCATCGGGGGCTTAGGTCTCTGGAAATACATTCGCAATTACCGCACAACTGATGTTCATTCTCAAGAGCTAATCATGGACTTTGAGTAGCCGCTGACAGCATTACTAATAGGACGTCGACTTCCTCATAACTGTCCAGGGCGCTCCCAAAGCAGTCAAAGATAAACTGCTTGCTTTGCCATCATCTCCATTCCAACAAAGAGCTCAGCTATTCTACTACAAAAGCTCCAATGGCAAATTAATTCAAATAGATATCACTCCTGATTGGCAGGTGAGGCCGTTGGTAGCATTATTTTTCAACAGTATGATATCAATGATAGCCTACAGTCACCCTATGTCCCCTCCGCAGCGATACCCATATCGACTGTCCGACCGAATGCACTGCCGTATATCTCGGAGCTAGATCTACTCATCTTCAAGATCAACAGCTGCGGATTACGACCCACGCCAGGGAAAAAGTTGCGTGATGCAACTGACGCCTTGGAACTTCTGGAAGATCTTAGTTCCAAGGGGCCCATTGTACTTTCAGTGTCTCAGAAGAATGTTATACTTCAATGTTTGGATGACGTGGCTCGAACGTCTGGGAGAGATAAAGCCTGGTGGATTGCGAAGCTGGCTCTGAATTAGCTCCACCTCTTTAATTTTTCAGACTAGAGATGTGGAAGCTTAGCCGAGTGTTCATCACTGATTTTCATCGCTTTATGTTAGACTTTGTGTCTTTGGAACCACGACGAACTAACAGGCCAAGTGGACATTCGCTGAAGAATAAGCCAGAGTAATACTAAAGTCATGGCGATTTGCTTTCGTGGAAGTTTCGTTTCCCTAATACCTGTCCATCCTTAGAGCGATTGCCATTGCAGGATTTCCAACTGCATTGCACCCCCCAGGGCATCATCATCACTAGTTGATGAAGCTAAGTGAATATCGTATAACCCAGCACCGTCATTTCTCAGTGCCATTCATTTTAGAGCACGTACTGTTCAAACGAGCTTGGGTGTGAGGTCAGTATAGACAAACACTCCATCGCGGAAAGCAAACGAGATCATTTGAGCAATCGGGCAATATGCTAGTTGGTAATCGCCGTGCATGAAAAATTCGGTTATAATCATGAGCATCAGCATTTAATTCGTAGCACATGAAGCTGCGGGCTAGGAGTCCTCTTACCCATCACCACCCTCTGGTCGAATTCGCAGGTCCTTACAACCTCCACCTCGAGCTTTTCAGACTTTCCCGCCTTGCCTTCGATAGTCGCTGAACGAGCCAAAAGGACTTAAAAACAGTTAACACATAATCATCAAGGGCCTGAAAGCTTTACTGACTATCAATATCTACTTGAGAGACGAGGGAATCAATGTAGCCTTCGTCATTATCGATACCAGATAACGTCAATATTCCCCGCACAGCCTGGGCTAGGAAGCCCCGCGTATTCTCATCCATAGCCTGCGAAGAATGAGACAAGGTCGAGGATATGCCTTGCTTCCTTAGGGGTTTGAGCTGGCTATCTTTTTTGTTGTCGCTGTCGAGACTTCATTCCACAAGCAAAATGGACAGTAGCCAGGGCGAGTGATGGTATGGCGATAAACCACATCAAAATCCCGAGCACACTGCGTTTTCAGATCTTGCACAAAGAGGAGTATTTCTTCAAAGGACTGCTCTTTCGTGCAAGACATGGCCGTTGCGATTCTAGCAGTTTCCGGCATTAACAAAGCTTGAGTGCGTGTAGAAATATCGTTTCCATGAATCGAAAAGTCTTCTTTCCCCCTGCTGAGAATCCTTTGATCCCGCCTTTCCCGCACCCAACGCTTCTGATACTCCTTGAGTTCGGATAGGCGGATTCTGAGCAGAGATTTTTTATAGTTCAATCTCTCCAAAGCTATCAGACTTTTGTCATTGCCATATTTCAGAAGATGTCCAACTCGGTCTTTGATCTCCTTCAACTCGGGCTTCTCCAAAAGACTTTGCTCGATTTCAGCAGGTAATTTGCCTGGTAGGCCTGGCTCATAGTACCTGTCAAAACCTTGGAAATACTCAATATGGTCCGACCCCCCTTCTGCATCCGGATCCTCATCCAAAACTGCGGCAACTGTGTTGATTGAAGAGCAATGTAAGACATAATCCTTGGCATAGGTTCCTGGTCCTTTGTGTCCGTAGATCTGAGATACCAAGGCCGAGCCATACTTTCCTGCATATGAGTTAGAAGATCACACCTTTTGAATCAGGCTATCGTATGCCTCTGACTCACCTTCAATCACTCTCCCGAGGCTCTTGCGAATGTTATGGACAGTTGGTCTTTTGGTGTACCCCGCGGCAGTGAGAATCACACGTAAACACTCACAAAATACAGTTTTTGTGAGGGGTACATCTTTTGGACCATCAGCTGTGACATGTCTGAGGACGGGTTTCTCTAGATAATCCTCATTCCAGCGTAAAGGAATTGGTCCATTTGAAAGGTCGAATTGAGCTAGGTCCTCCACAGACTCAATGCCAAATAGAGCACCATGGTTGAGCGCTAGCGCTAGTAGAATGTAGCCGGCTGCGAATTGCGGCTTCCTCGAATCCCGGATCCCAATTCCAAAGCTAGAGGAACGATTAGTGCGTGAAACTTTGAATTGAGATCTCTTCAACTTTGACTTCCATCGCTGACTTACACTGTATACTTTGGATTTCGATTATTTTTCAACCAAATTTGATTCACCTTCCATTCCACTTTCCAGGGAGCCGTGGAAGATGGGAACAAAACCAGCTCGATATCCTGTAGTAAAGGTCAGCAAGAGAACCATGCCTTTTTGAGGTATCCTCACCTTGTAACGAAGGCCTCTTTCTTTTTTGTCCTTATGATCTGGAATAAAAGCTCCGATCCTTGCTCCAGTGAATAGAAACAACTGAAGAGTAAGCAAGATTGTGACTTTTAGTAAACCAGGTATGAATCGAGGATGGTCTGTCTGCCATAAGGAGGATATTGTTCGACAAAAGTCTTTCTTGGTAAAGCTTAGGCTTGGTGACTTGACATCTTCAATTAGCTTCTCGTCTATTGTCAATGTTTTCTTGATCCACTGTGTGTGAATGCAATAAAATTAGTCTCTGTTACCATGTCCAACCCAGCGGCAGATATTGTCTCACATTAATGATTTCACTTCGATCTTCTTCTACAATGGTGATGCCCACTGTTTCTTCGAAGCCACCAAAAAGTCTCTCGGCACAATTAACGACACTCGACATCACCGGGAGTCCATTCTCACTCTTTCGGCCATTTGTTTTGTGGATGTACCAGCGAATAAATTCTTTCATGTCGGTGTGGTCTGGGGTTGCACAATCCGGACCCAATTTGTAGCCCTTGAGGCCATACTTATCAGCGAATCTAAATGCAGATGAATAACTCATTCGGCGAGAATTTTGAATAAAGAATTCACGTCAACTCACTCCATCCATAGATCAAAGCCTGTCGAGTAAATTCCCTTGGTTGTTGGCAATCTTTTTTTTTTTTTCCTGATGGAATCTTCTTTCGCATGAGCGCCAAAGACATAGCCGTCGTCTATCCGTCGTCGCTGGCCTTGCTCTTTGGCTCTTTGATTGACCTCAGCAAAAGAGAAATTCTTAGGCATAATTATCGAAGCGGATCCAGCATTCGGCGAAGGGCAGAATATTGTAAGAAAGCTGGGTGACTGGAGGTGGTCCGCGGGACTTGGGGTCGTATTTATATCCCATTATCTTCAGATGACTGAATCTTTTCTCTTCCGCTGCCTAGTACAAACCACTACGACATGTTTTAGATTTACTTCATGGTGTTCTAAAATAAGAAGAGGAGATAGGAGATTCAGCACCACATGAAGCACAGACGGTGCGGAAATTGAGGACCATCAAAATGTTGATGGGTCAGTTATCAGTATGGGGAACCTAAGCTTCTTTGGGGATAGACTGGCAGTAGACTGGGTGTTCAATAAATGCCCCTTAGTAATCAGCGGCTACTGGTGTCAGTGAGCAGCCAATCATGATCACTGAGCGTCGATGTTGTATCACGTGATCATGGTGAGCAAGCTCAGTGAGCCTGAGCCCGGACTGAAATTTACTCACTGAGCCTGAGTCTGAGCGCCCTCACAAAAGCGGCGGCAACCCAAATAGGAAATCCCCACCCGTCAAAGAAAATCCAGTACGTAGAGCTACCTATGTATGGTTGGTCCAGGGTACAACATTACTGTAGGAAAGTCAAAAATTACCGTAAAAATCAATTTATGTAATAGTAGAAACATTGATTGGAAGAATAGAAAGAAATATCTAGTTGAGGGGTCATCCCGAAGTAGGTGTAGGCGTGAGTGGCACTTCTCTCCATCCTTGCACAGATATCTAGTCTACGGGTGATTACCCATATAGGTAATGCCTTGCTTTACCGACAGTGCCTAGGTCGGGTACTGTGCTACTACAAGATGACCGCATGTCTCTCCCAAGTCATTGGTCAAAGAAGTCTCAAGTTTCTGATAAAGAGCCTTTTTCCCTTTTCAAATCTTTTGTTTCTATAGGACAATGATACAACAAGTTCAATGATCTTCGCAGTCTCAGATCTGGATCATTTAACCTGGAAGGTGCATTCACGGAATATACTGCTTGCAGTGTAGTATAGTTATATTAGTCTTCAGTTGCCTGCAATAGAAAATATCAACACTCAAACAATTCCCACTTCCAAGAAACGGTATCGTTGAAACCGAGTCTATATTTTCCGAAAAAGTAAAAGCCAACTATCTAAGATGCCGAGGCAATGGCATCATATCAGGGCTCAGATATCGCTGCTCTTGGAAGGTTCTTACCGTCCAGAGAGTGAGTCCCGAAGCTCACGATTGATTTCACTCGCAGCCCACACATGGACTGTCCCCGAGCCAGACCCAGAAGAATCTTCACTACTGCGCCAATCGAATTCTCACAGCAGCGTGGAAACTGAACTTAGATACGGATATCGACAAGTTGACGGGGCACGGCGACGGAGATGGATGGAAGACCCTCTTGAGCCTGGCTGCGAGATTCCACATTGTTCATTAACCTTCGAATATCTCGAAATGGAGTATGGTGCCGAGATTGAGCGCCACCGTGGCACCGACAGAGGATTTCGTGACCAGCGAGTCGAACTAGGACTCCCAAACGGATTCGGCGCTGCAAATTCTTCATTTCGATATTTCGAAATCAACGATAAAGACGTTAAGTGCTATGGCCACACAGGGTCGGGAATTATTGTTCTTGATAACATCAGACGACACGATGCAGAAGGCACAGTCCATATATCTGAAATCAGTCTTGCCGCATACAAAAGGGACTTCCTCATCCGAACACTGAGGTATGTTTTTTTTACCGATGTGGTGAACCATAACACATACAGGTTTATCAGGGAGACAATTTATCCACAAAATGGTCTTGTATGGCCACATGACGAGGAAGATTTCGAGGCCAATTGTAGGTTTTATTGGAATCGCGGTACGCCTGAATATGATGCCTTGTTAGGTACGCGTATCGGCAGATTAGTATCTTACATCGTCTTGGGTGGATTTCCCCGAGGTACCCGTCGGATCTCAAGAATATGGACATGGCCATCTGTAGGATGCTACTCAAGCCATATGCGATTTGACATTGAAGACATCAATTGATAACTTCAGATGCTGATGTTGACAGTTTGTACTTGTTTTAGTTATGTAACTCTTTTTGTGCTTTTTGGAAAATAGTTATGTTGTTGACTTAAGCCTCAACTTCAAGGTGTGCCTTATGATTCTCGCTCAAAATGATATTCAAAAATTAATAACCATATAGTAGAAATTGTGGAGTGAAGCAACGATGTAAAGAAGTATTCGTCGGAATATTCCATGGTATAAAATCGCATCCAGTATCTAGAGCTTGGCCTTTCCTTGAGCCTTCTTGAGGATAGGCTCCATCTTTGTGGCTTTCATGATGTTACCCTTGATCTTGAGCTTGCCTCCCATAAACAGGCGCTGGGCATTGGCCTTGCCGGATACAAGCTTCTCGAAATCTTCATCTGAAAGGGAAAGGGTGACTTAATAATGCAGAACAAATCAGTAAATTTCAAGTCATCACATATTGTCAAGTTTCATAGTGTCGGATTTACCATCGGGCTTGGTGTTGGCGGGGGCAGCACCATGTCCAACTTCGCCATTTTTTTTCAGGTCGAGGTACCAGGCCGACTCTTCACCCGAGCTGTTCTTGATATTGAAGGAAACGATGGCCTTCGCGCCTTCGATCGCAGATTTGCGCTCGGCATCATCGGATTGGAGGGTTTGTTGGATCACGTCGAACGCGGCCGATGAAGGGTGGGAGTCTAGGAATAGGAAATCAGCGATGTAGTGAGAAGAAGATATTGAAAGTAGCTACCTTTCTTGAAAGACATATTGAAAAGGTTGATGTAAAGTGAAAGAGGGAAGAAGTGGGAGGCGATGAAATACCCTGATCGGCATGTGAAATAATGAACTGATTAGGCCGAGGCTGCTTCATGCGACCGCCCAACAATTCAACACTTGCACTTAACTTGCCATAGTATCTCACACTCTACATTTACATCCACACATTATCCGACAATCGGCTTTTTCTCCTCCATTGATCATTTATCTCACTCTATGTCTACGTCCACCCGTTATCCGACAATCGGCTTTTCCTCCATTGATCACTTATCTCTTACCCCACGATCGTAAACTCCGCATGAGCTTCAATACAGATGACATATCCGGACTTGGTCACGGATAACTCGGTATACTACAATAATTATATGCGCAATAATACTGCCCCTTCAGAGAGTCTGCTTGCTCGCTGCTCCTTAGTATAATTGCCAGCCCAGCATATTGGGGTAGTCGCCGCATGATCCGGCTCGTTCCCCAATCAATAGCAAGCAAGGGTGTGTCGCAATAGTGGACCCCAAGCATCAGTGTCGAAAAAACAAACAATACTTCACTATTGTCTCATTCTAGCTCTCGTCACTAGTTGTTGACATATAGCTGTTGGCTAGTCTTGGTATAGCTACGCAACCTGACATCTGAGACATGGGCTGTGTTCTTGCGATGTACTCTATCGATATCGAGGTGAATATGTCCTACAAACTGCTGATTCGCTTGGTAGATCCCACTTGGGGAAAAAGATGGATGAACAAGCTTAATCTCATTTTTATTCAAGTACGGAACTTGAAGTATAAGAAGTAAAATACTTCTGTCTAAATGGAAAGGTCAAAGATATGTATCTCCAGATCAATATAATTTCATCACTCCTGTCCATTTGCCAATAAAATCCGGCCTCCATCCACACAAAGTGAGATACCATCAACATACGACTATCGCCAGGATATTAGTTACTTTCGTATCGGAAATAGGGTCACGGGGAAGATCTCTTACTCCTGCCTTGCTGACCAAGTACAGCACTGTGCCTGCAATATCCTCCGATGCACCTGCTCTCCTGGCGGGAACTTTATCGAATAGCGTACTAAACATGTTGCCCTCTGCACCAATAGGGTTCATATTACTCGGAACAACTAAACGATATTAGTCCTGTTGATTGCTGAGAAGAAGGCTGTAACTCACATCCAGGGTTGATTCCAACCACTCTAACATAAAACCGATTGTACTTAGCCGCCAGCAATCGCACAAGATGATCAGTAGCTGCCTTGCTTGTCGCATAGCTTGTCAAGTCAATATTTGTTGCGTTATGCATACTAGCACAAGAACTCGTCACCACAATAACCCCTCTACCTTCATCACGACCCTTACCACCGCCGATTGTGGGCTTCTCAGCAGCCGCAGCGAGTAGAGGTAGGAATGAAACACTGAGGAAGTAGTGCGCAGTCGTGTTAATTTTGAAGGTGTCTGACCAGTCCTCTGCTCGTACAGACCACATAGAAGCTTGTAGCTCTTCCAATGAAGCTGCGAGGACATTGCATGCTTTTGGAGGGTCGCGGCGAATGCCAGCATTGGAGATGAGTATGTCAAGTGTCTTTTCTTTCGAAGATATCATCTGAGAGAGTTCCTGTATAGACTCTTTCGATGATAGATCGCAGGGGAATCTTCAATGTTCTTGTATTAGCTTGCAGATTGTGCTATATCAATGATGGGACCTACCCTTCAGCACTTCCTCCAGTCTCGCGTCCTAGATCGTTCAACTCTGCAACAGTGTCGGCGATCGGATCACTTGGCAAAGACAAGATATAAACTTTCGCTCCATTTTCGACCAAACCCTTCAATTTTACTCTCTATCAGTTTTCATAACCATTTTAAAGGTCTATTTCGTACCTTGGAAATCATGAGCCCGATGCCACTACTCCCGCCGGTGACCACTGCAACACGACCCTTGACATTAAACAAATCTAAAGCAGCGAGAGATGCCATAGTGTACACAGAATTAAAATCGAAACGCCTTCATTCACTTGGAGTTGTAGTAGACTACTTGTGTATTATATGGTATCGGAGGAATCGGAATGCGGGGAAGTATAAGATTTGGGCTGTCGGGCCAGCCGAAGCCCGAAGATAACGGCTCTTCAACCCTTTTCTTTTCTTGTAAACAGGCTCAAAGATTCCAAGATGAGAGGGTAAATCTTCTTAACCTAATACTGTTCATGTTGGAAGGGGACCGATAAAAGAAGTCTCCGAATTCGCATAGAGGTTTAGGGAAACCTAAGCCAAGACGTAGCAGATAGAATCCCTGGGAGCAGCCCTGTACCTGGGCAGTGTTCCAAGGTTATGTGACAGCAGTCGTTGGTGGCAGTTCTTACATCGGTAATGGTTTAACAGCACGGTAGCAGGATTTAGCCATGGACAACCGTAAATATACAAACTATCCATTACCGTCGTTCAGGTTGGCCTACCTAATATACCTAGCTGTACGTAGGTTCTGAAGAGTGAGATTATTATGTATCATCTATAAATTCTAGATCAATTTCAGTCAGCCAATTGCAATATTCTCAAGTGATGTCCCACGTCGTATGTTCGTACTGCATGCTAATTATTCTTCTTAAACCTACCTCGCCAAAATCCAGATTCAGTGGTTTTCCCTTTACTCTGGTGTTAGAAATGCCTTATGAGCTAGAGAAATAGTAGCTTGTAAATAACTCTGGAACCTAGTGTGAAGGGTAATATATTCAAATTGAAATCTATAAATGTACTTATTTTACTCCTTATAGTGCTCTTTTGTCCGCATATCTGCCAAGCTTAAGCACTCACTCGTGACGGCATCGTCTCTAGGGACCAATCGAACATTAAAGTCCCTCGGGATCGCGACAAGCGCCGTCTTGAACTGATTATACTCGACGTAATCAGTGTTTGGCGGCTGATCTTCGCTAGCAACAATCTTATACGAGGCAAGCAGACGGATGAGGGCACTGTAAAGGAGTCTGGAGGCGATGAATTGGCCAGAGCAGGAGCGTGATCCAGAGCCGAAACTCAAGTGAGGCAGGCCATTGACTTTTCTCTCTAATGGTGGGTCGATTGACTCGAGCCATCTTTCTGGGTCAAATTTTCCTCCATCAGGTCCGAAGTGGTCCACGTCTAAAAATGGATTGTTAGATTGGTGCATGAGCGGATTGAGGAGTAGGCTTGTCGACTTACCGTGATTGCCTGCTTGGGCGTTGATCAAGATCATTGTCTTGGGTGGAATTATGGCGCCGTTCCAGTTTACTTCTGTTACTGTTTTCCGGGGAAGACTCATTGAGCTGACTGTGTAGTATCTTCCTGCTTCTTTTATGATCGCGTTGACGTATGGAACCTTTTCTTCGTTGATGCAGCTCGTCCAAGCATCGCGGATATCGGGGTAGTGTCGCTTGATATCCTCGTATGCCCGATCTTGCCAGATCTGTCCCTCTGGTGTAGAAAGGGAGCCGATGGCAGAAGTTAATGTACCAGGGATGGTTTCAAAGCCACCAGATACCAATGAAAGACATATTGAGGAGACCTCCACACCGCTCAGCTTTGTCTCTTCGTCTTTGAGGATAGCAGCAGAAATGCAGGGCTTATCAGTACCCTTTTTGATCATGTCGCGGACTTTGTCGAGCAAGAGATTTAGATAAGCATCGCGACGATCGCGGAGCTCCTTCGACCGGGCAGTCTTTTCGTTATTGGGCATATACCGCAGGATGGGAATATAGTCCTGAAGATTCTCCGAAGCACTCCGTAGAAGTGAAATTGCTGAGCCGACGTGGAGAATCTCGCGCAAGAGGTCGTCATACACGGCATCCATGCGAATACCGTAGCAAAGAGTGAGAGTGGTATTCAGAGCGAATCGCTGAATATATGGTCGCACATTCAACTCAACAGTACCGTTCTTACTATCACGGTAGAGATCGCGGATAATGCAGAAGCTCTCCAAGTCAAACATTGGGTGGTAATTGCGTAAAGCAGGTCTTCCCAAGGCTGTTCCAGCGGCCTTGCGCTTCTTTTGCACGACTCATCCCAAGGCGAGGAACCAATGGTAAAGCCCTGAGTACTGCTCACAACTCCGTGGAAGGTGTACAACTTGGGACGGTCGATGGTGGCGTTTTGATGACCCAAAAGCATTTTGCAACAGTCGTCAAAAGAGTTGACTACAACAGCTCGGGTGTTACCCAGCTTGATTTGGAAGACGGAGTAGCCATACTGTCGCCACCACTTTTCGCAGACAGTTGCATGGTCCTCGCCGAGTTTGAGAAGGTGGCCAAAGATTGGAACTGCGCCTGGGATCTCAGGTAGACCTTTTATATGCGGAACATCTGTTGCAAGTGTCCACTAGGAACTGTTTAGTATGGATTCCCGTCTCTCTTTCGGCCGGAGACTTACGCGATAAAGCAAGAAGATAGTCAATGGGATCAAAGCCCAGTAATAAGCCCGGGGTATTAAACCAAATTGAGCTAAGTAGTCTTCCAACTTAAGATCAATCATTGTGTCGGCAGTATCTAGAAATGATAGATTAAAAATGAAGGTTGGACAGCATAAGATTAAATAGTATAAGCTTCAACTATAAGATAAGGTCCGACTATCAACCCCGCGCTACCCGTACACATTCTACTTTCTGACTGTCGGACTGTCCGATCATACTTTTCTCTACTAATTATCACTCGATAAGGTCTGATTACTACGATAAGGGTTTTATTAATGTATTCCATGTCACTTTTTATCCCATCGCGTATGCCGCTAAGGCGGAGTGGACGAACCTGTTGCACGTCGCCAGCCGCGACATGTTTGTGATGGACTTCACCCTACAGATTCATCCCTACGTAATGGTATGATTTCGCTCAATAATGAGACAATTGAATGTAAAGTAACACATCAACATAGTCCCAACAAGCAATTGGTTGCACCGATATCCGGGGCCGACAAAATAACCTCAAAATCCAACCGGTAAGGCGTATATCAGGACGAAATATCTGCAAAGGTCTGAAAGAAAGGCCTCGAGAATAATGGTTTAAATTACTGTTGCATCATGTTGTGACATCAAATACGTGACTTGGGGGAGTACAACCGCTTGAAGAGGAACCAGCAATAGTAAATACATACAATGTTCGAGTAACCCATTTCTAAGTAGCATCTAGAGTAAGCTATTATTGACTACTTAAATTGAATGTTCGTATCAATCTGAATATCGGCAGCTTTTGCTTTATTCTAAACCTCATGCAAAACATCTTATTCCTCACCAACAGCGAACTCGGCCAGTGCAATGTGGCCTTCGCAGTTGCAGAAGAGTTCCTACGTCGGGGTAAATTTCGTGTACATTTTGCTTCGTTCAGTCCACTTGCTGAGCGAGTAGATAGATTGAGTGAGCGAGTCAGTGATGCGCAGCGGGTGACATTCCATCAGATATGGGGACCGTCTATGACTGACCTTGCCGTTCGTACTAATGTCGGCCTTCTGCATCACAGGCCAGGTATTCAGGGTGCTATGCAGGGCTTTCAAAAGGTTAGGAAAGCTATGTCGAGCTGGACACCGTCCGAATATGGAAAGGCTTTTCAGAGCTGTTTGGACATCTTGGAAAGTGTTTGTCCGGCTGTGGTTGTTGTCGATCCGATTCTACATGTCGGTTTAGATGCGTGTTACACTATCAACGTGAGACTGGTGGTCTTATGGCCTGTACCGCTGAAGGATGTGGTAATAATGAGCCAGCCAAATGGCGGACTATTTTGGAAGTATCCAATGTGAGTTTTACGCGGACATGTTGGCACTATATGGATGATAATGATCGAAACCAACTGATGATTCACTATAAGAACCGGATCAGGATATCCTTTCCCACTTCCGTGGACTTTGATTCTTTCAAATATCTATTTGGCCTTCTGCGCTGCCTTTGCTTTGATGTTTTCAAAGTCATCACCAGACAAGAAGTCATCAGCCGCACATGAACATACATCTCGAACTCCTTTTCCTCTCCAGAATGCCTACCAAAAGAACTCATTGAATCTGACTCCGGCATTCAGGGAAATGGACTTTCCATTTTTCATTCCAGACAATGTGATTAGTTGTGGTCCGATTATTCGAGAATGTGAACCTCTTTCAGAGTCCGATCCGGAATTAGATGCATGGCTTAAGTGGCCAACAGTGCTCATCAGCCTCGGGTCACACGTCAAGCCGGAAGAGAAGGTTGCTATTGAGATGGCGAAAGGGATACAAATCATATTAGAAAAGCATTGCCCGAATATACAAATCTTATGGAAGCTAAGATACGATTGGGAGGGTTCTGAGGAATTCAAGAAGGTTTTGGGCCCTGCAATCACAGCTGGATCGGTGAGGGTCGTGTCTTGGATCGAATCCGATATCATGTCCGTTCTTGAAACTGGGCAAGTTGTCACCTATGTGCATCATGGAGGTGCTAACTCATACTTTGAAGCGTGCAAGTGAGTTGATTCGAGCTTTCGATTAATGTCACAGCGACTAACTTGATTTATCTCTCTAGAGTCGGCATCCCTCAGGTTGTTCTACCACAGTGGTTGGACACCTATGATTGCGCCACACGGGTGGAATGGCTTGGGATTGGTGTCCAGGGGAGCAGAAAAGCTGCACCTGATATTGATGCGATAGAGTTCTCAAATGCTGTGTTGCGAGTACTTCATGATGATCGTATTTGCACTAGGTCACTTGCTATTAAAAATCTGTGTCAATACACTGAGGGTCGTGTGGTGGCGCATGACCATATTGCAGAATATGCTTTAAAAAATTTCAACTGAATAAAACATTCAGCACTTGAAATTTTGCCTCAAAAGGAGTCAGAGAGAATCCAAAGATAGTACTCGTACCTAGATCTGAAATCCAAACCGAATTATGTGGCTACTATCATCAACCGTGTAGGGTAGTCTAACCAATAGGCCCTAATCCCGAATTTCCATTCGGTGATCCCCACCATCCGTCAATGTCTCCAAGGTCCGGAAATTCACTCAAGTTATTTGGGAATTGGGCTACGGAGATGGAGTCCAGCTTTCCAATATCTGTACTTTCAGCTCCGATGCGAGCGTTCAGATCCTCCGTCCCAATCAAATCGAGATCGATCTGTTGAGACGGCAAATAAAATGGCTCTGATGGGAAAGAAAATTGATCTTGCTGAATAGGACGAGCAGGCTGAGAGTAATCATGAGTGGATGATGCAGGCATCGAGAAATTGGCAAGTGATAGGTGGGAATTATGCTCGCCAGTGCGAGACTTCTTGTTTAGTGAATCAGGTAGCTGGTTATGGCGGCCTGGTCTCAATTTAAAGGGCTTTGATGAGTTTGATGACACATTGTTACTGGTAAGGTGTCGTTTGGAAGCAGTCCCTGTTCGACGCATGTCGGCTTGCCAGCGCCGCTGAAGAGTGACAAGGTAATCACGTGTCCGTTTCGCATTCTCAAATGACTGGCCTAGTTCATCGAGTGCGCGGAAACAGAGATTGAGATATGCCACCATCTCGGCGTTGCGAGGGTGGGGACTGTTGATTTCTCCAGGTCTGGTGGGTACGAGCGGGGAGCTAGATACCGTGACGAATAGCAGCATCAGTGCTGCGCTGAAAATTATGGCGACTACCTGGTTATTCATTCGACGGAATGTGTAGTGTTTTTCATATATGTGCAGTAGGCGTGCGACGGCTATAGCGGACTCGATGCACATACGGCGTGCGTGGTGGTAGCCGGGTCCCTGACGAGGACTACGTGGTTGGATGTAGCTCTTGGAGACCCATGGCCGATGTAGGAAAATAACAATCTGGTGATATTGCATACTGGAGATTTGTCAGTTCAAGTAATGTAATTGGATACATCAATAGACTATTAGTTTTCTTACTGTAATATTAACAGATGGGGTAGTTTTGGTGTTGTATCGTCATCTAGATCAATGTCAAGATTTGACGGGAGGCTGGCCTTCCAGGTAAATAAATCTTCTGTCACATGGAAGCAGAGTCTTTGAAGGTCATGCCTGGAGATTTCTGAGCATCCGTATCTAGGTCGGGTCAGATGTATTCAGGAGTTCGAGTAAATGAACACGGACTCACAAGATGTGTCCGACGGGAGAAATCATTTCCCACAAAACCATAAACTGAATACTGATGAGTTCTGTTGGATTACTCAGCTCTTTGCTGGGAGTTTGAAGGCCATAGGGACGCCACGTTCCCTCCAGCTCAACTCCTACGGTGGAAGCGGGCTTCCGAGCGGTGATGTCTCCAGCATTTATGCGGAAAGGGCGACCTAAATAAAAGCCCCAGAAGCTACAAACATTAGACAAGAAAAAACAATAAAAGGGCTTTGGCTTACTGGTCTGCGACATAGCTTCCCCAAAAGGCTGCCCGTCGGACGTTAGCCTCGTGTGGACTTATGTCTCCTTGCTTGACGTAGGGCGTCATGTCAAGATGCAAGCCAAGGTCAAAGGCAAGACGCATCGACATTCCTTTCAAAATATGTTAGGATTTGATCCAATTTCTGTGAATCTCAGCTCACTTACCGCTATAAAGCCAGCCCCGAGCATCGCGGCTTGATGCACCCTCGTGGTAGCTAAGAAGCGCAAGAGCCTGAACCGTTGCAACACATGGTGAATCAAGTTCAATCTCCAATAGAGCCTTGGCTCTATCTGCGAAAAACTCAGCTAATGATTTTGGAAATGTAATGAAAGTGGGATGGTATCTCGCTTCGAAGGCGCTCCCAATCGCACACCTGCAACAAATCAGTGTCTGAAGTACGGCAAGACCCGATTCAATCATACATAGCATTGGTCAAAACCTCAGAGTAGAATGGCGTATCATCATATTCATTCCGCCACTTAGATCGGGCAGAGATAAACATTTCTTTGTCCACCACGTACATGCTGGGATTTTGCCAAGTGAAGTATAGCTCGACAAGATGATCCTCCAAAGGTTGATCAACCGTTTGGCCGACCCGAAGGTGATTTAATATATCTTGACCATCATGTCTCACGGTACGCGCATCTGGCCGCTGTCGCTGCTGTATTGCAGACACATCTACTAGATTAAGATTAGAGGTGGCACCGTAGAATCGTAAATGACCGTCTCCTGCGATCTTTAAACTTCCAATTCGATTCGAAAGTTGTTCAATCACATCGCTTTCAGCCTCGTTTTCCTCTTCACTTTCAGAGTCATAATCCCGGTTAATTTGTATTTGATCTTGAATAGCTTCGGACTGCTGAGACATGTCCTCACTTAACAGAAAGCCATCTGGTTTCAGTCCTGTTCTGGGCGGCATTCCGGTACCGTCATCAATATTTGCGTAGATAGTGTCCATACCTTCTGCTGTCGGAAGTGTGAAACCCCAATGGACAAAGCTTGTGTTACCGGGCGCGCCTTGAGTAATACCGAATGGATCTGCTGAAGACAATGGCTGAGCACCTCCTGAATTAGATGAGCTAGGGGTCGATGAGTCAAAGAGCAGCGGTATTTGGAAAGGAGATGTTCCAGAACTATTGGCCGATTTGGTCCCTGATGCTCCCTGTTCGTCGTTTCCGACGGTTTTGGTGTTTTTCATGACTTGACGTGAGATCTGTAGTGTATCCAGGACCCTGTTCAAGCCAGCTTCATCTTCAGGATTCATTAAAGGTGGTGAAAGTCCTTGATCATAGATAAACTGGCATAATTGATCGATCCGAGCGGAAAACAGCTCTGTCGCAGCTCGAAGAGACACCCTAGAGTCAGAGTTAGCTAACTGTGATCCACTCCATATCGGGAGACTAGACGTATCGAAGTATAAAAATATTTCTGCATGACATACTTCCGTTTATCATCTCCGTGCTGATACTTGCAATCTCTGCCCTTGCGTTGGCAATTCTGACAATATGGCGTTGATCCGTCACACTTTGAGCCGTAATGTTAGATATACCCATCTTACTGCAAAAATGCCACATACCCGAATCTTGCTTTCTCGACATGGCACACAGGCCGTGGTGACATGTTTCCGCGGGACCTTTTGGTACTTCTCAGGGTCCGGCGACATAGCTGGGGTGTGGTTTCTCGCAATTTGCGTCGGAACTTGGACTTTATAGCAATTACCGCTCGGGTTCACAAAAAAAAAAAATTCGACCAGTCGCCGTCTTTAGCTCGGCTGCGTTTTCAATAGCATAGAATAGTATCATCGTCTAAGATGTTTGCAAAAGGTCAGGAATCCATTCAAGAGAATTTGAAACAAAACATTCCGGGGGAGTGCGGGGGCGGGGAGGCTCCACCACGGAACACGTGATTCAAATGGGGGGAAATACATGCTAAAAATGGCAACAAGAAGTTGTGATATCTACAGTATTAGAATATTCTAGATAAGATATTGGTAGAGAATCTGGTGGCTGTCACCGTATCGGGAGTATAGATCAGAGGCTGTGAATTTTGATCTTCTTGAAAAGAGATGAACACAGGTTCCAATTCTCGTCCTACCAATAGCTTCAGGTCCTCTGAGTGGATACGAGGATAACATCGAGCACGAGAACGACCACGCAAATTTTAGGGTGAGAGAAACGTGATGATGGAGTACGCCACTGACTATATTGGACTAACACTTTTTTTTAACTTACCTTGGTTATCAGAATCGTAGCCGATACAGAAAGTGCCTAGATTGTGACTTAACAAGCTCTTCTTAGTTGCATGAACAGCCTGAAGGTTTGAGAAAAATACACATTCTGCTCGTTACCCTGCAATTAGTCCTTTAGATTTTTCATGGATTGGGAATTAGGCTGCTTCTGGCGACAGCTTCACTGCTGGCATTGGGTCTAAATATTTGTATAACTCTAAACAAGAAGATATTAACTGCTCGGGATATAGCTACTCGTACCCATCTATTTTGAAACCAGTATTTCGGTATTCATGTAGAGAGCTTTAATACTTGGCATGCTCAGGATATATATCGGTGAATATTGCAACCCAGATACAGACGCACTCGAAATCAGTTTCACCTTTTTTTTCAATTCTTTCTCGACCTCCATTTTGCATGAAACCATCCCATTTATAGTTAGTCTACCAGTGGCCAATATTATGGCAGTATGTTAGTACGATGATAAGTAATGATAGAAAACAGGCATCGTATTACGAGTGTATAGAAGTACTAACCTGCAAGCAAATCGAACAGAATGGTTGGCAGGATTCGATAGTGTACATTGGTTGTATGTATCTCCTATACGATCGGAGATATTCCAGCCCATAACGTCGACAACGCCAAACTGTCAATATCCCCTATCCAACTCGATGACTATGGAACAGTTAATGTCCACCCTTTCTGTTTCGTCGCATCAATCATCAACGTAAGGTTCTTCCCCTGCCTCCCCCGAACTAGTAGCAGCCATAACTAACGTTGTCTCACGTATTATACAAACGGGAATCTCCCGTTTATCGTATGTTCAACATAACTCTGCCACTCGCGCTGGCATAACGGAAAGTCGAACGGGTGAAAATTCCAGAGATACAAGTACCGCTCGCTGTATAAAAAGTAGGAACACCCCACGCACTAGGGAATACCGCAAGTATTGGCCACGCGCAGTAGTGAACGCTTACCCTTCCTTTGGCGAAAATCGCGTCTAGATGCGCCACCTGTAACCCGTGAGAGAAGCGACTTAGTGAGCCGGTTGCTAGAGAAGTGCCTAGGGACCCTACTTCAAGTGCATTTTCGTTAGTTGGACCGAAGTCATAGTGGAAGTAGAGGTCTTTTAGGCTGGCCTCCATTTCTCCTAGAATTTCGCATATCAGCCGGCGGTCTCGGATTGAGATTTTGATATCTAGCGAACCGCGGATAAGTTGTAGTTGATTTCGCTGCACGTCCCAAGCTCGCAGTCGGGTCCCTTAATAGTGAATGTTGCCAACATCTTTGTCTTCGATGGATGCCTCTTCGAACGAGCGGGCATCTATCCACTGTTTTTGTTGGTCTTCAGGTATTGACTTGATAATGGCGCTTCTCATGATCTCTCCTTCGGTTGGGTTATTGATAAGCATCATCAAAGCATCGATAACAAGGTTTTAGAGGCTAAATATGCGCCCTGGGTGCTTGTCTATTATCAAGATCTCGACGTAGTCCTTAACCATGTTGCGCTCTTGGTAGGATTACATAAATTCTACATCATTACGGGTGTTTCTCAATGGCTATTTGATGCTCCAGGAAGTCTGATTCAGATGCGCATATATGTTCGCCAACCGGCTACAATTGATCCAGAGATTGTCGTCTAGCACCTTTGTTTGGTGAGTGACTTTCGGAGACTTGAATATATCTCTGCCAGTCTTATAGACTACTAAAATATAGTGAGCAATGCGTTTGAGGGATCTTGAAAAAACATCGCTGTCATGGCGTCATGCTTGCTTATTCTCCCGACGAGGTGACAACGGTTCCCGGTCGCGGTGATAACTCTGTCCTTCTCAGCGAGACGGCTAATAGGGTCCTTGAAACTCACAGTAACCGATATAAACCCAAGAAAAACAGACATGGGGTTGTTCTTCGCATACGCCTCCATACCACTGTGAGTATCTCTACAGTGCGATGAGTCTCTTGATGAGGACGTCTTCGAATCTGAAGCAGAACCACTGGACGGTTGTCCACTGTAAATATTAAGGAAAATATGGATACAATATGTCCCAAGCTTCGACGGTCATCCTTCTCATTTCGTTGTCAGTGGAAATCCGCTCGCCCAGGATAGTGACTGCCCTCCTGCTGATCAAACTTTGTCGGCTCCGGGAGTGATTTGGAGGCATGGTGGTTGTTTGAAGATAAAGGGCTGCTATGGAGATTCAAAATTAATGGGGTGGCCTCACAACTGGGAATCACGTTAGTTCCTGTAACTACACTAAATTAAAATGGTAGAAATGTATGTGCTAAGAAATAAAAGATAAGCATATGGGCTGTTCCGCTGCGGCTCGAACCGCATTGGCTCTTAAGGTTCAACCGCTTTCTCCACTTTTCATGCTTGAATGAGTCGGAGATAAAATTCGTTACCTAGTTGAATGGTAACTAGTTATTATTATAAGATTTCATGACGAAGTTAATATAGCAAGTTGTGAGAATATCTAACTTACATCGCTTGTCAGAAAAGCTAAGACTGAAGCCTTCGTGGAAAAATATCAGCTGATTGGATGGACCCTTAATCGCTAGTCAGTTCACTAACATTTCAGGGGTAGTAGAATGACAGCTCAGAATATGAGATCTTGACGACAATTGCCTTTTCTCTACTTTCTAGGATACATTGATATATTGATAATGGGCACGAATATCATTTGGAAGTAGAAGGATCATGTACCAGATCTGATCGGTTCGACAATATTATCCACATGTGTGCGAAATGCGATCGTAGTAGCCTCATGTAATTCGGCTAAATCCTTGCAAGTGTCAGATGACGTTGAGGCTGAATAACCCCGCTATCATACGGACAAGTATTGTGAAAATCAATATGACGATCGGGAATATTAGACACGTTCATCTCCAATTTTCAAGCCTTGCGACTGTGGCAAAGGCCTGCAGTTGAGGGTTGAGAACCGAATCGGAAGAATCTCACGCAACACAGATCAATCATGTTCTCGGCACCGGGCACCCCTGACATACTGTCACTGGCCACACTTGCTTACCAAGTCTACGACACGTACAAAGGTGCCCCGAAAAGATTCAAAGATCTCGCAAGCGACGTTAAAGGACTTGAAATTCTTCTCAGAAGACTTGCACATAGACTTGATTTCCATCAGGATAATCTTGAGGAATCTCTTTTATCATCCGATGAAGCCTCAGGCTTGGATGAGCTCGTCCACCTGGCTGGAACCCTGCTTGAGGAATTACAACAGAAACAAGGGCATGCGTTGGCGCCAAGAGGGTTGTACCGGTTCAAGTGGACGCAGGGTGAAGTGGACTCTATACGGTCCAGAATTACGTCTCTTTGTGCAATTATCGGTGCATTCAATAGTAGTTTGGTACTTCCAGAGATGGCCACAAGGGTTCCTGTGTGAGTCTTATCACATTCCCACTACCTTCTTGTCAGTTGCTAACTGGAAACAGAGTCGACAAACAGCAAGAGATCCTGGATAAACTGGATCTCTTCCTCCTGACTACCAAAAAGAACGATGACATTTCATCCGCTGCCTCTGTATGCGAATCTACCACCCCGACTCTTGTCGAAAACGAAGACGGAGATGAGGACTATCATGACTGGCCTAAACTCGTCCGCCGGATGACCGAGTTTGGAATAACGGAGGCTGAAGCAGAGCAGAACCAAGTACTCATTCGCACATTGGCAGCTCGTGCATCTAGCGCGCCTTCGTCTAATTCGAAAGATTCACCAACGGCCATCACGCCGAAGGGAATGATAGGTGCGGACTTGGGGCTAGGAGCGCATAAAGAGGAGATTGAAGTCCTCTCCGCTGTGTATGGACCAATGGTCGTCACAGACACTATCAAACACATTATCGATGCGCACGCTGGTCTCAATATAACCAAAATCACTTTCTCAATTAACAATGAGACATTCGGCGAGGATCCATGGCCCAACAATACCAAGGCATTCTCAATGATCTGGCGAAAAGCGATCCGACTAACCTATGGAAACCTTTATTCAGCTCCTCAGAAAGTCTTTGCGGAAGAAAATGAACTGGCTACCATCGATATCGCTGTTCCACTTCCGATCCACGAGAGTTCGGAATCGCGTAAACGGGGTTCGATCTACATCCTGAATGCCAGCTGGCATAACATCGACGTCACGGAGCACGTAGCAATGGTAACGGCGAACGACCCGAGACCGGAAATCAAGGCTTCAAATTACGAATTCTTTGCAATCAACCCAGACCCTTGTTATGGACAAGTGAAGATCCTGTCCGTGACCTACACGTACTCAGATACCGCGGCAGCACTATCACATTGCGAGGTAAAGACTGTGACTGAAGAGTCCTCAGCCCAGATCCCCCCATTCCTAGAAATTTTCTGTGCAAATTGGGGTGGTTTAGACATCACGAATCTTGTGCGAGCAAACATTACATCTCATCAGACATTACAATTTGACACAAGGAATGTCCACGTCATTGCGTCTCCTGATCCTTTATATGGACATCAAAAGACCATTTCGATATTGTATCGGTATGGTTCTTCAGAACCAATGCAACTGCTAGTTGCAGGGGAGGATACAGGCTTTGCGGTGATCGACCCGGGGGATACGATGAGACGCAACTTCTTCTTTTCAGATACGCTAGAGCTCACACCGAATATCAACGCGTTGGCTGCCGTATGGGGACTGCTGCCTGTTTCGGAGAAAGATGTGAGCCAGGCTCTGACAGTACGGAGGAAGGTGCCTTGCACTAATGAGTTCTTTAAGAGGGATGGATGGGGTGGCAAGGTAAAGACCTTCCAATTGTTCTTGCAGAATGGGCATACGGGGGAGTGTGTTTGTGTGAGTGCAAAGGAAGGGGAATTCCTTGTTACGCCAACTGCTTGGCCGGAAGAATAGATAGTTCAAGTTAGAAATAACTTTTTAGAGTGCAGCCCGCCGCATAGTACAAAATGCAAATGTCATCTATCTCCAGCTTAGTACCTAGTAACCATACCTGAGTAATGAGAAATCGATCGTCGCTGATTAAATCTCAACAATCATCGGCGCATATTCGCCAGTTTCTTCGTATTCATCATTGTCATCCAAATCCAATTCGACCTCTTCGCCATCTTCAAGTCGAACCATCCCCTTTTTGACTATTGCTGCGGGTGTCAGTTCCCAGTCATACTCCTCATTTACCCACGCATGTAACTTAGCAAACTCCATTTTAACCTTCGACTCGGTGTTATCTGGAAGAACTTGGTCCACCAATCGTTTGAATCTAATAAGAAGATTGTGGACGAATTGTCCACCATCATCTCTATCGATATCGAAAATTCCGCCTTCGACGTCGCCACATCTCTTCAATTGTCGTAGCAGTAGCGAAACCACATCGCTCATGAAGGCTTCCCTAGTCACGATTGCTTCGCGAGATGTCAGAATAAGTTCTAACAATCGCTTCCACTGCTGTAGACACGAATAGTTCATCAATGTCAATACTGTAAGGAATGTGAACTGGAGTTCACCGAGTAGTTGCACTTCTCCCGATCGCTGATCCACAGCTGTTCCGTTAGACGATGAGCTAGAGTAGCGTTGAATAAGATCTCCCAATGCCCAAGACTTATCTTGCGCGCCTTCTGTTCTTTCACTCCCGATTGCCCCTTCTCTCCAGGTTCGCTTCAGATCAACGGGGAGAAAATCGAGTCCCCTTTCCAGCTCACCCACTGCCCACGGTGATCCTCCTGATCCAGCAGTAGGAATGCTAAGGCCAGGGATATGATCTGAATCACGATCTGCCGAGCTCGCAGTCGTAACTAACCACCGGCAATGATCATCTCCATTCACCTCCGGGCTTCCAATGATGCGAGAGAGAAGAGATGATGATATGTAGCTTGTCAGGTTCAGCCATTCGGTGCGAGCAATTTTCTCAACCTCCTCGTCTTCTTTCGTCGGTGTTGGCGCAGGTTTTGTCAAGTCAGGTTTATGGGCTAGCATGGATGGAGGCACACAACTCTGGTATCGGAAAAGACCCCCCATCCGCCGGATAGCACCCAAGTTGGCTTTGTATTGCATGGATTCTCGGCGGTCATCTTCGTTCCTGTTTAGCAAGGAAGTTAAACTCTCTGTGTCAGAGTTCCATTTCCAAATGAAGATTTCGGGCTGGGTGGTTAGGTTGGGTGCGGCGACGAGTGCTGTGCTATTTTCATCATCGCTGGCCGCGCCAGTATCGTTCACGTGAAACCATGCCCCACAGCGAAGTGACAGAGACTCTGTTGTTCCCGTATAGACCAAATGCCATCCTGTGGGCAGATCCCTGATGCCGTAAAATTTGGGTGCCGATGTCAGGGTGATGAGGTCGATGCCGACCAGGATGTTCGGAGGTAGCTTAGGAAAAAGAATCGTCGGAGTCGGGTGAAATGAGGGCTGCATTTTTATGGACTTCACTGATGATCGGTGTTTAAGATATAGGGTACAAGATTCGAGAAATTGGAGAGGACGCCTAAATTTAGATTATGGAGAACAAATTATCTAGGCTCAATTTGAACACGTGATGTTCAGTGCGTTGAACCTAACTAGCGGCTAAACATGTCACCTGATCCTTGATTTGTCCTTGGCAGCGGGACGGACCGCTTACTGTGGGGGTGTTGTGGGACCGGTAGTGGCACGCGGCCAGGTGGTAATGAACTGAAGTGCCGAACCGGTTGTGTCGCGGTGGATAGTGTCTGACTTAAGATCCCGGTTTAGCTAGCTTGTTTGTCTATTTCGTCCAAGTTGTGCGATCTACGGTGTAAACACGTAAAGGCATTACAGCATAACGACAGCGAGTTATGACGATTAATGATTTCGTGGCTCAGAGTCTGAAAAAAAAAAATTCCAGACATCAAAAGGCACAGGCCTTGAGGAAGATCGGAGCGTATGGTAGGATGATGAAATGCATGTCTAACCTCGAGGCGAATCCGAAGTTCGATATTGCTAAGTGGTGCGGGAAGGGCTGTTTCTTGTAGTTCAATTGCCTCTGGTAAATTATTGATTTCACCCAGATGTGTTAAACTCCAGAGTAGCAGTATGATTACAAAAGTCTGATTTGACTACTTGGTTTGGTTATCAGTCTGCACAATACAGTATTTAAGACCAAACATACTACATCTAGGAGCGTCCAGCAGCACTACCAAATTCCAAAAGTGAATCCCGGATCTATATTGGTTATCACACTGCTAGAAAATCTCTGGTTGCGGTAGACCAAAATTGAAGGATCAGGATTGCCCGGTCCTCGCTTGCGAAATCGATTCTTTCCAGGATCACACGCAGGATAAATGGTAGTGGGCTGAGTTATAGCGGATTCAGATTTGGCATCAAAAAATAGTTACTGGATTCTCTCTTCACCATAAATCTATTTATCTGAAGAACAAGAGGTGAGTGATCAATTGCGATAACGACAATATGAAATTTACGCTATTGCATCTTCGAAGGCTACCACTTCAGAGTTCTATCCAAGATCTTATACAGTTCCAAGGCTGGTTTCAACTCAGCTTTCAAAGTCGTCATGATTTAGTTTTACCTTCCTGTCATCTCCTGAGAATCCTATGTTTGATAGACATCACCTAATCTTTCACTATGACTCTATACTTTTGAATTCTTACATATTCGAGCTTTTCGACAACTGATCTGTGTCCGAATATGGGAAGTCGGAATCATCCTTTCTGATTGAATGATTCCACCAGCGACTCCCATTGGACACAGCCTCCCAAATAAGTGGGACAGAGGTCTTCTTTAGTTTCAGTTAGCAGTAGTAGAATCTACACTTCACATCATCTCTACAACTGCAGTTCTTACGAATACACGTGTAAAGGAAGTCACCCATATCTTACGACAATCTGTTCATTCAAAATGTATTCTTTGTTGCTTTCTCGGACTCCATCTTTCACTCTCATCTATTACAGTCATCCTCTTTAAGATCAACTTTCCGACTCACTTTCGATCTACCTACGATAAGTTTTTTGCTTGATAACTTTGCGGCTAGGTTCAAAATTTTGATAAAGATTAAAAATGGTATATAATTTTCCCTTATCACGCCCTCGTGTCTCGAGATATCTAGCGCGAGGAATTCGTCGAATTTCTTTCTCTGCTCTCATCATCTTCGTGGTCTGGGTTTATCTCAATTTTCTCACCTCCGCTCGCCTCTATTTACTTTCACTCGGATTTCAACGTCTTCGCGTTTTCGTTTCACATCATATTTTTCCACTTTCTCGCACTCTGCTCACCTTGTTTATCTGTTTTATCTCCACCAACTTCTCCATCCGTGTTATCACAACACGCCTAATTCTTCCGATGGACCCATTTATCGGTCTCACTCAAACTCAAGCCATTGAGATGAGCTTTGATCACCCACAAAATCAAGCACAGCCAGATTCGCAAACTGAACCAACAGCCCAACCCCGGACCAAGAGAATTGCACTCCAGAAGCTGCCGCCTGCACTTGAAGCTATACTCCCGGAAGAACGAGCAACATACGAGCCAACAGCGCAAGAAGTTTTGAGCTTGATGTTCTGCTGTCGGCGAAAGCGTGGTCAGTTTTCTATGGTCTTTACTAAGTGCGGCCTGTTGAGAGCAAAATCAGAATGGTATCACCTTATTGACACCAAAGACGAAAATGGGGACTACGTTTTCCCATTGATGTATCGGAAAGGCTTTGACAAGAAATATCAAAAATAGATCTTACCTTCGGTTACACAGGTACACAACGGCACATACGAGACCCCCTTCTGATGCAACGAGACCATCCAATGTTCCTACACGTTGAAACTAGAAGAGTTTGTGATTGTGCTGTCAACCATAACCTTCTAATTTCCGCTCTGCTACTTGTTTTCGGCTGCATTACTCTGAGATCTATGTTAATCAGTAAGCGGGGTCTACGATCATGTACAACGAAGACAGATCTCCATTTCACTTCCCGGCCTGTCCCTTCAACCATAGCTTTGACCCGTTTATCTCTCCGACTCTCCACCCATATTAATATTCGCCTATTCTTTTGGCTCTTCATTCCGATTTTCCATCCCCTTCAACATAAAATAAGCTTCTCGATTCACCTGCTCAATTATCTGTCTGGTTAATCTGTGGATCTGTTGACTCAATCTCTAGTTGTTGGAAGATGTTGCTAATCTAGGTATCATAGCGTAATCAATCAATTGTTCCAATGAAAGCAATGAAAACAGCATATGATGACCCAGGAGTAATTGACTTAAGGATTCAGTTTTCGCCACATAGGATGAATCTATAGTGACGGCTCAAGAGAAAAACTATCGGATAAATCACCAAGAATAGCAGACCGTAGAAGACAAGCATACCTTTGGAAGGGTAGGTCTTTCCCACTCCAACATACCTCATACCTTCCAAGGCTCTAACTCGGCTCTTTCACTTCATCCCAAATTTTCTTCTATCGCATCCTTTCTCAATTGTATTTTTTTGACAACTTCTTCGATTGATCCTCACTCATCTGTTTGATTACACTCTTTATTTTTCCGCCCCAACCTCCAGTTATGGAGAGTACTACAGAATCAATCACAGCTAAATGCACAGCCGGACACACAACCGCTTTGTAAGTGATGGTGGACGCCGCCGAGCCTCTGCAGTCTACTAAGTCTTCATGAGATTAATTTGAATTGGAAGTCTTATAAGCGAGAAAGATAAGTGGAAAGAAAAATGTACTTAAGTAAAGGTTGTTCAAATACAATACAACATATTAAGTTGCCACCCGTGGTAGTGTTGACAAGCACAGATATCAATTCTCCAAGGTAGCATATAATGGATCCCATCTAGACAGCAGATATTAAATCTTATGAGGCTAAGCTGGATTTTCCGATGTCAATGGTGGAAATATGAAAATATTCCAGGTGATCTCAATATTGACGCGCGTAGTTAATGAGGCACCGACATTCAAATCAATTTCTGCTTCTGACATCTGCTGACTTCCACTTTCACTAGCTTCGTTTTCTCCTATAAGAACAATCCCCATCCCACTTTACAATTATTTTCCTTCTTCTTTCTTCATCTTTCCTTCTTCATCTTTACTTGTTCATCTTCCTCCCTTAATCTCTTTTTCTTCACTCATCTCTTTTCCTTCTTCATCTTTTCTTCTTCATTTTCTCTCTTGATCCGTTTTTCTTCGTCCACATCTTTTTTCCTCATCCATCTCTTTTTTCTCAATTATCCCATTCCTTCACTCTTTTTCTCATGTCTCATCTTCATCTATTCTTCCCTTTCCACGAGTTTCCAACGTCTTTAACCCTTGACATTAGCTTTCTCATCTCGCCCCCTTGCTTGCAAGGTGAACACTGACTGTGATGATATAAAAGACAACTGTGCAACACGGGCCAGCCTTGGTTTTGTTCACGATGATCTTTACAGCTGATATGGCGTCCATCTATATTCTGCTGCTCTGAGTCCCTCTTTCTCCTGCTTGCAGGATTTGACCTATGACGAATTTTCTAAGACGGATGAATGTGATACATCTTGAAAAATAGGTGTATACACGACGTTCTGCATCGCTGATATGGATGGCTAGTCGGCCAGCACCCGGACGCAGCTGAAGGTCAAACTGGGCAGTGGGTCTCGCCGAGGAGCCTTGTTGCTTCGAGCGGGCTCACTGGATTACAAATTGGCACTGCATTGCTGGCGGTCGTAACTGATTGCTTCGAAAAAGCGTCCATGTTCTGCTACACCGATGGTCTTCCTTTTCCCCTTTCCCTGGCCTCTCTCCTTGCTTGCAAGATGTGATATATGATGAGATATAAGACGACTGCTGCAACACTGACTAAAATTGGTTGTGTTCACGATGATCTTCACAGCTGATGTGGAATTACGTCCATGTTCTGCTGCTGTGAGTCGGCTCTTTCCTTCCTACTTGTGTTTCAACTACCCACATAAGCATCATATCGTGCATGTTAATACAACTGAACTTTTGCCAACCACACTTCCTTGAGATTTCAAAATAAACTTTCATAAACTTATTCAAATCGAACTTTTTGATACTCAAATGTTCACCGTGCGCTTCTCTGTAGACATGGTTTAAGTAATTGTAGCACCATGCTCTTGCACATTAAGTATACAAAACCGTCTTTTCTGTCGTTGAACTCAGACATTGTTATTCATATTTTCTTAAAGTACATTTCACAACTTAGACATGTGCATGGGTTGGGTATGGGTCAAAATTCATACCCATACCCAACCCATCAGGGGTAAGGTAAACCCATACCCATATGGGTATTTTTTATGCCTTAATGCCTGATTTTCGCCTCAACCTAAACTAAATTAGGGTAATTAGTGCCTTAGTGCCTAATTTTTGCCTCAATCTAGTACTAACTAGGTGACAAATATCACGTGAAATAAAAGTCTTGGCAAAAAGATGGGTTTATGGGCTGGGTGTGGGTTTTACTTCAAACCCATACCCAACCCATATGGGTTTTGGGTAAATTTCTGACCCATACCCAGCCCATTGTGGGTTGGGTTGGGTTGGGTATGGGTTTACCCAACCCAATGAACATGTCTATCACAACTTCAACTTAGTTACAACTCAATTTTTGCTCCTAGATCAGATAAGATTCAATTATTTCCTCCGCTGGTGTATTGGACCATTTAAAGCGCTTTTTTCCCCAAGACAGCCTCCACTATTATACATAAAAAGGAATAGCTACACCCGAGAATAGTCTTAAAATCGAAAGAGTCTGTAGTAGGCTAGTCCGAATACGGTTAGTTAGACGGTGACAGGGCTACGGCAGAAATAGTAGTGCTTTGCTGAAGTCTCAGATCTGCACTCTATAGTGTAGATCCCGTCATTGCTCTCCAGCCCTAACTACGCTTAGAGTCGATGCTAAACAATTGACTCATAAGAATTAACAGAAGATACATCAAGAAGCCAGAAAAAGACTGGCCACCATGAACGAAGCTACTTCCTTAGCGCCATATATCTCCTCCGAAGTTGATCCGCGATATCAGCACCCCCACATTAGGATTAAACCAATCAATAATCACTTGATGGAACCTAATATTATATTTCAAAGATGTAGCACGAAGTGAGCCTGCTAAAGGCTCTACTCTATGCTACTATAGCTGAGATTCCCAAAGTCCCTAGCTTTTCTTCATTCTCTTTATTCTGATTATGGTTAAAGTTATGGACAAAACGCTTCCGAGGTTGATTCGCTGAAAGCGGACCTCGGTCAATATCCGACGAAGATAAGCAGCGATAAGCCATTGGGAAGTTTGGGTCTTATCTCTGGCACCCTTACTTCTGTAAAATAGATCCCAATCGACGTCTTTTCATACTTGACACAAACACACAACTCGTCAATTCAATATGGGTATCAAGGGAATTCGTACTGCTCTCAAGGTAGATCTTGAGAAACACGCGAGGGAGCAGCCGGGCTTACATGTATGACTACTCCATCCTATTGTTATCTAAGTTCATATGTTGACAGCTTTCTAGAACCGTTGGCATCCAGAGAGTATGTTGAATGCTAGGCTGAACCCCAGCTTCTTCCTTCAGATCGGAGCTTCCTCCACATACTAACATCATCATCTGTACAGTCCCCGCTTGTGGGAAAATTGCCCAAGGTGAAGTCGTGAAAATCGAATGTCTAGACTGGACTGGTGGACAAATTCAAAACAATGATTCTGCCGACGATGTGCATAATGTCGATCTGACCGAGATCCACTACCTCTCGGGCCCCTTTGATATTGAAACTGCCGAGCCTGGCGATGTTCTAGTGGTTGAGATCCAGGATGTTCAACCTTTCCAGGACCAGCCGTGGGGCTTTACGGGAATATTTGCCAAAGAGAATGGAGGAGGATTCTTAGATGAAATTTACCCTAAAGCGTAAGTTCGAATAGTCTTGATAACATGAACATTTTCTGACTATATCACAGAGCAAAAGCAATATGGGATTTTGAAGGCATCTTCTGCTCGTCTCGCCATATCCCCCACGTCAGATTTGCAGGTTTGATTCATCCCGGAATTCTGGGATGTGCTCCATCAGCAGAGATTCTTGCGGAATGGAACCGCCGTGAGGGTGAGCTCATCGCGGCCAACACAATCGCTGATCGAGTCGTCGCACAGCCACCACAGCCTAAGAACACTCATGCTGGCAGCTCTGCTGACGACATCAAGGAGAAGGTGGCGAGAGAGGGTGCGAGAACCATTCCCGGCCGCCCTGAAAACGGAGGAAACTGTGATATCAAGAATCTTTCCCGTGGCTCTAAGGTCTACCTTCCAGTCCACGTGCCCGGGGCAAAGTTCTCCGTTGGCGATCTACATTTCTCTCAGGGTGATGGTGAAATCTCTTTTTGTGGCGCTATCGAAATGGCAGGTGTGATAACTCTTAAGTTCAATGTGATTAAGAACGGAATGGCGAAGCTGGATATGAAATCGCCAATCTTCCATGCTGGACCTGTAGAGCCTCAATTCGGTCCTGGCCGCTATCTCACCTTTGAAGGTTTCTCAGTTGACGAGAACGGCAAGCAACATTACCTGGATGCTACCGTGGCTTACAGACAAACCTGCTTGCGTGTTATGGAATACCTTCGGCGGTATGGCTACAGCGACTATCAAATTTATATGTTGCTTAGCTCCGCACCCATCCAGGGACATATTGCTGGCATTGTGGATGTTCCAAACGCGTGCACAACTATTGGTCTCCCGATGGATATATTTGACTTCGATATCAGGCCTGAGGCTGAGGTAACTAAGTTGGATATGGGAACTTGTGCATTTACTAGTTTATAGCTCGTTCGTCATATGTATTGACGTTTGCCTTTCTGGGTCAATTTTCAAATTGATAACTCTCGTGCAGTACTTGACATAATCTAGCATAATTAATTATTCATCAGTCCAAGGCTCCATTCCAGGACCGTGTGACGTTATACCTCTCGGGATCCACTTGCAAGGCGCCCTTCACCTTTTTTGAAGCACAGCATCACTATTGATTTCCCTCGTAAAACTATTCCAACATTCTAGCACATGGAAAGAGAGTCCATATGGGCAACCCCCCTATTCCTGTACCATCTACCTGTCTAATGCGAACTCCTGTATGTGATTAGTGTTCAAATAGATAGGGTTTATATTTAGTAGATCTGTAATGTTTGGCCTGTTTGCATGTCGGTTATTCGCGGCCTTACCCGCATTTTCCATTTATAATTTGCCATTCAATCGATTTATAAACCCCCAACCTTTCTTATGCTGTTAATTTTTGGAAATTTAGTATTAGCGAGATGGAGCTCTCTCATTTATCACGCTTCATGAGAATCTCTCGCCGCCTCTATTCAGTAGCTCCATCACCTACAGCAAAATTAAACCTGCCGATAGACTACAAGTCGACTCCACTGCTACATCACACTCCCTCGTCCATATCCACTGTTCCATATTTCCCAGCTGCAACAACTAGCAAACGCTTGAATTTCTTCCAAGCCATCAACTCTGCTCTCCGAACAGCTTTATCCACCTCAGATAAAGTCATACTATTTGGAGAGGATGTTGCGTTTGGCGGTGTCTTCCGGTGCTCGATGGACCTCCAAACTGAATTTGGCTCCGACAGAGTCTTTAATACGCCGCTAACAGAACAAGGTATTGTGGGTTTTGCAATTGGTGCCGCTGCTGAGGGAATGAAGCCTGTGGCGGAGATCCAATTCTCTGATTATGTCTTCCCCGCATTTGACCAGATCGTCAACGAAGCTGCCAAATTTAGATATCGAGAAGGTGGGACTGGCATTAATGTCGGTGGTCTAGTTATTCGAATGCCCTGCGGTGCGGTGGGACACGGTGCGCTGTATGTTTCCGATATTTTTCCTCCATGTCTCGGCATCTGCATATTCTAACCCACCCAATTGAATAGGTATCACTCACAATCGCCAGAATCTCTTTTTTCCCATGTCCCTGGTGTGCGTGTCGTTATGCCCCGATCCCCTTCACAAGCCAAGGGACTCCTCCTATCCTCAATATTCAATCACAACGACCCTGTCATATTTATGGAGCCGAAGATCCTCTACCGCGCCGCAGTAGAGCATGTCCCGACTGAATACTACACTATTCCACTGAGCAAAGCGGAGGTGATCAAGTCAGGGAGAGATCTGACAGTGATCTCATACGGCCAACCATTATATCTCTGTTCAGCTGCGATTGCAGCTATCGAGAAAAAGATGGAGGGTGTGAATGTGGAGCTTATAGATCTTCGTACAATCTATCCATGGGATCGCCAGACTGTCTTGGACAGTGTCCAAAAGACAGGACGGGCCATAGTGGTACATGAAAGCATGATCAACTATGGTGTTGGGGCCGAGGTAGCGGCGACGATACAAGAAGGGGCATTTCTTCGTTTAGAAGCTCCGGTCAAGCGAGTTGCTGGCTGGAGCACCCATACTGGGTTGAGCTACGAGTCATTTATTCTGCCCGATGTTGCAAGTAAGTCGCCTCTTTTCCTTAACCCAATGAGTTGCTAACATATTGCTCTACAGGAATTTATGATGCCATCAAACAAACTCTTGAATACTAATTGGTGTGCAGTGAGGGACGGAGGTCTTTTGCACAAGGAGGTTTTGTGTCTTGCATTTCTGAAACCCATACAAGGTGCTCGGTCGGTTAGATTGTTGCTACTAGCATGTTTATCAACTTCATTTCAAACGTTAGGGCATCCTCACTCCGAAGTCTGGATTTATGAACGTCACATGTCTACGTTTTCACGAAGATTCAATATATATTTGCACCGACAGAGATCGGATGAGAATGGGTCCTCTCCCTAATATAATATGTTTTTGTTCAAGTCCTTCTAGGGCTGTTGCACCCAGATACCAGTTAAACTTGAATCATAAGTTCGGCATACTGCAGCTCGCTTGAGATCAAATCAAACACGCAGCATAAAATACAAAAATTCCGATCTAGATTGCCAGAGATCACGTGACTAAATAATTTCGAGAGGACATGACACAAGATGGCTCATTCTCAATACCTGGAAATTTATGACATAAAAAGGAGATGATTGCTCTAGTAACAATACCTATCGAGTCGAAATTGACAAAATGAGCTTTTACTAAAAGCAGGGCCAAATGCGATCTAGAACCCAAAGCGGGGCCAATTGGTTGCTGGGGCACTAGTAAACAAAAAGCCTTAGTGTTGACTTGCACCTTCTTTCTTCCATGTTCCATCCTCCCTTCTCCACCCATATTTATTCAAGACTCCAACCCTGAGCACATACTCTCCTAACTGCAAGCCTCACTTATCCTTTTCCTATTCTCTTTGCGTCTATCGGACTGTTTTGGTCATAGTGGGTCAACTTGAACTGTTTTCGGCCACAATTCCAAACAGCAACCACTCACATTCCAGGCACGCCCGGAATCTGATCAAGATCAAGTTAAAGGAGTTCACTCCCATTAGGCTCTTTCACGATGGATTATAGCATGGAAGATACCCAGAACTCGGCGCCCGAAGCGCTGGAGGCTACTAAGCTGAACAACACTCCCTCGCGTAGCGACAACACACAGAGCGTGACGAAGCGGTTAGTGTCTTTGCCCATAACAACAGCCTTCTTGGATCCCGTCGATTAATCGAGACGCCCGCTGACTCATTTCGCCCTACAGCCTACAGTCTGAGTTGATGCAGCTCATGATGTCGCCTTCACCCGGTATTTCTGCCTTCCCTGATGCTGATGGCAACCTCCTCTCGTGGACCGCGACTATCACCGGCCCGACCGAGACTCCCTACGATGGCCTCATTCTGAAGCTCTCTTTCACATTCCCCAACAACTACCCCTATGCTCCTCCCACTGTCTTGTTCAAGACTCCCATTTATCACCCGAACTTTGACTTCTCCGGCCGCATCTGTCTCGACATTCTCAAAGAGAAGTGGAGTGCCGTTTACAATGTGCAGACTGTGCTGTTGAGTCTGCAAAGTCTGCTGGGCGAGCCGAACAAGTAAGATTTGAACGAGTTAACAAGAGACATGTTCCTTTTTTAACAACCTTCTAGTGCGAGCCCCTTGAATGGCCAGGCGGCAGAGCTTTGGGATACTGACCAGGAGGAATTCAAGCGCAAGGTCCTTGCTCGCCACCTTGACCTTGAGGATGAGTAAATATTTAATGAGGCTGCTAATGGCGATTGGCTGGTCTGAATCCGCGATGTTTGGAGCGCACACGTTTTACGCATGCATCATTGGTCCAAACAATGGACTTGGAGTTTTTTATTGTTTGCTGGTAGGTCAAAGCCGGCTTTTATCTTTTATTTACACGCATTCAAGTGTAGGTGTGTGGATTAGGATACCAATTCCTTGGACCTTTTCATATTCACACGAAGGCTTCTTTCAGCACGGTGCTTTACTCAATGACTTTTTCAAGTCGTCTCCACATAACTTCTTATTACCAGTGAAAGCATGATTGAAATACAATGAGGTCTATCTTGGATATTTAAATACTTGCATGGTGGACTTTCCACATAGTTCCCTCCAATCTCCTGTCCTAAGATTAGTGACTCGATACGAAGTACTGCTTCTCATCTGTAATAAGCAGTCCAGCAATAGTCGCACTGGTAAATGTGCTAATAGCTCCAGTGAGCATGGCACTGAAAGCCACACGAGAAACATCACCACTACGACTCGGGGAGAGCTGAGCTAACACTCCAATCTGGTTACCCAGCGATCCAATATTCGCGAACCCACACAGCGCATATGTGGCAATCAGACGAGAACGATCTGAGAGACCCTGGTATTGAGGATCAGTCTGAAGGGCGCTGTAAGCGACGAATTCATTCTAGAATCAGTCGTTAGCTGTGTCACTGATCTTGATGTTCAGATGTGACCTACAGAAATGAGTTTGACACCAATCAGCTGGCCAACTTTAAACAAGTCGTCTCCATCGCGTGAGACACCGAGGAGAAACGCGATCGGATAGCAGATGTACCCGACAGCAATGTGGAGGGTTAGAGGGGGATCGTTGATATTCAGGTACCGGCCCCACCAGGTGAGAAGCCCATCAGCCAGGCCAATGAGAGAAATGATGCAGAGCAGGGTAGCAGCGATCATGGCAGTAATCTTGAGGCCCAGCCAAGCTCCATTCGTGAATGCATGCAGAATATTCGCAGCACGGTGCTCTTCGTTGTCAGGAACGACGACGCAGCCTGATGTCAGACTTGCCTCTTTTTCGGGCCAACGTAGCTTTGAGCAGGCTAGCGAGGCGGGAATACTCATAACACAAGATGAGACGAGGGCTTGCGCATTGACTCCCATAGACAGATAGGCCATCAGCACACTTCCGGCGATAGTGGCAAAGCCCGAACACATGACTTGGTGCAGCTCTGCCATTGTGAGATGTGGAACAAAGGGTCGGATTAGCATGGCTGACTCGCCCTGGCCGATGAACGGGGATGCAGCGGCGACGACGGCCTCTGCGCCTGAAGCACGCATGCTCCAGAAAAAGAAGGTAGCGAACTTTGTGACGAACCACTGTAAGATGTTGCTGTAGTAGAGCAGCTGGACGATTGAGATGAAGAACACTATGGCCGGGAGCACCGTGATGATGAACCAGTTCTTGGGGTTTAGGCCTGGCTTGTCGTTGTTCAGTTCGAGAAAATCTTTGCTGGTGAAGAATTCGACGCCGTTGACTGTGAAGCCGAGGAGATCGCGGGCTAGGGTTGATATAAAGTGGAAGATGTCGTAGCCTGCTTTTGTCCGAAGTACGAAGAGCGCAATGAGGAATTGGGCTAGCATTCCTACTATTACTGTGTGCCATACGATCTTCTTTTGGTCGCGTGATGTGGCCCATAAGATAAGGATGAATACTGCCAGACCAAAGAGACTGACAGCACGGTTTGCGCGAGTGTTGTCTTTAGTCTCTGGCGAAGCGAACGAGCCGACCAGAATAACGCTGATGCAGATTAGGCCTCCTGTGGGTACTCTCATATTCTCTGGTACCATGCGGACTAAAGGCCGAGCTGTATTGCTCCAGATAAAATGGATTGGCTTTGTGACGACACTGATGGGGACATAGAAAAATACGATCCTCAGTGTAATGGCTAAGTAGAGAAGGAAGGGAATCAGCCATCCATAGTCGTATCTGTGCAAGATCAAACCAGCAATCCACCAGCTATAAGAATTAGTGAGCAACAACTCGGCCAAGTTGAATTGATGGACTTACCCGGTAAACAGAAGCCAGGTGACAACATGGACAAACAGTGGCCAATGCTTCAACAGGCGTCGCTTCCAGGTTCTCTTAGCAAGTTCAATTTCTCCACTTTCTTCAACCTTAATACTCTGTGCATGGTCGAGGCTGATTGGTTCTGGGACAATTTTGTCGACCGATTCATCCTCAATGAAGGCCGTTCCATCTTCGTTGCCTCGTTCAGCAAAGGCAGTGTGATTCTGATACTCATGGTGATGTTGATTCTCTGACAGGAGCGCAGGATCTTGGACGAAGTCATTGTGAACATAGGTGTGAGCGGTAGGAGGACAATGGGGAAGAACATGGGCTATATCAGCCTCTGCAAAATCTTTGGTCATATTGGCAGTATTGTGAGAAAGACTTGTGAGAGAATTTTGAAGTTCAGAAAGTCAAGTGGCCGAAGAGGGTAAACAACTACCAAGGCCGGGTGTCCATGGTTTGCACAGAACTTTCAAATAGAATCTCACCTTCTCCGCGTATTCTAAGTACTCAAGCTTTACTGTGGCTGGGTCCGGAATTGAGCATTCCTTAAACAGTTTAATGTCATCCACGTCTTCGATCTGTCGGATATCAACGTGTCAACAATACGTCAATAACACCCCAGTGCAACACTAAAATCAGATAGGCCTTTTCTTCCTATCTTACTGCTACCTAAGTTACACAATAACAGAAATGAAGCTCCGAGGTGGAGACATGGATAACCTCCGAGTCTCTTTCAACTCTTCCGAGGTCTTCCAAGATGTACAATTGTAAGCAACAAGAAGGAATCGGCTCTTTGATCAGATCCGTGATAATGAAACAAAGAATGAAGCCTCAAAAGCCTTTGTTTGAATCTATACCAATACAATTGTTTCATTCTCCCTGAGACTCAACTTTGGAAGACTCCTATAAAAGACTGCTTCAACCTCCCAACTTATTTCCGATCAATGACATCTGAAGATCAAACATCTAAACATCCAAACATTTAACAACATTAGAAATTCAGAGATCATCATAATGCAATCCAACCAAGCTCCAGGAAATGCCCAAGCAACCGCTGACCAAACACTGGCAGCGATGCACTGGGACATAAACGCCTTTGCCCAATTCTATAAAATCACCCAAGATAGGCCTACAGCACAGGAAAAAAAGCAATACAATCAAATGTGCGAACCGATCCAAGATTTCATTAACAAAGCAGTTCTAGACAACCTGCTCTTTGCCACAAGAGCCCTAAAAACTAGCAGATGCATCTCCTTCATTCAGATGGAGGGCTGGATGATGTATACCATCTGCTCATTTTCAGAGAGCTTCCGTCGAGCGTTGATGGAATATAACGATACCATGTGGTCTGCACTCGAGAATCTCATTTCGCAAAATGCTCGAAGCATCGATGTATTTGCTCGCGCACGAGAATTACCGTGGAAAGCACCCCTGCAAGCGAATGAGAAATGTGGCCTGCCTTATCTTCTCGCCGCGCTAGGATCAGATATTAATATTGCAACTGAGCATCCGCACCATACAGTCCAAACGGCATCCGGTAGTCTTCGCAGACCCGAGAACGCAGGTTGTGCTCAGATTAACATCAGTTCGAACATATTACACCCCTCGTGTCCGAAACCAGACCCTTCCATGCGCCAGCCAGGCTGGCCACCCTGTGATCTATGCGGCGCAGTCGAGGGAGGATGCGGCTGTCGCATCAACGCCATGATCGGTGACTTGGTCGAGTTGGTAGAGTATGGCATGAAAGGAATTGGGGTTCGCGCCCTATGCAACATCAAGAAGGGAGATATTATCGGCGAGTTTACAGGTGAGATCCTACCTTCACATGCTCCCGACTACTCTAATTATGCTCTGATGGGCGCTTTGGGTCGAGAGGAACTAAGACACATCTACTACGTTGACCCTGTATTTTTAGGAAATTGGACTCGCTATATCAATCATTCGTGTGAGGCTTCTACTTACTTCAGTCCTGTTGTTGCTGGAGATCGGGTGGTTATGGTCGCTATCGCGGAACGAGATATCGGCTTTCATGAAGAACTCACTATCGATTATGGCCCAGGTTATTGGAGCGGCAGCCGAGTTTGTTACTGTGGAAGTAAGAATTGTTATAGCCCACTAGTACCTACTAGACGACTTTGGAACCCTCCCCAGTAAGTTATGTTATCAACCCCGATGACTTTTTAAGGGTTTTCGTCTTGTTATCTAGAATTTGAATTCAATTACTTTTGTCTGGAGTATATCTCAATTAGCTATTGTAGTTCAGACCATTGTAGTTCAATGTTGCTTTTAAGTACATTAGCAAATGCCACGTACAGTCTAGTTCATAGATAACCAACCCCCTTTCATAAATTACAAATTTATAGCGGACCCCCGTTATTAATTTATGCGGTAAATTCGGAATTCCATCTTCGGCATCCCCGTCACAACCGTCCAAGCTTGGAAGCCAAGCTGAGATCTCTTAGAAGTCCAATCCAAATCTTAGATCATATGGTCCCATCTCTAGTTTTATGAAGATGATGACATGCTGGGTTGTCTGACGCAACTTTACATCTAAAAGTGGCGGATGCCCCACCCACCAAGTTACAAGTACCAAGTCAGACAACAAAAGAGGAAATGTGGAAATGAGATAGATAACTGATATACAAAAGCACTTGGAAATGAGGATGCAGGAGCAGGAACAGGAGCAAGAACAACAGGGGTATATGACCGGGCCTAAACTATGCTAAAAAAAATGCAGCTGTGTTCATCATAATATTTCTGTCGTGAGTGTTAAAAGGCGGCGAGATCTGTTATTGTCGCCATAAGTCGGCGGCGGGCTTCGAACTCCTTGGCTTCGTCGCGGTTTCGATAATATTGGATTGTAATCTGGGAGACTAGTCGATAGCAAGCGTACCTGAAGGAAGTAAGCACAACGAATCGCCAAGTAAAGCTGTAGTTAGATAGAGAAAATCATACATCAAAACTCGGATTTCCTCTCCTTTAGTTCGTCTCTCTGGAAGGCCTGCTCCCTCCAACACGGCTTGCGTGGGATTCTCGAAGATTTCAGCCATAAGCATATCGCCCCAAAGGGCGCTGCTGAAATCCACAACGCCCGATACCTGGTTCGACCTACTGTCCAGCAAGACGTGCGATGGCCGTCCAAACTGACTGACAACCAGGCGCGGAAGTGTGACATCATCAAGGGCACGAGAAAGTCGAGCAATCTCGTTACGGATCCCCGCATAGGGAAGGTGAATGAACATGTCTTCAGCATCGCGGAGCACACTCTCGAAAAGAGCAGTGAAAGCTTCTCTCCAAGAGCGTTTCCCAGCTCTCAACGCGACCTGCTGCAGCGAGCCGAACCCCGGAGCTACATTCTGACTGATTGTGCTTGCGAGAAAGCCCAGGTGGCGATCTATGTCGCTGCGTTGGCGGCTTGATATTGAGTCTTCCATTTGCGCGAGTGATTTTCCTTTGATGTACTGTCTTATCAAGTATGCAGAGCCGAGGGAACTCCCATGCGGATCATAGTGGTATAGTTGGGGGATGCAAGGATTGGCACTTTGGCCTAGTAGAGCCAGGAATCGAGCTTCTGTCTCGAGAAAGTAGCGCTCGTGTCGGAGAAGGGGAGTTCCAGGGAGAGGTGAGCCCTTTAGCATTAAGCGGACTCCGTTGGACAGTGTTAACAGGTTCAAGGAATGTATGCAGCCTAGAATTATCTGTGATCGTTGCACTCGGACCGTTGAGGGGAACAGTAAAGACATGATTGCATCGAGACTTTTGTACTCGTCTGAGTGGGCTGTTGGATTTCGAGCCATGTCGGACCTGGTGAGGGAAGAAGAGCCGGGGGTTGTTTTCAAGCAGAACTGCATATTTAATCTACAAAGAGCAATAACTTCTTAATTTCAAGGGTGGAGGAGGATGTTGGGCCACATTTTTATTAGCGACTAAAAAGACCATAGCTTCCGAATACTGTGTTGGGTTCATCTTATATACGTAAAAGGTAGGTAGACCGCTGTAGAGAGCCAAGGCCCACATAATATGACTATTTCCGAGGCAATATACCCAGGTAGGCTTTACTACGCGAGATACGGAGAGATGGCGCCTGTCATCTGAGTTCCACATGGACTGGATAGCCATGGTAAGCGAGAATGGATTCGTCATTCCAGAAGAAGGGGGTTGAAATTAGCAACTAATAGAAACAAGACGGTGGATAGAGTAGATGATTGGATAGAAAAAGGAGATAAAGGAATTAAAGAAATAAGGAACAGTCTCTCGCCTAAGCATCCCACTCTCAGCGACGGAATCTATCCGAGCCCGGATTTGATCCAATCATATCGTCTTCTTACCGAAGTAGATCCACTCAGTCTCCAGTCAAATTTACCTAATTGGGAATAATCCAGAACAACAGAACAACAGATCTTCAACTATTATCAGACCTCCGATCTTATTCTTTTTGCGATGATTCAATTTGCTCCGTCCAAATTCAAGTCAAAAATCCTCCATAAGCCATAAATATGCTACCTTCCCACACGCACTGAGCCGCTGATCGGCAAATCACTTTTGGTTGTATGTGTTGTATGCACTGAGGATTCCATATACAAAACGTATATCAGCCGCACCTCTACCATGTGGGTATGTATACCCACTAAGGGTAAGAGTGGGACGACGTGATGCAAGGACAGCAAGCCTTGTACATTCGTCATAACTTATTAAATACCTAGTACTTTCGATCCAAAAGAAACAATATTTTGAGTTGATTGGCCGCATTTTCAGTGCCAGAGAAGACTAAGACTTGGTCTCTGCAGTAGGTTTTGGTGATGGATCATAGATTTCAGCCAAATTATACCGCTTTAGTTTATCATAGTCGCTTCCTACAACGCTCATACCGATAACATTCTGCCAAGGTTAGCATTCGTGTTTAGGGGTAAACTAGCAGGTAATCTGATAACTCACCTGCACAACAGTAACCAGGATCATGAGATCGTAGTTCTTCAGATCAACCGGGTGTTCAGGACCAACAACATCGGCGATTGTCTTGATAACAGGGTCTCGCTTGAACTTATCATTTCCTCTGAGAGTAGGTAGAATGGCATACTAGATTTAAAAAGATTAGAAAGATTAGAAGAAAAAAAAAATTAAAAAAGCCACAAATATTAGCCATGCAACGCCAACAGCACACGCTAATAGTTTGCCGATTCATGGCGGAATGTGGCTTGCGGGAAAATTTAAATCATAAATTTAAATCAGAAAAAACATACCTTCTTCGGCGGACCTCCGGAATGGAAATGAGGTTTAAGAATCTCTCTTGCGAAAGCTTCTAGATCCACACTGAGAGTCTTTCGAATCTCAGTAACAGGCGTCATGCGTTTAATGTATCTGCTGCTCTTCTTCTCTGGGTTCGCTTGTGCTTCTGTACACAAACGGTGAACCAGCTCTACAGGCTCTATTGACTTATCAAGTCGGACAAAGGTAACTATTCGCATGTTAGTACGGAAGTTGCCCAAAGAAAGCGCTTTAAGCGAAGAGGTGCATACCACATGGTATATCGAGCTGTGTGGCAGAAAATGGGCGTGATTTTGTCTTGCTTGTTTGCAAGCCTTCAATCTCCCGTCGGATCTGGGCTTCGATATCATCGTCGTCCTCATCGCCATCGTCCTCATCATCATCCTTCTGTTCGGCAGCGTCTTCGACGTTCTTCACAATGTGTTAGGAGGGCAATTAATGTCGCCTCTATGTATGATGACTAACCTGGGAGAAGACGTCTAAGGTCTCGCGGATGCATTTCGACTCTCTGCCCATATCACAGGTCACAAATACACCCCATTCACCACTTTCAATGGCACCTTTGCGAGGTTGCTGCCATGGCTTTCCAGGGCCACCCTTGGTAAGAGGTTAGTAAGTGGGATTATGAATATCAGGAACTAAGAACCGACTTTTCTGCGCTTGGACGAATGGTTCAAATTGCCCGGCATGTTTCGTTTCTCTCCCATCAAAACTGGATGTTCGATTTTAGATGTTCGGGTGATGATATCGATGACCGATCAGGAAAAACTGGATAATCCGGTGTTCCGGGCTTGAGGAAAGTGGAAGGTGGGGTGAAGCTCAAGGCTATGATCGAGATGGATTTTGTGTGATTGGATTGGGTTTAGTTGTAAATCAGGTCTCCATGTTTATTCTTCGCTATCAAAATCAATATAAAAAGGATGTCATTTTATTCTACTAATGGGTAAAGTACGTAAATCGTGCGCAATATCTTTTGCGAATTTCTATGTATCTATTTTGTTTATCGTTTCTATGTTAAGCTGTATAGTGAGCTGTTTCATCTCAGATTAATGCTTCAAAGGTTTTAACAGAGGCCTTTTTCAATTCACTGGCCAAGTCTAACTCGACGTCTGGTAATGTGCAGATACCTCTCCATCGTATCATTTCGATTTGGTTAGGTTGATTCTGTAGATATTCCAACTTTTTAGCATCAGAGCTGTCAGAGTGGCCTTTCTACCAATTGTAGGAAAATAATCGGTCTCTGCGGTGTGTGCTGTGTTGGTGCAGCAGCTAGACTGACTGATGGTTTACACGGTTGCCGAAAGGTACGAGAAAACTAACTTATCAAAATCGTGCAGGCTCGGAATCTCCTGGCAGCTGAAGCTATACAATCGCAGCAGATACAGATGGATGCATCTTAATAGCCTGGTGCGATGCGATATCAGTGCAGCGGTCCAGTTCATCCAGCAGCTAAAACAGTCGCAACAACATACTCCCCATCATGCGAGATAGACAGCCGCCCAACCCTCGCAGTCCCATCCCCTAGACCCAAATAGACAATTTCGGGCGGGCGACTAACCCCATCAGCATGTGTCGAGTCCGCAACGTCTTGAACTCTGACCATAACATCTTTCCACCCAATAGACGCAGCTCCGCCCGGCGCGGCTTTGCGCGCAGCTTCCTTCGCGGCAAATCGGCCTGCAAGCCAGCGCGTCATGTCGGGTGTTATTGGTGGTTGGCGGGCGGAGAAGGGTGTAGTTTTGGATATGTAATTGAGAGAGTGGAGGTTGAGAGTCTCTTTAAATCGGGTTTGGAAGTCGGACTGCTCCGCGTCGCAGAGGATGCGGCGCGTGAAGCGTGTTAGGTTATGGCGTGTGAGGAGGGAGGCGATACGTGGGAGGTGAACTATGTCTGTCCCAATATTGAGTGGGAATGGGAATGGTAGAGGCCTCATTGTTTCGTATTCTATATGTATAAACTTCCAAGAGGACTGGATGATTCTCGCCATCTTCTCCGATATGCATGGTATTACTAAGCAGTATTCGACTCTTGAAGGTTCCTTAAATACATCTCTTCATGGCAGTACACTCATTTTCCAGGGTCTTCATGTGCGTAATCCAATCGCAATTTTCTGACAATGACAGAAACATAGTGTCATTGAATTTGATCGTGCTATAATTTGCTCGCACCATATTGTGGAAACATTAGATTGCACCCGTTCCTAGAACAGTGCTACCCTTCAATATCGCACAATCCCGATCAAAATCTACCGGACTGAGAAGAACTCGATCTTTGTTTTGATATGCCAAACCAACAAGAGTTTTATCTACCAGTGTCAGGGATGATCTTCGACAGATGTTGGGAAAAGACCTACTATGGGGATTGTATCGAGGCCATCCAAACGCTTTCAATCCATTCTTCGGATCAGTCGCAAAAGCCACCCAAGCCGATGAAAGGTAGCGAGCGAACTTGTTTTCCTGATCAGTATTATTGATTCCACTAATCAATTCAGCATTTCCAAACAATAGGGGCACTTCAGCTCCGTGATATGTCCCACTAGTCGGGTAGAGTCTTAGATTGGCCCAGTCTCCAAAATACCGAGACTGCCATGTCGGGACTTGATGATTGACTCGATCTCTCACTGTAGCTGCACTTGGACAGTTGAAAGCGGCAAGGTTAAACTCGTGCCACTGCTTATCAGTGAGAGAAACGTTCGACGAGTATCCGATTATGCGGTAGAACCCTGCTTCGTTCTTGTTACTGTTTACAAGCAATGGCTTTCACTTATTAGTGTCAGTTTTAGAAAAAGGGGCTTGGTACTCACTATCCTGGCGAATCTTCCTGTCGCTGAAGCATTAATATAGTTGTCAAACACGATCACTCCATCAACCGTTGGTTGGAATAGCGGCTGATCCAGTGCGGGCGAGTATGCAGATGGAACTTGGTTTGATGCGTTGAGAACGCTTTCAAAGGGCTTTCCACGGACACATTCAACTGCCTGGTCCCCATCATCTCCACAGTCAAGCATGGAAGAAACACTATTGAAATAACTAGCAGACTGCTCGGCGGTATTAGGCACAAAGCTTAGAGCCGTGCCAGACTGGCAAATAATGCCATGCACGAGGGGATCATGTGCATAAGCATATGAGTACATATCAATTGAAGCACCACCCGCAGATCCCCCGAAGAGAGTGATTCGATTTTTATCTCCACCAAAGGCGGCAATGTTGCGATGAACCCATTCAATCGCCATTCTTTGGTCGAGCAGTCCTACATTCTGTGTTAAACCTGGTGCTCCTGAGAATCCAAATATGTTCATTCGGTAGCTGAATTTGGTAAGTATAGTACTGTCAATGTTCCATGCCCAAATTGGAATGATCTTACTTGATGGTTACTATCACCACGTCATGCTCAGCAACTAATTCTTGGCCGTCGTAGTATGGGCTATGGGAACCACCAACTTCAAATCCTGCACAGAATTAGTATCCAATTCATGAGAGGCTAATTGGCAATACGCACGACCACCATGAATCCACAGCATAACCGGTTTCAGAATCGATTTCGATGGTCGTGTCCACACATTTAGATATAAACAGTCTTCATTGTCTATGCCATGATTATTTGCAAAGTTTTTTAGAATTCTGGCGGCTTGTGGAGTGGCGTGTGGGTAAGGATTGAATGCACCAGATGTGCCAGGGCAATTCCTGTTGTCTATCAGATTAACTTCCATATTATAACTTGTAATGAGGTACACACGGTCCCTAGATTCATACAGAGGTCAGTTCGGAGCTTGAGAAGCACGCAACGATATTCACAAGCCTCACCCAAGAGCTCGCCTGAATTGTGTCGTTGACATTGAGATTATAAGCTTCAGGTACGGCGAACCGAAGCTTCCCAATAGGTGGAGAGGCATATGGAATACCAAGGTATTCAGTGACCTCTCTTTTGCGAGAGGCAGCATGGCCTTGGATTAGACCACTGCTGGTCCTAATAGCCTCATGCTTTCCAGGATGATCAGCCCAAACGTTGGGAAGACACACCAACAACACGATAATTGACAGCACTCGATTCCAGTGATTTTCCATCGCTTATGGACTGTGGTTTAATGGATTTTGGTAGATTTAAAACGACACTTGCAAAATAAAATTCCTGTGATATCTTAACAATGCCTATTTATGCTAGCTTACTTCAAGAAGTTTCGATACGATGAACATTAGAATCTTTGAAATGGCCTTCTGTCTATAGTGCACTGTTTCTACTTGATGGTACACGAAATCTGAAGAACTGTACCACCGTTGAAGATCGTTACCATGAATGTATAATTCCCCGAGGGTAGCCCTGCCCAAGTGGAACGTTGAAACGAATATTTCATCCCACTGAGACTGATTGGACAGGGTATCCATGGAAATGTCTCGGTGCATCCGGATCTTCATATTTGTGCTGAGTTATCAGGGCACAGATCAATAGTGACGACCTGCTCGGATTGACGATGTGGGGTACCTAGATAGGTATTATAATTAAGGAATTGAATAAGTCACATTGATGCAATATGTAAAACGAAAGGCCAAAAGGTCTTGTAGCGCCAGCTCACAAGCCTCTCCACCCATCTAAGGACCTAAATCTATGAACAACATCTCCCTTTTAGCACATAAATCGTCATAATTAAATACCCTGTCCAAAAAGTCTGACTGTACGAGGTACCACTGAGGTCAATTTACAAACCAAACTGAGTCCGCAGGGTGTCTGCGAAGCGGTTAATAGCTTTATCGATATTCTCCGCATTGGCAGAAGCATAGGTCGCGCGGAAGAACATCTTCTCCATTGTAGCTGAGCTGTCAGCCTTGAACCAGCTACCGCGAGACAAGAGGACATTCTTGTCGACGGCAGCCAGGAAGATCTCTTCTTCGATCTGGTCGTAAGTCTTGCCGCTGGCAGCACCAGGGTGCTTGCGCCAGTCAACCTCAATCCAGTGCTAATCGAACGTTAGTCGTTGATTCACGAACGAGGGAAAGAATGTAACTTACGAACATGCCCGCGGTAGGGGGGACCCAGTGAGCAATCTCGCTGGGCAGATGCTTCTCACATGCATGTAGTAGCGCGTCGCGGCGTCCAGTATATTGCATACGAACGTGGATGAGCCAGTCCAGATATCCAGTGTGTCCCCAGTGTTCATCCAGAAGCTTGAAGAGGACAAGCTGAGAGATACCGCAGGGGTTTTGCGAGGAGACCTCGAAGTTGCGGACCAGGCGCTCAACCATCTGCTCAGAGGCAACAATCCAACCAACTCGAGAACCAGGGGCAATGACCTTGGAGAACGATTCCAATCGGCACACACGGCCGTCAACGTCCATGCTCAGGAAAGATGGAACAAGCGCCTTGATGAACTCGTCGTGGCTGGCTGGGGGAGGAGGAGCCGCAGCTCCATCGCCGACATACGGCTGCATCTGCAAGAAGTAGTACGGCTCGTCTTCAACGATGTAGATGTCGTGTTTCTGTGCAACCTTGTACACAGCACGGCGGCGCTCAGCTGACTGAGTAGCTCCGGTGGGGTTCTGTCCTGTTGGGATAGTGTATAGAACATGGGGCTTGCGGGCACCGCGAGCATTGACATCCCAGTTACTGAGAATATCATCCATGGCCTCGGGGATGAGACCTTGCTCATCAATTGCGATGGCCAGCGGCTTAACGCCTAGAGGGAATGCGGTCTCTGCAGCGCTGGCGAAGGTGTACTCCTCCATCATTAGGTAGTCACCTCGCTCACACAACATGCGGAGGGCAGTGTCCCAAGCATAAGTGCTGCCAGCGGTCAATGTGCATTGCCAGTCAGCGTATGGAGGGTTGTGAATAATCTAGTGAAAATAAGTATGAATTTCGATATCTGCTTCAGGATTATGGATACCTCTGTGTGCTCAGTGACGAAACGAAGCAGCTGAGCAGATCCGGTAGCCTGGCCATAGTTAAGAGCAATTTCCAAGTCTAGACATTTGATTAGCAACAGTCATATTTACCACAATGCGGATGAATCACTACGCACCATAAGCGCTGCTTCCTTCTTTAATATCGTGCTTTCCAGCGTGCAAAGTAGATCCGGTCTTCTGGGTCGCCTCTGGAGTGAATCCTGGTGGAGTAGGAACCTTGATGTCGAGGCTCTCAAAGGGGAAGTATTCAGCAGAAGGCAGACCACCGCCGAGTGAGATTATGCCTGTAAAATATTAGATTTGTCAATATCTGGGCTTAAATTTGCCAAGTCTCACCTTCATTCTTGAGATATCTCGCAGCATTCTTCAGTGTTGAAGCCTGATAATGGAATTAACATTGATGCTCTGGCTAGAGCATTATGGCACCAACCTTGCGAGACTTAGATTCGGTTGAAAGAAAATCTGGAAGGAAAACATCAGTATTCTGTCACTATGCGCCAATATCTGTCGCCGGGCTTATAGAAGACTTACGATCAAACCGCTTCGCCTTGGGCTTAGTATGACAAGCCTACATAGCCAAAAACCGCAATTGGTCAGTTCTTTTTTCTTTCACCACCTAGTAATTCTCCTTTGCATTCTCTCAACTCCAAAATCCATTCATATCGTACCGGACTCTTGAACATATCGCTGTTAGTCGCCGCTGCGACTTCGGTAGGCATCGGGGCCGATTTCTCGCGCAAGGCGGGAACGCCATTGACAGTCAAAGCTTCGGGAGAGCTCATAGTAACGGATTTTGGGTAGATTGAGTGACGCTGTATGTATCAGTCTGACAGTAGGTAACAGTGGCTTTTATGCAAAAGGGTCAAGCAACAATGGAAAGCGCGGAATTACGAACGAAAATCGGCGAGTTGGAGATATTTAGCAGCGGGCCCACATGACTCATCAATATATTTCTTCGGAATACACGATCTGCAAATTCTTTGTAGCATGAGGGGTAAGATGATGATAGCCGCTCATAGCCAGCTGTATTGTCAATTTTTATCCATTCATCCTGCAGATTTTGGACTTCGGTGACCTCGTCAATCGTAAGGCGTAAATAGTAAGGCGTACGAGGTATGGGATAACCTATACAATGTAATACATCCTTCCGTCGCAAATACAGTGGGGTCTGATAAAAATTCGCACATGGGTACATTGCCTTCTACACCGCCTATTTACACCGCCTAGCTGTAAACAAACGTGTCTGCGTTCAACTTATTATTTACTCTACTATTTACCCACCTTACCATTACTATGCCTACTCCTCCACGTCGTCAACCTAAAGCTCAGCTGTCACCTTCGACACGCTCTAGAATTTGCGAGTTAAAACGCATGAATGGCTGGGGAGCACGTCTTATTAACAAGCATGCCTTTCCTGATATCCCTGTGTCTACTATTCAGAGCACCCTGCGAATGGAAGCTAAACGCGGTGTCGATAACCACCGTGTTCCTGGTTCTGGGCGTCCTTCTAAGCTTACTGAAGCTGAAAAAACGTCTCTTTATACCGCGGTTGAGCAGAATCCTGATATCTTGATTAGAGAGCTTCTTGCCCTTATTAATAATAAGGTTGGACGTGATGCGTTGTGACGTCTAATGCAAGCTCGGAATCTCCGGAAATGGAGGAAGATAAGACGTCCTCTACTAAAGGAAATACACGCGGAAAAACGTCTAAGATGGGCGCGTGAATATGAGTATTTTTCTCCTGACGACTGGCGTCGCGTCTTCTGGTCTGATGAGACTACGGTTGAAAGGGGTATTGGAGAGCGTCCGGAATGGTCTTTTATACGTCCTAAGGATCAATGCGATCGATATGAAGGTCCTAATGGTGTTGAAACAAGCCAAATTCAGCAGATTCCTGCGCGCGGTAAACAGGTTAAGCAGATGTTTTGGGGTGCGTTTTCTGGCTCTTTACGACGCACACCTCTAGTTGCTCTAGATGGTGACCCTGAATCTGCTAAAGGTGGTGTTTCTGCGCGTGTTATTGATGCTGTTTATCGTCGATATTTACCGACCTTGATGAATGGTATTGAAGGTGCTATTTTTCAGCAGGATAATGCTCCTGTACACACCGCGCGTCTTATTCAGGCGACACTAGAGTCACTTGGCTTTATTGTAATGATATGGCCACCTTACTCGCCTGATCTAAATCCTATTGAGAATATATGGGCGCTTTTAAAGGCAGAGATATTAAGATTACGTCCTGAGCTCATATATTTACCTAATGATGACGATACGCTAGAGCTATTAGTAGATACTGCTCAGCTAGCATGGTCTAATATTGGGTTTAATGTTATGGAAAAGCTAGCTCTTACTATGCCGCGTAGGGTAGCTCAGGTCATAATAAACCATGGTTGGCATACTAAATACTGAATATGATTGAAGATTTGAAGATTCTGCTAGGCAGTAAATAAGTGGGGCTTGTACCTTGTGCGAATTTTTATCAGACGGCACTGTAGGCGGCGTAGGGATCGTATTATTGTAACAGATGATACACATTATCCCCCGCCTAGATAAGGCTATCGCCGGCATCGGCGCAATAAGCTTATCGTATCAATCAGACAGGCCAGTAGAATCATGGACCAGAATCCATACTAGCTAGTGCTAAGGGCATCATTCAGAGGTTATTTAAGAGTTCAAGGTTAGAATGATAATTAGGTGTGATTGATTGATCTGAACAATCATATCTTATTTGGTCGTTTCAATAGCTTCCCCAAGCATGACGTTCCAAGCTTTGACTGGTCGAGAAACTTCTCACGTTTGAGAGGGTCTGAGAATTGCGGTGGCACCCTCGGCAATAATCTTGACAAAGTTACGTGAAATTTAGCTACTTTTGTGTGGAATGAGTCCTCGCCAGAGAGACGCCTGGCGAGGTAAATGTGATCCTCATATTACTTCTTAGAGCCCCCAAGGAAGATACAGGTCTTACGGTAGGCGTAGATTAAAACTTGACAGAAATGTTGATTGATGGGCTATAAAAAAGAACTAGACCTAGGGAGCATAGGTAGATGATTGGAAAAATGGTTTGGAGGATGAATATTGTGGGGAAGGAGGCTAGGTATCGACTACATAGTGAGAAATCACTACTCATTAGAATTAGATTCGTATCTCAGCTGCTGAAAAGCAATAAGTAGGCCAAAATCTCGGCTAGTAGGAAAATAGGCACCCAGTCAATCCGGTCCAAAGCTCGACCGATGGTAACTGGAAGAGCTCGCAGATGTAACAGCTTAAAACTAAGGCGGGAAGCCATTCTAGCTTGCTCCATGAGCCGAGAGATCGATTATGACAGGCCACCTGACCCATACAGAAGGAGCCAGAAGGTAAATCGCCGATTTTTTTTTGGAGTGCGCTATGCTTCTGTTAAAAGTATTGTAAATCGTATACGGGCGCTTCTTATTTTCGAACAATTTTCGGCAATTAACTTGGAAAGTGTTAAGTTGTACTGGGCTCAGTGGGCTGCAGCATGCTCTGATAAATTTTTGGGATAATCAAGAAAAAAAGCCTGCAAAACGTTGGGATCGTGCTATCATTGCTCTTGATAGCTCAAATGTCACATATTGAATGATTGATCCGGTATAAAATTAGAGGGATCAAGCGACAGAGTATGAATCTAACCTTGGATACTTTCCAATGCTAATTTGCTTAATTTTTGCTAAATGGGTGTTAAAAAATTATAGGATGCTTACTAGAAGCTTCTAAAACTGCTGTAGATGTAATGAAATCACGTGACCATATCATTATGTTTGCACTGTTTGCCTCTGTTATGACACTGGAATTTTTGTTCCCCGCGGAGCCTCAAAGCTTCTTGTGACAATTTGGAAACATTCACTATACAATATGTCGAGGATTGAAGAGCTGCCGGATGACTTTGATGAGTCGCTCAACCTCAACGAGGTGCCCCCTCAGGTGGCAGAAGACCTGCCGCAGCCTGCCTTCGACGCCTTTGCTGCATCTAATGAGGTGCCGTTTCCCATTAACGAGGAGAGACTGAAAGAATTGGAAAGCGACCCAAATGCACCAAAAATGCCACCGGCAATGGCGTCAGTCAAGTCACACTCGAAAGAGGAATTGTTGGCCATGATGAACAAGACTCCATTATTCATGACGGACATTGAGAACGCAGGCGATGAGCGTATGTGAACTTATTCCCGCGGCTCAAGTATACGGACTGATGTACTGACTTTGGTTAGAGGGCGAAAATGTCTTTTTGGATGCTCTCACTGCCCTTCAGAACGAAGGAACCCGTGGCGAGGTTGCTCAGTCCTTCAAAGAACAGGGCAACGAAGCAGTTCAAGAAAAGCGATGGATTGACGCTAAAGAATTTTATACCAAGGGCATTGCTGTCATTTACGCCAAAGAAGATAAGTGGGACAAACCCGAGGACCTTGAGAAGGAGAAAAAGCTATTGCGCCAGATGGAAGAGTTGTCGCATCTCAACCGAGCACTCTGCAATCTAGAGCTAGGTATGTTGTGTAGTATCTCATGGCTTCGGAATACGCCTGCTAATCTACTGAATTCTACAGGCAACTATCGCTCCTGCACCCTTGACTGTGCCGCAACACTGAAGCTCAACCCCAAGAGTGTCAAAGCCTTCTATCGCTCTTCGATGGCTCTTTTGAAACTAGAAAAGATTGCCGAAGCTGAAGATGCTGCCGCGCGAGGATTGGCTGTTGATCCTAGCAATACAGCCCTTCAGAGCGCCGCCAAGAAGGTAGCTGAGCGCAAGGCTGCAGTGGAGCGTATCGCAGCGCGGAAGAAGGCAGAGGACGAGCTTGCTCGCAAGAAAAATCTTGTTCTTAGCACGGCTCTTCGTGCTCGCCAAATCTTCACTCGCAAAACTGATCAACCTCCCGAGATGGAAGATGCTGGTATCAGGCTAACTCCTGACCCTCTTTCCCCGGAAAGCTCAATTGAGTTCCCGACCGTGATGCTGTATCCCATGGATGCGCAGTCGGACTTTATCAAGGGCTTTTCGGAGTTGAGCTGTATTGAAGATCATCTTGAATATCTATTCCCATTGCCCTGGGATACCAAAAATGAATACTCCCTCGGCAATGTTGAATGCTTTATGCAGACTGTGTCGGGTGGCTTGATCAAGGCGGGCAAGAAGGTTCCATTGTTACAGATCCTTACCGGTGGAAAAGTCGAGGTTGTTGACGAACTGGTTAACATATTCGTTGTGCCAATTTCCAAGACCGGGGCATTCATCGCCGATATGAAAGCTCGCAAAAATACTTGAGAGCCGACACTACATTTTTCCCAGCATCAACTAAGTAAAATGCCAAGGATTCCACCACTGCGGCGCTCTTGGCTAGACGTAAGGGCACCGCATCTGTTCTAACATTCCACTAGCTCACATTCTTGCTCGTTTGTTTGAGCAAATAGCCCTATGAGGCGGTGTCCCAATTGGCTATGTCATGACAGAGAATATCTCTTCGCCTGGCGATTTCGCCATGTGTTTGGAATTTCACGCGCAACATGGCTAGCACCTACTACACCATTCCAGCTCAGTATTATAACAGCGAAACATGATACCCCTTTGATATACACATTACTCTGTACATAGATCAAATTTGTATAGCTTTTGCTCAGTACAATTTGTTATGAGTAGGTTCAGGCATTAGGATTGGTAAGTTTCCACTTAGATACTTTCGATCAACAAGGTTTGTCAAATAAATATGAATCGTGCAGTTTCAAATGTTCTCATTCCACATTGGCTATTTTTCAAGTTTGGCAAAATTAAAGGCAATAGCAGATAGAAATGAAAATGAGTCTCATAGATACAGAATCAAACCGAAAGAATTATTTATAATAAATAACCAAGTTTCCATCATTGAGCACTCCAACGAGGAGGAATCATATAAAGGTAATCTTCGCCACCTTCGCAGGTTCCATGAAAGTTCCCAGAACAGGCGATACTTGGCCTCCGCTAGTACCAGCATATAGAATTTTCCCATCATCTGTCAGCTGGGCCGAAGTTGCTCCAGGAATCTTGGTAGACAGTTGACCTCCAGCAACTAGGGAGATCTGACCGAAGGGCGTGACACGGACAACGGAGTTCTGAGGATCTGTGGCAATGTATGCTGTACCGTCTGGGGCTACATCGAGGCCATCAGGCAAGAAGCCACTGGCAATAACCTCGTAATCTCCAGCTGCAGTTGCATCGTCATTCACTTTGACTCTGCAGAACTGCATTCGTGTTGTGCTCGAATAGTAGATATATCCATCAAGCGACTTCAATCCATTGACTCCAAGTGGGAGTCCATCTCCCGAGGGAGTCATCGTCGTATCATTCAACGCAACAGAATATTCGCCCGAATCGACATCGACTTTCCAAATTGCACCCTTCGGACTATCGGCAATGAGAACCAAGCGCGAGTCCCTCGTGAACGTGGTCATTCCATTAAGAGCCTGTGCCTCAGGAAGAGCAGCAATCGTTGAAGCCACAGGATTACCCTGAGCTTGGAAATCCAATTGCTGAACAGCGAATGTCCCAGGTGTAGGGGCATAAGTCTTTGTTGAGAAATTTCCGACAACAACTGCAAAAACATCGGTGTCTATCTCACTGATGCCGAAACAGCTTGTCACATTAGGGAAAGAGTAGGCAAGAGTTGCATTTCCACTAGTTGTGTTGACGGCCCATACCTCGGGGACGTCGAGGCGAGTTAAGAGGAGATTGCCGTCTGGTCGAAGGACAATGTTACCAATCCATGAGCCATTATTTTCGAATTGAAAGAGAGTTTCTACTTTCACGTTGGGCTTTTCATTTCCATAAGGACTTGCTGCTAGGGATAGTGGTAAGAGTGCGAGACTGCTTAGAACTGCGGCTGCGAAGCGCATATTGAAGATGTGATTGAGTGAAATGCCCTTGGAGCTGACTCGCTTTCACACGACTTCGGGATATATAATAGGATTTCTAGCGAGGGGAGTCGTTTCGAAATATTTGAAAGGAATTATCCCTTGCCTCTGTATGCGGCTGCATAGCACTATATAAAGGACATTCTCGGTGCAATTGCGTAATTATTGTAGAGCATCCCTACATTCCACTGTCGATTATTGGTGGCCTTTTCTTGGGGGACCCAGTACAAGGTTCCCTTGTCCTTTGAATCATCGAATGAAGGGAATTAGAGGGTGCACTCCTTAAAGTCCTCTAGGCCGTCTACGACGGGGATGTCCTTGTAATGCATCTAATTATAGTGCTGATCGACAAATACAACGGGCAATTGCATTATCATTGCATGTGCAGTGCGTAATCCTCCATTGATTTTTCCATAGTAAATAAATCAAGATGTAGATGACAAATTGTGAACAAAGAAAACAAGAAAGATAGATGCCTTATGTATACCCTTATCTTAGATAAGCCTGACCGCCTCTTCATAATTTTGTCCACCATCACTTGCTCTGTACGATCTATCACATCTTGAATTCTACCTTTTTGCCAGCTGCCCAGGTGTCTTGCCTAAGCCCTAAAAATGTCCGAAGCACAAAATAAAAAAGCAACTGAGGAACTTGTGTCCAATTTTCAGATAAGCAAGCTTCTACAGCAAGGTATGCCCCGCAATTTGTAAAGCATAATCATAAAGATTGACTCTGAGCAGATCAAAATGGTCGGCGTATGACGCTTCTTGGATCAATAGATGAGAAGCAGGGTATAATGACTGTGGAGCGAGCCGCATTTGCAACGGAGTCCTTGGAAGTGATTCGGGCATTCCAGGCCGCCATCGCGCGGATCAATAATCTGGGTGACAATGATATCTATCGATGGTATCTCGCGTCTTCAAATGTTGTTAGCGGCAGCGAAGACTCAAACAAGTCTTCTGGTCTCCAACATGACCTCAAAATAAACTTGATCTGGCCATGCTCGGAACAACATATCAAGAAATATTCAGCCCAGCAAGTTCGCATGGTGACTGAGACTCCCAAGATCTACAAAGAACATGTCAGACCCTATATGCAAGCCAAGCGTGAGGAAGGCCGCTTAAACTGGGTTTTCAATATCCTTGAGGGTCGGACTGAGCAGGAAGATGTCATTTTACGTGATGCTGGCCAAGGCCCCGAAGACGGGTTCTTGATGTTGCCGGATCTGAACTGGGATAGAAAAACCTTGAACTCACTCCATCTCCTCGCTCTGGTAGATCGACGAGATATTTGGAGTCTTCGGGATCTTCAGAAACGCCATGTTCCATGGCTGAATTACTTACGGCAACGTGTGCTAGAGGCTACAGTGTCGATGTACCCTGGCTTAGAGCAGGACCAGCTCAAGCTTTACGTTCATTGTAAGTATATGAACCTGAATTTTCATTTTGGGGATGTTAAGTGACTTACATTGATTCCAGACCAACCCACATACTACCATTTCCATATCCATGTGGTCAATGTCATGCTGGAGGCTGGTGCTACCCAGTCTACTGGAAAAGCCTTTGGCTTAGAGAACCTGATTTCTCAATTAGATACTATGCCTGGGGGTGAATATGTCAGTATGGCCGATGTGAGCTTGACTTACTACCTTGGTGAGGCAAATGAGCTGTGGACTAGAATATTTAGCCCACTGAAGCAGGGACTCCAGCCTGCATCTACTGACTAAAAAGGTCTAGTCAATTAAATGCTAATAACAGAAAGAAAGAAAATTTCAAAGATTATCTCATTATGATAAATTAAAATCTAGCTCCGTTCCTACACAAAACCATTTAAGCCTAACGCACCCGTTGGAGGAAAGGGGATGGATTGATGATCTGTATCCCTAGATTCGGAAGATATTGAAACTTCTCTTCGCGTGGTCAAAGCGTGATTGATAAGTGGCTATTTCAACTGCCTGGTAAGAGTATTCTTAGGATCTTTTAATGTGAACGCTTTCAGCTTTATTATGACTACATCCGACCGACCTTGAAAAAGACTGCTCTGGCCTTGAGGTTGGGGTCAGTGCTAACTATGTGAAGCTGCATTCCATTCTTCGCTTACACAAGGGCACACCCTTGTTGGTTGGAATACTCAATTTTGGAGGTCTAGATTCTTCAGAAACTAATTTTGTAGAGGAAAGTGGGCGTTTCAATAAAATTCATGACCTCGAAGTATAGGAAAGCAGTACGTATGGCCCGCTCGCGAGTGTGTTGAACACCCGTGGACACACCTATGCTGGAAATGAATCGTCAGTGGCTATCCCTGGGTACCATCTAATGTTTCAGATAATCCTGATGAGGTACCTGAGATAGAAGAAGGAACGATAGTGATAGTTCAGAGTAAGGTATGGAGTAGATAGCCCTAAACCTTATACGACAAAGTCGGCCAGAACTGGCACCGAGGATTATCAGTCGGGTCGTGGATAATCTCAAAAGAATCCGAACGAATATCAACGAGGCGTGCATTTGACCCGTGTTGAGGGAAAGCAGGTGCCAGATCCGACTTTGGCGAACCATGCTGTGTGAAACTGGTAAACCAATCTTGCATCGCCAATGCCACAGTGATGTTAGAAACAGGGATATTAAATATTTCACTGTTGATAGGAGATCCTTCGACGAAGAAGGTATATGGAACATCCTGAGCATGATACCCTGGCGGGATGTCCAGCCGATACCCGTAGGTCTGGTTGTTGTATGCCCGGCGTAGGTAGTCGGCATTACAATCCAACGCCCACTCCCCTATGAAAAGCGCAACGCGATGCACTTCATCTGTATATCCATACGAGCCATCATATACTGGAGGATATAGAACAGTCGATAAATGGTTCGCATCTTCAGCGGAGATAGGCACTGCAGCTGACACGAATGCATCGAAATCGATGCTTCGATCCTCTGGTGAGGTAAACAGCATTCCTTCATTTGAGTTGAAGCCAATCAAGATGTCTACATTTTTGTCAAATTTCTTCTCAGCCAGGAGTCTCCACGGGAAATCGGGTATGAAGGTATCATCCACTGCAGGCCCATAGGTGAAAGTTGTATATGGGGAGTAGTAGACCTGGTATGCGTTAGCCGCGATCAATTTTTCTGTTGATAATTTTCGGGCATCTTGAATTGTGTCAACGGCTAGAAGGTCCAAGAATTGATGATATGTGTCATTTTGTTGCGCGTTGGTAATAACAGGAACCCAGCCGGCACTTTGGAGAATTGCACGCTGGAAAGGAGCAGGGCCTTTGGTTCCTCCATATGCCGTAATCTGGTGTACAATCGAACTTCCTCCAGCAGATTGTCCCATCACTGTAATCTGCTTCCCATCACCGCCAAATAGGTGGATGTTTTGAGCGATCCATTCTAAAGCAAATCGCTGATCGTACAGCCCGGCATTAGCGATGCCGTCGGATTTGATAGCGCCAGCCAGCCAGCCAAATACGCCTAGCTTTGGGGAGGTTAGATCTTTGCTTCCCAAGTAAAGATTTAGTCACTATTTCATCACATACCCGATAGTTTATCTCAACAAAAATAATGCCATCACCGTTGTTCATGCTGCGTTGGACCAACCCTGTGGCGTCATATGCAGCTTTTTCCCCCGATATTTGGCCTCCGCCGTGAATCCATACCAGAACAGGTGCCAACTTTGCTTTCTTTTTGTCTTTGTCATCAAATATTTTCTTGGGAACAAGAACATCGAGGAAGAGGCAATCCTCGGTTGTGCGTCCATCCTGTGGAGGAGGTTTATACGGATAAGAAGAGACGTTTGAAGTCACCGTGACGGTCTTGTTATGGGTATAACTATCTAGCCACGATACTGCAATCCCTGCCCATAATGGCAGACCGCCGGGGCAGACACGACCAATGGTACCGTTTTGAACGTGCTCTCGGTTTTTTGGAGGAGCTACAGGCTTTCTCCATCTTAGGTCACCGACTGGAGGTGCTGCGTATCGGATGTTACTAAAGTTGTAAATACCAATGGTACTCTAGAAATCGAGGTTAGAAAGAACAAAGGAGTCAAGGCAAGTTGTAAAGAATGGATACATTGAAAGAGATTGCTTGATGGAGTTCATAGCCTAAATCAACCACTGGAAGCCTAAATTCAGGTGAGCCATAGGCGCAGGTCGAGAAAATTGCTAAGATGAATAAGGTCAAGATCATCATTTTTCTTTTTGCAGGTGGGGAAATAGATGAAATGAATTGTCGGTAGCTTGACTCGCAGGATTCTATGGATGTAGGTAGAATCGGGTCTTTATATGTCTGATTTCAAGCCACGTCTCGGCCTTCCAGCCTTAGAAAGTTCTTTGAAAGCAGGAACCTCTCATGTGGCAAATGATATGACATACAAGTAGTAACTAACATATGTGTCCTGTCTTTGAACACGTCCAGCGTTACTGAATATGATCACCTGAAGAAGCCTACGCAATTGCCGAGATTGTCATTAATACCTGGCCAGTGAATTATATCCCTGGTCACGGACCACCTACAATGTATGTGATTCATGCATGAAAGGAAGATAGTGGGGATAAATATGATTTAGATTCCTTGATTTTAACATGAACCAGCGATGGAGACCTCAGTCAGATCTGGACACTTTCACTATCCATGGATACATGCAGACGCAAAGCCAAATTGAGATCAAAGACATGATTACTATCAAATAATATAGATTCAGGAGATCAGGAAGTAAATTTGTCAGCATCAAATACCACACTGAATCAGTAGACAATGCTTGCTTTTCCAGCTCGCTCCTTCCAAGGTATCTCCCAGTCCTAAAGAGCAAAAATAAACGACGGATTTCAATATCAACTAGAGCTCCTACCCATATGAGGAGTTGTGTATGAGGAGTTGTACAATCATGTATATGGACTGAATTTGATTTCCCTTCCTCCTTGGTTACATTAGTAATTGCTTCTGCCTCCTGGGGTCCCATTTATTGTATGTTACTTTATATTGTTCATGGGCTCTTGTACAAAATAGCGTCGGAAATTGGCCAGTAACGATGAAATATCCGCCAAGTGATTCACAGCGGGCTGTATGTGACCCTCAGGTTTTTAAAGTGGAGAAATTTCTGTAAATGCCGTGGCTATAATCACTATTTACAACACTATACTATCAAATACCAATATCATGACGACCCGCTGTTATCTGCACATGAGAAGGCTGACGCAATGAGGCCATTTTCGTAGGCCTCATTGATCTCTACAATCACTCCATACGTGCCACCAACTGTCAAGAAAATGCCCAGCAGAACCAGGAAAACATGAAATCCATAGAAAGTCTGGCGGAGTAAATTTCCTCTCCAGTAATCTGCATGACTGTACAGCCAAAGCCAAGCAGGAAGGATGATGGCCAGGGGCCCGAAGCAAAGACTGCCTAACAGAGCGATGATGTAGTTGAAAATGGGAATTGCGCTTGCCAGAACAAACGCAATAGCAGCCGATCCGATAGTGCAGCTGAGCCAAGTACCCCAATGAACTAACGTATTTGCCTGGAAATGGGGCGAGTTTCTTAGTATCCGCACGAATATATACTTGGCTGCGACATGCACATAAAGACATCCGCTAACGATAAGGCCTGGTAATCCAATTCCATAGCCAATGCGCTTTATCATTGTACCTGCACTGCCGAGTGACGGCGATGCAATCCATTTGCCGCACCAGGCGTAGATGACTAGACTGAATGTCAAGTATGATGCTGTCACCAATGTCATGCAGAGATAAACTGCTTTCGGATAGTCTTTAGGTCTTCGCATCTCTGAAATGACAGGCAAAAATGCCGATGTTCCGGCACTGGATACAAAGATTGTAGCAGCAGCCGTGATACCGACTGTAAAATTTGGGTTTCCGATTACTACGTATCCAAGGTCGAAATCTCCTGTCTGAGGTGCAGCAGCAGGACGGTCCCTTGTTGTTACACCGATTCTAATATTTTTATTAGCAAATTATCCAGGAAAGAGAGTTTTTGTCCACAGGGCAAGGACTTCAGGACATCTTACACGACGATAAACACGGCGATATATACGCTGGCGAATCCGACCCACGTAAGCCAGCCGATATGAGAGAATTTCCGTATACTAGCAGCAACAGTAATGATGACAGTAGCAATGAATGAAAACCAAACAGTACAAATTGAATGCAGCGATAGTGCATTGAAAGCTGTAGAGACAGTGATAATGCCAGAAGCAGCACACATCACATAGCTGACTATGAATAGCACGCCAACAACCTCCTTTAAGATCGGACCACCAACAATCTGTGCCATATCGGCAATTGAGTGACATTCTGGGTAAGCATTACGGAAATTACCTTGTACAATGGCCAGGTACGTATTAAGAAGGGTCCAGCCAATAACGTTTATGGCACCGGGGAAGGCACCCAGTTCATACATCAAAGATGGTATGGATAAAACACCAGTTGCGAAGATGACTATTGGGATTTCAGTAGTCAGCCGAAGAAGACTTAACTCCTTTGAGAAACAGAACTAAAAAGCCTTACATTTCAGAAAAATCATACTTGCCCGGATCCAGCTCACGGTGCGAAAGTTGACTTGACTCTCCCCTCTTTTGAAAACCTCATGTTGGTCTTCGTCACTGAACTCAGCCTTTTGGATATCGGGACTGTCTAAGTCGACCGTATAGCCAGGGGCCTCTTTGATATTGTCTGGTATGCTCGACATGGTGAAAGTCGAATCAAACGTCTGCGGTGAAACGCTGAAGATAATATTTACCCTTCCGAGGTTGAAGCCAAGGGCAGCTGAGACTCTTTAAGTCTAACATATTGAAAACAACTGGTCAAAAACCCGCACCTTATCGCACACTCTGAGATTACTCCAAGCATGGGATGGTCAAAGCCCCTCTTGCGCTTGGAAGAGTGGAGATCCTGAAATCATCGATCTCTAACATTGATAAAGGGCACCAGAGAGTGGGGTCCACCCACTATATTCACTCACAAACTCATAGTTTCTGATAACAGAACTGACGTATAGAATTGGAGTCTGAGTTGAAGCTGTCAGGCGGAGTAGGGGCCAAATTGGGAATGGCGTCGGGGGAATGGTTAAGGCCCACAGGCCACACAGCACGGCAGATAGAGGCAATATAAGGTATGATTGGAGGCAATGCAATTGAAATCATGAAATTTATCATGTTTTATCCATAAAATAAATATTTTCATGTGGAATTTGGAGTGGTAATATGTATGAGTGTCCAGAACTCAGCCACCATGTCTATCACCCTCGAGATAGTCGATCCAGTGATTCATTCAGCATTCAGTTTCTATCTAGGTACGAGATAAAGCTGACTATTGATCATACAGCTTCCAAAGGATACTTCCAAGGCTAGATCCTAGTGGTTCTATTATCATATACGGAAGGCTCCTCCCGACGATCCGACGGATCTGGATACTTCCAAGGTTCCGAAAACTTTGAATCAAGCTTAATAGCTAGGCACAAAAGTACCTGGCTAGTTTCCGGGAAATCGATATCTCAAGGGAGCATATGCGTTCAATTTTATCATAACTAGGTAGCCATCAGCTTCGGAACAGCTATCATCTATCACAATACAGTCGTAGGCTGTATGCGGGTGACAACAATTTTTTTTGGTTTCCAAGGTTATTTACCTAGGTATTCAAGTAGAGGTACCCATGGGTTTGTGTTCGATGAAAAGATATCCATGCTAATCGTTCTCTTCCATTTTTTCCACCTACCTATTCCAACTGGAAAGAGAATTGTAACTTACCTAAAACTCTTTAAAAGCCATGTCTTTTTCCAAAGAAAAGATCTCTATGAACTCAGGTGAGATTTGACTGGAGCTCGATAGAGAACATACTACTATCAAACCATACCTAGGTACACCATGCAACCAACGAGGCGAAAGATAACGATGAGGCCAGTGCTACCAGAGCAGGTACTCGTCATGTAACTAGTATTTTGTAGCAACTTTTAGATACTTTCAAATGTTCCAGGTTAGCACCTCATCGGAGGACTCTGTATATTTTGGGTTGTCGGACGTCCGAAAAGTATTCAGATACCCAGAATTTCTATTGAAGAAGGATAGAAAAACATTCTTCCGAGGCTCATTAAGGGAATAAATTTCTGCCCTGATGTCGAGAGCAGCGCTTCTTTGGTCGACATAGCTTCTGCCGGCATACTGATAGATAGAGCGACTCAGAGAATGAGACTCCCTGAAGAGCAATGTGCGTTAATTTGAATACTTTGCTCGGTGCTAGTACTAATGCCATTGCCAGCAGTAGAGTCGTTACGGCTGCGGAAAATAAGAGTCAGCGAGCTTGTTCAATACCATTTGGGTACGAATACATCTTGTTTTGAGTCTGAGGTAGCCTGTGAGAAGAGACATCCAATAAATAAATAAAAAATACACATTTCTCCTATGTAGCGTAAGAAATTGTCTTCAACCTTTCTAAATATCGTACAGTTCGGACTCCATCTTAACAGTCAGCCCGGCCGAAATATCGCGGGAACGGCACTGTATCCCGGACACTAGACGTGCCAGACAAGTAACTCAGCAACCGATCAAACCCAAGACCGAAGCCGCCATGAGGAGCAGAGCCCCAGCGCCGTAGATCTACATACCACTGCAGATGACTAAGATCTTCAGTCGGGGAAAGGTGGGGGTATAATGGCTCCGACAGAGTTGGAGCATCATCTCCAAGAACACGGGGTTTGATGAGCCCGTAATCACGCATGTTTTGAATGATTTGCGGGAGGCGATGTTCACGTAGAGATCCACCAGCAACTTCACTAACCTCTGGGAGAAGCAGATCAAAGCATGCGACCGTCTCACCGGGCACGTTAGTCTTCTCATCGCTGACCTGCGATGGTAGCATGTAGAATGGCTTGATGGCCTTTGGATAGTCTGTAACGAATACCGGAGTACCCTTGAACAGTACCTCGACGATGTACTTCTCGTGTTCTAGTTGCAGACCTCCGTCCCACGTGGGTGCAGCTTCAAACGAGGCACAGTCTTCAGCAACCGCCTTTTGCAGCATATCAATGGCTTTGGTATATGAGACCCGGTGCCATCTTGGGCCATCCATCAGGGCAGTCCATCTTTGGCGCAAACTCGATTGCGACTCGTCAGGGTTGATTACCTGTTCGGACTCGGCAGTCTGCTTCACAGACAAGATTTCCTGACCAACAGTGGTATTATACAAACGATTTGTGAGATCCCGAAGGAGGTATTCCACTTGGTCTGTAAGTGAGTCTAGGTCATGCATGAAGTTGGCTTCAGCCTCGAGCATATAGAACTCGCTCAAATGGCGCGGCGTATCACTCTTCTCCGCCCGAAAAGCAGGCGTCAAAGTCCAAACATTTCCTAGCTCTGCAGCGTAAGCCTCCAGATGCAATTGAGATGACACTGTAAGGTATTTAGGTGCGCGGAAGAAATGATCCGTTTCAGTCGAAGCCGTAGTGGCACCACGTGGAGCCAATGTGAATGTTTCACCCGCTCCCTCACAATCAGAAGATGTGATTATCGGGGGCTGCACCTGCGTGAAGCCTCCGTGGGGATATGAATGGAAGACGTTGCCGAGCTGAAATAAACACTCGGACCGAAACCTCGAAAGAAGCGAGTTCAAGGGTGTTCGGATACGAAGATGCGGGATTTGGCGCAAGAATTCTGTACTGTGGTATTTCTTTTGAATTGGAAACGTCTGCGATCGAAATTGTTCTGTCAGATTGCTGCCTGGGTTGTTTTTTTCGAGTTGCGAACGTACCTCCGGGTCTGCTGTACCGACTACGGTCACGTCAGTTGTTTGGAGCTCGTGCGTCTGCTCTTTGCCAGGTGGGCAGGCTTTCCATATTCCCGATATCTCAACAGCGGCTCCAGTAGTCAGACTGAAGTAAAAGTGAACTGGTTAGGACGGGAGGACGAGAGGAATGTAGTTGTAGATCCTGCGCGTGACGTACTCAGCTGCTTGCGCAGGCTTTAATATCGCCTGCAATGGCTCAATTGTTGAGCCATCTGAGATCTCTGCAAATACAAACCGCTTCTGCTTTCGGACAGATCTAATAAACCCATTGATCTTGATCTCCTTGTCTTCTAGGTCGCAAGGTGCATCTTTTTTGCTAGATTGGAGGATCTGCGCACATCGCAAGGTAGCAGCTCGGGAATTGACGGTCGCGCTAGAATGAAATCTGGCGACAGACGTAGAGAGGGTCCGCCGCCATGTCTGCATGGCTGGGTCAAGGCGGGTTGGGCTGGTTTGTGGTCGGATGTCGAGGTTGAACGGGTAAGGAAAATCAGCACCACCGATCCCCCCGTGATCGAGCTACTAATAACTAGTGAGGACGTCACAGCCCTTATCAATCAGCTCCATCTTAATTCCAACAACCCTTCATTTTCATCTCTCTATCTACCCTCACTGCTAGTTAAAAACAACATATCACCAACCATGAGCGATAATCCCGATGTTCCTGACAACGTCAAGGCTTTCGTGCCACTGGGTAGATTCCCCACCCCGCACGAATGCTCTGAAAGCTAACGCAACGCGAAGAAAACAACCCAGAAGTGATGTCCCATCTAGTCCATCAACTAGGCCTTCCTCAAACATTCGGCTTCACAGACGTTTTCTCAATCGATGAGCCTGACCTCCTAGCCTTTGTCCCACGCCCTTCACATGCTCTCCTTCTCGTTTTTCCCGTCTCAGAAACCTATGAAAAATCCCGCATAGCAGAAGATACTGCTTTACCTGAATATAGTGGCTTTGGCCCTGCAGAACCAGTCACTTGGTTTAAGCAAACTATTCGGAACGCCTGCGGTCTCATCGGACTGCTTCACGCTGTCGCAAATGGCAAGTCTCGAAAGCATGTCATTGTAGGCTCTGATCTAGATCAGTTGCTTCGTGAAGCGGAGAACCTAGAGCCTGCTAAACGGGCAGATCTGTTGTACGAGAGTAAGGCGTTGGAGAGTGCGCACGCTGATGCTGCCAAGTTGGGCGATACAGCCGCACCATCGGCTGAGGATCGTGTTGATCTCCATTTCGTGGCTTTCGTTAAAGGAGATGATGGTACATTGTGGGAATTAGATGGCCGGCGCAAGGGACCTTTGGCTAGGGGTGTGTTGGCTGATGATCAGGATGCGCTAAGTGAGGCTGCGTTGGACTTGGGTATTCGGCGTTTCTTGAAGACTGAAGCCGGCTCTGAGAGTCAGAGCTCGGATTTACGTTTTAGCCTTGTTAGCCTGGGGCCTCTCTTTGATTAAATCTCTATGGTTTTTCTAATGATTGAAATCACGGGGTTGGACATCAATTGTAATCGGAATATCCTGAACAATTGAGAGCTAGGCGATTGGAAGGTGAAATAGATGAATTAATATGAATCATGATATCGATAAATCGTGACGATAGTATCTAGGTAGAATACAGATTAACAATATTACTGAAATAGTTTTATTTGATATGTGAAGACAACATATATAAACACAGAAAGAAGTGCATAGATATTAAAAATTTCAGGAAATGTAAATTTAGGACGAACTGGGCAGGCAAAAGTCATCTTCGCGAAGACCTCGGGAATGTCAACAGTACAACCGTTGACCTAGGCATCCAATATGGTTTCCAAAGTTGCATTACAAAATACAAAGAGCTAGAGTTGATACCGAAACTCTATATAGCTTGCAAAGCACAATCATCAATAGTTATCCGTTGCCCTGACGCTATCAGAGCCAGGGCTAGCTAATTTCTGGGCACTTTGATGGTGCCTGCGCAAGTGATATGATACGTAGATATCGGATGACTTTTCGAGGGAGAAGATTTGTACAATTTTGGTAAAAACTACGGGAGCTATCCATGCAACAACAGAACTTCGGCTACAGCTTGTCCAGGGCCTTGTTAAAATATATCTTAATTTGTGATCATAACCAACCTGGGTTAGCCGGTTCTAAACTATACTAACAAAAATTATGCCATTTGAATCAGCGCCTACTGAGCATAATCAAAGTTCATGCCCCGACATTTCAACCAGAAGGACCGCACAATCTCCATAGATTGCGACCTTGCACCTCTGGCAATGATGAGCGATTCCAGGAACCGAGACTTCTCCTGTGGAGAGAGAAGGGGAACTTGGTTCCCATTTGCATCCGTGACCTGAGCGTTCATTGCATTGAGAGCAGCTGTCAGATTTGGACGAGCCAGCGCCATCTTTTTGAAGATTGTGCGTCGGAGAACGTCATTCAGAGATCCTAGATCCGATCTGGCGCAGCGGCCTGAGATCTGAAGGATCAGTGTTTCACACAGCGTGGGCATGAACTGTTGTAGAACGAGATCAAGCGCGGCGGTTTCTTGAGGAGAATTACTGCGGAGGTCCATCATAGCTACCCAGAATGTAGAACCAGAGCGGATGGTCAGTGGTTCGGGGCGGGTTAGTGCGTGGAGAGTAAAGTTCAAGAGGGTCACGAAGATCGGGGTGCCCTGTTGTGAGTCGGGGAGGGGTTGAGTGAGGGAGAAGAGGATCGGGTAATATTTTGGCAAGAGACGGGCTAGGAAGTCGATGCCGGCATTGGCAGTTTCTGGGTCGTAGCTATCTGCGTTCTCGAGCATTAGGCAGAACAATCGAGACACGTGAACGATTAATTCTGTAGCCTGTTCTTGAATCTGCAGTGGATGAGAAGCGTGTGATGCGAGGAATGAGGATGCAGTTGCCATGATGACATTTGTGCCCGATATCCCAAGAGGGAATCGTTTAATGAAGTCTACCGTTAATGAAGGGGAGAAGACGAAGAGGCCCGAAGACTCAGTATAGCCAGCTTTCAGAATGTCACATGCCGAATCGATAATGCCGCTATCAATCGGGAAATCCACGATGAGGAGCTGCATTGCCTCCATTATAAGTTGTTGTGCCCTAGATCCTGGTCCAACGTTCCAAAAGGACAGGGTGTATGGGGTTTGCCCCTCTGTGTCATCAACATTGATAGGTTCATCGGCATCGACACGGAGGCCTTTGCCGATACTGGCAATGCAGCTCAGAATAAGATGAGCTTGGGCTTGAGCGATCTCAAAGGCAGAATTAGCAGCTTGTCCACGGGCCCTGTTGGCTTCTTGGACAAAGAATCTAAGGATCCGCTCTAGAGTCTGCACTTTCTCCTGGTCAGAAGGCAACTTTTGGATAATTGTGGCAATTGCTTCAAGAACCTTGGGCATTATTGATGCCGTTGCAGTTGGTTTGGCGCGGAACTGGTCAAGCCAGTCGAGGAACACCGGAAGCTCAGGTACCAATACACGTGCGCATGACTTTGACAGAGTCAAAATGGACCGTGCGGCCGCCTGGGCACACGATTCAAAATTTAGAGACTCGAATAGGATATTAAGAACACCCGGCAGCAGGAAGCTATGGCGTTCAAAATACGATTCATATTTTCCAAATGTATCCACCAAAGTTTGGCGTGCCTTGAGCGGGATTCCTGTTTCTCCACCGCGGCAAAGTTGCGAGAAAGCCTCACTGCCAAAGATGGAGTTTAGGCACTGATCTGCATGTCCATTCTCATCAACTGCTTCGGAAAGCTGGGCGATGCAGAACATGGCAGCTTCAAAATTGCGCCAGTCCAGGTTTGTCAAGTTGCTGCTTGCACTCTCTTGAAAGACATTTATCATTTCGATACCCAGGATCGGATAGGCTGCTAATAAGTAGTCGCAGGCATCGTAGCGAAACGAGTTAAACTCGCTTCTTTCGTCGTCGCCAAATTCTACCAAATCTTTAGGAGTAGGATAGAGCAGCTTACTGAATAATCCCATCACCACATCTGCCAGTTGTCCTTTCACAATTTGGAATCTGGGGTCATCAGCTTCCAAGTTATCGATGAGGGACTCAGCAATTCCACTCCAATACTCCAAGACTCGGGGTGTTGCTGTATCCTCAATTGCCGCATAGCCTGGTGTCTTGAGAAGGTTCTGTAGTATTAAGAGGATTTGAGCATTCTGGGGCATCATTGGGCTGGTGAATATCCGGAAGTCGACGAACGAGACGTATGCCACCAGAAGGTCGATGAATGCCATGCTCTCACCACCTTCATCTCCCTTGATTATTGCCATAATATGTATTGTGACAATTGAGTCTGAGATGAAATTGGACAGAGCGCTAATTGAGCTGTCATCAAAGACCCATGAGCGAGTTTCAATGGCCGAACTTAAAATTGACGCTGTACTTTCACTGAAGTCGGGAATTTTCAGCATCTCTATGATACCGCGTCCACAAGACTTTGCCAGATCACGAGCTTCTTTTTCGATTGAATTACGGTGGTTACCATAGACTCCAAGCCAAGTCTTTTAGTAAACAAGAGTCAGCATGCAAGGTCAGATGAATGTCAGATTAGCTCATACCTTCCAGGAACCTATAGCCTCAATTCCTAGACTTAACTGAGCGTTCTCATTTTCGGGCACAGGAACAGTATATGAAATCTGCGGTAGAATGTATTGCACAAGCAAGAAGGAGTCTTTGATGTTTGCCACCACTCGCTCAATAATCGGCCCCACTGAACCCTGGGGTTCTGCTTCCAGACGAATGGCTTCTTCCGCGAGAGCGACCGAGAAGAAAACCAAGGCTGTGGCTTTTGAAGAAGTTAAAGCAGGCAGCAAAGTGTTTAAAAGGTCCACAGTTAGTGCCTCCTGTTCCCCGACGTAGCTTCCGTTGGCAAGACTAGCGGCCAATTGCCAGATAGCGCGTGTCCAAGTACTTGCAGAATGGCGGAAAATGGTGACTAGGCTGGAAGCGAGCTTCCTGATCACCATGGTCTGCTCACCCTCATTCACAATGGCAATGAAATGATTCGTGAGACGCTCGAGGATTTGCCAGGTGGCGGCTTCTTCAATTTCGGCACTATTTATTTTGTTAGAAATAATTTCTTCGCCAATCAGTAAGCTGAAGTACTGTGGGATGGAATAGTCCGGCTTACCCTGATACGTTCACCTTCACTGTAAACGTGAGAGCTCCCATGAACCGATGATGTGCGGAACGCTGTTGAAGGAGAGAGTCTGCGATTTCCCACGCATGATCGCATTTCTGCAAGTTTTGTAACCGCGCTTGAATGTTTTTTACTTTGGTGGGGTTTCGCTGGTTGACGGGATCATAGAGTTGGGTCACAAGCTGGTGGGGGCAAGTTTAGCAGGCTGTAGAACGAATTGGAGAAGGTGCCATACCGTATTAGCTTCAGAAGTGAGCTCTTGCGCCCCGGGACCCAAGTTGGGAGCACAATTCGCCATGCTTAGTGTTGGGCTTTCTCATGGACCAGGTGAGATGAAAGTGAGGTTGGAATTGGAAATGGAAAATAGTATACAAGACATCACGTGGTGATAGCGCATGTTCTGCCGACAGAAATTCATTTGCGCTAAGAGCCAATGATAGGCTATCAATATTGGGCGGTAATTTTGGGCGGTGAATGACTGATGACTAATCCAATAATTACAGAAAGTTACCATCGTAACCAACTTCAAGTGTAAGCTGATGCGGAACTAAGAGAGTCTTAGAGAGGCCAAAAAATTGTCACAACCTGACCGAGTCCGGTACTAAGCTGTCATATCTATATTTGTTCTCGTCCTGATGCCCTCGTGACGATGTGGAGCTGCGGAGTTGCGGAGTTCCAATATGGGCGGACTCGGGGGTCACGAATATCAGTTTCATTTACACCGGCTTTGCCCGCATTTTTCAGTATAAATGGCCTTCGAATAACCACGGAACTTATTGGTTTAATTTGATCATCCTGAAGCCCGCTTAACATCACTAATCCTGCTGTTTATTTCAAACTTATTCTCGACTCACTTTGTCATTTCATATGCTACGAAGAAGTATCTCTACAGTACCAACACTGGTAGCTGTAGCTACCACTGGAATCTACGCCTATTTGGTCCATAGACGCATAAAATCAGTAGAACCAGGACGCATGACTACTGTGACCTATCCTGCGGACTCACTTCAAAAAACCAAATATCTCAACAACATCGTGAATCCCTCGCGAAATCCATCTTTATATGATTCGCGATCCATCACCATCAATATCCCTTCTCATCAACGGACTATCACGGACGAGGAGCTACTCAGCACATTCATCAGGGGCTTTTTCGATGGCGTGGTTATTGGCCCAGAACGTATAATTCTTCAGACTTTGCAGCCTGACTTTGTTCATTTTTCTGGTCAGTATATCACCTTCTACACCAATTTATCAGGATTAACACCCGATGATAGGGGTTGATGCGTCAATGCCAGTGGTACATGTATGGTCCCCCAAGGACCTTCCAGTGTCCCTTCCAGCTTTATACACGAAAATTCTCGGCACATTTCAAGTTCTTGACTTCAAGATCTCTCAGAGGGTGAATGCACTAAAAGAGAATGAGAGCTACATTGATATTGGCTTTGGAAATGATCAATCAGTTTTCTTTGGGAGTCACAGGTTTTCCATCCTAAGGCCGGGACAAGACGACAAGTCGAAGAATCAAGTAATTCTCAGATTCTCTTGTCAGGCAACCGCCGGTACTACGAGATCTACCATTCTTTCACCTGCCTGGCGGACTCTAGGATTATTTCACAGGATTTACTCGGACCTGCTCTTCCGAGAAAGTATTGGTGAAGTTGAGGCATGGCTGAACCAAAGTCCCAAGGTTGTTAGATGATCAGGCGCGTACCTCTTAAATTTAGCTGCTTGGTATTCACCTGGACAAGATCCTTCACCCTTGGATGTTAGACCAGACTTACGGAGTAGCTTACATATGAAACTTGTGTCCGTCTCGAATGGAATCTGTATAGCCCCTACCTGTGGACCAACACACGTTCTGGTTTTCTGAATATTCTAAAAGAAACGAAGGGATCCTCACAAGATGAAATAGCATTGTGGGGTCAAATGTTCCTTAGGTATTGACATCGACTGAACATCGACTGAAAGTAGACTAGTGGACTAGTTGTTTAATAGATGCTAGTGATGGGCAAGTAAAAGCGGTTTGATTCCGGGCGGAACAAGTCCGTCTCCCCGCATTTCAAGGATAAGTCAGGGTAAACGCGGGGATAATTTACCGTGACATAAATCCTTTGATTCAAGTCATTTAATAAGCCATTTAATACTGAACTCCCATTAAATTCACTTCTCAGTTACTAAACTATTCGAGACCATGCCTGTCACTAAATTCACCCATAAGGACCCTTACACTTACCAGACTGGGTTTAATTCCTACCACGAGTGAGTTCTCAGTGGAGGATGTAGCAGATAACTGTGAAGAAATTGCTAATCAGCGTCCAGGTCTGAATCTATCAAGGGAGCCCTTCCAATCGGTCAGAATTCGCCGCAAAAAGCCCCATATGGTTTGTATACCGAAAAGCTATCTGGAACTGCTTTTACAGCTCCTCGTCATGAGAATCAGCAAACTTGGGTCTATAGAGTACTCCCAGGCTCTTCTCATGAGAAATTTGTAGTTGAGGATGCCGATTCGTATCACACGAGTATGACTACTGAGACCCATAAGCTACATCACATCCCCAACCAGCTACGATGGAATCCATTCGATTTGGATGAGACAGTCGACTGGGTGCATGGTTTGCACTTGATTGCTGGAGCAGGAGATCCAACGCTGAAGCAAGGATTGGGTATCCTACTCTATGCGGTAGGCAAAGATATGGGCAAAGAAGCCTTTTACTCTGCCGATGGCGACTTCCTCATTGTGCCGCAACATGGTGTGCTAGACATCCAAACAGAACTCGGCCGTATTCTGTTACGGCCGAATGAGATCGCTGTTCTCCCACGGGGTGTCAGGTAAGCAATATTTGGAAGTTCAATACTTTTCTAATGTTATCTAACACTACAAAGATACCGTGTTACACTCCCAGCCGGCCCTGTGCGAGGGTATATATGTGAATTATACCAAGGTCACTTCCAACTACCCGAGCTAGGTCCAATTGGATCAAACTGCCTCGCCAATACCCGTGACTTTCAAGCTCCAATCGCTTCCTTCGATGACGAAGAAGAACCGACCGAGTACAAGCTATTCAGCAAGTTTAACAACTCCCTCTTCTCAGCACGCCAGAATCACACTCCATTTGACATTGTCGCCTGGCATGGAAACTACTATCCGTATAAGTATGATCTAGGCCGATTCAACACCGTCGGATCTATATCCTTCGACCACCCCGACCCTTCAATATTCACCGTACTAACTGGCCCTTCCGACCACACTGGAACCGCAATTGCGGACTTCGTCATCTTCCCACCTCGCTGGCTCGTTGCTGAAAATACATTTCGTCCACCATGGTTCCACCGCAACACGATGTCGGAGTTTATGGGTCTGATCAGTGGAAGTTATGATGCAAAAACGGGAGGTGGTTTTCAGCCTGCTGGTGCCAGTCTGCATAATGTTATGAGTGCTCATGGGCCAGATGCAAATGCATTTGAGGGTGCTAGCAATGCTGAGTTGAAACCGGTCAAGGTTGGCGATGGTAGTTTGGCTTTTATGTTTGAGAGGTAAGCAAATGTTCCAAGGTTGTAGATGAAGTTCCCCGCTCTTTATTTTACTAACTTGCTATAGTTCACTCATGGTTGGTGTCTCTGAATGGGGCTTGAAGACTTGTGAGAAAGTACAGACTGAGTATAACGAGCATAGCTGGACACATTTGAAACGCCACTTTGTCAACCCAAATAAATCTTGAGACGCTACACAAGTGGAGAATGAAGACACAATATTTTATCTTGATAACATCTATTTTTACCAGAATCTTCTTTGCATCAAATAAGTACGAAACTTTAGGAATAACGAATGTATATTTGAAGTCAGCGCAATTGTATTATAATAAGCTCGTAGTACAACCACCTGATGAGATTCAAAAACTGTTCTCAATCCATGAAATCAACCTTCAGTCTCCTTCTTCATAGCCTCTTTGACAATAGCCCCACACATCTTAGCATACGGATTCGTCTGCACAGCAAGCTGCTGCGCAACCTTATTCCCATATTTCCCACCAAAGAAGAAATCCTGACTAGCCATCTCCTCAAGTTGGTCAGCCCCAAAATTTCTCAAATGCTCCGTACAGAAAGTCAAATTCCCAGGCTCGTTCTTCTTTTCCCGCGCCGCTTTCAACAGTAAGTATCCTCGATGTGTATGCGCATCAGCTAACAGTCTAGCTTGGGCTGCTGAAACGGAATCTTCTGGAGAGGTAGACGTGGCGATGTTGATTGCTTGGCCTAGATCTGAGAGGATTTGTGTTGAGAGATCTATGGCTTTTGGCACGAATAGAGCTTCGCTTGCCTCACTGACTCCTGTTTCTGACTGGTTGTACTGGAAATCTATCAACATACGGAGGACCTGGGCTCGGTTTGTATAGGCTGAGGGGTACGTTGGATACTGATCAATGATGGAGTCGAATTCACGAATTGTGGAGTTGAAAGTCTCCAGGCTTGGAGGTTCGTTGTGTAGCTTTAGAATGATCTCTGTCTCGCTCTTCTTGAGGGAGGCGAGGACTGATGATGAAATATTCACTTTCTCTGGCCAGGGTGGCAGTGATGGGTCAATTATTATACCGGTTGATTGTGGCTCGGCGTCAAAGAGTGCCTGGAGGACAGCAGCATCGTTGGATGATAATGATGGGCGTGCTTGTATGATAGTCGTCATGACGATAATAATAAGATGTGAGATCTTACTGGGAAAGCTTCTAGGTTGTTAGAAGAGATTAAAAGTAAATAAATTCGAGGACTTAGATAATGGGATAAAATTCTCCGGCTAATACCGGCTATTGAAGGGGTTTGTCCCCGCACTCGTTCAGTCTATCGTTTGTAAGAGCTGAGACAGAAATCCGACAAATTAAGCGTTTTCCAAAAGTCTTCTAATGGAGCCAAATGATTTGAAATGAGGAGCTCGATTTATAAATTCAAGACAAAAATCCCTCCTACTGGGATTTGCCTAATGATCTGGTGACTACATGTAAAGAATACTGGATGATGTTATCACTCAATTGATAAAGCCCCATCATGTGACTTAAGCCGACGCCAACCGAGCTCCTCCGCATTTACCCCACACGAACTTGAATCCACTATTAAACCCATACCTCACCCTTTTTATTCATTCATTATCCACACAGGCTACAGTATGTCATACAAGCGTCTTCAACTTGTAAGACATTACCCCGGAGGCATATTACAGCAGAACGCGTTTTTTAGGCCCGCTCAAAGATGGGGAAGCTCCATTTCACAGCGACCAGGTTCAGATCGGTATGAAGAGGATCATTCATTACTGAGCAATCCAATGGAACATCATGCTAATCCCCGTCAGAGTCCATTTTCCAGGAGCTGTCAATTCCAAATTCACGTCTAAGATATCATTCCTTCAAGCCTCCGACTTACCATCGATCCCAACATACCGGGTTATGAACTCGGATGGCCAGTTGGTTGATAAGACGAGGGCTCCGCCTGATATTTCGGATGAAGAGGTTCTAACATGGTATAAGAATATGTTGACAGGTCTGTGAAGGTGCTTTACTAGAAGAATGGAGGAAGTAGGCTGGCTGACTGGCTTCTACTTAGTGAGTGTTATGGACGTGGTTATGTTTGAAGCGCAAAGACAAGGGCGTCTGAGCTTTTATATGGTATTTACAGCCCATGGAAATTTGCTAAACGCTTATATTGTTTCTAAAAATTCGTTATTCAATAGGTCTCTGCGGGCGAAGAGGGCATTGCGGTCGGTTCTGCTGCAGCGTTGATCCCAGACGATGTAGTTTTTGCCCAATACCGCGAAGCGGGTGTTTTCCAGCAACGAGGCTTTACACTGAAAAACTTTATGAGTCAGCTCTTCGCCAATTGCAATGATACAGGTCAAGGGAGAAACATGCCAGTGCACTATGGCCAAAAGTACCCACGTATAGTCAGTACTTCTCTCCCCCTCAACCACGACCCAGCCGTAGCTAATTCATAAATGGACAGCATACTATTTCATCCCCACTGGCAACCCAGATCCCACAGGCAGCTGGGGCGGCTTATGCCTTGAAGCTTCAAGATCTACATAACCCTAATCAACCACGCCGCATAGTCGCCTGCTACTTCGGCGAGGGCGCAGCCAGCGAAGGTGATTTCCACGCAGCGCTTAACATTGCAGCGACTCGGTCATGCCCTGTTGTATTCATATGCCGGAATAACGGGTTCGCAATCTCCACTCCGACTCTTGAGCAGTATCGCGGCGATGGAATTGCTAGTCGAGGTGTCGGGTATGGCATCGATACCATCAGAGTAGATGGTAATGACGTCTTTGCTGTCAACGAGGCCATGAAGGAGGCTCGACGACTGGCATTGAGTGAGGGCGGGAAACCAGTTCTTATAGAGGCGATGAGTTATCGTGTCTCGCATCATAGTACCAGCGACGATAGCTTTGCATATCGGGCCAGAGTGGAGGTAGAGGATTGGAAGCGTCGGGATAACCCTATTATTCGGCTGCGCAAGTGGCTTGAGAATAAGGGATTGTGGAACGAGGACCGCGAGAAAGAAACGAGGGATACGCTGCGTAAAGCTGTTCTGGATGAGTTCAGCAAGGCGGAGGTCGAGAAGAAGCCGCCTCTCCGATCTGCTTTTACTGATGTCTATGAGGATATTACTGAGGAGGCGGCGGAGCATATGAAGGAATTGAGGCGTATTCTTGACACATACCCAGATGAGTATGATTTGCAAACATATAAAGATGGAATAAATGGGTTGGATTAGGAGAGCTAGGTAGTCTTCAGCGGAGACCTATGTCATCTTGGAGGAAGAAGACATAAACTTGCAAGCTAGCAGCTACCTACGTAGCTATAAGTCTCGAAACACATTCCCAGAGAGGATAACCACTTCAATTCAAACCATTCAGCCTTATACTTGAGAACTCTGTTATTTCATGTGACAGCGTCAGCGTCACATAGCGTGGGTAAATTGAGCGGGGTATTTAAGACTTTGACAGTATATATGGTACAATTTTCATACAAGTTTATCTCCATTACTCTGCAAGAGGCTTACCCTCTCGCTTCCAGTCATTGATATGCTCCAGAATAACCTTAGACGCAGACTCCGGGGTATCCTGTCGGCCAATGCACTCAACAAAGTCGTTATCAGGATCTAGAGAAAGTCAGTAATCGGTATACACACGTCCAATATCGAATCAATGCTTCTTACCCATCAGGTAAAAGTAGATACTGTGATCAACCAGGTAATCATCGGTCGGCTTAACGTCCTTGGGAGTGCTGAAGTAAACGCGGTACTGGCGGCAGACATTCTTGACCTGCGCATAAGTACCAGTCAAGCCCACGATATCCGGGTGGAACTCCTTCAGGTATTCGCGCAGAACTTCAGGGGTATCACGGACGGGGTCACAGGTGATAAAGACGGGTAAGAAGGCCTTGTCGCTCTTGGTAGCAGCCTTGACCTTGTCGATGATCTCGGCCATCTTATCCAGCTCATCGGGGCAGATATCGGGGCAGTGAGTGAAGCCGAAGTAAACCTGTCAGAAAGCGAAAAAGAAAATATGAGTATTGCAATAATACGAAAATGTGTTTCCAGGATCCAAACTAACAAAGCTGTATTTCCCCTTCAAATCCTCCGCCGTGAACTCTTTTCCTTCAAGGTCCTTCAGAACGAACGGACCGCCAACCTTCGGCTTGCCAACACCCTTACTCAACTCCGCGATACGTTTCCGCTCCAAACGCGCCTTTTCAACACGGAAGTACAGCATCATGCCCGCACCTGTGATGGCGAAAAGCAGAGCAGATTTCCACGAGAATGGGCCGGTGAAGTTGCGTTGCTTGATTTGGCCCATGGTTGGCTTGCTAGCAGCTCGCAATGCGGTTGTTGAGAAGTTATTCCGACCAGAGAGCATGTACCACGCGCTCTGCGGAGACCGGGGTCGTTGTGTTTGGGTGTAAGCTCGACATTGCGAGTTGATAGTTGTTCGGGGAATGGCGAAGGCGCGTTGTGAGGCTGATTCAAGGGCGATCGGATTGCGGCTTGATCGAGCAAGAAGGCCCGAGGCCATTTGCAAGGAGGACGACATATTTCCTTCTGTCAATGACGGCCGGGGGAATCGAAAGATCTTCGGAGTTGCGGATGATAATCTCCAGTTCCGCTTGATCGATACTAATGTGATTATGTAATGCTCGTGATCATGAGTCAATGTCCCTACTTTAGTTAGTTACATATTGTTCTTCTACCTAATGTCTATGCACCACTGTTTTGATATCATATTCACCTAAGCTTACTCTATCTACGTATCCTTCAAGCAAATTTCACTTACCTCATCCATAAACATTTAACATACCGGAACGGTCTGGCCTGTAATCCTCCAGGGCTACTATTACGGTTCTCTGCCAGAATACTTTATGTGGATGATGCATTCCAATGTCATTTTACCCAGACTTGGATCAGATTGAAGAATGATATACTTGTCAAATCAATAAATATAGAACCCAAGAAGATCGAACTAAAAGAGGATTACGGTGTGGCCTCACGAAAGATATATAATTGGTCCCGTCCATCGAAACATTAGAAAGCTACTTGTGTACTGAAAGCTCCAACTTGAAGTTGAGAATGGAAAGTCGGAGCTAAAATAGTTGAATTAAGTACAGAGAGACTACCTCATTTCCATCTTCCAATAAACAGCTAGCATAAACGAACATCGCAAATAAAAAAGTGTTATCACGTCGTGATCATCGCAATCTTGTTCAGGTAAACCTTTTCCTGTCGCAGAATAAGATTCTCAGCAACCCATCTCCCCGCATCCTCTCGTGAAATAATATAGCCAATTTCCTCAGACTCTCTTCCAGTCTTAACATCCTCGATGCCAACTCGGACCTTTTTGGTAGTAGCACCGCCATCATAGAGCAAAGAACCACGAACAATAGTGAAAGGTTCTCCACTATTCACAAATGTGTCTTCCATTATCGTCTTATCATCATGAGGAACTTTGAGTAGCCACGCATAAACAACGTACAAGGAGAGTGGGTAGTCGCGACCGAACTTCGATAATCCAGTAGTGCTGAAAGTGACAATATGCGGGTGACCAGTGACACCGGCACTGCGCAGTCGGGAGATAGATTCGATCAAGGTCTTGGAAGCTTTCTCGCAAATGTGTGGATCTTCAAGAACCGAGAAACTGAGCTTTGGTCTGCTGCCTATAGTGCTGTTGATGATATCAACAAAGTTGCCGTCGTCGGCTAGGAGGCACTTAGAGACTGCAGTAGCATCTTGTGCATCGCCTTGGATGATCTTGAGATTTGGTGTTGATTCGGGAATTACGGCTGTCAGTTTCGAGGGAGTTCGGCAGAGTGCGATGCATTTGTGGCCAGCGTTGAGTGTGTGTTGGAGCGCTGCGAGACCGACACCACCACTGGCGCCAAAGAAAGCAACTGTCTTGACGTTGGAGCTTGTCATGATGTTGGTGATGGTATGTATAGTCACGTCCAAGTACTTATTACAATAGAGTTGATTGGAAATATTGAGAGGATATTTGTTTGATATGGAGTGTTAAGGTCATGGGTGAGGTGCCTTTTATCTACATTCTTTTAACGCGATTCATGCGCGAGTGAGCCGAAAGTCTACCGAATGTTGTCCTCGTCCCCACGACTCCGGGAGCATTAAGCACTATATCTGGGTCGACCGGCTTCGTGAAAGACTCCACTGCCTTTTGCGCAATTAAGAGAAGGAGCTCAGAGATAGAAAACTTTTCATTGATCGTCAAATGATTGCAATATCTATTCGAAAGTAGGGTATTCAGACTGCTTCGACAGTACCTTAACTTGGCTGTCGCTGCCAAGAAAAATGCGGCTCGGACGCATTTCGGGTACCGAGAAACACGCGAGATCACCGTATCGGGCCGGACTAGTATTGATGCTTATCCACAGTCAAAACCATATTAACAGTTGATATCTTGACGAGGATCATTGGTTTGCACTTTCATCCTTCCTTTAAATGGTCCGAATTTTGTCGCTTTCATAGTCCTCACATAGTCATGAGATCTCAGAATCTGGAGATGACGATCTTTTCTCATAGAATTTACATCTCGCGAAAGTCCTCCACAGCTTCTCTTGATACTATTAGGTATCCTCGACGTTATTTGAAGAGAGATCAATAATGATGTCAAAAGAGGTATTCCATGACGTTTTCTAAGAGATTAGATAGAAAGGCGGAGCGTAGCGTGACACGTGAGCTTCAGATAGCACTGGAGCACGATGATGTTGATCTCCACCATCATTGTCATAACCTTAGATGGCGAGGATAACTATTGATACCTAACTATTTGCTGTACAGTGATCTACAAAAGATCATACACAAGTAACCCCAAGGGCTCTTGAAATGTCCATCCAGATCTATTTTTCAATCCACCCTTACTAGAGGGTCAATCCCGGTCAAGCTCAATACAGAATGCAAAGCTGGTAGTCCATACCCCGCTATAAGCCCGTTTTGGTTTTCATATCTGTCGACCAAGGCACTATTTTCTGATGTGTATGTGCTGACAGTATCTGCCTAGTAATCGTAGAACTTGTCGCTCGAATAGACTCAGCAGTATCCAGTTCTTTATGATGTTTAACGATTGTCCCGAAGTGATGATCATATTCAGCCGCGCTGGCAGGAGTTGCTTATTTCGCCCCAAATAGGAGAAGTCCACTCAACAGGAAATTGAGAAAGTTACAACACTTCATGCGATAGTTAGGCAGGCTTGAACTCAAGATATTGAACAGATGTTAATCTCAGAAGAAACCCAGTGGGTTTAAAACTACTTTCAGTCTATTATGAGCCATTGGCTAGGGCAGTCGTCTCCTGAAACACACTCGATGTCAGGGCTTTCGTAGTAATACACGTTTTTACCAACGAGAGGAAAAGGCTCGTCCAAATGATAGATTGTTGCGATAAAGGTCGATTGATGTTGTATAGATATTTGAAAATGTCAAATATCGCTGGTTTATGCTTTGTGGATGCGTTCAAGTCTCTTTGGTAGAGCCAGGTGAAGTCGATTAACATCTAAAATGATCAACCTTCTTTCGACAATCACGTCAGGACTTACGGCTAAGAATCTGTCTTGCAGATACGCCAGTGCCTGGATCGGTTGGTGGATCATTTATGCAGATCTTATTACATCTGAGCCTTGAAAGTTATTAACTATCGATTTGCATTATAAGCCCTGGAGGACGTGCTCTCATCATTTAGATCCATGAATCCTTTCAAGTTACGTATGGATTTACGCCTATTTGAAGATGATGTAAAGGCAAATCATTCATCCTCAATAGTGGCATGTATATGTATCCATGGATGTGTGTTAAATCTGCCAGATAGAAAATATATGACCATTCTCATTATTAGTGGGTAGCAAGATACTAAAAGCTATAAGATACGATAAACCCAACTTAATTCTTCCGACAGATGATCTCTGCACTCGGAATAGAAATCCAAGCATCACTGTCCTGACCCCACTCCTTCCAGGCCTCGGAAATGCGCTGAAGGTCACTGTCTAAGGCAAGCTTTCCATCCAAAGCGCTTGTGGCAAACGATGACTTCAGCGTCCGCTCCTGCCACGAGCTACTCCACCATTTAATCTCATCTGGTGTCGCATAGCACCAAGAGGTAAGGCTACACTTGACATTCTCAAGTCCAGCTTTCCTCGCCCAAGCGTGAAGCATACGACCGGCGTTTGGCTCAGCACCATTGTGTCGTGCCACGCGATCGTAAAGAGTTTTCCATTCATTCAGTCCCTGGGTCTCAGGATACCAGACAAAGGAACCATAGTCTGCCTCTCGAGCAGCGACTATGCCGCCAACCTTGGTAACACGCTTCATCTCTTGGAGCATGCCAACTGGATCACCAACATGCTGTAGAACCTGGTGACAGAATACTATATCGAAGGTGCCGTCTTCGTATGAAAGGGAGTTGGCATCACCTTCGACAAATTCAATGTTGGTCAGGCCTCGTTCTTGTGCGAGGGCTCGTGCCTTAGTGAGAACTTCACCGACTCGTTCAAGGCCGATGACGTGTCCCTGGGGGGCATAGGCCGCAAAGTCGACAGTGATTGTACCAGGGCCACAGCCAATATCCAATATTTTCATATCTGACTTGATGTAGGGCAGTAGAAAGCTTGCTGAGTTCAAGGCGGTTCTTCGGGCATGGGAACGGACGACTGAGTCGTGGTGGCCATGGGTGTAGACAGCTGATTCGGTTTTGCTCGCCATCATGAAGGATTAAGACACTGGTTGGTATTTTTTTTCTCTTTTTCTCTTTTTCGTATTCCTTCGGTCTTTCTTGCTACTTTATATGTTTTTAGAGATATAGATCAAAGGTCGATAGCGGATAGGGTCGTTGACTCTGCGAGATCACCGATCTCGGAGTCCCCGATGTCGCAACCCCAGGAACAACGGAAGAATGAGCTAAGCCGTAAATAGGCTAGTGCAACATTACTTTATTATTGGCCTACAGAAAGACAGACATTTCAAAACCTGACTTCAATCTCACGTGACCTAGAGATGGTGAGTCTTTCCATTGCGCTCAATTGCTAATTGAATATTGACATTTTGTTTCCTACCAGTCTCGATTGATGCAGTCTACTACCGGCCGGCGCTGGGCGTCGATGCGCCTCCCTGCTCTGCGTAGGACCCTAGCGACTTCTCGGATCTTTCTCTCTCAGGCTTTTCACTCACAACTCGAGGATCCTGCTACCGCAGCTGTCTTCTCAGCCCTACAGACTTCCAAGGCTGTGCCCCAAACATTGACAGAAAAGATTGTCCAGCAATACTCCGTTGGCCTCGCCAAGGACAAATTCGTCAAGTCTGGCGACTATGTCACAATCTCTCCTCACCGATGCATGACTCACGACAACTCGTGGCCTGTAGCTCTCAAGTTCATGTCCATTGGCGCTTCCAAGCTCCACGACCCCAAGCAGATTGTTATGACCCTCGACCACGACGTGCAAAACAAAACAGAAAAGAACTTGCAGAAGTACCAGCAAATTGAAAGCTTTGCCAAGCTTCATGGCGTGGAGTTCTACCCGGCTGGTCGCGGCATTGGACATCAGATTATGGTCGAGGAAGGTTTCGCTTGGCCTGGAACTCTGGTAGTAGCATCGGATAGTCACAGTAACATGTACGGTGGTGTCGGCTGTTTAGGAACTCCAATCGTGCGTACCGATGGTGCTAGTATCTGGGCTACTGGAAAGACTTGGTGGCAGATTCCCCCTGTGGCTAAGGTCACTTTGAAGGGTGTCTTGCCCGCCGGTGTTACTGGAAAGGACGTAATTGTTGCCCTTTGTGGTCTGTTCGACAAGGACGACGTGCTCAACCATGCTATCGAGTTTACTGGTTCAGAGGAGACTATGAAAAGTCTGCCAGTGGATGACCGCCTAACAATCGCTAACATGACTACCGAATGGGGTGCTCTGTCTGGTCTGTTCCCTATTGATAATGTTCTGAAGGGCTGGCTCAAGGCTAAGGCTACCACTGCCGCTATGGGTCTGGCTGACGGTCCTTTCAAGACTCTTGCTCCCCAAAAGTTCACCCACCCCATCCTGGACGAGCTCTTTGCCAACCCACTCACAGCTGATAAGGGTGCCAAGTACGCCAAGGAGCTCTTTTTGGATCTTTCTTCTCTCTCCCCATATGTCTCGGGACCTAACTCGGTCAAGGTGGCGACTCCTCTGAGTGAGTTGGAAGCTGCTGACATCAAGGTGAATAAGGCGTACCTTGTTTCATGCACTAACTCTCGTGCCTCGGATATTGCTGCCGCTGCCCGTGTATTCAAGGAGGCCGCTGAGAAGAACGGAGGCCATATTCCTAAGATTGCAGATGGTGTTCAGTTCTACATTGCCGCTGCTTCTATTCCTGAGCAGATTGCCGCAGAGGGTGCAGGTGACTGGCAGACTCTGCTCGATGCTGGTGCTACTGCTCTTCCTGCAGGATGTGGCCCTTGTATTGGCCTCGGCACTGGCTTGCTCGAGCCTGGTGAGGTTGGCATCAGTGCTTCCAATCGTAACTTTAAGGGTCGTATGGGTAGCACCGATGCCAAGGCCTACCTTGGTAGCCCGGAGATTGTGGCCGCCAGTGCGCTGAGTGGAAAGCTGTCTGGTCCCGGCTGGTACCAGACCCCCGAGGGCTACAATGGTGTGGTTCGTGGTGAGGGTGACGGCATCCATGAAGATGAACGTATGCTCACTACCGAGGAGGCTCTGGAGAAGCTCCTTGGTCAGATGGAAGATCTTGTTGCCGTCGGTGAGAAGGATTTTGCTGCTGAACCTACCGCTGAGGTCGAGGAGGCCTCAGATGATGCTCTAACAGAAGTCTACCCTGGTTTCCCTGAAAGCGTTTCAGGAGAAATCGTGTTCTGCGACGGCGACAACATCAACACCGACGGTATCTACCCAGGAAAGTACACCTACCAGGATAATGTGCCCGTGGAGACCATGGCCAAGGTCTGCATGGAGAACTACGACACTTCTTTCTCGTCGATTGCCAAGTCAGGTGATATCCTTGTGACTGGCTACAACTTTGGTTGTGGTAGCTCGCGTGAACAAGCCGCGACTGCCCTTCTGGCCAAAGAGATTCCCCTAGTTGTTGCTGGTAGTTTCGGCAACATCTTTTCCCGAAATAGCATCAACAATGCGCTGATGGGTCTGGAGGTTCCCCGCTTGATCAGCCGTCTCCGTGAGACTTTTGGTGATGACAAGGCTCTCACTCGTCGCACTGGCTGGACCTTGACATGGGATGTGCGCCGCAGCCGTATTGAAGTACAGGAGGGAGAGAACGGTCCCAAGTGGACACACAAGGTTGGAGAGCTGCCTCCCAATGTGCAGGAAATCATCGCTAAGGGAGGTTTGGAGAAGTGGGTTAAGAACGCTATCGAGGTATAAGTTCGTTGGGCTTTGTTCTTAAGGTCTGGCGTTTTATGATCCTAGTATAGAGTCGGTTCGAGCTGAGTGTTTTTATTATAATATGGAGATGGCTCGGATCTGTACAAAAAAGAATTGATTGCATTTTACCTCCAAGTTTTCTCATAAGCTCCAAGGTTCAACCTTTCATTCATGTAGCATTACCTATCGTGTCAAATATTCACTCAACAGGAGCGTTTTCGTTCAAGCCAAATCATGTCGGAGTTATATCCATTTTTTCCAGTTGAGGAGAAGATACAGACTCCATCGATGAGATACAGGGCATTGTTCTCGGGCATTCGAAAACGAAACTTTGAACCTCGTATTATCGCCGAATTCTCCCATTCAATGGAGTGTTCTACGCACTTTATTACTTTCCCAAGTCAGCAGCGTGCTCCCCATTTATATAGATACTTGTCGGCCGAGAAGCGATAATACTGAGTATGCAGTCATATATGAAATTTTACTATTTAAATCTACGTGAAAGTGTAAAGTGATGGAGATATCAGCGAGGGTCATTTGACGATGATCTTCAGAAGCTGCAGGAGCCTGGTGGCTCAGATTATTCTTGAGCCCTGGAGGGAACGAATATCTCACTTGAGCAGCCCTTCCATAAATTTCCATGGATTTCCTTGAATGTGCGGAGTTCAGGTAACCTTGTGACCCACAGAATCTATAGATGGATGATAGTCGTTGTCCTGAGGTCAGGAACCCTGTAAGAGTCGCTCTATTTCAATAAGTTGATAGGGTCTATGTAGTTCGTACTCGTCAATCTTGTTTCATAAATATCATAACAACCAGATTATTGTATACAGCCGAGGTCGTAGCCATCGAAGCGGGCCGACAAGATCGGCGATCTGCTTCAACACTAGACTTGGTATAGACTAGCGTTTTTTGACAAGTATATTTCTCTTCCCACACCTTTTCCAACTCTATTGCGTCTTTCATCATCGCCTCATTTATTAACCGGCTTGAAGTCCTACCATCCACTGTCAGTTTTTGATTTTCAAGTCTGATTCACGATAGTGGAAATTACATCTAAGGATATGATGATAGACTTAGACTCGGCAGGAACGACAACGCAATAGCATCGACTTCGACTTCCACCCTAGTTCCGCCAAAGCCTTTGAACATCTTTGTTTTGCCCCAGGAACACATGTAATTTGCCCAACTTCACTTGATGACACTATCAATGCCATCCATGACTTTCAATTGAGACTCGATTCTGAGTATACCCACTTCACTAGAGCCAGGCTTCTACAAAATGCGGTGATGAAAATGACCTCCAAAGAGAATATACACAGCCCATTTCCACTTTAAGATCTCGATTATCACTTCAACATACTGGAATATTACTCTGGAGTTGTGCGTAAACGGTGGCTATTGAGAGATTTGCTTTTTAATAGTTTGTACCTATATTAATGCTTGGCGTGCTATTTATGACACCTAACTCATCTTCATATTACAGCAAAAGCGCTCACGAGGTAGGCTTCAGAACTATTACGCACCTGGGTAGGTCATGCTCTATTTGAAATCCTTCAAAATAAGGCTACTTTGCTAGCCTGAAAATTACAAGATATATCCATAACACTTCCGAGCTCCATTTATTGATCATTTCCTTTAAAAATCACAAAACATCATGAATCTAATGCTGGCTGCAGAACAAATATCCAAAGAGTAGACTTAAGTACTCAGAATCTTCAATCATTTACTGAAAGGCTGTGCATCCCATCGAACGCGACGCAGATGGCGATGAGGATCACAGACAGTATTTCGTGCGTGCATCCAACGTCTATTATCCATAGCAACAATTGATCCTCGTGGAAGTATCTGCGGCGTAAGATTCATCACTTGTCTATTCAGTTCATTACTCTTGAGAATCTCATGCAGCTCTTGCAAGGCAGCTCGACCACGCCCAGTGAGGGGTGTGATAATATCCTCTCGGAACCGGAGCTGGGCAGTGCCCTGAATCTCGTTTAGCCAAAGGAGAGGCCCGATGATATGTGTGCTTTCCTTCTTTTTGATAAATTCTGGTGGAACAGTGATTCGAAACTCGGGCCGAATAAGAGTCTCCCGTGCATCTCGGGAAAGAAGTGACACCAGTCGGAGACAATCTAACACTGAGAGGGTACCACCACCACATCGGTCTGGCTGCAGGACTTGCAAGGCAAAAAAACGAGGAGGTGAAACTTCATAGCTGCAGTCGGTGTGCCAAGGGAAAGTTTCCATAGTCTCAGAACGTGCTTGCACAGTAGCGGCTTTCTCAAGAGCCGCAGCTTGTGGGCGAACATCCCAAAACCATCCTCGCGAGGCACTGTGGGTGATAGGTAGCCCATGCCCATGGCTTTTGTGGAGTTGCAAAACGAGGTTGCCCAGGTATGAGCTGCTGTTGTCTTCGAATTGGAGGTTTATTTTAACGATCCCACTGCTTTTCAAGTGTTTATCGATTTGTTCAACATGCTTTGCATCCTGCGATGATGAGACATCACCGGCTTGGATCTGTGGAAGGCTCGCAAAGAAACGACGTCCTCTCTCCACTATATTGTTCATTAGAGCTCTTCTCAGTCTAGTTTAATACCAATAGAGTGATAATCGAAATTGGAAAAGTACCTGGAAAAACAACGGGAGGGCAGCGGAGCCATGATCGAATAGCTATCATTTTAACACGAGCTTCAGCCTTGGTAGATCTTGCTTTGCAAAACAGCATTCCAAATTGGTTGAAGGGGAATAAATACCCCTTTAGCCATTCATTGAACCTGTTACCTAATGAGGACACGCGCTTGGTTCAGTACATGGATGAATTGATGTGATCGAAGTCAACATCCCACAATAATTGCGCTAGCCGCGGAGCTGTACTTTTCTCGTCACACATATAGGTCTGCTATCTCAGAAATCTATGTTTTCGACCAGAATGACCAGGGCAAGAAGTAAAATGGTGACTACCTAGATAGGCAACTCACCCGGTAGGTCAATATCATTGGCATTTTTCAAAGCTTAGATAGCTAGGTATCATCATCCCATGATACCCAAATCAAAAAGTGTAACATTGGAGCATCAGAATTCTTATTCAAAATGCTGCCTGACGAAAAAGAAATAAGAGCTGTCAGAAAAACAAGACTCTGTATCAGTGATAAAGGTGCCAAGAGTCGCAAATGACGGCATCGGCTGATATTAAAAAAGAATCGACGTAAATAGATCTGCCTAACTACAAGGTTGCTTATTCAGTCACTTGTGTTACCACCAATTCATGTGAGGTGTGTGTATAGGGCTTCCATAGATAATGGCGAAGCAAAAGGTTGATCTATTGTTTGGCCGGCAGCTATTGGTAAGAATCATTTTCATTGGTTTGGTATGTAATTCAATGTAAGAGAAGTCGTCTAAAAGACTAGTTGCGAGACATATTTCAAACTTGAGGCTCGAAGTTTCAAGGTTGTGATTAGGTCTTGGCAATACCCGAATCAATATCCTCCGTGGTCAACATCACGGACCTTTCTTCCGATGTCAAGTATACCAATCTGACAATCCAAAAAAAGTTGTTCGAGTTATCTAGAGCCCCACATTGAAGAGATTTTGCCATATAATATCGACCCGCCAAGTACCTGGGTAGCATTGAGAAAGCACCAGTATGGACATAAAGATATCATGAGCGAATATGATAGCCATGATCAGTCTTTGATAAGATGCCAAGAAGATTCTGACGACGCCCAGTATTGAAGTAGTATCGCCAATTATGATAATTGGTGAGCCAAGACGATATCGCTCACTTGATGGAACAATAAACTGCTTCCCATCGCCATTATTGGAATGTTGCAGAGCTCACAGAGTGGGCATTAACCCAGAATGACATGCAAGATCAATTGATGCTGTCATGTTGAAGACATGATGTCAAGGAGAATTTTAACATGAATAGGGCTGAAATTTCGATTTTCTGAAGGATTAAGCAATAGGATATGGGACGGTGAATCTAATAATCCGCCCACTTACTTCGCTTGTAGGTCATGTGATCGGTCTTAGATTTAACCGCCACCCCTTCCGTGTCTTCTTTGAAGGCAATATGGAACAAATATATTTAGTTTCTGGGTAAATAATTGCACTCTTGTACATTTTTTATTTCTATTAATCAATTGAACGGCATATTTCTCCATCAAAATGAGTACGATTGAGGAATTTGAGCAGCATGCATCCATCAAACCACCACTTAGTAAGGCTCTGGGCGGTCAGCGACTGTATAGCCCTGACGCTACCATATTGTTGGTAGGATTTTTTGGAGCTGGAAAAAAAACTCTGGGTATAATAGCTTCGGTGGCCTTACGAAGGCGATTTATTGATTTTGCTGCCTTTTTCCAACAAGAGATCCATTTATCGCCCCAAGACTTCATTAGTCGCCATGGGCTAGCACGATATCGCGAGGTCGAATTAGACCTATCCCGCGACCTTCTTCAAAGATGCAGCAAAGATTCTATAATTGTTGGCTTGGGTGGAAGTGCTAGTCGCTCACAGAATATCCTATTAGCCGAATTTGCCAAGCAGCATCCGGTTATCTACGTCAGAAGAAGCGAGTCGGACCTTCAGCAGTTTGTCTCGACAACACCAGACAAATTTGAACGAATGTTTGAAGCTGGGAATTTATTTTTCGAGTCTTGCTCTAACTTTGATTTCTTCAACCACACCCAAGGGCAGCAACCACCAGCAGATCGGGCAGTTCCGATGTATTTGAAGCTAAAGGAAACAGAGCGCGTGTTTGTGACGTTTCTTTATCGCATCTATGGCCAAATTCATCGTCCAGTCTTTAAAGTTGATCCATTCTCTGCATCATATACATATGCTTTACAAGTTCCTCTTACCTGGTTAGATGAGCCACAGCAAGACGTGGAATCGTTAGAGACCGGCGCTGATGCCATCACTTTAGTGATCAGCCCTGCTGATCTCAACTCAAACAAACTATTTTCTCGAATTGTACAGCATGTTGCGACTTTGAGAATCCATTCTCACGCGCCAATAATCATTGATGTGGCAGCATCACCTTTCGCGCGAACAACTTCCAACGATTACCCTAAACTAATAGAAATGATAATTCGGCTCGCTCCGGACGCCATCACTTGCTCTCTTGATTGTGATGCCGAATTGATAGCGAATTTGAATGCCTCAAAGGGATATACACGGATTATTGGTACTGTCTGTGAAGTAGCCCCTGTGGGTTGCTCGCGCAGACTTCTATCTCCTGCGGCAATCTGTCACCAAGCCCAAAAATTGAAAATTGACACTATATGTGTAACCGGTCAATCGGTGTCAATAATGGATCATAATACCTGTCTCTGTTTTTCGCAGAATATCGCAGAGATCTTGAACATTCCCGTCATTGCATACAATACCGGATCCCTAGGCAGGTCGTCAGTCTGCTTAAACCCTACTTTATCGCCAGTAGTCTTGCGCTCGATACAATCTGAGGGTGTTACTGTCCAAGAAGCGCAACAAGCACTGAGCTCCTGCTTCCTGAAACCCAGAAAAGACTTTACCATCTTCGGCCAGATTGTGAAACATAGTATTTCACCAGCGATGCATAATTTAGCTTATTCGGTTTGTGGACTACCCTACCAGTATCACACCCTTCAGACAGAAAACTTTGCAGACATTCACGAACTTTTGAATGATGAAAATCATGCTGGTGTCGCAATCTCCCTTCCATACAAGTCTGCAATTTTACCTTTTCTCGACGAGACCAGTCCAGATGCCAAGGACATCAATGCTGTGAATACAGTGGTCATGGAACAAAGACATCGCTCCAATGGAGAGCCTTTCATATATCGAAAAGGCTACAACACTGATTACATAGGAATCAGAAATTGTATTTACAAGCATCTCTCCCCCGCAAATGCGGTACGTGATGGGACGACTGCTTTGATTGTTGGCGCCGGAGGAATGGCCCATGCTGCAGTCTACTCTTGCTATGAACTAGGAGTTCAGCAAATTTGCATTTACAACCGAACATCGGAGAACTCGCAGAAACTCGCAGATTACTATAATAATTGGGCAGCATCCAAACCTGATACAAAGCTTCAGCTGACCGTGCTCCATGCAGAAGACGATTGGCCAGCACATCTTCGCCTCCCTACTATTGTTGTGGCTTGCATTCCACCATTTCAAATCGATAACCGACAACCTGTGGCTTTCCAGATATCAGAAAAATGGTTACAAAGTCGAACAGGAGGTGTGTTTGTCGAGGTATGTACCTGACTTTGTCCGGATAGTTGAATTAAATTTGACTGAAATATAGATTGCATACGGCCCTTTTCTCACTCTACTCACGGAGCAGATGTCACCTCGAAAATCAAAAGGATGGGTAGTGGTAGATGGGCTCAAAGTTCTCCTTGAGCAGGGTATTGCTCAATATGAACTTTTCACTAAAAGGCCTGCCCCAATCCACGTGATGCGCCGTGCTATCCAGGAAGAGGCTTTACGGCTTGGATATGTCCATGAGTAAGACTCCAGGTTGAAAAGCTATTCGCATATTCTTGAGGTCACCAGGGGGGCTCATGGGCTGAAAATATCGGACACAAACGATTACTTTCAGAGGTCCGATTTGGTCTTGACTTTGTGAGCTGTACAGGTGCCTCATCATTCCAATTTCTTCGTCAGGGAACATAACTATCCTTTTAGTTGCATAAAATCAGACTCAATATGCTGGTCTTACTAGCTAGGTTCCTTGTTCGAACTGTAAATGTAATCATGATGTTTTAAATACCCAACACTGCGCTTCGGTAATATTCAGTGCTTTTTCGGATTAGGACAGATTCAAAATCAGATTTTCCCTACATTGGTTGCCCAGTCCGATGACACATTAGCCAGTTCAGCGATTGGATGCTCTTTCACCTAGTAATAGGTGACTATCTCAAGCTGTGGCGTATCTGAGTTCAATTTTCGGTTGTTGTTCGATCTCATTGAATATTAAACTATAAGCCACAACTTTAGAAGCTCAGGTGTGCTCTTACCCTGCATCTTTTGGGTCTTCCACATTTAATCAGGTATGCAGGTTCATAGAAAGCCACCTGGGCAGTCCAAAACGTTTATATTAACTGCTCACATCCATCTAGGCGACCAGACCGAACGTTGTTTGAGATACGATATCATATCCAACCGGACCGTGTCACCGTCCGTTTCATAATACTGAGGTATTTCCAACATTGAAATCGAGACTTTCCAAGATTTTCACGACACACTTGGGCATATATGATCTGACCATTTCCTAAGTTTCGCATAGCAAACTTCGTTCGAGTGTTAAACATTGAATGCCCACAATCCAAGCTACACTCAAGCGAATACTGGATATTTTGATATCCCTAATTCATCAACAAAATCAAATTACCTGGAACTTCATAATAATGGGATCATTCAACATACCAGAGCACCAAACTGCCATCATCCAACATGAAGCGGGAGAGCTCAAAATCACTCCAGGCCTACCCATTCCACAGCTCGAGCCCAATCAAATCCTCATAAAGAACAATGCCGTGGCTCTGAACCCCTGTGACTTCAAGATGCCGTTCCGGTTTCCCACTCCAGGACTATGGGACGGATGCGATTACGCAGGCACGGTCGTTGCCCTAGGCAGTGAAGCCGCCACAAATGGTCGATTCAAACTCGGAGACCAGGTTTTCGGCGCCGTGCAAGGCTCCAACCTAGCCGACCGCCAGTCCGGAGCATACTGCGAGTATTTAAAATCCGAATCGGATTTTACATTCAAGTTGCCCGAAGGTTTACCCCCTTACCACCGCCCTAGGTTTCTCACCTACTGGCATTGCAACACTTGGAGTTGCACTGTTCTGGTCCCTCCAGATACCCGGGAAACTGGATGAGCCAGCTCAGAAAGCGGAAGATGTGCTCATCTACGGAGGTAGTAGTACTATCGGACTAATCGCTCTCCAGATGGTCAAGTTATGTGGTCATCGGGCGATAACAACGTGTTCCCCTGCCAACTTTGACCTTGTCAGGTCATACGGGGCTGATCTTGTCTTTGACTACAAGTCGCCAACCTGTGCAAAGGATATTCGTGCAGCAACCAAAAATGGTCTTCGCTATGCGCTCGATCCGTTTTCGGAAACGAAAACTCTGGCAATATGCCATGAGGCGATTGGCAGGACTGGTGGTCGATACTGTGCACTGGAACAGTACCAGGAAGCTCTTTGTTCTCGCAAGACTATTAAGCATGAGCTGGTGATGGGAGGTTCAATTTCTGGAAAGGGTGTCGAGCTTCCGGAGCCGTACGGTATCCCTCCTCAACCTGAAATTGGAGTTTGGGTTCGACCTTGGTATCGTGCGATCCAAGTACTGGTTGATACTGGCAAACTGAAGCCATGTCCTGTGGAAATTTTGCCAGGGCAATTTGATGGTATCCTCAATGGGCTGGATCTGCTTCGGGCTGGAAAGGTTTCGGGAAAGAAATTGGTAGTTAAGCTGGAGAGTGACTCAGCTTGATAGATCTGTCAATATATTTTATTGTCTGTCAACTCTACAATCCAATATTAGAATACTGTCAATGTATTATTCGATTTGCTGGAGCAGTTCTTCCAAATACAAGCTTTTCCAGATTTTTTTGCAAGCGCATTGATTAATCTATTCCGAACAGTGATAAGATATGTGTATGTTATGAATCATGGATCCCTCCGAAACGATATTAAATCACTCCATTTTTTAAACTTTTGAAATCTTTTCTTCGTTGGCCACGACAGGCGGTGTAGCTGTACCTTTGGCATGCTCAAGAAGACTTTGCATGTATGCTTCTGCCTCAGCAGCAAAATGGCATCTCTCGCGGATAAGCGGCCCATACCTGTAAAAGAAAAAGGGCATGGGCGTGCAAAGCAGAGCGAGGAATGCCGGAATAGAAGATGCCCAGTGGATACCAAGATTTTGGTACATGTACGAGGTAAACAGTGGGAAGATGCACCCAAACGAAGATCGTAGAAAACAGTTCGCGGCCAGCACGGAGGCGGCATAGATTGTGTATGTGTCTATCAAATAATTTTGAATGGGCATATACACTGTCACCATACCAAATCCAAATGGCACACCTGCGGCGATCGACGACATCCAATGGATGGAAGGGGAATTGGTCCAGGCGAACCAGAACAGACCAATCGGAAGCATGATACTACCGAAGAAAGCGGAAGGCAAGCGTGCTTCAGGACCTAGGCGGCCTGGTGCTGCGAGGGTTTGCTTTCTATAGCTGAAATAAACGGGTACGTTATAGACAATTGAGAATAGTATTCCCACCAACACGCCTAGGAAGGCAAGGCCGCCTTTTCCAGGATTCCAGCCACGAACTTCTTCAAACACGATAGGGTAGGCGTCGAAGAGAAGATATAGAGTACCATAGATAATAGAGGTGTAGATACTGAGAAGGAGCACAATCGGCTCGCGGATAAGTAGGATAAAGGGCCGAGATAGGATAACTTTGACTTTAGTGCTTGTCGGGGTATGTTTAGCTTCAATATCACGCTTAAAGGCATATGATTGCCCCGACAACTTCGATAGCCTCTTCGCTCGCTCCCGCAACAGGACTGGCGCGTATGTTTCTGGTAGGAATATAAGGAGGAGCAGCCACATGAGACCACCGAAGGTTGCTGCTAATCCTTGACACCAGCGCCAACCTCCGCTTTCAACTAAAAAGCCGCCTGTAATAGGCCCGAGTGTTGGGCCAAGGAATGCCGTGGCGGCATATAAGCTGCTATAAAGACCGCGGTCAATAGCAGGGTAGATGTCAGAGATAACTCCGCCAGAGACTGCCATCGGAGCAGATCCAAGACTGCCAGCGAAGAATCGAAGAATAATCAGAGTCCAGATATTCTGAGCACCGGCTGATCCAGCTGTAAAAACGGTGAAGAACATCAAGCTCATGCCCAAGACGAAGCGCCGTCCATAGGCTTCGCTCAGCGGCGCCCACAATAACGGTCCTAATGCAAATCCAAGGACGAAAAACGAAAGTCCTAGGATTGCAACCTCTTTACTGCATCCAAAATGGCTTATAATATCACTTACGCCAGCTGCGTATTCGGATGAGCCTAACGAGACAGCGAGACTGGCCATCGAGGCCATGAATGTGACGCAATATTTTAGGCCGTTCTTGAATTCTAAAGGATTCCTGGGGTCTTCCGACATCCAGGAAACAATGATAAACGGATCATCATCAGTCCCGCTACCCTCATATGGCGCATTGATAACTCTTTGATTCACAGCGCCCTGGTCAAAGACCATCCGCCAATAAGGAATTCTGGATGATGGTACACAGCCTTTCACCCCATCTTTTAACGCTAACATTGGACGTAATTTGGGGAATTTCCCCAGGAAATTTGGCGCAGGGCGGAATACGTTGAAAAGAGAGACGTGACAGGGACGTACTTTTCGCCACGGGGGACATCGATTTTGATCATTTCGCTCCTGATGTCGTCAGACATAAAAGTCAGAAACTAATGAACATAATAGGATAGATAATTTCACAGGTTGCAAGTGACCCACAATCGGCAAGGTCGGCACATCCGATTATGGGCTACTCAAATATACTAAGTGCAATTATCAGCCAAGGATCATCCTTGGTAAATAGATCATGGTAGAACTGACCCATTACATTGAAGATCTCAGATATCATAATTCTAACATTCCAATCATTCGGTGGAAAGGGGGCCGAAGGGTTCAATGTAACTGCTTCACATAGCTGGAGATCGTCGGTGATGACGATAAGCACAAAGACAAAGAAGAACCAATGAGCTTTTCAGCTTAAAAATAAGTGGAGCTCAGACAAAGTTCAGACTGTGTAGATCTGATACTCATTGGTCACGTGGCTTGGCATCCAAGTCCCAAGATATAAGGCTAGTCCTAAAGTAGACTAGGCTATTTTACTTGAGAAGTATGTAAGTATGCAATTGTAATTCGAGGATTTAGCAACTCCGACGTCTTGTGAAACATTTGAATCGATAAATTGAATATTACGAGTGATAGTGAGTTTGTATCAACCACACCCTAGTCTAATATCACAAAAAGATAAGAGATGAACTTGCTCCAATAGTATGTGTGAGCTGTGCCCTTTCGTCGAAAAATAGTGAGGTCAAAAGTACCCAAATGGTAGACCCCGGTCCTTAGGCCATCAAATAATCTTCCAGGAATTCAGCACAAGTGTTCAAAATAAAGACGAAAGGACATGTTGTCGCAGATATCATTGGCAGGTACGTATGTGACCCCCTTATGTCCTCCCCTCCTCCCAGCAGCACACGCCCCTCCTGATCTCAACACCATCCTTTGAGAACACACCCAATCCATCCATCCATCCATCCATCCATCCATCTATCTATCTATCATGGCTAATACCTCCCGGATCTGGCTTATCACTGGCACCTCGTCCGGATTTGGCCTGGAGTTGGCTAAAGTGGCTGCCCAGCACGGGGACCGCGTGTTAGCCACCACACGTAGTCCGCATAAATTAGCCAAGCTCGAGTCGTCCAACCCTAACATCAAGGCTGTCTACCTAGACCACAACGAGCCCCCAGCCCAGATCCAGGCAGCGGTCAAGACTATTCTAGCCGTCTATGGCACGGTCGACATTGTCGTCAACAATGCCGCCTACGTGCAGACAGGCGTGCTTGAAGAAACCACCCCAGAAGAGACTCAGCGTCAGTTCCAAGCTAATACCTTTGGCCCACTTAACCTTTACCGCGCCCAACTGCCACATTTACGCGCTAAGGGGTCGGGCACTTTGGTTACTATCGGCTCTATGGCCGCCTGATACCCTACGGCTGGCTGCAATCTCTATAACGCCTCTAAGACCGCCCTGCGCTGGCTCGGACTTGGGCTGGCTGGTGAAATCTCCCAGTTCGGTATCAGCCACTGTTTAGTCGAACCGGGCTTCTTCCGCACCGAGTTACTGAATCCGACAGCCAATATTACTACGACCGCCAAGTCCTCGCGTCTATCGGCCTACCAGGAGTTAAACGACACCACCGACTCCAACTTCGCCGCCTTTAACGGCGCCCAGTTGGGTGACCCTGTGAAGGGCGCGAAAGTTATCTACGACGTCGCCACCTCCACGGGAGTCGCCGAGGGGAAACCCCTACCTGTTTTCTTGCCCTTAGGAAGTGATGACATCGAAGAGATTACCAAGGCCGCATCTGAGACCTTGGCAGTGATTAAGGAATGGCGGGAGATTAGTTCCTTGACGGACCTTCCCAAAGGTTCGTAATTATGTACCTGGTGTCATGGACCAGGTGGCTATGTTGTTGTGTGTTAGCTAGCCTATAGCGCCCTGTCATTGCCGATTCCTGTTAACTATTTACGTTCTCTTGTTGTCTGTTGTCCATTGGCCACCTTACCGGCATGCCGTATATACTTACTTCGTCTGTGCCTACCAGTCCTTTCCTAGTCATTTGATGAATCCACTCTGTTCAAAGGCATACGCTGTATTATATCCTCTCGGAGCAATGGGGTGGTAACTTACCACTAGTAATCGCGTGGCATCGCTGGAGACCACATTTCTTTTGTTTTTTTGTATGAAATGCTGGGTCAATATGACGAACTCCGCAGGAGAAAGATTACAACCTTTCCTATCTCGGACTGATGATTCCACGCGTACTTTGATCATATAGCGTAACACCATTTACTTTGTAGAATCTGTTCTATAAATGTCCCAGCTTCGAGATATTTCCCTGCAAACAAGGCAAACCGCAGTAGACTTGCTTGTGCCTGGACAGTCTGGCAATCCATCTTCCTCTTCCCCCTTCTCAGCATCGGAGACTAGCACCACTCTTGATTACCATAAGACGCTAATTTTCTTTCTTATCTAGGGAAACAGCCAGGGCAATTGACAAATAAGATATTGGCCTTGCTTAGCGCAGTCCATTGGTTATATGTTAGATGTGCCCACTGGAATTTCTTGTCTAACCGGCAGTGACTATAATATAACTGGCTGCTGATGCTTATTATTGTAAATATGCAGGAATGCTGACACGCTAGCAATCTGTGGTTTCGAAGTCTAAGATGATCTATGCTAAATGTAGACTGAGGTGGATTTTGCCAAGATTTAAAAAGAAGCAGGCTAACTGTACTATCACTAAATGAAGAATCTGAGTAAGGTGTAAAATTGGTCAGTAAGTCGAAAGGAAATCTACTCCCCGATGTATGATGATGTAATATTTGGTCTACAATTTCATGCAGATTTTGTGATGTGGCGTAACTAAAATGTCAAATAAATATATATTTCTATCCCTTACATTACTCAGTAATACTATTAATGTGACTAGATGAATGTCCTTAGAGTATACAGTCGCCCCCTCCCCTGCTCTCTGTATGATGATGCTTCCCTAGCCATAGTGTTCGTTATTCTTTTCGATATTTTGCTCTAAAGCTTTATCTCTTAAACCATTTTCTACATCCGGAATAAATAAGTCATCAGCAATATGAAGTTCTTAGCTATCCTCTGTACAGTGGGCTTTGTCGCTTTTGCGGTTGGAGGACCTACGCAGGCTAAAAGCCATGTAATAAACCAAGCCGAAAAAAGACAAGTAAGTATTTCACCCTCGCCCTGCTTGAGATAGCTTGAGAATAAAAAGCTAATGAAGATGAGACGTTAATAGAAAGTAAGTGTTTGAACCCGTCCTGCTGGAGAGAGGGCCTGAGAATATACAAGCTAATGAAGATGGGATGTGGATAGAAAGTAAGTGTTTGACCCTGTCCCGCTGGAGAGATAGCTTGAGAAAGCACAAGCTAATAGAGATGGGACGTGGATAGTTTGTAAGTGTTCTGCTTGAAAGATGTATTGAGAATATGCCAGCTTATAGAGATGTAACATGGATAGGATTTATGTTGCGACAGCCGAGAAACAAGGCCATCCACAGACGGAAAGTATTTCGGCCGAAAAAGCTTCTGCCGAGACAGTGACTCGGGAACTAGATTAGTATATCACGACATCCTTGAACGATATGCATTCATCGCAAACGACACCCTTGAGCGATGTGCATCCGCGACAGTAATGTCCCGTCTTCACTGTCTCTTCTGTCTCGGACGAATGTTGACATTCGTCCAGGGCAGAGGGGCACCCATATACTATAAATAGCTAGTTCTTTCATCAATGAAAAAGCAGACTTCACAACAACCGCGATATTCAACTAGTAGGAATCCACTACCAGACCGGTGGATTGTCTATGGTGTTGAGTAGCGGTTTGTTGGAGCTCACCGTTCTCAGTCAAGATATTCGAATATCGCCAAGCGAGCGACACTGATCAGTTCTCACTCTTAGAGAACCTTTTCTCACTCCCAATTTTGTTTATAGATCAGGGAACTGAGAACCCATCCTTTTCTTTGATCAAAGACCACCACCTCCATCATCCCTTTTTGAAACCTCCACCATGGCTACTCCAGGAAGGCCCCCCGACTCAGAACGCGACACAGAACACCTAAACCCAAGAACTCCTATGCGACAACATCCAACACCCGGCCAATACCCTGTCTCCCCAACACCTCCTATACGCCTTACACCTCTTGATGAGATCAAGGAACTGTTCAGACCTATGGAGGAAGAATGGAAGGAGAGAGTCGCACAATTCGACCAAAGAATGAACGAAGATCCTAACAATGCCTCACTCCTTGAAGTTGCTGAGTATATCGAGACTGCGATGTTCCTCTATACACGACAGAAACTTTTCAGACAAAGACTATGGTACCACTTCATCGCTGACTTCAAATTCTTTCCTATGGAGACATGGGAAAAAGTTCCTATATGACTGAAAGCACACATTCGACAATACCTTATGCAAGGAGGAGTATATGTTAAGCCATCGCTCCTAGACGAGCTAAGCCAAGTACTCTTCGACCTCGCGTAAACATGTGAAATGCATAACTGGACGATGGATGAGATTGAACAATCTCTTGCTAAAGTTATTCCAAATAACCCAAATCAAGTCAATATGGAACTTAAAAGGATCAAGGACGAAATGCGACAATTAGCGGAAAATGACGAAATACGACAACTGCAATAGGAAATGGAACGAGAGGACACCACATCAATTTATGTCCGACCAACTCGAATAGATAACCCATTTTCTACTCAAGACGCCTGGCACCAGGAATATGCGCAAGGAAACCTCCGATATCCGTCGTTACCAGGACCTAGAGAAGTCAAACCAGGAGCGGAGTATTACGCGAAATTTCCACCAAGCCAAGATCACGGTAATAGAGGTCCACCACCTTTTCAACCAGATTGGGAAACACAGAATAAACGACGACCTGAAAACATATACCCAGAACCACAACCAGACCCGCGACGAACAGATTACTCGAAGGAAGCAATGAATGTCCGAAAAACATACAAGAAAGAGCAATAGTATAGTGGCTTAGAGGACTCATTCAACCTGAAACTCGCTATCTTTGAAGACATCTGCCGACACTCTGGTTTACCACCAGAGGCATACGAAAAAGCGCTTTCAGCAATGTTTACCGGCCAAGCCAGCGAATTCTATTATACCTATAGCTTATCTTCAAAGTCCTTTACAGAAATATGTAGGCGAATCAAGGCACACTTTGAGAGTCCACTTTATGTGACCTAGAAGATGGTCCAATGGAATAATATCTCACTCTCGAAAACAATCCAAGAAAATCCGTCGCAGACAATCCTATAGTGTTTTGAACAAATGACTGAACAATTACTCAGAATTCGTCCAGCACTTAGTCAATATATGCAAAACGAAGAAGGATTTACGTAAAAGCTTAGCATCTATTGCTAAAACGTCCCAGCTTATCAAAATGCACTTTCTATACCATAGTCTGATCCGAATATGATGATTATGAGTCTTAAGACATCAATCGCGGCCTACGAAAACGCGCGCTAAAGGACTCAACAATATACCCAGGACACATTAGATAAAGCATGGATTACCGATCGAACCTTCCATAAGAAATAGAGACCAGATCGACGGAAGCAGGTTACCTGGAAAAGAGACTCTTCATCTTCACGAGCTGAAGGAAGATGTTAGGTCGACGGAAAGACGGAATGCCGATCATAGGACCATTCACCAGAGGAACGCGTAGCAGCTAGGAAACAATATCGTGAACGATTCACCAGAAACAATGGATCTGGAGATTTTAAATGACAGTTTCGACAATATATGGTTACATGCGAAGGTGAAGAACTCGATATTGAAGCCTTCAAAACTACTATTTCAGACTCCAAATCCGAACCTGAATCAGAATCCGAATCCGATGAATCAAGTGATAATGATGATAACTCCGAGACGTTCCTAACAACATTTGGGCTAGTACTAATATCAGATACACAGATCTGGCACAATCAACTCATGAATCAAGCTTATCTATATAGAATAAGCCCTTATGTCTAAGAGTCTAAGAGCGATCTATTTACATACACCACTACCACATCGCGGTATAATTCAGATATCTTTTACGGTATTCTGATCGACATAGGCGCATCCCGAAACTCAACAACTAGGTATAGTCAATTTCTAGCTTTACAGAAACTAGAACCTAGTATCCAACTCGATAAATCGACCGCCGGACAAATCAATGTTCAATTCGGCATCGGGACTAGTGGATCAATCGGATCAACAGACATCAAAACACCTATAGGAACAGTTCAATTCCACGTCGTGAACGTAGATACGCCATTCCTATTATGCCTCGCTGATCTAGACCGTCTAGGGATCTATTATGACAATTTATAAGATGTCCTAATAGGGAAGACAGGCCTTCGGATACTAGTAAAACGACAATTTGGGCATCCATTCCTTCTCTAGAAAGCAGCTCCTATATATATCATAGCATTTGTTCAAGGATCTGCCGAATGTCTGTTAACAGATACTAAGTTACGCAGAATTCACCGACGACTAGGGCATCCTGCCGTCGCCCGCCTTAAAGCAATTCTGAGTAGAGCAGGACATGAGGTAGAGAGGAATGCGCTTAAACATATCACCAAGTTTTGCGAACATTGCCAGAAGTTCGGGAAATCACCAGGACGATTCCGATTTACCCTTTAAGACAAGGATGGCGACGCATGTTTCAATCATAGCATCATTATTGATGTAATGAGTATCGATGGAGATCCAGTTCTTCATGTTGTCGACGAGGCCACAAGCTTTCAAAGTGGAAGATGGTTACAAAAAGGAAAAGGCATGACAGCTAAACATGCGTGGGAAGTATTACGACTCTATTGGATCGATGTTTATCAAGGACCCCCGGACAATATCATAAACGACGCAGGAACCAATTTCGATAGCAAAGAATTCAGATATCTTGCAAAAACTATGGGAACCACAGCAAAGACAGTTCTAGTCGAAGCGCATAATTCTGTGGGAAAAGTCGAGCGATACCATGCTATGGTACGACGAGTCTATAACATTATTAGACGAGAGCTTAGTGACTCCATAGGAATAGGGGAAGCCAATGTTGATAAGGAACTAGCTCTCCAGATGACATGGAAAGCGATCAACGACTCGGTCGGACCAAATGGTCTTATCCCTACACTACTTGTTTTTGGAGCGTTTCCGCGACTCGCGGAGCTAGACGCCCCATCGCCAACAGTCATACAGCGCGCTGCAGCTATTACAAGAGCGATGCAGGAAGTCAAGAAACTATGAGCAAAACGACAAATTCAAGACACCATGAACATACGAAATGGACCTATCACAGCCGCTACACGAGGATTACCACTAAATTCTCCTGTTCTTGTCTAGAGAGAAAAGAAGAAAAAATGGATAGGGCCATTCCCACTACTCTCAATCGACGGAGACATATGTGTTGTCGATAGCAGCGTCAAAGGCCCAAGATCGTTCCAGATAACTATCGTGAAGCCATTCCTAGAAGAAGAAGACCAGCAAACCAATACGCCACTAGACGCACAGAATAATGGTATATAATATGATAGTCCAGATATATAGCCTAATACATAGCCTAATATATAGCTGTATAAGGATCCACCATTTAGCGTCATCATCGACAATAGAGGCAGGAATTTACAACAACCAAGATATACATAACATCTAAAGCGCCAAGAAGACGAAGACATAGATAAAGAAGATTCGGAAGATGAAATCAATACTATCTTCCTGAACACCCCGACGCCAGACTTTCGCGCCTCTCGATAAAGCGAAATCAATGGATTACTAGCTAAAGGAGTCTTCAAATTCGTGCCTCGAACAGAAATGCCTAAAGGAATTCGACTCTTTAATTCCAGGTTCGTCGATGAGATCAAAAACGCAGGAACAGATCAAGCGAGAGAAAAGTCACGACTCGTGGTGCAGGCATATAACGACCACGGAAAAGAATTTGTTCTGACCTAAGCACCTACGATTCAACGTGTTAGCCAAAGAATAATTCTATCTATCGCTACGATGCGAGACGATTCAGATTTATACCTTCGTGATATCTCATAGGCATATGTGCAGTCGACATCAGACTTGAACCGATAATTCTATATGCGACCCCCTACTGAATTTGGTTTACTAAAGGACACCGTCCTAAAAGTCTTAAAGCCCCTTTATGGAATCCCGGAAGCAGGCAATCATTGGTTTCAGACATACTATAAGCATCATCTTGAAAAGCTAGGAATGGAGCAATCCACCTATGATGTATGCCTCCTCTATAGCAAGAAACACTTTGGAATTGTTGGAATACAGACAGACGACACTTTGATCCTCGCGAATGCTACATTCATTAAGAAGGAAGAGGACGAACTACAGAAGGCGCAGCTTCTATCGAAACCGCTTTAAAAGCTCACAGAGGTCAATCCACTTGAATTCAACGGCAGCATCATCCGAAAAGGCAAAAACAGGATTACAATTTCGCAAATCGATCAATGCCGACGCCTAAAGACCATCGCCACCAAAATCGTTTCAAAGGATGCATATATCTCTCAACGCGCTCGTGGAGCTTATATCGCATCAGTTTGCCAACCAGAAGCCACATATGACTTATCCTTTTCAGCTTAAGTCATCAACCCAAAAAAGGAAGATGCGGAGAGATTAAATAGGCGCATCTAATGGCAAATCGATAATCAAGCGAGAGGACTTCACTTTGTTAAGCTTCAAGAAGACACGCTACAGCTTATCGCATTCGTTGACGCATCATTTGCAAGAAATCGTGATTCAAGCAGCCAGATCGGATATATCATCACTATGGCTGATGGATACGGACAAAACCAGGTCATTAATGCCAATATCCTACACTAGTCATCCATCAAATGTTATAGAGTTACTAGGAGTGTGCTCGCCGCCGAGCTATATGCCACATCATATGGAGTGGATATCGCTTTCGTAGTCAACCAAACCTTAAATAAAATCCTGCGTGCGGTAGAGCATTTACCCAGAATTCCCCTAACACTCTGTACAGACTCACGCTCAGTATACGATGCAGTCACACGTCTCGGGACTACACAAGAAAAACGACTTATGATCGACATCATGGCACTACGTCAAACATATGAACGACGCCAGATGGAGCTCAAGTGGATCGCAGGAGGATCAAATCCTGCCGATGCGATGACGAAGGAGAAGTGTGGAAACGCACTGAAGGAGTTGATTGATACAAATCAGATCGACTTAGAGACCCTTGGTTGGGTCGAACGTTAAGTTTTTCCTACTACAACTTTTACGAATTACGGCCTACATGATATTTATGCACCCAAATTGGTACAATTGGCATCGCGTTCTGCACGAAATGATGAAGCTTGTTTCTCTATTTTCAATGACATTTAGAGTTGCTCTAGTGTTGCGACAGCCGAGAAACAAGGCCATCCACAGACGGAAAGTATTTCGGCCGAAAAAGCTTCTGCCGAGACAGTGACTCGGGAACTAGATTAGTATATCACGACATCCTTGAACGATATACATTCATCGCAAACGACACCCTTGAGCGATGTGCATCCGCGACAGTAATGTCCCGTCTTCACCGTCTCTTCTGTCTCGGACGAATGTTGACATTCGTCCAGGGCAGAGGGGCACCCATATACTATAAATAGCTAGTTCTTTCATCAATGAAAAAGCAGACTTCACAACAACCGCAATATTCAACTAGTAGGAATCCACTACCAGACCGGTGGATTGTCTACGGTGTTGAGTAGCGGTTCGTTGGAGCTCACCGTTCTCAGTCAAGATATTCGAATATCGCCAAGCGAGCGACAATTTAAGTGTTTGATCCTGTATTGCTCGAGAGATGGCTTAAGAATATACAAGCTAATAGAGATGGAATGTGATATTATGTAAGTGTTTGACCCCATTCTGCTTAAGAGATGGCTTGAGAATACACAAGCTAATAGAGACGTGACGTAGATAGGTTGTAAGTGTTTGACCCCATCTTGCTTGAGATATGGCTTGAGAATATGCAAGCTAATAGATATGGGATGTAAATAGGCTGTAAGCGTTTGATTCTGTCTTGCTTGAGAGATGGCTTGAGAATATACAAGCTAATAGATATGAAACTTGGATAGCTTGTAAGTTTTTGACCCCATCCTGTCTTGCTTGGGAATACATAAACTAATATAGATGGGACGTGGATAGGATGTAAGTATTTAACCCCGTCCTGCCTGAGAGATGGCTTGAGAGATGACTTGAGAATATGCAAGCTAATAAAGATGGAACGTTGATAGGCTGTGAGTGTTTGACTCCGTCCAGCTTGAGAGATGGCTTGAGAATTTGCAAGCTAATAGATAAAATGTGGATAGGACGTAAGTGTTTGACCCCGTTCTGCTTGAGAGATGTCTTGAGAATATACAAGCTAATAGAGATGGAATGTGGATAGGATGTAAGTGTTTGACCCTCTCCCGCGTGAGCAATAACTGGACAAGGCCTTTATAATAATCATACCTAGTAAATACCTCCTTTTATGGGATATGCATGTTGCTGCAATATCGAAGAAACTTTATCGACGTAAGGACTGAGAACCAAGTTAACTTTAACATCTATTGATATATCTGCTAGCAGTTCCGAATCGCAGAGGCCTTTTCCGACGAAAGCTGGGTGTGGTGAAACGATTAGGCTTTTAGATTGAATAGTGTTATTTATATGTCTTGGTCAAGGTCTTCCCTATTTGATTAGGTTTTCCTTCACTGTCATGCGAATGCAAAGGCATTTTTTATACATGGTACGATAATGGTTCTGTATTAATTGCCAACCCCCTAGGATATAGTCATATATTTGTAGATGTCTTCTGTCGGTTCAGGGATCTCGATGCACTATTACTACTACGTTGGTACGTGGAATAATTTGTGCGGTAAGATGTGTGTTCATTCTAAGTTCCTGTGATGGAATCGGATATGCCCCGATTCCACTAGTTCTATTCACTTCCCGAGTCCATTCACTGAAGTAAACCGGATTCCATTGGTTCCAACATTTTCTCCGATCTCAATCTTCTTTTACGAAAGACTTTCTGTTTTATCACATTCACCAGGTTCTTCTTTTAAGGCTGATGGCTTTCTGTCGGAACATATGTACGCAATTACATTGGTCTGACGTTGGAACTTGGAGTTACGAGCTTCAGTAAGCAGGTCACGAGAGCTCCACTCTGGAAGGTATATTTACCCTCTGGTAGCTAGACTTGAATGGATACACTTCTATGCACCTATTCCACTACGTATTCATACTGGCTTGGCCGAGTAAAACTCCCTTCAGGCTGGACTTGTGGAACGCATGGCACTGTCCTTCAGATGTAGTCTGTCGACTGTCCCATAGATTATAATTCAGGTAGGTGGATAGGTAACTAGCACCAGTTTCGGAGCGTACTGCACCGGTGGAAGTGGTCTCGAAATAAAGAGAACCTAGTAAATGATGGGTCTCAAATTCATATTCACTTTCAGTCTCACCTTTTTTTCTACTTTTAATTTCACTCTCAACCTCACTTTCACATTCTCTTCCAGATCCGCGAGAAACAAGGTAGTTACGGGATGTCGGGAGTACTAAGCCAGATTGAGAGTATATGGTGAGCATTTTATGCGAGGAGAGAGATTCCATCGATTCTCTTTTGAAGTTGCGGTTTTCATTAAGGCAAGTAGTATAAGTCTTTTTCCTGGATACCTGAGCATTGATTTACTTGTTTAAGTGTGGCATCCCGAGGCCTTTCATCTCAAAAATATATGTTTTCTTTCAAGAGGTTGTAAATATCTGTCAAATAGACTGAGACTGGCTGGCCAATCATTCAAATGCCACAAATGAATGAAACTGAATTTTCTAACTAGAACGTAATCTGGCTTAAATACACACCTAAAAGTGGGTCCCGAACCATTCCTTTGACAATACTTGATAAATCAACGTAGAGTGTGCCGGATTAGGAACTAGTTTAACGTCGATTTATCCAAATTCTTGTCAATTTCAAGCTGGTCTTCCAAATGTCCTAAGGTCCTATATCATTAGGTTTCTAAAGTTCCACGTAAAATTATTGATTGAGTTGATAAATCGACGCTTCCCTAATCGGAATTCTTTGCGTCGATTTAGCAACTCCATGCCATTGATCCAATCATTCATTTATCGTTGTTGTAATTAGTCACGTCTTCATTTCCTTAATAGAAAACTCAATTATAATTATGGATTCATACTAATAAGTAGACTCTAAAAATAATGAAAGTTGTCTCCAGATAGATGACATCGCAAGAAGAACTAATCATATTTTCGATAGCAAAGATAAAACACTCCAGATCTTGCTTAATCTTCTCCCGCAAAAACTTGTAAAGAGTATTTATCGTACTAAATAGTAACCAGAAGTTGATTGTGGTAATCACCTATCTAGGTAACTACAGTCTATAGAAATTTACATGACAGTAGAATCATGAGATCAAAGTTAGTTGTCTGAAAACACTTCCTTATCTCATGCATTCAATGGGTCGCCTGTGTTATCAGACCCGAAATTTCAAAGTAGCGTGAAAAATCATAGTTATATACGTCAAACCACTCCAAGCCAGCTCGCTCTGAATCCGTCTCTCCTCAATCATCATCTTCATCATATTCGCCGATAGACGAATCAACAAGAGCTTCCGGCGGCAACCGCTGTGGAACTTCGCCGTCAGAGTCCTCACTTCCTGAATATTCTTCGTACTGATGTTGTGCAGTAGCCGCATTGGCGCGGGTATTTTTTATAGTATCGTGATCTTCGTAATCATCAGGGTCGTCATCGCTAGCGGCACTTGCTGGGACGGTCTTTTTGCGCCGTGGCACTCTGAGCCATTTTCTCCAGCCCTTGACCACCTGCGTAGGTGGCGGGTCATTTTCGGTTCCCTCGTAGTAAAGTGCAGGGACGAGCATCTTGTATGGTACTGTGATACCTGAAGGATCGTGTGACGAAACCTCCATGTTCAAAATTATGGATAGTCCCCCTTCGAGGTTGATAAAGGCGCCTGCAGCATCGTCTGTATTAGCTCCCTTTTTGCCAGCGCTCTCGTTTAAGTGAGTCGGTCGTCGGAGCATGCCAGGGCGGGGTTCCGACGATTGACTTGCACCGGAGAAGTAACTGTCCCCGTTTTCATACGGACGGGGTACAGACGAATCGATGCTTGCGCGTCGACGTATCATGCCACTTTTTGGCTCAAAGTTTATCTCTCTTGTGGGAGGGGGTCCACGTCGTGTGGAAAATCTTCGAAGAAGACCATCAGACTTGTTGCCAGGCCCATTCTCATCTCTCCTATCACCTCGTCCTAGAGAAAGTGTTCGCTGGAGCATACCTGGACGAGGGCCCCGAGGAAGTGATGCAGTTGATAGTAGATTGGCTGATGAGTTTGATGCTGGGCGGTATTCTTGAATGGAACACCAATTGCGGCGTGGAAGTAGCTTCTTGTTGTTTCGAGGCTTGTCATCTGTGTCTTCAGTGAAGATTGGAATAACATCTTCGTCAGTATTTGAGTCCATATGATGCACAGAATTCCGTTTGTTGAGCATATCTGAGACCAAATCAGTCTCTGGCATATCAGCAATGGAAGACGAGATAACATTCGGCATGTACCGATAGTCCTTGTCTTTGGGGATATTCAAAGCGTGGTTAGAATAAAACTGTCCAATAGCACCTAGGTGAACATCACCACTGTACATTATGTATTAGCATATACTCGGCATAGTTTTTGTTTTGAATGAATGACTTACCTCAGGATCGTGACTCGGACAGATTTCTCTGCAGCGAGGTCTTGTAAATCTTCAACCAACCATGTTCGCTCAGCCTTTAGGTGTTTGCCTGCCCAGTGATCATCAAACATTTCCACATTTCCACCAGATCGGTTGACAAGACCACCAAGTATACCCGACTTGCCAAGAGACTTGCGACTATTGAGGAAGTTTTTGATCATTGCTCCTCTAGGATAGGCAATAGGCACACTTGAAAGTACAAGCAGATGCTTCGTCCTTCCCCTATGAATCTCATTGTGGCATCGATCCCAGATCAAATCGCACGTCTCCTCATAAAGCACCTCATTTCTCCGTCTCTCAGTCCGACAATCTAGACCCAAGAAAACCACATCACCACCCAGAGACATGAACAGATTTCTGCTCCTCTGTTCGATGTAAGGACCTGGTTGTGAACCAAGAATCCAGCTAGGCTCATCTATTTCCGTTTCATCAGGAACACTGTGGTGTTGGAACAGCAGATAGTACTTGAAGGCAATCTTTCCCAATCCGGAGATGACCACGCTTGACATAAACTCATCCTGATAAGATCCATAGCCCTCAAAAATCTCATGATCATTCCACATATTGATCATTGGGATTTGTGAATTAGCAAGGGAGAATAGACCCTGGGAATACCAAGAGGCATAGTGCTCTAGGTAAAATTTTTCGATCTCAGCTCGGAACTCTGGCGTGAATGGTGCGCCATATCTGTCTGCAGGATTTTTGATCTTCATCCATTCATGGAAAAAGTGGGAATTTGTGACAGAGTCGTTAAATATTTGGTCACCACCGCTGATAATCACGTGGAATGGCCGAGTTTGATGTTCATTCAGAATATCACGCCAGAGTGGATCAGGCCCGCAAAGGTGATCTGAGTCAACAGAAGGGCTGAATCCATTGCCACTATAGAACACCATATTCATAGTTTGACCCATAGCAGGCACCCAGAATCCCAGAGCAGGCCCTTGATTGATTCGGTACGCAATGCGCTGCTGCGTGGAGTTAAGCTCAATCTCAAGGTTAAATCTCCAAAATGTCACATCCCTTGCAGTATCGACATAGAGGCGGACTCCAGGCATCTGTCGTTGCAACCCTTCTGTTTCGCCATCAGTAGGATGAATGCGATTTGAAGGAACGGGTTGGTGCGCCCCTTCGACACTGTAGTCGATGGTGCTGGGTTTCAACTCGTAAAGCCCATCGTCGTTTTCCATGGCCGAAAGGTCTAATCCCTCATCGAGATGTTCGACGGGCTTGACGTAAAGTGGTCGTCCATCTCGGCCAACTTTCATGAGACCGGCTATCGGGTCAACATACTCAGGCGCTAGTCGCACTTCACTTATCTCGGTAGGTGGAGGCGGTAGGAGATCCATCGGTTGGGAGAAAAGTCTCAATGTGGGAGGGCTGACCCGAGAGGAGAGAGAATCTTTTGTCACGATCATAATAGAACCTCGCCATAACTCCTTGTCCGCGGCTCCCTCTTCACTTATTTTCTTGATGCCTGTAAAACGCAATAAAGGTCCACATAGTAAGAAAAGTTTGGGCTGGAAGTTCTTATGATCAGATACTCCTATTTTACGTGTTAGTCCCTTTTCAGAAGAATAACCAAATATGTCTCACCTGTCAACTTCTGAGCTGGGGTTTTATAGTTTTTGGGGAGAGCTCTGCTCTGTCTTCGATTGGTTGTTCCAGCACCTTCCCACCACGCCTTGCCTTGAGCCATATCAAGACGCTGGAAGTCAAAGTCTGTCGAGTCGAGGCGTAAAATAGGTGAATTTTTCCATTCAAAAATTGGTGGAGGTGTGGGCGGTGGTACGTTGAATGACACCTTTGGCTTAGAATAAGACTCCACGCTATCATGGGCCGTGCGTAATATTGGTGAGACTTCCTCTCCCCCATTGTTAACGATGGCTGTAGAGGACACAATAGGGCTTTGGCCGAGCTTTTGAGGCTTCTGTTGCGATGAGTAGGGACTTTTCATACTGCTGATAGCTGGTGCTGGTTTTGCCGCCGATCCACTTATCGTTACTGGTCTCCGTGGAACATTAACAATGTTTTCCAATGGTGGAATAGCATCCTCCGCTCGCAGGTGCTGAGCCTCTTTCGGGCGATGTATGGTTTTGTATTGAGGATTCATGGATACAGCCCTGTTGTGACGAGCTACAGTATTTCCTGGTTGTCGAGGACCTAGTGGTACATTTCGCTTGGGTGATTCTGGAATTACGTCTCTTGGCGGATTGTTTACCGCTGGGTCAGAAACACTCCAATTTTCCGTCCCTAAATTTTGATGTGGGCGTTGAGGATCATCGATTGCTGAGTCTTCCTCTCGCTCTTTCTCGGCTTTCTGGCGAGCGAGCCGTTTGCGAAGACGTTGTTCCGCAGCTTGTACCCGTGCTCGTTTCTCCTCTTTGCTGATTCCAGTGAGAGTTAGTTCAAGCTTTTGAAGAGGCGAGCGATCAGACGCCCAATCCCGCCGCTGGTCTGATGTGGAATGGGTTGTATTCGTAGTCGGCGATGACACACTTGTAGCTGTAGAAGAGCCCGGTGGTTGCACGTTTTCTCGAGAGCTGACATAGATTTCAGGAGGATTGGATGTTTGTCGAAAATCTCGAGGGCTAGCTGATTTCTGTGGCAAGATCGGAGGCATGTCTGGTATAGGCTTGCGTGTTGTATAATTCAGATTCCCCGCCGACAATTCACGGCTCTTTGACGTGACTGATACTGATCGCCTTGTATTTTCGACAGTGCCTAAATCTGATGGCCCACTGGGCGCAGGGAGATTGGACTCAGAACCAACGATCGCGCCATCATTATAGCTCGCGATGCTCAACTCGCTTGTGCTGTACTTGTGACTTGTTTGTGTTGCTCGAGGGTCGTTGGCATATTGTAAGTTCGAACTTCCATTTGCCATATCAGGGGAGCCACGCAGTGTGGCCGCAGCCATCGTAACAATCTCTCGGTAAAATCCTCACGGGGTGTGACAAGCCAGTAGTTGAGGTTGGACTTGTCAGTTATTAGGCATAAGCTGATGTGTCACGTGGTTTCGTTTATCTTTCATCGCCCAACTTTCATCCCTCCTTCTATCTTTCTTCTCTATCAAGCTAACAATCTGATTTGTGCACAATGCACTGAGGCTTCTCTACTTCTTATAGCATGCAGGACTGCAATATCCCTGTCAGCTGTTTGTTCCAATCGGTGTTTACAACATTGTTATTCCATCTAACTAATCCGGTAAAGCGGAGTCCGATCATTATCGACCCCACATGTTGGGGGGTCAACCCAGATACTATGTATGACGGAGACAACTTCAAGGTGCTCTGCTACAAAATTGAGAATATTTATCTCACGAAAGTAATGCCTTAGTATGATGGCTAGCGAACCTCCGAGTCCGCCTAACTAGGCCAAGATACTGATGTAGCACTTCACCTAAGCTAGTGTGTTATTGTCGACAGACTACGTCTGAAGGACAGTGCCATGCGTTTCACAAGTCGAGCCTGAAGGGAGTTTTACTCGACCGAGTCAATATGAATACGTAGTAGAATAGGTGCATAGAAGTGTATCGTCTAGCTATCAGAGGGTAAAAACCCCTTCTTATGGCACCCTGAACAGGTAATTTGCCGCCTGTTCGGCGTCAAAACTGGTAAATCAGGCTTAGTAGGGTCATTTTGAGTAGCTTTAACATCAGATGTATATGTTAAGATATACTTCGACCCAAACCAAACCAAAAACCAATGCCCATGTATAATCAGGCTTATGAATATTCAACCCGTGACGGAAAATATTTGATAGACTTGTTTTTTGGGCTTAATTAACATCAGCTTTTGCCTAATAGAATCTATGTAGTATTATCGTTGTAGAATACTACGCCAGGAAAAAAGATGTTTGTAAAAGTTTATCAACGAAAGGAATGATACAATACAGGAGAAGAGCACTGTGAAGATAGCATATTGTCATTTTGCGCCAGACAGTTCTAGTATTTCCACAATCTTGGAAAAGCCGCCTTTTGCTGCTGCTTGAATGGCTGTTCTGCCGTCATCTCCAGCAGGAGATGCGTTAACATCGGCTTTAGCTGCTAGTAGTGCCTGCACGACCTCGAGGTGACCACCTCCTGCTGCTGCTTGAAGGGCTGTTCTGCCGTCAAATTTATCAGGAGATGCGTTAACATCGGCTTTAGCTGCTAGTAGTGCCTGCACGACCTCGAGGTGACCACCTCCTGCTGCTGCTTGAAGGGCTGTTCTGCCGTCATGTCCAGCAGGAGATGCGTTAACATCGGCTTTAGCTGCCAGTAGTGCCTGCACAACCTCTAGGTGGCCACCTCCTGCTGCTGCTTGAAGGGCTGTTCTGCAGTAAGTATCTGCAGGAGATGCGTTAACATCGGCTTTAGCTGCCAGTAGTACCTGCACGACCTCGAGGTGACCACCTTCTGCTGCTGCTTGAAGGGCTGTTCTGCCGTCATGTTCAGCAGGAGATGCGTTAACATCGGCTTTAGCTGCCAGTAGTGCCTGCACGACCTCGAGGTGACCACCTCCTGCTGCTGCTTGAAGGGCTGTTCTGCCGTCACCACTTCCAGCAGGAGATGCGTTAACATCGGCTTTAGCTGCTAGTAGTGCCTGCACGACCTCGAGGTGACCACCTTCTGCTGCTGCTTGAAGGGCTGTTCTGCCGTCATGTCCAGCAGGAGACGCGTTAACATCGGCTTTAGCTGCCAATAGTGCCTGCACAACCTCTAGGTGGCCACCTCCTGCTGCTGCTTGAAGGGCTGTTCTGCCGTAATAATATGCAGGAGATGCGTTAACATCGGCTTTAGCTGCTAGTAGTGCCTGCACGACCTCGAGGTGACCACCTCCTGCTGCTGCTTGAAGGGCTGTTCTGCCGTAATAATATGCAGGAGATGCGTTAACATCGGCTTTAGCTGCCAGTAGTGCCTGCACGACCTCGAGGTGACCACCTCCTGCTGCTGCTTGAAGGGCTGTTCTGCCGTCAAATTTATCAGGAGATGCGTTAACATCGGCTTTAGCTGCTAGTAGTGCCTGCACGACCTCGAGGTGACCACCTCCTGCTGCTGCTTGAAGGGCTGTTCTGCCGTAATAATATGCAGGAGATGCGTTAACATCGGCTTTAGCTGCTAGTAGTGCCTGCACGACCTCGAGGTGACCACCTCCTGCTGCTGCTTGAAGGGCTATTCTGCCGTCACCACTTCCAGCAGGAGATGCGTTAACATCGGCTTTAGCTGCTAGTAGTGCCTGCACGACCTCGAGGTGACCACCTTCTGCTGCTGCTTGAAGGGCTGTTTTGCTGTTATGTTCAGCAGGAGATGCGTTAACATCGGCTTTAGCTGCTAGTAGTGCCTGCACGACCTCGAGGTGACCACCTTCTGCTGCTGCTTGAAGGGCTGTTCTGCCGTTATGTTCAGCAGGAGATGCGTTAACATCGGCTTTAGCTGCCAGTAGTGCCTGCACGACCTCGAGGTGACCACCTCCTGCTGCTGCTTGAAGGGCTGTTCTGCCGTCACCACTTCCAGCAGGAGATGCGTTAACATCGGCTTTAGCTGCTAGTAGTGCCTGCACGACCTCGAGGTGACCACCTTCTGCTGCTGCTTGAAGGGCTGTTCTGCCGTCATGTCCAGCAGGAGACGCGTTAACATCGGCTTTAGCTGCCAATAGTGCCTGCACGACCTCGAGGTGACCACCTCCTGCTGCTGCTTGAAGGGCTGTTCTGCCGTCATGTCCAGCAGGAGACGCGTTAACATCGGCTTTAGCTGCTAGTAGTACCTGCACGACCTCGAGGTGACCACCTCCTGCTGCTGCTTGAAGGGCTGTTCTGCCGTCATGTCCAGCAGGAGATGCGTTAACATCGGCTTTAGCTGCCAGTAGTGCCTGCACAACCTCTAGGTGGCCACCTCCTGCTGCTGCTTGAAGGGCTGTTCTGCAGTAAGTATCTGCAGGAGATGCGTTAACATCGGCTTTAGCTGCCAGTAGTACCTGCACGACCTCGAGGTGGCCACCTTCTGCTGCTGCTCGAAGGGCTGTTCTGCCGTCACTTCTAGCAGGAGATGCGTTAACATCGGCTTTAGCTGCTAGTAGTACCTGCACGACCTCGAGGTGACCACCTCCTGCTGCTGCTTGAAGGGCTGTTCTGCCGTAATAATATGCAGGAGATGCGTTAACATCGGCTTTAGCTGCTAGTAGTACCTGCACGACCTCGAGGTGACCACCTCCTGCTGCTGCTTGAAGGGCTGTTCTGCCGTCATGTCCAGCAGGAGACGCGTTAACATCGGCTTTAGCTGCCAGTAGTGCCTGCACAACCTCTAGGTGGCCACCTCCTGCTGCTGCTTGAAGGGCTGTTCTGCCACCAAATATAGTAGGAGATGCGTTAACATCGGCTTTAGCTGCTAGTAGTGCCTGCACAACCTCGAGGTGACCACCTCCTGCTGCTGCTTGAAGGGCTGTTCTGCCGTAATAATCTGCAGGAGATGCGTTAACATCGGCTTTAGCTGCTAGTAGTACCTGCACGACCTCGAGGTGACCACCTCCTGCTGCTGCTCGAAGGGCTGTTCTGCCGTCACTTCTAGCAGGAGATGCGTTAACATCGGCTTTAGCTGCTAGTAGTGCCTGCACGACCTCGAGGTGACCACCTTCTGCTGCTGTTTGGAGAGCTGTTCGGCCATTCAATATAACATCGACGCTAGCCCCTACTTCGAGCAACACTGACAAGGAACGATTGCATCCATCTGCGGCAGCATGCGACAACCCACGATCCAAGATGTCGCTGGTATTCTGAAACTTCACTAACACCTCAGTGTAGCGATAACGATTGCGAATGTCGGCGCGGCGAAGAATTTCATGCTTCATCTCGTCGGTCAGAAGGTGAGATTGATGTTTCCCAAAGTATAAAAGTAATGCGTAATGTTCACGGGACAATAGCCATTGCATCGCGTTCGGCATATTATCTGCCTTGAAGTGGGTATGTTGCTTCGGCTCCCAAGGTTTGCATGCAGCAATGTCATTCCCTTCTATACATCGGCAAAACAATTGCCATTTCTTACTGCTCGCATCGTCGGTAAAATCACTTAGATGATAGAGCCAGTAATCCATAGCATAGTTTCGAAACTGAAACCCTTGCTCCTGGATTCCAAGCTTCAGCTGCACAGACTCTTCATATCCAACTGCATCTCGTGCCGTCCTCTCTATTTCTCGAGCACTGAGATTGCGCAGGCTGCGAAGTTGAGATAGAATTTTCTGGGCCACTTTACTGCTCACTCCGCTGGATGAGTATACGGGGAGAGTAACAAGCTGAAGGGGGTTGATGGGAGTATCGGAACCCTTGTTAAATTTCGTTAGCTGGTACTTGAAGTTGCTGAAGTCCAGATATGTCATGCAAAGGAACCCAAAATCCTGATCAATTTTTGTAATGTCAAATATGGCTTTGTGTAGATCGCTGGTGATAAAAAGATACTGCTTCACACTGTGATGCACATAGTGTACAGTGTCTTCCTCTTCATCGACGAATATGAATCCATAGCAACCGTTGAAAATCTTATGCATATTGTTGGGCATCTTTCCGTAGTCAAAAGACTTTTGATCTAGCGAGACGCTGAGAGCCTCTCGAAATTCCGTAACTGTCAATGGCCGCTTTACTATCCCGCAATATTCCAGTACTTTAATTGCCTGACTAGTCGCCCGTCCTTCTCGGACACGACGAAGCTTTTGATCATAAAGTTCAGATAAGCCAATTGGAAGATTTTTCAGTGCTTCCAAGATGTCATCATCACAATTCTGTGCGCAAAGCTCTTCGATGCAGAGACGAACCCAAAGGAACCTATGGGGTTTTTGTCTGTTAGTAAGGCATTTGGGATTGCGAGTTATAAAACTTGTTCCTCCCATAGATCTCCGGTTAGGTAGTGTTTGAATACTCACATTCCGTCGCTTCTGTCCCGTAGGGTATTGTATATCTTCGTAATGTGCGTTGGATCCCGGAGAGTCAAAACTTTCTCTTCCAGACAAATTTCTAAGTTTGTGATAATATAGCGATCTATGTCCGACTCAACCTTTTCTTTATTCACAGTGACTATATATTGCGGTATGTTCGCTTTGAGCAATTTCCTTTCAAGGCCAGGCCGGCCTGCGCAAAGGATTTTGAACCCTTCAAGACAGCTGTTGCAGAGCTCAGCCAAAGCCTGTCCCACCGCTTGAATCTGATGGTCCTCGCATTCATCCAGACCATCCAAGATAACATAGTACTTCTTATCGGCCTCTAGACGAGATAATAAAAATGAAATGACATCATTCGTACTGAGGTTCCGGCTGCTCTCCTCTAAAGCAAGTAGAGTTTCATATTTGCCTTGATCAATTTGATTATCAATCATTTGACGAGCCAAACTTCCAAGGATGTTCCTCGCGGACAAAAATGCTTCATCGTCGACGCGACAGAAGTAATAAGTCAAGATTTCGTTGCTCTTGCGCACCGCATGCAGCTGAGCCACCACATTAGACATGAGCACTGTCTTACCCATGCCAATGGTTCCTGAACACCAGAGTACCACTGTTTGTGGATCTTCATTCCATCTACAGAAGATTGACTCATTCTGAAGCCACTCAGCTGTGGTCGAAACCCTTTGCCTCAAAGCCTGTCTCCAAGGAGAAACATGATTGACGAGAGAAAGGTTATTTCGAATGCTCATCTTCAATGTCGCTGTTTTTCTCTTTCTCCTATCAATTTGCAATTTGTCTACCTCAGCCTGGTGTTTCAGTGATGTTTGGAAGAAGTTTAGGGCCGAAGGTCGAAACTTTGAGTTCTGTCGGCTTTCATACTCCAGCAGCTGTTTTGCTTCTTGATCTGCTTGCTTTGACGCGAGTGATATCTGCAGTTTTATCTCATCTTTAGCCTCCTTAAGTCGATCCAGCAACAGTTTAAATTCGGAATCAAATGGGACCAGGATCGACGAAAGAGTTTGCTTGAGGGTGGTCCGACGGGAAACTTCAATGATCTTGATGCACAGATCAATGATGACGGCATAGTAATCACAAAGTGCACGTTGGAGACTAATGCAGCCGGGATATAGTAGGCCAAATAGTTGATATGTCGGACAGGATTTGCCGATTTCCATGATCATGCTAGTAACTTTGTCAAAGTAAGACGCGACATTGCTTGCCGTCAATATGGCAGTTTTCACACCACCCCAGACGAGGGCAGCGATAGTCGGATTACAGCTGACGAATGTGTCCACAACACCGACGAACTGCTGTGTTGCCTCCAGGAAGGTACACAACCGGGGAGCCACACATCTCCTGGTCATGCTACTGTTCTTAGCATCGATTTGTGCGACAAACTCGATGACACTCCCAATATCCGGGGTTGTGGTGTTTCCTTGGAAATCTCGCTTCTGCTCATCTGTCAATATATTCTGAAAATTCTCCAATGCTTTATTGAGGGAGTTTGCTGGGTCTGCCCCCTGATGCTTTACTCTCCGGGACAGTTGAAGAGCCATCAGGGAGACTGCGTGTAATACACAATGAAGACAACTGAAGTTTCTTGAGGGTGCAGATATAGGAAACTACGTTGATCTGATCATGGTCCTCCGTAACTTCCTTCAAGTGGATTTCAGAAGTTGCCCCAAGTTCAACTGCAGATGAGGGGAAGTCAGCCATAGAGGGTGCTAGCGTCGAATATCCCTGATTGGCGTATAAAACGATCCTATCTCGGCTAGGTGAGGCTGTGCCGCCCATGACCGACGCATCTCCCGCAAACAAATCACATCGCTTACGGCTGTCTGCGCCACTCTCCCCTCGACTACAGTTGATTTGTGCATATATCCATGGCTAATCCGGCGCAATACCAGTGGTGGGTGGATGTACAAGCTCGAAAATCTTCTATTAATGATAGCACCCCATTCCCTCTTACTGTGTCATATCTAGGGCACATTCTCGTTTTCATTATTAAAAATGCTTTCAATTTCCAGTTCCTGATTTTATTTGCCCATCATTTGGCTCTGCAAGGAGTTTCAGCTGGCGAGGTCTGCCTGGGATTTCGCAACCACAGATGGTCAGCAACTCAATCTTCCTCTCAGCCTATACATCATACGTTCCTCGTGCAATCCATCCTTTCGGCTTCGAGAATAAAACAGCAAATTTTCGGCAGTAAATCCTCGACCAGGGTCCCATTATTTGCTGGCCCCGCTGGAAGACTGTCCTAGATTGCATGGTAAAGGCAATACTTTGTAAAAGTCCTGAGGCAGTGCTAAGAAATTCAAAAAGAGGATCGCACTTACAAATATTGATAGTGGTCTGCGATTGGTACTGAGCAGTTCACCGAGTCTGAGCCCCAGACTAAAATTTACTGAGCGCCCTCATAAAAGCGGCGGCAACTAAGATAGGAAAGTCTCACCCGGTGGAGGAAATATGGTACGTATAGTTACCTAGGAATTTAAACAAGACCTACATAGTGATTTTGGTAATGAGATTTGGTGACGAGAACTTTCAACTCGTCATCCATGGATCGATCCATATTCTCCTTCCTGTAAGATGAATATTTCAACCTTGGAAGTCTATCATTCATGGATGTCAGCGCTGCTGAAATTTCAGGATAAATCCCACGGGTTATTCGTTGGTTTCATCGATAGGCTGTTCAGTGCAAATTTTCCCGCGAGCCTCCAATATATAGCTACTGTTGATACTCGGGCGTGCAGTTTTTGCATTCTCAGCGGAACAAAAAGAGAAGCCCGCATTGTGGCCACTCCAGGTATGATCATAGTACTGCGCACACAGATGTATGTGAAACTACGCTACCTAGCAGTGGGACTAGCCTATTGACATCGCTCTCGCCGGACACTCAACCGGCCTAGTAAGCAACTGGGCCCGTTTTGCTCGACGTATTTTTCTCCAAATTCACTCCCTCAGCCATCATTTTTCAGTAACGGTATCACCAAGGCCAATTATGCACTAAGCGTTTTACATTCAATATTTGTGTTGGCATATGATATGTTTCTTGGAAATGCTCGCTATCACGGCCAAAACTGGACAAATAAGGCTATATACCTTGTCCCTACCGTTACATGCTCTAAGGTTGAGCTCGAATTCTCTCTTGCGCCATATATTGGTTGAGCAGTGTAAATCGTGAGCCGGAATAAAAATGTTCGTTTGACAGACAAATCGGGCATCAAAGCTTTACTGTCATTCGGATAAGCAATAAAACATCATATCCCAAAGATTAGACCACATACTCTGTCATAGACTTCGAGCATGTTGGACATCGCCCATCGATAGGCGACATACCGGGGTAGTAAACGACTCGGTCTGTAGATTTGTAAAGCGATACCATGTCTTCTAAGCACTATCGGCCAATTTCACTGTCTAATGTTGTCTTTTTGAATAAATTCTCGCTCAGTCTGGAACGCTCTGGGATATATTTTCTGTAGATCTCGAATAGAGGTGTTATATCGCGTTCTGAGAAGTCATTTCCAGCAACATACTCATCGTATGAGGTATCCCACCACTTTTGAACAAATTGAGTTTTGCACGTCTGTAGCGCCCTCGCTTTCTTGTTGTAAAGTTTAGAGCGTTCAATGGCGAGATCTTTAAAAGTCATCTATTGTGACATTGGTTAGGTGTAGTGTCGCGTTAATTGAAAAGAAGTTTATTCTGCACGTCATAACTAATTGTGGAGAGCGGAGAGGGAAACCTTGGCAGAAAATCAAGTAGCAACTTTCTCAACCTTCTCAGGTGATATCACATACCTAGGCAGTTTGAAGCTCGATTCAACCCTACAAACAAGCTTGATTAGTTCCTTGCACAAGAGCATTCCAGTCTCAATGTTCCGCGCGGCATCGAGGCGCACGGGTGCATATCTCCCCAGACTTGTCCAAGCACCCCGGACTTTGACCCGATCAATACACGCCCATAATGTGCGCCCTACTCTCCAATCAAAATCCGGCAACGCAAACACGTTGAGCCGTTCGTTTCCTAGTCCGAGATATATCTCCATCGCTCAGCGCGTGCGCCTAAAGTTCCGTGAAGCATCGAAAGGAATATTCCGCAAAAACCCGGTTCTACTTCCTCTCGCCATTGTCTCAGTTGTCGGTGGAATTATTGCGTTTACCTATATTTCCTATGTCGAAATCACGCGCGTGAGCCCACAGTACACGAAGTTTCCACCACCAGTGGCTGATTCTTTGCGCACGGCGATATACTATACCGAAATTGACCTGAACCCGGCTAAGGCACTGAAGTCTTACAAGGAGGCCCTGCGGATAGCTATCGAGATGGACATGCACCCTTTCTCAGATGAGGTCCTGGGAATTAAACTCCAGGTAGCGATGATGCTGGAGAAAGCTGGATTAGTGAAGCCGGCGATCGATGTGTTGGAGCGGACTAAAAATGAGGCTCTGAGTTGGATAGACGAAGCGAGAAGGATAGAGCCTGTCGCATCTGGAATCTCGGAGCTCAAGGATGGAGCAGCCCAGAAGAAACCCATAACTGAGAATATTCAAATCAACGTGGAAGCTTCAGAAGATAAGGAGCAGGAATTGCTGGAATTACAAGAGTTTGAGGCTCAACAACGGGATCGAGCCTTAAAGAAGGTAGTTGGAATTCAAATGAAACTGGCTGAACTATACTCCAGCGACCATATCCAAGATGAGAAGAAAGCCGAGGCTGCGCAGGTCGCTGCCGTCGAGCTGTGTCTAAAGGAGATGCACCGCCGGCAAAAGCTTGGCCTCCCTGTTGGTGGAGGAGCTACCGAGGGCGCCGAGGGCGACTCCTGGCTGAACATGAGCGAGATTGCAGTTGCGTTGGCCGAACTTGCCTCTACTTATACTACTAATGAGCGCTATGATCTTGCTCTGCCGCTATACCTGCGCGCGTTGGATATGATCCGTGCAGTTGAGGGTGATTCACCATCATGCAAGCAAGTTGTACTACTGAATGACGTTGCCAGTGCCTTGGCCGGCCAGCTACAACAGCCATCCCGAACCCAGCAGAAGCAATCGGTGTCACGAGAGCAGTCTGTTGAAGCAGCTCGACAATGGGCACTGAAGTCTCTCGATGTTGCAGCCCATATTACGCCACCGATTCGCGACGAGGAGTGTGATTTAACCTGCGTTGTGGCAACCTACAACTTGGGTGAATTGGCCGAGCTACAGAAAAAGCCGGATATCGCTCAGCAACGCTATACTGAGGCTAAGTCCCTTGCCCAGGGACTAGGATATGAAGAAGGGATTTCAATGGCTGATACCGCATTAAAGAGACTTTCGAAAACATAGGCCACATTGGACTTGGTCCTTCCTCGCCACTCCCCCTCATGTTTTAAAAATTCATTATCATATGTACAATAAAGCTAGAAGCTGGGATATTTCAAATATTCTGCTTCTTTCCCTGAACCTATTCCCAATTTTACAAATTACAAAGAATCCTATATCACTAGATAATAGTCCGGCGAAGGTGACCAAGAAGCCTATGTTCCATGATGTAGGATAGATCAAATCCGTGTCATTCAATGAATCAAAAATGACCTTGAGACGAACTCTTAATGAAGAATTAGTGGTTGGGCTACTGAAATTTTCTAAAATGGTATTCCTGAAAGTGTTTGAATTGAAGTGTAGAAGTGGATTGGCGTCAGGTGATCGCCACGTTGTTCAGATCTACTATACTCAACCGTTGTTGGCCTATGTAATTTGTAGATCATCCCTTCAGATCCAGGTCTTCAATGGAACGAATTTGACCCCTTTCAGCTTCTCAGCCTTCATATCTCAACTATTCTCAATATGGACCCAAGCTACAAGGCACGAAAAGAGGCATTCGTGTCCAATCTCTCAGGAAGCAGCATTTCAGACATCAATCTGATTTCATTGGTCGTTCCGGTACTGACCTCAGCTCCGATCTCTCAGTCGCAATCAACATCTAACCATGTCCTGTTATTCTAGACCTCTGTTCTCCTTTGGTCTGCCCTGCAGTCCCGGCTGTCTTTCTTCACGCCATACGGGCCCGCGGCACTCGTGACGGACTTTCTACTTAATGTGCTAGTTGTATTATTCGCGACAACAGCCTATTCCTCAGCACCACTCCTTCTTAATATTCTTCTTGCTACCCCGGCCGTTTTACTTTTCCTCACACAACCCCGCATACGCTCGCCGCAAAAAGCGAAACCTCCCCGCAAACAAGTCGTGCAGAATGACCGCTCCCAAGAACAGGCAGAGCCACTGCCAATCCATCCATTCTTGACTGCCTATCGATCAGCAATGATGGTAATTACCTGTATCGCCATTCTCGCCGTTGATTTCCGCGTCTTCCCACGCCGCTTGGCTAAGGTCGAAAACTGGGGAACCTCTTTGATGGATATGGGCGTTGGCTCGTTTGTATTCTCTGCTGGTGTTGTTTCGGCGCGTGCACTTTTGAAGTCTCGTGACTCTCGGTCCCCTAAGACGGTGGTGCAGAGACTAGTCGGCTCTATACGTCATTCTGTCCCTTTGCTCGTGCTAGGCTTGATCCGCTTGTGGAGTGTGAAGGGGCTGGATTACGCAGAGCACGTTACCGAGTATGGAGTTCATTGGAACTTTTTCTTCACACTAGGCTTTCTCCCTCCTTTTGTGGAAATTTTCGACCTCATGACTGTTTTCATTCCTTGGCATGAGGCGTTGGCCATTGGCATCGCAGTCCTCTACCAGGTGGCTCTCGAGTCGACTAATCTCAAGGAATACATCCTCATCTCTCCCCGCGGAGCTGATTTGCTTTCCAAAAACCGCGAGGGAATTTTCTCTTTCCTCGGGTACTTAGCCATCTTTCTCGCGGGGCGCGGCGTGGGAGCTCGTATAATCACTCGCGAAAACCGGAAATCAGTGTTGCAACGTATAGGTTTACAGACATTGTTCTGGATAACCTTGTTCTTTTTCAACTCTACCTACGCATTTGGCTATGGCGCAAATATCCCAGTTTCTCGTCGCCTTGCCAATATGCCGTATGTCCTATGGGTGGCAGCCTTCAATAGTGCACAGCTCTTTCTGTTCTGTCTGATCGAGACTGTTTTCTTCCCGGCTATCAACCGTGCCACCAGCAAAGGGGGCAGAGACGAGCAAACATCCTTCGCGACAAGCCCTATCTTACATGCCTTCAATCATGGCGGCCTGGCAATTTTCCTGATTGCAAATCTTTTGACCGGTGCAGTCAATTTGAGTATCCCTACTTTGGATATTGGCGCACCACAGGCAATGGCAATACTGGTGATCTATGCCGCTATATTGACAGGTATTGCACTGTTCATGGTTAAGGCCAATATCAAGTTGCGCCTGTAGATGTAGTATTATGTACATTCTGGCTTTTAAAAGCATTCTTGTCTAGTCTAATAGAACCTACTACCTAGTTCATTATACCATCACAATTAGGCATTATGAATCTAACAACATTCCCTTGAATGCTATCAAAACTTCAATACTGTAATTGAGAATTGTTAGTGCCTGAGGCGTCAATATTAGTCATTCAGCGATAAGTCGCGATAACGAAAGTTTTGGACAAAAATCTTTCCGTTCTTCACTCATCGATTTTATCAGCCTATATCTACTCACAAACATCATGGGAGTCCAAAAGAAAAGCCGCAAGTTTGCGCAAACAAAGCGCGCTATTAAAATGCGTGATGACCGCCTGTTCGTTTCATCGCGTTCTCTTGACGACTGACCTCTAATTCAAAAAATGCAGAAAAGACAAATCCGAAGACAAGAAAGAACCCAAGAAGGATGATCTTATTCGAGAGGCGTAAGGATCACCGAATCAGTGCTCAAGGAAGCTGAGCTGGATTCAGAAGCTAATGTACTTTTTACCTCCAGACCCCAGGCTCCTTCGTCCATGTTCTTCCAATACAATACCGCTCTCACACCTCCATACTCCGTTCTCGTCGATACCAATTTCATCTCTCACACTATTCAGCACAAACTTGACATGATCCCTACAATGATGGACTGTCTCTATGCCAAGTGTATACCCGTCATCACCGATTGCGTCCTTGCCGAGTTAGAAAAGCTGGGACCGAAATACCGACTTGCGCTTCGCGTTGCCAAAGATCCACGATTTGAGCGACTCCGCTGCGACCACAAGGGCACATACGCTGATGATTGCCTTGTTGACCGTCTCGTTAAGCATCGTGTTTACATTGCCGCTACTAACGATCGCGATTTAAAGAGACGAATTCGGTAGGCGGATTATACCTTGGGGTGCAAGAAAATTGATCTAACGACAGATTATAGTAAAATTCCTGGAGCACCCATCATGAGCGTCGCCCGTGGAAAATACGTTATCGAACGTCTCCCTGATGCACCCGAGAAGTGAAGATGTCTAATCTCACAACTGTTCCGATCAATTCGGATCGTTCAAGCTGCCTTTTCACGCCCTGCAGCCCCACTCCGCGCTCTCATATTTGAACAGGACTAAAAAAATCTGCGACATCTCTGCTCTCGCATCCAATTCTCTTATACCGGCGCATCAATGGGATTCATGAACCAATCTTATATCCCAGCTTTCATCGGGATTTGCTTCGATCATGGTATACAACTCCATGCGCAAGACCCGGGAAGTCTTATGTCCTGATGAACTCTTCCGCTTCAGAGGCGACTTTGGGAATCTCTTCCTCTCGTCTTATGTTGAACTCTTTACATAGACACACTAGTGTTAATAACTTTGGAACTCCATCAAGTTACGAATATAGAATTGCCAGTTCCAACTGTCCGAGCTCTGATCAACCTGCACATCTCCAATTCAGCTCTAAGTAGCTGACTTCTACCTTGATGAGCGGGATATATCACCACCACTTCCATTCTTGTCAACAACAGGTTGATGTGGCTTTTGTAATCTAGACTCACTAGCCAGTCTGTAATCGCGTGACCTGTATTTTAAGGGTCAAGTGACTTTTTTAATTTAGCAGGGTTTATTTAGCCGAGATGGAAGCATTGGCGATTTTTCGACAATTAAAAATCTATTTGATTGGCGAAGACGAAAAAAGAGTCCATACTGATTCCGGTTAAATTATAAAGAAGTCAATCGCACTGATCAGAACACGGCCCAGCTTTATACAGTCAAAAAGTCTATTACACAACAGGACTTATGCTCTGGAGTACCGGTTAGTTCAGTGGGACTGGCGGGGCCGTTTACATCATTGCCCCATATCCCGCACTTGCTTTTACCCCAAATCACCCCGTACGTCCACCTTTTCACTATATAAATCTACTCAATTTCTTGCTTATAACTCTCAATCCTACATTTCTGCTCTGTGTGATAAATAGCCACGTACACAATGGCTTCACAACCCCTCTACATCGGGTTTGACCTTTCTACCCAGCAGCTGAAGGGCTTGGTAGTGAACTCTGAACTGAAAGTCGAGTATATCGCCAAATTTGACTTCGATGCCGATTCCACCGGCTTCTCAATCAAAAAGGGTGTCATGACCAATGAAGCAGAGCATGAAGTATTCGCTCCAGTCGCATTGTGGCTGCAGGCCCTAGATACTGTGCTGGACAGCTTGCGCAAGCAGGGTCTAGACTTTAAGCGCGTGAAGGGAATTAGCGCTGCAGGACAACAGCATGGAAGTGTTTATTGGAACACCGAGGCAGAGCAGCTTCTCAAGAGTCTTGACTCTAAGAAGTCACTGGAAGAACAGCTCCATGATGCGTTCTCCCACCCATACAGTCCCAATTGGCAAGATTCCAGCACACAGAAGGAATGTGATGAATTTGATGCTTGTCTTGGAGGACAAGAGCAGCTCGCTCAGGCTACAGGAAGCAAGGCTCATCATGTAAGAGATCGATTTCTATTTCTACGCACATCGTTCGTATAGCGGATTGGGACTGAGGCTGACTTCCACTAGCGATTCACAGGCCCTCAGATCCTTCGGTTCACGCGAAAGCACCCAGATGTCTACCAAAAGACAGCACGTATCTCCTTAGTTTCTTCCTTCCTTGCTTCGCTCTTCCTCGGCCACATCGCTCCCTTCGATATCTCGGACGTGTGTGGAATGGATCTATGGAATATCAAGCAAGGCGCCTATGATGAAAGTCTTCTCAAGCTGTGCGCAGGCAAGTTCGGCGTGGAAGATCTGAAGAAGAAACTGGGAGAGGTGCCAGAGGATGGAGGCCTACACCTCGGCCCTGTTCACCCATACTTTACGCAGCGCTACGGGTTCAGCTCCGACTGCACCGTTATCCCAGCAACCGGCGACAATCCAGCAACAATCCTCGCCTTGCCACTCTTGCCGTCAGATGCAATGGTTTCGCTGGGGACATCCACAACCTTCCTTATGTCCACTCCGAGTTATAAGCCTGATCCGGCCACTCACTTCTTCAACCACCCCACCACACCTGGGTTATATATGTTCATGCTTTGTTACAAGAACGGCGGTCTCGCACGCGAGCATGTCCGCGATGCCATTAACCAACTGAAAAAAGATACCCCAGCTCATCCCTGGGCCAATTTCGATGAGATCGCACTCAAAACTCCAGCCCTGGGCCAGCAAGACCGCACTGATCCCATGAAGTTGGGCTTGTTCTTCCCCCGTCCAGAAATTGTACCTAACCTCCCCTCAGGACAGTGGCGTTTCACCTACGACCCAGCCACAGGAAACCTAGAGACCACTGACGGGTTGACCCCCGAAGAGGAAGCTCGCGCGATTGTCGAAAGCCAATTGCTCTCATTGCGCCTTCGGTCGCGAGAACTCACCCAGAGCCCCGGAAACGATCTCCCGGCCCAGCCACGACGAGTTTACCTCGTCGGTGGCGGATCAAAGAATAAGGCAATTGCACAGATTGCTGGTGAGATCCTCGGCGGTGTAGAAGGTGTTTACAAGCTCGATGTCGGTGACAATGCGTGCGCTCTCGGTGCAGCTTACAAGGCTGTTTGGGGCTTAGAACGGCAGCCAAATCAGACTTTTGAGGACCTGATTGGTCAGCGATGGAAGGAAGATGAGTTCATCGAGAAGATTGCTGAGGGCTACCAGAAGGGTGTATATGAACATTATGGGAAGGCTGTTGAGGGCTTTGCGAAGATGGAAGAGCTTGTTGTGCGACAGGTACACCAGGGGAAATAATGCACAAAATTACATGGCAATGATGTTCCAAGTGGACATCGGGATAAGTCCTGTCTATAGATTGTTCTGGAGTCAGATACTGCAATGAATGGCAGACATCCGGGCGAGAGCAGAGGAAGCGAGCACCCATTCCATACCCCAACCCTCGAAATGTTGGAACCTTGTAAGGTCTTTCATATTACCAGTTTCACTAGTACTTGGAGTCAAGTAACCTTCGAAGATACAGTGTGAAGTATTGGCAACGCTACAGGGACAATCTTTGTTCTTTCTGATTTCCTCATTGCATGTGTATTTTTTCCTGGTCAACTTACCTCCGACCTACTATGGAAAATACCTATAGTTATTTTGTTGACACGGGCATGGAGAAGAATCGATAAACTAGCTAAGTTACTTCATGGATTAAATATCACGTGGTGCATCCGGACCCGCTTGGATACCTTCAACTTTCTCAAGTCTTCTGCAACTTCATTTGGCTTCCAAGTTTACCCTAATAACACCTATACTGCACCTGTAGATTCTCTGTACGTGCTCTTGAATATGCGCTACTACCCGCATAAGGATGAAAACCGCCTGCATAACAACAAGGCTTGCTAACCACGTTCTCTTAACCGCAGCCCAGTGGAAATTCGGAAAAGTAGCTAGAGGTCGACCGTTAATACTTTCGACGTGGCTAAGCCAGAAGTCCAAAATGGCGCCCACTAGTCTTCGATCTCTCACACTCCGTGCTCTCCGTGCACCAATCACAACGACAAGGCCGTCTTGCCGATTCCTCACTACACGATCTTCCACCGCGCTACAAACCCCTCCCACAGCCCGCAACCACTCTACATCTTCCGTTTCTAGCGATGAAGTCACCCACTTCACTTCTCTCGCCAGCTCATGGTGGGATCCAATGGGCTCATCCAGGATTCTGCACCTGATGAACCCACTTCGTCACGAATTCATTGCATCCTGCCTAGCAGATAGTCCTCCACCAACCTCTCCAGAGTCCTCCGAGACCTCCGCAAATCTCCACTACCTAGACATAGGCTGTGGCGGCGGCATCTTCGCTGAATCACTAGCGCGCACTATCCCTCTCGACCCATCCGCTCCAGCACCGACGCCAACGCGCGCCGCATCAATGACAGCCATCGATCCTACAACGTCATTAATCCAAGTCGCGCGCGAACACGCCCGTCTAGACCCGCTAGTTGACTCCCACCTACGCAGTGGCAAGTTCCAGTACCTAAACACCACATTGGAAGATGTCCTCGCATCTACAAATCCCGCTTCGTCCGAATCAGCAACACCCTCTTCAAAACCCAAACATCCGCAATATGACATGGTCACCCTCTTCGAAGTCCTCGAACACATCGATCCTACAACCACAACACCACTTGCATTCTTGGAAAACTGCTTACGCGCGTTAAAACCAGGTGGCTGGCTCATTGGCTCTACAATCTCCCGCACCGTCCCGTCTTTCATTCTGAACCGGGTCATTGCTGAGGCTCCTTGGCCTTTTGGAGTCGTGCCCCGTGGTACGCATGAGTGGAGCAAGTTTGTGAATCCTGCCGAACTTCACGGTTGGCTACAGGAAGGCTTGATGCGTACTGCTGACTCTGGTGTCACGCGTGCCGGGCCAAGTGTCTTGCATGATATGCGGTGGAAGTGTGTCGGTGCCATCTATGTGCCTGGTTTGGGGTGGAAGATGGTCCCTGGCTCCGAGGATTGGGGCAACTACTTCTGGGCTGTGCAAAAGGGAATCTAGAGTTCATCGAGAACTTTGTAATATAATTTTTTTTTTTGTTTTACTATATGTATTTTACCATGAGATACGACTTCATTGATGTTGAATCCTAAAAGATACAAAACCACCTGGGTGGCACCTTCCTACCCCAAATCCACTGCCTTACCGAACTCTGGTCGTACAACCTGGTTTTAACACCAACGTCGGTGTCTTTGCTGTTTTCCACGAGTTCAATGGCATGCCGTATGGCAATATTCAATCGCGATACTAGCGTTGTTTAGGGCAGGGCTGATACCCTAGCTTGCCCTAGCTGTCAGCTTATTAGAAGGCAGCCTATTGATTTACTATTGAGCTGGTTATTTGATAGCTAATTCGCTAGCTTGCTGTAAATGCAACAACATGGCATCACTTTTTCAGATAATTATTTGCAAGCTTGACTTTAATATAAAGGCTTTATAATAAGGATCTGCCGAGAGGGGAGCTCAGGACGAGCAAAATGGAAAGCTTCCAAGGTTGATTCTAATTCCCCTTGAAATAATTCATTTATTTAATGAGATTGAGTTGAAATTGTAAATATTTTCTATATAAACCACTGTGCAGTCTATGGCCAAATTATATACACATACGTAAGCGCCGCCAGGAATCAAAGTACTTATATCGACCACCAATCGTAAGATTTGGCGTCCGAAGATCCATCTTGCCCTTTCAATGGAATGGCGTGTTGTTGGAAATGCGATGGCGGAGACCATACAAGATCCCATACTTCGGGATTGCTCAAGACACTAGTTTTCTGGAGACTTCCAATGCGTAAGTCTAGCGCTTCAGTCTCGTCGCCAGCATCTGACGGGAGTCGAATATAGTGTCGCACAGTGGCCGGGATTTCTTCTTTTAAATGACTGATGAAAACCAAGGCTTGGTCTTCTGTCAAACCGTGGAACCGTGGGATGTGAGATGTAGGTGTGGATGACGGCTTTAGTGGAGAGTCACCTTTTTCGAGGAAGTGAATGCACTTCTCGACCTGAGAAGCGGTTAAGCCTGAAAATGGTTCGTCAAGAATGACAATATCTGGGTGATGGATCAAAGCACGCAGGAACAGCAAGATTCGCTGCTGAGCAGTACTCAGCTGGCCGAATGTGATATTATACGCATACTCGATGTCATGGTCCATGGGCAACTGAGATTCGTCTTTCATATAGGTGAGTTTAGGGAAATCGTCTGTGATCTTGACTTTATCAGGTATGGCGCTGGCTGCATTGATGTCGAGCTCGGTTTGGAAAAATCGTAGAACTGCATCGATGTCGAGGTCATTTTCATAGGTAAGTTTTGGTTTCGAGAGGAAGGTCTCTGCAAAAGCAGACTCGAGGGATTCTCGCACTGTCAATCGCCGTGGGAAGAAAGCGTGGATCTCGGGCGAAGAATGACCGAGTCGAGATTGCAGCTCAAAAATGGAAACTCCAGGCTTGCCGGCCTCTGGAAGGCGAGAGCGTCCAAACAGCTTAATCGGCAAAGCATATGTTTGCGGATGATCAGATGTGATCAGGGAGAGCAAAGTTGTTTTACCAGACCCATTCGCGCCTAGAATTGCCCAGCGCTGGCCTCGACGAACCATCCAGTGCAGGCCTTCTTTTTCTACACCGTCCACAGTCTGGGTCCAGTGACCAAGAACAGCTTTATCGCCATACTGTACATGCACACCATCCATCTCAACTAGCGGTTCTCCATCTGACACTGTCTCCGGAATAGACAGGGGAGTATGCTCATGACCAGTAAGGAATTCTTCAACAAGCTGTATATCGAGTTCACCAGACTTAACTTCACTCTTAGCTTTGCGAAATATATCCTTCTCCTCTGGGCTTTTAAGTCCTTTCACAGCCTTCGTTGTCGCTAGATGTCGCCAAACATGCAATGTCCGGGGAAGCTCTGACCGTGGACCTTGCATATGGACTCGATGGGAATTTCCCACGAGAAGCACATGGTTAATCCACTTAGGAACTGTATCCTGAGGGCGTAGAGCAAGCACTATCCGCGGTGAGCATTTCGCTGCTAGCCGATGGAGTAGCTCAGAGAGGCTTCGAACCGTGGCAGGGTCCAATCCCACTGAGAAGTTCCCAATTAGTGTTATGATATTTTATAATATATCTCAATCTGAAAACTTACTGAAGGGTTCATCAAGAAGTATTAGTTCTGGCTTCTGGAGAAGAGCTTTAGCAATGCGCGCTCGGCGAGTCTGGCCATTGCTAAGGTTTGCGACAGGCATGTCAAGCAACGAAGAGAGGTATAACTCAGCAACGACTTCTTGAAAAAGCTTCTCGTCTTTCAGTGTTCCATTCTCCTCGCCCTCTAATGGGTTAAGCGAGGTTTGACCTCTTAAGTACTGCTCCACGCTCCAGTCGGTTTCTTCACGGAAGCTTTCGTATCGCGCACTTAAGTACGCGCCTCTGGTACCACCAATGGCTCCAGCACCCTCACCACTGAATCCGATATATTGGATCGCATTTTCTGTATAGCGCAGATTGGGATCCTTTGCGGCAATCTCGTCGGATCGGAGATATGGATATGATCGTGCATTAGGCGGGACTGAGATATACTGGCCGCGCAGGATGTTGAGAAGTTCTGTTTTACCTGAAGGACCAATCACTGCCCAGTGCTTTAGCTCTGAAGGAGTGCGATCCGAGGAGATACTGAAGTTAAACCCAGGGTATAGAGGTGCGTTGTCGGCATTATCGCTCTCCGATGGGTATTGTCGATAGAATGTTCCATTGTTGATTTGGATTAGTGGTGCCGAAGACACGAAACGACCACCTCGCAGTAGTAAGGTCGGGCGTAGGGCTCGTGCCCGTATTGTTCGAAGAAACATCTTCGATTCTCATAGAACCGGAGACACCGATTGTGCACTGGCGATATGTCGTCACGTGCTATCGTCACCTGATAACTGAATAAGCCAGGCCAGTTCAGGCACCAAAGATAGAAGCCTACTTAACAAGGTCAGAGCCCATCATTTACTCTTTACTTTCTTCCTGAACACGATTTTATAACCATTTTTAACCAATTAGAAATAACCATCCACTCATTCAAAAGACTTTCTTGACAGACTAAAAGTCCAGTGCAACTCGTTACTCGGGCATCAATATGAGTGATGATACCGCCTGGGAACTAGCGGAGGGAATCCCTCAGGTTGAAGATCAATTTATTCAACAATATCTCCAGGGACGAAACGCCTTGATTGCTGAAGAGCAAAAGAGACGTCATGGTAATATAGCTTCTTCAAACCTCGCGGACACGCTTTGAAATATTAACAATGACTCAAGATGCGGTATTTCGCAAATCAATGTCACCTATTGCTGCTCGCGCGTGTAAAATCGTGTCTCAGATCCGGGCTCGCGAGCAAAGAGAACTCTGGTCTCAAGGACTAGATGGCGAAGATGAGATCATTTATCCAGGAGTTATGTTTCATCATGCAAAAGGCCGCATGGAGAAAACCAATCTCTGGAAGATTGTGGAAAAAATGCCCAAAGGCTCTCTTCTTCACGCTCATATGGATGCCATGTTTGATATAGATTTTTTGATCGATCAAGCATTTTCAACACCTGGAATCCATATATCCGCACCCAAGCCTCTGCTTACTTCAGAAGATTATGAGACTGCGCCCGTTTCATTTCAATTCTCGTCTCAGTCGACTACCGCTGATAACAAGCCCGTTATATGGACTGATGGATATGAATCCTCATCACTGATCCCTATCAAGACAGCAGCATCCACATTTCCCCAGGGAGGGGAAGATGGCTTCCGAAAATGGTTGACGCGTCGATGTATGCTTCTACCCGAGCACGCATACAAATACCACGATGGAGTCGATGCCATATGGAAAGTGTTTATGGGAACTTTCCCCATAATCAATTCTATTCTAATGTACGAGCCCATTTTTCGGGCTTGCTTTCGTCGAATGCTGGGACAACTAGCGGCAGACGGGATTCGTTATGTGGAGTTTCGTGTCGTCTTTCTCTTCCAGTTTAGAACAGAAGGGAAGGACGAACCAGAATACGACTACATAAAATTCTTCGATGTGTTTGAAGAGGAAATCCAACGTTTCAAGAAAACAGAAGAAGGGAAGAGGTTTTACGCGGCACGAATCATATGGGCTGGCCTACGAAGGACTTCAAATCAGGACATTGTCCAGACTATGAATGAGTGCATCATAAGCAAGCACGAATTCCCCGACCTGATCTGTGGATTTGATATGGTCGGTCAAGAGGATGCCGGTCGGCCCCTAGTTGACCTAGTGCCACTTCTATTTTGGTTTCGCAAGACATGTATGGAGGAAGGAGTCGATATTCCCTTCTTCTTCCATGCGGGCGAATGTCTTGGTGATGGCGACGAGACGGATCACAATCTCTTCGACGCTATCCTGCTAGGAACAAGGCGAATTGGTCATGGGTTCTCGCTCTACAAACACCCGCTACTCATTGATCTTGTCAAGGAGAAGAAAATCCTTGTCGAATGTTGTCCGATCTCTAACGAAATTCTTCGTCTGGCAAATTCTATCAAGTCCCACCCATTGCCTGCACTGCTATCCCGGGGTGTGTCGGTTTCGCTTTGCAACGATGACCCGGCCATTCTTGGTCATGGCAGAAATGGGTTAACGCACGATTATTGGCAGGCCATACAAGGACTGCAGAATGTTGACCTTGCCGGTGCGGCAATGATGGTACAAAATTCTATCTTGTGGAGCTGTTTCGAGGACCAGTCAGCTACTGAATGGAAACGTGAAGTCGGAGATGGTATTCTTGGGGAAGGACTGAAGGCAAATCGCCTGCAAGAATGGTGGTCTGATTTTGATAAGTTTTGCGAGTGGGTTGTCTTGGAGTTTGCAGAGTTTGACGATGATGATTGAATATTTCAACATCACGGAAATATCTAGATACTAGATTTCCTTTACCTATTTTCTTTTTACGGTTTGGTGCTTACCTGGTGCTTGCCACTCACTAGTAGAGAGCAAGCAGCAGCATAAACGAATGAAAATTACGATAAATTCCTTTAGTATTTAGGACGGGGTTGGCTCAAATAATGAACTAACTAAATTGCATGTTATTTCACTTTATACTACTTTAAAAGGCGGGCTCTCAATTAGGTTAAGCTCCCTTATAGAAAACGAATGTAAGCATCTTTACCCCTCCATCTGATACCTGTAAATATTCAAAAGTCGCAGTTCTTTCTACCTTGGCCCTTCTACCGCATCAGCAAATAATTTAGATCGTAACATGTTGGATTTCGAAGTCCCATATCAGACTCCTCGGGCTATTGTCCCACCAGTCGCACCTTCAATAGAGAGTAGTCGACTCATACTCCGGCCAGCCACTGATGCCGATATGCCAGCACTCTTCGCTGTTCGGTGCCGTCCAGAAGTCGCGGTAACGAAGTGAGTAGCCCCTGTATCTTTACTTTAAAGAAATGGCCCATGACGCTAGGTTGCTTATAAACCAGCTTCCCTAAAGAGCCGTTCTTGAGCCTTGAACAAACGCGAAAATGGTGGGCAGCAAAGGTATTCACCAAGCCAGCAGCGTACATTGGCCGCTCTTTCGGCTTTGTTATTGTGGACAAGGCCATTCCGGTCACAGAAGAACAGGTCATTGGATACGTATGTATACATGTCGTAGAACCATCTCCGGAGATCGGGTACTCGCTTCTTCCCGAGTCGTGGGGTAAGGGGTTTGCGACTGAGGCTTTGAGAATGTTGTTGAAGATGTGGTGGGACCTGCCTAGACGAAGCTCGGGTGATGATGATCGAGTGGAGAAGATCTATGCTTCTTTTTATAAGACAAATCCGGCTAGTCAGGCTGTCTTGGCTAAATGTGGGTTCGAGAATGTGGATGAGATTCACTCTGAGGAAATGTATCTTTATGTTCTTGCGAAGCCGACATCCCAAGATGCGGGCGAGGAATTGTATCATTACATCTAATTCGGATGGAAGTGCCTAGGTAGAACCTTAGAAGAACTGCTGAAAGTCCGAGAGTTCTATAGTTCTATGCTATACATATGTACAAGTCGACTGCTAAATTGGATGCATATGAATCCTCTCTACTCAACGTTTCGGAAACCCATCTTGGTCCAGTTCTCCAAAACCTTGTTCTGGAGTTCAACAGGGTACGAGTTCTTGAAGTCAGCAGCCACGAAGTCCCGCCCCGTGGTGTACTCCGTCGGCATCAGAGCATCAGAAACAACCTTGCCACCCTGAATAGGCGATCCGTTTCCGTGAGACATGTATGGAACAAGAGGGAATCCACGGACATCCTCGAAGAAGGTCTCATCCATATTAGGACGGCAACGAGTGCTGAAAGCCCACATGACGTCCTTGCCCTCGTAAACATCAATATCTTCACCACATAGGATCAGACGGTGGATGGTGTATCCTGCCTTGTGGTTGAAAACGACGTCACCGACCTGCTTGGAGAATTCCTTCGAGGTGGTCTTCAGCTCACGCAGGCGAGATGTGTCGACCTTCAGAGCTACCCAGGTGACCTGGGACTCGAAGGGTGAGAATGCGTCAGTGATGGGGAGGCCTGCCAACTTGCAGACCTTGCCAATCTCAGCTGCTGCCAGAGCTCCGATCATGGTGTGCTTAACAGAAGTTAGTAACATGGTTGGAGGGTTGAGGTTGGGTATCATCTTACAGTCTCATCAGTCAGGCGACCACATGCAGAAATGGGCATAATTGCATTATCACGGTATGTGATGCGGTTCACCTTGTAGAGGGGCCACTGGTGGGTGTCGGCAGGGAAAACGTAACCGTGCATCTCACCGAAGGGACCCTCAGGTCCAGTCTCGCTAATAGACAATGTGCCCTCGAATACAATCTCGGAGGTGGCCGGCACGTAGAGGTTGTTGGTATCACACTTGACAAGCTCTAAAGCTGAGCCAGTCATGGCACCGACATATTCGGCCTCGCTAACACCATCGGGGATGGGCATGCTAGAAGCCATGATGGCAGCTGGGGGAACACCAAAGGCAAGAGCCCAGGGCACATCCTTGCCCTCCTTCTTCCACATCTGGTGGATCTGCCAGATGTGCTGCGGTTCGATCACCAGTCCGGTCAAATGCTTGTCATCGTGAACCATGGCACGGGCAATGGACCAGTTGGTCCACGTTCCATCAGGGGACTGAACAATGTGCATTCCATATGTTTGAATGTACTTTCCTCCGTCATGCTGATGGAGCTTAGGGGAGGGCAGCTTGGTAAGGTCAATCTGGTCCTCCAGCAGTATATTCTCTTTGCAAGGGCCAGTAGGCAAAACCTGGGGAGTGATAGGGGTCATTTCGCTGGCTGACAGCATCTTGTCGAGGATTTCCTTCATCGAAGCGGTGGGTGGCAGAGCCAAATGGCGTGCAAGACGGCCATATCGGCTCTTGGGGGAGTTACGGAGTGATGCTGGGGCACCGAGAATACGGAAGAGACCATCTTGCTGGCCAATAACGTTGTTGAAGAGTGGTGCCTTGTCGTTAGTTTCACAAACCAGACGAGTGATGGCGCCAACTTCGAGGTTGGGGTCGACAGGGTCATTGATCTCAACCAGATCGTTGTCGGCCTTTAAGGCCTCGACGAAGGATCGGAAGCAGAGGTGAGGCTCAGTATTAACCATCGTGAAGTATCTTTGGTTTTGTTTCTTTGAACTGTGTAGATGTAGATTGGGGAGGCCAACTCTTTATATCCATATTCACCTGGGACATAAAGCCACTCTTCACGGTAAAATCGGGATAGACAGGCCACTGTGGGTCTTATTAGAGTGTTGCAGACCGCAATTCCCCATTTCAAACCAACTTAATGGCATAAATCTAGTTCATCTTGCCGCGAAACCGCGAGTCCCCCGAGCCTCCGAGATCCGAGGAGTTCCGAATGTGGTTAACCACGCTGTTATCGATCAGGAACTCGGAAGCTTGGAATATCTCGGCTTCGGCTTCGGTTCGATCAACGTCTTGCAGCCCGGCTTCTTTGCACGGCATACATTAGGCACGGCTTCAAGCACATCACTACGAACGACTGAAATTTAAAGTCGGCAAAATTTGAGTCCACGGGTGCTTTGTTAGAATTGAATGCTACTTTTCACATTATATGCAAATTTATGGCCCTTGACGCCAATTCTGTTCTCATGGCGGACCTTGAGTGATACATTTTCCTTGAAGATCCCATGGAGCGATTGACTGGAAAGAATCCATGTGAGTAAAATAAGAGATTGATAATGTGACCACAGATATGAATAATCTCATATGTATGATGTCGATTAAGTAAAGTTGAAATCAAACTCTTGTATCTATAGTCTCGATCGGAAAATGTTTCGTAAAGAAGCAAGACCGGAAGGGCCGTCGTAGATCTGTTGCTCTACAATACGGGTGTTGATCTGGAAAGATTAAGATATCAGTATTGGCTGAAAGGATTGGAATAGAGATCTGCGAACATACATGTTGGGGACCCAAGTCCTCGACTCTTTCAACGCCGAGCAACCGCATGCAGGTCTTGCTTTCGTCGGCCAAAACTATCCAGATAGTCAGCATCAGGCTCAAATTGAAAACAGAACAAACCATACTCTCCAATGTTCGACGAACACCATCAACTCCACCAGCACCCAATCCCCAAAGAGCTGGGCGTCCAATGCCCACTGCCCTGGCTCCCAGGCAAAGAGCCTTCACAACATCCGTGCCACGACGAATACCGCCATCGACATAGACCTCCAATTTGTCAAAAACTTCGGGGCAGTATTTTCGGATCTCCATTAGCGTATGTACGGCTGGTGGTGCCGTATCCAAGGCCCGTCCGCCATGGTTGGAAAGGATGATGCCCTTCACCTGTGGAGTATGCAATGATGCTAAGTATGCATCCTCATGGGTTTGAAGTCCCTTCAAGACAATTGGAAGACTAGTGTGCTTAGCAAGCCATGGTAATGTCACTTTCCAAGTCAAAGATGGATCGGTGCCAGCAAATAGCTGTTGTCCAACTCCACCAGTGCCTTGCGTAATATCGGGTGTGTCATCAATGAAACTCTGGATAGCCTTTGGTGCAGATGATACTCCCCCAGTAAAACTCATTCTTTCGTCATCCTCACGCTTTCCAGGAACTGGGGCGTCGAGGGTGAGAACGATGAACTTGATCGCATTCAGTTTGTTGATGCGAGCCAGCATGGCCTCGCTCTTCTTCCGTTCAGTTAGGACGTAGAGTTGCCAACCAAAGACCTGATCAGGTGCTGCATCTTTGACAATCTGTTCTGGGGTCATAGATGCATTGTTCGAAATGATTTGCATCGCTCCAAAGCTCCGACAAGCCTCCGCAATACCCGCCTCACCTGCTGGGTGACCGAGACGTGCCATAGCTGCCGGTGACACATATATGGGCATTCCCAGTTTATACCCCAAAGCAGAAGTGTTCAGTTCGCAGCGCGTGCAGTCGACAAACACCCTCGGACGTAGTAGAATAGAGCGGTACACCTCGGTGTTAAAAGACTTGGTGACCTTGTCGTCGGATGCAGAATAATAATAAGCCCATGCCCTTTGGCTGACCTGCTTCGTGGCAACATCTTCAATCTCGTTCAAATTAAGAAGTTCTTCCATTGGTGGGGGCCCTGTCGGCTCCTGCTTAGCTGCTGGCGTCTCTTTCGTGGGTAATGTGCTTTTATCTACGGTTCCCAAGCATGCCTCAGGCTTGAGGTCCTCCTCCAGAGTGCCGGGTGGATGAATTGGGTCAAATTCCTCGGTTGCATCTGTGCCTGCGAGTTTCAGAATGATCTTTGCACCGCCAGGGTGGTTTGACAGGAAATCCGTCACCTAAACAAACTAAGTTAATTTCTCTTCCGGAATAGCTGATAGGAAGAAGTTTTTACATCGTAAACTTTGCCATAAAGGATTACCCAGCAACTGTCTGGGGTATTATGTTTTGCGACTGGATTCAATAGAATTAGAAAGATGAGCGATTGCCCGTGCGGGGAAGATGAAGAGGGAAAACAATTACCTTCTGCCGCGTCAAATACTTTTGCCATTGTTGTTCAGATGATTATAGTGACTGTACAGATTGCCCTGTTAGAGTATCTTGAAGTATGTAGAAAAATTTAGGGACTTTAGAGGTGAACAAGGGTTCGGAGAAAAGGCCGGTGATAGTGGAGTGTGGGGAATAGCCTTTGCTTTGGGCAACTTCGATAGCCGAATCTATTAGAAACTACACCATATCATTGGTGGATAAATCGGAGTTGAATGTTCAATGATTGACCCAACGACATCTCCTTCAGTGGAAATGGTTCTCCCATTTGAATTGAAATCACGAATATAGTTGGGGTTCCACGTGACACCCCGTGACGTTTCATGTGCGATGTTGCTCCATCTTTTCTAACCTTCGAACGTTCATGACATGTTTGAAGTGAGTCAAGATCTCATGTATATCTCAACATTTCTTTGATTGACTCATCTAGGCACGCCGCCGATATCATGTTGGAATGCACCGTGCCCAGTCGGCCGTGCTGACCAACGAACAAATAGTCGAGGTACGAGCGGCCCAACGAACCTTTGAGGGTGCCTATGTTCGAACGGCTCTGTCCCAGTTCTCATTTGCCCTCGTCGTCCTCAAAATCTTCACCGCCGAGTTCTATAGTATTGGTGCGCTGTTCGCCATTTACGGCACCGGGGTTCTGACTATTGGGCTATTCCGTCGCTCGCAGGGAAATCGCCAGTTCTTCTCCGAAATCGGCGAGGATGGTATCCATCGTCACAAGTTCAGGACTAGTGGAAATGCGGTCATGATCTTGACTGCGTTGAGTATTGCGGCGTACGTCTGCTTAATATGTCTGACCCTGAACCTGCAATAGTGAACCGTGATAACGAGAGTCCGACATGCTTAGCGGTCAGAAAGTTACTGCTTCCATAACTGCAGAGATGAACACATATATAATTGAATTCTGTTGCATGAGCCAATCCCTTTCAATCATTAGAGTATTCACGCGACCATTGAAAGCCTCCATCGAGCCTCATTCCTAATATGATTCGGAACATTCTGAGGACTTGACAATGAACAACCACCATGCGATGAGTCGTTCGCCAAGATCGATTTGGAAACTACTACGAGACAGCTCCCCCGCGATACCACTAAAGGTAGTGTCATTCGAGATGGAAGGGATTAGGCTGAGCATACTTCTCGTTAAAAAGGAATCGTGCAGAAAAAAAAAACTATTCTTTGGCCGAGCTAGCCTGACCTTCGACGCAAATTATTCCAATTCTACTATCTGGGAATTCCGTGATGTATATATAATATAGTCTTCCATACTCCGTAAACTGATACGGGAGATAAAATGCGCTTTACCTAAAAAGGAAGAATGGCCCGATTGCCGCCTGAGCTCACCAAGCTCGCCTTAACATCCCTCATAACTTGATTCTTCACCATAAATATGGATGGAAACAGCAACCCCTTTTCCGCAAGTAAAATCAATGATGAGTATATTGACGCTCTTCTTGTCACGGTTCGCTTCTCCGCTTCAATACCCGATCTCCCTCTAGATGTATCAGCGCCAGAATCCACGACGGGAGCAGGCCTTAAACAGTTAATTCGCGCTCAACTACCTCCCGAGCTCTCAAATCATCGTCTACGTCTCATATATGCTGGCCGTGGTCTAGAAGATGCAGCTGCCTTGACTACCTCCCTCAAGCTCCCACCCCTAGTTCGAACCTCCCGCCATACCCCAGATTACAACTCAGATGACGATTCCTCCAATACAGAAACAAGCGTCCTATATAAAAAGACAAAAGATAAGGGAAAACAGGCCGTACGAGATGTCCGCCCACGCATATACATCCACTGCTCTATCGGTGATATCGAGCTCTCAGAGGCCGATCTTGCTCTTGAAGCAGGCATAGCCTCTATAGTTCTCATAGAGGAACAAAGGCAGGATGAGCATAAAAAGCCCAACCCTCTTCGCAAAGCCTCCATTCACCCCACATCTCAGCGCACCTCTGGTCAGGCAGCAACTACGACATCAACTACACCCGCCCCGCGTGGCTTCGATCGTCTCCTTTCCGCTGGATTTACATCAGCGGAGGTCATAGCCCTGCGCTCACAGTTCCTGGCCGTACAGTCTGTTTCTCACACTCCCGATACCATGCCCACGGGAGAGCAGCTGCGTGATTTAGAGGATCGGTGGATGGATGAGGGATCCACAGTTGCGCAGGCGCAAGGTGGCAACGATGGCGCAGGTGCCAACGACGATGATGGTGGACTAGGATCCAATTCACACAGCGCAATCGATGATATGCTATGGGGAGCCGTCATGGGCTTCTTTTGGCCCGTGGGCTGTGCTATGTGGTTGCGTAGGGAAGAGGGAATTTGGAGTTGGAGGAAAGGAGTCGCGGTCGTCGCAGGGGTTATTTTTAATGTTTTGTTGGGAACTACGAAGACTATGGGTTAGCAACGTAACAAAAAGCGGCCGTGGACACTACGTTCCGGATCTTGAGATCCTGTATGTTGCCAGTCCCAGAACTAACCACTCATACTAATTATTAGGCTCTCATCTATTCAGTGTGGGCTAACGGGGCGATGCCAAGTTGATCTCTTTCTCAAGTCTTGCGTTCCGCTGGCCATATCGGAAGTTTGATGAATTCCTCTTGGTTATGCGGCTTATAATATAGACTTCATCTATAGATCTTTATGTGATTAGTATATCTAGGTATCCTATTCATGCTTCGTCTTTTTTTTGGACTCTAGAAGCCAGGAGAGAATCGAAATATACCCCTGTATATCTAGGAAGATCCGTAAATAGAGCATGAACTGATATGAGTCAGGCTATATATTTCTGCGAAATCAAACTCAGGGTATAACCTGTTAAATCTTCGAGACTATATTGAGACACTTGGTGGAGATATGATTATACATAGGATTGCTTGAGGGAGAAGTGTATAGCGTTGTGGCCTGAGGTGTCAGGGAAGTGCACTATCATTCCTTATCGTCCGGAGATGTTTGTCCGCATCGCTGCTTCTTAACTTGGCACTCTCCAGCTCACCAGGTAAGCCTAGAAAATGTTTACAAGCTCATAAAAATCCCCGAACTCATCGACTTAGATTATTAGAAATCCTCATACTGTTCCGCCTTCTCAACCTCCCATTATCCAGCAGTCCTGCTCCTTGGTCTGACGCGGTCGAACAATGAAACAATGCTCGCATTCTCTCAATAAGGATACTATTTAAAAGCTAGTCGCGGGATCCTTTCAGAAATTTGCGAAATGATCTCTCCGGAGAATATTAGTAATGGCGTGGTTCATGAGAAAATGAACCCCCCTGACAAGTCGCCTAAGAAGATTGCCAAACTTCCTTCTCCCAAGGTAGAGTCCAGCTCTGGGCGGAGAACTATATCGAATAACGCTGCTCGACCACAACAGCCTCGAGTAGCTCGAGCAGTTTCGTCGCCAAACTTCAAAGATCACCTAACATCCTCATCGGCCGACAACGAACCATTGGCGGGGTTGAAAAAAGAGCGACTTGCGACATCTCCTCAGATCGACGAGTCGCCGCCCTTCGCTTCAATTCCTTCTCATGATGAGAAAAATTTGTTGAATTACCGTCTCTCTCGTTATCTTGAGCCGGGCTCGAACACCAGTGAATCCCTATATGAAACATACGGCGTGAGGATTGAGAGACTGAAGAATTTCTGGTTTGTTTTGTTCGCGCTCGAGCGGATCCTCCTTTTTGGAAGCCTCGCGTGTCTAGATTCATGGCTTTACACTTTTACAATACTACCGCTGCGCTTTGTAAAAGCATTCTTCATCCTTTTCGAGTCCTGGGTGATGAAGTTGAGGGCCGAGGTTCCATTTCTATGGAGGTTCGTTCGCAGTGGTGTTCGACGAGTATGGCGAAGAAGGAGACAGCCACTCGCCGAGGTCACCGATCGGCGCGAGAGTGAACCTGATACAGCTGCTAGCTCAGATACGGTCACCATAGACCGAGATTCTAAACACCGATCTTCTGAGCCACTCAAACGAAGACAGCGGATCTTTGAATCTCGCATATATCACCGCCGAAGGAAGATGTTGTTGCCCTCTTCTTTGCTTAAAGAAGAAAAAGCAGACATTCTCAAGGGCCTTTTAATGATCACCACCTGCTCTCTTTTGATGTTCCTCGATGCTAGCCGCATGTATCATTGGATTCGTGGGCAGGCCGCCATTAAACTATACGTGATATACAACGTCTTGGAAGTGAGCGACAGACTTCTGTCTGCTGTCGGACAGGATATTCTCGAGTGTCTTTTCTCAAAGGAAGCGCTTGAACGTGATTCCAATGGAAAGATTCGAATATCTCGACCATTTTGGCTGTTCTGGACGGCGCTGGTTTACACTGTGGTCCATTCAACCTCCTTATACTATCAAGTCATGACTCTGAATGTGGCCGTCAACTCTTACTCGAACGCACTCATTACACTTCTGCTGTCCAATCAGTTCGTTGAGATCAAATCAACTGTATTTCGCAAGTTCGAAAAAGAAAATCTGTTCCAGCTTACTTGCGCCGACATTGTTGAGCGATTTCAGCTGGGTCTCATGCTTACCATCATTGCGTCGCGCAATTTCGTTGAGACAGGTGCTTTCAACTTTATTGGAGATCTTGGTCTGGGATCTGGCTCAGTCCATTTATCAACCGCAACCAACAGCACACCTCTGTCGACGCCCCCAAGAACAGCAACATCCATTCTCCCTCGATCCTTTACTTTCTTCCCCTCCTCCATCTTTTATTCTGTCAGCAGTGTCAACTCTTTTCTCCCCACTTTCGCTCAAGTCCTGGGACCCTTCTTGATTGTGTTGGGATCTGAGATACTTGTGGATTGGCTGAAACATGCCTTTATCAACAAGTTCAACAATTATCGTCCGGCTCTATACAATAAGTACCTTGATGTTCTTGCCAAGGATTACTACACCAATGCGTTCGGAGATCAAAACCTCACTCGTCGCATCGGCTTGCCAGTCATCCCCCTATCTTGTCTCTTCTTCCGTGTTTCGGTGCAGACATACCAAATGTTCCTGGAGTCTCTACTCCCTCAAAATCCTTCTTCAACCGCGCTGGGATCGACTTCCCTGACATCCATTCACGATCACTACACATCCATACCTCTTCCATCTATGTCCCCATCAATCCTTCGTGACATTCTCCCAGCATCAGCTGCTTACATCAACGCCCTCTTCCAATCTCTTCTAGAGAATGCTATTCCCTCTCCAGCACGATCAGTCCAAATATTCACCGTCATTCTCCTCCTAACAGGTTTTATCGTCCTCCTGATCGTCAAGTTGCTCCTAGGTGTGGGACTCCTTGTCTTCTCTCGCAACCGGTACAAGAAAATGAAAAGTGCCGAAAAAGAGCAGCGCAAGATAAAGACTGAGTTCAATGTCGAAGGCGCTCTTAGGGTCGGGCCCTGGGGAATGACGGAAGTTACCGAACAGACCCGCCGAAGGATTTATGATGATGATCCTGAGGGGCTGCGACGCTTGAAGGAGAAAGAGGAAAAGGATAAAAACAAGGACGGGGACTTGGACATTGATCGAGTTCAACGGTATGGAATGTCTGGGAAGAAGATTTGGTGAGCGTGCTGTATGCATACTTGCGATTACGTCCAATCGCTGAGTTTATTCACTATCTTATCCTTACATCCATGAGTATGTATATATCCTTTGCTGGAAAAATTGATTACTGGTTCCAGAAGGGTGGTGTATGAATAGAAATGTCATATCGTGGAGGCTTAGTCTGCTCATACCCCATCAAGTTTATATTGAATACTTTAAAGTTGACTTGAAGGCAAGAAAGCTGAAATCGATTGACTGATCTTGAACTAATCTTAAAATGATTAATATTTCGCACTTTGATAGCTTCATTCAACTGGCTCATTCGCTTTCTTCCATTCAATACAAGTCTCGAGCCCATATATTCTGGAGTTCGTTTGCATTCTCTCTCATTCACATTTTTTCTTTCTTCGATATTGCAAAAGCCTTAGAACCCATCCATTCTATAGTGGAATCATTCCATTTGAAATTAGTTTCGCTGCCATCAAAGAAACCTATGTACTTGCTTGACATATCCGGAAGGACACAATATATATCACACACTTGATACACATGGACACCACTATCAAGAGAACTCTGATAGCATGAAACTCCAGAGGTCGGAAGCCTCTAGAAGATGAGAACCGGAAAATAATACGATGATGACTATTTCTTCCACCAGCTGACTTCGTTCACTTTTATCTTGGAGGGTTCAAAGATCCCTGACCGAGACCGCTTCAGAACGTCCCTCGATTCTAAGATAAACACTCCATAGCTACCTAGGTATACACCCCAACTTCCGCTTGCTAGCCATGATACCTAGGTCCTCGCAATACAGGCTCGGTAATACATATTTTACAATCAAGTGACAGGGGTGAAAAAATCGATAAGGCTACTTGGGATATCCTTGTGCCCAGATGCGCCACTCCTATCAACAATACCATCATGAACAGACTGTAGTTAGGTAACTACCTTGCTATGTCACTGCACAGTGCTCAGGTTTGATACGGGAATTACAACTTCAAGGTGATGGCTCTTTGGCTGACAGACAGACCAGCTACCTTCCAGCGGTAAATGAACAGCTTGTTCCTCGACATGCTTTACATCTGTGTGATAATAGCTACCAATGATCGATATCTTCTACAAAAAGCGACGAGCGGCTTCTTCATATCTATCAGCCATCGTCTCTTCTCCTGGACTAGCTTTACATTCGGATGGGATAGAGCCTGATATCAGTCTCAAGCAACCTCAAACTCCACTATCAGCCAGTGGTTCGACTGATCAATGCTGCAAATGATCAGAACTATTGACTTTTGTCATCAGAAACGAAAATTTCCCCTTTGATATCCCCCAACTCTGTCAATGAGATTGTGGCTCATCTTATATTGACCAATAATTGCGTTTTCGTCATGTTTTACACATCTTAAACGAGAAGTCCAGCAAGTTGAGAGAGCCTTTTCGCCGTAATATATTTTCTGAGAGCGGCGACATCCTTGTTTTCGCAACTACAGCAGTGATAAAATGTGACTTCACATATGAAGGAAACTTCTGATGGCACTATGGAAGCTATCTACATCACTGCCCAGGTGACAGAAGTACTGAAGAACTCCAATAGTCATTCAGGTCTTGTTTCAGCTCCATATTCAAGTACAATTTCGATTTGCTATTCGGGGGGTCGCCGTCTCCAGCGTAAGAAGATAAGAAACAATTTTATATTTCATCTAACCAGATTGATTGATCTTAACACGCTACATTTTCTTCATGGTATATGACACAGAACATAAAACTCCCCTGAGCACAAAACACCGTACCTAGGTCATCCAGTACGGTATATGAGCCTTCAATTACACATCTACAACAACTTCTTCAGCACAGCAGTCTGCTCTAGAACAGCCCGCTTGCTGGTACCACCAATGGCATCCTTCAGCTCAACAGCACGCTCGTAGTCCAGACAAGCCTGGACATCCTCGCCGAAACGCGAGTCAATACCCTGTAGCTGAGCTAGCGAGAGCTTGTCCATGGGGACGTTGTTCTGCTCGGCAAGAGCAACAACGCGGCCTGAGATGTGGTGGCCCTCGCGGAAGGGAACACCCTTGCGCACTAGGTAGTCGGCGAACTCGGTGGCCAGCATCTCAGGTGCGAGTGCGGCGATCATCTTCTCCGGGATCACGGTCAGAGTAGACAGGACACCGGTCGCGATCTGGATGCTGTCGCTGACGGTCTTGATGTGGTCGAGCAGGGGCTCGATACTCTCCTGGAGATCTTTGTTGTAGGTTGTGGGCAGGCCCTTGATTGTGCACATCAGACCGGCCATTTGGCCGAAAGCACGGCCGGACTTGCCACGGAGGAGCTCCAGGCTGTCTGTTATTGAAATTGGTTAGTAAATTTCGCTCTACCAGTGGCATAATTGGGATGAGCAGATGTCCTTACCGGCGTTCTTCTTCTGAGGCATCAGCGATGAGCCAGTGGAGTAAGCATCGGACAAGCGAACGAAGCCGAATTCTCCACTGCTGTAGATGATCAAGTCCTCAGCCCAGCGGGAAATCTTCAGCATGAATGAAGCGCCCCACTGCATAGTCTCCATGGCGAAATCACGGTCTCCGACAGTGTTCATGGAGTTGTAGAGAAGGTCATCAAAGCCCAGCTCCTTGGCCATGGCCTCGCGGTCAATCTGGAATGGGTTACCAGCCAGAGCACCACAGCCGAGAGGGCTGCGGTTTACACGGCGAATAACCTCACGCAGACGCTGCAGTTCGCTGGCGAAGGCGGTAGCGTGCGACAACACCCAGTGGGACCAGCGGACGGGCTGGGCCTTCTGGAGGTGGGTATATCCGGGCATAAGGATGTCGATTTCCTTCTCAGCACGGGCAATGGAGACCTTGACTAGGTTGCAGAGGTGGTTGTCAAGCAAGCGGAGCTCATCACGCAGCCACAATCGCATATCTGTAGCAACTTGCTCGTTTCGCGAGCGGCCGGTGTGCAGCTTACCGCCGACCTCTTTGCCGATGATTTCACTGAGACGGCGCTCATTGGCGGTGTGGATATCCTCGTCGTTCTCCTTGGCTTCGAAGGTGTTGGTGCGCCATTCCTCGGCAATCTGCTTGAAGCCACGCTCGATCTCGGCGAACTCGTGCTCGGTGAGAATGCCATTCTTCAGATTGGCACGGGCGAATGCAATGGATCCGGCAATGTCCTGCTTCCAGAAGATGCGGTCGTAGGGCAGCGACATGTTGTACTGCATCATGAGGGGGTCAATTCCCTCTGGAGTTTTGGTGAGTCAGTCTGGTTATACATTGGGCATTGAGCTTGCGATGGCACTCACCAGTGAATCGACCTCCCCAGAGCATGTTTTCGGCAACACCTGTTTGAGCGCTCATTTTGATGAGTGACTGAGAGAACAAGCACAAGAGAATTGGATTGGAACGAAGGATGGAAAAGATAATGAGAATATCAAAAAAATGACTGATAAACTGTCGCCCGATAATCGGAACGCTAAACCGGTTTAGGAAGTACATTTTACCTTTATCTCCCCCTACATTACACACTTACATTCCAATATTCTTGTTAGCGACATAGAACTTTCAAGGTGTTATCAATAACTGTCAGCGCAGGTTTCAATCCCTAACACGGTCGAGGTAAACGAATGGATGATTTTGTCTCGTCAAGTTCGTCATCATCACAGCAACAGAGTATCCGAATACTCCATCTTCACCCTGGAAACCACCTCTCTAGTATAGGTCATATATTCTTTCAATACAAAATTGTTTCCAGGTCTGCTATGGAGTCATGAGTACAGCAGCTCCTAGGTAATCCATCCACGGATTGGTGGTGCCTTCAATGATCAATCCGTCCTTATCCGTCCGCATATACTACCTCGAGAATATTCAAATCCTATCTAGATTCTCCCAAGGTCTCTTTGAGTTTCGATTCGGACATCAATTGGAATATTATACTCAATGTTTCAACATCAAGTTATGAGGTCAAATTTCCGGACCTTCCGAGGTTGTGGCAGGATATCCCTCCATATAGATACGTGGGAGACAAGCCTCAATACTGGAAGCTACCTTCTCTTAATGTCATCAATTGAAAGGTGGCCTTTGGAAGCAGCTCAAGTGAAAATCACCTGGACATGCCAAGAAGAAAATTCCCGAGGTCTTTGTCCAAGATTCCTAACCCAGCTGGTAGTTAAAGATATTACCTCAATGAGCACCTCCCAACGTTAGAGGAACATGAACTCGTGTTTTTCTCTTCTTTGACTAAAATGTCCCCGAGGTCGAGGCCTCCAAGGCTCATCATTGTTCAAAATTGTTTAAAATTGTTCCTTCCTGAAGTCTTGGAAGCTCTGAAGCTCTTGACCTGTCAGAAAATCAAAAATCCATGGCTTGCCCAGGTGCCAAGGTAGCATTGACCTTATTCATGGCCCTGACCTCTTGTGATTTTGCGGAAATACGAGACGCTAATTTCCGGTGGTGGAGACCTGTTCTTCTACTTTGTTCTTCTACTTTGTTCTTCTACTTTGTTCTTCATATCGCGCCGCGCGGCTTATGAAACCTCAAACGCCACTGTGACCCACCAAGCCATTTATTAGAGATTCTGGAACTGAAACTCTGCAAAAATAGAACAAAAGTTACTCTCCTATCGAAAGAGGAAGACAACTGGACTTGGCGTTGCAAATTGCATTTCCCTTGAGAAATTAGGAGTATGTGTCCCTGACAACTTAACATTATGCAATAAGCAATTATATGAAACCAATTGTTGAAACAGCAATACATAATACAACCTTGAAATTTCTTGGGATGCATGAATCACAAATAATGAGTGCGATGAAGACGCCGTAACTCCCCCTAGTGCATACTCTAAGTCAGTCTGGTCTAACTAAGATTCCGATTCCGCTTGATAAGATAACAAATATGAGCCTTTTTTTTTTCCTACATGCTCGTCCTCTCCAGTTTCTATTTTGCGTAGTAGCTCTCTTCTCCGCTTTAAACGGACTGTTTACTTGTCAGAGAAGTGAGTCCCACGAGAGTAGAAGAACCGTCAGATGGAGCTGTGTCCGGGTTGGCGATAACCTTCGCTTTGAGTGCCGCACGAATGTCCTGCACACTACGCTGTTTCCACTCAGGATATCCCTTTTCGCTGAGAGGGAACAAGACCAAGTTATCTTCCCGCGTCATGAAGTCAGCGACCTTCGGCGCGGGAGTGGCAGTAATGACATCAATCTCGCCGGCAATTTGACGGCAGTAATGGTCCAGTGGGAGGTCGTTGACGTCCTCGCCGAAGGGGTTTTCGATTTCACTGCCGATGGTGGCTAGGCCGATAATAATGTACGCAGCCACTAGAAGCTTGTTAGAGATGGTCTTTCCATTCACTAGGAAGGGAGACTTACCCATTGAGGCTGGGATGGTGATCCAGTTCATCAGCCTGTATAACTGGAATGGAAGAACCAGCACATAGATCCAGGCAATCTGCGCAATGGCGATGCTGTAAGCTGAGGGCATGGGGGTGTCTAGCACCCGCTCTGTACCCGTCAGAACTTCAGTCATTGTAGCCATCATTGTAACTAAAGAGATCTTGTTAGCATACTCAAACAAGGAGTGCAATATGCCATAACTTACTAGCCTGACTCTGGTGTAGACCAGATGTCAATGTGCCATTAGCCACGCACGAGTCAATGTATGCGCTCAGATGATTAAGGATCTCCAGGGGAAGATGACCCAAAGGCTTCTTAGACCGCTTTATGAGCTTACGAGGGTTGGACTCGGCGAATGAGATACCCAGGTATTCGCCAACTGCCTTCCAGGGCGTCTTTCGAGGAGGGCTGACGATGTGAGGGTCATGGGCATCTCGGGCAAATGTGTCCATGTGGCCTGCAAGACCAGCCAAGTCCTCGTATGCTACATCCGGTTCGAAACGAAGCTTGTGCTTCAGAGCAACGGCAAATGCGAGAATGAGGTTCAGTGCGCTCCTATAAGAGTATTAGCCACCGTACTGTTTACTACATGAACTCAATTCACGTACAGCTTATTCAGTAGGTCTTCCTTGCCAGCATCGCCTGGGCGCTCGCTGGTGTTGACCCAAATAGTACGGGAGAGGTTACGAGACACTTGTACGAGCTGAGCCCAGTACTTTCGACCATCGGCCCATCTATAGTATGATAAATTAATGACTGACTTTGTCTCATCCAGATTAACTACGTACCTTTCATATGCAGTTGAACTTCGGAATGACAACGCCAAACCGACCAGGAAACCTAGCACGGTGAGTAGAATGTCATTGATACCAACTATTCAATCCAAGGCCATATCAGTCAGACGCGAATTCACATGGTATTAAAAAAGTGTAGAGTAACTCACGATCGTGAACAAAGTGGGAAATACAAGTAATGGCAGTCGACCAAGCAGCTACAAAGACAAGCGGTACAATCATTTTAGGAGTAACACTGCCATGCATACGCATAAAGATTGGCCATTTTGTGTGTTTTTCCATGTCTCGAGGTCCATGCTATATGAATAACACGTTAGTCAAGAGTTTTTCAATCAGTCTTGCGGTTCGCCTTGTCGAGTCTTTCACGTACAAAGTAGCGATCGATATCGCTATTCCGCGTCTTGAGATGGAATTGCTCGTCACGCGAAGCTGCCAGATGCTCCATGAATGTCGGTCTTGGAGTAAGTCGCCCGACATCATGCTCATGTGTGTGATGACCCGGTGCTTTAGTATCACGCACGTCACCAGGAACAGGAGCGTTGTGTTCGTTAGTAGCATTTGCCATTGGGGCATCAGAATGAGACTGGTGAGGGCCAGCTTCGTCCGCCATAGTGCTAGAATGCGCGATAAGCCAAGAAAAAGGAAAGAAATATAATCTCCGGATGGACCGGTTGAGTTTTCAGTGAGTGTGATCCTCAAGTATAGAGGGAAATGAGTGTGTATTAGTAGGAAAAAGAAAGGAACGTATGAGAGGGGAAAATGAAACCTGGAGAAAGAAACTAGGGACAAGAAAGGATCTGAAATCTGAAGCTACTATGGTATGTCCCTGTGGGTTTGTTAAACCAGTACTTTCTCGACCCACTTTTCTGCCATATTTTAAATACCGATTGTGGTATTCAAATTGCTTTTTACAAACATATTGAATATTTGTAATTTGTATAAAAAGAAACATCGCCACCATCAAGCTAATTTACTTTGACATGGAGGCTCCTTTGGGACAGCTCTGGAGGCCCAATAAACTACCTCTCGGGACTCATTTAAAGATAGCTTCGTGTTATAGCACGTAGATAATGCTTCCCTATCCAATATTTCATCTAATTAGGAGTTGTGGCCATAGCAGGACAGGGATAATGGCGACGTGTAGGCGACGAGGTGCGACGACGAGGTTAGTAATAGGTTGAAACTACGTGGTCCCTGAAATATGGTGTATTACACTAGGCTATATTAGGACTAGTCTCAGTAAGGCGGTAAGAGGGAGTAAGTACCGCGCTAACAAACCCACAGGGACAGACCTGTAGTAGCAACGGAAGTCTGACAGGGAGTGGCTGTTTCATCAGGATCTAGACCGTCGAACGGGAACACGTTATTGCGCCAATGTGGATATGCATTGCCACGTCTGAGCGGTAATTTTGGGATGTTTCTAATTGAATTTCCATTTGAAGATTCTTCTTTTTCGAGCTCCGAAGGGTTGTACTATTGTTCTCGTATTTCCAACGTCTTAATATGATATCTCCAGGACTGTTTCTGTGTGAAATTATATAGTGAAATTTGTAAAATCATATACTCCGAGAAACTTCCACGGGAACAACCTTGCAACTTCAATACCAAGACTTTCTTTCCCGTGTTTTCTCCACCCCCTTTTGAAGCCATATTAACGCCAATTCTTAGTTTTCGATAGAGCGGTGAGTTCAATAGTTAGAATTGACTCTTATTGATCCGAAGACTGAAGAATGAGTTGTGCTATATAAAGATCAGTGAAGGCGCAGCATCAAAGTGGCTCCTAATGGAAATATCAAACGCTAGAGCAACATTTGTGAAATAACCACCCATGGAGAAATATGCCAAGTTGCCATGCCGAAAATACACAGGTCCCCTTCTCATCAGTGAGTTGGACCGATGATCAATTGATGACGATCCTGAACGCACTGATCAATCGATAGCCCATGCTGCTACTTCGTTGTACGAAATGACCCAAGGAACTTGAAGCTAAGGTATACGATTTGGGGGCTCCGGAGTAAGCCGCTAGAGCTGAACATTTAGCTCGTCAAGCTCAACCTTATCTGCCTACATTTGGCATAGTTTAATTTTGCCTTGCCAAACTAATCACCAGAAGACAAACTAGTGCTGACATCCTTCAAACGTTTTCCTGCCCAAGTGTTCAACACGTTGTACGGCGCGTGGTTTCTCTTCTTTCAGCTGCAACCTGTCAAATCTGCCACGGCGATTCCTTTATTTTGAGATCGTATTCTTTTTGCATCCTCTTCATATCCCTCGAATATCTTCCAAGCTTATATAATATCTTTTACCTCCGTGAGCTACTTATTATCCCAAACTCTTTGTCCCAAGACTCTTTATCCCAAGACTTTTCATCCCAAGACTCTTCCAATTAAGTTTCCAAGGTTCAACCCTTGGAAAATTCCCTGAGACCGCTACTCCTCGAACGGTTTATTCATAGCGATAAGTACAAGTTCGACTATCTTTCTTCGAAAGTGGACTGAGTACACTAGAGCTTCAAAGACTTCCAAGATATTTAATTGTTAGCAGGAGCGTTCGGAAATCAATTCCGTGGTGAATATGGTGGGCAGAGCCCCTAAATACCCAGCATCGACTGTTCTAAAGACAGGAACACCTAGATTAAACCTTGGAAGCAGTTCTGAGGAGATCTGCTTTGATGCTTCTTGCTGATGAACAATTCACCGTGTAATTTCAGCTCAATGTCAGAGTTGACGCTTTTTGAACGAGCATCCTCATCTGAGTGTCGACCCCTACCGACATTTGATGTGCCTCCCGGAGATGCCGCTGTGGTCTGTGCATAATGGTACATACGGAGTAGGTACATATACAGAGCAACCCTCAAAGCCCCTATGCTTGATGCAAGTAAGACACAAGCTCGTAGCATTTGAATTTGGCTCATGCAGGCACAGCGACGAGGAACTTGATGATATCTTAAAGCAAGGAAAGGGGGTAGAAGATAGGGGTCACTAAAGTACCCCAAATCTACCAACCTTACCATGAACCAATTCCACTTGCCGAATGCAAGCTTTATCACGCCACTTGGGAATTTTCACTAGATTTCGTGCTTATTCATGTGCATTTGATTCGGTAAAGCCGTTCCGCAACATCTTCTAGTCCCGATCCGGTAATCGATTTAGATCATACGATCGTACGATGATATGGGGCCGTATGTAAATCAACCTATTCTAGAAAGAGTTTAATATTATTGGAGGAATATCCATATACTGATCAGCTCCCCCTTTCTTCTTTCTCTTCACTCATTCATTCCTTTCTCTCTGCATGTTCCTCGCATTCGGTGGATCAGCATTGTTACAATCATGATAGAAAGTTTTAACACCTCTGAGGCAGGAAGCCCTCAGCAGATTTTGAATGCGCACAAGTTGCAGGAAGCTATTCCGGCATTCTTTTCGGGATGGGCGACTTGGCAATACATCATCACTGCTCTCGTTGGCGTGGTTGTATACGATCAAGGTGAGTTCAATTTCTCATTCTATATAGGGTTTATCGGTCAATTGACCTCTCATCTAGTCATGTATATCAAGCGAAAGGGCTCAATTGCAGGACCCATGTTCAAGATTCCCCTCATGGGTCCGTTCAAGCAGGCGCTTAACCCGAACTTCAAGGAGTATCTTGCCCAGTGGGCGAGTGGACCCCTTAGCTGTGTCTCTGTTTTCCACAAGTATGTACTGCCCCAAGGTCGTTGTTCTCAGATTATCAATTCTTACCATTCTCTCCAAGATTCGTCGTTCTTGCCGCCGACAGAGACATCGCCCACAAAGTGTTCAAGTCACCCACCTATGCCGAACCCTGTCTTGTGCCGATTGCCAGAGATATCCTCGGCGACAAGTCCTGGGTCTTCCTCCAGGGAAAAGCGCACACCGAGTATCGCAGAGGATTGACACCTCTATTCACCAACAGGGCCCTGGCATCATACCTGCCAGTTCAAGAGAAGGTGTTCGACGAATACTTTGCCAAGTTCATTGCCACCAGCGAGGCCAACGGAAACCAACCCATGGAGTTCATGACCAAATTCCGCGAAATCAACTGTGCTATCTCATGCCGTACTTTCTTCGGTGACTACATCTCGCAAGACGCAGTGGAGAGAATTGCAAACGACTTCTACCTTGTCACAGCCGCGCTTGAATTGGTTAACGTCCCCTTTTCAATGTATGTCCCCTTCACAAAACCATGGTACGGAAAGCGAATTGCGGATGCAGTTCACAAGGAGTTTGCGCAATGTGCAGCAGCTGGCAAGAAGAATATGGCAACCGGCGCGGCACCCAACTGCATTCTTGACCAGTGGGTGCTTCACATGATAGATTCTCAAAGATATCGCGAGAAGATTGCTGCCGGCGAAGACGTTGAAAAGCCCAAGAATCTGATCCGCGAATTCACAAACGAGGAAATCTCCGAAACACTTTTCACCTTCCTTTTTGCAGCTCAGGATGCTTCTAGTAGCTCGACAACCTGGGTGTTCCAAGTTCTGGCCCAAAGACCCGATGTACTTGATAAGGTGCGCGAGGAGAACCTGGCTGCTCGAGGTGGTGACCGGAACAAGTCCTTCGATCTTCCAATGCTGGAAGGTCTTACCTACACCAATGCTGTCATCAAGGAGATTCTTCGCCACAGACCCCCGGTTATCTTCGTCCCTTACCTTGCCACAAAGGAATTCCCCGTTACTCCCAACTACACCGTCCCCAAGGGTTCCATGGTTATCCCATCCTGCTACCCAGCTCTCCACGACCCCAATGTATACCCTGAACCGGATGTCTTCAACCCCGACCGCTGGATTACCGGCGATGCCGAGTCGAAGACCAAGAACTGGCTTGTCTTTGGCGCAGGCGCTCATGACTGTCTTGCTCGTCGCTACGTGCCACTATCAATGGCTGCGATGATCGGCAAAGCGGCACTGGAGCTCGACTGGACACACTACGCTACAGAAACCTCGGAAGATATCCGGGTTTTCGCGACTCTATTCCCCATGGTACGTTTGCTCACCTATCTTTTGATGCTGGCTTTTACTAACCTTTGTTTAGGATGGCTGTCCGTTGGTCTTCAAAAAGCGACCTTAGATCAAAGTCTTCCTTTTTTGTGTCAGGGCTAGAAAGGTCCTGAGTCAATTATGTATTTTAATTCATGTCTACTCCTCTTTAAATTAAGCATTATAATATAGATATTGTAAGCCTTTCTACTTGAACATTGGCGCTCAAGTTGAACTAACATTTTTACTCAATTGTAGTACATCTGTCCCTCCAACCTTGGAACGTTAATTTGCTAACCAAGGAAACCAAAGGATAGTACCTAATATCTACTTAGCTGACTCATTGTGCAAGTGGTAAGAACCATGGAATGCGATATAAGCTTATCGGCTTCCTGAAACTCAGTAACATTAAACTTCAGAATCGTCTCCAGCTGGCCGAAGTTTAGCCCCTCAGTGCTACATTTCATCCCCTGTTGATAAAGCTAAGGGTCCTGAACTCTTTTTTCCAAGCTATTTACTATATTTTAAATACAACCTTGGAAACCCCAAGTATATATTCTGCCTTATTGCTCCTGATTCATGAATATAATTCCAGCCGAGGAGAGCTCGCATCAGAATAAGCTATAGATTCCCAAACATACAAAATCTACACAATATTTGGTCTATACTTCCAGTGCAAATCATAAAGCTCTTCAAACCGCATCAAATCCTAAATGCAACCATGTGCTCCGAATCACTCACCTCGAGCTGAACACCTGGAACTGGGGCCTACACTCATCAAACCCCAAGCTCACCATCCAAACAAAACAAGTTTCCTCATGGAGAAAAAGAACTTCATTTATAGTGTATAACGCCTGGAGGCCCACGTTTCCCGGGGTTTCGCTATCACTCCCTGGAAACTCAGAGCTATGTAAACTCAGTCGCAACGACTTGATTGTGACCAGCTATGACGATGACACGGCATTACGAAAGGAAAAAGATGACGTCTCGATCCTGTTCGAGAAAGAGCACACCCCAGGTATTGTTGATACTGATTATCTTGGATTTTCCAAATGCAAATATTGCTTTAGGTATCGAGGTTATGTGACCTTGTCTGACGGTGAATGATGGCGAATGGATGAGATAGACCACGAGTATTACGGGTTTAAGCTTGATCATGAACGTCTGAGTGAGCAGGAATTTTTGAAGACGATTAAATGGAAGGTTCTTTCGGGATAGAAGGGGGAATATATATGGACATGTGTTTGTTGATGTGCCGATCGGTGTGCAACATGATACGCGCCTTTATCGGATTGATTTGGATATTCTGCAGGATGAGGAGCCTCCTGCACTTGGAGATCTTGTTGTTGGTTCACTGAATCGTCAAGGGCTTGTCTTTGTCGATGGATGGAAGGGGGCTAGTGAGCTGCAGACTGCTCATCTCGGGAACTGATTTTGATAATAAGCCTTGAAATTGTGAGATATGAAAATTGGCAGTTATAAAAAGTCAAGTTGAATGAAGAGTTGAATGATACTTCTTTTGCTAAAATACAGAATAATAATATCGCTCAAAGGGTATAATAGCTAGGCATTTCTTCCTGGAACCAATTATAGGAAAATAACAACTGATCAGCCATTTGGGGATCTATCATGGGCACTCCACTGCCATCCACTAGCATAACGTCGTCGAGGACGGGGGCCAAGGGGACCGAATGTGGATGCGAACGTGGAGTAAACATGCTGGGAGGTTGAGGGGGTATAAGCAAGGGTGGCGGTGGTGGCTGATGTTGCTGCTGGTAGGCCATTTGGCTAAAGATCATTGTGCTCTGATGGCGAAAGGTCTCTGCCAGTTGTTCTACTCCAGGACGTCGCTTGCCAAATTCCGCTAGTAAGACAACGACGGCTTGGATGCCATGCCGCATGACTTCTTCAGCTGGATTCCAGGGTGGTGCTTGAAATCCACGGAGAGAGCGTGCGTTCTGCTCGAGGCACCACAGGATAGTGATACCTGCAAAGTAGACCTGGCTTAATGTCAACCAGATCCATTTTAGTTTTCCCACTGAGTAACTGTCCCAGTATGACCTGATCACCTGGATGCTGGAGTCTCCACAGCTGACAATACTGGTCGCATCCGGAGTGGGATTTCGCGAGCTAGGACGATTCATAAGAAGAAGAGTCGTATAATATAGATAGTCATAGTAGGATGTCGAGTATAGGAGAGCTGCTGGGTATAGTGGAGCCGACATCCGCCACTCATCGACTTCGCGACGGAATCGACCAAGGGTCGTGGCGACCTCTTGCGGTGGTGGTTGTGGTAGGTTACTGTACACTGCATGCATTAATCAGTAATGCGATCATGGGTAATGAAGGCAAAACTCACGGTAACGATAGATGCGCGAGAAAATGCGTCGGAGACATATCACCTGTAGCGGAATGGTCATCGCGCTACCCCCTGGTACTTCGGATCCATCATCGTTCAGCTCGCGTGGGAGACTCGCTGAAATATCTTCGTCGGCAATTCCTAATGGTCGGCCTAGGGTGCTTGCGATGAGACGATCCAGATTATAAAGACTCCAGAAAGCCCGCTTGCTCATCTCTTCCTCTAATTGATCTGTATATGGCCTTGCCTTGTGGAGACCGAGGCTGGTTGCTAATCGCATTGTTGTACCTAATATGTGCCAGATACTAGGCCCTGAAGTCGCGAACATCGAATATAGTGCCAAGCCAAGTAGAGCACGGATCGCCGGTAGATCTTCGTTCTGCAGAACGAGGGGCAGAGTTTCTTGGCTTGCATGGTAGAAATCTGCAGCCTGCGACGTATCTGCAGATCCGATGAGCAGTGAGATGGCGATGACAATATGGTAGCTATTATGTACCTCCGGTGATGGCACCTGGTCTGTGTAAATATGCCGCATATTGGCCATAAAGTCTGGCCGCGATATGAACGGATATTGGTAGCCCATACTATCAAAATACTGCCCCGCCACTTGCTCCGCTTCCTCTAGCGACGAGAGCCGCATTACCCGTAACGCATTATTGGGGTGAGCTGAAGACGGTCGGCGGTGCTCTAACTGATTTCGAAAGATTTCGCCCATATTTGGTAGCTTCGTATCTGCGCCAGTTGAAGAATCCGACCCTGCGGGCCCGGCTGTGGCCGAAGACCGTACACTACCCGCTGGGCTAGGCATTGATACATTCGACGCATGATTCACTCCAGTCGCGATCAGAGTGGGTATCTGAAACCACCAGTCGTGATTCTCTTCAACATCCACTGGAGTTCCAGTAGGTACGTTCGTCACCTCTGTGCCTGACTTTAGGCGTACCACCTCCTCAAGCCATCGAACTCTGTTCTGCAGATTCTCCAACTGGTCGCGTGGTACAGAGGCATTGGCCACTTGCGGGCCAGGCGGGGGAATAGTGCAGCGAACCCCTGCGCGGGTGCAGGCGGAACAGTTGGGATAACGAAAGTCACATTTTTTCTTTCTTTTTCGACAGAAATCACAGGCTGTTGATACACGCTTCGTGCGTGGAGTGGATAATCCATGTTCGGGAGAAATAGAGTCTGAAAGTTGTGTATGTGAGAGTGATTGTGAATGCGAACGTGGATTGGCAGTCGGCTCCGAATGCGATGGCCAGCGGGCAGTCTCCGATGAGTCCAGACGAAACTTTCCCAGCTGGTTGCGGAAGTCCTTGTTACCCATGCTCGTTATAACGGCGGCTCGAACCGCAATCCATCCCGTGCATACGAAGAAGTTGGGAAGATTAAAGAGGAAGAGAACGGAGAATTAAATAGAGAAGTTTAGTCACGGGAAAGGCAGGAGCTTATAATACGACCCTGTACTCTATTTGAACCTTATTTGAAGAGAAAAGGAAAGAATGGAAAGGGGTGGAAGGAGCAGTTAAGAATAGTCTTTCTAAGTTAGATGAAGATGCAGATGAAGTCGAAGAATTACAGATGAAAATAAATACAAAATTGACTTTAAACCCCGCGTCAACATCTCACCGCCCAAACCCACCTTACGTTTCGATATAGATCTAGATCTTTTTTATCTCTTTGTAATCTTAATTAGAGATATCATCTGTATTCAAGCGCTGTCGTTGTTTCATATATTTGCATACAGCTAGCGTGCACTGTCTTCATAAGCCTCAATCACTCTACCCCTTTACTAGCAACATGAATCCAACTCAGAAGAAAGAAATTGAGACTGCGACGTGTGAGCGCAAGTAGCCGAGAATCAAGAAACCGCGGCTCATGCAATCCATCGATGTCATTTGATGTACCTGAGAATCTACTCTTCACGGCCGACTATCGGACTATGTGACACAACAGATAGAATTGATGACTATACCAGTAACCATCGGTTGGATAAAACTGAAATAAAAGCCCTGGAGGACTCGATTCGTATCATGCTGAAAAGGGTGCATACTTAAAACCTACTGCTGTACGAGAAATGGCAAATCCAATACTAGAAAACCACCAAACTTCGCCTTGAAGTATTGACGAAAGTGGATTAATGACTTTACCAATCTCAATTCACGGCTTCAAAAATGATGGTCACGACCAAGTTGCCACAATGGTACTTCACTATAACGCGATGAAATAACCGTCACGAATTGGATTAATAATGTACACATCGTAATTGGCGAGTATTAAATTCAGCCCGAGATCATCTGTAACATTGACGAGTTTGTATTTTCGACAGGCCCTCTATCAGCCCCAGAATTCAATACCGGCGTTGCAAAACAAATGGAACAAATCAGTTCGATATCACATCGAAACTGGCATACACTTTTATTGAGGTAATCAGCGCTACTAGACGACCGCCTGTACTAACATGTATCTTCAAGGGGAGGCGACTTCTCATCATGTATGGTACCAGGAATCGATTAACGCGGTTTTTCAACGAGATTAGCGAAAACACAAAATATTTGTCATGTTTAAGCCCTCGTGTTTGAAGGGATTTCGAGCCATTTGGGGCTGGTTTTGATTGCATCAGCAAGTATTCATTCTTGGTCACATATACATTCGCGCATGTCTTAGCTCTCAAAAAGACTCATTCGAAACCTCCTCGAAGAATCTGGATTGGTGGCACCTAAATCTGACTGAGCTCACCCCAGCATAAGGGAACCTCTAGTCAATTGTCACGGTTGAGATCTAAATGCCATACGTAAGGACAAAAGACAATTCCCTTATTGGGTCTTTTTCCGCTACATCGCACAATTTCTTCATCAAAGTCTTAATTGGTCTGCCGACACCATTGAAGAGTCGTTTTAGAGAACTTGCAACAACCAGCTAGACGATTTATCAATACTATGATGATATCAATCAAAATTACACGCGACTTGACGACAGATTGTCTACTCTCTGGGAGGACAATAAGCGACCCCAGGAAAACAATTCTGAAAAAATAAAAAGTATCAAGAGATTTCTCCGCTCAACATAAGGCAGGCTAGGACACAATGAAGGCTCCAGAAATTCCAACAACGCCACTCAACAGCAATGGAAAGTGCTGTTCACATGGGGAATAGATTTTCAGTTAAGATGGAGAGTCCAAAGCTGAGGAGCCACCACAGGCGTCAGAACTATATTCTACAACATTGTGACAACAATCAAATGTTTACGACCATGTGACTTGGGCTCTTAGTAGGTAGTTCATTATCCAGTCAATGTCTTCTTGCCACATCTGTGTCATGCATTAGGGTATTCCAAGAAACTACAGATATACATGAACTGGTTATTTAGTTGCCCTTGATCAGTCAGCACGGAAACCAGAATCCTATTGACATCACGCCGACAATTCTAGTGTTATTATTGGTCCCCTCATTTATTTATTATGGGGCCATTATCGTTCTTGTTAGGGCTTAATAGTACGGATACTGGAATCCGCGTTGTCCATATTCCGGGCAATTACCCCATAATTCCCCAGGTAGTGCTTGGAAATCGGGAATTTAGGCCATAGGACTATATATATACCTAAAGAGTAGCGAATATCGATGCATCTAGAGATCAAGATTGCTCTTCCATTTCTCTTGAAATAATATCTATTCAAAATGGCACCCGTCGCTACTGCAGAGATTGCCCCGGTTTTCAACAATGCTCGAGATGGCATGGCACTGGAAGAGCTGTCTGACGCCATTGATGAAGTGAATGTTCTCAAGACCAACTTGAAGGAGAAGGAAGTCCAAGAGAAGGGACTATATGAAGAGTCAGCATTCGACAAGGAAAAGAACAAGACCAACTTCCGCCAGTATGAAGACGCTTGTGACCGTGTGAAGAACTTTTACAAAGAGCAACATACCAAGCAAACCGTCGCATACAACCTCAAAGCCCGCCACGACTTCCAAAGCAAGACCCGTGCCGAGATGACCGTGTGGGAAGCAATGGAGAGGCTCAACACACTAATCGACGAATCAGACCCAGACACTAGCCTTTCCCAAATCGAGCACTTACTGCAGTCAGCGGAGGCCATCCGTCGAGACGGAAAGCCGCGCTGGATGCAGGTGACTGGACTGATCCACGACCTGGGCAAGTTGCTTTTCTTCTTCGATGCCCAGGGCCAGTGGGATGTAGTCGGAGATACCTTCCCCGTCGGCTGCGCCTTCGACGAGCGTATCATCTACGGTCGTGACTCCTTCCGCGAGAACGAAGACTTTGGCCACTCGGTCTACGACACTAAGTTTGGCATCTACAGCCCTGGCTGTGGCCTTGATAAAGTCATGTTGTCCTGGGGTCATGATGAGTACTTATACAACATTGTCAAGGAGCAGTCTACCCTGCCTGCTGAGGCTCTTGCCATGATTCGCTATCACTCTTTCTACCCATGGCACAATGCTGGCGCTTATCATGAGCTGATGGATGAGCATGACAAAGAAATGCTACGTGCTGTGAAGGCCTTCAATCCCTATGACCTGTACAGCAAGAGTGATGATGTTCCTAGTGCGGAGGAGCTAAAGCCTTACTACATGGAGCTCATTGATGAGTACTTCCCTAACAAAGTCATCCGATGGTGAACGATAGATGATGAGGGGTTTTAGGTTATTTCATGTCCTTTTACGACCTTCTAGCGCTTCGGGATTTAGTTACTAAATTTGAATGAGATTTTAGCGATACAACTGTACTGGATAAATATGACCTCTGTAATCTTGGAACATTGTAGCCAAAATCTAGCAGACTGGTTAACTCACATCATCTCTAATTTGCCAAATATACTTTTCATGCGAGCCTTCAATGTTCAATACCTTTCCTTCCAAGTCATTGAAATGTCAATGAAACTAATCAACTCCCTCGGCGGGACGGTTAGCTTGGGAAGTGAGCACAGTTGGCTAAAGTGCAGGTGGCTTACAAAGTCAGTAGGATTATATGGTTATCAGAGCCCTTCTAAGGTGTTCCAAATTTTTCAACTCCATTGCTTCTTTCATCTTTCATTCCTTGTCAAATCCCACTCCCATTTTAACGATTTTCAAGAGAAATCAAAGAATGTCTTGAATCAGTGAGGACCCACTCACGAGCAGAGAGACTAAACATTAGATTCATGTTGTATGGAATTGAATCTTAGGCAGGTACTCGGCGAATATGCCCGGCTACTAAGATAGGTATTAAATAGACCATTGCAAATCATTTGTGAATTGGTCTAGAACTTCCAAGGTCGGGACTCTTCGAGGCTTTGCTAGCCAATATCACATAACTGGCTGGCAATAACCGACCTGGGTGGTTGTGGTAGATCTAAGCAAGCCGGAGTTTGCATCAGCTCCGATTAGTCTCTAAGCCCTGCTCGATGATCAGTTATGAGGGGGAAAAACTGATTTTTCAAGGTTACTCTCAGGTGCTTGAACTCTGCATAGGTATACTCAGGTACTTAGAATGCCAGTCTTGAGGTTGAACAGTCAATTGAGATCTGTTGCAACTTTCATGTGCAGGGCTCCCAGTGAGTTATTCAAGTGTATCAATGCACCTCCATAGCTGGAAGTTGCTGAGACTTCATGAATAATTAGCATCTGCATGATCTATACGCATGTTTCTTTTCTCTTGTGTCGTCATTCTCCCTTATCAGCTCGCAGTTGGAGGAATCCGATGATGACCTTGGATCCTGAACCAAAGCGGCGAGAGCTAGCTTTTCGTAGGTGAAGGGCATTAAAATATCTAGGTGCATTACCAAGAGTGATAATATACCAGGTATGTGATGCAGTTAGTAATAACATAGAGCTGCCTATCTACTTCGTATGTAAAGTTTCTTTAAATTTAGATAGCATCCATTCAGCCATCTACTCCAATTGTAGGATCTCCTTGACTGTTAGTCTTACTCTTTCTTCAGGTCAGAATACCAACATTCAACGCATGAAATTAATAATGGCGTTTGCTTACTTCATGTCAAACTCACCTCCACGCTTTCGCGATACTTGTGCACACCTTCCTCAACACATCCCCCATTGTGTCAGGATGATAGCCCCCTCGGACCATACTTTTCAAGTGACTTTGCACCACCAATCCAACTGTATTTAAAAAGATGGCCTTGTGCATATTCTTCACCATGCGAAATTGTTGAATAACAGGCGGCGACAAGTCTCAGGCTTCCAAGGGCGGTAGGGAGTAAGAGCCACGTTGAGAATGGAGAGGCAATCGGCGATGGAAGAAGAGGAATATATAGAGGGATGGTCTTGGGGCAGCGCATCGTGTTATGAGAATTATAAGAGCTGTTTTAACGCGGTTCGAAATTGCCGAAGGACCTAAGCAATTGAGCTTTCTTTCCGAAGAATCATATCTGGGCATTCTGTCGCTCAAATAGTATTGGCCACCAAAATCAGCTTGGAATTTTCCGCGGCCCTTGTATGCTAGCATGTATGATTATTAACAAGAACCATCTCTTTTTTACATTACGTTTTGTGTTTTCATTATTCTCAAATTAATGCAATATTGAGATATCTCGATCTCAGGTTGAGATCAACCTGCTTGAAACTCCGACAAAGTCATGCAAAAAAGAGGTCATCAATTAATTCTATCAGAGTGCAGCTGTGGAAATCAAAGAGGATTAGAAAAAAAAAACAGGATTCTTCGCTCGTATATTCATTATCAATGGCTCCGCCCAGTCCATCTGCCGATTTTGTCATCAAGCATGGGCTGGACTGAGCTACGGACATCACGTAAACATATCAACATTTCAACATATAAACAAAAAGCAGAACAAACGAAGGAAATACCGTACAAGACGGTTGCTAGACCAGTGAGGGTACAGATTGTTCAAGGCATGGGTATCATGAAGATATTAAGGAAAGACGTGAGGTAGATAGTACCTATCTCTCTCGAACGGTGAAGTCGGCAACCTGAGGATCACTGACAGCGGTCGAAGCAGCAATAGTAGAATCTAGCAGCGGAATACGGTCAACACTGTTGCGCTTCTCCATGGGGATGGCTGCTGTGGCTGGTGTATATGGGCTGTTAGACCCCTCTGGAGAGCTCTGCCAACGTGCAACATCTTGCTTCAGTTGCTCCAGCTCCTTCTGGAATCGCTTGCCATATACATCAATATAATACGTTGCTCCGTTGTGAATGCTCCAAGTGAACAGGGCGGTGAGGTAGAGCGCACTTGCCCATCGCGACCAGAACCAGATCGGAGCCGGGAGCATGGTTGACAGTGCGAAGGCATATTGAATCAACATGAAAGCAGGCTCTTGTAGCTTATTGGGGAGGCTGAGAACGATGCGTCCAAGAGGGCTCTTGGAGTACGACTTGCGAAGCCATGTGAAGCTGGTAGGGCGGCCTGCGGCGATCTGGTCGGCGCGACGCACACTGATGAGGAAGTGGTACGTGAGCTGCCAGACCAGATAGGGGATAGTAGCCCAGATCACCATAGCACCAAGAGAATAATGTTCTGGGTCGCCAGGCTGGCTAAACTTGATGGCATATACAGCGGGGAACCGCTCCTTGAGCACTTCGACCGGCGTCAAGTGAACAATACAGTGTAGAGTGACCGGAGGCATGATATGAATGAAAAGACTAGAAGAGGCAAATTAGTTCACGTGTAGAAAGTGCTGTACTTTGCAAAAAAAAAAAAAAAACGTACCTGACGACTTTGTCCACGCTATGGAAGACTAGGGAATTGCGCCACATAGCGATAGCTGCCGCGTTGTTGCCGAAAGTGAGGCAGAATGTGCTAATTAATAGCCGCTTGGAGCTTGGAAATACCCAGATACTGAGCATGTTCAGCATATTGACAAAGTAGCATAGATCGGCAAGGAAGTAGTGGTAGCCCTTGGCGTGGTAAGTGTAGTATCGTTGAGGCATGAAATAGGCCAGCTGGACGGAATACCAGATATGAAAGTACTCCGGAAACGCTCCCAAGATGTATCCGCTGAGAAAAATATTCAGAACACCGGCAATGAACGCGAACTTTTCGCGCAGGGTTACAGTGGCCGTATCGCTCCATTGTTTACCCAAGCGTTCCACGCTCTGCTTCATGCGCTGGCGGTACTTGTCAAGTTTCTCTTCAGCTGTAGGGACGCGTCGTTTCCACTCGCCCACCACCCGGTCCTTCGCGATCATACCAGTCGAGCGAAGCTTCTCGCTTCGTTTGCGAACTTTCTCCCTCTGCATGTTGATTGTCTGCTGCCATTTCTCCAAACGCTGTGTGACCTGTACATTGTCGAGGAGGTCGAAGATGCTCAGCTTGTCGAGAGGTGGAAACGTCTCCCAATCCTCTTGGTACGATGAGCTGCCGTTGGAAAAGGACCCGTTGCGCGATAGATTCCCAGGAGTAGCGGAAGGGGAAGAGTCGTCCTGGTCAGGATAATCGAAGGGGGTATCGAGATCATCGACCAATGCTGCAGTAATCGGAGATACAGGCACCATGGCGTCTGATTGTCTGCGACTTGAACTCGATTCTTCCATCAGGAATTGTTGTTGGAAGGAAAAGATAGTTGGACCGTCGCGTAGAGTGGGTGGAGCGCGGCTGAAGAAGTGATTGAATGTCAGCATCACCATGGTAACATGAATGTGAAAGAATGAGACGCATTTCGAAGACAGCGAGAGCCGCCATCTTCTTTATTGCTATTGTATATATAATAGCGGGACTAGGCAATTAAGGCGCGGTTTACCTTATCTGTCACGACCACGGCTCACGCGGCGATAGAGAGGATCAGTAGGGGCCTAAACCCAGAGTACCAAAGACCTGGACGTATGAAAACGAAGATAGATAGAGACCACTTTTTATAGAAAGGAAATCAAAGAACCAGCAGAAATAAACAGATAAAGCGTGTGCTTGAGTGGTGTAAGCTGGTTGGTCCGCTTATCCGCTTCAGGTGATCATACAAAGACTCGAAAAGTACGGAACTGATGACATAATTGTAGCCACCGGCGTATTATATAAGCAGACTAATAGTGGAGCGGAAGGAGATCATCATATGAGTTACAATTCAGAATCATTTAAACATCGCCAAAATATTTTCGACGGACCTGTTCCATCGCCAGCTCTTCAGGCATTGGTTGTGGGAATTTATCAATCTCATTGACCCATAAAGAGTTTTGTGGGTTGACTTGGTGGGATACCAACCAGCATTTTCCCAATCAATAATACCAACAATGTCATCTCCACGAACAAGAATGTTGCGGCTGCTAAGGTCGCCGTGTGTAAATACCAAAGGCCAAGTTTTGCTTTGCTGTTTGATAAGACCCTGAATTTCAGAGTCAATCCTTGAATCAAATTCCATGCCCATGCGTAAGTGCCGATGGAAGCTCTGGATAGGATTAAAGGGACTGAAGCGCAAAGAAAGGCCTGGAACACGACAGTCAAAAAGCGATTCGCCATCAATAGAAGCAACTATATTGCCTTGTGGGGGCTGAAGTTCCCGCATCTCGCGGATTTTCTCAGCGAATTGCAAAAGAAGTTTCGCCTTTGAATCCTTACTTCGATCAACCCAGCCTCTGCCAATTATATCTCCCTGAATCCTTTCCATCATGATATACGTCCACCCGGATCGAGTAAATACACATTAAACTTTTGGTACCGGACAGATGTATGCTGCGATATAAACCGTATTGTTTATGCCTCTGATAAATGAACACGGCGCCCATACTTGACGCATATTTCGTCCGTTAACAGGAGAACGTTTCCTTGTCGAGGTCGAATACGCTTAAGGATTTGGATAGCTATATGTGTCAAATATCGATGCAGAAAGTTGCTCTCGAATGGCTTAGATGCACTAAATGAAGCAACGGATGGCGAGGAGGGACCTTTTTGACGCGACGACATTATGATTGTGCTCAACAGAAGGGAAATGTTCAAAAGAATATTTCGGGAAACCTTTGTTCCTAGACTGCAAAAGGGACTTATTATTGGATATAAAGGAGTCTAGTAAATCAAGGTTGAGTAAAAAACGGATAGTATTGGAAAAGAGAGTATTTCATAGGAAGTGATAGTGGTGGTTATCCCTAGTATCTAGCACGATTCGTATTTCGAAGGTGTCTTTAGCACTATTCACGTGATATCATATGAGCCGGGTCTATTCTTGGGCTGGCTGAAGCTGTGTTTAATTCATTAGACAAGCAGCCCTTGGAGACACTTTGGAAGATATTGGTGGTTGGCTGGGGTGGCATTGGACCGCCTTCCCAGTCTTCTATCAGATATCTGAAATTTCTCAGATGGGAAATGTTGAACAATGGGCCTCGTTAAGGCTTTGCCACAGGCGAGCCATCGGCCCTGTTTAGATACTAGGAACTAGGGGAGCACATGAAAAAGGATATTACTTATTCGTATTTGTCATTTATCCTCAACATGTAATTCGAGTTCGACTAGCTTTTTCTGTTGAGGTAAAATGACTGTATTGGGGCTTTATTGACTCATTCCTCGGCGGTGAGATCGACAATTGAAGCCTATAAATATCCAGTTCGTGCTTCCCTGCAAGTGATAGACTGAAGCTGGACTTCGCGGTTCCAGGGGGTCCAAAAAGAAGGTAGCCTCGTTTGTACGGAACACCCGTTTTGCGTACCAGTCCTGCATATCCTGGTCGAGAAACTCGTCCACATCTATTGTTATATCATCCCTCACCTCCTTGTCCATGATTACCATGGAGATGGGTCAAATTGGTCTCAATCTGGCTTTCTTCCACTCTCCTTCGCGGTGCTCAAAGACAGAGACCTTTCTTTGGGTGTCCTCGAAATACTTTTCTTGGCACTCTTCGATCAGGTCTTTCAGGATGTTGGCATTACGACCAACGAAGGAGATACGGAGGTCCTCTCGATGCTCTTTGACATCGCAGTGAAGGGCGAACAAATGCTCCTTATACCAAAAAAAGAAATGATCCATCCAAAGGAGAAAAAGTCAGAGGCTTTTCGTACGCTGTGTGGAATTCACACGAGGAATCAATGAATGTGTATTGTGGACAAATGGTCGGCCAGCTATCCAATCAACTAGCATATCGTATGCTTCGTTGTAGTATGAGACATAAATTGTCGGCCAGCTCCTGCAATCCAGGACGTTGCATTATGAAGGTGCGCCACGCCAGCCATAATCACAGCTGTAATTCACCTGCAACAATTCCTCACATCCGGCGCGAATGATCCTTGCAATGCCTAGGCGGTAATTTCATACCTCTAGAGATGGACTGGGTCCTACCTAACTATATAACTCTGCTGACCTAGATTTGAAAATTACTCAGTAACAGAAAAAATTGTATATAAACCTCAGCTGTCCCCAACTCAACTTTTGTAAAAAGTGTTAACAAATAAGACACTTTAGTAGAAAAACACAAACAACACAACTTATGATATATGTGCATGGAATCCCGTAATCAAGACTCGTCCATCTATAAATCCGAGTGCAAGTGTGGCATTCTTGACAGCCTGGCATGAAAATGAACGATACTCAACAGGGAGCCATAGTAAATTCTCACCTCCGAAACTAACCCAGTTACTCGATAATGATATCTGTAATTTTTCAGGAGCTTTTTCGAGAGGCCCATCAGGATAAGGAGACAAGACCGATGAGTTCATGTCTCTTGGATTGCCCTCTATCGTCTGCCGCTGCGTGCTTGTCGCCGTATTCCAGAGCTTGATGGTCTTGTCTTCCGAGCCCGATGCCAGCGTGAGCCCATCGGGGGAAAAGGCCACTGATATAACCGCACATGAATGGCCCTTTAGCGTTTGCCGCTGTGTACCCGTCGCCGTATCCCAGAGCTTGATGGTCTTGTCGTCCGAGCCCGATGCTAGCGTGAGTCCATCGAGAGAGAAGGCTACTGATGTGACTCGATCTAAATGGCCCTCTAGAGTCTGCCGCTGCGTGCACCCAATAATAGCAGGAGTGTTGTAAGTAAGTTCGGAGGCGCTGCTGGATGATCTGAGGATCGATATCCTTATACTGTATTCCGTAACTTGCTAGATCACATATATTGTTTCTGAGCTGAGTGTTCATGACGCGGAGACAGTCAGATGTTATTTGTCGATGTGTATTTTCTTCATCAATACGAAAGTCGCCTTCTGTATGAGTTAAGAAGTCTCGAAATGAAAGATGCAGAATGCGAACCGGTGCTTCGAGATCTGCTGGGACATGAAGGACAGAGTGAAATTTTTTCAATCGATCAGTAATTTTTTTCTCAGGTATCCTCGTCAATTGCTTAAGAGTAGTAACTGAAAGAGGGGTAGCCAAAAGAACAATCACGCCGATGATATTCTGAAACTCCTCTAAGAGTTGCTCAAATTCCTTCTTGTTTTTGGCTATAAAGAGTTGGTTTAGCACTGGTACATATGTCTTATCTAAGTTAGATGTTGATGTTGCTGTTGATGCTTTATCTTGAAGAACGGCCGTAAGCCGCTCGTCAGGAAGCCAGTCTTCATCCCCGACAAAGCGGCAAAGAGTGGCCGCAAGATGAACAAAGGGAGAGCCATCTGCACCAGTTGCTCAAGTTTCTGATTCCCAGGCCAGCTAGAAGAAAGTGAGTGTTCGCGTTGTATTACTGAAAGCTCATGTTCCAGGAATAGGCGAATGTCGTGATCGATTACTGACGCAGGAAGCTCATGGAGAACCAGGGCCTGATAGTTTTTTCCTCTTGGAAACCCAAACGGATCGGAAGTTCAGGTTTGCTTGTCAAGACTACTCGTAAGCGCACTGACTGGATTTCTTGTAATTTGAACAAGAGATGAAGTATGAGTTTTATATCATCATCCCCATCATATTCATTTAAGGCGTCAATAATGATCACAATCGTGGTAGATTGGCCTGGTTGCAGCTTCTGAAGAGGCTGATAGAGAAGCTGGTCAAATTGATTCCTCAGAGACTTCGATGTGATATTCCGATCATTCTTAATGGCGGTCAAGGCCTCAGGCACTAGTTGTCTGTGTCTAGTCACCAGCTGGCCTACGATACTGGTTATCAATTATGTTGCAGTACCACGGTCAGCTTCGCCCCGCTTGAAGAAAAAGCTCGCACTAAGCAGTCCTCGTTCTTTGAACCCTTGTACAACTGTGCGTGCAATAGTAGACTTCCCGGTCCCTGCCATTCCATTTAACCAAAACATGAATTTATCGTCGCGATTCGCCCAATACGTGATATGAGAAAGAAGCTCAATTCTAGTTCCTTTGAGACAGAAAGTCTCATGTTCATGATCACGAGAATAATATGGTGCTCCCTTTGCAACATATAGATACTCAAGGTTAGACTGTTCCACAAGAAGCTTCAGAGATTTGTCAAGCTCATCGATTTTGGAAAGAATCTCTTCTGCATCCTTCTCATGGTGTAAGTATCCACAACCTCGATCCACCGGCGCAAACTACCTCTTTCTTTTTCGACTGAGGTTTTAAGCTGCGTAAAAGGATGCCCAGTAATAGCAGTGAAGCAGTCCGAGAGGTTTCTTCCGATGCTAGGGTCTTGGACATTCCGAATCTGTCCTGAATAGACCATAATAGCCTTATAGAGCCTGATCATCGCGGTTTCCACATGGACCCGAATATCTAAATCGACATAAAGGTAGATTTTCTGTTCGATGAAGGCGCATCGTGTAATGACATCCGCCAGATACTCCGATGATTCAAACAATGCATTTTGTGCGTCATGGCGGTTTTGGGGAATCTTCGATACCAGTCAGATAATATAACAATCAGATAATAAGCAATTAGCCCATCTTAAATGTTCGGCAATACATATTTGTAAACCAACCAACACGACCGCCCAAGCGCGGGCTGCATGTTGTGTGGGGTGAAGTCCAGCAACCGCACCAATGATTTCCTTATAGGAAAGTAACGCATCGATGATCTACCGCGAAGTCTTTCGAAGTGTCTGATCTGACTTCCGCTGGTATTCCTCGTATTTTTGTTTTGTCACCTGGATGATCTCGTCGACCAGCTCTCTCGAGCCAGCTTTCTGATCACTTGATTCAGTAGAGCTTTGGGTGCATAACAAAATCTGCTGCAGGTCCTCATCGAGCTGGTCATAGGCAGTTTGCCATAGGTCTTTTGGCTGGAAGGTTTCAGTTGCCGTTGACGGGATTGATTGGATTGCTGGCTGGCTATAAGTCGATGGCTCAGCGATTTTCAAGCTGTCCTTTTGATCTTCCGCTTGATTGATCTGGGATTTCGCATTCCCAATCTCCTTATGCCGGTGAAATGAATTGAACAACTCTTAAGGTATCTAGGCATCTTTCATAGCAAAAGTCGTATTTCGAGATGGCTAATTTTCGATGTTTGGTTGGAATAAATAAGAGGCTATTCTGAGAGAATCAGGCTGGGAGGGTCCCACCATTTTTTCGAGATACAGAACTAGCGTGTTCAAAACAAGGATTTGCTTCGCGCGCCCCATACACATATTTCCTGTGTGCGCACCAGATCGCCCTCAATAGCTTTTTTCATCATTTCAATACAAATTTTCGGGCAATTTATTAGTAAATATATAATCTAATGGCCAAGCTAATGCCAGGACTAATATAAATTAAAATTAAGAAACCAACTTACTATTGAATTCATACTCCTTAGGCCGTTTATGTGGAATTGATCCCCAGAAAATCTCATGATCATTCCCAACCACCTTTGCAGCAGCCTCTGGATCATAGTGGTTAAGCGTTGCTGTCTTAGTAGTCCTTCAACTTCATACTAATAGCTCGTTTCGCATGCCAGTAACAAAGCTGATGCTTAGTCTTTGGCCATACTAATCCAATAGCTCTAATCTCTGCTGTATCCTTATCAGTTGCAAAAATGCTTGGATCAAATCTAAACCCTTTAAGCTTCATAAGAAATGCATAGAGAATATATGGCATTGCCCCTGGGTCTGCTCTTCTTCTTTGATACATATTAGGCTGAATATTCTGTTTATTAACTAAGCAATAGGCAAGAGGTACCAGTGCCATCAAGCTCAGCTCCATCCTACTATTGTTTGTCCCATAAGTAGAATTCATAACTAGTTGGGGCTGTGAGTTAGGCTGCATCAGGTTAATAGAGTATTGATTGATTGATGGCTTATGCCTAGCCCCACTTTGGGCATCAACTAAAGTGGCTGTGCCTCTGCTCAATACGGCTGAAGCTTTCTAAGATAGCGGATAATACATATATTGAACTAACAGCTGAATCGCCAATATTCCTCTCCCCAACTCAAAGAGTACTATCAATCATAATGGCTGATCCACTTTCTATCGCATCGGGGATTGCGGGGTTGCTTTCGCTTGGTGTTCAAGTCACCCAATCATTAGTCAACTTTTACACGGCGTACAAAGACCAAGACACGGATCTGGCAAAGATTACGCAGAATCTCGATAATCTTCAAAACCTCTTCCGAGCCCTCGATGCTGCAGTAGAGGAACGCCGACCACAGGCCAACACGCAAGATCTACTCCGAGAAGTCGAGAAGGCGGTACATAAATGTGAGGAAATCATCACCGAGCTACAGAGCGAGTGCGAGAAATTCCATAAAGAATCGGCTGCCAGTTTCAAGGATCGCGTTAAGGTTGCCGGGCGTCGCGCAGCCTATCCATTCCGGAAAAGCACCCTACAGAAACTCGAAGAAGACGTGGGCGATATACGTCAAAATCTGTTATTCGGACTCGATGTCCTACAGCTTAAGAGCCAGATTCAAATCCAAGATGGCATATCAGAAATCAAATCACTCGTCGAGCGAACAAATGCTAATCAAATTTCTTTTACAATTCGTTGCTGGCTTATGGCGCCGGATGCATCTTCTAACCACAACGCCACATGTGCGAAATGTCATCCAAGCACAGGTCTATGGTTCGTCAACGGTGATAAATTCCGGACTTGGCTAGAGAAACACAATTCTTTCCTATGGCTGAATGGTTTCGCAGGATGTGGCAAGTCGGTCCTCTGCTCAACTGCAATCCAGAGTATATATCATGAGATGAGAAATGAACATGGAGTCGGAATCGCGTTTTTCTACTTTTCCTTTAGTGACGAGGCAAAGCAAGACGAAAACGGCATGTTACGCACATTGCTATTGCAGCTATCAGTACAGCTACCAGATGGTGAAAGAGACCTAGAGCAACTACATGCGTTATATAAATCCGGGTCTCCCCCAATGGTTGCGCTGCGTGACTTACTTCGACGCTTCCTTGAACGATTCCGCGATGCTTATATTCTACTAGATGCGCTTGACGAGAGTCCTCGAGAGTGCAAAAGGGAAGATGTTTTAAAAGCTATACAAGTGATACGCGACTGGTCGATACCTGGCGTTCATCTTTTAGTGACCAGTCGCAACGAGCTAGATATTCGAGAGTCGTTAAGTCCTTCCTGTGGCCAAGATACTTCACTCAGAAATCCGGAAATAGACAAAGATATTACAGATTTTATCTCCTATCAGCTCAAGAACGACGCGAAACTTCAAAAATGGGAAGCGCGTCACGAGGAGATTCAGACGAAATTGGCAACTGATGCGCAGGGAGTGTAAGTGTTTGACAGCAAATACCTAGTCTCCGCTATTCTGATCAAAATGAGGTACAGATTCAGATATGTTGAATGTCAGTTTAACGCCATTCGGCGGGTGCGAAATCGAAATCAGCTTGACGACTGCCTACGCACGTTGCCCAGTGGTTTAGATGAAACATACGAGCGAATTCTGTGTAGTATTGCAAATGAATATGTCGAGGACGTGCGGCGGGTTTTGACTCTACTTTGCTTCTCAAGCCGACCGCTCACGATCAATGAGCTGATCGACGCTCATGCAGTTGACCTGAATGAGCCTTCACAGCTTGATCGCGACGGTCGCTCATACGAGCAGGATGATATTGTCGACATTTGCCTCGGACTTATTGAGGTCGTAGCCACAGAAAACGACAACCAACAAACTACCTTGACTGTTCGCATAGCGCATTTCTCGGTTCAGGAGTATCTCCAATCAGATCGGATCATTCAACGAAAATCAAGAATTTTTGCTATGTCAAGTGCGCCTGCAAACACAGAGATAGCCCAGTTATGCCTTGTCTATCTCCTGGAGCCAACTCTCTCTGATGGGGTATTTAATGAAGTAAAGCTCACGGAGTTCCCATTTGCTTCTTTCGCAGCTCGTTATTGGTTTCATCATTATACAAATTCAGGGAAGGGGAAGGAAGCAATTGAAGAGCTAGCGTCAAAGCTTTTCAAAGACGAGACGAAGGCTTTTGTTTCGTGGATACGCTTGCATAACATGGACAAACTGTTTGCAGCGTCACAAAACTTGGAACTTCCGATTGCTGAAATGGCAGCGCCTTTATATTACGCCGCGTTGTTAGGACTAGAATTAGTCCTGAACAGCATCTTACCGTCTGAAACTGTGGATTCAGCGCTATCCAAAACTGTGAACGCCCAGGGTGGACGCTATGGCAATGCACTCCAGGCCGCAGCACTTCGAGGCCATGAAAAGGTGGCGCAGATGCTGTTAGACCGAGGTGCCGATGTCAATGCCCAGAATGAAGTGTATGGCAATGCACTCCAAGCCGCAGCAGATGAAGGCCATGAAAAGGTGGCGCAGATGCTGTTAGATCGAGGTGCCGATGTCAATGCCCAGGGTGGATACTATGGCAATGCACTCCAGGCCGCAGCAGATGGAGGCCATGAAAAGGTGGCGCAGATGCTGTTAGACCGAGGTGCCGATGTCAATGCCCAGGGTGGAGACTATGGCAATGCACTCCAGGCCGCAGCACTTGGAGGCCATGAAAAGGTGGCGCAGATGCTGTTAGACCGAGGTGCCGATGTCAATGCCCAGAATGAAGTGTATGGCAATGCACTCCAGGCCGCAGCACTTCGAGGCCATGAAAAGGTGGCGCAGATGCTGTTAGACCGAGGTGCCGATGTCAATGCCCAGAATGAAGTGTATGGCAATGCACTCCAGGCCGCAGCACTTCGAGGCCATGAAAAGGTGGCGCAGATGCTGTTAGATCGAGGTGCCGATGTCAATGCCCAGGGTGGATACTATGGCAATGCACTCCAGGCCGCAGCACTTGGAGGCCATGAAAAGGTGGTGCAGATGCTGTTAGATCGAGGTGCCGATGTCAATGCCCAGGGTGGAGACTATGGCAATGCACTCCAGGCCGCAGCAGATGGAGGCCATGAAAAGGTGGCGCAGATGCTGTTAGATCGAGGTGCCGATGTCAATGCCCAGGGTGGACGCTATGGCAATGCACTCCAGGCCGCAGCACTTGGAGGCCATGAAAAGGTGGCGCAGATGCTGTTAGATCGAGGTGCCGATGTCAATGCCCAGGGTGGACGCTATGGCAATGCACTCCAGGCCGCAGCACTTCGAGGCCATGAAAAGGTGGCGCAGATGTTGTTAGATCGAGGTGCCGATGTCAATGCCCAGGGTGGATACTACGGCAATGCACTCCAGGCCGCAGCAAATGGAGGCCATGAAAACGTGGCGCAGATGCTGTTAGACCGAGGTGCCGATTTCAATGCCCATGATGTAGAGTATGGCGGTGCACTCCAGGCCGCAGCACTTCGAGGCCATAAAAAGGTGGCGCAGATGCTGTTAGAACGAGGTGCCGATGTCAATGCCCAGGGTGAAGAGTATGGCAATGTACTCCAGGCCGCAGCAGATGAAGGCCATGAAAAGGTGGCGCAGATGCTGTTAGATCGAGGTGCCGATGTCAATGCCCAGGGTGGATACTATGGCAATGCACTCCGGGCCGCAGCAAATGGAGGCCATGAAAAGGTGGCGCAGATGCTGTTAGACCGAGGTGCCGATGTCAATGCCCAGGGTGGAGACTATGGCAATGCACTCCAGGCCGCAGCACTTCGAGGCCATGAAAAGGTGGCGCAGATGCTGTTAGACCGAGGTGCCGATGTCAATGCCCAGGGTGAAGAGTATGGCAATGTACTCCAGGTCGCAGCAAATGGAGGCCATGAAAACGTGGCGCAGATGCTGTTAGACCGAGGTGCCGATGTCAATGCCCAGGGTGGAGACTATGGCAATGCACTCCAGGCCGCAGCACTTGGAGGCCATGAAAAGGTGGCGCAGATGCTGTTAGACCGAGGTGCCGATGTCAATGCCCAGAATGAAGTGTATGGCAATGCACTCCAGGCCGCAGCAGATGAAGGCCATGAAAAGGTGGTGCAGATGCTGTTAGACCGAGGTGCCGATGTCAATGCCCAGGGTGGAGACTATGGCAATGCACTCCAGGCCGCAGCACTTGGAGGCCATGAAAAGGTGGCGCAGATGCTGTTAGATCGAGGTGCCGATGTCAATGCCCAGGGTGGAGAGTATGGCAATGCACTCCAGGCCGCAGCACTTGGAGGCCATGAAAAGGTGGCGCAGATGCTGTTAGACCGAGGTGCCGATGTCAATGCCCAGGGTGGAGAGTATGGCAATGCACTCCAGGCCGCAGCAGATGGAGGCCATGAAAAGGTGGCGCAGATGCTGTTAGATCGAGGTGCCGATGTCAATGCCCAGGGTGGACGCTATGGCAATGCACTCCAGGCCGCAGCAGATGGAGGCCATGAAAAGGTGGCGCAGATGTTGTTAGATCGAGGTGCCGATGTCAATGCCCAGGGTGGACGCTACGGCAATGCACTCCAGGCCGCAGCAGATGGAGGCCATGAAAAGGTGGTGCAGATGTTGTTAGATCGAGGTGCCGATGTCAATGCCCAGGGTGGACTCTATGGCAATGCACTCCAGGCCGCAGCAGATGGAGGCCATGAAAAGGTGGCGCAGATGCTGTTAGATCGAGGTGCCGATGTCAATGCCCAGGGTGGACTCTATGGCAATGCACTCCAGGCCGCAGCAGATGGAGGCCATGAAAAGGTGGCGCAGATGCTGTTAGATCGAGGTGCCGATGTCAATGCCCAGGGTGGACTCTATGGCAATGCACTCCAGGCCGCATCATTTGAAGGCCATCAAAACGTGGTGCAGATATAGTTAGCTGAAATAATTACATATATTTTAAGTGAGTGGGCTAATTCCCGTGTGTACGGACTTATGACCTATCATAACTTATTTACAAATGATTGGCAAGCTGAGGATGGTATGCCTAATGCTGAAGTATCCGACCACAGTGGCGGATAAAGGATAGAAGCTCAGATTTTGTACAAAACAAGTAGAATGAACAATCAGAGTGACTAATTGCTTTCGTACCATTGCAATGCTCTAAATATGCTCGACTCAGATTACTTTAGTAAATGAAGAGAATCATGAGGAATAATTATCAAATTTTAGTCGGATGCTTGCTGTAATCATGTTGCAAAAATACAATTTTCAGACTCTCAAGGCTTCTGACCACCTGCGGCTCGGTAAGCCGCAGCCCGGTAGGTACTCCGGTTCTTAGGTCTGCCCTTGCTCTTCTTAGACTTCACTTTGAGGACACGCGAACTACCCTCAGTGGCCCGATGACCTTCAAACACCATTCCGTTTCCAGCAATGCTGCCCTTGCCTTGCTCCTTGACCTTGGCAGCACCAGCCCGTCCAAGAAGCTTGCTTGCACGACCCTGAAGCGTCTTCTGAGCCTCGGCCATGCGGGGGTTCTTGCCGCCAGAGTCATCGCGCTTCTTGGGCATTTTCCTAGCACGGGTCACGCGGATTTTTCGAGGAAGAAGGGGTGGGAACTTTTTCTCGTTGAGCAGAATCGCCTGCTCAACACTGTTGCCGTCGTAGAATTGTACGTAGGCAAATCCCTTACCGACGCGGGTAGTGCTGTCGCGAACTACACGGACAGACTCCACATTCTTTTTGGCCTTCTTATCTTTAGTATCGCCAGTGTTCTCATTAAAGACACGCCAGAGTCCCTCTTCGATATCAGCGGGAGCGCGGGCCTTTTTCTTTTTGCCATTCTCGTCCTCGGGACTCTCCTGGTCGACAAAGTCAAGGTTACCGACAAACACGCACCGCTTATTGTCGATCGCAGCAGGATGCGCAATGCTGTCAACGCGTAGATGGCGGTCCAAGACGATTGTTCCGTTTAATGCAGTAGGAGCCTTGCGAGCCGCCTGGGCAGTAGTGTAAACGGCGTAAGCGTTGGTGCTGGGAGTGGTCTCATCCAGGATGTCCCGTCGAGCGTAGGAGGCACGTTTGGGAATTCCACCACCGCTGGCGAATGGAACGGATCGGAATCGGATCGACTCGACCTTGTGAGGACCGCTTGATTCGGGCAGAGTTGAGCAGAAAGAAGCCAGATGACGAAGAAGGGTCTTCTTGTCTGACTTGGACTTGATTGCCTTTGTAGAGACGTTGCCCAAGAACACTGTGCGATTTGACTTCTCAACCTCGCTCGATTTGGCACTGGCATTGGCACCACCGGCAAGACTCTCATGGACGGGCACGGGAGCCTTGCTCTCGTCCTCATCTTCACTGCTGCCGGCCTCTGATTTTTCGTCGTCTTCCGAAGCGTCGCTGCCATCTTCTTTTTCAGCGGGCTTTTGGCGCTTGGCTTGTTCGGCCTTTCTCTTCTCGTCGTCTTTTTCTTCCTCCTTAGCAAGACGGCGCATATATGATTCTTCAACCTCCTCGGCACCACCGCGCTTGCGCTTGCGACTTTGAGGCTCCGGTGCCGGTTCCTCCTCGTCAGATGCATCTCCCATCACCTCATCTTCTGAGTCAGCTGGTTCCTCCTCTGAGTCGATATCTTCATCTTCTTCGGTCTTCTCTGTTGATTTGGGAGCTGAGGGTTTGACATATTTGATAGCAGGTGCTTGAACGGGACCCGACTGTAAAGATCAGATTAATTGTGAGTTTCAAGTAAGTTTCAACCAAGTATTGAAATTAAAGACTTACACTTTTCGCGAAGAGCGAAGACAATGTTGGGTCGATTGCAATGCCGCTCAGCAATCCCGCACTCGGAGGTTGGGCATCCCCTTTGGACTGTGTTTTGGACTTCTTTCCCATTTTAGATGGTTGAAGAGAGTATTCTTTTTGAATAGAGAGTCTCTGTGAGTTTTTGTTGCGTTGAGAGTGCAAACTGCGTTGATCTAAGCTCCCGAACTTTTTTTTTCCTTTGAGGCTTATCGGCCTTGGCGCTACAATCTATTACAGGTCACGTGAAAACACGGATCATCAGATATACCGCGTTACGACCAATGTCAAGTAAGATGTATCAAGCTTGCTGATTCCAACAAACCAAGCGCCATAGACTCGAGAATTAATGGATAAGGGCGTTTAAAATCAACTATTCGAACACCTGCATTATCCGATATCATCATCTGATAATCTTCAAATAGAGTATTGATGAGCATGTTTCTCTTAGGGCTCCTATAGGGAGCCTGGGGCGATACTAGTTGTTTGACCACTTAGCGCTGATGAAGTCACCTGATGGTTCTGAGCCTTTCCTCCGTGTAATCCCAGTCAGTTTTCAGACCTTATTTCCGTTGTAAGGTGCAGTAAGCACAAAACACCCCTTCATATATATATAAATGATTGAAGTCATTCTTTTGCCGGCTCGAATTCAGGACTCAAGGTGGGAGTTAACAATGGGCTTTTAAATCTCACACCGGACAAACCGAAAGTAGCTCAAACAGCTTCGTCCTTAGCAGTGTATATCAGAGAGGTATCATAGGGCATAATGTAGAAGAGGTAGTATATAAAACATGAAATGATCCAATATGTTGTAGCCGGGAACAATGGACAAGCGGCAAAATTAGAGGTTAGCCCCCTGCACGAAGAGAGACGTGCTTGTCAAGCAGACCACCCACTTCTTTTTTTTTTTTTTTGTAATACCGACGGCCTTAGTTGGGGGATCATGTAGAAATATGAGTTTCGTTCGAATCCGTGTGCGCGCTTTTTATTTCTTATTTTATTAGAAGAGCTGATTCAGTTCAGCATGCCTGAACAGTTGAAGAATAAATATGATCATATCAGGTCTATTCCTTCACAATACATTTATCAAGATCTGTTAATATACAGATTTCGAGATATCCCAAGTACGGGGCTGAGGAGAAGTATCGCGCTGTGTATGAAGTATCGTGTGGTCCTATGCAAGATCGACCACCAGATTGCCCTAGCTCAGATCATCAGAATTGCCCGTACGGCTGGCTCTTTTGATAGGCTCTGATTGGCGGCAACATGTGTCGACTGCCGGAGTCAAATTAAGGCGGCAAAAACAAGCACGATAACGATAACAGTGGGGCTTGTTGTAGTACAACTTGGGGCAATTCTTTAGAAACCATCTTGCTCTTTCTCTTCCTCCTCAAACTTTCTTTTCTTTGTCTGTTCATATACCCGCCATGTCTCCTTTTCCAGGCGCATCTGCAACTGTATCATTTACATCAATACCTACCGAAAAAGATCCTTATCACTATCAGCCAGGCTTTGGGAACAGGTTTGCATCGGAAGCACTCCCTGGTACATTGCCTGTAGCTTGCAATACCCCTCAGCGATGCAAGTATGATTTGGTCTCTGAGCAGATCAATGGTACTCCCTTTGTTTCTCCACGAGCATCGCTGCTGAATGCCTGGTTTTATCGCATCCGGCCATCTGTCGCTCACTACAAGTTGAAGCGGCTTCCCAAAAATCCAGATCTCGAGGCGAATTTCGCAATTGGCAATGAGAGAGTTGAGTTTACCCCTCAGGATATGGGATGGGATGCTTTTAGTCTCCCAGCTCCATCGGAGTCGGTCGACTTTATCCAAGGTTTAAAGACCATTGGCGGGCATGGAGATCCTGCGTCTAAAGAAGGATTGGCAGTTCATATGTATATGGCCAATAAATCTATGTCTAAGAAAGCATTTTGCAACAATGACGGTGATATGTTGATTATCCCGCAGGAGGGAAGACTTGATATCCAGACCGAGTTCGGCCGAATGATGGTGCGCTCAGGCGAGTTGGCTGTCATCCAAGCTGGTATGCGATTCACAGTCACACTACCAGATGGTCCTTCACGTGGGTACATTCAAGAGATCTTCGGAAGCCACTACGAACTTCCCGAGCTAGGTCCTGTCGGATCCAACGGCATGGCCATGCCCCGGGACTTCGAGACCCCTATGGCAAGTTTCGACATCGACCAATCGAAATGGGAGATCATTGTCAAGCTGACAGGAGAGCTTTTCACATACGAACAAAACCACACCCCATTCGACGTCGTCGCATGGCACGGAAACTATGCCCCGTATAAATACGCCCTGGAGAAATTCATCAACTCTGCCACCATCGACCGCGACCAGAGCGACCCCTCTATCTATTGTGTGCTCACAGCAAAATCGAAGTGGCCAGGAGTGGCTTTGTCCGACTTCCTAGTCTTCACTCCAAAGTGGAGCGTCACTAGCAACACCTTCCGTCCTCCATATTACCACCGTAATGTAGCTACAGAACTTATGGGTATGCCATACGGAGCATGGTCGGGGTCTGCAACTTCCCTGCAACCTGGCGGCCTTACGTACGAGCCCAGCTATATGCCGCACGGAGAATCTTTTGAACGGTGGAAGGAAGCTACGAGTATGGATCTTCAGCCCCAGCGCGTGAATGAGGGTGCTATGGCATTTATGATGCATATCTCATCGCATGTATCCTTGACAAAATATGCTCTTGAGCGCACTGGAAAACTCCAGCATCAGCCAGATGACTTTTGGGATGATTTCAAAGGTGGTTTCATGGATCGTCTGGATGAAGTCAATGCAGACTTGCAAGCGGCTGGTCATGCAGGCTTAGGATTGTAATTACTTTGAAATTAATGCATCAATCTAGCGCATGCACTCATTGAAACTAGTTTTCGTAATAGCTTGGCGTTGAATTCAAGTATGCTTTATAGTTCTCTTCATATCAAATTCTGTGGGTTTCCGACTACTCGTCAACAAATCTGAATATTCCACCCTAAGATCTCATTCCACCAGGCAGGAGTTTTATATCAGCAGGAATGGTGGTAGTGGTACAGTAGGTTGTAACATTCAGAATTGGCATGTCTTCCACCGAGAAGCTTTCTGTAACCCTAACGCCAAGGCCATGGGTGAAAGGTACCTTTCTCTTCCTTGATATTAATCCATCAGTCGGTACTAAAGAGTTACGGGGATGAGGTCTATAGAGAGTTTCTCAACGGATGATGTAGAAAATGAGGGCTGTGTCTATATCAAGTAGTGACTACAATTTATGATTTTGCTTAGAAGATAGAAATGGAATGGGACTTTGGGATTTTTAGCGCCCAGAAGATCACCTGATGGTGCGTCTGAGAATGGTTTTCTCTCTTGGGGGTTGATTGCTCTAACAACCTCAAGTTCAAAAGAATACCCGTAACAGTAATGACTTCTATAACCTTTGGTCCATCAAACTCTGGCCTCCAGGCTGGTATTGTGAATGGCACGGTTAATGCGCAGTTCCATCTTCCTGCGGGTAGGTCCCACAAGGCTCTCGGTTGATTTAATTACTAACACAACTAGAGCGACCGGACACTCCCCCGCCCCGCTTTCAACGGTTCCATTTCGTCGTGACCCTGACTTTGTTAGTCGTGAGACGTTACTTGACCAGTTACATAAAAAGGGCTTAGTGCCCGGGTCTCGTATTGCACTGGTCAGCCTAGGTGGTGTTGGGTATGTTAAGGGATGGCTCGAGCATCTCGATCACTAATAACCAAGCAGAAAATCGCAACTTGCTATCGAGTATTGTTGTCAAATTCGAGATGAATCTGCCGAGACGTGGGTTTTCTGGATTCACGCGAGTAATGCAAATCGGTTTATGCAAAGCTGCCGAGAGATTGCCAACCGAGTCAAGATCTTCGGCCGCCAGAACCCTCAGGCGAACATCTTAGAACTCCTTCTGGATTGGCTACAGAATGAGAAGCACAGATGGGTTCTCGTCCTTGATAATTTAGATGATGACCAATTCCTTCATCAAACCCCTCAGACTAGGACGCTAGCTCAATCGATCTGGGCGTACTTCTCTCAGATATCAAGAGGCTCTATCGTTATCACAAGTCGGAGTCGGCGTGTGGCCTTACGATTAGTGGAAGACGAAGATGTTATTTCGGTCGAACCAATGGACAAAACGCAAGCATTCGCACTTTTTGAAAAAAAGCTCGGCGCCCAATCCAATAAGGAAGATATTATTCAGTTAATCGCAGCACTTGAGTTTATGCCGCTTGCGATTGCACAAGCAGCGGCGTATATAAGACAAAGAGCACCACGAGAGTCGGTCCAACAATACCTCAAAAAGTTCCAGAAGAGCGACCGCCAGAAGATCAGTCTCCTTGATTATGAAGGGGGTCATCTCCGTCGAGATCTAGAGTCCAAGAACTCGATCCTCATCACCTGGCAAATTTCATTCGATTACATCCAAAGAATCAGGCCAAAATCGGCAGACTTGTTATCTCTTATGAGCTTCTTTGATCGACAAGGTATTCCTGATTATATACTCCGAGAGAATAAACAGGACAAAAGCGAAAGTGTACCTGATGAGGTCGATATACTTGAAGACAATATCCTAGTACTAAGAGACTTCTCGATGATCTCCGTCAGTACAGATGGACAGAACTTTCAAATGCACCGACTCATCCAACTCTCTATCCAAGAGTGGCTTAAGGCACATAAACTGCTTGAGCGATGGCAAGAAGACTTTATACAACGACTTTGTGATAATTTTCCTGATGGTGAATTTCAGAACTGGCCGACCTGTCAATTACTATTCGCTCATGTGCTATATGCTCTAGAACAACGGCCTAACACCGAATCCCTATTAGAAGAATGGGCCTCACTGCTATATAGAGCGGCACGGTTTGCAAATGGTATAGGGAATTTCGTCGATAGCAAAATAATGGCACGGAAGTCAATAGAAGTGAGGAATAAGTTATTCGGTCAACGGAGTCAAAAGAGCCTTGATAGTTTAGGAGTGTTAGGGCTATCACTTATGTATGGGGGTGAATGGAAGAAAGCTGAAGAGGTCCAACTACAGTTGACGGAGACAAGCAGGCAGGTGCGTGGGTCAGAACATCCTGATACTCTAGCAAGTATAGTCAACCTAGCGTCGACCTACTCGGCTCAGGGACGATGGAAGGAAGCCGAAGAGCTTGAGGTTCGGGTGGTCGAGATGTGTAAGCAGGTGCTTGGGCCAGAGGATCCCGATACTTTGACCAGTATGGCCAACCTAGCATCGACTTACCGATACCAGGGACGATGGAAAGAAGCCGAAGAGCTTGAAGTGGAGGTGATGGAGACAAGTAGGCAGGTGCTTGGGCCAGAGCATCCCAACACTATGACCAGTATGGCCAACTTAGCATCGACCTACCGAAACCAGGGACGATGGAAAGAAGCCGAAGAGCTTGAGGTTCGAGTGGTGGAGATGCGTAAGCAGGTGTTTAGACCAGAACATCCTAATACTCTGAACAGTATGGCCAACCTAGCGTCGACCTACTCGGCTCAGGGACGATTAAAGGAAGCTGAAGAGCTTGAGGTGGAAGTGATGGAGATAAGTAGGCAGGTGCTTAGGCCAGAACACCCCGATACTCTGAACAGTATGGCCAACCTAGCTTCGACCTACCGAAACCAGGGACGATGGAAAGAAGCTGAAGAGCTTGGGGTTCGGGTGGTCGAGACGCTTAAGCAGGTGCTCGGGCCAGAACATCCCAATACTCTGGCCAGTATGGCCAATCTAGCGTCGACCTACCGAAACCAGGGACGATGGAAAGAAGCCGAAGAGCTTGAGGTTCGGGTGGTCGAGACGCTTAAGCAGGTGCTTGGGCCAGAACATCCTAATACTCTGAACAGTATGATCAACTTAGCATCGACCTACCGAAATCAGGGACGATGGAAAGAAGCCGAAGAGCTTGAGGTGGAGGTGATGGAGACAAGTAGGCAAGTGCTTGGGCCAGAACACCCCGATACTCTGACCAGTATGGCCAACCTAGCTTCGACCTACCGAAACCAGGGACGATGGAAAGAAGCTGAAGAGCTTGAGGTTCGGGTGGTCAAGATGCGTAAGCAGGTTCTCGGGTCAGAACATCCCAATACTCTGGCTAGTATGGCCAACCTAGCATCGACCTACCGAGACCAGGGACGATGGAAGGAAGCCGAGGAGCTTGACATTCGGGTGGTCGAGACGCTTAAGCAGGTGCTTGGGCCAGAACACCCCAATACTCTGACCAGTATAGCCAACCTAGCGTCGACCTACACAAACCAGGGACGATGGAAAGAAGCCGAAGAGCTTGAGGTGAAGGTAATGGAGACAAGTAGGCAGGTACTTGGGCCAGAACACCCCGATACTCTGATCAGTATCGCCAACCTAGCATTGACCTACCGAAACCAGAAACGATGGAAAGAAGCTGAAGAGCTTGAGGTTCGGGTGGTGGAGATGCGTAAGCAGGTGCTTGGGCCAGAACATCCCGATACTCTGGCTAGTATAGCCAACCTAGCATCGACTTACTGGGATCAGGGACGATGGAAGGAAGCCGAGGAGCTTGAGGTTCGGGTGGTTGAGATGTGTAAGCAGGTGCTTGGGCCAGAACACCCCAATACTCTGACCAGTATGGTCAACCTAGCATCGACCTACCGAAACCAGGGACGATGGAAAGAAGCTGAAGAGCTTGAGGTTCGGGTGGTGGAGATGCGTAAGCAAGTGCTTAAGCCAGAACATCCCGATACTCTGACCAGTATGGCCAACCTAGCGTCGACCTACTCAGCTCAGGGACGATGGAGTGAAGCCGAAGAGCTTCATATTCGAATGGTGGAAATGCGCAATCAGGTTCTCGGGCCAGAACATCCTAATACTCTGACCAGTATGGCCAACCTAGCATCGACCTACCGAAAACAGGGACGATGGAAAGAAGCCGAAGAGCTTGGGGTTCAGGTGATGGAGATGCGTAAGCAGGTGCTCGGGCCAGAACATCCCGACACTCTGACCAGTATGAATAATTTAGCATATACGTTGAAGTCATTAGGTGGGCACGACGCTGCTGAGCAGTTGATGACAGCATGTGCCCGACTTAGCAGTCAAAAACTCGGCCCTAACCACCCGAATACTTTATCTTCAATATCGACTCTCAATGACTGGAGTGGGAAGAGTCACGTCTCTGCTCAAACTACCCAGGAAACGACTGACGCAGCACACGTTTCTCCTGCAAAAAATACCATGGCAACCGCTGAACCAGTTTCTCAACCTGACCAACATCGCAGACGAGCAATTTTCTCCCGTCTCTTCCGAAAAAAGTGAAAGTCTGTCTATTTTATCTTATGGAAGAATTCGTCATTGTGAGAATATGTAGTTCAATATGGTCTATTCAATGACTTTGAATCTGTGATATTAGGATGTACCAGATGTATCTTTTGAGTGCCTAGCAACATACGAGCCCTTGCGGGGCTGATAGATGTGATTTAAACCCTCTTTTCCAATCGCCTTATTGCGAAGAGCGTCTTTTTCTTCTTAATCATTCGTTTCGGTGCTAGAGATACCCACAATGTTTATCAACCCGGTCATCCCGCCACGAGGACTTCCACTGCTAACCTAGCCTGTTCTCTTCTTCTCACCTCGGCTAAGCATATAAAATGAACACCTGAGAGCTGTTGGACGGATAGCCTCGCGAATTTGTTGTCAAAATTTATTCTTTTGAGACTCTTTCAGAGATATGTCATCCCGCAGATCTGTTGAATCGAGGTTGGAGCGCCCAATCTCCACTTGGAGCTGAAAAAGCCTCTCCTTGTCTGGAGATAGTCGAGAAAAACTGACCCGAGGCTTATCATGAGCAATAGTAGCCTCCGCTTTCTCTGATTCCTGAATACCCATCTTTTCTTAGCTGCATATGGTTGTTGTGTAGAATAGCAGCCAGTAGTCCAGAAATATAAGTGAAGAAAAGAAAAATCAAAGAAACGAATGATCTACGATGCGCCTCTACTACAATAGTCAAGCCTGACCGCGGTGGTAGTTTTTGACCGAACTATAGTCTTCGCCGTATTCGAAATGCTACCGCCCGGTTGAATGGATTGAGTGACATTGAGACGACGCCAATTTCCTCTTACTTCTCCGATGAAGGCAATAGACAATTTGGCAGAGAACTAAATGTTGGAATATGGAACAAAGCAGTCATGTGATCAAATTGTCATGTCTACTTCTTTAACAGATCTCTATTGATAGTGGAGTTCTGAAAATGTACTATTTACGGGACTAATAGCTAGTTCATAATTCCCCCGCTGACATATTTTGCGATTCATCAAAGCCCCAGAACCTGGAAACCTCTAAAACTGCTACCCTTCGTGATTTCGTTTGGCTGGAATAATCTGGCCGCCTCGTTGATGATATTAGGCTTTATCCTCAATTGCTGACTCCGTCTCATCTTCTGGCATCGCATGACTAGGGGCCCGTTTCGACATCAGGTGCATCAATAGTAGTGCCTTGGAAGTGTAGACTTTCTCGTTTTTGCACCCGTCGATGAAGCATTTCTGTTGAGTCCAGAAATTACCTGGCGCTGATTTGATCGGTTTATATAGGCCTTTTCCGCGGTCGCGGTCTTCACAAAATATGCCTTTCTTATGACAGAGTAAATTTGCCGCTTCTTCGGACATTCCATAAGTCGCTTTAGAGATGAGATGTCTGTCCATGTCTTTTTTCGTATTCCAGATTGACTGAAAAGTATACTCCTCGATCACACAGGGCTGTAATGCCCATACCATGTGTACTAGTACATAATTGCTTTTATCACGATCACGAATACCATGTTTTGTCAGATGATGGTTTAGAACATCTCTGGTTGGAAACCAGGTCACTTCTATATACCCTGGAATCACGCACTAGGTGGGTTACCCTGTGGCATGAAGGGTCTGGCGTTTATGCCACTGCGAAATTCATGTGAGTCGTACCATCGGAACATCCATCTTCGAGACAGCGTCTTGGGGTGAAGTGATGGACGTTTTTGATATGAGTAGACAACGAACTGGCGGGATATGTCTTCTTCTTTGACATATATTCAAGGAAAAGACAGGGAACGCGACTTTTAGTAATAAGACTGTTACACCGCGTTGAAAAGTCTCGGTGGCGGTTTAGTTGGCGTAATCGCAGAGTCGTATACCCGCATACTTCACACCGATGCTAGAAGGGAGACTATCTCTTGAGCTACCAGAAGAGCAAGTGAGAAGGGCCTTGGCCCAGATGATATCATCTGCCTTATTGTGTGGATCCTTGTTCTCGAATGTATCACTGCCATAAATATACCAACTCATTTGAATCCAGAGTGGTATAAAGGCTGTATTTTTGATAACATTGATTCTTGAGAACATGCTGATAAAAGCCTCTATTTGGTGCGGTCCTAACTCGTTGACATGGAGTAAGCTCTCTTGATCGATATCATAGAGGATCCCGATTTCATTGGTAACATCTTCCTCGGCCTCGGAGGCTGCTGCTTGCAGGGTAGCGCTATCTTCTTATGCCAAGGTTGATGGAAAACCGGCTTTAAATGACTCTGATAGGGCCACCGCATTTTTTAAAGCATCCGAAGATTCAGGGTCGCGTTCCTCGACGCTTTCTTAATATTGTACCATCTGTTCGTTACGAATATGATAGGTGATTCCCTGTTTTGTGAGTGGTATCTTTCGAGGACCAGAAGTATCGTTCTCTTGGCGTTCCTCTATCCTGTTATCCACATCTTTTGGGGTGACTGGGGTACTCTATACTATGTGCTGAATTGTTACTGAACTTAGGCTCTTTTCGATGAATAATATTCTTGTTGGCCGCACGTTCATTATAAAATTCTCGAACATGTCCGCCGACATAATGCCGAGCAAGTGTCATCGAGGTTGCGGAGTTCTTATGGTTCAGCGCTTCTGTGATTTCACTTGTCGACATTCCATCTCCACCCTGTTGCTTTTTAGGGAAGAAAGCAATATCTCTTGCGGAGCCTCGTCGAATGGCATATGCAGTGACACGTCCCAGCATGTTTGCTGCTCGGGCCATCTCTGCCATGGAACCGCGAGCTTACTATGTTTTGGTCATCTCGCACTGGCGTGTGGAAGGGTTGAAGGCCGGCAGAATTGGATTATTTGGAAATAACCATTTGACTTGACGATCTGGGCGGTTGAAAACGTTTTGCAGAACCTCATTCAGATTGGTACCTTCGACTAGGCTAAAACGGAGGGCATGAATGAGTAGCCAAGCGATATGACACATATACGTATCTTCGGGGGAAGGAAGAGGTCGAAGATAGATGGTATGTTCGCTGTTTCGCCGATCCTCATGGCCCTTTTCAAACCTCACAGTTATTTCGGCTTTGATGTCATGGATGTTCGGCGAATTGGTTACTCGCAATATGATATCTTGCCACTGTAGGTATTCCTCGCCTATGTATCCACTTGATTGTGCAACATCGCCTGATCGTGCTTTCGTTATCTGATCTAGCAATGTCGACAGCCCCCACAAGACTTAGTTTGCGCTTTTCTCATGAGTCCGGGCGCGGTTGGTAAGTGTGGTGCTGACGGCATTTTAAGATCTCAGACTTTGAGGTGCTGCCTGGTGAAGCAACCATGAGCCAGTGGTGACTACGGCAATTTGATGGTGTGTGCCATTACTTTTAATGGGGCAGGACGCCCGTGTTGTGAGGTTCCACCTCCTTTTGCATACCGCATGGAGTGTTCCTGTACTGTGTCGACAGGTGCACTACCGTGTGCAGATAATGGCGAAGAAGCCGGTGGTGTCCACCAACTCCTGGAAGTCCTTAGCCTCGAGATCCGATAAGTATTTGAGAGCTTCCTCCTTGTTAGAAGGCGTCCTCGAAGGCTTCTTAGGCCATAGTTGGAAACTGCCCTGTACTTTCCTGCAGAGGGCGATGTGCAGCGGCGCAGGAGCAGTCCAACTTCGCCTCTTCGTGATGGAACCTCTCATGATAAGACGAGAAGTCTCCGTAACCTGACCACATTGCCAGCCATCTGTGTAGGACCGGCCACCGGATATCAAGCTCAGGCAGTGGTTTCACTTTATATTCTTCGTGGCTCTGTAGAGAGAGCGAATGCCACTGGTCATTGGGAGGGCCTCAAGGCCCTAGATCTCTTGATATGGTCTTGGAGGTATCAATAGCGTTGGCGAGTGTATCAGTCTGCACACGCAGTTCGAAGAATCGATCTTCTGGTAGAGCCACCTAGAATGAAATTAGCTTTATTCAACATCAATGGTCCTGAAATTTGATCGCCTCGCACATTAGTTCCTGTCAGAAATGGTTAGTCTCTTACCTTGTATACAGCCAAGTGAATATTAGCTTCGGATCGGTCGGCCTTCCAGCAAGTTGTCAAGGGTGTGGTCTTCTTTGTTGACTATAAACTGCAGAAGATACCTTGGCCCTCTGCGGGTTTCTCGGCGCAGGATCCATCATCGGTAAGTATCTGGAGTGGCTGAGGTGTCGTCATGATCAGCTTCAAATTGCATTGACCAGGACCAAGCAAAGTTTCAACCGAATGTTCGTTGGTGCTATTTTGATATAAGTGTTAGTTTCACCCTGAAGAGCAGGGGTGGGAGCTCAGACAGAAGCCATAATTAAATGGTGCAGTTCAAACAAGGTAGAGGGAAGATTAAGAATGAAGTGATGTAACACGGAAACGAAGGTGAAGACGATACCTATGCATTGCTGGATATCAGATTCCATTTCTCACGTACTTCGTGCATTTTCACCCTGTAGCGAGTCCAGAACTCGGCACTCTGATTGTCAAGGTACGTCAGTCGGGCCAGTCTATGAATATAGCAAGGACATTGGAAGGAATGTATGGAAGTTATGGTCTTTCTCAGGCCTCGTCGGCTCGGGACGCTCATGTTGTTGAAAATCAGCCCAGCCAGCTCCGAAGATAGATATCCAAGTATGAATTGTGGAAATGGCAGGTTGGGAATTGAAGAAGTTGAATGAGAGTGAAGATAATGCTTCGATTTATACCAACTACGCCTTCCACTTTCTCAGTTCACTTTCTCAATTCGCATCCTCAGTTCACATCCAAGGTCTGTTAAATCCACATCTTCCGTAGCTTCACTTTTCAAGGGAAACTTAACTTTCTTACCCACAAGCATTGTTGTCTTCGTTTACAATTCATGGTAGAAAGTTTGAACTTCAAAAACATTAATTCCCGACTTGATTCCGGTTAGCCTATCGCAATACAATTCCAAGGGCGAGGCACTTCATAGCTCGAAATGGATTTGAATCTGAACTGGAACATTTGAATGTGGCGAACCGATATACGAAGATATATATCTCCAAAACTAGCAATTGAGAAATCCGCGATTGCCGCTCGAGAATATGTCTCATTATAGATGTAGAAGCAGTCATCGAGAATTCATCACACCGCAGATCAGATGATCAAGATGAACTCGGGAAAGGGCGAGCATGGCAATGACAGAGCTGAGGTAGGCTTTAGAAACTATAGAAATTCCCTGATGAAGCTAAGCAATGTAGCAAAAGAGAACTACTTTTCAAAACTTTGGAACTTGCTACATTGCACTATGTCCTAGTCCAAGCTAGGAGTTAAAACCGAGTTAATAGTTGCCAACTGTGATCCTGTCCATGGCTAGTAATTTATAATGTGGTCAGGTGTTCTATTGAATCCACCCATAAACGGGTTGCGGCATAAACCTCGGCAAAATGATCTACTTTGTAGGATACGAGTGGAGATCTTGGTTGATAAAGTGCAAGAGCGCGTGACAGCGAGCAGTGTTCGGGATAATCACGTGAATGTGTATGACTAAGGGAAGTAAAATAAGCATCAAAAGTAAACTGTTTATGGCGTTCAATTACCGGCAGTTAGCGTCGGTGCATTGTCCCCTTTTAACCCGGTTATTTTGCCCCGGTGGACCGAGGGAGTTCCAAGCTAGTTAAAACTAACTTACTAACCGCACTAATTTTTGGATGTTGTACTGTGTAAAGTATTTCACCACTGAACGGGTCACACTACTGAACGGGTCACCCCACCAATTTTACGCGTCAGTCTGGTGTTTCCATTTTCAACTACCCACCATGCCCCCCCTAAATGCTCTATATGTCCAAGACAAACAGGATCAGGAGAATAGGGTCTTATTAGCTTACCAAGCTTACAAGAATGGCGATATATCATCAATGCGTAAAGCTGCAGCTATGTTTAATATACCATTTTCAACCCTCCAACGCCGCCATTCTGGTGTCCAATTTCGTCTTGAAACACACCCACCGCAGTCTAAACTGACTGAATCTGAAGAGGATTCATTACTTCAATGGGTCGTCTCTCTAGATGATCGCGGCTGTGCTCCTAGAACTAAAGATGTTGGTAGAATGGCTAATATCCTACTCGCCGACCGCGGAACCAACCCTCCTCTTACGATCGGTAAAAACTGGGTTACTAGGTTTGCGACGCGTTTACCTGAACTTAAGACGACCTATTCAACACCGCGCGATTTTACACGTGCGCGTCAAGAGGACTATAATGTGATCAATAATTGGTTCAAACTGGTTGAAAACACGATCGCAAAATATGGTATCACCACCGACGATATCTATAATTTTGACGAGACTGGGTTTGCGATGGGACGATGTGCGACCGCGAGAGTGGTTACTAGAGCTGGTTATTATGGTAAACGCGCAAAAAAACAGCCTGGTAACCGGGAATGGGTTACTGTGATAGAGTGTTTAGGCGCGTCTGGTTACGCACCTCCACCCTGTATTATCTTTAAGGGTAAGGTGATGATGCAGAGCTGGTTTGCTCCTGATCTAGGTTTACCACCTAATTGGCGTCTTGAGATTAGTCCTAATGGCTGGACATCAAATCAAATAGGGCTCCGTTGGCTTGAAAAGCTCTTTATACCTGCTACTGCTCGTACTAAAGGACGGTATCGCCTTCTGATCTTAGATGGCCATGGTAGCCATTTAACACCTGATTTCGACAAAATCTGCCAGGAGCATGATATTATACCATTATGTATGCCTGCGCATGCGTCTCATCTTCTTCAACCTCTTGATGTTGGGTGTTTTGCGGTGTTAAAACGCTCTTATTCTCGGCTGGTTGAGTCTAGAGTAGAGCTTGGTTTTTCCCACATTAGTAAAGGAGATTTCCTAGAGATATATCCTACTGCGCGTATTGAAGCATTTGCATCTGCTTCTAATGCGTTTGCTGCAACTGGAATCGTGCCACTTGACCCTACTAGGGTGTTAAAAAAGCTTACTATGCGCGTCGATACACCACCACCACCACCCTCTATAGGAAGCGATTCAAGTCGAAATTGGACACCTAAGACGCCTAGGACGCAGAAAGATTTACGACGTCAACACCAAGCTATATTACGCACTGTATCTCGAACGCCACCAACACCATCTAAGAGAGCATTAGACCAGATAGTAAAGGGTGCAAATTACCTATATCAAGAGAATGCTCTCTTACGCCTGGAAAACAGAGATTTACGCGCCGCCCATGAGAAAAAGAAAAAACAAAAAGAACGTCCGAATCGTCAATTAACAGTAGTAGGGGGTCTTACAATTCAGGAGGGATTAGACCTGGTTGACGCGTCGAATGGTGGCCCTAAACTTAATGATGCCAATTTACAAGAGGGCCAGGCGCCTGTAAGGGCGCCTGTAACCCAACGCCGGTGTGGGATATGTAAGACACCTGGACATAGGAGGGAAACCTGTCCTAGTAGGCCCATTCAGTAGTTTTTTTTTACTATATTACATAGTAAATAATGGAGTTATTGGGATTCATAAAAATAAGTGGGTCAAACTGACCCGTTCAGTAGTGTGACCCGTTCAGTGGTGAAATACTTTATATGACGACACGTTGCAGTAGTATAAGTTAGCCTCAAATTGCAAGTACAAGGCTGAATGCGGTGATTTCCCCGTATATGCGGAGAAGCTCAGGAAATCATGTCCGGAGAATGTTACATTCCTAGTGAAGAAGTAACCACAGACCAAGTATCAACAAAATATGCGGAGAGATGGTACTGAATACTTGATACGTATCTCCGATAACGGTCAGGGTTTAAATAAGGGGTAAATCCACATATACGGAGTACAGAAATGAATAAAACAGTTTCAAGGCTAAGTTCTATCCCCAGACCAGTCTCAGCCTTGAAAGTATTATGTTCGGAAAGTACATGGACTTGATCGGGAAATTCTCGGTGTAGGATGTAAAACAGGACGAAAGGAATGAATTACTATGAAATATAAATGATTGGATTAGAAGAACCTGATGGATCCAAATTGACGGTTCATGACTTCCTAATTCGGTTTAGAGCTACGGAGCCCATAGCCAATTATACTACAACGATATATCTAGTCTGTTGCGCCACTTGGAATTGATTGGTGGGATGCGACATGGACTCGCTGGGATTCGAAAATGTTGCCGAGATTTAGAAGTTCGAATACGGAAGGTCAGTTCAGATAAGGAATGATATATCATAAGCAAACAAGCGGTCAATCTGGATCTATAGAATACATCATTTTACTGAGAATCTATGGGTTAAACCAAATATCGGTGTGCAATACTAAACTCCCTTTAATCCTTATCTCTGAAACGATTCTATTTAATTTCCCTTTTTCTCGTGTTTTGTTCTTCTATTCTAAGCCAAACCTTCATCTCCATCTTGTTTCCTCCTTCCTCCATCCATCTACTCCGTTACTCCACTTGCACTTAATCCACTCCTCTTAACGCTATCCAGCCTCCACTGGAAGAGTCCACTTCGGTCCCCGTCGTCTATTCTTTTTGCCTCTTAATTTACTTATCGCTGTTCGCCCCGACATTATCATTCTAGCTTCCTCCATCCTCAACATCTCACTTGTATCCTCAACTTCTTACTCAACTTCACATTCCGTTGCTCCAATTACTTCTTCTTCCCCAAAATGGCTACTCATGTCTTGACCGCAACTGTCCCTGGTCCTGGTTCTCACCAGATCGCCATGTACAGTCAACATTCTCCCACACATTCAAATAACACAACTTCCAACAACTCTCCCACATCACCCAATATGTCTTCGGCCACTCTCCACCAGCTCCCTCTGCAGTCTCGCCAACTTCGCCCACCCAAGGGTCCCCTCTATGTCCCTGCAGCACTGCGTCCGACTCAGCGTCCTCAAAAATCATCTCCCATCACGCCCCCCCGGAGTCTGCATGGCTCCCTGGACAGTTTAAATGATGACTCGGCCGAGACAACCATGAGCCGCCGCTCCACCATGGAAAGCCGCCCAAGCAGCATCAGCAAGGTGGCCGAACATGAATGGTTGCGAACAGAGCACTTGGGTGAAGTAACTGGCCTACCCACTCGGGACCACTGGAAAGTGAGTTTATAGTCCTTCATTCCTTTTTTTTACCTCTATATATACAAAATCGGGATGGCGAATATGCGCTTGCCGATGTCGTGATGCGCGCTCGTCATCCTACAGCATCACGTGCTCAAATTGTATGTGGGCTCTATTTGCTAACATGCATTTCAGGCGGATTCGGCTTCTCCCAACTGCGATTCGCCAACTTGCCGCTCTTCCTTTGGCATCTTCCTCCGTCGTCACCACTGTCGCCACTGCGGCCACGTCTTCTGCTCCTCGCACACACCCCACGTGGTCCCCCTCGACCAAGATGCCCGCTTCCATCCTGAGGGCGTTGCCTCCCGCGCCTGTGACTTGTGCTGGAGCGCCTTTCAGCGCTGGGAGGAGACTCGCAGCGACAACCTGAACAGGATTCAGAACTCAATCGATGCTAAGACCAGCGATGTCGGTGCGACCACTGAACACGAGGAAATCCAGGGTAGCCAGCAGACTGGCCGTGCCATGTTGGAACCTAACCTTGGTCAGACCGAAGTTGCAGCCAGTGTTCCCCGTGACTGGCACTGGAGCACCTTCTGACCGCATTCCATCTCTTTAATTAAGACTCTACTGCGATCGGCGGGCTTGAAAGCAGACCATATTCATTTCTCACGACCCCATTTTTCCATTTCTATTTTCTGATACCGATTTGTGCTTTTCCTGCGACATCGCTTCGGAGTTCTCATCGCCCTTGAACATCAAGGGCATTTCTTGAAATGTGCTATTGCTCTACATCAGGGTTGAACTTTGATCTTGCATCTTTTCATTCTTATTTGCTTTTTCTTCTGGTTCTCTGCTACTTCGATACCAATGAGTGGCGTTTTGCGTTTTATGTTTGATCAGAATACCCCGACATTTTTATCTGCAATTTTATTTCTGTTTTTCCTCCTTACTACTGCCTGGTATGTCTGCAATGCGTGCGGATGGACTTTATCGGTCAAATATCTTGAATGTCTCTACAAATAAATCAAGTGTTTAGTGTATCTTTCAAATTTCAAGTGGAGTCGCGTAGGTGGATTCGGTCACTTATTTGATCGGGCGTCGTTAGCGTGAGGATTTAGTGATAACTACCGACTGTGGCGCCACACAGGACTTCATCGCAACGAACTGGTCCTGAGTAAAACGTAGAAATAGCGTTCCCGGTGAATAAGAGCTGTTGAGGCCTTCAGGGCCTCAACCGGTTGCAACTTCCAAGAAGGTACATGGAGGGGTCCTGGAGGATATCCCGTTCAGATTGAACGGAGAAAGCGGAGTACTAAGTAAGCAGGTTGAATTCATGTACTTCATGCCTGAACTGCCTGGTTGAAAGCATTGAGAAGATCGGAGTTGATTCTCGGGTGATCGGTAGTCTCGGAGCGAATCAATAAAAGGGTTCATCAATCAAATCATGCATAAATGGAGGTAGAGGTATATAAGTAGAAGGAGTATCACGTGGGGCCTCAGGCCATGACTTGGAACATCAACTCTGCGCAGGGGTCAAGTCATCGCAGCATTAGCTGTCGTCAGCCTCCCCTCCTTTGATACAAAAGGGCCGGAGATGAGGGGCCAAGGGTTTGAACATATTGATTTCATACAAAATTCTACTCCTTTAATCCACCCTCCTTAAAACATGGCCGAGATTTATAATACGGACCGATTCGCGGAGCTCTACTATCCGTCTAACACAGCCGACCTCCTGCAGCTGGGCCTAGCAGCCAGATATGTAGCTCTCCTTTTCGAGTCCTATCAGATTACCTATGCTTTTATTGGAGGATGGGCTGTATATTTGCGCGGCGGTCGCCGGAGCACCCAGGATATTGATATCGCCGTTGCGAGTCCGATGAATGTTTTGAAACAGATACTAACCGCTCAACCCCGGTATCTCCATTGTCTCCTTCATCTAAGATTTGAACTGATTCCAACTTCGCTAGTATTCACTTTCCGGCTGTTCATGGCCGCACTTCTATTCAGATCTTTATTGACACCGGGCGGACTTTTGATGAGGAGTTTCCTCATGTGCCGGATTTGGCTGTCAGTATGGATATTGTAATAAGTGGTGTGTACTCCATTCTCCCACTGTCTGCTGTTCTACCTTACTTCCAGCATTGGTTATTGACGTGTCGATGCCACAGGCAATTTAGGTACACCCGAGGATCTGCACTCGTCTCGCGAGCCCATCAATCCATATAGACCTACACCGCTAGCCTCACCAGTGCTGGTATTAGGGCTTGTTTTTCAAATACATGCGAAGCTAGATGCATTTGCGAGGCGCGGAGAACAGGAGAGCAAGGATTTCGTGGACCTGGAGTTCCTTTTCACGCAGTATGCGACGCAGATACCCGAGTTCAGGGAGTGCTTTAGTAGTGAGCAGCGGAGGCATTTCTGGCTTCATTACACGGGCAAATATGTGGGATTTCCGGATCAGGTTGATAACATGAGAATATTACTTGGGCTATGATGACACCCTAGGCTATCAATGATGAAAACTCGCAGAAACAGATGAATGTGGTAGTAATTATTTTATTATTATTTTAACTTATGACTAACATGATATACGTTTCTGAGTCCATGGGTCCGGTGATCCTTTAAGACGGAATCGCGTATCGAAAAGTTCTTCCGGCGTTGTCCAGCCTAGTCTGGCTTTCTTATTACGGACCCTTGATTCCCACTTCTCCCGCCTGCTTATAGTTGAAGTGGGGAAGTAGTGGATGAACAGCCACCCCTTCCCCCTTGCAGCATCGGTAGCTCTGTCATTCATCCGTTTTGTCCACTCGAGATCATTGGTCCCGTCCAGCTTTAAATTGCGTAGTCCCCACTCCTCAGATACGTCCGAACCGTCGATGCAGTCGCATAGGGCGACGTCGTCGTTCGTGTCCAGGAAGCTTTGTATCAATACTGGTAATGTGGGGTAAGGGAGGCCGTTTAAGCTGCGTTGTAGTTGGAATGGATTGCTGGGGATGTGGACGTCGTAGGCTGGGACGAGGACGAAATAAAAGTGGATGCCTACGCCTTTGAAGCGGTGGTAGGTGTGGCTTAGAGATGAGGGTTGTGGTATTGGGTTTGGAGGTTCAGTTCGTATTTTCGTTTGCATGTATTCGGATGTGAGGAGGGAGACTGCTTCGTTCAATTTGTCGTCTGGGACGCAGAGATCCCATTCCTAGAGGATAGTGTCAGATCAGATCGATACTAATTCATGTCTACCTCCGGGTTTAGATAACGTACGTCTCGTGTCCGTCCAGCTCCATAAAATATTAATGCTGAGACTGCAACAATACAGCACTCCACTCCATGGGTTTCCAAGTATCGAGTGACTTCTAGAATCTCCAGAGTTCCGTGACCACCACTGGATGGGACCTCGCTAGGGGAGTAGCTCGATACAGTCTCTATACAAGGATCTGGCGGTATAGGAGAGATATAGTTTGGAGCTAGCATTGTGAAATGAACCTAGAAAGCTTTTAAAAGAAGCCAATGTAGTCTATAAGTGAATATCGTGAAGTAGCGGGGATCCAGCTCCGGATGTTCACGTGATGTTTATCGGCTGGTCTAGATTGTAGTGGAGTCTAGTCAACTATGACATGTCGATTGTTTGTACAGAGTGCAGTGCGGAGCTCTTCGTACATTTTGAAATGTTTTATGTTTTACATCTTGTTTCGAAGCACATATTGGCCAATTTTATCATTGGATAATAGTAATATGCATCCTGGGCAAAATTTTGGAAGTTATCGCTCAATTAACTGGCTCTGTGGAATAAATAACTCTGGGTATGCCAAGAATCATGTGATTTTTGCATATCAGCTGATATCGATTCCCACAGGTCTAAAGCTTGGACTCGTCTACACCTGCCAAATGGATAACTTTTGTTCTTCTGTGAGGGTGATGTGTACCCCCGGGCCAAAGTTTTTAGAACTTAATCAGGATTTTCATTTTACTTCAATGAATATGACATCTCGCAGAAGATTCAGACCTTGGGACATCGCAATATTTCTTGATTAGATCATAAGGTCTGATTCCAAGCCCTAGATCACTAAGCCTGCTTTCGAAGGTTGTCATCTATCTTTACTCGTTTTTCAGTCGAAAAGAAGTACCAGCCCCACGTGTTTTTACTAAGTAAAATTATTCAATAATTGGAAATAATATTCGAAGATGTATGTCAATTTATCCGATGATATTTATAAAAACTATGCTCAAAATGAAGAACAAAAAGCAACGCTAACATTGAAAATTCGTAAACTTCTCCAAGCTCTCTAGACAGCAATTGATAGTGCAACGTTTGCTTGTAGTGCATCCATACCCTCAGTCTCTGTGCTGAAAGTATACGTACCTGTCCGGAGAGTGATGTTGTCTTGTGTGACAGGCTCAGCCTTAGCAGTGTGCTCTTCAGCAGGCCAGAGTTCGTGACCAGCGGCCTGCTCTTTGGCGTGGTGCTCGATAACGACATCCCGAACAGTCTTCTGGAAGTGGAGAGGACCCTGTTCCATGGTGGGGTGGAGTTCACCGTTGACGAAAACACCGGCGTTCAGGTTCTTCTGGGTGTGGATGCAGAGGTACTTGTCCTCGGACATGATTCTCTTGTACATGTCACTGATGAGGTTAAAGGCCTCGTCAGTGGAATCCTTGTGGCGGTAGACTTCATATCGCATGACGGACTTCGTGGGACTGGTAGGAGTGAATCGCTGCATGAAGAAGAAGTTGGGACTGGAAGAGTCAGTATTGTTGGTACCTTAATAGGAGGCTGGGTGTACTCACGAAATGTTGAAAGAAGCATTGGGCCAGAAGTATGTTGTGGCAATTCGGAAGCCAGCAGCGACCTGGTCAGGTCGCTGAGCGCCGTAGTGCTGAATATGACCATCCTTGGTCTTGACGTAGTAAGACTCGAGATCGGCAATGGTAGGGATATCGGGGTGAGCGACCGCACAGTGGTAGCACTCGTTGTAGTTGTCGGCAAGAATCTTCCAGTTGAAATCACCCTCCTGGTCCCATGTATGGTCAAATGTGTAGTCCTCGAAGTTGTAGTGGTCGAATCGGGGCTGCTCATCGACACCTTCAAAATCGTCGTTCCAGGCAACCTCGGGGGTCTCCTTAGCATCAAGATTTACCCAGATAAAGCCATTTCGATCGATATGAGTGTGGACTGGAGCGATATCAACAGAGTGGAAAGCCTTGATCTCTCCTTGCTGGTCCTTGGCGACAATGAACTCGAAGCCAGCGGCATCATATTGGACGTAGTCACCACAGTTGGGGACGCGGTGCTTGTGCGTGGTGAGAAGCCATTTGCGGGAGAAGATGGCTCGTCGCTCAAGCTCATACATGTCCTGAGAGGTATACCAGGAAGCGGGCAGAGCACGCATGGGCTTGTTCTCCTCTTTCTTCTCTTTCACTGGAGAGACAGTGGTGCCAAAGTAGTTCTTGAAGAAGGACATGTTGGATAAATGAAGCTGATAGTAAGATAGATACAGAATTGGAAAGCTAGACTCTATCGAAAGTGCTTTGTCTGTGTTCTTTCAAAGCGAGAGATATCTACTCTTCTATATAACCTTTAGATTATCATTTTGACTATGCTACCAAACACGGAACATAAAGTCCCGATCTATTGGACGGTGTATATCGACCGTATCCCGATAACAATATAGGATGTTTATTGTTATCATGTATTCAGCTCCAAAATTAGGGTTTGATATCTATATACCGGTCACCTGATCGGTATGGCTCCACCCGGACCGAATGACCAGGGAAGTCATGTGGCACTCCTTTCCTTAAATTAGAAGGCAAGTCCAGCTTTGAAATTCTCGTGGCAAGGCCAAGCAAGCTCTGAAGGAATCAGGATCCTGTATTCTAGTTATCCACCCTAGTTCCCCAGAGATTCGTGTTCATCCAGAGCTTGACCAGATAGGCCCGTCCCGGCTCGGGGGAAATCCGTCCCACTCCGAATCCCTCACACCTACAAAGGCAATTCTTATCGTAGTATCATAGTTGGTGATCCTTACTCTGTGGATGGTCATTGATGGATCGATTGACAGTCTCACTGATTTCCAGCGGCGCTTTGGATAAAGTGGCGACTTTAGTGAACAGTATAGTTTGCGTTCTGAATGCTAGGTACCTTCCAAGGCTTCCAAGGTTGAACGTTTCCCTGTTGTTAAACCTTGGAATGAAGACTAAATTGTAATGAAGACAGGAAATAAAGCTAGTGTGACATATTACTCAACACCACCAAATTGGGTGCTTACCTGGAAAAGAGAGGGGGATGTTGTTGGTACTGTTTGCAGTAGCACAATGGGCGTATGTTTACCAGATTCTCACCTCTAGATAGAATATGCAGTTTCGTCAACATTTGACGATTGGACAGTAAAATGGTTGACGATTGTGACTCGACAAACAATTCAACCGCGCCGCCAGATGATCTTTTGGGCGCTTAAATCTCAACGTCCAATTATGGTATCTACCTTGGAATAAAATGGCAAATCTGAGTCACCTGTAAAACAAAGCAACCTTTGTGCTTTATCCAATAGTTTGGCCTATATGCCTGTTCCTTAGAAGGGGTGATCAGGGGTGAGCATGGAGTCCAAGACGGGTTAATTTAATTTCCCTTGGGCAATTTCCACCTCCATCATCATGAACTTCAACAATCCCTCCGTAAATGTTGCCATTACTCTCGCATCAAAATTCGAGATTCGAGATGCTCCGTAACATCATACTTAGTAAATCTCTTACATATCGCAGATGTCCCAAACAGCTGGATACAGTGAATACAGTGAGCGTTCAATCGTCAACATCTGCAACAATCTTCACCAATTCGGGAATGCCAGAAGATGCTGAGAGATGCAAAGGTGGCCAGACAATAGACCAAACTCCTGCCGAATAATGTTTGGCTGGTTTGCAAGTGAATGGTTCTAAATAAGGCATAGCTCATACAAATATGATACGATATCTATTTCTAAGCGATTACTTATTACGTACTGAGACATTGCCAATAGTGTCAGGAGTAGTGTAGCCTTAATAGGGATAACATTTTCCAAGATAGAGATTGACAACTAATCCAGGGGATTGAAGAAATGAAGCTGATTTTGTCACCATACTTGGAAGTAGAGGACTCAGTAAGTATAGAAATAAAATTTTGGATTTTTTGAAACTTTGCAATCTGTAACATCAGGTCGTATGATGTCTAAAGATCAATTTCACTACCCGGTCGAGCAATATTCAGCCGCCAATGGTGCTTATTGACGGGGTCTTTCTGGTAAAGATTGAGCTCGAAGAATTTGTTATGCGTCTCACACTTGAAGTTCTTGTACCTATAATCGATTTGATCAGATTGCTTATTTTCAAGGAAAATAGAATTCATATGCACATACGAATTGAGCTTCTGGAAATTCCAAGTGATCAAATCTTGCTCGGTAACCTCTACGAACTCTCCCTGACCCCCAATTGCATTACTGGAAGGGATGAAGTATCTTTTGGCCTCAATAGCACCATAATTGACCTGCTGTACAAGTTGGACAGCATAAGGGGCAAGATGATCAGCATCCTGGAAGAAGGAGGTCGAGTTGACAGCGGAGGATGATTCAGATCGTTTGGCCCAAGCGATAAATGGTTGAAACTTGGCTTCGTGCATTAAAACGGCCGGTCGGTAAGGAGATAGAGAAGTGCAGCAAAAGATGGAAGACATTGTAACAGTTCTTCAAACTACACGGCTTTATTCAAATTCCGGTGTGAATGATGAGACTATTTCAGCTAGAGGAGATGATCTCTTTATATACCCTTCACATTAAGCTCGTCTTTAGTATTCACATCTTCTTGATTTGAAATAATTGCTCTCAAGATATTTGCAAACGGGCTGAGAATGATTACCAAGTGCATACTTGAACGACGAGATTTTTTCAATATCGTACTCCGCACGCCGATCGTTCAATCATGTCTCTTTACTTTGAGGCCCCCTTCTGATTGACTTTATCAATGTCTAATTGTGTATCAAATTTACTGAACATTCCTGGTCATTTGTGGAAGTGCAACCTGATACTCCGGTCAGCCTGTGAGATAGCAATTCCGTGCCAATTAGAATGCAACATTTTGAGGCCCTCCCCCGCACGGTTCTCTTTTCAGTACTACAGGTTGCAGTAGATAATCAGAGTTAGGTCATCTGGTTTTGTGCTCGAATAACATAAAAGCTGTCTTTCTCTCAATCCATATCACTTCCCCAGGGGCAGCGGGCTCTCCTTCATCTGCTTCCACTACCAGTCCTTTCCGTTTAAATCTACTTATCTTTTCTTCATTCGTTCATTGAAAAGAATACCTTTCTTCCTGCTGCTCATAGAGAGAATCTGGGTTAGACACCTTTTCTTTCTTCCACCATTCATCTCTCGTTGGTCTTGAAATTGGGATTAAAGTAAGGAAACTACCTTTTCTACTTTTTTTCGAGGCAAAGACCCATACCAGAAGACCAATTACAAGCCACCGATCAACAGTCCCATCTCGAACAGAAACAACTACAATCATCCAATTCCGACTCAGGGACTGTCATTCCACAGTGGTTACATATATCGGATACTACTGGTCCAAAAGCAGCGTCATCGCAACCCCAGTTTTCAGACAACACAACATACGATGAAGAGCAACATCAGCAGCAAGACACATTACAACCGGAATTGTATTCTCAAAATGAGCAGACAGAAGCAAACCTTGTCCACACGGCTCTTGATTCAGGATATGAGCAGTCTAGCTTCTCTTCTGCGGCAGTCGACCTTTCTCCACTACAGTGTGAGCACTGCCGAAGGATATTTTCAAGTCCCGGGAGGCTCAAGTAAGTTTTTGGTCTTTTATTCACAATCAGTTTTGCCTTAAAATATTCTAACTATCAAAAGCAAGCACTTGAAAACACGTACATGTTTTCACAAGTGTGAAATATGTGACATGGAATTTGGAACTAGAAGGATCCTTAAACAACATCTTCATGCAAAGCATAACTCCGACGGTTACCAGTGCCCTTTTTGCGATAGGTATTCTAGTGGACGAAAAGACAATGTCAATCGCCATATCAAAACCCAACACCGGATTTCAGGTTTAGCTAGACGCTGATACCTAGGTCAATTCAGACATCAAACCATTGTGTTATCTTATATTAAGTGCTTAGATTGGATCGTCAGAGGTTTTCTGATGATAGATAAGCATCCCGAGAGTATCCGAAATATCTACCGATCTTTCATCTGTAAGAAGCCTTGAAACTCAGGAATGTACAAAACAGACTCAGCGATGGCTTTGTATAACTTACCGATTGCCAAGCATTTAATTGTTTACCTAGTCTGTAAGGACTGAACATTATTATAACATCACATTTCATTTAGTCTTGAAGTAGAGGGTTTATAAGCACGCAAATCGTTAACTTGGGATGAAACTTGAACATATAAATCAGCATATAGCGTTTGAGGTTCCCTTTCAAGGTTTTGGATAAGTTTGATGTGGAAAATAAAGAATTGGAAGATAGGAAAGATGTAAATAGCGTGAGGAGCAAAGTGAAGGAAAGCCATGGAAGAAAAGACACATAAACCCTCAGGGTCAAACGAATCCCACCCTTCTTGCAGTGACGCCATCATTGACAATGTACTCACAAATATATAACAGAGATTGGCTTACAATGGATATCTATTCATTCTACATTCTATTTTCTCTTTCTCTTAGGGTTAATTTCAAATTTTCGATTTCCACTCTTTACTCTCAATTATGGTCCATCTAATAGCCTAGGTGAATAATAACTCACCGGTACCACCATCAAACTACTCCATCTTTTGAGTCTACACCACCGTATTTTTCTCCAGCTTGCGTCACAGACCTTTCCATGTTCACGATCATGGAGAGTATGGACACGGAGCGCGTGCGCTTCACGCTCCCTCAATTTTGACTGATTCCATGATAATTTACGGGTAAATTGGAATTAACTATTAAGTTTCAATTTGTGCGGACGTGTCATGTGTCGACTGGATGGTTTATATCAAGATCCCAGAGTTACGAAGGAATATTTATCAACACTCACCAAATAGTACCATATGGCTTGCTCGCAGACCAGGATGTTTTTAGGATCTTATCGAGGAGACGGAAATCGTGGGATACAACGACGACACCACCAGCGAAGGTATTGATGGCTTTGGCCAGGGAGTCAATAGTGGAGAGCCGCGTCATCCGGCCCTCGCTGACTGCATGATACAATGCTTGATTTATAATAACTCTATTAAGTTCCTGAATGCTAGCATGACGAAGGTCATACAAGCGTTCACTATCTTCCTATCTCGCCTCACCTCTACTGCAGATGGCCAAATCTACGATGATCGGGATATTAGACTGAACAGGCAGTTGGAACAGCGATGAAGAAGCATTGAGCGCAGCAAAAGCGGTTTAGTACCATCTCTGCTCGAAATCGCCTTATTCTTTGCCTTATCAAGGAATGATAGAACCCATCTTCCTTCGCGATCTACTTGGTGTAAGCGCAGTATGAAGCGGTGAACAGGATCTACGATTCCTTGATTACACCACTCCTGAACTATGCTGTCGAATTTGAAATATCAATATTTTCCTCCATATCCGAGTACAACACACTACTTATGACCTCATCTATGCAGTATGTCATGGCCTGAGGAATCTTATCTGGTTATGCACCCCATTTTACTAAATATACATTACATAAATTACACTTTTATTTCAGGCCCCGCTTCGCGTATGTAAGGCCCCGCACTTCTTATTTGGACGTTGATGAGGAGGGATCGGGAAGGAGGAGTCAGCAGATAAGTCAGCAGATAAGTCAGCAGGCATTGAGCGGGATAGTTTAGCAGCCACAGCAGAGTCAGAACACATCATATATTCATTTCTTAGAGCCATTCTTCATCAACCAGTAGTCGGAGACTGGAAGCAGTGCTCGTGGCCCCCTTGATCCGACTGATCAGGGCAAGAGTGCTTGCAATCCATTGGTTAGTTGTGGGTGTGGAGTATTGAGCAGAGTACGGAGCCATCAGCGGATGACTGAGCCAACGGCTTGGTCTTAGCAAGAGATCGCCTTTATCTGTACCGTTCAGACCATAAAAATGACGTGACCCTCCATAAAAGTCGCCGAGACTCGAACTTCCGAGAGATACCGGGGTCCCGGCTTCATGGGATCGGACCGAATCTTATTTCTTGAATGTTATTTGATCCTTGCCCGGACTTAACGGCTTTTCGGCCCGCCTTAAACCTGGAAAAAAATAAAACTAAACACAAACCCTCAAAAGGTCGGAGGAGCCCACTCCGTACCTAGGTACTGTGGTTTCAGAAATCACTTAATCGCAAATCCCGGACCCACCGAAATGACGGTCTAAATACCATTAAAAGGCACAGGAGCTGATCCGCGTCTTTTCCCAAAAACATTCAATCTGTACTTCCAACATAATGAGTGTCTCATTCCAAGTCTTCCGCGGTTCTGAGGATGGAAGTATCGTACCCGATACTACTACCCGCACTTTGCAGCCTACTGAGGTGTACATTGAGACCACTCACTCAGGTCTCTGCGGTACCGATGAGCACTACCTGAAGACCGGAATGGCTCTCGGTCACGAGGGTATTGGAATTGTCCGTCAGATCGGCTCTAGTGTCACTGATGTCAAGGTTGGAGCCCGTGTTGGATATGGCTATATCCATCGTGTGTGCGGAATCTGCAAGCAGTGCTTAAATGGTAAGCATTACCTTTTACAGACCAAACCAAAAGAATTTTAAACTGACTTCATTATTAGGCCGAGACCAGTTCTGCGAAGGCGGAGTTAGGCACTACGGCAGCCACGATCACGATATCGGAACCTTCGGTGAGGGTGTTGTTTGGGATGCTAGCTGCGTTGTTCCCATTCCCGACGGATACGACTCTGCAGATGCCGCACCCCTCATGTGCGCTGGTGTGACTGTTTGGACTAGCTTGAGTGAGCACGTTCGCTCCACAGACCGTGTTGGTATCATGGGTATCGGTGGTCTCGGCCACTTGGCAATTAAGCTCGCTGCTGCTATGGGCTGCCAAGTGGTTGTCCTCTCAAGCACTGAGGCTAAGCGCGAAGAAGCACTGTCCTTTGGTGCTTCTGAGTACTACGTCTGGAAGGCCGGACAAGAAATTCCTAACTTCAAGCAGGTCGACCACCTTCTGCTTTGTGGAAGCGCCAACGTTGACTACCCCAGGTGAGTTTCCTCTTCTTTCAAGTTTTGTTTCATCTTCTAACAGTCTTCTTCAAATCAGCATTCTGCCTTTGATGGCTTACAACGGAACCATCTTCCCATTGACCGTCGACCACTCCAACGCCCCCATCCCACTTCTATCCCTGAACAACCATGGTATCCGTATCCAGGGTGTCTTTGTTGGTTCTCGGGCATCTGCTCGCTCTTTGGTTGAGTTTGCCGCTGAGAAGAAGATTACCCCCACGCTTATGAAGTTCCCTCTTGATAAGGGTGGTATCGAAGATGCTATGGAGGTCCTCCGTACTGGCAAGATGAGATACCGTGGTGTTCTTGTACGCCAGTAAATATAACATGTGGGAACGGCGTTTAAAATAGACAAGCAACTCTTCATAGAATAAATACACACTTTGCAGTTATTATCCCCGGCCATTTATTTCCATATTCGATAGCCCGCGTCCATGTTCAGTCCACCTCACGTGAGCTGTTCAGTTTCTGGAATTATGAGTTGTCACCACTTGTGCTGGAAGCTAGCATGTCCCTTGGATAGCAAATCAGCTCAAGAGTTTTATGGACGGTCGAAACCCTTCGTCATTTCATCGAGGGCGAGTGGTAGATCGGTGACAGCAAGATTGTGGCAATTAGAGCTCAGCGCGAACATAGCAGCTATTATGTTTGCATGTCCACAAATGTTTGCTTAAATTCTGCCACCGCCTAATTATACATATTTTAATCATATGAAGGGGCTAATCACTTTTTTCCTATTACTACATGTACTTCGTTCAATCATTTTAACATGAGTTATGGTCAACGCCCTGAACGGGCACGACAATTTTGGAACTATATCGACATCAATAATGGAAGTGATGTTGAAAGTGATGATCTGATGTATCGGATTAGTCTTCAAATTCAACAACGCTAGATGATTCTATTTATCCAGATGATTTAGCTAGCCAAGGTCCCTCTGGCCTAGGATATTCTACTCCTAAGTCTCCTACTCCTTTTTTGCCAACTTCTAGTCCAATTCTACAGGATTTAATCTCAAAAACCGTTCTATATATCTAGTCAATTAATGAAGGACCTTGAAGAAACCTGTTCTACAATTGCTCTTTCTCATGATGGGTGGAGTAGTCATAATGGTAAAGCAATATTCGTCATTGGCTAAACCTTGATTTCCAATACCAAGAGCGAATCACTGATTTTGTTGAACTCTTTGGGTCTTATACTAGTGATAATATGGCAGAGCAGCTTCATAAGACATCAGATGAGCTCTAAATCTCACCAAAGTTGCTCAGAATTACGCTGGTAATGCAGAATATTACAATACCTTGATGTCCGAGTCCTTTTATCTTCAAAATACGACTCACTCGCGGTTCACAGGAAAGCTCTCTACATTTCCTTTACTATTGGGTTTACTACTTACCAGTATAAATCTTAGGTGTTGATAGCTTTATTCAATATCTCTGTCATATCTATAATCTCATTTTGCAAGATTCCATTGCAGATTTAAGACGCGGGAGCCAGAAGTTCTCTAAGGAGATCTGTTAGTTTCTTGGGAAAATAAAGATCTACTAGAAATGGTGTGCTAGAACGTTCTAGTTTGTTATTTAAATTCCACCGTGACGATTTTCCTTCTCTTCCTCTATCAATTTGATTTTTTCTGCCTATCACTATGTATTGTTTATTTGTATAATTCTCGTGTCGAAAATTTTTCGCCATATGTTAGAAGTGATATCCGACAAGTTAACAGCAGTATAGTACGATACGTACTTAAGATCAGAACTTCAACAAAGAATGGCGAAATAGGTGAAGGCATATCATATTTTTGCTTTACCAGATAAATATAGAATGGTTAAATACTAAAGTGGAAGAGATTAACCACGCGACTGGTTACATGTCTACACACACCCGGGTTGAAAAGCTTAGGCGACCCACCTAAAATCAACGAATAGACATAGGGGCTTGGATGGGTGTACATTTGAAGTGATGGAAGCTTTGATTAGGTGGATGAGGAAAATGATTCAAATTCATTGCTTTATAATCATGTTTTCCGTAAGCTAGTTACTCACTTTTACCTAACTAGTGTCTCTAATCATTTACGGCCATTGATTTCCTAATTCATGATGTCCATTCCTCTGCAACTCCGGGATCCTGAAAATTATGCTAGCAGATTACGAAGTAAGAAACAAAGACTATCTATCAAATATTAATATAGCGCGGTCATGGCATCAACTATGGTCTTTCTAGACAGTACAGGCATGCGTCACCTCTCCTCTCGATTTCTAAATCCCCAGAGAACTTGCCGAGTCAAGACAAGCAGTGGGAGACCAAGGAGGAGGACCCATATCACTAGCCATAGAATGACCACAGCGATGGAGAAGAGCCAAAATGCTCTATTCATCGCTCGTAGATCACCATCCGACCAAAGCTCGTCTACCGGAACTGCCAGCGTAACTTGCATCGATGAAAGTACAAGTGAAGCGCTGGCAAATAGGAAGACCAACGGGAAGGTTGCGCTCTCCATGAGCTCGGTAACTGACCAGTAAGGAGTTTCATAAAACCATCGGCTGTGAGTTTGCCGAGGATTGAAGAGTCGGACAGCCCAGTTCAATCGCGAAAGACGAAGCTGACCATAATGGTATCGCTTTACAACACTATCGTCTGAAACTGCTCGAAAGTGGTTGATAAAGATGGACCATTGGTCCTAATCAACCTCACGCGGGATAAGAAAAGACTCTTTCGCGATTGCAAGGTCAAGGGGGTACCTCACAAGTAATGCATATGAGCGCATAAATCCCATTGCTATCGAGCGATCGAGCGCCCAAGAAGCCGTCTGGAGAGTAAACGGAAAATGTTCCGACGATAGAAGTCGCCTTGGAGGCTGTAAATACCGCACCCAAAAATCATGATTCAGCAAAAACAGAGGCACGGGCTTGATATAGATTTTGTCTCTGCTCCAAACGAGATGGAACTTCGGGTCTTCAGTCGGGATGATAGGGCGTCTCTTGACTCTTTGCCTATGTAGCGCATCGATATGAAGACCAGATTTCTTTGCAACCAGCCACAGATGAGCATAAAGCTCATCTAGGAGTGGAGTTGCTAGTTCATGTAAGAGGTGACCATGGACCTCATCAGTTCGAAGGCTGACAGCGGGATTTCCCGGTAGATGGTGTATAGTCTCTAGCTCGCTCTGTATTTGTGAAGGTTGATTAGTCGCGCTCGAAGGGCAGCTAATAGGGTCTCTATTCAGAGCACAAGATGGAGGAAATGGAGCGCTGGTGGAAATAGACATTAGATCTCAACGCAAAGATGTATATGAGCTGTAATTGTACTGATATATAAACCGAGATGATCAGCTATAAATGCGTGGTCATCTTGCCTAGGTAATTCGAATTCAAAGTTGAACGGCGACGAGTCACGCGGAGCACTTAGCACCGGTGATTCAGCTGCAGTTGGTTGCCTGTAGCTGCATTGGCCACGTCATGAAAAAGATCGAACTCATTACAGATATGTAGCTCTGCTTACCATCCCAGCGACGGTATATCTTCTCCATTTTTTCTTTACTGAAGATCTTCGCGGACGCCACTAAATAAACTCCGCCGAAAAGGGGCGACCCACGGAGCCCAGAACATCAGTTATGGACGTACCCACAACTTTATACCTACTCACATTCGTCCTCTCGGTCGCATTCATCTATTATCTGATCACCAAAGGAATCCCCAGCCGGCTTATTGCCAATCAAGCGCCAACGTCGAGATTCGAGCTCGTCCCAGTGGATAACTATACCTTACCGGCGCGTGCTAGTGGGATCGAGTAGGTTGAACTTAGCTAGTCGTGAGTCTTGGGGTTACTGACATGAATAGTATCATATTTGTCCATAGCCTCGGATCCAACCCTAATACCACATGGCGAGCGAGAACATCCATAAACACTCCCGACCGGACCGAGCCGAGACAACCGAATAGTGAGTAATACGTGAACTGGGTCAGCGACTTTCTTCCACACGACCTACCCCCAGAGATCCGTAAAGATGCACGTATCTTCTTCTATAACTATGACTCATATTGGAAGAGGGATGCGGTCTACACACGTCTTACCAGCGTTGGCAATAGTCTCCTCGAGCATATTAACGGACAGATTCACCAGTCTAAGGATGTGAGTCTTGATAGCATCCAGGTGCTAAGGATCTTACTAATAAATCCACGACAGGAGCGGAGTCGACACTTGGTCTTTGTAGGACATAGTTATGGGGGTCTAGTGATCAAAGAAGTAAGTAAACCGATTTTTCTTTAATACGCGTCACTAATTTGATAGGCGCTTATTCAAGCTAAACGGAGAGACGACTTTAACCATATTATGGAGCAAACAAAAGCGATCTTCTTTCTGGGTACACCGCATCGCGGGTCTAGCTTTGGCCCTTGGGGTTGGCTCGTGGCATCTGCTTTACAACCTCTGGGATCTAATCCTCTGATTCTTGCTAACCTAGAATACGACTCTGTTTTCCTGAGCGATCTTTACGAGAGTTTTATAGCCAGCATACACGATGACTTAAAAGTGGTAAACTTTTTTGAGCAAAGGCCACTTCGTCTTCTTCGACTATGGTTCATTCAATGGCAGATATTTGTGGGTGATCATATCCTTGAATAAATTATTTACTAATTATGTACTTAGTGTGTCCCTGAGACATCTGCTACATATGATGGGAGAACGGTCAGTAAAATTGGTCTCCCTGTCGACCACTACGGACTCAACAAATTTAGATCAAAAAATGAATGTTATAATAGCGTCAAGTCAAAGCTCATTAAGATAATGACCCCTTTAGTTCAACCATTAAGGCACCACTATGCTGTCCCAGTTAAGATAGTGCAAACATTTATTCAACGAGATCAGCTTTAGGAGGAGCTCAGAGAAAAGCTACAGATACGACACGATAATGCTAGTATTCCATACGCGGTCACTCTTCATGGATTAGGTGGTGCTGGAAAATCACAGTTAGCCCTGAAATATGCGGAAAGTCACACAGATCGATATAATCCAGTTCTTTGGATTGACGCAATAAGCGAGGAGACCGTCCGATCAAGTTTTATCAGATGTGTAACAAATCTTGGACTACCCGACGAAAAAGGCAACAACGATAGCTTATTGCTTAAGGATGACCGGGTCATTCAGAGTGTCCTTCAATGGCTTCGTGACCGGAATGAAAGAGATGATGAATGGCTGGCCATTATCGATAATGCCGATGACTTTACCTGGGGCATCAAAAAGGTTATGCCGAGGGGAACTCAGGGACGACTCATTATTACTAGCCGCGATAGCTAAAGTCATAAGCTGGTGGACAGAAGCTGTGAAGAGATACAAATTGGTATCATGTCACCAGGAGAAGCAAGAAAGGTTCTTCTTCGCCATCTGCCAGACGATATCAATTTACACTCAAACGCTATTTAAGAGGGATGCGATAAAATTACAAATAAGCTTAGATATTTACTACTGGCGATTGATCTTGCTGGTGCATATATTAGGAATGACTCCGCACCTGAACAGTCTCTTACTCAGTATTTGGAAGACTATAAGAGGCATTGAGATGAGCTCCTGAAGATGGATGATCTTCGTGGGCTAACCTCTGCGGAAAAGACTATGTGGACAGTTTGGGATACCACTCTAGAGAAACTCGAAAGAGATCATAAGGATTCTCAGCCTGATCTATTGTTATCACTCCTAGCTCACTTTAAAGGTACTATCGTCCAAGATGAGATGTTTTGTCTAGCAAGCCTCGGTATATTTATTGTCAATGACGAACTCGGGGAAGAGGATTTTGCAGGACTTCAAACGTTTTTCACTGCAATCGAAGGGAGATGGGACGATTTCCAGTATCGCAAAAGCCGCGATATCCTAATACGTTATAGTCTGATACAGCGAGTGCACGGAGACTGGCCTGGTACGACTATGCATAGCCTAGTATAATGGAGGGCAATGCATCATGAGCAAAATCAACAGTGGCAGTGGTGGTATATCAGGTTCATTGTTGCCGTATGCTCTTAAACCATAAGAGAATATCATCAGCCATAATTCCGTCGGCATTTAATGGTGCATCTCCCAGCTGTGAAAGGCATTAACCTGAAGCAGATGAGTGACATAGATATAAGTGAAGTTTTCATCTAGGAAACACTGGCAGAAGTGCACTTTGATGAAGGTCGTTGGGAGGAGGCTGAGCAGCTCTTTGTGCAGGTGATGGAGACTCGCAAGACGAAGCTCGGCGAGGACCATCCCTCCACGCTGACCAGTATGGCCAACCTGGCGTCGACATATAGTAACCAGGGCCGGTGGGAGGAGGCTGAGCAGCTCGAGGTGCAGGTGATAGAGACGAGCAAGACGAAGCTCGGCGAGGACCATCCCGACACGTTGACCAGTATGGCCAACCTGGCGTCGACATATAGTAACCAGGGCCGGTGGGAGGAAGCTGAGCAGCTTAAGGTGCAGGTGGTGGAGACTCGCAAGACGAAGCTCGGCGAGGACCATCCCGACACGCTGACCAGTATGGCCAACCTGGCGTCGACATACAGGAACCAGGGCCGGTGGGAGGAGGCCGAGCAGCTCGAGGTGCAGGTGATGGAGACGAGCAAGACGAAGCTCGGCGAGGACCATCCCGACACGCTGACCAGTATGGCCAACCTGGCGTCGACATACAGGAACCAGGGCCGGTGGGAGGAGGCCGAGCAGCTCGAGGTGCAGGTGATGGAGACGAGCAAGACGAAGCTCGGCGAGGACCATCCCGACACGCTGACCAGTATGGCTAATCTCGCTTTTACCTGGAAAACTTCAGGTCACATTGCCAAAGCCATTATTTTGCTGAAACACTGCGTAGCACAACAGAAACAAATAATAGGTATCAGCCATCCAGATACTTTATCCAATTCAGAAGCATTACTTCAATGGGAAGAAGAACAGTGGGAAGCGAAGGAAGAATGACATCTAACAACTCAATGCCTACGAAACCCGAATATTTTGTTATCATATGTTTACTTGTAATTTCTAGCTTCACATGCTTACTTCTTTAGAGACTTATGTATGGTTCACTTAAGTAAACTACATGGCAAAGGTGCTCATGTTACAGCTTTGGTGAATAGTTGCCAAGATATAGAGAGAGCACTCATAAAAGCAAATCATCAGATATAAAAGCTGTTAGGCTTCAGACATGTTAAAAATATTACGAGTAGTTTATAGTGCTAAGGGGCGTGCTCAGTTCTACTTAGTGAGCAAAAGCAGCGAGGGGAACGCCAAGAGTTGGCAGAGGTATTGTATGCCTTGCGAACATGCGAATATTCGTGCCGAGCTCTACTAGTACTTCTGCGTGCACTTGCCACCTGCTCACTTTCAAACAAAAACAGCAAACTTGCTCCAAGCTACTTGGCTATCTAAATGAGATAGCGTCATGTGATCTATCACAGTGTGGCAGAGAAAGGCTATTACGTCGGTATCCAACATGGAGTGTGGAAGCACATTGGCTGTCTGAGTCCGATTTGAATACAGAAATTCTGACCCAATCTACGGTCCCGTCGAGGTCGGGGAATCACTTTATCTGTGTCACATTTTCAGGGTAGAAGGTGTAGGCAGCGTTCATGCCTCATCCCTACAAGCAACTCAGTTGCGTTTTATAGCAATCCTTCCCGAATACCAGAGCATCTTCAGAAGTCTGCTGGTCCTGGCTGTAATGAGACACCTTCGTCACAAAGGGGAATCCGACCACGGAGTAACTATAATTCCTTGACATATTTTACCTCGGCAGTAATACATACATCATTCTTGATTCACACCATGTGGTACGAACCGCCGAGGTCCGACCGGAAAATCCGACGCATGATGACTTGTTTGTTTTGGCCAGCGCTTCGCGATAACAGCCGCAGTTCCTATTGACATGACCACGTCGTGGCTCGCCACATGTGCATACGCGAGCCTTGAAAAACCATATCTTGCAGGAAGATTGGGGTACCTGCTCTTATCTGTGTAGTTTCTTGTAGACCAGCTGTTTAAATTGATCACAAGGGCTAGATAAGGGATTGAAACGCCGTGGCTTCGTCAGAAGATCGGATAAGGAAACTAAAGGGTCGCGAACCATTGGTGTTCGATACACAACATATCTAGTAACGAACTTTCATAGCAAACTGCGATCTCTGTGTGACTATGGCATCTGGATAAGGCGTAAAGGCCTTATGATCTCTTATTTTGTTGCCCAAACCTGTATGACGCCAGACAATAAGATAGTGTACTCAACCTACTAGGGCATGTGGAGTAGATTGTAATGAATTAACCCCACATGTTGGGGAAACCGTTTGAAAAACTGGATCTGGATCTGGATCTGAATTAATGGAATCTAGATCGAATCTAGTCGGTAGATCTGCTCGATCTGCTTACTTCAAACACGTTACCCGACAGTTGCATAATGTGACACTTCGGACTCATTCCATATCTCAAGCTCAGCTATAAATCCATTTATACCTAGATTGATTTCATTTAAATTATTGGAATGAGGCACAGCTGATTCCTTTGTAAGAAAAAACGAAAAAAGAAAACCGGTCTGCGTTGGTCATTTACGAGATCTTGAGGTCACGATCTGCATTGTCCTGCATCGACAGGGATCAGACACGATACATCTAACACACACCGCTCCATATGTATCATAGACTTTCATGTTTCGTACCTGAAACTGCTTTAAACTGCCAACATTTGAGCATGACCCTGCAGACAGGACTTCATGCATTCCTTTCCAAGGCATCATCCCCATTTAATGCCCTGTACCCCTCGCTCATCACATATAAAGCTCCTAGATCACCCCTTCCCATGTTAATGTGCCCTCTGTTATCATTACAAACAACATGCGCAGTGAAGATGAGAACTACCCGCTACTTACGGGCCTTTACCCTGCTACCGGGCCGAGGCGTAACCCTAAGTCTCGCTGGGAGCGGTTTCGCGAACCTTCAGTAAGTCTGATGTTCTACGCTTTTGCAGGGTAAAACTAAGTCAGTGTAGCCAGCGTGGATTATCTGTACCTTCGCTATTTACCAGTTCGTATTTGGAATCTTGACCGTTCCTGAACTTAACGCCACCCTTGCCCTTATATGTCACCAGAAGTACCCAGAACGCCGAGCCCCGCGAGATGAACACACCAACCCAGATCTGTATACCGAGCTGGGACGATGCTTAGGGAATAAATATGCACAGGCGGATCAATCCAAGTTCTTCGTATACAACCAAGTCATCAGCGGTATTCTTGGCGCCATTTCGACCCCGTTTCTAGGCTCATTATCCGACCTCATCGGGCGCAGGCGAATCATGGCGTTGGCCGTACTAGGGCCACTGTTCTCCCAGTGTTTGACTCTCTTCGTGATGAGACACGCCGATACAGTGGATATGAACTGGCTGTTAGTCGGCTATGCTGTTGATGGCCTCTCAGGATCAATGATAGTCGCCATGTCCACTTCATCGGCATATATAACCGATATCGCGCACCATACTGACCGACCCAGACTTTTCAGCTACTTATATGCATCCATGTCATTTTCCGGGGCGATGGGGCCTTTGGTTTCTGGCTTCCTCCTCAAGACGCAAAACCCCCTTGACAAAATCTATCGAATCACCATTTGTGCTAATACATTCATGGCCATGGTCTTCCTGCACATCCTGCCCGAATCCCGCTGGTCGCAGCTGGTAGGAGAGGACAAGCCTATAGGCAGTGACACTGATGAGTCCGATACGAGTTCCGTCCATGGTCTACTCCAATCGCTCCAATCTCTCTGGACATCGAGTGCGTCCCGAAAAGCGAATATGGTCATATTGGCCATACTAGGCTTTTTCGTCATTGGTTTTATGATGAGTTTAATGCCTCTGCAATTGAGATTTGGCGCATTCTGGTTCAACTGGCAGCCAACCACGCAGAGTTTCTTCATGGCGCTACTCTTTTCGTGGAGCATCTTTGTGCTTGTTGTCATCTTCCCCACTGCCATGTCCCTAGCTCACCGATGGGGAATGCGCAGGGGCATCACTAATATCTCAGCTGTTTTCAACATCGGGGAACTAGGTGCTATCCAAGTGAGTTTGCTGCTGCAAGTCATAGGCACTATGGGCATGGCATTGGCTCGGAGTCCGACCTCCTATGTGATAACTTCACTCATTGCGGTTTCCGCTTCGCCTCTTGCTCCTCTTCTTACGTCTTGTCTCACGGCACATGCGCCTCGTCATCAGTCTGGTCAGATACTTGGTGGATTGAGCTTTTTGAATGCCATTGGGCGGATAAGTATTCCTGCTGCGTTAAATGCTACGTATAGTTTGACGATTGGGATATATCCTGTTCCGTTGTTTGCGATAGTGGCGGGCGCTTATGCTTGTCTATTTATTTTGAGCTTTTTCTTGAAGCAGCATACATTGTGATGTTGCGATCGTATCTAGAATATTAAACGATTTTCTTTTATCTTTTTCAATTATCCAAGGACACGGAGAGGTTGGTCTAGAAAACCATAGTGGAATATTCTATCTTCAGTACTCCGGCCACTCGGGGTCTATCTGTTCTCGCCATGCGCGGAGTCCCCCTCGAATATCTCCAATAAATCTCTGTCCATTTCGATCCAATCCCAGATCTTTCAATTTCTTAACGGCGATTTGTGAGTCGTTCCCTAGACGACAGACCACATAGATTGGATCGTTGGAGTCAGTAAGATTTGAAGGGAGCCAAGAAGGAGTATTTTGAGGTGAAGAATGATCGCCAGCGGAAATTGGTGAGGCCAGAAAGTTTGAGATTGGAATGTTGATACTGTTGTCTAGGTTACATATTCCAAACTGTGCCCTATCTCGGACATCCAGAATAGTATGTGAGCCTTCACTGACCGAGTCAGTTAGCCAATCTCCTTGTGAGGTAGGCTGAGGATGCTTTTCTCGATACTCCCGTGGAGAAATGCGTTCATCTGGTCCTAGGACATTCGGGAGGTTCGCCGAGCCACAAAAGAAGATGTAATCAGTTAATCCTGATTGAATCGAGTTAATTGTGACGGTTGCATCGGCGGAGCAAGCGGCACAGTCTTTTCGCCGAGAACGAAGACGTATCGTACGGAAAAGGGGAGAAGAGTATGCGGAAAAGATATGCAGAGATGGCTGATCCCGCGTGGGTGAAGAGCCAACTGTCCCCTCAGTGCTTGATGTGATAACTTTGATCGCTTCCAGCGCCTGCAAAACACCCATAGTACCAACTACTGGACCCACTATACCGCCATCGGCACAGCTGACAACGCTATCGGCTGGCGGTGGCTTTGGAAAAACGCAGCGATAACACGGTCCTCCAGCTTTATCACCTGGTGGCAGAGGCGGGTTATTCAGTACTATCAGCTGGCCCTCGGTTTTTAGAGCAGATGCAGAAACCAATGGTTTACCAGTGAGCACAGATGTATCGGAGATAAGGTATCGTGTTGCGGGGTTATCCGTGCAATCAAGGATGATATCATATTTTTCGAAAATCGCTGGTGCTTCTTCGGGCGTAAGGTGCTTTCGATGCGCGATATATGTTGGATGAGGATTGAGTCTGGCCATTCAAATACATTAGTCTAGATCGTGACTGGGAATGCGATCACATACTCTCGAAGTGATTCAATAGCGCTATCCACCTTGTACTTGCCGACATTATGGCTTCGGTGTAGGACTTGGCGATGCAGATTTGAGATCTCAACCGTATCCCCATCTATCAGACCAATAGTGCCAATGCCAGCTCCGGCAAGATACTGGGCAGCTGGACATCCAAGTCCACCTGCGCCGACAAGTAAGACTTTTGCCGATCGGAGTTTCAGTTGACCTGACCAGTCAGTTTTTTGCTCTAATAAAACGTATTCCAATATGCTTCACTCACCCGGTAGACCAATCTGGGGCACGATCATCTGACGTCCATATCGTCGATACTCCTCCGGTAACAATGGCCAGCGATTGAAACTCTCAGCAGCCGCATGTTCGGTATTGGCGAGATCTTGCTTTAGCTCAGCTAGCTGTGCTTCAGTGGCAGCAATCTGTGCCCGGAGAGAGACGCATTTATCTTCGAGACCTGCCATTGTGGTGGTATGTGCAGTCACTTTTAGGAATGTGGCAGTAAATAATTGCTTCACCGCCAATACTTCTTATCGCCGCTCTTATCTGAGTTATCTTATTCACTGTCCACTTGAGATGGACACCACACACGAGTATATTCATTTCTAAATCGTAGCTAGATATATTGTCAATATATTGAACTTTCAGACTACTTTATCTCCTAAATTCGTTCTAAAAAGTGGTTTGATCGGATAAGATGTATGGTTTGTTGTGATCTATATATATCTTGCACCATCTTCCAGAAGGTAGAAACCCAACAACCTTGGAAAAAGTTGAACTTCACTCATTAAAAATTCGGATAAAACATATTGAATTCCTCTTACTGGGCAGCCAGTAAATAAATGTACTGAAACAATCCTGGAAATATCCATCTGGTAGAGTAATAAGGAAAGATAAAATAAGTAAACAAGGGGGCAGTTGAGCCCCCGAAAGCCAACAAACACCTGGTCTCCACTATAGTTCTAGGTAGTGACAGAGTTAGACCACACTGCTCTCTTCCCGAGACCTTACCTAAGACTAGAGATCCAGTGGGGGCTAATCGGTGATAAAGGTGAATAAAATCCTGAGCCTTGCAAGTCTAGGCGGCCTAGGATACATTTTTTCTGCCCCTAATGTATTGTGAAACATCCAATCCTTCTAGAATCCCTTACGGCACAGCACATGAATTGAAACTCGTCCACCATGACCTATTATAAGCTCACTGGGTATCTAGGATTGGATGTTAAATTTAACATGATAGAGCAGGATTTATCTCCAGGGCTGGACGTGAGACGCATTTCTTTGTCGAGATTCCTTTAAGTCTGCCAAGGTTGGATGATTTCTGTTTCTAATAGATTTGCCTAGGTCGACTTTGTCGAGAGCCGACTGTACAGCTCGATTCAAAATGCAGCGAAATAGGCTCCTGCTGCTTTTGCTTAGCCTTTGCGCATTTTGGATATCCTCGATCCAATCCGCTCCGACTATAAAGACAGACAATTTGCCACACAAAACAACTACGCTGTTGGAAAAATTCCCGTCCACCAGATATTTTATCCAAGCGGAGGAAAATGGCGTCAATCATCTGAATCGTCGGGGTCTTCCCGCTGTGATTTCTAACTGGAACATCTGGAAGAGCTATAAGAAGGCTTCAATTGAGAATAAAACGCCAGCCGAAGCTATTCCTTACGGAACCCCAGAAGGAACAGAGAATTTTCAAGTGGTATACAACGGGTTTCCGTCATATTCATTTGATGTTGACATAGACTGCGTCTCAGTCAGGAAGGTTGTTCAATTAGGCAAAAAACTCGGGAGTGGCACATTCGGAAATGTCTACCAAGCCACCATGAACGCCTGGGATGAAACAAAAAATGCCTGGGAACGATATACCGCCGCAGTGAAAACATCAAATATCGAACCCGGTGAGATGATCATCGGGTCAATGCTGGCTCAAACAATTGATAGCCGGTATGTCGCTAAGGTGTGGGACTATTTCTATGTCAAGGACGACAATGAGGCCTTTGTAATCATGCCAATGTCAAATCGGGGAACATTAGGGGACCATACAAGTATGAAGCAAGCATCCTTCAAAGAAGTATTCCAAAAAATACTCCTCGGCGTGCAGGCAATGCATGCAGAGGGTATCATGCACCGCGACATTAAACCCGGCAATATTCTGCTATTCGGGAAATCTCCTAAAATCGCCGATTTCGATACTTTGACAACCCAAGAAAGATCTACGCAGCTGGGCATTGGGACGCCAGGATTTCTCGCCCCCGGTAAGCTTATTATAATCCTGCTTTAGAATTCTATAATCAACTAACAAGCGGTATGAACTTCCAGAAATTCTTATTAGTCATTCATATACCAGGAAAGTTGACATTTTTGCTCTTGGAATGACATATATGGATGTTATGATGCATGATATCCCGACCGAAGACTTTTATCCACTCTGGAAAGATCTTGTGAGCCCTAATAACACGAGCACAGAGTGGCTAAGCCCAGAAATGATTGAAGAAGTTTTGAGCGAACACTTCAAGGCTACAGATTTCACCGAAGATGAGCGGAAGCTACTATCAAATGTTCTTTGTGAACCTAACAAAAGATTCAATATTGATCAGTACGTGGAAGGGTTTAATGCGCTGTTGACAAGTACGTAAGTACAGCTACAGTTACGGTGGCGTTGCCGACGTCCGCCAGATCGAACGCATGTTATATGTTATTAGACTGACAGTTTTAATACTACAATAATTGATTGAATTAGACAAATAAATCGCACCTGACCCTAAAGATAAGCAAATACGCTTTGAAAATAAGCAACCATGTCAAATTCTTAGAATTTTTGCATGAAGTTCTACTTTCTGGGCGTTCAAGGAAATATGTCATTTGCTCACTGGGATTTCTGTAAAGTTTCTGCCCACATGATTGGCTCATCGTCTCTCGTTTATTGTTCCTATTTGACGGGGTATTATCATCCTGAGCATGAAACAATGTAGTCCTGGAGGTGTGGAACGCTCCCTAGACAGCCAAAACCTAAAGATGATATGAGAGCAATTGGAAACATAATGATGGTAGTTGAATCTTTTAGCGTTACTAATTCCTGTAATCTTATGATTTATGAAAGGAATCTAAATTGCTGCACCATTCTCTGGTGTTTTCGATGAAAAATTATGGAGAAGCGACTTCGGACTTTTACTATCCCGAAATCGCATTGACTCGGTGAAAATAAGCTACAGAACAATATCACGCAAGGAACGAAGTGAGTGACACCTTATTAATAGTTATTATATAATTCAATGCTTATTGTTCTTGGCATTCGGTGAATACGAGAAGAGGCACCGGACGGCGCAGTCTGATCAAGCCTCAAACACTACACTGGGAATAGATCTGAGGGAAGGAAGGCGGGAAGGACCCGCAATCCCACTAATCATGTGACCTCAAAAGACCTGCCTTTTCGAATTCTTGAAGCTCAAAGGTACTCCGTACACTCCCGTGTGTTAAAGCCATACCTCCCGCTGATTCTGGACCGTTCTCTGTTTTCTAGAGGTTAACTACTGCCGACGTGTCTACTTGTGCTCGAATCAAGGATACTCGGTTACAGAAACCGACCCACTCCATGATGCCTTCAAAACTGATGGAGATGTCTAATGATCCTGCCATAAAAGGTTCATGAGCTCTTTATTGAAGATTAATTGGCTTGGGGCACGCCTTTGCAAAACCAAGGCGCCAAGATTTCAGCCACACTTTGAATATTGAAGAAGATGCTCTTCCTGAATTGACCGAGGATAAATTATCGCCCCAGATATGACAAGATAAATGAAATATCCCTTGGATTTGAACTTTCGAAACGGAGGTAAGATGTAGCATATGGTTTTGAATTGCACTTTGAGATCAAAGAAATGGCCATCTAGTCCCTTGAAATACTCAAAATGCCGTTGATTGGTGGTCTAAGTTGTGGATGTCGCCATTGAACCGAGCACCTCGGGTGGAAAAATTCAAAAGGTAAAACTAATTAGAGTGAAGCAAACCAATCGGTCAAACTCTCCATTCTGATTAGGAGAGGGACAATAGTACTGAGAGGCAAGACAAGAGGAGAATAATGAAGACCGCAGACATGATGCCATGACACTAGTACGTATTAGGAAATATCCAAGTGGGGTAGTAATTCATATGGCAGTTATTGGCCCATTACCCCACAAGTGGATCTATCTGCGCCCTAATCTTCGACGATAACATGGTTAGCAATAAACAAATTTAAGCCCAAACTAACGTCACTTTTCATGCTCTTGCGTGATCTTATCTACTGCAAAACTCTACCTCCATCAACAAGTTTTTTTGTCTTTAATATTTCCTATCTAGGTTAAGCGTCTTGAACCCTGGCAGACCTAATCTCAGCTAACAGGAAATTTCGCTATATGGTCAGTTCGCCTGCAACATCTGCCACTTAAATGGCGTGATCTAGTTATTGCAGGGTTCTATAACCACCAGTCTAGATTTAAATCTCGTAGTTCCCGGTCTGTAGCTGGATATCCGCCAAAGCTCAACAACACGATCTACAGTCGCAACGATGGTGATCGACGAGGTTAGCTCCGCCGGCGGCGGTACCGGTGAAACTGAATCTAAAATCGAGTCCAAGGTCCTGGCTACAGGCAGTGACTCTGAGTCTACATCTTCATTCAAAGGACGCCGTGGACATGTCAAGGATATCAGTACCACCTTCGATACAACGGAGGATCCTCGTTTCTATAAGCCTATCCCCGAATACGAGGGCTTCCATCGCTGGGATCCTGAGTTTGAGTGGACTGAGCAGGAGGAGAAGGCTGTTTTGAGGAAGATTGACTGGAGAGTTTGCACCTTTGCTTGTGTCACATTCTTCGCACTCCAGTTAGATCGAGGAAATATTGTCCAGGCCAATTCAGACAGCATGCTAGAGGACCTGGGTATGACAACCAACGACTATAATAACGGACAATCCATTTTCTACTGCATTTTCTTATTTGCGGAACTTCCTTCGCAATTGTTGTCAAAGTGGATTGGTCCCGATCGGTGGATTCCTATTCAGATGGTTCTTTGGAGTATTGTCGCCGCCATGCAAGCGTTCATGAAAGACCGCAACACCTTCTTCGCTTTCCGAGCCCTACTAGGTCTATTGGAAGGTGGATTTATCCCAGATACTATCCTCTTCCTCTCATTCTGGTATACTTCGAAGGAGCTGCCTATCCGTCTCAGCTTCTTCTGGATGGCATTTGAAGCCACCGCGATCGTCAGTGCTTTCCTGGCCTACGGTTTCCTCCATATCCATAACTCCGAGGGCGGTGGCGGTTGGCGTTACCTCTTCGCCTTTGAAGGTCTTATCACTGGTGTCATTGGTATTATCGCTATCTTCTGGATGCCAGCTTCCCCGACACAAACCAAGGGAGGACTCCGGGGAAAAGACGGATGGTTCAACGAGCATGAAGAGAAGATCATGGTTAACCGTGTACTCCGCGATGACCCTAGCAAGGGTGGAATGCACAACCGCCAGCCTATCACTGCTCGACTCCTCTGGGAAGCACTCAAGGACTACGATATGTGGATTATCTACCTGATCGGACTTACATGGTTGATCCCTGCCTCACCTGTCACCAGCTATATCACTCTGGAGCTCAAGTCCCTGGGCTTTAGCACTTTCCACACTAATCTTCTGACTATCCCCGCATATGTCATCTTCATCATTAACCTATTATTCTGGACTTGGATCTCTGAACGCTTCAACCAGCGCCTGCTTCTGGGTGTTATGGCTGAGATTTGGGCGCTAGTTCTCTTGATTGCCCTGGAGACAATTCCCAACTCTACTGGAGCTTGGGTTCGCTGGGCTCTGATCACCCTGCTCATCGGCATGCCCTATATCCACGCAGTAATTGTCGCAATCACATCTCGAAACGCAGGAACAGTTCGCACGAGAACTGTGGCTAGTGCACTCTACAACATGGCTGTCCAGTTGAGTACTATCATCAGTAGTCAAATTTACCGGAAAGATGATAAACCATACTACAAGAGAGGCAACAAGGTTCTTATCGGCCTTGCTGTGTGGAGTTTGGCTTTGTTTGTAGTCGCAAAGCTCTATTATATCTGGCGCAACAAGCAGAAAGCTGCGATCTGGGATAAGATGAGCAGCGAGGAGAGAGAGCGATATGTTGTCGAAAATGCCCACCTTGGCAACAAACGGTAAGACTCGACTTGATTCCCCTTGGATTTAAACTTTACTAATTCTTCCCTTCCAGTGTCGACTTCAGATTCGCACACTAGATCTAGATTTCTCGTCCAACCATAGATGTCCGTTTACGCTTTGAAAATCACTTTGATTTCTCAAATTCAGTGATATAATTATTTTTCCAACGATTGCTAGAGTTTATTCTACATTTCAGGTTGCATACTTCTTTTGCGGTAATTGTAGGTGGCGCATTGCGCATGTTAGCCTTGAAATTATCGACTAAAAAAGGTTGTAGATAAAGTAGCAAAAATCAAGTTTCCTTTCATTTGCGCGCATCCCTACTTGTCGATCCATAGTACTACTCCGGATATTGACCATAATGAAAACGAAGATTCACATTCTCAAGGTCGATCCCTTCCTCGTGTATCAAGGGTCACATTCCTCATTCCCTGGAAAAAAAGCCTTCCGCATTCATGGCGCCTCTCAAAATGTCTTCTTTGCTCAGTGGAATAGTATTTAAAGACAGTCAATGTGCCGCCCATCTCAATCCTCATCCCATCATCATCTCATCATCTCATCATCCAATCCATCTCTTCCAACACTCTCAATTCCAAACAAAAACCTTCTCCTCCCACCGCAACCATGCAGTTCATCCTCGCTACCTTTGCTCTCTTCGCTACCGCCTTCGCCGGTGTTCCCCGCGCTGCTGAAGGTGGCTCTGTCTGTGCCACTGGAGAGAGTGTCGTCTGCTCTAACAACGGCAATGGTGGTCTCATCACCCTTGGCAACATCGCCCCCGGTGCCCTCGGAAGGGACTGCTCCGGTGGCAGCGTTTACTGCTGCAAGGACAGCGATGTCCAGGTAAGAATATATCTTCGTTGGTCCAAGTATCAATTTGATCTAATCGGTTTCTCAGAGCGGTCTCGTCAACCTCAACGTTGCTCTCTCTTGCACCCTCAACGAGGTCCTTTAAATGGATTCACCTCAGAATTCTCGCATATGAGCCATATTCATCTGTTACTAGACTGTCATCGAATTGAATGCAGTTCTGTGTCGACTGTTGTATATCATCTGTTTCCACATTTTGTACTCAGTTTTACATGCGGCGTGCCATTTTTCATTCCCTTATCATCATGGTCTCTGCCTTCATACCTATTAGAACCTAATTTTGACAAATTCATTTATCGTCTAGTGCTTTCTATATTTCACCTTACCGTATTTCAGTAATAGTATTCGCTTTTCCCTAAGCCTTCAAAAATATACCAGCTTTGCCAATTATCAAAGGAATAAGTTATTCAAGATCCAGGAGACGATGGTATTTCATGGCATCAGTTTGATCCAAAACTAGCCGATACACTCGAACTTGGACTCCCCTATTTTCTAGACAGGCTATGTGTTGCTTATCAATATCGGTCTTTGTATAAATCCCCATGAGCACAACCATATCGACTTGGAACCTTGGAAATGGTCCAAACCGTAGATTCCAACTGCGGATCAATAATGGTTCAATCAATCTTTCCATAGCTTTGGCAGTCAGCTGACTATATAGAGTAACCAGAAACCCCTCCGGACCCACTGTAAAATGTTCCAATATCGTGACCCCGACTTTGCTAGTTGTGAGTCAATACTTGATCAACTGCTCAACCGCATGAAATATACTCAGTATCTGGGTCTCGTATCACACTGGTCAATATAGATGATGTTCGGTAAGTCATAGATCAGGCTCAAATGTACTATGACTAGCGCGGTACAGGAAATCACAACTTGTGATCAAATAATTCTATCGAATTCGAGATGTCGATGCCGAAAATTGGGGGGTTTGGATCCCTTAGAATAATGTAATTAGTTTTGAGCTACCGAGAGATTGCAGATCGAGTCAAATAAAAGGCTGACAGATCAGGTACGTCTCTAAGCTCTTTTTCGTAATTGGCTGCAGGATGAGAACATGAAGCGCAAATGGGTCCTCGTCCTCGACACTCTGGATGAAGACGTGTTTTCTCATCAAACTCGACGGGTGATATTAAATCATGGCACTCTCAGTCTAGGCAAAATTCTCTCCGTTATCAGGGCGTTCAATTGTCATAACAAGTCGGAGCAGGCGCGCTGTCTCACGATTTGTTGAAGACAAGAATATCATCCCGATTGAGCCAATTGATAAAACCCGAATATTTGCGCTTTTTGTGAAAAGGTCTGGGGTCCAACAAGCTATGGAGGTACTTCTCCAAATGTAGACTACGCCATCGCTACACCAAATGCCATTAAACTGATTGCAGCACTTGAGTTTATGTCACTTGCGACTGTGGAAGCAGCGGCCTATATCAGGCGAAGAGCACCACGAGATTCAGTATCTCAAAAAGTTCCAGAAGAGCGATGAGCAGAAAGTGAATCTCCTCAAAGCCTAGTAGGGTCATCTCCGTCGAGATCTCAAAGCCAAGAACGGGAAAGAAATACCTTCCGATTATGTGTTTCGGCTGATTTGTTGCTGTTTATAAGCTTCTTCGATAAAATGGGATTCCTGATCACCTACTTCAGAGGAAATAAGACAGCGAAGCAATGAAAACGACAATAGTGACCAAGGAGAGAGTGGCAACGAATCTGATAAAAGTGAATTTAATGAGATTGACATCTCCCTAGAGGACGACATCCCATCATAGTATTAAGAGACTCTTCGCTGATATCCGTTGGCATAAATGGAAGCACTTTGGGAGGCACCGACTGATCCAAGTAGCTTTGCAAGAGTGGCCGAAGTAGCATGATATTCTTGACATAAGGAAAGAAGACTTTCACAACATCTTTATGATATAGTCCTATATAAGAGCTTCGAGAGCTAATCAACTTGCTAAAAATATTCGCTCATGCGTTATGCGTGATGTGCTGTTACGCAACAACCTCAAACTGAATGCTTACTATTTGACGCAGCTTGGTATTTCCATGAAGAGGAAGTTATCTGGCTAAACGGGTTTTAAAACCCTTGAAAGCGTTCAGGTAATAGCCGCGACATACTCAGGTCAGGGATGATGGAAGGAAGCCTGAAAGTTTGATCTACACATGTTAGAGGTATGAAAGCAAGTGCTTAGCTTTAAGCACCCCGATACTCCGACTAGGATGGCTAGCCTTGCTTATATATGAATTTATCAGAGCATGAATCTTCCTACCGATTAATGGCTAAATATTCTCAACTACACAGCCAGATACCCAACTCTGACCATCTGGCTACGCTATATTCAATTCCTTATCTCAATAGCTGTGGGAAGAATGATCCTTCGTCTTAATTGTCTTTTCAAGCAAGGTTTCCAGGGCTAAGATAATGGGCCTATGTGAGGCCTCCACAGGTACTTCCAGGCCAGCTTCCAAGGTTCTTCCGTAAAGAGTATCCAGTTATTTTGCTAAGGTTGATTTTTGAAATGTGGTACTGATTTATGTTAACGAGAAGATCGTCTAATATTTGCATGCATTTCATTTATTAGTGTATTAAACATTGAGGGCATTCAAATTTTCAAATGTTCAATATGACAGTGATTCATCCATAAAGCTGCTTCCAACCCTAAAGGGTTGAGATCTATGACGACAAGATATACTCATTCATACATATTCTCAGGCGTAGGAAATGGAAAATGTTCACCCATGTCCTACCATAGACAAATCATGTACAGCTGTGGAATCATAAGACTCTGTTTTGGGCTCATTCAAAAAAGGTTCTTTCAAGCTTGGCTTAAGCTTGAATATTCCGCCGAGCCAACACAGCCACAGCAATCTCGCGCAATTCACCTTTTCGAACTTTTCCGCTTCCTGTGACAGGAAGAGTACTGGGAGTACCCTCCTCTCCAAATACAAAGACAAATTGTGGTGCCTTATGACGCCCAAGAGTCTCACGAATCCAAACACGAAGATCTTCGTCAGACGGGCGGGTTTGTCCATCAGCCAATTGGATGAACGCACCAACGACTTCGCCGTATTTGGGGTCAGGGACTCCAATGACAGATGCGACTTCGATACAAGGGTGTAAAGCCAACCGCTCTTCGATTTCGAGGGGATAAATGTTTTCGCCGCCTATACATGATCAGCTATCTATTCAAGAGAGGCATTCAATTTGAGATCTTACCTCGGATAATTATGTCCTTGAAGCGACCTGTTATCGTGCAGTAGCCCTGATCATTAAAGGAAGCTTCATCGCCCGTCTTGAGCCACGTCACTCCGTCTGAGTCCTGCACTAACATTTCTGCTGTCTTTTCTGGATTTTGCCAGTAGCCTTTACCAATCTGGTATCCGGACATACAAAGTTCACCTCTTTCGCCTATTGGAACAATCTTTCCATCTGCATCGACGATCTTCGCGCGAGCGTGGGGGAGAACTTTGCCAACAGTGGTTAAACGGGTGTGAATGCTATCAGTTGTGAGGGCATTGAAGCAGGTTGGGGAAGCCTCGGTGAGACCTAGATTTGTGTCAGTGGAAATGATCGGAGAAGACGGTGAATCGCGCTGACTCGACAGTAACCAGCTTGGAGCCACACTAGGATGTCAGTATACATACCGTAGCTGCTAGTATACTCAGTCATATTCAACTCATTAAACAGTCGCTTCATGAGCGGACGAGGAACGGGTGCACCAGCGATAATTCCCGTGCGGAGATTAGAGGTATCGAAGTTTTCAGGCTTGGGGAGACTAAGGATGGCCTCGAACATGGTCGGGACTCCATGCATGGCAGTGCACTTTTCGTCCGAGATCGCACGCAATACAGCTTCAGGATCGAATGTCTCGCCTGGGAACACGATCTTAGCGCCGTGCGTAACGACAGCCAACATTCCTAAGACTAGTCCGAAACAATGGAATAGTGGTGGCGGGCAACAGAGGATATCGAATGAAGTGAAATTCATGCGGTCACCAATGAAGCGCGAATTATTGACCAAATTGCTGTCTTCAAGTCAGCAGGAGATATCAGCAGTCGTTCATTGTATGCATAACTTACTGGTGAGTCAACATTGCAGCTTTGGGGTTTCCAGTCGAGCCACTGGTGAATTGCAGATTGCACACATCGTATGGGCTTAGAGTAGCCTCGCGATTCCGAAGTAAATGGATGGGCAGTGACTGGCCACGGCTGATGACATCGGTATATGTGTTGAAATTTTCATAGGTCCCACGTAAGATAATAATCTCCTCCAGGAATTTAGAGGTGCCAATTTGCTTGGGGCTGGGACCGAATTTGGATAGGACTTCCTCAATGTTGTGTCGTCCAATGCGTGGGGTCATGAATAGAGCTCGGCAGTCTGAAAGTTTAGGTGCCATGTGAGTTAGCTAAGATGAAATAAGTGGGGGCAGGGGAGGAGAAAAGTTATTACCAGTATGATTGAGAGCGTAGTATAGCTCAGCCGGGGTATATGTATTGTTCAATACGACTAGGATGGCACCGACCTGGGCTGCAGCAAAGAATACGGAGACATACTGCTCGCAATTACCCGCCATGATGCCAATACGGTCGCCCTTTTGAATCCCCATGGCCAAAAGACCCCGTGCGACACGATCGGACTCATTCTTCAAGTCAGCATAGGTCCAGCGTGTCCCGGTCCATGGAAATACGAGACATTCGTAGTCCCCATACTGCAGTGCCTGCACAGTGAGAAGTTCTCCGAGTGTGAGTTCCAGTAGTTTGGGTGTTGTTGGGCCAGATACAATGGACCATTCCAACCGTGTCGGCACGGGCTGTAGATGTGACAGCGTCTGGATAAGCCGTTGAGAAGCAGCCATTTTGAAATAGGTAGCCCTAAGGCAGGTGAAATGGGAGTAAGTGGAACGAGAGAAAAAGATTTCCTGGAGTGTAGGCTAAAAAATGACGCACAATGCACGCCCCTATACATTGAGCCCGCTAAGCTGGGAATAATTTCCCGTATCAGATCCGATGCGCCCTGTTCAATCAGATAAGCCATGGTGGATCAGGGCTCCACCACATTCTAGCATAAGATTCGCTTAAAGGTACAATTACGGATGTTCAGGAAGACTGAAGACCCGAGGTCCGGAAGTTTCTGCTGCGAACAGATCCACTCATTTAAATCAGCAGTTCTTCAAACCCAGCGTATACCAAGATGTATTGGCTAAGAGGATTCGCCAAGATGATGCTCTAGCCATTGAAGACAATCCTGGAGATCAGGTCATGGAAGAGTTCCGCATCTTGAATGGTCAAGGATGCGAGTATGGCCTGATGCTGGGACAATTAGAAATTATCTCATAAGCCACATGCCCCAGGAGGTGGTCCTGTGTGGAAATTTATTCCCATGATTCTTGGCGGATCTAATCATGATAAAAATCTTATCAATCAGTCCGATATCGGCAATTTGATATCCACAATTATCCACCCACGTATTGGAAAAATAGACAAGATTCTCGGCAATTGACAGAGTTGGGGATTTTAAAAACTGGCTAGTTTACATATTTGTACAGGGAGATGCATGAATAGTCAAACATATGGAATATAATAATACATTTGGGGTGCAGTCCATGATATAGGATGCAGATAACTTACTCGGATGGAATCGGCTCGGGTTGTTGACCCAGAGACAGCTTCCGCACTTCCCAGTCAGACCCGGCCCAGTCCTTCTTCTCTCCGAGCACGCAGATGGCTGACTTGGAGCCGTTCACTAGGAATCGGTCAGCCACCTCGTTGACAGCCTTGGCTGTCACATCCAAGACCTGCTCTCTCCAGCGCTGGTCCATCTCATGGGTGACGCCGCTCATGAAATAACGAGAGCCCTCCCCATCAACACTCGCTGGCGCATCAAGGCCTTGGAAGATGCCGAGCTTCGCTTCCTCAATTTCCCGCTCCGACCACGCGCGGTCCCTGGCAAAGGCACCACTATTCTGGAACACCTTCATCGAGTTGAGAGGGTTGGGATCCCGATAACTCATGAATGTGAATACGCCCTTGAGGGGTCCATTGCTCGCACCAGCGCCATATGCACCGCCCTTTTCTCGGATCTCAGGGTGCAGGTAGTTGTGAGTGAGAAGTTGGGACAGCACTGTGAGCGGTGCGCTGGAAGGATCGACGAAAGGAACAGTCTGACTGGCCTTACCGGAGTAGTAGACCTTGTAGGGAAGATCGTAGAATGCCTTCTCAACGGACTTGAAGGTGGACGTGCCGGAAATGCCGCTTGGCGAACGGACTTGTGGTAGGCCAACAATCCACTTCTGCAGAACAGACTCGTTGCGAGCAGCACTTTCCGCCTCGCAAACCATGCGAACACGGAGGTTGGAGGTCTTGGAGAGCGCAAATGACTGGATCAGACGCAGTTTTTGAATCAATTCTTGGAGACGCTCTGGAGATGACTCTGCGTCTTGAAGGAGATTTGCTGTGGCTTGCAATTGCTCCAGTCCAGACTGTTGTTCCTGGACCCAGAAGCTCCGGGAGAGATTTGCAGTTGCAGCGTTGACCGCGTATCTATGACCAGTTCCAGCAACGGAGTCTAGCGCACCATTTGTGGTCAGTCGCAAGAGCTCTTGAATCATTCCCGGTGCTGCGGGGCTCGAGAAATCAGTCTCCAAGACAAGCGCAGAAAGCATTTCCAGCATTTCAGGGATGTTCTTATCGATAGCAAATCCGGAAAAGTTCAGGCCCTCCTTGAACTCATTCAGGTGAGTCGGGGACGACACGAGGAAAGACGATGTCGAGATACCTCCAGTCTTTAGCTTGATCAAGTCCTCCCACTGTTCCATTGACCTGCTCGCTGTACCCAATCGCATGATACAGTCGTTGAAAAGCGGCATCAACAGGCGAAGATCGTCTGGCAAATCTTCGAACGCGTTTACGGCTTCGAAATAGGTCAGGCCGTTGGTAGGGGCCTCTCGCCAAACCAGGTCGATGTCATCAATTTTCGACTCGCGCACTGGTTTCCGCTCCTTTTCCCTTGAGATGTCCTTCACCCGCAAGGAAGGAAGGCAGCTGAGGTCAGCACTGTGTGCATCTTCCTGGACCTTCAGCAATTGCAACTCTTCTTCACTGAGCTTAGCAATGGCATTCTCAGCCGAGCCATGCTCTTCGACGAGCTGAGCAAATTTCTGATCCTTGCGAATAGCCTCCTTCTTATCCAGATCAGTGTTAAATGTCGGGGTACCGACCATTGTGAATGTCATGCAGCGGTCGTTGAGGAGATACTTCTCCACCAACGACTCCAAGTAGCCCGGCTTCTCATATCGTCTCTTGAACTCGTCAACCACATCGTTCCAAGCCAGTTCCTTCATCGGGTTAGACCCGTTGAACCAGGATGCGATGGTCTTCTGTATGACTCCAATACCAAAGTTGGCAGTCTTGTGACGTAGAGCAAGCTCCATTTGGTGAAGGAAGCCCTGGACTTTCTCCTTACTGAATCCAGCCGAGACGGACTCTCGGAGGGTATTCTGAATGGTTTCCTTGATTGAAGGAGCCTGGGATTCACTGACACCAGTAACACCGACCGAGAAAATTGGAATCTTGCCAGAAGGATCGATACCCGTATTTGGAGTGAAACCAGAACCAATTCCACTCTCAACCAGAGCACGGTACATAGGTGACCCATAGCCATCAAGAAGGAGAGAAGACACAAGTCCGACGGAAAAGGTTTCCACAATATCAGTAGAATCGCCCATGTACCAGGAGGTAGAAGTCTTGTGCTGCTTGTCCTCGCTGGAAAATGTGTCGATAGGTCCAGGGACCGTCACATTCACTGGTCCATTACTCAGGTCCATAGGCAGCTTCACGTCAGTGTCCGCCTGTCCCTTCTTAAATCCATCCAAGACAGCACCGACCTGCTCCAAGTGGCGGGTCAATGGCATGTCGCCATAAGTCAGAATCTTGGCATTGGTAGGGTGGTAGTTGCGCTTAGAGAAATCCCACAGTTGTTTGTGGGTGAGATCCGTAATGTACTCTGGGTCACCTCCCGAGTTGTTCATGGCTGGGAAGATGCTTTCCTTGAATTGTATATAGTAGAGGTAGTTGGCATCCGACATTTGTCCTTTCATCTCGTTGTATACAACTCCCTTGAAGACGATGTCTTCCAGCTCAGCCTTCTTCTCTGGTGTCGTCAGAAGAGCCTGTGGATCTTCGGGGCCCAGTCGCCATCCCTCTTGTCGGAAATCCTCCTCTTTGAGCAATGGATGAAGGGTGGCGTCAAGGTATACGGAAAGGAGATTTTGGAAATCTTGGGCGTTCGTTGTGGCGAAAGGGTAGGTAGTGTGGTCTGAGGAGGTAAAGGCGTTCATGAAATTTGAGAGAGATCGAGGAAGCATCTTGAAGAATGGGTCGCGAATGGGGTACTTTTCACTACCGCATAGCGTTGTATGTTCTAGAATATGAGGCACACCTGTAGCATCCGGAGGGTTTGTCTTGAAACCAATTCCGAACACATTATTCTTATCATCTCTGGCCACATGCAAGTAGTCTGCATCAGTCTTGTCGTGGGTTAATCGCACCGCTGTGAGGTGGAGTTCCGGAACATGTTTCTTCTCTTGGACAGTGAAGCCATGGAGCTTTTCGCCAATATCCGGGAAGCTGCTCAAATCTGTCACCGTCGATGCGGCTCTTGTGAAGGTATGCGCAGAAGGAAATGTTGAACAGAGCTTAGAGCGTTGGTATAAGGCAGGGGCTCCGGCCCTGCGGAGACCGGCTGAGCAGCGTAACATTGAGTTACAAGTATTTCAGCAATATATGGTGATAAACAAGTTGGCGACTTAGATCCAACGGGGGCTATGAGCAGAGAATTGTTGATTGCTGGACCGGAGATAGCAGCGGAGGCTTCGGAGTATTAATTTTACCGTTATCCGTTGAACACTGAAAGCCGTTCATCGGAGTCTTTTCCAACGCTATACTCATCGAGGGGGCTTTTCTGGCTGCCTGATTCACTCACTCTTCTCTAATTGCGCGCAAATTGTTACGGCCTATCTGTAATACTTCAAACTTCCCTCTCCTGCGTCTGCCGAGCTCTCCGCGACACGTACTCACGTGACCTAATATCGCTCATCGTCTTTTTTAGATCAACGCTGTCAAGCAAATTCAGTCTTAATTGGCATAAAACTGGTTTGGTTCTTCAAGGATCACCTTAAATCGGACATATCCTGAGGTTTGTTCTCAGCGAATTCACGAGTAACAACACAATGCTCGAACGAACCATTGTATGCTCCAAGAACATGCATCTGGTTCGCCCGGCTCTTCGGACGAAGACCATGAAGCCATACTTATTAAAGCAGCGTCTACAAAGTACTGTTGTTTCGAGTGGCCGACCCGTTAGAATTGCTATTGTGGGGTCTGGACCCGCTGGCTTCTATGCAGCTGCACGCCTTCTGAGCAAACAGCAAGATGCCATTGTGGATATGTATGAGAAGCTTCCAGTCCCATTTGGATTGGCTCGATACGGAGTAGCTCCAGATCATCCAGAGGTGAAGGTATGTACTTTATAGATCTGAACATTGATGAATATTACCCAAGTAGTATCTAGACATTTAACATCCTTTCTATCAGAATTGTGAAGATAAATTCAATGAGGTTGCCTCATCTCCGCGCTTCAACTTTATTGGTAATGTTGATATTGGAAGTGACCTTCCTCTTGCTGCACTCAAGCCTCATTATGATGCCATTCTTTTCTCATATGGAGCGTCCAAGGACAAGGAGCTTGGCATTCCGGGAGAAAAAGCCCTTAAAAGTGTGCATTCAGCTCGTGCTTTCGTGGGTTGGTATAACGGCCTCCCTGAGCACCGCGATCTTGAGCCAGACTTGGTGAGCGGCGAAGATGCTGTCATTATTGGTCAGGGTAATGTGGCATTGGATGTTGCTCGGATTCTGCTCTCTGATGTAGATGCTCTCAGAAGTACGGACATCGCAGATCATGCACTGGAAACTTTGTCAAAGAGTCGAATCAAACGTGTGAGAGTTGTCGGTCGTCGGGGACCATTGCAGGTGAGTCGCAAAGTTGGAAAGTGATCAGATCACAATGCTCATATAACTGTTTACCAGGCTGCATTCACTATCAAGGAAGTCCGAGAGCTTCTCCAGCTACCTTCCGTCTCATTTGACCCAATATCCAAAGGCTTGCTTCCTCCAGAAGATATCGTCAATGGACTACCGCGGCCGCAGAAGCGACTCATGCAGCTTCTCGCGAAAGGCTCAGTGAATGATCCTCAAACTGCAAGCAAATCATGGTCGCTGGATTTTCTTCTCTCTCCGGAATCTCTCCACTGGTCTCCAATGCACCCCTACCACCTCACTCATACAAAGTTCCTCCGCAACGAGCTCGATCCCTCTGACCCTCACAGCCCCACTGCCAAAGTATCGCCAAAATTATTGTCCAGTGGCAAGAAGGCTTATGTCAATCTATCTTCCAGCATCTTCTTCCGTAGCGTCGGCTACAAATCCCTTCCCCTACCCGGGCTAGAGGATCTTGGAATTGAATTTGATTCCCAACGCGGTCTCATTCCCAATGATGGATTCGGCCGAGTGAACAAGAAGCTCCTGGATAACTCCTTAATATCCCACCTGCCCGGATTATATTGCGCTGGATGGGTCAAGCGAGGTCCAACTGGAGTCATTGCCTCGACCATGACGGATGCATTCACCACAGCGGATACCATTATTCAGGATCTCACAGCAGCTGGCACCTCCAAGTCATTAATCCATGCTCCAGGGCAGAGCAGTGGTCTCGGTTGGGACGGAGTCAAGTCCGAAGCAGAAAGCTGCGGTCTTCGAACAACTTCCTGGCAAGACTGGCAACGCATCGATGCCTTAGAGCGCGAACGAGGCCAGAAAAATGGCAAGGTCCGGAGTAAATTTGGGCGTGTAGAAGAAATGCTTGACGCTCTGAATTGATTGATGTATAGAATTGATTCACTCCAGCGTTTTAACCATCTGTGGTCCCATTCCAGTCCAAACGGCCATACCATGAGGTTTCCATATCATAGCACTGCTCCCCTCGTTATCGATAATCAGATGGTTTAGTACCATCAACAAGTATAGGACTTGACGCAGATTTGTATGGAATAATTGGCCCATAATTTTCCATCTCGTTATCCCCACTTGTGCCTTAATTCAACCCCGGTTCTGCAGGGTTCGGCCCCGATCATTACTTGACGGGTTCACCGAGTGGCATGTAACACCCCGCGTCTCCACACCGTTTCCGTCCCACTCAAGGCGGGGGACTTCTTTTCTTCAACATATTTTTCTTCTTTCAGGCTCATATCATATCAAGGAACATTTCTTCATGGCGGACGAGAACGTTCTTAACGATATCTCCCATCGGAGATACAACCCTCTACGCGGGTCTTACATTCTAGTCTCTCCGCACCGAACTAAGCGGCCCTGGCAGTGAGTTTATACGTGACATGCCACTACTTAGGCACATGACATTAGACATGTCTCTGACAGCAAATTTCAAGAGGACAACAAGAAAGCCCTTCCAAAACCACACTGCCATCCTATGATCCTGCCTGTTATCTATGCCCTGGAAACCAGCGTGCGCAGGGTGACGTCAACCCCAAGTATGACAGCACTTTTGTTTTTGTCAATGACTACAGCGCTGTAAAGGAGGAGCAAGCAGCCTATGATCCCAGCAACCAGGATGGTATGTTGCGCATACCTTTTTTTCAGTCTCTAATCACCATACTCATGATTACCAGATCTCGAGTCCAAATTTCTCCAGGCTGAGCCTGTGACTGGCAAATGCTACGTCCTCACTTTCTCGGCCTCACACAATCTGACCCTGGCTGATCTCTCTCCCATCGAGATTGTGCCTGTCATAAATGCCTGGACTGAAATTTACACTGCTCACCTCGCGCCTACTTCCCCGCTTGCCCAGGTTTCTCCACCCACGACCATCCAGCCCGTCTCACACAACACCCCCATCACCAAGCCTAAGGAACAGTACCGCTACATGCAAATCTTTGAGAACAAGGGTGCAGCTATGGGTTGCTCAAACCCCCATCCCCACGGCCAAGTGTGGACCACCAGCAATCTACCCGAGGAGCCTGCCGCAGAGATGGAGCAATTACGCAAGTACCGCAAGGAAAATAATGGTTCGCATTTGCTGGAGGAATATGCTGCGCTCGAGAGCCGCAAGCAAGAACGTGTCGTCTTTGAGAACGAGGGATTCGTGGTTGTCTGCCCCTGGTGGGCTACCTGGCCTTTTGAGACTATGATTATCAGCCGCACGCACAAGCGTGCATTGGTTGACCTGAGTGAGGCTGATAAGACTCTTCTCGCTGAGGCTATTGCGGAGACTACTCGCCGGTATGATAACCTGTTCGAGACTCATTTCCCTTATAGCATGGGTATTCACCAAGCTCCGCTTGATGGTACTGCTGAGGAAATTGAGGCTTCTTACCTGCATTTGCACTTCTACCCTCCGCTGCTGCGCAGTGCAACTGTTCGGAAGTTCTTGGTTGGCTTTGAGCTTCTGGCTGAGCCTCAGCGTGATATCACGCCCGAGCAGGCTGCTGCCCGGCTACGCGACTGTGGCGGCGAGCTGTATCGGAGGAAGTTGGATTGAGGCAGTTCAATTTCAATCGATGTAGTGAGAAAGAATTATTAGTTAACCTAATTTCTAGACATCGGAATATTTGTAGGATTAAAATTGTGTATTACAAAGTTATTTCGTTTTGTTGCTGAAGAATTGAAATGTTTTCAGCAGCATTATTCATAGCCGTGACTCGTGTCCAAATCTATTTCGTATTTGATGAAGAGTGGGATGACCATTTCCACGATAACTCCAATATGAGATACGGAAGAAGAATTCATCCTGCCGGTTGTATTCCGGACATCACCCTATTTCTCTAATCGCTTAAGCTCCAAGGTAGAACTCGCGCTGTGTGAGCATCCAAGCCACGGACGATGAAGCGACGATCAAAGGACTCAAGAAGCGACCCTTCAACACGGCATTTCCAAAGATGAGCTCGCCGGTGAAGTGCGCAAGCGCAATGGCATAGGTCCAGATAGCGAGGTTGTAGGCGATGGGCGAGTCAATGTTGTAAGCGGCAGTCATGCGAATGACGGCGGACAGGAAAGTCCAGGTGCCGAACACGCGACCGGGGAGTGCTCCAACAGCCAAAGCACCGTTTGTATAGAGCTTGGAAGTATAATCGGGGGAGACGTATGACTGCACACTGTTGACTGCGGAGACAACGGAAACCTGGGACGATTAGCGCAGAACTGCCTTCCCTGTAGCCAGGAAGAATCGTACGAATAGAAGCCACTTGGGCAGCAGGCCCTCAGAAGGAGGAAGATAGGAAAGCAATTGATCCATTTTTGTGAGAATTTGAGATTGGTGTGGAGAATAAGTAAAGAAGTGAGTTGTGAGTGAGGTGAAGTTCATTAAGCTAAAGAGGCAGAACTTAGGTTTGGCGGTGATAGACCTTTCCCCAACAACCCCCTATCCACACTCCATATCAGGCCATAATTATCTTGTAATTAAATCTTTTGATAGCTGAATAAGTAGAATTTATACTCTTCATTATTTCATCAAGTTTTCAAGTTTCCTCGATCCTTTCTATGCTGGCTTCAGATTGATATTGTGACTTGTCACATCAGTTATTATTAGCTCTATAAACTTACCATTGACCCGCTCCACTGCTTCTAAGGCCGGAATTGATCTCTACCCACTTCAACGCGTTGTCCCACAAACTCAGGCAGCGAAGTGAATCAGACCACGATACCACGCTAGCTCCAACAGCTTCCATGGCTTCCACATACATCATCCACATCGACCAGCTCGAAATGTTTGGGGCTTGGTCTATAGCTAGTCTTGCATTGCTAGTGGCTGTGGAATGTGATGCCTGTCCTCAGAAAGTACACAGGACACCCCAAAGCTTATATATAGTCGTGGATCGTGTAAACGGCGAGGCATAGTTAACTGGTGATATAGGCAGAAAATGGTATCTAGTGAACCTTGTGTGAGATCTAAAAGTCCCGTTCAAGCTTTCCACTGGTAACTTATTAATCTTATGAGCCGATGACCAAGCTTGGTTAGTGGGGAGTAACTTATATAGGATATATAATAAGGACTCTCTGAAGAGACGCGGTCGGTCTAATATAGTGAGACCTCTTTAGGTAACACGAAAGGTCTTCGCTCTTGCGGGGTGTGGTGTATAATGATAGCCATTACGAGAGTTAACTAGTATGGAAGATCTACCTAGAAACAGTAGATTATCTGCCCCGGTAAAAACTATCAAGAGACTGTTTATATTGCCAAAGAGAACAAAATCGCATGTCGGTGTACTAAGAGTCTGGAATCAATTAACTCACTCTCACCTCGGGCCTACTACCAGTGCGTGGTGAAGACGTTGGGTCCTAGGAACATAAAAACCAAAGCTTACCGAGACGCTTCGGACGAATACGTCTTACCACCACCGAATGAAAAGAGAACGAGACAGGAGGAGGATGATGCTATGAAGGGGAGAAGGAAAACAAAGGAATTGGGTCGCTGAAAGCAATTCTCGGGATATATTACATTGAGGCGTGATGATTTAAAGTGGAATTTCAATTTACGATGGCATGACGCCATATTTCCTTTGTATCTAATGTATTGACGTTCTGGCGCTCGGAATGCTCTTATTTCCGCCAGAGGAAACGCCTGCATAGGTATACGCTACTAGCTAGGCTACATTGGGTTAATAAAGTATTGATTAATTAACTGACCAGTATCTCGAACTGTGAAGCGGTGTCGTCCTAGTTGGCCTGCCTGTGATGTATGCTTTCAAAGCATAGGAACTGAGAGACACCTAGAGATAAGAGGTTTACCTTCGCCTCAATACTCTAGAAATCTCATTTGGTAAGTGGAAAACTGGGACTGTGTCCATGGAAGTAGGCCTGACAAAGTTGCTTAATGTCTTTGACCTGATTGTAAGATTGCATGGATATGATGGGTCGATATGGTCTCATGCTCGGCGCCCAGGTGGACATGGGAGAGCCTGCATAGAGTGACAGAAGCGGAGCATGTATTTAGACACTGGAAGTGATCATGGAAGCCCCTCTCCCGATGACAATATAGAAAATGGAAAACAACGTCTTAAAAATAGTGTGGTAGGTGTGAATCTAAACATATCCATGACCAAAATGCATTGATGGGACACACATCTGGATACTACAAAATAAGCATAGAAATTGATAGAATCTTGACAGATTGCAACAAATCCATCGTCCACAAGTAGTCTTTTCCAAAGCATCATTCGAGAGATCATTAGCATCATCTTCGGCTTCCCGGTATCCAACGGTATGACCCCTTCGGATAAGCTAATCTGAATAGGAAGCCCGAACTTAAAACCTCGGAGTTAAAAAGGACAAGGCTACAACTCCGACAACATCTTTTCCTTCCTTTCCATATATCTAGGTATTCTTCATTACAAAATGGAAGGAGGAAATAGTACGTCGCGCCCCTTACGCTACATCAAAAATGTGCTTCATGAAATTGGTCTCGTCGCAATGTGGAAGTCGACGCGCGACGTCAAGTTCCTCTGTGCCCAGCGCTTCGTCCGCTTATTCGCATATGGTGGCTCGACTCTGATCCTAGTGTCATACCTATCTGCCCTAGGGATCCCTGACGATAAAATTGGATTCTTCATGACCCTTACTCTGATCGGGGATGTTGTCATTAGCTTCTTCCTTACTCTTTTTGCCGATGCCATGGGTCGCAAGGCCGTGCTATGTCTTGGATCGATTCTAATGGCTGGAAGTGGTGTCATTTTTGCTACATTTAGCAATTATTGGGTGCTATTGGGTGCTGCTGTCCTCGGTGTTATCAGTCCGAGGTACTCCTTCTGATTTTCTTTTGGAAGACGATTGTTTGTATTGACCTTTTTGTAGTGGAAATGAAATTGGACCTTTCCGTGCCGTGGAAGAGTCTACTTTGGCTCATCTCACTCCCCATGAGAGTTTACCAGATGTTTTTGCATGGTATTCGCTCGTTGGTACTGCTGGAACTGCACTGGGTCAGCTTATCTGCGGCTGGGTCATCACCTCTCTCCGGGAGTTGCATGGATGGAAGTTTATTTCTTCCTGTCGAGTGGTTTTCTTTGTATATGCCGCTGTTGGTGTTATCAAATTAGCCTTGACCCTGACACTGACCCAGAATGTCGAGTCGAATTCTTCATCGGAATCGCAGAATGGTGAGACTCGTCCCCTGCTAGCTGAGCCTAATCCAACCGAGGATGAATCTCCCAAGAAGAAATCTATCTGGTCGTCTGCAGAGACTGGTATGTGGTCTCTTATCATCCGTCTGTTCATTCTGTTCGGTCTAGATGCATTTGCCTCTGGATTGGCCTCCTTGTAAGTGTTCCTTTCTTTGGACATGTATAAAATTACTAATGGCATCAGGTCCTGGATGGCATACTACTTCCATCTCAAGTTTGATTTGCTCGAGGGCGAGCTAGGTACTATATTTTTCGTCTGCAGCACCATTTCAGCGGCTTCTATGCTTGTCGCATCCTCAATCGCAAAGCGATTTGGTAATGTGAAGGTAGGCCATTTCTCTTCACGCGGTTCATAAAGGTCTTTTTCTTAATCTTTCCACATAGACTATGGTTTTCACACATTTACCCTCGACAATTTGCCTGGCTCTCATTTCTGTCCCTAATAGCCTACCTCTGGCCTTAACGTTCCTTATTCTCCGTGCCTGCACCTCAAGCATGGATGTGGCACCTCGCTCGGCCTTCCTTGCTATGGTTCTACCGGCAGATAAGCGAACTGCCATTATGGGTGCAGTCAATGTTGTCAAGACCACCGCAACAAGTATGGGCCCTCTTCTTACCGGTATTCTATCTCGCAATGGTATTTTCGGCGTCTCCTTCATCATTGCTGGTGGTTTGAAGATCATCTACGATCTTGGCATGCTGTTCACATTTGGCGGCATTGAAGCCAAGCAGCGCAAGCAGGCTGCTGCGACTTCTCGAGACAATGATGATGAAGCGAATTAATCCCAATGCATTGTGTCAGGGATTGAAGTTTCTGTTTAGTGCCTTGCTTTCGAGTCAGTAAATCGATGCTCTCTCTATCAGATGAGTTAGATTTTGAAGAGTTTGCTTGTGAGCAGCAATGAAGGTATGTGAATATGCCCCTTTAGAGACGCGGTAAACGTCATATTTCTTTCAAGAATACTAGAATAGTTGCAAACTTTGAATGATATTATATGATACTACTACCTCACATCCTACCTAAGTAGGCGCTTAGAGGCGACAGTCAACTAAATCATGAGTAAGCTCAGTAGTCGGGTTTCAAAAATATCTGTCTACCCACACTTGCGGATATATATCACATTAATATACACAATTAAAGAAGACTCTTAGCGTTTTCCGCCAATCGTCTCCATCCCATCCATCCAAGGCCGCAAAACCTCCGGCACGATCACCACGCCACGCTCGGCATCCCACCCATTTTCCAAGATGGCAGCCAGGACACGTGGGACGGCCATTGCTGTGCCATTGACAGTATGGGGGAATCGAGAGTCCTTGGCAGAACCACCACGAACACGGGTCCCCAGGCGTCGGCTTTGATAGTCAGTGCAAATGGAGGCGGAGGTTACCTCGCCCCAAGCAGACTCGAGCTTTTCAGCTGCTGGGTCCACAGCGTTTGAAGTAGACTCAGGACGGAATCTGGAAGGGAAAAGTGCCTCGATATCACGTTTGCGACTCGCGCTTGCTCCTAGATCCGTACTCGACATCTCTAGAACCCGACAAGGGAGGTGGAGCGAAGTTAGAATCTCGGTTTGAATATCCATGAGTTCTGCGAAAAGGTCCTTCGAGTTAGTAGTCTCGGAAGATGGGTCGAGGTTATCCGTCCAGCCGAACATTTCGACTTTTGTGAATTCATGAACACGGTAAAGACCCTTAGTATCCACACCACGGGAACCCGCCTCTGCACGGTAGCATCGACTAGCACCGACCATCTTGAGAGGGAGATCGGCAGCGTCGATGTCGCGACCGGCATACATTGCGGCAAGGGGGATTTCGGCGGTAGCGGTCAAGGAACGAGGCGGTTTGCTTTCGCGGTCTCGTTCGCTCTGCTCGATTGACCAGATCTGGCGTTCATTATTCTGGTCGCGAGGTTGAAATCCGCAAGCCTCGGCAATGTATGAGTAAACGACCGATGGCGGCGTGACCATCTTCCAGCTACGGCGTCGTGCTACGCCCAGCGCATACTGGACCAATGCTTGCTCCAGCATCGCGCCCTCGTTTATCAGGAAATACCAGCCCCATCCTGTTGTCGTGGCTGAGCTTGTGAAGTCGAGGAGGCCTAGTTCTGTGCCAATAGTGACATGCGAACGTGTCTGAAGCTCTGCGGAAGAGAGGCGCGTCCATGACGGAGGCGCCAGGGGATCAAAATTGATGTAATTGATCAAACGTGGGTTGTCGCCGACGGGGGTCTCGGAGGACGATAGGTTCGGAAGAGCAAGGGCCAGCTGATTGATTTCTTCTGTGCAAGCAGCCTTGCGAAGGGACTTGGCCGAAGACTCATCCTTGAGCCTCTGCGCTTCCATTCTCAACCTTCCAAGTTCCCGATCTGAGTTTTGACCTTCTTGTTCATCGTTTTGTATATTGTGTCGGGCCGCAATGGTCAGTTTTGCAATCGTTTGCTCTAGGTGCTTGATCTTGGATCGCGGCGCCCTTAGATCGCGATCGAGCTGGCGCACTTCCTCAGACAAGGCATCTATTTGTGACGGATAGCCAGAATTCCCGGCATAATTTCGTTCAATACAGTTTTGTGAGTAGCGATCAAGATTCTGGCGGATGTGTTTGACGTCCGGGGTGGCCTTCGGAGCTGTCGCAGGTCGTACCACCTGCTGGCTTCGTCGGTTGGAGGAGAGGGTGAAGGAGCGGCGTAATAATAGTTGTCTCACATCATTTTTAGACGATAATCTGCAACTGACGCAGAGGTATGGGGAAGGAGAGGGTGCCATGGTGGTAAGGTTGAGAAAAGAAATGTTTGGAGAATGCGAAGGAGTGGATCATCCGCTCCCACAGTCCAAGTGTATCAGAACTGAGTATTAGTATATGGATCATGTTTATATACAAAAAATACTAGGATTACTATGCATTGGCCGACAAAATTGGATAATACTGAGAGTTTTCTTGTATATCATCCTTCGAGTTAGTTAACTGCTAGATAAATAATAAATACGTCTGTTGACAAATTAAGCATAAATGATTACATAATAGGCAGAAAATGAAGTTCAAGGCGGTCACACTGGCGACGTCAGATCCTCTTGGCCAACATCATCCCAACATTAGTCTAAATCCTTGGAATCAACTTGAGCTCCAGGGGTGGCTTGTCCCAAAGTATGCCACCATCGTGGTTCATCCAATCAACATCAGGCTGATCCAATTGCATATCGAAGTTGTAGACCATGCAGGCAAGAATGATGCGCATTTCCACGTAAGCAAGACTAGACGCAGGAATTAGTTAGTAACTACGGAATGATTCTAGGTCATCAGAGGCAGAAAACATACTTGCGACCAATGCAGTTTCTCGGTCCGAAGCTGAATGGCTGCAGCGCTTCTTTGTTGTCATGTTCGAAACGAGCATCGTTAAGATGGCGCTCAGGGATAAAGCTTTCTGGGTACTTGAAGTTCTTTGCTGAATAATATGTGGCCAAGTGAGGGACTGAGACGACGGTCTATAGTAATTCAATATGTGGTTAGCCTGGGCAAGGATCAGAACTCAGGAGAATACTTACGCCGCCTGGCACCCAGTGTCCTGCAATAATGTCACCCTGGGCATCGACAATACGAGGGAGTCCACTGGGTACTGGTGGATACATTCTCAGGGTTTCCGTCAACACGGCCTGGAGATATGGTAGCTGGTTGCAGGTATCAAAGGTGATCTCATCCTCTGCGTGAATGGCTGTCCGAACTTCATCCTGAAGCTTGGCCAAAACTTGAGGGTTTTTGAGCAGAAGATAAGTTACGCCGGCGAGAAGGGTGGCTGTTGTTTCAGAGCCAGCTATGATCAAAGCACTCGCATTCGTGATCAGTTCTTCAAAACTAAACCCTTTCTCTGATCCATTTTGTTTGAGGATGTTTCCAAAAAAGTCTGGTCTTTCATTCGACTTTTGTAGTCGGGCTTTGACCTTCTCTTCTGTTAAACGGTAGTGCGCGTTCTTTTGCTCAATCACCTTCTTCGGCGTGATAAGTGGAAGGACGAACTTCCAGCCTGGGAGCCGGCGAGCGATGTTTGCATAAGCACCTACTTTCATCCAGCCAATCACCATAAGAACCCATTGATGATAGTTGGAGTTTCTCAGGCAATCGAACGGTTCACCGAAGGCTAAATCTCCAATGATATCAAAAGTGATAAAGTTGTACCACTTGACCATATCAACTGTCTTGTTACCACCTTCCGAAACTTCTCTCAAACGTTGTATGAAGAGATCAATATAGCCTTTAATGATATGCTCTTGTCCACGCAGCGAGCTGTCAGAGAAAGCATGTGATAGTAACCGACGGAAGCGCGAGTGATCAGCATCACTGGACTGGATGATGTTGGGGGCACCATTTGCGGTGGGTGTGTAAAATCGCAGATCCTTTTTCTTTTGACTATGACCAGTACGAGTGCCATAAATTGCCTTCCATGCGTCACTGTTGATGAAAGACAGTTCGTCCGGTGCAATGCGCACTACCTCGCCGTATTTCTCGTGCAGGGCCCGTAAATCATGAGGAGCACGACCTGATATGATCATTCGTGCATAACCTAATCTTGTCGCTGCCATAGACCTAGGGCCAGGATATTTGGCTAGGGGGTGGAAGTAGAGATTGTAGATAATCAGACCTATGAAATAAACAGCACCCTAGGATATTGGAATTTAGTATGGACATCATTTAATTCAACACATGGTCACTGAAATAAGACTTCAATTTCCATTGAAAACTACCTAATTTATCACTCACAATAAATAGTGTCACAACAGGTAGAGCAATCACTGGATGCAGAGACAACATCCTGCTATCGGAAAAGCCTGAAGCATGGGTGATCGCCATGATTCAGATTTTGTATCACAATGCAGATGCAAAGATATCCGAAAGGAATTTTTGATGAATCCCAGATATTATCATGTAAAATCCTTTTCTTATAGACGAACACATCATTATCCGAAGTGCTCCACCAAGCCATGGAGCCATACTTAGTCTACTGGATAATTAAGCGACACTCAGATAACTAAGCAGTTGACGTGATTAGCGAGGTCTGAGATATGAATAACCTCCACCTTATACACCAGGTGAGTTGGCATAAATGATTCATAGCCACTTGCTCAGAGACCTCGTGTTACGGTTTATGACTGTTGACACCTATTCTGATGTGATACTTCCCTGTCATAATCTGCTGTAGTCATGCAACTTGCAAAGCCCTTTGGCTTACATCCTCGTTGTTCATATTGTGTAACTGTAGCCCCTGAATGATGACAGAGCATGACAGCGGCTGCCCGTGCACTAAGAGCACACTAGCTCGCTGCAGATTTTATTGGTGGCTTTTGGAGGCTTCTACAAGCTTTTTCATGTTAGATTCAAAATATTTCTTGACTTACGGGTCGGCCGCTTCAAGGAATAGGTCAAATCGAAGAGAATACTTTACACTAATATGCTCTTTCAAGGTAACTTGTACACTCAATATGGCATTAGATCAGTCATGCAATGGGGTTGTTTATGCAGGATTCAATCCTTCCTGCCCCTCATCTAATGCGGGGTCCACAATTATCTCTTTACAGTTTAGGCAGAATTACCTGGGCGTAAAATCCTGAAAGCTTCTGTTGATCATCGGTGACAGAATCAATCTTACATTATAAAGGAATCTAAATATTTTCTCCCGTTTTTGCCAGTTACGCATAGCTCAATAATTCTTAGTGGAATCTCGGTCATGAGAACAATCTTGGAAAATATTTCTGCCGCCCTTAAACACCCTGCAGGCGTATGTAAAGCTGAAATAATGACGATTGTCGTTAGTATACAACTCCGTACCTACTGAGGTAGAGAAAAAAAAAGAGACAAGCTCCACACCGCTCATATAAAAGGGTCATTGCCCTCTAACTAGTTAAAACATTCAGTTTAAGTAATAAATACCTTTCCTCATTGTTTAAGCTAAGTCTCAATATCAGGTTAGACTTACAGTCCAAGCCACATAGAATCAACCTTGGAAGCGTGCCGCATTTGATTGATTCAAGCACTTAGTATTGAGAGATAAAGCCCGGGATCCCGGGTTCTACCTGTACTGATCACCTCCAATACTCTATATTAGACAGTCCTAGGCAGCTTTCCTTCAACTTTTTCTTTCCTTTTCACTTGTTGTGCGATATAGTGAGAAACATATTCCCCGCCATTTTTCTGATCCCAAGTAAATTCTTGTATAGAAATCTTACTTTTACGAGACAGGTTCCCTATTTTCTGTGTTTTCTTAGATCAGTAATAGGAGTTCCTGACTTGTTAGCTTGGCGCTGCAGGTCAGCCACTACTCCACTTACTTTTTTTTCTTATTACAGTAGGTAGAACGGAAGAAGAAAGATAAGAACTTAGAACCCGTAAATTAGGAGATGGGAGCGGTACCCTTGAGCAAGCTCTCTAAGGTCTACATTGTAATATTGGTAATTGCTCCTTTGTAATGGGTTACTACCTTGTTTTAGCTGTCGCCGCTGTCAAGCACTCAGTGTCACGTGGTGCCCAGGTAGCTTATATGAAAGTATAAATTGATTTCCATTCTATGGCCTCTATAATGCTATTTATTCTATTAACTGCTTTTAATGTCTCTCAGTATCTTAGGAGCCGGAGTTATCGGCACAGGACCAAGCAGATGACCCCCATTCTTTTTATAATCATCCATGATACTCACAATAGACCCATAAGTTCCTCCAATCATGAGGAATGTTCCAGCGATGATGATGAAGCCGCACCAGGCGACCATGAGCATCCATCTGGCTGACCGCTTCTGAGACCAGTTATCATAGAGCCACATGCCTGCCATGGGTTGGAAACACAACGGAGTGCCGAATAGGGCTCCGACCAGGGAAACCAAGTCGCTGAACACGGGAATCGCACTAGCAATAATATATGCCACAAGGGAAACACCAATAGTGCAGCTGAGCCACACAACCCAGTGAGTGATGGTGTTTGCACCAAGGTGCCTGGAGTTACCCATAGCTCGGATGAAAATATACTTTGCGGATAACTTCGAGGTAGTTAGTTCAAGCTCTAGTAGGAAGGAAAAAGGTATACTTACGTGGACAAAGAGCATTGTACTGACGAGCAATCCAGGGATACCGAATCCGTAAGCTACCTTCTTCATAACGCGACCGCCTGATCCAAGGGCAGGTGAAGACACGTATGATCCGCAGTAATAGTAAACCACAATGCCGACGACAAGATAGAATAGAGTCACAGTGGTCTGGCAGAGGACGAGAGCTCGGCCATAGTGGCGGGGCTCGCGCATCTCCGAAACAATCGAGAAGAAAGCTGGTGTGCCGGCATAGGCAAAAACCATAGTCGACAAACCAGTCGCGGCCTCACTGAATGAAGGACTTTTAACAATTTCATAGTCGGATTTCCAGACCCCAGTCTGTGGTGCACCTGCTGGACGATCTTGAACACCGACTGCGATAGTAACACTCATAACTATGATTATTAGACGCTAGTTCGATATTACCAGGGGTAGTCCAACTTACTTGCGGTGAGGATACAAAATAAACCGACCCAGGCAAGCCATGAAATACGACCAAGAGTCTGAATGCTGGATAAAATAGCCGCACAAACAAAAGAGACGGCTACCCAGACTGCAGTGCAGGTAATGTGGTCGGAAACAGCATTCAAGCCAATTGAAAGCCCTAGCATGCCAGATCCGGCACAAAAAGTCCACCCTATTATGAGTCAGAAGAGAGCGAAAACTTTATCTATGAGATGGACTCACAGAGAACAAAAGCTGCACCAAGAATAGCCTTTCCAGTGCGACCCAGGAGCATACCTCCAACATCGTCAATTCCGTAGACTTCACGATGGCGAAGCTTAAAAACACCGATGATATAGTCGGACCATGTTGTGATGGCGGCGATGGCACATAAACATATAACACCTGGAACAATGCCAATGGCATCAAAAGCACTAGGAATTGAAAGAACACCAAGTCCACATTGAGTTTTCATCATCAGAACAGCCGTGCCCTTCCATCCTACCTATAAGAGAGTTAGTTGAGAGGGACTATTATAGACCAGATCATGACAGACATACACTACGGTAATTGGGGCCCTCGCCATTAATTTCACCAAAAACTTCATCGCGAGCGTTTGAGTCGCCTTCTAGGACAGGGCCTGAGATGTAATCATCTTCCTGCTTCTTTTCAGACATTTTTAGTCGTGAGGTCCACCCAAATAGAGGCAACATGTAAGGGTGGAAGACAGATGAAGAAGTAAGAAAGAGTCAAAGTAACTTTTTAGGCAGAGTTTTGGTTTCTGGCGGGTAAGCCAGGGCCACACAAGCAGTCCATGGATGTTTCGGCATTTCCTTTTTTGTATTTTGCTTTCCACTTTTTTTCTCCAAACCAAGGGGTTTGAAATGAAAATCTCGGAGATCGTATCCATAAACGGATATACAATTCTCTGCATTTAAACAGTATCATATTTTATATAGAGAACTACGAGCCGTAAAAAGTCAGTTTAACTGCATAAACAGATCTAGCGAGACAGTCGCTAAGTGCTCCTGGCGCCTTATTCGAAAGTTGCTAAGTGTAGATGAATGTACCTATTTACATTCGTAACCACGCCGAAGGATCTATGAAGGCAAAGTGGATTTGCTTGCCAATATTGATCCACAGCAGCCATGCAATAAATTGCGTCTAATGAAGAGCTTATCTTTATTTACGTGTAAGCATAACAAATTGATTGACAATGATACTTATGTAATATATGTGCAGAATTGTCGGGATGATGAAACGCGAGAGTTAATCTCGACTTGAACTTGTAGTTCTCTTCCTCTATTATTACGTTAACGTTTTGCCGTTAAGAAGATCCTTTGGTCGTCGTCGGCCGAGAGCCGCAGGTGTAAACTCAACCAGGGCGTACAGCCTAAACCTCCACTAGACCGTTTTAGGATAGGAAGACCCATATTTATTCTGAGTTAGCGAATCGGGATAACTTTCAGGGGAATCATTCTGAGTTTAATGATCCACAGTATTTTTCATCGAAGTATTTTAAAGTACTTCTTACGAGCAATTGACTTGAAATTTGGTCTTGGGAACTGACAACCCAACTTAGCAGACGCTTCCAGATGGATGTATTTCATTGAATTACACAACCTGAGCGGAATAAGCTCATTCTATACATGTTCTATGCATATTTGAGCTACCCGAATATTAACCGACGCAAATATGAATACTCGATACTTTCATTTTCTACTCAATTGCCATTGATGTGGGACCTGTGATACTGACGTAAGAATACCAAAATCAGAGAAGAAAAATGCTCAACTACGCAGATCCTGAATATGTATGAACGTGACCCCGGGATTGTAGGGATCTGAAACATCACGGATTAGGTGCGGAGCCCTGGAGTAGATAATCTCCAGTTTCCACCAGCTACTTTTGGTTTCCCCATACTATATATCAAATACTATAGGAATTACTTCTAAAGTTATCCAATCATCAAGATGCAGTGGACGCGGGCTGCGATAGTTAATTAAAAATCACCTCTTCGCGAATAAGGACTTGATTATTGCCACCGGGGAAAACCCAAAACAGATTAAAATTTGTGATTACCCCCGGCTGATCTTGAGATAACCGCGCTTACCTATGTACGAGAGGTGTTTCTAATTTAATTGACACATACCCGTTACTCATGAGAATAAAAGACTGAATAAGCTGTGAAGCTGGCGAAGATCTTACCGGTTAGCAACCGGCACCGGCCCGGCCTCTACATCTCATTTTAAATGTTGTATAGGGTAGTTAAAGCACTTTGGAACTCTCCAAAGTTACTTTCACTTTCAGTTACGAGAACGGAATACATCCGACACAAAATAGCCAGAGAATTTATGAACACCTCGTGGTTATCAATTCTCTGTCCATGATAGGTTCATTAGTGCATTGTGGATATTCCGCTTGTTAACAGCCGGTGGGCCGGGCCGGTAAGAACTTTGGAAGCCCTGGTTCAGAATGTCTATGACTTCTTGTAGATCTTTTCCACCAACTAATCAATGGCTTCCGATATGAGAAATTTACCTAGATAATCATAAATCGACGTTGGCCCTTGTGTTCATCTCCCCTGCTCCAGAAGTAGAGGCCAGAGTTTTATTAACCATATATGAGATTAGGATCTATGTACCAAAAAACGAACTCGTCTCCATAATTCTTACATATTGAGTTAAGAAACGGTTCGATCAAGAATAGAGATCACTAACAAGATATTCTCTCATATATCTTCCAGAGTTAAATACCTGTATATATATATTCATCTATGTTTTGGAGTAGTCTATCATCATGAATAATATTCAATCGAAGAGTGAGGCCCAATTGCCATGTATCCAAGATGTGATGATATGCTCGACCGCCTCCTTCTGGTCGGCTGGACACATATGTCCGGCATCTTCTACTGTTGCGAAAAGTAGTTTGTTCGTACCCTTTATCCTTCCGCCTTTTGTAAATTTTGTTTTGGAAAGAGCTGTATCTGTGGAGTTGTAATGCCAATCATGAAAGTCAGTAGCGCGATATTCAGCTTGACCAGACCAGGGAAGCGAGTCGTAGACACGGATTTGCCCTGGCGTATTTCTTTAATTACAATGAGTTAGTGTTGTCCAATTATGTTTGAGGATATTGGATTTAACTTACATTACAACATCAAGCTCTCCATTGAGAACGAGTGTGTCAATTCCCACAGTGTCGAGAAGATATATAACCTCACGTGTCGATGGGATATACATGTCTCCGCTCTCCATGAAAGCTTGCTCAATATCGTCATTCGACCAGCTAAATGTAAAATCCGGCATTCTAAGAAGGGATTTGACATGGGGGAGGTTAAGGTACACCGCTGGATCAGTCTCATCAGGTAGTTCACAAGGATGTTCTAGCGAGCATCCTTTTTTTACTATGGAAGAAGTCAGTCCAAGTAGTCTGCTACGAAGAACACGAGTTTTCTCACAGTGAAAAGGACTCCGACGACCAGCCGAAATCTCAGTATCGTATGCAAATTTCATTGTGTTATCGCAGATTTTGGCTGACTGTGTGCATATGTCTTTATCATAGGTCTCGAGGCAATCTCGACCAAGTCTTTCACATTCTGGGACAGCCTTCGCCATTTTCTCGCATGTAGACTGATTGAATATAGCCTGGGCTCCATGGCAGAGAAGGTCATAGTAGCCGGCTGCATATATCGCCGGGTCAATATACCCATCGACGTATATCACAGACCTGATTGTACCAGAAAACAGCACAGGGTTGTGATGTGGTCTCTCTGTCTCAATAAGCTGAACAAAATAAGGTACCCAGTGGCCTCCAAACGATTCTCCTGCAATATGGAGATCATTGGACTGAAGCGTAGGAAACGCATCCGTAAAAAAGACTTTCAGAAAACGGGCGAAATCAAGAGCAGCTTCATTTAATGTACCAGGGAGATATTGGTTATTCTTGACGGTTGAAAATCCCACTCCTGCAGGTTGACTGTCAAGGTGATTAATAACTTCCATTTAGAGAATTTTATGGAAACGAACTCAAGAAATATGACACTTGCGTTGTTTGTCCAGCTATAAGGGTTGAAGACCGTGGTCTGACTATCAGGTGAAAGAACACATGGTCCAAGTTCAGTGAATAAAGCAAGCATGGATGAGCCACCTGGCCCTCTGTTATCAATAGTTGTTATTTTTATATTCTTAAGTAATGTGTAGAGTCAAAGTTACATACCCTGTTAACCAGACGATGACTGGATCATTTACAGGATCATTTCTACTCTCGAAGAACCCTTATTTAAATTATCAACTTGATGTTATAATCAATAAAACATAAGTAGCTTACAGAAAAACAGGTTTTTCTCCGGAGTGACCTGTACTGAACCAGTCCACTGCCGTGAGCCAGCATCGCAGATAGAGTCATTCTGTTCATGTAGGTGGTGTGATGGAAAACCCGAGTTAGATAGAAGGTTTTGCGGAATAGATATTGCGGAGGTCAGATTCACCCAGCAAAGAAACGAAAGATACAGCTTGTTTGAAAATATGTGCATTATTATGTAGCTGTAACAGTATGAGTAGTGATTTTAGAAATCGGATTTTTAGGAAGAAAACAAGGGTTCCTGACTCGAGGAAAGTAACTAGTAATGATTTATAATCTGAATTCCATAATTAGCATTGCATGATACAGAGTAGATAAGAGGACTTAGGAAACTAGCCAACAACCAATACGGAGTACTCCGGAGTCCGTACTATCTGTTGCCCTGCCTCTTGTAGTCTGTCTTTTTTCGCACTAGCCACCACAATCAACATATTTCTTTTGAAAAAACATCTTCAAATTTGACCTAAACACCATAATCATAATGCCTAAGCTTGAAAAAGACAAAGAATCATATAGACTATTTGCCTTGAAACGCGAAAAAACTATGCTATTTTAGCGCGCTAATTAGCCGATCACGTAGCGTCCGACGACTGACAAAGTAACGGTGGAAAGTGGGACTGGGATGTCCGGTCGTGGAACCTACTTACCACTGATTAATTCCCACTTGAAAACCCGACTTTGAGTGGCCAAATGTTGTAGAAGTCATTATCAAGGCGATATGTAAGTAGCATTGAGGTTGCTGGGCAGAGTCAACGTCCAAATCTTAGACTCAGAGAATACCATCTTCGGTAACTTGAGCAGCTCGGTGAGCCTGACTCTGCCCTCATAAAAGCGGCGGCATCTGAAATAGGAAAGCCTCACTCGTTGTAGACAATACGGTACGTAGTGTATCCGTATGCCTATGTCGTAGTGGCTTCAAATTGACTCAAATCTTTAAGATCTCACCTGCCCAGGCAAGTGCTCAATCATTCCTGACACAGACATGTATATGCACAGTAAGATTCAAAATTGACTTCCATACTAAACACTAAACCCTATGTTAAAACGCACTAAACCATATATGTCTAATACTATTACGATTACTGTCTTTGGATAAATTTGCTGTAATGTGGGAACCACAGGTTCAAGGGTATAAATTGTAAGATAATGGAAATACCAAATTGAAATTGAAAATTTCATTGGGCAATTCGAATCAGAGATACATCAATCATCATAATCTAAGTTAGTTCTTGAATGCTATCGTCCGTCTTGGTAATAAATGATTTTTAGGTTATTTCTTGGCTATTATACATCAAAAACCTCTTGAAAAAGGGAGATCTCTATCTTTTGCTGAAAAGACGGGAGAAGATTGCTCGCTTGTGATTTCGGCTAGGTTGAAAAACTGGGTCGGAAGTTGCTGGGGTATTATTCTCCATGGGCTCCTCTGTTTGAGCAGGTGGGGAATGACTCCTCCTGCACCAGTCATTAAGGATAGAAATCGAAGACAGGGTATACGGGTGGTCAGGGCCCAGTTTTTGGCTGCATAGTTGGGCACATTCTATCATTAATAGCAAAGCAGCGTCGTGTTCACCTGATGACTGTAAGGTATACGCAAGGTTGCCCATGCTGATCAGAGTATCAGGATGTTCTGGCCCAAGCACCTGCTTGCGGGTATCCATGACCTGCACCTCGAGCTCTTCGGCTTCTTTCCATCGTCCCTGCTTCGAGTAGGTCAACGCAAGGTTATTCATACTGGTCAGAGTGTTAGAATGTTCTAGCCCAAACAGCTGCTTGCGGGTCTCTATGACCTGCATCTCAAGATCTTCGGCTTCCTTCCATCGTCCCTGCTTCGAGTAGGTCAATGCAAGGTTGCCCATACTGGTCAGAGTATCAGGATGTTCTGGTCCAAGCACCTGCTTGCGGGTATCCATGACCTGCACCTCGAGATCTTCGGCTTCTTTCCATCGTCTCTGCTTCGAGTAGGTCAATGCAAGGTTGCCCATACTGGTCAGAGTATCAGGATGTTCTGGTCCAAGCACCTGCTTGCTGGTATCCATGACCTGCACCTCAAGATCTTCGGCTTCCTTCCATCGACCCTGGTTCGAGTAGGTCGTTGCTAGGTTGCCTATACTGATAAGAGTGTTAGGATGTTCTGGCCCAAGCACCTGCTTGCGGATCTCCATGACCTGCACCTCAAGCTCTTCGGCTTCATTCCATAGTCCCTGCTTCCAGTAGGTCATTGCTAGGTTGCCTATACTGGTCAGAGTATCAGGATGTCCTGGTCTAAGCACCTGCTTGCGGGTATCCATGACCTGCACCTCGAGATCTTCGGCTTCCTTCCATCGTCCCTGCTTCGAGTAGGTCGATGCAAGGTTATTTATGCTGTTCAGAGTATCAGGATGTTCTGGCCCAAGCACCTGCTTGCAGGTATCCATGACCTGCATCTCGAGATCTTCGGCTTCCTTCCATCGTCCTTGCTTCGAGTAGGTCAATGCAAGGTGATTCATGCTGATCAGAGTATCAGGATTTTCTGGTCCAAGCACCTGCTTGCGGGTATCCATGACCTGCACCTCAAGATCTTCGGCTTCTTTCCATCGTCTCTGCTTCGAGTAGGTCAATGCAAGGTTGCCCATACTGGTCAGAGTATCAGGATGTTCTGGTCCAAGCACCTGCTTGCGGGTATCCATGGCCTGCACCTCGAGCTCTTCGGCTTCTTTCCATCGTCCCTGGTCCGAGTATGCCAATGCAAGGTTATTCATACTGGTCAGAGTATCAGGATGTTCTGGTCCAAGCACCTGCTTGCGGGTTTCCATGACCTGCACCTCAAGATCTTCGGCTTCCTTCCATCTTCCCTGCTTCAAGTATGTCAATGCAAGGTTTCCCATACTGGTCAGAAAATCAGGATGTTCCGGTCCAAGCACCTGCTTGCGGGTATCCATGACTTGCATCTCAAGCTCCTTGGCTTCCTTCCATCGTCCCTGGTCTTGGTAAATCATTGCAAGGTTGCCCATACTGATCAGAGTATTAGGATGTTCTGGCCCAAGCACCTGCTTGCAGGTATCCATAACCCGAATCTCAAGATCTTCGGCTTCCTTCCATCGTCCTTGATCTCGGTAGGTAATTGCTAGGTTGCCTATACTGGTCAGAGTATCAGGATGTTCTGGCCCAAGCACCTGCTTGCAGGTATCCATAACCCGCATCTCAAGATCTTCGGCTTCCTTCCATCGTCCTTGATCTCGGTAGGTAATTGCTAGGTTGCCTATACTGTTAAGAGTATTAGGATGTTCTGGCCCAAGCACCTGCTTGAGGGTCTCCATGACCTGCATCTCAAGCTCTTCGGCTTCCTTCCATCGTCCCTGCTTCGAGTAGGTCGATGCAACGTTATTTATGCTGATCAGAGTGTTAGGATGTTCTGGCCCAAGCACCTGCTTGCGGGTCTCCATGACCCGCATCTGGATATCTTCGGCTTCCTTCCATTTGCCCCCAAGGTGTAGTATCGATCCTAACATCTCTGAACTCTCAAGACTCTTAGGGTTTTTGTGACCGAATAACTCTTTTCTTGCTTTGATTGACTCCTCTGCCATTCTTTTACCATCGAGGAAATTCCCTTTCTTCCATGCAAACCATGCCGCGTTATATAGTAGAGACGCCCATTCTTCTAATAGAGACTGGGTTTGTGGTTGTTGCTTTATAGCGCATAGCACATGAGGAAACAGTAATTGGCAGATTGGCCAGTTCTCGTAGTCACCATTTGGGAAGTTGTTAGAAAGCCGTTGTACAAACTCCCCATGCCATCTTTCATGTAGTTCATGCGCCCTAAGCCACTCTTGCATAGCTAACTGGACTAATCGATGCATCTCAAAACTTTTGCCATCTATACTAAGAGAAATCATAGAGAAGTCTCTTAGTACTAATATGTCATCTTCAAATGTGTCGACATCAAATGAGTCGACCTTATCATGCTTAGGTTCGCTCTCCTTCTGATCACTACTTTCGGTTTTTTCTTTTTGTCGTTTATTGCTCTGTCGAGGTAGATAATCTGGAATCCCTTGGCGATCGAAGAAGCTCATCAAAGATAATAGATCGGCCGAAGCTGGTCTGATTTTTTGAATGAAATCGAAGGAGATTTGCCATGTGATAAGAATCGAATTCTTGGCCTCTAGGTCTCGGCGGAGGTGACCCCCTTCATTATCAAGGAGAGCGATTTTCTGTAAATCGCTTTGTTGAATGTTTTCGAGATACTGTCGGACGGATTGTCGCGGTGCCCTTTGCCTTATATAGGCTGCTGCTTGCACAATCGCAAGCGGCATAAACTCAAGCGTTGCGATCAATTGAATGATATCTTCCCTATCGGTTTGGGTACCTAGCTTTTTCTCAAAAAGGGCAAATGCTTGAGTTTCGCCCATTGGTCTAATTGAGATGATCTCCTCGTCTTCCACTAATCGTAAGGCTACACGCCTACTCCGACTTGTGATAACGATAGAGCCTCTTGATATCTGAGAAAAGTGTGCCCAGATCGACTGAGGTAGGATCTGACTTTGATCATCCGATGTTACCAGTGGAATTTCATGAAGGAATTGATCATCATCAAGATTATCAAAGACAAGGACCCATTTATGCTTCTCATCCTGTAGCCAATGGTAAAGGAGTTGAAATATGTTGACCTGATGGTTTCGCCAGCCGGGGATCTTAACTCGGTCGGCAATCTCTCGACAGCTCTGCTCGAACCGACTTTTATTACTCGCGTGGATCCAGAAAACCCACGTTTCAGTAGATCGATCCCGAATTCGATGACAGTACTCGATAGCAAGTTGCGATTTTCTATCCAATTATTAGTAATTGCGAACCCGCCGACCATTCTCTAGCATACCCAACGCCGCCTAGGCCGACCAGTGCAGTGCGAGACCCAGGTGATGAGGCTTTCTCATGGACTTGATCAAGTAGAGTCCCACGATTAACAAAGTCTGGGTCGCGACGAAATGGAACCGTCGAAAGCGGGGCCGACGGGGTTTCCGGTCGCTCTGGCGTCATTAGCTGAGTTGATCTAGACGGTTCTGTGGAGCCTACCAAAAGGATAAATTGGACCATGATTAATCCCCACTTGGAGCCCTGAGTTTGGACCGAACGTTATGGAAGTCATTATCAAGATGGTGTGGAAGTGGTATTGAGCATGCTAGGCAGAACCCTCAGCCGTACCGCGCCGTCAGGTGACTAGGGCATTTATGGCTCTAGGAATATTCGGTGTTGAGTAAAGTGGAAACCCATTTTCTCAGAGATCATCCAGAAACCAAAGCGAGCCCTCCTTTGAGTATGGTTCAGAACAATCTGCAATTATATCAACCCATCGAAGTCCGCTCACTGAAATATGGAAGCCAATTTTGAATATTACTGTATTCGATTACAGGCTTCATGACATCTTTCAATCTTTCACAAATGTTCAATCACGAACGGAAGGTCCACCATATACTCCAAGAATGCATTGAACTCCGATTTAACCTTTTCCATGTCCTCATCTACATCGTCGGTCCATCGATGGATATATATTGTTTTTAACCCGCAACCCTGAGCCCCACGCAAATCGTACGCATGGGCGGCCACCATCACTACTTCCTCAGGCTTCAGCTTCACAAGCTGCAGGGCCTTTTTATATACTTCTTGATGGGGCTTGTAAAGTCCCAGCAGCTCACTAGAAAAGAGCATGTTGAAAGAAAGTCCTGAAGAGCGAACAAGATCCAGCTGCAGACGAGTTGTTCCGTTTGCGAGCACAAATACCTCGAGATCAAGGTCTCCTCGTAGGGTCTCAATAGCTTTTTGGACATCTGGCCAGGCGGACTGGGAATGCCAGGCTTCAATCATTTGTTTCTTGGCATCTGGATGGAAGCTTGATTGGTAGTCGGGAAATTTCTCGAGTGCAATATCTAGAGCACGAGCTAGTGTCACGTCAATATCCTCTGGATCTAGACTCTGCCGGAACCGTGTTTGGATTTCGATGAAGAATATTCTGCGCCATTCCAGTGCGATATTGGAAGCATCATCCTTGAGGCAGAATGAGGGCGAAGAATTGACAATGCTTGTGTGCCAGTCTAGGCAAGTGCCCATGAAATCAAAGAAGACTGCCTTGATTTTGGGGGTTTGAGTCATGGCTAGTGATTCAAACGAAAATAAACACAATCGTGGAACTCTTCTGTAGGCAAAAATGGGCTGTTATATTACTGATCAGTGATCAATGTGGAGGTGACATCAAATTTTAGGCGTTTGAAGAAAATAAAGGTGATTTATAACCCGGAGATCCTTGTCAGATGTAGGTAGAAGGGCGTTATTTGGACCCACAATACTGTATGGAGTTACTTAAGCTTCAGCCTCTTCAAGTTTTATAGCTTTAATCAGGAATAACTTCGGAAAGCTGACGCAACTACAATCACCGAGATATTTTAGTTCCTGACAGACTTGGATTTAGAGGCAAAAAATAGCCAAGAAGCTCAAACACTAATATCATCCTGAGTATGGATTAACCCATGATTTAAATATGAACAGTCAGCTAAGAATCAATCCATTGAGTGTTGTAATTTGTATTTTTTTAAGCTAATCGCTTATTTGCCAATTAACCAGATTCCTAAGAATTTGAATTGTACTTCAGAAAATCAACCAAGTAGATGACAATTGATAGGAAGTAATATTACCTAGGTATTTAATTCCATGGTATGTATTTCTTAGCTTAAAATTTTTCACTTTGATTCTAGATAGCTGTAAGAGTAGATGAAACTCAACTTCGGAACTCAATGGCAGTAGGTAATGAAACCTTTGAATCTGTTCTATAACTTGAACTCCATATATATCCAGCAAACTTGGGTTATTCAAGCTAATTCCGCTTCAATCAAACTCTCTGCAACACCGGGGCTTGTGTAAATCTTCACAACCTTCAATCCACCCTTAGCCAAAAGAATCTTCCAATCCTCTTCAGATCGTTCCCGAACGGCGAAATGAGCAAGCATCATCATATCCATATTTGTCGCTGCCAACGTAGGCTTCTCCTCACTAAGTACAATTTCGTTGAATAGAACTCGTGAATATCCCTTCTTCAGGGCAGGTACAAGATTTTCAATGATCTTAATGCTATCCTCATCACCCCAATCGTGAAGAATAGAGTGAAGAGAGTATGCACGAGCACCAACAATGGGCTGTGGTGTGAAGAAGTTATGAGCGAGGACATCGAAGTCTAGCTCGGTATTAGCCGCAGTGACAGCGGCAATAACAGGCTCTCGATCCTCTAGGATGATCTTTCCAGGTCTGGTGGGGAAGTTCTTTGCAAAAGTAGTCATATCATGACCTCGGCCACCACCGACGTCAACGAGAAGAGCTTCGTTATTGGAGGAATCAAACCCCTCTATCAGGCGCTCTGCCACGGGATAATAGTCAAACCAGTCGGGCTTTCCGGCACGGTAGGCACTCATGAAAGAATCGAAATGAAGGAGGTTTGGCGGAGTCGCAACCAGCCAATCGAAGAAACGAAGCTGGGTGCTGTGTGCATCCTGAAATGGGCCATCTGTGCCGCCGGGAGCTGGGGGCTTGTATTCAGTCTTCTTGAAGAAGTCAGGGAAATTGTTGAATGATGGGCGAGATGTGTCATAGCAGAAACAGATGCTCTGTTGATAGTTTTCTGCTGCGAGGCCATTGCTCAGTGGTGTTGCGTGGATAGCGCCATCAGAGAAGGTGAGCAAGTTCATGGCTACAAGGTGTCTTGTAAAACGTTGTAGCAGTACGACATCAATCCCGGTCTTCTCTGATAACGCCGATAGAATGAGTCCAGCATCACCGGCTGCTTGAAGGTGCTGGAATAGCTTGACATTGACGGCGAGGCGGATAATGGCCGATTGAGCGGGCTAACGGATATATCATTATTATCAAAAAGACTGAAGATGATAATTTTCCTTTACTTACTTCTGCCCAGAATGTGCGCTGGAGAAACTCGCTTGGAATCTCAAGGGATGAAATCAGCGAACGGCTATAGTCGATCAAAGCCTCCCTTGATCCTGCTTCATTCTTGTCAAAAGAAACACGTGCAGAGGCAATTCCGTTCAGAATCTCTGAAACTGATGTAGGGGCCATATTTGCATTGACTCTCCAGATCTAATTTGCAATTGATATGCTAGAAAAATGATCATGGATGGGGGAGGAGCAGTTTAATACCCCTCCATAGCCTCCATCTACCGCTCATTAATCAGCATTCTCCATACTGAGATAGGTCCCGCGTGTATGGCATACTATTAGAGGTTTAGCCGCTGGTTAGCGTTCATGCCAGAGCACTTTGAGTGGCTTATCTGTTTCCTAGGTCGGTGCTAAAGCGAAATTTTCTTTCCAGTTAATAGTGTTGAACTAGATCGGTACTGAGGCTGAGCGATTGAAGTTGGGTTCAATAGTGAGTTCAATAGTGGGTGGGCTTAAAAGCCGACAGAAATCTTATGATTCGGACCAAGAAATAAGATGTTAACAGAAATACTACGTTAATATCTTTTACTCCACACGGAGTAAGTGCGGATTACAACACTAGTTGTGGGGCTATGTCCCCACCATTCGTTCAGCCACCATATGTCTAAATTCCTTCTCTCTGGGGAAGATCGAGGATTGATTTAGGGTTAGTTTTGATATCAAGTTTGACGAAACATTGCTTCTTTTTTACTTTTTTTTGGAATTGGAAAAGTTGTTCTATCTTAACAAGGTTCTTAGTGCAAGTTGGTACTTTGTTTCGGACAATTATACTAAGTACGTTTGGTGTAACGCCACGTACTATTGCTCCTTGTAAAATTCCACTACTTAACTCCGTTATAAATGGGATGAATCTTAGGCTTGTATGAGTTTTGATGAGCCAAGTACAATGGACCGAGTACTGAACTTTGGTTCACTTAATCAATTACTAGAAGTGATAAATTGGTAGTATATATTACGTCACGAGATCTTTACCTAAGCTTGCCTCATTTCAACTCCTGAGTCTGAGTCTGAGTATCTCGCATCTAGTCTAACTGGGCGGTTTCTCATGGCGTGCACGCTCTTGACTTGAATTGGCTCTGACCATGGCTCTCGAAACAGATATTGATTTGAGTGAGAGCCTCGCGGTAGAAATACATACCATTGGGTGGGTATTTACTGGTATTGCCATCATATTAGTTGCATTGAAGATTTTTAGTCGTGTAGAGTCTAAAAGAATTGGTTGGGATGACTTTTTCATTTTTTTCTCATTGGTAAGAGCTCTCTATCTCATCTGTTCCTTTGAATATTGGATACCAACATCTCAAAATCTGACAGGCTCTTAGCATTCTCGCCACATCTTTTGTCTCATACTCAACGGTCCTTGGTTTAGGCCGTCATACAGCCGCGGTCGCTAAAGAATTTGGCGAGGAACGAGTCGTAGAGACTGGTAAGTGGCAGATCATCGGGTTCCCATTCAATATCGGTACGTTTAACTCAACTTATAAGAACCTAGATATTCAAGCTTCTTTTTGCTGTAAGCTGACTAGATATAGGTGCCTTTAGTTTGCCGAACATCTCTATCGCCATTCTCATTGTTCAGCTTCTGGACCCAAATCCAATTCGCGCAGGACTGCTCTATGGAATGGTCATTTTACAAGCTGTGTCTGCCGTGGTCAACGTCTTCATTGTCTTTTTCCAATGCAGCCCGCCGCAGAAGCTGTGGATGCATACCCTCGAAGGCACATGCTGGAGTGTCAATATCTTTGATAACTACTCCTACTGGGTCAGCGCATTCACCACATTTACTGATATCGTCTTGGCTATTGTCCCTATTGCTGCATTTTGGAGATTGCAACTACGAAAGTCGACTAAATTCGGAATTTGCATTATGATGGGCTTGACAATGCTGTCCGCTGTCGTCACTATCATCAAAGCAACATACTTACACCTCTTTTCGGATGTAGAAGATCCTCGTCAGTATATCACCACTGACAACCTATATTGATCTATTGACTAACATCTGATACAGTATGGAACGTGGTACCGTTAGTTCTATGGGGCCTGTACGTCTCCATTCGATTTTGTCACAATGCGCAGTTTCCTAACTTTTACTTAGCATTGAACAAAACGTCGTAATTATTGCCGCCTGCATCCCGACCCTTCGCCCTTTCTTCCGCAAGACATTCAAAAGTACCAAAGGTTCATCTGATGGACAATCACAAATATTGTCAAATTTCGGCATCAAGCTTTCAACGAGGCCTATACATGCCTCTTCCGAGCAGCTTTCACCTAGTGCTTTAGCAGATTTTCCACACCACACCTCACGACTGAAGAGCCACGATGAGGAGAGCAACGAGAGCCAGCAGGATATATTGAATCGGGGAATGGAGGTGTGATTCGGGGGTCATATTTGCATGAGAACATTTTGATTCTAATGGTGGGAGGTATACGGAGCACATACTAGATATAGCTAGGCATTTCTTCCACCACTTGATCAGGCGTTAAGCATGGGATTTATGTCTTATACTAATTTTCAGAGGACCTGAGTACTGAACATTAATACTTCTGATATTTATAAGATCATGCTACATATTTACCATGTCCATTGAATTGATGCATATATTAATACCCAACTTTGGGTCTCGATTCTTCAGAGTTGATACAGACCTTGACCTCGGGTCTGCAGTATCTACTACTTACAGACTAGTGGAGAATGGAAGTGTTCCGAGGTCCGGGTCTGTGTGGCCTGAGACCCGGACCCCCCTTTCTGGACCCCACTACAAAATTACCAACCCGGAGACTTGGGTAACTAACTATGCGTAGGTCCATAGTATGATCTCTGTTACGTAAATTCGGATATACCAAAGAGGATAACTACACCGAAAATTCATCTTACGATGTACTTTTGACATTACCAGGTAAACTGTACGCTTGATCTTGATGCCTCACATTTACAACAACTCCTGTTCGTTTTAAGAAGGTTCCAAATATAAAGTTGCCAAGAAGTGTAAAGGATTAATTGCAGCAAATCTTAAATCTACTGCTTCTCGGTCCATCTCCGCCATGATGACTGCTGATCGGTGTAACTATCGAAGGTTGGAGATGGACGCCCAAAAAGCAAATGAGACGATCGTAGGAGCTCACTCGTGCTGCGCCCATCCCCTGTTTTAGGACATGGACTCCTATTTGCCCGACAAACTTCAATCGTTTTGAATATGGTTTCATGTGTGGCTTCTGCGAACATTAACTAGCAGGTAGATTGACTGGAAAGCAAACTTATTTCGAACAAAACGGAGTACATGTATCCAAAGCAACAATGTCTTGTATTGAGCCAGTATTTTCAGAGACCCTGAAGACTATCGATTCTCTTTTTTCGCCAATCACCTTCTTTGGGTAGTTGAATTATTTTTCATTGTCAACGTCAGGAACATCGGGACTTTCTTTAGTGGTTCGCAGATCGCCTTGATGACAGTCTTGAAATCAAAAGTGTGGAAACCTACCATTGTTCATTGCGTCTGTCTGACTGAACATAAATTCCGTCAGAACTTTTCCTTCGACGTGTGAACGATGTGAAGCTGGCTAAATTAAGGTGTCCCACACTCCAGCTCTGCAATTTTTCTCGGACTTTTCATTACCCGTGAACTGTGTCAATGTCGATCATTTCTAAGGTTAAATTGATATAAGTATAGGAGTTTATCGAACAATCCCGATACAACCTCGAAGAAAGTCATTGAATCTATGTCTAGGCGAATGCAGGAGTAAAATCCATACCCGACAAGAAATAAGTTGATTTTGAAGAAAAATGATTTTTTGCACCCAGTATAGAGTGCGATTGGATCACCAACAGAATTGTAAAACGTGAGTCTTTTCCAAATCGATCTGGAGGAAAACTTGATGCAAGATGTAGGAAAGAGCCCGACTCCATATCCGCAGGACCAGTCGGTGGTAGAAGGAATAAATCGTGAAGTGTAGCACTAATGTAAACAGACCAAAATTTCACCAAAGTCATTTGATCATCCATGTTTTCTAACAAAATTATCCATTTGACTATATTAACTGATATATTTATTTCAAATTTACACGGTCAGTTATTACTCACGAACGACATTAGATGTCAAAAAACTTCTCCTTCCTCTCTGCAGTACGAGAGATTCATGTATGACGTGCACCGTGCACCGTGTCTTCCCAAAATATAGATTGTCAGGGATGCGCTGTCTAAGATTCACGATCAGGGCCTTCAGCAAGAAGCTGCAGGATCGTGGTATTGGGGGAGCTCGTTCGTTGTTCAAGCTGTGGTCATAGCGTGGTGCAAAAGAGAGTTTAGCGTTTTATCCATCGACCAAAGAATATGCCAATCGAAATAAGATCAGCAGCACTAAGCCATTCATGGTTAAATGTCTTGCTCCATTTCTCTGAGCTTTTGTGTCACAGTGTAACATTTGATAATGTGAAGATCATAGACATGTTATTGATGACATCATGAGCGGAGGTCGGAATAGTTTTAACAAAGTGGTACAAATACTGATCACCATAAACCTTCCAACCTTGGGGTTCGACGAGGTCTATAAATAATCTCCTCTCGTGTGTTCTTAGTGCCCTAGAGCCTGCAGCGTTATTCACTTGTCACCATGTTCATGAAGACAGGCTTTCTCTCACTACTGACATTAGCATCCGCTGTGTCAGTTCCACAGACTGACTATGATGTTATTATCGTTGGTGGAGGTCCCGCGGGTCTTTCTGCTCTCAGTGGTGTCTCCCGTGTCCAACGCACTGCTCTGTTGTTCGACAACCAACAGTACCGAAATGCTCCAACTCGAGAGATGCACGATGTGATTGGCAATGATGGTGAGCCCTACCTTTTGGTGTTTGCAATTCTTCATACTCACTATTGATAGGCACTCCTCCTGCTACTTTCCGAGGCTTGGCTAGAGAGCAGATTTCCAAGTACGATACTGCTCACTTCAAGAACCAGACAGTGGAGTCTATTATCCCCTTGGATGGAGATTTCTCAGCATTCATCGTGACCGATGATACCGGTTCGAATTTCACGGCGCGGAAAATCGTGCTTGGTACTGGCTTGAAGGACTTGCTCCCTTCGACGCCCGGCCTGCAAGATGCATTTGGCAAGGGAATCTTCTGGTGCCCGTGGTGTGATGGCCATGGTACGTACTACATCACAGTTTCTGAATTAAGTTTAATATACATTTTTCTAACGCTTACTAGAGCACCGTGACCAGTCTTTTGGCATTGTTGCTAGCGTTGAGAATGTTCTTGGGGCAGTTCTCGAAGTCCACACGCTGAATAATGACATTATAGCATTCACTAACGGTACCCGTACCCCCGCAAATGAGGCTAAAGCCGAAGCCAAGTCCCAAGACTGGAACAAGCAACTGGAAGCCTGGAATGTCACCATCGACGACCGCACTATCTCCTCTTTCGAGCGTACCCAGGATGGTAGCGTAAACCGTGACGAACAGGGAAAACAGTACGATATGTTTCTCATTCGTTTCACGGAGGGTGATCCTGTCGAGCGCAACGCCTTCCTTGTTGACTTCCCCACCAACCAGACCTCCACTCTCCCATACGAGATGGGACTAGAGATTGATAATAGCAAAATCAAGGTGGCTAGCTCGATGAGAACTAACGAAACTGGGGTTTTCGCTATTGGCGACGCCAACTCCGATGGTTCCACGAACGTTCCTCATGCTATGTTCAGTGGCAAGCGTGCTGCTGTTTACATTCATGGTTAGTATTCGCTTAGCTGCAAGTTGTTCAAAATTGCTGACAGAAATCTTTCATAGTTGAAATGTCTCGTGAGGAGTCCAAGTCCAAGATCTCCAAGCGCGAGGGTAATATTTCTCTGCGCGACCTTGAGAAGGAGGCTAACAGTGCGATTGGAGATAATCTTGAACGTGAATGGAGACGCGCTCTAATCCAAGAATAAGATTGAAGGCTTCAGAGCTTTAGTGCTCCAAAAATCGGGGTTGGATGCTAGAAAATGTGGAATTTAGTGACAGCTTTTGGAAATGAAAAACCGCATGCTTCAGGAAATAGCTTTTACATCAACAGTCGTGTCTATGTAGGCTATATAATAGCCTATATCTATTGACTTGGTTCATTGAAACGCTTATCCCGCCAAAGTTTTCTTTACAGTAGAAAAAGCCTGAATCAGAGACAATCCACAAAATGAGCAAGTTCGTACTCTTCTTATCTGCGTAAAAGGGGACTTGCATAAGAGTGGAGTCTGCGGGAGCGATCCGATCCAGCCCTTATACCCTGTTTTCAGATTAATTACCTTGGCACATTTTCGGGTTGGTATTATCAGCTCCATACATCTATTACAAGGCGTATCTATCAGGTCTCACTGCTGAACCCATGTCCATCCATCAGCCACCAATTCCCACTCACATCGCATCCTCTCTTATTACCACCACAATTCAAGCATTGACATATGAAAGTTCCAATGTTGGTCGCTTGCCTTTCTTCTAATCCCTGGATTTCCCGAGGTCGTCCGTGCATAGATATATGCTGTATGCAGAATGCTAGGCGATAAATCATTATCCACCACATATCATGCCAATAGGAGCACGTCAGGAGTACAATTCGAGGACCGCCCATATTCATGGATCCTGTTTTCTCAATAACCTGCATTTAAAGTACTATACATGCCATACATTGCCTCAACCCGCTCATCTGATCCTTTACTAGAATCTACAGTCTGACCCAGTGGCTGGATCATCGGCTATCTGATTCGCCAGGGAGAAGATCGATGACATGCACGATGCATTTCTCATGTACTATGGACATCACATCCCGGGTTCTTTGTTCCATTATTTTTTATCACAGTTCAAGGTTTATTCGTATTTTACCAACAAATAAAATGAATCGAGTGTTCAGCTGGACTTTTGATTCTCAGGCTCAAAAGGAACCAATTCCATTCGCTGTTCTGCCATCACCCCTAATCTATATTGCCCCTCCACACACGCTATTTTCCCCTCCTTAACTACATTTTCATCTCAGCATGCATCCAGATTCTCAACTTGAAACTGCCTTGGAAAATGGGTTCAATCCAAAGAGCTTATTGGCTTTGGAGCTGACCAAAGTCAATGAGCCTGCTCGAACAATCCTTGAGGAGTACAGCAAGATCCCGGCTGCTGAAATCCTGCAGCATGTCACCGATTTGGTGTGTAGTGGCGTATATTCCCCCAAAGTTGAAAGACAATAGAATGGCTGACTTTAGCAGAGAGATCGCGCATTCGAAGTTGTGAGTCTGTTAAAGTATTGTAGATTTTTTTATATCTAGCAACTCGGGGATCACTGACATGACAACCGGCGACAAAGTTTCCCTATGCCTGCATTGGGCAGGCTGCTTTCCTTGATTTGAGAATCGCCTCGTCGCCTGTATACCAGGAGATGCTTGGGCGAGTGAAAAATGGAGAGAAGCTTCTTGACCTTGGGTGTGCATTTGGACAAGAGCTGCGACAACTGGTAAGTGATAAGTCCGGAGCCTATAGGAACAAAAATAGAGTAGAGAACTCATAATTCTAGATCTACGACGGCGCGCCATCTGAAAATCTCTATGGATTAGACCTGCAACCCAGATTCCTCGATCTCGGCTACGACCTATTTCGCGATCGCGAAATCAGCAAAATAAACTTCATCAGTGCTGACGTGCTAGCTGATGATTCAGAGCTTGTTCACAACCTGGCGAACCAACTCGGTATTGTCTATATTTCGCAGCTTCTCCATGTCTTTGATTTTGATCACCAAGTTACTGTGCTGAAGCGCGTATTTGACTTGCTTGAAGATAAACCTGGCTCTTTACTTGTGTGCCGAGTCGTTGCATGTCGAGATCAAGATGCAGTCAACGCCACCACCGATCGTCTTCCTTATTACTTTCACGACCTGGCCAGCTGGGATAAGCTGTGGGAGCGTGTTAAAAGGGAAACAAGTCTTAAATTGAGTGTTGAGACGTGGGAACAGGAGAGTGAGCTAGCTTGGAAGCACCCTTTTCCAGGTCTTTATATGCTTGGCTCAATCATTCGACGGGGCTAGAAGCTCAAACTCCAGCTTATAGCTCGGATTAAGGATGCTTTCTCAATCAGTTGAAGTTAGGGGGATCAAAATTCCACTGCCTTTCAGGTTTTCATTTAATATGTTTGATCCAGAATATCCATGTTTCAATCATAATTCCCTGGGCAAAGCGAAGCATAAACAGCTTGGAGAAGCCTGATAGAGGCTCTGTACTCGTCAAGCTTGAATTTTGTTGAGATATCACCGCAGTGATTGTGAATCATACATCTGCATATGGAGCCCAAACTTGCTACAACTTTAAGCAGTATATCCGACAAGACCATGAATCGAGTATACTATTCGAAGCTTGAAATTGGTATGTAGGAGCTAACCCAAATTAGGAAATAACAAGCCTCTTACCGCCTGGCGGGAATGAGATCGATTATTGAACTGGATAGCATCAGAGAGCAGCTGTTTAAGTGTAACTGTTTGATAGAAATATACTGGTTTTCATTTGCATTATTTCAAACTAATAAGCTCACTGAATTTACATACTCCTTTAACTAGTGCTCCCAGCCTCCCCACAAACACCCCTTCCAGCCCCCAATCCAAGCTACCCCTCGAAGGCGCATTCGTGACAACTCAGTGAACGGAGCTAGCGACCCGCTCCAAATTTCGCAAATATCTTTTCGCATTTAGTATTCAGTTCCTATACAGCAAAAATGGACGAATTTGCTCAAACACGTGGTGCTGATGACCTTTTTGACGATGAGATCGTTCCTGTATCTTCAGAGCAACAGGTTGAGCCTGAAGTGATTGTCCCGGTGGAAGACCCCGAACCTGTGGAGGAGCCACCCATAGTCGAGAAGCAGACTTCTCCGCGCGCAGAAACTTCACGGTCTCATACCAGCGAGCGAGGTCGTGATCGTGGCCGGGGTCGTGGGAAAACGGGAGGACAAGGAGGAGGACAAGGAGGAGGACAAGGAGGAGGACAGGGAGGACAGGGAGGAGGACGCGGTCTACAAGAATCAAGATGGGCGCCCAAGCCAGCTGAAAATAAGCAAAAGCCAAAGACAAAAAGCTCTGCTCCTTCCGTGGAGCCTGTAGGCGAACAAGAGGATGGAGCGAGCGAGGCCTCCGATAAAACGCATGATACATCTAAGGAGTCAGATAAAGATAAGAGCAAGGGTGAAGCTGCACCAGCACCCGCAGCGCCTGAGTCACAACGTATGCCTGCTGTTCGTGGCGATCGAAGTGCCACAGGAGGAATAAGGAAGGTGGGAAGAGAATTGATCTGGCTTTGCGACAGGTTTGCTGACTGCTATTTTTAGCCAAAACTTACCGAGGAAGAGCTGTCCAAGCGCATTGCGAATGCCAAAGAAAATGCTGTGAAGAAAGCCGCAGCTCATGCCCGTGCTGAGGCTGACCAGGCATCATTCATGGAGCGCGAACAGGTCGCGGCCAAGAAACGGCGTGAGGAGCTGGCGAGCCGTCGCATCATGGATAACGAACGTGAAAAGAATCGTCAGCGCAAACTGAAGGCCCAAACTGGACGGGAATGGGATTCACAAAAGCAGGAAGAGGATTACAATCCACGTGGGACCGGTAGTCAGTTTCGACGAGGCATGCATGGAGGTGTATCTGGACACACCCGCCGCGACTTTGATGAAGGCCGCTCTGACGAGACTGTCGTTCATAGCAACCCTGGTCGAGGGCGTGGCAAAGGAAGAGGTGGTCGGGGTCGTGGATCGCGCGGAGACCGTTCATCTTCCAAAGAGCCTTCTGAAAAGAAAGTCAATGCCAACAAAAAAAAATCACCTGCTATCAATGACGATGCCGACTTTCCCTCTCTACCTGTTGCAGAAAAACCCGCTGCAGAGAAAGAAAAGGTGGTGCCTGTTGTTACAAAACCACCTCCTAGTATGGAAACCTTGGAGGCCACGATGTCTCCTGTGACTGGCACTTGGGCCGACCAGTTTGATGAGTAACAACCTGGGAACCTGCGCTATAGATTTTTTTGAATTTCTTTTTCTGACTCCCGTGACGAGGGGCTACTTGGGTAGTGCCTTGTGCCCTATGATACTTAATGAACGTAAAATAGCATTCGATGTCCAGTATATATAATATATGTCTTGTGGTATGAATGTAGCAAAATGTAAGAAAATGTAGGAAAACGGCAAAAGGTGAAAGTGAAAGGTCAAGTCAAATCTACTGTTCCTTCTTTGAAGCTTCAGCTTTAGCCCGTTCCTTCGCTTTCTTCTCCTGTCTTTGCACGATGCCTTCAGCGCCAACGCCACCAAAGACTAATACGATACCAAGCCACTGCCCAGCCGACAAGGAATGGCCAAACCAAAACACACTGAGAAGCATGGTGAGCATCTTACGGGTAACCGTGACAGTGACCAAAAGTAGGGACGAGAAGCGAGACAGAGTGTAGAAGATGAACAGCTGGCCCACGGCACCACAAGCCGCAAAGCCAAGCACATTCTTCAATGCCTCAGGGTGGCGCGAGAGGAACGAAATCGCAGACCATAGTTCCGTCTCATTAGACGGAGGGATAGGGAACGGAAGAAGATTATGCAAAAGACCACTTTGAGACAGATGCGGCATAATGAGGAGATAGCCAGCAGTAAGCAAAGTGGATAGCACATTCTGCGCGACCATCATTTGAGGTCCCGTAAAGCGAGTGTAACGCTTTGGAGAAGTGAAAATATGGTCTTGGGTAGTGTTTGTCAACCCATCCAGAAGCAGATTGATAGAAAGTAAAAAGATACCCCATCCAGATGAGCCAGACTGTTTCGCTGCTGACGCAGCAACCTTTTTGCTCGTGCCGGGGTGGTGTAGAGTGAATGTGGCCACGCCAAGAGTGACTAACAACACGACACCATACTTATACAACGGGTACTTTTTGCGGAAGATGGTGAGGTGGAGGATCATTACCGGCAGAAGCTTACAAGACTTGGCGAGAATAAAGGTGAGATAGTCTATATGCGCAAGACTGGCATATCCAAAGGGTGATGCGAGAGATGAAGAGATGCTAACAAGGAGCAAGGGAAAGATAATGTCGCGAGTAGGGAAGATTGATGGAACATTCTGACCCTTGGGTGTAGAGAAAAAGAGATAAGTGAAGCCGGTAATGGCAGCGAACGAAGACTGGACCGTGTTTAGTACAAGAGAGTAGGTGAATCGCTCCGTTGCTGGCTCTGGATCTACGGCCGATGGAGGATGAATAGGGTAGGTAGTTGTGGTGATAGCTTCCTGTAGAACACCCCATGAAAGGCTTTTGACATGTGAGCTTTGAATTAGACCTTCGCAGGTGGACCAATAACCTACAATGCTGCATAGATACCGAGGACGCAGATGAGAAGCTGTGTCAGACCAGGGGTGTCGGCAGCAGTCTCTATAGGTTCCGTCGTGACTTTTCTGTAAGCACTCTGTGAAACAGTTGTTGCACTGCCATTTTCTAGCTTTTCAGAAACCTCCGACTCATTCGCCGGTATATGTACCCAATCTGAGGAGGGAGCTCGTTGGAGCGGTGTTGTTTGCTTTTGTCGGCCCATTGTATCAGATCGAAAGGATAGATTGATAAATATAGTGAGAAGTCAGCCAAGGGTCTGGAAAGTTGGCCTAGCTTTGGAGCATGAAGCTACTGCACCTCGAAGAGGATTAATTGAGGGGGAAAAAAAGGAACAAAGATGCGATGTGTTCTTACTTCGCGCAGCGCGCTCTGCATAATGATCGGCAGAACCCAAAAATAGGTGTTTCCGCCCCTGTTTGCACTGTTTTGCTGATACTGATAACAATCAAAAGTGCCGACTCATTATCAGCACGTGACTTTGTCGAGTCATCAAAAAAAGCATCAAAGAGACATCCCACTTTGAATGCGCCGCAGCTTCTTTTATTCCCAAAATTTGTGCTCAGCTTTCCTGATAGGACAAGCCGTACACTGATCACTATATCAATTATGCCACACTCAGTACCTGTGCCCTCAATGGGCTTCCAAGCTGTGATCCTCTGTGGCCCTGGTGTTTCGTTGACCACATTTACTTCGAAGGAAGATTCCCCAAAATGTCTCATCCCGGTTGCTAATAGGCCGATGGTGTACTACCCACTGCAATTCTGCAAAAAAGCAGGGTATGTTTGCTTCTATATCCGTAAATCTAAGTTACCAAGCTAACATTCTGTCCTTCAGAATCACTGGTATGTCTATCGTCTTATAGTTGGGACATATACGCCTTTCTGGCTGCTCGGTACTATCGGTATACCCGACAACCTAACAAGTTTTTAGATATCACTTTGATCACTCCTCCATCTGCCGCAGCTCCGCTCCAAGCTGCTCTGCAGCAAAACCCCTACCTTACCTCGCTTTCTTCCCCATCGCCCTCGATCCTCGCACCTGCAGATTTGGAAATGACCACTGGAACTGCCGAGCTTCTTCGTCTTCCGGAAGTGCAGGCTTGCATCAAATCAAATTTCCTTCTCCTACCCTGCGATATTATCTGCGAAATTCCTGGTGAATCTCTGCTGGAAGCATGGATGGTCGCAGACGACTTCACTACTCAAGAACCTCGCCATACCTATGGTCTGTCTTCAGGACCAGGTGCTGAGCAATTCAGGCCCCGAGGTGGCCTTAGCGTCTTTTATCAGACAGAAGGACGAGAGGAGAGTGTCAAGGGCGAGCCCACTGATTTGGTGGCCACTGCACCATTGGAACAAGATGAAGCACCAGCAGTATCACACCCACTCGATGGCCCTGCTGCACTACGATTTGGACTATCGAAACTAGTCATGTCAATGCCCATGGATACCGTAAAAGAAAAGATGGAACAAGACAAGGGTTTCTTGATGCGCCATTCACTCGTCGAAACCCACCCCCAAGTGAAGATTCTGACAAAATACCGAGATGCGCATTTGTACATTTTCCCATACTGGATTAAAGCTCTGGTGCGTGAGCAGGAGAAATTCGAATCAGTCAGTGAGGATTTGATTGGCTACTGGGCGAAGGCCGAGTGGCAAAGAGGTCTTGGAGACAAGCTGGGAATAAACAAGATTTTCCAGAAGGAGAGTCACAGCAACGATGACAGTGGAAGCCATGACGGCGAGTCACTCGAGGATGAGATTGACCTTCACAGTTTGAGCACCACCAAAGCCGGCCTCCCCAAGTCTGCCACAACAGTGGAAGTCAACTCGGAGTCCTCCATCTATGCTTCTCGTGTTAAGGCGCAAGCCTCAAAGACGAAATCTGAAAAGGTTCCACCTATGCTTGCATACGTCCAAAGAAGCTCTGCGCCCTTTGTTAGACGTGTCGACAGCACCGCTACTCTTTTAACCACATCCCTCCGCCTAGCAAAGCTAGAATCTATCGAAGATGTTGGCCGCACAGTAGCTTCGCCATTTGCTCACAACCAAAAGGTTGCCCACCCTGAGGGTGTAGCTCAACGCTGTACTGTTACGAAAAGCGATTGTCTTCTCGGCCAGAACACAACAGTGGCTGAGAAGTGTGTTATCAAGGAGAGCTGCATTGGTTCAAACGTGACTATTGGCAGCGGAGCTCGATTGACCCGCTGTGTTGTCTTTGACGGTGCTATCATTTCCGAACGGGCTACATTGACAGGTTGCGTCATTGGACGCCGCAGTCAGATCGGCAGAGAGTGTTCCCTGAAGGACTGCGAAGTCCAGGATGGCAACGTGGTCCCCGAAGATACTGATGCGAAGAATGAAAAGTTCATGATCTTCGAAGGTCTTGATGATGAAGAGGATGACATGGATGATATGTCTGAGGATTCTTATGACAGTTAGGTTCAGGTTTAAAGACAGCGAAATGTTTCATATACCGTGATGCCGTTATGAGATAAAGATACAAAAATATCAGGTCTTTCCATGCTCGGATTTCCCTCAAATAAGAATGGTCAAAACAAAAAAAATGTGACTTTTCAGCGGGGATAAGCTCTTGTCAAGAGCTGTACTGTGCATTCGAAAGGAAATGTACGATGATTTTAGCAATGATATTTGTCACACCAACATCTTCGTAATTGGCAATTCAATTTTAGATTACCCCATCGATTTCAGTCTCCGTGAGAACATTAGAGTCAAGCATTCAGTTGAGAGATTAGACCATCAGACTACCTTTACCTTCTTGAGCTACCCCTTGGTTCTCCTTCCTTTCTCCCACACAGCCCCTAGAGGACGGACTCTGACTGCATCTACCATACTCCATGATTTAGCCAGGTTCGCAGACTAGCTAGGACGTCCTGTTCCCCGTATCACTAGAAATTTTCAATTTCCTGAAATGAAAGTGTAATTTATTATATAACGGATGATCCTGGGAACGGAACTCCGCTAATTAAATAACTAACTAAATAAATGTTTACAAGGTGCAAAGTAAATAGCGAAACGGGAACGCTCTAGGCGGTCGATTCAGCCAAGAAAAACCAAACACAATCACAACAGAAAGCTCAATGAAAGAAGTGTTGATACGATGGACTGAAAGTGGTTTCAATCACGAGTGGGGCCCAGATTTACTGCAGTAAATCTCTGGCACCTAATTGGTTTGGTCGGTTAATGAATGGGGAACTACGGAGTACTTTAGGCAGTTTTGGAGTGGACTTGAATAACACACCTCTTACAACTCGCAACGATACATTTACAAAGTAGATGCATATGCAACATTAAGACGCGTCAGATATTCCGACAAGAAGGGAGTCAAAAAGTGAAAAGGCATGTAAAGGTGTCCATTCTGGAGCTATTTATCACAACTTCTAGATAAATGATAAAGTACAGTTTTGTTGCAAAAAAAAGTAGAACACGGTACATCTGGAATTACACCGCCTACTTACACCGCCTGTATCGATTACACCGTCTAGGGTAAACAACGCGTGAGCGCATGATACTACACAATCTCAATGAATTAGAGGCTTCTGCCGGTTTCTGCCTGGCAGAAAGGTAAGGGGCTTGTAACTACCGTGTTCTACTTTTTAATGCAACCCACTGTAAATCACCACCGAACCGCCATCACTACCGAGCCGCCACCCCAGAAAACCATAGTAAACTCGAAAAAATTGAATATCATATTTCAACAACCACTAGTTGAATTTATTTCAAGTCTCGAAATCGGATTATTACTAGTTGATTAAATATATATATATATAGAAAAAAGGATTAGGAAATCATCGAGTAAAGTGTACTTGAAGCTAAAATAAATAAATTATACCGTAATTTATGATACTACTATGATCCCTCTATTTAATTTACTTAAGATAAATTGATTCTTTGTGAATATTCTTATAGTTATACCTCACCGAATATTTGAATTATATCAGTGTCACGGTTGTTAAGATGTGATATTCAATTTTTTTCGAGTTTACTATGGTATTCTGGGGTGGCGGCTCGGTAGTGATGGCGGCTCGGTTCGGTTCGGTGGTGATTTACTTTAACTCGGCTCTGCTGCCGTAGACCGCCTACCTGGTTCACTACGTTACTGGCTATAGCTGCTGAGTCATATCCCTGACTCCTCAATGGCCATATGCTAGTCTAAATTAGGAAAGGTGCTCTCCGCATTCCCCTCACTCTCTCGACTCTCTCTGTCTTCAACCTTGAACTCGCTATACATCGACTTCTATCATGATCCATCGTCCACCTTTATCGACACGTTCAGCTCTTCGAGCTTTCTTCCCCCTGCGCCGGTTTTCGACCGAGTCGAGTTTAACCTCGGATCATGTGCGCATTGTGGAGGTTGGCCCTCGGGATGGACTTCAGAACGAGAAAAAGTCTATCAATATAGAGACGAAACTGGAGTTGATCCGGCGGCTTGCTAAGACTGGCGTCACAACAATCGAAGCGGGCTCTTTTGTGCCTCCGAAATGGGTGCCACAGGTGCGGTATTTTCTGCAAGATCAAGATCATGAGGTTAAGAATCATTGACGTAATTAACCAGCTTGATTATGAATAGATGGATAGCACTGCTCAAATCTGCGAAACACTCCTTCTCTCACCACCGCCGTCCAAAGACACAATTGCCTACAACTACCTGGTCCCGAATATCAAGGGTCTAGAAGGCCTAGTCAGGATCATGGAAGCCACGGGCGTTCCAGCGGAAACACCCGCAGCAACAACGGAGATTTCCCTGTTTGCTGCAGCTACCGAAGCATTCTCAAAAGCCAATACTAATTGCACCATTGCCGAATCTCTCGAGCGCATCAAGCCCATAGTCTCATTGGCCAAGACAAAGAACATCCGAGTGCGTGGATATGTATCAGTGGCTCTAGGGTGTCCCTACGAAGGCCCTGACGTGGACCCGATCAAGGTGGCGGATATCACTGCTACTCTACTCGAGATGGGCGCCGACGAAGTGTCAGTGGCGGATACTACGGGCATGGGCACAGCGCCCCGGACAATGGAGCTTCTCAAAGCACTCAAAGCAGCCGGCATTTCCACCTCAGACTTAGCTCTACATTTTCACGATACTTATGGGCAGGCTCTCGTCAATACTATTGTTGGTCTAGAGCATGGCATTCGGATCTTCGATAGTAGTGTCGGGGGCTTGGGAGGCTGCCCATACTCCAAGGGCGCTACAGGAAATGTCTCTACCGAAGACCTCGTTCATACGATTCATGGTCTCGGTATGTATACTGGTGTTTCTCTTGAAGAGATGTCGCGTATTGGGTCATGGATCAGTCAGGAACTGGGCAGAGCGAACGATAGTCGTGCTGGGAAGGCTACACTGGCTCGTTTGTCGGAGTAGAAAAGTCATATCTAAAACAGTAGCATTCAAATCTACTTTATGTTTAACTAGGATATCTGATTGTAATCATCTGTCGAACTGTATCTTGACGTCATATTTGCTAAGGTCAGCGACTCAAGTCAACCTGGAATGTTTTATGCAGCAGAAAGGCGTCTAAACAGCACTCATTTCTCAGACTAGTAACTACAGTTTTGGCATGCCCCGAGAGTAAGATGACTAGTATGACCTGTTTGTTCACTGCGGTGGCGCTTGAAGAGCTGTTTTCTGTTCCTCGGCCAATCTATGAGTATTTAGTTTCAACACCACATCCCCAGCAACCAGAAAAATTGCATTATCTTCGGACAATGAACATAAAACTTCGCCCTCGAGCCGCTGCACATCAATAACAGGACATGTCTCACTCATATTTTTGATACTATCGATTGTCATCCTTTTGATACCATACCCCAAAGGTTCTTTCTCAGTTGTAGAAGCTGATTCATGCTCAAGGCTAAGGTGTACCTCAAGGGATTCTGTGATAATAAGATGAGAACGTCTGCCATATTCGACAAAATCCTTGACCAGTCCTCCCTCGAGCAGGTAAACGGTGTTAATGGAGTTGCACGAAGTCGTCTTACTGGTTGAAAGTTGGCTAACTGCCAAAGGACTATATCTTTGTCGACCCTCCGACACGTTTTTAGATGAGCCACTCGAAGAAATATTTCCTTTGAAGCTCTCTGACACGAGCTCCGGTATACTAATCACTGTTGCCGAAGCTGATGAGGTTAGAAGGGTGCTTTCATTGGGAAACGGATGAACAGGCAGCTTCCCCTGAGCTAAACCAAGAGAAATGTTGTGTTGGAGACTTTTAAGAAGAATCTGGTTGAGTTTCTGCTGGAGGACAGTAAATTGTGGCAGGCTCGGGAGTCTCCAGCCGGGATAAAGCCGACCGTGGGTTTTTGGGGTATGCATTCGTCCGTGTAGTTGGATGAAAGTGTTACAGAGAAAGCATGCATCTTTACTTGAACTGACCACTCGTGGAAACAATGTCGGGGCTTTTATTTCGCAAAAGCCGACAATCTGAATTTCAGCATGGATTTTGGATGCTGAAAGAGCCTTTTGGGCTCCTTCAAACCGGGCACGAGCAGCCTTTTCATCAAGTTTCAAATTGTGGCATAATTGACGCACTCTATTTTGTTGCCCCTTGGCCAATGCAAGCCTCGATAAACATGAACATAGGTCAGAGAACTCGCTAGGATTTGTTTGACTTTCGAATGCCTTTTGGGGTAGGCTTGCCAGTTGAATTTTCATATTTCGGACCAATATATATTTCTTTGCCGTTCGATAAAGTCGCCTGGCGGTTCCCCAGTACCTCGAGACCTTCCTGATGATGTTCAATAAACTTGATCTCGAGGACGGATCCATATCATTGTTGGAGATGAGATCTATCAAGTCGTGAAAGCGTGGTGCTGTTTGTTGCAAGTGATATATTCCTCTAACAAGTTGACCTAGCTCATCCAGAGTTTTGTGATGCAACCATTGATCAACCAATTTTATGACCTTATTTGCCTCTGAAATGAATAATGATGATGTAACTGATAGCTCTTTGCCTTGAAGTTTCTGAGGACTAATTTGTCGAATACTAAACATGGCCGCTTTCAAGAGATTTTGAATGGACATCTTAGTTGCCTTCCGATCGAGTCGCAAGCGACATAGCACTCGCGCTGAGCACATGGTGATAATTGAGGTAAAAATTTCCTCTTGGACTTCGGGATTATCTATATATTTTGGAAATTGTTAAAATCTACCCTCAGATGCGAAATAGTAAGGACTAACCATATTGTGAATCATGAAGTACGCAAAATATTTCTTCAAACCCTCTTTTGAGTTGTTGTAGAAGTCCATCTCCATCAGTATACTTTGTTTTGTTGATAGCCAATATGACATTCAAAACCGTCCCAGCCGGGTTCTGTTCGACGCAAACTGCAGGTATGTGATCCCATCCATCCTTAGTTTTCGCCAGGAATGCAAGAGCTTCGGTTAGCCCACGCTCTTTACAAAAAGGCAAGACGTAATCTTCTTGCTTGATTAACGACTTGTTGAATACATTTCGAACGACGGGAGCAGGAACCTGATAAAAAAAAGAGGTGAGAGCTATATGCTCAGCACATACTTTGGCGGGGGCAGGGGTTTTCATATCCATGGGACCCGACAATCAAAGGATAGTGTCTAGGCCAAGATGGAGCGCTCTGGGGAGGGGAAGGTGGGAGGTCTCGATTTTCGATTTTTAAGCTGGTGGGAGGCACCTGCAGGCTTTCAAGTACATGGTGGAGTTGGTACTTCATACTACACTACCATATGTATATACATATGATAAGACAGAATCCTCTTCGGCATAGGTGAGGGGTCAGTTACATAAGATGTGGTTGTAAGGGGGATTGATTGTGCTTCCTAGTGACCCCTGTTCAGATGTATTCTGGTGCTCATATGTAATATGGATTTTAAAAGAGATTAACTAATCTAAGCGTTCAGAACTAGCAGCATAGGTAGGTCACTGGCCACAAAATTTATGGAAAAGGTTGTAATATTTCATGGTAAAACTGATATTGAGAACTACTGTACACGGGTTTATTCATCTAGTTTCTCGTCCTTGGTCGAGAAAAGTAAGAACATCTGCCTCACGAAAAGAAAGAATTCTATATTTATGACTTATATGATCAATCTTATACCCTAAATTGTAGAAAAGAGCGCCTGATCCTAGCTCAGATGTGTATTTCTTAAATTGGTTCTTGCCTTTAGAAGCAAAAAACGAATTTTTTTTTGAAACGAAGGTAGCTTTTGTATATCCAATAGCATAAGTGCCCTTTGCTTGATGCAATGGTTGGTGGCGACTATCGATTCCAGTAGCACCGATTGGTACAGGATGGATCGAAATCAGTTTCACCACTCGCGTACAGAGATTCTTTCTCGAACCCTCTCTTTGAAACACACCATACCTATTACAGCTCCTCTGCCCCTGGAGGAAGATTCTATGCGCAAGTGATGAAACCGACTTCGATCCATCCTGTATAATGTCTTAATCAGTGATATTATTTGAACAAATTTTAGATACGTTAGCGTGTCATGGCAACAGGATCAGAAATTGTAGCTGGTGAAACCGATTTCAGGAAATAATATGAAACCTCCAACAGTCTTAGTCATAGACTGTACCCCAACGTTCAACAATATGTATAGATTCCTTTGAGTACAGCCGTCAGAAGCTCAACGGTGATCCAGCTGGTGTTAATGGGAAGTGATAACAGTACTAGTTAGAACTCAGGGTCTACCGGGGCCTACTAGGGTCTAGTATATTTCCACACTATATGGATCAAAGAGGATAAATCCGGGCATATCTACAACCTAAGTCTACAACATGGTCACTCACAATTCGATAAACAGAGGTCCGTATTTTAGTATACTAAAAGTCCAGATCAAGGTTGATACTTATTTTTGTTCCACTGATAGGGTCTTCAAGTGTGACTTCCCCATATATGACATTGAGTCCATCTAGTATTGACCTCACTTCTTGAAGTAGGTCAGCTCCGAAGCTGGGATATTCATGGGTTTCCTGCTCAAATTTGTAGTCTTCGCCTCGAAGATATCCTTCAACCGAGGCTGCCGCTAGGGTGCGACGCACTAAATGCCCTGGGGGCAAAAATGTTGCCCAAATAATGTGTTGTCGTGTGAGGTAATAGGTGTTGGTATCGATATGTCGACAGAGGTTCTCGTCTTTGGGACTGGCAACAAGTATATCCTTGATATACTGAGCCATTTGGGATTCCATCCCTGTAATATTGCACATATCTGCAAACCTGACGAGCTCTATAATAGTCGATATTTGATCTTCTGGGTCTTCGGAATCGAATTGGACCCTGCACATGTATAGCCACTGTATGAGTGCTTCAAAACTTCGCACCGAAACCACTCCTTCCACTTCCTCCAGAGATGCTACTTGCTGTTCTCTCTCTACAAAGTTACCTTCAAACATTGCCGTAAAATAGGTAGAGTCCTTGCAAAGGAGGTATTTGGAAATTTCGTATTCATAGTCGCTAGAGCTTATTCGAATTTTGACGGTAGGATGATGGTATAGTGGAAGAAAGCTGAGTGAGTGGAGTTTTAGCAACCATTCTTCTCGACAATACCTTAGTGGGCTACTAACGTTGCTGCAAATTCATGAGCACCTGCTTCGTCTAGGTTGGTCATTGCTTCGAGTCTGAATAGGAAAAATGCGAAGGAGGAAAAGAGGGGTAAAAAGTGACAGCTTATCATACTTTGATAAATTTTGTAATAGCTACTTATCATTCCTCATTACCGCTACTATTTAGGACGTCATAATTTGACCTGCTATCACCCTTCATCATCATCATATTCTCTGAAAGAAGCACCCAGAATGTCAATTACCTATATTGTTCTTTTCCGGTTCAAATAAGACGTGGCTGCTGAGGTTATCCGCAATGTACGATTTATTATGAGAAAATCACGCATGATATAGGTTACCTGCTATTTAGATTGGATGTAAGCAGTGGTTCAAAAAGGCCTGTCAGAGTATGCTTGCTTTGAAGGACAACTGCCCCCACTCATCATCGCAGAAGCCCTAAATCAAATCGGCATCTGGCAGGGAGGATAACTCGCCCGAAAGTATTCAGGTTGGTTCATCTGCATCTGGGACACCAGAAAATGGGGAAACAGCAGGATAATTTTCTAACGCAATGCTCTTGTCGTGATGCAGAATGGCATTACACGCGCATTCGTCGTAGAATTCAAGAGTGCTGCAGACCGAGACTATTACGTACAGAACGATGCGACGTCTGTAGTTATCTTGCGTAAGTCATACCTTCATATTCCCTAATAATAACTATGATCATACTAATATCTAGTTTTCTCTAAGTCAAAAATATCCCTCCTTTAAACAGCAGTGGGGTGAGGATTTCCATCGGGATCATGTTCCAAGAGCAGCGGTAATACCCTTATCAGCATCGCATTCGGGGACCTGCTCCCCCATAAGTAGCTCCAATTATTACCTCAAATGAGCTACCAATGACTACAATCCGTCGAAGTCCTGGTCGTGGTGATGAATATGATGGTCTTGATGATAATGCCTTTCGTCAACTTATGGCGACTGAAGCCCCAATACGACAAGTAACATATGATCGTTTAACGGTCGCATTTCACGCTTGGGAGACAGCCCTACAAAACGATTGGACAGCTTTATTACAGATAAATCAAGCAACTGCTCCATCTCTTGATAGCGTCCGTCCTGCTATAGCTAATATTTTATGGAATGCTTATGCTGAGGCTTATCTTACGCTTCATGGTGTTCGACCACCACTACTAGAAGCTCGACCACCAACTCGAGCACAACTTCGGCGTCAAGCACAACGTCGACGTGAAAGACAAGCTGCTCGTGTTCGTGGTGGCGCCCCTCCACCTAGCGATGATAGTAGTGGTGGTGGTGATGATGGCGCCCTTCTACCTAGCGATGGTGGTGGTGGTGGTGGTGATGCTGGTGAAGGTAGTTCTAGTTAGTGTTAAGTTATTAGTATCAAATTTTGAATGTTTGAATTTTAATTATAGATGGTATTGATTAAAACAACAAAAATTACATGCATTATAATGTATAATTAGCTAAGTAAACTAGCTCTATTTCAGACTAGCGTAAGGCATTATTAAGGCATTAAGGCAACTAAAATACCCATATGGGTATGGGTTTACCTTACCCCTGATGGGTTGGGTATGGGTATGAATTTCGACCCATACCCAACCCATGCACATGTCTAAACTTCAGAACATGGGATACAAAGAAAACTGCGAGCCGCAACTGCAAGGCGGGGCCAACTACTCGCATTAAGTCGACACCAATCAAATAACCATTGATCATGACCACGATGGGTAGCATCCGGAGCATTCTCAAGAGGAGGTTGATTAAACCAACGATCAATCTCTGATTCCTCTTGCCTTGCTCGTTTATTTCGTAACTGGAACAAATCTCGATAAAACTCATCCTGAAGATATCTCTTCTGGCTCTTTGGACTTGGTTGAAAAGAAGATCCTGAAGAAGTATCTCTTTGATGTTGAACTGGACAAAGATTCTCAAGCTTTTCTTTCAACTGGCTGTTTAGAGAATCAAGATGGGCTTGATCATCAAAGTACTTTTCAAAGATAGTGAACTTGAACCTTGGATCTAATACCATTGCCATATAGTATAGATCCGATTTATTCATAATGTCGAAATACTTCGAGTAGACTGCTCGAGAAGCTTGTACAGCATCCACAATATCCTGTGTAGACATGTTCATTGGGTTGGGTAAACCCATACCCAACCCAATGAACATGTCTAGTCTAGTTAGCCGCTCAAAGAAAAAGAGAATATCTTTAAGACTTTGAAGATACAGCCATTATTCTTCTCCAAGTTCTATTTTGAGCTCGTCTTGAAGACGAACAAAGATATTCACTACCTCTTTCTTCTTTTATAGAAGTTAGCATACGTATACCTAAGTACTACATATAAAATGCATATATGTCACACATACCTCTAACGCAGTTTCCAACATATAATATGTTGAGTTCCAGCGAGTCTCCACATCTGTCGGAATCAGCTTTTCAGTCTGTTCCTTGATGAAACAGATTTCCTTCCAAGAACATCGTTGAAGAGGGCTCCGTGAGACCCAGATCGCAATCACACGGATTTTTTGAAGCGGATTCATTGAGCGAGGAATACGAAGAGAGGGCCCATCGAGGAGATCTTTTGCTTCAGCGATTGTACCTATCTTCAAGACACCTAGCAACTCCTTGAGAATTAGGTTGATAATATGAGTAAAACAACGGATCATGCTATGGTCGCCGTCAAATGCTGATTTCTCAATACCATCAGAGGGTTGCCAGAAAGGGTTATTAGCCCCCTTAAGTTTCTCTGTTAAACAAGCAACCATACTCTCATTGTTTATAGCATTGTTATTAGTCACTGAGATCAGTTTATTTGTGAGACCGAAATCCTCGAGAAGAGAATATACAGTGGTCGCGAGAAGTTCCCCAGTATGGTGCCCTCGAAGCTCCGTAAACTCAATCGTATGTTGCTTATATTCAAAGTTGTCTGTAAGCCAGTGGCCAATAACTCCAAGAAAAGTGAGGCCATTTGGACTTGTCCAACAATCAAGAGAGATTGCGATTGTACGGCATGTCGAGGAAAGAGAGGCTTTTAAATCCTTCGTGTAGGAATCGAGAAGAGAAAGGGTATAGACCTGGGCGGACTGTCGGGACTCGAAAGGAAGGTTTCTATTCATTCTTGGACCTTCGATGAGGCGACGGAAAAAGGGATTCTCGATAATCGACCAAGGAAGATTTGCGGAGATAATGAAAGCTAAAACAGAAAAAAAATAAGTAATACATAGATAATACATATAAGATAAAGAGCGTACCGAGAATATCTTCTGGTGTTGGATCGTCATTTTTCTCCACGGCAATAGGTGTACAAGAGCTAGAGCCTTTTGGCGGAAAATACCATGGATCGCAAGATGCCTTAAATGTTTTGTTGTAGAACATTCAAGCTCGCTTTTAAAGGCCACAAAAGAACACTCAGGAATCGCACAGGTATATTTAATATCGTGAGTATGTAGCGAATTCGATTGTCCTCTCCTTGAAACTCATCTCTTCTCAATTACAGTTGCTTGTAGATATCGGTAACACCAAGGCTGAGATTTCTGTTGAGAAGATGTTGTACTCACAATAGAGGATTCTCTGGGAAATATGAATGGAGAATTAGGAAGGGTAGATTGTGGTTGAGAATCGATAGGTCTCTCTTGAGATGAAAGGGACTCATAAGAATTTAGGGGCTTATTTGGGGAAGATTCTTGACTCTCAATAGGTTCCTCATTATCCTCAAACCAATTGTCGAGTATAATGAATCTCCCACCTGGATCAGCCCCATTTCCACGGGTTATCCTTTTCTCTGAAGCCATCTCTAGTCTTATAAAATATTACTAGAAACTAGTTTGAAGAAGGTTGTCAAGTCGACTGGTTCAGACTGGCCAATCATTCAAATGCCATAAATGAATGAAACTGAATTACTAAACTAGGGATGAAGTTCGCCTAAAATAGTGATACAAAGTGGGTAATGCAAACCCTACAAACCAGGCCAAATCAGGCTAACTAGGCCCAATCGAGCCTAAACCACCACCCATTTGACAAAGGTTTTTTATCACGTGATAGATTATATAATAAATTTGCGATCTGTGATCGCAAAATCGCAAATTCTAAGAATCGTTGATCGCAAATTTGCGATCAGTATTAGTAGGCAAAAAGACTTGCGGTTGCGATCTGCGGGCAGATTACTTAACATCTCCAAGACTCTAAGATCATGGCTGAAGGCAGCAGATCAGTAGCATTCTACCCTATAGAGCTGAATCGTAATCAGCGCAGTAGTGACAGCGCGGCAGTGACTTGTCACATCACTTCTTGCTAGCTTTGCAGTTCGCACATGCATTTGGCGCTCTTGAGGTATCGGCCGTAACCATGATTGTTTGTGGCGAGATTTGTACGGCAGATCATCAGACCCCAGATTTCCTTATCGACCGCCGCTGGGTCGACCACATCCAACCGCGCAATGTGAACCACTCCAGAGTCCGCAGTGGTGTATTGAGGCGCTAAACCTAAGAAGGCAATTCGCAGGTCGTGACATATTTATTAATTGATGCAATCAAGGAGCAATCCATGGGGCTTGGAACATGCCGGAAGGATTTCAAGCAGGGGCCAAGTTTCAAGGTTGTCCAGATGGGTAAGTGGAGATGGACAAAATTACCCAAAAGATGGAAGGATGGGGTTGATGAAGTCGGCGATTGAAATCGTTTCACCACATTTCCCCGCATTGTATGTTTGGATCAATTGCAGTGCGGGCATTCTTTCCTTTTATGGAAAAGGGAAATTTTGCCCACTCTCACGATCTAGATCCTATCTACATATCTCTGCTTGCCTGGTACGATGTCATCATAGGATCGTATTGTGGGTTTGAAATCGACTATTAGAGGCTTATGCTTAGCAAAGAGCGGTTGGCCATAGTGCTATTCTACCTGATACATTTCGAAAAGCTGTTGAATATCGTCGCGGACTGAGTTACCTTGAAGGGCACTGAACTTTCACGATGATACCCAGGTATGTCATATCTAATCTTCCTGATCTGCTGTATATAGCGTACCCAGCTTCCTGCGAAGAGGACCCTTTACCACAACCTAGTAGAACAGTTGCAGAGCTGAAGACACCATACTCAAACCTACCCTTCTCTTCCAGGCTTGACTGGCGAGGTACAGATTACTAGGATGCTATCATTCATTGCAGCCGCGCCTTATGCGGCTGGGCTTCTCTTTGTTCTTTTCGTCTACCTGGTTGGATACCCTTACGTTGAGTATCTTCGTGACCCTAAAGGTATGTTAAATTCAACATCCGAGAGCTCATACCCCTAGCTAACAAGCTCCGAGGGCTACGAAAATACCCAAATCTCTCTGCCTTTTCAGGATTCTCTGCTGTGCCGTTCATGTTGCTTGCTTCAAGGGGATTTCGATCCATGGAGTTAATCGAGCAGCACAAGAAGCATCCTGTGATTCGAACAGGGCCTAACACCTTGTCATATGGAGATGTCCGAGCCATCAAAGATATCTACGGCCATAACACAAAGTGCACTAAGGATGGCTCGTACTCCGTCACTGCGGGAACCCACGTCCATCTGGCAGATGTGGTGGACAAGCCAGATCACGCCAGAAAACGCAAGGTCCTCTCGTCAGCATACGCGCTCAAGAACCTTGAAAGCTGGGAATATAAGGTCACCGACAAGGTGCAGAGGATGTTTAAGCATTTCGACAAAGTCTGCACATTGCCACCCAAGGAGGACGTTGCATCTGACAAAATAGCCCCAGACCCGAACGATCTCACCCTGGACCTGCGGGCTTGGACAAACTTCTTCACACTTGACGCTATTGCCGATATCGGGCTCTCAGAGCAATTGGGCTTCCTAGATTCTGGATGTGATTCTTGCATCGCGCAGAGAAGGGACGGTTCAACGTATGAGGTCAGCCTCCGTGAAGCTCTCTACCCAACAGCCCGCAAACAGTCTCTTATCCTGTGGAACTACGCGTGGTATCCTACCATCAACAAGATCATCAACATTATCCCATACTTCGCTCGCATGCAAAAGTCCTCAGATGACTGGGACAATATCATGTGGCAGCGTGGTAGTTTGCGATTGAAGCGTTACGAAGCAGGCGAGAAGCTCGACGACTTTTTCCAAGCTCTAATGGAAGACAAGAACGGCAATTCAAACAACCTGGAATGGGGCGAGGTGATTGCCGAATGCAATATTATGATGAATGCAGGCAGCGTGACGACAGCGATTGCCATCGCCAACGTAATGTACCAGCTTCTCCGAAATCCGCACACTTTAGCGAAGCTACGCGAGGAGCTAGATGCCGTTCTTGACGACGACGAGGTCGTGGCTGATTACGACAAAGTGAAACATCTCCCTTACCTCCGTGCTTGTCTAGACGAGTCTCTGCGGATCTTCCCACCAACCTCTCATGGCCTTCCTCGGGAAACACCGGCCGAAGGTACAAACATTCTTGGGGAGTGGGTAGCTGGTAACACATCTGTCAGTATGTCTGCCTTGGTCGCACATCGTGATGAAGGAGTCTTTCCCAATTCAGACCAGTATATCCCAGAAAGATGGCTTGGAGAAGAGGGAAAGGCTCTACAGCCATATCTGATTGCATTCTCTGCTGGTGCTCGGTCTTGCATTGGTCGAAACATCTCTTATCTGGAGCAGACCAAGGCCGTTGCATCCTTGGTGCATCGCTATGATATCGCTCTTGCATATCCGGGCTGGGAGTTGAAGCGTGAGGAGACAATGAATCTGATTTTGGGCGAGATGCCCGTGAAGATTTGGCGTCGTAATTTGGGAGGACTTGCTTGATATTTTTGGCTTCTTTTTTAGGATTTAATTTTTTTTTCTACTTTATAGCTTACTTATAAGATTAATTTGACATTGAGGACTTATATCAACCTTTTGTCGACCTTTATCTATTGGTGGAACGTCTCATATTCCTGAAAGGCCAGCGGTGCTTGATTTTCTCAAACTCATTTGGACGGCTTTTCTAGTTGACGTAGCGGATGAGGCGGTTTTGGTGACCGACAAATTTCGCAGTTGATCAAGATCACTGGAAGCGCAGACATGGATGGTAGATCGCGAATAAGGGTCGCTCAAATCATTGAAAATATTGAAATCAGGTAGCATAGTACCATTACATTGAGTGACTTGCTGGACATCATGTAAAGCGAACCAGTCAACTAGGTTATAGCTAGTGCAGGTGTCTAGACAAATTGCTGGCCGTCCAGCCAGTTTCGCGAAAGTATGACCAGCAAAGGTACCGAGTGCCAGAATACTGGCCGCAATCCCGCCGAAAGAGTACATTAGCTTTGGGCTTTATGGTTATCTTGAAAGGCGAGGCAAGAATTCAAACATTGTCCACAAACGAAGCCCTAAGGGGCACAAATAAATGAAAGGAATGAATAAGAAAATCAATAAAGAAGGGAAGAGATGTTTTTCATATATCCCATGCCAGACAAAAAACGACTTGAACTTCGAAAAAATGAGAGCTTGCTGCCTGGCTCTTATAGATGAATCGATGAATATGGAGGACAGAAACCTGATAAGTATATCACCTATGTCCGAAAACTGGGTAAACATGGACAATGCAAGGCTTACACAGTTGGACCCAAGGAAGAGTTTGTTGAAATTGGGACGACGTCCAAGAAAAGAAAAATCGAATGCAGTTGAGGCTAAGCTCGAGCTTGTCTTTTTCATTTATGAAGTTACACTAGCAGAACACCTGCTATCCTCGAATATTCGGGACTCTTTGGTGCCCTTGAAAAATACCTACTTTGTCTCGAAAACGTTGTCACCGTTGGGTCACAGTCTTATACAACAAATTTAATCCTCGGTGGATTAAAGAATACCGGCTTTCGCTGCTGCCTAGGCTTACGTGCATTGAGGAGCCAATTCAGCACCACTGACAGCTACAAGCATTGGCCAACACCCCATTTTTGGCAGGAGACATTCTACATTACTCACGGTTTGGCATTCTCACAACAGCTCAACGCCATAATCAAATCCAGTCGAAAGGTCCAAGCCCTCCACACCTGCGGCATGAAGTTAAGCTCTTTTCGACTGATAGAGTCACGGTATCAATGACTTCTTGCACTCCTAAAAGATCTGACGACTCTAAATATACGCATCCGCCTTAAGATCACGAACAAGACAAGAGACATTTGATGAAGACACCTCTAAACGTCCTCTCAATGTTCTAGTCACAGTTGCACCGACACTGAAAACCCTGACCTTTGCCCAATAGAGTCCCGTAGAAGAATTATCTCCACTCTACTTTAAGGATCTTTCTCAGAGAATTCGGTTTTCCCAGCTAGAGGAGCTTCATCTTTATTTGATCGAGGTGACAGTAAATAGCCTCAAAGGATTTCTACGGATAGCAGCCCCAACCTTGAAACGACTGAGTCTGAGGTTAGTTAGTTTAGTTGATGGGCTAATATTAGCGCCAGATCCAGGACTCCTGACTGAAAACAGTGTGGTTGGATCCCTTCATTATCCATCAAAGTCAAAAATGAGATGCAGGGGCTCTGGAAGCGCATTTTTGAATTTTGGGCAGATCATCTCAAGCTGCAATACATCTAACTGTCCAAGATTGGGTACCGGGAAGAGATATAATATTGCAAGATCGCTTATATACGGAACGCGGGCAGCCGGATACAAAGCCTTCTCCTGGCTTGAACCCGTCTAGCTTCTATTTTGATGTTGAGAGGGCAAGTATACCCTTCAAAGAGTGGGTCACACAGCTTCAGATACAGATGTGTCATCGGACGAACTTTAGAGGTCTCAAGCTCCTAGGGAACAGCAGTATCCACTTGCACCAACACCAACCAGGTCGGGGATTAAGGAGGAAGGTTAATTACGCATGCAGATTTGGCCAATAAGAGGTTATAATCGTGTCGTTTTATAAGATGGTTATGATATTGAGTGCCTAGTGGTGAAGCCACCTTCTTCCGCAAACTTTATCACAAAGAATGTATATAGTGCGAGCGTACTAGTGTGTCTGCTTTGCAGGGAACAAGTACGGATGCAAATCATTAAATTACTTGAGGAACTAAAAGGCACATATAGGCAGTTCTAATTACATAGCTAATGGTACTAGGCAGGCATAGGCTTCCCCAAGTGGGTAGGATTAAGGCTTGCACGGCGATAGTCGCCATCAGGATCAATTACCAAATTACTCCGCAGTTCTTCTCTCTCCACTCATATCTCCTTTCCCTTTGTAAAACATGTAGTGATCTCTTTATTGATACAAAAGTGCCAATTCATTGGTCGATGAAAGTCGTCATCGCTACCGTTCTAAGCTTTTCCGCACCTTATATAAACCTAATTAGGATAAGATCCTCGAATACTCAAATATTCGCGAATTATTCGTCTTCGTGCCGAGCTCTACGTAGCCTCTCTGCCATTAGATCCCTGCCATCTGACAGTAAGGCTGAAAGAAGACCCGAAGATGTCGTTGCGAGTCATGTGGAGCTTTTGGCCCTACCCGTGGGGCCTAATTCAACTTACTAGCCCCACAACTTATTTATAGCGTGAGAGCTAGGGCTATCTTTCTTTCAACTGCGAAAAGATGAAGGTGCCAGCTCTTATATATATATATATATATATATATATATATAAGAATACATTAAAAAACGAAAGGTGATATTTCCAAGCAAGCACTAAAGGTAATTACATAGCCTAATTTGAAGATTTGGCACCTATCAAGCCGGATTCAGTAGGATCATTGCAATTAAGTGGAGGGCGTTCATCCCCCAGATTAATGAAGAGCCCTGGAGATCCCTCAGGATCGTTAATTAAAGTTTCAAGGACTGAAGGTAAAAAATTTATAAGGAACATTTTCTCCCTCATTGCTCTTGTATTATTCAATTCAGTCAGTATTTTGTTGAGATGAACTTCTTTCTAAGACCCAGTCCATATCTCGCGCCCTCTGTGAGAGGAGGCGGCTTTCACATTCTATGTATCTGGTTTACTCTGATATACCTCTTTGGCTTTATAGCTGCAGATCAAGCCCTTAAAAGTAACCAATTTTCATTTACTGAAAAACAAAAAGAATGGCTTCCATCGACCTCACCGGTATGAGAATTTACGCCCATACCACAACCTGACGTAAAATATAGCCATTAAATGGTTGGTCTTAAGAATTCGAGATGGAAACTAACTACTTTTGAGCAGGAGCTATCTTCGATCGCCGACTCCTCACTCGTAGACACCTTGTCTCTGCCGGCTTTAAGTCTCAAGAAACGTAGAGTATCCCGCATCGAGACTCCTCTGGCTGAAACAAGCACACTATACCAAAAATATCTTGCAAAGGGCCATGGGAAATACAATATTGCATTGCAGACTGTCCAAAAGCCTCCGTCCACAGACCCAGGCCCAAGCACTATCAATTCCAATCGTTGGACGATGGTAGAAATCACAGCTGAGCTCGATGACCCCTTGATGTCAGAAGATGAGGAAATCCCATGCGATGATGAGGAACTTGAACTATACAGTGATTTTGAGCTATCCCATCTTGGGATAAAGTGGAACCAAAACACATTTAAGGATATCCTTGTTTACTTGAAATCGAACTCAAAGCTTCGATATAGGAACTATTATGGCCCAAAAATTGGGGTCATTGTGGCGAAATCAAACTATGGTCAAGTTGGAAAAGCTCGTGCGCCAGATAAATGGTCTGATATCGCGTGGCTTGTATGGGTTCAACAATGCTCTCTACAAAATACCCTCCCCTCTCAACTAGGCTACATTATTCAAGAAGCCATTGCAAACGATGATACGACAACTTTATTGGATGAAATCACACGAGGTATGGCAAAAGAAGAGAAAGACAAGCCTGTGGTTTTTACCTGGACTCCTCAAGATGAGGAATTTTATGCACTTCTTGGGAGTCCCAATGGCATTGGCACAGCATTCTTATCAATCAATTACCCAAACGCCTTGGGTCTGAAAGTTCCATCTTATATTACAGCCTTCTCCGAGTATAAAATCTGGGTTATGACAGTTCATATGGCCTAGGCTGCGTGATAGCTTCAAGGGTCACGTCATTCAATCCGATCGGATCTTGTGGGATGCAGTATACCTAGGTACCTCACCGTTCGAGTGAATCAAACGGTTGATAAGTGGAGTAAATCCCAGCAATACCATACTACTCAACTGTATCCCGGTGACTTTTCTATCGTACGAGCCTGACAAATTGATATGCTCTAAGTTATAATTTGCTTTTATTAGACATGAATTTCAGTCAATCAGATTTGATAGGGTGCTCAGCTCTGTATACTGTATAACCATCTAATGTTCGCCCACCTTAGTGTATTCTGGGCATGAGTGACATCCCGTCCGGCTAAGACCAGACAAACGCGATGAATTTTTAATTTTATCTTCACGAAAAAAGGCGACTTGAGCGGTATCACTTTTACGTAATCTCACAGATACAGGTAATGGAGCAGGCTGTATGGTGCATAATCACTAGGGTGTGTGCGGGATAGCACATTGAAGAAAGTCTAAGCCCGTGAATTGAAAAACTGTGACTTATCAAACATAGAATAACAGGCCCTCTTTAGCTCCTCATACCAATATATATGAACATAGAAGCAACTGCCAGCAAAGTAGAGGTAGATTCAGGTTGTGATAGGAATAATGATGAATAGTTTTGCTTGCGGATGAAAGGGCTCCATTAGCAAGAAGGGCTGATGAGCCCAATTAAAAGCAATTGGAGATCGGTGGGGGGTAAAATCATGTACACTTCCTGTAAGCTCTGGAAATAAGTTAATTTATCATTCATCATCGTGGAGTTATCGTATTTCCTCGATCAATATTGCGAATGGGATGTGGAAGAGACAGCTGCTTATTGTGAAGGTTCTGGACCAGTTGCCTCGGACTCGATAGACGGTACACTTTTGGCTGTCACTAGTGAGGTAGTCTCGCTAAAGTTGCTTGAATCGTCATCTATTAATTGTTTATAAGTGGGGCGAATACTTGAACCGACATAGTATACTGGCCTTCTCGACTCTTGAAACCACGCACATCATTCCTAAAACGGGTAGACAGATGCCATCCTTTCTCCACTAGTACTTGTGGGAACTTCCTTCTTTATGTCCCTCATGTCCCTAAAAGACGATTAAATGATGACAAGAGCAAAAATTGCAGTGAGCTCCTTACCGATGGCATGTGCCACACAGCGGTGGTGTATGGGTCCGTCTTATTCTTCTCAGCCACTAATCTAAAGGCCTCTCTTATACCCGTTGCATTTATAGGCGCTTCTTTATGGCCAGCTTCAATCCACTATATCCAAGCAAAGCCTTTTCCTGTTTGATAACAGGCTGAGGTATTGATGGGCGCTTACGGCGAGCCATTTTCAATTTGCATAAATGATCATAATAATCAACTCTTGATAAGGGAAAGGATCGAACGATTTTGAAAATGTCGTGGGGAAAGCGACCCCTTCTTGTTGGGAGGCTGCCATAGCCCCCACATACACCGAATCCGCCTGTACGCTGCGATACTCCAACTCCTTATCCCTCAATGTAACTTATCAAAGATTCGGAATTCTGCATTCTATTAGTAGCCTAGGGGTATGAATAATCTATCAAAGACACCTTATATCTCGCCATGTATTGGGCCTCATGCTCAAGGATTCCGTTGCACTTACCCTACCTTTACTATAGTTGCCAAAGCTTGCCGTATCACTGTCCGAGTCTTCACTATTGAGAGATATCACAATCCGTTTTGTTAATTGCAGGCTATCGCTTTAAGCCAAATAAATACAATCGAGCGCTAGGGAACCCCTTTCAAGAAGGAACAAGCATTGAGCTCTTCCAACGAGATATCTTCCCAGCAAGAGAGTAAGAGAGACGCGGGCTCTCAGCGAGAAAGGTATGATATATTTGAAAAGCCTGAGAAGACAATTTAAACTTGATAGATTTTTGTCTCTAATCTCCATAGGTTCAATGTATACTCTTTTATTATGCAAATCTCCTTTAATAATTACGCCCGAGCGATTTAGCTCACGATAAGATATTAGAGGATGTTAAGGCCTTTGGAAATAAAGTATGTAGCCTGTAGGCATAGTTAAACAAGGAGGAATTCATATGAAGTATAAAAACAAGAACAAGAGAACACACCCCCCCTAGATTATCAATCCCGGACGCGAGACACGAACATCAAAAGCGAGCGAGAGATTGCGGGCAACCTCCATTCTAGCAGCTGGAGCGACAACTACAGCTCCGTCAGAATTCGTTCAATAATGGCGCCTAGGAATGATGATTATCAGCAATACTCTATATTAAAGGAGGAAAAACAACTCACTGCTCAGCTAGTATAGGTCGCCAAGGTTTACTAGACACTCTGCGATGAGCTTCCCTGTCCGAAGGCTGTGAAGAGGTGTCAACTGAAAGTCGGTCGTCACTGCGTGACTATTGCTGACTTCGACAAGGCAGTCAGTCTAGTCTCCATCGCAGTGAATCCGGCAGTCCCGTTGGTATCGAGGGTCGTGACTCGAGCAGTCAGATTCGCCATATTCGCATATATGGCGGTGACTGGCGCCACGAGGGCATTGACTTGCGGATCTGCCCTGGGCTGCTGACTTAATTGCGAGGAACAGCTGCATGCCATTTGTGGCGTGGTGGGCTGTGCAATTGGCCGGGATGGCTAGAGGTAGAAAGTAAGTGAGATGAGGTCAGTAAAATGCAATAGAATAGAACATACCATCGGTTTGGCCGGACAGGCTTTTCCAGATCCCCCATCCAACAATACCCTGCACTACAGCTCCTCTGAGGACTCCCGGTCCACAGGAGGGGAGGGAGGTCGGTGCGATGCCTGTTGGATTGTCTGGGCGGCGTCGCAAAGCTGTAGCAGCCGAGCAACCGCTGCGTAGTCGAAGGTGGCTTCAGTACCCAGGCTGAATCCTTCGTCGAAGACTTGGGCGGTCACCAGACATGGTGGAGTCGCAGGGCGTGGAGGGGAGGAGGGTACATCGACAGAACTGTCCAAAGACATTTTTCTAGTCGGTACATGGAGAGAAGAGTCTGCAACGAGCGTACCCGAAGCCTCATCCCACTCACTGTCTGTATCCGAGGGAACCTCTTCACCGCACCAGTCCATGTCTGGATCAGGATCATTGCGGGGGCTGCTCAGTATCAGGAGAGATGGACTATCTTCGGGAGCCGGAGTCTCAAAAACCCACTCCATAGGGTCCTCACCATCATCATGGAAGGTGGCGGTGTCCATTGGAGAGGTTGCCACAAGCTCAGGTAATGCCGCAGGGAAAAGGATACTGGCCAGGTATCCAACTCCCTGTCCACCAAAGAAGTAGTCGAGATGGCTTCGAAGATCTTCCCACTGACCGGGGCTGAAAGCCGGGCATGTCAAGGTAGACTCGGCATCAAAATCCCGAGCCAGGATAGCCTCTTCGAAGCCAACTGAAACTTGTTCCAAAGGCACTGCCATGATGTTAGCATATACCCGAAAATGGAGTGAGCTAATGTAACATACAGCAAAACATCACATCAGTGGCTCCAATCCACAGAAAATCAGGAGAAATTACCAGCATGATCAGCCGACTGTGATCAGTCTGTGGATTGAGGATCATAACGATCTGGGTTTGGAACAGGCCATGGCTGTACCAGAGGACAACAATGCAGGAATCTGGGGGTCCGCTGCAGATGAGGGTATCGAGCAGCCCAGCCTGTCCATTCCCAAACAGTTGCCCGCTAGCAGACAGGTATCCATGGACCAGCCAATGAATACCCGAGATGGCAAATTGGGGAAAGAGCTGCAAAAACGCACGGGTATAGTTAATGTTAGCCATTTCGAAAAGATTTGGAGAAAAGGAAGAAGAGGTTTACAGTTGGGAATGGAAGAGCTTTATAGTTCTACTTCGAAGTTCAAACTGCATCAGGAATTGTAAGAGTGCGAGTGAAAGTGGAAGTGGAAGTGGAAGTAGAAGTAGAAGTAGAAGTGGAAGTGGAAGTGGAAGTGGAAGTGGAAGTGGAAGTGGAAGTGGAAGTGGAAGTGGAAGTAGATGCGGAGCTGAACGTGGAATTAATGTGAATAGAAGTAAGGTGATCTGAAGTCGTGTGGGGTGAAGCTTACAATAGAAAATACTAAAGTAAAAGTGAAATGGAAGTGGAAAGGTGTAGTTGAAGATTGAGCTTTATAATATGAGATGGAGTGTAAGTGAAATTCAAATTAAATTGGGACACAGCATGAGAGAACCAATGATGAAATTTAAAATTGATTGAAGTTGAGAGAGCGAGTCTAAATGAGGGTGTAATGAGTGGAAGGTAAACGTGCTGTTAAATGTTTGAAGCTCAATATTGGCTTTAATTTGATATTGATAAGTAATGACCGGCTTATGCATTGGAGATTGATGGTTTTGACCCAAGTTTTGGCTCTTAATCCTGCATGCCTAAGTAGTGAGATAGAATGGCCAAGAACGGAGATCACCTTTCATTGGATAATGCAATTTCGAGTAGCATTTTCCAATCTGATCAAGTTGTCAACGAGTTGTTGAGTGACTACTCCCTCTACATCGACGACCTCAAGCAACTTCTAGCAGTTCATCAAAGGTATACTCGTAATGGGAGCCACACTGACCTGCAGACGTTGGAAGAGACTGGCATCCTTCCTCTTTTGAGATGCGTAAGAACTTGCTGACTTCTTCATTTCACCCACCTCGCCAAAGTCTAGACAGTGAATTTTATTTTGGTGAATATAGTCCATAATAAGATCCAATCCATAGCAATATTCTCATATTATTAGCAGTCACTCTAATGTCAGCGACTCTTCTCAAGTCGACCACTTCCCAAGCTATCAATCAGTGAGCCCAAGGAGATATGGTGAACAATCAATGAGAGCGCCTTGCCGATTCTTAATTGCTGTCATGAACGAGAAGTCTACAAAATGAAGCAGCTGACACGGAGTCTTTGATAGAAGTGCCAGTTCAGGCTGCCCAAGCAACAGTCTCGCTACACACTGGGATGCGAATAAAGCCGGGGGTGGTGATATCTCAATCCCTAAGATCATTGAGTGTGATATCGTTGCTGACATCCACCGCAGCCGCGCTATTGGCGTCACCATTCTGAACGTAAGTTCGAATAGCAGCCTTAATCAACTCCGATACGGTGAGGCCACTCCAAAGTGAGCTATTAAGCGTATCAGAATCTGAAGTCGAAAAGTCATTACTAACATAAACATCTGGGGCAGTAGGTCAATAGGTTCCAAGGTTGGACACACGAGAAAATGCTAGGAGGCCAATGTTGTTATATATATCTAAAGACAAGTGGTTGGGGCCGCGCATTGCGCGGCCCTAGTGGAAATTTAAATTTACATCTAATTTCTGTACACTGATTGATAAAACATAGGTGTTGAAACTTATAATGTGACTGAATTAATGAAATTAGAGCCAGTTAACTAGGTTCACTTGATACTTTATTTATACTTAAACATTCCAGTTATGCATCCAATATTTCTTTCGTCTCCTTTAGTAGCTATGTTTTACTAATCAGTGTACAGAAATTAGCTATCTAAATATAGGATTCTGCCTTTAATCCATGTCGGATAATTCACTTGAGACAGCAAAAGAGTTAGATATAGTAGCCGCCTTCTTACCCTTACTACTCCTCCTCCTCTTTCTCTTCCTGCCTAAATTGTGTATGTTAGCCCATATCCTCAAATGAAAGTAAAAAGATCACCCAAGTCCAACCAATACTACCACCTAAACCAATAAAACATAAACCCAATAACTAACACTTAGGTATATCGGAAGCGCCTAATTCTACTCCTAGTTGATATACCTTGGTCATTAGCATCAGCAGGCGCCTCAGTAGGCGCCTCGGCATGCACTGGAGCAATATCTGTTGCCTGCATAAGCTGACTCAAGGATGCAGGAGGCGATACATCGCGAAATCGGTTCACAGATGGTGATGGGTTTACTGTCGCTCGCTTAACGAGCGTAGCTAGCTAGTCGCCGATAACTGAGAACGGTGCTCGAGTCCTTACTGCAGTAAAAGGGAATTGGAGGTTACTGCAGTAGAAAGGAGTTGGTGAGCTTCAACAAACCACTACTCAACACCGTAGACAAACCACCAAGTGTAGTGGTCTCTACAGTACTGAATATTGTGGTTGTTGTGAAGTCTGCTTTTTCATTGATGAAAGAACTAGCTACTTATAGTACATGGGCGCCCCTCTGCTCTGGACGAATGTCAACATTCGTCCGAGACAGAAGAGACGGTGAAGACGGGACATTACTGTCGCGAATGCGCATCGCTCAAGGGTGTCGTTTGCGATGAATGCATATCGTTCAAGGATGCCGTGATATACTAATCCAGTTCCGGAGTCGCTGTCTCGGCAGAAGCTTTTTCGGCCGAAATACTTTCCGTCTGTTGATGGCCTTGTTTCTCGGCCGTCGCAACATTTACACTAAAATTACCAATAGTACGCAGACGTCTACGCCGAGGAGTAGTAGCAACGGTGTAGCTGCACCGGTAGCTGCGCCTCCACGGCCACTGTTTGTAGACGGCAGGAAGGAGTAGTTGGTTGCCACCATACAGAGTATCTGTGTCTTCTCGTGTAGATAGAAGCCGAGAAACTGGCCAGATGCGAGGACATGACGCCCAATATATGGCAACGGTGACTTCTTGAATCGGCTAGTACTGGGGAGAACAACAGCCACGTGGAATGTCGTATGCTTTAGATCTGCCTCACAAAAGGCATGATGTATAGTCTGGCGGAGGACGAAGATGCGAGCACCTAGAGGATCAGTAGCCTCGCCGATAACTGCCCCTATTATGGTCAGCTTCGGCGCCCAGGCGGCTGGGAGGCTTTCGTAGTAGGCATCCTCAGATAGCTCCCCAGGTACACTTATAAAGAAAGGTTAGTCTTGTTAATTAAGAATATATAGGAAATTCACTACTCATAGCTGTACTGTCGCTCGCTTAGCGAGCGTAGCTAGCTAATCGCTCGTTACTGAGAACGGTGAGCTCCAACGAACCACTACTCAACACCGTAGACAAACCACCAAGTGTAGTGGTCTCTACAGTACTGAATATTGTGGTTGTTGTGAAGTCTGCTTTTTCATTGATGAAAGAACTAGCTACTTATAGTATATGGGTGCCCCTCTGCCCTGGACGAATGTCAACATTCGTCCGAGACAGAAGAGACGGTGAAGACGGGACATTACTGTCGCAAATGCGCATCGCTCAAGGGTGTCGTTTGCGATGAATGCATATCGTTCAAGGATGCCGTGATATACTAATCCAGTTCCGGAGTCGCTGTCTCGGCAGAAGCTTTTTCGGCCGAAACACTTTCCGTCTGTTGATGGCCTTGTTTCTCGGCTGTCGCAACATGTACAGCATCAGCCCTAAAGTAAAGGCTCGGCGGGCCTCCTTGCTGCTCAACAACGATCAACGTCCTAATGGCAATTAAAGCCTGCTCTGGCTTAAACTGCTCATTCTCACCATTCCAGAAGTATAATTGGCATACTACATCTTCCGGAATGATTAGATTCGCAATAGCTATAGATATTAGTGATAGAAAGTGAAGGTAGACCGTAGAATAAGAATTATACCTGGATAGGAAGGAATATCCATGAAAACCTGGAAACGAATAGTAGTGCCAGTTAAGATACTATAGGTTTGATCGGCATCTATCAACACTAATACGTTGATTTCGCAGTAATTTTGTTCCATAGTATCAGGAGAAGAACGTCGAGAGGCTTCAAGAATCAAGAGGAGAGTATAATGATTGAAGGTAGGCAGTAGGTACTGGGAGTATGCTCCACTTCATAATAGATTTAGTCCATATTTAGACAGTTTATAAAGAAAGCATAGGTTTAAAACTCATAAATATATTATGATGATCTGAGACAAATTCATGGTGTAGTAGTGAGAGACTCTCAATTTCAACTGGAATTACAGTTTTTGATGGGGTATCAAGGCGGTAAAGCCTCCCGTTGGTGCCACATGAAAACTGCGCCAATTCCAATTTGATACTATATCAATGGTTGATGATCAAGGAGAAAGGTTTGCAAAGAAGTGGCTTCAGTATATCAAAAGCCAAAGGACTCAAACCCAGAAGCTGATTAATGAAGCTAAAACTATTCGGAGCATGCGGACGATGCCTAAAACTTGGCGGAAGCACGATCATCCACTAGGTGTTTATTTACAGTAGTTAGAATCGGACTTAGAAGAATTGAACTTGATTTGAATTAGTAATGCTATTGAGATTAGTAAGGCTTGGCAAATATCACGTGTGCGACAGTTTTTCGGCTGCCCATTACGCACACTTCCGCATATGGGGAAGATCACGTGCACGGGTCTCAGATGGATGGCAGAAATACACACCGCTCGATAACAATTTTCGTTATCGCTCTCTTTTCTGATCTCAAATTCTTAATTCCCTAGTATCAATCACCAGGTATCGTCTAGTCATTAGGATGGTCCGTCAACTTAAGCACCATGAGAAGAAGTGAGTCCTTCAATCACGAATAAAAAGCCCTTGGACTCAAGCCTGCCCCACATTCAATCTCCGCTACCCACCTTCAAATCGTCGGTCAATTACAATTCACTAACTAAAGATCCTAAAAAGGCTTCTCCGGAAGGTTGATTTCCATACCTATAAGTCCGATGGTGGTCACCGTGAGCATCAAGTTCGTCAGCGCTACCTCCTCCAAGACCCTATGGACTACCGGAAATACAATGCCATGTGCGGATCACTGCGCCAGCTTGCGCACAAGCTCTCACAGCTCGACCCTGACTCCGACCCAGTGCGCAAGAAGCTTGAGTCAGAGCTTTTGGAGAAGCTATGGCGAATGGGTATCCTGAAGCAGTCGCGCGAACAGGGTGCAGGCCTATCACGCGTTGAACGTGAAGTCACCGTTTCTGCATTCTGTCGTCGCCGCTTAGCTGTCTTGATGGTACGGAGTGGCTTGGTTGAGACTATTAAAGCGGTATGTTTTGCAACTCTCGTCTCTTTGCACCGCTTGTGTGGCCTTGTTGCAGTGTTGTTGGACTTGCATAGCAACTTACTAACATTGGCTGGCAGGCTGCTACTTTCATTGAACAGGGCCATGTTCGTGTTGGAACAGAGGTTGTCACAGACCCCGCTTTTCTCGTTACTCGCAATATGGAGGATTTCGTGACTTGGGTCGACTCTAGCAAGATCAAGCGCAACATCATGCGGTACCGTGAGAAGCTAGATGATTTTGATCTTCTGTAATTATCATTTCGGGGTCTTGTTTTGAAATTTATATATACCCGGCGCATATTTGTTGTCTGCTATTATGAGAAATGGGAAGTGATGGTGGTTATCTCTTGGCATCTGCAGCGTATTAACATCATAGGTATAGTCACATGTCAGCTTGGATTTGATCATGTAATGATATGCATCAAGTGGAAACTAAATAAATTTGGCTTGTATGTTTTCACGACTCTGAATAAATTACTATGAATGACTCCCCAGTGACTTGTATCAGACTTACAGCAAAGCTATGTTGAAATTGAAGATTGATACCTAGATCTGTTTCCTCAGTCCCAACACCTTTATGTACACAGTCCTTCTCCTTGAGCCAAACATGCCTAGCCTGAGCCTCACCCCTTGAATGACGCTGCCCTTAGCGCTGCATGTGCACGTTTTGGATATAGCTGTCCCATAGGGTGCGACCACTGTGATAATTCGCATTCCGTGGAAACCCTTGCTGGATCAGCGGAATTGTAAAACTCTAAACTCTGCAGTCCGTTCCAAATCGAGCTTGGAGAAACACTCCTCGTAAGATGGTCCAGAGTCTGCTCCCGATCTGACGACCGCGACGTCTCCAAAGACAGGCTTTCCGATGCATCGACTTCCAATTTAGTTTTTTGGGAGAAAGCTAGCTGCGGATTGGATTAGGCAGTAGACGTAATAATACCATATGTAGACGTTCAGATCAGAATAGAAATTTGTCGGCTTCATCCACCCCACGCTAACTCAGTCTCCGCTTTCATTCATTTCTACATTTCAATCACGATATAATCGTAGAGGAAATGGCCCGAACTGTTCAGTGCCAAGATGAGGAGAGGCGAGGCTCAAGATGCAGTTATGTTTTTCGTTTCCAGTGCAATATATCTTGTGCTCTTTCAATTGGCCGACCAGTATCTATCGAAAGAACTTATGTACCCTGTACATTGAAGGATGCCATGTTTCGTACAAGCACTTGAACCACAGGTAGTCGAAGCCATTCTGAATGTGTAGATGATAGTAATGGTCGAGTAGTTGACGAAACAAAAAGACGTTCTGGAAGAGGCACTAGCCCTAAAGTAGTTAGCGCGAAAATCCATGGCAACCTTGAGTCCACATCACCTTGACATAGCATACTAGTTGGCTCTATAGAGCGTCTAATTCAATCACCATTCGAGTCAGCTCGCTTGACAGAGCCTTGATAAGCCTTATTTAATGATCTAATACCTACGAAGGCTTCATCCAAGCAAGTTAGCTCCATATTTACGCGCTCAATTAATCATTGCAGACGATGACCAAAGATGATAAAAATATGCGGTCCCTGGGGCAACTCCAGTCCTCTGCAAGTCCTTCAAGCCCGTATCCTCAATCAGACTATGGCGAATTCCCTAGCTTTGGTGCTCTCGAGGAGGAAAATGAGATAATTTCCACCGACAACAATATGGAAGCCACACCTGCTCTGTCCAAGGCGCAAAATACCTCTGAGAGTCTGCCAGTCGAGTTAAATAATGACAATGCCAATATGCTCCCTCCATCGAACCCTCTGAACCCCGTAAATCCACGAATTACATCTGAAGAATACAACAAGCAATTGCTGTCCGATGCACGAATGAGGCAGTCGAGCGTTGTAAACCCTGACTTTATTCAACAATATTACCGGGAGTCCCGGCTTCATCATCTATCGACCTGGAAAGCAGAATTAAAAGCTCAACTTCAGGCAGCAGCTAGGGAGAAAACACAATCTCGCGAACCTCGAAAGAAGCCGGTATCCGGGTCAAGAAGATACATTCTCCATGTTGACTTCGATTCTTTTTTTGCGGCCGTTTCTCTTTTGGAACGTCCAGACCTCCAAAACAAACCTGTTGCAATAGCCCACGGTGCCGGTCCCGGGTCTGAAATTGCTAGCTGTAATTACGTTGCGCGTGGTCATGGTGTCAAAAACGGTATGTGGATGAAAAGTGCCCTGGAAGCATGTCCAGAGCTTCAAGTTTTATCCTACGACTTTCCAGCATACGAGGAAGCGAGTCGTAAATTTTATAATGCAGTTCTGGCCGTTGATGGCATTGTCCAGAGTGTTAGTATTGATGAGGCTCTTATCGATATCACACACATATGCTTGGATGCTGGTGGCTCGAATGGCAGAGATGTATCTGAAGAGTCCATACTTCGCGAGCAAACCAAGGCGGATGAAATCGGGCATATACTGCGCAATGAAATCAAGGAGATAACAGAGTGTGCTGTTTCGGTGGGAATTGGTGGAAATATTTTACTGGCTCGAGTTGCTTTGAGAAAGGCGAAGCCAGCTGGGCAATTTCAACTCACGCCAGATGCTGTATTGGATTTCATTGGAGATCTAAGTGTTCGAGATCTCCCAGGGGTTGGATACAGTCTCGCGGGAAAACTTGAAGAGCTAGGGGTACAACTTGTCAAGGAGATGAGAGAAGTTTCTCGGGATAGATTGATTTCGTTCCTAGGACCAAAGACTGGGATACGGATGGCAGAGTATGCACGGGGCATTGATAAGTCTGAAGTTGGCAATGACATTGTGAGAAAGTCTGTTTCGGCAGAAGTCAATTGGGGCATTCGATTTATCAATCAGGACCAAGCGGAAGATTTCATGCGATCTTTATGTGAGGAACTCAACCGAAGACTGGTTGAGAGTATGGTTAGGGGAAAGCAGCTGACTCTCAAGGTCATGCGTCGGTCACTGGACGCACCTCTTGAGCCAGTAAAGCATCTTGGCCATGGAAAGTGCGATGTGTTCAATAAAAGTGTTATGATCGGTGTGGCTACAAATTCCACAGATGTTCTGGGAAAGGAGGCTGTCTCCATGTTACGGAGTTTCAACTTCTCCCCTGGAGACTTACGCGGATTGGGGGTGCAAATGACCAAGCTAGAGCCAGTCAAGTCCAACTCTTCTGCAAACTTGGACAGCAGCCAGCGAAAGCTGAATTTTACCAAATCTCCCTCGCGCAAAAGGACAATCGAAAAATTAGAGCAGCCGCGCAAAGGGGATTCAACACCGACTCAAGTCAATCTTATGCTTAGCAACAGTTCCAATAAAGCTTTGCATATCTCTGGATCTCAACTCATCTTGCCTTCGCAAGTAGACCCATCAGTGCTTGCTGAGCTTCCTGAATATATCAGAGCAAGACTTGTCGCTCAGGCGATGCCGCAGCAACATTCGCCTCCAGGATCGCCATGTCCACCATCCCGCTCAGTGGCTCAATCGACTGCGCTCAACCTTCCTCCACAGTCTCAGTTAGACCCTGAGATCTTGGCTTCATTGCCAGATGATGTACGCAATGAAGTATTAGGATATTATAATCAACAACCTGTCGCTATTACAGCTACACAAAAAGTGTCCCGTGCGCATCCAACATCTTCCGGCTCTCTAACGTTGAAAAAAACATCCTCACCGCCGAAGAAAAGACGCGGACGCCCTCCAAAAGTGTCTCAAGCCGAGATCGATAAGAACCTGACACAGACGAGCATTATTGCTCCGCGAACAGTTGCCGTCAAACAGGAACCAGTACCGGAGCAACTGTCCTTAGCTCAAGAAACAGCCGAAATCTCAGCTGAGTTCTTAGCAGAATTGCCCGAGGATATCCGGCAAGAAATATTAGAGCAGCAAGAACGTTCTCGTATGCTGCGTTCTATTTCTGCTCCTGCTCCTGAATCTGTATCTGAACCTGCATCTGAATTAATGGAGATACCAGATTCTGTTCTCATGCCTCCACCACCAATTCCTAAATCTTTACCCCTTCCTCCACTTGCGGCTCGACCTGTTTTCACCTCGCAGGGTCTATCTAAATTATCAGATCTTCGAGGGGCTATTGGCGAATGGTATTCTACATTTGTGACCGAAGGCCCATACGATGAGGATGTCAAGGTTCTTTGTTCTTACCTTCGTCGCGTAATTGCCGATGAAAGGGATATTGATAAAGCTGTTTCAACTGTCCGGTGGCTGATGTGGCTCATTAATGATTCTACCCAGCAATGGTCTGCCAGAAGACAATCCGCGCAATCTCAAAATGAGCTCATCTCTTGGCCAGAAGCCGTTGCCATCATACATAGGAACATACAGGATGCCATGGAAGAACGAGGTTTGCCACCAGTGGACTTGGAATGAAATTTCTTGTACATCCCACGATCCCCCGCGTGAGCTCCAGCTTCATTGAACTTCAGCCTATTATATACATGCTTGTGCTTGCCGATGCCTGCTTGCATATTTCGATAGAATTATGCGCATGTTTGAAAATAGATATGACGTCATTACGAATATATGATCATCATGTTAATTGAGCGCTACATTCATACCGGAATTGCCTGTTGATTTGGGACAAAAGTCTATACATAAAAGATGCGAGAACAAGAATAATGTATTTTGGTAAGCGTCAAGAAAGTTCGAAAGCCCAAAAACTAGCAAAATTTAGCAACCACGATGAAGCTCAATAAGTATTTGGTAGGAATTTGAGAGTCCCCATCGAAGGTAAATATCGAATGAATAACTAAACATCTTCGATATTGAATTTCATCAAGATCCTGCCACGATTGTTCGACCAAGTGGCAATCCTTGCAATGCGTCACCTCTTGGAAATGAGCTGAGTACCAGACTTGCCACGACGGCGCCAATTGCTGAACTCAGCAAGGCTTGATACCTCGTATCAAGATTTCCAAGTTTTTGACCCACTACGATTCCACTTACCTTCTTACACGATATCCTGGATGAGAGATTTTGTATCGTCGTTGACATGTTCTACAAAGACGAACTTTAGCGTGTCCATCTGATATTTACATTTGTAAACGCAGTTTTATAAGTCCCAATAATCCTTTTCACCACCTGTCACCCGATCTTTCATATCCCCCGATACTCTAGGCTGTTCATAACGCCCTCCCAGCCATGTTTTGGTGGAAGCGACACCTTCTGCTCTGCGACGTTTTCTGGCGGGATCCTGCGAACTCCGTGTATCCATTATATAGATTCCTGCCAAATACAGATCATCCCCTACATCAAGTTCGTCTTCCTCGTCAATCTCGGTGTTATCTGGTCAGGCACTGAGTCTGAGCTGGATGAGGTTCGCGGGCACCTGCAGTATATCCTTCCCAAAACCTCGCACCGTGCTGACTGGAATAGCATTCGCACTACCCTTCCAGCCCTTAACTGAGCAGGGATGAGGTCTTTTGTAGGTCGTCCCCGTACGAACCGTACCAAGGGTCCTGGAGCGTCACACGTTCCGAGGTATATTTTCCCGTCATCCCTATAGTGAATAACACCACTCTGGAGATTCTCATCTAATACAGGACAAATCCCAGGTTTCGAATAGTGAGCCAGGTCAGCACAGAAGTAATATCCTTTTAAAGATGTGCGGCTAGTACCTTCAGAAGGGACATAAGCAGGGATTCTCTGAGCATCCAATTTTGACGATAGGTTATTCACTATGAGTTTTAGTTGGTCGAGGCTTTTCATGATGTCAGCGATTTGACTCGTTAACCGCTTGTTAGGGGAGTCCCGTTATTTCCTTTCTGAAGAGATATCCTTTACTCTGTCAAGATAAGGGGTTTTTCGGTCGAAAACCGACCTTCTTTGATCCCTGCTGCTCTATGATCGTCATGGTACGATCATAGCGCTTCTGGGTGTTCAGAGTGTCAACCACAACCTTTAATAGCCACGAGAAATGAATTTTCCTCTCAGAAGAAGGGTCGTCGAAGTTGATCCCACCCTTATTGACTACCTTACTACTGAACCAAGGGAGTAATACCTGTAATAGCTATTCACAACTCATAAGTTCCGGCATCACACCCCGAGACATCAACACGTCTGAGATTAAAGAGAAATCTATAAGAAACTGGCGGATCTCGTCATCTGTCTCATGTGACTGGTCCCGCAAGGTCGCCAACGCTGCTCCCGTAAACCTATGGTAGTCGCCGTCTTGGTCCCGATAGCGCTCGCTGATCACTTCTTTGAAGCTTTCCCATTCGCGGTCCTTTCATTCCGCAAGATTTTCTGCACAAAACCGAATCCCCTTCTCGCAGTAGTCTGGGAATCATTCACCGAGTAACGTTGTGTCGGTGATTCCTTTTTGCTTCGCCATCTTTTCAAACCGTTTGATGGTCTCCGTCACACCCTTGCCCTCGAAATAGGGGGTTCCTGAAGACCCGGGTTCCGGCATAGGTATGCTTAAGAGCGACATCTGCGCTGGTCTCATAGGCTGTGTAGTCACAGCAGCCTCCGGTAGGAACCTCAAAACTGTTCCTAACGGGGACCAAACCCACCCAGGTGGTAAAGGGGTACCTTGCCATAGGGCACTCTTAGCCGCGGGCGACTGAGGAGTTTCTTGGTTTCCCTTATGATCATCTTTGCTGGAAGCCTCCGATTCGACCCTATCTAGCTCGCGATACCCTTCAAAAGAGGGCAGAACAACACCAGAAGACATGCTGTCCATACTAGCTGGTATGGACACTGAATCAAAAGGGCTCATCTTGCTTGAAGATGACGATGAATAGTTAGGAGAATAAGAGTGACACGAATCTGGAGGCCTTCACAGTATCTTCTGAATTCAAATCAAAAAAAGAACTGTTTCTTAACCTCTGAGATTCAACCTGTATGTACTACGCGAGTCGTTTTCCAAGGAGTAGTCTCCGGACTGATCCCCGAGGATGTTGCATAAATGCCACTTCTGCTAGGGTATTCCTGGAACCTGGTTTCGGGGTCCTCCCAGCCCTTTCTTTCCGGATTGAAATGTTTATCAAAACTCTTATGGACATCTAGTACACCTGCTGTATAGCCAGGTTTACCCATACTCTATATAAGCCCGGCCAAATCTTCTCGGCCGAAAAATGTAGTTCTCGCGTGTCAATTAGAACCAACTCCCGTAGCTCGCTCGTTTCTGTCAGCTTGTTTGCTATAAGACGGCGCAGCAGCTGGAGGTATTCGCTACATAGCCCGAACATTCTGTATATTTGCCTTATAAATTGCCCTGTAGAAAACCCACCTACTCATTTCAACTGAAGCTAAACCCCCGCTCCCAAATAGATTCTCGGGGTCAAGCTTATCTCCCACTTTTTTGATGACCGACCTCTCTTTTTTTCTCCTTCACTTCTCTAGCGATCTCGTCGTTCCTGAATATTCTAGCGTGTCCAACCATCTTTTGAGTAGATATCTCGTTTCCCCCTGGTTAGGTCACCATGTAAAATAGGGAACGCTCTAGGCAGCACGGTTGGAACATGTAGGTCGATTCAGCAAAAACACATATCTCTTGGCATATCGAATTCTTGAAATATCTCCATAACCAAGCCTTTTGGCGATCCACCGTAAGCGGGAAGTTTGTAATTACTTCCGGCGATACATTCTGATACCATTTTCGAGCGTATCAGCATGCCAGTGCCGGCATCCGCGTGGCCGACCCTCTCAGGAGGGGCTGGCCGCACGGCACCCGCAGACACCACAGCCAGACTATTGAACGCCAACCACGACACAAAGCAGTTACTATCTTATAGACAAGCAAGCAGGGCACCGTGTGCCCACCCAGGTCTTGTTGCACCTCAAATCGATCGAGGAACTTACTGGGGACCTCCTTAAGAACCCCATAGGTGCTGACTGGCGTGCAGAGTTTTCTCAGCTCCGCTAGGAAACGCTGGAGATGCGAAAAGACCTCACTGCAGTGAGAGCAGTGGCCGAACGGCATCTGCCAACTCGGATGAGCACAGGCAGCTGGGAAGACCTCGCGAGAGCGGCGCCAGCCCCAGCGCACCATCTATCGTCTTATGGCTCTGCATATTCTGCGACCACGGCGGTGAGCAATATTGCCGCAGATCGAGCGATCACAGACCGCCTCAACGACCCTGAGGCAGTCAACCGTTACCGACGCGAAACGCCTGTCGAGATGACTGCCAAGGCAAATCGGCTGCGTGGACGAGCAGCTAGAGGTCGGCACGGTTTTACGGATATCCGTATCCGTAACCGTAACCGTAGAATTTCTACGGTTACGGATACGAATAAAATCTCTACGGTTACGGTTACGAATAAGTGCCCTCTATCCGTACGGATATCCGTAATATCCGTAGCTTATATCACGTGTCTAGAACCACATGCAGTTCTAATATATATTTCCATGTCTATAGAGTTATAAATCTCATGTAATTCTTAAGTAAAAGAAATTTCAATTAGGAATCAATATTATATATATTTCTTAACAAAACTAACTCTCTCATAGTCTTGCTGTTTAGAGATTGTCGACGAACACCCAGGATATCCCTTACAGAACTGAAAAGTCTTTCAACTGAAACCTCAGCTGCTGGAATACCAAGGTAGTCCCTTGCAACTGCTGCCATCCTGGGGTATTTATCCTTATGAGCGTTCCACCATGAAAGCAGCCACTTAGAGTCATCTTGGTCTTCTATTAATCCTTCTACTTGAATAGGAGGCTCATCAAAATAGCGATCAATATCAGAAGCCCGAGATACTTCTTGAGAATGTACTTTTTGTAGAAGACGAGCTCTCATACCTGGTCGAGCAGGAGGATCCATAGTTCTAGAAGTAGAACTAGAGATGGAGGTAGCCAAAGGGGGATATTTCTTATGAAGAAAGACCTTAATGCTCTGAATGATTCCTTGGATAACCCCATCTTCAAGCTCTTGTTCTAAAAGAGCAAATTTGACACGTGGATCAAGAGCAAGAGCTATATAATAGATATCTTGCATATCCATAAGATCATAGTATTTCCTATACTTTTGCATTCCAACCAAGACAGCAGAAGAGATATCAGGACTAAGCCCTGTAAAGTCGCCTTCAAAAGAAGCTGCTTCTATAAGGAGGTCATGTAATTCATAGTAAATAGGAATTACTAGACTTATATGAGTAGACATGTTCATTGGGTTGGGTAAACCCATACCCAACCCAACCCAACCCACAATGGGCTGGGTATGGGTCAGAAATTTTACCCAAAACCCATATGGGTTGGGTATGGGTTTGAAGTAAAACCCACACCCAGCCCATAAACCCATCTTTTTGCCAAGACTTTTATTTCACGTGATATTTGTCACCTAGTTAGTACTAGATTGAGGCAAAAATTAGGCACTAAGGCACTGATTACCCTAATTTAGTTTAGGTTGAGGCGAAAATCAGGCATTAAGGCATCAAAAATACCCACATGGGACCCATACCCAACCCATACCCACGTGGGTTGGGTTGGGTATGGGTATGGGTTTACCTTACCCCTGATGGGTTGGGTATGGGTATGAATTTTGACCTATACCCAACCCATGCACATGTCTACACCCCGCTAAAGGGACATATAAGCTACTATGGCCAGCGGAGACAGAGACAGGCCAACGGGCCAGAGTATATATGTATATATCAATGAGATTAGCAGGGTGGACATATTACGCACACTCAGGGGATGTGCAGGAAGTGAGAATTCGGACCGGAGTGGGGACGGTTTAAGCCTCCTGAAATATCTGATAAGCCCAGCAAGGGAGCAGAAGGGGTTCTCATATGTGATAGTCGGGGATTTCAACTTACACCACCCGGTATGGGGAGGGGATTAATGCGGTGGAGGATGCGAAGGCGGAGGAGCTACTGGAACTAACAGATACAGTGAACCTAGAGCTCTGGACAGAGCCTGGGGTCCCGACGGGAATGAATGCAGTGAGCCAAACCACAATCGACCTGGTACTAGCGTCACACAAGCTCCAAGCACGCCTAATAGCGTGCGCGGTGAGCGAGGACACACATGCGGACTCAGATCATATGCCAATTGTCACCCAGATTGATCTAAGTACGCAGTGTGTAGAGGAAGCTCGCCGGCGCTGCTGGAAGGTAATGGACACAAAAAAATTCCTAGAATTTGTGTCAGCGAACCTACTAGGTAAGAGGGGGGATTCAAGGGGAGAGTCCAAGGGATGTCGACAGGGCGGTCGAACACCTCCTCAGTGTTATATAGCAAGGGGTACAGGAGTCTACACCCTGGGCCCGGCCATCAGCATGGGCACAACCTGGGTGGACACCCGAATGTACAAAAGTGATCAAGGACACTCGACGGAGCTTCCGACCTCGACGACATCGCTAATGCCGGATAAAAGAGCAACTATAGTTCCCACCAATATCTGAGCAAGAAGTCATCAATGCGATCCGGAGAGCGCCACCAGATAAGGCCCCTGGGCCAGATGAACTACCAAACAGGGTGTGGAAGCTTCTTCTCGCGTGTAAAGACTTCACCCGAATCCTTACCACGATCTTCGACACCTGCATACGAACAGGATACAACCCACGACACTTCCAACAGTCGATCACAGTCGTCCTAAGAAAAGGAGGCCCCCGGGACTTCCGCAAACCAAAATCATATTGACCAATCGCTCTTATGAACACCTTAGGGAAACTTCTAGAAGCAGTGGTCGCAAGCTGGATCTCATGGGCTATCGAAGAACACTCTCTGCTGCCATCAACCCATCTTGGGGAACGCAAGGGCATCTCAGTGGATCACGCGATTCAGCTAATACTTGACCATGCACACCGGGCCTGGGGTCACGGACAGAAGGTGAGTATGTTGCTTCTCGATGTCTCTGGAGCATACGATAATGTCTCTCACCAACGATTACTTCATAATATGCGAATGCTTAAGCTTGGGCAATTTACACCATGGGTGTAATCTTTCCTCACAGACAGATCCATGCGCCTTAAGCTGCCGGGTTTTATCAGCGAACTATTCGCCACTAAAACAGGCATTCCAAGGAAGATCCTGGTCACGACCTTATGCTAGTATAAATAGCAAATCAAACTATCCAACCCTCAAACTATGCCAAATACCTCGGCATTTGGCTTGACAGGCGACTACTATTTGACACCCACCGCGCGAAACTCTCAGCTAAGGCAAATGGCAGTCTAGAAGCTCTCCGGGGCATGACAGGCTCCATGTGGGGCACCTCGCTCACAGCCATGAGAATGGTCTACCAAGCGGTAGTAGTGCCACAGATGCTCTACAGGGTAGCTGCATGGTACTCTCCAGCCTCCTGCGCTGCACCAAACGCTGCACCAAAGAAGGAAGAAAACAGAACAATCCATACTTTTACTGAAATACAACGCCGGGCGTCGATCTTAATCGCCGGTGCCTTCAAAAGCATGTCTGCCGCGGCGCTTAACGTGAAGCTCTATCTGATGCCAATCCACTTACAAATGCGCCAAACCATCGAAGAAACAGCCATCCGAATCTAAACAGGAGCTAAGTGGGCTCAACCAGAGTGCCTGACCACACGCTGGCCACGTAAACCTGAACACGCTAAGCGAGGGGGCTCTCACCCCTTGAAGCTCTCCAAAAGAAAGGTCAGATCCTAAACAACACATATAGGCAAGAGTGGGAATCAAGAACAGCCTTCATGCTAGCACTGTGGTAACTGAGGATACGTTATGTGATCGAGGACACAGAGAATGCGGTCAAAACACACGACGACACCCAAACTAAAACCCTCTCTACCAAGATAGACGCCGCTGCCCAGGAACAGGAGCCCGACCTGTTCCTAGATCATATCCCAATCAGTCACTTTAGTAAGTCCGACCTATCCCCACGCGAACTGGTTATCTTCGCAGATCCGCAGGCTGCAATCTAAGCCGTGCAAAACCCGAACGCCCCTCCGGCCAACATGTTCTCCACGCAATTTATGCCCATAACCGTGCCTCTACTTCGAGATTCTATAACTCTTCATGGCTACCTATACCGAGGACCACATCTGGAATCATGCTGTGATGTAGGTGAATTCATTCTAGCCTCTTGCACCTCGTAACATATGAAATAATCTAAATAGAAGGTGGATCGGCCGAAGTCACATTTGCCCTGACACAAATCCGCTACGGACAACGTCATCTTGGGGATCAGTTGTTTCAACCAGTGAATAGGATGTTGCGCTCATCCTGAGATATTGTCTCTCTCACCCATTGCCTCCGACTCGTAACTCACCTTAGCTATCAGGTCAAATCCGGTTGTGATTGAGACAAGGCGCAAAGGCGAGAAGGCAACGCAACCAGCGAAGTAGTTCTGGAGTAGCCAGTCTTGGTTGGAGACATCCAGCTCGCTCTTCATCAAAGCAACTAGCACTTTATCTCCGATGGTATTGGCCCAATCTGCAAGGATACAAGCGCAACCATCACAACATTCTGAAGAGATGGCCCACAGGGCAACACGGCGGATGGCAACTGCAATAGCAACAGGACGAGAGTGGGTCACACTCTCGGGCAAGCCGTGGACAGCATAAACCTCGTCGTTTTTGCGATCAAAAGCCTCACGGAAAGGAGCAGTGCATTGAGCACAAATCTCAGGAGGGACTAAGTCATCAGTCTCCAGGTTGAGAATATAGCTTTGAGTGAAGTTTTTCCTGGGAACTAGCTTGGAGGCGGTGGCCGGGTTGACAACCATTTCCCAAGCAGGCCCAAGATCCTGAGACACATCTTTAGGCAAAAGCACCATGCCATCCTCCGCTCTACGAAGGACGGCAGCTGCCTCGTCAGAATCGTTCCGGCGAAGTAGTCTGACATACTTGACAAAGCGATCCCATGCTCTGTATCGAACATTGAAGAGGCACCACTGAGCGGTGGCGCAAAGGGCATTGTCTCCATAAAGAGATGTCTGACTGGGTTCATCAAGAAGTATGTTAGTGGCGAGCCCATCCATCATTCCAACCATCCAAGCTTGGGGAAGATCATGGTCAAAAACTCCAGTTGGCTCAGCGTAAGCCACACCTGAGATTCTGCTGGAGTATCCAATGTCAAAAACAAGATCATGCAAGCTTGCAAACACAACAGCGGCAAACATGGTCATTCGACTCTGCACAAGGGTCGATGCTCTCTGGCAAGCAAAAGGGCCAAGGGCTGCGCAGTCTGCGTAGACTGCGATGGCAAAGTCCCGAGGTGAGATTCCATCAGGCCCAAGAGAACGACTTGGCTTTCCCTTTCCTTCTCGTGCCCATTCAGTTTGCCTAGGTGAAACATGTTAGCTTGATTGTCAAAAATCCCAAGTCTTTAGAAACAATTCACTTACATGTGGCGCGTAAAAAGCTGCTGGTCCAGAGTCAATAATCCGGTCCATCCGTGGCCTCGCATCCTTCCTGTGACCTTTGTTGAGAACTCGGCAGTTCTGTTGATTGCGTTCATGATTCCTCCTGGGATGATACTGTCGTTCTTGTCAAGATCGTAGTCCACAATACCCAGAAGTTGAGAGGTCCAGAAATAGTAGGCTGTTTCGTCATCATCAATAGCTTGAACCTTCTTGCATTGCGACATCCAGCCATAAAGAGGACACGGCCCCATGACAAGATCCTTTGGTGTCATCCATTTGGCCACACATTCCTTGTACAAAGAGTCATTTTTCCAGGAGCTGCCTCCAAGGGTCTTAAGACCACATTCGCCAAGACTGTCTTTACCCGGGGAGGAAACAACTGAGAACTCCAAATCAGCCCGGGGACGGGTGTCTTCTGTGACCTTGATTTGGTTGTATACGTCGACTCCGAGGGATACTAGAGTCATGTTAGCACTTTTCTACTGTGTTAGGCTTTTAAACGCTCATACCGTCTTCAAGAAGATTGTGATGAATTCCACTGTTAGGACAAGCCTCCGCCAGACATTTCCATCCCTCAAGCCAGCCGTGTTCATTGGCGACCTCACGAGCCAGGAAGGCCAAACATGAGTTTCTCGAAGCTTTGGGCAGTGAATCAATGTCCATGGTACCCCCTGTGTATCGTTCAATGGCTCTAGCCAGTGCTTTGGGCTCACAAATCTCCAGTTCCGCATGGTGAATTGCTCTGGTTGTGGCATCAAGAGCAAGAGAGAATTCACAAGTCAGCTCAGAGAGGCTGAACATTTGCAGGTACCGAGCTGCCTTGGATTGGCTCAAGGGCTTAGGCTCGGTAAGAGCATTGAGCTCCAGCTTAATCCGGGTTGCCACGATCGCCATATTCAGTGTATGCTTGAAGTATGGGGAATGAGGGTATTGTGTCGAGAATGGGGCCGCTTGTTCGGGCATTCATTCCCTATATATAGTAAGTCACTCATAGACCATTACCTATGTGATTTATTACAAATTTCATGATTCAGTTTACATCTGAAACTTTCGAACTTAATTGCCAAAAATGTAATATTGAGGTATTTCTGCGGGCTCCTGCGTGAACAGATTGGTGTACGCAAAGTACCGCAGATCCGCCACCACGTACCTAGATAGCCCCTGGCTAGCAAGCTGTGAGGAATCAACTCAAACCTCCATGCTAGTGCCGTTTATCCACCATATATCATGAGCCCTTCCAATAATTTGCTTGTTTTACTATTTGGGTCATTCAAAGCCAGCAGAAAGAGTGTATTGAGTCTTAAATTTTGGAAGATGCCGCATCGAGATCGATCACAAAGGAAGATGATGCATCTCGCTTCGATATCAGGTCTATCTCGAAACTTACACCTGCAAAAGATTGGGGAAGCTAAGTATCGTATCATACAGATCCACTTGTATCATGGGCCCGCCCGTAAATTCGAGATACCCGCATCTGCATACAGGTAATCCTCGCATCTTGCATATTGTTGCACTACAAATCTATCCATTGGTTCTAGCTGTCTATCTCTACCATATCGCATATGGTACTATCCCAAATGGGTGAAACGAATCCCATTGAGGTAAGTTTACCTTCATCTGAGCTCCGGTTTCTCTCGTGAAAGTGGATTCCCCCACGGCCTGATCAGTTATCCTTGCATCTTTGCTATGCAAACTATCATGATTCAGCTGAGTCTGGAGCGCCACAAGGACCAATACGTATCTCCAGGTGCCTATGGGGATTTGCAATCGGTGCAATGATTCCCCAATAGGTTTAGATCCAAACCAAGGTCCTTTCAAACCTGGCTGATCTCAAAGTGCGATACATCCATCCTCCAGGCCCAGTACTAAATACGATATATTGAAATCACCTCATCCGTCTGTCACTTTGAAGTTTTATCACACTTCCCAATCACCTTGGACTACAGTTTCTTCTCATTATGGCTGGACTCTCATACCTCGCGGGTAAGGTGGCTATTGTCACAGGTGCCGGTAGTGGCATAGGAAAAGTCATTGCACACTCGTTCGCCAAAGCCGGGGCGAGTGTTGTCGTCGCAGAGATGAACGAGCAAAATGGCGAGCAAACAGCGAAGGAGCTTTTACAAGCCAAGCATCGCGCCCACTTCGTCAAAACCAATGTGACAGACTCGGAGAGTGTCCGGAAAATGGTCGCGGAGACCGTCAGTACTTTCGGAAAATTGGATATTGCTATCAACAACGCTGCTGTCCCACCCGACTCCCGCAAGATATCCGACCTCGACGAGAAGGAATGGTCCAAGAGAATCGACACCAACCTGTCTGGAGTAGCCTTTTCTCTCAAATGGCAGCTACAACAAATGATCAGGCAAGGGAATGGTGGATCCATTGTCAATATGTCCTCTATTACTGCTATTCGCCCAGTCGCTCAACTTCCTGCATATTCTACTGCGAAACAAGGCGTCGTGACGCTGACCAAAATTGCGGCACTCGAAAATGGTTGCCACGGGATTAGGGTCAACGCTATTGCACCGGGTGCCACTAGAACTCAGATGCTCACAGACGCACTGAAACTGATGAACTTGGAAGAAGATGCCTATGCTGCGGAGGCTTATCTTCTCAAACGTGTTGCTACGCCGGAGGAGATTGCTGATGCCGCAGGTTGGTTAGCGTCGGATCAATGTTCCTATATTACTGGAGTCACAGTTCCAGTGGATGGTGGGTTCTCTATCATGTGATGTGATTATTGTATTTGTCTCAGATATTTCATGAGTGTATCTATGATAGCTCATTAAATAGTACCTCGATACCAAATTCCAGCTCCTAATCATCTTCTAAAAGCTATAGCAAACAAATGGCTAGTAGCAATAAGAGTTCTCGGAATATTAGCATGCCCTACTTGAATGATGTAATGAACAGCCACTTACCTCTTAGTTCTACTATTTCGTGATTTTTACGCGATTTTGATGCAAAATACCTGACAAGCTACGTAAATCATGTAACTTTAGGGCATCGCTGATCTTAGAACTTTGTTTACCCTGAACAAACCATATTTTTCGCCAAGACATATTTTACATTGTTTATCGAGCAACCTAGGTACAATCTGACCGAGCCCAGAGCTAAAAAATGTATCCTTCACAGAATTGACCACTCGTGTATATTTTTGGTCTTCTGGAGCGAGCACTATGCCTGGTCGCAGAGCCTTGGGTCGATCATATCCCTGGTTGGCTAAACTTTATAATATCTTGATAGCTCCCTACTTACCTGCATATATTACCACTAGTGGATCTTTGTATTATAAACGAAGCGATACATCTACACTTGCTGATTGACAGGCCTTGGTAAGCTTATCTACATAAACGCAAGATAGCGTGTTTGATCTTAAGATGAATTAGCGTACTCCGCTATTATGCATTTATTTACAAACTGCAGATCATACTGTGGCGTTTTTCATTTTTGCTTCTATGCATATACTATTGACAGATCAAATCACAATAACACCCCTGCAGCGATCGACGATCAGCCTCCGGAAACGTTTGTCCGGAAGTTGGGACTTGGGACTTTAACCGAGGGGCTCTCTTTGCATAGATCCACTGACGTACACTGATGTACTGTATAGAGGAACTAGTTTGCCTATCAAAATTTAATCCATACGAGTGAAAAAAAATCACCGGGGTCACTTGAGAGGATTGCTTTTTCTTGTGGACTGAATTGATTACTCTGTCAGGTTCATTTGCTACTTATCCTGTTACCGAGGTGCTGTGTATTCGTGGTTTCTATTTTGCAGATGTAAATGCATACCAAATGGAGTCACTTTGCCCTCAACAAGCTGATTGTCAGGGCTGCTCAGGCTCCTGGAAATTGGAGATCAAATGAGGCGTAGAGAGGAGGTATTGAAAAGTATCAACTGCAGGATTCACCTCACATTGCAGAGTTGAGCTCATCAGGCATTTGTCTGTATTTCGTTTTTCCACATTAATTCTCCTCAGCTTTATGCTGTAACCAGTTACATTTAACCTTGTAATCTATCGCCCGACAAGTCGACCTTTGGACCCCAGGAGCACATGAAAGATGAGCTCAAAATCAGTTTGCTTGCTTCCAATGGTACCACCTGAGCATTGGTCATGCATGAATCCAATGGACAATTCAATGGACATCAAATATTTCGGCGGGCAGCAGCCAAGGATTGGCATGGATCTCGATGTCTATGGAAATTATTCCACCTGGGACCTTTGGGGTTGGAGACTTCTGATCAGTGCTGGATACCTCAGATTTGAGAACACCATGGTTTGACGGTTATCCCATAGGTTCTTCCGAAACTCTCATCCATTTATGTTCAGTGGTTTCAACCTTCGGTATCGTTATTGTAAATTTTCGATATCTTCAATGAATCCTACTACTCCCTCTTCCAAGATTGTACGTAGGAAAGTGTTTCTGGGTAGTGCGAAAGATCAAAGCTGGAATCAAATGCAATACACCTCTGCTGGACTCAAATAAAACTAAAAGAAGGAAGCTACTCATCCCGAGGTCCGAGTAACAGACTTAGTTAAACAAAAATCCCTCTAAGCCAGTTATATCCATGATAAAGTACATCAATACGCATTTTTGGCTCTTACCAACTCTCCATGTCTTCGTTCATCGTGTTACATAAAGAAAAGCATGCACCTTCAAGTCATGGTAAAGACAGAATGCGAAAATTATGTTAGAGGTATTGCACTTGGAGAGAAGCATGATATGGCTCTGTGATTGCATACCTACCTGGGCAGGTTACCTTGAATGAAGAAAGATACATCTATTTATGCATCCAATGAGTTCTCTGGAAGGTATACCAGCATTGGGAATACCAGTACGAGAGTGGACAATCCAATAGCTTTGTTAGATGTTAGCTAGAGCCAATTACTTCTCCAATTATACTCTTTTCAGGGAATGACTTACTAGGAACTGCTCGGTAGCCTTGCAGGAAACAGCTTCTGATGATTTTTTGATATGGTTCAGACAGCCAAGATGAATATCTGTTGTCACTCATAACTTTATGGATAACCTGTAACCAATTCATACGTTAGGAATGTCTATGCGAAACATGAGAGCTCAGAAGACTTACGTCACGGAAGCTTGGAGTTCCATCAAGATCGTGCAGCAGACACTTTTGGAGAATCTTTCGACTCGCTGTTGAGTTGACAGTGACACCGAACATGATTCCAAGTTGCTGTGACATGAAATAAACGGTCATAGTCATCGCTTTCATCTCTGCAGGAAGGACTGCAGACAAGCCCACATACTGACCAACGAGGAAGCCGCAGATTCCTATGGAAGCAATGAATGGATACATATTTTCCCATCTGCTCGGGCCCATGGGCCATCGAACCAGCATCAATGCATAGCCCACAGCTCCGACCAACCAGCTGACAAGCGACAACACTTTGTACTTTCCAGTACTATATTCATGTCAGCAGCAGCGCAACAAAGTAGGAATGATACACGTACCGTCGAATGCTTTGTCCCTGTATCGTTGCTCCAACTAAAGCTCCTACTGCCACTGGAATAGCGAAAGTACCAGCGAGACCATTACTGATATTCTGAGTCCGGATCCAAAAGTCGGTTATGTTGGACACCATCTATTCCAAAAAGTCAGCGACAAAATGCAAAGATATTTCGTTGGTCACTTACTCCAAAAAAGGCGAAATGAACGAGGAACTGGATAAGATAGATGACACCAATCTTATTTGTCCCGAAAAGCTTCAGTGGGATAAGTGGATCACTTGTTAAGAACTTTTCGTTTATCCCGAACAACAGAGCGAAGCCGACAACGGCACCTACCACCCCTACAATGACTCTCACAGAAAGACTCTCATTTCCAAGGATTTGGCAGAGAACCATAATTGAAGCCAGTGTACCAGCTAGTAGTATCAGGCCCACAAGGTTCAGTTTGCGTCCGTGTACGTTCAAGTTTGAACGCTCGTTTTCTTCAAGCTGCTGGAGGCGAGATCCAGAACGGAAAGCCCAGAAAGTAAATCCAAAGCATAACAAGCCAAGCGGAGCTTGAATGAGGAAAGACCTAGGTAGATTGATGGTCAGAACTGTAACTTTAGGTGGATTCATTCACTTACCATCTCCAGCCCAACTTATCAACAATGAGTCCACCCAACGGCGCACCCGCACTGACACCGGCCGTGGTAACCATACCAAGATAGCTTCTCAGCATCGCGACCTCTCTAAGGGTTTCCATGTCTGTGATGATTCCGTCAGCATGTTCCAACAGCCTTCATTGATGAGAAATGGTTGCTCTATTACCGTTCAAGATAACACTGATCAAATCCACCATACCTGCACCACCAGCGCCGGATAGGAATCGCCCTGCAATAATCATCCAGATCGAATTGGCTCCACCCCTGTGAAAGTAAGCAACTTATAACGACAACCATGCCTAGATTTTTTGACGTACGCAATTAGGCATCCAATTGAAAAGATCAAATATGCCGATAGAAGGGGTTTTTTGTAGCCGAACATATCGCAGATTCTTCCATACTGTTTCAATCATCAGCAGAAGCTTCTTTGACATGATCAATCCAAATGTACGCACCATTGGCAGAGCAACCACGTATCCCAAGTTGTATGCTGCCATAAGCCACGGACCCAGGGCCAGCTGGCCAAATTGTGACGCTATTTCTCCATGGGTTGATACCATGAAAGAGTCATCCGCGTATGCAATAAAAGCCCCTGTTTATAAGATAATATCAGCCTGCTTGTTTTGAAAAGTCGATCATTAATCAAAATCACGTACCCAGCATGGCGACGAGGAAGAACCCAAGGCCCACGCCGGCCTTTGGATTGTCGACACCGTCATTGGAAAGCTCAGCGTCACTCTCACTTGTCCGGTATGATCCCACGAGCGGTTCTGTCTCGTCCACTATAGTAGTCTCGTTACCCATCTTGTGAAGTTCACGATTTATTATGACCGATTCACACCAGAGGGAAGAAAATAAAGGGTCTCAGGGACTTGGAGGATGGGTGAAAAGGAATCTGAAAAGTCGTACGCGGTACCTATATAATTGCTTTTTATGTCGCTTATCTATTCTATCTATCTGTTTATACATCATAACAGTCCGTAATATGTCTGGGCTACCTGGTACTTCTGTTATCATTACTGGTCGAGCATTGCGTGAACCTCCTTTTCTTCACGGGTGTGGTATTCCCCTCACTGGATGCATCATATTGTGATATCCCTCACCGCATGCATAACAAAACAGGTTTCCTTTTTTCCACCCATTTTATTTTCTTCACGTGGGCCATGGTCCTCATTGTCCACGTATTTTCTCTCAAGATGAGGGGTATTTAAATGCATCAATTGATTAATATGGAAATGATGTAAAAGTAGAGTCCCCGTGCCGACAAAGATACATAAATATCGAGTTCGGCAAGACAGCAATCTTTCATTCCAAGGTTTTTCATTTTTCATTTTCCATTCCCAGTTCAAAATTCAGCCAGTATTCCCTCTAGGTAGCCTGTTATCATCACAAGTCTTTGTGCAAAATGGCAATCGACCAAATCAAGAAGCGTCTTATGGAGGAGACTGGCCTTGTGCTGAATCCACCGGAGCGCCTTGACCTTCGACCAGAGGAAGAAATCAGAGCTCAGCTCAACAGTCATGTTCCTGTTCAGTCGGAGAAAAACGTTTGGGCCTATTGGGACAAGGGTTTTGATGCCATGCCAGCGTGGAGACAGAGAAATGTCATCGACTGGATTAGACGTAATGGCAAGCGCTGGGATGTACGAGTGCTAGATATAGTGCCTAGTTCACCCAACCATATCAGTCGTTTCATCGATTCTGCATACTTCCCAGCTGGATTGTATGAGGGCCTTTCTTCTGACGGTCAACACGCCCAAGCGATCGCGGATTTTTTCCGCATTTCAACTGTTTACCAGGTGAGTAATTTCACTTCCATTCAGTTCAGACGCAGATCTAACGATAACTTCAGCACGGTGGTGTCTACATGGACGTTGGAATCATGCCTATCCGCGATCTCGATGACATCTGCTGGTCTACTTTAGAAGATCCTAGTTCACCCTATCAGGTTTGTGCAGTGATGGTGGGCAAGATTGCCCTTGTCAATTATTTCCTCGCTGCACGCAAAGGAGACCCCTTCGTCCATAGATGTAAGTTATCTTTTGTTCTTTGGAAAATCTCCCTCCCTTCAACCTCGTCCGTTTCTAATCATTTAACACCGGATGCTAGGGCTGCGACTCTTCCTGGAAGTATGGGGTAATCGTGAAACCGCCAAAGGGATTTGTCATCACCCACTTATCAGCCACCTCGGGCTGATCAAATCTCCCATCTTCCCACCAACTACTGACTGGGAAGAATTGACTGATTATGGTGCAATTACCCAATGCTGCGCACGGGTGAAGGACAACCGTGAACCTGGTGAGGATGGATTTGATGGGCCAGCATACTTCCAGAAGCATTTCTTTGTCTTGCCTGATGTCCCAGAGTTTGCTGGTCCTGAGCTCAGTGCATCCGACTTCCGGAAGGCCCTGCTGACCCCTTACAGCCAGGATGAAAATGCCTCTGAGACAGAGAAGAAGGATCAAGAGGAGGCCTCCCAGCTTGTGCATAGCACTTTGGCTGGCAAGTCTGCGTATAAGTTCTACTCTGGATTCGCTAAATTTGGAGTGAAGGGACTAGCAGCAAAGGTCTGGGATCAGCCAGAACATGCAAACGAAGAATCTCTGCCTGGAACATGGGGTGAAGTGTTCCGATATGGTACAGTTCACTTCCGCCAGACAAGAACAGTCGAACCGATTGTAGTTCCTCAAATTACACCTATCACGGAAGTTGGACTGTTTGAACCTGTTACAAAGGTTTAATAGTTCAAACTGACTCTCTGGTCATAAGTTCGCCATACAAATCAGATGAATACCATGTATTTAGTTCAGAAAGATTGCATCAAATACTATGCTCTACACGATGTGATATTGATAATTGAAAAATGCAGACAAGACAATGCTGGTAGCATCGAGTGTTTAGCGCTTCAAATTGGAATCAATCTTGAAATTTCCAGAGCTGTCTTTCTTTTACACCTAAATTATTTCTTGTTGAAGATCATTTTTAATATACATGGATGGTAAATCAAAATAAATCAGGAAGCGTACAAATGCCAGAGACAGAAGATGAGCCCTGAATGTGATTAAAACAAGAGCCTAGAGACAAGTCAACTTCGCACTAAAAGTTCAAAACTATCTATTGTAAGCACCTTTTCACGATCGCTCTACGAGGTAGTGAGAGGCAGATCCCTTGACGGCGGTGGAAATTCCATATCCCTTTGTCACACATTTGAAGGCAAAGACATGCATTTTAGCGCCTACGTCATAGCTAGGTAGCCTCTTTTGACGGTGTTCAAGCACATTGTGTACATGCACATGTATATACATACACAGTAGTGATCTCTCTACCTATCAGTGTGCGTCACAATGTCTTATCGAAATTGTCAAGCTCTTAAATATTGGGTCTGTTAATCCTCTGTTGATCGGCTTATCATATGATGTTCAACAAAATGACCACAGGTATTGAATGTGATGTGTCCTAAAATCCAGTCCTAGGCTCATACTTCCACGATTCCTTTATTCTATACTCAGGTACCTGTAGACTCCGTTCAGCGTAACTATAAGCCAGGTGGACCAAGGGTACCCACATGAACGATCAGCAATCGAGCTAAAAAGCGCTGGCTACACAGAACGAGTCGTGCAGACGCCACCAGATTAAGAGCTTGAAAGATACAAGATAGCGATTGACCACTTAGAAGCTGAAAAAGCTCGTACCTAAAATCAGATCTATCATCTTGAGCCTGGGTCCACCGATCCTTTTGCATGATGTCCCACTTTAAATCCCACCTTCTTCACTAACCAAATTAAGACTAGTATGTATTTTAAATTGCTAATTTTGAGCATGCAAATGTTATGCCAGGACCCAGGAAAATCAGTGGAGAAGAATATAGGATTTCGTGTAATAGACTTCAAAGATCGCTGATCGCAGTCGGTCCATGTCAGACATCACTTTGCAGGTGCAATATGATACATACATGCCAATTCCAGGCCTCTGATTGTCCACCTTTGAGTGGATTAACGATCGGTCTACTTCATCCTCATTCCAAGAGAGTGGCTGGCTGAATTGAGTTTCATTATGCGCTCCTAGCCCCGAGGGCTCTGTCATCATCGCACTGATTCCAAGGTTGCGGCTGGGTGAAAATTCATTCCCATTGCTCACAACTCAGATACTCAGACGATCGTTGCACTCACATATCCAGCTGGATAAATAGGCTATTAGGTACCTACCTAGATATGTAACCAAGCATGAAAGACTGCATATCTACAGATTTCCGTGCAAATATGCACACTAAGGAAGGTCAAATGTATCAAAAAGCTAGGCACCGATGTCGAATGTCATATCAAGGGGGGTACATATGCAGGAGCGCCCGGATTTTCCAAGCATACCTAGATGCCTTTGAGAGCCCTCAGGGTTGTTTACCAGCGCCCAAATACTTCATAATAAGTTCTTGCTAAGTCAATATGTGGCTAAAAATGGCCCTCAAGTGGGCCTGGTTTATTTCTATCAACAGAACTGTCGATAGCGTTCACTAATAGGTCCACGGGTCCACTTTCGAATACATATATTACCAGCTTCATACTCCATGAGGATGTAGATAGCTCAATAGCTCGATGCAGAGAGATCATCTGAAAGGACTGACTCTTAGACTGCAGGAGCTGCGGCTGGATTTTGATTTCTGATCATTACGCCATATTCGGTACATGTCCATGTACAGTTCACGGGGTTGATGATATCCGAACATCTCCACTATCGAAATTTCTTGTGTCTGACCGATCAAATTTCATGCGAGTGATTTTCGCCTCAGCCAATTGCGATCATATCTCTTTGCTTTGAAATAACTCGATAATACGACGTAGGTAGTGAAAAGTACCTCGCTTTAGGTAGGTTGCGAAGAGAATTGCCATGGCACCCTTGCCTTCAGGGATCTGCCAAAGCCATCAGCATTCCGACAACTTGGATATCTTCAATAATACGTATGGTATGAACTTGAATACTTCTTGAACATCATTTATTATAGTACCCAAGTAGAGACTCACTTAGCCGAAACAAACTTCTATCATTCTAAGTAGAACTATAGAACTATCTAGTCTAAGTTCAAAGTAAACTCAACAGCTACAATCCCCTTTTCATACGTAATGCAAACCTCAACAGAGTATTTCATCCCAGATGTGTTTGAACATCAAACAGATCCAGCCAGTCTATCCTTCAGGTTGACGATAAGCGGTGGCTTCTCCCAGTTCACATACATCTCCTGGTCAATCCAGTTTGAGCTCTCCGGGCAAAGTTGGATGTCAAAGTTGTAGACCAATCTGGCTAGGATTATACGAGCCTCAACATAAGCCACACTAAAGAAGTTAGAGGTTATGAAATCTGAGAAAGGATCGTGGTAGCTTACTTCTTGCCAAGACAGCCCCTCTGTCCCAGACTGAATGGCTGAAGAACGTCTCTCTTATCTGCAGAGAACCTTTCATCGATTCCAAGCCATCGCTCCGGATGAAATTCACCTGCAAGAGCAAAGTTCGCATCGGCGTGGTAAGAGGCATAATGGTGTGTGGACACAACAGTCTAGATAGTTTCAGTCAATTGCCTTGAGAGAAATTGTTCAAGAGCAAACTTACATCTTCTGGGACAGGCTTGTCGTCAATGAGATCTCCGCCCTTGGGGACAAGTCGAGGAAGACTACTTGCAACGGGAGGGTACAAACGGAAGGTTTCCTCAATAACAGCATTAAGGTATTTCATATGGGCACACTTCTGAGCCGTAATGTCATCGTTCGAGGAGCATGTGCTGTTGATTTCTTCATAAAGTCTCCGGAGAGTATCGGGATTCTTGGTGAGGAAGTATACACATCCAGAAAGAGTAGTTGCGGATGTCTCGCTTCCTGCAATCGAAATACTGCGCGACCAATTAGCTTATATGGAGTCAGTAGTAGTAAATGGGAACATACAAGGCACCATTAGCATGGATTTCCTCTTTGCTCATAACAGCCTCGTTTTCAACAAATTTATCATGAGAATCAACAAGGCCCTGCTTGAGGAGAGCAGACATCCAATCAGTTCGAGCTGTGCCTTGGGTCAGCCGACGATCTGCTTTTTCGGCGGCAAGACTGAAATGCTTCAACATTTGCTGCCGCAGGGCATCAGGCAGGAACTTTTCCTGAGCCATTCTCAGAAGTGCAAACTGGTTAATTGCACCGAGGAACGTGATTCCCTTGACGAAGGCGAAGATAAGGGCAATCCAAGGGTGCAATTCGCTCTTCTCTAAACAATCAAAGGTCTCTGCGAAGAGCAGATCACCGGTGACATCGAACGCAATATAGTTGAACCATTCTTTAATGTCTGCCTTGTGTTGGTTTTTTTCTCCCTTGGAGGTGCGCTCTCGTAGTCGGTAGTTTAGCAGATCCGCATAGCGCGAAATGGTTTCTTCATTGGCACGCAGAGCCTTCTCAGAGAAGGCATTCGCCCAGAGGCGGCGATGTCTAGCGTGGTTCTTGTCATCGTGAGGTCCCACTATACTCTGTCGCACTGGATTCAGAGCCGAGCCGTAAAAGTGAGGGTCTTTGGCATACTGCGGTCGTCCTGGACGAGCTTTGTAGATGTTTTGGAAGGCTTTTGGGCTGTTGAAGGTCAACTCGTTGGGGCCGACTCTGACAACAGCACCATGCTTATTGTGTAGAGCCAATACCTTGTGATGACTTTGGCCTGTCATGATGCACCACTGATATGGAATTCTCGACACAGCCCACAGCTTGGGGCCGGGAAATTTAGCCAATGGAGAAAGGTAGAGGTTATATACAACATCGTATATCGCCCATGTAGTGAGCTAATCAACAGTCAACGATTGATGAGCTTTATGAGTTCTGGATAAGAAGTAATATCAACTCACCAAGATAGAAACTACAACTTCCCAGCGGAATGCAGTAGAGCCTTGAAACTTATGCAGGTGAAATTGGAGCTTCTCGATGTGCTCTATGACTCCAGGTGATATAAAGGAGGCGGCAGAGCCCTGCAACTTGTGCAAGTGAAATTTTAGTGGCTCCATGACTTCAGATGTCAAAATGGACATGCTGAAAGTCAAACAAAAGGCAATAAAATGACTGTTAAGTTGAGTAAAATAATGGGATCTCATACCCGTTTAAGTAGAGATAAAATAAGAGGCGGAGCTGAGGTAAGGGTCATCTGATGTCCGTGTTAAACAGATTCACCTCCACCTTACATTGAATACCTATCCATTACCCGAAAACTTGTGTTTATCTTCGTGTAAACATACAGATTGTTTGAAACAGCGTAATCTTCAGTGTGATCAATCCAAATCTGACGAAATAAAGCCGGAGAGATAATCACCTATCCTACTCGGGAAAGTTTCCGCTGATCGACACGCAAGATAGATATGATTTCATTTTATTCCAAATTTGAAGTATCGTGCATACATGCCAATCCTAGTTGATCTGGCCATTTTAAGTTACACTCCATTTCGTTGCATATAGCTATTGTATTAAATACGCACGCTAATATTATTGCATCTACTTTATTGGATGTATTTAAAAGTGGACCCAGCTGAAGTATATGCAAGTTGACTGCAGTGTAACACTTACCTCGCTTTGCTTTTTGCTTCTGCTGGTTCATTAAAGATGTCTTGGTAAATAGAATTCTACAGAAAGATGTGATAGGTAATTTTTGATGAACGTCATTTTTTGAGCTGAATGTTGATTTCTGAAGGTAATGTGAGGGGTGTGCTAATCTCAACATATAGTTTTGTCTGTATCTCTAAAAGCGTCATATACCCAGGCTGAATTCGATCAGTTTTACTGGAAATTTCTACATTGACCTTCTATCCTTCCAAGGTTGTGTGAGCACTGAAAGTACACCAGGATGTCTCAATTCGCAGTACCATGGGGTAGTCAACAGGCAGATGCGGCAGAGGGATCGCACATTTTTCTGACTCTCGCACTTCTTGGTCTCACGTCTCATATGTTTTTTGTTCGCTATAATGATGTTGATCGAATTGTGGGCAAAGGCTTTGTTCCCTACGTTGGCAGTCAAATTTGTCTCTGGATATGGCTGTCTATTCGGAGCAGTGACCTTCTCTCCTCGGCCACTTTCATTTCCCTCGCTAATCTGAGCTTTTTTGCACCTTTGTTTACTAGTATCTCGATATACAGGTTGTTTTTCCATCCATTGAGGTCATTTCCTGGACCAAGTCTCGCAAGATTGACCTCTTGGTGGGGAGTCTCCAAGATTGCTCGAGGAGCAAACAAGTATGAGCTCCATCATGAATTGCATAAGCAGTATGGAGATATAGTTCGAATCGGTACGGAATTTCAGATGCCTAATGAGACCACTGGAAACTTTCAAGCTAATCACAATCTGATTTAACAGCGCCAAACTTCGTGTCTATTAACAGAATCGATGGATTGACAAAGGTCTATGGTGCTGGCACCAAGTGTGGAAAATCAAATACCTTTTACAACATCAAGGATGAAAAGAGCCTTCAGACAGAAACTGATTTGAAGAAACATGGAGCTCGGCGACCCCCCTGGGAAAAGGCGTTGAGTATCAAGAGTGAGTGAAGCTGGTCATTCGTGAGGGTACGCAAGCTAATCCATGACTCAGGATCTCTTGAATATCTGCCCCAGCTTCAAGTCATGACCAACCTGCTAGCTAGAAAAATCACTGAAGATGGAAGACAAAATAAGAATCGCGTCCTGATCAATCATTGGCTCACTTGCTTTTCTTTCGATGTGATGGGCGAACTGGGGTACAGCAAGTCATACGGCTGTCTGGAGACAGGTATAATCCATCAGGGAATCATCGACATGGAGATTGCTATTGCAATGGGCGTGGTTATTTCTCCCCTTCCCTGGCTGGTGCGACTGATTACAAGCATAATCGGTGTACCCAAACACTTGGAAGGCTTGACAAACTTTGCAGCCTCATCTCTCGCAGAGCGAAAAGCGTCTCCAGTTGACAAGCCGGATGTCTTGCAATATGTATTTGATGGCAAAGTGCCTTTGAGTCCAGCAGAGGAACTTGAAGACACAATGCTCCTACAGCTTGGTGGAAGCGATACTGCCAATTCAACATTGATATTTGCTATGTATCATATCGCAGCCAGCCCAGAGATCCAGCTTGCACTTCGAAAAGAGACTGAGTCCGCAGTTAATGGCTCGTCTGAGCTCAACTGGGAGATTCTCAAGGGTCTCCCCTTGTTGGAAGCAGTCATCAACGAAACCCTCCGAATGCATCCGCCAGTACCAGGTGGCTTACCACGTTTTACTCCTCCTGAAGGCATCACATTTGGCGAGATTTATATTCCTGGAAATGTCAGCGTCAGCTCCCCGACCTGGACTATTCAAATGGGTAAGTTCAGCTCATTTCCTTATCATATTCAATTTTTATCAACAACTAACATTTATCTTGAATAAGACCCCGAAAACTTCACGGACCCGACCACCTGGAATCCCTACCGCTTCATTAATCCCCCGGAAAACCACAATACCAAGGCTTGGATTCCATTCAGCGTGGGGCCCTTCAGCTGTGTTGGTAGAGTGTTTGCCTATATGGAGATGAAGAACGCCATTGCAACAGTGGTCAATAATTTTGATATAAAGCTGGCGCAGGGAGAGGATGGATACAAGCTGCTGAACGAGAGTAAGGATAATACGGCCATTTGTTGCGAGCCAGTATGGCTGGACATGGAGCCGAGGGCCAGCAATAGATGGTGAACTCTTTCATGGTTTGTTGGTTGGGAGTATATCTAGGAACAATCTTTAGCTCTATCAAGTGTTTGACGGGCGTGATCGATCGATGTGCATCCTGTTTCTTTAAATATGTAGTTGCAATCTTCTAGCCTTAAAACTATTCAGGGACCTGGAGAGTTCACGGATGGTAGCAATCCTTCCAAGGTGAGTATAGCAGGTCCAGATATGCTGCTATTCATAAATCTCGCTCTTTTTTGTCTTATTTGCTGTACATAGAGTGCAGACGAAGTTGTGAAGGTCCATGACCTTCAGAAGGGACATGAGCGGGGTTCCTCTGGGCGTTTATCGTTAACGATAGGTTGTTCACTGCGAGTTTTAATTGGTCAAAGCCCTTTATCATATCAGCAATCTGGTTTGTCAACCGCTCGTTGGAAACATCCCGTTCATGCATTCCTGAGGCCTCCCAGGCTTTCGTCAAGATAAGCGGTTTTTCGGCCGAAAAACCAACCTTCTTTGGCCCCTGTTGCTCGATGATCTTCATGGTAAGATCATTGTGCCTCTGGGCATTCAGAGTGTCCATCGCAACCTGCAACAGCCACGAGAGGTGGATTTTTCTTACTGAAGAAGGATCGTCGAAATAGATCTCTCTCCTTTCTATTACCTCACTGCTGAGCCAAGTCGGTAATCCCTGTAACAACCACTCGCACCTCATGAGTTCCGGCATCAGACCCCGAGACATCAACACATCCGAGATTAAAGAGAATTCTGTAAGAAAATGGCGTATCTCTTCATCTGTTTCGTGTGACTGGTCTCTTAAGTTCGCCAACGCTGCTCACGTGAATCTATGATACTCGCCATCTTGGTCCCGATAGCGTTCACAGAGCACTTTCTTAAAGCTTTCCCATTCACGGCCCTTCCATTCCGCAAGACTCTCTGCCCAAAGCTGAATTCTCTTCTCGCAGTAGTCCGGGAACCATTCTCAGAGTAAAGTTGTGTCGATAATCCCCCTTCTCTTGGCCATATTCTCAAATCTTTTGATGGCGTACGTCACATCCTTGCCATCGAAACAGGGAGCTCCTGGAGATCCTGGGTCCGGCATAGGCGCGCTGAAGAGATGTATTGGTGCTGGTCTTATAGGCTGGGTAACCACAGGATCTTCTGGTGGGAATTTCACAATCGTTCCTAATGGGGACCAAATCCATCCAGGTGGTAGGGGGGTTCCTTGCCATAGGGCACTCTTGGCCACCGTCGACTGAGGAGCTTCTCGATTTCCCCCATGACCGTCTTCGCCGGACGTTTCTGACTCAATCAGATCTGGTTCGCGATACCCTTTAGAGGGCAGGACAATACTAGGAGACATGCTGTCTGCACTAGTCGGTATAGACGATGGATCAAGAGGGCTCATCTTACTAGAGGTCGATGAACAGGTAGATGAGTAAGAGTAACACGATTATGAGGATTTGAAAGTATCTTCCGAATCTGAATTAGACATGTGCATGGGTTGGGTATGGGTCAAAATTCATACCCATACCCAACCCATCAGGGGTAAGGTAAACCCATACCCATACCCAACCCAACCCACGTGGGTATGGGTTGGGTATGGGTCCCATATGGGTATTTTTGATGCCTTAATGCCTGATTTTCGCCTCAACCTAAACTAAATTAGGGTAATTAGTGCCTTAGTGCCTAATTTTTGCCTCAATCTAGTACTAACTAGGTGACAAATATCACGTGAAATAAAAGTCTTGGCAAAAAGATGGGTTTATGGGCTGGGTGTGGGTTTTACTTCAAACCCATACCCAACCCATATGGGTTTTGGGTAAAATTTCTGACCCATACCCAGCCCATTGTGGGTTGGGTTGGGTTGGGTATGGGTTTACCCAACCCAATGAACATGTCTAATCTGAATCAAAAACAGAACTGTTCCTTGAACTCGGAGATGAACTCCTCGACCTATATATAGGGGATGGCTAAAAAAACACCCCCCTCACGAAAAAACACCCAGTTGGTTCAAAAAACATCCCATGCCTTATTTTCGAGGCATTACTGCCTAAAGAGGATTAGTTTTAAATCGCATGACCTTTCTTTTCTTTCTGTCCGGCAGAATATTATTATGGCAGTGATGATCTCAGGTCTACGCATAGATGTATCTCTTACTCCGGGAAACATGCACTCTTTCTGCCGTGTACCTGTCACCACCTTTACGTATTTGAACTATTTGAAATGTCCAAGACTTGAACCTCCTCCTGTGAGAGCTGCTGACGTCTGTTCCCACCTCGTGTCTTACCACCACCACGACCAGGCCCTCTTCGAGGGCATCTAGGGAACCTGTTATTGACCCCTGGTATAGATTCTCATCTATAAGCTCAAAACCCGCTGGCTCCCGCTGCGTAGTCCGGTCATTTAAAGATGCCTTCTGTTATGCGTAGATCTCATCACTGGGCGTTCAAAACTAAAAAGGCGGTAATAGAGTCGGACAACCTTTTCTTAATTCAAAATAGGTTAAAGATTCGATCTAATCCTCTTTAGGCAATAATTCCTCGAAAATAAGGCATGAATATCTTTTTTCGGGAGGGGTGGTGTTTTTTTAGCCATCCCCTATATAAAGTAAAGCGTTTTCTAAGGAGTGGTCTCCGGACTGATCCCCGAGGATGTTGCATAAAATGCCACTTCTGCTAGGGTATTCCTGGAACCTGGTTTCGGGGTCCTCCCAGCCCTTTCTTTCCGGATTGAAATGTTTATCAAAACTCTTATGGACATCTAGTACACCTGCTGTATAACCAGGTTTACCCATACTCTATAAAAACCCGGCCAAATCTTTTCGGCCGAAAAATGTAGTTCCCGCGGGGCCTTCTAAACCAACTCTCTAAGCTCGTTCGTTTCTGTTAGCCTGCTTACTAAGAGACAACACACCAGCTAGAGGTATTCGTGGCACAACACGACCATTCTATCTTTGCCAAATCAGTCGTCCGGTAAGAAAAAACTCACCTGCTGATTTCAACTGAAGCTGAACCCCCGCTCCTAAATGGATTCTCGGAGTCAAGCTTGTCTCCTACTTTTCTGAAGGCCGACCTCTCTCATCCTCCCTTGCTTCACTAGCGATTTCGTCGTTCGTGATTCTTCCAGCGTGTTCAGCCACGTGTTCAGCCACCTTATGAGTCGAAGTCCCCTGCGTAGGTCACCATATGAAATGGGAACGCTCTAGGCAGCACGGTCGGAACGTGCAGGTCGATTTAGCTAGGAAAAACGAACCACAACCACGAGGGAAAGCTCAGTAGGAGTAGGGAGTCAAAAAGTGAAGTGGTGTGGTGTTCATTCTGTAACTATAACAACTTTTAGATAAATGGTACTACTGCCGCCCCAGACCACTTTGTCCTTCATACTGTAGATAAAGCGGTACTATCCATGGATTGATGGACGGACCTCGAGATATATACTTGCAACGACTACCTCTACCACCACAGACGGCAGTCCCATATCGACCCCAATTCTCGACCCCAATTCTGAGCAGCCTTGGAAGCGAGAATCACACAATCCAAAGCTTAGAAATTACCTGAGAATAAGTACCTCTGAGATTAAACTCTTGCTCTGCAGAATTACGGGGCCAAATATTCTGACCTTTGGGGTGAAGGCAGCTCGTAACGAACGACATGAGCTGGGAAGTGTCAAGTGTACTAAGGTTGGATCCTTTAATACCTCGATGATAAGAAAATGGAAGCTGGATACAATATTTCACTATAACATCTGCACATGATCTTGACATGAGCCACTATCCATTCTGGCTTGGCGGGCTTAGCCAAGAATGCGGCTCGTGCGGTTCTAATGCGGCTCATATCTGATAAGATAAGCTATCTCACTAGATTTGAAAAAACATCGAACATCACATAATTTTGGCAACTTTGGAAGCAATTAATTTAAATCCTTCATTATTGAAAAACCAGCCAGCTCGCTTGTTTTTGTGGTTGAGAGGATACCACATATGGTTAAAATGAATATCTGAAGTACCAGTTGCTGATAACCATGGAAAGGTAAGAAAGAGCCCGCATGTTCAGTCAAACTTTGGAGGATCTTGGATGATAACCAGTAAGGTCAAATTACACGTCCAGTCGCTCTAACGACACAGTGTAAGTAGTGAACGGTGAACAGCCATCAGGCAACGAAGGGCAAAAAACTCCCCTGTAGTTAAATATAAAGTGCATACAAAATGATTTGTCATTAAATCGTACACAGGTTAAGCTAGCAGCCATTCAATACACAAGTATATCATTACCCTTGGAACCCGGTACTGTAGTCATGAAAATGTGCTGGCGCCTGCCACTCCTATTTAATACCACCCCTCCCACTCCTCTCTTTCTTTTCTCCTCATACCCCAAGCCTTTTGTTCCCTGCCCCTTCTACTGCTTAGCAAGCTTTGAACGTACTGAATGGTGGCCTGGATATCGTTTCCCTTTTATTCGGCAAATCTTCTGAAATGCCTTTTCCGACTCTCCTTTCTATTTCGGAGCGGCGCGCCCAGTACGCCCTCCGAATAAGAAGCCACAGCCTTCCTGCGCTCACACCTATCATGATCAGTGGGCGTATGAGATTTCCCACCTTCCCCACCCCTGCCAACCTCCGCCATTTGGCGATTAATCGGCGTCCTAACCCCAACTTCAACTTCCGGGATGACTTCACGCCCGAAATCCCCAGCCATGTCTCCCGTCAAGTTACAAGTGTTCCTGTCACGACAGAGGCTATAGTCCCTAGCGAAGAGGTTCCTCTTGACGTGGCTGTTCTGAAGGACTTCATTGTTCCCCATTCTGGCCTTCATCTGGTCATCGATCGTACTGGTGACCGCCTTTTCCCCTTCCGTGATGCTTTCTCTGCAGACATCTCGTCTCATGTCACTAGCCAAGTCCCTTATATGGTGACGCCTGAGGTTGCAAAGCATACCATCAAGGGGATCATGAATTCGAAGTTAGCAACAGACACCCTTCCCCGCAAAAATGTCACATTTGGCGAGGATACAGTGTATGATGTTGTTGACCGCTGGGCTCCAATCGATCAGCCACATCTTTCTCTCGCAAAATTGGGTCGTACTCAACACCCTACATCCGAGTACTTCATGAAGTGCGATTTGCTTCGTCCTTTCCGCACCAAGACTAAGCCGCGCAAGCCTCATAAGGTTTCCTTCAGTCGTCATGTGAATATGCATGAAGCTGAAAACTGGATTCACACCCTCGAAGGCTTTACCCACATCCCCCAGCAGCATAGCCGCATGCAACACGAGGAGGATGGGGAATTTTTTATTTCATCTCCGGCGCAAACTCCCGCACAGATAATCCTTGTGAAGAAGACTATTCAACAAAAGCACGCCGACTTTCTAGTGAACACTTGCCTGAGCTGCGTCATTATCGCTAGCTGTAGCGTCCTCTGGAACGTTGCAGACTGGTGGCTTTGTTAGTGTGCTTCTGTTATTTCACACCAGTCGAGCAGGGGCATGGGTCTGCCCCCTCCATTCTCATTGGCGCGCCAACCTCGAGATGGACTTCGATAATTCCGCCCCTGTAGAACTGGAAAGTAGGTCACAAGTCTCCGACTTCTCTCTTGTCGTCTGATCAGCTTCAAGTTAGAACAGTGACGACTCTGGTCCTACGGTAACGGATAGGGGTTTTTTAACGGGTCTACTGCTTTCATTTTCACCCGCTAACTTAAGAGATATGACTTTGACCCGGCAGAACTAGAGATACGAAAAGCGAGGTCTGAGTCTACCGCCACACTTCTGAATCGCCAACTTCGATATAGTCTTTGGTGATTTAGACCTTTCTGTCATGGGAATATGAAAGGTCGTTTACCGGATCATATGCCTTGATATGGACTTTGATGATGGCCTTGTAAATAACAGTAGGGTCATGGGTCTACCGCCACCGCTCTCATTCGTCAACTTCGAGATGCACCTTGATGACCCAGGCCCTGCGGAACTACCAATATACGACACAGAATAGACCGACTCGACCACGACCAAACAACCTCCTCCTGACCTACCGATCAACCGACTTACAGACCTCTACCAACCTCTAACGACCAGACAAACCGAGATGAAGATGACGGGGTATGGCAGACCATATTATAATGGTGATAGCGAGACCGAGTGTCTGATGCGAACACGCTCGGAGTTTTGCAAGTCCAACTTGAACCTGATGGAAAAGCTCCAGCTAACACATGTTGAACATCACAGATACGCGGGCAGCCCGAACACTGACACCCGTAGGCACAACACGCTGTGACACCGCAGGTACGTCTCCTGAAACATTTAGAAATTACTAACCGGTTGGCAAAGTCGAATTCTCAGACTGTTCGCGGTGCCAGCTACGAAGCTTCAGTCTATTCAATAGATCTGGAGAGCCAATGAGAGTCGCCTTTTGTCTTCATCTTGGGTTGATAAGCCTCAAAATCAAAATGGGAGGACTTTTCCGTTGATGAACCTCGAAAAGATCGAAAGCTTTCGCTGTTTCCTTTTACTTTATCCTATTTCATAGACAACATAATGTGAAATTTATCTTCATGCCAATAATACTTTCAGCTCAGTCAAATTTTTCATTGAGCTTTGCAACTAGCTCATATATGGACAGCTACAGCAAAGATGTCATTCACTCTTTCAAATCCATTCTCATCTCAAAAGTCTTGATCGTATGGGCTCACTTATGGGTGTGATGCTAACTCACACACAAGCCCCTCCGTACTCTTAATAGATCTTCTAGCACTCACAGACCTCAGGATGCATCAGATGCCTATTGAACTTCTCAGATCATCTCACATTCACTCCTTCAGCTATTCCAAGGGACCTGCAAACTTCGGAAGAAATATTATCTCGAGATATAACTCCTTCCTAGTGTGTTATGAAATCATATCAGAAACAATGCAGATGTCACTCTTGAAGTGCGGCTTACTCAAATCGATACCCTGGAGGTCTCTTCTGTTACAAGATTGAGTCTCTTTGTATTGATTTCAAGCTTATACGTTGCCTCCTTCTTCTTCGAACATAATTGAACTCTTTGACCTAGCTCTCTTATCAGTCTACACGACTGCTATACTCAAAAGTGTCCTTAAATGAGCCATTTCAGGTTTATTTTGTTCTACAAATGTTGCTGAAGCAAATAATATCAGGTGTTTCGTTAATAACTCATCTGAACTTCTAGGACTGCAATCATCCCGTCCTGAAAACTAAGCTCGCATGTATCCAAAACCAAATAAAACTGAGCCAGCTATTGTGCGCGGGTATTGATCAGACACCGTCAATGAAGCCATCACCCCCAGCCTCCGTATCGACCTTCATCGAGTCCACAAGCCCACAAACCTCAAACAACTTACGAGGACTAAGCCCCTCAGGAGTTCCAACAACACCCTCTTTCTTCAATTTCTTCAGCGCAGAGCGAATACCCAAATAGGCGGAAGCCAGCGACGCGAACGAGAAGATCATGATCCGGAACCCCATTTCCTCAGCCTCCTCAGTGGTGATAACGGGACTTGCGCCATTCTCCACCATGTTAAGCAAAAGAGGCCAGGGATGTAAGTCTTGAACAGCTTGACGTGCCTGCTCCTTCGAGGTGAACCCCTCCAGAAGACCGACATCGGCACCAATATCTCTTGCTGCCTTTAGCCGACGGATACAGTCGTCGTAGCCATGTTGCTGGAGAGCGTCGGTTCGTGCAATCAGGACTATCTGCGATTGCAGCCGGTCTTTTGTTTGCTTTGCTGCTCGAATGCGCGTCATGTACTCATCAAGACTGACGACTTTCTTTCCGGCAAGATGACCACAGCGCTTATTCTGGACTTGGTCTTCGATGTGGAAGCCAGCTACACCGGCCAAGATGTATTGATGTACAGATTTAGACACCATGAGCGGTCCTGTCAATGTCAGCTCCGATCTCCAAGATCAACAATCTCAGAATCGGATGAATATTCACCTCCATAACCGTGATCCATGTCAGCAATCAATGGGGGTCCGTACGGATCAAGGTTAGCAATCATCTCAGCGTTAGTCCGCATATCGTGGAGTTGAGCAAGACCGAGATCTGCCATGCCTAGTCTAGAAGCAGTTGTGCCTGCACCAGTCTGGAACAACATATTCACATGAGCGTAGATCGACAGGAGAGTGGATTGACATACCATATAAAGACCTTTGAATTCAAGCTCTATCGCAATGCGAGCAGACAGCCCGTCATAAACCCCCGGACAGACGATCAAGTCCGTTGTTTCTTCGAGCATTCTCCGCAGCTTGCTTGCCCCTAGAGTAGGATCTAGTCCCACGGTAGAGTGGCATGGTTCGTTCATTGTATAGTAGCCATCTGCATCTTTCCCGGTGATAATGCTAGGAGCCATGGCTATGTGTACAAAAGGATTGAAGGAATGTTTCAGTGACAGTTGGAGTGATGAGGAGCGAAAGGATCGAATTTATATTGCCTCGTCAGTGCCAATGGGATATTTGCTAATCAAGAGCCATGTGGCAAAAACAGAATCGGTCGATGCTAAGAAACAAGGATGTCAACATTTGAACGAGATAAGAATTCAAAGAAAAGATGATTTCTTGGAATTGTAACCTCTCTCTCATCGCCAAGACGCAATATACTTATATTCCAAGGATTTTGAGCTTGAGGTCGTACTGATCTGACCTCGTGAGTCCGGATGACTGCGTCTTTTTTTTCTGGCTGTTCAGGAGATTTGCTCAGCCTCGAAGGCGTCTTAACTCTTCTTCTTGTTCTTGAAGTTAAAATGTCCTCTTATCAGTTGCTGCATGAGAATGATATAAGTACGAAAATAAGCACCAGGGGTTGCATGGTCCGTGGTTCTACTGAACCAGGTACATACCTGTATCGTCCAATCCTGAGACGGATAAGCACGACTGATCATATCTAGAAAGAGATGTGGGTGCAACGTCATTGCCAACAAGACAGACTGAGTGTTTAGTGCGCGAATTTTGGACCTAGTCGATGCAGACTCAGCCCCCCAAAGTCAGAGGTCAACACTATTCAAGCGGCAGCAAGTATCAGACGATAGCGCAGACTCGTCTCCGTTGAGAGCAGTGGTACATAAGTTCCTGGCAAGCACGCTCGCGACTTGTTGTTGGTAGATCTCGGGGGAAGGGTTGCTTATGCCCAGGTGCCAAGATGCTCATTATCAAGACCGTTACTTTCGTTAGCTTGGCATTAGAGCAACGAAGAGTCGACTGTCAGCGTAGTGTTGAATACTTATTTTGCTAGCCTGTGATCAAAAAATGCCATGTATCTGACGGTGACTGACGTTATACTGCAAATTAAGGGGATGGCGTATCATTCCTGGGTAAGTTATGCTCTATCATGTGAAAATTTGATATAGCATTCCTCTGGCGATTCCAGGTCCACTTCAAAATGATACATGTAATTGATAAAAACACCGCTTCATACTAGATTCATAATCGCTATGTTAACTCATTCCGCTCCATTGCCTCATCAACCGAGCGCTGCCAATTGATCCGACAAATAAACAAAGCTTCAATCGCAGAGACAAGGCCGAGAGCAATGGCAACACCTGTCCAGAGACCCTCACAACCCCAGCCTAAATAAAAGGCTGTTCCCATACTGATTGGCATGGCGATGATGTAGTAGCAGCAAAGTTGAATATAGCCTCCAATCTCCTGGCGACCCAGACCACGGAGAATACCATTACAATTCGCGGCCAGGGCGTCAAAGAGCTGGAATGCAGCACACAATGGAAGAACCTGTGCGACCAGATCGATGACTTCTTGATCGGAGCTGAAAAGCATGGGGATATAAGATCTCAGCGTCGAGAGGAGGACCATGTTGAAAATACCGACGATGGCGGCTCCGCAGAAGCTGACCTTTGCCGTCGTCTTTGCGGCATCGGCCAGAGAGGCGCCAATCAAATTTGCAATACGGGTGCTGCCGGCAATGGATAGTGGGAAGGGGATTTGCCAGGTTATGCTCGAGATTGTACCAAGAATAGACTGTGCAGCGAGTGCGGACGTGCCGAGGTAGCTTGATGCCAGAGTCAGAACCTCAAATGCCAGACATTCCGCCTCCACCATGATCAATCCTGGCAGGGCGAGACGGATCATGGGGCCCCAATTTTCAAAGGCGCGCTTGGTGAAGCCACACCAGCATTCAGAGCCGACTCGGAAGTAGACCCACGTAAAGAGGCAAATTGGGAGCAGATTCTCCGTAATGGCCACAGCGATAGGGGCGCCAATAAAACCCCATTGCAGTTTCTGAATGATGTGTTAGCAAAATATCATGTGAAGAGATTTCGAAGTCGACTTACCCAGACAAAAAACCAGTTCATGAACGCATTCAACGGGGCACAAACGAGCAGCACGTATAAAGACGGAGAGAAAATTCCCTGTGCTTGTAGGTACCGCTTACCACTTTCGAAGCAAGCGTACCCCGGTGTGCCGAGAAGCGCTACCTTCAGATACAGACCGGCCATTCTAGCCACCTCCTCCTCCGGAACAATCAAGAGCAAAATATGCTCCGAGAAATACCAGAGCACGGCGATTGGGATACAAATAAGCCAAAGGAAGAATATCATGCGGAGCATCTGCAGGCCTACAAGCTTCCTCTTTCCAGATCCATACGCCTGCGCACACAACGTATCCAGACTCGTCGCGAGACCAGAAAAGACTGCGCTTCCGGTGATGTTTACGGTCATACTGGCCAGACTGACGGCACCAAGTTCTTCCTTACCCAAGTGTCCGATTGTGAAAATACTCGCTACAGTCAACGAGTATTGAAGTAAAAATGTCACCATCAACGGCAAGGAATATTGAATGATCACCTTTGTTTCCCGCTTCCACGTCGTGTTGATCAAGCCTGCTATCACTGCCTCTTCCCATTTGCGATCAATATCCTCCGGTGGTATACCATCATCATCGCCGAGCAGAGGTGTGGTATCGAGTGGACCAGCGCCATTCGAGCTGCGCACAGAATCATAATGGCGCGAAGATTTGTGAGAGATGGCACTGCTGATTTTGTGTTTAGGTGTCGGAATGACAAAGTTATCGTGAAGAAGATCCTCCTCGGCTCTGATAGCTCGTTCGCGCTCGGTATCTGTCAGCTGCGCATGGCCGCTATTAGAAATCACTGTAGCATGGCTGCCAGCAGTGAAATGACTGGGACGGCGATAAGATCCAGCCAAAGAGTGAGGATTTGTGCCGGCATGGCTACTAGATGGGCGCACGGTTGAAGAGCCTGAAGTTTCGTCGTCAATGTCTGAGGAGTCATCGTCGTCGTAGTGGGCAAGGTCGCGTGCAATAGCCGAAGCGGCAATTGGCGAACTGGAGGTAAAGGAGCGGCTGAATGGGCTTTGATGCTCCGACTCCGTATACAAGATATTGCGAGGAGTCATAATTGAGGAGATTGATGAAAGGACCTGTTTCAAATCAGAACCAGCATCATCAAGCTGAAGCTATAAGAGTGGCAATAAGAGCTTGACAAGTTTTGAAAGGGAAGTGGAACGAAGTGTGGAGATGAAGGGTATAGTGATATGGATATGGCTAATCTAAGCGATAAGAGGCAAGTACTAGCGGCGGGCTTGGTTTCAAGGACCAGATGAACGAGTAAAATATCAAGTCAGATCAATAGATAAGAATGTGCGTGGGATGACTCGGACTCGATTACTCGATGAACTTCTCCACGCATTTAGATCCACAGTATCTCCGGTTCCGGCGTTCGTTAACTTAAGTCTTCGGCTTCTCCTCTTTCATGCCATTTAGATCGAAACTACTAAAACTAGTGCAGGTCAAAGTACCTACAAAGCATGTTGTATGATTTCAATCCGTTCTTCTGTTACAGAGTACTGGGAGGAATCATTTGATATCCCTATTATACGGAGTACTCCGTATATCAAAAGGAAATACTGTAATATATTTCATAAGTTACAAATCCTTACATTTATACTGCGTGCAGAATAGATTTCAGCCAATAATATATTTTCTTATGAAAGGCGGTATGTAAAACGGTCAAAGCTATAAGTCCCCGGTACCGGTTCCTACTCGCTGCAAGATACAGTGATATCAAGATGGGCGCAGCAAGTGGTACTACCAACTACCTACTACTATGTTTGCAGTGCAGCAAGTGGCAAGTGGCAAGTACTACTAGCAGGTACCGCTCCTGGTGTGACTTCAAAACAAGAGGGATTTCACGTCAGATTTCAGTTACCCATTCAGCTGGATTTTTACATTGAACCATTTCTAGCCCTGGGGACAGAGCTCTTGACCCGTATATTTTTAATTTGACAGTCAGTATATTCCGAAGTTGGTACAGTGGTACTTTAGTACTTATTGTTGCACGGAATACAGACTTCGATACCCAGTCGGAGCGTATTAAGTGTTTAAGCCTCCGACATCATCTTGCTCATTCATTGCCCCCAATGGCACCTGGAGGTCACATGACAAATTACTTAGAGTCTTCAAACCTCACCTTGACAAAAAACTACCCAGTACATAAGCAGTCTCTGTACTGCTTGCTCCTGCACCATGTCTCAACTCACCAATTCTGGTAGAGGGAGCTTGCGAGGACCGTACAACCCACTGATCAACCCGATTCATGCCAAGCCGGCCCTGGTAGAAGAGTAAGTCGCAATTTGACATTAGGCGCATACCTTCAATATTATGAATGCTTGGCAGCAGACGCTGTTCTATCAGACTTCAATGGTCCATCCTTGAACAACTTTCTCCTCCCATATGAAGGCAACATGGATGTCTCATGTCTATTACCTATTATATCCCCGCACTTCCTGACCCGCCCTAACCTAATCCCAGACACATAGAAGACCAGCACCACATCCTCTTTTCAAGCCCAATATTCGGCGCCCTCCTCTTCGAAAACACATCCTCCGACGCACGCGACCACTGCGCAAACGAGCGGACCTTCCTCTCATGGCTCCGTTTATCAATGTACCTAGCTGTCGTCGCGCTTGCAATCATAATATCCTTTCACTTTCGTGACCAACCCACTGCGCTGGAACGGCGCATGGCTTTGCCGCTTGGTATTATCTTCTGGCTGTTAGGTTTGATGTGTCTGGCTAGTGGGTTCGCTAACTATGCGAGGACTGTTATGAAATATAGTCGCAAGGCTGCTCTTGTGCAGAGTGGTTGGAAGACGCAGATGGTTTTTACGGTTGTTGGGACTGTTATACTCGGAAGTTGTATTCTGTTCTTGTCGACTGAATCATAATTATAATTTTACGAGGTACACTCGTAAACCAGGATCTGGGGAGATTTGTTTAAATAACCGAATTTGTGTGTTCCGAAATGCATCCATGGGTCTATCTAAACACCAATGTATGAAGGTGAGTCCAAGGTGAGTCCAAACAGGACTCGATTATGATAATATCTGAATGTTGAAGGTATGTAGCGTGAAGGCTGATAAACACGACCGAAAAAAAGAACTAATTGGAATCGTCGAACTTACATCCGACGAATCTCTTGCTCATTCTTGTACTTGTCTAGGGCCGGCGTACCCAGGTGACTCCACCACTCGAAAAGCATGGAGTTGCAAATCAGCTTAAACCATGGTGTGAACTTGAGCCCGGGCTTCTCAAACATTGCCTTCAGCTCCTCTGGGGAGACGTAGCAGATATCACGGGCCTCATTGGGGTTAGGTACGACGTCGACATCGGCCTGGATGAAAAGAATATAATCGACTAAAAGCAGTCAGAGATGCCATTCAAACGTGATGGATCAGTTGTACATACCCTCGTGCTCACCCCACTTGCCATCACTGGGTGCCTTGTAGTGGATTCTGGTGAAGAATTCAAACTTGTCAAGAGGCACTTGCTCAGCCTTGATGCCGAGCTCCTGCTCTAACTTTCGCTGTGCAGCACGCTTTACTCCAACAACGGCGGCGTCGAGTTCAGCACCTGTCTCACCGGGAATTCCAAGGGGATGAGAGCAGCAGGTGTTGGTCCACATGTCGGGGAAAGTGATCTTCTCGGTAGCGCGCTGCTGAAGCAGGAGGCGATTTTTGGAGTCAAACAAGAAAACAGAAAAGGCACGGTGGAGAAGACCCTTGTCGATATTGGTCATTAAGTGGCCTGTACAGGAAGCAGGTTAGATTAACATATTTGTCACGAATTTCATGCTATTTATATAGGGATAGGGATGAGGCAAGCTTACAAGCCTTCTTGCTAGCACTGCCAATGGGTCGGTCATTGTTGTCCAGCACAATGCACACCTCATCCATCAGACGGACCTGCTCTTCATCATACCCCTCGAGTTCTGTACCCTCTCGCGAGGTGTTGCTAGTGGCGGATGGGAGAATGTCACGAGCGAGGGAGGTGTCGACGTCGGGGAAAAGGGTGGCGACATTGTCAGCGGTGATCTCCACCGGAGCAGTGATGGTTGTTGTTGCGCTCATTGTGTCATGTCAATGGTCATCAAGAGAAGGGGTTAATTGAGAGTAAAAATACGGAAAGTACTACGGCTTCCCAAGGCGGTAATGATCTGCCGCCCCGCGATCAGAAGCTACGGGGTATTTCTGATACTTCTTTTTTTATTGGAATCGCTTATTGAAGGACATCTACGACCCCTAATGACAGTGCTTACCACACGTGACGACCATATGGTTTCTTGTACTCGATTCTCAGCGTGACAAAACAGATAACGGCTTTGGCAAGAACTGATGTTCTGTAATAGCTAATACTGGACTCTGGCACTGACAGTCTGACAGTCTCACATATGTGGGAGACTGGGAGTAACTCTTATATACTATATCAACTATATGCCTACTAATCTCAAATCAACCTCATCAATATGTAGAGTATCAGGACATGGTCGGTCCGAAATCACGGGACATCACGTGCTTTTTTATACATTTGGGTCGTAGCGGATTCCACTTCAACTTCCAGAAATTTCATTATAAGTTTCAGTACAAGTGGACGCCAAATATTAGAATTCATTCAATTAGTCACATGACTGAATCAATTCCCCATGCTTAGGGCTCTCGGAACTTGCAAGTCCCAAGTCGACTTGACCTGGGTCCTGATATAAAACGTCTATCTCTTTCCCTTCTCTCTACGTAGCCCGCCTTGCTCAACTTTGAATTCTCAAACCTCCGACCCTTTTTCGATACTTACACTTGAAGAACTTCTCAAACGAACAACTTGACTTGACTAAGGACTTACTTGACTACATTGAAATCTCTCATCCTTTTGAGAACTCTTGATTCAATCAAAAAAATCTCCAGCACCTTCAAACCTGTCTTCTTTCTAAATTTCCAATTTGAGATCTTTCACATATCCTGTTCTCTTGCGAAATCATTCAAGATGTCTCCTGTTAACATCGGAAAGGTTCCCTCTCGCCGCCAGAAACAACAGGCTCCAGTTGACTCGACCACCACTCGCGCTGGAAGAGTCAGCAAGGCACCGGCCCCTTATGTTCCAGTAACTGGCCTACTGAAGGCAAAACGAGCTTGCCGCAAGAAAGAAACCGCGGTTGTTTGCGTGTACTGCCAGCGAGGAAACAGTCCTCTCAATAACAGCATTGTGTACTGTGACGGTTGCGACGCAACCTGGCATCAGAAATGCCATGATCCTCCAATTGAGAATGAACTGATCACTGTCAAGGAGGCAAAATGGCTTTGCCGGAAATGTAAGCCTCCAAAGCGTCGTCCTATCACTTTCATGCGCAAGCCTACACAACCTGCGAGCAAATCTACTCGCCTTGTTCACCCACGTCTTCAGCACGCCCCTCAACTGGAGGTTGGTGGTGAACTCTTTACATCAGATGAGATCCGGGCGTATGCTTCGTGCCGGTCTCACGCTGCCCTTGTGGAGTTGGTTGTTCATGTTTCGAGCCAGAACCCCACGCTCCCAATATTTCCTCGCAACATGCGGGATCTCCTCGCCTCGCAATTTGTTGCCCATTCTCAGCTCCCAGTGTCTGCAGCTCCTCTTAAATCGAAAAATTCGACTGTGGGTCCTCCTGTCCGAAAGAAGACATCAAACACGACTGCAATCAGTAAAGAACCGGAGCTCCTCACCACCAAAAGGCCCCGAACAAACTCGGCCCCTGCAAAGCCTGAGCTGAATGCCATCATTGGAAAGAACAACTGTGAAACTGAGGCTCCTGAGCCTGAGTTTCCCACCCGGAAGAGGGCGCGAACCGAGTCCATTGTCACCAAGCCCATTATTACTGCGCCATCTTCCCGACAGACCCGACAGGACAAGCCCTCGCTCCGAAACGCAGCCAATTTTCCTGACCCTGAGAAGAATGAAGATGTATTTGGTGTCGAGTTAACTGAGATTGATGTCAACTGCGCTGCTCCTATCAAGTTGGAGCCAGATGTGGAAGCAGGCGTCAAAGTTGAGGGTCATCACCGACGAATCAACGACCACCGACTGTACCCTCGACCTGGCAATGGCTTTGCGACCTCAACAGATCCAATTGACCTTGACATCATTGCAGAGGAGGAGGGGTACCTGGCATTCAGTCACAGTGTACATGGACGCCGAACTTGGGCTTACCTAGGTTCAAACATGTTAATTCCCGAAGTGCTGAACTAAAGAATTACAGCCGTCTTAAGCTGGACTTGACGGCTGTGATTCCTCAGTATTATCCATTACAATTGGTGGGATTGGGTCAGAAAGAGCTATTGGTTGCGATGGGTTCAATTTTATTCTTTATAATATGCAACATGAGCCCGTTTCCATGCTCAGAAATTCCAGTTTTGGCATAAATAACGCTGCCTGGCCCACAGCCATATACAACTCATTGAAGAGACCCGGTACACTGACTTCTCGGAAAGGCTTGCCGCTACGATCTTCGAGTACCGTTCTCATGTATTCCGGAAATTCATCATGTGGATCGGAATCTGAGGACTCATAGCGATCGTATTCATCGCGATCAGAGCGGTCAACAAAGAGCCATTTCCCGGACGGAGTTGAGGGTGTGTATTGAATGTCGATGGTTATCAGATCGGGCCATGATGGACGCTTTTCGCTTGATCCTGGTTGCCAGGAAAGCTCATTTCCAATTGTCATCCCGTAAAGGCCGAGTCTCTCTAACTGTTGAGAGAATTCATGTAGTCGCGACCTGAGAGAATCCACGCCTTGGTCTGTGATGGTATCTGGGGAGAAGTTGTGATCCCGAGGGGGGTTCGTTATTAAAAGTGAAGTTAAAGGTGAATATGAGCAGCGAGTTCTGATTAATCCATTAATACATAGTGAAAAATAGTATTTTAGCCTGTAGATGGAACATACCGTTGCGGTTGCGTTTTCTTAGACCCTTATCGCGTTTTTAGGTGTCATTTAACAATAGGTTAAGTGTATATAGGCAAGGAAACTGAGAGGCAAGACGAGCGCATGAAGCCGCCTCGATTTGTCGTCTATCAGATAACGCCTCTATTGTGAAAGTGTGCACAATCCGGAGTGGCTCTACCTGGCTCTCAAATGCATCAAGCCGAAGATAGTTTTTCTCAAATCTGCGGTTCAAAATATCTGTAGTCCGCTCGGCACGAGCGGCCTTTTTTCGCCTAAGTCTATTAGGGCTAGCGACCAGATCGCTAGGGGACTGGGATTGGATGGAGAGCGAGATCCCTGGTAATATGGTCCCCGGCTTGTTAACGATGATATGAAGGACTGAACGGATTGCTTCGGAGAAGATTTAATTATTGCGCTCATGCTCAGATTCTGTCTCGAAGTGAGCTCGGGCAGCTTCATCGTAAGGCTCTAGCTCCACGATCAACTCGATGTTCCGAATATATGACTGTCGTCGTGGGTCGTTTGTCAATCTTTCAAACTGATCTAGACTCAACGGAGTTCCTGTCTTGACTCGTAGTGTCGCCCAGCTTCGCTCCTCGACAACGGCCTGCCAATTGCGATTCACTGAAGCATATTGAGCCAATTCGAGCTTGCTGTTTATATGGGTTAACGGGTTGGCAAGAAGTGACACAATATGGCCAGTTATCTCTGGTGGAAGTGGCTACGTCATTTCACCTAAGGGGCAAGGGATCAGAAGAAGAGATAAAGTTTGATATTATGTGGAGACAGATGGCGGGGAGACTCATTTTTAAGGGTTCAGGGTCTACGCTATGTGCGATAAGCTTTAGGACTTGCTCATTATCCGAACAAAGAAGTTGTCATATAATTAATTTCTCGATACATTGTTGCTGAATGACCACATTATTATCATACGCCGGTAGGGATGGTAACGGATACAAGTCCGCCAACAATTTTTGATTACGTAAAATCCGTCAACCTGTCTGTACAGTCTGTCAATCCATCAATCCGTCAGTCAATCCGTCAAATCCGTCAAATCCGTCAAATCCGTTTGAATCCGTTATGTTTTCCTGTTGCAGTTTAGCGGATTAAAGTCCCATTTTTCACTTTTTTTCTTTCATCTAATTCCCTTCATCTATCTAACCAAAAATGGAGCCAACTCGACGCCATCAAAAAGATCCAGACCATTGTTATATTCTTAATGATGGCTATGATCCTAATGATCTTCCAACTGAATCTCAACAGAATGTATCTCAATCCACGAATTTCTTTCCACCATCTCAACAATCTCCTATATCCTCTGACCTCCCTCCTAATTCTTTAATCTCTTGTCCGATGTTTCCACCTCAATCGCCAACCTTGTCAAGCCTATCCTTGAGTAGGATACCAAGTTTTTCTTCTACAAGAGCAAAGAAGCCTGACTCATGGGTATGGGAACATTTTGATGTTCATGAGTATGAATCCATATGGGAATGGAAAAACAAGAAAAGGATCAAAGTAACGGCACATGATGCCAAAATCAGTTGCAAACTGAACGTTGAGGGTAAACCATGTTTAACCACTTGGGTCAAATCAAGCCTACAAGGATCCACATCCGATCTAGGTACTCATCTCAAAAAGATTCATGGAGTTTTGCCCCCTGGAACCATGCTTCCTCCTGAACAAACTACTCTTGACATTTGGTCAAAGAGTAAAGCCAATTTTTCACAAGAACAAAATTCATATCTGTTTCAGAATTTCATCATTGATTGTCAGTTACCATACAGAATCATTGAACAAGAGTCTTTCCTAAGCTTCATGAAACTCCATAAAGTTAAGCTTCCTTGTAAGTTGAATCTATACCCATGCCATGTATATTATTACTAATTTTAATTTAATTCTAGTCAATTCCCACAGAACCCTTCAAAAGAGCCTAATTAAAAGGTTCCAAACACAGTGCATGAAGTTAAAACAAGATCTTCTTGAAACTTGTCAAACAATTTCTCTTTCACTTCATTGTTGGACAAGTACAAATTGTATCCCTATCCTTGCAGTGAATGGTCATTGGATCACAGAAGACTTCTATTATCGAGAGGAAATTCTCGAGCGTATTGAAGTTAAGGGTTCCCATACTTCTGCAAATTTGGCTAGCCTGGTCTTTGATCTTCTTAAGGATCTTGACATTTCTTCAAAATTGCTAGCTATTACATGTGATAACTCTACTAATAATGATGGTATGATAGTCGATCTGGCTTATCAATTATCATCTTTGAAGAAAAACGACCGGTTTACAGCTGAACATGGCCAAATTCGATGCATTACTCATGTATTGAACTTGATTATGAAAGATTTCATAAAAGCGTTAAAGAGTGGGACAACAAAGGAGGCGAATGAACAACTAGAGGAGTACAAAGAGTCACGAACTCACCCTGAACGAGATGAAGAACGGGATGATATTGGAGGTGGGAGTGCACTTGCAAATATCCGAATTCTAGCTATCTATATCCAACGAACATCAGTTCGACAGACTAGATGGGAGTCGATTTTTGATACCTACTTCCCAAACTCACCTAAAAAGCTGATTGAGATTGATGTTGAGACACGGTGGAATTCAACCTTTCGAATGTTACAAGATGCTTTGAATGTAAGTCTGACTTATGTCTGATCTATGTCAAATCTTTACTAAGTTTCACAGGCGAAAGAAGTTTTAAATCATTTCGTTTTTCATGACACCTCATTTAAACCTTTGGCCTTGAATGATTGGAACGAACTTGTTTATCTTGAAAAGATTCTGGGCAAGTTTGAGGCTTACACACTGATGGTGTCAGAAGATTCGCCACGCTTATCCAATATTGTTTATATTTATTATGAACTTGATGATTTACTCCATCAAATTGAGGATCGATCGCATGTATTTTCAGATATACCCCTTTACATCGCGCAGGCTGTGAAAGAGAGTATTGCTAAGTATAATAAGTGTTATGATTTGATGGGTGCAAATCTTACTTATTATCTTAGTATGGTCGCTCAACCTGCAATCAAAAGGAGAATTTTGGATGAAGATCTTGATAGTGAATCTGCCCAGATGATTATGGATACTATCTCAACATATCTTCATTCGCACTATGGAGGGAATAGGAGAAAAATCACATCTCCTCCTCCTAATCCTCCTGTCGCAGAAAAAGAGCCAACCGACAAACGGCGAAGGATCTTCGGGCAACGCAGAATTTTGGATAGATTGAAGACAGCTGGAAAGTTGAAAGAACCAAAGCAACTTGATATCGACCTATATTTAGCTGAGCCATCTATTGATGGTGAACATGAACAACTTATTGAAGATGCACAGTGGGCTTTGAACTGGTGGCGGGTGAATGCTCATCAATATCCTTGTATGGCTGAGGTAGCCAGGGATTATCTTGCAGTTCCGTGCTCTAAAGTCTCTGTTGAGCGATCATTCAATACTGAAAGAGATATTCTTGGAGTACGTCGACATCGTTTGAGTGGTGAAAACTTACGGGATCCTATGTATTTAAAATCTCAGATGCACGCGCAATAGTTATGGTGTCTAATTTGATTTTTGACTTGAATTAAGCATAGTTCAAACATAAGCAAAAGATAGGAAATTCTAGAATCGGCAATCTTTACGTTCGCGGCGGCAGACTTCTTATAGTTTTGAAGTTCATCATGATTGGCAGACCTTATAGACTCTTCCATTTTATACAATGGGCCGAAGCTCCCGAGGTCCGAGGTCGTGATTTTGCGAATATTTTCAACTAGAACAAGTAAAATCTAAAGTAAGCTGCCCATTTCCATTGCTTTGACCGGTGAACGTCTTCATAATGATTTTGCATTTTTGAGCTCAGTCATTGCCGCGCGGTTTGAAGAGTGCCCACTTATTCGGAACAGTGTTATGAATGGACGTGACAGTATGGTGATTCCTACACAGCTAGCAAATTTGACTAGCAACTTGACAGATTTTTAGCGAAGGACAGAGAAGGAAAGATCTCAGAGAATATTTATCGATCGTTTCTCAAAATAACCAGGAAAACCAAAATAGCAACCTCAAAACGGAAGATAAGAAATGAATCAGGGGAAGGCACACTTGACCTTTAGGAGGGGGTACCTGCTTTTCAGCATGTCCTGATAAACAGAATTGAGCGAAAAACTTCTATCTTTAATTTGGGGATTTGAAGCCAGTAATGAGCTAAGCAGCGGTAACACTACTAACGTACACTTGTTCGTCGGGCCTGGTAGAGGTTCTCGTGTAATTAATGATAGGACTTGGGAGATGAGGTATCCTCAGGTGGAACACCTTCTTGGTTGAATACTAGTACGGGGACATACTTGGCCGCTTCAAGGTGCGAATCGTCCTCGTTCCCTGGGCTGTAAAATTATTATTCTGGACATTCTTGTGAATGAATCCAAAGTAGTGGAGAAATATATCAAAAGGTAGATAGGCGAAGTTCACACCTTCAAAGTACCGGACTTGTCGTAATTGATCTGAAGGACATGCCAATGTCAGGGTGCAAAAGCCGAAAGGAGAAACACCTAGCTATAGAAATTTAAAGTACCAAATTGATGTCGGTAGGAATCCCGAGAACGTGCTATCACATACTGGGAAGAGAGAAGTATCCTTGAACTCTTCTTGGTTCATACGGTTTTTGATGGCCTGTGCGGCACAGAAAAGCTCGTTGAAGAGCATTTCATCAGGTATTGCCCGTATGCAGTGTTTAGGGTGAGCATAATATGTGGATATATCGTCTCTGATTCGGAATTCCACTCGCGTTCGTCGTGAACTCTCCAGCATGGAAGACAGGGGACTGTCCAAGGAGGAACCCTTTTGCGCTGTCGTAGAGCGGATTGTAATGTCTAATTCCATCATAGACTAGAATATGTAATGGGTATTATAAACAGGTCTTTTGAGCTTACCCAAATAGCACCCATGAAATACGATCCATAAAAAGATCATACTCTTTCTTCTTCTTTTGAAAGAGACAACCATCACAGAAGTGGAGATAGATTATGACATACTATGCTCTTTGGCAATACTTAGTGGCCCGAGAATTTCTCCTGCCGGTTTCTCTTTGGTCTTTTTCCGAGTCTTGATATCTTATTTCTATAAGATGGAAAGTTGTATGCAAATGGACTGTGGTATATCTCGTCAACTTCGTGGTAGATGTCATCATCGTCATAAAGTTCTCCATAGAACTTTCTGAACTCGTCCAACTGGAAGGGCTTGAAAAAGCAAACTTTTGACTCAGTAAAATTCGAGTCGTTTGGGTTGAATAGTTCAAGACTAACACCAATGCTAGATATGTCGTCGCTGGTGTAGGCAGATTTTGGCTTAGACTTGAGTTCTTCCAGTAGTTCTGATACTGCTCGCTTGTACTTTTCTCTTAGAAGATTTCGCTCATCCACCTGATCTTCTTCTCGGACAGTATTATTCACGGAATTCATGATGAAATTTCCTGTGACAGGAAATATGTCGGGGAGTTGAAAAATGAGTGGAGCATAGAAAGTGGTAGTATAGAAAGTGGAGATTATAGATAACGACTAACTGTATTTGCTTTAGCGCATACCATAACTGGACACTTTTTCAACAACTTAGTTGTCATGCTTTTTGTAATCCTACTGAAAACGATAAATGGCTCCAAGACAGCCATCTTGATTGAGCTGGTAAATAACCTTCTCACAAGCCACTGATTGTGACTCTTCCTTTCCTGGCTATAATCCCAGATATCATTCACTGTAAGTTGTATATGTTTCATGGTTGAGAATGATTGCATTAAATATCGAGCCGGCAGGAGGTCCATGATGGAAATCGGGTCCGTGACTTCATGGTATTTTAGGGGAAAGCTGAATTCTCTGGTACTGCGTCAAAGAGAACTATTCGGAGCTCCTTCTTTTTCTTCCTCTTAACCTTTGTTGGTTGCTTTACTCTGTGATATTCATAATGTGAAATTTACATCTCTTCTTCCTAGATTTGTGGAGTAAATATTCGCCTTTTCCATGTTTGAATAGATTATCATCAGCTAATGCATAATACCATTTTTTCCGCCAGGTATGTTCTAGATAAAACCACACCGTCTTTAAAATCTCATGGCAAAGACAAACAGTAGTTAAATATCTCAAGGTAGCGATACATTCTGAACCATATGAAATTGCGGTCTTTGCCGAGATAAAGATCCTTTGGGACGAGTGCCCTTCTCGGAAATGAAAGAAGTTATTCGGGATATATTTGATGCAGGTGTTCCAATCATTATATCTACACATTATTACGCGGCGAACGAAGTTGTAGTTGGGAATCGGACTTGAATTCATAACTTTAGGAAGGTGATAAATTCCTAGTAATCAACGTCGGAAACAAATTCTCTGATGGTAAGATCTTCGAATGATCTATGGGGGGTCATAAAGTTACCGTGTACTTTGATTTCGTTGACGCAAATTGTGCTTGTACGAACCCAAAAGGTACTGGAAGTTTGATTTGTACGTACTTGATGGCAAGAGTGATTCGATGTCGAGCTAATGCGTTAAAGGCACTCCTTTGAGTGTTGGAGAGGTTGAAATCTTCATGCCTCAGAGAGAGGGTGCTTTCTATGATGCAGCTCACGGTAAAGCTGACACCGGTGATATGTCACTGCAGTTCGAAAATTTATGAAAACGGAAGGCAATTAGATAGCCACTAAAGCAGCACGAATGTTTTGGAATATGGCCACTTGATGGCTTGGGTGGCCTTGTGTGTAGATCGAAAGTATTTTGAAAGTGATAATACCAAGGAGCCATCAACTCTAGAGTAGCAGTGAGATCAGGTCGATGCAATGAGATAGATAGTTGCTACAGATGAATTTTCCCGTACAATTTCTTTATCAATTTCTAGTATAGGATTGGGATTGAACGTATATAAGTAGAGTTTTTACATAATTTCGTGAGAGCGAAATCATAATGGCCTTTGGTCGAAGCATTCGGATATGAGTGCAAGTATTACCCTTAACAACTCAAGTCAGTGCAATCAGATCAAGACGTGAATCTCAATGGTTTCCTTTTACATCAAGACACAACAGACTGTGAGCTTAACATTGTCCAACTTTCCTTGATCTCTCCCATATTATCCGCCTTCGAGATCGGTTGCAGCTGCTCAGAATCGACCACCCAGCTAAAGCTTCACCCTGAAAAGTTTCTAGCCAATAAATCCTTTGTCTATTATCATGAAAGCAATGCTAGAATTCTCATTCCACCTCCAGATGGCGACAACTCAGAAGACCCCATATACAAATCAGTAATGAATGTCCATGCTTTGTTCGCTTCACTTGAGGCATCAATTCTGAATTTGCAAAAGTCATGGCCCAATACCACCCCAGCTCTCTCTAAATAGAAGGACAGCTACATAGAATGGGTCCGTTTGTGCCGAGAATACTGTCAATAATGTTGCATCTCACGTCACAGGCGGAGATTTGTCTGGCCCCGTCCATACCCCCTCAGCCTCCTCGATCAGGTGCTTTCGGATGTGTTCTCTGTTGCGTTTTTTGGCAAGTACATTTAATTTTGACAAGTTCGCATGTGCAGGTAAATATGTGTAATGAGTGAGAGTGCATTGAGCTCGATAAAGTGAGCTTCTCTTAGTCATTTCTTTCGTTACGCCTCCGTTTACCCCGAAGGTATAAACAGCTTTACTTGTTGATCACTACAGCCATGCAGCACGATTCCCCCTCATCAATGATATATTGCGCTATTTTTACGAAATCCGCTAAGCTTTACCGCTGACGGACTTTAGTCTTCCAAGGTTTCTTCATACATCTGTAGATCACACTAGCGTATGGCGCAATATACAAATGTCCCATCGGCCTCCGACGGCACACGATTTTTGGTTGCTTTAGTGACTGTCTTCAGTCATAATCAGCCTATTATTTGATTCTTTTGAATATTGAGGTTGCATCGATATTACTGTCGCAATATGCACGACTGGTGAGAGGATGCACTTCTGAGAAATCGGACCTGCGCTCAACTCAATAGACCTAGAGTCGGGTATATAAAGCTCAAGCTTTGAGCTATTTCTATTCCCCATTCCAACATCTGAACAATTATCTTCTCTAACACTTCAATTTCGAACAAAGCCTTCTGCTTCACCAAGTCCAACCTTGACAATGAAGTTCTCTACCGTGATTCTGGGCAGTGCTCTTGCTGCCACTGCTCTCGCTGCCCCTTTGACTGCTCAGCGTCAAGCTCGCACTGAAGCTCGTCGTCTTGCTCGTGCTGAGGGCTCAGTAGTCCAGCGTCATAGCAACCCCCCTACAAGCCAAACACCCAGGAAGTCCTCCAGCTCAACAAGACTTCCCACGTCGAATACAGCTCGAACTGGGCTGGTGCCGTCCTCATCGGCTCAGGATACACCAGTGTCACCGGTCAATTCACTGTGCCAACCCCCAAGGCTCCAAGTGGCAGCAGCAGAGGAGATTACGCCGCCTCTGCATGGGTTGGTATTGACGGCGACACCTGGGGCGACGCGATCCTTCAAACCGGCGTCGACTTCACTATCTCGAATGGTGAAGTCAGCTACGACGCCTGGTACGAGTGGTACCCTGACTACGCATACGACTTCAGCGGCATCACTATCTCCGCTGGAGATGTCATCAAGGTGACTGTGACAGCTAAATCTAAGTCGTCTGGTACTGCGACTGTTGAGAACGTGACGACAGGAAAGAGCGTGTCTCACACTTTCTCTGGCAATGTTGAAGGTGACTTGGGCGAGCTCAATGCCGAGTGGATTGTCGAGGACTTTGAGGAGAACGACTCTCTCGTTAACTTTGCCAACTTTGGCACTGTTACTTTTACGGATGCGTCGGCTACTGATAGCGGTTCCACTGTTGGTCCATCTGGTGCTACGATCATTGATATCGAGCAGAATGGTGAGGTTCTTACCTCTGCCTCTGTCTCTTCTGACAGTGTCACTGTTACCTATGTTTAAGCATAGAATTATAAACTCAATGCTGTTGATTGAACGATTGATTTGCATTGAGGGCATAAGAGAGTGGAGAGGTATGTGGCAGTATGGGGGGATAGGGGTGCCGGGCATGTCAAGCAAGAAGGAAAGGGGATAAATCTGATTGATTCACTTACTGTGTAACCAAAGAAAGCGGATTAGCTGTCAAGTCTTAATAGCCAATTGTCTTCTGGAAAAATGAAGCCGAGAAAAAAACTTCCGTCCCATGTAAACCATAGTCTGAGTAGATCTGCAATTTCAATCAGAACCGACAGATGGTGAAATTAGTACTTTGGGACTTTGGAGCTGCAAACCTCGACATGGACTGTTTATAGGAAATTCCCAACCTATAAGCTCTAAATAATCGGTTAGGTTTGCAGGGATCTTTTACTGGAAACATTGCCATCACCTCTGGCTTGATGGTTGCAGCTTCGTGGACGTAATCAGTATCCAAGCCAGGGGTCTCAGTCACTTGTCTTTGATATATTCATATGCTTTTCCTAAAGCCTCTTTCCACCAAAGAAGAGGTGAGACGTAAACTCCTCAGGTGGAACACATTCAGCCATAAAGTTTTTACCAAGCCTCCGATAATTGTCATAGTCATCGTCGGGAACGTTGTCAGCAGCATTGTCAGAAGAGATATGGGGAACAACGCCAATAACATTGCTAGGAACATCATAGCCAAGATAATTTGCATTGGCTAAGTCAATAAACTTCACACATGGTGTGTCGTTATGTTGTAAAATTATGAGGACATTTGGCAGGTGATCCTCAGTGATATGCATGATGGCAACCTTTTTTTTGTCGATTCGACTGTCAACATCATGTGGCATTGGGTCTGGAGCAATGTGAGGTTGCACAGAGAATTTTCAGCCAGGGATGCATGGCATAGGAAATTTACTGTCCTCAGAACTCTCTTCGAAGGATTCCAATATATCGCAGTATGGAACGTAATGACGAATTGAAGGATTTTTCCAAACAGGACCACAGCCAGTATACCAACCAGGGAATTCCGTTCGGAAAGGAAACTCTCAGAACCCAGGCTTTCCTGATGTTGTAAATCTATTGGTTTTTATTCATTGTCCGAACAATCCATAGACTATACAGTTAAATCGACGTGGTATGGAATGGCTTTGGAAAGCAGATTATCAGGATGGGGATTCGGCTGATATTGCGTCTCATCCTCAGCCGATGGAAGCGAGTTTATGATTGGAACTAACTTGATAGATATATTCATTTCTGAAATGAGTTAATTTGGGTTCACTGGAACCTGTTGTAAGAACAGTGTGGTGAAAGGGAAGATATGAATGTAAGGAGATGAATGTGGAGAACAGGGCTAGGAGTGATTAGATGATAGTGCTACTTACTTACCAACATTGAAAAGACAAGATGCTCGTCGACTTGTCAACTCAGCTTCTTCCGTCAATCACGACATTAATGCAATCACTAAAACCAATGTTTATCGTGTGTTGAAACCAATATTGAGCTAACAAGCATGGCCTTTGAGATTATTTATATCTGCTATCTTCCACGACATGCTGAGGCTATTGCTCGATTGTGTTATGAATCGCTAGGAAAAAGGAAATTATCAAGGAAGAATAAAGATGTCCTTGTATCACTAGCTGTTGTAGCCGGTCATATTGAGGTGATGGAATTTCTGCTCGATGCAACAGATAATCAAATCCCAGCAGCTGAAGTCTCAATCCACCACCTATTCAGACAGCACTCTAACTCCGAAAGCAAACACTAGATCTTTCACTTACTGGAACAAGGAAGTCCATTCGATTGGACAAGAGAAAATATTGCGAAGGCTGTGGGATCGACTGATTCCCGAAACATAGCTCCTGTGGTGATGTAGGACTCAAGATTCTTGGCGCGTACACTCTCATCGTCTGAAACATTGCGTTCGTGAGGAATTGATGAAAGATTTGTGTTTCGTATTTTATTGCTCGTCAGTCGTAAAATCGATGGTATCAAAGAAAGCTCTATGTTCAAACGCCCAGATAGTCAACCCAACCATTAAATGTACAACGCTCTAGGACTTGAGTAAATCCCCATATCAGCCAACCAACTCATCGGGAAGGACATCTTCGGGGTTTTCTCCAACTGCTTGACCAACAGCTCGAACAACCCGCTTGATAGCTATCGAAGCCGGGCTATCTGGAAAATTGTCCACAAAGCTTTCTCCGTAGTCGCATGCCATACCAACGCGAGGATCCAAAGGCACAGCGCCCAAGAAAGGAATGCCCATCTTCTTGGCCAGCCGACGTCCACCACCTGTTGTAGCACGGAAAATCTGCGACTCATGCGTGCAGGAAGGACAGACAAAGCCAGACATATTCTCCACAAGACCCAATATCCGGATACCAGCTTTGCGACAGAAGTCGATTTCCTTGCGCACATCCAGCAAGGATACCTCTTGCGGGGTGGTCACAACCACTGCGCCGTCCACACCAGACTCCTTCAGCAAAGAGTTTACTGAAAGATGCTCGTCCGACGTACCAGGGGGCGTATCGACAATAAGATAGTCGAGTTCGCCCCAGTCCACGTCCTTGAGAAACTGTTTGATCAAGCCATTCTTCTTGGGTCCGCGCCAGATAACAGCATCATCCCGATTCGGCAACATGAACTGCACACTCATGGCGCCTAGGTTGTCTGTCACCCATACAGGACTCCAGCCTGCATTACTGATGTGAATCGTCTCCGCCTCCACGCCCATCATCTTCGGAATCGAAGGTCCACAGATATCAGTGTCCATGATACCGACCGTTGAGTCAGGGTTTGCGGCAAAGGCATGTGCGAGCAGGGTGGAGAATGTGGACTTGCCCACTCCTCCTTTGCCGGATAATACGAGGATCTTGTGTCGGATTTGGGAGAGGCGTTCGGTGATGATTGAGATGTCGGGGTCAGGGCCTTTGGGTGCAGAGGCGCAGATCTGTTGGTTCGGGCAGCCGGCACATGCGTCGCCTTGGCCTGCTTGTTCTGATTCAGGACCAGGACAGTGCTCTGGAACATGTTAGTGCCCGCTCAACTTTCCCCGCATGGGTCGTAACTCACCTGGTTCTGGGGCTACGAGGTCGGGGGCATGTTTTGAGGGTGTGGCAAATGATGCCCGCTCATTTGGCTCCTCCACGTAAGGTGCCATCACGATTGAATTGATATAAACGGTGGAATGTCTCAAGAAAAAAAAAAGACCAAATAAGTGGCGGAGGAGGTTGATTGCTAAGCCGAGGCTGACTAACCGCACGGCGAGGATTGGCGTGCGGTGTCGGAGTGTCTATTAACGTCTGATATTCATTTTTGAAAGTGAAAAACAACATCAAAATCACTGTTTGTACTTCAGGTAGTTTTTTCATCAGGAATTATCTCTTGAGGGGCTAACCAACTAAGCCAAGCAATTTCGTTACCCAAAGACAGAAATCCCAAGGGAAAAAAGAATTCTTATAGCCTTTACTTTTTCTGTACACCCGTTGCATTTTTACATAATTTCAAGCTGGTCGCCCTCCAGCCAAACATCGCCTTCCGCGAAAAATTGACCGAGGGCGCTTATTCATTTATTGTACATACTAATATTTACTACATCGACAATCATCGTGTTAGAGGGTTCTCCGGGAAATCAGACTTCAGGCGTGGCTTATTTCGGAAATGCAGGATCCATACAAGGAGATACCACTCAAAGGGGACAGAGAAGTATGTATGAAGTGCACACGTAATTAACGCAAAAGCCGAAAACCACGCAACATCGCCTGTGCAAAATTCGCGCTAATTAGTCAAATTATATATAACTAATTCTATGGCGTCATGTTATATCAACCAGCAATATCAGATCTTTTAGATTCTATTCTACTTTAGGTAAGGAGGGAAAGACAAGTTCCATAAGACTATGGGTCGATTTGACTAATTTTCTACTTTAAAACTGCTACTCAACGCGAACCCGGAAGCTGTCAACATGCCAGATGATCACGATGATTCAGTCTTCCATTATGCGATGAACACCAGATTACCCCATCTCGTAATACTGTATGCTATCAAGTTTCTCTTGGGCGCCAACCCACTTCTTAGATACATTGAAAGCACAGAATAGCCAAGGCTCAGTAGTGATCGACAAGGCTCAAGATGCTTTTGTGAGACCTGAGCAGTTATCAGAGCTACTTGAGACCTTACTATGCAGCGGGGCCGATGCCCGTTTGTGCGATAGTAAATATTGCAACATTCTATATAAACTGTGCAGTTACAGCTGGGCGGAATCAATTACCCCTGTTTTCTTGACCGCATGTTGGGTTGGTTGATGTGAATGAAACTGATGCACACGGCTACACAGCATTGCATTATCTAGTGAATCATCTAGATCAGGTAAATGCTGCTCACCATATCATCAGCTGGGGTACGAATGTTAATGCAGTTGACCAGAAGGAGAACAATCTACTTCACGAGATGAAGGGGACAATTTTGATAGGCGGGTGAAAAGAGAGTGGTTGAGCCCATGTTATCATCCTCTTCTTCGTCCTCGCCATCGCCATCACAAAATTCAATGTATGCTAAGAAGCTTTGGAAGGTTGAAGATTTGAGAACATTATGTACTTACGACTTTTTTTTCTCGCCACCCTAACACATATGATCGTCGTTTTCTGACTCTTGATCTGACATTTTTCCTTTCTTGTCGTGGTATTTGAAGCTCTTTCGGCCTCATACTCAGTCTCAACATCTTCAAGTCAATCAATGTTAATAACAGCTCCAGAAATAGTAAATGAATGAGAGAGTTCAAAAGTATGATGGATCTTCCATGGCACTAGATATCTGATGAATTGTTGGTGATCTCTTATCGGCTGATAAGGAAGTGATGACCAAAGGTACGTAGGTGGAGATGGATGAGATGGCATCGGGATCGCTTAAATCAGCTAAATTAGCTAGTCTCATTCTGAATTTTAAGTGAAAATTTATGTGGGTCAAGAATAAAAGAAGTAAATGGTACTTACTGTGTATTCCAAACAAAAAGAAGTATAAAAGTGAGTGAAAGAGTGAATGAGCTCACTTGAGATTCTTACATCATGAAATGCTGACTCAGTCCCGCGTCACCAGCCTCAAGTTCAAAACAAAAGACCGCATCATCTCCATACCGCCTAATTTTACTTTCCTTTGCTCGGTCTATTTTTCCCCTTTGTGCTTGGGGTGAATCTCTCTTCATATTTTGCTGTCTTTACAAACAAGAACGCATATCTCAACTTATTCCTCGCATGCTCGAGACGCCACTACTAGCAAGGAGAACATGTCCTTGACAACTTCGGCGATCACTGCTGCATGGACTGCTCTCGCCGAAACCTCAGATCCTGACAGTGAGCGAAAATGGGGAGATCAGACCAAAGCTCAGCGTGATCTGTACACCCAATTCGTCATTAGTTTCGCTATCGGCTTGGGCGCATTCTTAACTTTCTGCGTAGGCTGGCCATGAAGTTCTCTGCAGCTCCTTTTTACTGACCTTGATGTTTATTTAAGGTACTAAGACCAAAATGGACAGAACTGTATGCTGCGAGAAGAAGACAGCGCAATGCAGCCTCACGACTACCTGAACTACCGGACAGCTTCTTTGGTTGGATTCCCGTTTTACATCGAATCACCGAAGAGGAAGTTCTGCACTCGGCCGGCCTAGATGCATATGTCGTGAGTCCAATGAAACTATTAATCAGAAAAAAAGGACTGCTGACCAATATCTGCTGTAGTTTCTATCTTTCTTTAAATTTGCGATCCGATTCCTGACATACGTATTCGTCTTTGCTGTCGGCGTCATTCTGCCCCTGCATTTCAAACACACTGGAAATTATGGAGTCCCTGGGTGGGACAACGATTCACCCATCAACGAAACTTTCGTCGCATTGGGGAAGGAGGTAGAGAAACCTATCACAGACCCCCCGTACTTGTGGATTTACGTCATTTTTCCATACATCTTCAGCGGCTTGGCCATCTACTTGCTATTGCAAGAGACAAACAATATCATCAACGTCCGTCAAAACTATCTCGGCAATCAAACCAGCACAACTGATCGAACTGTTCGTCTTTCTGGAGTTCCACCGGAATTGCTGGCCGAAGACAAGGTCAAGGATTTTGTGGAAGGACTTCTAGTGGGTAAAGTGGAATCTGTCACATTATGCCGAAATTGGCGCGAGCTGGACACCCTCATCGATAAGCGAATGAACATGGTTCGTGAGCTGGAACGTGCATGGACCAAATACGTGGGATATAAACACTCACGGAACGATGGCAATACACTTCCATTGACCCTTCAGCCGCCACGCCCGGTCAATACTTACTTCGATGAAGATGATGAGCGGTCTAGGTTGCTGGCGGATGCACAGCAGTCAAATGGATATCGACGTACCCATGAGAGACCCAAAGTTAGAATTTGGTATGGTCCGCTCAAGCTACGATTCCGTTCAATCGACGCCATCGACTACTTCGAGGAGAAGCTTCGGCAAATTGACGAAGATATTCAGAAAGCCCGGGATAAGGAGTATGCTCCTAGAGAAATTGCCTTTGTGACTATGGAGTCTACCGCCGCCTCTCAAATGCTCGTCCAAGCCATTCTTGACCCGCACCCCATGCAAATGTTCGCGCGGCTTGCCCCTGCTCCGGCGGATGTAATTTGGAAGAACACGTATCTCTCCCGCTCACGGCGAATAGCACAATCATGGTCCATCACAATTATAATTGGATTTCTGACCGTATTCTGGTCAGTGCTTCTACTGCCGGTCGCTACTCTCTTGGACCTTGAGACTCTTCACAAGATTGTGCCTCGACTTGCCGATACTCTTTCCCTTCATCCCATCTTGAAGTCTTTGGTCCAGACTGGTCTGCCGACATTGGCCTTCTCGCTGTTGACTGTTGCTGTTCCGTACTTATATGGATGGCTCTCGAACAACCAGGGTATGATGTCCCGAGGCGATGTTGAACTATCTATCATCTCCAAGAATTTCTTTTTCTCCTTCTTCAACCTGTTTCTCCTCTTCACTGTCTTTGGAACAGCTAGTGGATTCTATTCGTTCTGGGAAAACCTCCGCGATGCATTCAAGGATACTACAACTGTCGCCTTCGCGTTGGCTACCTCTCTAGAAGGATTGGCGCAGTTCTATATCAACCTTCTGATCCTACAAGGACTAGGTCTATTTCCTTTCCGACTTTTGGAGTTTGGAAGTGTGGCCTTGTACCCGTTTCAGCTCCTCAAAGCAAAGACTCCTCGTGAATATTCTGAGCTGTCTACACCCCCCAAATTCAGCTACGGCTTCTCGATTCCCCAGACAATCTTGATTTTGATTATCTGCATCGTGTACAGCGTTTTCCCAAGCTCATGGTTGATCTGTTTCTTCGGTTTGGTCTACTTCATCATCGGCAAGTACATCTACAAGTACCAACTGCTGTACGCCATGGACCATCAGCAGCACTCAACCGGACGTGCCTGGCCAATGATCTGCAGCAGAGTTTTTGTCGGCCTGGTCATGTACCAGCTAGCCATGATCGGAGTCCTGGCTTTGCGCAGAACCACTACCCGCCCTCTTCTTCTCCTCCCACTTTTGGGTTTTACTGTATGGTTCAGCTACTGGTTTGCTCGCACCTATGAACCACTCATGAAGTTCATCGCTCTCAAGAGTATCAATCGGAACGATGCTGACTGCGTCAACGGCTCCCCTTCGCTTTCGGGAACCTTCTCTCCGCCCTCGGGCTTGGAACGTGATGCGCTTCCAATTCAAATTGGCGGGCACGATCTTGGGCTTCGCTTGAAGAAATACGTTAATCCGTGTCTTATATTGCCGCTGCGAGATGCTTGGCTTCCCGGTCGTGCTCAGATTAGCGAGAACAATGCCACCCAGGCTAATGTCCGAGCCAGTGTGTGATGATTTTGTCGTCTACCAAGCATGGCCCTGACCTTGTGACATCTCAATTATGAATGCTAATCATTCAGACCCATTCATCCTTCCACTTTTCAATTCCCTTTTCCACTACCCTTCCCCTTACCATTCCCCTTACCATTCCCCTTACCATTCCCCTTACCATTCCCCTTACCCTTCCCCTTACCCTTACCCTTCCCCTTCCCCTTACCAAATCCCTTACCCAATCCCTTACCCAATCCCTTACCCAATCCCTTACCCAATCCCTTACCCAATCCCTTACCCAATCCCTTACCCAATCCCTTACCCAATCCCTTACCCAATCCCTTACCCAATCCCTTACCCAATCCCTTACCCAATCCCTTACCCAATCCCTTACCCAATCCCTTACCCAATCCCTTACCCAATCCCTTACCCAATCCCATTCCCATTTTCCTCCCCCTCCCATCTTCACTCTCGTTATTGCCCTCAAATTGGCATTTTCTATAATCTCCATCGCATCGACCTAGAGCATCAATCTTTGATCTCTGATGATATACGACGTTAATGCCTACTTTGATACCTCACTTGCATTCTTTACATCGCCTGATTGTTGATCTCTCTCTCGTTTATCCAGCCGTTTATAAACTTCGATGCCCCATTCAGTATCTCGTTCTGTTACTCTATTTCTTTCCAGAGCAGCTTTCTGCTCTCGATCTCTTGTCTCGATTTAGGATGCCATTTCTGGATTTCTTCAACTCTGTGACATTATCGAACTGTAAACATAGCTGTACTATATGATCTCAATTTAATTCACCCGATCTACATTGAAACAACTGTCTCAACCGTCTTGCCACCTAGAATGCTCGATTCTTTTGCTGGATAGCATTGTCAACGTGGTATGATTCCAATGTCCTATTGAACAGGACCAATGATGCCTTATACGTATTCCTTTTCTTGGATTCTTGTTGATGAAGCAATGGGTAATCGCCATCTTCCTAGTCAGATTTAACAGTCTCGAGCACGCACGCACTTACCCAGTGGAAGATAGTGAATCAAGAAATGCAGCACATTAAAGAAATCACTACAACTTCCAAGGTTAAATGCGCGTAAGATTCGATACCTCGGAATCAACTATTTATCGCTATGATTGGAGAATGGACCGACGAAAGCAGGTCGACATGATTTCTAATCTGTAAATCGACCAGCATCGTCAGATGTAGTCCCCGCCAATCACCGTGACCAAATATGACGCCATACAAGCTTTAATGCCTCAGGCAACAACAAAAGTTCACCATCCGCGGGGAAATGATATAACGGACGACTTCTCCAATAATCGACTCCCCGCCTCTCAATTAACAATTTCATAGTGTCGCAATGCATTCATTCCAAAGCGCTGTGCGCCAAGTCCCGTTCATGCCCAGAGTGCTTCTGCGGCGACCAAATGAACACATTTCCAAGCTTGCTTGCGCGCGGCCATTGGCGTATACCCGGTCATTACACGCCGTGCCACCTCGAAAGTCATCAGTTACTGCACAGTCGACCAAGGATTCCACAAACCCGGCCATGTCATTCCCTTGCCTCGACGCCCAGGAGGCCAAATCCGCTCTTCTCTCCACCCGATCGCTGGAATCAGGGCCCGAACCTTCATACACAACTGGTCAGCATGAGCAATACCACTGCGACAGTCCGCTGCTCCTAGACTGGGGTGGCGTTCTTCCAGAGTTTGATATCGCCTACGAATCATGGGGTGAGCTGAACACTGACAAGAGCAATGCCATCCTGTTGCACACTGGATTGTCAGCTTCCAGCCATGCCCACAGTACAGCATCAAATCCAAAGCCTGGCTGGTGGGAGAAGTTCATTGGACCAGGTCTGCCACTCGATACGGATAAATACCACGTTATCTGCACCAACGTGCTCGGCGGCTGCTACGGCAGCACCGGACCGTCATCAATAGACCCTTCAGACGGCAAACGATATGCGACACGATTCCCGATCCTTACCCTGGAAGACATGGTGCGAGCCCAATTCCGACTTTTGGATGGACTGGGTATACAAAAACTGGCAGCGTCGGTCGGATCCAGCATGGGCGGCATGCAGAGCTTGGCTGCCGGTGTTTTATTCCCAGACCGCGTAGGGAAGATTGTCAGCATCAGCGGTTGCGCACGAAGCCACCCATACAGCATTGCCATGCGGCACACACAGCGACAGGTGCTTATGATGGACCCGAATTGGGCACGTGGTTTCTACTACGACGCTATCCCGCCCCACCACGGTATGAAGCTTGCGCGTGAGATTGCAACAGTCACCTACCGCAGTGGACCAGAGTGGGAGAAGCGGTTTGGCCGCCGTCGCGCCGATCCCAGCAAGCAGCCCGCGTTGTGTCCCGACTTCCTGATAGAGACATACCTCGACCACGCTGGCGAGAAGTTCTGTCTGGAATATGATCCTAATAGTCTGCTCTACGTCTCCAAGGCCATGGACCTGTTTGATCTCGGATCCACCCATCAGACCGAGACTCTGAATCGTCGTGCGGAAATAACAGCCCGTATTGCCCTTGGAGATATCTCTCCCAGCGTCTCAGACTCCGCTTGTAGCCTGACCCTCCCCGACAAGCCATATGAAGAACAACCTGAGGCGAGAGCCTCTGTGCCAGCATCCGATCAATCCTTCGCGTCTGAAACACCCCACGGCCCGCCTCAAGACCTCATTTCCGGCCTTGGAGCACTGAAGAACCACCCCGTTCTAGTCATGGGCGTCGCAAGTGACATCCTATTCCCGGCATGGCAGCAAAGAGAGATTGCTGAGACCCTTCGCGAAGGCGGCAACAAGACTGTCGAGCACATCGAACTCGGGGAAGAACTCTCTCTGTTCGGCCACGACACTTTCTTACTTGATCTGAAGAATATCGGTGGTGCTCTGGCCCGATTCCTTCAGTAGAGCTTCAACTATTGGGATAACATGTATTAACCTTAGATGTGAATTCTTTTCACCATGTTTTTGTATCATATTGCCTCGCAGCGTCGACTGTCAAAATATTGCATTCTTGGCGTTTCTTTCCCAGGATCATTTGGCCTTTCTTGTTTATAATGTTATAACAATCTACATTTTTGCTTTTTTATCACTTCTGTAAGTCAAGCACTTGGTTGCGCAGCTTGCTAACATCGGAGTAGGAGTGTAGCTTCAGGTGGTCTATGAAGAGTATGTTTCTGAATATATTATATCCTCGATGGCAGATTACGATGTTGACAACCTCGGTGCTTCAAAACAGACGCAATTGATAATCGTAGATTCAATGGCTCCACTCTATTATTGATATCAGCCTACAGCTCGAAATAATTTATTTACAGGTGATTTTGATACAAAAGAAATCCACAATGAGATATCATACAATCATGACTTTTTATACATTTCATCCACCGCCTGCTCAAACTTAGCCAGCTCCTCCTTCGAAATAGGATAAGTATGTTCGACTTCAGGAAAAGCCCGACTTTTCACCTCAGCATGATACTGCTGAATGCCACGAAGAGCTTCACCCCAAACATCAGCATACTTCTTAACGAACTTAGGCACAAAGCGCCCCGGTTCGAAATTGCCGGTCATATCAACCTGGACCAGCACTTGGCCCGAGCAACCATTCCCAGCCCCAATCCCAATGGTAGGAACGCTCAGTTTCTGCGTGATGAGCGTTGCGACTTCGGCCGGCATAGCCTCGAGCACGAACATGAACACGCCGGCCTCTTGCATCGCAAGCGCATCATCTAGTAACTTCAGTGCATTTTTGCATGTCTTGCCTTGGACGCAGAATCCGCCGAGGGCGTTTTGTCGCTGGGGCGTTAGGCCTATGTGGCCGCAGACTGGGATTCCGGCCTGAGTGATCTGTTTGATTGTCGGTGCTAGTTCTGCGCCACCTTCTATCTTGACTGCGTGTACTCGACCCTCTTTCACGAGTCTGATGCAAGACTTAACCGCTTGCTCTGGTGAAACCTCGTATGAACCCATCGGTAAATCTGTGATCTATTGCAACATCAATAACTGCACCACCTTCAATTAATTGAACTAAAAGCTGAGAACTTACAATGAAAGCGCTTTTCGCGCCACGGACCACACTCCGACTATGCATAATCATGTCCTCCATATTAACCTCGACAGTGTTATCCAATCCTAGCACAACCATCCCCAAACTATCACCGACCAAAACAGTATCAACACCAGCGGTGTCAGCCACATGCGCACTGGGATAGTCATAGGCTGTGATCATGGAGATGGGCTCTCCCTTCTTATAGAGGTTCCGTAATGTCTGTAGAGTGACCTTCTTGCGCTTCGGTGTCTTCGGGGCGGGGTCTGGTGAGGAGTAGGAGCTGTATCGGGTCTGAGAGTATGGAAGCGCGGGCGTGGAGGAAATGGAGGAGCACCGGAGGTCGAGAATGGTGTTTAGACATTGGGGTCGGGTGAAATGTGTTGGGCGCATTCTGCTAACTGGAGTAGCTAGAACAGACCGCGATAGAGGTCGCATTGTAACTCCGGCCATGGTGGCAGCAGAGTAGGAGCAAATTGGAGACTCTGGATGCGCAAAAGCCGAACACCTCAGTTGCTTGTTGCGCAACGCGCCACCCGTCTATGGTATTCGTAGGGGTAGAAAACGAGATTCGTCTTTTAATTCATTTAAATATCGGTAGCAAGTTCATGTAGCTTCATTTTATATCGAGTAATGGCTCCTTTCGTCCGGGTGTTCGTTCTGGGTTATGCGGCGTAGACGGGAGCATCTCCATAGAAAAAAAAAAAAAAGTGAGGGCGTTCAGAGGCAACTCGGTTGACCGCGGCATTCGGTATTAGGTAATAGGCACTCGGAGTTAACACTGCATGTTGACATCTAGATGAAGTTAATATAGAGCTTTAAAGATCTGAATCTAAGATCATGAATCTGAGATCATGGTCTTATCTTATTTTTTTAATTCTATAAGTCTTTTGATTGTCTCATGATGTTATCAGCATCTATTTAACCAGATCATCTATTTGGCATTACTATTTAATGACGGTCAGAACTATTTAGTTACAGAGCATTAACGAACTAAACTGAACAATAAACTGAACGATTACACAAAGCCTTGATAGACAACACTAAATAAAGAGACATGGGAAGGGGCTGATTAATGAGAGTCTTAATTTATCATATCCTATCCATTCTACCGAAACCTTAGCTTTATAGACTTCAACACACTTCCAAGGTTCTGGCTTCGGGCTTCGGGCTTCGGGCTGTCAACGTGAATATAAACACTAGCTTCATGTTTCAATTTCGGGTTGGCCATTCCTGTTGGTTACGATGGTAAAATTGGAGTAACTTTTTCCCTCTGCGGGATCGCCTAATAGACATTTACCTCGGGCATAGGAGCCCTGGCGATAAATATCTCCGGCGCAAGTCTCCCCTCCACAATTACCGGACTTTGTTACCTCAGTACATATAAGAGAAGACAAGAGGACTTTAAGGAGTCGGATAGGACAATAGATCTCCTAAACTACGTGCATAGTCTATAACTCAATCAACGCCCCGGTTGATTAGGTGAATTTTTGCTAATTAATCAAAATTGAAGCTTTTTCTTCTTCTCTCGTCTACTCCATCTACTCTCTCCTCGACATCCACGAGTTAACAAACAACTCATAGCAATTGTAATCTCTTCGTACAATCCTCCAAGGCTGCACGTAGCCATTACTAGAAAGTGAATTTAATTCCATTTCGAGTCGCCAACTCCGGCTATGGTAAGATCTATCTCACTCAGAAATCCTGGGATCGTTTATACAGAGCAGATACAATTGGTCGACTACTCCTCATAAACATGGTCTTGAGCGACAGCCTGAGTTAGCAGTTCCAAGATCGGATTCCATGAGTTGCAAGACTTAACACTATTCGCGGCCTGATACAGTTATGTCACACGTCCATGTCTACTCCAATAGACATGTCTATACCCAGGCAGTACCTAGATATTATATTCTATCTCGCCAGGGGAGATACGATCATTTGATTGTTCAAAGGGAAACCGTGGTTAGCCTTAGAAATGGGAAATGCACCTGGAATTCCAGAACCAACCCCGGAGTTAGATGCCCATGTCTGTTCTTTCAAGAAGTCCTTCGCAGAGCTGTCCCAAGGCTATTTATATAACCTCATGTCCCCACATCAAGCCTTCGAGGCTTGGGATATATTTCTTGTCTTTGAAACACCGCACCCTTCACTTCGGCAAAATGTCATCCTCTTTGGGGCCATAATCCTCTTCATGTGGGTAGTGCACATCTGGAAGAAATCCCAAGGTGCCTCATCCATGAATCTAGATTTCAGGGTTCTCTCCTTACACCAGGGTCTCGGCCTTATGCTGCATCCGGCCCCTGGCTAGGATCTCAACTTCAAGATCAGGATTTCATGGATTCACCCTCTATTATAAGTATCTACATGCCACACAGGCAAGCTATAAATACGAACGAGAGTTCTTGTATAGCGCCAAAACTATCTAGCAATATCTAGTTATTGTTTATTTTCCAAGATTCACTTTTGTAATTACCTGAACTTCACAATGTACTTGACTCACCTACCCCTTTTTATTTTCGGCTTTATCAGCCATTGCAACCGCGAGAACTTTCAAAAACAGCTTCAAATACCCAGATTTTGTCATTGAAAATTGGATTTACGATGATAGCACTATATACCAGGCTTCCCTAGCCGAGGCTGATTGTCTTATCAACTCTGGGGGCAAAATTATTGGACAAGCACAGTGAGTTGCAAAGACATATTTCAGCTCTAGCGTTATTCTAGGGGATCTAAAACTTGGATCAAACACTCTTCTAACTTCTATGGATAATAGCGGAGGAGCTGACTGCAATTGTGACGTGAATGACGACAGTGACCTTACTGAATGGATTATTTGCGAATGTCCTGATGGCTCTGGGGCAACCAGCACAGCATCAGTCGAATGGGGTAGGTTGAAGGCCTGGAGATCTCCATGAATACATCAAGCAAGTTCTGATAGCATTTCATCGATTAGACTCCATTTTTACAACTATCGCGCCGACTATATTTGCTTGTGGTACTGTCACCGCGACTGCTACGTCATACAGCTCTATCACAAGTGCCTCGGCATGCTCGGCTGTTACTAAAGCTACTACCACTACAGCGAGCTGAGTCATTGGTATTTCCTTGAGAATTGATCATCCAAGGATCATAGCTTCAGGTCAAGACTGTCAGCCCCTTGTATCTCTTTGTTTCGGGCCCTGATTTCTATTACTACTACCTTGTAAGATCCATGCCTGTCAGTATTTTGCGTAGGGATAATGTTTTCTAGATCAATGTGAACATAAATGATGTGCGAATTTGGTAATTCAGAAATTTGGAAGCTTAGAGGTCATATCAAGTAGAAATGGGTTTCAATGATCCCTTCAGGGTTGTGGCATAGATGAGAGCTTCATTCTACTACTCATGTTCAGTCCTGTTTACCTGTCTGCATCTATCTATACGTTGCTCAGGTGGGAGTATTGATTTAATTCTAAGTACCTACATAAATGAATAGTAATGTTCTAACTTTTCTACATGTGGGACAGCTGGAAATAAAATATGTATCAAGAATTCAGAAATGAATTGGCTAGAGTAAAGATGTTTCATATAAATGGGTGAGCAAAAAATATGAAGATGAAGATGAAGATGAACTGGAACGTCGACATTTGCCAAAGAGCTTCCAGGCCTTAGTCTTGGTATGTTGCTTAATTTGGAGCTCGGTCGTAAAAGATGTCGCAGGGGATAGTCTCATTTACTTTCTGCTCGCGATACTGTTGAAATGTGAGCTCATTCTTTATGGCAAACCAGGAGTCATACGATGATTTGGACAGTATTTGTCGGAGTTTCTCCTCGTAAGAAACGTGGCGATCTCGAAAGTCTGGGGTATTCCTAAAAAGCAATTCGTAAAAGTCATTGAGGAACTGTAAGAATTGAATAACGACAACCAGGTCCATGCCAGTTTTGAACTCTCTCTTTGTCTCGCGGAAATATGAGAATATACCAACGCCGAGGATATCTAAATGTCCTTCCAAAGTGTAATTTGACATCTCTAGAAAACGCTCGAAGTGGACGTCGATGATAAGCTGTCCCTCATGCCATACATCGCTCAAATCAGCTAGCTCGTCGGGTGCTTGTTCGAAAAAATAACCGACGAGATGTTGGGCCTTCATGTTGAGACCTAGAACGAGCTTTTGCTCTGATGGCTCGTCGGTGCCAATATATAGAAGAGGCAACTGGATGAATGTGATGATTGGGTTTGCTCCAGTAGCAACATGGTCGAAAGTCCTTCTGTCAAAAAGTTCAGTTAATGAAATTCGCTTGAATCCATATTTTTCAAGAAAGAATATTTCCATAGTGCGGGTTTTGGTGTTGTGATCCTTCTCAATAGCGGCAAGGTAGAGATTATAGTCTGTAACACCCCAAGGATGGCGGGAGCTCTCCATCAATCGAGAAACGAGAGTTTTATTGGTACTTGGGGACTTGGGTGAAGCGGGAATAGGGCGCTCCAGTTCTAGGACTTCATTATCCCAATTTATATAGGGCTGAGCCAAGACCTTCATGGCGAGATCCTGCATTGAATCCATTGCGTCAAATATTTTCTTGATCAGGTAGAATATCTGTTTAGTTCTTGATAAGACAAATGGAGTTGACGTACTTGATATTAAGGAGGGTCTGCAAGAGGAAGAAGATCTCTATTTATAATTTTCTAGCAAGACCCTCACAAAGCTTGAAGATTTGCTAGGGTTGAGAAATTTGTGGCAGGCGATATCGTAAGGCAGGTTTCTTTCATATAGAATAAAGAACATTGATCAAGTATAGTTCAATGAGGAGATGTATTGTCTTACACTCTTTATGCCGAGGAACAAAGAATGGATTCTAGCTTCAAAGCACTGCAAAGGTAAGGCGCCGTTCAAGTCTTCGTTTCCAAACAACGACATTGTAGCAGAGATTTCCTTCCGAGTATAGCGGAACCCTGAATTTGTCGCGAAGACAGATCCTGCGTTCTATGACTTTGATATTTAAAAATGAGAGTTCGAACCTACGCTTGGGTGCTTATTGAACATTGATTAGCGCTGAGATTGATGTTGTCCATTCTGGGGTTTCCTGATCGGATGACAACTGCTACACTGTACCTTGGAATAAATGATATCTTATAAATCTAGATATATCAAGAATTAGATAGGGAAGAAGAAACTACGAAGATCATCATTGTATCGTGCATGGCATGCTGATGCGAGATCTATTGGCACGTGAGATGGTGATAGGGAATCTCAAAGAACTCTATCGCTTATGACTTGCGCTTTTTTGATGAGTCCATCGAGAGTTTGATGAATTCCAGATGAGCCGGCGAACTGACCAATATCGCTCCCGATTGGGCTGCGACCGGGTTCGGCAAGAAAATGGGCGTTACGCCAGTCGGTACTCACCATATAACGCGCGAGGATTTTGTGTGAGTCCGCCCTCTCCTTAGATGTTATCGCTGCTGTATCTGGTGGTAAAACTAGATATTAGATATACTTAGCAATGCCTTAGTAAATGTTTTATATATGTCTTACAGCAGCCAGTATGTTGCTCATGAAAATGCCGATTCATCATGCCGTTATCCTTGAAGGTGATGCCACATTGCTGACCTCTTTCCACAATAACTGGACATACTAAGGTATTAACCTTAGACCAGGGAAGCATAGGATTTGGAGGACCAAGACCCTTTCGAATATCTTCTTTGATATGCGCAACGAGGATAGGCTCTGTTGGGTCCTCAAGGTCGCGCCAGGTCTGTGGTCTCCAGCCTGGATTTGGATCTTCGATTGGTCCTAGAGATTTCCAAATGGTTAGTAAAAAGGTTGTTTCGAATAATATGTCTTATAACACACTATGACAATATCCCCATCTGAAGTCAGGATTATAGGCATCCTGTACATCATCTAAAAGGAAGAACTCTCTGTCAGGGCCTATTTGGTATAGGTATCCTGGTGTAATAGGGCGGAGGGGCATCTTGGTAATAAAGCTTGAAACTCTTGAGTAGATAATATGGTAAGACTTAGTAAAGGTTCTGTAGATGATAGAATATGAATTAGGAAGAGGGAAAATCATGGGGAAATATATTGTTTGAACCTCAGAACCATGGTGGTTTCTAACAAAGAGAATAATTATGGTCAGCTTGCCTCTATAGGCTCAATGAAAGATAAATATTATTCTCATTAAAGAATATACTACTAAATTAGAAAACATGCTGAAAATAGTGAAAGAAGAGTGCTAGGACTAAGTTTTGAACAGAAAACTGAAGTGTTTAATTGTTCATAGAGTATTTAATACCAATTTTTGAAATTAGGAATATTAAAGTAATAATACGTCTCTCTATACTTAGAATGCTATAATAGCCTACTTGGACCAACTTAATAAGTTGACGAACAAGGTACTGGATCGATTCCAGCTGGATCTATTTTTTTTTTTTCACTAGAAACTCATTTTTCGGACCTATATGTCATCAGCTAACCCTATTACCTGCTGTCATAAGAGCTTATTTCGACTACTAAATATGGTTCTTCAGTTCTCTTTATACATTTCCACTTTTTTTGATCTATATTTACCACTCTTTCATTCCATTTTTATTTCATACCACACTTACTTAGCATATGTTTTGTATATGTGAAGCATAAGTGAACACGTATCCTACTAAGCTACATCAAGTTTAGTAGTGGTCTAACCTTCCCACAATAAATTATCAACACTCTAGGTAATTTTGAATAACATGACCATCTTTACTATAGGTTGATCTCTAACTATTCAATGGAGTCAGATCTACTATCATCATCTGCCTTTGAGGCACAATCTGAATACATATTTTCAGAAACCGCCTCTATCAATACTACTTTCATCCAGAGTTCACCGATCCGGGCCGCCCCCTTACCTTGTTCACCCTTTACCAATCAGCATCAACCTCTCCAATCAATTCGGCAAACTAAAGACTTTGTATTCTTTGATATGACGACTAAGGATGACTTTATTAAGTGGTGGTTAGCTACAGACTTTGGACAAAAAGGGACTTTGAATTGGCAAGAGCAGAAAGGTGACGCGTGGACCAATTTTGATCAAGGTTCTACACTCAGGGGTGGTGAGCCAAAAGTGCGATGTAAATATTATAAAAAACTCCTTCGCCATCCTAATTTCAGACCTGGTACCACTGTTTTATCAGAAGGAGGTGAAAGAGTTTTGAAGACCAGAGCTTCCATTAGAACAAGCTCCTTACGGCGCCATAAAGAGCATTGTCAAGGAGCACAAGGCAATAGCTTTACACATCAAGCTTCTATTTTCCAGGGCATTCAAAATATGGTACGTCTTTATATTCACTTAGTAAAAGGATAGTAGATGCTAATTAAACTGATTCAAATAAAGGCAAGAAATCCTCTAAAAGCTCCCCCTTCTAAACATGACTATCGCAAGAAAGTCCTCTCAATGGTTGTTCAACAATCCCTCCCGTTCAAGTTTGTTGAATCTCCATCATTCAAGGATTTGATGGAGTTTTGCAAGAGTTATCCTAACTTAATTGAAGATCTATCTAGATCTACCATTAAACGGTTAAGCCAAAGTGAAGCAGAAGAAGTCCAGAAACAACTTATTAAGAGGCTTCCATCTACTGCGAAGGTATCTCTTAGCTTAGATTGTTGGACGTCGCCCTTTAAACAAGCGTTTTTAGCAGTCACATGCTACTTTATTGATAAGGACTGGGAGTATCAAGAGGTCCTGCTAGGCTTCGAACCATTACATGGAGCACATTCTGGACAACACTTAGCCTCTATAGTGCTTAAGGTACTTGAGCAACATGAGCTTGAGCAACGAGTGTTAACCATTACTACTGGTAGGTATTATTCTCTATTTCTATATGACTTTCTAACATAAATAGATAATGCGTCAAACAATAGCACCTTAGTGTTCTATCTTTCAAGAGATATCCGAGGAATTGTGGAAGGAGATCTAGAAGACAGTGATGCAGATTCTTCCGAGGACGAGGCAAATCATCTAAGGAAGACAGATACAGCACAGCTACAACACCTTCAAAAGCAAATGAAGGAGACAACAGATATACTGGCAGAAAAGTTACCCCAAGTCCCAATCATTCGTGTTCCTTGTATTTATCATGTTATACAGCTTTCTCTTGGTGAACTCATGAAGGAAATGAAAGCTACCCCGAAAAACGACACACTTCTATCTCAATGGAAAAAGGAGGATACAGAGGAAGCTCTCAAGAAGAGAGTGGTTGGAAAGATTTCAACTACCTTGTATAAGGTATGTGTTCTTCCTCATTTTTCCTCAGATATTTCCCGCGGTCGCAAATTAGCCACGGTCGCAATTGAGCCACGGTCGCAATTAAGCCACGGTCGCAATTAAGACACGGTCGCAATTGTGCCACATATACAACACCTTTACTTAACATATACTAAGCAAATGCTTAGTATATGCTCATACATTTCCCCTTTACTAATGATTCTCTATAATTAGATTCGAGCCCTTACCCAGTTCATTAATGCCAGTCCTCAACGCCGCGAAGCCTTTCTATCTTTACAATCTGAATCTTCCCAAACCAACCGAGCTCTGGTTCCTATACAAGATGTTCGAACACGGTGGAACTCGACATACCAAATGCTCCAACGTGCAAAGAGGCTTCAGAAATTCCTAAACCGATATTGTTCTGAATGCTCAGACACGGACAAGAAAATCAAGAGGCAGCTTACACTATTGGCACTTTGCGACGATGAGTGGGAGCAAGTGGAATACTTACTTGAGATCACGGAACCCTTCTTTGATTTTACTCGCCATCTCTCTCAGACAAAGAAAGTGACCACCCACTTCGTCTTTCCATTATACAATCAGATGTTTCAGCACCTAGAAACCCAGATTGAACGACTTAAGCGGCGACCTCTAAAGCTTGGACAAAAGGAAATACTTCAGTCTCTTCATGCAGCACACAAGAAACTCGCAGAGTACTATGGCCAGGTGAAGAATGAGACATTAGGAAAGATCTATTCTACTGCGACTATACTTGCGCCAGATTTTGGACTCAAAGTATTTGATGGAGATTCCTGGGAACAAGAAAAGGAATATCTTGGTGAAACCACAGATCAAAGTCAGAATTACAAGAGGATATATCGGGAGAGTCTAGAGAGGCAGCTAGTACGGTATCAATCTCAGAATCCAGCCAACCTGCTAAGCCAAACGGAGGCTACATCAAGAAAGAGAAAGCGAACTAAAAAAAAGGATCCCTTTGCGCTAACTCGGGACACCTCTTCACCATCAGAAGATGAACTTACAAGGTATTTACACTTTCGGACTTCAGGTAAGTAATATTAAACATAAATATTTACTAAGTAAATATACTAATATGAATAAAGATACGACGACAAAGACACTTCGCTTCTGGAAGGATAACGCTAGACAATTTCCAACACTTGCTCAAATCGCCCGGGACTATTTTGCTGTTCCTGCTAGCGGAGCAGGTGTAGAACGGCTGTTCAACACAGCGCGTGATATCTGTCATTATCGCCGTGGTCGTTTACAAGCAGAGACTATTAAAGACTTGATGATACTACGGTTCACAGAACAAAATTCGGGGAAAGGTATAGTTCTACATGAATTAGATTATGATAGCGAGGAAGCTGAGGAAGATGTTGAAGATGGTGATATTACTACAGATGATGAATCGTGATTTAGAATAGATTATAATAATATTTCATACTTTAAGTTACTTTAAGTTTTAATTCTACTTTTTTTTGATTAAAATAATAATTATCTCGGCGCTCACTTTACTTAATAATAAAATACAGAATATTAATACATCATGATTCAGCATAAATTTCCAAAAATACACATAATTTATGTATATCACGTGAAGGATAGGGCTTGGCAAAAAAATGGGTTTATGGGTTGGGTTGGGTTGGGTATGGGTTTACCCAACCCAATGAACATGTCTACTGAAGTTGCAGTTGAAAAATTGTTTAATGAAGGAAGGGATTTTGTTAGTCTCCGACGTTCTCTTTTGGATAGCCAATCAGTACGGGCGTTGATGTTGCTGAAACAGAACTTTGTGAAAGAGGATCTTGAAGAGCTTGGGGAGAAAAATGGATTCTTTGAGGAAGATGAGATGGAAACAGATTTAGAGGATAGCTAGTTATTGTTTGAATATCTCTCTTATGCTTTACAGCTGCTTTTACACTGCAAATCTGGGCTTCTTTCTGACTCCAAAGTCTGTTTGGCTTCTGAGAAACCGGAGACGATCCACTTGACACAGATGAGAGGGAATGTGCGGAGCATTAGTGTGAGCCAACGATGATTATCGATCCGATGTCCAATCATCACTGTGGATACGTCTAGGATCTTGTTCTGTCAGTATACGAACAGCTGGAAGCCCTTATGTTGTGTAGAAGGTGCGTTTCAATTACCAGCAAACGCGCTATTCAGGTTCGAAGGCTCGCTTCGTAAATTCGGTTGGAAGATGAGCCTTTGGCGAGTCAGTGAGAGAAATATGGCCTGTGACACTAGGTCCAGGGCAGTGAGCGTGTGGCTTGACTGTTAACTCACCAGAAGAGAAACTTGCTGTTTACAGCTATTTGTATTCGACAACATATTCCCCGACAGACGCGAGTTGTTTCTGGGCTCGTACCCGAAACTATCCTAATTCAAATTCAGCCATGTTGTAAGTGATATTTTATTGAAATATATTTCAGGATTCCTTTCATTTCCAGCACTGCTATGTGACGTATGATACTTTATTTACAAGAAACTCGACACTCCATGTCCTCTTATTTAGCCATAGAGCCATGACTAGCAGCCCGATTCATAACAGCCACTAACGACCTTTAAATGGATAAGCATATGGTCGATTCAACTTGGGTGCTTTTGAGGTTGGTTTATAATTAGCGTCTGCTGAATTCTGTCTCGGCGTGCGCTGTAAGTGTCAGAGATAGCTATGGTAGCCTACGGTATGGTAATTGGGAGAATTCAATTTGGGACGCGCTCCCAGATATCATAAAATGTCAACACACGTTTCTTTTTCGACTCTTTCTTCCTCATCCCCTCGCTTTGCACCACAACAATTCTTTCACCCAACAATTCACGCAGTAGATATTTTCATTCAATCATGATCTATCATGATGTCCTTTCATGTTGGCACAGTTCCATTTATTAACTCTCAATCAATTGATACAGCTTCAGAATGGCTAGAATGCAGTGGATTGCGGAGGACGGGTCTCGCAAGTTCGTATCGATCGGAGGCCGCAAGCCCAGCAGCCCTGGCAGGATGGCGGAGTACGAAAAGTACGTGGCCTCGTTGAAGACCCCTGCGTCCAGCCCAAAAGCAACCGAAACCAAGAACAAGCTGGCCGGCAAGGCGAAGGCTGCCAATCGCGTCACATCAGGGCGGGTGAAAAAGGTTGTACACGGTGATGTGTCCAAACGCGATGATGATATGGTGCTCATGTACGCATCCTTTCTCTCAACCGGCAAGACCCACGTAAGTTTCAAGTTTCCAGCTCATGAATTGAGCTCCAAGCACCAGAGCCTTTGCTATCTTTACTAATGCCTTGAGCTGATAGCCCAACTACGCCGAAATGGCCTCTACCTTGGGTATAACCTACAATGCGGCTGCCAAAAGATGGCGCCGACTGAGCCTCCACATGAAGGAGCTTGTTTTCAAGGGTGGACACGATTTGAAGAACGCTACTGGCGAGAAGGCGACTGTTGAGAAAGACCACAATGAGTCTGATGAAGAGTTGTCGGAGCTCACTGAGCTTGAGGAATTAGAAGATTCTTGTGAGGAGACTGAAGAAAATGGTGACGATGAGGATGAGGGTGGGAACAACGAGGAGTATGTCCAGTGAGCAGATCGTCGATGATATCTGATGGGACTGAGTCTTTGCTCCCATGTATCCTGGAGCCATATTTGATCTTAGAATGGATTCAAATACGAGAGATGCCGAGTTCATATTCCTTTATCTTCTTTTTAACATTACAATCTCTCTCTCTCTCTCTCTCTCTCTCTCTCTCTCTCTCTCTCTCTCTCGCACTCTCTCTCGCACTCTCTCTCTCATAAATACAGCTTTAATCTAACTGTTCATATATCACTACCATCTCATTTTATCCACAGCCACAGCCCATCAAAAACCGAGTGAGTGCACCCGTCATTGCATATAGTGATCATCACATACGGCATATGCATGGAAGTGAGCCAATAACACATATAGCAACCAGTAACCTGAATTCGTGGTTGAAGCATCACATACGTCAAATCTTGAATCCCCATAACATAGAAACATCCATACAGTCCAAGTACCACCCGAGACTGTGTGCCAGAAGCTGATTTTGATAAAAAAGAGAATGCTGCTCACCAAAATCATGACCATCACAGGAGATGACGCCGTTGACCCAAGGGATATAAAATACGGTGTTGACTACTGGCGGGTCATTCTCAGCGGACAATAAACGACTGCTGAAGGAGTTATGTCCTCCTGTCGAAGAATATGCATGGATGTTTTCTTCAAGGGGCTATGGCAATTAAAGCCTTATCCATACGCCTACAATCGTTGCCGGGCTCCTCTAGTTTGACTGAAGTATACAACGTGGGGACAGTCCCTAAGTTAATCGTGATTAGTGACGATGATGGGGAAGGTCGACTCAGACCGCCATATCAATTGTGATAACCGATCAAGCCGCATTTCGTGAGGCCAGCAACAATCTGCGGTTTCCTCCTGAATATCCTCCTGACTTTAATCTTTTCAATTTCCACTAGAAGTCAGATAATATGGGGGCTTGGCATCTTTTCGCAGTCTCTAAATTGGTAATAGCCTTCTTCAAGCTTTCTATTGGTGAACTCATAAAGGAAATGAAAGCTACCCCGACGATGACACACTTCTATCTCAATGGAAAAAGGAGATTGAAGAAGAAGCTCTAAAGGAGAGAGTTGTTGGAAAGATCTCAACTACCTTATACAAGGTCTTCTTCCTACTCACATATTTCCCACGGTCGCAAATAAATCCGATTCCCCCAACCAAGCTCTAGTCCCCCAAGGTGTTCGAACACGGTGAATACCTAGTATCGAAGTTCCTATTACTCAAACGTGTAACGAAACTTCGGAAATCTTTCAATCGATACTTGTGACGGCTGTCAATATCTTACAATAAAGGTATCAGAGTAAAATGCACAATGGTATCCGATATATTCCAACTAGAGAAAAGAAAGTGAATAATCTACAAAGCCACGATCGGGGCTGTCACAGAAATTGAATGGAACAAAACAGTGATGAGTCTAAGTGGATATGTAGAGGGAACTAAAGAAAACTATGCTATGGTTTGGATAAGCTGGTTCGGAAAAATAAGTTCTGTTCTTAGAGTAGACAAAAAGGAACTCGGCCAGAATCGATCGCAATTTTAAATACTAAATGGTAGATAGATTTGTATAGCATTTTAGATGCATAAGGGATCAATTATCTCCATATATCTTTGACTTCAAACATCAGTATCTCTTGTGACTGGAGAATAAAGACCTTAGACTTCCCTTTGAAGCTCTTATCGCTTTTCTTTCACTAATTCGATCTTAATTTGGTCATTGATTCTTTCATAAGTTTCTCTTTCATATATAACGTTTCCAAGTTTGTCTTCAATGAAAGTACTATAGTCCCGAGGTTCAAAGAATATATACCCATCTACATCGTTTTCTCTCTTTCTTATATTCTATCCACAGAACCCTTCTAAGGTTACTGAGTCTTTTCCTGTCTACTCAAGAACTTCAAGATTCATTATCAAGATGTCTCTACACCGTACTCCCCCAGGATATCTATACCGCACAGGCTTTAGCAGAGAATTTTTTCTCTTAGATGATGTACAAGACGCCTACAATCCTGATTTCAAATGGGGATATTGCCATGGTGAGTTGTAAAATATATTATCTCAACTGGCTTACTTACCCTTGGTTAATCTCCAGGACCGATCGAGGACCCAAACCCAGGCTGGACACCCCAGGCCTGGCTCGACCTCCATGACGAATCAAAGCCCGTCCTCGCCGCTCACATCAAAGAAGACATTCAACGGGGTCATGGACCCCCGAACCCCATGCTTCCCTGGTCTAAGGTGAATACCTTGGTGTGTCCAGTTGTTATAAATCGTCGGCAGTGTGGCATCGCCTTTCTCAACAATGCTAGGATGAATAGGCATTTCCGGGAGAAACATACTGGCTGTTGTAAGTCCTTCTAGCCCTCTACTAAGATGTTGCTAAGTATATCTAGTTTTGCCACCAGACTCAGAATCTATAACAGCCGAGGAGAGGGCGGCCTCAAATAATATCCTCGCGCGATATGTGTTATCCACAGACTGGCGCGAAGCCCAATTTGTTGCCGAACCCGGTCGCGGCCCGATCCAAAGCATAGTTGGGCAGCTCGCCGACATCTGCAGTTTTCTTGCGTAAGCTATACCTCATTATTTCCTAGTGATCATGACTACACTGACACAAAAGTATCTTCTAGTCAAAGACATCCTTCCTTTAAACGACAGTGGGGTGAGAATTTCCATCGGGATCATGTTCCAGCAGCGGCGGTAACCCCTTACCAGCGTCGTATTCAGGGACCTGCTCCCCCACAGGTACCTCCTACCATTGCCTTGAATGAGCTACCGATAAATGGACTTCGTGGTCTTGGTGATGGATATGATGATCTCGATGATAATTCTTTTCATCAGCGTATAGAGGCTGAACGCCCGATACGACGTACAAGATATGATCGTTTGGAAAACGCATTTGAAGCATGGGAGACGGCCTTACAAAATGAATGGACGGCCTTATTGAAGATAAATCAAGGACAGGCTCTTGATATTGTTGACTTCCATCCTACCATGGCTGACCTTTTATGGGCTGCTTATGCTGAGGCTCATGTGGTTCTTCATGGTGTTCAGCCACAACGACCTCGAGCTCAACAACGTTGAAGTCGAATCAAAGGTGCTACTGGTGGTGGTGGTGAAGGTACATCTCGAGGCACATTGTATGAAGGTGCATCACGGAGATAGATTTGGATATCCCGGTTATCATACTCGTAATTGATTGTCGGAAAAAAGGCCATCTCTCTGCTTCTCAACCTCTACCTTAGAGAGATAACTTTGAATATATGTTTCTGAAGTCCCTAATTCACTTGTTGTTCATTCTTTGGATGTGACTCTTACCCCTTTTCCTTTTATACCTTTGTGCCAATTTTGTCAAAAGTCCAACAAGTGAAAATGTGTTCTTGTATTTTTGGCCAGAATACCAAAACGGTGGGAGACACAGCCGATAATTGGTTCTAAATCTAGGCGGTCGGGATTGCAGAATCTCAATAATGTAGGTCCCGGTATTGCTTTCGTCGACTACCTCGGTAGACACACCTTCAATACAACATGTCGAGACTCTCCAGTGCACTCAAGGCACTGATCAATTCACCCATCGCCCGTCCATCCACCGTACCGGCACCTTCCAATATAGCTTCTGTATACGCCAACATCCAGCAAACCGCTGAGGCCCAAAATGTGTCGCAGCCATCATGGCTTGCATTGTCAGTAAGTCGCAAGCGGAAAATGACAGGTAACACTCAAACTTACATTCCAGACCGCTGCCACAATCACCATGAATTCACCCGAGTCCTTAAGTATCCTATACCAACTCGCCTCAACCACCTCCAATGACGTTGAAACCGCCGAGCTTATGCGCGAAGTTGGGCTAAAATGCATCAGCTTTAATGGAATACCCCGGACAATCAACTGCCTCAATGCTTTCAAAGCTAGTCTCCCCGAGTCTATCGGTGCACAGCTCTCGCGATCGCCTACTCGCGTACCGACACCAGACAACATAACAGAGATTAGCACCCGCGGTCGTGAACTCTGGGATTCGATCTACCAGCCCTTCGAGATGAAGCTTTACAATAAGCTTGCAGATTCACATCCAGACTTGCCCGTAGTAATTTTGAATAATCACTATGGCTCACTTCTTTCTGATCCGACTCGGCAGACGGGTGCCTCAGTTGGTCGCATTCTAACCTCCATCGTGGCGGTGTCGTGTCTACGCGCACAGACTGGAGTTGGACCTCAGGTGCTCTCACATATTTTCGGACTCCGTAAGGCTCTTGATGGTGATGCTATGGAAAGCAAAGGTGTAACTTGGTTGGCGAGTGATGAGGGTAATGTCTGGATTTTGAATAGTATTGATGCTATTGTGGATGCTATTGGGCAGGGGTCTGGGCCGAACTTTGCGCCTACAAGAGCTAAGTTGTAGATGTCATTTCTATGTCTGTACTTCTAATAGCCATGTACAATTCCAATTTTCTTTAAATATTTCCTTAATATTTATTTTCTTTCCAATTTCCTTAATATTTACTTTCTTTCCATTCCGCTCTTCTCAAAACTGTTTCAACAAAGTGTCTTTTTTTCCCGCCACCAAACTTCCAATGAAGTTGACCCTGCAAGGAATTATGCACCTCTCTTTTGCAACTAATTCCCAGTTTAATTCTCGAGAAATTTGCAGCAATCACTTGGTTACAACTGGGTGTTGGCAATGCCGGGTAATGGTATAACCCCAATCAATATACAGACAGAGGAGGTGATGTTGGATTTTCCAGGCACACAATACAAACCACCTGGGCAACCGCTCTCCGAGTCGCTTCCTCCATTGTTACCCATATATCTTAATTTGTCCTGACTTACGAGTATCCTGTTATGTACGAATAAATGACCGGCTAAATTTGCAGCGCCACAATCTTGGAGCATTTATCGGGACATCTAGAAGCAGGTAGGGCTCAAAGCTTTGAAACACAGGTAGTGCAGAATTTCTCGTTCATACGCATCACTATGATCCAAAATATCTATTGACTACCTAGGTACCCATCTCTCCGATATAACACAGATGTCAGTGGTCTCCAGCCGGTGCACAATGCCTTCGATTCAAGTTTTCTGTTCAAATCCGTATTCTTGAAGACCAGTTCCAGCAATTCGCAGGGCTAGCTTGACTGCCAGGCCCAAAGACACTTGTCTCACCCGAACATATTGATGGTTTCATCACCCAGCCATCGACTATCTTGTCAGACGCAAGATACCATGTCGGAGAACGGAGGTGTGAAAGGTCAAGTTATCGCCATGGTGGACTACTGCCGCTGGGACGGCAATTTGGCGCAGCAAGATTTTACAACAGCTACTTTCTGCTAAAAGCCCTTGTATGGATCCGACCAAGTGTATTATTTGAATTGGCTACTCATATGCCAGATTGGCTAATGATCCGGAGCTTTTGCCTAAAATTTCATTTCATGTACGGTGAACCCCGCTCCATGAGACGCCCCCCGCAATACCGACCACCTACTCCCGTACATGCAGTGACTACACCGTTCGAAATGACCTGCACTCGAATCTTACCACAGGCTCACATTTGTGCTGATTACTATCGATCCAATCTTCATCGTTTCCAGTACGTGCTCTTCTTGCTGTTACCTACCCGAAGCTACAGCGATTCGACGATTTTCTGGAATGGAGTACCCGCTATTAACAGCTCGTGCTGCCTACCGAATTTTCGACCGAGAGTCTCAACAGCAATGTGTGGACTTGGGGGATTTGGATTCAATGACCTCCATTGAGTCCAGGCTTGGACTAATGCAAGAGTGAAGACTATTTATCCGATGTCTTCTGCTCTCTCTCTATATATTTTTCTTCTCTAGTTAAGAACTTTCAAGTACAAAGCACATTCTTTCATAGTTTTGAGTACCGTAACACCGCTATATCAACGACGAGGAAACATTTACTAGGTGATATATTCATGCTGTATTAAGGCAAAGGAACCCACAAATTGATTCAGCAACTGGCCATAGTCCGATATCTACCTACCCCAGACTTGTTGTAGTATCTACACAGTCCAGCCTAATGTCACCTGCAGCACCATTGCCGCCGATTATGATCTTCTCAAAGTAGACGTAACCAATTTCAACTCTAGCCCAACGCGAACTGCAGCAATCTGGTCGGTCCTGTCCCTTACTAGGGCTCAGCTCTGTGTAATTCCACTCCAGGAGGCAAATACACTGGCCAGCCCCTCAATAATACCACCACTGATGACAGTGGTAGTTCGATTGTCATTCCCCCAGTAGGCAGCCCCGTGACTACTGGTACAACGGCCGACTGCAGTGCCCAGTTTTTCGATGAGGATAGCCTTCATCTTACCTGCGCGCAGATCTGTCTGTCTAACCTGATGTGATCAATTTGTTCACCGAGGTCAACCTGTCTTTGAACAATACAGCCTGTGATAGCGATCTGGTGAGTCCACCTATTGTGTTGATCTACTGTCTGGGTGGGACTATGGAAATTACACCTCGAGCAATGCTACCACCACCACCACGTCATTCTTGCTCGCTCTTACCTTTTAAACTTTTACTTTTGTTTTCTCACTCATATCCCTTTCGTTACCTTTTCAATTTTTGCGTTTTCCTTTCCAATTTTCCCTTTTTCATGCCGAGCACTTCACTTCGGCGCCGATAAGCAAATCAGAAGAAGCGAATCGCTGAAGCCCTCGTGCTCACACATCAGTTACAGAAGTGCCTTGACGCGAATCCGGATTACAAGATCTCCGATTCCTACCGGCAGACGATCGCCGAAACAGCTTCATACCCTTGCTCGCGGTTACCTAGAGTCAGATTATCCGACCGACTTGCAGTTAGACCAGAAATACTTCAAGACCGCCCTAAAGGTCTTCTTCAGACTGCGACTAAAGATTCAAGAGCTTCAGGAATCCCCTAAGAGAGACCGCTATGGCCGAAGGGAACGTCAGCTTCCCTATCGAAGAGGATGCTTCAAAAGGCAGCTCCATCGAAGAAGACGTTTCGATTGAGGAATCGTTACCGCTGCTTGATACAGCTACCGAAGAGGACACTCGAGAGAGCTTTCCCATTGAAGAGGACTCGTTGCTGCTACCAGAAACAGAACAGCGAAGAGTCTACAACCTAAGACCCGGTCAAAATTACAGCTCCGTTTTTGGAACCCCTCCACACACACGTCGCAGCCGTGAGCCTCTGCCTACAAGTTCGCTAACCCCTAGCCCTTCCTCTGAAGACATATTGTCGAGTGTCATCGCACTGATGGCCGCCATGTTGATCACCCAGGAACAGTTGGATCAGACTATAGCCGCGGCAGTGGCTAGAGTGCTAGCTATGCAGCCAGAGCCCCTTCAGGGAGCTCAAGGCGAGCGTGGCCCAGCTGGAGCTCCGGGTGAGCCTTCTGCAAGCGGTAGTCGTTGGAAAACAGAGGAGATCGGGTATTTTACACCTGATTCTAGTGCTACCGAGCACATCAAAACCATTCGCGGAATCACCTACTTCCTGAACGTCCACACCTTCCTCGCAGTGTTGCGTGCTCAAGAACCGTTAAAGAAACAAGCTGTGATCCGAGCCAATATCGTGGGATGTCTCCGTGATGAAGCCTACGGATGGTGGTTAGGAGAGCTTTCAGACGACAAACGCCAAGATCTTAACGAGCTTCCACTCGAGCGAGGTTGGTATATCCGTCTAGAACGACGATTTAAGACCCGTCCGGCCGTTACCCAAGCGTGAGTGATGCAGGCTAGCTATGGCTGGTCAGAGGTACTTGCCGGAGTCTCCGTCGTCCGATGGGCTCAGCAGCTCTTCCGAGATGCCCAAGCTGCCCTAGGAACACATTCGACGCTAGCACAACTTACGGCTGTTTGGCTTCGACTGGATCCAAACCTCCAACAAGACGTCCCAGAACCCACCGAGCAGACTCTTCGTTCGACATTCATAGAAGACTTGGATCGACGATACCAGCAGTGGCGGTCTCAAGAAGAGCACCGAAGCGCCCAACGCCAGACCCTTAACCGTCTAAATCCGTGGCTGAACCTGAACCAGCGCCAAGGACAATACCAGAATTGTCTGCCTTATGTCCAACAACGGCATACCACGCAACCGTTTCAAGGGCACCCTCCGTTTCAAAACCTGAGTCAGAACCTCCCACGCCGTATTACAGCTCGTTTCCCAGATACACAGACCGACATGCCTCCTTCGCGGGATCAGAAGCAGATTGCCAATCATCCATGGGCAGGTTCAAGTTCTCCAGCGGTTGCCGGACCTTCGTCACAATCCACTCAGTTCCAAAGACGAGCAACAGCTTGGAACGAGGATGCAGATACGGGAACAAACAGCCAGCAGGACGTCGATAGCTGAAGCGAGAACGACGTATACTGTTATAGTCCTGACGACCAGAACGCTTATTCAGGCGATGTTGGCGATGATGTTCATTACGCTACTGGTTGGGAAGAGAGCGGAGGCGGACACGACGGGCTGGATGACCTTTATGGTCCATCCTCCTAGCAATTAGGCATAAACGAGTTCTCTTGTTTGCACTGTGGTAACGAGTACGCGTCGAATAAGAAGCTACACAGGCACCTGGAGGAAGTAAAGCATCCCGCGGCGGCTTTAGACGCAACAACTTGGGCTTACTTCACGACTCCAGGAGAAGAGGACGAGGCAGTTCCCCCGACTTTGCCGAAATTCAATCAGACAGAGCGCAAAATTCAATCCCAGGTACGGAATTCAGGACCTGGAGATACGTTTCCGCAGTAGTAGGGATTAATCCCAGACCCGCTTCCGCTTACTGCTCGCCTGTCTCGATACAGGCTGTGTGATGTCCATTACAGATTCAAAAATAGCGGAATCCATGGATCTTTTACCCCAAGACTCCCCCCCAATCCTTATCGTCGGAATAGGCTTCAAGCATATCTCGACTCGCTTTGTTTCAGTGCCTCTATTTTTTCGAGGCGAAGATAACTTCGCACGAATTCAAGCGGAGCTCCATCTGGTCGATGATCTGAAGACAGGACTACTTATCGGAACCGATATAATAGGAAGGGAAGGATTTAGGCTTGACCTAGATTGGCTTCGAAGGTAATAGCTCCTATTTCTACTTCGTTGTCTAATGAGCTAGATTTTCTATCCCTTTGATATTGGAAAGCGGGCTGAAGGGCCTTCGAAGGTAGAAGTCCCGGACCCATATCTGCAGTCAAGTAGTCAGCCCCAGTGAGCACATTTTGAAGCACTCGTGTGAGCTTTTGAGTAGAAGGTTGTTCAAGTTTCATCCTGGAAACAAAATTTGGGTAAGGGAAAATAATTGACGATCATTGAGCATGGTGACTGCTTTTTATCCAACACTAAGCATCTTTAAGGAACTTTTGACCGAAACGTACCCTCATAATGGTTGATTAATTAGGATGAGAGCTCAATTTTGCAACCAGTTTATGTGGGGGAAAAAAACTTCAACTTACTCCTACTGACTCATACTATTGATAGAGAAGTAACTAATTGGGTTATGAATAGCTGTTGGAATATGGAACAAAGCAGTCATGTGATCAAATCGACACTTTATAATAGCTAGCAAATTAAGAATGAAACTCAGACTTTACAACCACTTCAAGAAGACACAAAGATATTATAGGGGCGTAAAGCGTTACCTGTAATAGATGCTAGAAGTGGACGTTAGCCTCTCATCAACCTTATTGAATCCACCGGTAGTACTTCAGGAAACCGGTGTCACCACTTACACTCTTTTGACTCTTTCTTGAACCCTAATGCCAAGGACCACTAATCCATATTAAGCGTAACGAATAATATTCAGAGTCTACAGGCGGCGGGGTGGAGGGTTGACCCAACTACTGGTAAATAGTTAGAATACGTGGTAATATGCAAGATTTGGTAGGATGTACTACATCCCAGCAACCTCCATGGATTAGGGACAATAATCCCTTATTAGTCTCGTTGTCCATTTTGTCGGTGAAAGCAGACAATAAGCATCTTTTAAGCCAAGTACTATCAGACTACACTACTGTTAGAACCAATGGAATCTAGTTTACTGCAGTGAATGGACTCAGGAAGTGAATAGAACTAGTGGAATCGGGGCATATCCGATTCCATCGCGGGAACTTAGAACGAACACACATCTCAACGCATAATTACTCCACGTATCAACGTAGTAGTAATAGTGCATCGAGATCCCTGTGAACCGACAACTACCTAGGTATTATGGGTTAGGCGAACTTTACCAAATTGAAACTTCTTAATTGTTTCATCTATAGGACCAGAGCCACTTCACCGTCTTATCAAACTATTCTTCAATGAATTCCAATTGAAAGCGAAAATAGAGAAAACGAGGGATACACCAAGAGAGATGCAGACTGTGACACGTTAGTCAAGGTCGCTAAAGCATTGTTGTAAATGTATTGAGGTAGGGCAGCTCGAAACTATAAGACTCACAAATAATGGGAAAAATCCGGCTTCCTCGATACTGAAGGTTGCCATTCACATGAGGAAATTCGGAGACATTCAGCGCAAAGAGACTTGTCAAAAACGATGCAGGAAGCTATGAGCTGAGTAAGAAAGCCAATCATAGCAGCTAGTAGAACTACTCACGAATATAATGGTGATCACTGTGAAGACCATTACTGTGTCGGTCTGCTCTCGGGTGTTGAGTGCCTCTTGTATGTTTGCTTGTTTCTGCTTGAGATCTAGTAGAGTGTCAAGAGACTTTTGCACATATTCGGCCTCATTGATCATCTCAATGATATCCTCTTTGATTTCAGTTGGTGTTTCGTAGGTGAAAAGAGGTATAGGATTTTCCCCGTCCTTCCAAATCTGTCTCCAGACCCGCTCCTGATCTTCAGTGAGATTCTTGAGCATATTCAGCTCATCAATAATGTCTTTGACCTCGCGTAATAGTTTTGTCTCTACCTTTATATCGCCGTACGGGTTTTCCAACTCTTCTTGCTCTTTATCGACCTTACTGACTTTCTGTGATTTCTTTATCTTCGAGCTCTTTGTTTGCTCACCTTTTTCGATCTCTTCTTCGTGGTGTTCTTGTGCTCGTTGACCCTCGTTCAATCTTACAGAGGCCCTAGTCCATAGATTATCTCTGCTCTGGGCTCCGCCTTCGAGATCGCGTTTATTCGCCGGGCCTGCCTCACTGAAAGAGTGGAAAAGCTGCAGGAAATTTTGGGCTCTTTGAGATAGCTTCGATTCCAGGCCAGGTGTTTGCTCGGGTAAATAGCTGGCCTCTTTTGGGTCATTTGAATCTCTGATCGAAATTTTGTTTTGCTCCTTTGACTTCTTGTTCCCTTTCCCTTCTCCCCCTTCACTGACTGGCCCCCTAAGGCTCCATACCTTTTTTCTCTCCCCCTTCTCATTGAGCTTCTTGCGAAAGTTCTCAAATAAATTTGCTTCTTGTTCACGCTTTGGTTTTACGTTAAAATATGAGTTAATATAGCTTTAAGACTGTACTCACGACATGTAAAATTGATTCACGATACACCTCTAACGGTGACTTTTTCATGATCTCAAGTTTTGCTTCAGGCTCTTCACCCTCCGCAATCTCTTTTGGGTGCTTACTTAGAGACTTCTCTTGCCTGAGAATGTTAATCTCGATCTCCCGGGCGTTTAGTAGACTAGTTGCCTCAACAAGGGCAAGCTCCATAAATTGCCCAATAGAACAGTTTGACACTCTGTCTTTTGATTGGAGAGCAGTCAATAGGCGCTGAAAAAAGCTGGTTGTCGCATCGGCTGGTTCGCTGGTAGAGCTAGTGATGATAGTCTCTATAGAAGATTAGCTTTCAGAACATAGCTATCTAAACAAAATGAACATAACAGGGAGTACATACTGCCATCAATAATCCAAAGCCAGAGCTGATGAACCATCAAGATCTTTGTCCTAGGGCGCATTTGGACTAGCTTTGATTCTCTTCTCGTTGAAAGAGATTCTTTCTTGCCTCGCTCTTCGGCTGAACTTTGGTCTTTATCATATCTGCGTGTTTTAGGCTTCTTGCAAGCACGGTTTATGTAGCGATACAACACCTGATCTTTATCCCTTTCTTTCGTATCTTCTAAAGACACGTAATAATATTGATCAAGAGTCATAGAATGATGTTCAATAGTTTCTGTCGAGGATTTTTCCTGAGAGCTGTCGGGCGTTAAGACTTTATCACCCTCATAATCGACCCAAAAGACAAAAGGCATCTATGGTGGATTAGCTTCCCTGTCTTCAATTAGTCATATCATAATATCATGGCATGACTAACATAGAGAGCCACCCAACTGTTTTCGAGGCTTTTTATCTTAGATGCTGAGCTCTTAGACTGTTCACCATTAGGTTGTCTCTGAATAGCAGTAAGCGTAAGTTCAAGGCCCACTGTGGGCTAGATATGACGGATTACACACGTCTTTAGGTATCTTGTCAACGCTTTCCCTCTCCATAATCTAGTTATGTTAACCACGAGTACGGTAAAGCTGATATGCACGATCAAGCCCTACCTTGAATTGTGGCTTCATGTAGCTTTTACCTCCCCCTGCTGATAGTTGGGCCCAGCTCGTCTTCACAAACTCTCTTAAGGGCCGGTGATCCCCTTTTTTGATGCCCTGATCTATTGAGATGCAGGTCATGAGATCCTTTTTGCTATTAGAGTTATTTAGTTGCCATGAGTGCCGTAGGATTTACCTTAACATAGCGTAACTGATTTATTATTAGTTAATGCCACTAACTGACCCCTAGGTAACACTGACTATCTCAAGTAATCTTTGAGTACCAGGTTGATGGACCGGAGCACTTACATTGTTCACCGGAATATGGATCCATCTCCAGTTTTCCTTATCTGTAATTTTACTATCTTTTTCCTTTTTACCAGTCTCCGCTGCTGTTAAATTTGCTTCATACTGCCTTTTTTTCAGGTGATTATCGACCTCTTTGTCCGTTGCGTTTGGCTTTTCCGTCCTAAAATTGACCTCCTCCTGGAATGATTTGAGATCGTAATTCTGAACCAACTTCATGATTTTCTGGGGCCCCTCTTCATAAATTAAATCGTACACTGATCGGAGTTTGAATTTAAGCCCTCCATCAGAATAAGAGTCAACTATTGCTCCTTTTGGGCCGCCTTGAGTGAGCGAAGGGGGAGGAGTGGGAGGAAGGGGCGGATACTTGTCGTCCCAAGGAGCTCGCTGCTTTTGGACGGGAGGAGGGTCTTTCAAAATTCTTGTTATCATCTTCTGCTTAATTCTGTCGCCTTTCGCAAGCTCAAGTGCTTTTTCGATATCCATTGGATTCAAGTAGCCGCCATTGGAGAGAAGCCACCAAACGACTATGGGGCGCTCGAGATAAACCGCCAAATGGAGGGCGTTTGACTCATCGTGCTGGCATTTCCTTAGGCGAGACAAAGGCTTTAGGAAATACATCAAATTGATTTCCTTTCGTGGCAGTTCGAATTCAGCTGCTAGCTCCATGATGAGCTCAATTTTGGAGTCAACTTGGGAGTCAATTTTGGATGCGCTAGACTTTTCGATGAGATTTTGGTATATCTTTTTCAGCTCGTCCCACAGAAGTAACTCGATAGTTTTAGTTTTTTCCCTTTCATTGCTTCCAGAGACAGCCAGTGAGATTACGTTCTCGCCATTCATCATGTTGGAGCTTTCTGACTCGTCAATCTCAGTCCGTCTAAGAATGACGTCTAGAGCGTCGTCGTCCCCCAGTTGAGCCAATATGTACTTCACCGTATCCACATGCCCATACCTAACTGCTAGATGCAATGGTGTGATATTCCCATCCGCAGGAACATTTAATTTCAAGTGCATTTCTTCCAGCAGATATTGAATGGTGGAGACTGCTCCACCGATGGCAGCAACGTGAACCCATGTCGCTTCTGCTTTCTTCCAGGAGGTCAAATTCTCGCCGCCTGCAGCCAAACAATCTTTCACTAAGTCCTCATGCCCATTCAATACAGCGTAATAGCAAATAGCCTTCAGGACATCGGACACAGGTTTGATCTTGGTATCGGAAACAGGTTTGACCTTGGCATCGAGATACTCCCCAATCAGCTCGTGGATTTCAGTCTCAAAATGAGTTCCTCCAAAGAACGGATCATTTTTCGCTGGGGAAAGTGGAAAAAAGGGAGGGAGCTCTAAAAGCTTGAGAAAAAGTGAGACGTTTTTATAGACAGCAGCCAATCCAATTGAGCTAATGCCAAATCTGCTCGTTACGCTGATCATTTTCAATTGATCTTTAGAGTATTTGGGTAGCTTTTGAAGCAAGTAGTCGGCAACATTGGCTTTGTCGCTCACGACCGCCATCATGAAGGCATTCTGATCCTCATAATTCATTGCAAGAATCAAACGGTTGTCACGGTCTACTGTCAAAAGTACTTCGATAATCTCAAGTTGTCCATTTAAAGAGGCCTTATGAAGCGGTGTATCTCCATACCTATCAGTGGCTTCAATGTTAGCTCCCTCATCGATAAGAAATTTGACAACTTTCTGAAAGCCCAAATTCGAGGCCTTATGAAGCGGTGTTTCTCCATAGATATCAGCGGCTTCAATGTTAGCTCCCTTTTCGATAAGGAATTCGACAATATTCTGTTCGCTCAAAATCGAGGCCTTGTGAAGCGGTTTTTCTCCATGCTTATCAGTGGCTTCGATGTTAGCTCCCTTTTCGATAAGGAATTCGACAATATTCTGAAAACCAGAAATCGAGGCAACGTGAAGCGGCGTTTTTCCATCGACATCAGCGGCTTCGATGTTAGCCCCATTTTCGATAAGGAATTCGACAATATTCTGTTCGCCTAAAGTCGACGCCTTATGAAGCGGTGTTTCTCCGTACTTATTAGTGGTTTCAATGTTAGCCCCTTTTTCGATAAGAAATTCGACAATATTCTGTTCGCTCAAAATCGAGGCCTTATGAAGCGGTTTGTCTCCATGCTTATCAGTGGCTTCGATGTTAGCTCCCTTTTCGATAAGGAATTCGACAACTTTCTGTTTGCCTAAAGTCGAGGCCTTATGAAGCGGTGTTTTTCCATTGACATCAGCGGCTTCGATGTTAGCCCCATTTTCGATAAGAAATTCGACAATATCCTGAAAGCCGGAAATCGAGGCATTGTGAAGTGATGTTTTTCCATCGACATCAGCGGCTTCGATGTTAGCCCCATTTTCGATAAGGAATTCAACAACTTTCTGTTTGCCTAAAGTCGAGGCCTTATGAAGCGGGGTTTCTCCATTCTTATCAATGGCTTCAATGTTAGCCCCCTTTTCGATAAGAAATCCGACAATATTCTGGAAGCCGGAAATCGAGGCATTGTGAAGCGGTGTTTTTCCATCGACATCAGCGGCTTCGATGTTAGCCCCCTTTTCGATAAGAAATTCGACAATTTCCTGTTCGCCGACAGTCGAGGCGCGATTCAATGCCGTGTACTCATGCCTAAATTCCATTTCTAAGAAGCTCTTATCCACCCGCAAGAGATGCTCCGCAATCTCAATATGGTTCTCTTCACAGGCGCAGTGAAACGCAGTGAATTTCAAATTTGTAGTTGACAAGACTTCTGCTTTCTGCTGAAGAAGAAACCTAACGATATCGGTGCGGCCCAGTGCTGCCGCCAGCATCAAAGGTGTCACTCCCTTCTGAGGACGCGGGTGCGATGTGACCAGTACGGTTTCAAACAATGCTTTGTGCGTTTCTTGATTCTCCCAGAGCTTCTTGACGGCTTCGACATTGTCACCATCGCGAATCGCATCTTCAAGACTCTGCCAGCTGTCTAGAATTCGATCCGAGTCAATATTTAAGGTGGAGAGGTCTGGTTCTGTGGTTTCTCAATCATCATGTTTGTCAGACGGGTTCTAATCAGTGGCATCAAAAGTAATTTTCAAATACCGCATGTTGTATCTCTTATTCCCAATCCTTCTGGGGCGTTTCTCGTATGCTCAGGAAGACCAATACCAGCCATCTCTGTCATCGGACTATTTACGAATACGTAGGCGGATTTCAGAGAATAGAGTAATTTTCAGATTGCTCCGATAAGAAAAAGGCTTAGACAGAGTAAAGAGGGAAATAAGTACTCAATAAGCAGAGTAGAACCCCTCAGTTAAGCGCTGATGCAGGCTTGGCAAACTATGACGTTCCTGCGCCACTCTGAAAGACTAGGTTTATGACCTGAGTCTATTTTGTAGATGACAGCGACGTGCATTAATGTGATAGCTTTCGAGTCAGATGCTGCAAGTTAATCAGTCACGGCACTGATGAGATTGGGCTGTAAATCATCACGCATTGAACACATCTACTCCATAGAAGATGCAATGTCAGGAGCTGAGGCTCTGCTGTGCGGGCTGACAAATGTGTGTGATGTAACTAGTGAAATTTATATTACTGTGTCAAATGAGGACTGACTAGTGGATTCGTGCGAGCAAATAGGAACAAAGTAGTCAAATATGTATGTGTGTACTTGCAGCAGTAAAGAGCGTATGGGAGCTGACGAATAATGCACTAAACTAAACTTGGAATCGGTCCTTTGATATACTGGCTCACACGCCTCATATAGGCAAGACATCCGCTTCCAACGTCGTAGCCAGCTTGCGGTCCGGTTTTTCCTTTATCCAAATGGGCTCACTATTTTGAATATGTCGCAGGGGTGCCCGTAGCAAACAAATGATTATTCTAGATGATATTTTCAACACCCACATCGTCCACATCGATCTGAGAAAGGTATATCTGCACATTCTTCATCCGCAAGACTCCGCTAAAGACATTCCGGTAGACCGAGTCAAGAGTGATCGGCGATCCTATGCAAGCCATAACGTCACACCGCGAAACTCACTATCATGCCATGCGAGCGGACCGTGCGGCTGTTTTTGAAATCGGTAAACTATCCCGGCACCAATAGAAACAAACCATTTGAAGCAAACCAAAGCCATAAGCATGCAGGCACAAATTGTATGTGCAGTTTGTACTTTGTGCAGAATACCGGCAACGTGGCAGCAATTCTGGACAGGAAAGGGTGTTAATATTTATTTATGTAGTATTTATCTATCATAAATAGAGCAGCAGTAAGGTGCATTTGAATTCTGACAGAAAATGCGAAGTAATCGATACTTTCATACACATAAAATCCGAGATACATCTATAAGTTGTCAACTTTATCCTCAACTGAAAAGAGACATATTTCCTTCAAAAGGTATTACCGCCATTAAAATTGCCACCGTTAATCATATTATTTCCGGCATGGAAGTTGCCACTGAAGACTTGATGGACTAATGATGGCACCGACGGGTCAGGTTCTTTGTCGCCTAATCTATCCTCAACCCGTCTTCCCAACCATTCCTTCAGTATTGTCACGGGGCGGGCAGGTGAATAGAATTATACTAGAACTGGACAGACAGTATTGCATTGACTGACAGGCTAAGACGAAGACGTAGCTTGAAGAGCTACATTCAGACAAGGTTCTGAGTTTACATGAGGTTGCGGGTCACGTGGCCCGCACTATCTGTCAGCAAATTGGGCGGAAGGAAATGTTAACGATTGATTGATTGGCTAATTACGTGGGAAATCCACAGAAACTAAATAGTCCAAATAACATGCAAACAAAGCAAACAGTAACCGTCTGACACACCCCTTCAACTTTGGATGTAAGCATCGAAGTTGCCCAGCTAGACGCGAAAAGTACACTAATATCACGATAAAATTGCACAAAAACGAGGCTTTGTTGAATGCCTTTGAACAAGTGTTGAAATTGACGCTGTTGGAGCTCAATTGTGGTATAGAAACCATATTTCATAGGTCCCTACATGATTGGTCTTTGTAGACCGACGCGGAAAATCTTGATGAAGGGGTTTTACTCGATCAATTCTTCCACATCTTCCATATTGAGTAGCTTTACCCAAGATTCGAACCGTTGTCTGGGTAAGATCTTGGTAAAACCATCAGCTACCATCCGGGCGGTTGGGACCCAATCCACCTTAATGGTACCGGATTGCACCTCCTGTCGAAGCCAATGTCGATGAATGTCGACATGCCTAAGCTTGGTTTCGAATCCATCTTCCGAGGTGAGTAGGGAAATGGTGCGTTGGTTATCGCAGTTAAGGGTGACTTGGTTAAAAGGCATTTCTAATCCGATGTTGGTCAGGATCCTTCTCCACCAAATCAGGGTCTTTCCTGCGTCGGACAACCCCAGAAGCTCTGCTTCTGTAGTTGATGTCGTAACAGTTTTCTGTTTTGACGCTTTCCAGTCTATTGGTCCACCATACAGGGAGCAGACGAATCCAGCAGAGCTTTTCCGATCAGGATGATCGCCGTACGATGCATCGCTTGAGATCTGAAGAGCTAGATCTTCTGTTTCTAGTTTTGGGGTGCTATAACAGAGTGCCTGATACCGCGTTTGGTATAAGTAGGTGATGACTCTGTCTACTGCTGCATGGTGCTGAGGTCCTGGATTTAAGAGGAAATATGAAAGTTTGGTGGCCGCTTTTGCAATGTCTGGGCGAGTAATCGAAGCAGGGTATTGGATTGATCCAACCTTTTCTTGATAGAGCTTCGTTTCTGCCGCAGTTGCTGTTCCTTCAAATGGTCTTATGTCTTCAACAGGGAGCGGTGTTGAGACTTTTGGGCGACCATTTATGTAACGGCGTGGGTTGCAAGAAGGCTGAGAGAGGCAATGGACTCTCTACATAAGCTGGCTGAACCAGCTGCCAGGGAAGCAGGGGTTCCCCGGATAAGCTAGTTAGAGATTCGCCACTTCATGATGTATTTAACTCTCTGAGGTCTTTGGACTCTTGAAGGAGTTCAAGAGTTGTTCTTGTCCCCAATTTACCCTAGTGGAATCGAGCCCTATGGGATACCACACCCACACCTCCGTCCTCTGGTAGCCTTCTCATATTAGTTCTTCTCTTGTTTACGGTAGCCCAACCGCATTGGACTCAAACCCTTACAATTTAGCCCAAATTTGGCTGCTAAGCTAGTCAAATAGCTATCTTGGCATAGCCAGAGTTTGTGGGTTTCTCGATTCCGGATGATGCGAATATTTAGGAACCATTCTGCATCTCCATGATCGGTCAATTCCCAATGCTCTTCAAGGCGCTTTTCAATCAGCTTTGCGTACACATCTGCGCTCTTATGACTTGCGATCAGGAAGTCATCAACATAGAAGAAGACAATGATTCCTTGTCCAACGAACATACAGGGGTCCTCGGCCAGGCACTTCAGTCCAAGCTTAAGAAGAACACGCGATGCTTCCTTTTGCCATAACTTAGGCGCGATACGCAGTCCATATAATGCTTTCCGCAGCTTCCAGACTCTGCCTGACTTCCCTTGAAAACCTTTAGGAAGTTGTGTGTAAACGTCTCTTTCTAAGAAGCTGTTCAGAAACGCGGCTACTACATCTCTCTGTCGCAGATCCAGGTTGAAGGCTGCGACTAGTGCAAAGATCATTCTTGCAGTTTTGATGGCAAGTGTAGCTGATTTGACTTCGTCCGGAGTTATCCTCTCTAAGTCTCCGCGGACGCAGATTCGTGCCTTACATTTCAAGAGGAGGCCATCTTCGTCAAATTTGTAGGTAAAAACCCATTTAAGCGGTAGGACTTGTTTTGAACGGTCATTTGGCCGATCCACCTCTTGAAAGGTTGCTTTAGTTGTCAGAGCTTGCACTTCTGACTGCATTGCATCATTAAAACCATCTTCGAATTGATGTCCTTTTACTTCGCGAAAGGACTGTGGAGGAGGAGGCAAATCGTCTCTATGTCTTCGCACATGTTGATTCGAAGAGGGTTCTACCATTCTGGTAAAGAGAGCGGTTTGGTATAGAAGTGGAGCTTCTTGCTCTTCTTCATATTCCGCCTGAACTGCTTTAAAGTACGACTCATCTTTTGCAGTAAAGCTGGCGAAACGTGCAGATCCACGGGTTCGCCCACTAGGGATGATATTAGACTCGTCTAGGTCTAAACCGATCTCCTTATGTGTTTCAAATTCCCATTGAAGTTGACCTGCTGCATCCCGTTGAAGTTGTTCTTCATCCGGTATCAGATCCTGCTCGATTTGAGGATCTTCTGCGTCTCCCACCCCTTGATCTGAAACCGGGTGTCTAATATCTGGTGTAGGCTCAGATACTGGAGAGTCAGGGAGCCTTATTGGCGGTGTTTCTGGGGCTTGTGGAAGTGCTCCAGGGACTGATTCCGATCGATCTGATCGTAATCTCTGCTCGTCTGAAATTGGTGGTTCGTTCGAGTCTAGAACTTGGATGGGATCTGGCGCAGATTTGGGGTTTGAAGCCTTATTCCCATCCAATTCTGGTGTCATGTTTAAATCTGCTGAATCTAGTGTTGAATTCACTATATTCAGTGTTGATTGTGTTAGATCTTCGCTTAGATCTTGTACACTATCATGTTCTGGCATTGGTTCGTGAGTGTTGACTCCAATTTCTTGTTGTAGTGCCTGTTCCCTTTCTGTATCATCCAGAATTGCAGGCTCTTGGTCGAATTGAGCAGGAAGAGGCATCGGAATTTCCTCCCAAGGTTGGAAATTTGGTGAATATCGGCGTTTCTCGTCAAAAATAGCGTCTCTGACTAGCTCTACCTTTCCGCGGTGAGGGAACCAAATTCTCCATATATTAGATGCCATATAACCAACAAGAAAACCAATTTCTGCACGACGATGCATCTTATCCTTCTTCGCAATCTTTTGTATACGGCAGTACGCGAGGCTACCATAAAGTCGTAGATTCGAGAGGTTTGTCTTCGGCATCTTGTCTCCTGCGAACGGACGAGCTTCCTCCCAAGGAATTATCCATTTCCCGTCCACTTTGGTTGGTGTACGGTTTAGAATATAGACTGCAGCTCTCACTGATTCAGGCCACAATTCTGCTGGGAGCTTCCCTTCCTCAAGAAGAGCTCTTGAGCGTAGTATAATAACTCCACCTGCTCGCTCTACTGGTCCGTTTTGCTCAGAATGTCCAGGGATAATATGACTGACGGTGATACCTTCTTGTCCAAGGAATTTCTCTGCTGTGATGTTTGCAGCTTTCTCATTATCGTAGTGGAAAGTCTTGATTGGTAGCTTCCACCAGTTTTTGACTATGGCAATAAACATTCTGATAGATTCGTTTGTCTGCCATTTGCCTTTGAAAGTGGTCAGCCAATGCATATGGATACCATCAACGTAGAAATGAGATATCCATTGCTCTTCGTTGTACGCAATTGACATATGAATCAAATCCCATGAGATTTGTCCAAATCGTCCGAAGTTGCGGCCAAGTGGGCGTCGACTGATCTGTCGAGGTGCTCGTATAAGATGACAGGTTTCGCAAAGAGATTCAGGTTCGTCTGATCGCTCTATTTTAATGCCTTCTACTAGCTTTGGAAGCTGTAGGATTGGTTCCTGATAGATATGTCCAAGGCGTCGATGCCAAAGCTCTTGGCTGCCTTCAGACGTGAGCTGCTTCATCGAACGCCGCGTTGGTAAGGTGTTTTGGTTTGATGTGACCAGAGCAGTTTGTTTAGCTGGAGGTTCAATCAGAATGAGTCTTTCATTCTTCAATCTAATGGTCTTCATCAGAGGTTTGAAATCTCTCCCTCTCAAGTATTCTTTGTCCGGCATCCATTCCCCTCCTTTATCCGTAAATGCGTAGTAGGAGAAGAGGTTAAGGACAAAATCTGGAGCGTATACTACATCTGCGATAGTAATATTCACTCTCTGGTCTGTCACTGGGTGGACTCCGGAAATGACACAGGTTCCTTGTCCAAGAGTCTTTACAGAGCCTTTACCCATGTTTAATCGACCATTCATCGGTTTGAAGTTGATGAAGCTTTCTCTGTTATTACACACATGTGTCGTTGCTCCTGTGTCCAGGATCCAAGAGCCTTTCAAGCCTTGGGAGTTAGGACCAGTCAGGAGTGTGATCTTAGCCTTTAGATCGAAGTTAGGATCATTATATAACTGTCGAGTAGATTCTATGTTAAAGCTGTTGCCTGTGAAATAGGCTGCTTCCATCGCCAGGTTGGCTTTGTCTGTCGATGCGGTATTGGTTGGAGTTGATTTTTCAGAGGACTCAGAGATAGAACTTGTCTTTGATGCTTTCTGATTTGCGCGGTTTATTCTTGAGAACACCCATTCTTTCCACTTAGGATCGTCCTTGAACGCAGCTTCGACCGCCTCTTTAACAGAATTATTTGGCTTGTAGTTTGGCGGACGATTCGACTTCTTGTTTAGGAACCAGCAGCGTTCAACAGAGTGTCGCATACCACATGTGCATCCTCTTTCTTCAAAGCTTGAGGGCTTTAAATCTATAGGAGGTTGGTTCCCGGCTTCCGGGTTGCCTTGCCAGGTAGCGAATGCTCCTTTAAGGGCTGTTCCGGGAGTTGTTTGGGTGTTAAATGCTTCGTATGTAGTCCTAAAATCATCAAGAATAGTCTGAATATCAGAACTATCTCCTTGAATGACAACTTTTGAGTGCCATTGCTGCCACCAGAATGGTAGAATCTCGCGTGTTAGACGAATGAAGAGAGAACGTAAGTCTTTGCTGTCTTTTGCAAGGACAATACCCTCAGATTCGGCTTCCTGTCTCTTGGTTTCCCAAGCATCCAGCCAGAGTAGTATGTTCGTTCCTTCTCTTGGCGGATTCGTCATGACATTCATCCATTGTTCAAGAATATTGGTGTACTTCGACGTCGATTTTCCAAAGCGTTTCTGGAGAAAGACAAGCTTTGCGTACGGACCTTTCTGAGATAGAACTAGATCCTGGAGGGTCTGCTCAAGATTCGTAGTAATATACTGGTTCAGTTCGCCGATTGCTTTATGCTTCTTGTCCCACTCATTCTTATGGTATTTGAATGTGTCGACATCGTCTCTCCATTCTCTGCGAGCACGTTCGTTCTTTCTGTGTGTCTCTTCATCATCTCCTCTCCTCAAGGTTGGTTTCTCAGGGAAGTCACTGGGTTCTGGGCCAAGTTGCCTAATCTCTGACTCAGAGAGATCTGGGTCAATATATTCCAGTATACCTTTGTCTTCCGCAAGCGTGGTCACCCTCTGTAGCCATTTCGGCCATTGAGTGACGTTTTTGAGCTTTTCGCTGCTCATTACGGAATCGAATTTTCGTATGGTCCGATCTTTCAGGAGTAACCTAGTGATAGACACTCAGGGCTACTCAGGACTACTCAGGGGTAAGATTCGGGGGTTTTCCTTCACAACACGCCAATTGAAGCTGTTGAGGGTTATTCGGAGGTAAAATCGAGTAGAAAATAGTATAAACCAGTGATTTCTATGGATTTAACAGCGAGCCGGGCTCATAACTGTCAGCAAATTGGGCGGAAGGAAATGTTAACGATTGATTGATTGGCTAATTACGTGGGAAATCCACAGAAACTAAATAGTCCAAATAACATGCAAACAAAGCAAACAGTAACCGTCTGACAGATTATCAACTCCGTGACATGAAGGTGTAGCCAGCTATTACTATTTTTTAAACAGTCAGGACTCAGTAAGCCAGAGGCGGAGGATCGAGGCAGGCAGGGAGTAGAAATAAGAAAAGTCTACACCCATCTCAGATGCATTGAGTTTATAATCCTTTATTATTCATTGGAATGAATGGATAATGAATACACAAACTAGTTTATTCGGCGATTGAGATATTCTTCCCCACACTTCCCCGCCTTTCGGCTCGGGCTAATCTAAGGTTACGGGCGTACTTTCCTTCCGCGGTTTGTGGAAAATGGAAATGCTGCCCGCTTAAGCGATCGATCCCATCTGGATTTTGCTCCACTTGCCCAATGTGCACCAAAGGACTGTAGGGTCCGTTAATCGTAATACAGATCAAAGCCTTTACGTCCAAGAAGAGTATATTTCCCCGTCCTAAAGTCTATTTTCCTCCTGACCTATGTTTCTCATCATTCGGGGCACTTTCTATGGTTCACTAACAGGGAAGCTTCCACCAATTCTGATTAGGCGCCAGGAACATAGCTCTATCTCACATAATGTCCAGATATTTATTCACATTCACTTTTAGATTAAGATCTTTTTTTTTTTTGTTTTCATACCCACTAAGCAAAATTACTGCGAATATGAACATCTCCTCAGAGCTTTTAAAAGAGCTTTCAAAGTTCGCTACGCCGACCGGCATGGCTGACTATGCTGCTTTGGCAGTCATAACTAGTCTGTCAGCGACATACTTTGCCCGAGGCATCCTCTGGGACAAGCGTGACCCATTATACCACCTCGCATTCGAGCGTCCACAACTGAAGAATGGTGGTCAATTTGGGTCGAATGCCAATAGAGAGACCAGGAACATCGCACAGAAGCTGGATCAAACCGATAAGAAGATTGTGGTGTTCTGGGGATCACAATCCGGTACGGCCGAGGGGTTTGCACATCGTCTCGCAAGGGAAATCTCCATTCGCTGGGGTCAAGACAGTATAGCTGCTGACCTCTCTGACTATGATGCGCATACTATCTCCGAAATTCCAAGCTCGAAACTGGCCATTTTCATCGTCTCAACTTATGGCGAAGGTGATCCCTGTGACAATACTACTGAATTTTGGAACTGGATCACTAAGGCTAGTGACATCTCGCTTTCCAATCTGCGATACGCTACTTTTGGACTCGGTAACTCCAACTACAAGTTTTATAATCAAGTTGTCGATGTCGTTGTCGAAGGTCTGGAGAGATTTAAAGCCCAGGCTCTTCTACCGGTTGGGAAAGCTGATGATGCCGAGGGTACTACAGAGGAAGACTTCATGGCTTGGAAAGACAGTCTGTTCACTGTGTTGAAGGAGAAGCTAGGCTTTCAAGAAGTTGAAGTCAAGTATATTCCTACCCTGATGGTTGACGAAGACGAGTCGCTAGAACCGATTGACTTGCACCACGGTGAGCCAAGCAGCCAAGTTGATACATTCAAGACAGCGGCTCAATCTTCCCCCATTCGCGCATTAAACATCATAAGCTCCAGAGAGCTTTTCACCGCATCTGACCAAAACTGCCTCCACATGGACATTGACCTAAGCAGCGAGCCAGAGCTGACATACAAAACTGGCGATCACTTGGCCATCTGGCCCAGCAACCCCGACGGCGAAGTTGACCGTCTACTTGAAGTTCTTGGAATTCAGTCTCGTCGCGATGTTCCTCTCATAATCAGACCCGTCGATCCCGCCACAAAGATCACTGTACCAACTCCAACTAATGCCACGGCTATCTTCCGCTACTACCTCGAGATTTGCGCGCCTGTGAACAGAGACAATGTCCGAGATCTCGCACAGTTTGCCCCAACGACAGAAGCGAAGCTCTACCTGACCCGGCTCGGTCAGGAGAAAGATACATTTGCAGATTTCATCCGCCATACACATCTGAATCTGGGCCGACTTCTGCAGCTCGCTGCACCAGGTCAGATCTGGTCGGAGCTGCCTCTTGCATATCTTGTCGAGACATTACCTCACATTCGGCCTCGCTACTATTCCATCTCATCCAGCAGTGTGGTCTCACCCCGTAAGCCATCAATCACAGCAATTGTCTCCTCAAAATCTTTGCCCCAGAATCTTAATGAGTTAGTTCACGGAGTAACATCGAACTACCTCCTTTCCATCTCCCAACATTCTAACTCACAGCTTCATCCACACGGGATCACATATCATCTGAATGGGCCTAGAAATAGCCTGGAGGGAAGCAAAGTATATGCCCACATTCGCCGCAGCAAGTTCAAGTTACCGATAGCCGGCAAAATACCCTTGATCATGGTAGCCGCCGGAACAGGAATTGCGCCGTTCCGTGCATTTCTCTCCGAGAGAAGTCAAGTACGGAAAATCGGCAAGGAAGTCGGGCCAATGATTTTATTTTTTGGATGTCGCAATCCCAATGAGGACTTCATTTACCGCGGAGAGCTGCAGGAGTTCCAAAGAGTTCTTGGAGATACATTTCGTTTAGTGACTGCGTTCTCGAGAGAAAAGGATTTACCTCGCCGATATGTGCAAGATCGAGTTGCTGAGCTTGGTGATGATGTTGTTAAGCTCCTTGATGAGGGAGCTAGCTTTTATATTTGTGGGAGGGCAGGCATGGCGAGGGAGGTTGAAAAGACTGTTGGAGCAACGATAAAAGAGAGAATGGGGTGGTCGGATAGCGAGGTGAATGACTGGAGTAAGGCTATCAAGAGGAGAAACAAGTGGCAGGAGGATGTTTGGGGGTAGTCTTTTCTTCCAAATACATGATATTCATCTTGATGGTCGACACTACAATTTACATAGAGAATATAAGGACCTGTGAAAATGACGACGAAAATGACAGCTTCTCGAGCCAGGGACGGCCGTCTTTCCACCCGTAATTTTAGACGGCCCTCGACCACCGTTATTCTGCACCCACTAAACGCCTTTGTTCATTTTTCTAGCTGATATTTGTGCTAGGCCTCGGCAAACTGTTCCCTTCATTTCCACTAACGACCAAACCGCGCCGAAAATGGCTCCCCTTTATAGCAGCCAGACCCGGGTCGCGGGGACCCCGCGACCCCGCGACCCTCCGAGCTTTCCTACCATATTGACTAATGAAAACGCCGGAACAAGATTATTTTCTCATTTAATGAGACGAGTCATAAAAAGCTCGAGAGGCGCTAAAAAAAACTCATGGGGTGATGGGAATTAGAAGTAATCAGAAGTAATATGTAGGAATTAGTCTAATATAGCGAAACTCCATCACTAATTATAGTTAGAGTACACCGTAAATAGTTTAGTTGACCTCTTAAATTTCCTATAAACTTATATTATCTTAGGCCCTAAAAAGCTAGATATAATATCCAGTATACAGAGTAACAAGATGGTGTTTTCTTCGTGAAGTGGGGGCTAAATCAGGCCCCCCCCCCCCTCCCACCAATGACATTTTTTATCTTGCCGCTGCTACGCTTCGTGTTCATGAGGTGGCTGAGCATTCCAATAGTGACGGTTTTTTTTTCTTTCTTTCTCTCTCTCTCTCTCATACAATTTTTTGTCTATTTTCTTCAAACGTTCCCTCAAATTTTCCTGTTTAAGAAAGAGCCTTACACTATCAGTGTACCGTGTCGTATCGTCGAGCCAATCTTTAACGCAGCAATTAGGCATTTTTTCGACGCCTTTTGCTCGAGCAACAGGCATGTCTGACCCTGCGAACTACACCGTAGGCTGGATATGTGCCTTGCCTGTGGAATATGTTGTCGCTCAAGAATTCCTCGATGAAGAGCATGAAAAACCCAGTTTTGTGTCGCCAAATGACACCAACGACTATACATTAGGCAAGATGGACGAGCACAACATCGTCATCGCCGTCTTGCCTGATGGTGAATATGGCATAGCTTCTGCGGCCAATGTAGCAACTAACATGCTGAACACCTTCCACAACGTCAGGATAGGCCTCATGGTCGGCATCGGTGGCGGCGTACCAAGCGAAAAGCACGATGTTCGTCTAGGCGACGTTGTGGTCAGTGCACCTCGTGGTGCTCAAGGTGGTGTCTTCCAGTACGACTTTGGTAAGTCGATACAAGGCCAAGAATTTCAGCATACACGATTCTTAAACCAACCACCCACTATTTTGCGGACTGCTATGACCGGAATTCAAACACAATACGAGAGGAAGGGACACCGGCTCGAAGAAGCTATCAACAGTATTCTTGACAGTAACGGAAGACTACGCAAGAAGTACCAACGTCCAGAATCAATCACGGATAGGCTCTTCCAGCCTACTGCCATTCATGAAACAGATTGCGGTGCTGCATCGTGTGCAAATAATACTACAAATTTAGTCTTGCGACGTGGGCGCTCTATAAATGAGGATAACCCTGCAATTCATTACGGCATGATTGCTTCTGCCAACCAGTTAATGAAGGATGCTTTAATAAGAGATAAACTAGCTGCTGAAAAAGACGTTCTCTGTTTCGAAATGAAAGCGGCCGGGCTGATGAACACGTTCCCATGTCTAGTTATCCGGGGTATCTGTGACTACTCGGACTCGCATAAGAGCAAACAGTGGCAAGGATATGCGGCGATGACGGCAGCTGCATACGCCAAAGACCTTCTACATAGAATGCCTCTTAATAGGGTTGAGGCCGAGGAGAAGATAAGTGTTGTTTTATCTGGTTAGTCTAGATCAATCTCATGATCGCCACGTTAATAAATTATAACCCGCTGATTAATACAGATATTTTGGAAAGTACCAATGAGAATTCAGATCGAGCGTATAAGCAGAGAGAGCGACACCAAAATGAGCAGAAAATAAGAGCTTTAACAGAGCAGCAACAACGGTGTCACCAAACTTTCAAGACATCTAACTACGAGGAGCAGAAGAACATCAATCCACGCCGAGCGGAAGGAACTTGTCAATGGGCGTTACAGAGCCGTGAATATGTCCGTTGGCAGGAAAGCTGCTCTAATGATCTACTCTGGGTATCCGCCGATCCAGGTTGCGGGAAATCTGTACTAGCTAAATCAATTGTCGATAACCACTTACTAGCTTCGAGTCCAGCAGTGACAATATGTTACTTTTTCTTTAAAGACAATCAGGAGCAAAACCGTCTTGACCAAGCTCTATGTTCTATACTACATCAGATTTTTGACCAGCAGCCTCATTTACTGACTTATGCCATGCACTCATGGGAAAAGAATGGGGAAATGCTTCGACAGGAGGTCGATGAGCTTTGGCGGGTTTTTCTAGCGGCAACGTCAGCTAATGTAACACAAAAAACGATATGCATATTTGATGCGCTTGATGAGTGCCGAGAGGTTGATCAAAATCAGTTGATTGAGAAGCTCCAGTTCTTTTACCGCCAGAACTTTTCATCGACACAGGATGCCTGTTTGAAATTCCTGGTCACTAGCCGTCCCTATGACTATATTCAAAAACACTTTCGACCGATTGCAGACTCTTTCCCATATCTAAACTTAAAGGGAGAGGAAGAGAATGATCAAATCCGGAAGGAAATAGATTTGGTCGTGAAGATGCGAGTGAAGGACCTGGCTGAAACAGCACCATTATCATGGGAGATACAACAGCGCCTTGAGAACCAGCTTCTAAATATGGAGCATCGTACTTATCTTTGGCTATATTTAGCCATGGAAGACATTCGATCTACATTTGAGAATAGCCTTTGGCCTGCTGAAGAATCAATTCAAATGATACCTCCTTCGGTGAATGAGGCATACAAAAAGATTCTTAGCCGAGTACCTTCAAGCCAGAAAGGTACCGTGAGAAAGGTTTTACAGATCATTGTGGGAGCACGACGGCCTTTAGCAACAGCGGAAATGGCAATGGCGCTTGGTTTGGCTCTCTCCCCACAGTCACATGCGGCAGCACATGCTGGAATAGATCTATTACAACTAGAGAAGAAGCTCCGTCGTTTATGTGGTCTTTTTGTTTTCATCAATAACTCCAAGATCTACCTTATCCACCAGACAGCGAGGGAATTCCTTATCCAACAGGCAAGTTCGAACGATCTCAGATTTGCATACGCATGCGGCCTAAGCGATACCGAGAACCTAATGGCTCTTATCTGCGTACAATACCTATCAATAATGGACTTGGAAGAGCGAGAAACGGAGCTGCATGCGTCCCAGAACTTTTTGGAATATTCAGCAGTGTATTGAGCCGATCATGTACGAAACATGACTTTCCTTTCAGACCAGGATATGACTGATCGGCTAAATCGATTATATGATATAAGTGAAAAGCTATTTGGGCTATGGTTTCCAATCTTTTGGAGGGAAAGTGAGCGATCATATGAAAAGATGCCTAGACTGACTCCACTACAGCTGGCAGCATTTAACGGTCATGAGCAGCAGGTTAGCTCATTAATTGCTACAGACAACTGGGATGTCAATACACCAGATAATACCAAGAGATACCCGATGATATGGGCTTCACTGAATGGGCACGATAAAACCGTTCAGATACTTCTAGAGCAAGGAGCCGATATCAACGCTACGGATGGATTCTACGGAAAAGCCCTTCAAGTTGCTTGTTCTAAAGGACACGACAAGATTGCACAGATTCTGCTAGAGCGAGGAGCCGATGTCAACTCCCAGGGTAGATTACACGGAAATGCCCTTCAGGCTGCTTGTTCCGAAGGACACGACAAGATTGCACAGATGTTGCTAGAGCGAGGAGCCGATGTCAACTCCCAGAGTGGAGATTACGGAAACGCCCTTCAGGCTGCTTGTTATAAAGGACACGGCAAGATAGTACAGATGATGCTAGAGCGAGGAGCCGATGTCAACGCCCAGGGTGGATTTTACGGAAATGCCCTTCAGGCTGCTTGTTATAAAGGACATGACAAGATCGCACAGATGCTGCTAGAGCGAGGAGCCGATGTCAACGCCCAGGATGGATTTTACGGAAATGCCCTTCAGGCTGCTTGTTCTGAAGGACACGGCAAGATAATACAGATGCTGCTAGTGCAAGGAGCCGATGTCAACGCTGAGGGTGGAGATTACGGAAGTGCCCTTCAAGCTGCTTGTTCTGAAGGACACGACAAGATCGCACAGATGCTGCTAGAGCAAGGAGCCGATGTCAACTCCCAGGGTGGATTCTACGGAAATGCCCTTCAGGCTGCTTGTTACACAGGACATGACAAGATCGCACAGATGCTGCTAGAGCGAGGAGCCGATGTCAACGCCCAAGGTGGAGATTACGGAAATGCCCTTCAGGCTGCTTGTGATAGAGGACACGGCAAGATCGCACAGATGCTGCTAGAGCGAGGAGCCGATGTCAACGCCCAAGGTGGAGATTACGGAAATGCCCTTCAGGCTGCTTGTGATAGAGGACACGGCAAGATCGCACAGATGCTGCTAGTGCAAGGAGCCGATGTCAATCAATCAATCAATCAATCAATACTCTATTAACCTGATGCAGCCTAACTAGTAGCGTATGGCTATGCAGGCGTTTCCTCCGGCGGAAACGAGAGTATTCCAAACGCCAGGATGTCAAGATAGTAGATACAAAGGAAATATGGCTACATGCCATCATAAACCGAAATCCCTCTTTAAACCAAAATGCCCTCCATGCATCGTAACCTGTAGCTCTCCTCCAGTAGCCCACTTCCTTCGTTTCCCCTCTCCCCCTTCATAGCATTCTCCTCCCCTCGTTTCAGTCCTTTTGTTGTTCGTTGAAGTTGTCGATGTATTCGTCCTTGGCCTCTCGGTAGGCCGCGGTATTGTCGTTCCTGATACCCAGCGTCTTCACCACTGTAAGGGTTACTGGATTTTACAGAGAAGACAAGGATGGGAACAAGAACTCGATAACATTTCAAGACTGATTCTTGAAAGAATCATGGGGGATCCGGGTACGGATCGGTTAAGTAGTTGTGGGTATTACATAACGGTCACATGATTTCCAGATTATCAACTCCGTGACAACTATTCCCCTTCCCAATGCCGAACGACTCGGTCGGCTAGGTTCCTTTGAGTCCTTTGTTTCCCCGTGAGGCAAAGATTGGTTCGTCCTCACATCTTGGTCTGCGTACGAATCGCGACCGAGTTGTCCATGATTTGTGTTAGGAAGAAGTTTTCAAGATGGGCGCATCTTGGATTTTGAAGAAGTGGGGTGTTTGATAGTGACAAAGAGATGGGGGTTTGCCTGATGGTTCAGAGGACAAAGCCGTCATGGTTTTAAGGAGAAGACAGTTCTCGTTTTTTCTTCCATAATTTTTCTTCTTCAACTTCCTTAACAGTTTTTTTTTTCTTCGAAATCGCATCGACTCTCATTCGATATGGCTGCTGCTGGTCCCGCTCCCGCTCCTACAGAGGCAACAGGTCGAGATTTCATATATTCGGCGGATTATATGGCCTGCGTCGCCTGCGTCGGGAGGGCCAAGAGTGCGTGGCGTGAAGGGCGTTTGCTTACTGTCTCTTGTGTTTGGAGCAGAGTGGCTTCAAAGAAGTGCGATAGTTGTATCCAATCTCATGGTGTTTGTCATTCAGTGAGTACGATTCAGCTTGATATCGGTATCATTCCTTTGCTGATTCACAGGTTCCGTTTAGCATTTTATACGAGTCCTGGGTGTTTCACGAGCTTTTGGACTGGGCTAAGAACGCTGATTCTGCGGTAGCGTTGCCAAGTACTGGTTTGTCAGGTAAATTTGGGACACCTGGAGTGATTCCTTAAATATTTCCTTGGACTGCAGCAGGAACGGCGGCGGCTCGATTGGCAACCGGTGCCCTTTCGGTAGCGTTCCGTTCTTTGGTTGAGAGTCATTGTAGTGATCATGCGCTTGATCTCCAAAAGGCTTTTGACACTAAGAACTTGCGAAATTACTTTGCGTCTCAGGAGGATAAGGCTCGTAGACAATTATCTACAAAGGTTCTTCCTATCGTTTTTCCCGATACTCTGTGTCGAATCGGTCACGGGGAGGCAGGGTTCCTTTCGTGGAATACTACGATCAAGGCCTTTTTCTATGACATTTCTCAAGAATTTGTTCTGCCTGATGGGGCTCCGGTTCCTCCAGTAAATGTTGAGATGGCAATTTTGAACATGGCCACAAAATACACCAATTCGATCTGATTCATTATCGCCATCCCCCCTCTGACGAGGGCGTCTCGACCAGAATTCGGGTTCCAATCGGTTCATCGTTTTTTGTTTTTTCGGAAGTTTTTGATAAGCTTGTCTGTGTTTAAATCGTCTTGGCTGACCCATTGATTGTACTCTGATGGCCAGCCCTTCCATTTGACTAGAAAGTATGTTTCGTTTTCAATGACAGATTCGTCCCGGATTTCTTCAATTTCCCAGTCTTCGTCGTCTTGTAGATTTGGTAACATGGTTGATTCGTCACCGTTTCGGGACCTCCAGGGTTCAAGTAGTTGAATTGGGAAGACGTTGTGAATGCGATCGTATTTTATGGGAAGGCTTAAACGATACGCTTGGGTTCCGACTCGGGCAAGAATCTTGAATGGTCCAATGAATTTTGGACCTAGTTTGTTTGATGGTTGGTCGAGGCGTATGTTTTTGGTGGAGAGTTTTACTAGTTCGCCGACCCTGAATTCCATCGGTTTGTGTCGGTTGTTGTAGTGTTTTGACATCGATTCATTTGCTTTTTGCCAGCTCTCTGCCGTTTTCTGTTGTAGTTCGTGGAGTTTTTTCACACGATCCTGTGCGCTTGGAGCCTCTTTGTCTTTATCATTTGAGCTGTCGCGGAATCGGAGTTCTGGGCGGTATCCTAGAAGGCATTCGGATGGAGACAGATTTGTTGTCGAATTGACAGCGTTATTACATGCGTATTCTGCTGTCATCAGGAGTTTTGGCTAAACGACCTGTTCGGTTCCGACAAAACATCGGAGGTAATATTCCAGTACTTGATTTGTCCGTTCGGTCTGTCCATTGGTTTGTGGATGATATGTAGTGGATAGACGTCGTTTCACTCTCGAATAGTAACAGATTCGGGACCAAAACTTGCTGGTGAAGATGCTTCCTCGGTCGGAAACGATCCCGTCTGGGACTCTAAATCGGAGTTCAACGTGCTTGTAGAGGATTTCGGCGAAGTCTTCCGCTTTTATCGTGCTCGAAACAGGTACGAATAGGCTATATTTCGTGAACCTATCGACAATGACCAGAATCGCGTCGACGTGTTGGCCCTTCCATATTGCAGGAGGAAGGCCTGTGATGAAGTCTAGCGATATTTCTTTCTAAGGACGAGTTGGTTGTGGCAGGGGTTGTAATTTCCCGTATGGTTTGTGCCTTGGGGCCTTAGCTCCCTGACATACTGCGCAAGTCGCTATGTATTCGTCTACGTCTTGTTGGAGATTCACCCAGTGGAATTTTCGCCTGATAAGCTCTTCAGTGCGGTTTTGACCAAAATGGCCTGCATGTGGATCGTCGTGGTGAAGTTCCATAACATACCTTCGTAAATTTCCTTGCGGAACGAAAATTCGTTCCTTAAACCGTAAAAGGTTATTGCTGTCAAGGGTCCAACCGATTTGGCCGGGTTTTCCACTGGAAAGGTTTTTGATACGCTGTCGAGTCTCAGGATCGTCACCCTGGACCTTGGCGATCAGGTTTTCAAACTCAAGGTTTGGGTTTTCGGAGAAAATGTCCTCCTCCCTCGCTGCTGCAACTAAGGCTTGGCGAGGAATGGTTTGGGAGCGACCCAGGTTTTCAAGGATAGCCGGATCTCTAAGATCCGGGTCCTCGTCGAATGGGTCCCGATACCCAGGCGAATCCTGGGTGGATAACACATCATTCGCGGGATCACTCCAGGGAGATTGTTTCCCAGAGTTTTGGTTACAGGAGCCCATACACGGACGAATCCGCTCAGGTTCTCCTTCCCCAATGTTTTGGTTACAGGAGGCCATACACGGACAAATCCGCCCAGGTTCTCCTTCCCCAATGTTTTGGTTACAGGAGGCCATACACGGACGAATCCGCTCAGGTTCTCCTTCCCCAATGTTTTGGTTACAGGAGGCCATACACGGACGAATCCGCTCAGGTTCTCCTTTCCCCGGGTTTACAGCGAGTTGGCCCCGGCAACCATCCGAAACGTAGTCGAATGGCGCACGACTCGACTGCGATGAGGCATTCCGCTGTGGAGATTTGCACTCGGTTTTGATTTTTTTCTTCTGAGAGAAGAGTTTTGGTAGCGTCAAGGGTTTCGTCGTGATCAGCGCTTCCGCCCTTGCGATCCTATTTCGAATCGGTCCTAGAACGTCAGTGTTTCGAGAGGAACTCTCTTTATTTGGTTTTCGGGACAACCCATCTGCGGGGTTGGTTTTCCCTGACCTGTGTTTTATGACAAAATCAAATGGTGTTAGAAAAAGACACCAACGGGCTTGTCGACCATTTAATGTGGTCTGCCGCATAAAGGATTGGAGGTTGGCGTGATCCGAGAGCACTTCGACAGTGAATCGGCTACCTTCCAAGTAGTGTCGCCAGTTTTTGAAAGATTGGACGATCGCAAATAGCTCCTGATCTGGGGTTGAATAATTCAATTCTGGCCCCGTAAATTTTCTTGACCAAAAGGCCATAGGATGCCAAACATTTTTTGGGTCTGGCTGAGACAGTATCCCAGCCATACCGAGATTTGATGCATCGGTTTCTAGCCGAATCGGTCTCGAAGGATCGAAGTATCGAAGCAGAGGTGCGTTTTGGAAAGCTTGGATAAGCTCCCGAAATGATTGGGTTTGTTCCAGATTTAGTTCGACTTTTCCAGGTTTTTTCCCATTCACACTCCCTTTTAGCATATCTGTTAGGGGCAGTGCGATGGAGGAGTAATTTTGAATGAATCTCCTATAGAAGTTACAGAAACCCAGAAATACCTGGACGTCATGAAAACTGGTGGGAATCTCCCACGATTCGATGGCGGACACACGTTTTGGGTCTATTGAGATCCCGTTTTCGTCGATAACAAATCCTAGAAAGTCGACTTTGTTTTGGTAAAAGGTGCATTTCGAGGGTTTTGCGTAGAGTTGAGCCTCGCGTAGGCGCTGAAGGACCTGCGAAACGTGCTCGGAATGTTCCTGACGTGTTTTCGAAAAGATGAGGATGTCATCGAGGTATGCAATACAAACAACATTAAGTAAACCTCTGAGTGCTGTATGAATATAGTTTTGGAACGTTGCAGGTGCATTGGTTAGCCTAAATGGCATGACCAGATACTCAAAGTGTCCGTATCTAGTGCGAAATGCAGTTTTCCACTCATCCCCCTCTCTGATACGGATCCTGTAATAGGCGTCGCGAATATCAATTTTAGAGAAGAATTTGGATCCAGAAAGGCGATCCAGGATCTCCGAAATCAGGGGTAATGGATACCGATTCTTGACCGAAACACGGTTGAGCCCCCGGTAGTCAACACAGAGTCGTAGACCGCCATCCTTCTTTGGCACAAAAAGGATCGGGGCGCCAGCGGGACTTTTTGAAGGTCGCATCCGGCCAGTTCGTAGGCCTTCATCGATCTGTTCCCTGACTGTCGCTAATTCAGTTTGTGAAAGCGGATATATTGGTCCATAAGGCGGGGTTGCGCCTAGACATGTTCATTGGGTTGGGTAAACCCATACCCAACCCAACCCAACCCACAATGGGCTGGGTATGGGTCAGAAATTTTACCCAAAACCCATATGGGTTGGGTATGGGTTTGAAGTAAAACCCACACCCAGTGTCACGGGGCGGGCAGGTGAATAGAATTATACTAGAACTGGACAGACAGTATTGCATTGACTGACAGGCTAAGACGAAGACGTAGCTTGAAGAGCTACATTCAGACAAGGTTCTGAGTTTACATGAGGTTGCGGGTCACGTGGCCCGCACTATCTAATCAATCAGTAGTCGTCTGAGCTGGCACCGTGACAGTATCCCCCTCCTTAGAGCCGAGCTCCGTAGAGGCGTAGACAGGACCTGGCTTAGACGGGTAGCGGAGGTGGAAGTTCTTCACTAACTGTCCACAATTTTCTAGGTGAGCAGCAGGCTCTTCAGTTGGGTCATCGTAACCGGTCCACTTAACCACGTATTTTAGACGTGGTGTTCCCCGGCGACCACGTTTCTCCCAGCGGGAGTCTAGGATCTCCTCTACCTCCCACTCGTCGATTCCGTCGACTTCGACAGGTGGGGCAGGTTCTTGTTGCTGCGCGGGAAGCGGGTTGTCGTCGGCAGGGCGTAATAAGGAGACGTTAAATACTGGGTGGATCATCATTCCAGGGGGAAGCTGTAAACGGCAGGCGTACGGGCTTAGAACTTCGGTGATTTCGAAGGGGCCTAAGTTCTTCCAGTCTAATTTCTTCTGGGGGCGACGGGTCTTGATGTTCCGGGCGTCTAACCAGACTTTCTGTCCTTTAGTGAACGTTCGGGCAGGCTGGCGGTGACGGTTGGCGAATTCTTCGTGGCGAGCTTGGGCGGCCAGGATCTGGGCTCGTACAAAGTTCGTGATCTCCTCCATATGAGCCGCGAACCTCTCTGCATCGCGGGCGGCGGGGTGATTACTCAGGCGGACAGGCTCGAATCCAACGACTGGGTGTTGGCCGTAATTAGCAAAGAACGGGGTGACGCCAGTCGACTCGCTTCGTACGGAGTTAGAGGCGAATTCGGCTAGCGGAAGCCAGTTAGCCCAGTCGTCCTGTAGGTAGTTTGTATAGGCTCGGAGGTACTGTTCCAGGATAGCATTGGCTCGCTCGGTCTGTCCATCTGTTTCCGGGTGAAAGGCAGTGGATAGCAGGCTCTTAGTCTTTAGGCGGGTCGTCAGGTGTTTCCAGAACTGGCTTATAAACTGGGGGCCTCTATCAGATACAATTGTACGAGGGAGTCCATGTAGCTTCCAGACGTGTTTCAAGAACAGGCAGGCGAGGTCTTCAGCGTTACAGGTCCCGTGGCAGGCCAGGAAGTGTTTCATTTTAGTCAAGCGGCAGACTACTACCAAGATTGCGTCAAATCCTTGGCTCTCGGGCAGGTGTGTGATAAAGTCTATTGACAGATCTAGCCAGGCGCGGGCAGGGATCGGGAGTGGTCGTAAGACTCCTTGACGGGCTTCTCGGGACGGGGTAATTCTGCGACAGGTATGACAGTTTTTGGTCCATTGCTCGACATAACGGTAGAGGTTCGGCCAGTAGTACTCGCGAGATATAAGCTCGTACATCTTTGTGCGACCTGGGTGTCCTGTTGCTGGGTTGTCATGGCAGAGTCGGGCTAGTTCAGCTTTAAGGTCGTCGTTGTCTGGGACATAAATACGTCCTTGGTATAGCAGGTTGTTCCCATCTCTCACGCAGTGCGCGAGCGTGATATCTGGGTGCCGGGTTTTCTTTTCGTCTAGGGCGCTTAGGATTGACTGTAATATCTGGTCTCTTTGTAGGGCAGACTCGTATGCTTCCTTCACAGCGACTGGTAGTTCTAGCTGTAGTTTGTCTGCGAAGCGTACACTTCTTACTGTTTCTGTATCAGGTGGAGGTGGGTTAGGTTCTAGGCCTATCAGGGCGTCTAGTTTCAGGGTTAGAGGGGAGTCAGGCGGTGGTGAGGCAGGCGGGGTCAGTATTCCTAGTTCTCCTTGGATCTGGCTGTCCAGGTTTTCGCGCTTCAGGATTATACGACTCTGGTGCTTTAGTCGTTCATCCCCTTCCTTAGGTAGATCTTCTGACCTCCTGGTCAGTGCATCAGGCTTCGCGCCCTGTTTACCTGGGCGGTAGATAATCGTAAAATTGAAACGGGACAGGAACTCAGACCAGCGGGCTTGTCGGCGGTTTAGTAACTTAGTGCTCATGAAGTGTTCTAGGTTTCGGTGGTCTGTGATAACCTTGATCGGGGAGGTCGTGCCCTCAAGTTCAGGGCGCCATTCTTCGAAACAGCGTACGATAGCCATAAGTTCCTTATCATAGATTTCGTAATTACACTCAGCTGCTGAGTGCTTCTTAGAGAAGAATGCAACGGGATGTAGTATTTGTCGCTCGCTTGGCGATATTCGAATATCTTGTCTGAGAACGGTGAGCTCCAACGAACCACTACTCAACACCGTAGACAAACCACCAAGTGTAGTGGTCTCTACAGTACTGAATATTGTGGTTGTTGTGAAGTCTGCTTTTTCATTGATGAAAGAACTAGCTACTTATAGTATATGGGTGCCCCTCTGCTCTGGACGAATGTCAACATTCGTCCGAGACAGAAGAGACGGTGAAGACGGGACATTACTGTCGCGAATGCACATCGCTCAAGGGTGTCGTTTGCGATGAATGCATATCGTTCAAGGATGCCGTGATATACTAATCCAGTTCCGGAGTCGCTGTCTCGGCAGAAGCTTTTTCGGCCGAAATACTTTCCGTCTGTTGATGGCCTTGTTTCTCGGCCGTCGCAACAGTATTCCTTTTTCGTCGTACTGGGAAATAACGCCTGCAGATACATAATCAGACGCGTCGGTTTCCAGGATCACATCTTTAGTCCAGTCAAATGGTGCCAGGATCGGGGCGGATATAAAGGCTGTCTTTAGGGTCTTAAAGGCTTCTTCGCAGGCGGGAGTCCATTCAAAGGCAACATCCTTCTTTGTGAGTTCGTTCATATGGGCAGTCAGTTTCGAGAAGTCTCTTATAAAGCGTCGGTAGAAGCCAGCAAATCCTAGGAATGCTCGGACATCAGTCGCGTTCGTCGGCGATTTCCAGTCCATGATCGTCCGGACCTTCTCAGGGTCCATACGGATTCCTTCGCCTCCTACAATCAGGCCTAGGAATTTGGTCTCAGAAACACAGAACTCGCATTTAGCTAGTTTCACGAATAGCCCTGCTTCGCGGAGGCGGGCGAGGACCTTACGGACGTGTCCGATATGTTCCTCCCTTGTACGACTATATATCAGTATATCGTCAAGGTATGCGGTACAGAACAGGTCTAAGTAATCTCGCAGGGAATCGTTGATAAATCTCTGGAATGTAGCAGGGGCGCCTGTTAGGCCAAACGGCATTACCAGGCTCTCGTAGAGACCTAATCTCGTACGGAACGCTGTCAGGTACTCCTGCCCCTCCTTCACCCGAAGGTTATTAAAGGCGGAGATGATATCTAGGCGAGTAAAGTATTTCATCCCCTTTAACTGGTTCAGGGTTTCTTTAGTCAGGGGCAGGGGATAGCGGTCCTTGACCGAGATCGTGT